TCGAACTACGGAACGGTTCGCAAATACCACAAAAATACCAAAATCCCTTGAAGGGCGTCCTTTTTGGTGAAATGGTATTACGTTGAAGTTCCGGCACTCAGGAAGAAGATACCCTATCATTCTCGCCTGGTCCGCCGTCCCACCAATATTATGCCATTGTGCAACGGGACATTGACTCGTGGAATAAGTGACTACACTTGAGGGTGTGCAACATCTTGTGTTTAGAGCCTCGGTCCGGTTGGCAACGACTATATGGAAATGTGATATATTAGTTGCCTATTTTGTACTGGATTGTCCAAGGCCTGGACTCTTGTCTCCCCTTTTGAAGTGATTGATTATGAAACTTGAAACTTATCATACCAAAAGAGTCTTCGCTGTGCAGTTAATAAGTCCAGTTGCTTATAAACAGAAAAGCAAGATCATTGGCTGCCTGATAGATTCGGCATCCCACATCGCCTAGCTGCATTAGCGGCAGAGCCGGCTGTTTGAGACTCGCAACCGTTGGACTTGCTAGCTCGAATCCCCAGCCACAATTTTATTCCGTTTCCGTGCGAATATACTCGAAGTGTACTAGGAGTCGGCTGGCATTGCGTGTTTTTTGATGAGATGTTTAATCAATTCTGGAGTGAGCCTAACAGGAACAAGTTAGACAGCCAGGTCCGTGGCCAACATGCATGAACTACTGTGGATTGGCTAGCTGCTTTGGATAGATTTCCGCAAAGTTTATAGGTCACTTATTTGTTTTGGCTTTCGTATGATCAATCACAATTGTTCAAGGCTGTTCCAAGTTAGCGAGCTAGCCCAAGTCCAGGCTCAAGAGCAAATCGGATGCCTTTTGTACGGGCAGAAGAGGGTTTGCGGCATAATAATAAATGATGATGCTCATCGAATCCTTGCACTGCATGGATGTTGATGTGGACTGAATGCTCCGACGCCATTGAGCAAACAAATTGATAATTTGATAGTCTATCAATAACAGAGCAGTCTCTATCAATCAGTCTTCAGAATAGTGAATACCAATGCATCACTGTGATTGGCTCGATATGGATAATGGAGACGCCCTAGTCCCCATCGAGAATGGCCGCAGTGTGCCCCTGGGCTCCCTCTCTGTTTGTGCTGGGGTCCTGCTTCTCACCCTGAAACATAACTCTTACAGACCACGCTACCGGGCCGCGCTTACCTGTTCCAGCACCTCTCCCCTGGCTGCCTCTCACCTTCTCCTCCAGAAAACTATGCTGTCTTTCTCTTTTCTCCCTCTCCTCCCCCATGTCGAGAAGAATTTGTTCTGCTTATAGACACTCCGAGAGAATACAAATCCTCCCGTGTCTTTAAACTGACCGCTCGCTATCGTCTTGTCTCTTTTTGGTCTGCACCTTCCCATTGGTTCTTTCGCGGGACCAACCGCTGCGGTGCGGATAGGGGGTAACCATCCGATCTCTCTCTCTCTCTCTCTCACTGACCTCACACTCTCGACCAAAACAAATCTCCGTGGCTGCACCGCGCCGGACGCACACATCCGATACAGTCCTTTTTTGTCTGAGTTTTCCGAAGAGTTGTTTTCCTTATGAGATTGCTCTCTTTCCTCGTCGCTCTTTTCCCGTACTTGAATGTTCGATTGGGAGGAAACAGATTCGATTGACCCGCCTGTTTTGCATCCGCCGTCATCTTAGTCGGTCAACTGGCTTCGGCCCCCCCCCTCCTCCGGAGGTGTTTGGATTGTGCGTTGGACCCTGCGAGAAAGAGGCCCGACACGAACAGAAAGAAAATAAATATAGGCTCTAAACGGCAGCGTCATGACGGCTTCTCCGCCTGGGTCGCCCACCGGCCCGACACCAACTGCCAGGCCCATGAGTGCTGTTATTCGACCGCCGAGAAGTATGAGTCGCATGAGTGTAGGAAGCAGGCCCGGTGGCAGTCGCGCCTCGGATGAGGAGAGTAAGACGGCTGTCAAAGTCGGTATGTGAATAATACCCATCGCGACTTCAATCGCGTAACTAACCTGGTTCTGTTTCCGCAGTTGTGCGTGTGCGGCCGCCGTTGAAGGAAACCGACCCCGGATACGATTTGATTCCACAACGATTTCGGCGGTCAATGGTCCATGTCACCTCACAGACTAGTCTAGCCGTCGATGTTACCCAAGGGCGCAAGTTGTTTGTGTTTGACCGCGTTTTCCCAGAGACTACAGATCAAGAAGGAATTTGGGAATATCTCAGCGATAGTGTCAATTCCTTCACCCAAGGTTACAATGTCTCGATTCTTGCCTACGGCCAGTCGGGAGCTGGAAAATCATATACGATGGGAACTTCTAGCCCTGGTGACCAGATTGACGCTCGCGCCATGGGTAAGACCTGAGTGGCCGAACTTAATGGAATGTGTCTTGGCTAATTAGTCTTTGCCGTAGGAATCATTCCCCGAGCCGCGCAGCTCTTGTTTGAGAAATTAGACGGCCCGAGACATAGTCGAACACAGTCGTCTGGTCTGCGCACACCAGCAAGATATTCCATGAGCTCGCCACAAAGTTTCAATAGAAGTCCGGCAGAGAAGACCTGGCAGATGAAGGCAACATACGTTGAGGTACGGCTCTGCTTGTTTTACTCATGGTATTTTAGTCTTCCTACTGACGCATATAAAGATCTACAACGAACAACTTCGGGATTTACTCGTCCCAGAGGCAACACCTGTTGGAGATCGCAGCAACGTCACTATCCGGGAAGATACCAAAGGCAGAATTATCTTGACTGGCCTTCATCAAGTAGACATCAACTCGTTTGAGGACTTGATGGGCGCCCTAAACTTTGGCTCGAGCATTCGCCAGACAGACGCGACTGCAATCAATGCGAAATCCTCGCGTTCCCATGCAGTGTTTAGTTTGAACCTAATACAACGCAAATCGTCTGCGCAGACTATGTCTGCAAGGGAGAAGCGCATGTCTGTACCAGTCGAGGCTTTGTCGTCGTCGGACGCTGTAGTCACTGTGGATAGCAAACTTCACTTTGTGGATCTTGCTGGGAGCGAACGTCTCAAGAACACTGGTGCTTCTGGCGAGAGAGCTAAGGAAGGTATTTCTATTAATGCTGGGTTGGCTAGTCTGGGAAAGGTCATCTCACAGCTCTCCTCTCGACAATCCGGTGCTCATGTCTCATACCGTGATTCCAAGTTAACCCGTTTGCTTCAAGACTCGCTCGGTGGAACTGCCATCACCTATATGGTTGCTTGCGTTACTCCGGCTGAATTCCATCTTAGCGAGACCCTGAATACCGTTCAGTATGCACAAAGAGCTAGAGCTATACAGAGCAAGCCTCGCATTCAGCAAACCACCGATGAAAGCGATAAACAGGCCACCATTGAGCGTCTCAAGGCCGAAGTTGCATTCTTACGTCAACAGATTCGGAATTCCGAGAACGGAGACAGGAAGAGCGTCGTACAGCCCGAGCGAAGCGACCGTTCAACCGATAGGGAGATGGAGCTCCAAAATCACTTGCTGGATATGCAAGAGAGCTATAATTCCTTGAGCGAGCGCCACGCGAAGCTCATCTCAGAACTTAGTAAAGCGTCTGATCTCCAAACAGAGAATCCTAATGAGCTCGCAGCTGCTATTGAAAACAGCTCCGTCGAGAGACTGAAGCGTTCTCATTCCTTTGCCAAGTCGGTCGAGCAAGTCGTCCTAGAATACGAAAAAACCATTCAAAGCCTAGAGTCGTCTCTCTCGAGTACTCGCGCCTCTTTGGCCGCTACCGAAAGCTCTTTACTAGAACGGGAAAGCAAGTGCGCATATTTGGAGACACACAATGCACAATTACAGACGAGAGTCCAAAAATTGATGGATCGTGAGAACAGCACAGAACATTATCTTCACGATCTCGAATCCAAGCTTGATGGCCATTTCACCGGAGAAGAGAAGAATTCTGCTCTTGTCTACGAATTGCGTAAAGAACTTACTCGTGCTCATGAGAATGAGGCAGGATGTGAAGACTACATATCGACATTGGAGGAACGTTTGGCCGAGGCTGATCAGGATATGGAACTGATGCAGCGCGAGATTCACAGACTCGAGCACGTCATTGACCGTCAAAGAAATCTTGGTAAACTGGATAACCTTCTATATGAGCTTGACCACATTCAACAGAATGGCAGTAAATCTCAGGCTAAACCCCGAACGAACCGGACCCGCGGAAATACACTTGATATTTTGACCGAGGCAGTGGAGACTGCCATCCCAGAAGATGACGATGAAGACTTGGGTGAGGACACTGCCACGAATGTGGTGTCAGAAGAAATCAGAGACTTGGATAATTTCTCTGTCGAGGATAATGTTGAGACCGCTGAGGAGGCTTTGAAAGATGAGGAAATGGTCGAGGACCATAAACAGAGCCCCGCTCAGTCGAAGTCGTGCAGAGAGTGGCAAATGTACGCAAGAATTGTAGACCTTCAAGTCAGCACGAGATGACCCAGAATGAATACGATCTTCTTGCTGCCAAGTACGAAGAAGCATTGCGGGCTATGGCCGAAATGCAGGATCAGATAGATTTCAGTCGCCACCCCGCGGGACCCTTGAACATTAACACTCCTGTTGATAGTTCGTCCCGACCCCAATCTTTTTTAGAGAGCGTCAAGACCGAGGAAGCCAAGACTGGAGGACAACATTCATCTTCGCGCTCGCTCTCTTCGGAGCTGTCCTCGGTAGAGCAGTCGGGAATCTCGCAGGACACATTTGACACCACTGTCATGTCAGCGCCCTCTATGGACAATGGGCCTTTGCAGTCCGAAGAAGAGATCAAGACTTTGCGCCAGCTTCTTCGAGAACATGAGGAGGGCATGAACCTTGTCGCTCAGAAATATGCTCAGTTAGAAGCTGAGCATGATGATACTCTGATTCTTGTAGAGCAGCTAAAGACCGACCTTCAGAAGGCTCGGATGCCTCAGTCCCCAACAACCCCCAGCCCGGGAGGCGCCTCAGTCATTCGTAGAATGACCAGTCAAAATCTCATGTCGACCGTGGATCGTGCCCATAGGTCTCTCGCCGCGTTACGAAATATCGCCTCCGAAGAGTTTGAGGAACGCCCTGACGCAATGCAAAACTTCGAGCAGAATCTGAATGCGGCCATGCATGAACTGCACATTCGCATCGAGCGTATCCAAGCGCTGGAGGCCGAGAACGCGAACGTCAAGAAGGAGATGGAAATGAAGGCTACAATCATTTCTGGCTTGACACGAGAGCGCTCAAGTTTGCAAGGCGCGAAACCGATGGACATGGCAATGGTTTCACAGATGCGCGACCAGATATTCCAGCAGGAGAATCAAATGAGGGAGATGCAAGAAGCCCATGAAAGTCGAGAGCAAGAGCTGCGTTCTGAGATCGAAAAGCTCCGTGCAGAGTTATCGTCTCACACGAAAACTGATGCTTCTGAAACACCCGCCACAAATAGTAGTGTGTTGTCTGAAGAATCTCAAGTCCGTCTTGCACAACTAGAGACTGAACTTTCGGAATGGAAAGGCAGGCATCAAGTTGCCATCGAATCGTTGGAGGCGTCTGAACAAAAACTAAGAGCAACTGCAGCTGAGCTCTCGGAGGCACTCGCCTCAGTTGACGCACTCCGAGCAGAACATGCTGATTCACTTGCGTCGCTTGCCAATGAAAAGGCTGTACTTCTGCGCGAGCGAGAAGAAGAAAGAAAACAACAGGAATCTTATGTTGCAGCCTTGCAGTCTCAGATTGATGGGCACCAGTTCAGTATCTCGACGCATTTGGCCACAATCGCGGAACTCGAAGCATCTCATTCTGCTATTCAAGACCAGTTGACGCACTATATCTCCACAAAAGAGGCCAACGACGCCAATTCTGCAGTCTACCAGTCCCGGATTGCTGAACTCGAGGATCAACTCGAGTCACATAGAGCTCATGTTGCCGATCACGACAAGGAACTGGCTTCACTGCGGCAAACTCACCAAGAGCAATTGTCAGAACTACAAAGCAGATCGACCGCTGTCGACTCTACCAAGTCTGATCACGACTCTTTGATGGCCCAACTGAACGCACAGCATGAGGAGAACCTTGCTGCTCTACGATCAGAGATTGCTAGCTCGAAGCAGGATTTGACCGGATTGCTGAACGCAATTTCTAGAGTTCTCGAGACCCAAGTTACTCCTGTGACAGTTGGCGATCAGTTAGAAGATCTGATCTCGGAGAAACGCAGCCTTGAAAGTAAATACGCCGATCTGATCGATGCGCACGAAGATCTCCAAAGACAGCTCGAATACAAGGATGCTAGCGTCGAAGAACCAAAGACCTCGAACGAGGAACATGAATCGAGGATTACTGAGCTTGCGACACTGGTCGCAACGCTTGAGGATAAGTTGAAGGAGAAGGAAGAACTCGTTCAGAAGAAGGATGCCACGATTGAAGAAATCACAGCTGAAAAGCAGAAGAGTGTTCGCCTGGTTGAGGAGCTTGAGGAGCAAATTACCAATACCTTCGACCAGCACCATAACCGTCTTTCCGTCATGCAGAACGAACGTCTGCAGGCTCTCGAAGAGGCAAATGCCAAGGTCGCCAACCTCGAACGTGAAGTCGAAACATACCAAGTCCGTATCGAGCAGCTCGAGGTAAGTCCATTGATGTCGTTTTCGAAGTCTGCAAAATTACTGACATGTCGCAGCTCCAACTCAAGAACAGCGGGACCGAGGTTGTGCCGATGGATCGCACCAATTCTCTGTCGTCTGTACGCAAGAGTGCTTCTACGACATCACTTCCCTCTCCCCCGCCAGCCATTCCTCTTCCGCCTTTGCCGAATATCGCTTCTGCTACAGCTGGGAATACAAACAGCATGTCTCCTCCTAGCTCTCGTCACACCAGTCGGGAGTTGGTCAGCACGCAACTGATGGAGGACCAAGAAGCTCGTATCAAGACAATTGAAAAGCATCTATATGCTGAGAAGCAGCTTACTGCCACCTTGGAAGAAGCTCTCGGAGATCTGGAGGCTCAGAGCAACAAGATCAAAGCCGACATGGAAGCCTGGAAGAAGAAGGCTTGGCAATACGAAGACGAACTTCAGACCCTCCGAAAAGAGCGCAACTCCACTCGCCTGTCCTTGCAGGCTGTTGAGGAAGAACGCAGTGCTCGTCGTGAAGCTGAGGCTGCTCGTGCGCAACTAGAAGAGCGCATGAACGCGATCAACAGAAAGAAGAAAAAGAGTACTCTCAACTGCTTCTAATTCAATAATTACCCCTGTACCTTAGCTAACGGCAGTTGGATGTGTACATCTCTTTTGTCTTTTATTTTTATCGTCCCTGGCATTCCATACTGAGTGGAATCTCCAACCTATTTTTACTTCGTGTTACAACCTTTCTTGACGATATTTTCCTGTACGACTGAAACGGACTTGCTGAAGTCTCATGTACATGCCTTCTTTTTGTCATTATTCTTTTCTCTTCCTTTGAACCATTGTATTCTTCTTTCCCCATACATACCCTATTCGCCATTCTCAAATGTTACAGAATTGTCATGAGATATTATCGAAAATATGTTCTTTTTCTTGGAATTGTACTCATCCTTTTTCCCTTGTCTATCTTTCTTACGTGTCTATTTTCAATTCTTCGCCATTCTGCACAAATGACGACCATTGATGATATTGGCGGTGACAGTTGAATTTTACTTTTTTTTCTATCATTATGTTGTTTCGAAATGCCACTAGATTGGTTTGCTATTTTCTATCCATTGTATGTGATCGATGTAGACGTAGTGGGAAGACTGACTCAGGGGTGATGTCTCACCAGGCAGCCGCTGGTTGCCTTATCAACTTAAACTCTGCGGGATGAACTTGCTCTCAAGAACTACACATATCTATATCGCATTGGAAACATCCTTCACACAACACTTAAACCCCGAGCAACGCGTTTCTGCTTATCGAATATTCGATGATATTGTCCGCGAATTTGAGCCCTCGCAGGGACAACTATAAAGCGAATATCAACTATTCGTGACCGGTACCGTTGCGTCACCTCTCGGATATTTGATGTATACAGTGCTGAGAATATGACGGCGGATCTTTATGATGAAGATCAAGTAATATGCCAGGATTTCTCGTATTTAGATGTTCTGCACGTCATTCCCCCGTGTCTTATGGAAAGAAAAGGAGAAGACTCTGATATGGGGGTGGGTAAGTGATATTTTTCTTAAATGAAGTCCTGGCTGACTGATAGTCTTTTAGGCAGAGAACATGCAAACCGTGTATAAAATACAGAGAATGCTCGACCCTGACGTTATCGAATCTATCAAGGGCTCTAACATCAATCGACCATCAAACGCTCTGACAATGGACAGTGGCATGCTCGCTCTTAACTTCAGAAAGTTTCAAATTCGCTTTGAACAAGTAGTCGAATCCACTACACCGCATACCTACAAGATTGATAGTTCAGGTTTTCCTTTTTTGAGGAAAGATCCTGTTACTAGGACTCTCTACCTTATGCCTGATGAGTCTATTGAGTCACTTTCGCCGGCGCTCCTTAGCATACATTGTTCAATTGGACGCATTCTCAATCTTAGTGGTGCCAAGATCTATACCAGGGGTACTATTAATCGGTTACAGGACCTGCCGGAGGATGCATTTGTATCTGAAGATGGACACTCCTATCGATGAATATGTCAAGGTTAAGCCTGGTAGAGGATCGATACGCCTTTATCAGATTAGATCAAATCACATGCTTTATCGCCTCTCTAGCAACTGACCTCGGGAACAGTCCTGGTGTAAACACCGTCATCAAACAGTCAGGACAAATCATACATCCTCCATCGCCTCCCTCATCAACTCCGCCAACCCCCTCATAGCAACCCCTTCCTTCCCCTCCGGCACAAAAATATGATCATGAAAAAAACCACTAACGACATTCGAACTGATTCCCAGATCCGTAAATTTCGCCGAAATCGCAGCCATCATCCCCACAGCTTCAAGACTGGAGTGAACCTTGAGCGAAATCTTTTTACATGGGAATGTATATTCCAGACCGTGGGTATTGGCGGATTCTTTGGTGGTGATTAGAGTGAGCCCTTCGACTTCGTGGAAGATGAGGATGGGTTGGAGGGTTGTTAGTGGCAAGGAGGAGAGGGATTGAGTGGTTGTTGCGAAGACGTAGGTTTCTGGAGAGAGGATGGGGGAAAGGGTGCGGAGGAGGTTGGTGAGTTTTGTTTCGCCGATGGGCATCTTGTTAGATTTTTGTAGTGCTTTAATACCTAGGATTGACTGACGATGTGAAGAAATGAAGTATTTCCAGTTGCAGAGAAACCTGGAAGTCTGGCCCACTTCTGTTCCAAGGTTTCATAGTACAGCAACTACGCGCTGATTAGAAATTCCGGATTCTATTAATCACGAGAAAGCCCGAATGCTTGTATAAGGTTTTAGTGGCTGGTAGTGGTTACTGTCATCTCTAGTCAATTGATCATAGGGCGTGATGTGGAGGTTACCGAGGAAGTTAGAGTTTTGTCCGAATAGGAAGATATTGTGGTACAACTGAAAGAGACAACTAAATCTTTTTATTTTAGAAAATTACAACTATTCTTCCCAGAGCAATTAGGTAGCTTCAGCTGGCATTAAAGGGTGGGACCACGTAGCTGCTGTACGAATTTCTCCACTACAGAGAGCGCATAGTCAATATCCTTCTTCTCATGCATCAAGTTCAATGAGAGGAACTCTCGTTTCCCAATATATACTCTCTTACTGAGAAGAAAGAAAGAATGTAACCGAAGTCTAGCGGATACGGACCGCCATACTTGATACTAACTGTACTTCCAAATCTAATGGCACAGAGATAATGTGTGTACGAGCCATGATCTTGTTGATGCCATCTTGTAGCTTCTCGTCAAGGGTATTGCACTGGTTAAGCTTTTCTGTAGTTAAAATTTCACTTGCTGCGACCCTAGTGGCTTTGAAAAAGGTATTGTTATTATGTGTTCTTGAGTGAAATAGCTGGCTAGGTTCGAAAAATGTCATGATATCTGCCCGTCCGCTAAAGACCTTGAATCTTTGAAGTCGAAACCCCCGGCAAGATACTTACCAACAGTGGTCATATCAAGATAAATGCCGTGATATTCTTGAAGTTCACCTTTGTGGAATTTTGAGGTAATGATCTTGTCGTAGATCAAGACTGTGCCGGCTCTTGTTACGGCAGTACGCAGGAATTCTAGGAATTTATGATTTGTGGGTATGTTTCTACCAGCGCCTTGCATTGCTTGATTAATATTGTGGCGGACTCCTCTGATAAAAACTGGTTGTCTGCGATCTTGTTGTATTGTTTGATAATAAAGTCATGAGGGAGATTGAGAGGATTGTGGACGGCAGCGCTGAAGTGAGTAAATGTACTGTGATAACCATTTGAGAAACCCAAAATCTAGCATTGTAGATTAGTAGGATGTTGATTGTATGTATAAAGTAAGGGGCCTTGCCTTCTTTTTGCCCAGTATGCGCTAGTGTAACTGCCAGTGCTACTGTATTGGCTTCTGTTCCTGAGTTTGTGAACTGTATCTTGTCTATGCTCTTGAACTGATTGACAATAGGCTTGGCTGATTTGACTTTGTTATCGCTGGGACCTCCAAGATTAAATCCTTGATTTTAGACCATATTCTGCACGGCATTATGATTTGGGGGTATGAGTGGCCAAAGAATGCGGCAGAGTATTCAAATATAAAGTTGAGATATTCATCTCCATCGAGTGAGATAACACAATAGTCCTTTCCTGATTGTAGGCTGAGCAGGAAAGGGTAGTAATGTAGCATAGAATATGTATTGTCACTAGGCATGTATTTTAGTGTCTCTTCATGATTGGCTTTTGATTTGGGATTGCTATTGAGGTCGGCACACATCACTATTTCATATAAGTTAGAGCATCTAGCTTATTAATCCAGCTCACCTGGAGATCAGCAGTAGGCAGAGGTTTTTGTGAGTTGCTTCTATGTATAGGATCTGGTCCAATTCGATTTTGACGTAGATTCCGTTCACGAGGAACTACATAAGCTTTGATAAATCTGATTGGATGTATTTCGCGATATGGTAGGACATTAATCACTCAAAGGAAACCACTAATAAATAGTTCTTTTCTCATTTTCCGGGGAAAGACTGGAATTCAACGTCCATCAAGCTCGTAACTTGAATGTCTGGAGGACTAAGATCGAGTGTCTCAGAAAACTCAGGGGGGTTGCTAGGACCACCGCCACCAAACAGACCTCCCCCACTCGCGCTTCCGAAGCCAGCGGTGGCACCAAAAAGAGATCTTTTTGCCGGTGGATGTTGCGTGACAGCGCTTTGTCCCTCGTCTATGATCTCCACCGGATATACTTCCCTTCCAACCTCTCCGGCAATGTCGTTGGCTTTACTAAGTGCATCACGAACAGCCTCTCTGCGCATTTGCGAGTGCAGGGCTTTCTGACTCGTCTCGCTCAAACTCCAGTCGATCGAATTAATTTCGACATTAGAGTAGGTCACAAGCTGGCCAACCACCTGGCTAAGCTGGGTGATATCGCGGAATACGATGCTCAGGGACATGGAGGCTTGATACACCTTGGGCAGTGACTTGTTATCTTTGTCGTGGGGTGTGTGGTTCCTCGTGCGAAGAATAGTAGAGGCAATTTTGGTTACCGCCACGTCTGCGGCGTCGGTACCATCGTCGGTCTTAGGAGACAGTGTTTTGAAGAGTCCACGGAGTTCGTTAGTCCTCGAAATGACCTCCTTAGACACGGTCTCTAATTCAGAGCCCTCTGATTCTACAGTGAGCCGAAGAACACCTTGGTCAGCAAGGCGAGTGATGCTCGACTCCCCTTTGACTCTGATCTTGAGGTCCATGATGTCGAAAAATTTTTAGGTTTGATAAACAGACTTTGTTCCTGGTTCCCAGGACCCTTAAATAGTTGCTCGGGTCACCAGGCACCAAGCAACGCCTGGTGACTGGTGCCTTCGCAGGACAACGCTCCCACAGTTGAGGCTGACAGACGACAATGACTCATCGATCGTTCCAGACTAAGATAAAATAGGGTTACTATACTTCACCGCCTCACGCATAGAACCACCTCATGCACGGTTTTCGCGATATGCCACGTAAACTATTTTGAAGCTTTACAATACCATACCATATAATAGTAGAAAACGATAAAAATTTGGAGTATTCCTATAACAGTGGGGGAGTCGAATCTGGCAGTCTCGACGATTTGTAGCAATAACCTCATCAATAACCTCTTCTTTGACCTCACTACTCTGTTCGGGCTTCGATTTCTTTGTATTTAGGTTCGTTCGGCTCGTACGGGGCTTCGTTATAGCTAAGACATCTTTTTGAAGCTGTAAATTGTAAAGGATTCAGAGGAAGATCTGGTTGCCAAGGATTATAAGCAGTAGTGAAAATACCAGTTGTACATTTCCCTTTGGGGAATCATAGATTCTCGATAGAGCGTTCTCAACGTTCTTATTCTCTCTCTCTGCTTCTCTATCACTAAGGGAAAACTATCCAAGGGGTGAGGTCTCGACTCTCCTATCTAGTACGGATAAATATTGCCCCGAAGGTCACATGATCTTTACATAATGTCGGAACTTCAACGTAATACCATTTTGTGTCGAGAAGCCAATCCAAATAGATAGTATTTCTATTCCTAGGGTGCTGTGTAGACGAAGAAACTGAGTATGAAGAGGGAAACTATCTATCAAGGGAAAGAGCCCGTATTTATTGGCCTTCATCCTCACTCCTGCCCGTCTCATACAAATCTCCGTCGCATAGCCGGTGTCCCAATATGGAATCGATACATATCAAAAGCAAAGAACAATGCCGATTGATATCTCACTTATTGACGGAGATCTCCATACAAGGATTCCCAATCAGTAAAGGACGTGCTGCGCCAAGCCCGCGGAAGCTAGGGTCAAGCCGTCACAGTTGTGGGCACAAAACCGCGGGCCTGTAGCCAGCATGGGTATCTAGCCAGGCTGGGCCCGGGGTCGGGCTAACTACTACGTAGAACTGGAGACATGATGACACGGGACTATGCTTAGGGTTACAAGTTATGAGACCCTAGATAGCGCACCCGGACCCGTTATCTCATAGTGGGTCTTCGAAATCTTCCAGCCACTTGCGTCCAATAGCTAAAATCGACTTCACTTCAATGATAGACATTCTTTGACACAGTGACACTGTGTACGTAAATGAGCCAGGCAGAAACGACACTCTATGCTTGCATTTAGCTTCGCAAGCATTTTCTCAATTAGTGAATCACGATAGCTTGTTCTGCCTATAGAACAAGCTGTCTTCTCTCGCTTCGCTCGAGAGAGAAGGGGTTTCAGATCAAGTACTCCGTATAAATGTAAATGTCGGAACGTGAATATCAAACCCTACGCATTTCGGCACCAGATTAGTCAGTCCAACGTGGCACATGCGTGCCGCGTATATATCTAGCTAGCTATCCCCGGTCCCCTTACTCTTGGGGAATCAGTCACGATATTAGGAATCAAGATAGCTTCATATTGTCAGGCTCGTTAGGCCGCTTCGTGTTCGCGCCTTACTACCGTCTATGCTTCGTGATACGGACCGTAGTAAAACCGACAGTAAATATGTACAGACTTGGGAGAGCTCCAGCTAATTAGATATTGCCTAGCCTGTATGCATGTGATACAGCTGCTCAGTCAGATGTTCGCAACCCATTGTATTTCTTTATATAAAGGGGGGATACTGGTGGCGCTACGTAGGTTTCTTTCTCTCTTTTCTTTGTATGCCACTCTCGCTCGCAGACCGGGTATGTGTTAACTGATTTGGGAAAGAATGTGACTCACGGATATGCATGAAACACTATGATAGTGCATCTGAAATGTATTTGTGAACTGAGTTCAAGTTGATGACGGACAAGGCAGACATCTTACGTCTTGTTCACTCAAAATCATATTACATATAACTATCGAGAAAAGAATGACTTCAAAACTAGGTGCCAACAACAACTAAAGCTCCACCGCAGTCGAACCTTCATGCTCTACCTACATTTCAGCCGAGATTTTCTGGGTGTGGTACGCTGAGACCGACTAGGTAGCTGCGAATATCTGCACAAATGTAGGTCTCCGCTAATCTCAAGTCGGCATTGTCATTTCTTTATTGTTCAGCCTTGCAAACACCCATCTTCATGGGACATCCTATCGCAACACATCGATTATGAAAGAATTCTTTCGTATTGTTCAACTGTGTTCTCTCTTTTTACTCAACCCGATACATGCTTGTGATATTATGTCTCTAAGCCATAGAAACTAATCCATCCCGAAACGAGGTCCAGATCGGTTGGATATGTGCCCTACCTATCGAAGCAGCCGCCGTAATCCAGATGCTGGATGTCAATTTCGGTATTGTCCAAGAGCAGGAAAGGACCGATACCAACGCGTACACCTTAGGTCGGAACGGTCATCAATATGTCGTGATCGCGTGTCTGCCCGATGGGCAATACGGGAATACTTCAGCCACCACAGTTGCCAACAGCATTATGCGAATATCTAGTGAAGGCTCTCGTGGCAGTGTCATTTAACATGACATAGGAAAAACCGACAAAGATGGTAAAATTCAACCCGTTGGATCCTTGAATAGCCCGCCAAAGTCATTGCTAAATGCCCTGGCTCAGATGAGGGCAGCCAAACTATATGATAATCCTTAGTATCCTATTTAGCTCCAAGAAGCTATTGGAAAAAAATACACGGACACAGAAAACCTTTAGCCGTCCTAACATCAAATATGACCAGCTATTTTAAAATAGAGCATAAGTATCCTGAAAATACAACGTCCTATGACCAGTGTCGGGTGGAATGGGGAGAGGATTATATTATCTGCAAAGATGGCGATCCATACACTCATTATAGAACATTTACCTCTGGGAACACCTTGATCAAAGACAGAAAGACGAGAGAGACCATCCGCAAGGAGACTGATGCATTGTGTTTTGAAATGGAGGCAGCAGGCTTGATGGCGGACTTTCCTTGCCTTGTGGTACACGGTATTTTCGATTATGCTTACTCACATCAGAATAACAATGGTAGGGGTATGCTGCACTAGCGGCGGCAGCTTTTACGAAGGAATTGCTCTCTTATGTTCCCAAAGTTGTATCTCGAGAAAGCTTAGTCGCAGATATCTGTCGTAAGTAATTATCAGCATTGTATGATGAATTCTCCAATTGTCTGACTTGAAGCTCCACTCTTTGGTTACTAGCTCTCCTTGAAGACATCAAACAAGGCCAGAATAGAGCATTGGATCAACAAGGAAGCAGCCACAGTGAGAAGATGGCGAAACTCTTATTAGACAGTCACCATCGTTGTCACCAGGTCTTCAAGACGTCAACTTATGAGAAATTCAAAAACATCAATCCAAACCGAGTGGAAGGAACATGTGAGTGGGCACTTAAAAGCCCCGAGTACCAACGCTGGTGGAACACAACAAGCAATGATCTTCTATGGATCTCGGCTGACCCGGGATGCCGTAAATCTGTACTCGCAAAATCATTGATTGATGAAGTGTTCGCGGCCGCTGATTTGACTGTCTTCATTGTTTATTTATTTTTTGAGGATAATGATGAGCAGAACAGTATTGCTACTGCATTGTGTGTTGTTCTTCATCAGCTATTTAGCTTGCAACCCCAATCTGCTGCGACACGCATTGCCGTTCTGGGAAAGAAATTGAGAGAAAATTCAGTATAAAGTAGACGACGTATAGCTACTATGTCTGATGGGGTATTTGAAAATACAATCTATGTGTTTCATCTAGTACGAATCTTTCTACAGATTCTCAACGTCTCCTAAAAGATTTATATTCAAAGTTCCGAAGAATGATTGGACGACTGACATATTCAGCTGGTGGAAGGCGGCTAGATCTCCAGTTTCCTGTCAATTGTCTCATCCAACACCTCGCTGAACCTACAAAAGTCTATTTAGAAATGATTAAGCAAATACTCTGATATGTCTGCAGTACGATTAAATATGCTATCGATCGTCTACCGAGCGTTAGATGAAAAGGGGAGTGGTGAGATATTAGTCGGTTATACGGATGCATCATATGCCAATGATACGAAGGAACATTCGACTAGTCGGTATATATTTATGCTGGCTGGTGGCCCCGTAAGCTGGTTAAGCCCAAAGCAACTAATTACTGCAACTTCATTATCAGAAGCTGAGTATATTGCTACACTGGATGGAGCAAAGCAGGCAGTATGGCTTAGACATTTCTTGCATTTGATTCAGAAAAGATCTAAGGAACTGACCCCATTCTATATGGATAATCAGTTAGTAATGAAGCTATTCGACAATCCCAGTGCTGCATTCTCGAAGCAAGCACATCCTGATTCGATACCATGCTATACGTGACCTCGTAAACCACCGAGAGATCAAGCTAACACATATCCCTACCACCGACATGCTTGCGAATAGTCTAACTAAGGCAACTTCATCAGACATACCTGGAAAATTTACTAAATCCCTGAACATGAAATGGTTATGGAACAGGATAGTGGGAATATAGATCTCCGGATCGCAACACCAAGATCTACAGATTGTCAATTGAGCGTTCAACATCCTCCAAGTTATATTGTTTTTGATTTTTTTTGGGTTTCTTTTGGATTCGAAATTGTTGACTCTGCGGATAAGAGTCGCAATTGTGAAGTGGGCAAGGTCAGGCTTCTGAGTAGCCTCTCCAATTAGACTCAGCGTGACTGATGTTACGAGTGAATCACGGCATCCATTCCAAATTATATACAGCTCCCCGGACACCTAAGCGACAATTCAAGGAGAGTCCTTACAAGTCTGGCATTGTCTGTGTGCATTTTCATACAGGGAGGTGCAAAACCAGCTTCACCAATTTGCACTCTTCCATTCTCTCGTCTGTGCCCCACTGCCAAGAAGTTAGCTTTAAGAAATGGGTAGATCTAAATATAGAAGAATATGTGTATTTGGATTCAATCAAAAACCCCTCGCCTTCTATGTAGGAGTTTTATCTGCCATCACATTGCCTTATTTCCCTTCCGCAGCCGCGGCCTTCGCCTTATTATCAATGGTCTTGGCAATAGCCGGACGAGCCTTGATACGGTTCAACCAGGAATTAACATGCGGGAAGTCCTTCTCGAGATTCATTTCGTTCGACCAGAAGAGCGCAGCCACCTCGAACCACGGCACAAAAGCAGCATCGACATAGCTGTATTTGCCGCCAACGAGGTGCTCCTTCTTCTGGAGCGATCGATTGAGCACGCCCGAAACACGACGGATCTCGTTAACATAGCGCTCGACCGCACTGGGCACTTTCTCGGGGTGGTAGATGGTAAACCAGGTGGCCTGCCCGAAGTACGGTCCCTGACCGGACATCTGGTAGTGTAGCCACTGCTTGCTTTCATAGTACTCCTTCGAGCCGGCAGCGAAGCTGATGGTGTTTTGCTTGTCGTATGTGTCCACCAGGTACTCGAGGATGGCGCCGGATTCCCAGATGGTGATTCCGGTGTTCGGATCCTCGAGGGCGGGAACACGACCGTTAGGATTGATAGACTCGTAGGGTTCCTTCTTTAGGTCGCCGAGATCGACCAACTTGGGCTCGTAGGGAACTTTGAGCTCTTCCAGGATCATGAGGACCTTCCACGGGTTGGGCGTGCCGGCGTGGCCCCGGAGGGTCCAGAGAGTGAGGGTTTTGAGAGACATGGCAGTGAGTAAATGATTTAATGATTGAGGGAAAGATAGCTCGATACAGAGACTACAAGGATCGAGGGTTGGTCTACTTAAAAGTACCGGTATACTCCAATGGCGGGAGCATCAGGACATGGATTATTCAGTTCGAGCACTCGAGAAGGCCGAACGCTTGGTAAACTGGATAGTTAATTGTCTCTTGTGATTTTTCATCAGCGTTAGTTGGGCCTAAGTTATCAACACAAACCACGGACTGTGTATGCAGCCAACCTGCCTGGACCTCGTGACGTTGATTAGTCCTTGGTCATCAGCACAAACAGCACAAACAGCACAAACTACGATACAAACAAATCTTTGCTTGGAGTGGAGGATTAATAATTGCGGAGCATAGCCCGTGATATTCATAATCAACAGGAGCGGGGCCTTGTAGATAGAACAATTTTGCTTTCCCGGCTTTTATAACTTGATGATTTATAATAGCATCTATTTAATAAATATATAATTAATACTAGCAGTTCCATATAGCCAACTCTGTCGTATACATAAAACATAGCTTCTTGCCAGTCCGGGTTCGGAACTAGCTGTGTGATCCTTTGCTTCGATAGCTTTCTTTGCTAGTTTTCTAGATTTGTCGGCCGACACACTCTCACTTGTAGAAAAGACTGCTTTGGTTACAGGTTCTGGCAGAGAGACTGGCATCGGTGCCGCTATTGCCAGAGCTTTGGCCCGGAACGGCGCGTCTGTAGCAATTCATTATGTGTCGGAAGGCTCCAAGGCGCGGGCTGAGAAGGTAGCGATTGACGTCAATAGAGAGTTTAGCACCACAACCACCGTCGTACAAGGAGGAGTGGAAAATTACGATACTGCAAAGAACATGGTTGAGCAAATTCCGAAAGCATTTAGCGTCGATCACATCGATATTCTCGGTATGTCATGGGCGGCGTGAGGTAGTGTCTCCAGCTAACCACGAGCTAGAGCCGAGCGCAGAAAATCAGCGCCAGCAGCAGGAATAGTGAGCCTTGGAGATATCATTTCATAATACCCACGGACTAGAGCGCTGATGAGACGGGGAATTCCGCGGTGCTTCGGGGATGATCCGATCTGGTGGAAGGTCTAGTTGAGGGACAATGGTAGAATAGCGAAGAGTAGTTGATCACAATCATATTGTAATAGTTCCTACTTAAAACTCAGAACACGCTTCAAGGCCTCTCGTCTTCGGCCTTTGCCGGGGCTTGAAGATTTATGATGCTCTATCTTCTGCCATTCCGTAAGAGCATCGTTGGAAGACAAGGTATCCCGGTGGGTAGTGCCTAGATTTTTGGCCCGAAGCCTAGCACACTGTCTTTAATTCTGAGGCTTCGGTCTGTTTTCCCATCGAGTTGTATGTATAAGCAAGATTATGCATGCTGGTGAGAGTGTCAGGATGCTTGGCTCCTAGCACTTTCTTTCTTGTGTCCAAGACTTGCACCTCCAGCTTCTCAGCTTCATTCCATTGTCCCTGGCTTCGGTAGGTTTCTGCTAAATTCGCCATGCTGGCCAGAGCGTCAGGATGCTCGGCTCCTAGCACTTTCTTCCTTGTCTCTATCACCTGCACTTCCAGCTCTTCTGCTGCCTTCCATCGACCCTGACATGAGTATATTAATCCTACCATTTCTACGCTATCCAGTGTATCTTCATGTTCCGGACCTAGATGCTTTGTCCGAGCTTCCATTGCTTTAACCGACAGGCTCTCCCCTCAGCCCCATTGCCTTTTCGCATGTCGTACCATGCGGCCTTGTACAACACTGCAGCCCACTCCATTAATGAGTCGCGCTCATGGGGCCGCTGGCTGGCCGCTGCCTTTGCATGCGGGAAAAGTATTTGACACTGCGCCCAATTTTCAAACTCTCCCGTGGGAAATTCCGCGTTCAGATTCCGGATATACTGCTGCTTCCACTTCTCTAGCTCGCCATTCATTTCTAACCATCTTCGCACTGCGAGCTGCACCAGGCCGTGCATGCTGAAGGTCCTTTGGTCCGCATTGGTAGAGATCAAGGAGTATCTGCGCAGTATAAGAATGTCGTCTTTAAACTCATCGGTTACACTAGACTGTGATTCACTGTCGTCGTCGTCGCCGCCGTCGTCATCGCTATGACTCGGCTCCACGTGTCGCTGTTCGCTTCGGCTTTTAAGGGGCGCCTCAGGAATCCCTTGGCGGTCGAAGAAACTCACCAGCGACAGCAAATCAGCCACGGATCGTCGGCTTTATCGTATGCTGTCAAACGAGATCTGCCATGTTGTGAGGACCGAGTTCCTGGCCTCCCAATCTCGACGGAGCTGGCCCTCTCCGCGGCCCAATAGACGGACCTTTTTGCGATCGCTTCTGCGGAACTCGTCGAGGTACTGTCGTACCGAGCAATCCCGTTCCGAGTCGGAAATATATACTGCAGCTTGAACAATCGCCAGCGGGATAAAGTCCAGCGCTGCGGCAAGCTCGATAACGTCCTGGCGGTTGACCGGTTATCCCAACTTCTTCTCAAACAGCCGGACCTCGCACATCGTCGTCGTGGCGATCGAGAAGAAAATGCGCATCGTCGACATTGTCCAATATCAGAATCCACTTTCCATTCGTACTGTCCTGCAGCCAGTTATATAACAGCCTACAAATGTTGGCCTTCGGATTCTGCCGCCCAAACAGCTTCACTGTGTCTGCAATCTTCCAGTAGCTCTGCTCAAACCGGGCGGCGTTGCTGGCATAGATCCAGAAAATCCACGTTTCCGGTTCGCGCTCGTGGATTTGGTATGCATATTCAATCACAAGCTGCGATTTCCTGTATGCCCAGTTAGCAGTGACCGGCGAAGAGCGTACGCGTTATACACACCCAACACCACCTAAGCCTACTAGTGCTGTCTAGGACCCTGGCGCAGCACATTGGTGGTAGAGCTGATTCAGGATCGTCCCACGATCGACAAAATCCGGATCGCGAAGAAACCGGATCGATAGGGATGGACTGGGTAGAGTCTCGGGACGCTCTACGCATCAGGGCTGTTGTCAGGACGGCTCCATTGTGGATAAAACCACGGCTTACCAGCGGGGTAGTGATGGTGGGTCTCGATATTCCCAGTATTATGGCCAACCTGTAGCCCATAGTTGAGCGAGCGCGTCCTAATTATAGTTTTGCCCTGGCGCTCCGTACCGTGCGATATCGCGCCTTTGAACTGCCTTATGTGGATTGCCAATGGCTGGCCGTCCGCGGGACGCGCCCACAATACACTTCAGACAAGGTCGACGGATTTTCGCAAGGTATGCTTGGAGGATGGCACACCTATGGTTTTGCCGGATGTAGCGGGAATGCAGACCAAATGACTGGTTGTTACTTGACGACTCTACCTTGACCCTTCATGCATACTATTGCAGAATTTGACCCTGACTGGTTATTAAGCTATTACTTGCCGCAGGAGGCTGTCTGTCCTCCGCCAGCATTATTGAATCATATGTGGCCAGACTTGGATAAGTGGTAAGTAGCACATTTGGAAAAGACAGATGTAACTGAAAGAGTAGAGCCAAATATTACTACTAGCAGATTTCTAGAACTATTACAGAGACTCATAGCCATCTTCTTATAAGACTCTGTACTCAGTAAACGGAGTGTCCCGGCCGCCTGGTATTCCGAGACCCTCTCTTTCAGATGGCAGAATATAAGGCTTTTAAGCTGGATATTCATGCGGCTATTACGATAGCTGCAGAAGAAGATCCCTATTCTATTGCTATTTGAAAGGCTATCTCCACTGTAAACGACTGGTTCTGTATAATGACTGCAGCCATTCAGACTAGCTAGGTTACTTATTCACAAACCTTTTACTTAGTAGAGGGCTTAATGGTAAGCCGAATAGATTAACTAATAGCTACTATTAATGACTTTGTTGGTGGCACCTTCATCTGCAAATTCGTGCCTAGAAGCCAGATCATTCTGCCCCCTATATTAGGAGCAGCTTTTGGCTCTACAGTGCCTATTTAACTTCCTATGATGGTGCTGGAGAAAGCCTCACAGGCACCGCAATATTATATGTCGAGGAACACTGGAACAATTCTAGAACTGTGGCAAGAGTGGACTGTCGGGCTCAACAGCCAGCCTTCAATTAAGAGACTTGATAAACTCTATGACTGTGGCTAGCGCTCAGGGCCTAAAAGCTCTACCAAGCGCCAGTTCTATTCTCGAAGGAAGACTCTCATTAAGGAGATTAGAAGACTGGCTGCTGTTGAAGATCCCTCTTTGGACGATCCCTATCAAATAGTTGTAGCAAAGTTAGAGGAAGAGCGGATACGGGCTGGTGCTTCACTGAGCAAGGTAATAGATGCTTTAAAAAAGGTATAGTGTTTGTTATCCTACCAGTAAAAAGCAACTCACCAGGCTGTTACCTGATTGTTCACCCGTTTTCTTTTTGAGTCTTGATACCTAACCCTAAGATTTGAATAATACCATACCGTACCTAGCATTCTTTAATTTGATTGGTTAGCAGCCGAAAGAGGCTCCATATCTTGTCATACTCCAATAACTTCTTCATTTATAGGTATTTTTTCTTCTAATTCAACTAAGATAAAGCTGCAAGTGCATACTCTGGAGTTAAGTTTCTAACCCATCGATCAGATGGATGTTGGTGTCCGAGGTCACGCGTGATCTTAATAATATCAAATTGCTTGTAGCTAGACTATTCATCCTCTTTATTATGATAATATAAAATATATGTCATTCTCGCCAAATCTGATACATAAACGAGGCCCTATAAGTGCTATATTTGGATATGGAATGATCTATTTGAATTTGTTATAGGTATAAATGTGTAGGTCGATAACTAATGTATTCGGGTTAGAGTTAGGCTAATTAGAACCGGTGGTGAGCATTATCACATGACATTCAACGACACCTGGCTTCTGTCCAGAGAACACAACACCCTTTGATTTCCCGTCAACGGGAACACGGTCAATCATACAAAATGAAAACATCTCCGCGCTTGAACATAATTATAATCCATCCCGATCTCGGCATCGGCGGCGCCGAACGCTTAATCATTGATGTTGCGCTCGCACTCCAAAACCGTGGCCATCAAGTAACGATATACACCTCCCACTGTGATAAATCGCATTGTTTCGAAGAAGCGCGTGATGGTACACTCGATATTCGGGTTCGAGGAAACACGATTTTTCCGCCGTTGTTGTTGGGGAGGTTTCATTTGTTGATGGCTGTGTTGCGACAGCTGCATTTAACGATATCTGTTCTTTCGGAAATGGGTAGGACGGGAAAGACACAAACAAAAGCGGGAGAGAAAAGAGAAGAATCAGAAGAATATAAAGATGATATTTTCATTATCGATCAATTACCGGCTTGCGTACCAGTCTTGAAGACTTGGGGGAGACGATTTGCGCAGATTCGTGGTGGTAAACAACGGATACTGTTCTACTGCCATTTCCCGGATCAATTGCTGGCGCGCAGGAATGAGGGGTATATAATCGTGCGACTGTTAAAAGAAGCATATCGGTATCCCCTGGATTGGTTCGAAGGTTGGGCGATGAGCGCTTCTGACAAGGTCGTTGCCAATTCGAACTTCACTCGTGGCGTTGTCAAGCGTGTGTTTGGGTCGGATCGATTGGGTGATGTAAAGATTGTGTACCCGTGCGTTGACACGAAGGAGTCTGCTCCAACAGAAACAGAGGTTGTGAAAGGGGAATTGTGGGGAGAAAAGAAGATTCTTCTGAGTATTAATCGGTTTGAGCGGAAAAAGGGTATTGATCTGGCAATCCGGGCATATAATGGTTTGTCTAAGGAGGAACGAATAGGGACTCGATTGGTTATAGCTGGTAAGATATCCTCTCAACTGCTTGACATTGTCACCTAATCTGATTATGCACAGGTGGCTATGATAATCGCGTTCAGGAGAACGTCCAATATCACAAAGAACTCAATGACCTAGCATTGAGGCTAGGCCTGCAAACTGCGACCTCCAAAACTGTCATATCAGCCCTCTCAATACCCGACGCAGTCGACGTCCTTTTCCTACTTTCAGTTCCATCCGCTTTCAGAGATACCCTTCTTCATAATTCAAAACTACTTCTTTATACACCCGTCAACGAACATTTCGGCATTGTTCCCGTCGAAGCAATGCACGCAGGTCTACCTGTTCTCGCATCAAATACAGGCGGTCCATTAGAAAGTGTCGTTGAAAATGAAACCGGCTGGCTCCGCGACACAACACAAATCGAAGAATGGACTTCTATAATGCGCAATGTATTATTGGATCTGACAGATCAAGATCTCGCCAAGATGGCTGCAAGTGGTAAGAAGAGGGTCAAAGATGTATTCTCTCTCCACGCATTGGAGGATAAGCTTGAAGAGGAACTCCGAGATATGCTGGAGTCGAATAGACGTCCTTTTATGAATCTGCAGTATTTGCTGCTCGCTTTCTTGTTCTCAGGGGTTGTTGGTGCTGTTATGGTTGCCCTAATCCTACGGAGGGTGTGGTGATACTCCCTACTATGTATACTATCCGGCGTTGAGCAATAATGTATATACTTTTACAGGAATAATTCCAAAAAGTTATGTGTTCTAAGGGCATTAGACTTGTCGTATCCTTTATACTGGTGACTGCACTCAATGGACACTCTGGGCCATTGAGATCACGTGGCCACGCGGCACCCTGCCATCGCGCGTCCAACTTCAAGTACTTTTTCCCATATTCAATCTGACAGACTTCTACATCTTAGGCAAATTTTGGAGGAGAGGGATATTGGGTATACATCGCAAGACAAGATGCCAGAGGTTATCGACTTGTTAGATTCATCGCCGCTGGAGCCCTCACATCTACAACCTCCACCCTCAACGCAAGCGCGTCATTCATCCGTGCGATTTCCCTCTCCATCCAACGCAACCACAGCGTCAGCAGCAGCAATTCCAGCCAGTTCGCCGAATTTTCTATCCGATGATTTTGACTCATCTTTGTTTACTTTCGACACACCTGGGCGATCAGCCAAAAAGAGGAAATTGACGCCTCAGGCTGAACGAACTGCATCACTACAACCACGGGTAGAAGCGCAACCTCGAGCCGTTGCCAAGTCGTCGACACAGAATGTTATTCACAGTGATTATTCAATCTTCACATTTTCAGATGATATCGAATCACCGGGTTTGCCGCACGTAAATAGGGCTAATACTGGCACTCCTACGGCTATTACGAAAAAGACCACTGTGAGCACTACATCTACAACTTTCTCCGGTCTATCGACAACCAAGGTGAAGGCATACAAACGGAATGGAGAAGAGTCGGATCCAATTGTGTTTACATCATCTGCACCGGAGCATACGACGGCAAAGGAAAGACAACAATCACGACAGAACAAACTATTAGACGATTCTGGAACCAAGTCGTGGCCGTCAGTTATCACTATAGATGATGATGATTATGATGAAATTCAGGATTGGGGCGATCCTTTCAATGTATCGCCACAAAACGCGTTAGATAAACTCTTGGGCGATCCGCGGCCTTCATTGAAACCGGCCTATTCTGATCGAACTGCGGCTTTATTGGCGAGTCTCCGCACTCAGGATAGCACAGAAAAGAAATTAACTACTACCTCGAAAGGGAAGAATTCTACAACAAGTTTTGACGATGTTGATTTCGATTTTGGTGAAGACTCGCTTTCAGATGTACCCCAGAGACCAACGGATATACCAAAAACGAAGAGAAAACTAAAAGTCGATGCAGAGGAGAAAGTAGCCAAAGCACAGGAGCGCGAGGCAGCTAGAGAACAGCGCAAGCGAGAAAAGGAGGCAGAGAAAGAGCGGAAACGCTTGGAGAAAGAAAAGAAGGCGAAAGAGAAGCAGCTGGCCGCGGATATTGCTGAAGTAAATAAATCAAAAATCCACAAGAAAGAATCCATACCCGAAATGATTGTCGATTTGGCAAGTACTTTTGAAGGGACTAGCGTTGGAAACCAGGTGGTTGAATATTTGAAAAATCTGAGTGCTGAGCATACTTTCTTTGAGAGTTCAATGCCAAACATCGTCAAATGGCGCCGGAAAAAGAGATCCAACTACAATGAAGATGCAGCACGCTGGGAACCGTGTCAACCTTATATCGCGTCCGAAGACCATGTTCTGTGTATGCTTTCGGCTCAGGAATTTGTTGACATGGTTATCTGTGAGGGCGATATGCAAACGTTGGATGGTCACGTTCAGAGACTAAAAGGCTCATATCGAGATTGCAAGCCAATATACCTGATTGAAGGTCTAACGACGTGGATGCGTAGGAATCAGAACTCCCGCAACAGAGCATACCAAGCGGAGGTACTTCGCCAAATCAATGATGTCGATGATACACCCGAGGATACGAACGCTCAAGGCAAGCAGCGCGGTCGAAAAACCAAGAAGGCCAAAAAGCCCGAGGACACACCTCCCGTGGCGGACGACACGATTGAAGACGCCCTACTCGAACTACAAGTCACCCACAACTGTCTGATCTACCACACGAACGCCCCCGGTGAAACGGCCGAATGGATCAAAAACTTTAGCGAACACATCTCCACGATCCCGTACAGACACGTACAAATGGGCAACTATGACGGTGCTGCATTCTGCATGGAGACGGGACAAGTGAAAACAGGTGAAGATAAAGTGGACACTTTTGTGAAGATGCTACAAGAAATCAACCGTGTCACTGCGCCCATGGCTTACGGAATAGTTTCCCAGTATCCGAGTGCAGTTGATCTATTACATGCCATGAAGAAACACGGCCCGACATTACTGGAAAATGTGAGAAAGTCGGCTAATAAGAATGGAGCCTTGACTGATTCTAGGATTGGGCTGGCGGTTAGTAAGAGATTGTATAAGGTTTTTATGGGATTGGATGAGACTTCTGCTGATATTTGACCTGGGAAGACTGTTTCTAACATCGTGTATATGATATACCATAGTGTTTTTCAGGAGGTCTTGGCAGATCTTTACTTTATTAAGTATGAGTAGATATGTACAATATTGACAAGCTTGAATATAACACCAGTATGCTAAATCCATCCCTGTAAACCCAAAATCGTTGTATACACGCCAGTCGACAATTCAGGGACAATATCTATACAACAACGCCCCTTTTCTTCCATCCCCTCCAAGCAACAAGCCAAACAACAATGGCCATCCAAACACTAATCGTACACCCAACAGCCCAAAACCCAAAACATCTCCAACCAACACACTGTCCCTGTCGTTCATCCGGTGGTGCGTGAGGAGGGCTAATAATAGCATCTTGATAAGCCTTTGAATATACAAAGCCCCAAAAGGCTGCCCCGGCAGCTGGAACCATGGCTACGATACCCCAGTTTGTGCCGAAATTCTCAACACCCCATACCACTGAGATTATGATGGGCATTAGTGCGAAGGAGGCGCCGTAGCCGAAACCGACGAAGGCGGTTGTGAGGTGGAACAGGCCTGGATGAGGGAGGATCAAGGGGGAAGCTAGAATCAAGAATCCGAGAGATAGGATTAATGCGCTAGGGAGGAGGAAAGTGAGGCGGGATATGGTTATTCCCTTGTAGCCTCTGTCTGCGGGGTGGGGGATTGGTTGGCGGTTTGGATTGTCGAGGCTGTAGATGAATTGGTGTGTTGCGGGCGGTGCGAAGAGGTCTGTGATGGAGCCGACGAAAAGACGGGCGATTGTTGATGTGATGGCGACTGTGCTGACGTGGGTTGAGGCTGAGCCTGCCGGTGGTGGAGCTTGGAGAGGATATGAGATTGGAGTTAAGGAGTGGATTATTGTTCCCAGCTATGAGCATTGAATTAGTATCTGTTCAACCGAATATGGAGAGAAATACTCACATTATTGATATATGCTTCTCCGGGACCCGTCACAAAAAAGAAGCCCAAAGCAAGCCACCACATCGTATGATCCTTGAAGAATAGTCTAGTTTCGTGATTCAGCAACCAATTCTTCTTCTGACGCTCTTCCTCCTCACGCTCCTTCTGACGACGCAACTCCGCGCGCTCTTCCTCTGAGAGAGTAATGGACCGATCATCCGCAAGATCTTCCGAATCACTTCCCTCATTCTGAAACGTCCCATATGCTGCCCTAACCTCTTCGCGAGGGCGGAAGAACCCGTCTTCACCCAGAATACCACTCCGCTCAAGCTCGGATACAGCCTCATCAATATACTTCTCCTGTTCCTCGCCATCAACAGTACGCAATGCCGCCGTTCCACCAACCCCAATAACAAATAAAAGAACGGCCAGAAAGATGAAATATCGAAACACATCCACCGCCTCACTGCATGAGCCGTCCGGGCGTCTTTCGCATAGTACATGACTACCAATCTGACTCTGCCACATACCACTCAAACCAAACGCGGCGATTGGTACCGCCAACATAATCCCTTTATATTTGCCTCGGCCAAAGTTCTTCGCGCATGTGGTTACCGCGGCGCCGTAAAGACAACAAGTGCCCATACCAATCAACACGAAAGCGACAACCATGACCCAATACGGCCATCCAGATCCGCCTACATCGACCGGTGGACCGCTTTTATAGGATAGTGCTGCAAGTAGATATCCCGCGCCGAAGAATATGCCCGCCAACAGCGAAACGGGTGAAGGGGAGTATCGATCGCATAAGTATCCAAAGATCGAAACGGGTAGGTACATTGCTACCTCAGCCGCGACTGCGATACCATTAACGCGGTCTTGAGAATAGTGTAATCGCGTAAGTAGTAGTGGTCCGTATAGGGAGAATGCCGTAATACTTCCAGCGCCGAGACTACAACCATCACCTGTGAGCCAAGTAACAGAAACAACCAAGGGGAAGAGATATATACCAGCTCAAAACACTCCACACAAAGCTCATAACACGTATAACCTCCTTCTTCATCTTCTGTCGATCTCTCTCCACGATAGTCTCGACCACCTCACTTAGTAACCCTTCACCTGGTCGATCGGAACCATCGCTGTCTGCGGAGAGCCTGGATATGCGCGGCTCATCTGATAAGGTGCGTATACGGCCGGATTCTTCGTCAATGTTTCCATGATCAGCTAGAAGAGGTCTATTGACGTCAAAGTCGCGCTTGTCTATTTTGATTTGTTTGTTGGTTGCTGGGGGCATCGTGGCTGGTGTTGTATGTCTATCTGCAGTGCTCCCTTGATCGCCTCATCTGTGCTTGAATTAAGGGAAATCTCGTCTTTGGTCGGTAGATAAGGGAATAATAATAAGTCCAGGCAATCACTTGCTGCCAGGCTGACTTGTCGCTGTGCAATTGATCCCGTGTTGGATTGATGAGTTGGCAGCTGAGCTTAGGCTTAAAGATGTCACGTCATTCCGACCTCGGAAATGCTCCGCTCCCCGAACCCTAACTTAACATCCTCATATTGAACATGCAATAGGTACGAAGAAATGTAATATTGTTCCAGATATAGTATTTATCTCGCTAATACATTGTTACAGATAGTCTTCTCCCTAATTCTAAAATCAAAACAAAAAACAAAACACCATGCGTCCATGACCAATGCCAAACTCACAAAACAGGCAAGAAAAAAGATAACGAAGATAGAAACAAAAATAACATACTATATATATAAAAAGCTCCAATCCTTACGCCCAATGCGCATGTCACATGAATATGTCATCAGTCATGATGGTAGGAATGAAAAGAAAAGAAAATAAACCACCTACTCTGGGAGCTATCGAAGCGGGGTGATAAGAAAACAGAAAATGAACCACGCATCGGGTATCATGTATCAAAATACATATCAAAAGAAAAAAAAAAGAAGGAAGAAAAATAATTAAACGCTGACTTCGCCCGGATCACTCTCGAGAACATCCTCCACCCAAAATGCATCTCCCGGGTTCTCTCGACTAGCGATTCGGTTGCCCGGAGCAAGATCCTCACCTTCACCACGCTCAACAACGTCTTCTTGCCCTACCTCTTTGAGTATTCGCTGAAAGTACATCCGAAGTGACCGGAGACCTCGGAGGTAACCGCGATCCACGTCGCCGGGATGATGAGGCGGACAAGTTACATCTGGCGGAAGTTCGTCTTCACCCGTGACGCAATTGGCAAAATCCACAATCTTCAATTTCACGTCCTCGCCGTTGTGCCAATCGTCAGACTCTCGTCGAGTCATACGAGGTCGCTTGTCGGTCGAATGTGAATCCTTCTTGGATTCGCCAGCGCCCTGTCCTTTGCCCGCTGGATCACCATCGTACAATATCAGGAGACTGCTGGCGTAGAAACGGTAGCTATGTAATTTTCTTATCATGCTTTCGAGTGTGCTGAGCTGCTGCAAAATGCTCGGGATCTTTCTAGCAACACTTCTATAGCTAACACCGTCATAGAGGAAACGCGTCAAAGCGTCCTGAAACTCACGACCCGAAGACAGATCTCGTCCATAATACTTATCTTGGAAAAGATACTCTTGCTTCTTGACGTTCCACGTTTGCATACCACACAGCCGTACACCCAACTGCTGCGACGTCGTTGTTTGGCATTTTCGTCGCTGAGATTTCTTTTTCTTCTCATCCGCATACAATCCGTACTGCCGTGTTCCCATTTTCAAATCAAGAACGCATGGTTTATTCATGCCAGCTGTCAGATCCTCCAATAAAATGAAGAACTGAACACGGTCGTCTCGTTGGGTCTGCGCTTCTTTAGGATTAGTTGGTACATGGACCGCTTCAGGTTCAATCTCGGGTGGACGGCTTGCAAATTGAAGAGGGGATCCAAGCTTTGCAGAGTCTTGGTTGGGCGATCGACTGGTATTTGAATTGGTACGGAGCGGAACTGGCGCAGCTGGAGAAGGCTCGGATGTATCGCCTTCCATGGCAAAGATGCCATCCTCGTGGTCACCTCCATAGCCATCATCCTCAAAAAACATGAGGTCGCCGGCACCGCTCGTAATACTTCCTCGCCTAAGCAAGCCGCTACCTGAATGTCGTCGTCTAACGCGTCGGTCACTGCTTAGAGAGCTCGCTCGAGGTGGTGTATCGGATCTTCTCAACTTTTCCAACGGGTTTGAGTGCCTTTCTATTGCACTTGAGACGGAAGAAGAAAGATTGTGCCCATCTTTGGCGCCTTTCTTCGCAATATCAATCGCGAGACTCCTAGAAGGCGATTTTCCGCCACTTGTATTTGTGCTGGATAGGTGATCCTCTGAGCCGTCTCCATTGAGTCGACCGGTGTCCGAACGGTATCGAGGTAAGCCAGGGTGATTACGTACTAATCGACGGTGATGGTGAATTGGCGGGGGACTGAAGACTTCACGGAGGACCTGCTCTTTGAGCTTCCTGTTTACAGTGGTGGCGCCCCAGATTTTGGGCTTTCCCATTTGCGGCATGACCGGTCGATCGAGGTTCTCTGCAAAGGAATTTCTTGGCGTATCGTCCGCTGATCTGGAGGGGTCATCGGTGGGCAAATAATCCATATGCTTTGCTTCACCTACGCTCCGTGGCGGCGAGGATAAGAAGAGGTCAGACGGTATAATATGTCTGTTATTTTCAAGGGTCACTTTAGGAATTATGCCAGTTGTTTGTTGCTGGCTGAATATTCTCGGCTGATCCGCGGCTTTAGGAGGGCTGCTAACAGTTTCCTTCTTGAAACTGTGTGCGGCAGGTTGTCCTTCCGAGACAGCATCTTCATTGGCCTTTTTAATAGCACCATTGCTGCGTTTCTTTGAATGTTTAGACTTCTTGGAAAAAGTGACATTCAAGACTCCAATATACCTGAGTAGAGATTAGCCATAGAATCAAAACTCACAGAATGGTAGAATTTACCTGGGTAGGAAAACAAGCATTTCAGGATGCCGCCTTTCTATCCGTTCATAGAATTCATTTTCACGGTTGTTAAGTTGCTTGCAGACTGCCCGCCTAGAAAATCGAAAAACGGTGGTATGTCCGCCTACTTGGTGCCGGTATGGTTTTAACTCCACAGCGCCGACGAGTCCTCCTTTGGTATGCTTACGGCGATGGCGAGATTGCCGTTGAGACTGGGTGGGTGTCACCGCTATGTGCTCTGCATCGTCCGTAAGACTCGAAATCTCGTCAAGAGTGGACAGTGCACTTTCAGCCTCCGATTCCGATGTGGTCTCCTGGCTGTATTCTGACTGTGTCGTAAATGCTCTTTCTTCGGCGTCGCTATGCGGTTGGTAATCACCATGCAGAATACTATCATCCGTTTTTGAGTGTAAAGATATATCAACGTGGCCATTCGGCTCGGTTTCCAGCTGATCACGGACAGGTCGTCCGCGGTGATCAAAAGCTGCCTCCTCATGTCGGTATTTCGAGAAAGGCTCTTCTTCCTCAGCAGGAGCAACTTCATGAGGGAAGTATAATGCAGACGAAATGTGCTCGTCCTCTTCTTCATCCGGGGCGATGTCAGGTGTCTGGGTCTCGCGAGATGGGGGCCTATCCTCGACAGACGACAAAGGCCGACCTTTCTCACGGGCTTCATTTCGAAGCTTTTCCGCATATAAAGTTGGGATACTAGGAGAGAAGGAACTGCCGCGCGTAGCGCCAGATGTTAAATGGAAATTACGTATTTCTTCCGACAAACTTCGAGGAATAGTTCGAATAGGATGAGGAGACAGTCCCACATCGGCATTGGCTACTCGTTCGATGTGTGCGGATTGTGGAGGAAAGCCGTCTTCATATGATTCGGCGCGTTCGGGTTCATACTCGTTCTGTTGCTGTGGCTTATGTAGAACTGCATGGCTTGGGCGGGGTGTAAGTGAAGAAGCCTGATCCTCGCCAGATGTATCTTCTCTAAAATCGTCAAATACTCGCTTATGTTCCATAGGTCGGTCTCTGGCTTCGCGTCTCTTGCGGTCTGGCGAAGTGGTATTCTCCTTGAACAACCCTAAATAATGACTAGACTTGCGGCTTCGCACGTTAGCAGCAGGCTCAGCATTGGTCAAGTTAGCTTCAATCGATTCCTCCACTCTGGCGCCACGGCCGCGGCCTGAATTCTGGCTGGCATCTTCGTCCCAAGTAACATCGACAGTGCCGTCTCTACTTCTCAAATGTCGTGCATTTTGCCATGAGTCGGCTAGTGTAATGTCGTGGTTCGTGAGGGGAGGATGCAACATGGGCGGGTCGCTAATATGAGAGCGAGAATCGCCCGAGGTGGAGGAAGCAAGGAACGGACGATCGTGGTCAGGTGAGATGGGATTCTCGATATCAGGGCCGTCCGATACAATCTTTCTCAACGGGTGGAATGTTTCTCGAATGGCAATACGATGTGTACCAGCAACCTTTGAACTCTCTACTGTCTTTTGCTGTTTGACCCAGCCAACATGCGAGCCAGTCAATGGCACGGGCGGAGTTTGAAGCAGCAGATCAGAGGCACGACGAAAGACAGCTGGACGTGATATATACTTCCTCGGTGACGTAGCTGCGTTGTCCTTTGTAAATGTGCGAGGCGTTTGATCGTTGTTGGCGGAGCCAAGCCGTCCTTCAGACAATGCTGGAGGCACAGGCACCGTCAAGGACGAAGGAGCGTCACCAGACTTTGTTAGTCCTATCGACCCTTCGTCAGCATTACGATGCTCTTGAACAGAAAGCGACGAGGGAGGAGAGGAAGAGACGGCATCGTTGTTGTCGGACGGAAGATAGTGAGTTGCGAAGATGCTGTCCCTCTCCGAAAGCTGGGGAGTCTGCGATCGAAAGGGCTCTGCGTGCTTGGATGAGAAAGCGCGAGAAGACCGCAAGTGCTCGGCGGGAGTAGTACTAGATCTTCTCAGAGCAACATCTGATGGAGGTGGAGGTAAAGTTGTTGTGCTCCGTCCGAGAGGGAAAACGGAGAGAGGATCTGCTATGCCATGATTGGTATTGACAAGAGAATTAGTATGCGACGTGTTCCCGTCCATTGGGATTCGCTGGTGGCGCTCGTGCTCAAACTCGGGCCGGGGATGGACGAGGTGCGCAAAGCTAGGGCTGGGGCCACGATCATCGGGGCTTTCCCTGTTCGAGAAAACATCCTGGGTGGTCGAGGTTGAGGTCGGAGGCGTTACCGGCAGGCCAGGCGGGGCATGACCTGTCGCGGAATCAGGTCTGGACATGGGGGAAACATTGGTTAGACCACCTCGTGGGGGGTTCTGGGAGGTGAGATAGGAGGAGGCCAGAGGGAGGAATAGGGCCGAAAGAGGAAGAGTAAGGGAGCGAGACAAAACGTGGGCGAGGATGAAATCGTCAGTAGTTGAGGGTAAGTCAAAGGCTTGGATCGGACACGGGGCGATGGCGACAACGACGGCGTACAAGCTAAGTCGGTACGACCAGGGAGGTTCGTTGATACGCAGCTTGGAAGTTGCAAAGGAAATTAATGTAGCGTAATAATTCGACCACGAAGAAGAAAAGGAAAGGTTGGATGGTGGAAGTTGTGAAGAAGCGGAAAAAGCGAAGGCGGAGATTGGACAATCACAGTTTTTCTGGGTTTTCCGGGTATGAGGCTAGCACAGTCTGGCCCCAAAGTCCAATCTGCAGACTCCAAATTCAATTCAATGTCGTAAATTATTTTTTTTTCTCTTTTTCGTCAGGAGATAGATTCGCCAAATCGCTTCCTCGGGCCACTCACGTGTAGATGTCCTTTATGGGTATTTTTGAGCTTGTACCAGGGAGAAAGAATCCGAGGTTCTGTGTAAGAAAGGAGTACGGAGTACGTACCTTGATATGACGCGGGTGGCCCGTCACAGCGACACGGATCGTGTACCGAGAGCCTTACGTATCTTACTGGATTACCATACATACGAAATTCGTCTTCAATTATACTTGATAGTGCGTAAGAAGAACCGCCAATACTATTGAATAATACAGTACTCTGTATCAAGAATATCATCTACCCATAGAACTTCATACGAAGCACGTATGTACTCAGTACCAAGAACATCATTCGGAGAGCCTCCGTCAACTAACTTAGCCCATACTCCACCCAATTAGCTCAGCCACACCACGGAGCTTATGCTTTGTATCGCACCGTCTAGAAGATGTACAGAATACTACAGATTCGAAAGAGGCGGTGGACTACATAGTACTATAGAATATAGATCGATCGGAGCATATCGAGGATACTACTAGGCTACTCCTCCACTCATGTCCAATGTATCAACCACATGGTATTGAGTACGTAATAGATGACATACAGTCTCAACTCAATTCAATCGTGATTATTTCGTTTGTTAATTGACTCTTTTCTTCATAATCAAGGATCAAAACAAATGCCGCAAGGAGACGGCTGGGATCTGCCAATCATTCAGCAACGTGCCCTATGCACTGGCCAATCAGTATTCAATTATGCCGTATTTTACATATTTTACATCAGAATGTTTTATTATATATATATTATATATATAACAGGCGGTCAGGTATGATTTTGTATCGTATAAGTTATACTAGATTCATATTGCTCACGCCAACCCCAGACCACTGGCACTAGATAATCCCTGGAAAGACTAAGGCATGTCATACATATATCTCATTATCCTTGTCTTCTTAATTGATTCTTGCGCGATTTCTGGAGTTGAGAGATTTTTACCGTGCATGTACCCCAACATGCGACTGACATTACTCTGGATTACATGCAACAGACGCAAAGAGACTTTTCTTTCAGTTAGAATGGAAATACGTAGGCCAGAAGAACAAATCAATTAATCAGACAAACTCGAGAAGATAAAAATAATAATCCAACCAAAAAAAAAAAAAAAAGGTCCCACGCCAATTGCATGCATGCTTCTCATGTATCAAACCGCCAAACCATGCCATAGCACCGCTCAACCCCACGAGCCAAAACCAGTAAAACCAAGAAAATGCATGCAAATAGAAACCTCCTTAATCCGAACCCAATTCATCACTGACACAATGCATTGTCCGGAGATTTCTTCGTCAAAACGCCCAATTGCTCCAACTTACTCCACAGTCTATCAACATCTCCTTTCTCATTTTCCAAAATAGGTCTGAGCTCCAGACCGTCTAGGACCCTGATAGAGCCGCTAGTTCCGGCATACAATAGGACTTCCAATGTCATACGTCTTGATTTGGTAGATCCGTCCAGTCGGGATCGATATTTCTGATCCGCTTCGGCGTCTGCAAGGGGAAGCGTATACGGATCGTCTATTTCCACGTCTGCGCCCCTTTCCTTGCCATTCGTCTGACTCCCAAATCCAACCACTGCATTGTCTTCTGTTTCCCCAAGCATGGCTGGTAGCAAGTCGGCGCCCGTTTCGATACGGTTCTGGCGCTGATGTGTCTTTTGAAGCTTGTCTTCCAACACTTTGATATGCGTCTCAGCACGTCCGCTTCCCGAAATCTGCGGTGGATAGAATCCAACGGTGAGAGGGTTATTTCGAAGATCAATGGTCCTCAGAGAACTGTAATCGTGCTGACTCGATCGTCCGATTCTTGCTACGACCTGGCAGAGCATGCGGAGTCTGCTGATTCGATTACCTGCTGCTGTCAAACGACTCAGACCTCTCATATCGGCGATAGCTCCAAGTTCGCTAACGGAGTTGAAATTCAGATTGAGAACACGTAGATTAGGAAAGTTTTTCCCAAAGTGACTTGGAAGATCCCGGAGGCCGCAAGACGCAATATCCAGAAGTTGCAATGCTAGCATCGGAACCGAAGGTGAAAGTGTTCGATCTGAGAGTCGGTTGGATGATAAAAAGATCTTGCGAGCGTCACTGAGTGGTGTAAGATCAATGTCAAGAGATGCTCCCAGTTCCGGTGATTGCCCAGAGAATTGCTCTCGTACCGAGAAGATTTCGATCCCGCATCCAGACAGGCCGGTTACAGTGGTCAAATAATTGTTATCAAGGTAGAGCAGTCGCAGCTTTGGATAACATGACGCATCGAATGCAGATAATCGGTTGCTCGATACTTTCAGATTGCATAGGTTTCGGATCGGTACATGCGCGTGAAGCTCTCTCATCTGATTTTCGCTTAGATCTAGAGTCTCTATAGCTGGAAGGTACTCAAGATGATGAACGGCACCGATTTGGTTGTTGCTGAGATCAAGTTCACTCAAACGAATCCTAAGATTTTCAAACTAGGTCAGTTCATGGTCGAATCTTTCTAGATTCGGCAAGCCACTTACAATTCTGAGCCCTCGAAATCCACCGTAGTCAGGTTGTTGTTCTTCAGCTCTAAACGCAAAAGACCGTTCAATCCAAATATTCCCTTTACGTTGCGTATTCTGTTATTGTTGGCGCGAAGCTCTCGGAGATGGATCAGCCCTGAAAAGCCGTCTAAAGTTTCAAGTTGATTGCCGGAGATGTCAAGATATTGAAGGTTGATAAGGTGGCCCCAGGCAGTCAAGTTTGTAAGACAATTGTGCTGCACGCACAAGTCACGCAGAGTTGAGGGAGTTCCGTCAAGTTGTGCGAGTTCATTCTCAGAGACGTCCAACTCCTCTAGTAGAGGGCAAAACTTGTCCAACTGATGAAGAGTAACGATGCCTTTATCCCGCAGAGACAACCGGCGTAATTGCCCCCAAAAAGGTTCAGTAGGTTCCACATCAGTGATATGTCTGATGAGGTCTTCTGTAGCCAGAGCAAAAGTTCCGTGTATTTGACGCAAAGAAGTGGGATGAGTGCGAGGGGCAACATAGCTGGGCTCGGGATGTATAGGGTCATCTGTCTGATTGACGGTGAATTCGGCAAGCGAGCTCAAATAGAAGCTGTAGGTGTCTTGTTCTCTAGATGATGGAACTACCATGGATCTTTCTAATCGTTGTGACATCGGTGTAGAGCCGAGCTGCCCTGTTGAGTTTCGACGAACCAAACTCATTTCTGCATAACTCTCCTCCGTCCGTTCGTCAATACGAGATATGGGACGACCAATAAACGGTATCCCATCCAGGGAAGTGCGGCGAGATGGAGCACCAGCCGATGGTCTGTGATCAAATTGTCGCTCATCATGTTCTTCAGTTGTGTTGATTTTTGGCGTCTTTACCTCCTCGCCGTCGTCAAGATAGGAGATGTGCGATACGAGTGGAGAAGAGAAGCTAATAGTTCCAGGCCTCTTTGAATTGGACCCCATGGATTGCTTCGAATTCCTGGTGTATTGATCCTGATCCGCTATAGGCTCACCGCTTAACTTATTCGCACCGTGCTGTGCAAACCTGCCCACATTGACAGTGATATGTTCTGTTCCCCATGACGTGGCTCGAGTTTCGGGTTGTGGGCCACTCGAGGTGAACCGCGTAGTCTTCGAATGTACAGAGCTGGAGTCGGCTATAAGAGGATTTCCGTCACGAGTGACTGGTCTTTCGGACCCTTGAGAGGTGATTTTCTCATTAATCGTTGTCTCTATTCGTCCAGTTTCCGTTGTCGGTCCGTTTTTGCATGGAGAAGCGAACTGTTCGGCTCTCTTGATTTCTTCAAGCTCATCATAACTCAGATCGGGGATACTGCCAAATGGGTCATCTTCACTTTCTTCGCTGCGGATATTTCCATTTGCCAGGTTGACTTTCTGTTTGATCCAAGATTTCGTTGCTCGATCGTAATTCATCCCGTTGACTTGTTCTGGAATTAAGTGTGAAACCATGTCAGAAGCAATAACGCCCTTAGTATTTGAACCACTGGATGTTACAGTTGGGATTGAATGCATGGGGGTGTCATCATCCGAATACTTTCGTTTTCGCTGAGGGAAAATCCGCACATTCTGCAGACTATTCGTCCCATCTCCGCCAACTTTCGAGTCATCGACAATCAGCTCGTTCCCTTTGTACAAATCGGACATGACCGATGCCATGAGTTGTTCCGTATCTTCTTTATCCGCAAACTTCTTGAGATGACTGACAACACGTGGGTGCAACGGTCGCGGTTCTCTGAACTTCCGCATATCCACACCTTCGCGACTTGGAGGTCGTGAAAGGTTTTCTCGACTGGACATGTCGTCCTCCTCTTCATCCTGCCCTGTAAGATTTGATTCTTCCACGCTCGCTAATCCGTTCGTGTATTTGCTCTTTGCTCGGATTATACTCATGACTTTGGTAGCCTCATCCATGAAATCCTGAGTAGTAAGGGAGCGCTTGTGATCTTCTGGACTTGAGGAATCTTCGTCAAAATCATCAGCTCTATGAAAACCGCTTCTCGATGAAACCCTGTTCCATGGAACTTCGGTATGTTCGATTTGAGATTGGTCCCTCGTCGTCTTCTCCTCGAGGCTCATGTTAAGTATAGATTCAATTAGTTCCGTAGCATCGACAGCCTGGCCTTCGGTATGTTGTAGAGTTCGACGCCTTTTCCGAGCTGTGGTCCTGCTTGACATATTGCTTATGCGTCTTACGTTGGAGTTGGACTGAGGTATCCCCAGACTAGATCGGCGGCTGCTAGGGTGGCGTGAAAGTCTTCTCTGGAGAGCCCTTGTGGAAGATCCGGTGTCTAGTAGATTCTCTAGGCTTTTAGCTCTCCGTACGTTCTCGTTCGCTGTATTTCGAGAAGTCGACCTCTGTCTAAGTTGTCGTTCACGTATATACGATTGTTGGAAGGAGATACTGGGCACCAAGCTAGCTTCTTGACTAGCGAACCCGAAGTTGAAATGGCTGTTTCCGAAGCTGTTCATGCGAGGATTCACGGCATCTTGAGTAGCCGGACGAGTAACAGTTTTTTGTGGATGGGAATTTCCGCGTCTGAGATTTGGCAGGCTGCGTTTTGTAGTACGCGTCCTTTTCGCGATCAGGGATGGCGATGGTGGTTCATCGTCTTGTGATACATCTTGAAATGTCTCTTCAAATTGGCTCATGCGCCGTAGGAGCTTGTTGTTCGTGAAAGTGTCATGATTGGCGAAAAGTTTAAGTGGACTGCTCATGTTAGCAGTTTGCGGTCTTCCGGAACTTGGTTCTCCCTCAGGTGAAAAGCTGATTATAGGAACCGCGTGTCTGTCGTTAGGAGATTGAGGGGTAGCATCATAGTCAATCATTGGTGGCGAACTACGAATCTTCGAATTGGTGAGGACAGAAGACTGTAGATTAGACGGGAAGGATGAAGCGCTAAGCTGCCGCATTTGGAAGGAGCCCTCGGAGTGGCCTCCTCGCTCGATAGTGACAAAAGGTTGAGTAGTTGGCAATGCGTCTTGTGTGCCTGTGGAAAGATCCTCCGGAAAGTACGGGCTGCTGAAACCGACGAGTTCGTTGGGATTGAGAGTAGTGGCTTCACCATTTCCTCGGTCTTCCCCGGTGGTTGTTGACTGTCGATGATCCGAACCTCCTGACATGTCATTAAGCTGCTTTAGTGCAGATTGCAAGATACCCGAACCAGTGCGACGTTCGACAGTGTTGTTCGTTGATAAAAATATAGGGGTCAAGTCTTCATTGCGGAGTTCCTCCTCCCCACTGGCCGAACGCAAACGACTATCCGTATCTGAGACACCGTCCAGGCCATATTTGCCGCGCTTAGATATTGTCCGCACTTTAAGATGTACCGAATCTGCTGAGACATTGTGGTCGTAATCTACCGTGTCGTTAGTCTTGAACGAAACCTTACGCCGAGAGCCTTTGTCTGCTGTTCCTCTAGCGGCCTGAAACTGAGCATCGCTTTCAGTATGATTGAATAGAGCGAACGAGGACAAAACGTCGGAGCCTGCGGCATTCACCGGTTGTCTGAAGATGTTCTCTAGTCCCATGGGTGCGAATAAATCACGTTGTTCGTCGGCAGATATCTCTCCTCGAACGATACGCCGCTTCCATTCCGGAGTGCCCTTTGTATCTTCCTTATCAGCTCGTACTTGAACTGTTCCCTGTTCGCTTGTACGGGTTGATGCCATGGAACTCGACCGAGCTGACATCACGTTCTTTAGCGGCGTAGAGGTTGGCCTTTTACGCGCTGGCGTCGGTTGGTTGACGCTCGTTTTGGGGGAAGGCTTCGCAGGGCTCTTTGACGTTCGCGAAGCTCGTGGAGAGGGACTGGCACGCGGTGATGGCGATGCTCGAGCACTTGTAGGAGTTGTACTGCCACCCCGTTTCATTTGGCTTTGTTTTGCGCCTCTAGGCGTAATTCTTCCTCGTATTCGGGGGGACGGAGCCTCAGGTTTGGGTATCCGGCTTCGCTCTTCGCAACTAATGCATTTGCGCGCTGAATGCTTGTGACCGCTTCCTGGGAGGGTTGGCGAATGAGACAAAGAGCACGGTGTGGATGGTTGTGAGGGCCAGTCTTCATCCAACCCAGCCAGCCAAGGTTCCTTGGGCATTTTGGCGGGTTTTGTGTCGTTTGTTTTGGTCATCGAGTAGATCCAGGTCGCCGGCGCGTTGTTCCATTGAACGGAGCGCTGTTAGCGGTGGGTCATTCTGTGTTTTGGTCCCAACTGACAAGGATTGACTAGCAACTGTAAGGGGCAAAGGATAGGAAGTGCCATGTAATCATGTATTGTAATAAGGAAGAAATAAATGGAGGTTGGGATGTAGTCCAATTGAAGTATCCCCAATTAATTGTGTTATGACGAGTGGATTGCGGACTTCACCGCTCTCCGCCTAAGTTCATTTCACCTGCACAACATCATACTGAATCGGGAAGGGGCTACCCAATGCAAAACACTTAGCGCCAAGACGATAATGAACAATTCAACCAGTCAACTTGTGACCAATGGTAAAGCAGTCTTAGAGCTTAAGTTTCAAATCCCTTTCAAGGCGAGGTGGCAGAGTGGTCTAATGCGCTAGACTAGAAATCTAGTTCCTTCGGGAGCGTGTGTTCGAATCACACCCTCGTCGAACCTTTTTGTTCGTTGATTTTTGTTTTTGCTTCATCCGATAAGAAGATTTTTGCTTTTGAACTTTTTTTCTGATCTTAGACTTAGATATATGCAGAAAATGGTCAACCAAATGCCCTGATATTAGGGATTCCCCAGCTTGTAACGGGCATATCGACTGCTGCATTGGGAGTCATTTTGACTTGATGTCTTTCTTACTGTCGACATTGTAAGGCGGTGAAGGCGCTGACCACTAGGAAGCCCGAGGGACTTGGTTGTGTGGCATATAAGTGTGCATTCCTGAGTGCCTTTTGGCATAGAAAGAAGTATGCTGTCAATGGGTGGCTCTCTGATTGGTCAATTATTGTTATAGATTTTCATCCGAAAAATTTTCGTTCAGTTCAAGGCGAGGTGGCAGAGTGGTCTAATGCGCTAGACTAGAAATCTAGTTCCTTCGGGAGCGTGTGTTCAAATCACACCCTCGTCGATGTTATTTTTATCCAAGACTACCACACATCTCAGATGAGACGGTTTTTTTTTGCTCAACCGAGCCTTTGTCGTTGGGGTTAGGGCACATAAGGTCAACTTAATATTTTGTTCTTTAACGTAAATTTAGTAAATAATTAATAGGATATTATTCTTCGAAAATATCCGCGATCAGGCGAGGTGACAGAGTGGTCTAATGCGCCAGACTCGAAATTGCGAATATCTGGTTCCTTCGGGAGCGTGTGTTCAAATCACACCCTCGTCGTCCCGTCAATTTTTTTAACGATTTTACCACCTTTGTCCAATATGATTGCGCGTGATTTTCTTGAGGTAGCGAGGAAAGGACGGGCGAGGGATTGAGATATATTATTTCGTCCGATTCTAACCGCGTACTCATTCATCTGTACTTATTTGATCCAATCATATGGAGGCGGTGGACTTTGAACGCGATCCGACGCGTTGCTGGGCAGACATCGCCAAATCAGGATAAATGGATATCATATCGTGGCACTCACGTGGTCATCAACACTTGCAGACTTACACAGACAACTAGTTATGCATCTTCTTGAATCAGGCGAATTCCCGAACAGGGTTATCAACTAGTATACACAAATCGCCTAGTCCCTTCTTTCTTTTTTGTTTTCCTTCTTTCTTGTCTTTGTTTATTCCTCGACCTTCTGGAGTATGTATATCGTGGTCTCAGGACCTGATTTTGTTTCAGCGGTCCCCGGCAGAGAGCTCATTGCTGGTTGTTGCCCCTCATGCCTACTCGCCGACAGATTACCCGGCTCAATCTTGAAGAGGCGACATCGGAAGATTACGAAGAATGCTTGCTCCTGGGCTCCGACGACGAACTGGACGAGACAGCAAGAACGGTGAAAAGGAGAAGAATCGAGACTCTCGGCGAGGCTTATTTACAGGGGCGACCGCTATTTATTTCCTCTGCCTCACTTCGCGGGCCATTCGATAAGGGCTGGGTGAACCCATGGCGAAAACATCGGAAACAACATGACTCTGGCATAACACTTGCGGCGACTGTTGGACCGGTCAATGATGTGATAGAATATACGGTACCGGACACGAACGACAGCATATCTCGTATGGGAGCAGGCGGTTCGTCTCGAGCTAGGAGCATCCGTTCAGATGTTCAAGGATCCTCATCGTCTCCAATACCGAAACGAGCTTGGAATCATAGATCGTCGACAGCACCCACAGGAGGGAATTCACCTTCAGATGCTCAGACCGCACAAGCTTGGCTCAAGAGGCACAGGAATTTCGCTAACATCCAGAATTATGATCCGCCCAAATCTCCCTCTACCCGTTATGCGAGCTCTGGAGGAAATGGAACCATCAAATTGCCCAAGAATACTAGTAAAAGTGCTGAATCTGGTTTGGCTCGTGCTATGAAGTCTTATCAAACGGATCTGCGGAATGTTAGAAGGAACAAGCCTGTCTCAGGCGATCTCCAGGAAAAACATATACAGCCGAGTGCAGGCAGCACTTCATTCGCCCTTCCTGAAAATGAGATATACCATGGATCCCTTTCAGATACGAAACAAACCAAGGCATCATCATTGACGAAGACCACAGCATCGGATAAGTCATCTAACAGATTACGTAAGGTTGAAAACGATGTGGTGACGGTATCTGATCCTACGCCTCGGGAAACAAACATGCTCGCTAGCGCATCCTCCGTTCATATAGTACCACCATCTTCGCACCTTCCGGAATTCAAGTATCGAATTGCAAAGGTTAATTCAAGAGGAGAGCCTGAGAATCAGACATATCATTCTCTTTTTACTACGGAAAATGGCGCCTTCCAAAACAACTCGGGCCATGACAGAGAATCATCCCCAATTAAACTCACACCCCTAAATCGTCAGCAAGATCAGGCTTCTATAATAGCACCTAGTACAATAACACTCAATTGCTCGGAAAAGCAGCACAACAGCTTGACCGAAAGCGAAATGCTGCCATCAGCGCAGGTTGTACCGAAATTATCAGGGACCTCAAATTGTTTTATCTCGTTGCACTCTGCTGAATATCGTGGACCGAATGCTGCAGAGAATGGCACGGCGAGTGTTGACGGAGAACTCTCCACTCAGGCGGCCTTTGAGCTGGCACAAAAATCATTCCAGGACGACCTAGCCACTCCACAGACAAGTTTTCAAGGTCCACCAAAGACGAGACTAGGCGCCAACTCTTCCGTCAAGAGAATCACGCCTTTTGCAGATGTAATCACCGACGAATCAGCTATTAACACCAAGATTGGGTTTAGGAACACCCCGGGAACAAATCAGAATATGAATACCCAAGCCATGATTGATACTTTTACTCCTTTCAGCGATGCATTTACAGGTGGAGTAGGAAAGGAGGCTGCGAAGAGATCCAGCGCCCATCTTGATATCGTGAATGCCGACGCAACGAACAGAACTGACGTCGTGGCATTGCCTCACTTGCAGCCGCGCTTGAAGTCTCCTCATGGTCCGTCATTCCAAGAAGCCCAAACATCAGAGCAGGATTCTCTACCCGCTCTTCCATTAACACTATCGGGAACCACCCCAGCATCCAATCAACAAGACGGCCAGGGATACCTCTTCAGTATGGATGTGTTTGATGTCAGTCAAGTCATAAAGGATGCTGGAAGTTGGCTTCAGCAAAGTTTTGATATAAAAGAAGAGCTGAAACAGCCCTCGAAGCGGAACACGCAATCTTCAACGCCGAGCTCGCGACACGAAGTGGCTCTCATGTAATCGATCCATTCTGGAGTCGGTTGCATCGGCTATGATCTCATATGTCTCCCATCTATCTAGGACCCTTCATTGCGTATTCTACCCAGGTAGACACGTATACAAGAATGTAAATACAATCCAGATTACTTTTCTCTTGAAACAACATAGGCAGAAATAGCCACCTCAAGGCATATCCTTTAGGGATGATCAGTTACTTAATTGACTTGCTAAGACGTTCGCTCTTCAACTGGTCACGGATGGGTGAAGGATTTTGCTGTACTTGTTTGGACAACGGTATATGAAAGCTCAAGCCTATCTGGTGTCCCAGATTAGAAAGGTTGCGCAGACAAAGATCAGTTTAGCGAAAGCCGAGGCGAAGTACGAGAAACTTATCGAAAACACTCGATATGAGAACCTAGCAAGCTTGTAGTTACTGTTCAAAAACAAGTCATAGTTACTAATTAACTACTACTACTACGTCGTTAGAATGAATCACACACAAAAATCTTCTAGCCCCGATGTGACCTAGCGTAGATCCCGGCTAAGCTAAAGCCGCTCCACCTCAAGCTTCATTCCGCAACAACCCATTGCATTGATGGCGTCGGTTCAGGGGAAATGGCGCTGACTTCGGTATAGTATATCGTGTTCAGGTCTTAATTACGAACTAATGCGTGGTACAGAAAAAGGCATTCAATTTCTTTGAGGTTTCTCAAGTCCAGATCCCAGACGATAGCTCTTCCGTCATCAATGTGAGTTCCCCGCTTGGAGCCTCTAGGCATACACTGACCTGTTGACGCATCCTAGGCCGATGTAGCGTGTATATGCACGGGATCTGATAACCTCTTTATAGGAACCAACGATGGAAAAGTACACATACTGTCGCCTGCGTTCAAAGTGGTTCGTTCCTTCCACGCGCACAATGCTGGGGCCATTCGACATATGAGACAAGTGGAAGGCACTTCGCTCTTGGTTACTATCGCGGAGGATTTACCAAATGAACCCATTCTGAAAGTCTGGGCCCTTGATAAAATTGAGAAGAAGTCTGGTGCTCCACGCTGTTTGTCGACGGTGTCTGTCCAGAACGGCAGACGGCCGTTCCCGGTTAGTATACCATTACCTGTTAGCTTTGTGGGATAGTCGCTGAACGAAGAATAGGTGTCAACATTTGTTACGCTCGAAGACTTATCTCAAGTTGCTGTCGGTTTCGCAAACGGTTCGGTTGCCATCATCCGGGGCGATCTCATCAATGATCGTGGTGCCAGACAGCGGATTGTTTTTGAGTCGCAAGAACCGATAACGGGCCTGGAAGTGCAACATGGCAACACAATTACTACTCTATTTATTGCCACTACGAACCGCATTCTTACGCTTACAATTGCTGGACGGGGTCAAGGACAGCCTGCGCGTGTACTGGAGGATGCAGGGTGTGCCTTCGGCTGTATGGCCCTGGATAAGGATACAGGTGACATCTTGATTGCGCGGGAAGACGCCATACATACATATGGTCTACGAGGTCGTGGTCCTAGTTTTGCGTATGATAGTCCGAAGACCTCTTTGAACCTCTTCAAAGGCTATGTGGCCCTGGTATGCCCGCCAAAGACCGTCGTATTCAAATCAGATACGTTGCGCGCATATAATGGTGCTCAAACAGATGATATTTTCAACACGACCACATTCACCATCCTCGATACGGACCTGAACTTCGTTGCGCACTCAGAGGCACTCATCTCCTCTGTGAAAAGTATTTTTACAATATGGGGCGATCTCTTCTTGATAGACCTGGATGGAAAGGTAGGAAGCAGCTCTTCTCATGCTCAAAAAATGTCATGTACTGACGTTGAAATTTAGATCACTCGGTATCATGAGAAGAACCTACAACAAAAACTTGAGATTCTTTACCAGAGAAACCTTTACATCTTGGCGATCAACCTTGCTCAGAAGGCGGGCATTGATACACTACAGCAAAATGTCATATTCCGTAAATATGGGGATTTTCTCTATCAGAAAGGAGATTATGATACAGCAATGCAACAATATCTGAGAGCTATAGACAATACGGAGCCCTCTCAAGTCATTCGCAAAGTAAGTGTGCATCTATTCTGTTATTATTTATCGTTTTGAACCTGACGGAATATAGTTCCTGGATACACGCCGAATCCATAATCTCATTGAATATTTGGAAGAACTTCACGATCATGATAGAGCAACAGCAGACCACACGACCTTACTTCTCAATTGCTATGCAAAACTCAAAGACACATCCAAGCTCGATTCATTTATCAAAGCTCCAGGCGAGCTGAAATTTGATCTAGAAACAGCGATAGCTATGTGTCGCCAAGGAGGTTACTTTGAGCAAGCCGCATATCTAGCTACCAAACACGGTGAGAATGATATGGTTGTCAGCATCCTCGTTGAAGATTCTCGCAAATACGCTGAAGCCCTGGAATTTATTTCACGACTTGAACCTGATACAGTATGTTTGTTCCCTCAAAACTTGGACCACTCACTTACTAGTATAGGCCTATCCCAACCTCATGAAGTATGCTAGAGTGCTATTGGGGCACTGCCCACAAGACACAACGCAGCTTTTCATCATCTTTTATACAGGCAGATACCGTCCGAAGAAAGACATAGAACCCCCCTCAGAGTCGCAAACACCTCAACATAATGCAGTCCGCAACCTGGCCGCTTTTATTCCTCTACCCTATGTTGGCACAAGTTCCAACTCGAAGTCTCAGCCATCTGAAACTCAGCTGTCAGAAGAAAGCGAAGACGTCGATAAGATACCCACATATGACATTCCGAAACCCCGGAGCGCCTTTTCGGCATTTGTCGATCGCCCAGCCGAGTTTATCATCTTCCTCGAATCTCTGATATCACAGAAGTCTTGGAACGAGCAGGATCGGATCGACTTGTACACCACACTGTTTGAGATATATCTCGATAATGCAAAGAAGGCTCGAGATCCAAGTGTCAAAAGTGAATGGGAGACAAAAGCCAAGAACTTGATTGAGGGCAGAGACGTAAGTAGAACTGAAAATATGGCCAATGATGTTCTTCGAGACTAATTAAAATATAGATACCTATATCAACATCAAACGTCTTACTACTCTCGGATTTGTCAAATTTCGAAGAAGGCACGATACTGGTCAAAGAGCAAGCAGGCCTACGGTCAGATATCTTTCGCTCATATACCGCCGCCAAAGACACCCAAGGCGTGATCAAAGCATTACGGAAATATGGCCCTGAAGAGCCTCACTTATATGTTGATGCACTAGCATACTTTGCGTCTAGCTCTAAGATATTAGCGGAGGTCGGCGATGAGTTGAATGTGGTGCTCAAGAAAATCGATGAGGAGGGTTTGATGGCCCCATTGCAAGTCATTCAAGCATTGAGCACTAATGCGGTTGTCACCATGGGTATGATCAAGAAATACCTCAGTCAAAATATTGAGCGGGAACGAAAGGAAATATCAACGGTAAGCTTGGGTTCTTATAAAAGTAGTAGTTGTGAAATGCTAATACGTGGCCAGAATCGTCGATTGATATCGAGCTACACGAGCGAGACAGAGACGAAGAGGAAGGAACTCGAGCAAATCAACTCACAACCGGCTGTATTCCAAGCTCGAAGATGCCAATCGTGTGGTGGAGCGCTTGAGCTGCCTACCGTTCACTTCCTCTGCAAACATTCTTTCCACCAACGATGCCTCAACAAGACGGGCGAGGATGCCGAATGTCCCATATGTGCACCCCAGAACGCGACTATAAAGGCCATTCGTCGTCGACAGGTCGAGTCCGCTGATCAGCATGATCTCTTCTCCGAAGAGTTGAAGCGGAGTAAGGACAGGTTTGGAACTGTGAGCGAGTTTTTTGGTCGAGGCGTTATGGGATCACATAGTACTGAGTAAATGTCTTATGTATGTAGATAATGAGCAATGTAGAAATACCCTACTTGGCACAGTTAATGGTACCAGGTCGACATCGGGAAACGAGAACCGACTTCTGATCTCCAGCGAAATTATAATTATATGTTATCTATCTTATCAGCACGTGCACACGTGTCAATCTTCTGTTTAGCGCGTCCGATAACTTGACTTTGGAAGTTGCGATGCGACAATCACCACACTGCAATTCCCACTCATTGAGACATCCAAGATGTCTTCGCAGCGCGTCATACAAGACTCCGACGACGATGATGGAGATATGATTTCTGATATCGCATCCTCTTGCGACCCTCTTCAAGACACATCCTTTGCGCCAAAAGCAACGAACACAGATGTAGAGCGCATCCATGAAAACCAACCAGCTGTAGAAGTTCCATTCGCGACCAATGATCTACCACAAGTCGATTTCGATAGATTCCTGAGGTCGGAATCATCGATCATGGCAGGAGATTATGAAGATGAAAGATGGGTATCGACTGCGAATTCGAATTCGGGGAATAATGGTAAGCAGAAAGTTATTCCCGTTTGGCGCATAAGGACATTTTCAATTAAACACAGAGATACAGTCATTCAGTTCGGAAACTACAGCACGGGGCAATTACAAGATGATAGTTTTCAACATACGACTGGCAACCCGAACCATAGTGGTCTTAGTATACTTCCACCGACTTCCGATGGAGAGTACGGCACGATCACGGAGGATATTGATCATCCCTCAAAGCGAGGAAGGGTTTCGAACACGCAAGTTACTTTCCAGCATGAACCTGGCGATGGTACGGAAACTGATTCATCTTACAACTACTTTGCATCCATGGGACCGAATGGACCACCGCAGACTGCCAACTCGCTACCTTCGGTGCTGATTTCAGAGGAGAAAAACAGCATCCTACATCATTTTGATGTTAAAACCCAACCTATGCCGATTGGGACTCCTCCGGCTACTATACCATTTTCAGAAGACTCTTTACCACAAGAGCAAGAGGAAATCCTAGAAAGGGGCACAGCAGCTGAATTCGAGATTCAAGAAGTGACTCTTCAACAGCCGCCATCTGAGACAGATACTGAAGTCTGGGGCACCAAAAAGAAAAAGGGACGTCCTAAGAAGCAGGATACTAGTGAGGCTGCAGATATCGAGGCCAAGGTCACCCCTGAAAATCCCTCCGACGTCATAGAGCAACAAGAAGTTAAGAAAAAAACCGGCCGGTCAAAGAAGCAGGAAATCGACATTGTGGCTGAACAGATCGGAGCAGATGATTCTACCAGAAATCAAAATGGGATCAAGGGTGAACCAGACTCCACTACTGCCACGAAAGCATCAAAGAAGAAGATCAAACGCAGCAAGACAACGTCCGACTTGCCACATAATAAATCTAGTGATATGAAATCCGAACAAGATGTGGTCTGGATTGAAACCAACCCAATGGATTCTGTAAAACGAACCGTGGATAAACCTGTTGTCTCAGCGGTAGACGAAAAGACAAGTATCACTGAACAAGCTGCTTCCGAAGAGATTAAAGTACCCAGGAAACGCGGCCGTAAGAGAAAAGGAACCGTTGAAGAACCGACATCTCCCGCTACCGAAAACCAAGCTGCTCTTCAAGATATTTCCAACATACAACAACCCGCTCCGCAGCAAGATAAGCAGAAACACATTGAAATCGTGATTGACAGCGCGAAAAATCAGGTACCTGATGAACCGAAAACTTCAAATGCTACCGAGACATCTGATACACTCAAACCCCGTGACGAGTCTTCAGCGCCCAATGTTGAAATCCAAAGCAAAGAAGGCGGAGTAGAAGCACCAGAGACCCCAACAACCAACGAAAAATCAAAACCGATGAAACAGACCCTCATCTCTAGTACTGGTAGAGTTCCGTTTAGGGTTGGCTTGAGTCGTCGAGCACGGATTGCGCCGTTGCTGAAAGTTGTGAGGAAGTGAACGGAAGTTATGGCAATTGAAATTTCTAAGATGATATATCATGTTTGCAATTTGATGATAGGTTCTGACATTTACGATTCTTATTTCTGTATATATTATCATGAGTATAAGTACGTGGCGTTACTGACGACAAGCGAGTGGAATGATCAGTGTCGATTCATGGGTACGAGTACATCTATCTAATTAATGAAGAATGAAAAAGTCACTCAAGGTGGTCAGGGATAACAGTCAGACAATAATAAACATAACAAGCTGTAATAAGAGCATACCATAAGAGCTGCTGATGCGATATGTAAACATACAAGAAGTCAGCTTTGTTCGGCTCAAGGGGAAAGTGAAAAAGCTCAGTCAGATTTCTTTCTGTAGTCCCACCGATACCAGTTATCACGAGGATCCTCCAGACACTCTCCAACGGTGACAGCTCGGTATCCGGCTTCATTGACACGCCGTAAAATATATTCAGTCAGGTTATAGACAGTCTGAGCATGGATGTCGTGTCCAATGGCGAGAAATGGACGACCCGCTGGACTTGGTTTGCTTAAGGCTTTGTTGACAATGTCCTTGGATCGTTGAATCTTTTCGGGACTATCGTTAAGGTAGTCAGCTGTATCGAGGTTGAACGAAATCACATGATAGCCAAGTTGTTCTACATCTCTCAAACAAGCATGGTCACATTTCGAGTACGGAGGCCGCATGTAAGTTGGAAAGCCTCCGAGGATGTTTCGAAGCGCTGCCTCATTTTTCAAGATTTGCTGATGACGCTGTTCGCGGGACACGGCGGTCAGATCTTGATGTGACCACGTATGGCTGGCAATTTGATGGCCACTGTAATGCATACGCTGGATCAATGAGCCCCATGGACGACTAAAGTCATCAATCTGTCCCTTTCCAGAGTTCACTCCCGTAACGAAAAATGTCGCCTTTGCTTTGTATTTGTCGAGTAGATCTAGGAGATCGCGGGTGAATTCATTGGGACCATCGTCGAAGGTCATTGCAAATGTATATGATGTCTTGCAAGTCACAATGACTTCGCCATACGGGACAGGTCCATTCTGTGGGCGTTGAATCTCTTTCGTAGGTAAGCCTTGAGGGACCTTATCGGCATCGCATGTGCCCCAGCCAATTTGACAGTCAGGCGATTTGCAGTGCGCGGCCGTCATGCCACAGTAGCCTAACCAAAGTTGACGTCAGAGGGGAGACCATTAATAAACAAGACCTCGTGCAACGTACCAGCTGGGGAGCAGCAGAGATGTGCCTTGCACTTTTTGTGGCCCTGGCCACATCGTTCCCCAAGGCGTGCCTTGCGAAGACCGTCATGTTGATCAGGGTGGATATCGTTTGTAGGTTCTTCCAGTACGGCAATCCTGTTGGGACGGCTGTCCTGCTCATTGTCCCGTGCAGAAAGCAAATTCTGGCCATACTGATTGGCAACGGGCACGTGGTACTGAAGCGACACGGAGGCATAGAGAAGGAAAAGTATATAGACGAAAATCATCTTGGACGGCGATAATGAGTATCTCAAAGCTACTTGATACAGACAAGGATGTTCAGAATAAAGAAGAGAATCGAGAAGCGGTGATGTATACAGAGAAGAGGATGTTTGAAGAGATGAAACCAGAGGGAAGTCTCAAGAGACGAGGATTTTGTTCTTTCTGGGTTGATGTCTACGAGGCAGGAGCGAGCCGTCCCAGTCCATTTCGGAAGGCACGATGCCTTCCTTCCTTTCAGACAATATATCATCGCTTGCTCCTGCACCACAACTTTGCAACTTGCACACTTCTTTCCTGACCAACTTCGCATATTTCCAGTACCTGTCGAGGTAGTTAGCTACGCTTTGAGATAGAACTGCGGTTGGGGAGATTGGGGAGACTTATAAAAAATATAAGTGGCCGTTCCCCTGAAGGGAACGGCAGTTCTCCACCTCAACCCTTCCTGTCCCAGTCCGAGTCGTCGCACTTCTAACATCAGAATCCAACATCACCGGGAAGACAGCATCAGAGAGTCAAGAGACCCTGCTGAACAGGGTCTACATGATGTATGCAAGAACTCAACCATACTTTTCACTTGAACGACCAGCAATGAAATCCGAAAAGAAGAAGCAGAATTAACCGATTCAGACAAGCCAAAGCTTTGATCCTCACTCTAGAGAGGCCCCTCCTCGGCGATCCGGCATCTCTCAACGAGTCACAACCGACCTCCAATGTGAGAGCCAATGATTGACACATTCATCACGGAGCACACGCAAGGCGCATACTCACCCAGTCAGTGGTATATATTTCCAGATTTGTCAAGAAGTCCAACAACAGCAGTCCACGAGAGCATTTACAGAGAAGAAGAAGAAGAACGAGCTGCTCGAATCTCAACAACAGCATTTCGAAGTCACAACATTTCCACAATCCACCAATCTATAAATCATATGGTCGTTCGTATTTCCTTGCCCAACGTTTGATATCTTTCGAGTCTCACGGACAGCTCATCGGTGGAATCTTGCGCAGTCAAATGATTCTCTCTCCTCATACTCCGTGCAGCAGAGTATCTCTCTCTTGTGTGTGATACGGCATCCCCAGAGACTAGTCTTTGTTACCTCTCCAAGGCCTGAACGCCGGAGGGCATATAAGCGAACAAAGTACATCCTCAAAAATCGCTTGTTGAACGGGCTGACAAATTGTAAGAGATTCGTCACCAATGTCGGCGCCCATCGATCAATTCCAAGGCTAAACCTTCGAAGAGACGGTTAACGCGGCAGATCGGAACCTTTCATGAAGCTTCATCGTTGGCTGATGCCGTGATTGAAGGTCAAACATTGGGTTAATCAGAGTCCACCAAGGGTCGGTTTGGAGAAAAGGGGCAGGAGTTTCCAAGACTCCCGGGGTATGGAACACCTGCATCAAGGCAGATAATGGGGTGAAGATAACACAACTACGACCGGAGCGGACAACGTGCCAAAATGCCAATGCTGCATGCTAGAACATACAAACACAAGCAAAGAATCTAGGACTCCCCTTGAATCGCCAAACCTCGCTACAAGGACGTATACGAACAAGCTGGGATTGCACGAAATACGACCTCGATTCCCGACGAGTGGATCCAACAAGACAAAGACAGTACCCCGGATGTTTGTGGGCGATCTTCATCAGAACCGTTGTGCTCAACGCAGTGTGAATATACTTCAGCGCCTTTCAAGAATTAACCAAACGATAGCCAACCCATGATGTTCCGCCAGATCTCTCCCGATTTATCCATTGGCTTCCCCCAAATATTCGACATTCCATTGTGATCCGGTTGTACCAGCTCGAGGAGACCGACACGCGCCCCTTTTGGGATCTTAGTTACGTATGGTGCAACCCAACTCTGGAAAGCTCGAGTCCCTTTGACCCATTCAACGCCGTGAGGGCAGAATCGGCTGATCAGGATTTCGATAACCATATACCGCGAGACTGAGAACCGACTGAGTTCTTAGGGTTAAGTTCCAATCCGCATCCACCTTGAGTCGTCTCGATTCGCACTGCAGGCAACAAGCGTAGTAGAGATCAAGTCTCATCAAGGGGCCTCGAATAGCGTGACACGAAATTGGGAAACTATGCGGGAGATGGACGCGTATAAAGTTTGCCATCAAAGGCAAGAGAGCGGAGGACGAGACCAAGAGAGGAACGCAGATGGCCGATGGTTTGCGAGCTGTAGTGAGGGATCTCAGAGCCGATAAGAAAGTCGACTAGCAAAGAATAGTAATTAAACGAACAAATAATTGATTTCAGACGGCTTTCATGTTGGTGATGCTGTAACTTTGAACGAGCTTGTGAAAACAACGAGAGTTGGGAGAAGGAAGAAGTGCAAAGCTGATCCCGAAGCTGTCTTATCTCTTGACACGTCTGGTGACACGAGATCACGTGATGCATCTGGCAAAAATTAAGTCACTTTCCCGCCTTGTGGAGGCAACATTTGGCAATATGCCAACATCTGACGTTTGCTACTTTTGAATGTATATGGAGATTCCTCTTATCTATAGAATGGGACAATATGCGAAAAGTTCGAGATGATAAACAACCCGACTGTCAGGGCTGCATTCGACGCGGCAGATCAATTTTTACGTCCCATTTTAGACCGAGGCAGGCAAATGAATTTATTCCTAGTATAGGTGCTAGTATGAAGCTGACCTTCCTATAAGATGAAATTCGAAAGAGAGCTGGGAGCTCCATTATCGAAATTCTAAGTCGTGATCTTTCACCCTCTACAGACGATGATGCTCAGATTCGCTTTTCGGTAATAGAAGAAGCGCTTCGCCATCTTGAGAGCATTAATAGTGCTCTAGTGTCCGCAGTAAATGTTGGCAATGAGGCTCAGCAACAACCGGAAGATGATCGTGAAGATGCCAAGGGACGTCGAGTCATCTATACGTTGCTAGATTTGATTTCGATTGAGGGTGTATACCCATGCTTATCTTCAGGCGTCGGGATACCGTTGGAAAAGAGAGTAATCTCCAATCTGCCCACGGGTGTTGTTGCGAGACAAGCGCCGGAGATGACTAGTAATAATCCACGGAACGGGGTGCTTCTCAGTCGTATTCTACTAGCACTAACTAGTATCTTGTTCCGTGATGCCGAGGGAGGGATTCAAGCTTTGCTTCGGGGTCGAGTTTTAAGCGATGTCATCAGCGCCGCTGCTGACCTTGCATTCAACTCACGCCAAATATCGGAGGATGAGAGATTCAGCGCACGAAAGATATTTGACAGGATCATTACTGAGTATTTTACCCTTCCTGCGTATGTATAGAATGGTGTAAGTTGCTAACCTTTGTAGGTCATCCACCTCCCTGTTATTACCAACCCTTTCTTCATTTCTACAACCAGATGCAGCACCATGGTTCAAGGCCATAATCTCCAATCGTGTGTCGAAAATTGCATTGCGAGATGATGGAGTCGTACACATCATATGGTTCCTTGCATCTCAGTTTGCACCTGCCCTTGGAGAAGGAGTCTCGGAGCCGTCGCCGAATGGACCTCCTATTACTGTCCAGGCTATCATGCAAATCTCCAAGCTCTTATCATCTGTGCCGCAAGATACCGAGCCATCGTATTATTTTGAGACCATTGGCTCACAGCTTCTGGCCTTGATTGATGGCGAAGAACCCGACCTTAAACGAACTGCAGCATATGTGGTTGGTAGTGGCATCTTGGGGAAGAAGACATATGGTGCACCGGGCACTATAGGCCATTCTATTTTCGTGGAGCCCTTATTCAAGGCAATGACCGCATCAGTAGATACAAATTCTAGCAAGTGGCTTCACTTCTTCGGCCCACAAGGTCAGGATACCGTGCAGTCGCACACGTCCTCGGCGGATACCCTTGTCGGAGAGTCAACTCTATTACTGGCACTGGATAGATTGAGTATCATGGCTCTGCAGCATCCAAATCCAGGGCTTGTCAAACGACTAGTCCAGCCGATATTACTTCCCTTGTGGGGACTGATGTGCTTCACTGAGCCCAAAAAGAATAAGAAAGTCATATACGACAAATGCTGGGCGCTGCTGCAGACCTTTTTCACTCTATCTCCGGGCTTTCCTTCCTACCAGAAGTTAACTGACAATCTTCTCTGGGATGGAGGCATCAACTGGACATATAAGGAAGGTACTGGCGGCGGTGTTATCCTGGTCAAACGTGCAGAATCCGAATTCGATATAATCAGGCTGCTGGATGAGCTTGATCTACATGCGGACAACTTCTCAAAGCTACTCGGCTGCGACCCACGAAGTGAAGATCGCACAAGTGATGTCTTCCTACACGTCAGCGAACGGTGGCTTGTCGACGCATCAAAACAAGCAGTGGATGCCCCGAATCTCTTAGACAATCTACAATTAGATCCTAGGACGGAATCGAATGCTATTGTGGCGAAGTTGGTCAGTGCTAAGATAGCAGAAAAGCTTCTTAGTGATTTCAAGGATACTTTGTCCAAACGGCCATTGAAGATTCTCGAGCTCGCGCAACAGATCATACAAAGCGAACTGAAAGCAATGAATGAAAGAGATCGAAGGAGAAGAATACGTGAAAGTGGAAAGGTTTCTCTTGAGTCTTTAGCCAACATAGCGAGACCTGTTGATGTGCAGGCGGCTTCAAATGAAGACGACGATCAGAATACATCAGAAACTCTATCCGCTACTTTCAGTCTCCTATCTAGCATCTTGGCCTCCCCCGAATTCTCCATGTCGCGATCATTACTTCCCCTGCTGGAAGACATAAAGACGCAATTAGATGAATTGCGTCCGACCCTTACACCTGCTCTATCTAAATCAAGTTTTACAGCTTCTATGTTACTGGAAATCCAGATACAGTCACCTGATGGAACACAACAGACAAACGAGTCGGCTCCACAGCAAAATACCGACCTTGACATGCACCGTCAGGCATTGAAAGATATTACATCTCCTCTTCCACCAGTGCAGGCAGAGGGTCTTTCACTACTATCAAAACTCATCTCAAAGTCCTCACCAGTACTCGACATACCTTCCACAATGACCCTTCTACTATCCATCATAACCGGTCAAACTTCTGAGACTGCCGCAAGCGAAGAATTTATTTATTTGAACGCAATCAAACTCATTGGTCAGCTAGCATCAAACCACCCACGCACAGTTGTCAAGACACTCGTAGACCAGTACGCGGATAAAGGCGAGGAAAGAACACTAGACCAACGACTAAAAATTGGAGAGTCATTACTCCGCACAGTTGAGGACCTAGGGAAAGCTCTGACCGGCGAGGCCGCACGCACAATTGGCGAAGGCACGATATCCGTCGCTAGCCGACGCGGATCCAAACCTCAAACCCAGAAGGCTCGAAGGGAGCAGGTCGCGAAAGAAGCACGAGAAAAGGAGCGCAAGAAGAGAGAAAATAGCATCAATCTACCAGATGGTTGGAAAGTGTCGTCACCTGCGTTACATGTTACCCCGGATATCGAGACACTAGTTCCAGACAATGGAGACTCTGACAACGAGACCCCTGAGCAAGCAGCTCATACAGCAAACATCATATCAGCCTGGGCTGCCGGCGCAGCCACAGACATCGAACCAGACGATATCCGCGTCAGAGCTTCAGCTATCTCCATCCTCGCAAGCGCAATTCAAACAAACCTAGCCGGCCTGGGGCCATCTCTCGCATCTTCAGCCGTCGACCTTGCCCTCTCAACCATGAGACTCGAAACCGGTCCCGAGAGCGCCATCTTACGACGCGCCAGCGCCGTTCTACTACTCGATTTGATCAAAGCTATGGATGCGGATATGCAGAATGGGTCCAAGAAACTCGGTTTCGGCTTCTCTGTTGACTCTTCTTCATCCACTGATGGACTAGCTCCGTCACTGGGTCCAGCTACAATCGGCAATATACCGTCTATTTTGAATACGTTGACATATGTGGAAAGTCGGGAGACTGATTTCGTAGTTAGGAGTCATATACGTGCGTTAGTGGAAGATTTGGAGACATGGATGGAAAAGAGTTTGTTATGGGGGATCAATGCGCAGTCATCTATGAGCCAGGACGGTGATTTACGATTGGGAGATAGGATTGCTGGGTTGAATATCAACCCGCTTGCTGCGAGCAGCTCTACACAAAAGCCTAGAATTGAAGAAATTGAGTAGGAAGGTAATGATCAAAAGATGGGTATTTTCTTAATTTGTATGTCAAACACGGCCCATTCATTGTCGCCAGCCTTGTGCTTCGTTTGTGAGATAGACACTATTGTACAAGGAATTACTGAACATGATCCTCCACAAACCCATTCGCCGTCCAATCACACTGATCTTCAGGGTATCAGTCAAACATATGCTCCGCTTAGGACACATTTGTTTGTTAATAGTAAGCTCGTCCACGGCCTCCACGTCCGCGACCGCGGCCACCTCCACCCCGACCTCCAACATTGTGTCGTCCACGACGCGATTGCCAATGCGAGTGACCTCCGCGGCTCGGACGAGGCCCGTCGAGCGTGCGTCGCTCACGCTCCTCTGGAGTAAGGTGAAACTTGTTGTCAATTCCCACCAGATCACAGAACGCAGCAGTCTGTGGGTTGTTGTACTCAGGCGGCATATCCTTAGTGTGGATAGGTACGCTGGGATCGTAAACAGGTGCCGTAATCTCAAAGTTGTGGGGAATAGTCAGCTTTTCCTTCTCAACGACATGTTCCTGTACCCAAGCCTCTTCCTTTTCAATTTGTTCCTTGTATTTCTCATCTCCCAAGTCAGCTGGGAAATGTGCTCTAAGATTGCCGAGTTCCAGCGAATTCGCAAACACACGAGTGATCGCAAGCCATTCCTTGTCGTACTGAAGACTGAAAGGTGGTTGCATTTCGTCTTCACCCGAAATGGGGAATAGTTCCATTAATTCAAGATATTCATGACAGGCACTCCCATTCTGGCATTTGCCCAAAGCCAGGAAGTTAGTATGTTTGTTTGAGATTCCTACAGGAAGAGGACCATAAACGGGGGTTTCATGAGTTGGGCGCTTGAAGGCATCGGGTAGCTGTTCGCGAAGAGCTTCAGGTATCGCCTCTGGATTCGATTCATCGTGGATTGCAGTCTCTTGTTGGTTTTCTTCCTGTGGAACACTCTCTGGTTCAATCTTTGGTTCACTTGTAATTTCCGTGTTCGGCTTGGAATCGACCTCCATGCGGTTGTCCTCATTGTTCTTTCCTGAAGTCTCTTCTTCGGAATCCAAATCCAAATCGATCTCAGCGCTGTTTTTGACAACGCCATTTCCTTGATCGGCAGGGGGTCCTTCCACTGTGACAATTTTCCTTTGATAATCATCTGGCATAATCTGTTTGAAGGTTGCAGGAATATTCTGCACATTGAGCGAGCGGTTCGGGTCCCACTCAGCTTGTTGACGTAGAAATTTTGCTTGATCTTCAACTTCCTGTTGAGCTGCAACTTTTCCAAAATTGTTCCAAGCCTGGATAACATTGTTAAGAGTGTTTTGTTGTCGCCCAGGGACTTGGTTAGAATTCGTCGTAGGCGGAGCATCAACGGTATCGGATGTTCCATCCATGCCATGAGCAAACGGCTGCTTACGCTGACTTGCCACATATTGTGCCCGAGGATGCTGATAGTCACCGTGAGATATCAAAGCGTTGTATCTAACGTGGAGATGCGCTGAGAACCAGTGAGGTGGGCGCAATCTATCCAATACATGTTTAGCTGCGGTGCTCCCCAAGGTCCCAGCATTCGAATCCTCTCGAAAGAATGGCTTGATTCGGAAAAGATGATGGTAGTTCCCATTTAACTCAACACCTCTAGGCCAGTCATGAGACAAGCCCACGTCAACCTGCGTGCGAATCTGCATCAACTTGCGAACATCCAGCTCCCGAACGTGATAGATGGATTTCACGTCATCTTCGTTGTAAGGCAATCTCTCAAAATGGGGCCTGTTATAATCATAGCCTTTCCAGATACCAGAAAGGCCTGCAATTCGTAAGGGTCCAAAGCGAAGAACGTTGGAAGCACCCATGTAGTAAATATTCGGAGCGACCCAGCCACCATAGTAAAGTTCGAACAGGTAATTACTAGCTTCATGGTTCCCTCCGACGAAGATAGTAAGATAAGGGGCAGTAGCCTTTCCACTGTAATACTCGTGAAAGTCCCCGATCTCACGGTATTTGATAGGAACAGACATCCCATTGAGGTCATTGGCGTTTCGTACTGACTGATATATCGTTAGCACAGGAGCACGTTGGGACGATTTTTATACAGAGCTTACTTGGAAATCACCTCCAATTATGACGAGATCCACGCCGTCCCACCCCTTGGCTTTTGCACCCTCGGTGACTTTTGCGTAGATGTCATGTAGTTTGCCGTGGCCCTATGTACACATTAGCATGTTGATGTATGGGGTAGAGCTCTTGCTGAACTTACACAGCCCTCGAGAGCGATGCGGACACCGCGAGAAATTTCCATTTCTGACATGTAGTAGAGATAGTGAGGTCAAGGTCGGGTCTTTGTGGAGGCGAGAGGTGAGGTAGGTGTAAGAGGAGAGAGAAACGTGAGAATAGAAAAGAAATTCTTCTTTTCAAATCAAAGAACTGATGACTTGGGCAAGAAAAAGATTTTCCATTGTGAACGTGGGTTGAGACGCTAGTTAAATCTATCGTGGTTATTAGAGAATAGTTGTTGTTGACGGTAAGTGCCGGGCACACAAACACTTTCCATCTCAACTTTTTATACATCTGCCGGACACCTCATTATATCTTCTCTCACATCGGCATCTCTTCGTGACACCTTGGACACTTTTACGCGACGATTATGACTTCATATGATTCAAATTTACGCCTTCAATTTCTGAAGAATTCAGCAAGTTTGCTTTGTCCTGGAAGTGTTTCCACTGCTGCTCATTTGATGGTGCAGCACAACCGCATCCTCCATGAAGATTTCAAGTCTGTGAAACCCCGGCAACATGATTCTTGGTGTAATGCGTGTGGCTCTCCGAGGAAGCCTCGTTTTACGAAGATAGTGAAGCCCCGATATAGGACCAAGAAGAGCAAACCCCGACCAGCGTCGGTTGCCTCGCGTGAAGCTATCGTGTACAGATGTCTCCGTTGCTCTAGTCGGACTGTCCAGATTCGGCCAAGTCAAGCCCGACCGTTACAGAAAGCAGGTGATGTATCGACGACTAGTATACAAGGAGCTCCAAGTAGTCAAGCGCCGACTGCCACTCATTCTACTTCGAATCTTACAAGTAGGCCTGCTACGGAAAACTCTATCAAGACTACATCGGAGAACGCAAGCAGCAAAAAGAGAGCCAAGGCAAGAAAGCAAGTTGGGCTCCAAGCTCTTTTGGCTTCCAAACAGCGTTCGGAAGGATCAACCCCATCGGCTTCATCGTTGGATCTTTTGGACTTTCTACAGCAATAATGATAGAGACGACTTAATGAAAATTTTGGGGATGCCTCGATGCCTTGTTGCCTTACATATCTCGGATTAATCGGCTCCAGCACTCCGATATACTAAGCCTATTCCGGGCAAGCGCGGGGTTGCTGCAACGGAGGCAAGAGCGCGGCCCAGCTCCTACCCCGCCAAGCATGGAAGTCACAGCGAACCAGAGCGAATCTTCGGGGAGCCGCTAGAGATTTTTTTTGTTTCTTGAAGCAGCCATATACATACCTGCCACTTCCTGCTTCTCAACTTCCTTCTTTTATTCACTCGAACTACTGATAGCATATTTTTCCTGTTCGATTATCCTTGGAAAACATTATACTTCGCAATGTCGTCGACACAGGACGCCACCGCGCAAATGGATCACATGTTGGATACTTTGGCCCATACGAAACCTGAGAAGGAGTCTCAGTTTCAGAAACTTGGAGAAGTTGTCGAAAACGACGACGATAATGGTGTAGTTGAAGTTGAAAGTCTCTGCATGAACTGTCACGATAATGTATGATGAGGTCCTTTTTTCTTCCATCAACGCTATTTACTAACTGGTAATAGGGAACCACTCGGCTCTTACTCCTCCGCGTTCCTTACTTCAGAGATATCATACTAGAATCCTTCGAATGCCCGCATTGCTATTTCAAAGACAATTCTGTCAAGTCGGCGTCTCAGATTCAAGTACTCGGATCCAAATACACTCTCGTGGTAGAGAACGAAGAAGATCTTCAGCGACAAGTCATCAAGAGCGATGTAGCCATCTTCCGCCTGGAGACACTGGAAATCGAGATGCCCAAGGGAGAAAGCCAGCTCACCAATGTCGAAGGTGTCCTTCAGAAGATCCATTCAACGCTTGAGAGCGAGCAAGATTTGAGGAAGGATCAAGCCCCGGAACTATACAAAGCCCTGCAACCTATCATCGAGAAGCTCGCCAAGATGTTGAACAGGGAAGCCTTCCCCTTCACGATCTCACTTGATGATCCCACGGGTAATTCATGGATCGCGCCCACACCACATGATACAGGCAACAAATACAGGCGTCGGGACTACCCTCGAACACACGAACAAAATGAGGAATTGGGTATCGCGGCAGACCCAGATGCGCAGAAGGCTGAAGCCACCAACATGGTTCAGACTGCCGGTGATCCGGAGGATCTCGACATCATCGATGGACAGGTTTACACTTTGCCCGCAGAATGTCCCGGATGCACCAAATCGTGTGTTGTGAACATGCAAAAAGTCAGCATTCCTTACTTCAAGGAGGTGTTCATCTGGAGTACTATCTGCGATCATTGTGGATACAGAACAAACGAAGTCAAGACCGGTGGTGAGGTACCAGAGAAAGGCAAACGAATCACTCTCAAAGTGGAGACCGTGGAGGATCTATCGCGAGATATCCTGAAGTCCGACACTTGCGCATTGTACAGCCATGAGCTCGAGATGTCTGTACAGCCGGGCACACTTGGTGGTCGATTCACTACTGTAGAGGGCCTGTTGACCGAGGTTCGCGATCAATTGCATGGCCAGATCTTCGATGTTGGTGATTCCGGCGCTGGAGATTCGCTATCATCCAGCGACAAAGAGACTTGGACTCGTTTCTTCGACCGACTGGACTCCGCTATCAAGGGCGAGTTCAAGTTTGTCATCACACTCGAAGATCCTCTGGCCAACAGCTACGTGCAGAATTTGCACTTGCCTGATCCTGACCCTCAACTGTCAGAGGAGGACTACACACGTTCTGAGGAGGAGGAGGACGAACTTGGCTTGAAGGATATGAAGACCGAGGGATACGAGAACGATGCCGAGAATACCAAAAAGGAGGGCGAGGGTCAAGAATCAAAGGCGTAAAGTCGCATGAAAAAAATATTTTGACGAGGCGCGAGACGGAGTCTGTAAATACGAGTTGCATGGGAACAGGCGTGTTATTTTTTTTTTTTTTGGTAATGTTCTAGATAGGTCATGTTTATGATGCATTATGATATTTCATGATACGTTCATGTAATCATATAATTCTATCGAAATCCTGCCTTCCTGCTTCAATCTATATTCCTCAGGCCAGCTGTAAATGCTACGCCGCCTATCTCGATCGCAATGCTCAGTACAGACCGTACCGAAGAAGGCACTTATAGTGTAATCCATACGGATTGTGAACACGTCGAGCTGTTCGCTGTTCCTGACATCTGGTCCTTGGAACGATGGAGGGAATCGACGGGCCTAGCACCGCCCAGAATTGACTGAACTTGCTTGAAATGGTTGTGTGTCCATCTATATTTAGACGACTCTTTTGTGCATCCGGATATGGATGTTCGCTCACTTTGCAAATGGATTGGCATGTATCGTAACCGATCTTAACTTTAATGCCTCCCATTCGCCTTCAATCTCCTGCCCGTCCTTAGGCTGCACGACGCGCCCTTTCTTGTCAACTTTCACATTTGCCTTTTCCAATATTCCCAGCACATCACCGCCTTCATCCTGAGCCGTCAGGTTCAGTACTCTGCCGAACACAGTACTTTCACCATCGAGATGTGTTGCTGGAGCAAAAGTTATAAAGAACTGACTACCGTTGACCGTAGGTCCGGAGGCGTTTTGCATTCCGGGAGCTGTCCGGTCTTTTACCGGTCTCGAGGCCATGGACAGGACGCCACGCGCATTATGTCGTAGTGCTGGTATACGTATTTCCTGATTCAGGGCGGACGGGTGGTTTATCGAGGTACCGCCTTTTGGTATGTCGTCAAATGGTAGGATGTGGCTGTCTGGAGAAGTTGCTGCGGGACTGAGAGAGATGTCGCCGCCTTGGATCATGAATCCGGGCATGAAACGGTGGAACGGTGTGTCGTTGTATGCGCCGCACGCGCATAATGCGAGAAAGTTCTGAAAGATGTCATCAGTACATATGAGAGTGTGGTGTAGCTTATATTTGCAAGACAGGGATATGAGTTCACTCACCTCTGCAGTTTGGGGAACGGTTTCGCAAAAGATTTCGACCTTGAGGTCTCCATGGGTAGTATGTAGCTATACAAGTCAGCAAATACATCCCAATTATGTATATCCATAAGACTATATATCCTTACCGTAACTGACATTTTGCTGTTGTTGCGATATGATATTAGATGAAGAAGCAGGGTTGAAGCTATTCAAGCCATGAAAGTGCAGTCTCCGCAGGTCCCCACCATCATCTGATTGGCCCGTTGCGGGATAAATGTTTATAATTGTGAGCCTGAGGCCAAGACAGCCCTGTTGGACGCCCACTTTGTTTATTCCAGTATCATCTCTGAATCTCCATTGTGTCCAGCGTTCCTCATGCTTTGCTTCTTCTTCAACTGTCAGCCTAATCCTGGACCCGGCTAACACATCACAAAAAACACGAGTCAGTCTTCAGCTGACGGAGTTACTAATTCTTAGAACAGTAAGACTGGCTGGCCACTCTAGAAGGGTTCGCAGGCGGCTAAAGACTCCACACTCTCCTCGCGAGCCTAACATCATCAGCGCAGTCAGCCACTGAAGTATCCAGGAAAATTGGACACTTGACGATCGCGAACCCAAGGACAAGCTTCATCGAACAGCGGTGGTCTCATCTCCAGGAGGATTTCGCATAGAAATCACCTAATCTTCGGCTTCCTGCATAACGTCTGCCTCTCCTCCAAGACTCACATTACCGCCCACCCTGCCCGCCATCCTCCGCTCCACATTTCAACAAGCTGCAGCTGGCTCACTACAGATCATAAGATCACGCCAGCTACACTGAAAGCCCAGACTCATATCTTGCCTGCCAAAACTGATGTAATCGTTGTTCCAGCGCGATTTGGCGGTTTCCCGGTTGCTGGATATATAGACACTGTCGTGGTTACACTTGAACTGGCGATTGCTCATGGTGGGCCGGCCAGTGCTTCTTGAAGATGGCCGCATTCGTGCGAGTGTCCGGACCACCGAATGGTAATTTTCTCATCGGTTACCCTGGGATATCGGCGACATTGGTAAGTTCGTCTAACCCTTGTTGCCTTGACCATCCAAACGGTACTCTCTAACATTATCCAGCCGCGCGTGGAAGGTAGAGTCGAGATTCGTCCCAGTGTTGGCATTACAGCGCCTGTAAACATTTCACTTGTCACCATATGTCTTCAACGCAAAGAAACAATCCATCCCTCCGCCGACTCGGTCACAAAGAAACACCTTGCGCCGCCCCGAAAAGAAGTTATAGACTTGGTTGGGAAGGAGATGCTATTATTTCGATGTCCCGCAGGCCGAGAATACGAAGAAGTCATGTCAATGGACCTTCCTTTCGTCCTATTTATTCCTTATGGACGAGGAGGCCAGGAGGTATCCCGGCGAATCCCTGCAGCCAGCCTACAGTTACCGAGTCGGACGGCAGAAACATACTATGAGATCGTTGTGACGGTGCAACAGGGCCCTTCAGACCAACGAAAATACGCTTTCCCGGTTCCCATCTGTCGATATGATACCCTATCTACGTTCGGAATGTACAATAGACCAGAGACCGCAGAGAAAGTGACGGATCATTTAGTGACCCTGGGCATATCACTTCCCCGGGGTTCGTACGGACCACTGGACCCCGTCAGCGTATACATTAGACTGTCGCCGAATCCAGAATGGTTGGTGAAAGCCAGAAAAGTTACAATCAATAAAATCACGATCGGAATCGATGAAGAGATAATATATAATCACGAAGGAGATGAACCCCAGCGAAAGGTCAAGACGATCATAAAACGAACCGAGAGTGTCGGTATTAAACTCTCGGACATGGGTTGGGCAGCGAACTTGGGATTGGTGTTTCCAGCAAAAGATACTCGTGACGCAGATGGAATCCTACCTCGTGGGAAGGCTGCATTTCCCTCTTATGCGGTGAATGGATTTACCACCACTGCCAGTCTTTACAAGATTGAGTACTATCTCACTGTAAAGGTATGCAATAAAGTCAATTGATATGCTGCCAGGAATTAGCCGCTAATATATATTAGGCGCATTTGATATCTGCAAGAGATATCTTGATTCGGCAGCCTATCGTTGTCTGTCCAATTGATCATGCGGGGTGCAAAGAAGAGATGGAAGCAATAGAACAATCTGCCCGTGACGCTGCCATGATTAATCCCGAGAATCCAGCTTTACCGCATCCGACAATTGTTCGATACCACGATTATAATGCACTATCCGTTCTCGGGGTAGCTGTTGTTGGGAACCAGAAGAGGCCATTGATTGATTGAGGACTAGATTATTTTACAACTATACTCGACCTCTATACATGGAACATGAACCCCAAACGCAGCACTCGCTCCGATTGACCATATCTAGAAGGGCATACTCTTTTCTTCCTCTTTTGCACCTGCTAAATCTGTACAGCATAGATTGTGATCAGGGAGGGAAAGGAGACCAGGTCCGACATGATTGTTGTACTCAAACTCGCTTAGAGAGATATATACGAACCATCGGCTCTGGACATAACGACTTACTTGACTGATGGTGATAGAACGCCATCATATTTTTCCTTTTTCAACTGAGGGTTCAGCGGTGGTACATATGCATGGGCAGGAGTTGAGGTATTGTGGTTTCTCAGTGGCGTTCATATGATGTTCCAGACCCTTTCATACATACCGGATTAGCTGTTCGGTTGGATGATCATGCAGTTACTGTACGAGAAAACGAGGCATCCAACACATCCGAGCATTGACGCCATCTGTCGTATTGCCATAGCTAGTTGATAGTATTTAGGTATATAACATTGAATCGAAACATGTTGACATAATTTATAAGCACCTTTATTATCCCAATTTCAAAAACTCCATCGCCTGGCTCAACATATCCGGATCGATTTGCGCATGCTTGTCATGTTGCTTATCATGCTGCTCTATGCATTGAAGAAGATCCTTGAGGGTCTGCAAAACAGCCTGATATTGATGCGATGATGCTCCGAATGTAATCAATGTGTTTTTAAGATTGGTGGATATCTTGGGTAAATGAGATTGCATTCTGCGCACTTAATGGACTAAGCGACTTACCTGGAGAAGTAGATCGTTGTGATCTGAATCAGGAGACATATTGTATACTTTCTGAAATGTTTGTGATGATTAATGCCTGATGTTCCTGGCCTTACTCATTTTATAGAGGGGCCCGCTTATCGAAAAGTTAGCTGCCGATAAGATAACAGAGACTTTGGAAGCTATCGATTTTGTTTCAACTACAGCCCGTGACAACTGCGACTCACACCACAAACAATTTCCTCTTTCTCTTCGAAATATAGCACCGCAGATTCAGCACAATGGCCGATCTCGATGAAGATGTCATCCATCAGCCCGCGTCGAGCCAGTCCGCGCCGCAGGCCGATACCGATCTCTCAGATGAAATGCAAGACTTTCGGTTCTTGAACAGTCTCAGTCTGTATGTATACATTCATCTCTTGAGAAAATACTTTACTGAGAGAATAACAGCATCCCCGATACATCCCAAACTACTCTCCCCCGCCGCGGTGAAAAGGACTTTGAGCCTAACCCGACTATGTTACAATCAGATATACTCGCTGCCTCGCGACATGCAATGCACACTGCCATCTCGCATCCACGTTTACATGCTCCAAAAAATCTTATTGTCGGCATTTACGCACCGGAGGGACCAACACCACTCGCCGAACCAGAAAAAGAAGAGAGAGGTGTAGGCGAGAAACCCAAGAAACGTATAATCATCAAAGACCCCATGGCTGGAATTTCGCCGGATGCATGCGTATACGTCCCACAGCCCAAGGGACCATTTTTCAAAACTATTGGAAGGGCAGATCGCTGGAATCGAGTGTGGCTTTTACCCGAAGAAGCGATCTACCTCGTGGAACGGGGGACGCTCTACTTGAAGTGGCCGAGTACGATTACGGAACCTGTTCAGGTTGATGGTGAAGACATGGGTGTACCTATGAGTTTGGAGGCGGCGTATGCATGTATGATGGGACATGCGGGGTTGACGGTGGAAAGATATGTTGTCTATGCTGGGTTGAAGAGGGGTGGGTATACTGTTGTTCGGGCTCCGTCGTGGTACGGAACACAGGAAGAGCCAGAGCATGAGGTACAGGATCAGGATTTGTCTGGTGGTTCATACTTTAAGGGTATCTCTGGTTGTTGGAGTCGGTTTTACGAGTCCATTGCCAACATCTTGGAGTCGGACTACTCCGCACAAGGCCCTTTGATAGGTGTTTCGACTCCGCGAAATTATAGTAAGTATATTGACATTCTTTCGAAGGCTACCTTCTACTGACGACGGTAGCTACATTGTATCGAAAGCTAGCCTTGATACCCGCCCACAATGCAGCTAATCCCAAGCCCGAAAGAAAACCAACGGAAGCTCCGTTCCAATTTACATATTACGTCTACAAGCCATCCACCCCATATAAGATATCTGCACCACAAGCCCCGGATTTTCGCATTGCAGTAGTCGACGCGCGCAGTCATACATCAATCCCGACAATGCGCCAGTTGAGCACTCTTATCGGATCAAGTCCCTACGAGCCGCCTCGTGGCGAAAAGATGGAGCGCAATTTATACTCTCGTCTACGCCAGGGGTATCGTAGCGCTATTCTCGCTATTGTTGACCAGGGTGTTGTTAGTTATATTCGTTTCGCTGATGCTGGATTTTCGAGAGAAAAGATCTTCGAAAGTCAGGGACCGCCGAGGGGCAATAAGGGTGGTTACCGTGGTAAAAATGGTGGGAAGGGTAAAGGTCGGTAGGACGCAAGTCAGCATGTCTCAATTAAACACTACAATGGGATCCTCGCCCGCAAGATGCTCGTTCCATGAGCGGTGTCCTCGTTTCAGCGGCGCCAATTGAGGAGAGTGCGATCTGTTTCCCTAGGAATAAGGCCCGCTAGTCCATTCCGACCGGACTGAGGCTGAATAGAAAGGGAAATTTCATATCCTTCTACCACCATCTTTAGGTCGTCCATCCATGAAGATGCATTGGGACAGACGACGATGCTCCGGTGGAAAACAAAAACAACTGAAATGGCCAGACGAGTATAAAACAGAATTCAACACTGCGGGTCTTACCTGGTATCTCTCAAGCTCCAGAATGACAAAGCGCAGTGAGAGTGATATAATCAATCAATCATTGGACATGAAATAGAAACAAAACAAAGAATTCCATACCGTGAACCGTGCCGAACAAACATAAACCTCCATAATCAATAAAACAGAAAATCCTGCCCAACCCATCGCTGCAAAACAAAAAGTCAACTTTTCTTTCGAGACGCTCTGTACGTAACTCCGGAAAATATCTTGACTATGCATCCAGATAATCCGCGGCCATCAATAACTCCAGACAGAGCTCCGGCGGTATATCCATATCAGGGACGTTGACTTGGTCTTTCATCTTCTCGTTATAGCAAAAATATTCGCAGACTTTCTCCAGGACGACGCCACTATCGAATTCCGTTTGTCAGAATATTTGAATCATGATGGGGCTGATTGAACAAACGTGATGTTTTCAAGTACACAGGTTCCGGTTATTGCTTCTGAGAATTTACCTATCGCCGACAGCGTTAGTATTGCTTCCATATTTTAAATAGAATAGAAATTTGAATTAAACCGTACTGCTAGAATCTAACATGCGCCGTATCGTGCCCGAAACGCAAGCTGTACTGCGGGGAATAACGAACTCAAAACCATCGCCGGATACCAAAGTCACGTAGTCATCTGTTGATGAAGTTGTCATTTTGACGAGAGAGTGAGTTGTATTTTGATAGAAATCGAGATATATAAACGTGTCGATGTTCTAGAAGGAAAAGTTTGGATGAAGTGATAAAGTTGATCTTATCCGCGCAGCGCGTAAAGTACCTAGATAGATGGTCCGTGCTTAAGCTGTGGAGCTCAACTTGCTTCAACTTCACCTCAAAGAGAATCAATAGTCTTTCATGTCTATATCAAAGCAGGCATGCTTTTACGAAATATGAACACAGTGTGCAGCCCAAGAATAACTCATTCTATTGGCGTCAGACATGCCCGAGTTCCGCAACATCCGATACCGTTGTTGTATACTGACATTCGCCCTCAAAGAATATCAATCCGCCCAACTGGCCGCTCAAATCAATCCAAAGCAAGCTACTCTTCAAATTCCAGACCATCAATAAAGAAAGAAAGAGGCCGTCTTTATGGGCGCACAGCTCTGATAACCGGTGGCTCTTCAGGAATCGGCTATGCCATCGCCGAACGTTTCCTAGCTGAAGGAGCCAGTAGAATAGTTCTCGTTGGACGACGGCGCGAAAAGTTACAGGATGCTTCGAAACGGTTGTCTGAGTCAATAATCAAGCGTATCAATCAGTTCGGGCATGTAAATGGGGAAATTGCGACGCGAGCACCGGAAGAAGATGTCAGTGAAAGAACGACATCGTCAGGGCAGGATGTTGATATTCTGGTTGGCGATATCTCCGTTGCAAGTGAATGGATGACTGATCTTGAAAAGGCCATGGTAATCTTCAGCATCCTCTTCAATTTTATTATACTGACCTGTCACAGATAGACGTAGATATCCTCATCAACGCAGCTGGAATCTCAATCTCAAACATACTCCCCAGAACATCACCGGACCACATCTCGGGGATGCTTAAGACAAACCTCGAAGGTGCCATATATACATCCCGAGCTATGCTCAAGTCGTGTATGCGTGCACGCTCAAGAGAAAAGAATCGAAAGCTCAACGATACAGAACAATCACACCAAAAAATATCAAAAAGTATCATCAATATATCCTCCTTGCTAGCATTGAAAGGGGTAACCGGAACAGTCACATATGCAGCTTCCAAAGCCGGCATATTGGGATTGACAAGATCCATGGCTGTGGAGGCAGCTGATATACTCAAAGTGAGTAATGTCATGCTAAGGTGCAATGCAATCTTACCCGGTTACATTGATACGCCAATGATTCAGGGTTTGTCTTCCTCTAAAAAGGGTTAAGGCTAGGGACTGACGATGGTTCTACATCTAGATTTCAGCGTCGATAAAGTCAACGAACTACGAGCACAGATTCCCCTGAACAGATTCGGGGATCCACGGGAAGTAGCCGATGCAGCTGTCTTCCTCTCCACAAATGGGTACGCTAACAATTGCGTCCTGAACCTGGATGGCGGATTGAGTGCGGTGTGAGAAAACGATCAAATCATATTGCAGTGATGGAGCATCTTTTTACAAACTATATTTGACGTTCTATCCAAAGCCATCTGACCCTTGTCGGAGCAATTCTGATTGCGAGAATAACCAGCAGAATCTAAGACTGTCATCTACCCACCATCAAATCGCCTTCCCATCCAATAAACCTCGCGCCATGACCATCCCTTCCTCTCATGCGCGTATATCGAATCATACAACCAAAACTCCATAAATGATCAAAGCAATGGAAATGAGCAGAAGAAATCTTTTATACAAGTGTGAAGGGAAAAATGGCTTAAAACCTCGGTCGTGAATAGTCGTGTGAGGGAATCGTCTAATCGTCGTCAATCAAAATCGCACCAGTGTCAGGATCATCAAGCACAATAGGCTCGTTGTCGGTGCCGTTAGTAGCCGCGACACGTTTTGCGTCGGGTTCGCCGGTAATGGCAATATCTTCTGCATCACGCTTTCTCTTCCCAGTAACTCCGTTCGTGCTTGTACCGTTGACGGTGGATTCATCATGAGGCGGCTTTTGTTTCGGTCTCTTGGGGATATCAATCTCTCTAGCAAGAGTGATTGGTTTGATATCTTCACCAGATTCCGTCCTAAAGTGCCATTAGCACGAGTACTAAAGGATAATCAGATCACGCGGGTTTACTCACCTTGCTTCCACGAGAAGTTCCAAATTGACAAAGGGGTCGTCATCTTTCTCATCGATTATAGTCAGCAAAGTCTCTGCCTGGACGCCAAGATCGACGAGTTTCTTGGGCAAGTTGTCTTCCAGGTCTGGATCATAAATCATGCCAGCATCTGTATTTATCGAAAACTCCTCAGAATAACCGAATTTGTTGCGGATAATGTCTTCAACCAAGTCATTCAATGTTGCATGTTCCAGATCCACTGAGATCTTTCCATTTGCCACGGAACAAACAGCGCAGAAGGGGTTAGGTGGTCGTAAACTGTCGGAATTGATAGCTCGAACACCGGAGCGCTCAAGAAAGACCATCTTGGCATGATCATAATCATCCTTCAAGACTTTAAATGCTTGCAAGACACATAATCCGGCAGTCATAGCATTGGTGGTAGCAATTGCTGGGATAATGTTTCCGGCCATTTCTGTATCATAGGTCAGCGGAAGACCTCATCTACCACAAAAGAGGCTGAAGGACGTACGCTTGATATCAAACTTAGACTTTGACTCAATGTTAAAAATGACAGATCGCAAGTTTGCGCTAGCAGCGATAAAGTCTAGAGTATCGACGTCGTCTTTGTCAAACGTGATTATCGGTTCGATGTTGCCAGATTTGTTAGCTTGGAGCTCCTTTAGTCTTTTGCTCAGTCGATCAAGGCTATGGATAAAGTCAGCGCCTTCTCCAAAACAACCAGAAATGAGCCTCACCTATCCTTGAAAACTACAAAATCTTCTTCTAAGTTCCAAACTTTCTGGTCGTTTTTGGAAACAGTAGCCTCGACCGAACTAGCCTTTTCCTGCAGGGAATCATAGCTGAGCGCAGTTGGTGGCTTTCGTGTCTTCCACATATCCTCCATGGCACGAAGTCGCTCGATATCATCATTAAATACTTTGTCAAAGACTTTCTGCGCAAATCCCTCAGATCCCATAGATTCTCGGATTGCCTTGAGGGCCTTTGCTTCGCGGCGTAGATTCTCGATCTCTTCCGCTATAACTAGTTAGTATATCATTTCTTTGCATTGAATTGGCGACATGTTACCATTCTCTGCATCCTCACTATGGTCAAATCCGTCTTCGTCGCCATCCGTTTCACTAGTGCCAAAAAGCTCGCTGCAAACATTTAGTAAAAGCAGACTCAAGAAGTTACATATGGACACACTTACGGAAGAAGATAGCTCTTCGCCCACACAATGCAGTGTATAGGCTGACTTGGGGTGCTTCGTATGGTGCAGACAGGGAATGACTTTGGCACCTCTTTCGGGTTGCAGTCGTAGCATTCGGTACGAGACTAGGTCCGGTTTAGCAAGGCCACGATGACCAGAGAATCCTAACATGCCGCACCTTCTTGATGACCTGAACTTGTCCATTGAACCCCGTTGTTCCACTTTCTACCAAAGGTACATTTGCGGCAAGACACATCCGGTTCACATGGCGACGAGCATCCAAATTATCAAGGGCATTGAAGACGACATCGAAGGTGGAAAACCAATCGGTATTAAACTGGGAGTCCTTGATATTGGCATGGTATGCTTCCAGTTTCGAATCGGGTCGGAATTTATGGGCGACTTCCTTTGCGACCTGTAGAACCGTTGTGAGACATCACGCGATGAGATGTAGTTCGTAGTTGACAAGCTTACTAGTGCCTTCGACTTCTTGATGTGTTCGTGACGGAAGAGAAATTGGCGATTGAGATTACTTAGATCGATGGTATCGAGATCAACGATGTGAATTTCACCGAAACCGGTAAGTAGTAGATTCTTGAGGAGCTCGCAACCGATTCCGCCAGCGCCGACAAGTAAGACACGAGACTAGGAAGTCCAACAAGTTAGTAAGCGAGACCAAGAGTAGAGAAGTTATGACGTTGTTCTGCGCGATCCAATTGCTGGAAATGAACTCACTTTGCGAATGCGCGCAGACAACGTCCCCAGAGAATGCTTGAGATAAGCGTCTCGCGGTGCAAGACGACCATTTGCATTGGACTCCATATTTAGGCGAGATAGTTGGAGAATGTTGTCATGCTAGACAGAAAAGTTGGAAAGATTGTATAAGATAGGGACGGGCAGGGCGACAGGGAAATTGAAGCGAACGGCGGAGTTGAGACAGGCAAGGCTGCGCGAAGTGAGGGAAGAGCTTCTCCGCAATGCAATATGACCTTATGTAAGCGATGACGGAAAGAGAGAGATTGACCAAGGTCGACTGAAGTGCAAAATTTAATATGAGGAGGAAGAATGAAAAAGCAGAGACAGAGAAGGGAAGGGAAGGGATGTGAAGCAGAGGAAAAGGTGAGAGAGTTCTGGCGATAGATGATATGATCTAATCATTAAACCCGATTGGGACGGAAGGGACAGCCTCTCTTTCACACAACTCTCACTCTCCTACCACACACTCGCTCCATTGTTGAAGTTTGAAGCCTTTTGCTGGGCTGAGAGGCTTGCTTTATATAAGATTGATTGCTATATTCTGGTGGGAATCGACCTAAGCTATGAGATAAACCTAACTACATCCCAACCCAACCGCGCTGACATCTACTCCGTAAAGCATCCTCATTCACAGCACTGAATGATGCCATCGCTTTCTTATACTACAGCATCCTACATGTCCTCAGATACTATTGCCTATCCGACCTTTATAAAGCAATCATAATACACATGTAGTCCATATCTCGCAGAAATCTGCAGGGGCAAAGAAAGTGGACCAATCACAAGCGATAGGTTTGCTTATGTAATGTTCAAGATAAATTTATTTTTTTGGGCAGGCACACGACAGAGAAACAAACATCCATATTCCGAGACAAACTGAAGAATTCCTTCTTCGACATAAGAATTCCTTGAGCCGTCAATTTCAGAGAGTATCATGGACGAGATCAGCTGCTAGTGGCCTCGTGGCCTGAGAAATGGCTCCTTGACTCATCCTTATCGATATCGATACTATCCATCAAGCGCTTCTGGTCAGGGCTCTGATCTCGGGAGTTGAGCTTCTGCACGCGGGCAGTTTCAGTATAATTGCGAAGGGAAAACAGAAATATAGGACAGTTAGAACATTTCGAAAAAAAGTGAATTGAAATGTCGGACGACGAAGCCGACCCAGAGCTCCTCGAGCTCCTTCGACAATCCCTGGGGCTAGGCAAGAAAACAGGCAATGAACCCCCAGAAACAAAAGTCCTCCAAAACGCTCGATGGATATTCGACAATTCCATCGATGTAGCCCTGGACACCCGCCAGACCAAAGCAGCTGCAGAGACGATCTGGCAACAAATCCAGCAGAAGCAGTACTCTACATCGACCTGGTCTGGGCATGAACTTCATCCCAAGGCCAAGAATGAAAAGACCGTGGATTTTATCTTTACCATGGATCTGCTCAATTTCAGTTTCTGGTCGGAGGAAAAGGATGAAAGTAAGAGGTTTGGGATTGAGTATCTTGGCCGGAAGTGGACGGGGTATTGGAGTTTGGTTGCTGCTCTGCAGAGGGCTTTAGATGAGGGTACCTACTTTTTTTGGTCTGTCGTGCTCCATGTTCTAACACTGTCTAGGTATACCTATCACAACGCCGGATTTCTGGTTGAACGAGGAAGAGTTTACAGAGGACTTGTTGAGACACGTCTTTCGCTCGACGTCAGAAGAAGAGATACCATTGCTAAAGGAGCGATTCGACTGTATGCGAGAAGCAGGCCAAATACTTGACGAGAAATTCGACGGAAGCTTCGTCAATTGCATCTACGACGCCAATAAATCCGCGGCAGCTCTCGTGAACCTCCTAGCAGATGAATTTTCTTGTTTCCGTGACGAAGCTTCTTTTGATGGACGGACAGTTCGCTTTTACAAACGCGCTCAGATCCTCGTAGCTGATCTATGGGCCTGCTTCGATGGCGAATCTTATGGCGAGTTCAATGACATTGACAAAATCACCATGTTTGCTGGTACGTTTCCTTCCGTTCGAGTATTTTCTGTGTTCTAACATTCTTTCAGACTACCGAATCCCCCAAATGCTTCATCAACTCGGCTGTCTCCTCTATTCTCCTCCATTGGAGAGCCACATCCGCCGTCGAGAACCCATCAAATCGGGCTCGAAATGGGAGATGGAGCTCCGGGGTACTTCTATCTGGTGCGTGGAACTGATCAGACAGGAGATAGAGCGTACACGTCCTGAAACGAGAATGGTTTATTCCACGGGGAATTCTTCTACATTCGAAGTTAATATCGATGATCAACAAGACAAGGAGGTTACAGAAACAACCACCGAGTTACACAAACTACAAGAGCATGGAGAGAAAGAGAAAACAGAAACCAAGACAGAATCAAAGTCGAGTACACCACAAGAGAAAACAATCGGCGTAAACGCCATCTTGATTGATTTCTTCCTATACGACTCAATGAAAGAGTTGGAGAGTGATGGTAAGGAAAGTATTCCGCATCATCGGACGAGAAGTATCTGGTATTAGAAAAGATTACAGATATACATAGATTTGTACATGTTAGACGATTTCTTATTTCCGTGGTGGTTATGGTCGATTGGTTTGGGTTGGTTACTGCTGTTTATATTTGTGGCGTTTATCTTGGGATTATGAACAGTACATAAATATACATAGATCTTTCACTTGTGATCAAATAACTAGGCCTTTCCCTTCATCATCTTCCCAATCCTCTCCAAGATATCCGCCTTCCACTCTAGATAATCCTCCTTCCGATCCTCACTCAAATAATCAATTCGATCTTGCATCATCGTCCCAAGACCAGGTAATAACAGCCCTTCCTCATCCTTACCAGCATGTAGAAATATATTCGTCCTCTTCATCCGCTGAGTCTTGCGTTTATCACGTCCATCGGCAGCATCATCGTCATCGTCATCATCATATAGTCCATTCTCAAGCTCATCCTCTCTTTCCCCCGCTAGCGGGATATTATCAAACCATTCCTGCCCCTTTGCCCATTTCTGAACCTGAATGAATTCAATCCACGCATCGACGTCCTCGCCGTGGCGTTTCTCTGTCGCCGGCAATCCCAGACTCGATAGAGCGGTCTGTCGCATTTCGGTAAAAGTCTTCTTATCCATTTTTCGGGATTCTGTGGCTGGGGACTTGGGTGTGTCGTGGGTAGTTGTAGATGTTTTATGTGATGCCGAAGTATTGAGTGGAGGAGGACTGCGTCGGCGAGCAAGGACTAGGAAATAAACTGCTACTATAAGAGCCATTATTACCTCTTTAAAATCATCATTTTCCTCCTCCTCCGGTGAACGTATAATGTTCACAAAATCCAAAGCTTCATCATCCAATTCATCAACTTCCTTATCGGTCATCTTGGAGATAAAATGTAGAATCGACGAGACACCTGCAAAAATATGAGGAGGTAATGTCCGTGAAATAGGCGGTCTTGACCATAGAGTCATTCGCGGAGCAGGGGTTGAGAGGGCTTTGCAGACTGTCCTGATAGACGGCATAACGAACTGCGGCGCATCTTTGATATTTTGTAGCAATTGTAACGGCTCTTTGGTAAATCGTGCACGTTTTACCGAGGCCATCCCCGAGGGTGTTTTGTTAGTTTCATTTTCGAGTGCTCTCTTTCCGAGAGGTGTGCATTTAGACGGTGTATTGACCTGCTTCGATGGTGTTCGGGAAGTCGCAGTATCGTCTCCAGCAGCCTTCCTGGGAATTGACGAAGCTTTATGTGGTGTTGAGGGAGCTGATTTATTCTTCGCTGTTGCATTTCCGCCTCCAATGGATTTCTCGAGAAATGTGTAGAGTTTCTTGTATACTCGGGGTGGACACGGAGGATGACCGAGGAGAGGTGGGAGTTTCAACGTCCGCGCCAATCTAGATAAATCTATCTTAGTATTGACCATTGTTTCACTGGTAAGCAAATTATACCGTCGGCAAGCTATCTCAGCGCAAGCATGAGGTCTAGCAATCTCTTCCTCCGGCTTCAAGCTCGACGAGTAACTTCGAGACTGCGCAAATAGAGACTGAGCAAGTCTGAGCAGCTCAGAGGGCATTTCATTTTCGTGAGTAGGCAGTAGAGTAGCAAGTGCTCGTTCAACAGGTCGTTTGTTATTCATTTTGGATATGATATGATATGGATTGTGGTTGAAGTTGCCAAGTGGAAGTCCTAAAAAGGATATATTGGCTTTGCGAACGCGCTTTGCGCTAACCCGATCAGGGACAGCCCACTGGTTGCCCGCGCAACGAATGACTTGCTTGACTTCTGTCTGACGAAAGACCAGTACCATCAACCACAACGACATCTAAACCTCCAACTCATCCAGCTGTACAATCATCAAAATGCCTCCCCGCCGCTCAACCGGACGGACTGCATCCGGCCAACAGTCCAAGCTCTCATTTGGTACGCAATCCCGCGTAACAAAACCATCAACCACAGCCCCAGGCAAACAAATCAAGAACATCGACCCAACAATCGACCAAGAAATCACCAAAAAGGCATCCTCACCTTCACCTTCAGCGTCACCAGCGACACCCGATACTGCATTCCCAGAACAAGTACCCGTTACGTCATCGACAGCATCGTCAAAACCGCATGTTGCAGAACTAGCTATTCGAGAACAAGCCAAAGAAGAACTCAGTCAGCCTCAGACGGAAGAAGATAGAAGGGCGTTAAAGATTAGTGAAGCGCAGATAAGAAAATATTGGAATGAGGAGGAACATAGCCGGAAGGCACCGAGAGGTTTGTCTCGCTAGCCTAGTCAAAGGATCCTTCGCACAAATTACTTATGGTATGGCGGACAGTACATCAAAACGATATCGATATCGATGAGAAGATTCTGCGACATTTTGACTTGTCGAGTCAATACGGCGTAAGTGATTCTCTTGCTTCGGAAGTAGACGATGCGCCTTCAACCGCTGACATGGATATTTAGCCTTGCGTCGGGATCTCTCGAATCAAGCGTTGGCGTCGAGCACATATGCTCGATCTCAATCCACCAATTGAGGTTCTTGCTGTGCTACTGAAGGATCGCAAAACCCCAGTTACTCAGCGCGCATATGTGGATGAACTGCTTTCATGATGCGCAGCTCAACTTGACCCTATTATTTTATCGTTACGTGTTTACGGCGTTAGGTTTCATTTATCATACCCTTTCTTTCTCTGTGGGAGGAAGCAAGCAGGCAGGCTTTTTACAACCTATGTTCGATTTGAATGAATGTTACGGCTTCCATTGTTATTCCACGGCAGTTATATATCGTTTCCAATCAACAAATACTACGTAGGTCTTGGCAGTTTTAGATCGACTCGCGTGCTGCCACCCCAGCACATAGGTATTAGAGACAATGATCCGGGTTCCCAGAAGGATTCCCCCACCAAGTCGGAAAAGGAACCTGCGAACCGCTTGCCCCAAGCACCGCAAACGACAAGATGAAGATAATAAGTTGCGATCCACCATCCAACGCAGCTCCGATGAGATAATTGTACTTATTATAAACCCCCGGCAGACGACGCCGAAGCCAGACCTGAGAGAAAACTCCAACCACAATCGTGGACCAGATCCACGATGTATTGCCAAAGTATATCAGACCGGCATAGGTTAGAATAATTGCAGTGTTGATTTCCCATTTGGCGACTCGCGGGAATACTTTGATCACACCCCAATGCAAGACGGGCATAGCAAGACCGATGACTAGACCCAAGGGAACGATGATGTATTGTCCGTGTATTCCGTACATCTCCTTTGCCAGTGCCCATGTGATTGCGTTGGTGTTTAGGCTTTGAACATACGACCCGCTCCAGACGTTGTTGCCGATAGGATCGAGAAGGATTTCGCGTTGACTGCTGACGATAGTCGTCATGACGGCGTAGTTCAAGAATGCTCCCAACAGGGTGCCGTATACCTGAGTGAGGAACATCACTCGAGGGGGGATTTTGGTATACTGGCCTACTTTGAGCCAATTGGCCAAGTTCACTGCAAGTAGAATAACCTGATGAGACTGTAAAAGTTAGCATGAGCCTTGTGCGAAGAGTCATAAACATACCCAGCTTGCAAAGTAAAGGTTGGCTAGAGGGCGTCCAGGGTGCAAGGCACCTGCGATCATCTTGGAAATCAGGTTTGTCCCGACACCAGTGCCGTACAGGCCGTAAAGAATACAGGAAAAAGGCGCAATGAAAGCGCCCAAGATAAGAGAAACAATATATTCCCACGCGGGTAGGGTAGTTTGACCTTTAATGTTGACGATCAGGCCGGCAAAAAACGCAAGAACAAAAAGTACAAAGTACCACCACATGGGGGCTTCCTTATACTTCAGCATTCCCTGGTAATGCGGATCTGGCTGTGTTCTGCTATGTGCCTGTTTCAAAGCAAGCCACATATCCTTGCTATAGAATATAAGGACATGAGTGATCAAAGCCCCGATAGCTAAGCTCTCCGTCAGATATCCCCAGACGGTGGACGAAGTCATGTATGGCAATCCGACGCTGTCGACCTTCTCAAAATCAATCGTACCATGGTTGTTCATAATAGAGCTGGTATCATACCGTGTACCGTTCGAGTGGAACAGGGAGGTAGACATGAACGGCAGTCTCAAGGCATTCCAAGCATTGCCGTAGTACAAACCGAGCATAACAGCGTAGAAGATAACGTAGCCAATCCATGTATTCAGCTGTTGTTTCAAAGGTAGCGAAAGATAGGTGCTTTGAATGTATTGCCAATCAAGACTAAAGTTCAGTATACCCAAGCCTTCGTTAGAGGAAGCTCCACCGAAGACCTTGGAGAATACGGTTCGGGTATGTTCCGGAGCATGCATCGATGCGAGACAGAATATCGAGATTCCGGAGAACCAAGTCACGATATAAGCTGGGAAAAACTCCCAGACAGCCGAAGCCAGAAGAGCCCAGCCGAACTTGATCAAACGGCCTCTATTTGCACGGGTATCGAAATGCAGGTTCTGGTAGAGGACCACTTGAGGCAAAGTCGACCAGTATACCATTTCAGCAGGATAGACAATCAAAGGGCGAAGCACACCAGCGATTACGAATCCCACGAGCGAAATGGAGAATGTGCCCAAGACAGCCGTGGTTGCCGACACGCTTGTACTGTAAAACAGTCGCTCGACAGCATAAACCTCGACTCCGGAGAGACCATTATTACCGCACGAGGCGATCAAGGCAGAGACCACATGTTCTTTGATTCCAAAGCTCTGTCCGAAATTGAGAAATCGGAGCGTATTTCGTATCCATTTAGATTTGAATTTTTCCGGACTAGGGGTGAAAAGCGCCCAGGCTTGGCCGAAGACGAAGACGAGGACTGAAGAAAGCATTAGGCGGGAATATCTCCAAGAGGACAGGAATAAACTCACGCTGTAGAAAAGTGGCAGAAACTTGCGCTTGGTAAGGTTTGAAGACGTAGAGCATTGTAATCACACTGGAAAGCGCAGTAAAGGCGGTGCCTAGGACAATGGACCGAAAGGTAAAGGCAGGATCGCCATCGTCGCGTGTCGAGACGATGAATTTGGAGACGTCGAGGCCTGTTGTCAATGTTGGCAATGAAATTCAGATACCTAGTATGTGGGAGTCTACCATTGCGAATAACGGGATGTCCTTTGACGTATTCCGTATCATCCTGGGGCGACTCGACCGAGACTTCCCCAGTCTTTTCATTGATCACACTGTCGACTTTATGGTCTCTGGGAGAATCAGGCTGTTCCGTGACTGCTGTCCCTTTGGGATTTTGAGAGACATCTGAGTTGTGTTCAGCCATTTTGGCTGCGAGAAGGGACGAGAGAGTGATCCCTTCCTAGTCGGGGAATGACAGAGGCCAGGAAGATCCTCCCTCTTATATCGCAAATATCTTCACATCTTTTGCCTCTTATTTTTCTCTCGCATGGAACTAATAAATGATGCGATTTTGGCATTGAGTGATAAGACTGAGACACACACCACCCCCGCAGTAAGATGCAGGATGTACTACTCTGGATTGGAGCATTACTTGGACGTAGTAATATTTTAGTCTCTGTCTAGCCAAGACTATAAAGAAAACCAAGCTTTTTGCAGGAGGCAAATATCCACAAGGAATGTCTATCCCAACAACAAATCCCTTTCAATTGGTGGACTAAACCAGACGGTATCTCTTCTACACATCCACCCTCATGTTTGGCTGTTATTGCTCAGATATATCTCCGTAAATTGGAATTTGATAATTCTCCAAAGCCAAGGACGTCTGGCGAACTTTACGAACACCTTTCTACATGCACAACCGCCAATTAACAAGCTTTTCTGGCTGATTACCAAAAGCCTAAAAACAAAACATCGGGTGGCGTGGAAAAAGCCCTAAGCGGCTGGGAGCCGTCGATAAATATCCTCATGCATGGATGTTACATCCAGGTGCCCTCCAACTAGAGCAACTATTATTAATAAGTAGAAGTAGGGCTTGGCATTTGATTTGATCGGCTCACGGACTCCAGTCTCCGGATGATACTCAGGGCATCTTTACGTTGTTATGTATATATGAGACATTGCTTCCACATATCATTGCTACGTATATAGTGAAGCAGACAGCTATTGTATACACATAACAGCAATCCTACATCAAGAAAGCCTCTCATAGCTCGTCCCAAACTCCTCATACCACTTATCAACAATCTCCTTCCCCGTCCCCGGCGCAATCACATCATCCCCCGGTTCCAGCCCCGCTGAAACGACCTCCATAAACTCCTCAATCGTCAACACAGCCGGGTTCTTATGTTTCTTATTGTCGTCCGGATCCTCCCTTTCACGATGAAGATCCGATTCCACAGCCGGAGGGGCAATTTCAATGACTTTGATTTTATCGAATCCGCTGCGAATGAGTTGAGTGCGCAGGTTGACGGTCCAGGAATGTAGCCAGGCCTTTGTGCCGTTGTATACGGGGTTGATTACGGAGAAAGGCACGAATCCGAGGACTGAGGAGACATTGACGATGGTTGCACCGCTACCGTTTTCTACTCTGCGTTTGAAATGGTCGATTAAAGCAAGTGTAAGATGCATAGGACCCCGGATATTTATATTGATCTCCTGATCGGCCTTGAGGAGGAATTCCGTGGGATCATCTTTCAGCACTTGCAGCGGCCGTTGAACGCCGGCGTTGTTGATCAGACAGTCCAAGTCTGGATATTTCTGTAACAACGAAGATACAAACGATGGGATCTTGTCGACTTCTCCGGTATCGAGGAGGTAGTAATCTGTTGCTCCGATTTCTTGGGCGGTGGCACGTAAGTTGCTTTCTGTGCGACCGGCGATGATCACCTTGACGCCTTTGCCTAGGAGTTAGGCTGCGATTGCTTTGCCGAGACCGCCAGCGCCGCCGGTGAGAACAGCACAAGAAAAGGGGACAGCCATGCTGAGAATAATAATAATAATAATAATCCACGAAGACATGATGTGGTGAGGTGAAATGCTTGATCCCCGCTGACTGACGTTTTTTGTCCATGTAGCCCTAACTCCGCAACCGTCACGTTCACATGATAATCAAGGACTTAGCCATTGTCTTCAATTAATATCCTATGTATCTGATTCAATGATTAGACAGTGTTCTCCCCTTCATACGTCGCCGAAATGCTCGTCACACAAAAGTAACAATCTACGCAGAGACTCGCCTGTACAGAGCTGACCTGTCGGATTGTACGCACCGAATTAGCCACTTAGGTCCTTTGACCTCTATGTATGTAGCACAGAGTCTTCCAAGGATACAACATCGGTTTGCCAATCGTATGTTGTTCATTACGTACCCTGTCATTACTATCCTTTTTCCTTTGGGGCTCAGGGGAAGAGGGGGTGTTCAGCTTGGGGTACTCTGGGCTGATCTTTTGAGACGTATATAAGGAATTGTATTTCTACTACTGGCGCAGTATATGCTTAGCCCTAGTATATTCTCCAAATCATCATTACCTCAGTCTCTAGTTCAAGCACGTAATAATCTACAGCAACACCTCAGAATGCAGCTCAAATACTTGACTATCTTGATATCAACCCTTGGCCTCACTCAGGCCCAACTCCCTCATCTCCCCGGTTGCTCCGTCCGTCCCGCTCTTCCCCTTGCTTTAAAACTCATAGATCGCGACTGATATTTACGGTATACAGCTAAGCTGCTTCCTCCCCACCCTCCAAAACGACGGCTGCTCCAGCCTCACAAACTTCACCTGCCACTGTGCCGTCCCCGGTCTCGTCAGCTCAATCACTCCCTGTGTGCAGAGCGCATGCGATCTTTCTGATCAATCCTCGGTCTCGAATGCAGTGACGTCTTTGTGTTCTTCGGCCGGCGTGCCTATCAGTATTCCGCCTGTTACGGGCAGTACCACTGGTCCTGCAGCTGCTACCGCTTCGACGACGACGGTGACGACGTCAGGAACGCCAACGCCATCAAAGACGAGTTGTCCGAGCAAGGCCTCTTCTTCTTCGTCGACGTCTGCTGTTGGAGGGGGAGGTGCTTCTACTTCCGGGTCTTCGGTGACATCTGCTCCCAATTCTGAGACTACTTCTACGTCCACGTTTACTGGTACAAGCAGTGGCGCGTCTACTACTACCCATACAACGACGACTTCAACTCGTGCGGCTCAATCAACCGGTGCCGCTGGTTCGGTCTCGGCGTCTTTTGTTGGGACAGGTTTGTTTGCTATGGGGGTTGCGGCCATGTTTGCGCTGTAGTGCTACTTTTGAGAGTTGTGAGTCGGGACAGCTAAAAAGTTGAGTATGTCGCTTGGGGCCACTTGCAACTGTTTAATGCCGTGGATGTTAACCTTAATAGTTTAACTGATACCGAATTGAATGTATACTCATACACATGTTTAGCACGCCTGTCCAGTCCGTCAAGTCCTCTTTACAGTCTGAGAATAGTGGAAGAGTGTGTCTTGGTCATCGTCATTGTTCTAAAAAAGCTATCAATCAAATCCAATCATGAACCATGCCATGCCCGTGAATAAATTATTACAAACACCCAAGTACATGATAGAAAACGCAAAAAGAAAAAAGAAAGAAAAATCATTTCACAGTCTAAGCAGAACCGAATTCCTTGATATCGGTCTTCTTACCGCTCAGAGCCAAAGGCACAATACCGCTGACGTGCATGTCGGGTCCGTAAACATGCATGTCGAGTCCCAATTCCTCGCCAACAGCCTTGATATTCTTAAGACCCTCTTGGTAGTTAGGACCAGCACGACGAACCCAGATCTGAACCTTGTGCTCATTAAGAGTAGAGGCCACCTCGCGGAGTGCGCGGATGACGCCCTTGAATGTAGAAGCGACGTTGGTGAAGTTGGCAATACCACCACCGATGAAGAGAACCTTTCCTTCGGGGTGTTGAGGGGCTCGGAGCATCAAATCCAAGACTGTGCGGGCGTAGTTGTAAGTCTGGGTCTCGGTGGGAGCGCCGGAGTATTCTCCGTAATTGGCCAACTCGCTAACGAAACCAGCCGATGCGATAGCGTCGGCGTAGACGACAGATGCACCGCCACCAGCGACCAAGGTCCACACGCGGCCGTTCGCGTTAAGCACGGTCAATTTCAGAGAAGCACCAGTCTTGGCGTCCATGTCAGCAATGAACTTCTCCTCCTTGCTGAGCTCACGGCCGAAGGGAGCGGGGAATTCCATTGGGGGGCCAGCATCGATGTTGACCCTGCCGTCACCCTTGGGAGCAGGCAGACCCAAAGCAGAGGGGCTGCGAGCAATGGCCCACTTGGTACCGCACTCGAATTCGGCGGTCTGGTCGAGCTTCGCGGCCAAGTCGAGGAAGTGAACCTCAGCGGAGGTGGCATTGGCGTTGGGGATAACGACGAGCGGGTTGATCTCGAGGTAAGTGAATTGGCAGTCGACGTAGACGGCGTACAGACGGGAGATGAAGTCCACCAAAACATTGTGGAGGCCAGAAGGCACCTTCTTCAGTAAAGTGGCGGCGATCTCTTCGTTGGAAGGGTAGTTCTTGAGGTTCACGGGGATCAAGATCTTCTCAGCCTTGGCATCAACATCGCCGACGTCGACACCACCTTCGTGAGTAAACAGAATCCAGTCACCCTAATTCAGCATTAGAACCGTTTTCTACCCGACTTTCGAACAGAAATGCGCCCCAGGACTTACCTCTCGGACAGAGTTAATGTTGATGTAGTATTCGGTTTCTTGAGGGTGAGGAACAAATGGCTCGACCAAGAATTGGCGGAGGTAGCCCTTGACGGTCTCGACCTGAATCTCCTTGCCGGCGCGGGCTTCAATCCAAGCACGAGCCTCAGGCCAGGTCTTGTTGAGGGCGAGGAGACCGCTCTTGCCTCGACGCTTGATCAATTGATCGGGCTTGGCGACGAATTTGGCATCTTTGGCGAGCAGCCAGGGGTATGTGGCCTCCGCCTGGTCGAGGACGCCATTGATATCGGCATCCTCGGGGAAGTAGAGGGAGGCGAGCTTGGGGGGAGGGTTGTGAGTAGCAGCGCGAGGCAGCGGCGTCGGCTTGATGACGGGAGCACGAGTGAGGTGGTAGTTGAGGATGGCCTTTCCGTCGGCCTCGAAGATGGATTTGGCGGACATTATGTGTTGTATCTAGGTGTGTTGGGCGTCAGGCAATATCGATCAAAAGCAGGAAGTTATGGACGGCTGAACGCAGACGCTGGTAGAAAAGTTGCGGAGGAGGAATGTACGCAACGAAAAGGCACAGCGGTAGGTAAAGAAGGGTATAGACGTGAATTGAAGATTAAGAGAGAGACAACAACAAGTCGAGGTGAAATTATCGTCTGCGAAGAGCTACTTTTGGGATGTACGGTAACGGTTCTGTGTCAGGTAATAACGGCTAGTAACGGCAATACCACAATGGTTGAGCGGTGGAGCGTCCCCAACCCCGTATCCCGTATCGTTAGCGACATGAACTACGTACTGAGCGCTACAGAGTATTCATCAGTACGAATTATCGTGAAAACTCACCGACAGACTACGCTCTACGATGAAAATATCAGAACGAACGAGAAGCGCTTCTTCGGACTCCGCGCTCGATCTGTTATTTTACTGGGCCACTACAATACGAACCGGAGGTCGTATTCTTCCTACGTACTGGCTTTTACTGCCACTCCATACACTTCTACTACAGCACCATCTACAGCACCATCTCCCGATAAGACGGAATGCTGGAATGCGGCGTAAACGGCCCGATACATTCGGGGCATACATGGTATTGCTACACAAAACATACCAGGGCAACTGTCTGCTACACTTGTTGCTTGTTGCTTGTTGCTTGTTGCAACCAGCATAAGAAAGTCTCCCTTCAATCCATGCCGTCTAGGGCCCCCCGGGGGGGGGGGGGGGGGGACGAGGTAAGGATATATGCAATGAATGATAAGAGGGTAAGATCTCAATGCCGATAAGCCTGTCGATCTATCATAAACCCTACAGCCGTCCTTCCAGTCTGCCCACCACGACTGCCGGGGTGATTATTCTGTTTTAAGTACCGCCTTCACACTGGTACCTAAGCCCCCAAGTAAAGATAGAGAATGGTCGGTCACCGATCTGATAGCGAAGACAGCCAGAAGCAGTAAAGAAGGGAGAAACTCCGAGCTGGCGGGGGGTGGTGACGCGCTAGTCCTGTTCTGATTGTTTTCTTCTTTGGGAAGTATGAGAGTCTTTCCGGGGAAGCCTTTTTGTTCTTTTGTTGCGTACGTAGTTTGAACTTTGTAACATACGCAGGTATGCTGATAGAGGCACCAACAAAACCTCAGTCATTGTCTCGCTGGACACACCGAGTATTCCTCCCACCAGGATAAAGTGTTGAGCCAGTCCGGCAGACGGACTGCGTGCTCCGGCCCCATCGATAATTACGGACCTTATTCTACTGTGTACTCGCAATCACAGGCGGTAATTTACGCTCGTCGTTGAATTAGGGGTATCTATCAACTAGTAGATGGCACGTACATTGGATAGCACAGCACAATCAGCCGCGGAGCATACTACGTACAGCATGTACCGCAGAGTACGCAGTGTGCTGACAATACTCCATACATCAGATCTCCTTGCGTATTTTATTTTCCCGAACCTTAGTACCCGCCGTACCGCGCTAGTCCGTTTATTTTTTTTTGGCCCGGGGCTAGCTCTCCCTCGCATTACCCACCCTCATCTTCTATCTTCTATCTTCAATTGACAAATCCTCTCTGTCTCTGGCCAATTCATCTTCTCATCTCGTGTGACTTTTGTTATTAATTGTACATTGGTGTTTTCTCTTCGTCTACTGCATCTACTGCATCTCCTGCACCTCCTGCTCTACTGCATCTTCGGTCCATCTGTTGATCTCACGAGACCAAGAAGTGACGGGTTGTTTTGAAAGTAAGCCAACAGCTTCTGTATTCCCTTTTTTACCTCTGAACTGCTTTTGCTGACTTTCCAACAGCACATATCAAAATGCCTTCTCTTGCTCCCTCCAACGGCGTGCAGAGCGCCAACGATAACATCACCCGCTTCAACCCCCCTTCCCGCCTCCGAAGCCCTCTCGAACAACACACCCTCTTCCACCCCAAAACACGATGCTTCGTCTAGTGAGTTGTTTCCCGTCAGTGATTCGGTACTGAGGGACGTCAATTGACAGAAAACCCAGTGGTATGCAACCCCGTGCTGTGCAGGGTATGCTCGACTTCGACTTTATTTGCAAGCGCAGCACTCCCTCTGTCGCCGGTATCATCTACACCTTTGGCGGCCAGTTCGTCAGCAAAATGTGAGCAACTCGATCGACCGCCCCCTTTTTGTTCTATTTCAGGCTAATCTGGTATATAGGTACTGGGGAACCAGCGAGACTCTGCTTCCTGTCTACCAGGACGTTGAAAAGGCTTTCGCCAAGCACAGCGATGTCGACACCGTCGTCAACTTTGCTTCCTCGCGATCCGTCTACAGCTCAACTATGGAGTTGATGGAGATCCCTCAAGTCAGAACCATTGCTATCATTGCCGAGGGTGTTCCTGAGCGAGTACGTTCCTCCATACATCCCGAACGCGGATAAAAACTAAACATGGATCACAGAGAGCACGTGAGATCATGGTTGTTGCCAAAGAAAAGGGCATCACCATCATTGGACCTGCCACCGTTGGCGGAATCAAGCCTGGCGCTTTCAAGATTGGTAACACCGGCGGTATGATGGACAACATCGTTGCCTCCAAGCTCTACCGCAAAGGCTCCGTCGGCTACGTCTCCAAATCCGGTGGTATGTCCAACGAGCTGAACAACATTATTTGCCAGAATGCCGACGGCGTCCACGAGGGCGTCGCCATTGGCGGTGACCGTTACCCCGGCACCACTTTCATTGACCACCTTCTCCGTTACCAGGCCGACCCTGAGTGCAAGATTCTGCTGCTTCTCGGTGAAGTCGGTGGTGTTGAGGAGTACCGCGTGATTGAGGCCGTCAAGAACGGCACCATCACCAAGCCTATTGTCGCTTGGGCTATCGGTACTTGCGCCAGCATGTTCAAGACCGAGGTTCAGTTCGGCCACGCTGGTGCCTCTGCCAACTCCCAGCTCGAAACCGCCGTCGAGAAGAACAAGCACATGAGGGCTGCTGGCTTCTACGTTCCAGACACCTTCGAGGAACTCCCTCAGGTTTTGAACGATCTTTACAAGAAACTCGTTGCTGACGGCACCATCGCTACCTTCAAGGAGCCCGTCATTCCCAAGATTCCCATGGACTACTCGTGGGCCCAGGAGTTGGGTCTTATCCGTAAGCCCGCTGCTTTCATTTCCACCATTTCCGACGACCGTGGTCAGGAGCTTTTGTACGCCGGCATGCCCATCTCTGATGTCTTCCGCGAGGACATTGGTATCGGTGGTGTCATGTCTCTCCTCTGGTTCCGTCGCCGCTTGCCTCCCTATGCCAGCAAGTTCTTGGAGATGGTTCTCATGTTGACTGCTGACCACGGTCCTGCCGTCTCTGGTGCCATGAACACCATCATCACTACCCGTGCTGGTAAGGATTTGATCAGCGCCTTGGTTTCTGGTCTTCTCACCATTGGTTCTCGTTTCGGTGGCGCTCTTGACGGTGCTGCCGAGGAGTTCACCAAGGCTTTCGACAAGGGTTTGAGCCCTCGTGAGTTCGTCGACACAATGCGCAAGGAAAACAAACTCAGTACGTCCATCTATAGTATTATCCCTGCTGAAGATTTTAGAATTGCTAATTTTTCCCAAGTCCCTGGTATTGGTCATAAAGTCAAGTCCCGCAACAACCCCGATCTCCGTGTCGAATTGGTCAAGGAGTACGTAACCAAGAACTTCCCCACCCACAAGCTCCTCGACTACGCCATTGCTGTCGAGACCGTCACAACCTCCAAGAAGGACAACCTCATCCTCAACGTTGACGGATGTGTTGCTGTCTGCTTCGTCGACTTGCTCCGCAACTCTGGCGCTTTCTCCGCCGAAGAAGCCGAAGACTACCTCAAGATGGGTGTCTTGAACGGTCTCTTCGTCCTCGGACGTAGCATTGGTCTTATTGCTCACTACCTCGACCAGAAGAGACTGCGCACTGGCTTGTACCGTCACCCATGGGACGACATTACCTACCTCCTCCCCAACATCTCCAAGGGGGCTCCTGGCGCCGAAGGTCGTGTCGAGGTCAGCCTATAAATGATTTTGTTGTTGTTTTTTTCCTCTTCCTCTTTTTAACTTTTTCTTCTTTCCATATTCTCGTTCCCAGCACCTGTTTTTGATATTGGCACGGTCTTCTTTTAGCATTGCAATGCTTTTTTAATGTTTTTCTTTTGTGAAAATCGGGTTGACTGTCTGTCTAGTTTGTGGCTTTGACAGGAAGATGGCACGAGGTGCGCATTACGGCGTAGATCTTTAATAATGGGTAGAATGGTTAACGAAGTATTCAATGATACCTGCAAGTAATTCTTAACTTTGTTAGTCTATGATAAGATAGTGACTGTCAAGTTGTGTGATTGGTCAGACGGAAGCTAGAGGTCTCCGCCGCTAAAATGATCTCCGAGAAGAGTATCAGAAGAGTCTAAGAGATACAGCCTCCCAACTCAACCGAGAGACACGCCGACACTGACAGAATTAAAACGCTCCAACAAGAGAAGATCAAAGATTAATACAAACCTCGCACAATCTGGTCTAGGGAAAGACTTACAAACAAATCCCAAACCGTAGACGAATCCGTGAATCAATCACGCAGAAACTCAATCTGAGAAAAACAACAAAATGGTCCGCATTAAACATCGCTACCTCCTAATCGACATCCTCCACCCTGAACCCTCGCAAATCCACAAACTAGCCGCATCATCATCATCATCATCGTCGTCGTCGTCGTCGTCAGTACCGGCACATCTCTACTTCCATCCCCCGACACCAGATACATTGACATCAAGTGTACTCGCACGACTACTACGCGAGACTATTTCAGATTTATTTGGTGATTATGGAATCGGGAAGTTGGGCGGTGCTTCATCTGGGAATTTAATTGGTAAATCAGCCCTCCTCGCGAATTCGGAAGGTTGTGATTGGAGCTGATATTGAGGCAAAGTTAAATATTTGTCACCTGCTACATCAACGGCGATTATACGCTGTCCGCGTGCGGCGTATAGATTGGTTTGGGCGGCGCTTACGTATCTCAATGCGATACCTGTGCCTGCCACAACGACAGCAACGGCGAAGAAATCGGAGACGACGATGAGAAATGCTGTTTTTAGAGTTGCCAGGGTCTCGGGGACTATGCGCAAGGCGGAGGAGGAAGCGATTAGGAGAGCGAGGAGGGAGATTGCAAGGGCGAAGAGGGATAATGTGGGTGTTTGGGGGGCTTTGTTTCCGGGTAAGGATGGTGGCGGTGGTGGAGATGATGAGGCTGTTTTTGGGATGGATATTGATAGTGATGACGATGAGGATGACGATGAGGATGATTGAGTAATGGAATGGCTATTAGGTTTGATTGAGATACCCCTTTGAATGCTATGTATACATGATATTATGACTAAATCTGAAAAAGGTCATGACTTCGACTTTCGGTAAACCTTGGTGCCGCTATCAGGTATCCCCTGAAAATCAAGCTCATCATCCTGACCATGACTTTGCTTTGCTTTAGCCTCCTCTTCCAACTCTTTCCTTTCATGCTCATCATATTCCTCCTTCGCATCCAACCATCTCTCCTGCACATCCGAGATATTCAAATCCCCCCACCCTTCTCTCACCGCAACCTGCCATATAGAATCATTCGCCCCTTCAGCTGGCCCAAATGCATACCCACTCGCGCGATCAATAACCTGCAACAAATGCATCATACTCTTTTTGTCTTCAACAGCCAACGTCTCAAACGCCACAAGGGCAAATTCCTGCACAAGGTCGATAATCGCCTGATTCAAAGCGCCGAATTTGGAATGTGATAATCGTGAGGTTTCGGCTTCGAGGTGCGGGAGAAGGTAGTTTAGGTCTTGGACTTCAGTGTAGAAATCGAGGTTGAAGGGGAGAGGGGAGTAGTTTGATAAGTTGTCGATTTTGGTGAGGACGTTGATGTGTGGGAGGTCCATTTGGAGCATGGAGCGGAGGGAGAGGAGAAGGGCGGAGATGTACATGGATGGGAGGGTGAGGCTGTACGAGTCGACGAGGTGGATGACTATTAACTGTTTCTGTTAGTATAGTCATAACGAGACTGAGTCGGGCTGATGTACTCGGTATCCTAGCTTCGATATTCGGAAAAAGATATTTCGTAAGGATGAGTGATGCGTGAATAGCTCGACTTGACCAGGACAATCAAACAAAACATAGTCATCTATGAGAATCTATCAGCCACATGAATATAATATAAGCAAAGAAGAAATACCTCCTAACTCCTTCAATCCCTCCTCTAACCACTCAAAATTATTCTCAAGCTCTTCCAGCGCATACAAGACCCCGCCATTCGGTCCCAAAGTATCTTCTGCCATTATCTCTTCCAGCGTCACCAAATCGCGCACGTCCAGCGCACACGGATACGAGGTATTATCGTTAGCCGGGTCCAGATTCACGATTGAGCATCTCCTGCCTATGGCTCCCATGAACTGATGCATGCCATTGCAATATGTTGACTTCCCCGCTCCCGGAGGCCCGATGACGAGTTGCGCAAAGGGCATGCTGTGGTGCTATCGTTCACAAGTAGAAAATAACAGTTAGAAGGCCGCATAGATTGAACACAGAAGAGTAAAAGCAGAGAATAGCAACAAGAATAATATGAGAAGACACAGCTGGGCCTACTTCTAGAGGCAAGAATAAATTAGGCGGCATCGGGTGGCAGAAAAGTGTCCCGCAAAATGGAAGCTTCGATTGGCCGCAAACTGATTGAGCTTCAACTTGAAGACGTCAGCTCAGACGAGGTTTGTAGTTATACATATCGCCATGTCAAGTATGTTCCCAGAGCGCTGTTGTATACTGTCGTATCTACTGGCCGGACAACTAACATCGTCCTAATCCAGATCAATTCACCGTCGCATCCCCACCGACAGATGCGATCTCCGCACTCAAGTTCTCTCCCGAACCAGATTCCACCAGAATAGTCGTGTCTTCATGGGACAAGAACGTTTATCTGTACGATTTGCGCGATGAGAATGGAGATGTTGGCACGGGGAAATTGCTACAAAAGTTCGAGCATCGAGCACCGGTGTTAGATGTTTGTTTTGGTGCCAACGAGGATGAGATTATTACAGCTGGATTGGATTGGGATGTTAGGAAGTAAGTTCTATGAACCTGAAAATTGCTTGCGCTGTATATAGGACTGACGATGCAGAATCAACGTCAACACCTCTGCACAAACTGTACTTTCGAGCCATGAAGCCGGCGTCAAATCCGTGGTATACAGCAAAGAACACTCCATCGTAATCTCCGCATCATGGGACTCAACACTCCACGTCCACCGACTCAACGCAGATTCTACACCAGCAGTGATCCCACTACCATCCAAACCATTTTCTCTCTCACTCTCCCCCACAAAACTCGTTGTCGCTATGGCTTCTCGAGCACTACATATCTACGACCTTAAATCTCTTGCTCTCATAACCGATCAAGCTGATTTTCAACCTCCGTCAGTTAACAAAGTCGAAATCGAACCTTGGCAGCGACGGGAAAGTAGTCTGAAATTCATGACGAGGGCTGTTGCATGCATGCCTGACGATGCTGGGTATGCATCGTCCAGTATCGAGGGTCGAGTCGCAGTTGAATGGTTCGATCCTTCTACAGAGTCACAAGCTCGCAAATACGCATTCAAGTGTCATCGACAAACCGTCGATGATGTCGATGTCGTTTATCCCGTTAACGCACTCTCATTCCACCCCATCCATGGCACATTTGCATCTGGGGGTGGAGACGGCGTGGTTGCTTTATGGGACGGGATTGCGAAGAGGAGAATTCGGCAGTATCAGAAATATCCAGCTAGTGTTGCCGCGCTCAGTTTTAGTTCGAATGGGAAATATCTTGCGATTGCCGTTAGTTCGGGGTTTGAAGATGGGAAGGATGATATCGAGCCTGGTACGGTTCAGATATTCATTCGCGAACTTGGTGAGACTGAGGCTAAGGGCAAGGGGGCTAAGTAAGTTACAATTCAACTGAATAATAATGGGTTCTCATATTCTGGCGGCTGGCGAATTTCGTATTGGGTTCAAAAAGTGTGGCGTCTGTTGTATTTATAGATCGAGTACCTCTTCAATGGTCCTATTTTGTAATCAGATTCTTTCGGAACCTGCCAACGTCTATCTTTGAAAGGATAATACTAATAAGTGCGGGTATTGACAAGAAGAAAATAATTAAATAGCAGCCTTTCGAACAGTCACTGTGCCATCTGGCATACCAAAATACGCAGCAACAGGTTTCTGTCCTCCAGTAGACCCCAAAGACTGAGCTTCAGGACCAGTAACCCCACAGAAAATACCCACTTCCAAAACACCAGGGATAGCCTTGATCTTGTTTGCAAGGGTCTCAACTTCCCATACCCCGTCCGTACCGTTGCCGTCCTTGCCGGCTTTGACGTCCGATGGAGTTAGAAGAGGGAGGAATGGTGCATCGACAATGAAGAAGCCCTGGTCTGTCTTGAGGGGACCTTCCTTGGCAACGGTATTGAGACGAATGGCGGGTTTGATGCTGCCCAGTTCGGTCAGTTTGCGAATAACTCGATTCGCAGCTATAGGCGCAACTTCAATAGGAATATATTTCCAATTGGTCAAGAGGCGGTTTTGAAGTTTTCTCGAGTCTGTCCGGAGATAAAAAAAAGTATGAGCGTTCTGTATGGACATTGCATGGATGATTGGATACGTACCAGCAACACAGATAAATTCCTTCGCTTGAAGAGCAACAATCTTCTCTTGGAAAAGACAAGCACCACCGCCCTTGATACAATTCAAATCATCATCCACCTCATCCGCACCATCAAATGCGACATCGAGCACAACGTCCTCTGGAAGAGCATCAAATTCCACTGCCGTCAACCCAGCCTGTTTGATCAGTTGTTTCGATTGATAACCCGTCGGGACGAATCTGGTCAGACTCGTGTCGATTCCTAATTCTTTGATGGCTTCTACAACGTAGACAATGGTTGTACCGCTACCGATTCCGACCCATTTTGCGTTGAGGGGGTAATGGTTTTGGACGGCGACTTTGGCCGCGGCCCGTTTGGATGCTTCGATACTGGCGGCCATGGTGTGTTTTGAGCGGGATGCGAAGAATGATCTATAAGTCTGTCGGCAGGGTGTTGCTAGGAATCCGAATGCGCTGGGATTAGATTTTGAGACACAGGTAGTTCGGTATCGTCTAATAAATGTCAGTTGAACCTAACTTTCTAAGCATCGGCGAATGGATGGTTGCGACCCCGCGCAATACGATCCCGATTGAAGTGATACTCACATTGAAAATTCTCTTGGGGAGGAAAAGAGTCGGAGGAATGGTTTCATAAAGGACTGAAGATGGGCATGATGTGATAGATATGTAAATAAATGTCGTTGTCAATCCGAAGTATCCGATCAATAAGCAAATATAGCCCCGCGGTGGTGAGTCGTGACAATCGGATGTACGTAAAAAGGGGACCAAGCCTATTGCGCGGGCTCCTTTAGGCACCGGGCTTGGGGCTCTGTCTTAGGCCTGGCCAACAATGAGGGGCACCGGCAGCTACGCCAGACTGGGTTAGTTGACTATTTATCATCTAACTTATCTGGAATCTTACATGATCTTACTAACATCCTCAACACCCATCAGCAAGCTGACACAGCTGCTCTGCGTCCAATCACCCTAGCAGTGCGACTACATATCCTTTCCTCGCTGTTTTCACATTCTTTTCATCTCACAGCGAACGAGCAATGACAGACGCGTTCCCCATCACTTTGGTGGGGCCTTCTTCAAAGGAGAGGAAGTATGACCGACAACTGCGTTTATGGGCAGCCAGTGGACAGCAAGCACTTGAGCAGTCGCGAGTACTACTAGTCAATTCGGACGGTCCTATCGACGGAGAAAACACATCAATCGGCGGTGTTGCTGGTGTCGAAACGCTCAAGAACCTGGTCTTGCCTGGAGTGGGAGGATTCACCATCGTTGATCCTGCCATTGTTACAGAATCTGACCTCGGTGTGAATTTCTTTGTCGAAGAGAGTAGTCTGGGAAAATCACGAGCTCAGGAAACATGTACATATCTCAAGGAGCTGAATCCTGATGTGGATGGAGACTACAGAACTGAGGTGATCATGAACCTCTTAAATAGTATTGGAGTTCTTCGCGAAACTGACCTTACTCTAGCCAATTTCAGATCTCCTACAACAATCTGATTTCCTCTCAGACTATAAACTCATAGTGGTGTCAGGCCCTATAAAACGGTCATCTCTCGATACATTGTCCATCTCTGCCGAACAACTTGGCATCCCTTTAATTTACACGCGATCCGTCGGCTTCTATTCCTCCTTCTCATTACAACTACCCTCCGAATTCCCTATTGTGGAAACACACCCAGACCCCGAATCTACTCAAGACTTACGACTACTCAATCCATGGCCTGAGCTGCAGGCTGCAGCCTCAGCACTCACGAACCTCGATGAGCTCGATGACCACGACCACGGCCATGTCCCTTATATTCTCATATTATTACACTACATCGAAAATTGGAAAGCCGAACATGACGGGAAAGCACCAGAAAATTACAAGGAAAAGACAGCCTTTAGAGAATTCGTGAGAGCCGGAGCAAGAATCAACACAGCAGAAGGCGCGGAAGAGAACTTTGATGAAGCTGTGGGTGCGGTGCTCAAGGGCATTAATCCTTGGTCGTTACGCAGTAATATTCGCGAGATATTCGACATGGAGCAGTGCAAGAACCTGCGACCAGATTCAGACAATTTCTGGATTATTGCCGCTGCGTTGAAAGAGTTCTATGAAAAACATGCTGTTCTCCCACTTCCTGGATCTTTGCCTGATATGAAAGCCAAGTCGGCAGATTATATCTCCTTGCAGAACATCTATAAAAGCAAAGCGAGCCGAGATATCAAAGAAGTCTTGGAGACTGTTCGTATTCTAGAATCGCAGCTGGGTTCACGACCTACGCCAGTTGCGGAGAAAGAAGTCGAAGTCTTTTGCAAGAATGCATCTCATGTGAAAGTCATTCGTGGCCGACGAATACCTCACATCACCATCGACGCCAGCCAAACTCTCAAAGCTATACGATTCGGGTTTGGTAACCCTGAATCCGTGATTTCTGTCTACATCGCTTTCGAAGCCCTAGACGTCATTGTAGATGGAATCCAAAACGGAAAATTACCCGCAACAGCATTAGACGACGATGCTACCTGGGATGCAACCCTCGACCGACTAATAACCACAATCGCAGAAGACGACAAATCCTTCCTCGAAGATAGAGAATCGGTTCGTGACAACGTGACGAAAGCAGCTAAAGAGCTGCGTCGTACTGAAGGTGGTGAACTGCATAATATCTCCTCTCTGACTGGCGGCTTGGTCTCGCAAGAAGCGCTCAAAGTGTTGACTAGACAGTATGTGCCGTTGGATAATACTTGTATCTTTGACGGAATTGGTAGTCGGAGTGAGATGTATCGCTTGTAAGACCGGCAGGGTCTTTAGAAGCTACAAAATGAATAAATGAATGACGAAATAGCAAGGTTCTAGCACGAATAGTCATGTTATCAATAATCCATTCAGACACAATCCAGAAAGAAATATAGCTTGTACAGCCTGAATGTAAGGATATAAACTTGATTCAAGCTCCCCCCTTATATGCAAAGGAAAAATAGACCGTCTTTCAAAATCTTGAGAATCCAAAAAATGGCATGTACATATTCTGGCGCCTGTCCGTACTCCTGACCCCAGAAACAAAGCCAACTATAGAAGACAGGATAATGCATATAGCCTTGATAATCATGTAAGAAAGGTAGCCCAAACATGTAAGCCAAAAAAAAAAAAAAAAGTGAAATGTCAAAAGTGTACAGAGTATTGAGAAGGTGAAATTCGTAGCAAGATCGGCAATGACGTGAGCAAAGTAAATGTAACAGCTCGGTATCGAAGAAAAAAGTGTTTATCATGAGATTTTGCAATGTATGTCAAAAAAGGGGTGTCCTCCATCAAAAGGCGTTAGGGCTATAAGGCTGCAATGAGATAAGAGAAGCTTCTATGATGCATATGATGAAGATGACGACGTGATAATCTTATCTGGCCATTGGTCCACTAATTCAGTCGAGCCAACAGCATAATTTTCCAGCGCTAGACGCGCACTGTACCGTATATTTTCAGTAAATGCGACTTCAACCGGGGGTGCCAGATGTTCGGAAATATCGCTGTGGTAGGCGGATGGACCAACGGGTCGATGGTGGTTGAAGATACCAGGTTCGACAGATAGACACACAGCACCCTTGGGCCGATCGTTGACGCCTTCGCAAATGTCCCGTAGCATGATGTCGTAAGGCCCGTCGAATTTCTTCACGCCCATTTCGTAGAGGATGCGGCGGGCGCCTCGTTGCGAGACAGCATATACTAGAGAGCAAATCTGACCCATGACGTGGTGGGTCGTCCGGGTATGATCGGGGAAAATCTCGCGTGGATCACGCTCCTGCTCCATCACATGCAAATGGTGGTTCTGAGGCACAGTCTCATCATTGTAATGGATCACACGCCCACGAGGTATGGTATGGGATTTCTTGGCCTTTTCTTCGTCTGCCAGGTTGATATTTGGGGCTTCGGTACCACAATGCCCAATCCAAAGCACGTCCCAGTCGTCGCCGTATGGCGATACTTGTGGCTTCACGGTCTTGGGAAGCTGGCCAAAGATGAGTTCTTCTGGCTGACCACCCTTGGATGGATCGTAGTATGAAGGATCCGCATAACTGTTCGTCGTGCCCGCAAGTGGTGTTGTCAAAACTCGCACCGTCTCGGCATAGTCGTACATTTGATCGTGGATGCGAACATCCCAATCTGCATCATCTTCGAGAATGAGTGCCGAGTCCAGATTATTCTCGACGACTCTGCGATATGGAAGCTGCTATTAGAAATCGCCTGTGAAGATTAAAGGAATAGCGGCCTTGTAGCTTACGCTCTAATCGCATTTAAATGGCTCCTCCAGCTGCCAATATTGCCAGTTCTTTGGGTGTTGTGGCTTGCCGGTGGGGGAAGCGCTCTATCCGAGACCTCGTCGCCCGATTTTCCCTCAATATAGTCCAACTTCAAGTCCGACATGGACGCCATAAGCGCGAGAGCATCTCGACGGTCTGTTCGCGGGGGTAGGTTGATAACGTATATAGCACCAAACTGAATTGGCGGAGATACATAAGTTAGTCGACTGAATTCGCAATAAAAAAACTCGAGTTCACTAACCCCTAACGTGGAATTCCTGGTATCATTTATTAATTCCGAACTGGACGATCTGCGCGACGACTTCGGTGTGGGTTGTGTGTCGTAAGGATGATAAAGAAAATATACAAGAGCAAAAAGTAAACAGCCAACTAGAATAGTCTGGCCTAAAATTCGGCTCGGCATGGCCTGCTGAATGCGACAGTGGTCGCTGTGAATTGACGTGGGAAAAGGAATTCTCGTACAGAGTAATGAGCGACTGGGTGCATGTATGTATGTACGTAGATGCAAAGTGTCAAAAATTGGGTCCACCAGGCAAAATACAAGTGCGCCGTTATGTTTGGTGGGATGCAGAGTGTCTCAGCATGGCCAGAATGAAGCGCTTCAATCTGACAAAAAATCGAGGGAAAAGGAGAGTGAGAAGTAGGTCTTGTGAGAGTTGGAAGAAGAATTTGTGGTACTAGCTAGCTAACGACGTAGTTAGATTAGAATAGGGATGGAGAACCTGAGGCAGCGCTTTCCCCAAAGTCAAAACGTGAAACCCAGCGCACGGATCCATTCTTATTGGTGGAGTGGCCGGATCCGCCATTGGATGACAGCCGATCCCTGCATCCTGATTGGGCCGGACGTTATTCTGCAGGCGGTCTGGCCGGGTTATTTAGCCCCTGGAATACCGCTCCTGGTCACGTGCCGTTTGCAAGTGATGCGGCAGTGGCTCCTTCCTCTTTCGGTAATACGTGCCCTAACTCCATCTTAGGGCAGGAACAGTCACGGTCATCATGCCTTCTTCATCATCAACCGAACCTCAACCTCACTCCTATTCATTTTTAATCTGTCATCAGAATATCGATTGAATTGATGGCGCAATCATTGGGCTTCTCGCTCCGTTGCAACTCCCTGACATGTCGAAAAACCCTGAATGATCGAGCTGCCGTGACGACTTGTTCGTTCGTGTCCATTTCACCTATCCATTGAAGGGAGGTTCTGCTAATGACATGAAACATCTAGGCACATCTTCTGTCTAGCTTGCGCAGAAACCCTGGGTCTCGCGCCACAGACACAGAAAAATCGCATCTGCCCTGCATGTCAAGCAAACTTGCGCAACCCCGACGATGTCGTGTCGACTGTGCTCAACCCTACAGAAGATTACAAAACCAGCGTGCTGGGTGGTTTGGATCCTACCATGATCATCGAATGCGCTGGGAGAGCGCTGTCGTTCTGGGCTTATCAAACGACGCAAGAAATGTAATACGCACTCTAAGTCATATATTGCTGAGACAATGAGAGAGTCCTGACGACTACTTACTACTAACTAGATGCTACCAAGAATATCTCAGCAAAGGGCTCACAGAAAAGTACAGCAACCTCAACACCGAGAAAGAAAAGTTGATCAACAGTGCCAATGCGGAGATATCGAGTCTACAGAACAAGCTTGCTGGTAAGTTTATGCTGATTTCTGCAGGACACTGATCTGTTTCTGACCTGGTGCCTCGAGACATGCAGATGGCTCAAGATCAACTGCAGAAAAGGAACGACGAGCTCATCGCTCTGTACCACGAGAAATGCAAGAAACATACTCAGATGACGAATCTTTACAATCTTCTTAAAAGTCGGGCGATGCCATCCCAGATACAAGCAGCAACGGCTGCCTCTCGACATTTCGATGCTCTACCATCAACAGAGAGACGCAACGTTAAACATAGCACAGAACAACTCTTTTGGCATCAAAGAAGTGGTAGTGCAAGCTCAAAAATTAGGGAGGACCGCTTCATTGCGGATACGGGCCCAATGCCTCCTCCTCAGTTTTCTTTTTCTGGTATACAATTACTCTCTAAATAGTCCGCAACAACAAACATTTTGAGCTGACATTAGAGTCAATAGTCGCCCAAAATGCAATGACCACGCCGTCACTACATCGGACATGTCTTCCTGCTCAGCCAGGGTCGGCGGTCCTCAGAGAGAGTCGCGGTCTCGCAGAAGAACCAAAGTATTTTGTGAACCATGGACGGTACAGGGATTTTAGCTATAATCCTGGCTAACATGACTGATGAAGAAGTCCTCTGATGATGATGCAAGATGATTGATCAACTCTTCTGATGTTAACTTCACAATAATTTTCGTATGTTAAACGTGGGTATGATACCTAATAACACAAGAAGCATGAAGAGATTGTTGATACAAGGCCCGAAGTCTATCTAAATAAAGAACCAGCACTTACACAAGCAACCAATGCAAGTGAATAAGCTACAAGAAGCCAACCATCTTAAAATTAAGATATACAAACTCGGCCAAAAGTATAAAAACAAGAATAAGATTCAAGGAACCCACAACCTAACGAAGCCAGCAACTTCCTGGCGACAAGTAACACAACTCCCAAAGTTATTCATGGCCAGACTGACTCTGCAATCTTCGCAGACGCAGAGACATCGACATGGCCAGGCGATGATTGATCGTGGACTTGTTTGGCATATCACACATTGGGGACCGTCGTCTCCCAGGCCTGCTGCGCCTGTTCCCCATGACTCCCTTGGGCCGTCTTGATAATGCGTCGCAGCTTCTTGACGGCGAGTCAAGATCAGCTTTTCGAGGATTTCGGCCTCTTCTTCGGCTGTAGGGCGCAGTTTCTCCGTGCTATTATTGCTGCCGTCTCTGTATGGGGCGTGGAAACGCACTGGTAACAAGACTCGCGCCCGTTCGTGCTCATCTTGACGTCGGAAGCGGCTGCGGGTCATTATGCGGCCTTCTTGCTCGGCGAGGAGATGTGCAGCGAGGATGCGAGCTTCATTCTTACTCTCTTGGTCCCGCGGGTCAAGTAATCTGGCAAGAGATGATGTATCCAAAAGTGTCTCCGTTAGTGGCGTACTTTCGCGCGAAAATGAGCGAGGAAAGGGATCTTGTTGCGTAGGAGTTCGACGACCACTAGATTCCTCATCATCTTCCCAGTCGTCATCGTTGGTCTGCATAGATATCACGCTGGTGTTATCTTCGAAGCCATCTTCTGAAGGCACATAATCGACACTTTCATCTTGGTTACCCCAGGATCCTCCAGCTGTCCACCAATTGTAGAGTTTGTTATCTAAGCGAGTCTCGTCTGTATCTTCCCATCTTGATTGGTTCTGAATTTCTCTCTTGCGCATTTCTTTCTCTACGTCGAACTCGTCATCTTCCGGGAGCTCGAGCTCGCCATCGTCCGTCAAGATCCAAAAGTCCAACGGTGCCTGTTGCTCTCTGCGGCTTGTCTTCTTTCCTCGCTTATTGGATCCGATGAGACGGACCATCCACTGCGGTCGAGACGTAATACCCATTCGTTCCAAAATCTTGTCCACCCCTAGCGCAATCCACCTAAAAATCAAATAAAAGATGCCCCTGAAAAATGCGAACCCATGGTAACACCTGCTTGCGCCATGAAATGCGCCAACACCACCCAGATTATTTTGTGAATGAGACCGGTATATGTTCTTCAGTTTTTCGATCTTCTGTTCCTTGCCGTATCCACTTTCCCACGTTTCTGCTTGCGGTGTGGGAATATCAAAATTAATAGTAGCTGCGTCGTCCCATCGAGAAGCTGAAGCATTACCGGCCCAAGTCCTTGGTCTAGCCGATCCTCTTCGACGAGCGGTCTCAATTTCAGTAAGTCTGTCTTCCTCTAACCAGGTTCTTCGGCGAGCTACCACACTACGGCCCTCATTTAAGAAGACTGCCTCACTCGCCGCGGTCAAGGCGGCATACCCAATCCGGAGTAGAGAGGTATAAAAATCCTCGTGCATGTTAAGACGGACGTTACGAATCTGACTTGCGCCTTGCATATTCTCATGTGCTAAAGAGAATCGCTCCCAAATCGACAACGGTTCTGGCAATCCCGGAGGTAGATTGAATGCGCTGATAAGAACGGCGAGCCCATAGATACCCAAGCAAACAAGAATCCCTGTCAATATGAGAAGATGAGGCACAAACCCGACTATGCAGACGGTAGGAAACTTGAGGAAGCCGCTTTCACTACTGACAGGTGAGCTATCGAGGAAACCCCAGGCCATGGCTCCCATGTAGCAAAGACCCCATATGGTCGTATTTATCAGCCGGTATCTGCTTTGCTTTCCGAAGACATCGAGAGCGTTAGAGCACAGGCTGTTACAGCACGAAATGAGGATAATGAACAGCAATTCAGGCGTGACATTCATTTTCTCCAAAACTTGTGCGCGGGTGAGTATGTGCAAAGTTGAGGCATCGTCTCCAGTCAAAGGTAGATCGTCTCTTGGGTTATGTTTTGTTAATCCGAACAAGCCCAGACCGATAGACTGGCTGACCATGGTTTCGGCCTCTGCGAATGCAAGGGAATGTTCGAAAATTGACATCCCAGCTTCGGTGACAACAGGTCGACCTTGTAAAGCGCATAAAAGCGTTTCCACAAAGTGACTCAAGCAAAGGGTAATAAAAACTGGCCACAGCAGGGTGAACGACCCACGAGGCAGTTCATTGCTATCTGTTGGTCTATTCATACCGACCGCACTACAAGAATCAGAATATGATTCCCAGGGTAACAGTGTAGAGCTCATAGTGTATAAGAAGCCACCACCAGTAGCATGATCAGAGGAGAAGCGCTTGTCAACATGACCATATCGAATTGCAGGGTAATCGGTAGACGTCTGACATCGAATAGCGCGTAATAGATTCACGATCTGTGCTAGAAATAAAGCGATGGGTATTATGCGGAGCGCAAGGCGTTTCTTCCATGGGATCCTAATGTGCCGCCTCGACGACGCATATATCGTCACGCGATTGAGTATCAAAGCAACAGAAAAACAAGCCAAAGACCACCGACTCGTCATGTAGCTGAAGAAGCCACTAAATCTCCTCATTGCTTGAAAGACATCAGCCATGTTGAATGGACTGTCAGGGCCGCCATTCTCTGCGATTGCTTCGGCTATATGATTTGCTCCAATGGCTGCAGTCGCAGCTGCCCGGTCACCATCTCCTGCTCCAGGACCAAGAAGGCTACTTAAACCAGTTAAACGCGCGACATTGTGTGGGAGAGTGACGAACGTGAAAGTTTCGACTTGTTGAAATGCTTGCCATGGGGCTTTCAACAGTAACAGTGGATACGACGATACGTTGCTGGCTAGTGTGTTGTTGAGAGTATGCGCGGAGACCGAGGGGACAGGATCGCTGAAAGCCGACATTGCTTTCAAAAAAGGAACAGCGGAGGAGGTATACCCGGTTTCCTCAGTGATCCAAGTATGATCGCTGATAAAAAAGATGGGATGGTCTGTTTGATTTAGCAATAACCCATCAGTATTCGCCTGAAGAGAGCAGGACTTGGGGTCCGACACCTGGGAGGCGTCTTCCCTTGGTCATAACTCTGCGAGAGACGAAGCGCCTGAGGAGTGCACGAGAGTGCAAATGAATTATGGTATTAAACTGAGCCAAGGGTGCAAATGATGTGTGATGCTGACAAGGCAAAAGAGGAGTATATTGCTGTGTGATGTTGTCCCGGACTCCCGGTGCTATCGGGCGTAATACCTGGTGATCCCCGCGCCTCCGCTCCCGCCCCATCAAGAGCCTTGCCCAAAGGGAAATCCGTCAAGAGATGTCAGCTTGCGATTCGAGCTTTTTGTTTCAATCAGCACGAATTTTGAAGAGCGAACTGGCTAGCCTCTCATTACGCTTAAGTGTATACCTGGAAAGTACCAGTATATCGCTCTCCATTTGATCAAAAGGTATGTATGAGTTCGGAGAACTTCGCGACCTGAGATGCCTCATTACCTACTCTGTAGCCCTTGTGTATGGTGATTCAAAAGACTATTATATATATATATATATATATACATTCGACTTATTTCCACAGTCACGACCAGCCTGCGCCAGACACCCTCATGCAAAATCAAAAAAAGAACGCGTTGCCCGAAGCATCTCTCCTGGCTGATTTCATCTTTTCCAAGAACTCCGCGCCAGGCTCGTACTCACGCCAAAGACTGGCTGGAAATATGTGTTTATTTTTCTCATACCATCGTCGGTCAACCACCTTCGTCAATGTTGGATCCGCGTCGGCGCCTTCTAACTCCTCATCAGTTGGTTGTGAGTTTGGTCCGTCGTCTTTCACGGGAGGTACATTGGCTGAGAAATCGAACAACAAACCCCCGGCCTTGCCAAAACTAGGTACTTTGTTCGCAATAAAGTAATAGAACTCGTAATGCTATGACCGAGTCAGTATTACATTCAGGTATCAGCGGTAACTTAGGGAGAAAAGACTCACGTGAGGTACAATGATATCCCCTCGCACAAGCATGAGATCGTCAACACCGACTCTAGCCCATTCTCGACGGTGATCACGTTTCGCACGACTGCTCTTTTGAGCACCTCCCACACCCAGCTCGGCGCCAACTTTTCGACATCGGTCAAGGAACAGCCAGACGGGATCTCCTTTCTTAACTTTCACCTGCCCGGCAGGAATGTTTGTACCATCGTAGAAGACAAATGGTATTATGATCTCTGTAGCTTTGATCTTCTCTTGCATCGCCAAAAACTCTTTACGCAGTGCATCCCGCGCCTGAGCCTCAGCTTCTAGTGCAGCTTTCGTGAGTGTTTTCGGCGGGGGAGGAGCATTGGGGTTTGCGGTGATCTTGCGCGCTGGTATAGCGGGACTTGCTTCTGGTCGCTTCTTGGATGTAGGCTGGGGTGTCGCTGCACCGGAGTCGTCTCCAGTATCATTTGTATCATCATCATCTCCGAAAGATAATTTACTTCTCGCGAGTGCCTTTTTCTTCTTCTTTGGTCGACCGTCCGAGGAAACGGAACCGGGTGTCAACGCACTGTTCTTGGGCCATTAGCGATATTCCTACGACTTAAAACTGATGATATACTCACCCGTCTGCCACATCGCCTTGCGATGGCGTCCCTGTCCTCGAAGTACTGGATGTGAATCGTCCTAACGACTTATCATGCGCCTCACGCTCCTTCTGTTCAAGGACCTCTGCTCGCCGTTTGCGAAACTCCGAAAGATGGACTAGACCGACTGTTTGAGACTTAAGTAAGTCCTCCGCCGAAGCTGATTGATTTGTGAACGAGCGAGGAGTCGAAGTGCGACTCGGTGGATCGGACATGTTCTTGAAAAATACTTCAAGTGAAGAATGTCAGGCCGATGCGCTCCGCGATTTGAAGGACGTCATGCAGCCACGCGACTACAAAGGGATAGACGAGTAATTTGAGGAATCAGTCTGCCAGACAATAAGTGTCCGAACTTGAAATGTCAACAATAATAATCCACTGATTTGTATCTGAGTTGGGTTAGAAGCTTATCGACGCTAAGATCTGGGGCAAAATTTAAGTGCTCAAAGCTTCCGCTTCCGCTAGCTCGCCTGGACCAAATTGCTCCAACAAGCAACGTTTACACCTTTCGTACATACGACTACCCCAACATGGAGGAAGACGATGATGATCTCTACGACCCAGCGGACTCCTTCCCACCTCAACAGGAGCACAACAACTATAATCAGACAACAGAAGATACGAAGCCTGGTGACTCTTACGATTACGAAGAAGAGGAAGAGGACGATGATGTAAATAACAGCCTCTCACAGCAATCATTCGCGCGTCAAGAAGCTCACTGTCGATTAGGACGATTTCAATATTATCACAGAAGCTCCTACAGATGCAGGGTCGAATCTGTGAGTCTACTAATACGCGCAATTCCTTGATGAGTTCGCTAATTCCTTCGTGAAAGTGCACACCCACGACATGCCGCATTAATCGGGGAAAATCAACGATCAGCCTCAGTCGATATCAAGCCATCGACACCGACGGTTCCTGTAAAAGCTGAGAGTGCCACACCTGCGCCTATCCAAGGCAGACCGGTAGCGACTTTGAAGCCTGGTACAGAATATCCAGCCATACACACATCAACCATTGACGTGGACGCGAATCCGATACATCCCACCACAGGGAAACCCATAACTTCAACAGATCTTGATGCCGATTTCCCTACAGAAGATGACAAGCCATGGAGACGTCCCGGGTCAGATATTACGGATTTCTTCAATTACGGATTTGACGAGTTTACGTGGGCGAGCTACTGCCTTAAACAGCAGCAATTGCGCAATGAAGTGGCAGATCAGACGAAACAACTGGATGAAATGCAGGCTTTCATGTCGATGGGAGGCATGCCCGGAATGCCAGGCGCACCTACTCCCACGCCAGCGCCGCCAGCTCAAGCTGCTCCTGCTGCTGCAGGCATGCCGGGTATGCCTGCGATGCCCGGGATGCCAGATATGTCACCAGATATGATGCAGGGAATGCTTGCGAATATGATGGCTCAAGGTCTTGATCCGTCCGCAATGGATCCAATGAATTTCATGCAACATATGCAGGCCATGATGGGAGGCGGACAGCCGGGAGGTGGGCAGCAGAATCAGGGATACCCTGCACAAGGCAATCAACAGCAAATGGGTTACGGAGGTTATAATCAACAAGGAGGCTATGGTGGAGGACGCGGACGGGGTGGAGGTCGAAGGTGGTGACGAGATATGTATCTATATTGATTTCAATAACACTTCAGGTCGGACGGTATGGCGTTGATATTACCTTGATAGTCGCTTTGCGCAATATGGAATATACCCAATTTTATAGAAGTAAAGAGTATTAAGTCAACTGAAGAAGACAGAAACATCGGCAAGCCTCGGCTTTAGTTTCCGTGGAGATGGGATGGATGCCTTGGCGCCTTACCGTCTGGCCGGAGAAAGGCAAGTCTTGGCATTCTGGAAATTTCTCGCTCGGAATCATCCATTCATTCTTCTTGATCTCTCAATTCACTTCCTTTTATCCCAGCTTCACAATTTTACGTCTCTGTCTTGCAATCTATTAGCAATCACCCAGAATATCCACTATCGCAATGGTATGTCATGCCCCATGATCTCAATCCCAGCATTCCACAGCTCCGCGCAAAGCTCTCGAACCTCCCCGGATTGAAGCTCCATCCATTCAAATCATCCATTCATACGCCAACCTTGTCAGTTCACTAACTTCTTGCAAATAGGCTCTCCGCAACATCAAGAACCTCGTCCCCCTCCTGGACCGCGTCCTCGTCCAGCGCATCAAGCCCGAAGCCAAGACCGCCAGTGGTATCTTCCTTCCCGAAAGCACCGTCAAGGACATCAACCAGGCCACCGTCCTTGCTGTTGGTCCTGGTGCCCTTGACCGAAATGGAAATAAGATCCCTATGAGCGTTGCCAGTGGCGATAAGGTTTTGATTCCTCAGGTATGCTCTCCTTTGACATCCTTTGGCTGTTTGAGACGAGTTGTGGACTGATTGGGCTCCGAATAGTTTGGCGGAAGCCCCGTTAAGGTTGGTGACGAAGAGTATACTCTCTTCAGGGACTCTGAGTAAGTTTCAACTATACATTGAAAGGATCACGGGATAAAACATACTGACAATCCGGTTTAGGATCCTTGCCAAAATTAGGGAGTAGAGGGATTACCAATCCACTCCATAAGCTACTCTGATCATACCTCTTCTTTTCGCACAATGTACTATATCGAAACTTGTATTATCACGCCCGAAGAAACAAAAACCACCGGGGGGAAGGCGTTTCTTTCAGGAAGGAAAAAAGAGAAATTTACTTTTCAGTACACATTCTACACTGGGAAAGGATTCTGTTATTCTGACCATGTGCATGCGTGACGTGTGTTGTTGTTTCCAGCGAAATCTTGCATATTTGTCTTTGCTCCATTTTGATCTAATCAATACATGTGCTCCATCTCTTGGGGAGAGCTCCAATATGGCTTGTTGATAGCCTTCAGACCTTAGAATCTCCTCTCTGAATATACTACCTATCTTCATATATGGAGCATGTTTCATATACCCCCAATTCACGCCAAATCTGCAGCCCAATCGACTTGCCAGTCCATGTCGATCACTTTTTCTACTCTGGAGAGTACTCTGTACCCTAAAATCTCCTGGAACATGTCCCTCCTTGCTTGGCAGGGCATCTTAACAAATCTAAATAAGGCACTCGCCTGGTTGGAATTGGCTGGGTATCTGGGATCCGTTGAGCTTGTCCTGAGTAAAGCGAGAACGCTTTGAGCAGCGAAAGGGTTGAAACCTGCATTTTGAAGGAACGCCTCCCACTGTGTCTGGTCATCATGAAACTGCTGCGCGACAGCTGTCGCCGCCTTCAAAGGAGAAGTGAGCAGCATCATGTCGGTTGTATGTTTCGTTGCTATTGCCAATATCCACTGAAGCACATGGTCTGTGGTAATGATCAGCACCTTGATATTGCACGCATGATTCAGTGAGACGCAATAGCTCGTCAAGTCTCTTATGGATTCTAGAGTCTTTATGTCCATTCGAATAGGGGACCGAACGAACACATAGAGTGTTTCATACCGCGGAGCAGTTTGAATAATCCTCGCTTTCAACGGAGATTCTATACCCGGACGTCCCTGCCCAGGTAGATATTTCTGCGCTGTTTCATAGGAGTTCGCAAGAATGATTCCAGTAGTAGGAGAGACTATTAAATCCGCTTCACTGATGACATGCGACTGACTACTCTGTGCTTCTTTGTAGTCACGGAAGACAAGCCGTAAAGACTGGGAAGACGATATGCCTTCCAGAGACCGAACAAGAGTGCTGTCAGAGCGCAGTAAACGTGTAGACATTATCAGAGTGAGCGGCACACTGCATTTTTCCGTCAAGTTCTTTGGGTACAGGTTGAGGTCGTGAACTTCATGCGAGGCAACAGGCGAGGATGGCACTTTGGTATGTTCGGTAGGCTTTTCAAGAGTGTCAAGTTTGTCTGGGCTAGTTTCTGTCCTATCCTTGGATGTGCTGTTGAAATATCGACTTTCATTGTCAAGCTTTCGACGTTTATTTTTGTGACATCTCGTCTGCATGAATGCTGATAGTGTACCTAGAGACCCGGAAAATGAGGTTACGGAATCGGCGACAGAGGGAAGTTTGCTTTTTGATCCTAGGTGTCTCTCCGAGTCCTCTGTCGCTTCGTCTATCGGCAGAGATGTTGTCTGTTGATTGGTGATAGCGTCTTCAGTCACCAGTTCGTTGGCACTAAAAGTGTCACTGTCACTGTCACTACTGTGACGGGGTGCTGATATATCATTGCACTCATGCTGCTCTTCACTTTCGATATAAAGTGGTGTAGGTGTATGGGTAATAGGGGCCTAGATAATGTGAGAATATGGTCCATCCCACAGCTGGGTTGTCTTAAGGAGTATTCACTCACTACTTCCAAGATAGTGCTGGTAATCAACGCCTCTACGCCCTTCCTATGCTTCTCCTCATCAAAATACCCCATGACATCCTGTAAAACGCGCACAGTGTCCTTGGAAGCGTCAAGCTTTTCGGTGCTTGGGTCTCTATCAAACATGCTCGGCAGTTCCCAGAAGTACTCGGGAAACTCAAGTCCTTCATCAATACTAGCTCTCTCTCGATCCGCCAGGTCTGGGACTATCTCGTTCAATAGTTCGACGGGGTCGGTCATTTTGGTTGATGCATGCAGCCTACTTTCCTTTTCGATGGAGAGCAGTGGGCCGTCTATCTTCAGATCGTCTTGATTCTGATATTTAGGGCATTCGAAAGAGATCGGTTCTTCGAAATTGTGATCAGGAGTGGCCTGTAGTGATATTACCTCTCGTAAGACGGACGATAAGAATCTAGCTCCGTCTTTGTCAAGAACCATTTTCTCGTTTCTCGTCTCAATAGTTGTTGTGTAACTTGAGAATTTCGGATTCTCAAAATCGAGAAACTGTGATGTCGAGCCCATCGGAGGGTTGCGTTGTGCACATTCAGAGTCGCGAACCTGGTCAAAGAGTTGCATAGGATCAAGCTGTTGATGGTCTTTCGCGATACCATGTGTTCGTGCGTATTCAAGCACAGAGGTTTCCTCGAGGCCATCCATAGCTGCATTGTTTGAAAAATATGAGGACCTCTCAAGATCCCATGGGGGAAACTGAATTTGAGGTTTTGGGAAGGGAATTAGATGAAAAGTGACGGTTGTTGAGAACGACGGAGAAGGAGTGCAAGACGGGCGATGATCTGCCCTAAGAGGAAATAGCAGCCAACATCAAAAGTATAGAGCTTGTCGGATCATTGTTATTGGAAAAAACGGGAAGACGGTGTGGAAAACGAGTACGCTGACCGAGAAATCGTACGCGCTTCTTATTTAGGGGTAGTAAGCAGGTTTCATACATATTTTCATCACATAATGTACAATCATTCATTATTCAACTATCCAAGTCGACCCATTCCAAGAGTCGGGGGCCCAAGAATCAATTCCTGCACTTCCTCCTTCACACCACCCAACCTGCTCGCGACACCCAAAATACCAGCTTCAACATCTCCCAGAGCAGCAGCGAGGTCTGCCAATTGGTTCTTAGCGCCTCCACCTGGAGCACCGTCGTCACGATTGCGCGAAGAAAGAAACTCGTTAATTTGCCTGTTGAGTGACCCTTCTACACCGTGAAGATGGTCTTCAATTTCTTTAAGATTCTTCCTGTAATTGTCGAGAACTGTGGACATTTCATCTGACCGGTGCGAGAAGTACTCGACCAGGTTTGTGGGTATGCCATTAATCGAATCAGCGGTAGATGGATCACCTTCAACGCCGTCAGGTAGCGCGAGGGTGCTCTTGCGATTGCGGATAGAGGATCGCAATGTCTGGCGCTCAGATAGCTGTTGCTCGGAGACAGACCACCAGCCTCCGCCTGTAGATTGATATTGCAATGGCAGTTTGAGATTGTCAATCGCACGGAATGCTACTTGAGCCTCTGCTGCATTTCGTGCTACCATGTTGCGAACTGCATCAATATCACGAGCATCGTTCTCCAAGGCTAGTTGGATAGTTTCGAGCTTCCCTGACACAAATTCAACATCGTTCGGGACCGTAGAACCTTGACTCGCGACTGTAGGTATAATATCGGCGACTTCGTTGCATGTTTTAATCTGAGTCAGAATATATGTGTCGATTTGTTCTATGGTTCTTTTAATCTCATCCGCACAGCTCTCGAATTTTGTGGTTGGCAGAAGATTGCTAGCATCTATTCTGACACCTTGCACGACCGTCCCTTGAGCAGCTGCTGCCTGTGGCTGTTGGGTGGTTGTATTCTGCGCTCCAAAGATAGATAGCGTCGGTTTTTGCTGTTGCTGGGTTGCATTTTGAGTATTACCACTGCCCAAGTCAGAAAATCATAGATCATGAATGGTGCTCGCTGCTTTATACTTACAAAAGACCCGTTCCAGTGGTAGACGGAGTTGTCCCAAAAAGCGACTTTGTTTGAGTTTGAGTGTTGGTTCCCTGATTTCCACCGAATAGACTGCTACCACCTGCCGTATTCTGCTGCTGGGTGTTGGCGGTATTCCCAAAGAGCCCTCCACCAGTAGTCCCTGTCTGCTGTGTGTTCGTATTGCCAAACAACCCAGAGCTGGGAGTTGCAGGCTTTGCTGTATTTCCGAATAAACCTCCACTTGCCATGCCGCCCTGCTGTGTGCTACTCGACGTGTTCGCACCTTGTCCACCGAACAATCCTCCCCCAGTTGTCTGTGTGCTCCCTGCGTTTCCAAAAAGGCTTCCGGTGGGCTTCTGTTGGTTTCCGAACAAGCCCGCTGTGGCAGGTTGTGTTGTAGACGTTGATGTGTTAGAGCTATAAAATGTTAGTGGAGGATTCTCAGTTGACTCATACCACTTTGCAAATGTGATGTGTCTTCTGTAAACTAGAAGATACATGAACGCTTGGAAGAACAATGAACAGTAGACTTTGGACAGCAAAACCGTGGTATCGGGATGAATGACGAGAAAACAAGAAGTATCCAAAAGCGAACATAAAATAGTAGAAGAAAGCAGGGACTCAAACACTCACAATAAGGAATTAGCTGTGGATGTGTTGATAGATAGCCCACCAGTGGCTGGCGCAGAAGTTTTTGCAGAGAACATCGCGAAATCGAGCGGAATAGGGTATCTTTGAAGAGAAAAGGAATAAAACAGCACGCGCTGCGGGACTCTCAGACTCGGCCCCTTGCTTTGATTGCTGCAACTTACAGCTCTGTCTTCTTGAATTCGTGTTCGCGCGAGCTGTCGGAAGAAAGAGAGCTCAAAGAATGCCGCAACGCACTATTCCCAAAGAGGTTTAGGCTCCTATACAACGATATAAATCATCATTGACGAATTTACAAACTAGACTATATTAACGTGGATTTCTGAGCTTAAGTCCCTAGACTCTGTCATCGAACAGCTGCTACAATTTTGCCCATCGAGTCGTATTGCAGCGTCTGCAGCCTCGGTCTTGATGGGCGCGAATACTGGGGATGTCGACGATCACGGTTCCGGGTTGAACCTGTCATGTGTGGCTGTCTGCAATGCTTCGGATATATCCGAGCCTTCAATAGCGAAAGGTGATCTTAAAGGCGACTTGCAAACAATAGACTCGAATTATTTCAAGAGCGCAGAATGGTGGGCGGCACATTGCATTGATTTACCAAGAGGTTCACGCTGACAGATCCCTAGGACACCGGACGGGACATCAGTAATAACTACATCTGCGGATAATCATATTAGAACATTCATCCTGTACGACGCTCTCCCATGATGATTTATTACGATTGTTGCTAATTCATAAAAGGCCGCCAGATCTCCTCGAGGATAGAGAATATCCCCTGGACTTGAAGCCATATTCAACACTTCCTTCTATGGAACCAGTATACGCGACTGCAATATATCCGTTTTTCAATCTCCAGGACCCTTCAACTACGCTAATTCTATCCTCAGTTCGAGATCACCCTATAAGACTCTCATCAGCATTAGCACCTCAAAGACTGGGCACATACTCTCTGATAAATCCGTCAACCGAGGCCTTCATTGCACCCCATTCGATTATATATCCCGCACATCTCGGAGGCACTCAATTCATTACAGGATCAGATTCTCTGATATGCATTTTCGACGTTTCTCGCACCGGAAATGAGGGCCCAATTACTCGGTTGCCGACAATCCCAAGCAAGCGGAAGCAAATCGTCGGTGGCGGTGTCGGGATGAAGGGAATCATTTCCACACTTGCCATGAATCCTGCCCAAGATGGAATACTAGCTGCTGGTACCTTCACTAGAAACATTGCTTTATATGGCTCTAGAGGAAGTGGCGAACTCATTGGGACATTTAGTATTGCCAAGTCGCAAGCTGATAGAAACATAGGAGGTACAGGGATTACGCAGCTGTTATGGAGTCCTTGTGGCAGATATTTGTATGTGGTTGAGCGCAAAAGTACAGGCATGTTGGTCTACGATATACGGGTCACTGGTCAACTGCTGGGATGGCTTGAGGGGCGAGAAGCGATTAGCAACCAGCGGATGAAAGTAGAGGTTATTGCCGTAGATGATGACGGCTCGCATGAACTATGGGCGGGCGGAACAGACGGTATAGTGAGGATGTGGAAGAACCCTCATACCACGGTTGGCGGGCACGAGCCAAACTTCTCATCCAAGATTCATGATGGTGAGTAGACAACATCACAGCTGACCAATCTGAACTATACTAATGCCAATGCATAGATCCCATAACTAGCTCGGTGTTTCATCCAGGTGGCAGTGTATTAGCAACGTGCTCGGGACAAAAACGATTCCCAGATTACGATGACGATGGAGTCCAGCAACCGATTCAAACGAGGAATGATGATAGTTTGAAAATTTGGGCACTTTGACGCGGATCTGTAAGTCAGTAACGCGAATCTGCGATGTGACATGATTGAGAATTTGATCAATATGATATCAGGCTAGCATCTTGCTGACATCTTACGCTCTCAGTCGACAATGACGATAGCTATGCATTTTAATACTTTGAAAGCGGGACCACAGGCTCCTTTGCCTCAGCGACTGGCAATGGCAATATCCGAGCGGAACTTTTGGCCTCGTGTAGGCCATTACATCTCAATAATTGCTTGGATGCGGCCAGGCCAAGCTTTCGTACTCCGATCGTCCCTGAGATAGGGCTAAGTTATCTGATAAGCTTTCTTCAAAGCTTATAGAAACTAAGCCTCTCTACTTTTGGCCGTCCAATGGATCCATTATATTCAGTCTTGCTGCCGATTCAGGTCTGCACTAACTTGAAAATCAGTGGATCAAGGTTCTGCAGGCTTGCTTCAGTTATGGATTTCCAGACATCACCATGACATTTGAATAAGCGTACCCAGGTAGTGAGTCCGATACCATATTGCTAAGACATCAACAATGAACCCGTCGTGAAATCTTCCTAAGCGTTGACTCGTTACGCCTACCTACATCTTTTTGAGTGAAAGATACTCCCAGCCCCTCTCAAGGTAGCCACTAGGAGTAACTCTTCAGAGGCCCAGCAACAAGTGAAGGGGGAAAGATATGGAGTATGAATCGTCATGTAGAGCAGAGAGTTGGTATTCTCTTTCCTTAGCTGGAGGAGATATGAAGACCATCAGGGGCAGGCTATCACATATGATTAGATAGCCATATGTGAGCTCTGTTGATTTTTGTGTAGCTACATCCGGGGCTCTGGATGACCTATTGATATGTCTATTCTGTCTATATGAACATTCTCATCTATCTAGCAGAATGCCGATGTATAAATCACAAACTTTTCTTCAAACTCTATGGAATCACAATTCCATACTCCCCATACGGGAAATTCTCCAGCGTAGAAAATATACGAGCAAACCCATCATTCAGCTTCCCCGGCGTACCCGAATTATTAGTCTGAGCCAAGCGCTCGCCCTGCAATTCATCCGCTTCCTTCTCAGCATCGGTCTTTTCTTCCTCCTTGTGTTCTCCAGTAAGACCCGCGAGAACCTCCTCCTCTCGACCCTTATACACATCCAGAACATTCGGATGCGGACACCAAACAACCTGCATTCCTGCACGACGACCAGCCTCGACACCGGGTACGGCATCCTCAAAGACCAGACATTCTTCGGGTTTGATAGGCTCTTCTTCCTTCTCGCACAGCTCCTGGTTGATAGTCTCCAGAGCAAGCAGGTAAATATCCGGCAATGGCTTTCCGCGCCCTTTGCCAATACGTGGATCATCACCTAAGACCTGCCTAGATTTGGGGAATAGAGAGAAAAGATCCTGTAAGTGGCCGGTTTTGAGTTCATAATTTCGTTTGTGAGACGATGTCGCCAAGGCAATATACACAGGTTGAGAGGTGTTGCTTGTGGCATGAAGATCATTAAGCAATTTCACAACACCGGGTAATGGTGCAGCCTCGGGAAAGAGCTTTTGTTGCTTTTCTGCTATTTTGGCTGCATATTCGTCTCGTGAAATTGGTAAATGTGCCCAATCATGGAAGATTTTCGTCGCCTGTATGTATGTCTGTTAACTAGTGGTTATTCGGGGGTTTGGTGGCGTAAGTCGTACCTCAGGAGCAGGCCGACCTTGTAGCTGGGCCTTAAGAGACCATGGCATGTTAGGCTTCCCATATTCTTGTAGAACAGAATTTGTGATGGTCGTGTAGATATCTTCTGTGTTTAACAGGAGACCGTCCATGTCAAAAAGACAGGCCCTGATGCGGGGTAATCTTGATCGCAGTTAGCTTCTGTCATACCACATAGAAAGAAAAGGACCTGGACACGTACTCGGTTGATGGCATTGTGATTCCTTGAATTAAGGAGCCAGGTGAGAGACAATTTTACAGTCCTATTGGGGATGTCGAAGTGAAGAGGCGGAATTGATGATTGCTGATGTCGTAGAACAAGATGTGGACCTGGAAATTCAACCACTTTTTATACCAATAATTCGTCTTCTTATACCTTCTAGCACATGAAGATGACACAGAGCCGTTCCCTGGGAGATGTAGACAAAGATTTCTGCAGGTATCACAGAGTCGGTGCAGGACTTGAGGACAAAGTCCGTTGGTTTCTTTATTTTTTTGTCGTTCACGGAGGACTCTGATTGGCTGGAAACATTCTATAACTGTTACCTGGCCTCTTCATTTGAACTTGGATACTGATGGTGGATGGAGCCCCTGATTAGGGCTTGTATACTGCTTGCTTGGATCATTTCTTTTGAGACTTCTGTTAATGATGTTTACATTTGATGTCGAGGTTTCGAGCATTCGTACATGCATTTCAATTGGTTGAATTACTATCGAATCAAGTAGCTCTGCAGCCACCATCTACCTATGTTCGAAGTCAAAAGATTCAAGATATTCTTGCTTCTTTCTATATATATACACGTCGAAGTATTCTCTGCATGAAAGGTACCTTGAGACTGTGTGACATGAATTTAGACTCTGTGCGGGGAATGGAATACGGCTGAAATACATAATACCGTACCGTATATTACAGTACAGCTTCCAAGGCAATCGTACATTTTTTTCTAAGCTTCCTTTTGACACTTACATCTATTCATCAATCAACCTTCATACCTTTTGAAGAACAATATAACGCTCGAAATTAAAAGTGTGCATTTGTATGATGCCAGTACGTGATCTGACATTTTCCGGAGCAGAAGAACCGAGAGCCAGCCGGTTGTCTACACAGTCAGGACTAATACTTGCCGGAACACAGGTCAGCGATCAGCACATCACTGAACTAGACACGTGAAATGGCGCAACCAGATTTTGATAGACCGGATCAGAAAAGTGCCTCGAATGAGACAAATGATGCCGACTCGGACGACGAATTCCACGATGCCCGTTTCCCCGCAGACGAAGAAGCTGTACGTGCGCTGCGCGCCCTCGCCCTTAAAGCACGGCCGAGCTAATACTACGAACAGAGACTATTAGAGGAATCGAACAACTGCAAAGTCGAGGCAAACAAACAGTTTGTTGCTGCCGCCTATTCAGATGCCATCTCCACGTACGATCGCGCACTTGCCTCTTGTCCGAATTACCTCGATTACGAGATTGCGGTGTTGAAGAGCAATATTTCAGCTTGTTACCTGAAACTGGAAGACTGGAAAGCGGCTGTTGACTCAGCGACTGCAAGCATCAAAAATCTGGATAGATGCCTGCCGGAGTCCATACCAGCCGACAAAGACGACAGTACCAAAGCTTCAGACGAGGGAGCAAACGCTGTAATCGAGCTTCCGGACGATGAAGAAGACGAGGCGAAGCAGCTCGAGCGTCTTCAACAAAATGATAAGCGTCGGAATGATATCAAAAGGATCCGCGCCAAGGCATTGATGAGACGGGCTCGCGCAAGGACAGAACTGGGTGGTTGGGCTAATTTGCAGGGCGCGGAAGAAGACTATAAGGAACTGGCAAGAATGGATAATCTGCCCCCGCAAGATCAAAAAGTTGTACAACGAAGATTACAAGAATTACCGCCTAGGGTTCAAGCTGCGAGAGAAAAGGAAATGGGAGAAATGATGGGGAAATTGAAAGACGTGAGTGTTCACAGCGTTTCTCCAGATGAACTGAGTGGATGCTGACTTCAAATAGTTAGGAAATGGCCTTCTGAAGCCCTTTGGACTATCAACAGACAACTTCAAATTTGTCAAGGATGAGCACACGGGAGGATATAGCATGCAGTTTCAGCAAGGGGGTCAATCATAGTAACATCGCGAGATAGCTCTAAGCTGATATTACCATTTCTTTGGGACTTGTAACAGCTTGACAGGTGGGATTGGCTTATCCACCGGGCGTATTCCTCTTCAGCTATGGACACACCCGGGACTTCTGTTCATCCTCATGCGCGAAGACGCTGAGGGGCCATGTGCACTCAACTGCATGTAGGAACGACCGCACTCGGACTATGTCATGGCTTTGCATGGGAATGCGGAGGGTATCTTGCCGGTCAGGGGTAACGATTATCCGTCACAGGATCCGGTAACCAAGGGAGCGGGAGCAACACAGCCGATTGGCATTCCAAGTCAGATCCTAGACTAAAACTCGGAATATATACCTATGTAGTAGAGCATCATACGTACCGGGAAGTGCCTAGGTACTCTAAGCCTATGGAGTGCGGAGAAACCCCCTTTCCCCGCGTGGGAATTACCGACCTCACTACCCGAGCTCACTCTGGTCCCTCAATCTTCGGTGAAATATAGCTTCTTCTCCGTTTCTTCATTGCTCTGGATCTGATTCTCGCCTATAGTGTATACCAGCAAGAAAGTGCAAACAAGCATGACTGCCCTACTACAAACGACATATCTCGGCCAAGTCCAAGGCAAAAATATTGATGGCGTCACGCATTATCGCGGCATCAAATATGCTTCTCTGAGGAATAGGCTCGCAGATGCAGAGCTCATTACCTCTAGGTCACCTAATAACGGTATTTTAGATGCAACAAAATACGGGTGAGTGAGTCGTATTTCCCGACCCGCGATCGATGAAGAATATTGACAAGTTCTCGATAGGCCAACGGCTGCGTCCCCGGTCAATGGATGTGATCTTGAACAAAGTTTCGTCCAAAAGGCATTACCAAAACAGGAACTGCCGCAGTCTGATACAGAATGTCTTAATCTGAACATTGCCGTGCCAGAGGGAACGACCTCTACCTCAAAGCTCCCTGTTTTGTTGTTCATACATGGCGGTGGTCTGCACATTGGAGCCAACTCATGGCCACAGTTTGACTGGACTCGAGTAATCAAGTTGTCGGTTGAGAAGGGGGTTCCTATTTTGGCTGTGGGACCAAAGTATGTTCTTATCCGGAATTAAATAAGTGATATATAGGGACTGACATTGTATAGCTATCGTCTCGGTGCATTTGGATTCATGACTTCGGAAGAACTTCGTGCCGCAGGATACAAAGCAAACAATGGTTTCCGCGACCAAAGGACTGCAATAGCATGGGTGCATAGGCACATTCGCGACTTTGGTGGAGACCCAGATAATATCACACTTGCAGGAATGAGTGCCGGTGGAGGTAACTATCCAGTCGAAACTGCTCCTTACGCGAGTGAACCTTGGAAGACTGACAAACCTACCAGGCTCAACCACACAACACCTTCATTCCACTACCCCTTTATGCAAACGCGCTCTCTCAATGAGTGGGACAAATATTCTCATGTACCCTCTGCCATATGTATTACATGAAAGAAACTACGAAACGGCTATCAAAGCGTGGGGTCTCGATAAGCTCTCGCCAGAAGATCGTGTCAAGGCGATTATCGAATCACCAGCTGCAGAGCTGGTAGCGAAGCTTCCTCCCAGTGTCGCTCCTAGCTTCGCCGTGGACGGCGACTTGATTCCCAATCCGCCAACTTTTGCTCAAATCTCGGATAAATCTACGGCTAGCTATCCCGTTGGAAAGAGTTGGTGCAAAGAGATACTTATAGGAGATGCTCAACATGATGTTTGTCCCCGTTCCTCAGCTGACTAATATGGGGTTGTATACTGACAAAACTCGTATAGTCTAGTATACTCGGCCAAACTCTTGGGTTTCAAGCCAAAAATGCTGCATCGCGTTTTATAGGCGCTCTCACCAGTGTCCTTTCCGCATACCCAGCTGAAATCTCGTCGCAAATATTGGACTCGTACGGAATATCCTCAACAACGCCGGATAAGGACGCATTCGACCGTATTCTCGAGTTCTTGAATGATATATTGTTTCATGCGCCGGTCCTCGCATATGCAGCGGGGTGGCCTGAAGACGGCAATGCATACGTATATTACTTCAACGAGGAAAACCCATTCGAAGGTCCCTCAAAGGGCCGGGCAACGCACATTCTAGACTTGGCCTATTTCTATCAGAATTATAATGACTACCTCACGCCGCAGCAGCAAGAGGTCGCACGAGCTTTTGCTGAAGATCTCATCAGGTTCGTTGCTGGACAGGCACCATGGGAGCCCTGCAAGGACCTTGGTGAGGGTTTCAGAGCGAGGATCTTCGGCCCAAGTGACAAGCAGCAGGTGAGACGAGTTGTAAAGGATGCATATGGCGGCGAGAGTCAGAGAAGAGACGTGATTCCCAGGCTTGCTCGCGAGCAGGGTGTACACTTGGATGCTTTGGCGGGAGTATTCCCTGCTTTTTTGAGTAGTTTCTCGCCGTAGGTAGCACTGTTTGATATTGATTATACACTGCTACTATTGAGTCATGCTATCTGCAGCAAGCATATGAAAAACTCTGTAATTAAAGAATAAGCGCTGAATCAGATGGTGGGTCGACTTGCCTACATGGGTAACCGGCCTGTCAGGGGGAATTCCGGGGTGTGGAGCACCCTCCCCACCCGTCCCACATGATGCGGGATGAACTTTATACGTGTCAATGGAGATTTACCCTATAGTTCTCGTCTTTGCTTTCTTTTGCCGTTCGGACGTGTCAAGAAAGCAAAATAATCAAAATGGCGACCATGCATCATGCACAATTGAATGCAACATTCAACGGCGTAACAGTAGACTATACAGGTACCAAAGTCAACAAGTTCAAGGGCATCAAGTACGCTCATATTTCCGCTCGATTCGAGAGAGCACGACCGATCTCGGGTGAAGAATTGAGTGGAAACATAATTGACGCTACCCAGTATGGGTATGTATCATCATCAAGCCATGTCAGATCGAATGGGAATTGCTGAATCTCCTGATAGTCCGAGATGTCCGCAAGTCGACGTCGATGTTCGTCACTTATTACGGATCCCCGAAGACTTTGAGATCAAGGAAGAAGTTGAAGATGAGTTTGAATGTTTGAATTTAGACGTCACGGTTCCGACAGATATAACGAATAATCAGAAGCTACCGGTTTTGGTGTGGATATATGGTGAGTTTTACATCTATCTACTTATCTCTTAGACTGAATGTGTTGAAAGCTCATATCATGAATAGGTGGCTCTCAGGCCGTAACGTTTTGCTCTTCTGCTTCCGGTATCTGTGGTATGTCTATAAATTGTCTCTGTGGTGGGAAACAAAAGCTCATACCAATAGATACAACAAGAATTGTTGCCGAATCAGCCAAGGCCGGAAAGCCAATTATCATGGTAGCTATGAATTACCGACTAAATATCTTTGGTTTTGGAGACGGTAAAGGTACGGCAGAAGTCAATCTATCTCTCAAGGATCAAGCGCTGGCAATCGACTGGGTTAGACGATATATTCAGGGGTTTGGTGGTGATCCTGTAGGTACACCCTAAGGCTAACGCAGGTTGTATCATTCACTCATGACTGTTATTTTACAGGAGAATATTACTCTTTGCGGAGAAAGTGCTGGTGCCGTCTATGTACACGCTCATCTCATAACTGGCCCTCCAGTCAAACGCGCTATTCTCATGTCCGGTTCTCTATACTTGTCACCACCAATGCCCGTTCAGTTGGGAAAAGGTTTATTGGAAATTTGTGAATCCAGGGTTCAGGAACTGGAGGGTAAATCGTTGCGAGAATGTAGCCAGAAAGTGTTTAAGCAGATGCTGACAGAGAATAATCTATCTCGCTGCTGGATGCAGGAAGAAGATGTTTTGGCGAATTGGGAGAATATGCCGGAAAGGGTCGATGAGGTGATGATTGGCGAGACGGAATTTGAGGTATATCTTTTCTCCCCTTTACATAACTATTGTAAAGCTGACATGTGATTCCATCTGAACAGTCGGTAATATGGCGCAGAGGCATCGAGACTCTCTCCCCATCCGACATAATATCCATATTCACAGAGCCCAACCCAGAACTAGGTGACAAAATTCGCAAAGCATATCACATCTCCACCGATCGTCCAACATCCAGCACTTTAGGAGCATTAGACCTCCTTCATGACACAAAATTCACTCTCCCCACCGAACTCGTCTCGGAAAAACTCATCGCCAATAACAAAAAAGTATATCGATACCTCTTCGATGAAGTCAATCCATGGCAAGCATCGTCCCGAGCTCATCATGCCGTTGATATCTTGTTCCTGTTCGGTACGATGGATTTCTCACATAATCCCTCCGCGGAAGCATTGGGCGAAGACATGCGGAAAAGATGGATCAGTTTCGTGAGCGGCAGGGAAGAGCCATGGTCTGAGTTATCCGCAACAAAGAAGATGTTTGCCTTTGGGCCTTATGGGGAGAGTAAGGAGATTGATCAGAGACAACTTGCGGCGAGGAGAAGGGTGCATGTGCTGGGGTTGTTGAGGGAGGTTGGACCGCAGGTTTACGGGGGAATCGCAAACAAGTTGGCTGCTGGGAAGATTAGTCTGCTCAACTAACGACCTAGGTAAAGTAATGATCATAGAACCTATTCCGCATATAGGACTTTGCGGTATTCTGGTCAATGGCCTGTCATGTGAAATTTGGATTTCTTTTCCATTACTGCAGCCAAATGTCTGTACAACTATTATAATGCTACAGGCCCTTTCAGTAGCATTATAGTGACATCAATTACAAACATCAAGACCAAATCAGGTATTTGGTACATAAGTGTCCTTATCAACCTTGGAATACCTCCTTTGTACCATTCTCTCCTACCACACTATATCAAGTGATAGCTTCTTATGAAGGTATAGGGTGAAGTTGCATCTTGACTAAGCTGACTTTTGTTTAGCTGCGAATCATATTCTTTACACCAACCATCACAAACTCTGTCCAATCTTGTGCAGAATGATCATCCTGCCAAGCGCATCATCAAAGACTTGTCTTCAGGACTGGTATCTTTTTGGCATTTGCTGATTCAGCCCATAGCTTCCACTTCCCAGGTTTGTATCAACTGACTTATAAGTATGCCCATAACCGGAAGTAATTTCTAGCTCGGCACCATGCATACATCTCAGTGGTATATTTACGATGAATATCTTCTTGGGTACGATATGTGCCGTTGTGATTCGGCATCAGAGGATGCATGTTATAGTGACGACTAAAGATCTCTAGCGCTATGTCTCTCTCGGAGATACTTAAAGTCTTAATGCAACCTTTTTTATCAAATTTCATGGATTGTAACTCGCACCAACACCTGCTATACCAATGGATTCTATTAGATCGGCGTACAGGCAATGAACCCCAGCATATTTCTAGGTTTGGAGTAATGTTTTGGACATCGCCTGGGAAGTAGTAAGTTCGAGTATTGGTCTTGTTCGAGTCTTTGAGTTTAACTCGAATTGCACGCTTTACATACCAGGAACACAGTTGAACTGTCGTAGTTGGCCATACCCGCTGGATAGCAGCTATCTCTAACATATCCTTATCACATCTCATAAATGTTGGATCAATTCCAGATGACTTCAATGGGTTGAGAAATTATTTAAGGACATGAGTCGTTGCTCCTTTATCCATATGCTTGGATCCATCTTCTGAGGGAAGTACTTCAATAAAACAATAAGCTAATGGAACACTAGTTCTATTAGGTTCAGCCAGCACAGCAAATAAATCTATTCCCTTATTGTTAGTTCCATAAATCGCATCTATTGCCAATTCCTTTGCTGCTGATGCTAGACGAGTGATTGAATCGCAGATATAGATAGCCAATCTACGCCCGTTTCTGGACGTATAAATAGTATGTTGGTAATTCTCTGACACGTCCACGAAAAGAAGCGTTGCAGACGCAAATTGATCAGCGTCACATCACTATGTACTTAGATTTGCTTGCTATCATTGATAGTATGTCTGATGCTGAGCAACATTTACAACCCCAAGAATCTCAGAAGCTAAGAGATCGCGGTATATTTCAGAAGGCGTATAGGTCACAACACGTGCATTAACAAATTTCAGAAAAGCAGGTGATATGTGAATTTTAATGTATAGTGAGTGGTATAAGTGTTGTAAGGTGTTGTAAAGTGAGAGTAAGCATTCGATCCTCCAAGACAGTCGAACTTCAGCTTATTTTCACATGGAAATCTTTCCATACGCCTAGTATCACGCTTTCCTTGCCTAACAGATCTAGCCTCCTTGGAGCTGTCTTGAGAGTAATGATACTCATATACAAAGCTGGAGGATTCCTCTGTTGTCCGTCTAACTTTATATTAAGAGGTATGCTCTGGTTCTGTTCTTATTAGTCAGCAAAATATAGGACATAATAAGGTCATAAGAATATACAGAATGATTCCAGTCGCGAATCTCGCTCATGATCGTGTCCTAGCCATCAAATGTTAGTGAGACGCGTTTCTTTTGGAGCCTATAGCATGTCTTCTTCTGTTTTCCTTGTTTTTTTGTCTGAAATTTATCAGAAGAGTGATAATGCTTGTAATTTGAGCACCAAATTCGGTTCTCTAGATCCATCGGAGCTATACAAACCTGCACATTAGTACTCCTCAATATCAGCTTACACTCAGTCGGGTCAAGCGAACTATGTACCCGACAATATCGATACAATTTCATGGCCAAAGAACGTCAAGCAGATCATTATTGACTTGGTTGCATTCATTGATATCCCACCAGCTTCGAATCTGACTCTCGCTCCTCTGGATACCATGGCGGTTGAGGTTGAAGAACGGACCGCTGGATACACACGGCAGAATGCAATGTAGCCACTACAAAAGTGAACACTAAAATACATATCACTGATGTTACATCCTCTGGTTTTATGTATATCTTTTCTCTTTTATATCGTCTCGTGAAATCCTGTAAACTCCGTGGAGTTCCCCAGATTACCCGAATCTGTACAGAAGTATCGCCGGTTCTTTTTACTGTGATGATTGACAATGCAGTCTAACAGCATCTTCTCATAAATCTGCAATTAAAATAATACTGGACGTCCTATACACATTTGAAATCTCTTCAAGACACAAAAATGAAGAGAACGTAGAAGAAGAAAGATTTCGGGAAATTGTCATTCCCTACCAAAATAGTTTGCAGATTATGAATACAGTATTACTGACTTTTCCAACCTTTCCAACTTCCCACACTCTCTCTCTTTTGCTCCGAATGCTGCGCTCCATTCCTTCTTTCTCGAGAGAAGACTACCTCTCTATGAAATCACCGCCGTTAAACCTTGAGCGGTTAAAGCCAGTGCTGTACAGTTCTCTGTCACGCCACCGGTGACGGTGTAGACCAGATCAGGGCCCTCTAAGATGTCAGCACCATTATCAGTGTCTCCTACAAGGAATACCTTGTTCAATTGACCCTGGAGATCACACACGAAAGGAAAATAGTAATTCCCTAGCGTGTCCATCGCCACCAACATGGTATCTGAGCCTACAGAAAACGGGACCAGGTTGAGGAGCTGAGCTCCCTGAGGGATCTCACCCCAGGCACCAAGGCGAAGGCGGGACGCTCCAACCTGCGATATAGTCTGAGGGAAGTAGTAGAGCAAACGAGAAGAGTCGTCCCCAATGATCGCGTTTAGGGTAGTGTCCGCGACAAAGGCGGTCCCATTGGTTAGTGGACTGAGGTCAGTTGTATCATTTGCCACGGAGACAAACAGGCTGCCATTGACTGTCGGATTCAGGAGGAGAGTACCTGTAATATCCGTGATGGTGATGTCAGTGATGGTATCGTTAGACGCGTAAGTCGAGTTGGCGGAGGATATGCTCGTGCTGTTGTCTCGTCGCAACTTGAAAAGCGGATGATATGCAGACGAGGAATCTTTCACGGGCTTGGAGTGATACGTAGGCTCAAAATGCGATCGACGGTATGCAGAAGACGACTCTACGCCTCGCCTGGAGTTGTATGGACCGTAAGGGAAACAATTTGTCCCGTTTGTGTCAGGATTAGCCCAGTAGGATACCCCAGTGCACCCATAGTCAGCAACGCATGCGTTCAAGCACTCGGCAGGGGTATTGTAGGTAAGTTCGGCGATCAGATTGACACCAACTATTGGACCACAAGTGAGCAGATACTGCTGACTGCTTGCAGTACACTGAATAACCTCGTTGGAATACGAGCATGTGGCCTCGGCACATGTGTTCTTAGGAAAGGAAGCATAGCTTGGGCTGGCATAGCTGGTCTCTTTTCCCGCGAGGTATTGCAAGTTTCCACTGGCGTCCTTATAAATGATGACACCGCTCAAAGGAGTGCCACCCGCCGTAGGTTGTCCATAACCAAATACCGTGGTTGACCACTCGAACTGTGCCCCTGATGCAGCAAGGCTGTAAAGAGAAAGAATGATATTCGGATCCGTGACCAAGGTCAGACCCCACACCACGGCGATGATTTTGACCGACGATGTTGAAGGTGTCGAATATGAAGGGAGTTCATACGTGTTGGGATTTAGAGAGAGAGGTCCGGGTTGGATGACGACCGTGCCCATATTGTCTGCGCCAATCCAAAGACGCACGTCGGCACCGTAATTGTAAAGCAGGACAAAACTCTTGTGATATCCCCACCAAGGGTCGTAGAAGGGGGCAGTCAGGTCGTTTGTTTGGATCACAAGGTTTTGGCCCACCGGAAAAATAGCTTTGGCACTTGCAGTCTGGTTCGTTGGTCCATTCATGAAAAGATCAATTGTGAGAGGGGAAACAGGGAAGCTGCTCTGTGTTCCCTCTGTGCCAGTAATATACTGCAAGGTGCCAGTTTCATCAGTATAAAAGATAACGCCGGACTTTTTGGTGCCAAGCCAGGTATCAATTCCAAAAAACCCGTTAGACCAAGTGAAATTCGTCCCAGACATAGCCGCGGCGTACAGTTGCGTGTTGACGGTCTGGTTGTTAATCAGACCAAGTCCCCAAACAACAGCGACGATTTGAATAGGGGAACCACTTGGTACTGGAGAGCTCTCCACTGGATATGTTTGGCTAGACGATCCTGGTTGAATCGTGAAGATTCCGGAGTTCGGAGCAGAGATAAAGACCCTTTCAGTCGTGCCATATTCATAGAGCGCGACAATACTCGCGGGGGAATTACCCTCTGGAGTTCCAGGCCCGTAAGGATAAGAGAAAGGAAGGTTCGCAGTGGAAGTATCAATTTGCATGGACTGTCCATTCACTAGGTCAGTCTGTGCGATGTTGGTCACCACCGAGGTACCGTAGAGGAAGTAAAGGAGCGAGAACGGGGATGCCGTGGGTGTGCTTGACGCGGTCGCAGTAGCTGTTCTTGTCGCCGTCGGAGTAGCTGTACTTGTGGTGTTTGAGGACGTCAAGACCGCTTCTCCTAGACAGCCTTGAAGCAGCGATGGGCTCGTCCAAGTCTCAAGAGTCCAGGTTCCAGCGTCCAACGCAGACAGATCAAGCTTCAAGTTATTGTTAATGTTCACATCATACGTAATACCGTAGCAACCATTGGCAGGCGTGACGCTTAACTCGCCATCAGTGTAGCTAGTATTGTCATCATATTCAACTACGGGATACCATTAGCGAATAGGATTCATTCGGAGGGAAAAGAGCATACGAAAAAACTTACACGTGGCGGTAATACCGGGGGTATCGACCAGTTTCACTTCCTTATCCCAGAGGCCATCCAGGACATCAAGACCTATTCCAATTGTCACAGGCAGGCCAAGTGTAGCCGTGGCAGTCAAAGTGGCGTCCGACTGTATAGTGTAGTTAAGGACTGGGGTGAAGCCGCTGTGACTTGACTTAGATTCGTCGAGAATATTCATGACAACAGACATACTAGGCCAGGTGAGAGAGGCACCGAGGAGGAACTGTCCTTCAGCGGTGATGTCCAGATCAGATGAGATACCGAGCGTCAAGGTCGGGCCAATAGCCACAATATCAGGGATTGACAGTCCAGGAAGACCCGTGGTAAATAGATCTTTCTCGGAGCTCAAATCCCACTCGGCGAAGGCATCAAGCCCGACAAAGAGTCCAGCATAGAGGTTGCCACTCATAGACAGCTGACCCTTGGTGAAACCATGCTTGATAGATGCAGAGAAGGATCCGGTGAGTTGAAAATCACCGGTAACACCACAGTTAACACACCACAGCTCCACTCCAGGGCCTTGACTATCATCTCCCTTAATAGACTTGAAATAATCTTTCAACTCGTCTTTGATTGTGGCTTCCGCGTTAAACTTTTCTCCACCCTCAGCAGTGAAAGTGTAGAACTTGAAGCCATCTCCCCACGGAGAGTCAGTCAAGTAAATATCCGGAGGGGCAAGATTCACCGGAAAGTTCCATGTCTGTTGGAAGGTCCCCGTTACAATGGCTTTACCAACAGCCTCAACAGTACTGATATCGTGCTGCACAGACTTGACCAAGTTTGACGCGAAGCTGGCAGCTTTGGCAATAGCTTTGCTGATGACAGGTGGTGCAACCTGTTCGACTTTCTGGACGACCTGAGGAACAGTTTTAACCACCGCCTTCACCGCTTTACTGACAAAGCTGGTTATTGAGTGCAGGCTTAAATGGCGGCGGAGGAGTTGGGTGCTCAGACCCGGGGCCAGAGCAAGCTCGGTGCTGTCCACGTTATCGTTGTCGACGGGATAGTATCCAAGATAGTCATCAAGGGCTTGATCAAAGTCCGCTCCGCAGGCCATGGCAGGAAGACCGTCAATCTGGGTGGCATTTGGAGCACTGCAGCCCAGGTCAGTTGAGGTTGTTGATGAGTTGCTTGCCGTGACAGTGATAGAGCCAAAGTCCATGTCAAGGTTCTGCAGCACGTTGGCGATCGGTTCGAGAGACCCAGTAACTGTCACAGAGGAAGAGAAGTCATCGAAAGAGATGGAGTTCGCTACAAAGAAGCCGTTCTGTCCGTTACTTCCACAGCTGCTCGCGGCGGTGACGAGAACGACCGGCGAGCTGACGGGCCAGGTTCTTTTGGCGTAGTCGTAGGTGCTTGCATCCGTGATTGTCGCGGTCAGCGTTGAATTGGCGACACATGTCACGCCCGTGATATAGGCAGACTGATCGAGCAAGATCGAAGAATAAGCCAGAGTCAAGTTCAAGCGTACTATAGGGGCGGTAACACCAGTGCCAGAGCCATTCGAGGCGTTGCTCCCAGAATACCACACTTGTCCTACGGACTGCGGCATCAACACAGAAGGGTTAGTCATGTCGACATCGGGAGGAGCCATCGGTGTGAGAGTTGCCGTTGGGGCCGCACTCAGGGTGATTACGCTCGCAACCGTTTGGACAGCGCCGTAGCCAAGAGACGAATCTGACACGCTACTGGCCGTCAGACCTGGTGCAGAGATGACCGTCGGGGTTATAGAAGATGGACCAGTAGTTATAGTTGGGGTCATGGAAGATAGAGCAGTGGTCGTTGGAGTTGCGGGGGGAGTGTAAACCACAGCGCCCCAAACGGCGGTATTTGTGCGTACATCGTTCGTCAGATCGCTCTTCATATAGCAGTAGCCTGGGGCAGGCCCGACCCAGGAGACGCCGACGCAGCCGGTGGTGGAATCACAAAGTGCCAAACAGGCATCAAAGGATTCGGTCAATGCATTGCTGAGGTCACCACCAAAATAGTCCACAAAGCACCCTACCAGGAACTCCTGCCCACTCGACTCAGTGGCTGAGGTGCCGTTGCTAGCCGGACAGGTCACTCCGGTGGTGACAGTCACTGTGGGCGAAGCACTGGCTGTGTTAACTTGTGAAGTCGTCGAAGTTGTCGAAGTTGTCGAAGTTGTCGAAGTTGTCGAAGTTGTCGAAGTCATCAAAGCTGTCGAACTCGTCGAAGTGACCGTGTTGGTCGAGGTCGCTGTACCTAGGACAGCACCCCAGACCGCATCGTTAGAGTTAGGCTGGTTCACCTGGCTCTTCATGTAGCACCATCCAGGAGCCGGGCCAACCCAAGAAAGAGCAACGCAACCGGTCGTTGTGTCACAAAGCGCCAAACAATCGTCAAAGCTGTTTGTCATCTGGCTACTCAGATCGCCGCCCAAGTAATCAGTGCTGCAATGTATGATGAACGATTTGCCGTCTGATTCCGTAACGGTAATACCATCAGCCGACGGACAGACAGATCCAGTTGTGACGGAGCCGGAGTCAGTCTGCTTAACTGCGCCCCAGACATTGTCACTGGACTCGGGTTCGAAGGCTTCAGATTTCATGTAGCAGGCACCACTAACATAGGAGACAGCAATACAATTAGCGGTTTCATCACAGGTGTCCAAACAGGATGCAAAAGAGTCAGTCCACGCAAGGGACAAGTCGCCTCCGAAATGGTCAACATAGCATTCAATTCCAAAGTCTCCGCCGTTGGTGGCCGTGTACGTAGTTCCGTTGGAAGATGGGCAAGTGATATCCGGTGTCGAATGGTCTGCGACAGGTAAAGCAACGACGACTGTGATAAAGGCCAGCAGGGCCCCGGCGATAGCCGGCTTGCGCATACTTTAATTGGAATTACTTATAATAAAACGAAAAGAGTGCGACAAGAAGATCAAATGAGCGAGATGGAAAAGCAAAGAAAAACAAAAAGGAGCGTTAGCACTTATGGCCTGCAATTCACATAGACTAAAAGAGGGATAGCTGGAAGCTGGCGATAGACGTGTAGTTACAGAATTCAAGTTGCATTTATATTCTTCCCTACATGCATCGTGATCTTGGGCAGTCATCCAGGGGTTGCATTTCTAGTACAATTCTTAGTATATAAAAAGTGTGCTAAGCTCAGGAATCAAAGCTTAAAAGTCGATAGCCAGGGAAAGAGTACGGAGTTCTCCGTGAAATGACACACAGAATGACCGCCTGTTAGTTGGGAAAGAGACACACTCCACTTTCTGTCTCCGCGAGAAAAGATCTATAGAGCCGAGATTAGCGAGCACAGGTAGTGTCATGACTGTAGTACTGAAAGACCGTCGCTTCGGTTGACCCAAAAAGCTTACGACGTCGTTTTGGGAATAAGAGAACCGTCGCTATGAATTGCCGTATGATATGCTCCATCTCATTTCCTCCACTGCCAGCATGGAGCAGTGGAGCCCTACTATCGTACAGTGACCTACGCCATGTGTAAAGACCGGCTACGCACCTTATAGACATGTCCGCTAGAGCAATGCATCGGGAAACAATAGGGTGATTTTAGTTCGAAGGTCGAAAAGTACTAGAGTGTCAGCTTCGCCCGCTTGCAATAGAATGTGAGGTTGTTTCCATCTCCACGGATTGATAGCCAGGTGCGCAAACGCCGAGCAGACAGCAAACAACTGCATGTAGTTGTTAATATCATTAGTCAAGCTTATAGTCCATTCCAGCTCCACAGGCTGCGCCAGACTCTGGTGTAGCCAGGATTAGTGTCCTAGGGTATGTACTAGAGTGAGATCTATCGGCATTGAACACATCCGAGGACCAAGGTTGATGACAGCTTACACATGGTAGGTGGGGAGAACTTTTGGCTTCTTACACGAAGAATGAGAGACCAAGTGAGGGCAGGTTGGAACCGCCTGGCTGAATCAATCGTTATGAGCTAAATAAATAGATATCTTAGAACAGTGCCTTTTTTTCTTTTGCATTACAACATCGTCTATATCCCGTAGGACCGATGGATCGGGTAATTATGCTTACATGAAAATTTACGCGACATATTCTTGTATTGTAAATAACATTTTGACCAAAATTGTCTCAGCTCATTGCTTGTAGGCTCGTGTTAAGAGGTAGTTGGAAATTTTCTACTTCACCCGCACCTACGTCTATGAATTGTGGGAGATACCCGTTTTGGGAGACAAGCCCTCGCCAAGAATAATAGCCTTGTAAAGTGGACTAGAACCCAGCCATCGGGCTATGTCTATCAGCTACAGAGTACCAAGATGATTAATATATACCGCTCTGGACTCATATTCGTTCTACCCGATAGGGACAGCTCCGGGATCTTCCAGCAATCGCCGAGCTTCTGCAGTACATTGACCAGCCTTTTTTATACTGTTTCCTGCGGAGTAGTTCGGGCGATACAGACCCTACAAAGGTTGAGGGTCGGGTGAGGGTAACACACCTTGGACCCTCATCTAGTGCGGGTCATGCCCGAGGGTCTGGATTTGGGACCCTCGCGAGGGTCACGCCGAGGCCAAGGCTTGAATGAATGAATGATGTTTCTGACCCATCCTCCGAAAAGCCCTATGCTCTTCCTGCTTTGGCGTCGAGGCCAAGGCAGTAACTAAATCAGCAGCTAACCTTGGAAGCGATCTTCTAATCCACTTCTGGCTAGATTTATGGGACCATTTTGTGCGGACGTGGTTGATGCTCAGGTACCGATTAATAGCGCCATAATAGCTGCAAATTTTTAAAAAGAAGCATGGACCAAGATTCAAATGGGTAATCCCGAGAAACGCAGGAAGATCATTTGCCAATTCCGATGGCTACGGATTACCTAGATCCTGTTTCTCCATTCTTTCTAGCCTGCTCCAGAGGTCACTTCTAGCTACCGAATCTGGATAATGCTGTAGAAAGCATCTGTGTCCGAGAGGCATCGTTACCAGACGTAGTAGAAGTGGCCTCAGAATGCGCACCCTATCACTAAAGTTCTTTGACAGAACAATCCCTGCTTATGCCAGGAACATAGTTGGTTCGGCATTTGAAAGGCATGGCCCATGGTGGCTGTTAAGGGCTGACCCTAATATCGATAGTTCGGGCTACGCCCTTACAAGACCCTTATATCGGCAAATCCCTGTACCCACAAACCACGGATACGCTATTCCCTATTAGGCACATAACCTACCCGAATCTACCCTACTCAAACATGAAGCTATCCCCAATCCTGTGTTTGAGCTAACCGAGCCGGAACAGCTCCATTCACCCTTTACATATAAATTTGGCACGTTTGAGTGGAAACTGTTCGTTCTCTTTCCTTTCCTTCTTTTCCTCATGTACGTTATCTACTCGAGAATGAATCTATAGCAATTGATAAAGCGGGACTGGCCCGTAACAGTGGCCTACCTGAACTGAACTGGGAAGTATTTCGCGAGCGCTGCGGTTAAGCGCCTTGTAAATTGGGTCAGATGGGACTAAGATCTCCACAAAAAGTCTAAGAGATCACTGTCAACAGCCTTGTTTCTAGGGTTCGTAGATTCTCGGAAAACAGCACATATTGAGGATGGCCAGAAATGATAGGGCGTCTCAAAACTGCCGAACTGATAATCTCATAGGGAGTACGTTGGGTTCCTTGGCTGGGTGGATTCCCAAAGCTTGTTCTTTTATCCACAAGAAGTAGCTCGAGACTCTGTATGTCAGAAAAGCTTATCGCCTTGACATGCTGACCGTTATCAAAGTCGCTTAAATTTACCTTGGGTCAATATTGCCCGGCTGCAGAGTTCTCGAAATTCTCAGAGGATCCCACCCCTTCAGCCCAATCTAATCGCCGAGGAACTTTAAACAGGTAACAAGCATCACCAAGTGAATTGACACAGACCGATCAGGGGGGTGTGATTCCCCTGGCGTGCAGTCAAGCTAAGCTAACAGTACCACAAAAAATGTTTCCGCACCCCCCTCGGCAAGTGTACAATAGCTAGGGGTGCGGAAACTTTTTTCGTCCCACTGTAGATTTGCAAATGGCTTCAACATCAAGGTGAGAGATTATTCTGATTCGAAGCACGAACTAATGAAGAATATGAGCTTTAAATCAAGTGTACAGCTCTGTGTCGAGAATATTTGATTGACACCGTGGTCATATTTTAACGGTAACTTGAGGTTTGTATAGGATTTTGTATGGTTATCATTATTGTTTTTCTTCCTCTTCTCTCTTTTGAAAGACGCAACAATGAATACAGAACTACGCAAATAAAGAAAATTGTCTATATTAAGAGTAACCTAGCTATTAATCTATCAAATTCTAATAAGTACGATGAACGGAGCAAAAGATATCTCAAGGCTGGCGCGTCCTGGGCTTGTGAGTTGTCGGCACAATCTCATCGGCCAAATACCGCGATGTCATGGAATAGTCTTTTAGCTACAATCGCCCTGCTGCCACATCTTCACTGACTTGATCGTCATGCCTTTGGCATTACCTGCACCCCAGGTAGGGAACCATGAATCGAGGCCTGGGGAACGTGAGTTTAGCTATAACTAAACCAGTTACACAAGTATGACAAAGAAGAACCTACTTTGATAGAAGTCCCACGACGCATGGCCTTGGTTTGTCCATGGCTTGTTCCCCTCACCATCTGGAAACCAGCCATTTGTGCCGCCTACAGCAACATTCAGGATCAAGTAGAATAGCTGGTCAAACGGCGCGTTCGAGTCCTCGGACTGTACCCACGGATCAACCAAGAAGGACTGATTCACAGTGTATGAGGCGAAGTCGCCCCTCTGCCACATAGTGTTACCCTTGGGGAATTTATAGTACAGGATCTGCTTCAGTGGGCTGTCGAGATACGTGAAGATGTATTCCTCACTCCATTCCATGCCGTAGGTATGAAAGCCCTGTGCAAGATCACCTCGTTGCAAGGCCTTGGATGTGGTGGAGCGCCAGTACGCGTCCGTGTCCACCGTTGGCCCTATTGTGTACGTGAGATTAGAGACTCTTGCTCACGGATTCACTTGGAAAGTCAGGGATGGAGATATAAACTGACCCCAATGTAGAGTGCTAGCGAACCAGTTTCGTCCACCAAGTGGGTAATTGATGTCGTTACCTCTACTCTCTGCAATATCAATCTCTCCGCTGGCAGGCCAGGAGCCGTAGACGTCGCTTTCTGGCATCATCCCTGAAGAATATTTTTGTTAGCGATACACCATTAGGGCTGCTCATAGTCCCTGTTATTTCACGCACAGATCGCTGGCCAGAGCCAGTCGCCCTCAGGCATTTTAGCAACAACTTCAACCTTGCCGTACTTGATACTCTTCTTTCCCTTGGTATTCAACCGAGCTGAGCGCACGGATGGAATAACTATCTGTAACGTACTGTTCGATTGCACTGAGCATTCAGCATTCGTATTACCTGTGCAAGTACCGTCACCGCCTGCTTGAGTCAGGTTCAGTGTGTACCCATTGGTGATGTCCGCCGGCGAGATTGATGTCGTGTTTGTGGTCAAGGTCGGAACAATATGAAGACCTTCGGAATCAACAAAGGCGTTACTAGAATCTGTCGTGGTCCACTCGAACTCTCCATTCCCAAAACCGCCGATCTAGTATTCTACTTGAGCGAAAGAAACAATGACGGGAAGAATGACACGAACCTGAACTTCATAATTCCACACATCCGGGTCAATCTCGCTGAAGTTATCATCCAAGATGAGACAGAACTAAAATAGAATTTAGGGAACAAGCGTCTGGTGATGATCCTCCTAGGGATCCGTCTGCATACTCACCTTCGTTTTGGGAACCCTTGCATATGCATTGTAGTTGATATAGGCTGCAACAATGAGGGCTGCGATGAAGGCGCCCCGAATAATCCAGTTGCCTACCTGGGTTCTGCTGACTCGCTTGTCGCTCAGCCACGGTTGGTCGAACGTGCCTTTTAATCGGTAGCTGACAAACTTTCGTTTTGCTGGCAGGTTTTCTGCAAATCTGGCACTGCCGTAGCTTGATCGAATAGAAGGAGCATTACTGTCCGTGAATGGATTTCGAGCACTATAGGCCTGTTGTGTCTCCATATCGAGTAATTGGTGTCCTTCTCGACGAAATGGATGTCCACGTTGAAGCGTACAAAAAAGGAGAAGGATGAGGAGCCCGACAAGCGACTGAAATCAGGGAATGGGCGACAGTTCACTGCTTGTCTTTTTAATTTACTTCAGAACACTGGACTATACAGGATTGACCAATGCGAATAGTCTGGAGACACTTTCCCGTCTCTAGATCAAATTGAGGGAGCAGTTGTGGTTAGACGTCAACACCATCTTCTTCTCTACTACAGGAGAGAGAAATCGCTAAGCCAGATGCAGAATAAACAATTTGAGTCTTATCAAAGATCAAGTGAGGTAATCCTTGAACCGACAAGTGAGCCAGCCAGGTACCAACGTAATGTCGGGAATTGGTGGCGCTTGACACTTTCAAGTGAAGACATCAGAAGCGAGAGGGCGTCAAAAAAAAGAGCGTTATTCTGTCCGAGACTCAAGACGTCGGTGTTAGCCGAGCATCCACAGGCTTGCACAAGCTCCAGGTACGGAAAGTAAACCCGGTCTATTGAACGCCGATTCCGTTTAAATTCTGATTTTATTACCAGTACACTACTACGGGAAAAAAAAAATGAGCCTCAGAACATAACCAAGGTATGTACTGTTGAAAGTGGGTGTGCATAGAATCAGTCTTAGCCTACGGTATGGCCAGCCCTTCTAAGGCAGTCCGGACGAGCTAACCGAAAAGTGAAAAACGAAGAAAAGAAAGGAAAAGGAAAATAGACGAAGAAAAGGGACCGGTTCCTCGCTGTCAAGGACTCGTTTCTTATCTGTAGATTCATCTACTGTAGTTTGAAAGCACTAATTTTCAGGCGATCTAGTGGGTTCACAAGGGCCGAAAAGAGGCAGGCATAGGCGATTAGGGCTGCTTAGATTAATCGATATAAATCGTGATACCTTTCTAAATAATCGAGGGGCTGATTCGCCATTCTTGATGGACCCTGATCACTTCATCCCCTTCCAGTCTCTCATTTGCAGGTTTTAGGTGTCTCTTGTCTCTCGTTTACCTATCCGCGACGCCTGGCCATTTCAAACATATTTCTGCAGTTTGTATCAGCGCCACTGCTTCAGTATCTTTTGTCTCCTCGTAAATGCAGATCTGCACATAACAGAGGGAACGAAAAGAGACACAAGATGGACCAAGGGGGAGGACTAGTAGGGGACATTTGTGTCCCTTACGATTCGAACATTGCCGGTCCAAGCTCGATATTGAATAAGCCCAATGTGAACGAGGCATCAAGGCAGCGCGTGGTAAGTTGCTTCTCAACTTGAGTACACTCCAAGAGTTGGCTCATGAAATCTAGATTATCGAGTATCTGCGCGATCAATTGGCAACACATCGATGGTTCTCCAATAATCCTACAGAACCCTGGTGCGGTGTTCTGTTGAGAATATCCCGAGGTGTTTACGTGTCTGAGCCCGATGTGCCCGATCCAAGCTTGCTTGCCGCCGTCCAGAAGATCAACCCCGAAGTGGCGTATACCATGTCGACAAGAATGACAAAGTTGATTACATCGCAATTACAGCCGCAGCAGTCTGAGTTGGTCCTCTCGAACGGATCGCTCCTACAGGTAATCGACTCGCTGGCTGACATTGTCATGTTACCTTCAAGTGCCGTGAAGAAATACCAATACGGGGCACTACTCAGACAGGAACAGATGCTGCTGATCTGGCACGATTCAGTGGATAAACTGTTTTCTCATTCCATGGACTTGGAGGCAAGACTGATGGCACTGGTATGACTCCCCTTGATAGAAGACTCTTCCTCTTTCTTCCTTTGTCGTTTAGCGGGCTCATAACTTTAAATAGGTTTGGGGCTCGTCGCTTCCAACCTCTTTGTCTATTCCCCAGAGCGTCCTACCGTCAGTGGTAACGACTCCAGCGACGTCAGTGTATCATATGTCCATGGACGCAAAAGCAGAAACCAATGAGGCAATCACGGCGGTAAACTCGACAATTGACGAAGAAGCTGCAAAACTTGTAGACTCCCTCGACCGGCCTCTGGCTGTCACCAGCTCCATCTATACGGCTATGGGCATTTTCACAGTCATCGTTCTGCTGGTGGGATTCAACGTCTCCAGTCTGATATTTGAAAGCCTTGTTGACGGGAATTGGATCCGCATGGCGTTGATTGTCACAACGCCATTCCTATGCCTGCTTAGTCTTTTCTTCTTCTTTGTGATCTTCGGTGATATCTTTCAAGCCATAGGCCCGATAAAGAGCCTGCAAGTCAATTCTCGTTTTTACTCCCCACATCGCCCTGATCTGGCTACGGCATATGCCCAAGGCTTTAGCCCACCTCGTATCACAATCCAGATGCCGGTATATACGGAATCCCTCGAAGGTGTGATCATACCAACAGTGACCAGCTTGAAAGAGACCATTTCTCACTATGAGTCTCATGGAGGTATGCTTCCTGCATGAAATTTTGCAATCCATTCTCCTCTAACTCACAACAAACAGGCACAGCGACTATTCTGATCAATGACGATGGCCTTGCTTACCTTTCAGAGGAAGAATCCCAGCGACGAATCGATTTTTACCATGACAACAACATCGCGTGGGTTGCCCGGCCCAAAAATAACGATGAACGATTCAACTATGTCCGGAAGGGCAAATTTAAGAAGGCATCCAATATGAATTTTGCTCTAAACGCTTCTAATAGAGTAGAAGATGAACTCCTGACTTTGATGGGGGAAAAACTTCGACAGACGGATATGATTGACCCGATTGAGGAGGAGATCCAATATCGGCGTGCCCTGGAACAAGTCCTGGCATCAGATGCCCGGATCCGCGCTGGGGGCGACATCCGCATGGGCGAAATCATCCTCATTGTTGACTCGGATACTCGCGTGGTACGGAATACTTCTCCACTATATGTAAATGATCCTTGAACTGATTAGCACTAGCCTAAAGATTGTCTGCTCATGGGCGCAGCAGAGATGTTCCTGAGTCCTGAAGTTGCCATTATTCAACATTCTACAGGTGTAATGCAGGTCACTGGCGATTACTTTGAAAACGGGATCACCTATTTCACAAACCTTGTCTACTCTTCGATTCGGTTTGCGGTTGGTAATGGCGAGGTTGCCCCCTTCGTTGGACATAATGCGTTTTTACGCTGGCAAGGTCAGAGGCATCGTTTTCACAGTAAAAAACAATTTTACTAATTGAAAATCAGCTGTGCAGTCTGTCGGGAATGATGATCCAGATGGATACGTTGCCTATTGGTCTGAAAGCCACGTGTCAGAAGATTTTGATATGGCTCTTCGGCTCCAGATCAATGGCAACGTCGTTCGGCTTGCCAGTTACCACGGGGCTGAATTCAAGGAAGGTGTGTCTTTGACCATCTACGATGAATTAGCCCGATGGGAAAAGTATGCTTATGGTTGCAACGAACTTGTGTTCAATCCCATTTATACCTGGCTGTGGAAAGGCCCCTTTTCCAAGCTATTCCGCACATTCCTGTTCTCAAATCTTCAGCTTTCTTCCAAATTGACCATTCTAGGATACATCTCGTCCTGTAAGTGCTAAAGTATATGTCCATTCTTCCCGCCAGGCGATTGTCTGATTATCTCCCTTGCAGATTACGCATTGGCAATTGGATTTCCTCTAACGTTGCTCAATTACTTCTTGGTCGGGTGGTACCTTGATAATCTGGATGAATTCTATATGCAATCTTGGAAAGGTATTGGTTTTCTTCTTTATTATGCGAGAATGCGACACACTGACACATTTCCGTTTCATTCTTCTAGTTTACCTGAGTTTGCTTGTTGTCTTTACCGGAGCTGGAAATGTAGCCCTTGCAATTCTCCGCTACCGGCTCGGCGAGAAGACGTTACTAGGTGCTCTTGGTGAGAACTTCATGTGGGCGCCTCTGTTCGCTGTATTCTTCGGCGGCTTGTCCTTCCATCTCAATCTCGCCCTTCTAGCTCACATGTTCGGCATCGATATGACATGGGGCACTACTGCCAAGGAAAAAGATGATTCTAATTTCTTCAAAGAAATCCCTAAGATTGCTAAATCTTTCAAGTGGATGTATGCAGTGATGATACCTGCTATTGGCGCTATGATCTATCTGGGTTGCTTTGCACCCTACGGCTGGAGAATCAACAGCGTAGCTGCGGTCGTTCCACTCGCATCGACTTTGACGTCTCATGTCTTATTGCCTTTTGTTCTTAACCCGGCTTTGATGGTTTTCAACTACTAAGTCACTCGACGGCTGCTATCCATGTGGATGAATCTGCTTGATCCTTTTCTATTCTCCCATTTTTGAAGTCATCATACCTCTATCTCTCTCTTATTCGCATTCCTTTATTTGTTTCTTCTGCTTCACATGAGGTCCAGACTTCTGCCTCGAAAGCTCAGTTGTCTCTACTTCTCATTCTTTCCGCTTTTTCATCCATCACCATCATTCTAAAAACTACTATTTATGCTTTTTTCTTTTTCAAGTTCCTTATAGAATCTCGACCTAATATCTAGTTGCCTATTTAGGTTTTCCATACCAAAATCATGGTGCGCATTTATTTTGAGGTTCACGATACTCTTTAAATTACAGCTAGCAATAGCCGAATCTCATGACTCAGTAAACTGGAGAAGATCTTTGTTTACTTCACCAATATTCACGCTGTGAATAGCGTGAGATCCTCCTTTGTAGATCTTCAGCTTGCCCTAAGATAAAAGCTTCACTAATTTCAGTCCAGAGACCTCAATGGAGGCGGAGAGTAGTGATACGTGGGGATGGAATCTCTGTGGAGGATGAGGAGCCTATTAGGGAAGGAATTAGGAGGGATAGGGGTGAGGGCATCCTACTTTTGTTAGAATATCGCGAGATCTACCACAAGGAAAACAAGAACATTTGAAAAACCCGGAGACAAGTCATGCCCCTATTTTCAGCTAATCAGAGGCCTCCGAACACTATGCCTCACTTTTCATGAAATGTCATATAGATATACCACATTATAGACCATGGAGAATGTACCAGGGAATTGAGCTCAGTTCCCGTACCGAAGCACATATAGGAAAGCCTTTTTTGTGGTATGGAAGACGGAAGACCAGAGAGACAGACAACTCAATACATACATCTAGTCACTTCTTCCTTTCCCATCCTTGTAAGCCACTATTCAGGATTGGCCTGAAGTATACCCAGCAATCTGACAACTTTAGGCCTTAGTGGGTGCCCACGAGTAGACCTCTTCAACTCCCATAGGATCCATCCATGAAATTTTCTATGTGCGCATTTGGATGGGAGATGGGACTGAATCGGACGTCCATGGACAGAATTCCCATGGGTGTAAAGAAATCGGTTAATGGATTGTAAAGACTCAGAGGATTGATATCGTTTAATAATAGTGATCAATAATCAGCTGCTTGTAAGTATTGATAAGGAAATGATTCGATACGTTGAATCTCTGTGTTGCTTGTCTTGTTCTCTCGAGCCTCAAATGAATGAATGAATGATATTTATTACGCCCGGAGGGACTAACCCTACAGTATAAGGCACTATCTAGTGCGCTAGATACATACAATTCGTGTGTTTCCGACCTGTCCTTCTACCAAGCCCCTGCTTTCCCTGCTTCAACGTATTTATCTTGATATCTGAAGTTAAGGCCCCGTTGAGCTATGGCCCCCAACATCTTGTATGTTGATAATCAATAGACCGGCTTAAAGGCTCAAGTGTGCGGCATCCTATCCTCGGTAGCTGCAGTGGAATTTACCGTATGTGAGGGTGGGAATAGTTAGTTAGTGCTAGCTTTACTGTGATTGACCTGGTTCCTATTCCTCTTCTATATCATATTGATATTGCATACCTAATTCTTATTCATATAGCTTTGGTATCTAGTCGCTATCATTTAGGATTAGATTCTACCTTTCCTCCAAGGTAGAATAACAGACTCCTCTTCTCATTTCTGTATATTATAGCATGTCTGCTCTCATTTCTGCCTACTTTGTATAACAAAATAGGAAGTGCTCTACTATCTCGCTTGCCTAGCCACAAGCATAGAGGGTTAACTCTCCGGCTCCTAGCCTATTCAAGCAACTATTAAGCCTAGTCATTCCCGTCCAAAGTTAAGCCAGAACCACAGCTTCTTTCCGCTTTAGCCTATCATACACGCTACGGGTGTACACTATACTTTCCTAGCAATGCTAAGTTAATGGCCTTTAAGTGCTTACTCTACTCCATCTGGAAGGGCTCTCTTATATTGTTGTTTAGTAATATCAAGTCTCACTGCAGTTGATTTAGTCTAGTACAATAGCTTTTCTGGTTTACACTTCTCTCTTGTTGATCTTTGAGCGGCCGTTTTCGCCTTCAATCTTAATATAGAAGCAGTATGTACTGGAACCCAAAGTAGACTGACCACATGTCCCCTCCCCTAAAGAAGCTAGACTATTGACATAGTTGTTTAATAGCAACTAATGCTGACCGATTGCTGCTAAGGTCCTAAGGATGGTTACTTACCTATTAAAGACCCATGGGATAATACGTTTCAATTCTACTGCTATCACTCCTAGCTCAGCTGTGTATAGGTTCTATTCTGTTCGAAAGGCGAGACTATAATAGTCTACGGCACGATGAGTGACCATGATCGATCACTTGATTAAGTGAGCAGTTCAGTGAGCCTGACTGCGAGCGCCTTCACAAAAGCGACGGCAGCTGAGAATGGAAATCCTCACTCGGCAAAGGGAATCTGGTACGTATAGTCACCTAGGTACTTCAGTGTTTATAACAATCTTGGAACAGTACATGAAATCCGCAAGACCATAACTGCAAGAAAGCGAACTACATTCATAGACGCGCCACTCAAATCACGAAGATCCATTAAGCTTCAACTTCTCAAGCCCCTTGACCAAGATCTCATCGATCTCCTTCTTATGACTCGAAAAGTTGTCCACCAAATTATCCCACATCTTAGGCTCATGTTCGTGCTTCTTACTCGAGTTCCATGCATAATCTGTGATTGTGAATGGGCGTGAAGACTCAAACATGAATGCAATTGAGGCTGGTGAGATTTGCATTACTGGTGGTGCTGATTCGGTGGCTTCTTTGAATTGTTCGTAGGCGACGCCATGGGGGACCACTTCATGAGTGATTAGGCATTGTTTAAGATATGTGATAGGAAAAGAAAACTACTTACTACCGCACTCGAAGGAGATGCTACCTGGCATGAATTCATCTGATCGGCCGCCATATTCTCCATAGATAAGGCCCATGAGTTCAGAAGCGGCGTTACGATGGTAGTATGGCGGGCGATAAGTATCTATTCCAGGTTCGAGTCAGTCGAGCTTTTCAGATGGTATTCAAAGGTTTAGACATACGAGAAGCGACATCCCAACGTGGCGAGAAAATCAAGAAGTCAGCTAGAGGACTTGTGAGGTCTCGAGATTTGGCTGTCAAGACGCAGAAAATGGATGGATCGATATGATCAACAGAGATAGAACCGACATTGACGAATTTTGTCAAATCGTATTTATAAGGGACCTAGCATAAGCTAGTTAGCATGATTGCATGGAATAGTTTGAGTTGGTAGGAAGGGTCGTACGTAGTTTCCATGCCATGCAACAACATCAAAAGGCGAATGGTTCTGCGTGCTCTTGAAGAACTTTCCTCCAAGCTTATACACAATCTCCCATGGCTCTCTAACGACCTCATACTGAGCTGTAGGAGTAAGGAAGTCTCGCGAATTGGCAAGTCCATTGGCACCCAAGGGGCCCAACTCTGGAAGCTCAAAAGTAGTACCCCAAACCTCGAGAATGTAGCCTCGAGAAGGTCCATCAGGCAATTCAACACGGAACCTAAGTCCACGCTGAATGACGACAATCTCTCCGGGTTGCACGAATAGAGGACCGAATTCAGTCTGGATATCAAGGGCACCCTTTTCCGGGACGATAAGGAACTCGCCGTCAGAGTTGACAAATGCCTTTTTTGTCATGCTCTTGTTGGCAACGTATACATGAGTCGCTAGGCCCTCTCTTAAGGTGGGATCACCAGAGCCAGCAAAAGTGCGGAGACCGCTGACAAAGTCGGTCTCTTCTTCCGGAATATCTGTGGGCAGCCAGGCCAATTGAGTGGGCGAAACATGGATCTTAGGGTTTAACGGAAGGAAGCAGGACTCGCTGTCTTTGTTGTCTGGGAGTTCAGTCTGGTGTAGAGTTAGAACAAGTCATGCAACAATAGCCAAGAAGATCATACGAATCCCTGATGAGCCACGGCAGGGCGCGCCCGATAAAGCCAGGCCTTCTTGTTTGCATGTCGTGGAGCGACGAACGCGGTAGCGGTTACTTGTTCTGCGTAGAGACCGAAGCGTACATTGCGAGGAGAGTTCTGACCGTGCGGAATGGTCCCTGGAATTGCCTCTGAAGAGAAGCTGTTCCAATTAGTATTTCAAGATCTATTTTGTGATCACAGCACTATCTGGCATACTGGTTTCCGAATCCTTCTTGATACTGTTCGTGGTTAGGATCATGGTATGAATTGAAGATGCACGGCTACATACTTTGTACGGATCATTCTTCCGTGTATTGAAAGAAGGAATAGTGGCATCTTTTTGAGTCTCAGCCCAATGGAATATTTTCTGATATTCCTTGGGATCTTGTAGATCAGATGTTGAAGGCATAATGAATGACAGCAAGGCACACCGAGAGAAGAACTTCGGCTGTCAAAATTTCTGACAAGAGCTTCAAGGTACCTAGGGGTGAATTTAAGAATAAAATGTTCCTGTCTAGTTGACCCAAAGGCGAGATGTCCCAGCAGGCCTTATAAACTGCGTTCTTACCCACTAGCCAGCCTCGGTCTCTGTATTAGTACGTATTCCTTGGATCCCCCCATTGTTCTAATGCCGGGCTAGTTACTCAAAGTCATACGACATGCGTACCAGCTCTTGGTCAGGATGAGTACTCCCCTTCTCGTAGTAATAGCTTCGCCGGGGAGGAAGTGTGGTTGGATAGCTTCATGTGGGGGATTGCCATATCAGGAGAATAGGCCATCGTGCTTGGCAATGTTTACCCCGGCCTCGCGAACCGGAATATCCGGGAAAACGATTGAGAAGGTCCTATGTCTCCACATTGTATAGTATGCGGCAGTTGGCAAGAGTCACATCTGCCGATAACTTAGCTTAGGGTTTCTGCTCAACTGTGTCCAATTGATGTATACACGATGGAGTTGGATGTTACAACAGCGAGTAATGAAGAGTTGATCCAATTCTGTATTCAGAAAGAAGAGGAAGGTGCCGTGTCTGCCGACATTATTGGCCCAACAGTGGTCAAAGTCACCCCTACCATCGTCGTTAAATGGGGATACAGTGTGACTGCCACTGAAGCAGCGATGCAAGAATTCGCTTATAAGAATGTGAACCATGACATCGTTCGAGTCCCTCGGGTTCATCGCTTTGTCCAGGATGAATTAGAGAGAGGATTTTTATTTATGGACTATGTCCCCGGCCAGAAACTATCGGATTTAGACCTCACAGTTCACACAGATATCATACCCCGCATCACCAATATCATTGCTCACCTCGGGCAAATCGAACATGGACAAAAGCCAGGTCCAATCGGTGAACAGGGTCCGCGAGGGTATCTCTGGGGTGATGACGGCGTGAATAAGGCCTTCATGTCTGTGGCACATTTGAATCGTTATCTCAACAGGCGTCTCTCATTGAGAAATGACTCTATTGATCTCAGCCCATACCCGCTCGTCCTCTGTCATATGGACCTGGTTCGTCGCAACGTGATACTCGGAGAAGACAGAAAATCCATCTGTCTTCTCGATTGGGGCCATGCTGGGTTTTATCCGCGGTTTTATGAACTTGCGGCGCTGCCGTGCATGAATCCCTACGACGAACCTTACGAGAAGCCGCTTATAGCAGCTGTGGAATCAATGATGCAGTTGACGGATGATGAAAAACGCGATATGAAATTGGTCGGTTACGCCAGAGCAGCAACCCTGAGATGGCTATTGTAGGCGAAGCTTTTTTTTTTTTTTTTTCCTTCTTTCAATCGAAGCTAATATTGTGCTGACACAGTCCCGAAGAGCCTGAGGAAGCTTAACGCGTTATCTTATTCGAATACCAGATGAGTTAGAATTGGGTTGCAAATAAAGAAGGGGAAAAAAAAGGCTCAAAACACCATTCCCCGGGTATCTATATCGTGTCATCGGTAGACTTATGGACAAATTATACATCATATAATCGAGGAGGGGGAAGATCTCCGTGGATAGAGTCATTATATCCACGTTCCAGCACCCCGAATATATGTGAGGTGTGGCACAAGACCTTTTTCTTGAAATCAGAGACTTCGTGTTGCATAGGAAAGCCTGACAACTGCAACTGAGACCTTCATTTATACACCCTCATCGTTCTCGTAGACAAGGGCCAATTCATGAAGCACATGGCTCATTCGACAGGTCACTAGTTACGTTAGCATATTGCTCTATTAACTGGCAATTTGTAAATAATTAACCCACCTTTCCAAGTCCAATTAGCATCAATGAAGCTAGCGAATAGCCTGGCTAGACTAGCAGCGATAGGCTGGTTTTCTCTCCAATGTTCGTCATTTCTTCTCAATACCTCCAGTAACTTCTCCAAATTCTGTTTTTCCTCGTGGTCAGGCTGGGTATAGGCACCTTGCGTTTCCATATTGTGTACCCATTTGGTGTAAAATAGAGCTAGCTGAATTTAGTATTAGAAATTCCAAAGCATTTCTTTCGTCAGCTTACCAGTATCCCACATGGCTAACGCATGTTCTACACTCCATCCTAAAACACTTTCCTTCTCGGAGAGCTTGTGTACCATATCTAACGGAGCCAACAACCCATCAAAAGCCTGTGTAATGGCCCCCGAGAGAAAAGGTGTGCGAACCTGGTCGCCTTTGATGTATTTTTTGATCGCCGTGGATATTACTTGCTCATCATCATTAAAAAGCAAAGCGCGATTGAAGCTTCCACTACCGGTGAAAGCACGTACATAGCAGCTACGGAGCACTGCCATGCCATTGAAAAGTAAAGGACCTTCGACATCGTCCCAGAAATTTTCGCCGTCGGACGAGCTCCGGTGCGCAAGGACCATATAACATCGAGATAATGCCGCTTCTGTTTGGCTGGTGCATAAAGCTTTCATCTGTTCTTCTTCTTTCGCATCGGCGGAGAAGCTCGTGAATGACTGAGTAGACTGCGTTATATGCCACATATGCACGTTGACTGCATGCATCAAAACGGTCACTGCAAAGGCAGGCCATTGGCTTTCCGAATCGAGATCAAAGTCTTTGCTAAACAAAATCTTTGTCAGAGCAGTATATATATCTGTCTTAGGCGGTTTTTGGGCAGCCGATGCCTTTCGCCATTGGTCCTCATCTGCCGCTATCCAAATATGTTCTTCGCAGGGCATTTCGATCTTGAGTTCTTCCGTGGTAGAGATGCAGGGCGAAATATTGTAGGTGAGCGTCAACATGCCACTTATGATAAACATGCCCAAGAGTAGACGCTTTGACGACTCTCTAGATATCCAATCAGGCCAGCTGTCGCTTTCCTGTTTGGGGGCAGCCAACAGTGCTGTTTTGCGTGCCGAAAACTCTCTTTGAATGAAGCCGACATTCTCAACTGCCCAATTCACCGACTTAAAATCGCCACCAAAAGCTGCCTGGGCGGTAAGAAGTAGTTTGCATTGAACTTCCCACAAGGATCGATTAGAAGTGGACTCCACGTTTTGCAGGGCCTGCTTCGTAAGTTCTCGAAGCGTACTGGCAGAACCTTTGTCATGTCCAAACAACACACCAATGGAACATATCGCCAATAATAAAGGAGGAGGTGTAGTCAAGATATTAAACGAGGGAAGATGAAATAATGGTAAACGAGTGTTGAATGACTCGAAGAATCGGGTTAAAAGGCTTTGAATGTCCTGTGAATCAGGTATTAAAGATTCCTCAATCTCGCAATCAAACTTTTCTTTCAGATCGGCTAGAAGAGAAGATCGATCATCTTCTGTGAATGTTATACAGGGCTGTGTGTTACTTGATATTGTTGCATTGCGAGGTGGCCGTCCTCGACGACGAGGTTCACGCGAAGATAAGTTAGAAGACGGCGTGGTGTTATTTGACGCATTCTTCAGAAGCTCCAACGTGGATTTACCGCTGAAGGACTCATCAAAACATCTGATTAGAATTTGTTGATCGAGATTCGGAAATGGGAATAAAGCGAGTATATTCACATTTTCGGCATCCGAAAATGTACTGTCTGGGAGTGCTAGCTGATTGTCAATCTGTGGAACACCTGCAGTGAGGTTGGGGTCAATTGGAAATCCCTGGTACTGATTGAACTGTTCCACGATATAAGGTTGCATATGTGAGTCGTATGCGGCATGACGCTGATCTATCGGATAAGTAGGGATGTATTGGTAAGGGGCAGGTTCACTGTTTGCACCGACAGGCATATAGACGTCATGCAAAAGATTAGGATCCATTGGGAGCTCGACGGCCATCCCATCCGAAGTACTAGTGACTAACTCCGGATCGCTGATATCAGATGAAGATACGCGCGGTGATGGAAGAAAGCTCTCATATTGTATAACAGTCTCGTCATTGATGCGCATTCCGGTCTGCAAGTCTTCCTTGTACTGAGACTCTAGCTGTGGGAGAACTTGTGGGAGTGGATGGACCTGACTCCAACTATTTCGGCTCTGACGACGACGGGCTGGACGTGCAGAGGCATCTTGGGAGGCGTTTAGTTGAGCATTGGCCCATTCATCAGCATGAAGAGTGCGCTCGTGTCGGACAAGCAGGTCTCTGGGTGGAAAGAATAAGAGTGTTAGCTTTGATACGAATCAAAACCATTACCGAGGAAACCTACTTTCTGCCGTAGGATTTTTGGCAAAATCGACATGAGAACGGGCGCTCCCGGAAATCTGACATTCCTTCGATTAGACAAATTCATTTATTAAAACAAAGAGCGAAGACTTACGCGCGCGCTCATGTCGAATACAATGTTCAGTCCTCTTGAATGTCCGGCCGCAAATAGTGCAAGCGCGCACTCTCTTGCCTTTCTCAATCCTTTCTTGAGGCATACCGTTATCTAGATATAGCGGGCGAAGCTATCGATAAGCGAAATGACATCAACGACAACGGGGATGACAAACAAGAAAAATTGACAAGAAGCAGCAATCGGACGCATTAATAGACGAATTATCGGTGATGGCTCTCAGTCTGAACTGGGATGGCTCTAGAATCCGGAATTGGCTCAACAGAACCGACCGCGTGCGGGGGAGTTTCTGATGGAGCATCAAGAATGAGTGGGCCTTGATTAGTCATTCTCATGACTTGCATGTGAGTCACGTGAGCACTCCTCGAGCCGCACGTGCCAATTATCTAACTGTTTATGGCTAGCTATCCCCGGGTTTATTCTTAAGAGTTTGCCTGTTACAACATCCCCGGAAAAGCTACTGCTTATACGTATGTAGCTTTGATATGAATTGAACGTGCTGTTCAGAGAACCAACTGTTCATTAGTCATAGTACAGATGAAGACAGACATAATGCTAGCCTACAATGGTCAAGATATCGATGGACATGCCACATCAATTCCAAACACTCTTACATTCGATTTCTCATTAGGTCTAACGATTAGGATAGAAACATAAGCATGTGGTTGCGCATGTAAGTAACTGCCGCGCCTTTCAGTCCTGATATCAGCGATAAGCGAGTAGCCAGAATGCGCACACACATGTGTCGGTCATTAGAATTCTGTTGTTCCTTCTTAGACGACATTTCCAGAAAGACAGCCCTTCATATGCCAAGCGACTTGAACTGACTTGTGATGTAGGACAAAGGTAAATTAAGACAAGGGGACTCCGGGTATAAGACCAATGTGATTCATCATTTGTTCAAGAAGGTAGTATTCGGTCGTGGCTTAGAGGAAATAGTCAGGGGTTCGTCTCGAGACCATCGGTTCTCCAGCTCGGGGGCATGGGTCGAATTGCAAGCTGGTCAACATCAGTAAGTTGTTTGTCATTGTTAGAAGACAAAAGTGAAAACATACAATGTGTACTTCAAGTGTTCATCAATCTCCATGATAGCAGCTTGGTTACCACAGCGGTAGCAATAATTCGGGGCTGTAGTTTCCAGTTAGCAAAGTGAATCGAGAGAGCCTGTTAAATTAATTCATACCTGAGAAGATTGTGACAACGTTTCTATCCTGAGACCAGTTGTAACCCTCCATAACCAATTGGTGTGCACGTGCAACGAGAGTCAAGCCGTTATTGTGATTGAACGCCTCCGAGATATCCTGTCCGAATGTATAACCAGCACCACGAGGAGAGATTCCCCATCCGCATCGATCGTCAGGATCACTCCACAGTAAATCACACATGGGACCCTCGTGAGGAACTTCTTGAATGCGATCTAGGGATCTGATATTGTCGAGGGTATCAATTGATGGACTGAGACCTCCGTGAAGGCAGAAAATCTGGTTCTCGATCAAAGCGGTAAGAGGGAGATAGTCGAAGAGGTCGGTGAAGTACTTCCAAACGTTCGCATTTCCATATTTACGTAGACATTCGTCGTAAAACCCGTAGACCTGAGTGATCTGGCGAGATTCATGATTTCCACGAAGGATGGTGATGCGTTGAGGATAGCGAATTTTCAGGGCAACAAGTAGTGTAACGGTTTCAACAGAGTAGTATCCACGGTCAACATAGTCACCTTGACTTCAGAGTTAGCGCTGGGGGAAAACGAAGCAGCTTGGGTTCAGCGACATGACTGACCCATGAAAAGGTAGTTTGTGTCTGGATTAGGTCCTCCAATACGGAACAATTCCATTAAGTCATGAAACTGTCCATGAATATCTCCACAAACCGTAACGGGACATTTCTGTTGTTGTCACAAATTGTTTATCAAAAAGATGCTCCTTACTCATACATGTCATCCAAGGATACATACCACCGGCTGAACGTTTGACTCATCTTGAAGTACTTCTCTGGCCTATTCGAAAAAGCGAACGGTTAGCTACGAGGACTGGAACAGCATGGAGCTAACTTACCCGATCACACAATCGCTGCACGTCGTTCTCTGCCAACTGCTTGCAACTCATCAAACTCTCAATCCATCCATCAAGTGTGGGTATAGATGCTGGGTCTGAAATGGGTGAGAGGTTGTGAGGCTCAGGAGAACGTGCTGTATCGATTTCCATGTTGTTTTCCATGTTGTCTTGTGTGAGAAGAAAGGTCAACGTAATAAGACCTGAAGGAGGGGGTGGACGGATCGAGGGTCTCGTGTCTAGGCCAATATGAACAGCAAGGCCTAGCCAGTGACAGAAAAAAAAAAGACGCTTAACGAGACAGTTATATTTGCAAAAGGGACTTGGTTGTTTATTTTATGACAGAGTGATAGAAATGTTTTTGTCGACGTAGGAAGTGGTGGGGATAGATGGGCGGGTGTTGGCTTTGTCTTGCGAGGTGCGTCTGGGACAGTTAGGTTAGCTCCCAAACAGACGCGGAAATTGCGCCACGCCAGTCCATGCGCCACACCAACACCTAGAAACAATAAAAAAGAAACAAACTACATCCGCCCGTCTCACTCTACGAAAAAGTCGGTTATTACGCAGAAGAAGTCGGCAAATCTTGCATTCATTATTCAATAATACATTATCGTGAAGAAAATAGACATTTCAGTCGAATATCTAGCTAACCCGTCCTAGCCCATCGATTCCATCGTCAAATGATATCACCACCACCAAACCCTCCACCGAAACCCCCCGACCCAAACCCACGACCTCCAGGACCAGAGCCTCGACCGTATGGCGGAGCATCCCATGGTCCTACAGGGTCATATCGAGATCCTGGCGGTGCTCGCGGGTCGTAACCGCCTTGCTGTCCTCCGAATCCTCCAAACATCGGATCATCAGGTGTCGGATGCATTCCACCACCGCCTCTTAGGTCAGGTCCAAAGGTTCCTCTGAGCGGATCACGAGGACCTAAGCCTTGAGGATAGAGATCTCTGTCACCACTGCGCGGAAAGTTCCCTCCTCCGTAAGGCATCGTGCGGCCTTGCGATTGTCTGTTCAACTCGTACTCGTCTTCGAAACCAGGCGGAGCAAAGTCCCCAGCGGGTACCTGTTGACGAGGTGCTGCAGCTAACGGATCATCAAATGGATATGGACGAGCAGGCGGAGGGCCAATGTCCTCTCGTAACGGATCATGCTGAGGAGGGCCTTCCGGTTGTTGTTGTTGTCGTTGTTGATCACGAGCTTCATCACCGGCCTGTTGTGGTAAACTCGATATGGCAAATTTCTGGATAACATGGATTTTGAAGAGATTAATCAGATCGTCAAGGCGATTAGGTGACACAAAAAGTGACCTTAGGCTATCTGGCTGATCTGGATGTATCTGGAAAGGTAAGGCAGTTGACGAAATGAACTCGGACACAAGAACATCGAATGACGTTGCCTTATCTTCCCCAGCCAGCCCCATAATAACTGCATTATTGCCAAGTCGACTGACTTTCAGTAAGTATTCAGTCGACGACTGTTGCCGAGCATACCGGAAGGAGTAAGTATTGGCATGAGCGTTCCAGTCCTTGGGCAGGATTGTGGCGTCTGTATTATTTTCTATCCGGCTGTCAGTAATCGTCTTTGTGTCTTCAAAACGCAATCCCAAAATACCAATATTATGTTCTTCGCCTAATCCAACGAGACGAAACTGTGTAGCAATCATAGATGCATGGCCAATAACTGCTATTGCTTCATAGGCATTCCCGATTGAGGCCTCTGTTTGTCCATCACCCCGGAGCGATGCGAGCACGACTTCGAGGATACGGGAAGGATTCAACGCAGTATCTTCCGACCCAGCCATGATGTATATTTCTGCAATAATATTTCTCGCGAAGGAACGTCTTGCTTTGCTCTGTTAAATATTTGTAGAATTAAAAAAGGGGATCCAGGGAGTCATTACATCAATGATGGTGATGCCTGATACTGTCGGAATTACGACGGACCGATTAAACAAACAGTGCAAACATAGCCCTAAGCTTACCTCGAGGCAGTTTTATCTTCTGTCATGGTTGGGCATCTGTTTAGAGGAACAGATTGCTGTGATGCTTCTGAATCCTTTGGATGTTCTTCTGAGGCATACTGTGCCTCCGGTATATCTCACTATACTGCTATTCTACTATTGCATCCATCTGAGTGCCCAAGAAGACTACCGCGACAGGATTGCTGATAGATCTCCTTTGCTTGGTCTTTGGAGTCAGTAGTCATTGCAAAAGGCACTCAGAATAAAATTCAAAACCTCTAGTATCGCAATAATACTCAAAATTGGGCGTCAGACTTCCAACTCCCTCTTAGCAATGACAGAAGATACACGAAGGGCTCAAAGTCCCAAACCCATAACAAACTGAATAGAGTTCTTCTGCCTGTCTTTTACTGCACGGCAAGCCGTAAGTGCCCTCTTGGTCTGCTCTTGACTAGCCATTGTAACCGCTTCCAGAGAGAGTTCAAGCAAGTCTTGACAATGCATGTATGTTCTCGTGGCAATAGTTCCAATAACCGGACCTGCCACGCACCTTGTCATCCAATCTCTCGACTTTTCAAGACATGCCCAACATATCCTCAGATGTGGAAAATGCACACCAGATCCGAATCAATCAGTAGCTTCGCGTATTCGGATACTATATTTCATACAACTGTAAGGTTATCGCCCCAACCCACAATCAGAATCGTTGTGCCAAGCGAATAGCGAGTGGCTGGCAAGCAGGTGCACATTTCTTGCGATCAATTTGTGTGGACCGTTATTTCCACGGTATACTTCTGATTCGCCAGAAACCAGAAACGGTAGAGCTAACCATCACTTGCACGGAACCTTCAAGGATCGATCTTCTTTCTTTTGATCTCCAACGTCTCTTCGTTATCGATCTTGACTTCTCTTACGGTCACATCCTCGTTCTCATCTGAACCCACACCTTACTCAGCGTATACTGCATACAGCATCGTTGCATCCTCAGCAACTCTTTCCTGAGCGATCATTCCCCTCGGCTTGTATTTTTTGTTTGTGCCGTGTGCGGAATCATTCTTCTCTTTTTTTTTCAGTGCTATCTCTGTTGCCACGAGGAATAGCATATCCTGGTATAGAACACATCTCAATATCTGCCTATCTTTACTTAGGTTAATTGGTCCTTGCAGCAAAAATGCCGTTACCACTACCTTCGAGTTTTGCCTCTGCTGCTGCTGGCATTAACCAGGATTCAAAGAGAGATGGTTCTATGAGCGGAGAATGGTGGGTAGCAATCCTATGAGTCTCTACACCCTATTGTCGGGATTTTCTCAATGAAATTTCGTTTGCTCAAAGGTACATTATACTAAGCCGTTAATTTTTTTTTTACTCAGGACGCGGTCTCGTACAAACGGCGCGACACAGACTTTCCGCCGTCCCTCTGTTGCGACAAATCTATCGCACAATCGTGATAGTAGTAGTCAACCTACGTCTACATCTACTCCTACTTCTACCGCATACATTCCTCCTCATATGACGTCCAACTATCAGTCTCGCAACGGTTCAACTGGCGACAGCCGATACTCGAAGGAAGATCTTTTGAGCATCTTTAAGGGTCAGCGAGATTCAGGAGCGTTAGGGAAGAATATGGGAGACCATTTCCTAGCCTCGTGGAACCCTCTTGAAGAGACTGGGAACACTAACGGTACCTGGGTGAAGAAAGAGGATCAAAAAGACTCTCCTCCGGGACCTGAGGTTTGCTGGGACCATTTGGGACATTATGAACCACTAGGCCTAATAGATATGACGGAAGAGGAACGTGAGGTATGTCACTCATGTTTCCCAGACAATCTTCACTTTTTGCTAAATTTGATACCTAGCTCTTTTCGACTACTGTTAACTCCCCTCTGAAACCTCCACCATCAAGCGCCACCAAGGACAATACTTCTGGTGTTGGTGGACGGAAAGCCTCGGTCTCCCATTCGACCCCGTTCAACACTTCCTCTCCGAGCTCTGGACGACCCGGTACGCGACGTCGAGAAACTCAAGATTCAACAGGCAATCCCATGTCTCCGACTGGCGGTTCTCGTTTCTTCCGGGAAGAACCTAATACAACTACACCTCCTCCTTCTCTACTTCGCCGTAAAACCGACCTTAGAGATACAGGATCGAGTTATAAACAACCTGAAGAGAAAGACAAGACCAAAGATCTACCCGATATTTCGTCTCCGTTCGGGTCTCTGAAACGGAGCGCTACGAACCCAGTAGTCAGTGGTCTGGCCGGTGCCTCCTCGCCTTGGACGTCAAGCTCCCAAACTGCAAACTTGTCACCGATGGGCGCTTTCGGAAGCTTTTCGCTCGGTACTTCCAGTCCTCAAACTACAACATCTACCGTTGAGAAAAGACCTGGCTTTGGCAGTGTTCGTGGCGAAAGCAGATTCAAGGGGTTGCTCTCAAAAGATAGCTCGGAGGATGTTGGAATGCTAGCTAAGGATAAAAGCTTGGCGAAGGAGATAGAGCGTCTTGCCGAGACCGAGGCGACAAGTCGCTCGCAATCACCATGGAATGATACTCTTAAGACTCGTCCTACCCGCAGCGAAACGAATCCCTTCGATGAGCCTCGCAGTGGGAGTGCTGCTCTTGGCGGCTCTGAGGAAGTCGGGTCGGGTATAGACGAGCTTGGATTCTCCGCGTTTGGTATGACCGCTGGTGTTCCTGGCCTTCGAGATCTACTCGGCCGTGGTGACGGTGCCCATGCTTCTCCAAGTCACCTCCAGGGACTTGAGCCAACCAGCCCAACAAACACGAATCCCTACCAAAGCCCGCGAGGCGAGAAGATTGATGATGACGTGGACACTGATGGCTCTGACGTGCAGCGAAGTCAGCATCCAGGCATAACCGGGCTACGCGATGACTCTGCAGCTCCCTCTTTTGGTTCTATCCGACGTGGCGGCTCTGCTGTAGACATGTCTGGTGGTGATCGCAGTCAAACTTCTAGTGTAGGTCCGGGCAGGGGTTTCTCTAACCTTGGCGGACTAGCCGGTCTTCCCGCTATTGGTAGCTCAGGGGCATGGCCTTCTGCCGGAGCAATTGGGACACCAACACGTGAGCGAGCTGCTTTCACAGGATTTGGTGATCCTATCTTTGGGTCTATGGCCGAAGTTCAGTCTCCAGGTCTTTCTACACTCGGTGCAGGTGGTTTCTTCGGTTCTCACGGGGGGCTTGGTGGGACTGGCGGCATCGGTCGGGCGAGCAAGATGGGTTCTCTTTTCCCGTCTTCCATGCAAGACAATACGCACGGTGATATTGGACGTCAGGAAGACGGGAATCGGTCTCAAGGTGAGCTATATAAGAGATCGGATGTCAATATTGAAACCGTGACTTATTCTGTGACAGATCACAAGCCTTCTACATCGACGCCTTTGCAACTTCCGCCCACCTCAGCCGCTAGTACTTTGACAACACCTCTAGCTTCAACATCGGAAGTCCCACAGAATCACCATGTCTCGTCTGGTGGGGTCGCTGGTGCCATCCCGGCAGCTCAGCAACGGACCATGGTAATGCCGGATCGTATGCGATGGATCTACCGTGATCCGCAGGGAAACATTCAAGGACCTTGGTCAGGATTGGAAATGCACGATTGGTTCAAAGCAGGATTTTTCACCGCGGAACTTCAAGTCAAAAAGCTCGAGGATCCTGACTTCGAGCCTTTAGCTCAACTTGTTCGTCGCATTGGAAATTCCCGCGAGCCATTCCTTGTACCTCAGATAGGCATACCTCATGGGCCCGAGCCCAATCAAGCTGCAACATGGGGGACTGGAACACAGCCCGGTGCCGCTCAACCTCCGTTCGCAAACAGCTTCCCTACCTTTGGAACGACGCTCACTGCAGAGCAGCAGAATGCATTGGAACGGAGAAAGCAGGAGGAACAATATCTCATGGCTAGGCAGAAGGAGCATCTTGCTCAACAACAAGCTATGATGAAGCAAATTCAATTACAGGGGGGGCCACATAATGTGCAACCCCAGCTTCAACACCATTCCAGTGCACACAGCCTCCAAAGCCAGCCCAGTTTTGGAAGCATCACGTCTCCTACGGGTGGTTATCAGCAATCTCCTATCCAGCCACCACAGCCAATGCCAGGCTACTTCGATGGCCCCTTCAGACAGAATACTCTCCCTTTCGGACCTCAAATCCTCGGGACGGACTTCGGTTCACACGATGAACTCCCGGGATTTCTCGATCGCCTAAATCTGAGCCGTCCTGGCCCCTTCCCTTTGAATTCTCAAGGCTCTTATAGCGGTCGTCAGCAAGAAGCCGGCATACACCCCCAACAGGTCAACTCAATTTTGCAGGAACGTGCACGCCTTCAGCAAGAGCAGGAGCAATACGACAAGACCCATTCGGATAGTATTTTCGAGCAACAAGCGCGTGATGAACGTCTTCGCCAGTTCCACGCTCTCCGCTCCGATGAAGAAGAGAACATGCTGAGAGTTAGCGAAGGTTTGTCGTCTCTCCCGACTTCTGCCACGGCCGAGCAGCCTGAGATATCCCGGGAGCAACAGGATCAAGAAGCTTTTTTGCGGGATCAAGAAACATTTTCCGATGAACCACTCTCTCTTTCCCAGCAGGTGCAAAAGGCAGCTAGTGCGCAAAGACAACAGCAACAACAGCAGAAGCAAGCACAAGCTGACGCTGCATGGGTGGCTAAAGGTGATTCTGGTATTCCTCACCCTTTCCCACCTCCTCCCTCGCAATCTCCACTTCCAGCACCGGCAGCTCAGCGGAATCGCCAGCACGTTGCTGATGCTCTTGCAGCAACTTCGCGCTCCCAGAACCAGACACCTGTTGAAACACCAACCGCTTCCATCGCTCCCTGGGCGAAGGATAGCATTGAAGCGCCAAAGGGCCCATCTTTGAAAGAAATTCAGGAGGCAGAGGCTCGCAGCGCGGCTCAGCGCGAAGAACTTGCAGCACAGGCCCGTCGAGCTCAACTTCTGGCAGAACAAGAACGTCTCTCGCAAGCGCAACAAGCAACGGCTCCCGGGTTGCCATCAACAGCAAACTGGGCCAGCGGTATGTCTCCATCCACACCCAGCACTGCAAGTTCAGCTTGGTCCAAGCCAGCTGCAAAGGCTGCGGGTTCTCCTGCCAAGACTCTTGCTCAGATTCAGAAAGAAGAAGAGGCACGCAAGCAGAAATTGGCCCAGGTCAATGCCGTTCAGGCTGCAGCCATTACAGCAGCTTCTCCGGTATCAGGAAAGCGGTACGCTGATCTCGCTAGTAAAGTAGCCGCGTCACCAACGTCCGCAACCTCAGGTGCATGGACTACAGTTGGGGCCGGTGGTAAAGCCAAGGCACCTCCAGCTGCTCCAGTTGGACCTCGCTCTACCAGCGCTACGCTTTCTGTTCCTCAGGTTGCAAAGCCAAGACCTGCAGCTCCCGCCAGAACATCGACCATTGTCAACACCCCAGTATCTAATGCAAACCGCGCAAACGAAGAGTTCACGAAATGGGCCAAGATAACCCTAGGAAAGGGTTTGAACAATGGTATCAATGGTATGATATTACTGCTTTAAACTTCCTTGACGACCTGCTAATGATGACTAAACAGTGGACGACTTCGTACAGCAACTACTCTTATTGCCAGCTGAAGCAGAAATTATCTCCGACTCTGTCTATGCCAACTCTCAGACATTGGATGGTCGTCGTTTCGCAGAAGAATTCATCCGCCGCCGCAAGCTTGCTGATAAGGGAATCGCTGACCCTGTTAGTACCAGTGCATTGACTGACCAGAAAGCAGCTTCTGGCGGCTGGAGTGAAGTTGCCAAGAAGTCCTCAATCCAACCTAGACAGGAGGACGATAGCGCTGCTGCATTCAAGGTTGTTGCCAGCAAGAAGAAGGGCAAGCGGTAAATTCTCACGTGAACTGAGAGCCGTCTAGTTTGCATTTGAAAAAAGGTGTACAAGGCTTATGGAACGCGAAAAGTGATGTCTTGTTTGTTATGTTGCGGAATTGAATAAAGGCATGGACTTGGTGAAAGGAGCTACAAGTATCAAGCCTTGCAAGGTCGAGAATGTCACCATCCAGCGATTGTAACGTACTTGGTTTGGATAGTGGCCTTGCCTCTTCTCTCCTGAAGCTAAGATGTACAATACCTAGGTAACCTAGCAATGAACTGGGATTAGTGATAGATTGTGCACAGTCAGCTGGTAATAGCGTCAAAGCTGTTTATTTCTATATCGTGATTGCCATTTGAAATAAGTAACCTTTCAACACAGTTTTGAAGCTCTTCTGCCTGGCCAGTGGCTTTATAGTAAACATAAATCGATGATTGCCTACGTCTACATAATACATTCCTACAAATAAAGACCCAAATCACTCATCGAATTACCTAGGTTTAGACAGGGAAGAGATATCTTATTACTCTTGCCATTGGCATCTTTTCATAGCAACACATTCTTGATTTCGCAATGCTAGAAGTTCGTAAACTTGAGGAAAAGAAAAGCTACCCATAACCAAAACACAGTTTCAACCAAATCAGAGGACATGATGCACCGCTTCTCGAGCTTCTTCCGTGAAACGTTTCCTCTCGATGGGACTGGGAGAATCCGGGGCGTCTGAAGATAAAGCTTCTATCTCAGCGGTTAATATGCCGTCTTTGCTCGGGAGGTGATTTTCGATCGTCATTAACACATGGGGCTTGTCAGGATTAGACCAGGCTTCTACTGGGTTACAATGCTCGTAGCGGAAGGGAGACTAGAGAAGCTCCTTGTTACGGCCGAGTAGCATGCACCAGCTTTGACTATAGCGGTCACAGTAAAGTTAGTAACTAGTAAATATGGGGAAGACAGAGGTGGACAATTGATATCACGTACCTACCCACAGTATCTGACCATTCGCCCATGTCCTGCAGGCTCATGGATTTACTATCCGGTGCTTTCCAAAAGACTGATTCAAAATAATCGCGTAACATTTGGCAGAGGTCTAAAGCGCCATTGTCTCCCTCAATTGTCCAGAAGGCTCGTTCATATGTGCCAACTTCTCTCACAGTCCGAGAAGAGTCTAGATCGAGAGAGTATTCCAATTTGCCTCGTAAAAAGAAAGTGGGGTTTGTAGTATTCTCATAGAGACCATCGTCTTTGAAAATCAGATCTTCGTACTTGACACCCAAGTCGTCAAAGAGTCTGGGTCAAAGTAATGATCATACTCAAAATCTGCAAGTCTGTTCCAGACATGCTCGAGATTCTGCGCAATCTTTTTCGAACTTCACGCACTTGCTCATTTTCGAGTTCTTTTGCCTTTTGCTTGGGAACAAATTCAAGATTGCTTTCATATCATGTGTCTAACAGTGAAAGTGTAGCAGGTTATGAATGATTGAAACATTAAGGGGATATTTCGAGGGAGGATCTGAGTTAAATACTTAGGAACTAGACATGAAGAGCACTCCAAAATATTCTATCTTAGTATTAATAATTAGGATGCTCTTTACTTCCATATTAGAGCAATCAAAGCTGAGATCAGTATAGATATAGAGGGGCCTTCCTTTCATTATACGTAGCCAGGCTTACCGTATTCCCATAACAGCTAGGCTAGCCCTAGTGGGGCCGTGAAGTACCAGTAAAGTTTAAGCTAAGTATGCAACCTTATTTAGACTATGAGATATTTCATTGGTTGCCTTTGAATGTTTGTTCTAGAAAATTACCTTTTAGATCTATCAATGTGACTGGTCTGCACCTTATATCACAACAGTGTAGCTAAGAAAATCCATTAAATTAGCATCTTGCTTTCTATCCCATTGAAGTCCTTTAATCAAAGCTTTCAAAGAATTGACCAGTGTTTTTTTAAGCTTTGATAGTTAGGTTCTGCTAATAATGAGTAAAAAATCTTTCTTATTTACCCTATTGCAAGTCGATCATCACTTTCTTTATGCTTTTATTCTTCCTCTGACATAGTCCTCTGAGTAGCACGTCTCATGCATCATAACCAGTTGAGTGGGCAATACCCTTCATCTGCAACAAGTTCTTTTGCATAGACTCGCATTTGGCCCAGAATCGCTCATAGCAGTCCTTACCAAGCGGTACTCGCAAAAAACCTTCTTTCCCAGCACCCATTCCAGTATTGGTAACGATTTCTAGAATTCTCTGCGCCGCTTTGGCAGGATCACCTTGTTGTTTCCCGTCTTTCGATTTGAACACCTGTAGAAATTTTTCGAGGGGTGTCCCGACATATCCTTTGTTCATTCCAGCAGCCGGCTCGATATATGCAGACAAGAACTTTGTGCGAAATTCTCCTGGCTCGACCAGAAGTACCCGGATACCGCAAGGGGACAGTTCTCTCGCAAGACTTTCGGACATACCTAGAAGCCACCAGTGAGTACATCATCTAAGGTGGATTTAAAGTTGTATCGAATGTTGGTTCATGTCAAATGCAGTGGTAGTCTCACCTTCCAAAGCAAATTTTGACCCTGCATATGAGCGAGGAAGAAATCCAGACCCAATTCAGCACAAATGTATTTGGCGCGGTTCGAGTACTCAAGGGTGTTCTTCCATTTATGAGGGCGAGGAAATCTGGTACCGTTATCAACATAAGCAGTTCTGCTGGATTGGATGGATTGCCTACTTGTGCGATGTATCCTCAATACTGCCAAGCAGTGAGTACCCTGCATTATTGATCACCACATCGATAACGCCGCCAGCTTGCTTGATAGCTTCTTCGACTTTCTTGGTAGTTTCAGTCTGAGTCACATCCAGCTCAATCCAGCTACCGCCCAGTTTTGAGACTGTGGATTCTCATCGGCCGCCTTCGTCGGGTTACGTGCGGTTGCAATCACTTTGTGGCCGGCTTGTAGGGCTGCTTCGGCAATTGCGAGTCCGAGACCAGAGGAGGCGCCAGTGATCAGCCATGTCTTCGATGCCATGGTTAACTATGTCGCTTGCTCGAATTTTTGCTATATTTTGGTATCCAACACTGGGGATATTAAAGCAGAATGTCAGCGACAATTGTCATGAAGAGAAGTCCCAGATATCCATGGATATGTTCCCATACTGGGTACGTCCTGTATAAATACTCGAGTTCTCAGATCGGATTTCGCGGCATTTATTCACCGCACGGGTCTGACTGTTTCTCGTACAATACTTAAACAGCCTCCTATTCGTTGAATATGTCCTTAGAGCGCAACAAAGAGGTTGTTGAATACGCGATAAGCGATACGACTCAATTCGACTGAAGCGGATATTACGGATTTATGCCCTAATCTCCGCCATGACAAAGTTGAAACTATGGGGATTGACTAAGAATGCATTGCAAAAATGTAATCACATGAAGGCGTCATAGGAAATGAATCAATAGCAATGCATTGTAACTAAGAAATTCGTCCCATTGTCCTGGCCTTTCTATGCAGAAAATAAAAATGGTATTTGTTATAAACACGCCATTTCCAAAGAAGAAAAGTGAGAGCCACTGTACAAGTTGGCAAATAGCTTCACTACACATCTGTAATATTCAGCTGCCGCCAAAATGACTTCTCAGCCACCCTGTAACTCCTCCGCCACTGGACTGAGGTTGGGGTTCGGGCTCGTCCCGGTTGGATTGTTCTCGCCTTTCTTCTGGAGGAGCTGACGCCGCTTGATGCGGTGGGGAACGATGATTATTGTTGAACGAGGAACCACTGCTGGTCCGATGGCGGCGAGTACGGTAAGGACTGCCATTGTGGTCGCGATTTGTGTCATAACCAAATGCAGAAGATCGGCGTCGTCGAGGAGATTGCGGGGGACTGCTTGGAATGACTACAGGATTATTCATGGTTCCAGGGGCACTCTCACTAATGAAGCATTGTTAGTAGACGCCCAGCGCCTCATAAACTGCGAAGATCACGACTTACCCTTGGTCGATAGGCCTGCGACAGTGCGGACAGGTATTATGCTGTTTCAACCACATTTCAATGCAATCTCCGTGAAACCAGTGCTTGCAAGGAAGTTCTGTGACTTCGCTACCAAGATCAACTGCATCCATGCATATAGAACATTCCGCCATTCCTTCTGCTCCTAACATCTCCTTATCAACGGTTCTTTTTGGTAGGGAACGAATCGCACTTTCGGCGGCTGGCGGTGCTCCTTGATTCATATTTTGATCCACAAGCTGTGATATAACGCGATCAAGCTCTTCTTGCGAATACACGGCATCTCCAATGCGCCCACCACCGAGTATGGTAGCAAGTAAGGATAAAGGATGCAACGGGCCCATCCCCGTGGTCCCCATTATATGTATTCCACCACCGGGCCGATCAAATCCATATCCAGCTGCATCCGTTCGTAATAAGTCAAATATGCTATAACCATATGAGCTCATATCATCAAAAAGAGGATCAGGAATGGTAGTGCATTGTCCCACAAAGGAAATAATCATACACGTACTCGTTCAAACTACCTAGTGGCAATGGTGGGGGTTGTGGGCTGTCTGTATTCCTCGGCGATGATCCGCCATGAAAATTCGCACCTCGACTTGCGCCAGGAGTTTCCCATGGTTCTTCTCGGTCTGGAGGTGGACCATTGCGGTTTTGTGTATTGTAGGCGCCTGCTAATTCTTGGAAAATGGTGCCAAATGTCCGTAAAAGCGGCTCGCCGCCATACATATCAGGAGACGGCGGAATTCGGTGACGCCCACCCATACCGGTAGTGAAAGTTGTGCTAGTAAATGTGATTCGGCCATCTGGCGAACGGTAGGAATGACGACTAACTCTAGGAGGGCTTCCAAATCTTTGTGGTTCGTCGTCGTTAGTTTCAGACCATGGATTGTGGTTGAAGAATGGATTTTCCGCATCATATCGCGCTGATCGTAGAGATTGAGGAGATTGAGGTTGGTGCTCGTGTGGTGATAATGAGGGAGCAAGAGGCGTGCTTGAAGGATGAGAGTTATGATCTCCAATCTGATGTTGTTCCTCGGCACTGCCTTCAATCTATCATGAAATTAGATCGCATTCTCTAAAGATCGCCGACAGCGTAAATACTTACAATCTCGGTAAAGTCAGAGCCACATCTTGGGCACATCAGGCCAAACTCATCTTTGGGAAACACATTGTTACAATGGTAGCACAGAACGTCCTCTCCGCGCTCCGGCATATTGAGTGGAAACTAAGAATGAAAGCTCAAGAGGTTTAGACAGCCCGAGTGAGTAGAAATTTGGAGATATGTGAGATGGAAATGAATATAGACTCCAAAATATATGAAATCGACTTGTTGTTGTCGATGCAGAAACTGTTTCGAATGTGACAACTGACGGGATCTAGTTGAGTCAACAAGGCCAAAAAGGCTCATAGACGAACCCTCTTTTGGGAAACAAAACGCAAGTAACACTCATTGACAAGATTGGTCTCCTTTGACTCTGTACACATAGGACAATCGCTTGTTGTCAGACGCAGCACTAAAATTCAGCCTTGACTGCACGGAAACGACGAGCAAAAAGAATGGAAGAGGAGAGAATAGCCTCGTGATTGGGATGGCGGTTTCCGATCTGATGACGTTAGCTGCCGCCCTGGGTGGATTGTGGACCGATTTCCGAGGCATCAACATATCCGCACTTCGCCACAATTATATACACACAACATCTGTTGAGACTGCTACTCAATCAACAAGGCCCCAGATAGTGAAGTGGTTATGATGGTTACTGGTTTTCTTTCAAGGTCCACCTGGGCAAATTGCAATGTGGCTATGGAACATCCTGCTTGGGTGGATAATCTGGAGTAGAGAAATTGTGATTTGTAGCTGTGATCTTGATATATAAACACTAAAGCCAAACAGACATGTTACGCGATCAGCAAAACGAAAGGGGAAAACAGTTTAAAGATACAGTGATCGTAAGAAGAATAACGCCCGCCCATGCCGTGGTCAATTAGCTATCAATCAAAACGAAGATATGTACGGAGAAAACTTCATGTCGTATACTGGCCGTGTTGGATCTGTCATATAGAATCATTTCTCATCGTCTGCGAGAGCCTCTGACAAGGAGACCTCCGATCAATCCAGCAGCAAGAGCCACACCGCCCACTATGGCAACTCCCATCAAACCCTCTTTGGCGACTTTGTCCTCGATGAGTTGTCGCAGGCTAGCAGCCTGCAGATTGCCGGGTTCATGCTCGAGCAATGCATCGTTGTATTTGCGCGCTTCTGCATAGTTGCCTAGCTTGAAGTTTCCGAGAGCGAGGTAGTAGAGGCATTCACGGCGACGTTCCTGAGCGGTGCGAAAGATCTGGGAGAGGAGGATAACACCTTCCTGTTGTTCGCTTCGAAGATTTGATTTAATGAGTCCCTTTCGATTCCGGTTAGCCACATAAGGTATACAAAGACAGTCATAAACTTGGTTTCCGGACATACCCAGGCGTAGTTGAATTTGGTCTGTACTCCGACATATTCACCCTCCTTCTCATACTGTGCTCGCAGGACTTGGAGTTCCTCGGGTCTCAAGGGGCTATTCAAGGTTAGCTTTGAAATAATAACGAGCAGAACCGTACTTGCCTCTCGGCATCTGCAGCGTCTGATTATCACCGGTTCGAATTAGCTACACATTCTTTCCACGAACACAGAGGGAGACCAAAAGCGCAGTACGTACAAGGCAGATTAGTGACCATATTGACTGTTGACAAAGAATTATTATGAATATATTGAATGCGACAAAGTACAATCCGAAGAGATGTTTTGTGCCTGTGATCGGATTGATGGATCAGCAGAACAAAAGGCTCAACATGTGGCGGTGCAGTGACGCAATGACCTTGATTTGCTGTGGCTGTTGCTCCCGCAACCATGTGGCGCAGTCACGCGTTTATTTCTGGCAGAAACCAGACTGTTCTTCGTGATACTCTCTCACCACTTCGCGTTCTGTCTTTGAAAAGATTGCCTTGGACTGTAGCTAAAATGTTGCTCGACGAAGATCCTGCTACTGTACGTTGACGATCTGTTGCCATGCCATGTCGACAAGCAGCTAATGTTTGTCTAGCTCATCCAACACACAATTGGAAATTTCAATATCAACCCCGACAAACTCGCAGTGACCCGAATCAATGAATCGTTAACTGCACTTCAACAATCGCGAGACTTGCGCATGCGCGAAGCAGAGACTGCCTTAAGAAAATTATCGCGCAATTTGAAATCCCTAGAAGCGAACTATGACGAGACCGTGGCCGCACACGATCCAGCCCGTCACGCCCAGGAGATTCTCGAACTGGATGCGCAAAAGTTCCGTATTGCAAAGGCCGCATCTGATTTGGAAATTGAGTCGGAACGTCTAGAGGGGGATTTGGAGATGCTGAAAGAGCGACTGGCGGAGCTCGAGGCACAGGGACTGGAAGGTGATGAGACTGTACGTCGAGAGAGGGAGGCTGACGACGCTACTATGTACGTTTATTTCCTCCCCCATCCAGCTGGAACTAAGCTGACTGTAGCAGATTGCGACTCAAGGTCTATCGTTCCCTTGGCATTGACGTTGAGGCCGACGACGCTGGGAATTATAACAAGGCGATTATTCGAAACAGTCGCAAAGGTGATGTCCATGTGGTTAAGATCGATCCGAAGTTCTCCCGATTTTTCTATGCGAACTACTTCTGGCAAACCATGCAAGGTTAATACACGCTAGTACCAATTTTTGATGTGAATTTACGACGGCAATGATGGCGTTGATGGAGTTGACTACAAACACCGGTGTTTTATTTATCTATATACCCTTTACATTGGAACAATATTTTACAACTATCGATTCACTTCAGAATCGAGTGCTTTGGGTTGAAAATTGGAGGAGCCGTCTTAGCACAGATACCGTGCTCGTACTTCAGATATAATGATCAATTGAATCTTTCTTTGAATTTTTCTTTGAGCAGCAGTAAAACCTGTTGTTTTTTTGGACCGAAATCCTCAGTAACACCGCCATTGATAATTTCTCGAGTCAGTTCGGGATACGAGTTCTCCAGTAGAGTTAGCAGTTCATATTTCTGTGCCTCTGGCAAATCCTCACATCCCCAAGCAGACAGCCATTCGGCTTCCTTCAGAGATATCGTGTCTTCAACAGCGCCCATATCAGGAATATCACTTCCATCCCACGCCAATACAACATCTGGACGTGGTCGATCATCAGAAGTGGCATCAGCAAGCGGAGAGTACCTCGTCTCTACCCCTAGCGGAGCTAATCCCAGTTCCTCTACCTTGGAATTCCAAAGAACCTGCTTCAACGCCCCATCACTTTCCATCATCATCCAGAAGAGGGGGTAAGAACTTCGTGTCAAAGTATCCCTGACTCCCTTTGTTGCCTCCCTCGGACTAACCAGGACAGCGACCTTTTCACTAGTGCGCCAGCCAACAGGTGAATGCCGAAAAGCGCCTTCCAGCTCTCTGACAAGATTTGGTCCAAGTTTCTTTTTCAACGCTTTACACTGAACGATAACTCTGAATGGTGTGAATTCTCTACCTGGAATATGCCATGTCCCGACAAGGTCTATACCGGCATCGTCGCGACCACCGATTCGTTCTAAATCGAACGCGAAACGACGCAGAGTCGATTGCACGGTATATTCGTATTTTGTGCCGACATACGTAGTGGTGGTTTCCGGTAAAGCCGTCTGCTTTGCATATGTTAAGAAGGAAGGTAGATCATGGTGATTTTGCGATGGAGCTGGCGGAGCTTTGGGTATTTTCAGAAGGTGGCGGGTGAATGGACTTAGTTCATGAGAAACACGAGTAGAAGAGAACGAACGAAATAATGTTCCTGTTGGTAAGCTCCATGATGCTGTACGTAGCACCATTCTCCCCTTTATAATCACATTCGTAAAGATCGATGCCGTGGTTGGACCTGCTTGAAAGTTGATCGACAGCCGTCCGCGACGTGAACAGAGCTTGATTTGTTCTCCACCTTCATTTTTATCCTCCGTCACCAGCAAAGCTTCCTCTGGCTTCCTTTATCCAACACTCGCTATCAGCGCTTTCGTCCTCTGATCCTTGACTTCAACATTGGCCTGAGATATTTAAGAATAAATCTCCATGGCTGACATATTAACACAGCTCCAAACATGTCTCGATCAGGTAATCTCACTTCATCAAATCTACTCACCCGTCAAGCTAGTCTAATTCCAAACGATAATACAGCTCGCGACCCAATTCTACGCAACTCTCTGCTATCTCAGCACATATCATGACCACGTCCCGGCAACAGTGCCGCCTCCATCCTCCGGCATCACAGACTCCATGCCGCCTCTGGCTAAGATCCCCCGTAACCAACCCTCAGCGGCACCCATGCCCGCCGGTGCAGCCGCAAAACAAACCGCTGAACAACAGGGACAGACTTCACCATCCCTCGGAATTTCCGGAGCAGGTGGCGCAGCAGGAGGGGTGGGAGCAGAGACCTCGACACTCCCTCCAGGCACAAATGGAGCGACAGCGACGACGTCTCTAACTCCTGGTCAAGGAGATCCGAATCAACCACCCATACCAGATTCGCCTCAGTTATTCTTGTATCGACAAAAGGAATTAGCGCGTGACTTGATTATCAAGGAGCAGCAGATTGAGTATTTGATTGGGAGATTACCCGGAATCGGTTCTTCGGAAGCAGAACAAGAAGCGCGTATTCGTGAGTTGGAAAGCGAATTAAGACAGGTTGAGCTTGCGAGGGAGAAGAAAGCGAAGGAGTTGAAGAAGTTGGGGAAGAGACTGGAATCAGTTCTTAGTACCGTTGAGAGGGGCATATATTCGAAACAACAGAGGTACGGTCAAGATTGATTATGATCCCTATATAGTATGCTTTTTTCTCGATCTCCACGTACGCGATGATACCCATGTTAATGAATCTACTTGATGAATTGAAGCATCACGATCAAAGCAGTCTCATATTAATGTGTATCGAACTAATAGGAAGTAGAACCATATCCGCGGACTCGCGTCCATATCTTGTATAGGTAGTGAAATAGAAAGAGACATGAAAAGTGATATCCCTAAAACCACCGACTTTCTAATCATTTTAGTCCGTAGACCTTGTAAATCATCTTCTAGAAACATGATCTCAACCCAGCATGATGGTCGCCCTCGACTTTGTATGGGAATGAGAAGATCGATCAATCAGACAGGAGCCCTCTCATCTAGGAAAGAATGAGTAGAAAAGAAAATGACTATGCATGCAACCTGCAGAACTGGAAAGAAACGAAAAAAGAAAAGGCGCGTCCCACCCATATATTGTCGTTTAGAAGTCACCAGGGTATCGATAAGAAACCAAAGCGCCGTTCCCATGACACCATAAAGAAATTGCAAGCAGAAAGAGACTAAATGAATAAGATAACCATAAATTTAGAAAAAGATTGGGGGGAAATAGTGAATATATGGTAAGAAAGATGCACCGATTACCGGAAAAGGCTTCGGTAGGCTTGCATCCTCGCCTCCTGGACTTCACGTTTATCGAGCTTCCCACGTGCCATGCTATCTTCAGCTAATTGCTGCTTCTTTTTAGCCATTTCGAAAATCTTCTCCTCAATGCTGGCCTTCATAATGAATTGCACGGTGGTCACCTCGCGAGTTTGACCCAATCGATGGACACGGTCTACCGCCTGAGCTACCGCAGCCGGGTTGTATTGAGGCTCCATAATGTAAACGCGGGATGCACTTGTCAAATTGAGTCCAACACCTCCAGCTCCGATGGTGGCAAGCAATATAGTGATATCTTTGTCTTCCGCAAAGCTGTTCAAGGCAGCCTTGCGGGCCGCAAGTGACATTGTCCCATCAATACGAGTAAATCCATTCAGACCGTGGTCTTTTAAAGCAATTTCAATGAGATCGAGATGGGAAGTCCAACCAGAAAAGATCACACTCTTGATAGGAGGCTCATCCTTGAGTCTTGAACTTTCCTCCGCCGTGCTATGCAGATGTTCCAACAAAGCGAAGGTCTTAGTGTGCGGCCCCTCGTACTCTCCTAGAATCTTTGCCCGCTTCCGACTCGTCTTGGCCTCCGCTTGACTTTCTGTGTACTGTTCGAGTCCGGCAGGTGTTATGGCAGAGTAAGTCATGGGAATCCAGCCCTCGCATTTCATACACCGTGTCTGCTCTGGAGATGACTCAGGCTGCATTACAAATCCATTTTTCAAAGGTCCGAAGCAATCAAGGCAAAGAACATCGAAACATGGGAGCATCACAGCCATAGGACTTTTTGGATTTGGCGTGCCGCCTTCTATGTTGTTTTCAGCCAGGGGTTTGTTACACATGGCACACATTGCGGCGGAAGACTCCTCCATCAGAGTAAACATTTCATATGCCTTCTTCTCGATTGCCCAAGCTTGATCGTCCGTTTCACCTTCCTCAAGGTCGATGGCATCTTGAACACTCATGCCTTTCAATCTCTCGCGGTTCTCTTTGTCGAGTAATTCCTTGCCATGTGCGCTAATCTGGCGAAGAATCATCATAGCCTTGAGCACATGGTGATACATTCGACCACCCATGGTACTCTTGCTTTCATTAGCAATGACCTTCATCATCACATCAGACTCCTTGCGGAAGTATTCATGCAGTTTTGCTTCTTTCTCAGAGAAGTCCAGCATGATGATCTTGTCTTGCCGAGGTGGCAGATCAATCTTGTCTTTGACACGGCGGAGAGTAAAAGAGTCCACAAGTACACGGAGGCTGGCAAAAACAGTGGGGTCGCCTAATTTGAAACGGCTGAGAATGTGTGCATGAAATTTAGACCTGTCATCATACGGATACAGTCGAAGAAACTTCGTCACTGATCCAAGATCTTCAAGACGGTTTTGAACGGGAGTTCCGGTCACAGACCAACGACGTTGGCCATTCAAACGAAAGATAGCCTGGCTTTGTTGTGCCGACTGCTCGCGGATCACATGAGCCTCGTCGAGGACAATTCGGAACATGTTCATCTTGATGAGTGGGCTATTCACTGGCTTGGTACCACGTCCACGGAGTTCGCTTGAGATTGTGCTATAAGTCGTGATGATGAGATCATACTGTGACAAGTCCTCAACCACCTTCGACCTCGAGGGTCCGTGAAAAACATAGTATGAAATAGCGTTCTCTTCCAAATGTTCCTTAATCTGAGCAACCCAGTTGTGGACTGCGCTAAGAGGCGAAACTAGTAGTGTTGTTTTAGTGTTGCGAATGCCGGGAATGCCACGGACAAGTGCATTGTGTGGTGGCTCCTTTTCCCAAATTCTTGACTGTGGTAACGTTGCTACGACAAGGGAGAGAATGCTCAATGTCTTGCCGAGACCCATCATATCAGCCAACAAACCGCCATAAATCTGAGGGGGTTCTTCGTTAAGAGTAATGCCACTGATAATCTCGCGGTATCTCTTGTCACCATTGGGTCCGTAGACCACGCGCCAGAGTGAGTTGTTGTCTTCTTCCTTCGACCCATATTTGCGGTCTTGCTCTTTTTCCATCATGAACCATAAAGCTTGCTTTTGATGATGGAGAAGAGGTGTGCGTATCAAAGGCGAGGGCTCCATTTCAGGAATGTTTTCGGCACTTTTGAGTTGATCGAACATCTTCATTACGGCATCGTTGACCTCTTCTGCAGTTCGAACTTCGTACGTAACCGTATCTCGCGAACGGGAACCAGCAGCAGGCCCATAGTTGAGCTGAGCATGTCTCAATTTTGCGTGAGGATTGAAAACAGGCATGCCTCTGTCCACCAAAGAAGGGGTGTCTAGCCAAACATTTGCATGTCCTAGAGTTTTGCCAACCATCTCTGCGTACTTCCTTGGGCCAATCAAATTGATTGCCGCTCGATACTGCGTCGAACAAGGTTGCCAGACTTCTTCGCCATCCAATCGTCGCCGTAGTTCGAGACGAGCGGTCATGGTAATTTTCAAGCTCTGAGTATCCAGTAGGGGTACAATAGCCGCAGCTGTTCTTGCATCGACGGTACCAAAGACGCGGCCGAAAGGATCACTAACATCGATTCTGTTCGATCGACCAGGTGTATGACGAGTGGTCAACTTGATTGGAGGCCAATCTCGCGAGTAATCGCCAAAGAAATTGTTCCTAGATGGCCGGGGTACTTGATGCGCTTGGATAGTTGCGTTCTGGATCTTGCCGTAACACACTATCTGTTCACTCAGATCGACGGAACCGGTGACTTCAATTTCGTCGTCTGTTGAAGTCGACTTGACCGGTGCTTCTATATTCACTGTCAGCTACTGTATGTTTGTAAGTATAGGAGTAACACGCACCACTAGTAAGATCCACAACTGCGGTGGCGGATTCAGAAGTTTGTTTGCCCTCTTTCATGTATTCACCAAGTCCACTACTACCCGACATGTTGAACTGCGCCTTGCTTTTAGCTGTAGCATCCTCTGTATCCACTGTCTTGATCCGCTTTTTGGGCTGATCTTCACGGCGCTCAACATTGTAGATGTCCTCAATCAAGGATTTGCGCTCGCCTGTTAAGTCCTTGCTTTCACGGTTACGCTTTTTGTTGGTACCTTCGTCTTCTTCACTAGATAGGTCTTCGCTACTAATGAATTGGAACTGTATTTCACCGGTGGGTTCTTGAGCTGGATTCGACTCCGGCTCGACGTCGTCGTGGCGACGAGACATCGTATCGGGGTTGGACTGAGTGGCCAAAGTTTGAGGAGGCGTTGTTAAGATAGTACTCCCCATCTTTGTATTTTTGCCATGTGCTGGTGACCATGAAACGCTTGCTTTTGGTTGAGTGTGCTGTTGAGGGGCTTTTAAGAGTAAGCAAGATTCGTTCGCGATATGCGGGGTTGCCAAAGAGAGAAGATCAGGATGGTGTGGCAAATGCAGAAAAGCCTGCGCAAATGTAGCTTGTTGAGGGAAGAGGAAGGGAGTCAAGTGAGATTTTATAGAAGCAGGAGGGAAACTTACCACCAGACGCCATCTTTTTTTTGTATGACCTCGGGTCCAGGAGCATGGCCGCGCGGGAAGCCATGAGGTGAGAACAACGACAAGGTGAGAGAAAGGAAAGAAGAAAAACAAAATGAGTCGAGGCTTAGATATCAGATTTGAAATTGTAATCTGAAGAATTTGATTATGAATGCGAAGTGAGGTCACGGTCAGATATGAAGTATATATGAGATTGGCACATTTGAGGCTCCAGTGAGGTTTTCCTCGATCAAATCGCGAGCCTCGGTGCAAAGGCTGTCGCTTGCATTCGAAAGAGATGCGAAAGTGAAGTGTACAAAGTCCTCGGTTTATTACCTGTATCAAGGGCCTCATAGATCCCTCACATCCGCGTGTGGACATGAGGTGACCGAGAGAATGAAGTTGTTAAAAGGTGTTCATGCGGGACCTGCGGCACGCGCAACGAGATGTGGTAGTAGGTACATGACGCACTGAAGATCGATGCCTGCCAAGAGGTGTTGATAAGATAACGTCTAATTTCACAGCCACATTGCTATGCTCACGTAAGACATCGACATCAGATAACTAGTTAATCGATCTGATGCTTCACCCGGATATTTCCTCGTATATTCTACCACCATGTAGAAGCACGCAAGAACACTTGTTTGACCGGATTTGTTGTCACTGTATATACTCACAAGAGCGAGTTGTACAGGCAGCCTCTGCAGTCAGAACCGAGAAGTAACACTATCTAGCATTCATCGCTGTGCAAGTCGACTCTCCGCATACTCGCTTATAATCAGACTCTCTGGGGATCATCTCAATACTGTTGCATATCATGAGCCAAGATTGCACTGCTTATGAGCGCGATCCTTCTACAGATGAAATGACTCGTTAGCCTTAATCGAGCATGTCCTTAGTCTTGATGAACGGCTAGGGCAAGTCTTAGGTGCATCCAGGTCTCCCTCCCAAGTATGAAATCCAAAATGCTCCTATGTTCAGAGATTTCTCTATAAATCAGCTGACTCGTTTACCCCTCTTGCCCTACACAAACTCCGGCATACTAGTGCTGCCTTGCTCGTATTATAGTTGGTTATTTATAGAGTCGTCCGAGCTCGGCGCTTCAGGCGCTTTTCTACCCAGACGACAGGGGCCACGTTTCTGAGAACTCAAAAATGTGTTATATATACTGAGACCCATTTACAAGAAGTTTTGGTGGTGATTCATACCTAGGCATATAGTCTCTCGCCATGGACAATAACAACCTGTGCGAAGCATGCAAGACAATCCCCTCTCTCCGAGAGCTGAATAACTGTTACTACACTCTACACGAGAAGTTTGAAGACTTCCAATCATGCCGTTGCCATTTCTGTCGCTGGCTATACACATATCTAGATTCGAAATCTTCTTTCCGTGACGATTTCAGAAAGATAGCCAAAGAGAACGCCGCGGTTGAGCTGTTTGGGAATATGATGTTCCCAAAGGAAGGTGATCAATTACAATCACTTAGTTTAGATTCTGGCTCTGAGACTTTTCTTTTGTATCTATTTACACGTTACGGTGAGTCGAGTACTTATCGGGGGGTTTTACCTTGGTTTTGCTAAGCGAAAGACAGACAACCCAGCTGCCAAGTACATATGGGGAAGAATTGTAGATATTGACCCTTCTTCTGATGAGGCAGTCAACCTTACAAAGTCTTGGCTGTCAGACTGCCAAAATAACCATCCAAAATGTGGCGGTGCACCAGGAGAGGATATCGCGCTACCTACCTATCTCATCGATTTAGGAGAGAATGAATCCGACAGATCACGTCTGATTCAGACAGGCTCAACTCAACATGACCGAAGATATATTGCTCTGAGCTATGTCTGGGGCATAGCGACACAACCGATCATGTTGACAAGGAATACTAAAGCCGACTTGATGGACGAAATACCAGAGGCGAAACTACCACAAACTCACCGTGACGCTATCCGGATTGCTCGTTGGCTGGACGTGCGATATCTCTGGATCGATGCTTTGTGTATCATCCAAGATGATGATAAAGAGAGCAAAATGAAGGAAATCGGACGAATGCATCTTACCTTTGGTAATGCCTTTTTAACCGTGCAGGCTGCTCGAGCCGCGTCTGTCCATGACGGATTTCTAAGCCCTCGAGTTGACACCGAAGAAACACCAGAGATTCCATATCCATCTATCGGTACAGACGGAAGTCGTGTATTCGTGCGAACGAAGATCTATTACTACTCCGACGGTCCCACGTTTTCTCGAGCTTGGTGCTACGAAGAGAGTGTTCTCCCGAGGCGGATTCTAACCTATACCAACGAACTAATCAAATTCAGATGCATGAAACAAACATGTGATGATTACGGACGAATTTCCAAATCAATCATGAAGTCTCCTCATGTTTTCCAGGATCCTTCGCCGTGGTATAAAGGAACAGCCATACCAAAATCAGTCTGGGATCCGGACCCAACATTAGATTTGTTGAAGGTCTGGTATTCAATTCTCGACCTCCATTATACACCTCGACTCCTTACAAAACCGGGTGATAGACTCGTTGCAATTGGTGGTCTCACGCGTAGGTTCAGAGAGCGTATGCCCGGCGCCTATATTGCAGGTCTGTGGCAAGTCGATCTACCATGGGGTCTATTATGGGAATGCCGGCGCGGAAAATCGAGTGGATTCTTCGGGGTTGAAATCATCAAAGCATCTGGCCAAACAAATGGCTACAAGCTCTCTATGATGCGGCCAGAAGGATATGATAAAAAACGAGCACCATCGTGGTCATGGGCAGCTTTGAATGGACCTGTTTCTCATCCCAGCATGAATTTCAGATTCTACCTAGAAGGGGAGCTCCGTGGTACCAAAAGACGAGTACTTTCCAGGATTGATGAGGTTCCACGTCCACTCGTTTCTGAAGGGAGTGCAAGAAGTGGACTGGGAGAATACGAAGGGGATGGAGCTCTCTACATCACTGCTCCACTCCTTCTGGTAGATTTGGTATATAAAGATGAAGAGCGATGGAATACTTTGTATGAGCAAACTCTCGCCACGTATAAACGAAACGACCTTATGATTGGAGACCGACCTCTAACGATTCTACAATCGCCACGAATCAACGTCGAGTCTCATAGTTGGGACAACCTACCAATAGGGCATGCACAGCTCGATCTGAATGAAGACGAGTACAAACCCCGCAAAGTGTGGTGTCTTCTGATCCTAGATGGTAGGGGACTCGTTTTGGACGCCGTTGATGAAGAAAAGAATGTCTTTGTTCGTACGGGGAGTTTCCATACTACGAAAGGCATTTGGCTGGATTCACTGAATGATGTTCCTCCGACGTCGCTTTGTGTTATTTGAGAATGCGTACATCCTTTCGATATACGCATAGGACATAGGACACTCTTGTCTTTATAGGGCTTGGACGATTAACCCTAAGGCCAATATTCGTTAGATGCCTGAAGAGCAGAATATGGGTCCAATAAGTCTAATCAGACCAATAGAATGCAGCTAGAATAAGCACCTTTTGATTGACTGGAGATAAGATACAGTTTACGATCATCTAGATGATCAGCCCAAAAATAACCAATGTTCAAAAGCTATATGTTCATGTGCGAGTAGCATCAACGTTCTGTCATTTTCATCAATATTATGTTACAGTGCAAAGTTGGCCCACCAGGTAAAGTAAAGCCACCATAGAAGAGTGTCTATATGTACAACAGTTATGCCTTTTCCAGCCCCAATTCTTAAAAAGTGTCGTCAAGGTTGAATAGTAAAAAAATTACCTCTCGTTCAATCGAATAGTGAAGGAAGTAAATCTTGCGAGATAAGAGGTGAATGCATCTGAAAATAAAAAGAGGGAGAAAAAGGTAGATTAGCACCACGTGAATATAGGATTCTTGCTCTTGACTGCTTCAAGACGCTCAACAATAACCTTCCGTTCGTGACCTTCCATTTCTTCGGCTGCCGCATAGCCCAAATCACCTTCAAGATCATCTCCGGAAAAGGACCATGCATTGCTGCCTCGCCGTTGTGCCAATGAGCCGTGCCGTGTATGTCTGAAGCGGTCCGAACGTCCGCTAGACGTAAACTCCTTATAATCCTGAGGTCGACTAGGCTGAGCACCCCAACTCCTGGATAAATCTCTGCCTTCGTCATGTATATTACGTCGATCGTAGCCAACATCATCCGATGCCTCTCCAATGCTACCAAGTTCAACAGAGCCCCGAGTACGAGATAGTTCGAATCGATTAGGGTTGGGGAGTTCACCGCTTGGTGAGCCAAGACCTAACAAGTCACGATCTTGCTCTCTATTCCCAGAGATGGCGGCACTGATATCCATTTCCTGATCATCTTCGTCCCGCATAGATGCTTGCATACGTTGTCTCTGGGCTTCGGTAGATGGGCCCCTCATGGGAATAGCGACGGGGATGTCTACAAGGTCATCCCATACACATACTCGGGTGCGACGAGTAAGTTCTAAAGGCCCATGGTCAGGTTGTTTGAGAGTTTCCACGACATTCCAGGCTTGTCCCTTCATGACGGCCATCTGTCGGGCAAACATGCTTTCTTTGAAGTCAGAATCTTCAATAAAGACTCTCCGCAGAGCTGCCTGAGTGCCACTCCACCAGGCGGTTGACGTAAGTAGTGGAAGGAAGTGATCTCGGGTCTTTTGTGAAAACGGTTGTCCGATGAGGGAGACGGGTAGGAAAAGCCAACCAAAGGGGAAACTGCGCCACTATTGACGTGTTAGTTGGGAATGGTTTGAAATACAAGGAAAGACTTACAGCATCTGGGTGTTTCCACGGCCATGACAAACTATTGTCAATAGCACCGACTTTGATGGTTGCTTGCTTCTCTGTCGCATGAGAAGGTGTACCAGTTCGGCTTGTGGCAACCATAGTTTCGTGTCTTCGGTACGGCAATGGCGCAGTTCGGTTGGAATTCTGTTGATCTAAAGACACAGTACGAGCAGGTAGAGCCGGATCACCATCACCATCATCATGAGCAGTACCATTAGTCTTTGGAGGCTCGGCGACGATGGAGACTTCTTCCGACTTCCAATCCACTCTGATCATCCAATTGTCCAGTCCACGGTCAGTGTTTCGCATGATGTAATCTAGGATGACCAGTTTCTCCAACTCTTCTCGGAAATTTTGTTTGAGTGTTTCGCTCCAGTAAAATCGCTCTTCCTGTCCGTCGGCGCTTTGAGGTGATGGCATACGTGCACGTTGTTCGTCGTAGTCTTCATCTTCGTCATCGGAATGTATACCAGACGGACGGCATGCCTCATTCCATGGTCGTTTCTTTCGTTTAGGGGCATCGTCAGTGTTGAACCCGGAATTGTTCTGATCAGGCCAGGGATGCTCTCGTAAGAATAAAGTAGCGTCCTTGTAACCCTTTAAGAATACTTGGAAGCTTCCGGGTTTTGGGGGTAAAGGTCTTCGGCCACTCCAAGCTTTTCTGCGCTCCCAAAAATCATAGTGAAAAGATTTTGACGATAGCCAAACCACGTCTGTATATGGAACAATATTGGTGCGTAATCGTGCATCAAGAACAGATGCAGCAGCTTCTGAAACGTAAGATAAATTGGGAATAAGACAAGCTCTACCAAAGCAGCAAGGAAAAAGATTTCTATGCAACCACTTTGTCCACTTTGGGTTTCTGGAAGCATAGGGTTCTTCGTCCTTGGGCTTAAAGACACCAACCACTTTGCCTTCGGCATTACGCGCGAAATAGCTACCAGAACTTCCTTGCGAAATCATTTTGGGGTGTACACCGAGCTCAATTGCTGTGCGAACGCTCTCAACGATGGCCTCGAACTCGGCGCGGTTTCGTCTTTGTTCAGCCTCGTACTCCTCAGTTTCCAGTTCCTCGGCGGTGTACGGCTGGAGACCATCTGGAGGCCGGAAGACAGTATGATGGATTTCGAGCTTCTCATCCTGCGCTGACTTGCCGGGCCCTCTGCTGATCTTGAAGCGGGAGGCTATTTCCTCAGCCCATCGTTCCAGCCGAGCGTTGATGGCTTTGATGTCTACTCCGGAGGAATTGCTGCGCTTTCGACGACGTGTATAACCGTTATTCCGCCGTCGGTATTCTGGAGGTGTTGACGGGCCAGACGAGTGCATCTGCGCCCGCGCGGTGATGGGGGCAAACTGGGTCGGCGAGGATATAGTCCGCGGCGGACGGCCACTGTATGGGTCGCGCTCTTGGTCGGATTCATCGTAATAGTCTCTGTCATCTTCTTCAGCCTGGGCAAGTCGAGCATAACCCGAAGTGGCTGGTCGCTTAGGCATGATGGATGTGGTGAAATGAATGGAAGGCAAAAGTATCCAGGTATGAGGAAATGTGGTCGTAAGGAAAAGAGAAAATCAATCAAGGAGCGAACGATGTCACGACATTAAAACGCGATATGAAATTATTAAAACAATATTCTATGAAATAGAAGTCTTCCCGACATCACCGACAAACAAGTGCGATGAAAATGAAGAAATCGAGAAAGGAGGCCATCAGTTCTTGAGGTAACAGCCCCTTGCGAGGTCGAACGTCTTAAGGCTAGGGGCGTGCTGCCAATCGAATCATCCAGAGATCCACCGGCGCGGATGTTAAATTACACGGTATTGCTGGATTAGTGTTTCTCCTGAGTGAGCGTTATGCGTTTTTCTGCATCAAATCGATTCATATGAGTGAGATTCTCTTGATAGACTAAACACTGCACAAGCGACGACTCTCTAAATACTGAATAAAAACAATATGTGTATAAGGATCAAGCTACTGCTGGTCACTATCGAAATCGATAACCATAAAAGGAGCCATCTTATCGGACACTGCCGTATCGACTAGTAATGCCGCCTCCTTCATGCCGGCGTATCCGTCTTCCGCTGCGGTAGTACGCGGCTTGATTGGTCCATTTGAGTCTGTATCGTATTGCCGATACAACATTCTCAAATACAGCTTCCGTTGGTCATCAGATATACTCCGTAATGTTTTCTTTCTCCTCGTTCGCATGCAAAAAGTCTCCTCCATCCATTCTGCGCACCACTTTCAACCTCGACACCATTCACTCATTCAGTCACTCGCTCTTTTAACCAGACAGTTTCTCTTTAATGATATTCGTGTTGACCGGCATTCGCTCTCTATCTCTTCGGCTTGGTTTAACTTATCGTCACTCATTGTGTCCCACGGCTCCTTTCATTATCCGACGACTTTATTCGTAACGAACCAGACATTGCATTTCATTGATTCTTCTTTGCAACTCCTCTTCTCAGTACTGAATTCTCTTCTTGTCGGTCCTACTTGCTGCCCGTTTGTCCCTCCTGAGCTTTCGATCGACAGACCTTCGCTGGGTCTACAAACTCCTCTTCCCGATATCAGTCCACACGTTCGTGATATCGTACGGGACCCCCTTTGGTCTCGATAGCTTATTCAACACGGCTTCCACAGTGGCTCCAATCCTCTTCAGGGCCTCGCCCATCGACCCGGCGCTTCGCTCACCAGCATCCCCGGATTCCTCGACCCGCGACCTTGCCAGTTACAGCACGTCCACGCCAGCCGACGGTCGCAAGACTCCTCAACTTCCCTCTCCCACTGAGATAGCTCAGTCGTTTGGGAACCCCGATTCTACGCCGCCGTCGACTACGTTACCACCACTGGAAAACCGAAGCAATTCGGGCACAACTTCACTGCCTGGGCTGTCAGCGCTGGCATCGGTTGCAATTGCGCCGACCTCAGATCTCAGGTATGTGAGAAATCCTCGGCTGGGATTGCGGCCATATTGCATTAGATATTCCATCTCCTGGGGGGCCGTCGGTCGGTAGTTGGTGCCTTGGAAATCAGGCAGCCACTCCGGGCGCTCTCTGTCAATTACTTCACTAATCTTATCTCTCTCTTTTTTCTCCTTTTCCCTATCGCCGCAGATCCTCTCTTCAGCATCATTCTAATAACCACCATGTTGTCAGTCTGAGCATGTCGTACGCCACGTCTTCACCAGCCGCTACCACTGGAGGCCAGGGCAACACGCCGGTAAGTCTTTTCTCTCTACTGCATATTTGACACGCTGCTGCATTCCTTTTTTTTTCCCTGTTATCAGGTGAGAGGCAGGCTTGGCACCCGGCTGCCCAGTTTGGCCTACCTTTTTTTCCCCTAAAAATCTCTTATCGCTCCCGACCGTAAATCTCCCAGATCTTATCTCGTCGTGTCCGCGCACTTCCCTCTATCTCTAATCTCTATCTCTATCTTCTATCTTCTATCTTCTATCTCCTCCCCCATTATCACTATCAGTAACACCACACATCCTGCCTCACCACTTCTCATTTTCGCTACCATTGCCTTCCAGAAATTAATTCTGCTTATGTTTTCTCAAATGGCTTCGACTTTCACTGACCAAAAACGTCCTCAATTGCAGCCCGTGTGCCAGAATTGCGGGACGTCAACCACTCCCCTTTGGCGCCGAGATGAGCTGGGCTCCGTTCTCTGCAACGCATGCGGTCTTTTCTTGAAACTCCACGGTCGCCCACGACCAATTAGTCTCAAGACCGATGTTATTAAAAGTCGCAATCGGGTGAAAACTGCCGGCCAGGTCCCGAAACGCAAGGTACGTCACAACGCGAAGAATTTTCGCGCGACTGATAAGGGTCTATTGACCCCTCAAAATTGTCTAGGCGACGTTCACTAACCCGTATCGCTTTGTAGTCTGGAGGAGGATTGGATCCGAATGGCTTATCGTCGTCGAGATCAGAAGCTGGAACGCCGCCTCTGGGCGCGCAGGGTTATCGTCGCGCTTCTGGAAAGATGTCTCCGGGGCATTCGGATCGCTCCAACTCGCCCGTGTCACGAACAGATACACCGGGAATGTCGTCTCTCCATCAGCACAATTCTAATATTGCACCGCAGCACATGTTTGATAGTGTAACTCTCGGCGACTCAAGCTTCAATCCGGCCAACACACTCCCGGCATTGCAGCTTCGGCAACCGTCCCCTGGTTCTACGTCCTCCATGGTAGACCGACATCTTGATGTACCTCAAACATATGAAGGGTTACTTGCCGCAAATACGTCTCTCAAGACTCGCGTCAGTGAACTCGAGGTTATCAACGAGCTTTTCCGGGGTCGCGTCGCGGAACTCGAACAAAGCGACGCTACCGCGCGTCGTTCCGAGATGATCGCGCGTGATTCAGAAGCAAGGCTACGTCGGTCTCTGGAGGATTCTCAACGTCGCGAAGAGGATTTGAAACATCGTATCAGTGAACTAGAGCAACATCTGTCAGACCATTCTGGCTCTGGCCCATTTCAAGGAAACGGTGTAAATGAACCGGCCATGAAGAAGATTCGCTTATCAGATGTAGTTGATTATGAGGCCGTAAATGCCCCAAAGTCTCCTAAATCTGCATAAAGGATTCACTTCTGCGAGATTATCGCAGCAATAAACCTTTACGTCTTTCTTCTTTGAAGCTACATTTTATTATCTTTGATACCCCATGATGAGGTTCGCCTGGAAGGCGAAGACACTACAAAAGAAAAAGAAGGAATCGTGTTACTGTCTAATTTTTCATAATTCTTCTATGTTTTTTTTTGTTTGATCTTTTCGACTCTCGACCGCACTGAGATGACAGCGCACTTACTCTTTGCTTCAAATGAGCAACATGCAAATGACATACCATCAGGTGTCCGAGGGAAGAGAGAAAGGAAGTTTTTCTATGGAGGAAACAGAAGAGAAGGAAAAGAACATGTGCGAATATGGGAAGGGGAGGGCAAAAGCTTACATCTTTTTTATTGCTTCTAATATCTCTCTATTTTATAAAGTCTCTTTTTGCCACTTGGTATTGGCTATTGTCTTTTTCATCTTTTTTATCGTTGTCATGAATATAGATCGGTATGGGTGGTTTAGGGATCAGCTATGGCGACTGCACCTCTTTTCTAAGTTTTATTTTTTTCTTCTGATGTATTGCTACGCTTAGGGTCCAGTCGTCTAATATCTGTATGGACTTGAGTGTATATACTGTTTTAACCTTGTGCTTTTAATTTCTGTTGCTGCCGACTGATTGACCGGCCGGCTTACTGAATCTGGTTTTTTATGTGCTGAATTTCCTATCAAACACCTTTATAACCCTCTCTTTCTCCTTTCTGCTGGGCCCTTAGTAGGTAGGTATATGCTGACGGTGTTTTCTCTGTGGTTTTGTCTTATCACCAGGATTCTACAAACAAAAAAAAAGGTTTGCAGTGTTGGACAGTGTTGTATCGCTTAGGGGGCAGTTGATTCCTCTCACGGAGCGCAATACTACCTCAGTTTACGATGAGAACTTCTGTTCATGACAGTAGTATTTGGTGATAATGAGCGGAAGTCCTCTTCAGTCTTCAGTGTTGACTCTGGTTACCCATATGGTGATTAGGGTTTGACCATGTTGAAAGTTGTATGTTATTTTAGTTAAATGCGCAGTACATAAGTTATAACTATATACAGATAAAGTACGCCGCCCGAAATGAAAAACACCATGAGAGATCTATATCCGCTTTCCTCAACCAAATGAAAATGACACGATATCAAAAACCTTTCTATCCCATCTACCGCTCCACTTCAGCGTTCAGCTCAAGCCAGTCTTTCATGACTCGGGGTTTTACGACCTCCTCTAGGTCCGTGAATCTGCCTCTCTTGCCAGATACAATACAATGCGACCGCCATCCCGCCGAGACCACTGAAAAACGTCAACCAATAAGCTGACCGGTAACATTGCAGTCCTTCGCTACAGTCCCGCTGTCCCTGTGGCCCGACAATACTGTGATGGTCATAGATTGCGCCATAAAGCAGATTGAAAATGTTTCCGCTAAGTACGGGAGCCAGGCTCACTACACCCCAGTTCTGGCTCAAGCCGGACATGCCGAATGTGTGTGCCACGACTGACGGGAAGACGCCGAAGAGGAAGCCGTAGGCTAATCCTGTAAATGATGAGATGAGGTAGAGGTGATTTGGATTGCTGATTGATGTGCCGGCTATCTGCGTCAGAGTGAAGACGACTGAGGATAGGAAGATGCACCAGAAACGAGACATGTTGAGTCTGTGAACGAGAAAGTCGCTGCCAACACCTGGCGGAATTTGTCAGTATGCGCGGTTTCAAATCAGTGGACTCTTCTTACCACTCAACAATCGGCCGAGGAAGCTGCAGAACGACAAAATCGAGACATGCATTACTTGACGATGCTGGATGAATTTGGAGTCCGCACTGTCGTCGTAATACCTCCATAGTGCTTTAGTCTGTTCCGAGTCAGATAACAGGTTACGTGGGACTTATGTCGTTGGGAAGGATGTTTACATTATTGCCAATGTTGCTGGAAATTGTTAGCTTTCCATACAAGATCTCCAGATCCTTGGACACTCACTTAATGGTCATCAATCCAATACCCGACAACAGCGCCATCATTATGAACTGCTGCCAGAACTCGCGTTTTGTGAAAAGAGCCAATCCTTTGACATCTACATAGTGTGAGCTACCTTCGTCATCATCTTCATCGGTTTGATGTGGCTGTCTGCCATGTCCGTCATCGTTCTGGGGATCCTGTAGGGACTCTGGCTTGGAAAGCAGAGACGAAGCGTCGTCTGCATCTCTTGTCTCGTCAAGCTCCGGCTTAACTGCACCACGGGAATTGGACTGTGCAGCATCGCCCGTGTCGTACAGATAGGGCGGTGTTGATGATGAAGGTAAGAGTGATGAGGATTCGGAATTTGTTCTTTGCCTACCTAGTTCTGCAGGTCGCTCATATACAAACTGATGGCGATCTTCCCCATCACGTTCTGGTACAGCGGTATAAGGCTGTTCTGGAGGAAGAATTCGAAGAAACACCCCGAAAACCACGACCATCAATGCCGTCCCCACGGCCAGCATTAGGAGAAATGGGCCTACTTGGCCGTGGTAGAATATCGCTGCCATGCTTGAAAAGAAGAAAGCACTCAGTCCAAAGGCGGCAAGTGGGAAAGCCGTAGCTGTACCACTCTTTTCGGGGAAGTTGCTTGCTGCTATAGGGTTCTATCAGAATAGTAATCTCACGGGACGGGATGATACAGTACATACCAGCCTTTATGGCTCCGGAAAATGCAGCGGATCCCCCCAGACCCGTGAGCCATGAAAAGAAACAAAGTGAACTAAGTGAGAGGAAGTCTTGTCCATGGTTGTATGCTATAAATGTCCTTAGCTCAAGTCCCTGGCAAATGTAGGAGCTCTAACGTACCAAGATAGAGAGGATAATAACCCCAAAATAGAGCCAGAGCGCCCAGTAACAAAGTAGGTCGGGGTCCTCTTGTATCAGTCAAATATCCTGTAAAAAATCCTGAACAATATAACCCAATGTTTCCCGCAATCCCCTTTGATCATTAGTCGATATGTTTCCTCGTCGGCACGGTTCGAGTTACACATACAATCATATTACTTTGCTTCGAGGACAACACCATCCGTTCGGCGAATTGGGGTGCCCATGCCGAATATGCATACTGTATTGCATCAGATCAACTATCCAATTGTAACTCTCTGAGAGGTCAGTAACACCAACATTGGTTCCACTTGCGAGCGCTATTAGTGTTGCAGCGACACCCGAAATGACCCTCTGGGTATGCAACGATCCGATTACCATGGTATCATCAAGAAATGAAGGAGAGAGTTATGTCCGCGCTTGAGATATATGAGATGTCTGCGATCATACAGAGTGTGACAATTCTATGAGGGATATAGTTCAGTCACCGATAAGGAAATGTGGCCGGCTGGGGTTCGCCGTAGGGAGAGTGGACTTCAACGAAAGACGGAGAGGGTTGCAACGATTGAATGAAAAGAAAGACGGCAGATATAAGGTAGAAGATAAGAAACAAACAAGTACAGAGATCCCACTCTCTTGAATTGCGAGCTGCGCTGCCAGACGGATTTGTCTCCGATGTCTCGTTGATAAGCTGGCCTGGCGTACGTAACCAGTCACGTGCAAAGTGACGCAGCCGGCTTTGAATGGGCTCGTGCTACCGCAGACGGCGGAGCAGGCAACTTCCTCCATCCAAACACTGAGTACAGAGAGAGACAGACCATGCATGATATTGTCCTCTTCAATTCATACAGCAAATAAGAAATTCGTTCAAATTTATATACGGCCCTTCTATTGCTTCGAGAAGTGTGAAAAAGTCGGGCGCTCAGTATGGGTGCGCTTCTTTCTATCCCAATGCTGGTTCTGCCCGGCGCTGGCACCGTACGTTCTTTACTCTTTCTACCTGATGTCCCGAGGCAGTACTGACTCATCTAGATATTTTCTGTCGCGGCTTCTTGTTGCGGCGCAGCGACATGTTCTGCTGTGTGTAGCGCATGTGGCAAGTTTCAGAGCAGGTACGTATCCGCGCTTGCACAAGCTCGGCTGGATGCTAATATAAACATGCCTATAGCATAGCAACGAGAATCGCATATGCCTTCATACTACTTATCAACTCGATAGTCTCCTGGATTATGCTCACGCCTTGGGCGCTGGAAAAATTAGAACACCTTACAATGGATTATATGAAGATCCGATGCGACGGAAAGGAATGTCATGGCTGGGTCGCTGTCCATCGTATCAACTTCGGTCTAGGTCTCTTCCACTTGTTACTCGCTCTCCTCCTTCTCGGCGTGAGATCCTCGAAAGACGGCAGAGCGATGCTACAAAATGGTTTCTGGGGTCCAAAGGTACTTCTCTGGATCGGTTTTGTCGTTATGTCTTTTTTCATTCCGGAATCCTTCTTCTTCGTTTACGGCCATTACATCGCTTTCATCTCCGCTATGCTCTTCCTTCTTCTCGGCCTCATTCTGCTGGTCGACCTTGCCCACTCCTGGGCCGAGCTTTGCTTGGAGAAAATTGAAGACAGTGACTCTCGTCTCTGGCGCGGGCTATTGATCGGCTCGACATTGGGAATGTATCTCATATCGTTCGTCATGACGATATTGATGTACGTCTTCTTCGCCAAGAGCGGGTGCTCGATGAATCAAGCAGCAATCACTGTTAATCTTATCGTCTTCTTGATCATTTCTTTCGTCTCGATTCAGCCTGCGATTCAAGAATACAACTCTCGTGCTGGTTTGGCGCAGGCTGCCATGGTTACCGTTTACTGCACATATTTGACAATGTCTGCCGTCTCGATGGAACCTGATGACCGTCAATGCAACCCGCTTCTCCGTGCACGTGGCACTAGGACAGCCAGCGTTGTCCTCGGCGCGATAGTCACCATGGCCACTATCGCTTATACTACAACTCGCGCGGCAACACAGGGCATCGCTTTGGGATCTAAAGGCGGGCACAACTATTCTGCACTTAGTACAGAGGCAAACGAGCACGGTTTAGTCACCCAACAACCTTCAACTCGACGTGAGATGAGGATTGAAGCCCTGCGTGCTGCTGTTGAAAACGGTAGTCTTCCCGCTAGTGCCTTGGATGAGAGCGATGATGAAGATGATGATGATTATGACACCAAGGATGATGAGCGCGGCTCTACCCAATATAACTACTCTCTGTTCCATGTCATCTTCTTCTTGGCTACAACATGGGTGGCCACACTACTCACACAACAATTGGATCCAGAAACTGAAGGTAACTTTGCATCGGTTGGTCGGACCTACTGGGCCAGCTGGGTCAAGATTATCAGTGCCTGGGTTTGCTATGCTATATATTTGTGGACACTCATAGCTCCAGCCATGATGCCAGATCGATTTGATTATTAGTTTGGATGTACGAATAACTGCTTTCCTAAGATGTCAAGGTTGCTGGTGTTTGGGCGGATAACGGTCTTGTTTATCGCTAAAAATTCATTTAGTCTATTGTTATTTAAGCTAAACCATAACACTGAATATACTCTTGGGATTGCTCATTCTGATATAGTCCGATTCTATTCTGTTGGAATTATTTTGCTACAACTATGTACATATCTGAATAAAAGACATTAGATAACCGATAAGATAAGTATCGATAAGAACGCGGATTTCCGCGTCTCCGCGTGTTAATTGATTTAGATTACCCAAACAACCGTGATGGGACGACGATGATGGCCACGATAAAACCTATTGAGGGTCGCTCGGTACAGTCCATCTCTGCCCATGGTAAATACGTTCGTCAATTTGATACTGACGGAACTAGGTCCATCAAATCCAGTCCGGGCAAGTCATTGTAGACCTTTGCTCGGTGGTCAAAGAACTGGTGGAAAATAGCTTGGACGCTGAGGCTACTTCGATCGGTATGAAATGTGCGATTCTTCTCTTCTGATCGGATAAGTTAATGGATTATCTGTGCAGAGATTCGTTTTAAGAATGATGGGCTGGATTCGATCGAGGTGCAAGATAATGGGAGTGGTATAGATCCTCGGAATTATGAAAGCATAGGTGCGACTTACGGAAACAGTATTGGCCCTCGGACATGCAATCAAGCTTACCATTTCAACAGCTCTCAAACATTATACGTCGAAACTTACCTCCTACGATGACCTGACATCCTTGACGACTTTCGGATTCCGCGGCGAAGCGCTCTCTTCGTTATGTGCGGTTTCCAATTTCCGTATAATCACCGCACAGGCGCACCAAGCACCAAAGGCGAATAAATTGGAGTTTGAACACTCAGGGAAACTCAAGGGAACACAGGTAGTTGCGGGACAGAAGGGGACGACGGTATCCATTTCGAATTTATTTTCCAGGCTTCCTGTGCGTCGAAAAGAGTTGGAGAAGAACATCAAGCGCGAACTGGCCAAGGTCGTCAATCTACTAAACGAATATGCTTGTATTAGCATCGGCGTGCGGTTCAGCGTTAAGAATACGGATTCTAAGAAGAGACAACTCGTGCTGTTGACAACCAAAGCGAATTCATCGATAAGGGACAACATTGCAAATGTCTATGGAGCTAAAACACTGTTGACATTGATTCCTCTTGAATTAGAGCTCGAATTTGAACCATCTGCAACTGGGAAGAGACTCAACAGGGATCTAAATAAGATCCATGTTCGGGGTTATGTCTCACGTCCTGTGGTGGGAGAAGGAAGGGGAACACGCGACCGCCAAATGTACTATGTCAACTCACGGCCATGTGGTATTCCGCAAATCGCCAAAGCCTTTAATGAAGTATACAAGACCTACAACATCTCTCAGGCGCCATTTGTCCTGGCCGATTTTCAGATGGATACGAATGCCTACGACGTGAATGTTTCACCGGACAAGCGCACTATTCTTTTGCATGAATCCGCTGCGCTCATTGAATCGTTGAAAGAGGCCTTGGATCAACTATTCCAGGAAGCAGAGCAAACCGTCCCACAATCCCGGTTCACTAGTAACAAGCAACAAACCGATATTCAGCAACGGTTCCAATCATCGCCCATGGGGGGCATCACCGATAGGTCTAGGATTACACAAGCTACTCCTGTTGAAGAAAGCCAGATTGATATGTCCGAACAAGTCCAAGTAACTCCTCAACATACCCAGGAAGATCAAGCCGAGGAAGAACCAGAGATTGAAACTGTGACACAGGAGGTTACCGACCGTCAGATCATGGTGGTCGATACCCACGCAGGCACTGAAGAATTGGATGGTCCTGAAGATGCCGATGAAGCGGTCAAAAGAATCAGGGCACGAGCTGCTGAAATGTCCCCGCAGCGGAATGAACGACGAATCCCAACACTGCAGAGCAAGTCTCCGGCGAAATATGCAGGTGTGGTTCAGAATGCCTTCGATCGGATGCGCCCGAGACGACCACCAGCTGAAGTCGCCACAATCACTATAGGTGACAAAGTTACAACCTCAATCGTCGGTCATGGTGTTTTACGGAAGAGAGACTCGTTCTCTGCGGTCAATACGGAACGCACGCGGAAATCAAAACGAAGAGTCCATACCCCATCTAGACCAAACATATTCAGCCAAAACCTCAAATCATTTATAGCTCCAGGTTCCCAGACTCAAACTCAAGAGTCGGACGTTGAAGATGATGGTGCCGAGGATGATATTGATGAGGTCGACGGGAACAGTGACGAGGAGATATTAGAGGGTTCGCAGCCCTCAGTTCAATCCGAGGAATTACCTGATGACTCGGATCCAGTCAATGAAATTGTCGAGAGTTTACCAGCCTCTAATGAGCCTGATAGAGATGTTATAGATGAAAAGGAGAAGAAAGCTCGAGAAGACGCCAAGGTGCAAGATCTTATTCGAAAAGCGGAGGAAAGAGCGGCAACCCACAGCGAGAATCACAGCAAACGTGGGAAGTGCATTGAGAAAGGACAACAGACCAATAAACATTCAACAGCCCAACTCGTTGGAACTCTTGAAAGCTCTCTGACCAAGATCCAAACTCAAATGGAGGCCCTCCAGAAGCAGTTGCAGTCATACGAAGGATTTGATGCCACAAAAGAGGAAGAAGAATTATTTGGCAAGCAACAGAAGACCGGCGAGGAACGTCTATCATTGACCGTGTCGAAAGACGACTTTGCCAAAATGCGGATTGTAGGACAGTTTAATCTGGGGTTTATACTTGCGACCCGATCACATGGAGTGGATGAGCCAACGGCTCCTACACAAGACGAACTATTCATCATCGATCAACATGCCTCGGATGAAAAGTACAACTTTGAGCGACTTCAGGCCGAAACTGTTGTACAAAACCAGCGTCTCGTACACCCAAAGACCCTAGACTTGACGGCCGTCGAGGAAGAAATAATTAGAGAGAACAAGGCAGCTCTCGAGAAGAACGGATTCGTCATCGAAGTGGACGACACTGGTGACGAACCTATCGGCCGAAGATGCAAGCTCATATCACTTCCGCTAAGCAAGGAGGTCGTCTTTGATGTTCGCGATCTCGAAGAGCTCATTGTACTACTTTCCGAAGCTCCAACCGCGAGAAATTCTTTGACGTCGGATACATACGTACCTCGACCGAGTAAGGTACGAAAGATGTTTGCAATGCGTGCCTGTCGATCAAGTATTATGATTGGTAAGACATTGACTGTCAAGCAAATGGAGAAAGCAGTGCGGAATATGGGGACCATTGACAAACCCTGGAACTGTCCTCATGGCCGGCCAACAATGCGACATTTGATGAGCTTGGGGTCTTGGGATGAATATGATGAATACGGGTTGAGCAGTGAACGAAATATTGAGCAAGAAGAGTTGCACAATCCTTGGCAACGATTCTATCAAGGGCAAAATCAAGAGAAGGAGGAAGAAGAAGAGAGATCTGAGGAGGGTGGACATGAAGATTGATTAATAAATAATCGACCATATAACTATGATTGACAATTTTGCACTAGAAAACATTATAGTCATAACATAACAATTTCATAATATATGTCATCAGTCATCAATTCATAAAACAGTAGTATTTAGTTTACTCCAATTCAAGTTGAAAAAAATTACCACCACCATTTCCACCATCCACCAGCGCTCTTCTTGGTATCACCAATGGTTTTGATCTGCTGCTGACCACCGTCCTGATCCCGTGGACTGATCTTTCCAGAAGACTCAGAAATCGCGCCCGACGTGGCTGATGTACCAGTTATACCGGATGCGGAAGACAAAACATCATCCAGAACGTCAACAGGCTCTTGAGTGACCTTCTTTCTATCCCCATTCTCTCTTTCCGTCAAGTCTCCATCTTCTTCCTCATGTAGTCCGTCACGTAACTGCTCCTCGTGATACCCTTCTTCTTCCCTTCTAACCCTATCGTCCTCTCCCTCATGTCCTTCCTCGCCTTCAACCAATCTCAGCACCTCCTCAACAACAAGTAAATCCCTCTCGATCATCTCAGCCCAGTTCTGTACGTCGCCAATCTCCTTCAATCCCTGGCGTGCAGTATCAACAACCTTGTCCCACTGATCGTTTTGCTTTGATAGTTCAGCTGTATGTTTTGCTAATACATTCTCTTGCTTTTGAATTACTGCTGCATTTTCGTGTAAATCTACTGCTCGGGCCCGAAGATCGGCTGAGACCGTTTGGCCGACGGAGTGGAGAGATGCAGTGAAAGCGGTGCGGGCTTCGAGTGTGTGGCGAACTGCTTCTTGTGGGTCCCGGGGTTGATTTGCTGTTGTAGGAGACAGAACGGATGAAGAAGAGGACTGATGGGTAGTTGTTGCTGTTGCTGTTGCTGTTGCTGTTGCTGGTTGTGGTGAGGTTAGAGATGAGGCAGCATGCGTAGGAGATCTTTCTGTGCTGGGTTTTTGAGGGGCGGGCATTGTTGTTGCAGTAAGTGAAATGAGCTATAATTGTGTTTTATAGGTATAATCCCAAGGTGAAAATGGTTTATAGCTGAGTAGTCTAAATATTGAAGTGGATAGTAGTCAAGCTTAATCAACTTCCCCGCCTGTCAAGGTCTGGATTTGCATATCATTTGCTGATAAGATAAACATCGACGCGGCCCGCCCGAGAACCACGATTTATCGAATCCGAGCTTTGTGGTACGTAAGCTATTTAGAACCTTGATAATTAACTATCAGATGCAAGATTGCTAACCGAAAAGCATTGATTCCACCGTCTATGCAAAGAAAATTTAGCCATGATACATGTATCGAAAAATCATACGTCGGACGCCCAAACGACTGAAAAAGCACGTTGACAACAAAAGATGCTTGGATAAGGCACCAGCAAGCCATGATTAGATCCATTCAGAGTGGCCATATAGTATGTCAGGAGGAAAATGAACAAATTAAACGCCGTGTTTTGCTTCCAGCCTCAAATATCGACTCGCTAAGAAAATCTTATTACACAATGGGAGAAATAAATGACGAAAAAAAGTCAAACCCGAATGCAAATCACATGTTGGCAAGTTCTTGATCGATTTGCGAATCGATAAAGGTGCGTCGCTCGCCGACCAATTCGGTCTGAAGCCGTTGTTCGACAAGAGCCCTCACTAATCAAACGGTTAGCACTTTTTTCATATTAAGGGATTGGTCTTATCAAACCTTGCTTCTTCGTAACGTTATCAAGATCAACTTCAGCTAGGACCTGACGGATGGCCTCCACGATCGTATGATCATCAGGTCCATGACCGGGCCCAGTTCGGAAATCCATCACGGTGCTTACAGGCCGAGAGCCGTAGCCACCAAGGGGGCTTCGCTGACGACCCGGCACACCCAGGAGATTGTCGGTACTTTGCATCATGGGCATGCTTAACCTGCTTGCATTCATCGGGTTGTCCTGATAGCTACTCATGTTGCCCATGGACATATGGCGCTGTGCGTGACCACCAAGTTGAGGAGCATCCGTGTATCGGGTGAAAGAGGACATCCGCGAGTTGCGATTATTGTTTCCACCAAATGCAGCAGGGGACTGAGGAGGCATGTACGAACCACGGCCACCAGGGAAACCTGTCAAGATAGTGGATGCTGGCTTGACTGACGAATACGTAGAACGGAAATCATCCATCTCCATTGCCGCATCATCAGTATAATACATAGGTTGCTTCTCCTCTCCGTATTCGACGTTACCCCGTCGACCAGGCAGGTTGTTAGCAAGGGCGTAGTCATCCCATCGTTGAAGTGGGATGCTTCTAGGGTCAAAGACCTCGTCTTCAACAGCCACCACACGTTGATCGCCTTTCTCTCCGATAACAACACGTGTGTTTCCCCACGTGAAATCATCCTGTTTCCAAAATGAATAGAGGGGTAACACAACCGAGTATATTGGGAAGGCACACAGGTAAATGATCATCCAGCCAATGTGTTGCCATTGCCGTTTAAGAATGAAGATGATAGCCTGAAGGCCGTAAACAGCAGCCAACATGACAATGGAGATAATACCGAAATTTCCCTTGTTCGTGGCAGCCAGATAAATGAGGTAAATCAAGTATGCGCATGTGGCAGGTAGGATGATCGTACCCAAGAGATCGATCAAGACAACGAAACGCATACTGAAACAGCAGAAACCGCACAGATCCTTAAGGGCAGCCAACTCTACCAGGTTGTGTATAGTCGAGTTGATCCAGCGACGCCTTTGGGATACAAGAACGCTCCATGTTTCTGGAGCAGCAGTGCTGGCATAGGCATCGGCAATAAACTTGTAAGACATGGTAGGGAAATGCTTTGCCATGAGCGTCGTAAGGAAACGATCCTCTCCTAGGGCCAAGAGGTTCTTCTTATGCAAGGTGTCAAGGTCGCCATCAGAATACTCCTTAATAACTTTATCAGATATGATCAACGGTCGCCCTTTATCAGCTGTTCGTAGGCGGTACATGCAGAAACTATACCGCCATATAGATTAGTAATTACTCCCGATCATAATTTTAGAAACGATGTAACTCACCATCCGGGAAGACAAGTGACACTGCCAAAGATGGATTCAAAAGCTTTAGAGAGATGGTGGGAAATGTAGTATTCGTAAACTTGAATCATTGTCCACCAACTTCGTTCCTCATTCTGCAGACTAGTTTCACCGCATATACCAGCAATTCGCGCGTCGTTGGCACAAGCAGCAACAAGTCGGTTAAGGGAATCTTCTTTAACACTAGTATCAGCGTCGACCATGAATAGGAACTCGTACAGCTCAGGATCGACACCGATCACGTTGTTTATCTGATGGAAGATTTCCAATTCCAGTGGCGACATCGGTGCTCTATGATGCACGCGGTTGAGGAAGTTGAGTAAAAGGACTTGGGAATCACGCTTTCCACGATTTCCTGGCTTGGACTTTGATTGCTCTGATTCCTTTCCAACTTTGACAATAACGATGTAGGGGACAACATTGCCTTCAAATTCATACAAACCCGAGTAGACCTTGCCGTAGTTCAATTGGTCGCTTCCTTGGCCAACAGATCTGAATGGTAGAGCCGGTGGGTCGACCTTTGGGTCTACACCGAGGATGTCAAGCACAATCTTTGGAGTGGGCCTATCGTTTCCACCTCCCACAATCATTCCGTCACAGACGACACAGATGAGTTTTCTCTTGTTATCGTACTGAAGAGCTGTGAGCGAGTCCAGACCTTTCCGAAGCTGATCTTCGCCCTCTGTGTACGCCGGAACCTGGCAGATGACAAACTTGTCTTGAGGGGCCGGGCGAGGCTTCGAGCCGAATTGAAGTGCAGACAAGAATTTCACTAGAATAACGGAGCAAACGACGATTGTAAATGCTAACAGAATCCAGTTGTTGACTGTACACTTTGCCGACTGCCGGAAATCCACCTTTCCGACATAGAAAACATTCTTCATGCAATTAAGGGCATTTTGAAACTCGACTGAGTTCTGCCACTTGCTGGTAATATCTGAGCCCACGTTTTGTTTGATCAGAGTTGTCACGGCACTAGGCAGAAAGTCGTATTTGGAACCAGTCAACAAGTTGGCGGTGTAAAAATAGTCGGTCAAATCATATATCCCATTGTTGATAATCACCCAGTTTCTTGCGTCATTGTTTGCCTGCTCGGTTACTTTGTCCCTTGTCCACACAAGGTCCCCCTTGTAGAATTGGCGCATGAAGGGGAGAAAAGTGTCGGCATACCAAGTGATATTGTGCAATGCAGAGGTGGTGTATGGACTTAGAGGTCCGCTAGTGTGCATGGCATTTGTTTGAGATGCAGCGTTGGAGTTGTTGAGCTGTAGAGCCACGGAGGTATCCGACACAAACGCTGCACAGCCTTGAGTCAAAGGAACCGGGAAATAAGGATCTAAGATTAGCCCTGCAGACCACTGCATATTCGAAGCACTAGTCTTTATAGCAGTGTCACTGTGCTGTGTTCGCCAGAATTTGCTGATATCATAGACCGAGCCACGAACACCGACGTAGAAATCATTATCACCTTGGTGATAGCTTAGTTCTTTCTCGTTCCAAACTTTGTTCTTGTTGGGACAGAGTAAAGTGCCGAATTCAACGATCCAGAAAACCATTACCGCATTGAAGAAAAGTATGAGAGCTACAAGTACGACTTTCTCTCGCCATGCCATACGAATGTCTGGCCGCTTCATGCGGCCAATGTACCGTAGAAGGAATGATGGGATCCAGAAAGTACATGCCCACACAAAGCCAGTCCAGAGACGTCTGCCCGTAGTTATCTTTTTCTTCTCGATGTGCTTGCGCTGGCCAATTTCATCATCGCCCGCGAGACGATTCAATTCAGCTTGATAATAAGCGTCGTCGCCTTTGTAGTCATCACCCTTTGATCCCAGCCCATAATCGCCGCCCATAGAATGTATAGTCTGGTTATTAGTTGGAGCAATTGAGCGAGCTAGGCCAGGAGACAATGTGCTCTGTCTATTGGCGTTGAGAAGATTTTCTCGACTAGCTATGAAACTGCCAGTGTCTGCAACGGGGATTGCAGGAAAGAATCCTGACCCATTCGGATTCGGGGGTGTGGCAGAGTAGCCACTCTCGAAAGGGTTAACAGGCATATCACCATGAGGTTTGAGATCCAGCATTGACTCGGCTTCCCACCAGGCACTTTCCCGCATCCAGATCCGTTCCTTTCCAACAACAACGTCTCCATTACTCCAACCTCTCTCAAGGATCCAGCTTTCGACGCCATCCTTTCCTTCCTTGCAACCTAGAGGCGCATACCGGTTCACAAACTCGTCGACGTCAAAGTCTGCAGTGAAATCGAGATGCTTATGTCGTCTATTTGCCCATTCGGGCAGTCGCCACTCCCGCAGTTGACGAGAAACGGCACCGGCGGACCATGGAGACATCGTGGCGGGCGATGCTGCAAAAGCCTCGGGTGTATCATCTGTAGGATGAATAGCAAGATGATACCATACTCTACTACTACCTAGAGTTGCAGCGAGGTCAAAGCGGCCGTGTTTACCGAGGGTTATACCTTCGTTCGGATCTGGGAAAAGGATATCCCTAAGGAAGCCGCCAATCTCCACCTCGACACCGACCTTTTCTAGAACGGCCTGCCTCTTATCGTGTAAATGTTCACGCTCACGGAAGGTAGCGCTTTCGGTAATTCCGAGATCAGCTTCGACCTCAGTGACAGCGTGTTTCATCTCATTTATGACAGACTGACCGGGGCTGACGATCTCGACACCATCCTCTTTCATCTCAGCGTTGATACCCTGTCCATCATTGAAGATACCCTGAAGGGCAACAGCCTTGCCAAGAGGTGGGCTTGGAATATCAATAACAGTAATATTCACTGTATCTGAAGCGTCTTCTGAGTTCCACGGAGCACCGGATCCATCACTTGATTCGTTTTCCTGGTCAGCTTTTATTTGCGCGGCGATTGCTTCATTAGCTTTGGATATGACCCAATCGACCAAGGCCTCATAGATGCCTGTGACGAGAACTGTGCGGTCATCAGTAGAGCAGCCGTGAAGCAAGGCTTCCGGATCTACGCCCAGAAGCTCAGCTGCTTCTTCACAAACTTGCTCGAGATCTTCTTCATCGACCAGAAATCCCAAGGTATTTCCCAATTTGAGAAGACCCGCCAAGACTGACAGGAGGCTTCTTTGTGCGGCACCCTTGATGCCAATTGCTTTGAGAGCAGATCGAAAGTCTTCGGCGGCCGCAGCATCATCTGCAGTAGGTAAAAAGGAAGGCGGGTCGTAGGTTCCGGACTTGTTCAAAATTGAATAGGTCGAAGGTGCTTTCAAGTCAAGGTATTCTTTCTCCGCTTGGCTAGACGTCGCATTGATCAGATAATAGAAGACATCGAAAGCACGGTAACCAGGTTCAGCGGGCACGTCTAGCAAGCCCCTTGTAAGATTGAGCCCTGACTTGGATAATGCTAGTGTCAAGCCAGTGACGTTACCACCGAGAGTGAAGGTATAGGAAACTGCCAAGGACGAGTATAGAGAATACGAGGGGTTGAAAGGCGTGACTGCGGTGACGAACGGACGAATAGCATTAAGAGAGGCGTATAATACCTCAGGAGTCGACAGTGGTAAGGAAGAAAGGAACGAAGGAAGTAAGCTAGGGCACGATCGATGAAGGGATCTATCGAACACGTTAGTATTCTACTAATATAGCACCGTCATAGTCAGCAAACACACCCTAGCACAATACAGCCGTCCTCTGCTCTGCGTCGTGCGTGTTCCCAAGCTCTCTGGCCCAGCTGGGGATCAACGATACCCCCCGGAGTGCCATCCGGATTTAAATTTGATACGGTGAGCCATGTGTTTACCACCAGGCTTGTCCCAACTTCCAGTGAATATGGTTGAGATGTCGAATATGCGTTGTGGAGCGAATTAAGCAAGGTCGTCGTAGATATTTGAGAAGCCGACTTCGGTAGACCAGGGCTCGAGGTGGTCGAGAACATCGAATAGCGGTTCGACATAGCTGTGATCGTTGCTGTTCAAATCTGCCGAGGAAGACGAAATGTGACACTGATCCTAGGACATTAGCCAACCTCCACGACGAGTGAATGCAGTCGTCGTCGTCCTGGTGCTGTCTTCCTGAATGTGTTGGGTGTTTGATAGATTTGATATGTCCAGCAGACGTAGGAAGAGAAGAACGAGTGCAGCCAAAGCAGTAACAAGTCCTCGGTTGACAGGGTAGCGTCCCCTGTTTGTTTTGCAAGCGAAGGAATAGATCAAGCGAATGTCGACGGTGATATGCCACAAAATCAAAAGATATCACCGATATTAAGGATAATTAGAGGTGAACCGAGCGAAGAAATAAGGAAAAGCGATGATTTGGGAAGCGACTGGAAGAAGAGAACATGCCTCCTCGCTCCTTCTCCGTTTTCAAAGTGGCAGGCGGTTTAGGCGTGTATTATAAATTACGCGTAACGTATTTGACGTAACATTCGGAGGGAAACTGTTTTCAGACCAGTTCTTCTTCGCATTGAATACCATAAATTACGACATGGCTAGGATCTGGGTTCTCGGGACAGTTGACTTTAGTTGACTTTACTTCGTATGATTGATTATATTAAGAGAACGCGATTCTCTATGCTTTGGTACTTTTTTTTTTTGATATAACCACAGGATACAAAATCCGAACAACTCATCGCTTGCTCATACACTGTTGAACAGATAAAGGTGGCGATGAGAGTGAGACAGATGCTGTGTGTTTTATCTATGGATTATTTATGCCGCCCCTTGTTTTGTATGATACATGGTACGCGCTACCGATGGTACGTTACAGCTGGTTTGTGTGGGTCAGCTTCCGGAACAAGAATGCCACACCTGATGGTCAGTTGTCTTTTACTCCTTACAATTCAAGAGACAGACAGTTCCCAGGCGAGCGCGATAGTTATCCAATCAAACAGATTATTAAATTGTGTTCGCTGTCCATATTTTCCTGAGAGTTGAATCATACTACGTAGTCTAAGAGGCTAGCAGGAGAGGCTCGTCGATTAGCTTCCGGGTCATCTCCACCAGGTCTAAGAGTCTAGATGTTTCTATGTAGGAACTAGTGTACACTGTTTCACGGAGTTGGTTGTGATATGGGAAAGCAAGGATCGGGCAGAAGGATTGCAAAACTTGTTTAAGCTATAGATCAATATATACATCAAGATCATATACACATGATAACCATATTGAAGTATGTATTGTTTGTTGTTTACCCGGAACATTCCAAAGGGGAAAAGTATAAACCATCAAGGAAATCCACAGCGAGCCGCTCTCATTGGCTGTACCGAACATCTACAGTCTACCTATGTAAGCGACGATATCTTATTCAGTTAGTTAATAAAGAACTAGTAACTATTGTTGTGAGATAGTTATATATCGCGTCTTTAGAGATGACGCAGTACGTCAGAGTTTTCTGATCGCCATTAAGCAAGTTGTTAAGAAATTAAGATAAAATCTTCAGAGTCCTATTTATAAACATGTCTAAGACAGCAAGGCCAGCTAACTGTGACAGGACTAGCTGAAAGCCGCAGCAATTCGGGATTGGCTCGGTCTCAGGAGACCCTCTCCTGATCAGCCTCTAGTATTTATGGTACTGTATCTGGTATTTATTACTCGTATCTCCGTGTATCTCGGCCCCGGACTGGCGATTAGGTAATATTACCTAACTAAATAGGTTAATTAACGTTAACTAACGGATCGCGGTCAACAAAAAACAAAAAACAAAAAAGGAGTCGGCATTAACCATGACTGTACAGTACTGTAAATACCATACAAGGAAGAATCGAAGTGCCGCCTGCCTTCTTTCCATCCAGATCGATAGATCTATCTGTGTCCATCTCAACATCCCTCAATCTCACCCTGCATTCCCCCCATTTCACCTTCCACACATTCGTTACGAAGTACTATTTCGCTTCTTCCTTAATTTTTAAACAATACTTATTCTTTTTGACCTTCGGCTCACTTTCTTGCGTCCGACTTTCGCTATACCGTGTTGTTCATTTACAGTCAAATCGAATCCTCTTTGACGCAGCAGTTTGCCCTTGTTTTTACAGGAATACGTCCTTCGACAACCGTTACAATCTTGGAAATTTTTCGAGGGAGTTCGTTTGGTCTGAGTATCAGAGGATCAAAACAATGCACTTCGTGTGTCTCGTTTTGTAAGGGAAATCAAAAAAAAAAAATAAGAACCTTACAACTGTCCCAGGGGTATTTCGCTGCTCCATCAAGGCCGACCCCTCTGTGCTACGTTATCGTGCGTGCAACTTCTTACAGGGGATTTGGATTTTATTCAATACACGAATATATTTACATCTGAAGACTTTGGTGGTCTGCTGACCAGCCAGCGGCCATGGCTCTGAACTCGTTTCCCGGGAGCACACCCTCCTATGCACAATCTTCACTGCCGTCTTTGCCGTCACATCTGCAGTCAGATACACATTTGACAGCTCATCTGGCAAGCAGGTAAGCTCATTTAATGGCTGGGAAGTGTGAGCATGACTAATAAGTTCATTCGAATACAGGTTTCATGTCTCCTTACCCACAGCCCGTCTTTCATCACAAGCTTTGATCTGTTTGAATACCTATACCTCTTCGACCAAGGGCCCCGATGGAGGAAAAGAGGGAAGCGCCATGGGCGAGGCCGAAGATTTGGCCAAACGAGCTTTTACCCGTCTAGGAGCCCGTGGTGAAAACCAAGCGGTCGTATTCCTGTAAGTATTGGAGAGCAAACTTGTCTTCGCATCCGGCTGTGGCTCCTTGTCTAACGGTGAATTGTCACAGCGGGGAAACCGGTTCAGGAAAAACAACCATACGATCTCACCTTCTGTCAGCCCTTCTCTCGTTCTCTGCAACCCCTCTATCAACCAAGTTGTCATTAGCCGCCTTCGTTTTCGATACCCTTACCACCACCAAATCCGTGACTACGCCGACAGCGTCGAAAGCCGGATTGTTTTTTGAATTACAATACGATTCATCGTCGAATACCCCCTTGTTGATTGGAGGTAAAATCCTCGATCATCGCCTGGAAAGGAGCCGTATCACCTCAGTCCCCACAGGTGAACGCAGCATTCATGTGTTATATTATCTACTGGCAGGGACAAGCGCCGCCGAAAAAGCTCATTTGGGACTCGATTCGTCTGGCATACATGCAGGACCAGGCGGTAATCAGAAGCGATGGCGTTATCTTGGTCACCCCACTCAATTGAAGGTTGGTGTGAATGACGCTGAGGGCTTCCAGCATTTCAAGACGGCTTTGCGGAAACTAGAGTTCCCCCGCAGTGAGATCGCAGAGATCTGCCAGATTCTTGCTACTGTCCTTCATATCGGTCAGCTTGAATTTGTGACTGGTCAAACCACCACGACTGGGGCGGAGGAAAGCGGTGGTTACTCCCACGAAGGCGGGGAAACTGTGACAATTGTTAAAAACAAGGAAGTTTTGGAGTGTGTTGCTGCCTTCTTGGGGCTCAGTACGGAAGACCTGGCTGTAAGCTTGCGTCACAAAACCAAAACCATCCACCGCGAACGTGTAACGGTGATGCTCGATCCTCGAGGCGCTCGTCAAAACGCAGATGAACTTGCGAGGACACTTTACTCCCTTCTAGTTGCCTATGTTATTGAGAGTATAAACCAGAGGGTCTGCGCTGTTGAGGATAGCATTGGCAATACAATCTCTATCATTGATTTCCCAGGCTTTGCTCAGTCTGCTAACTCGTCAACCCTTGATCAACTTCTCAACAATGCTGCCGTCGAATCTCTGTACAGCTTTGCCCTACAGAGCTTCTTTTCGAACAAGGCAGATCGCTTGGAAAGTGAAGAAGTTAGCGTACCAGCAACAAGTTATTTCGACAATTCGGACGCTGTTCGGGGTCTTCTGAAGCCCGGCAATGGTTTACTTGCTATTATCGATGACCAGACAAGGCGAGGAAAAACGGACATGCAATTGCTTGAGAGCTTGAGGAAGAGATTTGAAAACAAGAACCCTGCCATAACAGTAGGAGATAGCGAGACCAAGCTACCTGGAAGCAATTTCGTGACGCCCAGTACGCGCGCCACATTTACTGTTAGGCATTTCGCTGGTGAAATCGATTATCCCGTCAACGGCTTGATCGAAGAGAACGGAGAGACCATCTCAGGGGATTTAATCAACCTTATCAGCTCCACACGAAGTGACTTCGTGCGAGAGCTTTTCGGACAAGCCGCCCTACAGAAAGTCACTCATCCCAAGGAGCGAACTGCCGTAGTTCAGGCTCAAGTTAGCTCCAAGCCCATGCGCATGCCCAGTATGGCTCGGCGCAAGATCAGCCCGTCGTCCAGATTGAATCCATTCAGTAATCGCGCCGGCAAAGAGGATGATGATAGCGACAGTCATAATGGTAGCACCAAGGGCGGTAACACATCGCATAAAAAGACACACGGCACCGGCCCAGATCAAGGGGCGGCTGGCCAATTCCTGGCTTCATTGGAAGTTATTAAACAGTGTCTAAATGCGCCGAATCTGAACCCTTATTTTGTCTTCTGTCTCAAGCCTAATGATCGACGCATTGCCAATCAATTTGACAGCAAATGCGTACGCATGCAGGTGCAGACTTTCGGCATCGCTGAGATCAGTCAGCGACTGCGTAACGCAGATTTCAGTGTTTTTCTCCCCTTCGCTGAATTTTTAGGGCTGGCAGAAGCTGAGAGCATTGTGGTTGGAAGTGATCGTGAGAAGGCAGAGCTTGTCCTAGACGAACGGAAATGGCCTGGAAATGAAGCACGTGTGGGCAGCACGGGTGTTTTCCTTAGCGAACGGTGCTGGGCTGATATTGCAAAACTCGGTGAGCGAGTACTTCCAACATATCATGCTGATTCCCTCGATGATGGAGATGGGATGCTTCATCCTGGAGCATACAGTGACCACAAAGTCCGGCTCCTCAACTCTGGAGAGAACAGTCCGAGCGGTGCATTTATTTATGGAGACGAGTCTAAGCAAGGTGGCTATTTCGGCAGCCGTGATGTTGATGGTCGGTCAGACGCAGGCGCCTCAGCTTTCAATTCTGGAGATATGTTTAAAAACCTCGAGACTCGAGAGCAGATGGCGGAGAAAAGCAAGGAACGCAAAATGGAGGAGGTGGACATTCTACCAGTTTCCGGCAGTCGCAAGCGGTGGCTCTTCATCGTGTATCTGCTAACATTCTGGGTGCCCGACTTTCTGATCAGGCTCCTTGGAAGAATGAAGCGAAAGGATATCCGACTGGCGTGGCGTGAAAAGTTGGCCATCAACATGCTCATCTGGCTAGCCTGTGCGGTTGCAGCTTTTATTGTTGTCGGCTTCCCCTTGTTAATATGTCCCCGACAAGACGTATACTCGGCAGAGGAGCTATCGTCCCACAACGGCAAGGATGGCGCATCATCGTATGTTTCTATTCGAGGTGTGGTGTTTGATCTCGGCGCGTTCCTCCCTGCTCATCAGCCAAAAGGCTTGATACCGTCGTCAGCATTCGAGAGATATGCCGGTGTCGATGCTACAGCTCTTTTCCCCGTCCAAGTGTCTGCTCTTTGTCAGGGAGTCAACGAGTCTGTTGACCCAAGTGTATTACTTGACTTTACGCCAGTCAACATCACTGGCTCTGCTACTACAATCAGCACAGGGGACCAAAACTCGAAGTATCATGATTTCCGCTACTTTACAAACGATTATCGTCCAGATTGGTTTGCTGAACAGATGATTATGCTCAAAGGTTCATATAAGAAAGGCTACATTGGATACAGTGCAGGATACTTGAAAACTCTAGCCAACAAGAACGGCCGTTCCGTAGCTAGTCTTGACGGGAAAGTGTACGATTTTACCGCCTACGCTGCTGGAGGTCGCCGAACTCTAGGCCCGAATAACACTACTGGACCAGCCGGTGTCAGTGTCGATTTCATGGATCCTGTCATTGTGGATTTGTTTACGCAGAGATCCGGGCAGGACGTTACCCAACGCTTCAATGAGCTCCAAATGGACCCCGCGTTACGCCAACGTATGCGACTATGTATGGACAATCTCTTTTTCATCGGCAAAGTAGACACTCGAAACTCGACGAGATGCCAATTCTCCAAATACTTCATCATTGCCATCACGGCTTTCCTGGCTTCGGTTATCATCGCCAGGTTCTTGGCTGCACTTCAGTTTGGTAAAAAGAACATGCCAGAGAATTTGGATAAGTTCATTATTTGCCAGGTTCCCGTCTATACGGAAGATGAGGAGTCCCTCCGCCGTGCTATTGACTCCATGGCTCGCATGAAGTACGATGACAAACGGAAATTACTGGTGGTCATCTGTGATGGAATGATCATTGGTCAAGGCAACGACCGTCCCACGCCAAGAATAGTTCTAGATATTCTCGGTGTGCCTGACACTGTCGATCCTGAGCCCTTGAGTTTTGAAAGTTTAGGCGAGGGCATGAGGCAGCATAATATGGGAAAGATCTATTCCGGCCTCTACGAAGTTCAAGGCCACATCGTACCTTTCATGGTTGTTGTCAAGGTCGGAAAGCCATCTGAGGTATCTCGACCAGGTAACCGTGGTAAACGAGACTCGCAGATGATCCTGATGCGATTCCTCAACCGTATCCACTACAACCTTCCTATGAGCCCCATGGAATTAGAGATGTATCACCAAATTCGCAACATCATCGGCGTCAACCCAACATTTTATGAATATATTTTGCAAGTCGACGCCGACACCGTCGTCGCTCCGGATTCTGCCACACGGATGGTGTCTTCATTCCTTTCAGACACTCGCATCATCGGTCTCTGTGGAGAGACTGCCCTGAGCAACGCGCGAAGATCTGTAATCACGATGATACAAGTCTATGAATACTACATCTCTCACAATTTGACCAAAGCATTCGAGAGTTTGTTCGGTTCTGTTACCTGTTTACCGGGTTGTTTCACTATGTATCGAATCAGATCTGCGGACACAGGCAAGCCACTGTTTGTGAGCAAGGAGGTCGTTGACCAATATGCGGAAATTCGAGTTGATACACTTCATATGAAGAACTTGCTTCATCTCGGTGAAGATCGTTATCTCACGACACTGCTTATCAAACATCATCCAAACTACAAGACCAAATACAGCTTCCGTGCCCATGCATGGACTATTGCCCCAGAGAACTGGAGTGTTTTCCTGTCCCAGCGTCGAAGATGGATTAACTCTACAGTGCATAATTTGATTGAGCTTGTCCCAATGCAGCAACTCTGCGGTTTCTGTTGTTTCAGTATGCGCTTCGTGGTCCTCATTGATCTAATGAGCACGATCATTCAACCCGTGACCATGGCGTATATTGTTTACCTTATTGTATGGGTCGTTCTTGATCCATCCATGATCCCCGTGACGGCTTTCATCCTCCTTGGAGCTATCTTTGGTCTTCAAGCCATCATTTTCATTCTTCGACGAAAGTGGGAGATGGTCGGCTGGATGATTATATATATTCTTGCTACTCCCATCTTTTCTCTAGGTCTACCTTTATACTCATTCTGGCACATGGATGACTTTACCTGGGGTAACACCCGTGTGGTCACTGGTGAAAAGGGCAAGAAGATTGTCATTTCCGACGAGGGCAAGTTCGATCCTGCTTCGATACCTAAGAAGAAATGGGAAGAGTACCAAGTGGAGCTTTGGGAGGCTCAATCGCGAGCTGATGACTCCCGCTCAGAGGTATCTGGCTACTCTTACGGCACCAAGTCTTACCATCCAGCTGCTACTGAATACGGATACCCAGCATCTCGACCTATGTCACAACTCGATTTGACATCTCGACTTGGCTCCCGCATGTCACTCGCTCCCTCTGAGATGATGGGTGGTGCAAACTACGAATTGAGTGATCTCGCTGGGTTACCCAGTGACGATGCATTCTTGCTGAGATCCGGGAGATATGCGCACAGCTGATTTGATGACGATTACGAAGAAGGCTGTTAAATTAGAGCTTGAGAAGCGTTTTGGTGTTAATCTAGATGCCAAACGTCCATACATCAACTCTGGTAAGTTTATATTCCTTCTTTTGTCACTGTTGGGCAGCTTCGCTAACGGAAAATGTGTCTAGCAACCGAAGCAGTCCTCTCTGGTCAACTATAATCAAACCAATGACAGAAACATAACGACGTTTACACAAACCCGAAATGTCCTTTCTGTTCATCTATCTCGCGTCTCGCATAAAAAGATAACGAAGCATATCTTCTCCCAATTTCCTCTCATCCATAAACTGGAGTTTCTGTTGAAATCATTTCGTTTGGTAAATAGGGCCTTTCAAGTTTTCGATTTCCTCTCTTCCTCTACAACTAGCATTATAATTCCGTCTCATTGTTTTTTTCTTGCGGATTCTTGACGATGTAGCATACATAAATAATGTCCTTGGTTTTTACTTAGTCATTACAACTTCGTGTCTTTGTATGATTAAGTTATAGCGAAATACTTACGTTTTAATAAAGACGATAACTTTGATTAATACGATGTCTATGGATCGTTGAGAAATTCCTGCATAATGGATGATTGTTGTGCCCAGTTTCATGTTTCCTCAAGATACCTACGTACCGGATTTCCTTTGACGCCTCTCGACTTTCCCCTTCCGTTTTAGTGCTCAGCCCCTCGCTGTGTAGAACGGAGCACGCCCAGAGAGCGCTGACCAGATCAGTGAGCTTCGCATATGCCAGGAAACATGCTCAGTGAGCTGAAGCTGGGCCAACCTCGAGATCTGACACCATCAACCTGCACACCTAGAAATGCGGCCACAGGACAACCTCCTAAGCCACGCATACGGAGATCAACCAAACGCCCTCGTCGGTCATGTCCGGGGATGCAGACGTATCGAACGAAGCCACCTAACGAAAGTGGTGATCCCGACCACTCAGACGATCAAGATTACGTTGACCGACCACAACATGAAGACGACCGACCCCGTCGCACAAACAGACCAAAACATCAGCCCATCACAGATAGTAATTCAGTGAAACCGGAAGCGGATATCGTGATCAAAATTGGAAGCCTGTCACTTCCAGACTTGAAGACTGGTCAGCGAGGAGTCCTCACTTGCGAGTTCTTTTCGTCACAGATTATGTGTTCCTTCTCGTGGACAGTAGATCGAGAGCGCTCGAATCATTGTGCACCAGAATCTGACCATATGCCCGACGGACACAATCAATGTGAAATGGATTTCACACAGGAACGAGACCTTCACACGTCCTCGAAAGATGAAACCACAGGAAAGTTAAGATACAAACAAAGGAACAGTCACTCGGACGCTGGAGAGGCAAGCACAGGAAGAAGTGGACTGAGGAGGAGAATTTTCGGTTGAAGTGGCTAAGAGAAGAGGAAAATCTGCCATGGTCGCAAATAAAAAAGCACTTCCCGGACCGGACGGCGGGTGCAATCCAGGTTCAATACTCTACCGCGCTCAAGGCTTCAGCCTCAACGTCGTCCGGTATGACTCCAAATGATGAGGCCGATCGGAATACTACCTTCTCGCCAAATCGTAGGCAGTATTCTCGTCGGCCCCGGCGAGCTGTGGAACGTTATTCGCCGTAGGCATTTTGTGATCGAAGTATTTGATAGAATTGAGCCATGGAGTTTTTCTTTCCTGGCTGTTCGAGGGTGCACAGTCGTCGATTGCGTCAGCTAAAAGAATACCTCTAGAGACTTGAGCCTATATCCAGTCAATTATGACCTTTCTACGGCTGAAGAAGACGCCTTCCTTGTTATCTGATCCCTAGTGACATCTTTACGAGTCCTCGAGCAACTGGAGAGATGGATTGCCACGAACACCAACATACCACTCCTTCCAAAGCTCGCGTACGGTCTATATAGTACGGGACATCCAGTAGGAAGGAGGAGAAGACCTGGACAACTCTTTAGATGAAGGTATATCTGGAGTGTGGTCTGGTATAGGATCAGGAGTAGTTGCACCGCAGTATGTGCTGTATTTTGCATAGTAGACTGAGAAGAAGTATTATCAGGAGTACTAATTCTTTTGTCTGACCTAGTGAGCCTTGCAGTAAAGGTAACCTTCCCAGAAAATAGCTGATCCACCTGAGACTGTATAGCACGAATTGAGTCCTGTGTTTACTGATAGTTTTATTGTATAATATGCTCTAGATTCTCCCCAGTAGCTGTCATACCATAGCCAGAGAGCTTGTACGAGGGTCTCCAGAGGTTCAATTACAGCTCGTAGTAGATAATAATTCTAGCCAATCAGAGCGAGCCACACACTTAAGAGAAGGATCCACCGAATAGGGGTGAAAGACGTCTCCCACCTTCACTGTACTTAGAAGAGAACAAGAATGACAACAAGGATCAAGGATTCCATACTTTTGCATACTTTTGTATACATAAGTTGATACGTTGAGATATACCGCTCGAGATTGTTACGTACAATTCAACAGGAAATCCGGTACGTATAGTCACCTAGGTAGCTCCAGGGCTATACATCCATTTTCCAAAGTTGTAAGTCATGCTCAACGTACCTAGCGGACCAGTTGTCAGAATCTACTAAGAGCTTAACACATCTTCGAGGTTTTGAGACAAAAGACCAGGTCGAAAATACTCAGTCAATTCTGATTTACTCGTCCAAGCTAAAACAATTTTAAAAATTCGCCTCATGACTTTTCTTTTCATATTCATGCTCGTTTCCCTCCCTTGCTTTGCATCGAATTGAAAACATGATTTCTTTCCATCTTTATCAAATCACTCCACAAGATCCCCCGGTCAAACCCGTTCCATTCATAATGATACTGGTAAGAACAAAACATTTTTTGCTTTAGTGGTATCGAAAGAAGACAATAAACAAGCACATGAAAAAATAACATCAAAAACTCAAACAGCACATGACAACCACGGCTTGAAAGTGGAAACTCGAAAAGAAGAGAAAAACAAGAAACAAAAGCATGGTATAGCGTAGCGTGTCGGGGTATATTGCTGCAAATTGGTATCTCGGCATGGATAGAATCCTCTCTTGTGTCTTTTTTTCATTTTTTCCGTCAACGTGTTATTATGCTTTCAACGAGGTGGCCCAATCGGAGCCGGGTATCCAGAAGTAGAATTGGAAGTACTAGGACGACCAGAATCAAAAGAAGCGCGCAAGTCATGCTTGGGGGTCATGTCGCCGGGCGCGGTACCGAAGGGAAATTTCATGTCAAAGCGAGATGGCCAGCCATTGCTGCTGCTACTGTTGTGACTGTGGGAACTACCCACATGAAGATCTTCTTCGGGTAGGTTGACCCCAGAGTCGTTCCATGGGTTGCGGTAACCGCTGTCGCGGGATTCCATAGAGATCAAGGACGCCTTGGACGCGTTGCTAGACGCATGTTTGAAGAATGATGCGGGCGAAGCTGAATGGTTTTTACGACCGATAAAGGACGAGAACGAGGAAATACTTCCAGGCTTACGCAGTCTCTCGAAGATCGAGCCGCGTTCGCTGACATCGTCGCCAAAACTAGGGCGTGTCGGTGAGTCCGTTACGAGGGGTGCTGGTGCATGCTGCAACAACTTGGAGTCGAAGAATGGGAGCGACTCTTCGAATGAATCAGACTTTGGACGCGGAATAGCGCCTTTGACGGTCGTTGCGTCAAGGCCATGCGCGACGAGACGGGAAATCAAAAAGTCTATTGCATCCTTGAGCCCTCCGGCGTTATTTCGAGTGTATCCGAGTACAACACGGTCCTCTGATGGGACGGGAGACGATGATCCATTTTCGGTTCCGGGTTGCGGAAGCTCAGCAGCCATATCAACAGTGGCGTCAACCTCGTATTGGTCCTTGAGCTTACTACGAACGTCATCGACGAAATCCGCAGACTTGAAGAACTCCCTCAGTTCCGCAGAGCTTTGGAATGACAATTCGTGGTTCTCAGGCACCATACCCTACATATAACGTCAGTCAGATTCCATCATTTGGAAGCAGATCGGTGAATCTCACCAGGAAAGCGTCCACCGCTTGAGGTACCTGATATTCAGGGCCCGAAATAGTCACAACATCGCTAGCAAGCTCGGTGCTTGGAAACTCAATCTTGCAATTCCATTTCTTCTCCAGCTCTTCAATTTCACGAATGCGAGCCAAGAGTTCACGATGATAGAGGCGGTTGATCAAAACAGTTTCAGAAACATATTCCGCATCCTATAGATATTATTAGCACCGAGAATAACGTAACGAGTCAAGAGATGGCGTGAACTTACAACTTTCTCAACCATGTCCATGATCTCCTGCTTCACGAGATCCAGGCTTTGGGCATTCCTTGCCGGAGTGCGGCAAATAACGTTATCAACTTTGACATCGTCATCTTCTTTACCAATGCCACCACGGTCCATTGCGTTGGAAAATTTGACGAACACCGAGTACTTCTTCATGATACGCTGGATATGTTGACCGCCAATGCCGATGATGCGCTTATGATACTGGTCCGGTACATGGAAGGAGATAGATGCCGGCATCTCTTGTTCTACCAGATCCAAACCGTTTTTAGTAGCGTCATACTGTGTGCCACAGACATCAATGTAGAAATTGTACTCGTTGAATCCGTCAAAGATGATCTGAACATTGCTCTGGCCCATGATCTTGTTGATTTTGCCGTTCTTCTTGCCGCTGACAAATTCTTTGTGCTCGTTGGCGAGTTCAATTTTGACTCGAATCTGGTAAGGACAGCGCTTGACGAATGGAATCTGGTAGATGACGTTCATGGCTGCTTTGACGGCATCGTCCGACCCGTTGATGGAAAATGTCATGTTCTCGAAGCTCACGTCGGCATCCGAGTTGATGCAAATGTCGGACAACATGGGTCGAACCTCGTGAGGGGATGGAGATCGAATGCTCCCTTGATTAGGATCAGACATGATAATCCACCAAGAAGCACTATAGAATTGACCAGCCAACGCCATTATCTCTCGCACAGTTCGTTCGACATGAAGCACTTCGGTTCCCTGGATTCGGACGAGGCCACGTTGGCTACCCAACTGTGGAAACAGGACGTACGAGCCGTTGGCTTCCATGACCTTCCGTACTTTGTCCAAACGGTCTAGCAGTATATTGTCGATTTTGCTTGCCGACAAAACAACGTCCTTGACGTAGATCTTGGCACCCAGTACCAACTCACGAAGTTTTTGCTTGGCCCTTGCAATATTTTCCATGTTTTCGCCAGTGATGTAAACTTCGTCTTCGCTTCGTCGGTGAGCGCCAGGTGGGGTATATCCAAAGATACGTGGAAACGGCGGTGGGAAGTAGATTGCAGTATCAGTAACAGCTTCGATCAACTTGATGTTCTTGCGAGTGCGGCCGCAGACAAGGGTATGCATAGTCAGTTCGAGTTTCATGGCGTCAACGTGTCGTTTCAGCTGGAAAAGTTAGTATTCCTGATCAGCATGAAATCTTGAGGCAGGTAGGCCTACAATTTGGTCAATCATGATGAGCAATCTTGTCTTGGCATGCTCTACACTCTCCATATCTCCGTAGATAGCGACCCGAAAGCGATTGTCCAAGCCATTATCGGCCCCGTACGAAGAAACCACGGCACTGTCGGCATCAACCATTTTCGGACTAAGTAGGAAAATATCGGCACCAGTATACTGAGCTAGAGTATCCAAATGCTCGAGTACATTGACACGAATTCCCTTGGTTGACGCGTCCATAATAAGATGCATGTCCACATCGACATTTGCACATCGCTAAGTCGAATCGTTAGTAATCATATAGACAAAGGACCATTAATGGGAGCAGCAGGGCGAAAAATGCTGCTGATACAGAGATTGTTGGGATGACTCACTAAAGAGATGGGTGTCTCGTTCAAGATCTTGGCTCTCATCTTCCGGACTGTCTCACCGTCACCGGAAAGACAAACGTTGGTGACAAGACCGGGCTGACGACGTTGCACCGAAGGCAGAGACTTGGGCTCAGAAGTTGTCACAGTGGCCTCAAGGCGACCTCCACTCGCCTCGCTGACGGACCGACATAGTTTCCGCAAGGCCTCAACGTGGTTGACGTGAACGGGCAAGTGGTGGATCGGAGTACCTTCTGATGTACCATCGGGAAAGGACCAGCGTTGCAAGGCGCCGGGACTTGCATGGAGCACATCCTCGACATCGGGGCCGGCGAGATACGACGAGAATGGAACATTGAAGGAGAGATTGACAGTAGGATCCACGGCCGTCGGAGGATTCAAGGCCGGAGTACCATGCGGACGTCGTAGGGGTTGCGAAGCTGCATGGATATCAGCGTGAGGGCGAGACATCCCAAAGGCGGGAGTCATCCGTTCCCAGCCATGACGAGCTTGACCGGTGAAGTTGGAAATCTTGTGCATGCTGCCAGAGCGGATAGGCGGAAATAGGGTCTTGCTTCTTCTAAATCCCCAAGCGTAATACACAAGTGGGAATCAGAAGAAGAAAGAGAAGAAGAGAAAAGCGATGGCAAGATGTGATTGTCGAGCGAATCGAAGGAACGGTTGGGGTTGGCGGATGGAGAAGAGAAGAAGAGGGGACGGAATGACGAAAGAGGAATAGAAGAAGAGCAGCACGGGGAAGAATAGAGGATATAATAGAATGGACAAATGTAGGGACGAAGAGCAAAGGAGAGTACGATTGGAAAAGGAAAAGGGTATCAAAAAGAATAATGTTGTGGTAGAATACGAAGTGGTTGAGAGAGAGAAATGAAGGTCTGGAGAAAGAAGAGGAAGAGAAAGAGCGAGACAGCCGGGCACTAACACCTTCTCACTGGGCAGTGTTGCTTAGTGTCCGCAGTCCAGGCCGCCAGTGGAGTTCGCTTACTTTATTACGAGTATCTACGTCTGTTGATCTACTCACCATCTCTCTTTATTGTTGATTCAAAAAGGACAGTAATCAATATGACAATATCTGTCAGACTGTCTTTGATGCAGTCGAGATACACCTGTTTGGATGCCCTCCTGCATATCTCGGCGTGTTCATGACCTATCTGGATGCCTATTTATTGATGGTCTAGGTAACATTGAGCGTGTCTAGGCTCTGTAGAGTCTAGTAAATCATCAGTTCTCAGATATATGAGGAGCTGAACATAGATGAAAACTATTAATTAGGTGCAACTATTAGCACACACATATACACACACACACATACATACACACCGGAATCATCTTTTCCAAGCGCTCTCGACTCTATCCTCATGTTTCAAAGAAGCGGTTTATGTCGGAAGAGTATCCTTGACCTGTAAGAAAACGAATGCCCGTGTTTCCGGTCCTCAATGCCTTGAGAGGGTGGAATGTGGAATCGACCAAAAACAGCTGAAGACGTTCCTAGTTATGTATACAATCGTACCACTATCTCGGAAACAATCAAGGACTCCATACCGTGCTGCTATTTTAGCTCATTGCGAGTTCCGATCCTCTGTCACAGTTATTTACTCACTGTATAGCAAATAGTCGTCGCACATGATTACGCGCACAAATAGCGAAAAAAAAACAAGAAAATGCTGAACCACTGTTGTACCAACCTCGACCTTGGATAACGACCGCAATTCCAAGACTCCGGAGGTGGGTCGCTTGGCTGCACTGACTGGTATGTGCGCTATATGCTAGAGAATGTGATAGAGCCGAGAAACAAGGAATGCAGAACGAGGTTTATCTAAAAGATTCGAAGACGATACCGAGTACTTTATGTAAGTCTCTTGAGATTGGGAGATTGGGAGTGGTTGGTTTCCGATTCATCACGTGACCACATACACAATCGTCAAGCTGCGATACGAATAATACGAAAGCAAAAGAAAGATTTGGCTTCTGTTTAACATGCTTGTCACCATCATGATGATGCCTGCAGGTGGAACAAGTGAAGCAATGGAATTCTGCTGCTCGGAAACTATTTCCATTCTGCCCCAACCGATTTTACTGGATTCATCTCACTTCCCGGTATATCCGGCTCTAGAGCACGACTTGGAACATACGAACATCCATGGCCTCAGTATTTATTTACGCCAATTTGCCTTATAATACATGAAAAGACACCAGATTTGTATACATATTATTTGCACTCCGTACTCCCTAAGTCGTAGGTACTAATACCGAGGGACAGCAACTCGATGGACGTCTCCTGGTCCCTCGATAGCAACTCGCGTCCCGTCTTCATCCGTAATATATCTACTTGGACGCTCAGCTCGAACAGCAGCTGGATATCCTGGTCGTTCACTATATTCACGTGCCACGTGGTGGCCGTCTTCATCCATGTACACGCTCACCTCTCGTCCCCCAGGTCTCACGCTTTGCACACGATGGAGACCCCCATCGTGCGGCTGCTCGTACCGGCTAGTTGGTGGCCGTACACTAGATGTACGCACCAGCCTGTTGCGTGGAATCTCTTCTTCAATATAAGTGGCCTGACGGGGTGCCGGTGCGTAGTCAACGGCAACACTCCCACTTCGAAAAACTCCCTCCCGATCGGCGACTGTCCGCGCGGGGTACAGTCGTTGAGTTTCACTCGCGTTTCTTCCTTGTTCGGCTAATCGACGATAGGTCCCTGACGGCGGTGCCATTTCTTGAATGTATTGGCGACCACCGTATCCATCATCAACAATCGACGGCGCACGAACACTAGCGCTACGAACATAGGCACGCTCGCCATAATCGTCAGGTCGCACGATTCGAGTAGGTAATGGTGCCGCTCGAATCTTGTGCGCTGGAATCATTTCATAGTACTGATTGCCATACTCATCCATCACAATCCGTCGCGGTGGCGCCGGCTCTACGTACCGTGGTGCTGCACCATCGTCCACATAATATTCGCGATATCTGGATGGAGGATAGTCTTCATACTGTGAATACCGCCTAGAGTACGTAGGAATAACTTCCTCGTAATATGTTGTCTTCTCAAGCGGCTGGCGCTCGACCACGGTAAAGGGCGACGCTCGTGCTGCTGACTGGGGACGAAGCACCGGTTCAATAATCTCATGAGAAGCACTGTCCGGGTTTCGCGCATTATGTAGACTGGCAACTCTTCGTAAATCCTGGTTGTCACGTACCGGCCTCCGAGTGCTTAGGCGAGACACTGCCCGAACGCTGGCTTCCCCTGGGGTACCGCGTCCACGGCCGCTACTTCCATATCGAGGATCTAGTTCGTGGAAAGGTTCTCGAGAAACGTATTCTCGGCGGTCTGCCGAGGGCACATATTGCGGTGAAGAGATGTCAATGTAGACGGGGTGTTCTGAGGCATGGTAGGCTCTTGACGGTGGGGTATCATGGAATGGCGGCGGTGAAACAGGTTCCAGCTTGACACGCGTCTCGGCTACGTCGATAGGGAGTGTTTCAATTCTCTCTCGTGGCTCTTGTACTCGCCGCCGCTTGCGGGGTAGCAAATGTTGCTGAGCCGGTCCTTCGGGACTGGTTCGCCTAGAGTACGGGTCTGAGCCGTCGCCTTCAATGAAATCGTGATCTCTAGAACGAGATGATAAAATTCGTTGAACCGACGGGGCTTTGGCAATCGCCAAGGGTGACACCCTAGATGGCTGTGGAGCAGCAGGAGAAGTGATGTGATTTCTCACGACTTTCACGTCGGAAGGACGAGCAGATGGCTGTGGTGGAAAGGTGGTATGTCGCGTAGAATCAAGAATATCAGGTGGCTGATAATCGTCATCTGCTCCGATCTCTACCACAGGCACAATAGGCTCAGGCGGAGAATATTCTGGTTCGTCAAGGACCATTTGCTCGTGTTGCCGGTTCTGCTCTATCGGCTCGGGTTGACTACGACCCTGAGGTAGAATAGCTTTGTCAGTAGTGCCTTGCAAGATTTGAGAACCGGTATCAGTGACTTTTCTTCCGTTATCCTGATGGGCTATGCCCTTGGTTTGACCGAGCGTCTGGCGGTCTGGCTCGGATGGAGCTCGTTTTTCGTAATCCCAAGTCAAAGGGGAATCAGGGGCTCTACTAGAATACAGAGAGTTGTCGTCGATGGAATCGCTAGAAATCGTAGCATCATGAGTCACAGGCTGAACCGGTGACGGGAGAGGCTTAACGATTTCCATGGCCTTTTTCAAAACCTCGGTAACGTCAAATTCAGGCCTCCCTTCATGGGCAGTCCTCTGTCTCGCCTCATTTTTGCTTCGCTCAAATTGTTCCTTCAATGCATTCTCTATCCTTCTCCTTTGTAACTGGATCTCCGCCCGGACAAGATCATCTGATTTTGTTAGGAAAATCGGATCGAGACCGGGCGCAGGCTTTGGAGCTACAGACGACGGTGTTCTTGCGGGCGACACAACAGAAGAGACAGTCTTTTTCTGTGCTAGTGATGACTCAACCGGTACAGTTTTTGGTTGATGACTACCAGAGCTCTCAATTACTGCCGGTGCAATTGATGACTGGGGTGGACGCGAAGGGGGTTTGCGAACGAACTGCTCAGGGACCTTTAGTCTGGGGTGAGTTCCTGTAAAAATCTGATCACTGATCCTGAGGATTTTCTCATATTCTTTGATTTCATCAACTGGCTCCAGTTCGGACTGAACGTCAGTGACGACAGCAGAAGACAGTCCTGCTCCTGCCATGTGTATTGCGGACAGCTTTCTACTGATGTCGCTGCGTATGTGGGTACTCAGCAGAAATAGAATATTGGCATTCTATATTTAGCAAGTGACATGAATGTGAGAAATAGTCGCATATGAGAGATAGTTCTTCGGGGATGATAGAACTTGAAGCTCTCCTAGTAACTCTAAGATAGCTTCGAAGAAAATAAAATGACTGAGCGGTTAAAACAGCGCTAACGCTAGTGTGTATATATGCCTTATGGATCAGGCTCCTATATCCAACTGTCCCGCCACTTGCTTGGATTGAATGACTCCACGCTTCACCTTAGCCTGCATGAACGTCCTCTTCTTTTTTTGTCTTGTTTTTATAAGCTATCTTGTTTCTTGAATAGGGTTACTCACTCTTTTAATATTATCACACTCTCTTTGCCCATTGAGGACCTTGGAAGTTGCAACATATCCTACAGTCCCTCAATTTATATAAAATGGCAATCAGCCAAGAGCAGGATGCCCGACCAGTGTTCTTTTTTGACATTGACAACTGTGTAAGTCTTTGTTCCATGTGTTTTATTGTTAACCGACAAAGGATATACTGACTATCTATTTCTTTGTGCAGCTTTACTCAAGAGGTGAGTGGAATCAGCGATTGGTAACCCAGCACATCTCTGACACTCAATCAATAGGCTCACAGATCCACGATAGAATGCAAGAACTGATTGGTAAGTTAGACAAGATGAATACTGAGCTTTTCACCAGGGAATAATACGTCTAACAAGTTTAGATGTATTTTTTGTGAAATATCTGTCGCTTGAGCCCAAAGATGCAACAATGCTTCACCAGAAGTACTACAAGGAATATGGCCTTGCTATCGAAGGCCTGACTCGCCACCACAAAATCGACCCTCTGGTATTTAACAAGGAGGTTGATGATGCACTACCACTGGATGACATTCTCAAGCCCGATCCAAAGTTGAGGGAGTTCCTCGAGGATCTCGACAGGAACAAAGTGAAGCCCTGGTTGCTCACCAACGCCTATGTTACGCACGGCAAGCGAGTGGTCAAACTTCTCGGCGTGGACAATCTCTTTGAGGGCATCACTTATTGCGATTATTCTCAGCCGAAACTTATTTGCAAGCCCTCCGATGAAATGTGGGAGAAGGCCGAAAGGGAGGCTGGCGCCAAGTCAATTGATGATTGCTACTTTGTTGGTAAGCTACTGTGATGATCAACCACTAAAGGCTACCGGACGCTGAGGAAATGCTATACAGATGACTCTGCTCTCAATTGCAGGTTTGCAGAGAAACGAGGTTGGAAAACAGTGCATTTGATCGAGCCAATACTGGAGATGCCAGTAAACCCGGCGTGCAAAATCACGATCCGTCGCCTGGAAGAACTTCGCGAAATATTTCCCCAATTCTTCAAGAGCAAGCAAGAAGAGGCCAAGGCAGAGACGTTATGATAGAGTCAGCATACCCAGTTTCTAGAGCATAGAGAGAGTATGCATAGTTAGAAGTCATTGTTAATATTGATACGAAATCCACTCTGACTGGCCAGTAAGATAGGTACGATCCATTGTTTATGGCTCCTTATTGGTTGTTAAGCTAAGAGTGGGTCCGCGCGGTCGTCGCGTTATCCGTCTTGGCTCTCCTGAACCATCAACATCGTCCAGACAGAACACTTGTTGGCTCCAGGATTGTTTTCGATATATACCGGCGGTTGGAACGCCAACACATACCCCGCGATGGTGGAAGTATCTGTAGGACAGGTCATTAGTCTTCTAGACGGCCGGCAAGCGACAGTGCGATTTGTTGGGTCAACACACTTCGCCAGCGGAGATTGGATTGGAGTCGAGTTAGATGATGCGAGTGGGAAGAACGATGGATCTGTCCAAGGCGAGCGGTATTTCGACTGTGAACATGGCTTCGGAATGTTTATCAGACCGTCAGCTGTTTCTTCCATTCTGGCTCCAGCTCCCAAACGTGAAAGCAAAGTCGCTCCGGCAAAAGGAGCTGGTGTTGGCAAAGGCACGACACCTGGGCTGCCCTCATCGAGGCGGACAGGCAGTGTTGCCACAGTAGCGCCAAAACGACAAAGCGTCACTTCGAGTCCCTCACCGGCCCCAAGAGAGATGGTAGTCCGGAATTTAAGGGTACAACCACTGCATGGCAATGCGCTCATTGACCTACTTACTAACTAGTCATAGTCACCGACCAAATCTCCTGTCAAGCAACTTGCTACCTCCCGGCCATCCTCGATGCTCTCTAAAACAACTAGCGCGGTAAAACCTAGGGCCAGCGTTAGCGGACGAACGTCAATGGGCCCTCCGGCCACCGGATCAGTGGCAGCACGATCACGACAGTCTTTAATGGGAGCGCAGAACAAACTAGCACGACCTGGCGCCCCTTCAAGTACCTCAACATCCACTTCCTCCGTCAAGCGTCTTTCAGTACGTCCGTCTATCACAAAAAATGCTACAGATGAAAGCTCGAGCAGAGCAAGTGGTGCATCAGAGCCAAGCGGCGATAACGATGAGTTAGACCAAGAAGCCAAAGGTGAAGATGTTTCGCCCACGGCATCTCGTCCAGAACATGGGGCGGCATCATCGCGACCCTCAGCGACATTACGCAGCGCATCACAGAGTACGTCCATTGCTAGGGAGCTGGAAGACTTGAAAACGAAGCTTAAGGTCATGGAGAAAAAGCGAGCTGAGGATAGGGAAAGACTCAAAGGTCTCGAACGGCTGCAGGCTGAAAAGGACAAATACGAGGGTATCATCCAGAAACTGCAGGCGAAATATCAGCCTCAGCAAGTCGAATTGACAGACCTGAAGAAGAAACTTCGAGAAACAGAAGCGAAACTCGAGCAAGCTGAAAGGATACAGGCTGAACATGAGTCTATTTTGGAGATAGCTGCCTTGGACCGTGAAATGGCAGAAGAAACTGCTGAAGCATTCAAAGCTGAGTGCCAGGACCTCAAACTCAGATTGGAGGAGTTACAACTAGAACTCGAAGTGTTACGGGATGAGAATGAGGAATTGAATAATGTCATGAGCCCCGAAGACAAATCTAGCCAGGGTTGGCTGCAAATGGAAAAGACTAATGAGCGACTCCGTGAGGCTCTGATTAGGCTGCGTGATATGACACAGCAGACAGAAGCAGAGCTTCGTGCTCAGATCAAAGAGTTAGAAGATGACCTCGAGGAGTATACGACGGTGAAAGCAGAGTATGATTCAGTCAAAAAAAAATTACTTGCCTCTGAATCGAATGTGGATGATCTCAAACAACAGCTAGAAACAGCACTGGGTGCCGAGGAAATGATCGAGGAGTTAGCTGACAAGAACATGCGGTATCAAGAGGAGATAAATGAGCTTAAAGCGGCCATCGAAGATCTTGAAAGTCTAAAGGAAATTAGTGATGAGCTCGAGCTCAACCATGTCGAGACGGAGAAACAATTGCAGGAAGAAATCGACTACCGGGAGTCAATTTTCAACGAACAATCTCGCAAGGTTGCCCAGCAGGATGAGATTATCGAGGACTTAGAGTACACGTTGGCGCGGTTCAGGGAGCTTGTTACCAACCTGCAGAGTGACCTTGAAGATATGCGCGCATCCCAGCAGTTGACCGAGACCGAGGCGAATGAGCTCTCAACGCGATCCAGGGCAATGATGGATCTTAATTTGCGACTGCAAGCCTCCGTTGAAAAGGCTCAAAGTAAAACGATTGAGATTGAACTGGGCCGCATGGAGGCGGAAGAATCCTCAGAACATCTTGCAATTGTCCAATCTTACCTACCAGAGTACTATGACACCGAAAGAGATTCAGTCCGAGCTTTCTTGCGCGCGAAAAGGGTAGAGTCCAAAGCGTTGTTGATTCAGAATACTGTTCGGGAACGTCTCTCGGAGCAATCTCAATCTTCGAGCGCACAAGAAAATATCTTTGCTTCATACGAGGTCATTGAAAATGCATTGTGGATATCACGTGTATGTGAAAGATTCGTCAAGCATGTCACATCATGCTCACCCGAACAATTTGGCCAATTTGGCGTTGCCCTGTACGAACTAGAACCAGTAGAGCGCACAGTCAACAACTGGATCGACTCCCTGAGGAAAAATGAGATCGATGAAAAGAAATGTGCCTTGGAATTGCAAAGATCTATCGCTCTCTTGACCCATCTTGCGGAAACCTTGATTCCGACAGAGCTAGCAACATACGCAGATGAAACCCTTACACGTGCTATCATGATTCAGACATACCTCGAACATGTTGCTTCTGCTTTGACCCAGCTGAGGAATCTCCTACATAGCAAGCTTCCTGCTTCCGAGGGAGAAGATGCGGAAAGATTGTTCTTTTTCAATAAAACCGACGCTCTGGTTGGTCAGGCACGCGGCTTGAAGGTGGTGATTACGAAAGTCATTCGCTCCTTGGAAGAGCTCAACTCCAGGTCACTTGCGCTGTCGGATGGAGCTGCCGAACCATTTGAGTCTGTAGAGGCAATAGCCAAGAAATTAGCTGAATTGGTGCGAGAACTCGGAGAGGATGTTATGGTACTACTTGGCGAAGAAGGGCGAACGGAGCCGTTCACTTATGAAGAGATTTCAGCCAGAATGGTGCAGACAGCGGCGACTCTAGCACAAGGTCTCGCCCCAGAAGGTGAAAGTAACGATGCGCTCTCATTGCTGACCTTAGGATTGAAGACTTTGACTAGTCAGCTCGAAGAGTTGAGCAACCATACTTCTGATTTAGCACATACGGCTGAATTTGAAAGGGGTAAATATCCTTGGATTGCTCGTGCGGAAGAGCTCAAATCACACAAGGCCTCGTCGCCTGATGCAGAGGAGGAGATTCGTCGGCTTAAGAATGAATTGAGCGAGACATCTACTGCTCTTGGCGTTAAGGATAAGACGATTGAAGAACAAGCGATGAAAGTGGAATTGCTTGAATCTAGAATGCGTGAAGCGACCAAAAAGGCATCTGTTGTCAAGGACTTTGAAACCAAGATTGAGACCATGCAAGAAAAGGAAGGCCAGTTACAGGGAATGGTAGAGAAGCTCAGTAAGGATTTGCAATCTATGCAATCCGAGCGTGACGACTACAAACAACGATTTGAACGCGCAAAACAGGCGTCCGGCAATGTTGGTGCTACAATTACTGCAGAGGGTGTAGTTGTTGATTCAGAAGCAACCCTGGCAGCTATGCGCGAGAACGAAGCACTTCGGTCAGAAATCAACAGTCTCCAAGCCGCTGTTCGCTTCCTACGTGAAGACAACTGTCGCGCAAATCTACTTGATCCTTACTCCGTCCAGCGAACGATGAACATGTATTCCTGGCTCGATGCACCGCTTACACAACCTAAACCTTCCTCTCAAAGGGAAGCACAATACGCTCGTGCCGCCGAGAGTCGAGACGTACTCAACCATCTCCTCAAACTCACCAAGGAGACACCAATCACCGATCTTGCCTCCACTCTATCAGCTCACCAAAAACGCTCTGCTTGGCGTCCCACAAAATCAACATACCGGTACAAAGCGCTCCAAAACCGCGAAAACTATGAACAATGGAGTGAATGGAAGAACGAAGTCGCAATGCGCGAGAAAGAAGAGGAGAGGATACTAGCTGCAAAAGCCGAGCGGATTTTGCGTGAGCAACAGGCGAAGCGTCGCGCCCCTCCCCGTGGACATGCTAAAACTCCATCGGCAGGGTTTGGCATGATGGGTAGGGCTTGGACGATACTGGGGATGCAGAATGAAGTTGATGGGAAGGAAGGTGGTATAGTTGAAATTGTATCTGATGTTTAATTGGTGAGATAATCCTCAATGTGGAGGATTTGATATAGATATTTTGATCCCTAGTACACACTCCTAGGCTTATTGTATAATAGAAGAAGGCTGTATATGTACATCTGGTAAATCATTCTGTTATTTTGATTTGCAATAATACGCACTCAAATACTCTGTTCCAACGTTTGGAGAAGCGAAGGCGTCTATGGATGAATCTGATCACTTGGGTGGTATCTTGACGAACATTCAAACCAAAGGGACCAGAGAGCATTCACTGGAAAGCGAATACGAATGTCAAATAAATCGATTAATAGTATTACTACGATAGTCTAGTACTAGATACAATAAAAACCAGATGGTATTCCAACAAACCATGCAAGGAACAAAGGGTATCACAAAAAATGAAAAGAAAGTGTTTGGGGACATGGTATCCTTTCAGAATGCAACTCCAACTGGGCTCAAGGGAAATCTTTGATCAAACTCATATCCACCTCGTCTTGGTGAGAGACTGTCCTGATCCTCGAGGACGAGGGGCTCTTCCACGACAACGCTATTCTTTACACTGGCTGGAATCATGGGAAGAGCAGTAGTGAATGGGGCCTCAAGTTCCTTTTCAGATGGGTAGATAGTCGTAGCAGCTGTAATGGCGCTCGACAATGAAGGAGTGCGAGAGGAAGCAGTTGAATTGCTGGTTGTGCGCATACGGCTGTGACTTTGGAAGGTTGAAGAGGATTTTGCACTGTGGTGATTTGCAGTGGTGGTGTTGTTGTTGCGGGAAGAAGGACGAGGAAGAGGGGGGAGGGGTTGTGTTTGACCTGGTTGCCTTTTTCCGGTTATGTATGAGCTTGCTCGACGGTGATCAAGAGAGCGTCGTGTCATAGGGGCCACGTCTGATTTAGACGATAATGGCCTATCCGTTAGGATAACATCACAGTCGGTGTGAGAATGACTAATTTGAGGAGGAAGGCTAAGAGGATGTCGATCCAAGGTATTGATCATTGAGAAATGAGGGATCAGTGGGCTTGCCAGGATTCCATCCATGCTTTGTCGTGCTTGCATCTGAGTTTTTGCCTGTTGTAGTTGCAAGTCTACAGTTGCAAAAGATCCTCTTCGAGATGGTGCAGATCCAACTGGCTTGCGAGAGAACTGGAATGGACCAGAGTCTCTTCGGATATGGCCCGACGAATCGAATGGCGACATGAGCGCCTTTGCGGGTGGGGAGGGCTGACCGGGGGTATCGAGATCGAAACGACCGAATTCTGGAAGGTCAGACAGTCTGTTTCCAGGTAAATAGATACTAAGTTCCAAAGGTCGGAAAGACGCTCGGCGACGAGGGAGAGGTTCGACTCGTCGAAAGTCTGTTGGTGCACCGATGATGGGTCGGGATTGTGTCTTCTTTCGTGTAAGGAGAACACTAGCACTTTGCGACGCCCTGCTAGCCAAGTTCCTGGTTTCTTGTACCCATGGAGGCAATAACGATGGAGTTGACCGTGATTGATTGTGACCTCCTGGACTTGGTAAGTCACCGTAGAAGACCAGCTTCATAGGTGGAACGAGGTGTGGTTGACTATGGCATATTTCCATTTCTCGCTCTACTCCTATCGCACTAGTTAGTTTCTGGGGTAGAGGGACGAAAGAGACTCAACGAACCTATATGCTGTCGTGCCTGGGATCCTTTGCTCTCTTGGTCCGCCTGGGGCCAGAGGCATGAGACACACGACGTTATCCAGGCCCTGAACATGAGCACTGCTTGTTCATATGGCGAAGCCTAGCTGTCAAAGGCCTGCATGGCAGCTCTCTTCTAAACGAGAAGGGAAAGAGATGTAAACGAAGGATGATTTTGGGACTGATAGGAAGAAAAAAACCAGCTTCAGTTCATCATCACCTCCACATACACAAGAGGAAGAAGAAGGAGAGGAAGGGAAAAGAGAAACGAAGAACCATCCCCGGCTGACTCAAACGAGGGACGGGCGTGACTACCTGATATACGCACGGTTCAGATCACACAGTCAGAACAACAAGCATGTTCCTCACCTATTTTGAGAGACACCACGAGTAAACTGCAGATGACGGAGATAAAAACTTGCAAGTGCAAGCGCTCTGTAGCCATTAACGGCTAGCCACGCTGTCTGGGGGGAGGTATGCATCGTGTCGATGATCAGTAGAGGGTTGCGACTCATTCGTCAGCAGCTTAAGATGCAAGACCCATCGTTATACCGACAGGGGTACGCCAACCGAGTTTCTGCATGTACGTCGATGCCAAGCAGTCTTGTGATAGGCCTATATTGTTTTGCGACCTCTGACGGTCGTGGGATGTTTTTGACAAATTGGTGTGCTTTAGCCTGGGCGCTTAAGCATTGGGCGATGTTGGCCCTTCGCCGTGAGGGTGACTCGTGTATCCGCCAATTAGGGCGGAGAACAGCCATCTACATCAACACCAGAAGAAATCGTCGAGAGCCATACAAGCCGATAGTAAGCTGCGATTGCATGTTCAGTACTTTTTCCAATTGTTGGATGTTATTGGATGGCGACGGAAATTACCTGGTTTGAGATTGTCTAGATCTTTTGGTTTCAGAGTTGGTGGTCTCGCCCATTGCTGAATTGTCAGGTTGCTTCTACGGGCTGAAACACCCTCAATGTTTTATCTACGTCGCATCATACGTACACAGGCCAGCCTTCTTTGGAGGCTCTTGAGGAATCTTTGGTGACTTTGAAACTCCTAAAGCTTGAAGATACTATACAAATTCCTCTCAAGCGTGCTGTTCAGAACCGAAGCTTTCAAACTAGTTACCCCAGACATTGCGGTCTTCACCTAGATCACTGTAGTCAGGATTCAGTGGTCTTGGCTTTGTATCATTGGTATCCCCTTCAATAGTGTCCTCGTCATCTTCACCAACAGCAAAGTTCGCTGGTAAAGAGGGCGAAACAGTGCCACCCGCAGGTTGAGGGCGTACCACTGCCACTGGTTCGCTCGTAGGTCTCCTGCGAGGTGTAGTTAGCACAAGACAATCTAAGTGAGACCACTAGGAACATACTGTAAATGGAGGGCATCCCGCTCAGGCCAATCCGACCCCGTTTCCCGTCGGGCTTGGCTCTGTTCTCGTCGCTCAGCTTCTGTATTTTCGACCACCAAGTCGACTAGCTGGCTACGACGAGATGTAGACGTCGAAGCACTGGAGTGACGTGGTACTTCACTTGGTCGCTGAGGACGACGAGTTCTGGAACTTGTCGCCTTGTTCTCGCGGCTAGATTCACAGACATGACTGTTTCTGTGCTTTCGCGCCTTTCTCACCACGTGACCGTGATCAGAAGCCTGGCTTTGGTAGCTAACAGTCCGAGGTAAAACTTGATCTCGAGGTATTATGTTGGCTGTAATGACCGGATACTGATTTATGCCGTCAGCTTGTGGTTCCCTATTCGCAAGCAAGTAGTGTTAAAACTCACATTCCAATCGCCAAATTCCAATGCTCGTGCATTGGAGAAAAGACGCTCGTCGTCCTCATCCATGGTCGTCTCTTCAAGTTCACCATATGAGCGATACCTGTCAATGGTGCTGTTCCGTTTGGGTCCATCCGACGGACTACGCTGGCCATGCGCGATACTTCCAGCCAGGAGTGGCGTCCGGCTACTGGCCTCTCCAGGTTTCGGTATCCAGTATTTACCTTTTCCTCCTCGCTCGTACCTCATCCCTTCCATAACCCGTTTCACACGTGAGCTTGATTCTTCATGAGCAATGATATTGTCTCCCGAATCGAACAGACGGTATTTGTAATCATTTCCCTGGAAGGTCTGTTTGGTGTCTTCGATAAGATCTCGTATACCAAAAGAGTCCCTTAGTGCATGCTTGACAGGCATACGAGCCGAAGACACTCTATTGTCCGCGTAGTCGTGCCACGAGAAAGCATACCAGTGAGCAATTGCGAAAGCGGGCATCTCTAAACAGATCAAGGTATCCTGGATAGCCGCAGCAAGGTTATCCGGGGTGTAACCAGCCACTCCGTTTGGAATCGCGCCCAGCCACTGAAGAATCGACAAGAAGAAGCCTTGCCAGTATGAGGCGAAAATAATGAGCTTGACACAGAGAAATTTCGGAACTGGGCGGAACGGTTTCAGATCGTCATGCATGCAGATCCAGAACAGTGCCAAAGAGTACAAGCTGACGCTGACACTGACGTTATAGATGATACCTGTCCAAAGATATCCCGAGGATGCTCCAATATATCCTTCTTGATAAGTATCTGTGGCCTTCATGATGATAGACGCCAACGCAAGGATAGGTTTCAGCCAGGCATACTGCAAAATGCCTCTTTTGATTGCGAGAAATGTATGCGGATCCGAAATATCTACTTTGGAAAGAAATGTATTTAGCGGCCACATGTGTTGAACTGGTGGTCGTCCATGGGTCATTATAATCAACGCTCGTTCGCCGCCAAGGAAGTTAATCAATAGTTGAAAAAAGGTATAAATCGTGAATGCCTAACAAACATTTAGAGGTCAATCAGTAGATTGTTAACTCGCTTTTGGGACGGCCATACCTCGTATATATCTCGAATAGGATCTAAAAACATCGCAGCTTTAAGGGAGATGATACTGGTCCATGATGAGGCAGCATAAATCGGAATCCTGTTATCTATGTCAGAGAGAAATGATATGGACCTCCCAACGATCACTTGAGATACTCACATCAAAAGTATTCGTACAACATAGCGCTGGAGTAGAGGTTTCCGGTAGTTTTTCCTACACCAATCTCATACTGTTAGACTCGATCACGAAGGGCCAAGGTTGTTGTGTGTACGAACGTTTGTAGCCATATCGACCTAGTTGAAACGAAAATTGTCGTCAGCTATCAAAAACTACTTAAATCCAGATGTAATGGATGACATACACAACAGATAGCAATGTCGCAACCAGGGACGCTACGCCAGATACAATAATGAGGACACGCGTTAACCTTGAGCCAGTGCCTCCAGAAGAGGCCACAGTCCACTCCATCTTCGATAGATACGGGTCGCAGTACAGAGTTCGGATGAAGCGCGGGTTCGACGTTGAGACTCGATTACATGTCGTGCCTATTGATACTCTACCCGGTCATTCGTCTCTCATTGTGAGCGCCGTAAAACAAATCGAAGTAGATATCACAGGGGCCGTTGAACAGTACGATGGCTAGGCAGGAGGATTTTTTGGACTTCGAAGTTGGAGCTTCTCCGCAGACCCACCCAATGACGCGACTAACCACCTACCGTATGGTCCACTGGTCACTTCATTCCTGGACGACCCTCTCTACCTTTTATTTTTGCTTCTTCTTTTACAGATGAAGAGCTGAATATGATGAGAATACTCACCGGATATTCTGTGAATACACGTGTTTTGAGTTATAGAGAGCGCCACTGAGTTCAGGAGGAGTTAGTACATGCTGAATCCGCGGACAATAATGCATACTCTGCATCGGCGTCGTCGTTGAAGCTGCTGTTATGGCTTCGTCTGCCATTTCTTTGCAGCCTCTCACATCGGGTCCCCAATTCAATTGGTAAGTCTCCTATTTTGTGCTTGAGTAGCAGAACTCAAGAGCCACTAACCTATGCCTCCATTCTAGGTTCTTTTTGCTGGAGCTCATTGTTTGCGGGATCCTGTAAGATCTATTCCGACGCATATATATCTAAACAGCAGCTGACAGACACATTTTACAGAACGTTGTTCTTCCTCTTTTATTTTAATCGTTTCCTCGCGACGTTAGTTTCCTACGGCATCCGCGCGTATACATGGCATTACTACCGGGCGTATGTAGACATTCAAGCTCTTCAAGTCTCCTTACTTGGCGGAAGGATATTCTTCAAGGGGATACGATATCATGGGGTGAATGAGACAGTCCTCATCCAGCGCGGTCATATAACATGGAACTACTGGATGCGAACAGTCAGAAGACTGGACCTCACACGGAAAGATACAACTATCGGAACAAAAGACCCCAATCATGGAGGGTCGGCATCAGCAAATGCTGACGGACAAGCCGACGGAACAGAGGAAAGTGGTGGCTTGAAAGCCGAGACTCAACTTCCCTGCCGGATAGTGATTGCCTTATCTGGACTGGAGTGGTTTTTGTACAATCGCACCCCAGCCTACGATGATTTACTCTCCGGCTTCACCCCTTCAACAGATGCAACCCCTGAGTCGCAAGAAGATAACGGTTCAAGTACATCGGGAGCAAGCACTAGCCGACAAGCATCTGAAAGCGATCTTTCCCCGCGCTTCAAGCCTACCATCTCAAAGGAGTCAACATCTGGGAGTGAGCCGCCGGTTAGACCGCAAGGTCACCGCATGAATACGGCATTTTCGTCTATTCAAGACATGTCCTCCCAGAAATACGAGGCATTGGAAGCTGCATGGAGTTTTCTACAGTTTCTGCCCATACAAGTGGATTGTACGAAGGGTGCAATTGTAGCAGGAAACGAAGCCACTCATTCTCTGTTGACTGTAACATTCGACAAGGGGGTTGGGTCCATCGATGCGTCGGATGCCGGCCCTCTTGACATATACCGCCAGCTATTCAATTTTGACTTCTCACACCCTGTGGTTCAGATACGGCCTAACCCCGACTTCAAGCAAGAACAATTGGCGACGGCTCGGGCGATAAACCCTTCCTACCATGACGAAGCGGAACGTAAGTCACGAAGAAGTTATCGTATGGCATATCGGCGCAGAAAGCATGAAGTGTGGCACTCGCTTCGTAATTTAGTCCCGTATTTCCAGAGTTCTGTGGAATCATTTCATGAGAAAGGAACAAATACCACATCAACTAGCCATACAGGATTCCCAGTTAATGACCAATGGCTTGGACTTTCTCGCTACATGGATGAGACAACAGAGAACCATGAGGGATGGAATGCTGTGGAATATGCGAGATACTCGACCATTCTAGATTGTCCATCACTTAGCCTAACGTACTTTTGGGATATACCAGGAAAGGTGCCTTCTGAACACCACGAATCAAATTCGTCAGTACGAAAGGCATCCATGAACGACATAAATGGCGACTCTCCACCAGACTGGGGTATGGAACTGAAGATCAAAAGTGGCACTATCAACTACGGCCCGTGGGCAGATCGCGAACGTATCAAGCTACAAAATGTTTTCTTCCCAAATAACTTCCGAAGTGCTCAGGCAGAGACAGCGTTGAAACCTGGAAGCGTCAGACGAAGCACAAAATTCAAATTCGTCCTGGAGATAGCAGAGGAAACAACTTTGAGGATTCCTACCCGGGAGGAGTCCAAGGACTGGCAATGGAAAGGCCGGGCCGATGCTATCCGCAGTGCATCGAAGCTCAAGAAGCAGAAATCGAAAAGACAACTGCGAGGCAAAGAAAGTGAAAAGACGAATGCTAGTCCCGAGATCCGCCCATTTGGCTGGCTTACATTCCGCATTTCTCAAGACTCAACGGTGACCTATGACATGGACATGGTTGCTTCGGACAAAGGGTTCTTCAACCAGCTTCGTCTTGACCTACGGGACTGTAAACTTTCTTCGAGTGTCAATCACGGTTTACTTTGGCAAAGCGCGCGACAGGTTATCACTTGTGACCTTTCCAACCCTCTCGTTTGGAATGCCCCCCATACATGGTCTTTCAATGTAGTCAGCCATGACTTGCAACTTTTTTTACTACGAGATCATATATTCCTGATGACTGATCTTGTCAGTGATTGGACGTCAAACTCAACCTCTGATTACTACACCTTTGTGCCGTTTGTGTATAACCTTCAGCTTTCCTTTATCGACCTGCGGCTATATCTGAACGTGAACGAATCAAATATCATCAACAGCCCTTCAGATCTTGATGACAACACTTTCATTGTGCTGAAAGTACCGAGTTTGATGTCCAATGTCAGCATACCTTCAGACATATTCCGAGCTGAACAAAGTGATTTCTCTTTTGATGTTGCTACGCAAGAGTGCATTGTCGATCTTGTGACTCCTTTGTGGCATACACTACACACATTCCTAAAAGACAACTCGCTTGGCCGCTTTTCGAATTTGTCAATCACAGGAACCTACACCCTCAATGCTGGATCAGCACTATTGGATACCCTGGCGATGGACATTGTTGCAAATGACCCTAAATGCTATCTTTACGGGTTCTTGATTCGCTATTTCATGAAGATCAGAGAAAACTATTTCGGAGATGACATGCACTTTAAAACGTTGGAAGAGTTCCAAGAACTCGCCAATGCTGCCACTGAGAACAGAACCGCCCAGATTGCATCTAACCCTGCCAAGAAGCATAGCGAGCTCGATGTTATACTCAATTTAGTCATTAGAAACCCATGTGCATTATTGCCGACCAACCTCTACGACCATTCCAAATGTCTTCGCCTGAATGCTTCCTCTCTTGATCTGGACCTAAGATTCACTAGCTACTATATGGATTTGCAGGTGGACCTTACTCCAACAGAGGTATCGATGGAATCGATTCAGTCAGATGGCAAAGCCAATATATCGAATGTTCAATTGTTTATCGACGGAATATCAGTCTATGGTCATCGTCTATTTGGACTTCCACCCGCCGAACCTACGTACGTCTGCAATTGGGATTTTGAAGTAGGAAAAATTGTCGGAGAATGCAGCACACAGTTTTTGCGCTCTGCAGGTGCCGCTATTCGAAACTTGGATTTTACTATGGATGACGAGGAGAATGCGTTTCCACCATTGCATCCATTTGTTTTACACGATGTTACTTTCCTACGTGCTAAGATTGCTTCTGTCCATCTCTCTGTCCTGATAGATCAGAGTGCGCTTGTTCTTGCTGCTGGCCTCATCAACTTCAAGCTCAATGATTGGTCTCGATCCCGGTTTTCGAAACGTTTAACGGTAGATGTTCCAGATGTCATGTTATCTGCAATTGACAGCAGATCGGCTGCAAGACAAAGCGAAAGATCAACATCGGTGACAACATACGCTTTAATTCGAACGAATATCATCTTGTCAATGCTTGTTCGAAAGTCAAATCTTCTCGAGCATCGCAAACATCAACAAGATCATATCAGAATCAGTGATCAAAGAACCCATCGTACCCCATGGCTGTTCCTTAATTCGAATAATGCAGACACCTTTTCTGAAAAGGACGGCTCTAAGGTCCATCCCCCCACTATGGCTATTCCCATGATGCCCGAACCCGTGGCCGAAATTATGCATACGATCGAACCGTCCAACTTTCTGTCTAGGGATCGTCATTTTTTGAGCCATAAAGGCTCGTTCTTGTCATTTGATGGATCGAGTTCTAGACGCGTCAAGCAAGATTACTCAACACCGGTTTCCTCAAACTCAGCCCACCGAAATTTGAATGCTCGACAAGAAACTAATCCTACTTCTTATACACATGAACCACATATATACGGCGGAGCTACCCACATCCTACTGGATCCTGGACAGATCTACGATCGTGATTCCACTGTTCCATCATACGATATACCACGTTCTATGATTGGGCCGTCCAGTCCCTGGAGCATGCCTCACTTCCATTACTATAAGATAATCCCGGACTCAAGCCATCTTCCACCCCTTCCAAAACTTGCGGAAGACAGAGGAAATGTCATAGAAGACAACTTCATAGCAAATTTCGGCGATAACGGATTGGCTCACTCAGATCTCTTCTGTGAGGTTCAGCCGGGGTTGCAGGGCTACTGTACACCGGAGTTCTTTCAAGTGATCTCGTCTCTACTCAGCGGCTTGCAGGCAAGCGATCCCATCGACGTGATTGATTCGCTACAAGTTGACGTTATTTCCCACATTGTGAAACACCAAAAAGCTAAGGAAAAGCAACCAAAGACGGCATCGAGCTTTTCCGTCAAAATTCCATCTGCAATCTTCACCATTTTCAATAAGCTGGAGGAAATGGAAGATGATCCACAGTGTCCCTTGCAAGACCAATACCAGGTGTCATGCACACAATTCAAGCTCACGATGCAGACAAAGTCAGAAAAAGGGGAACACGATATGATACGTGATAGTCGGGAAGACACAATTTTACACTCCACAGCGGAACATATCTCAATAAGTGCCATGGGTGGGCAGACTAATACATGTCAAGACAGAGCGGAGCTCAGATTGTTGTTGGAAGACATCATGTTTTGGATCGTAGCCTCTTCCAAGACCAGCTCTCACCTCCAACTGCGCACGTTTGAGGTACTAAACGCCACGAAATCAGCAGCACCACTTGCGTGTCTGGTACAGCGTACAACAACCATAGTGGATTTTGTTGCCTCTTCTTTCCAGGCAATACCTTCAATAGATGATCGACTGCGTTATCTTGTCTGGTTTATAACTGACTCTGCCATTGGTGTACCAGACCCGTTATTCGTAACACGCCCTGCTTATGTGTTGCGTGGTTTGCAGTCCCATCTTCGACTTCATGATTCCTGGAAAATCACATCACGTTTACGCAATATGTATCGGACCCTGCCATTAGACAAGCAGAAGGGGTTGACAACAAGTTTCTTAAATGTTGAGTATCGCTGTCCGGGCAATGCTAGAGACGAAGTTTTACGCGAGTTTAATAATTGGCGGCCTTGGGACCTTGCGCACGTGGAAAAGAGTCATGCGATGAAGGTTATCTGGGGAGATACTCTTGAGCATGACACGTCCCCAGAAAAGCCGGTCACCCTCTCATGCGACTTGAAGACCATAAGGGCTATCATTGAGCCTGGTGCCAAACATTGTGATATCAGTGTGGTTGATATGTATGTGGCAATCGCTTTTGCGTCAACTACCATCGATAAAAGAAATTCACTCTGTATTCGCTCCCACTGCGCGGGCTTCGCGTTGGGCCTGCGTTGGGAGATTCTTGACCTAATAGAAGGCATCACCGAGGCGATGTCGAGAACTCAATCAGCTTCGACAGTACGCCAAGCCCCGAACTATGAGCATCCAGAACCGTCGCAAGTGACGGAAATACATGTTTTTGTTGGCACAGATGATGGATCGATCAATTTTGGAGGAATCAATATAGAACTCTTCCTGCATGGATATGGCCTGAACGGTTCTTTCGTCTTAAGTCCAGGTATTGAGAAACAGCCGGAGCAGGCAACAATTCTTTTGAATGGACAGGGATGCTCAACGAAGATTTCTAGCCAATCCAAGTCTCTGATGTTGTGGGAAGTCTTGCAGCCACACTTTTACGGCTCGCATATATCTCGCCGAAGCCGGAATAGAGTGAAGGATGGTTGGAAAATGGCTGGTTCTTGTCTCAGTCTGGTTTATAACATGCAAGAAGATCCGCTCAATTTCATACACATTGCGAGCCGAGTCGTGGAGGATGAAGTACAGTATATTAGTGCTTTCATTCGACGCCTTGATATTTCTTCGCCACCGAGTCCACCGTCAAAACATATTGAAGAGGTAAAGGGAATGGCGCGCGACCACGGATTTCAAGTCGCTCTGTTCTTGGAAGATTATCAACTTAATTTCCGCTTACTGCCGTCACTGATATACTCGATTGACGGGAAAGTGGCTCGAATGTCCGTCCTGTCAGATATTGTGAACGAGATAGAGGTTGATTTTGACATCAAGAAAAACCATCATATCTTTCACGCCGTGGAAAAAGAGAAGTCTCGATCTGTCTCTGAGATTGATATCCCACCAATCAATGGCAGAATATCTGGCACGATGTCAACTGAGATAATGTCTCTGAAAGCAGACGTTACTGTTGAGCGGATAAAGTTGGAAGCGAGTGCATTGCGTAGCTTATTGGATGTGGTTAGACGACCGGAAATGTCTCATTATATATCAGACTGTTCGAGTAGTTTGACTGATCTTCGTCTCCATCTGAGCGAGACACTGGCTAGGAGAGAACCTAGGCCGCAGTCTCCAGTTGGCTCCACCCGTCAAAGAGAAATAGCCTACAATGTCCGCCTCACAATGGCCGGTTGGCTAATCCATGCTCGTGCTCCAGGTTTGAAGAATAAGAATTATTCAGCCGACATGAACATCATTCTTGGCTCAACCCAGGCGCATATTGATTCGTCCGATGAGAATGCCAGATTTGAGTCACCGAATCTGCATGTGAACGTATCTCACATTGGCCTGGAGTTGATCAAAGATGAACATTCGCGTGCTCAACCATATGGTAGCGTTGGGCTTGATATCGGTTTTCGTGCAACATCACGGTCCACGGACCGTGACCAAACAGGTCGCGTGTATGATCTGAGCAGTAAAGGATTCAATGTGCAATTGTATGCCGAGACGGCGTCTTTAGTGATTGATATTGTGGCACATTTACAGAATCGCATCAGAAGCTTAGATCTGTCGGAAGACATGAGACGATTGAAACATCTAGGACGACTCGCTCGAGCTCGTAGTCACGGACCATCTAACCCACTTCCCGAACTCAACATCATTGACATGGAATCCCATTCTCTGGCGTTCCTGCAAGCAATATATTCAGTCGAGTTGTCAAACATCCAGATCTGTTGGATCATGGACCAAAAATATCAACAGAAAACTGTACTTGAGCCCGAAGACCTGGTTTTTTCAATTCGAAAGGTCGCACTTTCCACATCTGGAGATAATTCCGCCAAACTTCGCATTCAAGACACCCAGCTTCAAATTGCGCCAAAATCCCAAGACAAAGGCAGACGTTCCTTAAACTCTGCCCTGATGCCGGAGGTTGTATTCAATGTGGCATATCTATTCGCCAAAGATGAGCTACGGCTTGCTTTTCAAGCGGCGGGGAAAGCTCTCGATATACGCTCTACCACAGGATTCATACTTCCAGCGAGCCTCTTACAGAAGTCTATCGCCTCGGCCGCGGAAAGATTACGGGAGGCAAATACAATATGGTCCACGTCTCCATCACAAACTCCTAGCGGCAATGCATTACTTGGTAATAGACGTCTGTCGTCTCTACTCGTTGATGTGGACTTTGCGGGCGCCGTTCTTACTCTATTGGGTCGCCAACTTGACGATCAACAGACTCGTCTGGTAGCTACAGCCACCGGGAAGCGGCTTTCAGAAGGTAGATATGGACAATACGTGCAAGGCGATTCTACCACAACTGCGTCGCTCACTAGCCCCGGTGTCGCTTTGAAAGTGCAATACGGTGATAACGGGTTAGACGATCCGACGTTAAATGCAGAATTAAGGGTAAGCCCATCGAGTAACACGCTCTTCCCAACGGTAGTACCTCTTATCAAACAAATCACGACTTCTATCAAAGAAGTAGTTGGCGATCAAAGCAACACAAATATGTCATCATCCTCACTGCTACAGACACCGAAAATGCTGGAAGACCGCTCAATTGATGCGACCAATCCAGAAAGCATTCTGGGACGATGCAAGCTCAATATAGGTCTCCGGATCTGCAAACAAGAGTTCTGTCTGAGTTGTCAACCTATTGCGAGAGTGGCAGCTACTGCACAGTTTGAAGAAATTTTTGTGACTGTTAACACAGTACAGTCTCAAGAACAACGACGTTTCTTTGCAATATTGATTGCTTGCAATAATCTAGAGGCATCTGTCAAACATGTATACTCGAACGAGTCAACCGCCAGCTTTGAGGTGGAGTCAGTGGTAATGTCGTTGATGAATAGCAAACACGTGAGCACAACGAGTGGGATTTCTGCAATATTAAAGGTGAGCCCGATGAAAACAATGATCAATGCCAAGCAAGTTCAGGACTTCCTCCTGTTCCGTGAAATCTGGGTTCCTTCTGATGACGAGGATGCTCCAAACCCTGGTCCAAACCCTGGTCCAACGCCTGCTCCAACGCCTTCTGACTCGCAGGCTTTGATGGTCCAACGTTATCAGCAAGTGGCATCAGCAGAAGCCTTTCCTTGGAATGCAGTACTGTCGATTGATGAGCTGCAAATTCAATTGGACCTTGGACAAACGCTCGGAAAAGCGGAATTCATAATCAAGAACTTCTGGGTCTCATCCAAAAAGAAATCGAACTTGGAGCAAAACTTGTGTGGGGGTTTCGATATCATGGCAATTGAAAGTAGAGGTAGAATGAGTGGCTCCGTCACATTGGAAAAGATGAGGGTACGAACCTCTATACAGTGGCCCAACGAGTCCGCAGGATCAGGCCAGACACCGCTTATTCAAGCTTCTATTGGGTTTGGCCAGCTTCAAGCCAATACATCATTCGAATATCAACCGTTCCTCGTGGCGGACATTGTGGCATTTGATTTCCTGATGTACAACGTCCGTCAGCCCGTCCAAGATCGCCTTGTCAGTATACTAGAAGGTGAGAAAGTTCAGGTCTTTTGCACGACATTAACGGCGTCACAATCTTTGGCCCTCTTTCAAACGTGGCAGCGCTTGGTACAGGATAAGCATGCGGCTTATGAAGCTTCCCTCAAGGAAATAGAACGATTCTTCCGTCGCAAGTCTATGATGACGGCGTCTACTATCAGCAGCCCGTCGCTACCGCAAACGACACGGGAAGATGATGGGGGAAAGTCACCGGTAACTCTTCATACCGATGTCGTGGTGACTTTGAAAGTTGTCAATGTTGGTGCATTTCCTAGCACTTTCTTTGATAACCAGATTTTTAAGATGGAAGCTCTTGATGCCCAGGCGCGTTTTGGTGTGTCTCTAGAGGACGACAAAATCCATAGCTCGTTGGGTCTCACACTGGGTCAGCTTCGCGTAGCCTTATCCGGCGTCAACCGGCCCACTGCGGTCGAGATGAAAAAATTGTCGGTGGCTGAAGTTGCAGCACGCGCGACAGGTTCTCGCGGGGGCACCATCTTAAAGGTCCCCAGGGTGCTGGCTAGCATGCAAACGTGGCAGGGTGTGACATCCAATGAGATCGACTATATATTTAAAAGTGCATTTGAGGGTAAAGTCGACGTGGGGTGGAACTACTCCCGAATCAGCTTCATTCGAGGTATGTGGGCGGCTCACTCTCGAGCACTGGCGGATCGACTTGGAAAGCCTTTACCTCCGTCAGCTGTGCGGATTAGCGGGGGCCCTAAGCCCGGGGTGCCGGAGGAAGGTGGTGATGATCAAGAGGAAACGGGAGACAATAATAATGACAGCGAGGAGCAAGATAAAGACGAGAGGATTACTGCAGTCGTGGATGTGCCTCAATCCAAATACGTTTATCGTCCCCTGGAGCCACCGTTGATTGAGACTCCGCAGTTACGAGACATGGGAGAGGCTACTCCGCCGCTTGAGTGGATAGGATTGAATCGCGAACGGCTGCCGAATATCACGCATCAGATCATTATCGTGACACTGTTGGAGATTGCTAAAGAAGTATCGGATGCCTATGGCAAGATTCTTGGATGAGGTAGTATTCAGTCCTCAGCCACTATTTTTTATTTCATAACTTGTAAATATTTACCTTGCATTAGCCGTCTGGAGTCGGTTTATTTTACATAAATGTCATACTGTATTGTGATTTTGTCTGTTACATACATTTGAATATCTTATATCGTTCGGCGTTAAGCCCTAAAGCCGGCTGGCGAGCGGGCGACGCATGTTGATTGGCTGGCTGTAGCTCCGTGTTTGTATGTACGTACAGAGCATCTTTGAGGAAATGGAAGTATACACGAAGGCAGGAAAGAAGATTGTTATGATAATAATATATATCGCAACGATGCCATAAAAGAATATCCGTATATGCAGCAAAAGAGATAGCTTGGCTTGTGTCAGGTGAGCTCTGAGCCCTGCTACGACGTGGATGATGATGCCCCACTATGCACGAAAAGAGCTTGCCCAGGACTGAGACGGTAATGTATAGAGCTGCGAGCAGTTTACGCTCTATTCTTTTATCGTTAATAACCGCAATTATAGGAGAAACAATTGCCATACGTAGTAAACGTCCTGTCTGGTATGTATGTCATTCAGCAAGGCGGCTGGCGGGGATGCTGTACACTCGGCCTGCGATTGGCGCACTGTGGAGGGGCCGCTGGAATAAACGAGGGGCAAAATTTTTTTTCTGCTCTGAATGCCTAAGGCTGCTCTCTTTTGCTGGCCAACCGGATTATTAATGTTTCTCGACGCACAAATACTGTTCCAGTTGTACATATGTCATCACCACTTGCACTTTCTCGCTGCACTTGTTGATGTCCATACATTAGCTGTCCTTAGTATAATGACAGCTAGATAATAGATATCAATAAAAAGCTATATAACATCATCAAGTAAAATAGATCAAAAGAATGCAAATCGTAATTGTAGGCGGGAACATGAGCTGGCAGGACATTCATTATTCACAGACGGAGCCGGTGTTTCCCCACTTAAACCCGTCGCTCCTCCCCTCTCTGTCTCGCTTTTTTTTCTCTCCCTCTATTTCTTCCTCTCTCTCTTCCTCTCCTCTTCCTTTCCCCATCCCTTCAGCTCTCTTAACCACCCCTAGGAGTAGCGCAGACAGGTTCTCTCTCTCCTTAGAGCAGTCAGGTCGAGCAAGTCCTCGGTCCTGATCAACCTGTGTGTTGTTTTTTATCTCCCACATTTTCAAATCCCACAACCCCGCCTCTATAGGCCGTTGAGAAGAAAAAAGTCGCCAAAATGGTTCAGTAAGTCAACACCTCGTCTCTATGGCATCAATATGCTAGAGGCATCTTCAAGGATTCTTGTTTCGATGAATTCGTCGATTATTTTGATACCGATATAATGAACTGCGTGCTAACCTCTTGTCTTATAGCTTCACTATCGAAGAGGTTCGTACATGCTCTACTACAGCCCCTCGAATGAGACAGGCTGAATTATCCGCTCTACGCAACGCATAAATGCTGACTAGATAATCACAGATCCGGGCCTTGATGGACCGTCCGGCCAACATCCGTAACATGTCCGTCATTGCTCATGGTATGTCAACCCTCGAAAAAATTCTGTATAGTGAGCTGGGAACCGAAAAACTAATATCACCGGTATAATAGTCGACCACGGAAAGTCCACCCTGACCGATTCCCTCGTTCAGCGTGCTGGTATCATTTCAGCCGCCAAGGCCGGTGAAGCCCGGTTTACGGATACACGTGCAGATGAACAGGAGCGTGGTATCACTATCAAGTCCACTGCCATCTCTCTTTATGCCCACTTGCCCGATGAGGAGGATCTCAAGGATATCCCTCAAAAGGTCGATGGTAACGAGTTCTTGATCAACTTGATCGACTCGCCCGGTCACGTCGATTTCTCTTCTGAGGTCACTGCTGCTCTCCGTGTCACTGACGGTGCTTTGGTCGTCGTCGACACCGTCGAGGGTGTTTGTGTGCAGACCGAGACTGTCCTTCGTCAGGCTCTCGGTGAGCGTATTAAGCCCGTTGTTATCATCAACAAGGTCGACCGTGCCCTTCTCGAACTCCAGGTCTCCAAGGAAGATCTTTACCAATCTTTCTCCCGTACCATCGAGTCCGTCAACGTCATCATTGCTACCTACTTCGACAAGGCTCTCGGAGATGTCCAGGTCTACCCTGACCGTGGTACCATTGCCTTCGGTTCCGGTCTTCACGGATGGGCTTTCACCGTCCGTCAGTTCGCTGTCAAGTACGCCAAGAAGTTCGGTGTTGACCGCAAGAAGATGATGGAGCGTCTCTGGGTAATGATCTCCTTGCTGATTCTGCTGAATATCATGATTGCTAACGTATATATCAAAGGGCGACAACTTCTTCAACCCCAAGACCAAGAAGTGGACCAAGTCCGACACATACGAGGGCAAGCCTCTTGAGCGTGCCTTCAACCAGTTCATCTTGGACCCTATCTTCAAGATCTTTGCTGCTATCACCCACAACAAGAAGGAAGAAATCGCCACTCTTGTTGAGAAGCTCGACATCAAGCTTGCCTCTGAGGAGAAGGATCTTGAGGGCAAGGCTCTCTTGAAGGTTGTCATGCGCAAGTTCTTGCCTGCTGCTGACGCTCTTATGGAGATGATGGTTCTTCACCTTCCTTCCCCCGTTACTGCTCAGAAATACCGTGCCGAGACCTTGTACGAGGGTCCTACTGATGACGAAGCTTGCATTTCCATCCGTGACTGTAACGCCAAGGGCCCTCTCATGCTTTACGTCTCCAAGATGGTGCCGACCTCCGATAAGGGCCGTTTCTTCGCTTTCGGTCGTGTCTTCTCCGGTACCGTCAAGTCTGGTCTTAAGGTCCGTATCCAGGGTCCTAACTACACCCCTGGCAAGAAGGAGGATTTGTCCATCAAGGCTATCCAGCGTACCATTCTCATGATGGGTCGTTTCGTTGAGCCCATCGAAGATGTGCCCGCCGGTAACATCGTCGGTCTCGTCGGTGTTGACCAGTTCTTGCTCAAGTCTGGTACTCTCACCACCTCTGAGACTGCCCACAACTTGAAGGTCATGAAGTTCTCTGTCTCCCCTGTCGTGCGTCGCTCCGTTGAGGTCAAGAACGCCAACGATCTTCCCAAGCTTGTCGAAGGTCTCAAGCGTCTCTCCAAGTCCGATCCTTGTGTCCAGGTCTCCATCAACGAGTCCGGTGAACACGTCGTTGCCGGTGCTGGTGAACTTCACTTGGAAATTTGCTTGAAGGATCTTGAGGAAGACCACGCTGGTGTTCCCCTCCGTATCTCTGACCCTGTCACCCAATACCGTGAGACTGTTGGTGCCAAGTCCAGCATGACTGCCTTGTCCAAGTCCCCCAACAAGCACAACCGTCTCTACGTTGATGCTGAGCCTCTTACCGAGGAGGTCTCCCAAGCCATTGAGAGCGGCAAGATCACCCCTCGTGACGACTTCAAGGCCCGTGCTCGTGTCCTTGCTGATGACTACGGCTGGGATGTTACCGATGCCCGTAAGATCTGGGCTTTCGGTCCTGACACCACTGGTGCCAACTTGCTCGTTGACCAGACCAAGGCTGTCCAGTACTTGAACGAAATCAAAGATTCCTTCGTCTCCGGTTTCCAGTGGGCTACCCGTGAAGGTCCTATTGCTGAGGAGCCTATGCGTTCCGTCCGCTTCAACGTCATGGACGTGACCCTCCACGCTGACGCTATCCACCGTGGTGGTGGTCAGATCATCCCCACCGCTCGTCGTGTGCTCTACGCCGCTACTCTCCTTGCCGAGCCCGGTCTTTTGGAGCCTATCTTCAATGTCGAAATCCAGGTTCCCGAGCAGGCTATGGGTGGTATCTACGGTGTCCTCACTCGTCGTCGTGGTCACGTCTACACTGAGGAGCAGCGTGTTGGTACTCCTCTCTTCACTGTCAAGGCCTACATGCCTGTCAACGAGTCTTTCGGTTTCAACGGAGATCTCCGCGCTGCTACCGGTGGACAGGCCTTCCCTCAATCCGTCTTCGATCACTGGGCTATCCTTCCTGGTGGCTCTCCTCTTGACCCCACCACCAAACCCGGTCAGATCATTGCTGAGACTCGTAAGCGCAAGGGTCTCAAGGAACAAGTTCCTGGATATGACAACGTAAGTCAATATAAATGCAGCAATCCTGACTTTATGAATGATGCTAATTTCTCATTTCTTTCTAGTACTATGACAAGCTGTAAAACATTATACAGGTCGTTAGTCGGACTAATCTCGCCTTGATGACAACTGGGCGCCAATTGTTACGAGTATGACGAATCCAGATGCCTGAACGGGAAATAGGCGAGACATGATATGATACCAATGTTAACCTTGATGAATAAAGCCCTCGCCTCCTGTATGATGCAGTTCGGTCACTGGGAATGGGATTTCAGTAGAATACTGGCCGGAGGGTCGTGGTTCGCTATTTCATTTTGTTATGTGATGAGTGTGAATTTTGAAATTTGTTTAGTTTTCTAAAAAAGCACTTGAGAAGAAGAACAATATAAATATTGCACTCATAAACAAGCTTTCATGTAGGCTCTTATAGAAATTCTTAAATCTTCTAGATACAATTCTTTGTACTCTGTAATTCCCTACAATATCAGCTGTTGCTCTGCTACAGTACTACTGAGTAGGTACCTAGTAAATCACGTGATCTTAGTTATGATTTTCACAACCGTGTGAACTCTGACATCCAAAAAGTTCAAGCTGTCACCATCTCTTTTTCCAACTGAATCGTCGATAATTGCAGCTGGATTGTACCTGGTTTTGTCAAAATATGTGTATATGATTGATTTTTTTGCTACACACTGTCGTTCGGCCATCTTTTAGACCTACCTCAGTCCGCGATTGCTGCACTACTTCCCTTGCTTCTGCGAGCTAGAATCGCTACGCATAGGCGTCTAGGATAGCTTCAAGCTGTCCAAGCCACAAGCCCATCATGAAGTTCACAGAGGAAGAAGCTGCGAATGTAAAGACCTGGGTGGTCAAGAGATTAGAGGATATGTAAGTACTCTCTTTTTTGCGCATCTACTCATACGTGCGAAGTCGCGCTTTTGCAAAGGCTCATGCTTACATTCGACGTTTTTTTTCCCTCAATCTAGCTCCGACGCTGATTCCGACGTTCTGGCTGATTATGTCCTTGCACTTATTCGATCCGATGCGCCCGATGATGAAATCCGTCAAGCATCTATTGAGAACTTGGAAGACTTTTTGAAAGAGAGTTAGTTGTGTTACTCGCTATTTCTAGTAACGTTATTTAGACTAACATAATATGTCTAGATACTGTTCAGTTTGTTGACGAAATCTTCGCTAAATACGGACCTAAAACTCAACCTCCCGCTCCAGTTCCTGCCCCTACTCCAGTCGCAACTCAGCAAGCTCAAGTCCAACCTGCTATTCCTACTGCTGCTCCCCTTCAACAACCTTCTGGTTTCAATCCTGCCGCCCAAAATTTCGTGCCACAGACTCTGTCTCAGGATGCTTGGGGAAATGGTCAAAACTCGCGCAAGCGTACATTCCACGAAGGCTTCCAGCAAGATAACCAACTGGCCGATGCGCAACGAGGCGGAAGGTCATTTAAAACCCCACGTACACGGCGTGGTGGTATGGGCCGTGGTGACCGGATGAATGGCCGAGGCAGAGGCCTTGGTCCACTTCCTGACCAATTCCAAGCTGGCATGTCTGGATTCCCTCCAATGCCGCCGGGCTTCCCTGGGTTTGATCAAAACGATCCAATGGCCGCAATGATGGCCTTACAAAGTATGGGATTTCCTCAGATGCCGGGACTCCCGCCAATGCCAGTACCTGGACAACAAGGTGGCGATCAAGCGAAGTCGAGTGAGCCTTGTCCATTTTATGAGACCAATGGTATTTGCTATATGGGAGCTGCATGTCCATACAAACACGGACAAGGGCCAGTCGCTATTCCTCCTGGCAGTGATGGTGAGTTGAAATTTGTCTCTGTTGCATTGTTTCTCTGCTAATAGTAAAAAAGAGTACGATCCTACCAATGCCACCATTTTCGACGTACAAGGTAAGGATGATGCGAGAGGATCAGACCGGGGACGTGGCCGGGGACGAGGTCGCGGTGACCGCGGTGGTTTCTCGTCAAGAGGTCGTGGGGGTCGCTCAGAATTCTCGCATGTTGGACCTAGTGACGACAAAACGAATACCACGGTTGTTGTCGAAAATATCCCCGAAGACAAATACCAAGAGCAAGTGATTCGCGATTACTTCTCGGAGTTTGGTAATATTGCCGAAATCAACATGCAAGGATTCAAGAAGAGCCTGGCAATTATCAAGTTTGATGATCATGAGGCGCTCGTCGTGCATGGTCAAGCCCTAAAGCTATCTTTGACAATCGTTTCGTGAAGGTATACTGGCACAAGTCTCAGAACAAGCCTGATGCAAATGGTCAGTCAGCCGGAGCAGACCAGGACACGCCCATGTTCGATAGAGAAGAGTTTGAGAAGCAGCAAGCCGAGGCGCAAAGATTGCACGAGGAGAGAATGAAAAGGCGTAAGGAAGCAGAGGAAGCCCGACTTGCTCTTGAGAAACAGCGTGAAGAGCTCTTGAAGAAACAGCAAGAGGAGAAGGCTAAGCTGCTGAAACGACTTGGAGAAACAGCGGCAGCAACTGAAGATACTGGAAATACAGAAAATGGTTCTGAGACAGCTGGAGATGAGAATGTCAGCGAACAGACCAAGTCCTTGCGTGCTCAACTCGCAGCTTTGGAAGCCGAGGCTAAAAGTTTGGGAATCGACCCGGAAAGCAGCGCTCAATCTTTTAGAGGACGCGGACGAGGCCTTGGTGGCTATCGTGGACGAGGACGCGGCCTCGATCCCTCATTCCGTGGTTCATACAGGGGATCCTACCGTGGCCGGGGTGCTCCTCGCGGTAGTGGTCGTGGTGGCGTTTTGCGTTTGGACAACCGGCCCAAGCGAGTTGCCATTTCTGGTGTTGATTTCAATTCCGAAAAGGATGAAGCTTTACGCCAACATCTCATCGTAAGTCTCTCTCCGCTTGATTTTTAAACTTGACGCTAACTAGATACAGGGCATTGGTGAATACGAATCTATTGAGCCTAGTCCCGATCGCCCTGATACTCTAGTCGTCACATTCAAAGAGCGCTACCTTGCAGAAAAGCTCATGTTCGGCCCATCAGAGATTCCCTCTGTTGGAAAAGTCGAAAAGTCATGGGTTCCCAATCCTCCCATCTCCACGTCTGCTAGTACAGGTGCATTCTCCTCTGCAAATAAACAGAACGAAGATTCTACGATGGAAAATGCCGGAGGTACAAATGGCCATGAGAACATGGGCGAAGTCGACTACGATGTTGCAGATGATGAGGATAGTTGGGGAATTGGATTGTAATGATACGATGTACTATCTGATTGATTAGTCCAGGAGTAGTATTCACTTTTTTTAACGATGCATCACGGAGTTAGTCGCCTGGTGTATTATCAGTACAAAATTTTGAGTTTATATTTTCTTCGTTCCTATTTACATAGCCACGAGGTTTCTTCCGTAGGTAACTGAATACTGATCTACTGCACCTATGAGGAAGATCAGCTGGGCAAATGGTACGGCTACTTTTCCGGGGCCGAGTCTACGTTGTTATCAATTGATGCTCTGTTCAAATCCCACTTCTTCTAATCCTGTAATTAGTTCACTGAATATACTACCTGGGCATCAAATACTCCAGATCGTGTCAACTGGTCCTTTCTCTGGTCTACTAGCGAGCCAGTAGGTACAATTAGGGTTGCGGAGGTCCTCCCCGGACTTTGGGGATACCCCGTGCGGAGAGAGCACTGCATTCCAAGGTTTGCCGGGGGCATATATTATCGCTTTGAACACATTCAACTTACTGAAGAGATACGAACATTGAATAGTTAAATAGAGACGACTCGCTTTTCTGGGGAAATTTTTAGGTAGTTGTTCTTTGGTTTTGTCCTTCAGTTCTATACTGACCGATTGGATATTCAGATCCCCCGTCCTCATCTCAATCTTGAAACGTTCAACACATCAATTGATGCAACATTGGAATCTTAAAAATCCCCCGGAGGTCAATAGCAACAAGCCATTGAATCATATTGGATGCTACAATATACAACTTGGGGGTAAAAATGACACCAGTGCCAAATTCATTCCCTTCTCCCCTCCCTCCCCTACCAGTGGGAAGACACCTCCCAGGCGGCCATGGCCTCGATCCTGCAGTTTCCCCCAACACAACAGAAGGCTTCCACTTGAACCATCTCATGCTCAGAATCCACGATCCCAGCGAATCGCTCCACTTCTACATAGACCTAATGGGTCTCCGTACCATCTTTGCAATGAACACCGGTCCATGCTCAGTCTATTACTTGGGTCATCCACAAACCGAAGCCGAGCGCGCACATCCTAAACTATATGCACAGAACACCGTTCCGAATGATGTCCTCACCAAGACGAAGGGGCTAATTGAGCTGGTGCATATTCACGGAACGGAGAAATTGTCGAAGGAGGAGTATAAATTGCAGAGTGGGAATGTGGCGCCGTGGTTGGGGTTTGGACATGTTGGTTTTACGGTACCGGATGTTCCTGCGGCGCTTCAGAGGCTGAAAGAGAATGGAGTGAATGTGTTGAAGGATGTGGGTTATGCGGAAAGGGAACATGTGCCGATTACGGAGTGGGAGAGCTCGGAGTTGGGTGCTGGTGTGGGCGAGTTGCATGAGGGTTACAAGCATGTGCTTTCGCAGATAGGGTTTGTTGAAGATCCCGTAAGTCCATCTTCGTTTCTATTGTTTCCTGATCAGTAGGAATTCTTGTCTCTTCCACTCGGCTGACATACTCATCTCATAGAACGGATACTGGATAGAGCTTGTGCCGCAGAACATGAAGTGATTGAGAATTGCGAAGGAAGAGGAAGGGCTAATTGCGCATTAATTTTGTATGGATGAAGAACTGGAGTAGCAGTTCAGTACCTAAATATATCAACAGTACGCATCAGATTCTGTCTATGAGGCTCATCGACACATTCGATATGCGTAGAAACCGCCCAGTGCAAGTGTCATACCTGACCTACTTCGCTTAACCCAAACTCCTACATTAGTATTCCCTTCACGCAGTCACTCACTATAGAGTTGACATTACCTTGGTATCGTACAGTACCCTTATGGACGAAGTAGCTCGGAGAAGTGGCCTTGGGAATACTTTGATGAAGATAATTGTCCAAATTTGCCGCAAGTTCGCAATACTTCAGTCACTGGCCCCTGGAGATTGACAGACTTGATTTGGTTTTATCAGCAAAGAATCTGAGACTGTCAACCCAATGCAGAAAAATTGGAAGATTGACACTGATCCAGAAGCAAGTGTAACGTTGACATCCATGTAAGATGCTGAGATCTAAATAATCGGGAAGAGCAAATTCTACCTTCATATATAAGATTCAAAGAGAATCCAAAAATAAAAAACCTTTTTTCCCGTCCTGTGGCATCCATATATGACCAGATGGTAAAAAATGTTAATGCATGTGGATGAGGAAACTTCAAGGATGCATACCCGGCCATAAGAGCTACATAGAAAACCAATCAAATATAAACAACGTCTTTGTTCTCTTACCACAAATAAAATTGGTGAGTCATTAATAAGCAAATTTGTTTACTTCTGCGGTGACCTGTTTAGTGAACCAGTTTCCTAGATAGTTCACCGTGAAATACAGCATATTATTACCATTACATCAATTTCTTTCATCTGCCTTGTTCTATTTGTCAATTGCCATGGAAGCAGCCTAGTGATAAGGCTGGTGTAACAAAAGCACAGTGGAATATGACAGCTGCAGGTACCGGTACCCAGTGCGGCTAAGTGGGTGGAGGCTGGGCGCAGTCTGAGGAGGTTGATGGTGAGGAAGTTTTAACAGCTATATGATTGGCCAGGTAATGAGTCTTTGTCCCCAGTATAATACCTGACTCAAAAGCAGTTTTCAATAGTCACAAACACGAGGACAACTTTCGATAAATTTATTGGACCGACTACCTAACTATCTTGCAGGTATTCGTCACTAAGTTTCGGCAACTCGGGACGCAATCTGCATGCAATATTTTCCTGGTCGAGCCCCGACGGCTGCAAGATCTGGACCCACTTTTAATCAATCTCCACAGATAACCGCGCGGAATCGGCTCCCCGTTCGGATGTTAGGGCTTTTTGTCAACGATGTCTAAAGTTCAAAGTCAGGTTGGTTTGCTGGCATTTGATTCTGCTAGTAAAGTCCCAGCCACGATCAAAGATATACATGTACACCTTAGAATCTACAGTATTACACCCTTCAATCTTATATTTCATAGTGCTACATGAGCTGATGCTTTCATCTCGACGGAGTTAGTTTCCCATACCTATCTGATAGGGTACATCAGACATCATTTGATTTGAAACCTTGAGACATGTGGTAGGATAGAAGGATTAGAAGTAAAGCGAGATTCTGGCCAGCAGCTATCCTGATACCTTGCTCATAGCGGTGATCATGGTTAGTAGAATCCACACGGGCCGGAATGACGACGCTAGCCACTCCGCTTCTAAATCACGACAGGGACTCGAGGAAAAGAGAGAAAGATTGAGCCAATAGGATGGGCTCTATTCTTGGAGTCTTGGGTATATTGCGGAGAAACTGTAAAATGATATGCATTAGCATCGTGGTGGCCCACATATGTTGCTGGCACGCAGCTCCCTGGAATAAAGAACTCGTGGGCTGACTACTGGATCATACTATACCTCGTACTATTCTTCAGAGAAACGACCGCCGGGAGTTTAAAACTGTTTAGGCAGCAGCGTCACGATTTCGGCACGGGGATGTATTTCCTTTATGCCGGAGATATGAAACTCAGCCGTGTATACGTTGACAAAGCTCGGGGACCTCATGATCGTTTGTTTCGGGCTCCACTCGGTTCAACGAGTGCTAGTACCTGTCAAATTGACGATCATTGCTATGGACCAATCGTTGATATCAAGGCTTTGTAAAGATGCCCTTCGAGGCACCGACAATGCCTTTGGGCTATGGCCAATTTGGATTAATGACTGGGACACTTCATGAAATATCAAATGTTTCCAAGTTTGGTATTAAATGAAAGATACTGGTAAACCATATGCAAAAGTTATACATGACGGACATGATATCAGCGCTGTTAAACTGCCTAGACAATGGCTATACAAAGAGCCAGAACAGCCTCTCCAAAATCTAACAAGCCTAGACTGTTAGGGATCTGGTTCATGAACCTTTCACTTATAGATCTCAAGGATTCTGTTAGTGTCTTTAGTTCACAAACCCAGTCTCTTGCTCTGTATTGAGAGATCGAACAGCGAATTAGCAAGAAAACTACTGGTGACTCTGACAAAAATATGTTGGATAACTCCCCAGTAAGATCCCATAACAGTGATCAGATGATTGTTGTAGGGCTATCCGCCATCAAAATGAAGAGTAGTTCCAAACATTGTCTGTTGATTAGAGTATATTTGCACAAATGCGTTAAAACCCCATTTTCCATTTTGGCGTAGCGCCGCAGCATAGTATTTTAAGAGCAGTGTGAGGGTTCTATTTTCTTTCCTTCCTCCACCATAACACACCAAATAAAATTTCCAACTCCCTACAAATCCTCTTGAAACGAAACATTCTTATCAAACTGTTTATTCTTCATCTCTTCATCATGTCTCTTGACCAAAACGCCTGGATATCCCAGGATATAATCCCAATCGAATTCGATTTTGATAGATGGCTGGTTGAGAATGCCGGGGAAACACAGGACGTCGCTCCAAATGAGACGCATGGTCTCTCCTCCAACACGATGCCTACCAACAATACGATGCCTAGCTTTGAGGCATCGAGCCTCAACTTCGATACAAATATCGAAGACGCGGCTGACGCTAGTTGGCTGGACGATCAGTATAGCCGGATCGTAAGAGAAAATCCGTTTCAGACTGGATTCCAGCATTCACATAATATTCCGGCACCTACGGGGCTGCCGTATAACAGCTCTCCCCTTCCCTCAGAGTATGGGTCTACGGCCTTGAGTACTCCAGGAGTCGCTGGTTATAGCGCCATCAGCAAACCAGGTAAGCATCAGACACAAGATTCTAAACCTGGTCTATCTTGCCTCGTATCTAAGGCTGATAAAGCAAAAGCCGTGCAGAAACCGCCGAGAAAGACTCGTAGTGACAAGGGGATGAAGCGTGAGCCGAGGCGAACAGGTAAAATTCCCACGGTTACTGTCACCATCACCGTTACTGATATTAATACTTCATTGACAGGGAACCGCGAGGGAAGTGAAAGCACAGTCCAGGGGGATAAGATCCCGAATAACATGGACATAAAACGAAAGCGCAGTCGAGAGGATGGCGAGGATTCCCACACGGACTGCGGTCCTCATGAAAGAAATAATAGTCGCAAGAGACGTTTGGTTGAGAAACCGACAAAATATGAGGACCGCATTTACGAATGGGATGACTCAAATCGGCCTAAATCTTCGAGGATAGGTGAGAATGGAATGCTCAATGCCGGATTGTATGCCAGCAACGAAATCAAGAAACCCAGACTGACATGAAAGGTAAAGGTACTGGCGACATCTGTCACAGGGCACCGCGCCCTCCAGGTGTCTATAGACTTTTTGGACGTGTTTCTAATGAAGTAATGTCCAAGAAGGAATACTACTATAGGCGGAAGGGGCAACCTGAAACCAACGCTGTCATTGTCGAATCGTCCCCAGCTCCCTCGACGGGGAAGAAATCGAGACATTTGAATCGCCGTGAGCATGTACCAGTGGGCCTCGTGCGCGAAAGCGCACCAGGGGATTATGACCCCTTTCACAATGAGTACTACTCCGGGGACGATAATGTTTCGGACGGAGAGGCTGAGGTGGAAGGGAAAGCCACCGACTATAAGCCACCGAGGATGGCTTGTCGTACCTGCAATAAGCTGAAGCAGCCGTGCGACCACAAATACCCATCGTGTTCCTTATGCCAAAAGCAAGGGAAGCGATGCCGATACCGAGACCCGCTGACGGGGCGTCAAATTAAACCTGGACAGCTGGAGGAGGTGGAGGCCGGATATGTAGCGGCAAAAAAGATGGTAAGGCAGTTGCAAGAGGAAGTGCAAACCCTAAAAAGGGAATTACATGCATCTAGAAAACTAGGAGATGCCGAAAAACAGGAACATGCATCCTCGGGCTAGCTCTTCTTATAATCGCCTCACTTTCGCTTGTGCTGCAATGGGGGAAAGCGGTGAGCGCTGGGTGATAGTGTCGGGCAGATAAGAATATACCACAAGTAACGGATAACACACTTCCTTTTCTCGGCCCTTTGATATCTATGTTCGACCCATTGTGTTGATGCACCTTCATTCGCACTGAGGCTGGATAGATAAGATTCGTTTGCATGAGTATTTGGGAGTTTTCGCATTGAGCCCATTTATGTATCTTTCTTCCTGTTAGCATTAGTACCCAGAATGAAACTTAATGTTCAAATCTTAGGTCTGCGCCATCCAGATCATCGACCTGAAGTCTTTTTAATCGACATGGATCGAGACGCCTTCTGCAGCTACCGGAATGGCTATCAAACAGTGATTCGCTTGTCATCCAAAGCCTAGGCCACTGTCGTGGACCCTTCGACGTTCACTGATAATCGAATGAGTGTGAGCAAGTGTTTCACCATGTGATACTTTGAGTATAGTAAGCCTTCATCTGTTGGTACTGCTGGATTGATAAAATTGAGACTGATCACCGCCGTTAATACCGAAGTCATAAGACATCAACCCGACATCGCGACCTCTGTCGACTTCCATTTGGTCTAAGAGTCGGTCAATCTCATCGCCTGCCTGTGCTTCCAAGTCAACAGGACCATGGCCAGCCACTGGGACAGGAACTGCGGTCCGTATTACGTCGTTCTCAAGAAAATTGAATGGTGCCATTTGCCTAGTCCCAGATGTACTGCTCCCTTGTGATGAGTTATGCGCATTGATGGCCATCTGAGCTTCAATGCTGACATTCATACTAGACTTTCTTGCTCGAGAGCTGGAATGGTAGCCGGAATTCTCCGGGCTCGACATGAATAGAAGCGTTTCAATGGCATCCTTTTCCATAAGTGCGTTCTGAGATGGTGTTCTTCGCTTTAAAGAAGACCGATTACTTGCTAACGAAGGAGTAGAAGCTTGGAGATTAATCTTGGGACGCAATGGACTTGCATCGACCGTACCGGCCAGTCTAGATCCAGCAGTAAGAACGGTCCTTCCTTCTTGTTCCGAATGATAACGACGGTGTCGGGGCGTTGAAGCATGAGAAGTAGAACCATCGGCTTCATTGGGGTTGGGTCGTCGCCGCACAGTCTTCAATCTATCCCCTGTGACAATATCAACTGGTGATGCAAGCTTGGGAGTTTGCGATAGGGACAATGACTGCGGTCCGGCGTTTGCACCAGCTTGGCCAGTACCGCCGTTCATACCCGAGCTGATGACATGATTGTGTGCCAGTCCTAAGGAGTCGCTATACGGTTGACGGAGTTCTTGGACCGATTGTCTTGTACTCTGCACGCCAGGTATATTTCTCTGCGAAATGTTCTCTCCTTGCGGCCGCAATTGCCGACTTTGTTCTATCTTGGCCGCGGCATACGATAGACGAGCTCGGAGCTGGGCAGATAACTATAAATACTCTAGTTAGTAGGGTTCCCTTCAACTTATATGCTTTGAGATCAATTTCTCACCTCTGCAATTCTGTTCCCCGTGGAGTCCAGACTTGTCGTTCGCGAGTGAGCCCTAAATTCATTGGACGGCAGTGTCCGGCTTGGACTCTCGTACACAACCGGTTTTATCTCACCCGTCACGCTCCTCTTATGCCCTCGACTGGGTGGTGGTCGTGTGTCATTTCGAGACTTGGAGGGACTTGCTAGCTGGTCTCGTACATGGCCATTGGTAAGCGGTTCTGCGTACACCGACTGCGGCCTTGGCTCTCTATGAATCCTTGTATCCATTGAAAATGAAGAGTCGCCCACCGCAGCAGGTATTGTGCGTTGTTGTTGGCCAGGAATGCCCTCTGTTGACATGGCTGCTGCCTTCGGAGTGAGAATGCTGGCATCCATCGCAATGGAAGACGCGGGACGCGATCTCCGCGGATATCTTCAGAGCCAGCGATAAACCCTGGTCTGCTCGATATCTGTGGACAGACCCAATGGTCTCCAGAATATGGTGAATCCGGGAAAATGCTCATGCAATGATCGAGGAAGACTGAAGTGCAAGGTGTTTGGATATTCCTGAGTTGTCTGGGCACATAAACTGCTACATATGCAGGCAGTTGCGACCCGCGCCAATTGCACGCGATAAATCCAGCCTAACCCAAAACTATCCACAATCAATTCCTGGAGGATCAAGCACAACGATGATCTCCCTGAGCAATTGTGACAGGCCAGGTATTGATTAAACAAAGTACCAGTCACTGCCCTGTTTGTGGGAAAATTTTGTGTAGGAAAAGCCTCGAGATATTTCACAGGAGGGAGTCCTAGGTAGGAGAGCAGCACACCCAGCATTTTATATTATGCAGATTATTGCTAACTATATATACCAGAGGATACGTATATCCATAGATTGATTTCCCCTGGATATTTGACACACAAAGAAAAACTGAAGAAATTTATGATAGAATTGTTTAAGCGCTGAAGGAGATACCCGATATTCTTCACCGTTGACGGAAAGGAGAGGGAGGAGTCAAGAAAGAATTTGATAATATCCTCAAAGAGTTGTGGAGCAAATGTCACTATATCCCCCGAACGAGTCCAAGAGGGTAGGATTGAATCGAGTTTCGCTGTGTCTTTGAATATTGGCAAGGATGGGTTCTGTGTCCCTAAAGAGACCAATTAGTCAGGCATAAACTGGAATACCCTATCTAGGTAATCGATGGAGTGTTGCGATAGGATCTTTAACAAGAAATCAGGGCGAATTTATGGTGGGTACACTATCAACATGTTGAAATCGAGACAAACAATAGTTGTTTGGGTGTCGATAAATCAGTTGTTGAGTGAAAAAGATTGGGAGAAAATGGAGAAACGCGTCCGTGTCGCGGGTCACGTGATTAATTGGGGCCTTCTATTCCAGGCATCAGTTACTGACGAGGTTCGACTGTACAGAGATTTGTACGAGTGAGATGCAGAATGAGAATGATTTGTCTATGTTTATATACACATGAATAGGTGGTATATTGCAAACTTTTCATGTCACACCAAGACAAGCAAACAAGACTGATGAACGCCCAAAATGCATCGGCAAACAAGATTATCATAACGCTCACCTGCGCTTTTTACCACCACCTGAATCTCCTTCAGTGTTTTTCCGTTTCTTGCCCTCTTGTCTCCAATATTCACTCTTCTCACGTTTCTCACGCTCGGCTTTCTTGGCCAAGTTCTCTGCCACTTTGGCGCGATACCCCTTTCGGCGCTCCTCCTGTGCTGCGGCACGTTTGGCTCTCTTTTCGTTGTTCATGGTGCTGAGCTTCTGCATGAGGTCGCGTGCTTTCTTCTCTTCTCCACCTAGGACGACTGCTCGCTTCTGCATGTATGTCTGCTCCTTGCGGGGTCGCATTTGAGTGATTTGGGATTTGTAGGGTAAGTCCTTGGCAAGTTGTCGAGGGACACGGAGAGGATTGAAATGGCGCGAGGGGCGTTCAATTGGTTTATATTTCGAGTCTTTTTCAAGGGGCGTTGGGATCCCTTCAGCCCTGCGGACCTCACCCGTCAAGCGCATACCCTGCCAGCCATTTTCCTCGGGTGCACTTTCATCCATATCTAACAAGTTCGTAACAGGGTTGTAGAAACGATGAGGCTTGATCGGATACCAGGCACGGAGAAAAACGATATCGCTCATCAGGATCTTGTCTTCGAAAGTTGCACGGAAATGACCCTCGGGTTTGCTGAGGGCTCTCTTGATCTGGCCCCGAATGCCAGACACTGTACGAATGGCGGCACCTTCGAACTTGGTAATTTCCAGTGAAGAATTGAACATGTCCCGAATGAAAGCAGTATTGCGGAAGATCTTGTACGGATAACCGGTGAGTTTGAGTTTCTTCACAATCTCCGTGCTCTCGTCTACGTTGAGAACCACGCCAGTAGCAGCAATTCGGAAACCGGGGATTTTGTTCGAAAAGGACTGCACACAACAGAAACCAGTGTTAGGAGCGACTAGGGGTCCGTAAAAGGTTCCGAAACAGTGCATGTGCTCCGGTGTATACTTCAACATGCGGTTGCGTGTACGCGAGTCCGAAATACTATAGATCGGGAGACTCTGGAAGCGACGCCAACCAAGAGAGAAGATAAGCGGATCATTAGTCTTGAGAATCTTCTTATGCCATCGGTGTCTTTTGATCCGCACTTGGACATAGCCGAAACGTTCTTCTGTTGGTGCCAGCCCGCCAACAAGAACGGGATATCGAGGATTGAACTTGGTTGAGAATTCACAAGGGACCTTCTCCAAGACGATACGTGCGTAGGTACCTGCTCGGAAACCTTCTGCGCGAGCACGGGAGATAGCGTCAAGAGACTCAAATTCGGCGCGGTTGATGTCCAACTGTTTTTGCAGCTGAGCTTTTTGAGCGTCATACCAATCATCTTCTCCAAACTCATTATCGCCCTTGCTTTCGTTTCGATCGCCGTTCCTGGCATTAGCGAAGCCTTCTCTGTCTTCTTCTTCGAATCGCAACTTGAGCTCTTCTTTCCTCTTGGCATTTCGCTCTCGCTCGGCCTCGAGGTCCACTTCACCTTCAACTTTCTCTTCGGCTCGGCTCCCCTCCTCATCGCCTGAACCTTCATCAAAGCCATTGAAGACTTCGCCGGTCTCAAGATCCTCAAAAGCACCGTCTCCCTCGTCTGATAGTCCATCACCCGAGCCGTCTTCCTCGTCTTCGTCGTCACTGCCATCAGCACCTAATCTGGCCGTAGCAAACCGACGTCGTAAGGCTTCGACAGCATCTTGATCCGACCATTTCTTCTCCAGTTCGGCATAGTCAAAGTCGGGTATTGTTCGATCTTCCCATTCTTCTTCCTTTTCAGCGTCGGTCTTTTTGAAGAAATCTTCTTCCTCATCCTCTATATTCTCCTCATCTTGCTCGTTATCTTCACCTTTCCATCTCGCTATCACCTCGGCAGGCGAGATAGATTCGTCATAAAGCATGCGCGTAAGGTCAATGACGCGGTATGCAGGCTTCTTCCCATGAAGAGCTTTAGCATTCTTTAGCATATTGCTCTTCCACCGAACTGCACCGTCTTCGTCATCCTCTGATATATCTTCATCTTCTTCGGGGTCGTCAAACTCTTGATCTTCCACAGAAGAAATGGAACCAAGGTCTGAATCGCTGTCTGCGAAAGCGAAATCACCTTCTTTTTCATTGATATCACCATTCTGCTTCTCACGAACATGTCGGGTCAAGTCAGGTGGTGCTTCGAATTCAGCTTCGTCGCCAGAATCTGCCTCCTCATCGAAATCCTCATCGGCTAAGTCACCCTCCACCTCATCTTCATCATCCCCGCTTCCAAACCCTTCGTCTTCTTCTTCGGAGACATAGCCATCGTCATTCATTGCCCGAACATGCCGCCTTTCTTTTCGGCCAGTGTCAGCCTCAGCGTCTACCTTTGAGATTGCTCCACCGCCTTTGAACAGTTGAAGACCATCTTCGGCCTCTCCGAGTAGTTTGCGTTCGTTTTGGAGACCCATAACAAGTTGCTCCCCTAATCCTCCGTCCTCGTCGTCTTCATCTGCCTCCCGGTTGAAAGTCGCGGACTTGACATCAATGTAAACCGCATCTTTATCAATCAAAACACCACCAACATCCGACATCGGAGCGAACAACAACTTTTGCTTCTCTCCCAATCTCTTCCGTCCTCCTTTGCCCGTCGCTTTAGCTATTTGCTGGTCCATATAAGGCGTAGGACAAGGATCAGGTAAAGATTCAATGGCTGAGACTGTAAGATCGCCGACACCAGGAACATGGACACGGGCACCTTGAGCAGGAAAATTTGTTCCACGCAGGTAGCCATATAATGCTATTGTACGATCGCATTTTTCGTCCTTTTCAATCTCAGTTGGCGGCGTGATGTCAAGAAACCGATCGGCGAGAGCGTAAGGATGCGAATTACGCCATACAAGAGGACGCGGGTTTTTCATCACGGAAAGGAATCGAGATAGATTGTGGATTTCACGATCTGGGTACCGGCCATTGACGACTCCAGATAGATAAAATAGTTTCGCACCCTGATATAATTCACTCCAGAAACGATGTTTCAATCTTTTTTTGGCGGCTTGCAATGTGCTTTGCTTCTTAAAAAGGTCGAGATGGGTGAGGATTCCAAAGACATTACCAGGCATACCACTGGATGCCAGAACGTTTAAAAACTCCATAGTCTCCATCTCAAATCCGTAGTTGCCGTCAATCATCAGCAACACTATATCTGCAATCTTCGCGACATCGATCATGCTTGCCAACGAGTCTGAAGGACATTCTAGAAACGTCAAGCGTCGGCGCTTCGATGTAACGACCGTAAGAGGGCCTGTCGGAGAACTTAAGGTTTGTTTCGAGTATCGTCTTATCAATGACTTGATCAGTGTAGTCTTGCCAACTCCAGGAGGCCCAACGACTGTAACGATGATTGGTGGTGCCTCCTCGGGGAGGCGATCGACGAGAGGTACATGTAGACGTTTTTCCTTGAGTTCGTGGGACCTTGCAGCCTGTCTTTTACCCTTTCCAGGATTCGAAAAAGCGAAAGCTTTCGGATTTTGACCTATATCGATAAGCAGATATGTCAGCTCAAAAATCCTACTGATCTAATGGAAGGAAGTATGTAGACAAGAAAGATTTTTATATCAGATCGCATACCTTCATATTTTTTCTTCTCCTTTGTCTTGTGATGAGTTCGATTCTTCTGGTCCTCCATCTTGAAAGAAAACTAGGATGACAGACGCCGTCTAAAATCTCTTTTGGCCTGCAGATCGAGAAGAAAATAAATTGTGCCGAAACGAGCAGCTGCAAGATCGTTCCAGCCGAGTAACTTATCAAAATAATTTCTTCATTATCGGACGGAACAACCTTCTTCCAGTCCGCGGAAAAGAAAAGCTTGGACACTGGGACAAGCTAATATATATTAGGAAAGTGGCTCCTAATATCAACCAATGAGATTCGACCTACTATGTGAGTCAATCATCAAATAAATTCACTTCAACCTTTCTCTGGGACTGGTGGTATATAAACGTTGTCCAGAGTGATAAGTCCGCACTAAAATCGACGCGCTATGACTTCCAGATCTCCCCGACGACCGCCACCGGCGTATACTGCGCCTGCTACGGCTACCGTTTACGCATCTTCACCCGTCTATAGGAAAATCGCAGCCACGGCAGCCGAGTCGTCTGCTCGCAAATTGGAGACTACGTTCACGATTGGTCCGTGTTCCGGACAGGCGTGGGTTGTTAAAGCAGGCCAGGTATGTCGATTGACGACGCCAGAGGGACCGCAGGTGGGAGATCTCAACATCTGGAATGCACATAATCCTCGCGAACGTATGTGGGCGGCGCGAACCCGTCAAATTCACAGCTCGCATGTCTCGGTTGGCGACCGCCTATGGTCCAATCTGCCATATCTACGACCATTGGTGACTATTACTGGTGATTCCCTTGCCGGAGGTCAATTGCACAACGTTTTGGATGCGGAAGGGAATAAGCTGGAAGGCAAAGGCTTTGGAACAACTCAGTGGGGAGGTCGAGTTCACGATTTGCTAGGAACACGGTGCGACCCGTACGTGAATTTGCTCATGGGCGGAGAAACCTTTGATTTCCACTGTCATTCGAACTTGACTCGCGCAGTGGTTCCTTTTGGCTTGACGGAGTTTGACGTACACGACGTGCTCAATGTGTTTCAAGTGACGGGCTTGGATGAGCAAGGGAAGTACTTTATGGAGACATCGCCTGCACGACCCGGGGAGTATTTTGAATTCTTTGCAGAAGTAGATGTACTCTGCGCGCTTTCAGCGTGTCCAGGTGGTAAGCAGGCTTTGAATGAGTGCTACGTATACACAATACACAGTACTAATCTATGATAGGCGATCTTTCGCAGTGGGGCTGGGAAGGAAAGGAAGGAAGCGATATGGCGGCAACGTGCCGTCCTCTGGGGGTAGAAGTCTACAGTCTCGTCGATACGGAGATCATGAAAGATTGGAAGCAACCGGAAAGCCCTGGTTACAAGGGAATGCACGGGCTGAAAATGCCACCGAGGGAGGATCGCAAAGACAACAAGCATGTTGGTGTGTAGCTTGACAAACTACACAATTAGGAAGTGGACAGGTTGCTAAATAATGCAATTGACTTCATTTCAGCTGTAAGGAAAGGAATGAGGAGATGCGGGACAGTCGGAAAAGTTGAAGGGCCGAAGTGGGGCCTGGGTCCTGGGGCATCTATGCCACGTGACAACCCCGCGACAGACGCCAAGACGTGCGTCATTTATCAAGGTCCATCATGCAAGTCATTTATTCCTTTCTTATATATCGACAGGACTAAGACGAAATGCAATATAACAAACCATCAGCCGGGTAAGTTGGTAGATGTTACTGTGCTGACTCATAGCAGCTGTGACATCAGACCTGACTAGCCTCCGATAAGATAGCGACATCCCACTTCTCATGGCAGTCAGTCTGTCAGACAGTCAGTGTAAACAGAGACAAAGTAGAGTAAACGGTATAAAAACACCTTCTTATCTCAGTTTAGCCGGGTGTTCTTTGTGTGGTTGATGTCGAACGACGTACTTCCAAGGTGATTTGCGGTTGCCTTGGTTCCCCCCCTCCCCCTTCCTTCCCATTATAAATAAGAAACCGTGCCGTGACACCGAATAGCCTGATATCTGCCATCTTCTTCTCTCTTCTCTTTTTCTTTCCTTCTTCTTTCTTTTCATCAACCACCATTCTCTTGACTTGCTGCATCATCTTCAATCTCTTAAGCTCTCATTGCAACACACATACACATAAACTCACGATGACTCTCTACAATGTAAGTTATTTATTCTTCCCGGACATATACTAAGAACCAGGCTGACTAGGTACCTTGTTAGGTTACCCTCAAAGAGTCTGCTTCTCCTGCCGAGCTTGAAAAGTACTACCCCGGCTATATTTTCGATAATTGCCTTATCTACACGATCAAGTTCGGACACTGACATTTGAACAGAGCCAAGGAGAAAGCACGCGCTGAAGGAGGTACTATCAAGCACGAATACACCTTGATCAAGGGATTTACGTGAGTAACCATGTCTATAGTCAACACAAATCCAGAGACTAACCGGACTCGCACAGCGTCGAATACCCCGACGACCATGTGAACGTCCTCGAGAGCAACGAACATCTCCACGTCGAGCAAGACGGGAAGGTCTCCACTCAGTAAAACGATAGCGGCCATGCCGACGCGCGCCAGAGGACTACCTAAGAGAAACCGAACTGGCGATCAACCCGAGCATACGCATCTACAGGTCAAGCTGTCGGGGGAAGACTACAGTCGGCATTTCTCTCGATTTCCGCCTACTTGCATTGCGGCACTGAAGATATGAAACGCCACGGTTCCGGAAAAATGGATCAACTGACCGTCTGTTATTTCTCTTCCTTCCCGTTGGCCAACGAACACGAGCCTGCTTATTTTATGATGATAACGAAAATGTGTGTGTTTGACTATAGCAGATATTGTACGCATAATGAGACATCTGTTGTTTCTTTCTGCAGCCAATACTAGTGAATAACTAGTCCGTAACGACTATCCGACATAGTAGTGCTCCTGAGTCTGAACTACACAGACCATCATTATGAAGCCCCGCGTAACAGTAGCTAAGTATACATGTTCGCATAGATCCAATAGTCAAGTAATCATAAATGCTAGCCGCGATAAGCCTGTGGTCGCGCATTGCCCTAAAGATGTATTGCAACAATGCGAAACCAGCCATCGAGCCAATCGATACGCCTGATAGCAGTTATGTACCTTCTGAACAGTCATAACAATGACTACTTGGAATTTTTTTGACTGGGAATATATTCCGCATTTCTGATTGGCCAGGGTAAGGGTCGGTCATGTGACAATGACGCATCGCTGTGCGGCAACCGACGGGGTTTGCCTAAGGCTATCCGCGGAGGTTCTTTATCTTGACTCCAGACACCGATCCTCATCTGATCATCTCTTGCCTCGGCCGGTCTTTGTTGCGTCTTTGTTAATTTACACCGTGAGAATGATAACTTGAAGAAACAACTATGGAAAATAGAATCCCTCGTCTTATAGGGACGCTTCCGCGATCAAGACGCGGGCTTGCGCGTTCCATCCGGCGACAGCATCACGCCACCTCGACTTCGAATAGCTGGCAAAAACCTCCGGCATGGGCTAATGTAGCAGAGGATGAGATTGCTAGACTGGCGGCTTTACGACGTCGTCCATTGACTTTGACAGATCTTCTCAAGTGGGATTGAATTATCTAATATTGTGTGTGGTCAAATTGCTGATTACTTCTCCAGGCATGGCCAACCTCCATTATCGAAACAGGCTCTTCTCGATTCCGCCAATTTCACTCTCTCGCTTCTTCCAGCGCGTCTGGCTTATCGAATACAATGTTTAAGAAATCTACCATTCATTGTAGTATCCAACCCCCACGTTTCGCAGATCTACAATAATTATCTTCATTCGCTATCAACACTCTTACCATACCAGCAACATCGAATCACCACCCTCGAAGAAGAGAAACAATTCGCGGAAGTGATGGCTGATCTAGTCCAAACACACACGAACACAATACCCATACTGGCCAGAGGATTTCTCGAATGCCGAAAGTATATTAGCGCCGAAGAAGTGACTCGCTTCCTAGATTCACACTTACGAGCCCGAATTGGGACACGACTAATTGCCGAGCAACATCTTGCTCTTCATTTTGCATCTCAGCCGATCAGCGATGACAATCCAAACCCGCCACTTTCACAACGAGAACATGGACCTCCGAATTATATTGGTGTCATTGACACCGCTCTAAAACCCTCGCAGATTGTTCGATCGTGTGAGCACTTTGTGAGCGAGATTTGCGAGTTGAAATATGGTGTTCGACCAACTCTTGAAATTAATGGGGAACCTGACGCAACATTTGCCTATATTCCCGTACATGTCGAGTACATAATTACGGAGTTATTAAAAAATGCATTTCGAGCAGTTGTCGAGTCGGGACAGGAACGTGAACCTATTGAAGTCACCATAGCAGCTGCCCCAGATATCCCAGGCAACCATCTCAACCACATCAATAATATCCCACATCATGCCCGAGACGGTGACGTGGACATTTCCGCCGAAGAAGAGATTCTCGTCGCCAATGAAAACATCCGTCTTACCAATACTTCGTCACAAAGTATCACAATCCGCATCCGGGACCGCGGTGGTGGTATCCCACCTGAAATTCTGTCTCAGGTCTGGTCATACAGCTTCACGACATTTTCCGAGGATAATTCGGCTGGCGGATATAACGGCAACATTGACGCGCTGAATACGATCTCAGGGAGTGGTGGAAATACTAGTACAATTGCTGGATTGGGGTATGGCTTGCCATTGAGTAGGGCCTATGCCGAGTACTTTGGAGGAAGTATTGCCATACAGAGTCTATGGGGATGGGGAACCGATGTATATTTGACTTTATCCGGGGTCGGTCGGATAGGGGAGTAAGTTGTCTGTATAGATATACTATATAGAAGATGAAAAAAAGATGATGATTCGTCTTCGCAACCACCTGTCAGCAGTATGAATATCCCAATCCATGCTGGATGTACTAAATTGAAACTAGATATACAACTTGAAGAGAGAAATGTGCCTTGCATTTCGAACCAACTAACTAAACTACCACAGGCAATGAGTGCTGGGCTTTGGAAATGACACCTTTAGTGATTCTGATCCAACCAATCCCCAAAATTTTGCTCTCGTCCCAAGCATCAGCCACTATGGTCCATTTCACTTCATAATGTACTGAGTGGGACAAGCCTTCACCAACGACAAGAACCGAGGAGAAAGATCAGAGACATCCGGATCAACTTTTAAAGTGTAAAACGGAGATTTATCGATTCGGTCGTAACGACAGTTTGCCCCCTTTCTAACCTTGAAAGTGGAATAGTCCCCGAACAAGATCAACTGAAGAGATGGGATGCCCTCGCGACCAAACGCCCAGTGAGCAAAGTGATCGAGTGCTTTGGTAAATGCCGCGACTGCATTCATGTTAGAGGCTGATTTGCGGAAATGCAGGACACGTAGGCGGTTCCGGTAGGATAGAGGATAGAGGATGCCTCGCTGTATGTTTGTTAGCATCCGTGAAACTAGAGAAACAAGAATATTGATCACTTACCAAGTTTTCTGTCGGGAAACAGCATAACCCAAGAAATTGCAGGTCGGATAGAGTGAATGGATTTTCTCTAGACGAGACAATGACCCCTGAAATTGCATGCAAAAGGTGCATGTCATTAGAACGCCCTTGATTCGGATCTTGCAAGGGAGAAGGACAATCCATTTTAGCTCCAAACTCCATTCTATGATGAACGAAGCCTCTCAGGCTGGTACGACCATGACAAATCGCATGCCAGGCCACGAGTGTTTCAAAATGAGAACTCATCAGACCGTTGCAGATAGAGACAGTCTCAATATGGGGAGAGCGGTTCAGAACTTCAATGATCCCCTTGTGATAGTTGACGTGCCCGGAGTACCACACTAGTTCAAGGTGTTTGAGTCTCAGGGGCCCTTGTACATGTATCATGTGGTGACAAAAAGCGTCCCAACCCTCGCACTGGCGGAGCGTCAATGAAGTCAGAGATGGCAGGTCAACAGCCTGTGCGAGCTTGCTTGCACAAGACAGCAATGAGATCATTTCCAGATGAAGGACTCGAAGTTTTGGGAAAAGCAAACGAACCCAAGGAACCTCATTGAATGGGAAGACTTCCGCACCATCCCATTTACCTTCGTATGGAATAGTGTCTGTTTCTGGCACAATAGCGAGCTCAAGCTCAACCAGTGTGGAGGATGAGGCTTGCAGACCATCCTGGATTTCCCAATAGCTGTCGCATATGGCAGTGTTATTGAGTCCTCGCAGTGAAAGATACTTGAGGCGTTTGAATCCTTCCACATGTAGGTACATCTGAGAAGCTATGCATCCAGGGTTCAACATAAGGCTCAGTTCTTCGAGATCGGGATGTCTGTCTGATAGACGTGCCCAGCGGCCCATGACATAGGGTGACATACAGGTGCCGGTGGCCCAACTGAAATTAAATGTGTCAGTTCTTCCAAGTCTAGAAGTACGATTGGTAGAAAGGGAGGAACTTACATGAATCCTTTCAAGCTGTTTTCGTTCAGAGAGCTCAAGAATTCACCTATTTCTTCACCCTCATCTTCGAAGAAAGAGCCGAAATCCCGATTACGGTGAATACAGAATGCTTGGGGGATTGATGTGCCTTTTACAACAACCCGTTTGACAAATTCAAGACGGTCGAATCTTCCCGAACGGGCCCGGGAGTAAGCTGTCACATCTGTCGGCTCAGATTCACAATTCTTGTTGACGCGAAGGCTGATGTTAACCGTTCGCCATATGAAAGGGATGATAAGGTTGTATAGTCTTGGACAAGCTTGTAGCAGTCGTTCAAGATCCGCCCTTTCTTTGACCTGTCGAATCCACAAGGGAAAGAAGTCAATATCCCGAACTTGATGAACATGCTGAGGGGAATTTTACCTCATTCAAGATCATGCACAGGACCTCTGGGGGGAGAGACAGCAGGGGAGAAGGGTTGATAGACATGTCCCAGAATCTGATCCATCTCAGGCATGTCTGACCATCCCGGGACTGATGGTTCATGCAGATCCAATCCAGGTGGGCTTTTCGGTTCTTTGTAGCCGGGTTGATAGAGACATAATAGATGCTTCCATCATCCTCTGGAGGCATGATATAGAAGACAACACGGCAGTAGTTCCCACCAGTGAGTGAAGGGCGAGGGGGAAAGATGTGAACGTTCGGCATGACTGAATAAGTAACGTTCGGCATGATGAATGAAGTAACAGAAGACATGATGGATGAAGCAAAGGGGAGAGACAAGGATAAAGAGGAGCAAAAAAGTAGGTTGAAGAGAGAGGAGGAAAAAAGTAGGCTGAAGAGAGAGAATGAAGAAGAGGGTGGAAGAGATGAAAAGAAGAAGAAATCGACTGGGAATTCCAGCAGGAAATCAAAACCAAACACATCAGCTCAAAGGAGAGAGCGTACTATTGGCTATACAGAATCCATTGGGGAACGATATCATTTTTGTCGGAGTGTGGCTACGAGTGTGCATGAGAACTATATATGTCTAACAGTGATATAACTTATAGGATTCATACAGATATCTAGGTGTAAAATGGCACTTATAGAATGCAGATTTCAAGGAAGTATTAAAGACAGATCTCTGTCTAAAGATCCCTAGGGTTATAGATGGAAGCGTTTCTTTTCATAGCTAATACAAATATGTGTGTGATTTAAGGGTTCATAATCTCTTTGATATCCGCGAAATCCTAAGAAAAAGGAGAAAGGAAGAAGATGAGATATTAGAACAGGTTATATCTCTAGAAGGATTCTCAAGCTACTTATACTTGGGATTTTGCTGCTAGTACATAAAAATGTAAGAAACTAACATAAAGATCTTTTGTATCTGTGGACAAATGAAACAGGAGGCTGGATATGTGAAGATTTCCTATGTTAACAATATCTGGCTAACTAAAGCAGCTTACCCATAATTCAGCTGTAATAGAGCTGAAAGACTAAATAAAGACTTAAAGACCTATTAAGCAGATCTATTTGTCTTCCCATCCACATGTAGAATTGTAGATGAGATAGACAAAAATAGTCACGTGCCCTCCTGTGCCCTATCCAATCATTCCAATGCACTGCTACAGTGACTGAGAATTAAACCCATATGAGTTATTTCACGAACCCGTAAAGTGTTTTATTTGGATAGAAAAGTCACACACATACAAACGCACAAACAGCCCTGGAGCCAAAATGAGCACTTTTGGTGTGGCAAATACTGAGCAATGACTCAGGTGAGAATATCCAGCGAAGTCTGGCAAGGAGCTGGAGCTCATGATGAACAAAAAAATACTGTTGCTTCTTCGATACTTGATTTCTTGATGGAAATAGCACCAGACGATGCTGGAGGAAGATACTCAGTCATTTTCATAGAAAGAAAGTAATGATGCCAAAGTCACCAACTTATTGGATCAATGAATGCTAGTATGTATACAGATGCAAGAATCAAAACGATTTTGAGAAAAAATACTGAGACATTTCCGCATGAAAGTTGACAAAGCAAAAGCCAACGATTCCAATGAAAGAAAGACGACTTTTCCAGTTCTTTGTGGACATTTTCCGTTCAAAAGTCCAAACCAATATGGGAGACCAAGTCGAACCCATCTACCAATTTATTCTATATTCTCTACTATATCAATCGTCGTATAACATGCTTGCATGAAGTCATCAATCAAACGATCCAACTCTCCTGTGACAACCTCTTCCGATGCTCCCTCCATTAAAGACTCAGCACTCGGGAATCGAACGTCTGGGAATTGCAGAGTCTGACTTGTTGGGCGGCTCATATCGCGAGATGAAGACAAAGAACCAGCTCGTTGACCATTCTGTGAGAGTTCCATTTGAGCAGTCATCGACGTAGCCGTAGTAGCGCTGGGGGTAAGCTCAGGGATATCTTCGTGATCGGGCCCCGGTCCATCTTCAGCAATTACATCATCCTCATGATCCGGACCAGGACCTTCGTCGAGGCTGGAAATGCTGAGTAAAGAGGGTGCTTTGGAAGCCATACGGTGATGAGTGCGTTGAGAACCATCAGGGCTTCGGTCAAATCGGAATGGGTCGTAGTCGCTGAGTGTTGATGCAGCTGTCGACGGACGAGCAATAGCTGCCACATCGATACCATCAACGCTCAGATTATTGTTGATGTGGCCAATGCTAAGGTCAAGGGTCGATTGTTGAGATTGATGGGAAAGGTGAGACTGATGAGTCTGCACATTCGAAGGACGAATAGTATGAGCTGGGGTCTCGTCGTACGTGTAAATATTGTCCTTTTCTGGGATAGGCATCTCGTCGTTCGTGGCGCCGGTCATAACAGGAAACTTCCAGTCACGAGTAGCCCGCTTTTCCTCGGCTGGGGAAATAAATGGCTCAGGATCTGGAACGTGTGCAGGTGACATTTCTGGCTCACTATCCTCAGGGACAACCATAGTGGGAAACTTCCAGTCCATAGTAGGCGGACGGGGTGCGCTGGTTTGAAAATTATCATTTGCATTTTCAACTTCACTGTAGCGGTTGCGTGTTTGATCACCGTCCGAGTTGCGTCCAGAGCGTAAGCTTGATCGATTAGCACGTATTGTATCAGCGTCCGCGAGCTGGAACTGGGAGGCAGTGCCAGCAGCATAGTGAGCAGAATCAAAAGAGCCCAAGTTAATGTCAATGAACGTCGAGGTGACGGACGAGCGATCGGTAGTAGTACGAAGTGGCAAGTCCGACGGTGTTTGCTTTTCTTCGATCGGGATGAAGTCGTTCTTCGTTTCGTATTTGTACGTAGGTTTCTGATCATCAAAAAGACCTTCCATGGCCGCAGCACCTCGTTTCACGCGCTCGTCAAAGTTCGCCTTTTCAATCGGGGTCATTTCGCTAATAGCCATATCATCCATAGAAGGCTCAGGATTCTGCGGGAAAGAAGGCTCATCTCCAGCGAGCTCGGCAAGAGAGGCAGAAAGCTGGTCCAAGTCGAGCACAGAGTAGCGACGTTCAAATCCATCGGTGGTACTGAAGTTCCAGTCTTCTTCAATCGAGGAACTATCTGGGAATTCAGCAGCAGCAGCGCCACCGGGATGGAAAAGAGACATGCGTTGGCCGCCGCGCTGAGACCACTGATAGTAGTTTCGTACCAGCTCGCTTAAGGACTTGGTTGGATAGTCAGCCTCAGAACCTGCAATGTAAGGGTGATTGAGAATGATAGCCATGGTCGGGCGTGTGGCGGGATCTGAGTTCAAGCTGAAAGCGACGATGTTCTTAAGTTCCTGGCTATATTGATCGCCTTCAAGTTTGGGAGTGCTGCGTCCTAGAGAACGTCCAATCTGCATGCGTTCTCGGAGCCCAGCATTGGGCGGGTTACCAGTTGCAAATTCGTATAGGGTACAACCGTATGCCCAGACATCCAGTTCGCTGCCGTATTGATGCGCTTCGCCACCACGCGTCGAGAACATCTCGGGAGGCATCCAGTGAGGAGTACCAATCCAGGTAGATCGTTTGTCGACCTTGGATTGCAGAATACCAGCAACGCCAAAATCGCAAATTTGCAAACGACCCTCTTCGTGGATGAGAATATTCGCAGCCTTCACATCACGGTGGATAATTCCTGCGTCGTGGATTGCGCGAAGACCGCTGGCAAGTTCACGAGCAATGGGAATGATGAACTTTTCTTCAAGCTTGTCTCCCGTTGCACGCATCTAATTTTGTTAGTGATCAAGGACTCCCACAAAACAGATGAGGTAATACATACTAATGTCTTTACACTACCTCCTGGGCAGTACTCGCAAACCACCCACAACTGAGAATGAATGGAAATAGCTTCAATGAGCTTGTTGATATTCTGTGCCCCAGCTTCCTTAGCCTGGTTCATGGCCTTGATCTCGTGGATAAAATCTTTGATCGATTCATCCTTCATATCACGATTCATCTTGTAGTCCAATGTATCAATATCCATGACCTTGATAGCTACCAAATCTCGTGAAGGTAGTTGACGACCTTTGTAGACGCGTCCATAAGCACCTTTACCAATGAGTTCCTCGAATTCGTATGGCGGCACTTCGGTTTTTGCACGTCGACACATCTCATGAACTGCAGCAGCTTGCTCTCTTGCGAGTTTGATGGACTCTGCCTTTTGTTTGGTAAGTGTCGCCATGGCAGATGTTGGGTCTAGAAACTGAGATGTTCGTGGGACCGCCATTTTGACGTGTCGTGACGCTTTGCGTTGAGGCTTGTGGTACGTTGGTGAGGAGTGATAATAGACAGCCTTGGGAGGAGTTAACTCGAAGCGAAGTTTTGAAGGAGGATGTTTTATTGGTAGGCCTTTTGGTAGAGTATATGTTGGTGTTGCTTTGATAGGAGGAATCGGATTAAAGATGAACTGCAACCAGGATAAATTAGAATATGGCAAAGGGTGAGACTGAAACAAGAAATAGAATATGAACATCTGAACAGCTCTTAGTGTTCAAGTGAAATAAACCAGAGATTCCACTTACTTTTTCGCGCTTTATGCCAAGGATCACACTATCCCCCTTGCTACTGACAGACCTGGTAGATGCTGTCGCCGAGATCCCTTTGTTTTTGTGAACTGATGCACTCCAATCAGTAATAACAGGAGGGAATAGCCGGGTAGGAGGATGCCTCCTAACAGCGTCGTGAAAATAGAGAGATCTAGATAAGAGTTAGTGCATTGCTAAAAATAGTGATCTATAACGACAACATACTTCTTGATTTGACGATTCGATGCAGGTTTCTGAGATCTAACATGCAAAGGCAGAAACGGATCTGGGGAGGGCTCAATGTGCAGATGGCTTGGATCTAAATCAGGTATCAAGTGCTCAAGCGAAGGCCTTTTAGAAGGATTCTGGTAAATAGATTTTCGAGAGAGTGATACAGAAGCACCCGCAGATCCTTGATCGGGATGTTCGACAAATGGGTCGAACAAGGGTGAATGCCTAACGATTGTATGGAGTTCTTCAGAATCCCGGCGCACGAGGGCTATCTGAGGATGTCTCTGTTTATTTCTCCTCTGCTTTTTACTGTTAAGAGGTAGGAAATATGTCAGTATATAATATGTAACAAAACCCAGTGAGATCAGTAGACGAACTTTAGGCCACGAAGAACTCGCCGAATCCAACTCAGCTTCCGATTTCCTGGCTTTGGAGTTAGGAAAACGTGCCTCGAAGGTTTAGAAAGACAAGACATGATGATATGAGATGTTTGAAGAGTAGATGAGATGAATTTGAGGGGCAATTGAGTCGTACAAAGGGGTATATTTGAAGGAAAAGTTGTGGAGAGAGGATAGAAGAAATAGGTGGTGGGGAGATGAAGAGAAATTACTTACAGAAAAAGCCCTCTCAAAATTATTAGGGCTAATCTCTTGAGCAGATAGTCAAGGAAGACACTGTTGTGATATAGTGCTACTCGGTGGGCAGAATGACCATGACGTTGGAGCCATAGACCAGATTTAGGGCATATCTAGTATATAAGTGGGATAATCTGGAGAGAATGTTCATTATTAGCAATTCCAATATAGTTCCACTTAGAAGAAAGCTTAGATCTAAGTATAATAATTGATAGCTTATGTTTATAGTTTGTGGAAGTAGAGAGGGGAATGGTTGGGCAAGTACCTACAAGACCTTCATAGAAAACAACTCGCTAAGCGAGGAGAAACGCACAAAACGCAGTTGTGTGCGCCTAGCTCTTAGGGCTAGATTTTGAGTGCGCCCCAGCTTCAAACGAGATGTTTGAGATGTGTTAATACGCCCAGTAATAGACCGGACCAGACAATAGGATGGCAATCTGTTGAACTGCCGCCCTAGATAGTGTAACAGAGAAGCAGACTAAATAGCTGGAAGTTTATCGAAATATCAAACAAAGATCTATACAAGAGGTTAGCATTCAGAGACCATATCGATTTCATGGAAGATGAAATTGTCATGTGACATGTAGTAAGGGGCAAGGGGCAAATAGAACAGCGCCTGAGCAGTGCACTACCAAGCCAGTCATTCCCATATACAGGGATACGAATAACAAGACAGATAGATAAAGTTATATCGATATATACACTTCAATGTATAGTAAATCCATGGAAGATCGAATAAACCTACCAAGATCTAAACTCCGGGGAACCTTGACCGAACAAAGGTATGTATGAATTAGCCGGATTCACCCACAACCAGCCCACAAAATGGAGAAGAAATGCAGTAAAAGGGTATCTCAAATGGAATCAGCAAGACACGATAGATAACAGAGATAGAAAAGAAAAGAGAGTGATATAGTAGATGGAATAATGAGGCTCAATGAATTTGTTAGAGGGAGAAAGGTCCAATTAACCTTTTTTTGATCTTCCGCCTTTCCCCTTTGGGATTGGGCTTGGCATGCTTATGTAACTACATTGTGGATGTCTTCACTCTATATTTACAAGTAAAATTTTATTTCTTGATATAATTTCTTACCAATAGTAGATTTCAGATAAAATATTAATGAGACAGCGAGTCAGAGAGCATGGTAATTAATTAAGATAATTAGAGAACGGAGCCAAATAGCTCAATCTATGCTCATTCACCGCATTAGGTCATCTACAGAGCCAACAAAACATCTCTCAACTTAGGATAATTAGGCGTCCCAAGACCCGACGCAGGATCCCAACCAGGGGCCGCTGAGAATCCAGCAGTATTACATCCCGCGTTTGAACCTTGAGTAATATCGTTGAATGCATCAGGGTTCTTGTAGAATACCGGGTTCAAAAATCCCACTGGACCAGGTTTCCCGGCTGCGATACGCTCGTCGATGATACGGGTGATGATCGATGCGACGATAGGGGCAGAGGCAGAGGTACCACCTTCAATGACAGACTCGCCCCCGATCCAGATGGGGATGGTGTCCCCGACGGCAGAGACGTCGGGGTAGCCACGACCAGAGCGGTTGTAGAGACCACCGTTTTCACCGAGGATGCTACCGCTGTAGGAAGGATAAGGAGGGTTGTGGTTGGCGAAGTAGCTGTTACATAATGCCGTTAGCAGGTGACCATTGTGTTCTCTGGGCACAAGAATACTAACCTGGCAACAGCATCCGCCTGATAGTCAGGAATGGGGAAGAGATTGCTAAAACCACCACCACTGGCAAAAGCCGAAAAGAAAGGATGGCCAGCGGGATCATTTGCGACAACTTCGCCGCCGCTAACAGATCCGTTAACAGGGATCTTAGTGGCTCCAACAGCAGTAACGTACGGGCAACTAGGAACAGCTGTTAGTACTGAAAGATTGAAGGGAATAGAAGGAGTACCTAGCAGGCCAGTCCGGGTTGAAGATGGTGGAGCTATTTCCGAGACAACCAGATCGGGAAGCAACACCAGAGTCTCCAGAGGCGAAAAGAACCGAAACTCCACGGAGCCCGAGCTTCATGAATCTGTTTGTGGTCAGTATGGGCTTCTACTGAAGATAAATGGTCAGACGAACTCATTGCATTGACGTTCATAGTACGACTGAGGAATGTAGTCTTCGGCGGCACCGTAGGAGATGGAAATGACATTGGTGGGCTTGTAAGTGCCACACATGAGCTGACCCTTGTATCCGCCAGAGTGAGTGTCGGGGTAGACAGGGTCGATATCGGCATTGCCACATTCGCCAGCATAGCAGGATGTGCAGTAAGACTGTCAATAGTCGCCAGGTTAGCTTGGGTCAATGATCAAGACTCAGCAGAGACGTAAACGCACCCCGTCAATAGCATCCAGGAAAGTATTGAACAAGCCCTGGCTGGAAAAGGCCCAGTACTGATCGTCGGTCTGGAACAATGTAATGTTCTGAGGATAGACAATGGGAAAAGCAAGTGAGAAATCCAAGTTTGATTCGCCCTGCACATTTTTGCCAGGGCCTTCTCCGCCGTCGATGGAATTGAGTATGGGGTGTGTTCCATTGGGGATTCCGTAGGAAGGGTATGCAGCCCAGTAAGAATCGAGATCAGTCTGGTTGTACTGGTCGCCCTCTTCGAAGATACCGAGGGAGTTGTCGGGGGAGGGGGACACAGTTACTGGTGGAATTTGGTACAATTGAGCGATGCAATCCGGAGTAATAGCTTTAGCGCAGTTGCTGTCGCTTGTTGACAATGCGGCTTTGATATGAGGTGGAGTAGGAATACGTAGAGGGTCTCTGAGAGCATTGCGCTTCTGAAGGAATGGGAAGCGGATACCAGGAGTGATGTAGTCGATGTGTTCCTTGACGTGTTTAGGTACATGGTATCTATCGGTGCTGACAGCGGTATGGCCGGTCTCTGAATCCTTATACTCGTAGAAGTCTGCGTGCAACAGATTCTCGAGTTCCTCACCAGTCGCGACAAAGGCCAGCCAACCCTTGTTGTCAGTGTGGGTGATGCGGACATCATGAATGCCGGATTCAGTGAGCCAATTCTTAACGATGTTGACAGATTCATCAGATGGAGCGAACATCTGAGTCACTTCTTCTTCAGTCCAGAACTTGCCATAATTCGCGGAGTCAGGGTGCGAACTGAATAGAGCTTGTCAGTCTGTTAATGTTGCAGCATAGGTTACGAGGCACTAACACATCCATCAGGAATTCATGGCCGCGGTGAAGGTTGTTTTGCTTCAATCCGACTCTGACGTGAATGTCAGATTCGGACCTGATGCGCAATGGGTTCGTCCAGCGAGCATGGTGTCCGTAACGCTTTTCGTGAACGGTATGAGTGCTAGGAGCAGGACGAGCCGCGGCAGTAGCAGCAAGAGCTGCCACAATGGTAGTCAGAGATATAATACGAGTCATATTGCTGTAGGTACCTCAAATGTACCTCAGTTGACCGCGTTGCGTAGAGAAAAGTAGTGAGACGCAGAGAGGGACGAATGACTCTTATAAGTCTCCATTGTTGTAGTCCCATCTCATGCCAAGAGCAGACTTAGTAGATATTAAGTGGTACCAGGGGAAGACGTGCATCTTATCCTCCAGTAGAAGAAACATTGTGACATAGCCGCAGTTGCAGTGGAGAATAATGGGGGGTAAGCCATCCCAAGTCCAACTCCTAGAGGCTTCGATTGAGATGATTGGGGACAGAAATAGAAACAGGACTATAAGGCCAACACTCTAAAATCTGACCACCCACAATCAAGATGTGTCCTGTCCGAGACATCTGAATTTTCTTGTGCGTTAGTATACTCAGGGACAGATGCATTATCTTCTTGTCCCGAAGAGCAGCGACTATGATTGGGGAAACTTGAAATTAGGGCGGCAGCAAATAGCCGCATGATGAAACAAGTTTGTTCGACCATAATAAAGAGCTAAATCATTGAGTGCCCCTGTGTGCCCCTGAAAGGACCTGAAAGAAACAGTTGAAACGACCTATGGGGGAATAAGGATCACCGTTGCGGAGTTGATGCGGGTCTCCTCAGCCTCAAGCAACAAGCTCGTGTTGACAGTTCCCGATTCTTGGTATGTATGTACGGACTCACGGAGTGGAATTTAAAAATAAAGCCGGAAAGCGCGTCATGTCAAGCTTGGCTAGATCTTATCAATTTCTGCATATCCAGTGAATACTCAATAGGGAAGGTTACGGTGTTCCAGATCTTGCAGAGTCCTGAATCGCATTCGAATCATTCGATGCGCTGGCTCGCCTTGGCATCTGCGGCAGCCAATGTCTCTCCGATCTTCCTATCCAGCACGTACCCACGCGCTGTCGATCATCTTGAGTCAATTCGCGAGATAACGATGTGCATGAGATGTCTCAGAAACAAACAACGCAACGGGACTTCGGAAGGAAAACGTGCCTGCTTACATAAGGGCCAATGATTATGTTAACGTACTCCACGGGTCGTCCGAATGAACCGTATAAGTTATAAATAGGGACTTATCGGATCAGTCGACTGCTGTGTAGTTAAGCTACATGATAGATTCCGTGTTGAGGATATACTTAAGGGTTCGAATGCCAAACCTTGGGAATTTTCAATCAAAGGAACCCTTCGCGGTTAATTAGGCATTACGCAAATCGGACCATCGAGTGACATTGTCCTCGAAGAGACAACGAGTAAATGGTCACCGAGTTCTTTTTAGACCCTTCAAGCTCATTCACGGATTTCTTGCATTTGGGATTGAAGAGACAATAGCGAGGAGATCTCTCCGTAAAACTTGATCGAGACGCATATACGCAGTTCATGCCTGTATATACGATGTATTTTATGCTCAGTCTGGCCCTGGGATCAGGGCCCGTGGGCTCAGTGGGGTTCCCGGGGCCACAAGCCCTAGACGCTGCCCCATAGTCGCCCCCATTTTTAGGCTTGGAAGGTTAGGGTTACGGTATGAATCTAGCTTGCCCATTCCGTAGGCCAGATCTGGAGTGGTGAGATGACTAGTGTCAACGGTCATATTCCGTTCACAATCTCCAGACTCTTCACTGACCTTTTCGGCGGTATTCCGGCCATTCTATGTAGTGGATACGTTATCGACATGTTCTTTTTGCACCAGCGTGGAAAGGCCTTTGCTATTTTTGAAATTATAATCATCTCTGCCGTCGTCGGCGGAGGGACACTAGGAGGCTTCATTGCCAATAACAACTCTTGGAACCTCGTTTTCTAATGGACTCTCGGTCCGGTTGGAGCTACGGTGGTTCTAATCTTTGCCTTTGTTGAAGAAACCACCTACAACCGCGATGCCGCCGTTCCACGCCCTCCTCTACCCAAGAACTGGCTGGCCAACAGGATAGCCACTTACTTCCCATGCACATGAACCCAACGCGCCGGAAAAGGCAAGGAATTTGTGAGTCATGGCCCTTCTCTTCTTGCACAAAACGATGCTCTAATCCGTAGCAAGTGCGACAGGCAATCATCCCCTTCCAGATCACCTTTGCGCTCATTACCCTTCTGATGGGAACGTACATTTACAACCTCCCGTTATCGCCGGTGGTTATGGGCTTTTCATCACTGCAAATGGCATTCATGGCTTCTTTTTCAACGATAAAACTCCTTGTGGGTTGCTCGTCGCCGCGGTGGTACCTGGCATACGGAATATCGTCTGGCTAACACCATCCCACCCTCTCTCCTGCTGCCAATCGGTCTCGGTCTGTGGGGAGCTGGTCTACAACATCATCTTCATTTCATGGTTCTTGCTCTGTGATCGTTCCTGATCTGGTTCGGCGCTCTTCTCGCCCTGCCTGTCTGCTATAATTAATTACATTATCGAATGCTTCCTGCACAATGCCGTCGAGAGCTCCGTCTCGTTGAATGCTTACCCTGTCACATTCGGTTTGATATCGGTCTTCATTACTACTAACTGGCAGGCGGCTGTGGGTGTTGGCCAGATGTGAGGGATGGGAGCCTTTTTCATTGTACTTATCGACCGCATCATGATTGCTCTTAATCTCAAAGGCCATGTTGTCCGTCAGTGGACGACCAAGTTGAGTAAGACTCTTGCATTCACTGAAGATGGCGCAACTATCAGCACGAAACATGATGGGGTTACCTAGTAGTAGTCATATCAATCCTCCTTTATCTGGTATGTAGTACCACCTATATTGTTTAACGGATGATGCTATAGAATGGTATATCAGGCCCTCACAAATATAGCAAATTATATACAATCCATTAGCTTACTCCGCATCCTTCAACCCAAATTCCGCCCTCAACGCATCACCAAACCTCTTAATGGCTTCCTGCATCTTATCTGTTGGAGCGGCTGCAAAAGTAGCACGGAAAAACATCTTGTCTTCTGCCATATGCTTGTCTGATCGGAACCAGCTTCCGCGCGACAACAGAGCGCCACGGTCAACTGAAGCCAAGAAGATAGCTTCTTCGATTTCTGCATGCGATTTTCCCTGAGCGTAGCCGGGGTGCTTTTTCCAGGGGACTTCGATCCATTGCTTGATAATAGTTAGACTGAAAGTTCAAGTACGCTAAATAAAAGAATGGGGAACACCTACAAACATGCCGGCGGACGGTGGAACCCAACTGGTGACTTCTCGAGGAAGGTATTTCTCGCAAGCTTCGAGTAAAGCATCCCGACGATGGGTATAATAAAGACGCATATGCATCAACCAATCCAAATAACCTGCGTGACCCCATTCTTCGTCAAGGAGCTTGAAGAGAGCAAGTTGTGAGAATCCACTGGGGTTTTGGTTTGAGGACTCAAAGTGACGAGCGAAACGTTCAACGATTTGCTCTGATCCGACGATCCAACCGGTACGGGTCCCGGGGGAGAGAACCTTGGAAAAGGACTCAAGACGGAGGACACGACCGTCGACATCGATTTTCAGGAAAGACGGTAACAAGACTTTCAAGAATTCCTCACGAGAAGACGGAGGAGGCACACCAGCCTTGTAAGGCTCCATTTGGAGGAAATAGTATGGCTCATCCTCGACAATAAAGATATCATGCCTCTGGCAGACTTTGTAGACTTCTTGTCGTCGTTGAGCGCTCTGAGTGGCTCCTGTTGGGTTCTGGCCAGAAGGAACGGTGTACAAAAGATGAGGCTTTGCGGCACCACGGGCCTTCTCATCCCAGTTTGAGAGGAGTTCATCCATGTCTTCAGGAAGTAGACCTTGTTCGTCCATTTTGACTGCCGCAATGCGGATTCCCAAAGGAGCGGCAGTTTCTAAGGCGCTAGCAAATGCATATTCTTCGGTGAGGATGTAGTCGCCTCGTTCGCAGAAGATTCTCAGTGTCGCGTCCCATGCCATTGTATTTCCGACGGTCAAACAACAGTACCAGTCTGAATAAGGGGGTTCATGGATAATCTAGCTTGTCAATTAAATGTATTCGAATACAGAAAGGGAAAATACCTCTGTATGTTCCGTAACAAAACGAACCATCTGCGCAAATCCCACTGACTGACCATAATTGAGCGCAACCTCCAAGTCTGCATATATCAGCCAACCGTTTCCTTTTCTTGGGATATCAAAATTGGCATACCGAACAAGCTCTTCCCTTCCTTGATATCATGCTTCCCCGCCGTTATAGTCGTACCAGAAACATGAGTCTCCGCCTCCGAAAACTTCGGTGCCCTGGGAACCTTGATACTCATTTCCTCAAAGGGAAAAGTCTCACTCGACGGCAACCCACCACCCAGCGAAATCATACCGGGTCTAGACAGAAACTTGGCCGCGCCTTTCAAGGACGAGGGTTTGCGCGATTTCGCCTCCAAGGAAAGATGATGATCCCATCGCTTGGCCTTTGGTCGCGTGAAACAGGCGGGACTCTTGAACATGTCGCTGGTTGAGAATGCGGCAGTGCCCGTAGGCACAGCGCCGGTTTTGCGCCATGCTGCGAGGGCGTTGTTATCGACTGGGTTGGGGATTGTGACGGCGGTGTCGCCTTGGACCTTGATGTCGACTGCGGAGGGGCTCATTTTGGTTTCTCTGTTGGCAAGTCAGATCAGTTGCGCTGAACCTGGATCAATTGTAGAGATATATACCAGAGAGAGAGATTGCACGGCATGGAATTGCCGAGATCAACGTGTCGAAGCGGAGCTGCTCAAAGGGCGTGGAGCTTCTCGTACAAAAAAGACGGCCGTTATCGCTTGATAAGCGCGCGTATTGCCGCTGTATTGCCCATATAATGATATGGTATTTTTGGTATGTGTTTACCACCTATCCCAGAGTATGCTCTATCAGGCACTATCTATTTCTATATATTCCGATGTTGTTTCTTGAAATTAATCAATTGTGATAACTACAGTCCTTGTGTTTGGTCGATCTTTAGTAGCTCGCTTCACTTCGTATACTGTTGGTCTACAGATACGACCGCTCCGAAGTCGGACAACAGCATACTTCTAATTTCTCAATAACTCATCCTTTGTGGCATCTCTTCTGCTAGTCTTTGGTCAATCAGCAATTCTATCAATTATTAGTAATTGGCGTCTACTGCGAATATTCGACAAATATGGCGATCAGGATACTCGCTTAGCAGAGGCTATTCTCGGTTTGCTGCGGGAGGGGTATTGTTATCGATAAGTGAGTCATCCATCTGATAGAGAGAGAGGTACTCCGTAACTTTCTCGTATTTGATAGCTACAACAACTTGTACAGATTCAAGAACTAACATACTTCCCCGCCGTGCCATCAAACTGCGCCTCCAAAACAGCCGACGTCCCCGACAAAACACTCTGAATAGCCTGCGGCAACCGTTCCGCCAGTTCACCCACCGTACTGGCTCGACCAGCCCATAACTCCCCTCCAGCAGCCGCTTTGGCAATCCCCGCATAATCCGGCGTGGGAGAAAACGAGATATTCAATTCTTCATTGCTCACTTTGGACCCTTCACCCTCTGGGTGTACAAGTAGCAGACTTCGACGAGGCGCGTTCCAGCCCTTGTTGTTGAGGACAATCGTCAAGATGGGGATGTTGTAGCGACGAGCGATCCAGTAGACAGACCCCGGAATGGAGAAGAGGTATGTGCCGTCTCCTACTATCTGACATACGAATTTGCCCTTGTTCTTGCCTCCGTGCTGGTCGTCACTGGCAAGTTTGATGCCGAGAGCACCACCGCCGGACCAGCCCAATCCACCGCCTCCGCAATTGATCCAGGATTTTGGTAGAGTGCATTGAAGTTGATCTGCTACATGTGCTGTTAGAGTCACCGCTTCAATAGCCCAGATAGTACCCTCAGGTGCTGCCTTTTTCAGCTCGGCCATTAGATAGCTCGCATTCAAATAGGCCTCTGATCCCCCAGCAGGGGCCACCGCCGAGTCTGCAATTTCGTGTAGTCGTCGTCGATATGATTCCTCAACACGTTTCTGACGATCGTTAACTTCTTGGCTGTTCAGTGTTTGAGTTAGTGTTGCATTTGAAGCGATATAATCATTAATCTGTTTAAACGCAGTCGTAGAGTCGACCTTGAACGTCGCGATTGACGGCAGATAGAACATCGGAATCTGTTGTTTCAACGGATCGACATCAAGATGGATCACTTTTGCCGTGTCCCTTGGTTTGCACAGTGTCGGGATCCAAGGAGTATCACTATCAACCACTAAAATAAAATCGGCCGTCTTGATCGCTTCATGATTTCCATATCGTAAACCCAGCCAACCGGGATGGTCTGCTGGGAAACTCATATCCGAGCCAGCACAGTCGAGCACCCGGAGGCCTTTGACCGTGTTGGCCAGTGTAACCAATTCCTTAACGGAACTGGTTGCGCGACCGTTATACCCCACGATTGCCAATGGCTCCTTTGCATTGACCAGTTCATTTGCAATCAATTCGACTGCACTTGACGGCAATGCCGATCCTGTGACTGGAACCCACTGTTCTTGCTTCAATGAATACGGCTCAATTTCCTCTTCCATAACCTCCCTCGCACCAACCAAATAAACCGGTCCCTGGGGATCGCTGGTAGCCCATTGTAATGCCCGATTTACCACCTGTTTAACGTTCTTACCCGTCTTGAATTCACCGGTATAACGACAATATTGCGATAAGATCTGTTTCTGGTCAGGCACATCCTGGATCCAGTGAATGTATTCTGTTCTCGAGCCTCGCATCTCTCCTTCAAGCGTAAATGGTGATAGGCCCGCAAAGATGAGAACGGGTGCTCGACCGCATGAAGCATTGTGGACGGCTGCAGCGAGGCCTTGTGTGCCAACATCGACGTGGACAATGACACACTGTGGTTTTCCTGTTAGACGTGCGTATCCGTCGGCCATAGAAAGAGCAACCATCTAAGCTCCATTAGTATTATATACCTCGGATACTTTGCATGCAACGAGTCAATCGGAATTCCTGCTGACATACTTCATTTGGGCAGGTGATTGCTTTGGGCCATTGATCTCTGCGCTCTCTCTGTCCTTTGACTAGTGCTTCAATGATCGATGGATGGTCAGATCCAAGGTTGACAAAGACGTATTGAACGCCGGCCTAGACAGTCAGCATGAAGCCTACCAAGCAGAAGCGGGGATGATATACCTCCCAAAGCGCCTCGAAGAAGGCAAACGAAGCTGTATATCCCCTATTTTTCGTTAGCATCAGTTCATTAACTCGATGGGTTGCACTCATATTTTGTATGCAAGACGTGGTCAGAAATTGGAAGCTGGAAGGAAGGTATCTACCACCCTTTTTAGAGGCGAACAGCTCGGATAACTGTCCAGACTCAATTGATAAGCCGGCAAAGAGAATTCGAAGTGTACTCCGATTTGCTGCATTACCTTGTCAAAGGGCTGAGACAAGCGTATCACAATAGGTCAAGTGGATGTGCGGAGGTTGGCAGGGAATGAAGACTGAGGGGAAGATGGGGATGTGGAGAGGTCATTCATCTACCTATATACAGACTACGCCTCCATCGCAAAGATGTCCGATCCCCCCACGCTTTCTTATCTCAAGAATAAGTACATGACAGTCAATTCCAAAGACTCTGCATGATCACAAAGATTGAAAACCCCTCAACGCCTCATCACAGAGATTAGAGTAATATTCATCGCCTTTATATCCACGCTTCTCATTCCGTAATCCCACAGCCTGGAATCCGTCTTCTTTCAACCGCTTAATCCGTGCCTCCTTGGTCTCGTTGAGTTCTGTTCCCGGCGCTGCCCAGCCTGGATTGGGTTTCAAATAATTTACCGTGCTGTTTTTACGACCCTCATTGTCGTCCCCATCGCCAACGGCTGTCTCGTCCATAGCGTCTTGTGACAGGCTTGAGAAACTCCAGTATGACTTGGAAGGGGGCATTTTCTGGATTTGAAGGTACTGTGCACGGTTGGTCTTGATCTCATTCGCGAGTTGTCGTAAGTTGATAATGTTGTATTGGAGAGAGCCCAAGAAAGAAGACAAATGATTTTCGAACCGCGCAATATGGCCTTCGAGGTCTTTATTACTGGGACCATACTTCTCTCGGAGTTGTGGCCGTGTCCGCTCAACGAGGTGAAGAGAATGGTAATCAGAACCAACCATATACACTCCATTGAAGGATGCCCCCTCCCAGGAATGCATCAAACGAGCCAGTGAAGCCTTATCTGAGTCTGAACCGCTCACTATTTTCACACTCGTTTTCGATTTGGGACATAACGGCAGAGGTTTCGCACTCGACGAATGTGGGATTGGCCTTGGGCTGAAAGCCTTCACCTTCTCGTTTCCTTCTGGGCCCAGATAATCACGAATCAAGTCGCTGAGAGATCGAGGTATCTCTTTTGCTTTTACTTTTGTGTTGTTTGGGCTTGGGGACGTGGGCGGTGACGATGTCGTATTGTGCATCTCAGACGAGGCGACGATGCTCGATGTATTGACAAGGATATGCTCCTCATGCTTTTGCATTCTCTGCGCCACGCGCCCTTCAATCTCTCCTCTCAATCTCTCCTTTATCGCTTCAATACTTGCCTCTCGAGCATCTCGATCATCTCGAGTAGCCTGATTAGATAGAAGATCTCGGCCGTCCACTGAAGGCGAATATCTCGAACGAGTAGGAGATGCTCTGTAGTCGTCCAGATATCGAATATCTTGACCCCTACTTATCGTACTGTTCCCCGTCTCAGATTCCCAGTCACTCATGTCCTTCATGACACTAGCCAAGGTTCGTAATCCGCCATGCTGATCTGGTGTGCTCGCCATACTCGAGACCACCTGGTCGCGACACTCTGTCTCGACCGAAACGCTGCGATTAAACCTGAGTGCTGGCGATGGTAACATGCCGACATGCGAAGCAGGTGACATTGAAAAACGCTTGCGAATATGTAGCGGTGAGGGCGTTAGGGGAGATTGTGACCCGAACTTATCCAGAAGTTTTGACGTAGGCTCTTTCTGAGGGGTGGAATTGTTTGACAGAAACGGATCTTCTTCATTGCGAAATGGATTGTTCAGGTCACCGTCAATCAATCTGCTGATTGCGTCCGTCAACCTCGATATCCTCTCTGCAAAGAAGTAGGGTTAGTTTTGACTTATAAATATAACTAACAAAAAGAGTTCAGTCACCCTTCCGTTGAACCGTAGGCGAATCCTCGACATCATCATATACAAGACCCTTCCCCTTCGATGCGGAAATTTCAGGAGTTTGGACGTCAGTTTTATCTTCACCGAGCAAAACGATATCTGTTAAGACTATCTTGCACCTCTCGAACCATAGAATAGCGTCTTCCACTTTCTTTGCCTTTCCTGCTGAATATTGATGCATATTTCTCGCATGCATCTCGACACAGGACCCGATCAGAAACATCAAGTATGCACGAATGATGGGGGAATCCTATAAAACCCGTCCTCATTAGTTGCCCTCCAGTTATCTTTCTATGCGTGTACATGCCTTGGTGCTCCTCACTAAACGAAGACATTTACTCTCACATTCCTTCCATCGTCCTTCGAGGTACACCGTTCGCAGATTACTGAGAGTTGCGCGCCATGCCCCCTTTGTTGATGGGATAGAGACTTGTGACGATCTGAGGCCTCGAAATACTCGATAGAGAGGGGCTGAGTCTGTGGACGATGCTGGAGAGGAGGTTTTTGAAAGATTCTGGCTCATTTTGAAAGAAATAAGGCTTGTAATGGACTTGAGGATATATGATTTTGCTAGATGAAGGTGTTCACTCAGAGACTGCAACTTTCACTACTATGAAGGCGAAATATCATGTGAAAACAGTAAACAAAATAGAAGATAAACAATCCAAAATTTAGTTGCGTCAGAGACAGTTAGATTGTTGACATGTCGTGTGAATATGCCATCCAATATTTCCCTATTCAATACTATGTAGCATGAAATCACCGGAAATTCATGAACAAGATAAATGCTACCGGACATTACCTTAATCACTACTGGGCCTACAAATTGACGGACACTCCCACAACCTGTGAAGAAATTTGGATATCAATTTAGATGTGGATTAAGGCAATATATCCATTCACATCTCAATATTTAAACCCAACATTAATCCCCATCAATCGACCCTGATATCGCTGAATGACTTCTCCTAACTTGACCAATATCCCAGCTGCAAGCATTCGCGTCTGCTCTGTATCATCTATTTTATCCGCATTGCTGGAGGTAGCTGGCGTCCTCTCAAAGACATCATTGCACCAGTCCCTAAGCTCGATTACTTGTACCCCATGATCTGTAACAAGTCTTTCTTCTGCTGTTGAGCCGGCGGCAATATTCAAGTCGATAACTGCTAGAAAGAGGGATAGTAAAGCTGGTAGAACAATTGGTTCGGATGATACGGCCGTGCCGTGGAGAGTGAAGATTAGGGCTAGGGTTTCTTGGCTGATGGTTGGAAGCGCGGGTGTATGTGGACCCAACGTCGATATTATGAGGGTGACTGTTTGGAGAAACAGTCGCAAAATATTTGCTGAGTAGAACGGATTGTAACTGGATGAGGAAACACTTTTAAAAGTGGTTAGTTTGGCAGCCTTGCATGATGATAATCAGGAGATACACTTACGACCGCGATTGTAACATGACTGCAAACCTGCCGACTAACGGGTAGAAAAACCCCTCAGTCAAGTCTTTGTGCAAATCTTTCGAAACGGTTTTCTTTTTCCTCTGAGCTTCTCGTAGCTGACGTTGGCGCTCAACTTCCATACGAGACGAGAACGTGCGAACTTTGAGGACATTGGGCCCCGAGGCTGCGTCTGCCGCATCAAGTGCTAATGGTTGTAGTGAAGTGCGAGATAATTGCTGCGTTAGAGCAGAAACAGGGGAACTCTCTCTTTGGGCATCATAAAATTGCTGCAGATTACTGGGCAGCTTTTTGGACGGGAACTCTGCCTGTGAAGAAGTTGAAGGTAGTCCCAAAACCTTGGCATCTTCTTCTCCATGGCCAGCGATTTCTCTGGCCCCTAAACCCATAGCAGTTAAGATGGCGGATCTTTGGGTTTGCGACAAGTCTCCGTCAAAGAAAGTCGCCGTGAAATATCGACCTATACGGATCGGTTGCGCCGCAAGTAGAGCGATCATGGCTTGGAGACGATACTCGTGAAAATTTGGAAGTGAATAGTTGTCTTGAAGGCTTATCACGACCAGTGCAAGTCCGTCAATGTTCTCTAGCAACTCAGTACCAAATCCAGCTTTTCGACGAATAAGGGAGGCTGCGTTGGTTATGCCTAAGTGGTAACGGTCCACGTTATCACTGTCCTTTAGGTAAGAAACCAAATCTCGTATGTAGCTATAATATAAAATGTCAGTTCTCCGACCACTAATGGCGAGTCAGTGCTCATAACTTACACCGGAGCGCTAGGTTTGCCTCTTTGCACTAGAGTTGTATCCTCCTCAGAATCAGAGGCATCGCTGTCTGGTTTCGCATAGGGCATGAATTCATCTTCTTCTTCCTCATCATCCTCATCATCCTCATCACTGATCTCCTCGATAGCGACTATTTTTGACCTCTCTCTTTGAATAGCAGAGGACGGTGGGTGCTTCACAGGTACGACTTTGGGTCTCAAAGTCTCCACAGGTTTGCTAGGTCGTTGATTTTCAGGTTCCAGCTTTTGTAAGTCATGAATGGAACTCATCTTATCCTCAACCCTGGTCAGACCGAGGTACCATTCTGCTTCTTCGTCATCAAATCCTTCGAGATCGAATTTCATCGCTTTTCCTGCTGGTTCAACCAATTCAGAGACGGCCATTCCGACAATCATGCCTAGAAAGCGAGCTCTCGTAGCTGAGGCGGCCAGTCGATTCGATACTGCGTTCAGATAGAGTGATGATCGCCCAATGACATATAATTCTGATGGCTGTAGTCTATGCAGATATCCGGCGGCTAATAAAAGTATTTGTGCATTCGCTGTGAATGTTAGAATGATGGTATTATCTTTTATCGTCGAAGAAGGCTGACCTACCTTCTTGGGTTGGCAGTATGGTATGCTTTATACTGAAGCTATCTCCAAACTCACGGAAAGCCTGTTCCAGTAATTCTCTTAATGACTCTAAAATCCGTCAGAAAGATTTATGTGTAACGGATTAGGTAGACAAACCGGCATCTCTTGCCACTAATAGAACAAGAGCACGACGCAAAGCGAAAGTGGTAACCACGTTGCTACTTGCATTTGACAGCCAGTATCGGAGCGTCTCTTGAGGACTGGTAACGCCGTTCAGGATTTCATGTAATAGTGCAGAGACGCCACCCACAATCGAGCTTGTTGTTTGAATATTTTTCTCGTCCGTGGCAAAGTATCGTTTCTGAACGTCTTTCAATATACTTTGCAGAATAGCGCTCCGTTCATGATGCCGAAGATGTTGAAAACAAAGACCCCAGGATGGTGACATGGTACCATCCACAATCACACCCGTATATAATTCATGGACAAAGCGGTCGGTATAGCCCAGTCCTGTCGCGCGACCAACGATAAGAGCTGCAGATTCCCCGGGATCATCGTCATCATGAATGATCATGTAGCTCATGTTCCGGCCTAGCCACTCAGCAAAGGAATGACCTTCTCCAATCCATGATTTATTATTGGAGAATTTACTGTCCTTGATAATAGCCAAGGCCTCTGCAGCTGTAGAAAGAATCTTTCCGCCTGAGAGAAGAGAACAAAACTCCGTCCACGCCACACGTCGTTTAGTATCTGTATCATATATCGCGAGGTTATCGTGATATACTCGCGAGACAAAGTCGTTTGGTTTCAGAAGTGTGGAAGTGAATGATAAGACATCTCTTAAGGCCAAAATCCTCCCCAATTCTCGTTCCTTCGCTGACAACGCGGCGTTATTGGATGTCTGTATGTATCCAACTAGCGCTCGTAGCCCTGCAACGCTGGAGAAGCATCTCAGAAGTGCTCCCCGAATTTTGAAGTTGCTCTTCTCGACCTTGCCCCAATGATCGGGAATTGTCTTGTTGAGCAAAGTATGAAGAGTCTGTCCTTGAAGCGGATTGGGAAGTCGTATATCAAAAGCCCGGTCTCCACTCCTATCTCGCAACGGATCCAGATATTTTAAAATCTGATAGAGTTCCTGCTCATTAGGTTGCTTCTGAAGAAGCTGCAGTAGAGCTTCTGGGGTGTTGGTGTCATTTGTGATTTTCTTTGTTGATGGAGCTTCTTCTTTGCCGACGTTGCCTGCTGCCGATTCTGATAACGTTTCGATACGCTTTGTCTGAACAGCATTCAACAAGCCATCCATTATTACTCCTAGTTAAATATCAAAAATTCCATAACGAACTTCTAAGATGAGTAGTTGTAAAGAGTAAGTTGGATCTTTTCTTCAGCAGGAGCCATCGCGGGTTATAATAACGCCGCCCCGCCAATCATCGGCCTGAGGCAATCATGTCACAGTTCCCACTTCTGCCAAACAACATCTCTATATCTAAACAATACTACGAAAGCTCAAGAGTCTATACTGTTCTGCAGAGATCATACTTCTACATATCGAGTTCACTCCAAGCATTGTGTTGATGGTTGACAACATAATTTGAGGGATCAATATTTGCAGGCAGACGAGCTTCGACCTTGCATCTTATATCGGCACTTTTCATCATGCCTTCACTCGAGACAAATACAGACTCGTCGAATACGAGATGGTGCAATTGGCCTTCTATCTACGGTGATATGAGATCGCTAACATTGTGATTATAGGAGACATTTGTACAAAGCTTTGAGCAAACCAGGTCCATTCAGCGACGAAGATTGGGTACCAGGATCAGAGACCATCGATGCTCTTGAGACTTCTAAAATTCTGTAAGTTACGTCTCCTGGTTACAGATATAACATCAGCTAATAGTTCTAGTGTCATGTGAGTCCTTCGTGGATAAATACTGTCTTCGTTACCTCTAATGGCGTTCAGTGGAGCCGGAGGTCTAGGATGTGAGATTTTAAAGAATCTCGCGCTGTCTGGTTTTAAAGATATTCATGTTATCGACATGGGTATGTTGTATTAACCAACGATCCTTACTTGAGCTAATACTCTCTAGATACAATTGATATATCCAACCTCAACCGCCAGTTCTTGTTCCGCCAGGCAGATGTAGGAAAGCCCAAAGCTGAGGTTGCAGCAGCATTTGTCCAGAAGCGAGTCAAGGGAGTCAAAATCACACCCTATGCCGGAAAGATTCAAGATAAAGATGAAGACTACTACATGCAGTTCAAGATTATTGTCTGCGGATTGGATAGTATCGAAGCACGTCGATGGATTAACTCGACGTTGGTTGGAATGGTAGACCCCGAGAATCCAGAGAGCTTGAAACCTTTGATCGATGGAGGTACAGAAGGTGTGTTGATACTATGCATATTTCCCTGCACCTCCACTGATGACTATGTCAGGTTTCAAAGGACAAGCCCGTGTCATCCTTCCGACACTCACATCATGCATCGAATGCCAACTCGATATGCACGCCCCCAGAGCTGCTGTTCCACTATGCACAATCGCAACGATTCCCCGACAACCGCAGCATTGTATCGAATGGGCTCACCAAATTGCATGGCAGGAAAAGCGCAAAGACGAACCATTTGATAGTGATGACCTCAGCCATATCTCCTGGATTTATCAACATGCATTGGAACGCGCCAAACAATTTTCCATTCCCGGAGTTACTTTCCAACTAACGCAAGGCGTCGTGAAGAATATTATTCCCGCCATCGCATCGACGAACGCTGTGGTCGCTGCATCCACAACCTCAGAAGCATTGAAAATCGCTACTTCATGCAACCCGTACTTGGATAATTACATGATGTATGCCGGCGAGGAAGGTGTATACACCTACACTTTCACTGCAGAGCAGAAACCGGACTGCCCAGTCTGTGGAAATCTGGCACGTACAATCCATGCTGATCCTGAAATCACCCTAGAAGAGTTTATAGAAAGTCTGGGCGAGCGAGCAGAAGCACAACTCAAAAAGCCTAGCTTGAGATCGGGGGAGAAAACGCTATACCAACGGTTTCCACCCCAACTGGAAGAGCAGACACGACCTAATCTACGGTTAAAGTTGAAAGACTTGGTATCCGATGGTCAGGAGATCGCTGTCAGTGATCCGGCATTCACCATTGATTTCCGGTATAAACTCGTTTTTTCATGAGCTATAACGACACGAAACATCGAATCACGAGGAAGCGCACTGCTTACATAGATGAATTAACAATATACAAAAATCACGAACACCGTTAGACATCAAAAATAACTTTTTTTGACCCGTAGACAAATTGAATCTATATCCACACCAATAAACAAGAGAGAACGCCAGAAAATGCAACCGCAAGAGAGGCAAAACGAACCCACAAAATCAAGACATTATTGCATCAATCTGGTCAATTCTCGTTTCAACCGTAAGCACTTGAGCTTCAAGACCGTGACACTTTCCAAGAAAAGAGTATCACTCGGGAACTGCCCGGTACTCTCAATATTGAAAATGAAGTGATCCCGAACACGACCCAATTTAACTTTATCCTTGAACTCATCATGTCGTAGACATTCTCTGCTAACGGTATCCTTGAACGGATCCACAACCACGGCTTTGTCTTCACCAGTGTGGCCTTCATAGCCACTACCCTTTTGCGCAGCTTCTGCCGGAGTGATTTTCTCGAAACCGATAACGCCCTTGGGGAAACATTTGGCAAATTTTTTTGCGTCTTCACCGATAATGGGACGTAGAATTCGGATTTCGGGGAGAAGGCGGTAGGTTGCCGTTGCGACGGGGGAAAATTTGGCATGGTCCGCACCAATACCCTTGACACAATGCATTTCAAGCTCGATCACCTGGCCCGGTCTAAGTTTAGCAATAAGAATATCAGGATTGACAGGTTGGATTTCGCCGTCGCCAGTGAAATAGTTCGTTTGACGGCCCTGAGGATGGAATGTGATGTCCCTTGCGTAGATATGAGCGTTATGGTAGCGAATGCGGGGATCCTCTGCTCCGGGTGGCGCCTTCTCATTGACGCTGCATTCAACGTTAAGTCTTAGAACGACAGTATTGAAGTCGCTGGGCTCGCTGCCCTTGGGATCCTCCTCTGTAGGCTTTTTGAACCATTGCATCCAATTCAGACCTTCTATGGAACCTTTGAGCGGAATTAGACCAAGACGAGAGGCGAGGACTTCGTCTTGAATAACGGAGGTGTTGTTTATGATGTATACGTATTCGACGGCGAGAGTGGGCACTTCGGCGATGAGGATACGGCGGAAAGCGTTTGCAATGGAGGCATCGAGGCCGACGAGTGAGAAGGAAGCATCTAATGGCTCATTCTTGTGGAAATCGACTCGAAAATTCTGCTTGAATTAGTACTTGAAGCTCAGCTTCATTGCAGATGCAAGACGTACGTTTTGAAAATTTTCTACGGACCATTCATGCGATTCTCCAGGCCAATGTCCAGGAAAGTCCGTGGAGGGTATGTTGGTGATGGTTTCGGCATTGATATTAATAATCTGACACAGTTAGTTTGGCCTCAAAAATTCTCGGAATTCATGGGCGCATACCCTTCGTCGTGACGGCTCCTCTGCCGAAGTTGCAATCGGTGCCATGCTGCTGGATAATGTGAATGCGCTGTACTGGAGTGGTGAGAGCCGCTTGAACTTCTTTTTTCTTTTGGATCTCTTTTCTCCTCCGCAGATCCTAAGCCGTTTTGGGAAGGATTGGGGCGCTAAGCTCTGTCCAACCAATCAGATAACACAGAATCCCGATTAGCAGCAGTTCGACGAAGAAGAAATTGGCTGATTGTTGTTTACGTTCTGACTTTTACACCATTTGTTCAAGTGAAATCATTAAATATCACTTGTAGAATGCCCATAGTATATTAATTTCTCTTTTTCTAGGGAAATAGTGCGTAGAATAGGCAGTCGGACTCGATTGTATGAAAATCACGTGATATGCGATCATCGACACCTCAGGCCGCAAACAATTCCTGCTGGGCCCGGAAGGACCACACCAAGCAACCTCAGATTCCCGACGTCTGCACACTCTCTCGCAGCCATCCTCCAGTCGCCCGCCACATCACCGCGATGGCTTCTTCACTCTCTCGCGTCGTTGGCCGCGTGCCAATGACGCTAGGTCGTCATCAATCGCTATTCAAAGCTTCGGCATCGTGCTCGCGGCATATGAGCAGCACCCCCTCTAGACGAGCTGCCGAACCTCAACCCTACCAAGCAACCAGACTCATTCCGACAGATCCCTCGTTCGCTCATCTTGCGAACAAGGCAGGCCCTCAACCTCCCGATGAAGCCTCTGCCCTCGAGTCCACGTCTGACACAGGCAATCGCAAGATCCGACACTATACCGTCAACTTTGGCCCACAACATCCGGCTGCGCACGGTGTGTTGCGTTTGATTCTCGAGCTCAACGGTGAAGAGATTGTTCGCGCCGACCCTCACGTCGGTCTTTTGCATCGTGGAACAGAGAAATTGATCGAATACAAGACATACATGCAAGCCCTACCATACTTTGACCGTTTAGATTACGTTTCTATGATGACCAACGAGCAATGTTACTCGTTGGCCGTTGAGAAACTGCTCAACATTGAAATCCCCGAACGTGCCAAATGGATCCGAACAATGTTTGGAGAGATCACTCGTATCTTGAACCATCTCATGTCTGTGCTATCCCACGCTATGGATGTTGGAGCTCTTACACCTTTCTTGTGGGGTTTCGAAGAACGTGAGAAGCTCATGGTTAGTGTATTTCTTTCGAGTAATGGTAATGTCTCTAATTGTTGGTGATAGGAATTTTATGAACGTGTCTCCGGTGCTCGGTTGCACGCCGCCTATGTTCGCCCTGGTGGTGTTTCCCAGGATCTTCCCCTCGGCTTGCTCGACGATATTTACCAATGGGCAACTCAATTTGGTGACCGCATCGATGAAACCGAGGAACTTTTAACTGACAACCGTATCTGGAAGGCCAGAACACAAGGTGTTGGTGTTGTCAGCGCCGCAGATGCTCTCAACATGAGCTTCACTGGTGTCATGCTTCGTGGTTCCGGTGTACCCTGGGATGTCCGCAAGTCGCAACCATACGATGCCTACGACCAGGTCGAGTTCGATGTCCCCGTTGGTATGAACGGTGACTGCTACGACAGATATCTCTGCCGTATGGAGGAGTTCCGTCAATCCCTCCGTATCATTCACCAGTGCTTGAACAAGATGCCCGCTGGCCCAGTCAAAGTTGAGGATTACAAGATTAGCCCTCCTCCTCGTGCCGCCATGAAGGAAAATATGGAGGCTTTGATCCACCACTTTTTGCTCTTTACTAAGGGTTACACCGTTCCTCCCGGTGAGACATACTCTGCCATCGAGGCCCCCAAGGGTGAGATGGGTGTCTTTATTGTCAGTGATGGTAGCGAACGCCCATACCGCTGCAAGATTCGCTCCCCTGGATTTGCCCATCTCGGTGGTTTCGACCAGGTCTCCCGCGGTCACTTGCTCGCTGACGCCGTTGCCATTATTGGCACCATGGATTTGGTGTTTGGTGAAGTCGACCGATAGACCTTGTTTTTCCCATCATGTTACAATAAAACAACCTCGAAACACCATCAAAGAGCGAAAGAATTTCTACAGCTGCCCTAAAAAAGTAGCATTGTACTACTGGCGTTTATAATTCATCGATGGGTCTGTTCATCATCAAATCGTCCCAGGATTTGACATGCTTTACTTTTGAATTTATCTTGTTCCCGTGAACCTCGATTTCCTTTGTGACGGCTAGTCCTCTTTCCTATTTGTATGTACAGTTATATTATCAATAGAAAGATATGGATGGCCAATCAATCGTAGCATTAAGAATATATTTGCTCGTATCGTTTCATAAGGTCTATATCATCACAAATCATTATACCCAATAGTTCCCGTAACAATAAAATCCCAGTTATCAAACATTATCGTCGTGATAGTAGAAGTTAACATCCCTCGGCCTTCGCTTGTTCCCCTTAACAAAATCGGTATCGTCGGGCGGGCGTTCGTTCTTGGTGTTTGCGGTCAACATGCTCTGTAAACTCATGCAGACGCTTTCGACAGTCTGAACAGGTGACCATCCCGCTGATGAGAGCAGGTCCAGGCAGATGAAGCCATTGGAGTAGATGTGTGGGTGAATCGGAATGAGCCGCGGAGTTTCTGGCGCTGACACGTTGACAAAGACGACTTCGGGTGGTTCTGCGAAGACAAATGTCAGTATTCCTTATGTCTGCTGAACATCATCCCTGAAAATGATACTAGCATACCGATAGGATATTTCGAGCTGAAGATCAGCTTGAGTCGGAAAATCTGGTCTTGGTAGAGAGGATTGGAATCGAGGACGCGGATGTCCATGAGCCATTGGTCAAAGTTCTCGGCTTGGACTATTTCGATACCGGGAGGTAGATGTTCCTTCATCTGTTGGAAATTGTGCATTAGTGAGGAAATATATGGCGATGGGGTCCGAATGCAGGGAGCTCGTCATGAGAGAATAAATAACGAAATATATTGTCTACCAACCTTGGCAAGCTCCTATATCATGTAGCCTGTTAGCAACTCAACAGCTGGTAGTCCTGGAAATAGCTTACCTTCCCCAGTCGCTTAGACGCGAACATCTTGTTGACTCACACCCTTCCTTATGCAATCCGTTGAGGATATAATTGATATCACTGCTTGTATTCCGACTAAAATAGCAAGCTTCTTTGACGTGCCGTGGCTAGAAACCGTTTCTGGCAGCTCACATAAATTCCCAGTCGATGACGTTGTTGAAGGCCGACGGCTTCGCGGGCTGTTAGGTTAGAACAGACTCAGCTATAAATCATGGCTATGCAGGCGAGACCGAGCAGTGTTGAGCAGGCTAATGCCCATACAATCGTGGTTGTGAAAAGAGATGTTTCTTGTGGAGTTGAAGAGAATAGCTGTCTTAACCCCGGAAGTCACGAGCCGCCAATACCCCACTAAGTATCACATAGCTTTCTTTCTGTGTTGGATTTCTCTTCCGTCAGCATTTGTCGCATTTATCATTTCAGGGTGGTTTCGGAATGCGCCAAACGCGATCTCCCGAGGCTACTTGAACGAAATATATTGAGAACTGGAGATATATACCAGTATTCTCATTTATTGCGATTAGTGCTTAAGCAGTGAGGAATCGGACGATTGATGTGTCAGAAGCGTGGATCTGAATAACCGCTATATTCGGTCACTATACTATTCATCACTATTCTCATTGATGCCAAACATCACCATTGTCATAGATGGATGAGTTCTGTCTAGTATCAAAGTCCTCTGGGAGCTGTACCTAGCTACCTGAGGCACCAATTGCTTTATATTCCTTATTAATCACCAGGAACGCTTGATATTAGCATTGGCTAGCTAAATCAGACGCTTTGACATTTTTTGACCTTCTCTTATTCTCCTTGTCCACCTCCGTTCGTTCGCGAATTTGGAATGTCCTTATAGAAAGTTATAGGTAGGTAACCGCGTCCTCGTATAGAAAGGTTTCGCTATGGGTGTATCAACGGAACATCAATATTCCGTCCAATGTGATATCAGGTTTAGGGTTTGTTCAGCTTCAAAGTCTTTATCTCTCTTTTAAATCACTTTTTGCACGATTAAGCACTGGTCATATCCTCAAGAGTCATCCTTTTATCAGCTTTCATGCCATAAACTTGCCTGTCATTCTCTTCGTTGAGGGTGGAGAGCTCACAATATAGAGCAATGTTCTTGATGCAGAGCATTAGGTCGTTCAACGATTTAACCTGACCTTCCATGGACTTCATTGAAGACATAGATGGACATGTAAATTTATTGGCACATCCCAGTCTTCCATATAGAAGATAGCTGCGTGTTGTCTCATAAAAAGAAAATACCAGGGTTAGGGTCCAGTACAAAGCCTGTCAGTTGCTTCCTTGTCCACTGAAACCTCCCAAGTATGAGATTAAATTTTGAGACCACTGATATGAACGTTCATGACAGACTAAGCGGAGCTGCTCCAAGGTTTTGGTTTCGGTACATGATCTTTTGTGGTACTTGCCTTGAAATCATAGTCACCTACATGGCGCTCAACACGAATAAGAGAGCACACCTATCCACCCATCTCATCAAGAAACCATCCTATATAGATAATATATAAATCGAACATAATATATCTTGCAAAGAACATTCACTTAAGAGAAGTATACATAGATCATTCATAGATCAAAACCAACAAAATGCTCCTCCCCTTGCGAGAAGATATCACGCTGGTCGAAGGCTTCGTCCGAACGGTCCTCAAAACACTCCGTGACCACGGCGACCCCGAAGAAACCGAACATCTAACGGCAGAGGCAAACTGTGACAATTTCTTCGCGGCCTTTAAATGGGTACAATATCTCCACAACAGGGCATCACTCTTATCCGAGGAGGCGCGCGGTCAGCAATGGAAGCAATTCCTTGCCAACGTCGAAGGGGTTCTTAGGCAAGTTGCGCGATGGGCTTTTGAGAAGTATCCGGAGGGTGTGCTGTCGACTTTAATGACAAGATATCAGAGCGGTGACAGTAATTTTGAGATGGATATCGATAGTCCAGATGATCAAACAGACTGGACTTGGGCTCTCCAGGCTGCTCTGGAGTTGGAGGTGGTTAGCAGGGTTATCTTTAAGCATTGTGAAAAGGCTACAGAAATGATGCAGGTGGATTTCACAGCAACGGCGTTGTCGGAAATGTCGTTTTAATAATTATTAGTTATCCAATATTAAGTCGGAGGATGCCGTTGCTTCATTTATCTCCGGATACGGTAGGGCTGACTGAAGCAATAACCTCCTATTTTTAGGGTTTGACGTACAATCTGAAGATTCATCTTGTCGGTGAAGTAAAGAGTCGGCCGAAGTTCATAACGGTTTGCGTATACACGTCTAATATGGTTCGTCACATTGAAATCTGTTGATTGCACAGAGATGGAAATGATGGAAATTTAGTCACTCGGCCGGGTTTGGAAGGATGGCTGACTCATACATTTCTTTTCCTTCGGCCGAGATTCAACATACCGTCATATAAGAACAACTTCTAGAATTTTTATATGATCGAAATAATGTACAGAAATCAAATAAGCCTGGAAAGAGTAGAAAGTGTTTATGGTTGGCAGTATGGATAAAGTCGAGGAACCTGTTGTGCCCATCTCAAAGCACGATGTCGGCTGGAGACGAGTCATTCGGAATTTTACGCCATCGTACGTATTTCCCTTTTCAACAGAGACATATATGCTAACAGGGGGTATAGATGGTTCTCCGTCAACATGGGCACAGGAATAGCGTCCATCCTCCTCAACACACTCCCATACAACGGCAAATGGCTTTATTACCTTTCTATCATCATCTTCGCGCTCAACGTCCTTCTGTTTGGTATCTTCTGTATAATGACCGCTATGCGATACATTCTATACCCCAGGATCTTCACAGCCATGATTCGTCATCCGATCCAGTCGATGTTCCTGGGAACATTCCCCATGGGGTTTGCAACGATTATCAACATGTTTGTATTGGTATGTGTACCGGCCTGGGGTGACTGGACCAAGAACTTTGCTTGGGGGATATGGATTTTTGATGCTATTGTTTCGGTTGTTGTTGCATTGTCATTACCTGCTCTTCTGTACGTATTCCTCCGTCTTTTAAGAGGAATCCTTTCCACTAACTTGCACAGGATGATGCACATGAAAGAACTAGACCTGTCAGCAATGACAGCTGTCTGGCTTCTACCTATCGTCAGCCCTATCGTCGCCGCTGCCTCGGGTGCTGTGGTGGCTGATGTGTTAGTCGATTATAATCCGCAGCATGCCCTCTGGACGGTGATCGTGAGCTATGCGCTTTGGGGTATCGGCGTGCCCATGGCCTTTATGGTGACGACGATATATCTGCAGCGACTGACACTGCATAAGCTTCCCCCCAAGGCGGTTATTGTCAGTGTATTTTTGCCTCTGGGGCCATTGGGGCAGGGTGGATATGGGTATGTCTTCTCTTCTTTTTTCGTTCCGTTTCGTTTCGCAAAACTGACAATCGGCACAGAATTCAAAAACTGGGCATGCTCATGCCGACCCTCTTAGAGAAAACGCATAATCATACCCTTCCAGCCGCTGCGGGCGACATCCTGTACGCAGTCGGATGGCTGATTGCCCTAATTTTGTGGGGGTTTGGTTTGAATTGGCTCTTTTTCGCACTCACCTCAATCTTTTATACACGCAAATTCCCATTTAATATTGGTTGGTGGGGATTTACCTTCCCCCTCGGCGTGTTTACGTTGAGTACATGCCAGATAGGAAGGGAGTTGGGTTCGAAGTTCTTCCTTGTTCTGGGAACGGTGAGTAATACCTCTCTCTGCAACTGCATCGAGGACAGAACTGATGAGATTTCATAGGTATTTTCTGTTGCTGTTGTCCTGCTTTGGATCCTGGTGTCCACACGGACGGTGATAGGTGCTGTCGAGGGTAAAGTGTTTCACGCGCCTTGTTTGGCTGATTTGGAAGTTCCAAAGAGAGCAAAGAGAGGCGATCACGCAGTGTAATAATTTTAATATTTGTATAGAGCATAGATTGTTAGGAAAATATCATTGACATGAAGCGTCTTCTACCGTAATACTACATACAATAACAGAAATGGCTGGAGAAACACAATAAGATAACCCTAACGGCCGACACGCGAAAGAACGAAACACTCAATCGGATTCGATGAAACACATCCGCGAATCCAAGACTCTAATTCGATGGCCGCAGCAAGTTGAAACGAAACTTTTACTTGATCTAATTTTTAAGGCTCTTGTCAAGTAAGGCCGTGATAGGCTGAGCAGTCACTGATTAGTATCTAGGGCTAATAGTAAACTGGGGTAAGACTACATCATGCACTCACTATTCAGCTTCGGAATGGATGTGCCGTTTCAATTTGGTTTTGTACGTACGTATTTGCTTTTTCTTTTTTTTCCCTGGCTTCTCCTACTTTTTAGGCTGCTTGGTAGTCTTGGATTTCCAACAGTCTGAATTCCTTTCTTTTCCTTGCGGGATACTTAGCCGGAAAATGACGGTTGCCTGCGGCAGTTGGATGTCCCTTGTAGTCGAGAGTAGAAGACTTGCTTCTTCTATTTTAATGACGCCCAGAAGTAATCTCACAATGTTACATATGCGCTCTTCGCTGTTATCTATACTTCGAAGCCATGATGTGTGAACCGACTTTGAGATTCTTGCTATCCATGGATTGACGAAATCCCCAACCCCGGGAATGCCAATGGGATACTAATTCCTAGCTCGAAATCTTCCCCTCGTTCTTTTGTCATGGACCCAAACTTTATTGAGTAAGAATTTAGCAAGAATCACCCAGTGTTCAAGTTGACTACATTGAACTGGCAGTATGGCAGTAGTCTACTAGTAGTGGCTAGGTGGTACGGATTATGCGGGGTTGAGGAGGGTTTGGAATGCTGATCGAAAGTTGCCAGAGTGTCTAATTCGATGGCCTCTCTTTGCAGACTCTTCTTTTAGTGTGTCTGTCTCAAAGCATCCACACGGGCGCGACAGACTATGACTACCTGGATGGTGGCTGCATCCATCACTTAGTAAAAAGAATAAAAGAAGAAGAAAAGGCAGACGGTCATGACTCCATCCCATGTATGGGCGGGGTCTAGCCTATGGTGTCTCACAGGAGAACATTTGTATAAATCACAGCCATTGGCGAACATATCCAATAGGCTTTGGCGTTATACTGCGAAGAGAAGTATATTTAAGCAGTGCGTTGACACTACTGGTCAGCGGTGCGGTCATGCTGCATGGATACATCTTGTATGACCATCACTTTCTGCGTCCAAGAAAGCCTTAAATTCTTCAATTAATTCATCGATGTTATGTATGTATCAGGAGAGATGACAACTCACCGCTTTGCTGCTTGTAAGCTTTACACATGACACGCAAAAATGCTGGACGCTGTACGCCGTCAATGTTCTTATTCTTATTCGACAAGTGGTCACATGGCTGGGTTGCCTCCGAGGCGTCGTTCCAGACGAACGGATCATGTCAGAGGCAAGGGATGGATGTATATTGCGTGTTGCTGGACGAGTCAGTCCAACTGGATCGCACGGAGTAATAATTGTAGTAGGTAGGATAAAGAGGAGAAAGAGAGAGAAAGAACACGCTAGTAGGCGATAAAATATGCCTGAGGACTAAGGCACCATTCACGCTTCCTTCCGCCTGTCGCGACTCGGCGTGTGCCTTCCCGTAGTGTCTCTTATCCAGCAACGACTTCCTTCCTAGTGGCCCTGCCTAGCACCTGCCGAGTTGCGATTCCAACTTTTTTTTTTTTGTTTCTGACCCTTACAACTACACAACTTCATTGCAATATTCCTCTCTAGACAGTTTTCTCTCCTACACCAGCTCAACTGTACTCTCTCCCACTCGCTCTATCGTCTTGCTCCACAATTCATCCACCCGCGCGACTTATCGACGTTCCCCACCGTGCTGCGACAACTACAACATTACACCAGGTGACGACCTGCCAACTTCGTCCTCGTTTCGTCCGTCAAGCCACGAACTTTTCCAACCTCATACCTTAGTGAACGCCGAAGTATCGTTGCTACCCTATTTGGAGGGCGTGTTGCCCTCTACCAACTCTCCCTGCAGTCGGATAATTGCCCTCCAACTGCATTGACGCTCGTGTTCCCCCGCCATGGATTGTTGATCTCACGGGCGAGGCCACAGCTGCTTACGGGTAGCCGATCTGCCTGGCAGTCGGTCCGGCTTTGCTTGGTACCCTGCTATTTGGCTTAGTCGAACAATTCTATTGAAAACGAACAAAAGGAAGATCCATTGAAGACTGTCTTCGGCCATTGAGGCTACCAAGTCTGTGCGTGCCTGTGTCGACTCGTTGGCGACAGTCGTCAGCGGGAAAGACGACAACATGGCCGGAAATAATGGAAACATGTCTCAATTCCTCGCTCCACCGACCGTTACTGCCTTGAGAGAAGAGGCACGAGTTCCGAGCCAGCATCGAGTAGCAATGGATCGTTCCTTCAGCGAAGACATGCGCGCCGAGCGCGAAGATTTACGAGAAGCCGCGGAAGAAACTTTGAATGTCATATTGGATTTGGGATTAGATGGTCATATCAAATGGGTCAGCCCGTCTTGGAGACAGGTCATTGGTACTGATCCGGAGTCTGTCGAGGCCAAGGTCATTTCGGATGTACTTTGGTCCAACAAGTCTTGTTTTCAGGATGCGATCAAGTCGATGAAGGAAGATGACTCTCGGAGTCGATTCATACGATTCTCAATTGCCATGGGACCGGACTCGATGCTGAAATCCTCTATCAAGGAGTCATCCTCTACGATCAAAGACGACGATGGCAATCAACAAGGCGAACCTAAAGACTCTTCCGCTGAAGATGGAGAAAACTACCTGTCAAACGATGTCAGGGAAGAAAATGGTGAAGATATACTGGATATGGAAGCACAAGGAATCATGATCTATGACCGTTCAGGCGACGGCGAGGGACATGTAAGAGTAATCCTCACTTATCAAACACTGCAGGAGACTGACTTTGGAACAACAGACAATGTGGATGTTACGACCGTCGACGTCACCGAAAGAAGTCACTATTGATCTTCCCCCACTTCTTGTAGAGTCCCTCGGTGTTGGAGCAGAAGTGCTGGCAAATCACTTAACGGTTTTGGCAGAGAGAGCCGCTGACGCCAACGCCGACAAATCCGTTACGCCCACTCCAGTTCTATGTCGAATCTGCGAACGGCAAATTACACCCTGGTGGTTTGAGAAACACTCCGAACTGTGTCTCCAGGAACATACTGCAGAATTGGAGGTTCAGATTGCCCAAGAAAATCTCAACGAGCATCGACATGCAATAGTCAAAGTCCTCGACGCTCTGGAAGCTCGTCAGGGTCGCTCTATTCCGACTGATATTCAACAGCCCACCCCGCAGCCCGAGTATAAAGGACTATCCATTGGACCATCTCCATCCTCGTCACTTGCGAGTTCTGCTCCAGGCTCCTCGCCAGCCACCCCACCGCGGTCAAGGGATCCTTCAACATCGGGGTTAGGCCATGGAAGGGGTCGCTCTTTTGCTGTACGGCGGCCTCTGGCTCGTATTGTGGAATTAATTTTGGATCTCTGCGACACCGCGTTAGAAATCAGTACTCCTGCTCTCAAAGAAACACGGACAGATAGCATAGAGGATCTGCGGACTTTATCCCCACAATCAGAGTCTCGTATCTCTCAAGTGCTACAATGGCAGTCACCCAGCAGCAATACGCTAGAGCAGGAACAAGGTCTGGCTGCTTTATCTGCAGACACAGAACAATTGGCCAAAGCCAAAGTCGACGCAGTCGTTCGTCATCGTCGAATTGTTGAATATGCAGAGAGAATTCGCGTTGAATACACGGTCATGGTGGAAGAATGTATTGAGGCTGCGCTCAGCAAGGCAGAGCGAATTGCTGCCGGCGATCTCACAGATTCTTCTTCGAGTACTGGCTCGTATGAATCAGATGGCGAGCAAGCACAAAATGCGGATCAAGCCAACGAAGATGAGCAACAACCATCTCAAAGTGCCGAGTCCAGCGTTCCTTTATCTCGAGAACATTCTGAAACTGCCACCCGTGAACATTCGGATCCATGTTCGTATTCTCAATCGCCTCGACGTGGTTCGTCTGTTGCAGTTTCTACTCGCTCGGCAAGTCCATTGGAATGCCCAACTCCTCGCTCTCACAAAAGCATCAGTGGGGTCCTAGGTACATCCCAACCCATCAAGCGAGGGTCACTTCTAGCCGAAAGTGACATAGCGAAAACAGCGATAGCAGCAGCGTACCTTCTTCCTCTTTGATCGCCGCCGCCAGAGCGACTGAATCTCCTTCCTCCGAGAAAGGTCTCTCGCATTCAAGCAGCGGAAGAAGCAGAAAGCGTAAGAGCTTGATTTTACCCAATCTGTCAAGCTCACCACGTCGTCAAGCATCTCCAGGTCGTATACAAGGTCCTGGATCTCCTCTACGCCTATCGAAACCTCGTCTACCCAGTGGCGAGAGTATGCCTTCTCCTAGCATCTCGCCGTTATTGACCACGAACGAATTGACAGCTCAAGGACTGCCACCACATCATCATTTGCACACTCATCACCATCATCATCGACGACAGTCATCTACTGCTTCTTCAGATCCGAGGGCGCCTATCTCACCACATTTGAGCTCCGTTAGTCAACCCCAACCTCGCCCTGCGCCGCCGTCGATCAAGGATTTCGAAATCATCAAGCCCATCAGCAAAGGAGCTTTTGGAAGTGTCTATCTTTCTAAAAAGAAGACCACTGGAGAGTACTTTGCTATCAAAGTACTAAAGAAAGCAGACATGGTTGCTAAAAACCAGGTTACCAATGTCAAAGCGGAGCGAGCCATCATGATGTGGCAGGGTGAGAGTGATTTTGTTGCCAAATTATACTGGACCTTTTCCAGCAAAGATTATCTTTATCTTGTTATGGAGTATCTCAACGGAGGTGACTGTGCCTCGCTGGTCAAGATTCTGGGTGGGCTACCCGAGGATTGGGCTAAGAAATACATTGCCGAAGTGGTTCTAGGGGTTGAGCATCTACACAACCGAGGAATTGTACACAGAGACTTGAAACCAGACAATCTTCTTATTGACCAGCGCGGTCATCTCAAACTAACTGATTTTGGGTTATCCAGAATGGGACTGGTTGGTCGTCAAAAACGTGTGTTGAAAAGCCCCAACGAGTCCGCACCGGACTTGTTGAAGCAAGGACCTTTCCCGCGAGCTATGTCGCTAGCTTCGTCACGCTCTGCATCTTTTGACTTTCAGGGAGGACAATCGCCCAGTTCCACTCCGATCATGACACCTGACGCTGCCGGAAGCTACAGTCAGCCTTCGTACTTTAGCTTGAATCAACTCCCTCCTCCTCGTGAAAGTCTAGGGCGTGCATCTGGATACCGTAGCGATAGTGGTGGAAGTGATATTTTGAATGCAATGTTCCGGACATTTTCGCTTAGCGAAGGTGCAGAGACTCCCGCGCCCCTGCCACCTCCATCTCAAGCTGTGACAGAAGATGAGGCACCTAGTGAAGGGGGGGAATCTCCGCATCTAGTACCATTAAGCCAGACCGTGAGTGCGACGTCATCATCAGCGATGCACAACACACCATCTGCACAATCCATGCTACCGCCTCCGATGGCCTTGTTCGATCCCGAGGACCATAATCGAAGATTTGTCGGCACCCCTGATTACTTGGCACCGGAGACAATCAACGGCGTCGGCCAAGATGAGATGAGTGATTGGTGGTCACTTGGTTGCATCTTGTTTGAGTTTCTTTATGGATATCCCCCTTTCAATGCCCCGACACCAGATGAAGTTTTTGAAAACATTTTGAACAGGCGGATCAATTGGCCCGATGAAGCTCACGAATTGGTATCACCAGAGGCCATTGACTTGATGAACAAACTGATGACACTCGATCCGCAACAACGATTGGGTGCCAATATTGAAGAGAGGTTCCCTAATGGAGGCGCCGAGATTCGTAGTCATCCTTGGTTTGCTGACATCAATTGGGATACATTGCTCGAAGACAAGGCGGAGTTTGTTCCCAATCCTGAAAACCCAGAAGACACTGAGTATTTTGATGCTCGCGGTGCGACTTTACAATCATTCGAGGAACTTGAAGATGCCCAATCTCCTCAATACCCGATGACTGCCGGAGAGTACCCCGATCGTCCTCATGATGCTCTCTCCAAAGTTCGCTCGCAAGTGAACTCGATTAAGCGAGGACTGATGCCTTTGCATATTCCGCCGCATGTCCGAGATACACGGAGTCGACGTTTGAGCGAACCTGTGTTGGCCGACGACTTTGGTAATTTCAACTTCAAGAACCTTCCCATGCTTGAACGGGCAAACAAAGATGTCATCCAGAGACTACGGCAGGAAGCCATGCAGGCTCAGCAGAGGCAAATACCATCGACAACGGCATCCCCCAGCGTTCCTAGCTCTACTCCGTCTTTAGAAGGTAGCCCACTACTTCCCATGCCGTTACAACGCACACTCTCACAGACGAAAGGGAATCGACCTGCGTCTCCATCTGGATTAAGTCAGACAGGATCTTCTCCGAATCGACCTTCGCAGCCTTCTTCTCCGTTACTTGTTCAGTTCAGCACTGGCCAAAACCACGAACGTAGAAAGACTTCTGGGTCCTCTTCGGCGCAGTCACAACAATCGGTTGGTTCATTACCTGATAAATTTGGAGAGGTTCCCCGTCTAACAGCTAGTGCCAAGCTTGCCTCTTCCGCGCCAACATCGAATAAACCCGGACGATTAACTACTCATTCGCCAGAGAAGACTGCATCTGGACCTCCCCAGTCAGGCCTCACTCGTGCCAGATCTCAAACGATAGGATCGCAGGACAGCGAGGGACATTCTGTCTCGTCCAAAGAGCCATTCATTCCGACCCACCACAAACGTCGTAGCCAACTATTCGACATCTCTCCCTCGTCTTCTGATAACGAAGATCCACGAACAAAAGCATTATTGAAGGTACAGCGGAGGCGACAGAGCTCTCGACGACTCTCCCAGATCAACTTGCTCGATGGCCCTGTTTTCCGTCCTCTTGATATCTTGATATGCGAAGATCACCCAGTTTCTAGGCTAGTTATGGAGCGACTGTTTGAGAAATTACGCTGCCGGACAATTACCGCTGTCAATGGTTCCGAAGCTATTCGGTACGCCTTGAGCGAGGTCCAATTTGACATTATCATGACGGAAGTCAAACTGCCTCAAATTAATGGAGCGGACGTCGCTCGCATGATACGTGAGACGCGAAGTGCAAACAGACATACACCGATCATAGCGGTGACTGGTTATCTTAAGGATCTTCCCGAAACACATCATTTCAATGCATTGATTGAGAAGCCGCCAACATTGAACAAACTGACCGAAGCCCTGTGCAGGTTCTGCCAGTGGAAGCCGCCACCAAAAGACTACGTTCCGACACACTCGCTGATGATACCCCCACTCCCGCGTGGTGTCAATCAAGCCGAGGACAGCCCCAGCTCCATTTCCTCTGGGTTCCATCCGGTACCTTCGAGCTCATACAGAGGCTCCAGTAGAGCTGATTCGGTTGGAAGTAGCTATTTTGGCGACATGGAGTCGACCAAGGCTGAGGAGATTCCTGTTGTCGTCAGTCGTCATATAGATAATTGGGGAGAGGCGCCGGAGGGCCTCGGAATATCAGAAGGAGCAGCAGCGCCTGCAGCTGATCCTAAGCTCAATACAAACATTCCAGGCCCATTGAATCTTCCTCCGTTGCAGCATGCTTTCTCAGCGCCACCCACATCTAACCCTCCAAGTCTGACTGTGCCTCGCAAACAGCGATCTAGTGAAGCCATTCGTGCTAAGCGGGAGTCTCTGGAGAAAAGACGTTATGAAGGCGCTGAATCTGGAGACGATGAAGACGAAGAACTCGGGCATCTTCAAGCTAGACACCGTGCTCCACATACGTCGAAGGGACCTCGTTCTAGTTCAAAGCTGGGCACGGAGATGATGCGAACCAACAGCCGTGGAAGTGTTGTTAGCGGCAGCGAGGAGATCTTAGCCAAAGAGAGACCTGCAGAGTCGGAAGCAGGAGATGTTCAAGGCTTGGGAGAACAACTCGAGGCATTTGACATGTCTCAAGATGAGGTGTCTTCGCCTGAAAGGAAGGATTCTAAACCAGAGTCCCCGCGTTCATCACGATCCCTTGATCATATGAGGCGTCCAGCTTTGGAACCTCTTCATGAGTATCCTACGGAGATCCACTCTCCAGGTAGTTCTGAGCCGAGTGCACAACATTTGACGGCCGAAATTTCAATTCCGTCCAAGGATGGCGCTACAGATGGAGGTGACATATCACCCGGCCAAACGGGAACTTCGTCTGTAGAACCTACGGATTCAGAAGACATAGACCCCGATGCAACTCCAAGGCCAGCTCCAACTCCAGCCATGTCAGAGCCTGATGAAGCGACACCGCGTGGTCCAGCCAAGGGTCGTCACGAAGAGAATCAGGAACGACCAGGAAGTCAGGCGGGTCATATCCATCTTCGAGATGTGCTTCACTGGAGAAGACGATAACCATGCCGACTTATTTATTCACATTTTATTCAACATCAATTGTGACCCGAAGCAACAAAGCGAGGACTTATTTCGGCCATCACTATTGATGTTATCTGTCTTTTTATGCCACGTTACGAATTTCTTCTATTATCAACATCTGCAACAACTCAACTTTCAGATTGGTTTCTGCCTTGTTCACATTTACAGCCTGGAGTTTCTTTTTTGTTCTCTTCCAAAACATCGATTATGCTTAAAGGCGTTCATATCACCTGTATTACTTTCGTGTTTTCTTAGAATTAAACTCTCCCAGGTAAAATGTCTGCAACTAAACTGGGCTACTTTATTTCTTTTCTATGTTCTCATTCGATTACCATGTGCATATTTATCCTGGAGGTTCACCTCTATTCTTTATTCTTTATGATTCATGAATGGTATTACTACTTGGTCATTATGATGACTGTTTTCTCTTCTAACTTGAAAATCGTCATGTTAGGTCCAAAGTTCATAAGCCTTGCACGGATAATTGTTTCTTCTACTCTACGTATAGTCTTGATGTAAGGAAATTATGAATACAAGCATTGAAAGTACATTATTACATGACATTAAGTAAGTCTACTCTAAACAGACCCGTAACACCACCAAAACAGAAAGGATTATTGCACCTTCTTACCCTCAGGATAATTATTCGCAACCCAAAAACTCACCGTCCTCGCAATCGCCTCCTCCATACCAATAACAGCCTCATACCCCAATCGATCTTTCGCCTTGCGACACGAGTAGAATCGCGTCATGCATGAATACCGTACAATTTTGCGCGTCAATCGAGGCGTTTTACCCAATAGACCGTAAATACCTTCGAATATACCGCCGATAACAGTCAATGCACCCTCAGGAAGGGCCCAGACCTGATGAGGCTCAACTGGTCGATCGAGTAAATTCCACATTGCGCGGGGAAAGTCCCAGAAGTACATGGGCGCATCGTTTGTGATTATGAATGTCTCCCCGTCGACACGCTCGTAGTCTAAGGGTGCTTCTTGGCCAGCTTCGTATCGCCCGGCGGTCGCGAGTAATTTGTACGCTGCTAGGAGATGGGCATAGGCCACGTTGCCAACATATGTGAAATCGAAGAGATTGTTGTTATCACCGAGTTGAAGACGTAGGGATGTGTTTGAGCCTAGATAGCCGAGTTCGAGCATTTTGAAGGAGAGTAAGGTATCCTTTTCGCCGGTTATGCCGGCTGGACGGATGGCGCAGGTTAGCATGTTTGTGGGGTTGGATTTGTTGGCTTTTAGGACGAGTTCTTCTGCGAGGCCCTTTGGACCGGTTAATCCGATTATCCTTGCGGAGGGGAAGAGTAAAGGACTTCAAACCTTCGTCTCGGAATAGTATTCCAATTGCGCCTTTCCACGCACATAAGGCCAGTCCTCGTTGACATTTATCAAATCGCTCTTTGTATCGTGTATCACTGATGCAGAACTCGTGTAAACAAATGCCCTACACTTCTTGCCCCAATCCCCATGCACACCACTAGCAACCTCAATCAACGTCCTGGTACCATCCACATTAACTTTCTTGAGCATCTCATCCGTCGAACCCAACGGTGCCGGCGCAGCAGTATGAATAACAACATCTGGTTTCACTTTACGAAATACATCCAACATGGACGATACAGATGTGAGATCTCCTTCATGATACTCCGCACCGGGTAATCTGTTATTCGACGTGCGCAAGTCGACAATGTGTACTTTTGTGTTTGCGTAATCGGGGAATCTGCCCTTGAGGCCGGGGTACTCGAAGCGAGGGTCATTTTCGATGTGTGGTAGAGCGACTGAGGCGTCGGTTTCGGAGGGGAAGGAGAGGAGTTGGTTGACGATGTTCCAGCCTAGAAAGCCGCAGCCGCCGACGACGAGGACTGTGCCTAGTTGGAGGGTGGGCGGTTTGGTGGCCATTGTTCTCTGTATCGCGTTGATCGAACAATTGTGATTCTTAATTGAATTGATGGTTGAAGAACAATTGACTTATTTTTGAGGTTCAGTGTTGACCCGATCAGTCATCCAAAAATATCGAGCCTTAAGGGGTAAGCAGGGCGCGTGCCGATTGTTGACTCTTGATTACATAATATTAAATGTTTGTCGACCAGTCTGGTAGGTTAACTTAAACAGTCTCATGACTTATCAAGGTCAATTTAACACCACTGATGCGTATGTAATCGAAGGGTCTCTACAGATTGTATATCTCCAGAGCTGTTAGGTATTTTCTTGATTTCTACCTGGGTGAAGTAATCTAGGGTGACCGAAATATTGAATGCTTCCGAGGTTGGGCGCTTCGCTAGCCTGCCAGTGCCTGAATGGATCTTTGAATATACTCAGCGTACAATCCAGCTGGCCAATGCTGGGGTGAGCGTGGTTAGGGTTAGGGCTTCACCCTAACCCCAGAAAAGCTCCCCCCTTGTATCAAATTAGGCATAACTAAGTTATGTTAGTGGAAAAGTCAAACCCTGCTTATGTAAAATATACAACGCAGGAACAATTGCTAGTCGCTTATATAGGGGCTTCGCGACCGACCAGTAGAATTTACTCCTTTCGTGCTTCCTTGTCTCCCAGCTACCGCTGGGTGTTGGAACCAAAATCACGTGACTAGCAGAACTACAGAAGTCGAACTACGGAACGGCTCGCAAATACCACAAAAATACAGAATCCCTTTAAGGGCGTCCATTTTGGAGAAACGGTATTACGTTTAAGTTCCGACACTGGGAAAGGGTCAAATGACGGCAGGGCTCGTAAGCAGATTTTTTTCTCTGAATGGATAGTCTGCAAAGTTGTTTCTACACATTTTACTCTAAATATGCCATTATGATAGGGTCGAAGAGGATCAATATGCTAGTTTACAGATAGATATACTCTAAACTAATGTCCTATCTGAAAATTTCCTGGTGGATGTGCGAAACTATCTCGAAAATCTAAGAAACACGTATATACTATATAGAGCTTAGCCGTAGGCTTCCGTCGGGGGCTAGCTTGGAGTTAGGCCCCTAGGATTAGTGGCCGGCCCGGGTGGTATGCCCCTAAGCTTAGAGTAGGGGTTCCGGGGATAAACTAACCACTAGATATTCCTTTCTAGGCAGTGATTCACATGATATCTTCTTATTGGCTGGCCCTGTGGTGTTTGCACTTTGCTAGCTTAGAAATTTCTCAACCTCTTACCTTCCTATTTCCAACAGATCTCGCTACCATGGATGGCCTAGCCCTGACAATCAAACATTAAGAGGATTAAAGCAACAACTCGGTATCTAAGATGTACTATCCTCAAGAGACCGCCGCAGAGCTCGAATATACTTTTTCCGATCTTCTGGGGTCCCCCAGAATAATCTCGAGGCCTCCAAGTTCACTGTAGTCCTCGGGTCAAATGGCGGAGACTCTTCCTCAATCGTCTGCACAACAGCCTCAATGTGACACTTCAATTCGCCGGGACGGTTCGTATGGTAACATAGCATCCCGCCCTTGGAGACGTGATGATGGAAAATGGGCTTCTCGAAAAAGATTCGTGGCTGCTCCTGGGGGAATCGTGGGCTAATGTGAATCTTGATATTAAACACCCCGCCGTCAAGATGTGTTGAAGGACAACCAAAATAAGTTATTCCCCAGACAAAAGGATTGTCGTCAACCAGAGAAAGATGTAGCGAAGAGTTCTTTTGTTCTTCAAAGTCTCCCATGATTTGCTGGAGCTGAGTTGATAGATTACTGGCAATGCACAAGTCATCTGTTTTCGTCTTGAGCCCCTCGATAGCCCATCGCTGTGTCTCCTTCATTATTTCGTCTCGGATTCTTATTAGACGTTCTTTTAGGTCTGGGTAGTTGAAACATCCTCTCATCGTGTTAAGCCGGTATTCGAAACGCATTTCCCGAAAGGGATCGTTCAACTTGACCTTTTCAGACTCCACGTCGATCGTGTGCATGTAAGATTCATAGTACCACAGAAATCGTCGCTTGCGGAGGTCATCAAACGGTTGAAAGCTCTGTCTTCGTTTACTTTTTTCCTTCTCGGCGTTATTGGCATCGTCGCTATCATCTTTCATCTTATCGGCATCATCCACCCCTGGCATGGTCTTGCTGATGTTTAGGGATTCTTCGAGAGGTTGAATCACGGCGATACGAAGTGTCTCATGTTTGATCTAAGAGAAGTCAGACATAGATAATCGGGGTCGACTCAATATAGATACCTTGGCAACATAGTCGGTCATTGCTTGCCTGTCCTCGTTACTGTTGGCATCTTCATATCCAGGTTCATTTTCGTAAGGATTCGAAGACATGAGACTCTGAATCGAGATCAAGACGGACTCCAAACATTGTGCTGATGACCATCCTTCCCCTTCCTTCCCAGGCCATGTTCTATGAATGATTAGAACTTGACGGGATATCCAGGATTGGACATACGTACCCGAGGATAGACCTGTTCACAGAGTAAATATGAAGTTGTCAACATTCATAGTAGAAACGCACAAGCAAACCTTGCCACCGGCATAGATGTTAGGATTGAATCGACATCGACCAGAGTTCGTCGTCAGCGCAGTGACTTTAGGAGGGTTTCCAGGATAATCTTAAGATGTGAGCACAATATGATGACAACTAGAACCTGCTTCGCACCTTCTGGGAAATTGACTGAGAACTATCGTGATACACGAGACATTAAAAAGTGCCTCATGCAAATGATCAAGAGACTAACCTCGAAGAAGCCAAACTCGTATGGTGTACCTGGAGGTCCCACGATCAATGCTTTTATGTTTCGAATATCCGACTCTTTGTATGCGATGGCCAAAGCTAGCAATACAGTCAGCGGGATGATCGTGTTACTGGGGATTGAATCACTCACACAAGTCGTTCCCTTTCTCAATTTCTGACACCTCCTAATAACCACGAGTCTGCTAGTCAGATAACTGGTGATTCACTAACAGTTTGAACCAGAGATGAGAACGTACGCGTGTAATGCGAAGAATAGATTGATGTGACATGGTGAGAATGTGGTATTTCTGGTGAATTGAACGAAGAAGGTAAAGAGGTTTAAGAGGAGACAGCAAGACAGTCTACCATGATATCCTCAATAGCAGAGAAGGAAGGCACAAAGGATGCTGGGGCTCCCCATCCATGCAGTTACCTAAACAATGCAGCATCTTTATTTTTGACGATAAGTACCTACATGATGGTCTAGTTGAATGGGCAGTACAGAATTATGAGGACACAAAGTGACAAGCGATGGTATTTCTGTCTTCTCCTGGCTCATGCTGCTGAGCATATGTGGTTGCTAAAACAGAGCGCACAATGCTCTGCAGGATCTCGTTTCATGATGCTAGTACCAGACTCTTCTGATATATCTCATTTGCAAGATACTAGGACAGACACTGATAAACGACTCGCACGATACCTAGATTTCAGCCTCATCTTAGGTCGAATCGAATCAACTGGTAAGACTCGCTAAGATATCGCACTCTTCGCTGATGTAATTCTTCCATGCTCACACCATCAGACCGATTTGCCAATTCTAGATACCAGCCACAAAAATCTGTCGTAAAGCATGATTTTGCCGACTTGTCTGGTGACGTGTAAAAATTCTGAGAATAGCTTCCCACTAGTGAAGCTTGGGCTTTGGACGAGCGATTTAGTCTCAGTGGCAGTCTCAGTGCTCAGAGCATAGCCTCAATCACTCCCAAGGCATGGCGATAATGATCGGCGAATGGTGAGGACACATTCATCAGTAGATCGAAGTACAGTGATCAGTGTAAGCATAACTAAGATGTCAGACAGTAGTACGAGGTTGGAGGAGAGAGTTTGCATAGTTGGCGGGGAAGCCCCAGCGGTGTTCACGTGATTTGGTAGGCTTAAAGTTGGATTAGGCTCAACTTAGGGGCATAATAACAACACTCCATCTCCTCGACGTTCCTTTACAACACTACAGTTATCAGACGCACGTGCTTCGACGATTTTCAATATCCGTCGAATATACGTCTCGCCTGCTGCTGCGCACCAGAACCGCGTCCTGGAATACCCTCAGCACAATCAACTGTTTGTTTCCCAAAAGTTGCTCCGCCGCTATATTGTTGTGTCTCACTCCAATTCCCACCGTACCTGAGTCTGGCCCCCCTCGGCTCCCCGCATCCCTAAACAGCCTGAGTTTCGACGAAAAAGCGCTGCGGTTGTCGCTTAGATTGTTCAACTCTCGTTTCTGACAATTCGCCAGTCTCCATAGCCACCGCGATTTTCCTGTGTTGTGTCCTGCCTCCTCTTGGCGCCGATCACCCGTAGACCGTATGCTCGCTCGCTCGTGTGTGTACATGGCCTGACCATTGACCAAGTATCAGCAAAACGCTTGATTTTCGATATAGGAGGAACAGACGACTGAGGAAAATAAGGTTGTTTTATACGGTCTAGGATCGTCTATGGCTTAGAGGAAGTCCTCCACTTGTTGCTGACTGCGGCCCTCTTTCGTGTTCGACGACCCCTTGTTCGGCGGTCAAGGTTATGAAACACTGTCCTAAACGCTAGAACACACAACCAGCAGCGAAGAATTGAAGGGATCGGGCCGTGTTTACCAGCAATATATTAATTTCTTAGGAGCAGATCGACACCTCACACCATCATCATGCCCGATCGAACCTTACCCGACATTCTTATGCCGGGAAATGGCGGCTCTGGAAGTCCTCGTCCCTGGGGAAATGGCCAGGGATCAAATTCACAAAATAACTCGCCAATATCTCCCATTGAAGGGCATTCACCTTTTGAACGCGCCCCGCCAGGCGGTACTCCCCTATCCATTGCGGCGCCTGCGCCAACATATCAGCCTGACAACCGTGTTGGGAGAAATCCTCCGGAATCCGAAGAAAGGCACGAATCTGATGAACAACGTGATATCTCAACACCCAGGGAAAGGTCTCGGCCAAGTCGACGCACTTGCAAAAAGTGCGGCGAACCTCTGACGGGACAATTCGTGCGCGCTTTAAATGGGACGTTTCATTTGGAATGCTTTAAATGTCATGTATGGCTTATATCTTCTAGACTTCTTTAATTATTCTGTGCGAAGATCCGGTCGCTAATGATTCTCGATAGGATTGCGGGAAAGTTGTTGCTTCCAAGTTCTTCCCCGTCGACGCCGAGGACGGCAGCGGACAATACCCACTATGTGAGACGGATTATTTCCGACGACTGAATCTCCTGTGCCATGAGTGTGGTGGTGCATTAAGAGGATCCTATATCACAGCTCTCGATCGCAAATACCATATTGAACATTTCACTTGCTCAGTCTGTCCAACTGTCTTCGGTGCCCAAGACTCCTACTACGAACATGAAGGGAATGTGTACTGTCACTATCATTATTCGACTCGATTCGCTCAAAAGTGTAACGGGTGCCATACTGCGATCCTCAAACAATTCGTTGAAATATTCCGTAACGGTCAGAACCAACATTGGCACCCGGAGTGCTACATGATTCATAAATTCTGGAATGTAAGACTGGCACCAGCCGGCCAACTTCTGGACAATGAGACACCAGATAGTGAAGCAACAGATCTTGACCGTGAAATGATCCGAAAACGGGAAGAACAGATGGAAGAGAAGGTTTATAAGATTTGGAGTATCTTGTCGACATTCGAAGAATCATCGGCTGCTTGCATATCGGAGATGCTTCTCCATGTTAGCAATGGCGCTTATATGGATGGAGTTTTAGTCGCCAAGAGCTTCATTTCGCATGTAGAGATTCTTTTTGCGGCTATAGATATGCTGGCTGTGCTGTTGAAAGAACAAGGATTGAAAGGTGTGTATTATCATACCACAAAGTATGAAGTGACTAACAATATATTTAGATCTGTCATACGCGCGGGAGGCAAAATTGTTGTGCAAGAAAATTGTCGCTTTCTTTTCGCTTTTATCAAAGACACAAGAAACTGGAGTGAGGAAACTTGGCGTTACACAAGAGCTTCTGTCTCTGGTTACCGGTCTCGCTCATTATCTTAAGCTTCTTATTCGTATTGGCCTGCAGGGTGCTTTGAAGCTTGAACGAGAAAGAGATACAGTCCAAGGTCTTTTCGGATTCCTCAACCATCTAGAGGGCAGCCTTCAAAGTCTCAAAGTTTCCGAGGAGGCACCGACAGATCTTATGTCTGGCGTTTCTACTTTGGCAGATCAATACTCTGATTGCTGTACAGCATGTAAAGAGCCTATTGATGATGCGTGCATTATACTGGATGACAAGAGGTGGCATATCAAACCCCCTCACCTCGTTTGCAGTAATTGCCAGAAAGACCTTACTGGGGACCTTTTGGAGGCCATGTGGAGTGATAAGGACCACCGTTCATTCTGCAGTAACTGTGCTCTTCACTTAGGCCGAGCACCGGATGCTCGAGGCGGGTTCAAAAACGTCACAAAGCTTGTCCAGTACGTATTTTTGTTGCAAGTCGCACTTGCGAGGCTACTCTCCGTATTACGATCCAGTGGCACCCTTCCACACAGCACAGGTAATGAATCATATCCACCCCCATGATGGCCAACAAGCTCATTAATTTCGACAGACGACCCTAATCTCAACGAGTATGATGCAAACGAAGGCCACCGCGTGGAAGGCGGCGCAGGATTAACAGCCGAAGGCGGCCCAAGGGCAGCAAATACTCGCTCTAAATCTTTCACAGTGGCATCCTCTAAGAGTGAAGAATCATCCTCCTTAGAGCAGACGGTTGGTGAGATGCGTCGGCTGAGGTCTATCCGCAATGAGAGAACTTTGTCTACTACCTACAAAAAGGCACGAGCATCAAGGATCATCGACGGCCCTGAAGGAAGGAGTGTACGCCCGGGATCCTCAGGTGGTGATGGTACCGACCCTAGGAATCCTGGTTTTCAAATAATCGAAGAGAAGGACTCGAATGGAGAACCGGTGAATGAATTACATTTCGGTCATCAGGATGCACTGACCTTGGACGATATACCTCGTATTGTGGCTGCAGAACAAGCCAAAGAACAGCGACCTAACGCGTCTAGATACGCCGGGAGTAATCTTGTTAATTCAGAGGATTATCAAGCTAGGTATATTCCAGGCCATCGCCGGGAAGTGTCTGGTGGTCCAGACCAAGTTCCTAATGACAGCTCCGGGATGAAACCGAAGAAATACTTCTCAGAACTGACTGCTCTCGAATACTTTATTGTCAGACACGTTGCGGTGCTTTCTATGGAGCCACTTCTGGAAGGCCACTTTAATCTGGAGGAGCTATTGTCCTTGATCGAATCACGCAAACCTACTGTATGGAATCTGTTTGGACGTGCATTCAACAAGGAGGGCAAGAAGGTCGGCAAGAAGAAAGGTGTATTCGGTGTCAGTCTTAATATTCTCGTCGAAAAAGAGGGCGCCGAGTCTACACATGGAGTTGGTCCGGGTGCCTTGCGAATCCCTGTCCTCATTGATGATGCCGTGTCAGCAATGCGGCAGATGGACATGTCGGTAGAGGGAGTTTTCCGGAAGAACGGCAATATTCGACGATTGAAGGAACTGGCAGAATTAATCGATAACAAATACGAACAAGTCGATTTGAGTCGCGAGAGTCCAGTTCAGGTGGCTGCTTTGGTGAAAAAATTCCTTCGTGAAATGCCAGATCCTCTCTTGACATTCAAACTTCACCGTCTTTTTGTTATTTCACAGAGTAAGTTTTATCTGTTCTGTTATTGTAATTGTTTACTTATGCTGCGCAGAAATAGCCGACCCCGAGAAACGAAAGCGCATATTGCACTTGACCTGCTGCTTGTTACCTAAGGCTCATCGTGACACGATGGAAGTTCTGTTTGCTTTCCTGAACTGGGCGGCTTCATTTTCTCATGTGGACGAGGAGTCTGGCAGCAAGATGGATATTCACAATTTGGCCACTGTCATGACACCGAATATTCTATATCCTAATACGAAGACGGCTAGCATGGACGAGAGCTTCTTGGCTATTGAAGCAGTGACCACCCTGATTGCATATAATGATGTCATGTGCGAGGTAAGCAGGCGCACCATCATTCTCACGGGCTATTCTGACATTATTAAGGTTCCCGAGGATCTTCAATCGATTCTCAATGACACGAGCTTCTTTAAGGACAGTGCCGATATCACCACCAAAGAGATTCTCAAAAGATACGGTGACTTTGGCAAGGGTGTTGTTGCTCAACGAGTGACGCCGAATATTGAAAGTGGGTCCGGATCTACTCGTGGCACTAATACGCCCGTCACAGCTCGCATTGAAACCGATCCTTCGCAAGCAGCAGCATGGCAGATGCAAAGCTCCGTTCGACATGTCCAAGCGTCAGGGGGACCAGCTTATACGGCAATGCCTACCAATCATCAAGGAGGCGAGAATGGTGCACCGGAACAATATCGCGCTCGAAGTCCAAGTACGGACAGTCAGAGGCAAGCTATGGGCCAACCTTCCGAAGCAGATGCCGAACCGCTTCCGTATCGTCCTCATCCCGGTACAGGGCCAATGGGAGTGGCTGGTTGACCAGTCAAGATGTCTTTTTCAATTATACCACAGCGCACGTTTTTCCCTTTTTATTTATTTTCTTTTCTTTTGCACGGGTGCAACATTTCCCAAACAGTCTAGCGTTTTTGCTGACAGTGGGTGCTTGCTAAGGAAGAAGGCGTTGATTCGTATTTACTTAGTAACGAGGCCATTGCATTGGTTAGCCAGCATGACAGGCGTGAAATAATTTCTTCTTCTTTTGTTGCTTTGCTTGGTTTTTTCTTCGAAAAAAGAGGGTATTATGCAAGCGCAACCTATTTCGTTTTGTCTTGTCTTCTTTTTTTTTTTTTCGTTCTAATATTCTCCCTTTTGGAATGGGCATGGCCGAAGCATTCCTGACGCTGTTTTAATTTCTCTCTTCTCTCTTTGGAAGGTGAAGATTATATTCATACTTGAGAGAGTTATGCATCGCAAGTTTTTTCGAGATGCTTTACTTTATAACCCTTTTTTTGTTTTATCCACTGCTTGATACGATTCGATTCCCGATAAGAGGCTACTTTACTTGTTATAGGAATCTAGAAGAATTTTCTTCTTCCAAACGATATTTTAGGTTTCGCATACTGTCATGGTTTTAACAACCTTCTCCATATTGGGTGTTAAATGGTGCCGTATTGTTTGATATGATTTATTTTGGAGATTAGAGTGAGTCGGGCGATGTTAGGTTAGTGATATCTACTTCAGTTGGGGCAGGTAATTTTTAGTATGATTCTTAGGCGGTCAGGCTCCTGGACTCACCGCCTTTTTGAATAAGATATTGAATATCTTGTCTGATTTGAAGCTTAGATATTGATATTTAACAATCAATATGGCCACTCCGAGGTTACCAGTTCCCCTAGGGCAGCCAGCGCAGCAGCCCTTGAGGCATCTGAGCCAAGGTAGAATTCAACACAGCTTAATAGGGATGAATGGATCCGTGTATTAACCCCTCGAGGTGCTGGATTTACATATCTTCAAGATTGGATTCAAGAACAATAACCAGATGATAAGCAGCTTTCTTATGATCGACTACGTGAGGTTGTACGAGCTGCTTGGGATGCACTGCCTGAGCAGTTTTTGAAGGAGCTTATTGATTCCATGCACGCTAGATGCCAAGCTGTAATAGATGCTCAAGGTGGTCATACAAAATATTAGATTAGTAACCAGATATGACTGGCAGAATTCATTGGATTTCAACCCCTGTAAGAAAATCGCACTTAACAAAATTACCGGCCCCAATCATAGTAGGTACCCGTGCCGCTAGCGCTCGACCTCACATACCCGTGCCAATTCGCACCAACCCCCTCCGGGTGTTAGTGGTCACCGGTTAAAACATAATATTTGTTAAAACAACATTTTTAACTATACGATCAACTAGATGCCTAAAAACCACATAAAAAAGATCTGGAGATCTATAAAAAAAGGAAATTGCTTAGCAATCATATCTACAAAATAAAAATCAAAAAATTACCGTGTTGGTGCGAGAATTCGACGCGCCTTATCGCCGCTTACTTGCTCGCGTTCACAGTCAAACTTCATATCAAGATCGTCCGCCACCGAATATCCTATTAACAGATTGTAAAGAATATGATCACAGGTCACGTGATGACTAGTGATTCCGAGGCTAATTATAGTCTCAACCCCTGAGTTGTATGTAACTAGAGAAAAAAAGAATACACAGAGATTCAACGCATCGAATCAACTCCTTATCAATACTAACAAGCAACTGATCATTAATCACTATTACTGAATGATATCAATCCTCTGAGTCTATACGATCCATTCACCGAATTCTTTACACAGATGATCAAGAACGCGCTGTAAAAGCATGGGTTGAGCATCTAGATCTTATAGGAACGCCTCCTACAAATAGAATGATTATGGGATGCGCGAACGCAGCCCTGGCGCGTGCAAATCCGCACCTATCCCCCCCGCCCTCAGTTGGCCCGAACTGGATATACCGTAAAAGAAAGCCATTTTTGTGGTATGGAAGACAGAAGACCTCAGACAGTGAGGCTCAATACATACAATCTTGCCAGTCATTTCTTCTTTTCTCATCCTTGTAAGCTACTATTCAGGATTGGCCTGAAGTTAACCCAGCAATCCGACACGACTCGAGTCGATTGCTCACGTGAGAAATGGCATTCTACTTGATAATGAGGAAAGAGGTAGTATGAGAGTAATTCTGGACTTGATGTCACACAACTGCTCATGTTTCCTACGTATGTACCCCGAGTCTTGCCTGAAGCCGGGCATATTCATAACTAGAAGTGAAGAGAGGTAGTTATTGTTGACAGTATACGTAGAGTTGCTATTTTTTGTAAGCATGAAAAAGGGTGCATTGGGTTTACACTGGCTTCGCCGTAGATTCTGATCAGCGTACGAGGCAGAAATGTACACAGGACTACGGTCTTCTCTGTTGCTCTTGGGTGATAAGATATGCGCATCAGATTGGAATCTTCCAAATACTGCTACCTACCGCACTAGGCTATAAACAAAAACCCCCGGCGAGCAGTTTTGGAGGCGTGGTCTCGCAGAGTGCGTGAGGATTCGGGATGGATTCCTGGGTAGGGGGTTTGGACTCAAGTTGGACAAGCTTAAGAGATTTTGTCCAACTCAGAAAAAATGAGGGAATTGTACTCGCTCGAATGTTGTTCCAACCTTGTCATGTTCGTTTGTTTATCATTCCGAATCTCTGTGTCACTGTGTATAACTCTACCCACGAGTTGCTACCGAGGCTTAAGGAAGATGGTAAGTAGAACCTCGAGCTCTAAATCCCACGTATTTGCTCATATACATTGACTAGGTAAGCATCTGTGCGTCTCACCAAGGTCAATGCTGGAACCACGAGTATGCCGGCTGATGTTTTGAAGAGGCTATTATTTTAGAACCAGGAAGAGTCTTCCATAATCGTTCTTTCTTACTACGAAACAAACAAGAGAAAGACATCAAACTTCCCAGAGCTTTTCCGGAACGAAGCATATCACAGCCATGGTTAAAGCAAACGACACCATTGCCATCATCATCGCGCTGTTCCTGACAATTACTATCGTCGGCTCTACATTGGCTTGTCGGTACTGTGTGCTGGTCGATCCCAGGACCGTTACAGATACGGATACAGAGAAAGGAACCACCTCCGATGACCACGGCGGTGGTCCCGGCGATGCTGAAGCTTCGATAGGCCAACAAAGTCAACCTGTTCAGGTGATAAGAGTTCCTCAACAGCCTGCTCAGGGCAGTAGTGTTAGAGCTCCCGGGAATGTGGTTGGTGACCGTGGTGTTGTGGTTCCTGGAAGGGTTGGTCAAGATGGTGGTGTCAGAGTGGTCCGTCATCCACAAACTGCCCAAGTGACTGTTTAAATATGCATACCAGGACAGAGCGCTCGAAGTCATTGGATCGGTTATTCATTCACTTGGAAGGCACCTTAGTCAATTAGTATTGGATGGAGTTTCGCCGGCCAGATACAACATGCATGTTTGATGTTTCTCTACCCAGGTACGAAATATTGGATCATGTTTGTTACATACATGAAATATCTCTGCTTCCTACCAAAAGATACTAGAAATAGGGGAAGCTGCTCATAGTTTGGTCATGTCAGAATTGCAGTCACACTGGATAAGATCAGACAGCTGCTTGAGTCACATTAGAGTCGCCCCTTATTAGTTTTGTCATCCTCGGAGCCATCACTAAAAGGACCATATTTAATCTTCAAACTCTCCCCAGAGACCATATTTAATGTCAATTTCCTCATTTAACCTCATTTAACCAAACGTGTTAAAACATCTTTCCTAAAGGCGGATAGGGTGCTTGAAAAGCTCACATTCATACACTTCTTTCTCTTCCATTGCAGTTGCAGTCAGCTAAGATTCCTAAGGCAGAAAGTTGGTGCACACAGCAGAAAGTCCTGAGGATATCGCGCTTACCATCAAAGTTTCATTCCTAATCAAACCATGGACTCATATTCGGACGCATCAACAACGGCTAACGAGCTTAGGGGTCTGCGAGAGGAGAACAAGATCTTGAGAATACCGTCTCAACGAGGCCGCCTTCAAAATCATGAACTTTTAATACCCCATGAAGCATATAATATACGGAGATATAGGAAAGGAAGTTGGCAGTCTCCAACACGAAATTAAGCGGTGGAGTAACCTCGTCAATAAAGACTTGAGAATGAAGTCTCCACGCTTCGATACCATATTTCGCCGAGTACTTGACCGCAAGGACGGAGTATCAGTACTTCGTGAGTTTAGTATTTCTGAATCTAGGTATAAAACTGATTCTGAATGGATGATGTGGCTGGGCAGGCTTAGCACCTGCATTTCCGTAATTTTCGATCATCACATTGGGGAATATCTCTATAAGAACATCTTCAACGAGACGTATACCTTGGAGTGTCCGAGGACTACAAGGGAACTTTCGATGGAATACTTTCTGTCATGAAAAGCGACAGTGGAGAGAAAGGTCCGCAATACCAATTTGGTAGAAATTCTATTGTTTGACCGAAATGTAGACGGAATTTTTCTGGCCAACAAATGGAGGTCGGAAACCGTCATATCGTTGACAAAGACTCGGTCTTTTCAGAGACATGATGAGGAAACTGTACGGTGGACTAGAAGAAAGTCTCATTCCGTGGATCGACTACGAAATCCTTGAGCCGTATATAGACACTCTTAGAGCCAAAAGTGGCTCAAAAAGTAGTAGAAATATACCAAGAGATTACGTGCTCTACTCATGAGTATCGGGTTTGGACTCCCGGACCATCAGATCTGGTGCGAGGGGTAATTCCAGACGAAGACATGCTTGATGCTTGGACGTTCATAGATACCGTCACTCGGTGGTCTATTCATGAGGACTTCGCAGGTGTGTTTCTATGCCTTTACCCTGGCATATACCAGCTAGAATGCCAGGCGAAGAGAACCTACTCGTAGCGCAGCCTGTTGTCCTAGTATATGACCACGAGAATGATCCCATCACAAACCGAAGTCCTACACGACAATCGCATTCTCAGAGTACCTCAGAAGACCGGGCGAGCTGTCCCCATACTCATCAAAGTTATACCCGATAATCGCAATCGCGGAGCAGTCTACAAGGCCAAGACCGTCGCTCACAAAACCGTCGAAGTGAGACTCGACAATCACATTCTCAGCGCAGCCCACAAGACCAAGTGAGTCGTTTCATTACGTATCGCAGTCCGACTCGACAATCGCAATCTCAGAGTAGTATACAAGAAAGCCAAAGAATATGCTAAACTCCTCTCGCGCCAACTCCGGAGAAGTTCCGAATGAGAGTCGCCACAGGCATATGGAATGATTTAAAACTCCAGCACCTAGGATTGAAAAGACATAACCTCGATAATAGCGCCCACATCGAAGAAGAAAGTCCGCGGAAGCTGAGGCTGGCTCATGTGTGAGATGGGTGATGGGTAGCCATCCGCCAAAATCGAAGGATCATAAAAAACGACAAGAAACTTGCAACTATGATTCTTCAGTCAGTCCCTCAATCACAATCAAGGATACTTGATTCGAGGGAGGTATATAGAAACAGAGTCAATAAAACTTGACAGTGCATTATAAGGATCTCACTGATTTTATAAGTGAATAACAAATAACGCCCTGGACCTTGCGGCAGTTGTAGAGAAGAAAAAGAAAAACCCAAACAAGTCTAAAATGGACTAAGCACATGCAAAACTCCTTGCTGCGGAGGTTATTTAAAAGACCACCGGGAAACCGACCCACCCTCCAATTTATCATGGTATAAGATAAACACGAAATCATCATACTTGGGCGCGTTTGCGGAGGACCCTGCCAGTAGCAGTTGTATCCTTCTTTGCCGCAACAGCTGCGCGCTTAGCCGTTGCTGCTGCAGTAGGACCCTGACTACGGGCCACTGCTGTTCGCCTTGCAGCTGCACTTGACGCGGTTGCAGTAGCTCGCTGAGTGCTTCTATTAGGCTTGACAATCATCGTGCTGGAAGACAGGTTGGATGATGTAGTGCTGCTGCTCATATTCCGATTGTGTTGTCGCGTAGCAGCTGGCGACTTGGGAGCGACTGGGTTAGCTGCCTTTACAGCGGTTCTCTTGGGTTGAGTAGTCATTTTGGTCCTCCGGACACTTGGCGTTGGAGACCCGTTCTTTGATTCAGGACGTGTAGCGCGAGCGCGAGCATCCTCGATCATGGCCTTGAGAGGACTAGAAGGCTTTAATGGCGAGGTAGGCCGCGACAGATATGAGCCCTTGGTGGGAGATGTGATGAGCGGCGATTGCTTGTAAGTTCGGGAGTTTGATGATTTGGGTGACAGAACTTTGGTCTCCGCGTCTCTTAAGACTTGGGATACGGATCGAGGCTGGCTAGATGCAGCTGGATTACCGCGCTTCTTTGGGTTTTCGAGCGTTATTTGCGCGTCAGGGACTGGTGCGTTCTCTTTATCCAAGTAGCTGCCACCGGCACTTGTCTTTTTCGGGCGACGGGGTGATGGAGACTTAGCCGCAGCGAGGGTTAGATATTCAACATCTTTAGGTATTTTCGCCGCGTTTGCACTTCGCGGAGCCTTTGAAGGGATAGCCGACTTCTTCGGGGATTGGTGTTGAGGGGCAGTGGCATATTTATCGAGTAATGTTCCCATAAGAGTTTTACGCAAGGCCATAGGGATGCGATTTACTCGCCTTTCAATCCTTGATCGAAGATCCTGAGCCTGGAGTGCATATTGGGCGCGTAATCGGCGAGCTCGTTCTGTGACTGCAAACGGGTCAGGTCATGATAGCTACTTTATGAGATGGAAATGACGCACTTTCTAACTGCAAGTTATCAATCAGCGTCTGTTTCTGACGCTGAGTAATCTTCAGTTTCTTGTGAGCAGGACCGTTGGAAGGCGTTGTGACTGGGTCCTCGTGGAGAGCGTCGCGGTCTGGGTCTGGCGACTTGCGTTTCCTTGTCTCGATGGCAGACATTTTGGTTGATGTGAGTGAGGTAAATCGTATAGAAGCACTATATCACTGTTCGGATAGAAGATTACGGTTGACCTGGCCGGAATTGACCGTAGGAATGTCGTAGTTGTGGAGGAGTCGCGCGTGGAGGAGTATTGTGCGGGTGGCGCGTCTGAAGTCGAGAAGTAAAGCGATGATGTAGAGACGAAGATGGGCGAGTAAACAAAGAGTGGACTAGCCGAAAGTGGACTAGCGCATTCCCTGACTTGGCGGCGAGCTTCATCATCATCAGCAAGACCCCGTTCCTTTCTACTACCATCTCAACCAAATCCATCGCCAGAGCTTTGTTTTTAGACTTATTCCGAGCTACTTCTTCATTCTCTTCTGCAAGTCAATTAGAGAGCATCACGTCAACCCTTGCCCTGTCTCTATTCGCCTCTTATCTGCCCTCTCTGAGCTACAACCAGAGCTTCTAGCTCGGACCCGCTGTCAAAATGGTTTTGGAAGCGACGATGGTTATGTGAGTTTCTCTGCTAGTCGTATTGCTTGATGCATGCTGACTCTTATTAGTGTCGATAATAGCGAGCCTAGCAGAAATGGTGACTACACGTAAGCTCCATCTGTCCTACAATCGCATCACCTGGCTAATCTCAGCAGTGCTACACGATGGCAAGCGCAGATCGACGCCGTTGGCGTTATTGTCAATGCAAAGATTCGGGCGAATCCCCAGTCTGCTGTCGGTCTCATGAGTATGGGTGGTAACGGACCAGAAGTTCTTTCGACTTTCACCGACGATTTCGGCAAGATCTTATCAGGACTGCACCGAACCAAGATTCACGGAAAAGCACATCTCGCATCTAGTATACAGGTCGCCGGGGTATGTCACAACAAGTAGTTTACAATCCGAGTTTGTGTTGATTCCTTGACGATTATAGTTAGCTCTAAAGCACCGTTCGGAGAAAGCCCAAAGGCAACGAATAATCGTCTTCTCGTGTGCTCCCGTAACGGAAGACGAAAAGACGCTTATCAAATTAGCCAAGCGAATGAAGAAGAACAACGTATCTATCGATGTCGTGGCATTCGGGGATCTGGATTCAGACACGACTAAGAAATTAGAAGCATTCGTCGAAAACGTCAAGGGAGGTGACGGTTCGCACTTAGCTATTATCCCTCCCGGCCCGAATCTACTCAGCGAGGAGCTCCAGGTTACTCCTATCATGGGCGGCGAACCCGGTGCGGGTGTCGGTGGTGGAGACGAAGGTGGTGATGGATTCGGATTCGAGGACGCCGCGGAGAACGATCCCGAGCTCGCTTTTGCCCTGCGATTGTCGCTGGAGGAGGAGAAGAACAGACAGGAGAAGGAAAGGCGAGAACGTGAAGAACAGGAAGGTAAATCTTCGTTGGAGAATATTCCCGAAGAGTCCAAAGACGGGGGCGAGTCATCCAAAGATAATGATAAGATGGACACAGCGTAGGTTTGTTCTTACGGAGACGCAGTACGCATTCGTCAGCTGCATGTCTTAGGACTTACTGAGCGTTATTAGTCCTAGCACACATGAATGTAACCTTAGATAGTATACATCGATGAGATTTCCTCCTCACGGCATGCGCCGATGTCAGAATTTATGTATTATTCTCTAAATGGGGACGTTTTATAACATGTTATGCTCTCCCCCGTAGCCACGTGCCCAAATGCCGATCAAAAGCCTCACATCGCACCGGCATCTCCAACTGGTAAAACGGATTCTTCATCACATAATCTGCATATAATTCGTATACTTTTTTCATGACTGTGTCAATATTGGTCATTAATGGATCCGTGAAAAGGAGAAATTTCGTGCCCGTCTGAGTCTGGAAGCAGGTCAAGCGAAAGCGATCGGTTTCAAGGACCTCGATTCCAGATTTCGGTTGGCCGGGTTCTGGTAGTGACCAGCTCGAGGATACGTTGGGTGCGGTAGGCGTTGATGATGAGGTTGTGGTATTGGTCGTGGGTATTCGGGGGGTTATGGATCGAGTAATGGCGTGGACGCTGTTGAAAGAAATCACCAGTTAGCATATCAATTCATACAGCTGCTCCTATGTAAATTTCAATAAGGGAGACGAGCCCGTGAAATGTTCCGGCTAGGACGAGGTAGTCATTTGTAGAGAGCTTTTGTAGGCCAGCTTGAAATTCTCGTTGATAGATGAGTCCGCCCGCTTTGTTTATGATGATGAGTGAGAAGACGGCCCTGAGTAGATAGATACCGGAGTCAAAAATAACAGGTCAATTGAGCTGAAGGATGAGTTGAGTACATACATGGTGCCGACTGATAGAACTGTACTGAGTCTATCTCTGTGCGAAGAGCTTGCCTTGTCGCCTGCGCGGCATCACTCTGGTCTCCGTCGCTCCTTCCTCCCGTTGTTGTTGGGTTCTTGACCGAAGAAGTGTTCGATCAGGGCAACCTTAATTCAACGTCCTCTCTGACCCTCTTTTTCTCTCTCTTCTTCTTCTTCTTTTTCTTTCTGTATCTGTTGTTCTGTTGCCTCTCGATGTCTGAATTGACTACATCCTACTATCTAAGTATTGCAGCTCTGAAGCCGTGATAAGCGGGACAGATACTTGGCGGCCCGCTGACCAATGATCTACGATCTACACACAATGGATGTCCGTCTCAGAGAGAATACGTTACTGGACAGACACCTCAGTACATGTCTAGAAGAATTCACCCCGGAGTGAGCCGCAGAGATGCTCTATGCAGATCGCAATTCGCTCTGGCCCCATGCAACTGAATGTTACGCTATGCAACAATATGCAATGAGCCGATAAAACATTCAGTGGCTTACCTATTGAGAGTGCAGTACGGGGTGTCTCGGTCAGTCTCTCAAAAGGGTGTACACATGCATTGCATATCTGACTCTCCGTAGTTGCGTCATGATTAAGTCCCAGTATGCGCGGAAAATAGTCGATACATAACCCACTCAATCTCAGACTCAACATTCCGGCTATCTACGGCTGGTACGTATCACTGATGGTTGGGATGATGATTCAGCTTGAGGCGGATGTGAGGCATCTCGCCAATGCATCTCAGTTGATCTAACTCTCACTAAGCCACTGGGAAGCCACTAATCACTAACTAACTATTGCGGAAACTACTACAAAGTAGGTTACTTAGTTCTGACTATTTTCTGGCACTGCATACCCTGGTTGCCCAGGTGAATGTTAGCTTACTCTCGGGCAAAATGGCGTTACGCCTTGTACCCGGGTGAACGATCGACAATGTGTATCCAATAGATGAACCCTCCTACCGCCCGAAAAATGGAACACTCATCATTCTGTGCTATGTTAATCGACCTAGATTTTCAATCAAGCCAACGAACATGATTTGTACGACTCCGCAGCCTGTACAGAGCACACTCCTATCTTGAGACTTGATCGTGGGTAGCGTTAGCGTCGTCAGCTCCGACTTGGATGACGATTTCTTCCTATCTTCAACGGACATGCAGGTCGGCTGAATGAATACATATTCATGATAACACAACTCATCAGGCCCGAGCAAATCCGGAATTGGCTCCTTAGCCACATGGGTTCAAGGCGGCAACGCGGCATAGCCCCATGTGCCAGTGCAAAAAGAACGGGAAGTTTATCAGCAGGTTGTTCTGGATCTGAGTACATCTTTCTTCATTGGCCCTGTACCTGGCCCACTCTACGGTGATAGACCCTGTCATAAACAAATTCAACTAAGGTAAGCACGTAGTCTGGAACGTGGGCGGCAAGCACATCTACAATCTTCATTACGTTCTGGTAAACTCATTTGGTACATGACTCGGAAACGAGGTACACGAATTACTCAGGAAACGGCGCAAAAGCAAAAACCATAACACAATCACTTCTATGCAGGGGTGGTGTATCACTACTGGTCAATGATTGTCGAATCAAGGATATTGCTCAGCTCGGCATCCGCACTTCTACGATCCATGGTTATTCCCGGGAAAATCTATCCTACCTATGGCACTGCCATCTTGGAGATCTAGAAGCATACGAGCGCATTGACGAAAGAGGGAGCAGAAAGAAAGGAATCATCAATCGCTAATCGCTGCTACTTAGTGAAACATTGCTCCTGCATCTGCCGCCCAGATATTCGGTCGTCCAAATTCGGAAATCTGCTGCGAGTGGTGGTTTTTGTACAAACTTGCATGTGTAGGCTTGGGGCTGACTGAGACTCCAATTCAGGTGATCGAGGCTTTACCTGCCGTTAGCACAAAGTATAAGGTGGCACGGTACATCGACGCCGCCTCCTCTCCTCTTTCCTCTTTCCTTTTTTCTTTTTGTTGGTCATGCGAAAGTATGAAATGTGCAATTTTAGACCGTACTTTAGGGTGTGTGTGGATACTGGCTAATGTTTTTATCAGTACGTCTAGCGCCTATAGTCATAACACGCAATTAGGCGTCCGGAGTACCACCAGTCTACTGTACGTCTTATGCAGGGATCACGAGCTGAACATCCCTAGTTTCAACTTTCGAGAGGACCAGGTATCTGTCTCGTGGCGATCTCGATGATTCCCCACATCAAGCCCGGGGAAGAATTTAGGCGTATTAGTCTGTTCTTAGTTGGCTACCATCATCGGGCTTGTCGCGCCTCCGGCGAAATTGTCATTAGACTTTAGCAATTGGAGGTCATCCGGGCAACCGGGGTAGGTTTGATTTCATGGCTAGCACATGGCAGTGACCTTGTCATTTCCTTAGTGACTGATATTACGCATCGCTCATATCGATCATTCAGCTTCGAACTAGCGTCGTTGCAAGGTGAATTTGGATCGCAACCATATTGGGACCGCAACCTTGGGGTATTGATCGGTGAACCTGGCTGAATTCATGATAGCGTACCCATAACAAGCCTACTAGGTAGTACTGTCTCGACTTTCAGCCACCTGGAATTGGTTGACTATTGTGGCACAGATCGTACCTTCTAAGTTCTCATGTAAGTTGTAACTCTCCGACAAGGTCATCACGGGGTACAGAGTACTAAACCTACGTATCTAGCGCAGTGAGCCACGCACACACAAACAGCGCGCAATCGGTCAAGGCAGACTTCCGACCATGTATCCAATCATTTGACGCGCTAACTTACGAATTGCTTAAATTAGCCAGTGTCGTGATTGGCATTTGACGCTAGTTATCTCTTAGCAAGAGAACTATTGCTACTACTACGTACTTAGTAGATCGTCTATACACTCCGGCAGACCTTTCGATCGACCCGGGTGAGGGTGAATTACGTTCCCTAATCACTTGCCCTCTCGATAGACAGAGGTCTAGTCGGTGACTTATTTTCGTCTTCTCAGATTGCGGAACAGGGAAAAGAAAAAGAAACAAAAAGACAACGCCAAACAACGCTAAACAACGCTAGACCACGTTTCTGCATATATGGCCTTTGAGGACATGGACTTTATCATTGCGTTAAATAGGCTTGATTACTGGCGATCTTTCATTTCAGCTTTCCGAATTACTTCCGTGGCCTCTGTGGCTTGACATGACTGTATGCATTATATACAGAAACATGCAGGACCCCCTTCTCATATGTGGAACTGCTCAATTCGGCAATTGTATACTCAATACCGTGTGTCACTAGCGAGTAGTCCTCTACAGACTGGCGTCCAATAACTAAGGAGATGAGATGCAGGCACGGGGAGAAAACGTAATCACCAATCAAATGATTTGATTGAAGGAAACGCCGACGAGGGTCCATGTTGGACGATGAGAGTCCGTAGTGAAGTTAACCGGTAACTAGCTGTCTGAGACCCAATGCGGCTCAAATGACTACAAATGGTTGGCCCAGGGTCTGCCTATACGACCCGGGAACTTGTTTCCATTTGATTATTTAATGGACGATTGCAAGACTAGCAACGTAAGGAAACCAAGCTGCAAGCCACTCGACAAGCTACTACCTGATTTGTCAAACTTGATTGAAGCGACTGGTTTAGTATGAAGACTAGACGAGGTGCATATCTTTTTATGAAATGCGTGGAGGAGGGTATGAAGACCAGGAGATGAAACTATATAAATAAGTCATCTGGCTACTGCCCATCAACCGGGTAAATATGGGTGTCGAACAACGAATTTTGATTCCATATTCTCTTCAAGGACAGCTAAATTGTCCCGTTTGTTTGCACAATCACCTATCATACGAACTCAAACTCGATTTACGTACCAATCTCGGCCATGACTTGGGATGCCTCGTTCTCTCCACTATTCCCGGAAAATGACATTGGAAGTAGGATGATGCCACACTTGGCCTCTCCACCTTTGGACACAATCCATCTGCCGATGGAAGTGGAACAGCAACACATCGGTCATTCGTTTAACTTGGATCGAAAACTACGTTTGGAAAAGAACATCCTTCCCCTAGAGAAATTTGCCAGAGGATCTCCATATCTTGATACCAAGGATTTTCATGACCTTTGCCATGATCCATTCTCCCGAGTCATTGGAAGGGATACTGCCGGTGTTGAAAGTTTCTACGACCATGCTTGCACTGGTGCATTCAATTATCCATCGCCGTCGTCCTATGGAGTAGCCGCTTTGGATGTTTCTTCCATATCTGGGACTGAGCGGTCCCCTAGTCCACGGGCCGTAGCATTTGGATATTCACCCCCTTGTTCCGTGGATGCTGGTACGAGTTTTCCCAGATTCTGGAGTGCTAGTGGTGATGCTGTTGGATACGGCTCTGTTAAGCCGCGCGATGTTCACCATGGTAAGTCCTTCCTCATCTGGATTGAGTGTCGCGAGTAACTTACACCTTCCTTTGTTGATGCGCAGATGCAATGTATGCGGAACCGGTAATCACAGTACAGCCGAAGGTGTCACAAATATACGACCCTTGTGGAAGCCTCTGCCCCAGCCAAGGTGAAATCCTCAACGACGATGTTGACGCCGATGGCGAACTTGATGCATTGTGCGTTGACTGCGAAGAATCAAAAATGTCGCCAACTATTTATAAATCATCGAAAAAGATGTCACCCAAGACGAAGAAGAGCCTACGCGATCGCGATGGTAGTCGGAGAAGCGCAGCGGTCACAGCATCACCCCTAATGCCAAAGTCGCCTATTGTCAAACGCGTTGCATCACGCAAATCCAGTCAAAGCTCCAAGAGCAACAAGGCCCGAGGGTCAGTCAAAGAGATGGACTTGTCCGCCACCGACCCCGCCGCCGCCAATCGCATGTATATCTGCAGCTTCAAAAGGTACGGATGCGACAGTACATTCAGTGCCAAAAACGAATGGAAACGACACATTTGGTCACAACATTTGAAAATCGATTTCTATCGTTGCGATCTCAAGGGTTGCGATGATACACACAAGGGACCGAATGATTTCAATCGCAAGGATCTATTCATCCAGCACCTCCGACGAATGCATACCCCATGGCCCGGTAAAGCCCCTCCTTCATCTGCAGAGAAGAATGACTTTGAGGGTACGCTTGACGGACATGCTGTTCGGTGTGTGCACAAGTTACGTGATCCACCCGCTAGGACGAACTGTGCTGTTTGCGGGAAGGTGTTTATGGCCTGGCAAGATCGCATGGAGCATATGAGCAAACATTATGAAAAGGACTCACAGTTTGAGGAAGTCAGAGATCCGGACCTCGAGGCGTGGGCTCAACGTGAAGGTATACTGACTCCGAGGGGATCTTCCTCGGATGCGCTCATTTTGGCAGAGAACAAGCGTCGTTGATCGTCTCTTATTGAAGCCTTTCTTTTGTGGTATTAATGACTTGTCTTGGATATAGTTGCGGAGCTCTGGATACCCCATCAATATGGACACATCTATGTAATAACGACGTGATGGAATGTTTCATTGATACGATTATACGAATAGGATGGATATGGTTTTGGGTGTTTTATGTGACATGCTTTTGTTTAATATCTGCTTTCTGTCATACTACTACCGTCATAGATAAAGTTTCGGTTTTGGGGGTCTGTAATAAGAATGATAATGTGGCTTATGCTGTGCTCTCTTGATCTTACAATATACGTTATTAATTTCTAGGGTACAAAATGGCTGATCAATTGAGAGATTTATTCCTTTATGAGATACTTCGATGACTGCGCGGTGCTTAACTAGTTCATGAGCTACCTTTTGCACGGATCAGAGGTAGGGTGAACGATCAATCGATGAATCAAACGACATTAAAAAATATCTAATCTGACAGAATATTGTTCTGTTAACCTTTATGTAAACATATATTCCCATTTCGACGATGATATTCTCGCTGCAGCCCCCACGTTGGTCAGCGCTGACCATCTGTGGATCTGATGGTGTTCAGTGGAAAGTGTCATCTGTCGTGGTACATGATGCATGTCGAGTATACAGAAAGTTTCAAGATCTGCCATATGACAGATTCTAGGCTTTTATTCTTGCATGCTCGGTTTTCCGATTCGGCGGGGTTGGATGGATTGATATTATTTTACGTGAAGGTTTTCTGAAACATTTGGCCCGCACATCCACCTATGGATCAATGTCATCTTTCTGACAGGACTGGCATTTGCCATGAAAGAGATGTAGAAAGTTATCTATTCATAGATATGTTAATCAATTTAGTTACTTGGTTGTGTTGCAGACGTAAGGTCAGATCTGTGTGGTGACCACTGATCAGTGTTATTCTGACTTGCCCATGTATACTGGTGGCAAGAATTAAAAATCGGCACACCCTGGCAAGTCCAGATGTCTAAAGTAGCTGGACATGAAATAAAAAGCTGGTGTGTGAGAATTGTTATGAGTGTCATATATGATCTTTCGATATTGCAACGATTTCAACTTATGTCTGCACTCCTATGAGTAGTGTTTGAGACTTTGAGTAGCTTTGCTACCTTCTGGATATCTCGTTATGCATACCAACTACGAGAGCAGTGATATACCCCAGGAACATAGTTTCTTACAACCAACCATGCAGATGCATCTGACGATTTCAGAAGAATCAAAGTGTTTCGTCAATGACGGGTCCCCTATTGACCGATATGGTCCTTCATTGAGAGTGGTTACTGATTCCAACGTGCACCCGAGACTCGCTAGACGATCATCATGCTACTCAAGGGACACAGATGGATGTTCTATTTATGATTATGAAGGATTAGGAATGCGAGAGAATGATAGAGAGAAATACTTTAACAATACTATCACGGGGGATATCCAACGGCCAGCAGAGGCTCATCTTTCGGTAAATTCTATTCAATACGCGACTCTGAATGATGATCTGAGCAAGTTGATAATTCAGGGACTGAGCGACCCGTACAAAAGTGAGATAAGCCAGGTTTCTGGTCAATATGAAATGATGGAAGTCAATTCCCCGCCGGGCCAGATTTTTAGCAATTCGGCGTCGAACTTGAAGCCTATATACCCATTGCGCATACTGACACCTAATCCGCGGCCACAAGGTCCAATGTTATCTCCCTATAAACCAAATTGGGAGACTACAGGATGGCCGAAAACCAATCCACTCATTGGAAGACCCTCTGAACCACCTATAAGACCAGAACGATGGAGTGCAGCAAGCCCATCATTAAGAACACCGAATATTCTCGTCAGCCCCTTCAAGAGTCCGCCGAGTATAGTCACTGAAAATATTGCTGCTAAGAGTGCATTACAACTGCATAAGCCCTCGACTAAGTCAAACATCCTTTATTCAAATTCATCTTATACATATCCTACAAAGAAGGAGGGGACACTGGTGGTTATTGCTGTTTACCTCATGATGTTTTGCACCGCGATGGTACGTATACATTTTACATCTAATATATAGAGGTAGAAAGACAGCTGATATGCAGTAGGACATGGTAATACTCTCAACCTCAGTCCCCACCATAACGAGTCATTTCAGCACCATTGAGGACGTCGGATGGTACAGCACATCCTACTTTTTAACAGCCTGCTCAGCCCAACTCCTCTTTAGCAAATTATATCAATTCTATGCCTCAAAACGGATTTATTTAGTAGCTCTCGTGTTATTTGAGCTTGGATCACTTGTTTCCGGAGCCGCGCCTGTTTCGGCGATGCTGATTTTTGGTCGTGCTTTGGCTGGGTTTGGTGCTTCTGGTGTTTGGTCCGGGAATATAATGATATATGGACAGTGCGTGCCATTGGGTCGGAAAACTGTTCGTATAGGAATACTTTTTGGTCTTCCTAGCGTTGCGTTGGTAGTAGGACCCCTGTATGTCGTACCCGTTTCTTGGATTGTCTAGGAACTGACTGACATGGATAAGAGTTGGTGGCGTTCTCACACAATATTCCTCATGGCGTTGGTTTTTCTTCATCAACATACCTTTCGGAGTGATATCATGCATTTTGATGCTGGCGTCGAACTGGGGCAGTCCTTCAAATGAAACAACTCGATCAACGTTCCAGAATAAACTGCCGTTGCTGGACGTTGAAGGTTGTCTACTTTTTCTTCCTAGTATTATCTCCCTATTGCTTGGCTTACAATGGGGAGGCGTCAAATACCCGTGGGGTTCGGCGTGTGTTATCGTCGCGTTCACTGTGTTCCTCGTGACAATTTCTGGATTCATTCTTATCCAAAGGTACAAGGCTGACATTGCGAGTATTCCACCATGGATAATTTTAAATCGGAATGTTTATAGCGGGATGTTGGTTTCTTTTTGCCTGGGGGGTAGTATAGCCCTCATGGTGTATTATGTATGTCGTTCATATATGATCATCTCATAGGTATTCCTGTGCTGACACTTACAGCTTCCCTTATGGTTCCAAGTAACAAAAGACGCCTCACCTTCACACTCAGGAGTCATGCTGTTACCCCTCGTCCTGACCACGGCTATAACATCAATGGCAATCGATAGCCTAGTCAAGCTTGTCAGATACTACACTCCTTTCCTTGTCTTTGCCTGCGTTATGATGTCTATCGGGGGTGGTCTACTCACAACCCTACATGAGAGTATCCCGACATCTGCATGGATCGGTTACCAGATCCTCTTCGGCCTCGGCGCAGGGTCCGGTATACAGCAAACCCTGCTGCATATCCGGTCTTCCTTCCAAAAACCCCGAGATATTGCTATTGCCACATCACTAATAATATTTGCACAAACCCTTGGCGCTGCCTTTGCTATCGGGATTTCTCAGTGTGTATTCGAGAATAAACTATCCAATGGCATTCAGGCAGAAAGTCTAGGAGCTGTTGGTGTGCAGAGACTACTTCATACCGGAGCTACAGAACTGCGAAAAGTGCTGAATGGGGAGGATCTGGATACGGTGCTCCGTTTGTATACTAACGCCCTGGACCAAGTGTTTTATGTGAGCCTGGGATTTGCGGCTGTGTCTATATTAGGTACATTGATGATGGAATGCTGTTCAAGGGGCAAAAGAGCTCCAGTGGTTTTTAACTGACGAGGATACTGAACAAGAAGAATGAAAATGAAAAAAAAAGCAGATAATGAGGAATAAAACTAGCTTTACCCTAGACATTGGTCCTTGGAGATCCATGGATATTATACATGGTAAAGAATTTCCTAAGTAGGAAATATTTGTACAAAGTATAGGCCGAAGATGCAACGTCTCTAAGTCCTGAAGTGGCCACTTGTGAATTCAAAAACATAGGCGGTGCAATTCGTGGTATGGTCAATGGGGATAGTCAGGGTATCGCTGGAGAAGGGATATGAAGCTGCTCCCATATCCACAAGCCCATAGGTTGGCATATAATGTTCCTTACCGTTGAAAACCCACGTGTGAAAATGAACAGAGCCGGAACTACGGAGGCCAACCTTGCTAATATTCTCCACAACAATTGTCCAGTTACATGTCGCAGTTTGGGTCCCCGCCAAAATGTGAATCGTGCAGTCTCTTTCGTCTGCAGTGGCATAAACATCAAACTGGAGGTTTGTCGCCCCCGGTATTATCTACACGAACTCCAGTCATGTTCTTATAGTAGTTTTGATAGACGGTGTATTTCGGACCGGGCATGTAGCCAGTGGCGGTATACTTGAAGGGGTCACTTTTCGTCAAAAGGTTTGCCATAAGATCGTGAAGAGTATTTCCACCTTGCCAATTACCGCGTAGAGCGTGAGTGTTGTATCTCTTGAGCTGTGAAATCCAGAAAGCTGCGCCGAATGGGATCTGCTCCTGGAAAGAAGCATAGTCGTTTATAATTTGAGGTCTTTCCGGAATGCCGTACGAGCGAAGCATGGCAACAACAGATGGATAGGCATTGGTAAGATCGTAAGCTGACTGGGAAGTCCCAGTACCCGGACCGGCTTCAAGACGATACTCAATCTGGTTTGGAATGGTGTTGTTACCTGCAATCTACTCAAACAAACTACATAGTAGCCCACCCAGATATTGGTGTTATGCGGATCAGCGGCCAGAGTTGGACCTGAAATCTTCATTCGATCAAACGCAGGGTTGGCCCGAATCAGTCTGTGAGTGCGAACGCAGAGGTCGATCCATTGTCGCATACTGCGAACCCAGAACCAAGATCCGTTAGACTCATTCCAATATCCGAAACGAGATCTTCTAGGGCATTTGACTTGAAGATTTAAGTCGTTTGATATCAATTGGGTCACAAACTTGTCATAATCCTCCCAATCGCCGTTATCACCTAGCTAGACTGTCGATGAGTTTGCCTGATCAGTACCCCATACATCATGAGGTAGCAAGATGAAATCTGCGCCAAACCCTCGGCACGTTAGTAAGACAAGGTGGAGTTCAATCTGCCATGTTAGTTGGAAAGTCCCCAAATCCAACCACGATTTGGTGCGACTTCCTGAGCGCTGCCAGCTCGGCCGTAGTTGAACTTGATATCTGAATAGAAATGCGATTGTATCTGACCAAAAGTGTCGGGTATGCCATAGATGAAGCCCGAAGCAAGGTGTTTGGACTCCCCTCTATGCGCGCCAAGATCTAAGAAGGTTGTATTGCTGTCGCCCCTCGCTGTAAGAAGGGCAGATACCGTGGGTAGAACAAGTAGAAATTTCCCAATTGTAGATTTCACCTTGGCGGACCTGTCAAGTTTCAGCCGGGTAGAGATAGAGGTGAAAAGATGTACTGATGTTTCCTATTTTCCATACCCTGTACATTCTCATGACCCCTGACGGCTTCTTATAGTAGAGATCGGCGAGGTTATATTTGAACAATCCATCTCTCCTAAAATGAGATTTTACACATCCAGTAGGAATCCTGTTCTGTATAAACTCCGGTGGAGTTGGATACTCCACGCTGTCTGCGGCAGAAATGGCATGGTAATGACATTTAGCCGCCAGAGCAGACAACAGCCGGCGCTTCTAACCTCTCCCTTGCTTTCTCCCAACACTCACTGGCCGGTTATCACCGGTTGGCGGTGATCAGGTCCACTTAATAGGAGCTTGTTGTTGGATAAAGTAACTTGAACAGCGCATCGAACTTCAGTCAAAGCTGGGGTAAATACAAACAGTCCTCCTAGACAAGGTAATGCCAACCGGGGCGGATCTACCCATATCTGAAGAATACGGATCGTAAAGCATATTCACTAATGCTTAGGTACCACGATTTTGGCCACCCGGAGAGAAACGAGGGAACTCTAAGTACTTCTCATAGCTCATACGGAGCATGGGGTGAATCGGCGTCACTTTAGGTCTTGAGTATGTGCCCGTATACTTCAGCAAGCCGGCTATACTCCACAAGTGATGAGCATTTGCTTGCTACTTTAATCTAATGCAACAAATGTGAATTGAAAACATCATCAGAATCCGATTGCTACTAACAACCCCGCCTCCACATCCTGAAAAAAAAAAAAAAAAAGCAAAGTGAGACGCTATTGAGGTACTCTTTAATGACATGTTCTCCTCTAGTGTAATATGCAGCTCAGTAATGATCAGCGCAGTTGCTCATGAATTTATCCACAGGTCCTACAATTTGGATGTTTGCTCCGGCAGCTTTGCCTTAATGTGAGTTCCGATGGAGTGCCGCAACACTAGTGTATTATCAGAGATAAAAGAAGTCGTAGTGACATGAGTAGAGAATTCTTCTTGAAATGCTCGTCATCTATCTTTTTTTTTCTAAATTCTCATTCTCTTGAAGACTCGTTATTTGCATACGCAATGATGCGAGCTCTACTTGGCTTGAACTTTGCCTTTCTTCTCTCGGATGTAGCTTTGGCAGAGAACTTTTCCCAGCCGATTATATGGCAGGACTTGGCAGATACTGACCTAATCCGTGTTAATGACACTTATTACTACTCGGGTTCGAATATGCACTTCTCTCCCGGAGCCGAGATCCTCAGGTCTTATGATCTCGTCAATTGGGAGTATCTGTCTCATTCAGTTCCGCACATGAACTTCACTACGAGTTTCAGCCTCCAGGGAGGAAATGTGTACAACAAGGGGATCTATGCCTCCTCTCTGAGGTTCCACGAAGCTACCGGTACATTCTATTGGATTGGTTGCATCCAAGGGACAGGAAAGACGTATATCTACACTGCTCCAAACATCGAAGGTCCTTGGACACAGACTTCTATCATTCAGAATTACTGCTATTATGACGACGGTCTCCTTATCGATGATGACGGTACCATGTATGTTTCTTACGGGAAATGGGTTGCGAATGGCACGCAAGCAAAGATATGGGTTGCAGAATTGACAAGTGATCTGCAGAATAAACAATCACAGGTGGTGTTCAATACAACTGAAGAGATTGGATATGTAGAAGGTTCTCGATTTTATAAAATCAATGGCACGTACTATATCTGGTTGACTAACCCTGGGGTTGGTAACGGTCAGATCATGCTGAAATCCAGTGGCGGCCCATTTGGTCCTTACGATTCGTGGCACCGTGTCTTGGAGAACAACGGGCAGCCCGTTCACGGGGGAAGTAGCCCGTACCAAGGAGCCATCGTCGACACACCGGAAGGGAAGTGGTGGTATATTGCGTTTGTCAATCTGTGGCCTGGTGGCAGACTTCCGGTGCTCGCTCCCATTACCTGGGACTGGACCGGGATGCCGAATGTTCAGTTCGTTAATGGAGATGATTGGGGCTCGACTTACCCTTATCCTCTCCCTCAGGTGCCTGTCACACCAATAAGTAAATTGGATCGATTCAGTGGTCCGACACTGGGACCACAATACGAATGGAACCACAACCCTGATGATATTAAGTGGTCAGTCAAGGATGGCCTTCATCTCGAGACAGCCACCATCACGGACGACTTCTTTTCTGCGCAGAATACACTTTCGCACCGTATTTTAGGTCCTCATTCTAACGCTACCATAAACGTTGACTATTCCTCTATGATTGATGGAGACCGAGCTGGTCTCGTTGTCTTCCGGTATGACGCCGGCTGGTTAGGCATAACCAAAAACGGAACCGTAACCACGTTGCAAATGGTAGATTATGCCATAATGAACAGCACTGGAGGATGGCATACAACCAACACAGGGTCTGTAGTGGATAGTGTGGAGGTTCATGGCGGATCAATCTGGCTGCGGACTTCTTGCGATATTAGTGGCAGCTCTGGTTCCGCCAAATTTTCCTATAGCACTGACGGGAAAAGTTACATCCAACTTGGACATACACATGTGATGGACAATAGTCAACTGTTTTTTGTGGGTGCTCGTTACGGCATTTTCAATTTCGCAACCAAGCAGCTAGGCGGTTCAGTTGTGGTGAAGTCTTTTGAGATATCTGCTTAGTACCGAGATGGATAATCTCCAATCGCTTGTCGTAAGAGCGTTTTGGGGCGTTGATGATGGTAGTGAGTAAATTCATGTCTACGAGAACAGATCGTCGGGGTGGTATGGAGGAAATTGGATGTAAGTTGGTTAGTGTATCGTAGCTGGCTAGTTTTAATGCCGCTATGCATAGCTGCCGCGCGGATTATGAAGTTCTGATAGATTCAAAATCCGATTCCTACTCCGTACTCGAATCTAAAAAGATGAGCGGAATCCACGTGACTGTGGGGTTGGAAGCCCTATACGATTGATACGAGGCACTATGCTGTATTTGGTATGACGATGTATTAAACCAGTAATTGAAAATCCCTAGTCATACGGTAGCTGCTATTGTCCTGCTAAGAACCTAACCAAAACTGATCTTGTTTACCGTATGGAGATTACAGATCAATCGCGCGCGATTGACTAACGACTGGAGACTAACCTGAAAAAGCTAGCACTAGCAGCACGGACCCGTAAGTGGGTCCTGTTATTCTACTTTAATACGCCACTCTGTGTTCTGATTGGCGAAGAATTGTCTCGGCGATCCTGCTCTGTAACACGTTAGTCACCAGCCGAGGGTTACTAGTCCCAATGAGGGGATTTGCCTCGCTTAGTCTTCCCCATCTCAACGGCTATCGTACAGAATCACTCCTGATTGGTCAGCTATACTCGTTACGGGATATCTTCCACGTTAGTCCTTATTGGTCTTGTCGTCTCTGTTCTTCCTGGTCTCTTCCCCTGTCTTCCAACCATGCTCTCCTTAGGCTTGAGCACATCATAACCGAAATGCAACCAGCACATCCTACCAATGATAAGTTGCAGCAGCAATGGCTGGTGGCTAAACTTGTTCGTCCCCGTGCCATATGGCCTTCTTGCCCGCTCCCGTGGAAAGATGGCCGAGCTTCGGTCCACAGTTTCTGTACGGATTTACCGATAGAGGTTGCGATATGGAGTTTCATATTTTTGAGCTTTCTTTCTTTCTTTTCTTTTCTTTTCCTTTTTTTTTTGGTGGATATTTACTTCCTTCGGTTGGGATCTGTCTTTGCATTATCCTCGTCCATTCTATAGAGCTGGGGCAATCACATGTCGGCTGAGCTCTCTATCCGAAAAGGAGCGGAAGTCGCCATCGTGATACCTTTACTTGTATTCTTGAACTCCGTCTCCTTCACTTGACCACCTACCAGCAATAGTCACGTAAATGGCACAAACACCCGCACCGGGGGGTGCGGGCGTCGCTGCCACTGGCCAAGATCTAACACGGCGTGTGGAATCCGAGGTTCACGAGAAGATCCAACGCCATGGAGGGGAATCAACCGAATCGACAGACAAAGGCTTCTTTGACGAGATGAAAGAACAAGAGCGAGACGAAATCACCTATCTCGCGCGGCAAATATCGCAAATCTCACGCCGAAGTAGCCTGTCATCTGGAGAGCCTATGAATTCATTTCTCGATACCACTACCGACCCCGAGTTAGATCCAAATTCAGAAAGTTTTAATCAGAAGAAATGGGTGAAGAACTTACTGCATATTACCTCTCGCGATCCAGAGACGTATCCTCGTCGAACTGCTGGTGTTACCTTTCGGAATTTGAATGCCTACGGTTTTGGAACTGCCGCGGACTATCAAGCTGATGTCTTCAACACCTGGCTGAAAGCGTTTGGCTATATACGCGGTCGGTTGGGGCTGCGCAAGAAGAGGCGCATAGACATCTTGCGAGATTTTGAAGGATTAGTCAAGAGTGGAGAGATGCTGGTTGTTCTAGGTCGACCTGGAAGGTATTCACGCTTCACTCTCTGTTGTAATAGACACACTGACCGAATGATATGTAAGTGGTTGCTCAACATTACTGCGAACGCTATGTGGAGACACACACGGTCTCTGGCTCGACCAAGGAACCGATATCCAATATGAAGGAGTCTCCTACGAAGAAATGCACAGTCGATTTCGCGGAGAAGTTATCTACCAGGGCGAGCAGGAGATTCATTTCCCCCAAATGACAGCTGGGGACACCCTACTCTTCGCCGCTCGAGCTCGCGCCCCTGCCAATAGACTTCCTGGTGTAAGCCGAGAACAATACGCAATGCACATGCGTGACGTCGTCATGGCAATCCTAGGGCTATCTCATACCAAGAATACTCGAGTTGGAAATGAGTATATCCGTGGTGTGTCTGGTGGTGAGCGTAAGCGCGTCAGTATTGCTGAGACGACTCTGTGCGGTAGTCCTTTGCAATGCTGGGATAATAGTACTCGTGGTTTAGATAGTGCGACTGCTCTTGAGTTTGTTCGTACTCTACGGACCTCGACCAAGTATTCAGGCTCTACCGCAATCGTAGCGATTTACCAAGCCGGACAAGCTATTTATGATGTGAGCGATACAGTGCGTTTTTGTTGAGTCAATTCAAGCTAATATGGTTGATAAGATATTCGATAAAACTATTGTTCTGTATGAAGGTCGCCAAATATACTTTGGCCGCGCTGACGATGCAAAGCGCTTCTTTATCGACATGGGTTTCCACTGCCCCCCACGACAGACCACCGCTGATTTCTTAACCTCTCTTACAAGCCCCGCAGAACGTGAAGTTCGTCCTGGTTTTGAAGGTCGTGTACCCAACACCCCTGACGAGTTTGCTGCTCGTTGGCGCGAAAGTCCAGAAAGACAAGCTTTCATCGCTGAAATGGACGCCTTCCAAGCAGCGCACCCATTAGGAGGCGAAAAGTACAAGGAGTTCACCGAGTCTCGCAAGAAAGAAAAAGCCAAAGGAACTCGCGCCGCCTCGCCGTATACCTTGACCTACCCCATGCAAGTCAAGCTTTGCTTCTGGCGTGGTGCTAAGCGGTTACAGGGTGATATGAGTAATACTTTAGCAGCTGTGATTGGCAATATCATCATGTCGTTGATTGTTTCCAGCATGTTTTATAATTTGCCGCAAGATACGAACAGTTTTTATCAACGATCTTCCTTGATGTTCTTCGCTATTCTGATGAACGCATTTGCAAGCGTTCTTGAGATTCAAACCTTGTGGGATCAAAGGCCTATCGTGGAGAAGCACAAGAAATACGCCCTTTATCATCCATCTGCAGAAGGTCTCAGTTCAATGTTGGTCGATTTGCCTGCCAAAATCGTCAGTGCTGTTGTTTTCAATTTGATCTTGTATTTCATGACGGGCCTGCGTCGTACACACGGCGCGTTCTTTACATTCTTCCTCTTCTCTTTCACGACAACGCTTACTATGTCAAATTTATTTCGATTAATCGGCTCGCTGTCACGAACACAGGCACAGGCAATGGTGCCGGCAGGTATTTTCATGCTCGCCCTCATGATATATACAGGATTTACGATCCCCATTCGAAGCATGCATCCCTGGTTCCGTTGGATAAATTACATCAATCCAATCGCCTACGGATTTGAAAGTCTGATGGTCAACGAATTCGGTAACAGAAACTGGACCTGTTCGAATTTTGTCCCCAGTGGACCGTCTTACAATAATTTACCTGATCAATCATATATTTGTCAGGCTAACGGTGCTGTTCCTGGACAGACGGTCGTTCAAGGGAATGACTATTTGGCGACGACCTATCAGTACTCACAAGGCCACTTATGGCGTAATTTCGGCATCTTGGCTGGATTCTTCTTCTTTCTCTTGGTTCTGCTTATTATTGCTAGTGAGCTTGTCACCGCTAAACCATCGAAGGGTGAAATCTTAGTTTTTCCACGAGGAAAGATTCCCAGCTTCGCCAAGAACAGAGGCAAAAAGGATGACGCAGAAGCGCCTGTCGAAAATACCAAGACGAGCGTTGAGAAAAATGGACATGATGAGGTAGCTGCTATTGCTCGACAAACATCTATTTTCCACTGGCAAGACGTGTGCTACGATATCAAGATTAAGGGCGAACCCCGAAGAATCCTTGATAATGTTGATGGATGGGTCAAACCAGGCACGCTCACGGCACTTATGGGGGTCACTGGCGCCGGAAAGACAAGTTTACTGGATGTATTAGCCAACCGCGTTACCATTGGTGTTGTTACGGGCCAGATGCTGGTCGACGGTTGCCCACGCGATTCATCTTTTCAACGAAAAACGGGATACGTGCAACAACAGGATTTGCACCTTGAGACTTCAACTGTTAGGGAAGCGTTACGGTTCAGCGCCCTTCTTCGTCAACCGGCGTCGGTTCCGAAGGAGGAAAAATATGCATACGTTGAAGAGGTTATTAAGATGCTGGGTATGGATGAATATGCGGAAGCGGTTGTTGGCGTCTTGGGCGAAGGTCTCAATGTAGAGCAGCGCAAAAGATTGACAATTGGTGTCGAAATTGCTGCTAAGCCTGATCTGTTACTATTCTTTGACGAGCCTACATCTGGTCTGGATTCTCAAACTGCATGGAGTATCTGTCAATTGATGCGAAAACTTGCAAATCACGGTCAAGCCATCTTGTGTACCATTCATCAACCGTCCGCCATTCTCATGCAGGAATTTGACCGTCTATTGTTCCTCGCAAAAGGAGGGCGAACTATCTACTTTGGCGACTTGGGCGACAGTATGAGTGAATTGATCTCCTATTTTGAACGAAACGGCTCCTCCAAGTGTCCTGAATCAGCGAACCCAGCTGAATGGATGTTGGAAGTTATTGGTGCAGCACCTGGCTCTAAAGCAGACAAGGACTGGGCCGAGGTCTGGAAGGGTAGCTCTGAACGTGCTGTTGTTCGTGAAAAACTTGCTATTATGAAGGCGGATCTCCAAGCTAAGGAACGTCCCGAGAATGGCGCTGGTTGGTCGGAATTTGCTATGCCTCTCTGGTACCAATTCTTGGTGATTGTTCACCGAAATTTCCAGCAGTTCTGGCGTACGCCAGGCTACATTTATGCCAAGATGACGATGAGTGTAGTTCCGGTAAGTTTTCCTTTACTTTCGTTCTAGATTGGTATACTGATCACCAGGTAATCAGACATTATTTATAGGCTTTTCCTTCTGGAGGGCCGGAACTTCAATACAAGGCCTCGAAAATCAAACATTCGCCATCTTCATGTTTCTCACAATGTTTCCTAACCTGAGTCAACAAATGATGCCTTATTTCGCACTCCAACGCTCGTTATACGAGGTTCGTGAACGGCCTAGTAAAGCATATTCATGGATAGCATTCATCCTGGCATCAATCGTGGTTGAGATACCCTGGAACTTATTCATGGCTATACCCGCCTTCTTTGCATGGTACTACCCTATTGGATTATATAAGAATGCAGAACCGACAGATAGCGTTGTATCAAGAGGTGGAACAATGTTCTTAATTATTCTGCTGTTTATGCTATTCACCTCGACCTTTACAATGATGGTTGTTGCGGGCATTGATGACGCGGCTACCGCTGGACAAATATCGCAATTGATGTTTTCGTTATGTCTTGTGTTTTGCGGGTATGTCTTCCCTGGAAGGCTATTTGAATATCCAGAAGGCTAACAACAGAAAAGCGTGCTCGTCACTCCCGGCGCCCTCCCCGGATTCTGGATCTTCATGTACCGCGTCTCCCCATTCACGTACATAGTCAGCGCGGTATTATCAGTCGGTCTGGCCCAAACATCCGTCGAATGTTCCTCTATCGAACTCCTTACTCTCTCCCCACCCAATGCCGGCGAAACCTGCCAATCCTTCCTCAGCAACTACATCTTAGACGTAGGCGGGCGAATAATAAACCCCAACGCTACAGAAAACTGCCAGTTCTGTTCCTTAGCTACTACAGACGAATTCCTGGCCGCTGAGAGTATATATTTCAGTGAGCGGTGGCGTGATATCGGAATTCTGTTTGCGTATTGTGGGTTTAATGTTTTGGCTGCTATATTTTTGTATTGGTTGGCTAGGGTGCCGAGGGGAAATAGGGTGAAGGAAGTGCCTGGTGAGAATGGTAAGGATCTTGTGGTTGTGAGGACGCGCAGTCGGAGGGAGGTTAAGGAAGTCAAATGATTGAATCGTCCTTGTGATTTCTTTCGAGGACTGTGGTGACTGTGGAAGGGCCTGGCCTTTATATCTTAGAAACACAATGACGTTATTTGTATATATTTGTCCCATGTATCTATTAGAATCCATTTTCTGCCCTCGAATAGATGTCCTGGAATTTGTTCGTTGATCCTCTTACGATACCTAGGTACTTCTTTCCACCTATGACATGGTTACCAGGTAAGGGACAGTATCAGAGCAGCAGCGCCCATGCTCAGATGGCTCCACTGAAACTTCACCTCATAAGATCTGCAAGCACACATCGATATATCTTGCATGCAATTGCCGGCATAATGAGGTTCGATTACGAATATAACCACGTATGTAGATGGAAAACAGAATTCTACACGGGAATCGCTTTGTAGAGCGGGAAATGCAATAATAACGAATAGAATTTACTCTCTATTGGACCATGAACTATACATATAGTCTAAAAAAGGTAGCAGAAAGCTTGTGATAACCTGATTTTATGACAGATTTCCTGAAATGGAAAATCCTCTGCTTACTTTGGGAACTTTTCCACCAGAGTAGTACTAATTGTGTTCATGAGTAGGTTGTGCAACCGCCGTCAAGTACATATTGGAGGGAGACTAGACTCGACTTGTATCTTTTCTCAGACTAATAGTCATTCAATGAAACACATGGATGTCATGACATGTTATTATAGATATCTGGAACTTTGAGATTTGCGAAAGATATGTTTATTCTCTCTTTTCTTTCAAACGATCAACGGCAAGATTGATTCCAGGTTGGCCACTTTCCATATCAGCGGTTATTTTCGCCTGAGTAAGACAAATATGTGCGGATATCAGCACCGGATGTGTCAGGTTGTAACAGAGAATAGATGGAAAGACGTATATTGATAGCGCTCTCTCTCCCAGGAGTGACTCGAATGTGAACCCGGGTCAATAGCAGCGCTATACGAGGTTGTAGACAGTCCTCAATGGTGCATAACAGTCAATTCATGGTTAAAACACCCGTATTTGCGCTGCTATGGTCATTCAGACAATCAGTTATCACTAAGCAAGCTATACAATCAAGTTTATTCTCGGTTCGTGAAACATTTTCCGAGGTCATGGAAATCTTATATGAGTATGAGTAAAGATTACCTATACTAACAGAGAGATATTACTTGATACAGAATTGCCTCAAATAGTGACAGCACCGTAATTGGTATTTACTAATTCTATCTACCAATATCACAACGTGTTAGGGCTTACCAGACAGACGTAGATTGTAGACAAGGTACCTTTCCACAAATACGATTAAACAGGCTATGATGTATTCATGGCATTCAAGAGCAACCAGGCAATTGCCTGAAGAAGTAATTCTGGCCAAAAAAGAAAAAGCTCACCGGAAATATGTATGTTAAGCCGTCAATGAATTGGCAATAGACAGGAGAGGAGGCAGCTACACGCGAACTCTCTGGTACAAACATGCAACGAAGGTTGGCTATCCGTGTATGTAAACCTTCTAAATGTCCTATGCGGATCGTGACGCATTAACATTGCATCAAAATAGTTTTTATGAACCATCTGTCAATAGATTTGTAAGTCAGATTAGCTTTCTCGTGTGGATACCTTGGAGACCATGTGTCCACACCTATATAACCGGCTTTGGCGGAAATTAGGTTTAGTTCCTCTACATAACCTTTAACTTGTGCCACTACACCTACGTAAACTGATGTATGGGGTTTCCTGAACATGCAAGTACTTTTACGATCTTTGGCCTACCACAGTACTCTCATTAATAGGACATGGTTCTCTGAGCTTGGTAGCGTGACCTACATTGACTAGGTTGCTACTTGATTGAGAACTGTGTGCAACATTATTGCAAGGTATACAATATGTAGATGTACAGCATGTACAGCAAAATCCGAGATCTAGATGCTATCTTGCCGAACACGAGATCAGTTGCCTATCGATTCAAAAGGATCGGAAACATTGACCCCTGTAAATGAAACACGAGTGAAGATACGGAGCCAAAGGGTAGTTTTCCATTGGGGCTGAGAAATATAGCTACGAGTTATTTACATCTGGTCTGGAAATCAACAGATTATCCTATCCTTGTCCCTGCGAGTTACACACTTAAGACAACTCTGGGACTGGACAAGGGCCATGAGATCCAGCATATTGGTGCCGCTAGGTAACACTAAGTTGCACAGGTGATCTACAACGGGGCTCCATCCACGGCCCTCTTCACTATTGTTTTTACGTTAGTTAAGTTAGGCAGCTCTCACGATTTACATAATCGTCTTTTCTTCACGGAACTCGGTCCGTGAATGAAAGCCACTATGTGTCCATCTCGGCACCCATAAAGCCTCAAAAGCGGGCCTATCATGCTTGTCGATTGTCGGAGTCGATTATGTTCAATAAATGTTCGGCATAATAGGCCAGCCCCACGCCATTCATGCACCGAGGCCAAGGAAGAGCAGGGATGCTTATTCATATCATTCGTCACATTCGGGAGTCTACCTTATCTGGATGCGGACTTGGCGATCTTTGGATGAAATTCATATGACTTACGGTCCAATAGCATTTTCAGATTCAGGTCTTCTCGATTTTTGATGGGACGAATGATACAAACTTGTACTTCCGGTATGCGCCTCTTTCCTCGTCACTACGTAGTATTAATTAATCGTTTAAATCGTCGTGTAGAAAATATGAATACGAGACTCCGTAGGTATATAAGCTTAAATCCCGGTATGGCTGGCTGAAAATTCTCATCTAAATGATCGAAGATCGTTCCAGAGTAGTCTCTACTCCCTGGATTTCCACAGTTAGGGCAGCAGCAGGTCAGGTGATGGTGGGTATCACAATATTCACAATATTCTTCTCTACCAAAGTATTTTCCAAAACACACCAATATGGGTAATGACACGTCAAAGGGCCGTGATTTGCTTTCAATATGTATTTATCATGTTACGTAAAGAGTAATGATGCTGTCTTGACTATTCCGTGGCTTCGTTTCGAGTTTTTGACAACGTAGTAAGTTAGGTATTGTGCGTGCTGAAAATGCACTTAATTGCGGCGTAGACCGTTCACGATGCATGCATAGTAAATCACCACGGGGCCTAATGATGCGAAATATGAAGCTGAAGTCTATTCTGTTCCTGGGGTTCATCGACGATCTACGTGGTTATGACCTCGGGAGTGTATGCATATCTTAACATGGAAGCTGTATATGTACTCTACGCCCAGGACAAGCCACACGTATTGAAACAGTGCAAACCATCGGGCATGTGTACTGTAACATATTCCGTATTTCAAACTACTAATAGAATGACATTCTAAAACTAACGGTATCTGAAACAACGCCCACAAATCCCAACAAGAGGCGAAGAGCCCTATCAATTGTAGATCGATCATTTTGGTAGCTCCCGGCCTAGCGTTGTTGACTCCGCCCCAGAGGTTAATGCCTAATCTATCCGGACCTAGATAAAGACAGTAAAGCGACAGGTGGCTGGAGCCAGTTTCTGAGCAATAATGACCTAATAAACCTGGCCCAATCTGGTTTCTTTACGAGCAACGGGGCTAAAATGATCGACCTAATGGTGTCTCCGAATTGACCGGATCGTCATATACTAGTACGTGGGGAACTTTGAATCTGGTTCGACAGTCGTAACTGTCACCGAGGAAGTTCACAGATTCGATATGCCGAGATGCTGATGTCTAATTCGAATTTTCGTCCCAACTGGGTGGTCAAAGTGGCGTCTAGGCTTGAGAACTCGACCTGCGAGTGGAGAGAAGTTTCCTGTGCGCTGGTACATTACAATACCTACGGATTGTTCTCTTCGATTTGTTGTAGTACTTCGCTCTGTCTCCGCGCTGAATGGACTAGTAATAAGGTTGGAGAGGTTCTGAGATAATGCCCATAAGCCGAATCTGTTGGAATACCGAAAAAAAGCAAAGGGGAAATACGTCAACAACAATCCATTGAGCCTGGGGCGATCCTTTTGAGGAACAAGCTCCATCTCTGGCCGCCCGAATAACTGAAGCTGTACATGCCATGTTTAGTAAGAGGACTTAATTTCATGAACACGAGCATTAACTGATGATTTCTAGGTATGGGGAAATAGAAACATCGAGCTTCATCGACTACTCAATGGTCGCATCATCATAGCTATGTTCCCTCTTCGGATCCGGTCCTCGAATGGTTCTCTCCTACTCTTGCCCTGTGTAACCACGTCATCTGCATGAAAAGGCCCATGCTTGTAAGTATCTCGATGGTCAGCATGCACATAAGCACTGGTAGATGTGCTCTACATAGCGCATTGCATAGGAAAGGACATTGTGTAGTGAAACATGTTCCTATAGTGCAGATGATTTGGCCACCCATACGACGTTATCAATCAATGAAATTGTAAGCCCCCATATGGTGGAGTGTACATTGTGCTCAGGTCAAATCTACTCATGTACTTCAACGTAGATTTGCCGCAATTATGAGTATTGGAGGACTCCAAACGCCAACGCCTTCAGCAAGTCATGTAAGTTATTAGCAATTTATCTTTGGCCAGCGGGAAAAATGGGAAATACCGGACTGGCATAGCACCTAAGAAACCCTTTTCGTGGCTTTTCCCAATTTATCTCCGCTATTCTTTACCGTTACTTTTTCTGTCTCGATTTCAAGTGCACTGCAATAATGTCCGTTGACTGGATCGCAGGTGTTGCTCCACTTTTAGGATCATCCTGAGTAGATGCATTCTCCATTCTCGGGATGTACGAGGGCCACATTTTGGAGTTTTTTTCTACTAATAGTTGGATAGGCACGGAAGGCTATTACCATCGTGATCTGCAGACTGGTATACGAGTAATTAAAAACATGATAGCTTGGAGAGCTTAAGTACATGTATATACTGGGAATATCCACATTCTCTTTTGTGAGCTTTGACTTTGTATCACAAGCTAAGAGAAGTATCAATCTTTCTGTTTTTAAGTTGTTTCGCAGCAAGTAAGCTGTGTACCTTGCATCTTTGGGTACATATACCTGTTAATAAGTACTCCAAAGTACTTTCATTTCTGGAGTCATTGACACCCACACCATCAGCTTGCAAACACCAATGCCCGCCCTAATGTCAGAAGAAAAGAGCGCTGCTACCACTTCAACCACTTCGAGACAACGACCGGGGTCAGCATGCGAAGAGTGTCGGCGAAGGAAACTAAGATGCGACAGACAACCACAATGTGGTAACTGCATTGACGCCGGGGTCGTGTGTACCACCACAACTGTCCGACCTGCAAGAGGACCAAAGAAAGGACATCTCAAAGCATTGAAAGGAAGAATAGGTAAGAGGATATCAATGGAGAGGAACATTATCAAGCTGACGGAGCCGAAATAGCAACACTTGAGCGATGTATTATGGAACAGCAAGGCGGTATTGCTTTACCACTCAGTGACGAGTCACTGTCCCCGGATAACACGCAACCCTGCAGTCCGGATGGCGAAAATATAGACAAGTCGCTTGAAAGGAGAACATCACTTGCATCCATATCATCGTCCATTCAAGTCCCATATGTTATTCCAGAGCTTGTGAAAGCTGACTTGTATGCCGTCATCTTCTAATATCTGCACCGATAACATGATGATACTGAATTGGTGTATGCTAATATTATATATAGGGATCAATTATATTTCGAAAGAGTCCATCCTCTAATTCCTGTGATACAGCGAGCTCGATATTTTACATGGGCTAAGGGTGCTTCTAAATCAGATTCACGAATTGCTTTACAATATGCCATGTGGACATTGGCAGCCTCTTTGTCGACACATTGCCAAAGCATCCGCGACTCTCTATACGCTCACACCAAAAGGATGCTCGAGATCATTGAGTCCAAGGATAATGAGATGGACTTTTTTGACATAGAGCAAGCTCAAGCATGGCTGCTACTAGCCATATACCAATTCATGCGAAGTACTTATCGAAAAGGTTGGCTTAGCGCTGGCCGCTTATTCCGATTGATTCAGATGATGCGGCTATATGAGATTGATAGTCCAGGCGAGTTAGCTAACCAACTAATGGAACCGGACTGGGTGGAAGTGGAGGAGAAAAGGCGGACGTTCTGGATGGCGTACACCCTGGATAGGTTCGCTAACATTCGCAAAGGCTGGCCCATTACACTAACGGAGCATGTCTTGACTCGGCTTCCCATGCCAGAGACTGAATTTCAGAGCGGACAGCCCGTCAACATGGGATTTCTTTCAGATGCGCTTTCTGGCAGTGACCTCATGACCACTCCGCAATCATCCTTTTCGGAATGCATAATGCTTGCTACCATATGCGGTCGCAGCTTGTCTCACCGACACCTATCTATGGTAGATGGTGTATATGGAAGCAATCCACAAGAATTTTGGAGTCGACACGAATGGATTGACTCAGCTCTTGTGGCCAGAATTTCCATGTTGTCCTTGTCCTACCCTTTTCAGGCAGAGCATATGGATCCGATGCTTCTGTTCACCAAGATGATTGCACAAACGACAATACTGTATCTTCACAAGATAATTGAGTCTACAACATGGGACTCGCCTGAATACCACAGCTTTATACTGGAATATGAGCAACGGTCCCGGATGGCGGCAAAAGAAACGGTCGAACTTGCCAAGGAGCTGACACAGCTCAGTTACTTCAAGGTTTGTTTCATAACTCGTTGCAGATCATCAGGTGAATGGATGTTAACATGCTTCCAGGTCCACCCCTTTACACCAATCCCTCTCTGCATTTGCGCCGAGTTTTTAAACTCTAGGGATAGAGACGTCGATCCAACCGTCAACGCGCAACTACAGGAGATACTCAATGCACTTCAATATTTAAAGAACGTTAACACTCTCGCAAACGAAAACCCTACACTACATTTTTGGATTGACTTGAAACATGGATAATTTTGTTGTGGATACTTCTATCAAGGCTCAGGATGTTCTTTTTATGGATGTATGGTCTCAAGTTATATAGGACGATAGTCCGCAAGGACAAGGCGATGGGGCACCAGGCAATCTACTACCTCATTATTAATAATTAGTCATTATAATATACTGGATTACATGCTTTCTATTAAAAATGCGCCGGAATGTCTGTCGTTGTTGTTATCGAAATTGGGCATTGTTCAACCGTAACCAGTCCGGCTGATCTTGATTGCCATCTCTCGACCACATTTGGTCAGCCTAGATGCTGTGACGACTAGACCTTGACATGACGCTTTGGAACTCCAATTTAAGTTTATTGTACCTTGAGCAGAAATCACCAGCACTCTGAAAATAGTCAAATGTTACGCTCCACAGACCCTCTAGTGGCTAGCTCAAGCTGTATGTTGGAATGTCGGAACTTAAATGTAATACCGTTTCACCAAAAAGGACGCCCTTCAAGGGATTCTGGTATTATGTTGGAACCAAAATCACGTTACTAGCAGAATACAGTAGTCGAACTACGGAACGGTTCTCAAATACAACAAAATACCAGAATCCCTTTAAGGGCGTCCTTTTTGGTGAAATGGTATTACGTTGAAGTTCCGATACTGGGCATCGGAACTTGCTATGTACTAGCACAAACTCAGTTAAGCTCAATACTCAAACACGTCTTTATAGTGGGAAATATTGATATTGATCTAATTCTGTGCACACCCTTCTCTCTACTTCTTGATAGGATTGTTGGACACTGTTGGACACTATTTATGCTTGAGAATTCCATACAGAAAATATCCAGAAAATCTCAATAGAAGATTCTCGACACAGAGCTGTAAAATTGATTCGTAGGCTCAATCTTGTGTCTTCAATTCTCGAATTTTCCTTGTATCAATGTTGTAGGCTTTCCTTGATTAGGTTTAACTTACCTAATCCTCAACACTGGGTGTTGGATATCTGATACGCTAATCCCATTCTGGACGACCTTACTAATCGGTGAATCCCCGGAAAAACACAATTGCCGATCCCAGGTTTGGCACAATATCGACAGCCCTACTTTTGGATTCAGGATTGCTATTTTGCCACTATATTGTGTATATAAAGAGGATCAAGATGCGTAGCTAGCTGTGTTTTTAGAGAGTGTGCAAATCAGAGTCAATTTATTCCTCACCCAGATTGTACGCTCCTATCAGAGCCTAACCCCGTTCGGACTAGTACCAAAAGATTCCAATAGTTGTGAGCCTGGGATCCCTGTGAGCTACATTTGAAGCTATTCACAAATCAATCCTCAATTCGGAAGTCTTGTACAGCCAGCTACGATACCACACCCAGCGAGCGTCCTCGATTGAGATACAGTTCAATAACAGTCCCAAGAGCAATACGAGATATTAGCAATGGACACCAAAAAGAACATTGTAATCCTAAAAACGACAGATGACTGGAGAAAATGGATCGAACAGCTTAGCACGGAGGCAATGAAGGAGAATGTATGGGAATATATCAACCCTGACCCAAACCGGATGGTACTTGAGCCCGCACCAGCCAAGCCCATGGAGCCAGTTGCGCCTGAGATAGACTTCAATAAAACGAGTGAAGCGCAGCTGTTGTTGCAGAAATATCAGATTGAATCCAATACATACGAGCGACAACTCAGTCGGTTTGAGAAACACCAAAAGCGTATGAAGCATATACATTCTTATATTCTCGACACCGTGTATATTGGACACAAGCCTATGATTCGAGAAATTAGCGAGGTTTCTGAAATAATCCGAGAGCTTAAGAAAAAGCTTGCTCCAAAACCAAACCGGGAGAAAGTATTGCTAGTTGAGCGGCACCGAGAGCTCATAATGATGAAAAAGCCCTTGAGATCAAAAGAATTAATTCAGAAATGCGAGATTTGATAATTGACATGAGATTCGCCAAATTCACTGAAATTCCAGACGACAGATTAGCTAGGGACTTCATCAAAACAACAGAGGATATCTTAACCAAATTCTATGAGACATGGACCACACGTATGATAGAATTCGACCTTGATTCTGGAGCCACCAGTCTAATAGAGGCACCAACAGTTGACGAAATTATAAGTCAATTTGAACGATGGGAAGAGGTGTATGCCAAATCCAACGAAACTTCCAGACGAGATATTGCCATGGCGACATTTGGTAATAAATCCGACCAGCCTGAGAAGGATCAAAAGGACCTAACAACACCTAAGCAGAAGCCGACCTGCGTATGCGGTCAGGAACATCTGTTTGAAGATTGCCCATACGTGAACACGAAGAAACGTACCGCCAACTGGAAACCAGACGGGGCCATACAACGAAAATTCGAGCAACTAGAAAGACGTCATGGACACCCTAGAGCTAGGATGCTCCAACGAATCAAGAAAAAACTAGAAAAGGAAGGCAAAAGTGAGACAAAAGCCTCATCTTCAACTGATGCTATGAACGACAGTGCAAATCAGAGTCAATTTATTCCTCACCCAGATTGTACGCTCCTATCAGAGCCTAACCCCGTTCGGACTAGTACCAAAAGATTCCAATACTGGGGAGATATCACGTGATCCATCGTACCCTAAGTCCAACGATCAAGTAGCTAACTTATACTCCCACCAGAATACATTTATAGCCTGTCTCTGGAAGTAATCTCAGGCTCTCAGAATTGCATGCAAAAGTTTGAATAATATATAGCGTAGTCACCGATAAGAAGTGAAATCGTACCACGAGTCTACACGAACTCTTCGGCTTGCTACTACACCGTACACCTTGCAGGCCTACAAGGATCTACAAAGTTATGGGCTTTGTTGGAGATAAGACAGAGGATTAATTGCTTTAGATGGATTCTTGCTACATTTGATTATATCTAATGCCAAATTCTATTATAGTCGGAAGCAGCGTGTCTAAAAACCCAATTCAATCCCGTCTAACACAAGCCGCCAAAATGAACGGGAAAGAAATTGCCAATAGGTTCCCCCTTAAAAACGCAGATGCACTATTGGCGCATGAAATCGGGAAATTCCTCTTGAATGTTTGATTCGCCGAGAATGTATTGCAGTTGCCGCGTGGAATCGGAGGGAGTGACGACAGACAAATTCCCGTTGTCGTTGATATTTGGAGCGTCTTTTGAAATATTTCTTTCAAGGTCATGTTGTCGAGTAGGCAGTAATTGAAATGGCGGACTGGAATCCTGGAGCTTATCAACTGTCTCGGTAACACCCTCCATAAAAGTCTTCTAACGTCTGAAGGCATCAAATCTGCGTGAAATAGTTGTTCTGTGAACGATGCTGCTTTCTTTGCCCGTGTATTCAAACCATTGTGGCAAGTACAGAGTTTTAGATCAACAAAATGTTTCGAGAACATTTGACTAATGCGAGTATTGGTATCCTTATGCACCAACTCGAATGCGCTGAAGAAATCGGAGTCAACCAAACGATGATACATCAACATGTACCAGGAAAGGCATTCATATTTCTTCAGTCCATGTGCACGGAACCATTTTAGCATAAGAACAGACAATTCTTCAAATGCTAGACCGGACTTATTGATAAAGCGGCCATTGAGAAGCGCACAGGGCCACAGGCTTTCTGTTTTTGATTTGCCCCGTACGTGGACACACTCTGCAGTATCCATATATTGCCTACGGCTTCAGAGCACTGATATTTATCTCAGAAAATCAATAGCGCAAGCGGGGCAAAACCATCAGGTGTTTCATCAATCAGGTATTGCCGATCATATAGTATTTTGCAGAACAGGAAGACCGAATCCAAATCATCTTCAGGCAACGACACTTGGTGTACCTCGTGACTTCCACATCGAGTCTTAATGCTCTCTTCGTAACCCCACTCACCACCCCCCCCCCCCCTCCTTCAATTGCCGACTTTAATGAAGACGTCCCCGCCTTCTTGTAACACTAGAACGTCGTTCTTCTGTATTCTTTCGTCGAGAGGGAAAGTCATTTGGTGGAGGGATGCAGGAAGTGTCGGTTTCGTTTGCTCCTATCTGACGAGCGAGGCTCTCAACATGTTGTTCCTGTGAAGCAACGATGGCGGCCGATGAAGAGTGGCTGCATGATGACAGGCTCTTGAAGATATCTTATAAGAAATGAGAATTCGTTTATAATAAAAGTGGATTCGAGAATAGAAAGTAAGGTAACCAAGCAACTCTGAACGAACATCGCCTGTTTTTTTCACTTCAAGAAGGTATATAGATTAATGATATGTGGGATTATTTCCAATAGTGATAGGAGACTGTTTCAATCTCATAGGTCTCCGAAGAAGGATAAGAGGAATGTGAGATCTCAGTAATTGGAGTTTGTTCCAACTGTAAAGCAAATGCATTTCCCGCTTGGGCAGTTGCAGTGATAGAGAAATACCTCAGTGAAGCGTTTAATATGGGTAAGACTAGAAGAACTCAGTGCTTAGTGAGAATTCGTCCATAGAGAGGCTCTATATTTTAGTCAGGCAATACTATTCCATACCATTGTTGCTGAAGTTGATATATCTTACCTAGAGAAGTGAGACCAAAAGATCTCATGGAGTATCCAACTGTGAGCCAAGACGTATCTAAGTGATCTGTAGGAAAAGTTAAATGGTCTCAATCCTCAAGTTTTTATAAATTCAGTGTATCATCAACATCATGTCGACAGTTCATCTACCTAGGTAAAGAATGCATACTGAATGTATCATACAACTCACTTTCCAAATCAGACTAATCCATTGACGGATCTGCTGCGAAACAGCGCATCTGCTGGACCAAGGAATAGTGCTGACAAACACAATTTACATCCAATAACTTAAGACTATTTGCTTGATTCAGAATACCTTTACATTTTAATGGCATTAGAAGACCTACTTCTTCTAAGTCCTGCCATACATAACAGCACCATTCCTTCCACCGAGTGTATTCACGCATCAATTCCCCGTAAAAGTGACAGTCTGACTTGTCTGTCCAGCCGCCTTCTTATCTAGGGCAACATTCGTATTCAACTTCTTTGTCTCTGCATCGATCTTATCCTGATTATTACTGCCTTGCGCCTGCTGAATTTGCAAAGCTTGTACTTCCGCAAATAGCTTTAACACCTTGTTCTTAATCTTGCCGTTTTGCAGGGCCGTCTTTGTTGCGTTGTCTGTTGCAGCGGCTATGGCAGGATTAAAAGCTTTTGTTTCTGCATCTTCTGCTGTTACCCGTTCAGCTTGAAGGGTCTTGAGGTCTGCGGAGGAGACGGAGGCGAGGTCTGCGGGGACGGGAAATTTGGCGGTTGCTTCGGCCAGGGCATTGCCTGCTGTACCGTCGCTAGTTCTCATAAGATTGACTTCTTTGAATATGGAGAGGACAAGCGTACCTGATTGTAAGCTCGGCGAATGTGCGAGCTGCAGCTCGTTTGTTGAAAGCGATGGGGAGTGTGGGAAGCGCCAGCGCTGAAGGCAGAGCCAAGGAGAGGAGGGAAAGTGTCATGAAACGCATTTTGATAGTCTTGGAATAAGCTAAATGATTTTCTGGAATATGGTGCTTGTATATAAAACAAAAACAACCAAATAAACTCTCGTCGATAACTTGACCTGCTCGAGACTTTCAAATCAGATTTTGAACGACGCAGCTGAAGGATTGAATCGGGGGCCGACAGTGACTTATTATATATCAGACGGTAAAGTATACTTCTTCACGATGCTTGAAGCCCAAACATGATGTATCAGATATATGCCATCAGTGTTATCATACCAAACTTCCTGTACCTCGAACTGGCGCTGGGTTACTATATTTGAGGCGAAATAGACGGCACTAGACCTAAGAGGGATGCAATCGTTTTCAATCTTTGCTTAATCCTATCGAACCGTTCAACTAACGGTCAGTAATATCAGTCGAGCAATTGTGACGTACTCGAATAGGGTATTCATCCGACTAGAAGGATAGGTTAGGGCATATCTGAGACATATGGTGTTAGGGCTTGGGAACTGCGACAACTTTGAGACATGAACCACCCCTGTGCACTAACTTAACTATAGCAGAGAAGCCATTACCCGTGACTCAAAAATCATGAAAAATTATAGAGATAGCTCTCCATTACGTACATTTTTCAGCTCTTTACGCTGAGACTTCTCGCCAGGTTCCAAATGCAGTTTAGCGCAATGCGGGCTAGCTATGTTATGACAGGATGTCACCTGTCTCAAGTAGACGCCTGCCTGGATGCCATATGGGGACTAGCCCGTTGTAGGCGAGGTGTTTGATATCAACCCTGGACCTCACCACTTAGCTAGAGCACACATGACATTTTTCTAGAGCCTCATCATGTTATTCACTTGATGCCGACACCTTTTCCCTCACTCTGAGGTAGGTCATTGTCACAGAGAAGAGAAGGTAACATCAAACAAGCAAAAATTGACATCAAGTCAATTTGTATGCTTTTTGTCCGGCTTTCACACCACCTCCAGAGTTCACAGAGTGTTTCTTAAACGGCATATATGATGGCTCCCGATATCAATGGCACATCTATCGGCAAAAAAAAACATACCAGGAATTCGGGGCTTGGCAATCATGATACAAAACATGCATGCTAATTTGACTCTACAAGAGTTGGGGTTATCGCTCCAAGGGCGTACTGGTGCCTTCAGCCTGAGCTTCGACATAAAAGTCCCGTCAGCTACATCATGTGCTTCAGTTGTCTTAATGCTTCCTTGCACCTTGAGCCTCTAAGCAATTCGGCCATCGCCGAATGTACAATCGGGTGGCGTAATCTGGCAATGACGCTGTTGCAACAAAATTTATGCCGTTCTACCAGGAAGGGCACCCCATTTATGAGGATTTCTGATAAGTGTTGTTTGAGTGGTTTTGAACTGTTCCATTGGCTGATATTATGTTCATCAGATGCTTCTTGTCCAGTGATGGTGACACATAACATCTCAGAGATTGGTCCTACGGACTTCATGTTTCGGAAATCACGTACAACCCTGTCAAGGACATGAGTGTGGCATGTTTTTATACTATTTGTACTCTTTGAGTTTGCTGATCAACGTATATTCTTAGGAATTCACTGACTGAACAATGCCCATGCTGGGCAACCAGTTCATATTAATTGCCCTGAATACCATTGACAGTGTGCTCGGTCAGGATTCTTCCGAAGAGGTGAACTATCCGGCTACCAAAGAAGAGGCTAACCACGATGTATCGTCCAACTCATCCGTGGTCGGATCCCATCAAATGTGATCGCAGAAGAAGTTGTGGCATGAAGGACGAGGCAATTGAGACTTGGAACTGGGAGAAGAGACAGGACTACCTTGGTGAGGAGATCGAGATGAATCCTGTTCCCGATGACTCGAGTGAAGGTTATGTCTACCTCTGGTTCGAGGACTGGCGGCATGTACTGCTTTCACCTGGACGGATCATTATCTATGGGTTTATCGAATATAAGTCCTCTCATGACAGCGCATCACCTCAAGCTAATGAGACCCCTACTAGACAGTGGGTATAAGGCATGAATGGGGACACGAGCCTTCTCATGGTTAGGATTTAATAAGCCAGACCTTGCCTCTCCAGAGTATATTTATACAAAGCATGATCACGTTGCCTAGCTGTATCTAATCCATTATACTATTAGAATAGACTTAAGAACGAAATCCTCATGTGCTCAGTCAAGCTCAAATAAGATTATTATCTTACCCAGAAAAGATTGTGTAAAGAAAAACCATACCTCGCTCGTTGACTTGGGAATACTCTCCTAGCACGCGCTCCTATGCTTTCCTTTCAACCAATATGTTTGGCCTGTCAACTTATCCTCGCAATGACTGTAGTGTTTGTTTTCCCGGTCTTCTGAACTTCTCATTCATCGTCCCTCTTTGGTCCCAGGCTGAAGTGCAACCAAGACTTGGTCACTCGAACTTCACCCAGTTAGTGGAGTGTCGAGACTCTCAAACACGATGGAAACAGTCTGGATGTATCATACGTTTTCGTGATATAAGCATGAGAAATAGGTACCCGGATCGAGTGAATGAGGAGGTTTGGGAGTTATACGAAGGATAGAGACGTGTTTCCGGAGATACCAAGTGCTTTGACTCTAAGGATAGCTTCGAGTTAGTTCATTCAAAGGGAAAATGAGTGATAGGCTTGTTAGAAACAGATTTCGCTTGACCCCTGAGAGCCGCGTTTTTAAGCTCACTGATAGTAGGATGGTCTTAAACAGACGAAGAACAAGATACAAATTGATTACAACCAGAAATGAGGTGAGGTGGAAAGTTTAAAGTAAAGCAAGAAAGAGATTAAGAAAAGAAGAAAGGACAAACGAATAAAATGCATTTCAGCTATCACTTTGACGAAATTCCCATTCTCCGGTAAGAGTTTTGTGGACCAAAATGAATCTTTGGCTGATCTACGAAAGTACAAGCTACCTAGCTAATCATATTAAATAGATAACTCCAGGAATAGAATCACGAGTATCTATGCATATCAATGTTATCAGGACTAGAAATTTAGGTATAATGGACACAATGAGTTTTATAGGTCTATCAGTAGTATGAACAGGGAACCATGTCGGCCAGGACAATAACCTTGAAATATGGTGCCTATTTGTCTGTATGAGAGATCAGGTATACCTAGCAAATAATAACCTCCAGGGGAGAGCAGAGTCAATGATATTATTTACCCTACTTCTGGTCAATTGTAGTACTTGACAACGACGGAGTAGACATATATTACAACTTGTCCAAATCCAACATCATTCACTATAAAGACGATATTTGCTGTATCGCCAATTGTCGAGCATCGTTCCAAATCTCCAAATACCTTTTCACATGTACACTCTCATCCCACAAGAACGTCTCAAACAACCCTACCAAACTGGCCCAGTCACATACCCCCATCACGGAAGCGGTTTTAACGATACACCGCAAGTACCAATCCATAAGCGCTTCCATATTAACACTAATCATAGAAGCCGCTACAAATATAGCCCATAGTTTGAAATGAAGAGGTATCATTTCACCACTGTTGGCTGAGTTGGTGCTTGTACCAACCAATATATCACGGAATTTGGCAATTAGGACATCGCAGACGGGTAAACGAGGTGGACTTTCGTTGACCATGCTCTCTGAATAGAGAATTAGAATTAGTCTGCACAGTTCATGTGTCGTGTTTAAATATCTCGGTGTTGAGAGAAGTGTGTATTGTGTTTTGGTAATTAGGAATCGAATTCTGGCTGCGTCGGCTTGGCTGTTGGTTTTGTTAGTCATGAGTGATGATGTTAGTTGGGTTGCCTCGTGCAAGGCAGCGATGTGTTGTTTTATGTTGTCGCCGAGAGGGCATATTCCATCGAAGAAGTTAAATCCGGGTGCGGATCTGGTGAGTTCAATGGTATCGACAGTAGCTGGTGTAGAAGAAGGGAGGTAGTGACGAGAAAAGAACGGTATTGCAATGGTATCAATTGATCCACACAGATCAGCCCTGGGTTGATAATCAGCAACAACATATACACAATACCCAAGGGTCTGTCCTACCGAAACACCTTGGTCATAACCATCGGCTTCATCTCCAGACTAATCAGTCCTCCCCTAAGATCAACTAGTCTTTTCAGCCCTTTCATATGTATTCGCCAATTCTCAAAAGACCCTCTAACTTTCTGTCTAAGAATCAGCCTTGAACTCATGACGCGAAGAACAAATAACATACCTCCACAAAAGCCAATGTCGCAATACTAGCAATCGTTGCATCTGTCACCGACCGCATCGTAGCAATACGAATCTTCATAATTGATAAAGCTTTATTCATGTGCCACAAGGCAATTGGTCGGTCCTCGAAATGCATAGCTCGCGTATTATGGGAGTCGGCACATCCAATGAGTAGATGTAAGAAGGCGTCGTCGCAGAAAGCCAAAGGGATCCAGTAATCTGTCATGGGGTTGATTGAGGTTAAACTTTCGATGGTATAGAAACTTTTCCAGATGGTCGTCATATCTGTAGACACATTATTAGCCAGTATGTCTACCCAATTATGTGGTAAAGCTCACAATACTTCAGTAAATCAAGCATATACGCCTCGAGCTTGATGGGGAATGCATCGAATGGATCGGCCCTCTCTAATCCACGCACAAGCCTTAGAGGATCATGGCTCGTTTCATCCCACTTTCGTTTCCGGTGCATATAATTAGCCATAACACGTTTGCGAATGGTGGTGCGTGCTTCCTTGCTGATAGTATTGACATTGTCGCCGGCCATGTGGACGAAATAAAAGTCATTGTCTGTCATATGAAAGCCTTGCTGTAGTTTCGAGTTAGAGATTTTCTTAGCTACATTCTATCGTTAGTTCAATCGCAAATTATGGTGCAAAAAGAGACATACAACCTACTGGTCGACCCCTCTTCCTCGGTACTTTCACTTTCACTGGGCCCTGGTCATATCGGAACACGCAGGACTCGGTTGTAGATGACAATTCCGTAACAGGAAAGACTATCTCACTTGAAACCGCTGAATTATTTAAAGACATACTGGACTACTCAACGCGAAGCAAGAAATAAATTGGCAAGGAAGAATGGCGAAAAAAGAAAGTGATGCAATTCAGAAGGCTTATCACTATCGCCGAGAAGTCCGAACTCCTCCTGAGCCCCAACGCTAGACCGTATTCGGAAGGAGGTTTGGAAACAATTCGGCCCAAAGAGGAAATGGTCTTAGCATCATCATAGATTGAAGGGCTTGATTCATTACGAATAATACTGAGTGGCAGAAGTATTCTCAAGTCTTATAAAATGGATTTTGATTCTAACTGCTTCTAGAAAGAAGTACATTCAAAAAACATGTCTAAAAGAGGATAACTGGGGAGCTCTGAATGTAGGGATGGGTCATGCCTTAATGACGGTCCACTAGTGACTGTATATACAGCTACGTTAACATGGGAAGAAAACGCATAAATAGGGCCTCATTTTCCAGAGAAGTATCAATTCTGTTTTTGACATCCCTCCGTATACAATATTCTCATCGTCCATTCCTAACTAAACATCCCCTCTCAAAGAACATGTCTTCATACACCAGAGAAACAGACGGTGACCAAATCGCCTCCGACCTCTCCTCTACCATCAAAGGAAAATCCATCCTGATAACAGGCGTCTCTCCCGGCGGTCTCGGCGCCGAATTCGCAATCACAATCTCCAAACATTTCCCCCGACTCCTGATCCTAGCAGGTCGTGACGTCAAAAAAGCAGAACAAACCGCCGCAAAAATCGCAGAAGTTGCTCCCACAGTGGAAGTCCGTACTCTAAAACTTGATCTCGCATCGCAGTCTCAGGTGAGGGAAGCCGCTCAGGAAGTTAATGCGTACAAAGAACCGGGCTATATCGATGTACTGGTTAATAATGCGGGTATAATGGCTACGATGCCGTATACACAGACCGTTGAGAGGATTGAGAGTCAATTCGGGACGAATCATATTGGGCACTTTTTGTTTACGAATTTGATTATGGAGAAGTTGATTGGAGCGGATGGAAGTGCTAGGACGGCGAGGGTGGTTAATGTTTCAAGTGACGGGTATCGGTTGGGACATGTCAGATTCGATGATTGGAATTTTGATGTAAGCCATTCGCATTCTCCTCCAAATCCTCTGTGGAGTCTACTAATGTTGGTGGTAGAATGGAACCACATATAACCCCTGGCGAGCATACGGACAATCCAAAACGGCGAATATGCTTTTCTCTCGATCACTAGCCGCAAAGCTGGCGGACCGAGGATTGATTTCTGTCAGTCTGCATCCCGGGGTTATCCTAGACACAAATCTGAGCGGTCATTTAGACGCCAGTGGATTTCAAGGATTGCGTATGTCACTGACTCTTTATCTGGCAAGATTATAGTCATTGGACTAACGATGGCCTATAGTCGAGGTAGATCGACAACAAGGTAACAGGAAATACTGGGGCCCATTCAAGGGCAAAACTCCTCTACAGGGTGTATCAACGCATGTATTTGCGTCGTTTCATGATTCTATTATGTTGACTAGTGAGTCCTCTCCTCTCATTATAGCGACGAGACGCTGTTTGACTTGTGCTAATCGGATACGGTGGCAGATAACAACGGAGTCTATCTAGAAGATAATCGAGTCTTTCGTCCTGAAGAAGTGCTCACCTGGGGACGAGATGATATCGAAGCTCAGAAGTTATGGAAGTTGAGTGAGGAGCTTGTTGGTGAGAAGTTCTTGTATTGATTGATATATTGCATTCAAGGGTGGGATTAGACTATCAGAATGTTGACTCAGCATGTAAGGTAGTTATGTGAATACTACAGAGGTTCGAGGCGGTTAAGCAAGATATCAAGATATTAGGATCACAATATACAGGTGGTTTTTGTATACATCCATGAGTCCATCGTGGTATATGCAAATATCACGAGCAACATCTTTGTCGTCATCCTCATGTCTGTAGACCCATAACAAAATCTTCTAGCTAATACTCAGAATCCTTGGTGATTTCCATGACTTCTGAAATCGAATATCATAGCATCATGATCATCAGCCATGGACTCGGCATGAATAGACTCAAACGATTTGAGCGCGTCTTCAGCGCGGTCATTATCGATCAGCCATCGTGGAGATTCATGGAGCATGATAGTATGAGTGGCGGTAGACATGGTATGGCTAGCGGCAGACGCCATTCTGAACCCGAGGAATTGACAAAATAAAATCCTAGACCAATCTAGCTTGCAAGAGCGTAGCCCAGACAGAGTATGACACCGTGGATACCGACTAGGAAGCCATGGATTTTTGGTGGAGAGACTTCAGACTGATACAATGGGACTAGGGCGAGCAGAGTGCTTATTTTAATGGTTGGCAAGATCTGCTTCTGTATGAGAGGTGACTACATACCAACACCAAGACCAGTAATAAACCGAAAAACAAGATACATGGCGATATGCACACTACCAGCTTGTAAAGCTCCGCCAACGACAGTTACCGAACAAGCAATCAATATTGACATTTTACGTCCTAGCCTATCAGCTGAACCGATACATGACAGACTGCGAAACAGACCACCAGCTTGGAAAAGCTCATTGATGGCACCTTCAAGTTGCGCGGCACCTAATCTCATATCCAATACGAAATAGGACAGGAAGGACGGTTTTCCGAGAGTGGTGAATATACTGCTAGAGCTATAACCGTAGGTGGTGCTACCTAGGGCGACAAAGCCGACGACCTGGTATGCTATTAGTGATTGGCTATTATTACCAACAAAAAGAGCTTACCAGGATGCGAAAGAAAGAAGGAGAGATGGCCATGGTGAATTGATTGTACAAACACAAAGATCAATTACACTAGCAATTAAAGGCACATCTAGTAAATAGATCGATGAATCAAGCAATTGGGGCACAATCAACATCCTTTCCACATCAATAAGCAAATATATTTCTCTTTGGAAGAAAGACGAAGGTTGTATCCGGGCGGTTGACAAAGATCTACAACGAGCCAAAGGACTGACGAGAAAAGAAATGATAACCAAAGGATCGATATCTACCCAGGTGCCCCAGGTTGTTGAACCATCTTTCTACATCTTTATTTTGTATAAAATGGCGACTTCTTTTTTCCTGGCCCAAAGGTCATCTGCCAAATGAATGAGTACATGGTGCAACGTGTCTTGAAGTATCTGTTCACGGATTCCCCGTCTACGACAGGCAAGTGCTGCGTCAACATATATGTTCACATGATGGAATTCGCTAAGTCTTCATAGAGGAACTGGGGCAGTGATCGCGCGAAGAATCCTGCGTGGTGGTCCTAATATAATGGAAAATACGCATGCCGAAGATTATGTCAATGATCCTGACTGCGCTCCTCCTAAAGAATTGTGGCTCGTCCACCGAACGACAAAGATGCTAGCAGGGAATGACGGATGGACCACACTGGTCTCGGAGAACTTAGAAGCAGACGCAGTATATGAGGCGAGCAGGATGTTTGCCAAATGCCAAGTTTTAAGAACTTGTCCGAGAGAGTCGTCGACGTCGATATTCACAATGATCCTTGGAATCAATTGAACATACAAGAAGGTTACCATCGACGATTGGGGAATCAACGACGGTTCAAAAAAGTCTGTTGCACGGTATTATCACGAGAGCCGCTGGAGAGCAATGAATCCACAATTCGAATTGCAGCCCCTTGGATATTGAATTGCCCATATCTTCCAGCAGGAGAATCAAATAGAGAGAAATCATTATTGAAACTGACAGGCCGAAAGTCTTTTCCAGCAGATATGCGGGGTCCCTGTTGGTGAAGTAATAATTTTCTTGCTTCCAGCACTATCGTCTTAACCATAAACACATTCTTTTAGTCCCTTCCTCAATTGAGCATCGGAAGAATAGTACGATCGATTGTTTGTGACACTATTCTGTAGGACCAGCGCATATGCAACGTCAGCTCACAGAGCGCAGGGACTGAAATATTTGTCGATTGGGCATGTTCTTGATATCGAAGCAGGCAAATCCCTTGGAAATGTCAGATTGCAAGATTTGCAGTCGTGCTATGCAATATGTCGAGATAATTCAATTGATGATCTGGTCTCGTGAACTTGTTGAGACAATGTCTCACTACAGGAGTTCGGCCCAGAAAGTAGGTGCTGTACTCATGTTGTCGTTCGTTCAAGTCAGGTAACATATTAAAATGAATAAGAACCAACTAAATAATTATTATTAAATTCGTAAATGTGTGAATTGTTATGTGGTTCTCACTCTCCATTAATTTAATTTGCCAGTATCAATTTTGTGGATACATTAGCCCATACTAACTATCTAATATGCCAGGGGAGCTAAAGATCCCCTGCAAAATCTCGTTTCGCGATATTCCGCAAACAGCTGTATGTACAACCACCCGCTATATTGTGTGCCGTATTCCTTCTCTTCTTCTTCCTCTTTCTTCTTTCCACAGTCGCATTGAATTACTCCTTCTTCATGAACTGAAGAATTTGCTGGTTCTCGTGGTTCAAGCAGGTACCACCTACATAAGTACGACCAAAGTTTGAGCCTCCGCCACGAGGTTGATGACAGCCACACAAGGAACCTTGGAATTATTGAACCTTACCTCAACGACATTCTTCCACCTTCACGCTGGATCCTCCCACCCCGTCAATCTTGACAAGCTCGCACCAGCGTCGCCGTTCGTCAACCTCCGTACCTCCGCTCCGCCTCGTCAAAGACCAGCAGCCACAACCACGCGACTCGTCTTCCTCTTGGGGCCAGGGTAGCACCTCCGGTCTCCCCGCCGGTCACAATACTGTGCGCCCTACAACGCTGTCTCCAATCCCCGGCACGCCTGCAAATCCTCTCCCATCCCCAATGACGCTGTCGCGATCACCCTCCCCGCTACCAGGAGGAGGTTGGTCAAGTCCCGGCCTGACGCCAGGCAGCGGTGCCACGAGTCCACGATATCCAACAACGGGTCATGGTTCACTGAGTCCCGGCGCAATATCATGGGCGAGCGCCAAAGCGAAAAGCGATGAAGTACGTAGTTATCCGTCTTTTTCGACTAGGAATTCGGGTTTCTTTTCCAGACAGAAGCGCAAGATTTCTGCTAGTTTACCGCGGTTCTCGTTATCGAGGGATTTTCGAGAACAGGAGAAATTGGGTCGCGGACGATCGACGGGATGGAGGGCGAGAGATAATACTCAAAAGGGGAGGGTGGTTTCGTTTGTGGGCAATTTGATGCATCGCAGGAGGTTTAGACTATTACTTTTGTTGCTTGTGGGATTTATACTATATTTGAATTTTTGGTCTCGTATGTTTTCTCTTTCTGCGGAGAGAAGCTTATTGCTGACCGATCTTCAGGTTTGGTCGAGGCGTACCGAGCATCTGCATTCGGGAATGGGAAGAAAATCGTCATCATCACAGCGTCGAACGTCGAGGGAGGTGTTATGGAGTGGAAAGGAGCGCGCGAATGGGCGATTGAACGGGTTAGTTTATGGAATAAGAGGAAATATGCCAAGAAATGGGGCTACGAGCTTGAAATCGTGAATATGGTTGCCAAAAAGCGCTATGCGCACGAATGGCGCGAGAGTTGGGAAAAGGTTGATTTGATTAGGGATGCGATGAAGAAGTATCCCAACGCGGAATGGTAAGCATCTTCGCAATCATTGTGGTCGGACTTGAATTTAATTGAATGATGTGTAGGTTTTGGTGGCTGGATTTGAATACCTTTATCATGGAATATTCGTACTCCTTGGAGAATCACATCTTCAAACACCTTGGCGAATACACATACCGCGACATCAATTACTACAATCCTTTGAACATCACCCATCCTCTGACAGATGTCTACTTCGACCCCATATCTCGATCTGCTACTGGCGACGACAACCCCAATTCTATCAACCTAGTCCTACCCCAGGACTGCGGCGGCTTTAATCTAGGTTCCTTCTTCATCCGCCGCTCAGACTGGACCGACCGTCTCCTCGACATCTGGTGGGATCCCGTCCTCTACGAACAGAAACACATGGACTGGGAACACAAAGAACAAGACTCCCTCGAATATCTATACGCAAACCAACCCTGGATCCGTCTCGGCACCGCATTCGTCCCTCAACGAAGAGTCAACTCGTTTCCTCCAGGTGCATGCGGCGACGGTACTGATCTCGGCATCCATTATCAAGAGAAACATCGCGATTTCTTGGTGAATATGGCAGGCTGTAATTGGGGTCGTGACTGTTGGGCGGAGATTTATGGATATCGAGAGTTGAGTAATTGGTTGAATCGGACGTTATGGGAGAAATTCAAGGACTCGATTACGGACTTCTTTAGGAGGTGGAGGGGTGTGAAGACTTTGTATGAGGAACATCATGAATGGGTTCAATGATTTTTTTCAATTCTCTTCTTATGATATATTTTTGAAAGATATCGGATGCTAATATCAATTTTTCTTCTGTTTACACGGAGTTGCTTCATATCAATAGATGATTTACGGTTCTTCCTCCCTCTTTATTCCCATCGTCGTATCCGTTGGCCTCAAATCCCGATAGTTAATGGGGGTTTGTCAGCCTCACACGTGACAGTTTCAGCCCTTCTTCTATCAATCCAACGGCTAATAATAGTTTAACTTCTATGCTGACGCGGGGTTGAATACGAGGCTGAAGCAATTCCCAACCCCTCCATCGAGAAAATATTCTGGTGCAGAGACAAGAAATAATCAAAATGGCAGAACATCTATTTTACCCTGAAGAGCCCCAGAAACCTCTTCGGATAGAATATAATGGCCCACTATACGATAAAGGCGACTGGGATCAATATCCGGTTCGCGGTGGCTGGAGGACGGAGACCGGCCCTGAAAAGTTCTCTTTACGTGCTATTCCGCAGGATCTTCGTGACTGTATAGAGTGTTGGCTTTATTTTGGTGTGTTGTGTTATGTGTTTGGAGAGAAACTGGAGCAGAATGATTTTTTGCTTCGTGATGACAAGCAGTACTTGACTACGAGGGAATTGAATAAGTATGTCGAGAATGCAAAGGACTGGAAAAAGAACAAGCTGGGCGAACGAGCTATACTCATCGTGCAAACGGTGTGCGAGCAGCTGTCTAGATACAAATCTATTCTGCGAGATGAGATGAAGTTGGCAATTCGCCTAATTTGCCATGCTCTCTGGAACATCTCTGTAAAACGAGACGGGCCACAGACCAAAACCGGCCATGTACAAATATGGCTTCTCAGCACACAGTACGAGGCCGATCAATTACTGAAGCATGGATGGTGTCCCTGGGAAGTCACAAAGGCGCGCATGACAGGTGGAGGAGTCGATACTCCTGCGTATCTGCTTCAGTTGGTTCGGAAGAAGCCAGCCTGGGACAAGAAGACGCATGATTTGTGCAAGAAGACAGAATGTGTGGTGAATAACATCAAAGATGGCGAATATGCTACAAGACATGTCACTGAGGATTGCGCATGCGCACATCTACAGGCTGATATCCAACAGTTACATACTATTCTGCTGGAAGGAGGCGTTCCACTCCTTTGCATATCACCACCTGAGAGTAAAGACGATGGATTCAAGATTGAGATTGTCCGAAAACGTTCTAGTAGGCAATATGTCGCCATTTCGCATGTATGGTCCGATGGATTAGGCAATGAGAACGGCAATACGCTGCCACATTGTCAAATACAACTCCTTTACGAACGGGCGAGACGTCTGGCTACGGATAAGGAATATGTGCCCCGACATACCGGTGGCCCATTTGGACAATTACATACCGGTGCATCGCGACTTGCTCATTTCGCTAGCAGTCAAACTCGGGGGAAAGATGAGTCGGTACTCATATGGATTGATACGTTATGTATACCGCATCAGCGCGATGTGCGGAGTTTGGCGATTCAGCGGATTCGCGAGGTGTATCTTGACGGTCAGTATAGGTACTACCTGCTTTTTGATTTGCGACTATCGTCTAACTGGCAGTAGCGTATCGGACTATGATCCTCGATTCGGAAATGAGACAGGTCGAATCACAGTCTACACCTCCGCTGCAACTTCTCCTACGAGTACTCTACTGCTCAGGCTGGATCAGGCGCCTATGGACTCTCCAAGAAGGTCTCGCAGCGAAAAGCAAACTCTATGTTCTATTTTCCGACAAAGCAATCAATATATCCACCATCGCCGATGAGATCCTGTCCAAAATCGACAAGGGTAAAATACTTATCTTGCAGGAAAATGTAGCTTTTTTCGCGATGGCTGTCTGGTTCTCATTTTTTAAACATACCATCGACTATGCATCCAAGTTTGAGCGCGCGGTTGACGTTTTCACCAGTCCGTTTATAAAAGGTGGTCTTACGAAAGAGAATCTGCTTTCCTGGAATTGGTACAATGTCGCTATGCGCGCTACTAGTAAAGCTGGAGACCGTCCTATCATTCTAGCCGGCGTTTTGAATCTTGACGTCAAGGAGATTCTGGATGTCAAGGGTGACTCCGACGAGCAAAAATCTGACGAACGCATGCGTAAGTTTTATAGTTTATTAGACGAGTTTCCGCATGATATCATATTCCAGGAAGGACCTCGGTTTGAAGAAGACGGGATGCGCTGGGCGATGAAGGTGTGTCAGTTCCTTGACGAACCGCGATATCTCGGTAGTGCAATTGGAAAGATTACGCCCAAGGGTTTGCAGATATCGACCCTGTGGTCGTGGTTGTTCCCATCTCACGTTGCGTTTGATTTGAGTGTGATTGATTTCGATGAAGGGCAGCGTGCTTGGGAGAGGTGGCTTGCTGAATATCAGTTGGAAGATGCAACTACGACGAATCTATGTGTGTTCAAGCCAAAGGTTAAGGTTGAATTGAAGCCGGAAGGGAGTTATGGGATTATCCTGATGGAGACCAAGGGTTCGAGGCCTGGTGGACTGAGTTTGTGTGCACTGGTGGAATTGCAGACTGACACAGATGGAGTTAATTATGCGAGGTATATTGGTGTTGGCACTGTTAAGGGTATGTCTGATTTTGCGGATTTGCCAGAGGATGGATATTTGTTGCCGTTTGGATGGGATAGCTTACAGAAACGGGAATGGGTTGTTGGATGATTGAACCCATTAGATATCGAGATTCGCAGTCGTCTGAAGTCCTTTAGAATTATATACAAATAGTCAGGATGATTATGAGTGAGTTCTAGCTAATATGAGATGATGAGTCAAGCTTGACTCCTCGTTGGAGTGTCATACTGAGTAATGCAATGACAGAAAGTAGTAATTCCCACCCTTCAAATACTGCTCAAGTAAACATCAAGACCTTCCATGGTGAACACAGCAAAGTCAACTACGAGCTTGATTTAAAGAATTACAAGGACAGAAAGCTCTAAAAATGACGACAGATACATAGCAGAACATGAACCCAATACTCTCATGAATTGTTTATCATTCATGGATCTGGATGATCTCCAGGAAAGTATGATTTTTAGGGAGCATGACCATCCTTCCTTACGGTTTCTCAGTACTGCAGACCAGACCAGTTAGTATCATTATTTCCTCCACCATGATGACGTGCTGATTCCTATAAAACAATAGAGTGAAACTCCTTCAACTGTGCTTATTCAAGATCGGAATGTGACGCTCCCCTGACTCAGAAGAGAATGCTTCTTTGTGCATACATCTGGGACTCAAGCGGTATACCTAGATACTCCCATGGAGGGACCTAGTGCATTATGACGAGGTGTTCACAAGAGCAACACCCAGGGTCAAGCCTGATGAATCACAAATAGCCACTGTACGAAAAGTACCATTCGCACGTGCTGCAGTTGCATGCGCCCTATAAGGAATCCGTGAAAGAAAACGTCAGAGTTGATCTCTCCATTGAATTCGGACAACTTCTTTCAGATCTTGGAAACTACATCTATGAATGCTATCTCATATAAAACTCCTTTGAGATCTTGAGTACAGCCGAATCTTCCTTTGAGAAGATTCTTGGATCAGATAGTCTCGATGAAGAACGGATACAAGTGCTCTTCCTCCGTGCATCTATTGAACTCAATCATGGCATCACCGAACGCGCATAGGGAGCCCGAGACGAAGACTAAAGTGTCCGACTTCGACTTGAGAGACTATCGCAGGTATATCTTGAAGATGACAAGGGAATTCTTGAAGTGGCTGCAAGGCAATTGTCCACTGCCTCTAATAATCTGGCATGCGCATATATGTATTGTGACGACTACACCAAAGGAGAGCTACTGTTCCAAAAATCGATTACTATCAAAGAAAAGTCGTGACGAAAACACGGAGCAACACAGCTCCCTCGGTTCTCGGAGATACATAAGAATCTGGCTTTGGTTACTACCAGTAAAGGTGATGCTGATAGTGCTTTGAGTCATGCCGATGAAGCGGTTGCCTTGATCGACAAGTGATAATTGGAGGTCTGAAGACCAAGGTTGGGCAATTCATGAGGTTTATGTGTGCATATTCATTCTTCAATCTTGGTAAGAAGAGTGAAGCCCTGGAAGCAAATCTCGAGATACTTCAGGGACGGGTTGATGTTCTGGGAGAGGCGCATAATCATACCATTGACAGCTACTATGTTGTTGGTATGATGTATTTAAGTCTCGGTGAGTGGGAAGAAGCAGAGTAAGTCGAAGATCCCAAACTTGAGCCACGATGTCTGAATGGAGTCTGGGTGAATAGGTCTAAACTTCGAAAATGTCTAAATTCCGAAACGGGTATTATGACACTCGTCTACCGCGAGTGCTCTGTTGTCTCGGTCAAGTTTTGGCACATTTTAATCTGAAAGACTTACTGATCGAGGCACGGGAGCTTTCTGCACGACTATTCTCTGATGATTCGCCCAGCGTGGACTTTTCTCATCCCAACAAAATGGTTCGATATGGTCAGATTTTGAATATTTGGTCGGGATGTTTCATGGGCAGGCGGAGTACGACGTGAAAGATAGTCAAATAACAACTGCGATATCTCATCAGGAGTAGGATCAATAGATCAGATATTTGCGGACCAAGTGATGCATCTCTCTCCTCGAGTCGATGTAAATACCCTAACCCCAGGGAATACCAAAAGGCACGCCCGGATGTCAGTGATGTCAAGTAGCATTTCTATACTTGGACTGGACGAGAAAAGTCCTGTTATACGAATAACGTACTACACGGGTCATTGGGCCACCTGCAAGTCCCATACAAAATGGCCATCTTCAACACCTTGACTTCTCAACAGATTTATATATAAGCCATATCTTAGACTTGACGAATGATTCCTATATGAATCCCCATCAGAAATATCAATTTGGAAGTGCGCCTCTTCTATAAGTCTTGAGATATTAGAAACTAGCATAGTTATTAATGTACATTTCATGACAGAGGGGTTCTTAATATTTTTAGAGTTCCTAAATCTAGATGTATATTAATACCTATATTATAAGCCATATTCAACTTCTAGATATGGTTTATATATGAGTCTGTTGAGAAATCAAGGTGTTGAAGATGGCCATTTTGTATGGGACTTGCAGGTGGCCCAATGACCCGTGTAGTACGTTAACCCTGACATCTTCAGCTGACTAAGTCAAGAAAGCAAGCCCCAAGAACTTAGTAATAAGGTCTAAGACCAAGCCACCTGGCTCTCTGGTTGGCAACAACCATGAGGCTGAGACATTTCTAGATAAAAGACTCAAGACGTGACCGAAGACCCATCACGAATATAAGAAAAATGCTATTTCCTCCCAAATGGCACTTCTTTTGTCAGGGTCAGCAAGATGGTCTCCTTCAACTCCCTCCCGACAGAGATAATTCTCAACATCGCCTCCTGCCTACGCCCCTCAATTTCTTCACTAAATGCGCTCTCACAAACAGATAAACGACTGTATTCCACTCTCGAACGGTTTTTGTATATAGAAGATGTACAGCATCATCAATCATCGAGTGTCTACTGGGCTGCCGAGCATGGAAATCTTACCACATTGCGCAAAGCAATCAAGCTCGGAAAAGCGAAAATTCCTACTCGTGGAGATTACGCCTCCAGATTGGACGATGGAAGTCCACGCAAAGTTATCACCACATGGGGGAATAGAGGGCAGCTCTACGGGAGCATTGCTCCGAGTCATCATTGGGACATTGATAGAGACCATCCGATCTGCATTGCGACTCAGAATGGACGAGAGGAGGTGGTGAGATTCTTGCTCGATCAGGCCAAGTGTAGTCCTGATATCCGGGATCGGGATGACTTCTGTCTGTTGTCTCTAGCAATAGCAAATGGATCGAACAGGGCGATGATCAGGACTTTCATAGATTTGGGCGTTCATCAATATACTCACGGCGCTAATTCTTTCTTCCCTCTTCATATTGCCGCGTTTAAAGCCGACCAGGAAACAGTGGGATTATTGCTGTCAAGCACTAAACGAGGATATCTCCCGTACCATATCCAAAGAGCTTTCCAAGTTGCACTGTCGGCTGGACATGCACAGGTGGCTTTACAATTGTTTGACTATGGCGGCGTGAATTTGAACTGTTATATGGATCGATGGACCACTGATAGAAAACACTACTCGCAGCCTCCGTTAGCATGCGCGGTACTCCAAGACAATTTCGAGCTCGCTGAGAAGTTCTGCGATAATGGTGCTGATGCAGATATGGCTTCTGCATCCGGGGGACGGGTGGCTCTCTTCCACGCTGTTGAGAGAAAAAACCTAGAGATGGTGGACCTTCTAGCGAAACGGACCACAGATAGTATCGCCTGTACGAGGGCGTTATCACTGGCCGTGCAATGCGCGTCGTCAATTGATGACCCTGCCTCGCCCGAACATCAGATTGTGGAGATATTGTTGAATCATGCCGTGGACTGCAACTTTGATGATGAAGACATCCGGCAGCCGTCTAATCAACCCCAGTTTCTAGGTCCACTTGATTCAATGGCATGCATAATGTCAAACCACAGCACGGAAAATGGAAAATTTATACCGCCGATCGTCCATGCAGTCCATAAAGGAAACTTGAGGCTGGTAAAATTACTGCTTTCATTTGGCGCAGATGTGAATACCGGCTACCGCGGACTGCTGGAGACAAGCTCAAAACTCTGCTGCGGGAGAATTTTGTCGTTAGCCAAGGATCTTGGACATCAAGATATTGCAAATTTCCTGGTGGAGTCTGGTGCAGATCCGGCTATGGGACCTCCACTACCAGATGACAGGCTGAAATGTAATAGCAGGAAATGTCCTATGTGGCTAGAGAGATTGGAGAGGCAATGGAGGGAAGCGAATCCTTCAGCAGAGGTGCCAGCTGTATATGCGGCGCGACCAAATGGTCAAACGTGACACATACTGATATAACAGCCGTTACAGCCCTATGAGAATAGAAGTTCAAGCTTGTAGTAAAGAGACCGTTGTAGACAGTTTCCTGGAAGGAGCCATCCACTGAGTCTATGACCAACATCACCGTCTAAAGATCCTGTAAAAAAAAACGTTATTCAGACGATTATTGTGTGCTTAATGAATTCGCAAGTATCGGGTAGAAGTGAAAATTGAAGTATCCACAGAAAACAACCACATTCAGATTCTGCCACCGCCTAGACAAATTGACCAATAATAGCTCATTCCGCCCCATGCACTTCGGTCTCGGTCACTCAAGGACGACCTTCATCAACCTCTTGCTTATCACTAATTCAATTCATCTCAACCCCTCCCAATTCAACAAACAGTACGCCTCGTTCCATACGCACAACTTCTGTACTCTGCTCTAACTCAAAGAACAAGGAAAAGAAAAAAATGCCAACTCCCGAATCCGCCGCGTTCCTGGCTAAAAAGCCCACCGTTCCCCCAACCTACGAAGGCGTCGACTTTGAAGACAACGTAGCAATTCACAATGCGCGAGATGCAATTATCCGAGAGCAATGGGTGCGAAGTATGATGGCCAGACTTGTGGGTGAGGAATTGGGCAAATGTTATGCTCGTGAAGGAGTGAATCATTTTGAAAAGTGTGGGAAGTTGAGAGGTTTGTTCTATCCAACCTTGTAACTGGGCTAGTTTACGGTGGGTGGAGGGGATTTCGAATGCCAATGCTGACTTAATTGCATGAATATAGAACGGTACTTTGAATTGCTCAAGGAGCGCAAGATTAAGGGTTATCTGTTCGAAGAGAAGAATTATTTCAGCAAGGGCTCATAAATGCGAAAAGACGGGAAATTCACGATCGGATCAAAGGGGCTTTCCGATTCCAACGCAATTATGGTCGCGACGGCTTTACGTTGAATTTGAGTTTGCGGAGGGATCCTGGGCCCATATTTAGAAAATTGTGTTGCGGACTATAGACGAGTGATGGGAGGCTATGAAGGAGTCTCAAGTGTATTATTGTACATATCTACTGCACAAGTTCATCTGTTTTGTTCCATCTTTCAAGTTCGAATATTGATCAAGACTAGACTAGTCCGATCGGGCTTTTACAGGGTATCATCCAACAAGTACAATAGCTCAATAGTAACTGTCGGCCGTCGCTGATCTTGAACTAAGAAAACCACCGGGAAGACCTCTCTCTGCTGCTGGCGTGACTTCATCTTCACTGTCATCTTCTAATGTCATCGCAGACAACGACTGGTCAATTTTCTCCGGCGGAGCACGCATACGGATTAATTCGCTCTCTTCCAATGACGGAGGCTTGTATGACGGCGGAGCAGCGTGGATATCTCTCCCTGATGGGAGATTTGATAGCAATGGTTCTGAAGGCGGAATGGTTTGTGTATTTATCTATGCAACGATCAGCAATCACCTCCCATGAATGCAAAGACTAACTCACCGTATTGTTCATCTTAACCCACTTTAACTCCAACGTTTCAATAACCCTCCCTTCCTCTTCCCAGCCCGCATCATCACCACGACTCAATTCATCCCCTTGCACAATCCCTGAGGTTCCAGCATTACTACTACTCTTTACCAATCTCCGCTCATCACGACGATCTGACCATTCTTTCTTCAGCTTTGAGAACGTCCCCGATTTCCCAGCTGTAGATTGTCCCTCCGGAACAAGAGCCCGTTTTATACCCAATGCGCCTTTCCCTGCTCGTAGCCAGGCAATTGCCTCACCGACTTTACTGCTCAACTCAGCATCGATAGCGAAGAATCGACATGCCTTTGCGCGAGAGACTTTGATGACTGTTTGGACGTATTTTACCAGATCTTCATCGATTTTGGCCGCTGCTGCGGATGAGGTACTCGATCGACTAGCACCTGCAGACCCAAGACCGCTAAACGCTTGTTCCGCGTGTTCGGCACTGCGAACGCAGAGTCGAGCGAGAAGTAATGCTCTCACCTTGGGGATTTCCGGCGCTCGAACCATCCATTCCTTGTCGTTTGGGTTGCGCGCTTGAATACACGCAAAGGTGTATGCATCGTCTTTCAAAACTGCCAGAAGTGTCGCTTCTGCTAATGCCAAGGTTGCAAGCGCCGTTTGTACGGTTGTGTTCAACTGCGGGACATAATTTACCTGTGCGCCGGCAGCTTCATCTGATATCGTAAACGATTTTGCGAGTAGTGTATGAGCCGAACTTGCCTGAAGCAAGTACTTGGTCGCATTCTGCATCGCGGCCGCTCTCTGTTCCGCGGTAGGTGTAGATGAAGCATATAATATCCGTAGCACTGTGACTCTTGCCAAATTCGAAAGAACATATCCCAATGTCCCAACCACAAAAGCAATCTCAAAATCGACGCCGCGACCTTTGATACGATGATTCGCGTTCCCGGTACCAGCAGATTTTACTATCGACGACAACGAAGATATCAACACCGGCCGCCATTCAACAACCAATTCCTCTTTGAGCGTGATATCAATCGTTTCCTCCTCATCCACCCCCCCGCCGGTCCTGATACTTCTCCCGCTCAAACCATCATTGATCGCGAAGAGGTATGGTATATACTCATTCAAGGCATTGAGGACAACTAGTAGATTATTCTCTTGTTCTCGCACGGATAGGCGTTTGTGTGTTTTGAGGGCGATGCGGAGGGCGTGTCGGGCGGTGGATGCGGCTTGTGGAAGTGAGGGGTGGGTGTTGGAGTAGATGTAGTTTTGGAATGAGAGGTGGGATGTTGTTGGGAGGTTGTAGTTGTATACCATGATAGTTTCAGATATATCGTAATTGATTGTGATGAGCCCTATAGTTGCAGAAGCTGTGTTGTTGAAGTTGGGGTTGTGAGGGGTTGATGTTGTGGCCCAAAATTGGTGATGTCACGAATAATTTACGAGTGCCAATACAGTAGAGACGAGAAAACACTGAAGCTATGCAGTTGAATTTCCAGTCAAAATTACTATTGGAAGCAGTTTCAAAGAACTAAAAGTAACGACTTCTATCTGATATATTGAATTATTTGACACAATCCATTCCTTCTATTCGGATCACGCATTACGCCGGCCGAGTTGCATTCACATGAATTTGCTTTCGGTAGCCGGTAATGGGCTATCATAGCCCTCTGAACAGTATGTCAACTCTGCTAGGTGAAATAGGGCCCATAACACAGACTATGCCATGTCCAATGTATGGATTCCATCGAGGCGGTACGTTCGTCGAAGTTGAGGCGCACTCGTTGTGGTCAACAACGCGAGTCGTTGAGTACGCTTGAGCTCGCTATACCCGTAAGAGTAATGTTGCGTATGAGATGGTTGCCATTCTGTGCAGATTGTTCGGCCTCTGGATATACTGGGTTTGTAGTGGTTGTAACTTGATGGTTTCACCAATCGATCATTCTCCATCGGATAAACTGCTCGGAACGCTACTTATAGCTGATGATGACGACTCATCAAATGGCTCGCGCGTCTTGATTTGCGAAGCCCACTCTCCAATACTCATCGCAGAGCCACCCTCAATGATAATAGGATGCTCCTCCGCATCTCTACCCAAAACCGTACCCGCATATCGAGATTCTTCGCCCGTTTTGCTGTGTTTTTTCTTCAAGGCTGTCAAATAATCTTCCTTCTCTAGCATATCAGCGTCCACAACGTCGCCTTCAGTAGGAATGTAACCAGCAATTCGTCGTATTTCGCGGTTTACTGGTCCTGAGAACCATGATATGAAAGATTCCAGACCGCGTAAGTCCTCTTCGCCGCGCCAGTCTTCTTCAAAGTCTTTCATCTGCGGTCTTAAAGCGCCTACGTCTTGTAATGCGAGTTGAATGTCCTGGAGAGTCGGTACTGGATCGTCCGGATGGCTGTTTGCGGCATGTTCAGCTGCGGATGATCCAAGAAGCAGTAAATATCGGATTGTGAGGTCGGCGAGGGTATCGATGACCGAGGGACGCGATGAGTGATAGCCTGCAGCGCGAAGGATTTGGATGATGGGAGGGCGCAAAAGCGCGTTGTGGAGGGTGTGAGGACCAGACATGGTGGCCAAGAATGGCTGAATAGGATGGTAATATTGAAAATAATAATCAGGGAGTATCCCTCTCCCAATAAATCACCGTATGACCATGATCAGATATCGGTGAGTTAACAATAAGATATTGGAATAATGACGCTGGTAGAATGGAAACTAACTTGCGTCCTAGAGCTCGGGCCGCTAAATATCCCGACACACCTCACCCTACTGCAATCTCAACCTGTCAACCAACTCATCTACAACTCAACACGTCTGCTCATCGACATCGACGCACTGCGCTCAGTGACATGGGTGAATTGTCAACATGTCCGCACCGAAAATAAAACTCTCTTTCGGCGCGAAGAAGTCAGAACCACCACCAGAGGAGACATCACAACCACTAGCTCCTCAGAAAAAGCTCACGCTGAAACTAGGCGGTCCCAAACCATCAGAAGAACCCGCGCCTGCAGCTGTCGATGCAACAGCAGCTCCAAAACCAAAGAAGAAACGAGCTTCAAAACCCAAAACAGAAGCAGGATCATCGAAGAAGCGAGCAAACGATGCAGGATCTGGAGACGACTCGGACGCGGTGCCTGCGACACAGGCGCCAACTGGCCCTAAACGGATCAAGCTTGTGAATAAGGATGTCCCGAAACAATCAGTGGTCAAATCGATTCGGATCAAAGGCCAACCCAGAGTAGCACCTCGCCCGTTAGGTAGTGGATACGACTCGGAGGCATCGGACCTGGAGCTGGATCCTCATATTGAAGAGGATTTTATCCTGCGCATGGTACCCGGGGAAGATTGCGAGTACATACGACAAGCAATTAATGAACGACGACTTGATCGATCGCACATCGGTATCAAAGCTCTAACTCGCGAGGGAAGGAGGATGATTGTTAGGGTTCGCGATAAGCAGTATGCGGCTACACTGGTTGATCTTCCTTGTATCATTGAAGGAATGAAGAGCTGGGATAAACGCATGTTTTACAAATCGGCGGATATTACACAGATGCTACTGGTGCTAGGACCTGTTCAGAATGAGCAGGAGGCGATGGAATACCCGTTACCGAAAGATGTTAATATGTTGGATGACAAGACATATCAATACTCGCATGGTTTAACCCCGCCGATGAAATATGTGAGGAAAAGGCGATTTCGCAAGCGAGTAAGTGCGCGTACTATCGAGCAGGCTGAGAAGGAGGTTGCAAATTTGATAGCTCAGGATGAAGCTGCCGTACGCCCACCCAGGTTTGAGCTAGTCGATGCCACGTCACTTTCGCGTGCTGAAGGTGTGGTTAACTACGACGATGAATACGATGATGAACAAGATGCCTATGGTGAAGCTGATTATGATATGCAAGATGAAGAAGATGCGCAGGGAGACCTGTTTGAGGATGAACTTGCCGGTGAATTAGAGGCAGCGCTGGCGGCGGGTGCTGATGAAGCTCCAGATGTTGCAGAGACTCCAGCTGCGCACGCAACCGGAGAGTCTGCTACTCCAGGACTAAAACCAGGCGATGAGTCATCCGGAGACGAAAGCGAAGAGAGTGACCGTGAGGCTGATGGTGATGCTAACGGGGAAGAGGAGGATATGGACGAAGAGGCACTCGAAAGACGTCGCGAAATCCAGGAACAGCGCGAATTCATAGCTGAATTGGAAGGTCTGATTGCACAGGAAACTGCCAAATACGAAGCGCAGACAAACAAGATTCTCAAACAGAAGATTGGAAAGCGTGTGCACCAGTTGAAGCAGGATCTAGCGTTGAAAAGGGCATCTATTGGCGAGTCTGGAGGGGATGATGCCGCTTGATTTGACTAGTGTTTATTGTTCGATACCCCTGCATATTCAGAGAGTGCATTACGGAAGGCGTTATCTTATTGCATCTATCTATAATACAAAAAGAGAAATTTCATCAACTCATACAGCCGCATGTCCCGTGGCCTCCTTAACCGCCCCCTTAGCATCCATCTCCCGATCTGTCCTCAACTTCTCCTCACGCACCTGCCTCCTCTCCGACCCCGTACCACCACCAACTTCATCTTCCCTATTATCATCCCCATAATAAGCCGGACTCTTCGCACCCCCATCCCGTCCAAGACCGAGCATCCGATCATGCTCAGCCCTTTTCCTATCCATCTGCGCCGCGGTATCCTGCTCAAAACCAGGTGTACTCGTCCCCACAGCCCCAGCATGCACACCGGGTTGTACGCGCTGATGCGGCGCTGTCTCTGAATGATTATCTTCCACCGCATGCGCAATATCGCCTTCACGAGGTTGCTGTTCTACTCCATACTCAAGATCGATGTGGCCTCTACTACCCTCCGAGTCGATTTCTTGGTTATGTCTTTGGGTCAATTGGGCGAGTTTTTCGTCGGATGATGGGTTTGAGTCTGGCCTGCGATGGATGCTTTGTGGTGGTTCGCCATATGCATGACCTCGCGCAGAGGAGCCGGTTCCTGAGGTGGCGTACAGCAGACCTGAGTCGGGTTTGGAGGGTGCGCTGGGTTGGCCGCGTTGTTCTTGTGGGTTACGGGTAACGGGGTTGGAAAATTGGGTGTAGGCTGTTTCTTTGGACGGTTGGGGGATGTCGGTTTGGGAGGAGGTGTCCATTCTGAATTTCAGAGTGCTTGTTCTTCGTTATGGCAATTTTGAGATTGCGTGTTGCGTGTCGCGTGTTGGTATTTGTAGAGTTGTTGAGCTTGTAAGTGTCCAATGTAGATGTATATATATATATATCTGATGATATGGCAATGACGTCAGCATGTCTACAGCATGATTGGTTGATAAAACATCAATATGCCCTTTTTATCTGAAATGCCGATATACCTTCAATACGAGCTATTCTCACTAGTTTACTGTCTGGTCACGATGAAGCTATTCAGAAGCAACACTTGATCGCGGATATGAAAGGCTATCAGTGGTATTACTGGTCTAGGAATGTGCCTCGGCTCATGCCTAGCCTGTGACAGCTTACTGAACATTCTTATTTAACTACTCCGTACCTAACCGTTGTATATCCTGCATCATGCCATGAATCAATAATCCCTACTCATATCAGGATATTCAAAACAAAATGACAAAACAGCTCTTCTCCGTCCCCGTCGCACCCACAAACGGCAGTTTCGTCTGCACCACCCCATCCGATGCGCACGACAATATCTACCTTCTCACCTTCACCTCCGGCGCCGACAATCGACTCACCCCAGAATTCCTAGATGCGTTTACACTCTCCCTCGATATCCTCGAACACCAATACCCAAGAGGCGTACTGTTGACAACCAGTGGAATTCAGAAATTCTTTAGTAATGGGTTAGATCTTGAAAAGGCGCTTTCGTCGCCGGGGTTTTTTGAGAATTATTTGTTTAGGGTGTTTAGGCGGCTATTGACGTATGTCCCCTTCTTTCCCCTTTGTCGAGGAGATGTGTTGATGATGTAGATATCCCATGCCAACAATCGCACTCATAAACGGACACGCTTTTGCAGGCGGCTTCATGCTAGCCATGTACCACGACTATCGCATCCAAAACCCTAAACGGGGTTTCCTCTGTCTGAACGAAATCGCACTCGGGATTCCCCTCGCACCACCCATGCGCTCTGTATTCATATCCAAGATCCAAGACGGCGAGACACTGCGCTCAATGATTATCGAAGGGAAACGGTACACAGCGCAGGAAGCGTTACAGGCCAAAATTGTGGATGGATTGGGCGATTTGACGGATGCGGTGCAACTGGTTCTTGATAGAGGGCTGTTGAAGATTGCTTCTTCGCCCGCGTTTGTGGCGATGAAAGAGAGGTTATGGGCGGATGTGGTGGATTCTATTGATTCGCTGGCGGCGCATGATGAGGCGGATGAGTTGAAGGCTAAGAGGACGGTGGATATTTCGGAGGAGGGGAAGAAAAGAATGCTGCAGTGGGAGAAGTCGAAGTTATAGATCTATCTTCTACATGCGAGGTAAATGTTTGAGTACTGGAGTGTGTAGAGATATATCTCATTGATCTTTGTTAGAAATATAATACATTTGGAGGAGGTTGGCCGGACGAGTCCTTGCCATAGTCAAGACCATGCCTGTGTTGCGTCTTCATCCATAACTTATAGTGTGAGACGGATGTAACTCACCAAGTGATGCGGGATGCGGCACAAGGCGTGTGGTGGGTATGATCAGCAACCTCAGTAGGGTGCAATTGTCTCGCAATCATGCAGAGACTCTTCAAGTAATACCGTAACCGTCAACGTGTAATATTATCAAGTCTTCCTCTTCCCCCTCCCCTTCGCCGGACTATCAACCTTATCCGTCAGAGGCCGATAAGGAGCCGCAATAAAATGCTCCGGCGCTCGCTGATTCGGATCCTGACGCGGTACGCCTGCAATCGGTCTATTCCGATGCTCTTCATGCATTTTGTCTAAGGGTTCCCCCACGATATGGTATTTGGCCCAGTTTATTGGAGGCATGCGCACGACGTTTTGCGGTTTGGGGATTTTTCCGAACTTGCTCTTTGGCGCTGACGATTCGTCTCCTTCTTGGGCCCCGTCAGAGTCATCGTCGCTGTCCGTCATTGTAATATCCGTATCAATGAATTGATGATTATCTTCCTTCGTCAGGTTCCCGGCTAATAATTCTCTAGAAAAACTCTCCGGATCCGCCGCTGCTGCCCGTTTCAACTCATCGAGAGCCTTTATATCGTTCAAAGCCTTTTGTTTCTGAAACTGGAGAAGAGAGATCGCGGAACGTAGCGCTATGACGTCCGGATTATTGCTTTCTGATATCGGGACGGGACTGGGTTCTGGTTTGATCGGGTTCGGCGGGGGGTACGTCGGTTGTTGTTGCTGGTGTTGTTGAGGAAGTTGCTGTGGTGGCGGCATTACCGCGCGCTGATTCACGGGTTCATTTTGTTTGGGCGGTTTTGAAGATACTGTATTTCGCCTCTTGACCGCCATCGCCGTAGCTTCTGTCGACGTATCCTCTATCGCAGGTGGTACTATCGTTGCTCCACCGGGGATCAGGGCGAGATGCGCTAACACGGGAGTGACGGGTGAGTAAGGTGGACGTTCGGGAGTGCCTGGACGTTCAAATAGAGGGTTATCTGCTGCGCGATCTGGTGGTTTTTGATCGTTGATATCCATCGTATGTAAGGGTTCGTTGGTCTATGGGAGATGAGAGATGGGAAGAAGGAGAGAGATGGTCGCCTCCCCGCGGAAGATTATCTGATGACGGATTACATAAGCTTATCGATAAGGAGCGGGCCGACTAGTTATTTGTTTGTCTTGTTTGCTTCGTTTGTCTGTCTTCAGCGTCAAGGGTTACTGGAGATATGATGATATGAGTAGCATGAATCTTTGGTGATGACGATCCAGAAATAGTCATGCGATTTCCTCGATTTAGCGCTAGGCTCTTTTACGGTTTCTACAATGTATGAAATCAACAGCTGCAAAGACTCCTTTAGGGAGACGCGAGTAAGTCCACGACCAACACCACATTCACATCACCAGCACGCCCTAGATGCCGTGTATAACCGAAGCAGATGGAGATAGACCGGAGCTGTCATTACTGTGACTGGGGGTCTTCTGGTGATTACTATTGTGTATTTGGTTGCAATTGTATGCGTATTGTGCCCACTGATTGTGACTTGCCGCTGTACGGTTTACCTTGTACCTGTTAAGTCGCAACTGTATCAGGACACCAACAATTGCTCACGGACATGCAAGCTCCCCATGGGGTTATGGATATGCGGCACAGACAGGTTTGCTATGGATTACATATCATAAATACAGCCAATGGCCTTCAGATATAGACGAGACAGCCATGCCAGATGACAAATGGGTGACTCCATTTATCCGAGGTTCAAGTGTCCATCAACCCTTCCCCTCATTCTGCTAACTAGGACCTCAGTACGTGCAAGACCAAACAAACCTAGGATCATACCGCAATGTCTTCACCTGAAAACTCCGTCGAAATCTCCAAAACCCCTGAAGGCATAACAACCATTACCCTCAACCGACCACACAGACGCAACGCAATCGACCATCCAACCGCCAAAACTCTCTACCATTCCATCCTCGATTTTGAGAATGACGAAACACAGAAAGTAGGTATTTTGTATGGTGCCGGGGGAAGTTTTTGTGCGGGCTTTGATCTGCACGAAGTAGCCAAAGCATCATCATCATCAACTTCCGGTAACGATGAGAAAGGTAATCAGTACAAAGGACCCAGATTCAACGTTGAGTCTGAGCGTGTTCAAGGACGAAATGCAGGGCCCATTGGACCTTCTCGTCTTCAAGTACGCAAACCACTCATCAGCGCTGTGGCAGGGTATGCAGTCGCAGGAGGACTAGAACTGAGTCTCATCGCGGACATTCGCGTTGCAGAGGAAAACGCCATCTTTGGGGTTTTTTGTCGCCGGTTCGGCGTACCCCTGATTGACGGCGGCACAGTCCGACTACAGGCCATTATTGGCTTGGGCCGAGCGCTGGATATGATTCTCACAGGTCGCGGAGTCACTGCGCAGGAAGGTTTGCAAATGGGCCTCGTGAATCGAGTCGTTGGTCAAGGGGAGGCGCTAAATGAAGCCGTTAAGATTGCGAAACAGCTTGTTGCGTTTCCGCAGTTGTGTATGAATGTGGATCGGGCCTCGTGTTATTATGCTGCTTACGAGGCTAGTTCGTTTCAGGATGCGTTGAGGAATGAGTTTGGGAATGGGGAGAGAGTTATTATGGAGGAGGGTGTTTACGGGGCAGCGAAGTTTGTGGCTGGGGTTGGGAGACATGGAGCTAATATTTGATCTGGTACTATGTCTGCCTTATACTGATATTATTGCCCTCCATGATAGTCTGCAAGTCTTCCATAACTATTTGGGACAGGTCAAAGTTGAAGAGCCGACTTATAATATGATATTGCATGGAGAAATTGACAATGGGGCTGGAATCACAAAGCCCCAAAAGGCCCCTGTCATTCAACCAAGACCCTATTAAGATAAGCTACTGATAGAGGCAACAACAATTAAAGCATATGAAAAGTGATTTCCATCTAAGTTACTCAGTTAAAACAAGATAAGAGTTATATCCACGTCCACAATCGAAGTTAACTACATCTCGGATCAATTCCACCCAATAACCCCCTTCCCAACAACATTCATCTCACTCACCCCTTTACTAGAAGATAGCAACGTCGCCTGTCTCCCCACAATCCCTGATTCTGAAACGCCAAAATCAAGCTTATACGGAAGCGCAAATTCGATTCTTCCCGTTTCGTGTTGTGGTCTTAGTTTGAATGAGTATAGTGGTTGGCTTTTTGCAAGGTCTGTGGGACTAAGGAGGTCACCGTATTTTCTGAATAGAATTGTCAGGTAAAACAATACAGAACGAAAAATCTGGGATATTGGCCTACTCGATCCGCATTGTGAAAGATGTTATGTCTCGTAAAGTATGCAAGGAATTGTGGTCTGGTGTACTCAGCGTAGCGTGAGTCTGATGAGAGTTTTCGGTGTTGCGGAAAGAGAGCACAAGCTCTGAGGGATATGGTTTTGTGTTTTGATAAGGGAATATAGAGGCAATTAGGCCACCTCGGCTGGCTCGAGGGTTCATGTCGCCACACATGATATATGTATTCTGATGCTCTTATATTTGATATTCTATGTTTGCACAAACAATGAGGGTGCCCAGGTGAGAAATGTGAGAAATGTACGTCGAGCTGGTGAGTTTGAGATTTGTAGAAGTTAGCGTAGTTTGTAAGTCGAGAATGGATGGGATTCTTGTCCTTATATCGGTGGCTCATTGTTGCTCAAATCTGCTCAAATGGGTGCTTACAGGGTACCCATCGAGGAAAGAAGGTATTCCAGGCAATTGGACCATGCTCACGGCCCAATTGAATGAAGTTAAGGGATTGTTATCAGGTGTATACAGTCCGACTGCTGACAATATCGGAAATAGAGATGTGCATTGAACTACTTCAGAATCTCGGTCATTTTGCCCAAGTTTTACTTCCCGGTTATTCCACTGGATCGCTACTCGCTATCTATGGGGCTTCTGCAGAGTTACAGCCAACCGAGTCTTACTCAATGTATCTTATTTAGGAAGTTATAGCTTGAATGAGACTTCTCCCTGAATACCCTGCAAGAATCTCTCCTCGACTACCTTCCAGTTTATAATCTTCCAGATCTCAGTCACATATCCGGCCTTGTTATTGAGATACTAAACAGAGAATTCATCATTAGTACTTCTCCAGCAATCAGTTAAGAATTACTAACCTGCAAATAATACGCATGCTCCCACATATCCACCCCAAAAAGCGGCACAACACTACTATCCGGAGTAACGACCGAGTCCTGATCTTTAGTCGTTACAATCTCCAAGCTCCTAATCTTCTTCTCCGGTAGTCCCTGTCTGACGACAAGCCATCCCCATCCACTCCCCTGAATCCCAAGAAGGGTCTGCTTAAAGTCCTCAATGAATTGGGCTAGACTACCCCATTTAGCTTCAACCGCGGCTTTCACGTTAGGCGCAACAGTATCGATGTTGGTTTCTGCTGAAGGTGCAGGTGCAAGATTGCGCCAGAATAGGGAGTGATTGATGTGGCCGCCACCGTTGAATTTGATCTTTTGTTGAAGGGCGAGTAGTGCGGGGATGTCGTTGGAGGTACTGGCGGCTTGTTGTGCGGAAAGGGCTGCGTTGAGGTTGTTGATGTATGTTTGGTGATGTTTCTGGTGGTGGAGGGTCATGATTTCTGCTGATATAACCGGTTCTAGGGCCTTGGTTTTGAATTAGCTGGTTCTCTTAGTGGAGGTATGGCTCTAAGTGAACTCACATCGTAGGGATAAGGTAAAGGGGGGAGTGTATACATCTTGACTGTGTTAGCTGTCTGCTTTCTGTATGATGTACGATGAAGAAGAGAATCAGTAATGAATGGAAGACAGTCCAGGACTGTAGATAACTAAGGATGCTCTTATACCCCTCCTGGTGTCGGTAACTACCAAGGTACATCTGCACCCCTCCTAGTCCACTCCTCTCGTGTCAGTCCGTACTCTAATATTGCACCATTCTAACAAGCTTGATTGGACTGTATTGACGGTGGAGATGGCCACTTCTAAGATTCTGCGCGGGTTTGAGCACATTTGAGTGTCTATCGGGATGAATAGCCCTAGCCCTAACCCTAATGTCATTCTATCGTCTAACTGTTGAAGATGATTCTATATTTTTTTCTGCATGATCCGCATAAAATTTCGCAATCCTATAGAGATCGCGGTTAGTGCTGGTTGAATATGAGGTAAATCGTAACTAACCTTGACAAACCCTCCTTCAGAGTGTCCATTTCCATCGAGAATATAACGCGAAACCATCCTGGGGCTTCATTATGATAGGCTTGGCCAGACGACATTTCCACGCCGGCTGTTTGAAGTTGTTTGGATAATTGCGTCTCTGCAACCCACTCGTCTTGAGTGTTGGCAATGTTAATGTCTAGGCATTTGGACAAGTCGATCCAGAGAAATAAGCCCGCATTACTGAGCAGGAGGTTTGTTAGTTATTGAGGTATCACTGTTTCTTCATGGAAAGGTGAAGAGAAAAACATACGCGCCTGGTGAATAAGGGATACCCGCCTCTTCCAGAGCTCGTACAGCAAAATCGCTATGTGAACGCAGTAGCGCGCGGCTGTCTCGAAGGAAAACTTTTATGAATTCATGGTCGTCGAGAATAGTAGTGGCAATGCTGATTGATACATGAGAAGGCCAATGGAATCGACTGTGGTGTCGTCACCGGTAAGAAAATTATGAATGAACGAGCAGCCACAAGAGTGACTTACCTGATCGAAAGAGCCGCCTGCATGAGTCTCTGATTCTGGCTAATCAAACATCCAAGCCTTAACCCAGCCGCTGCGAAATCCTTTGACATCCCGTACAATACATGGATCAGGGACGGATCTACACCAAGAGGGACCGGATCGATTGATAGAACCGAAACAAAGCCGCTAGAAAAGTCATCGTATACTGACAACCCGTATATCTCGTCACTAGTCAGATGTACCTGATACTTTTGACAGAATTGCATTAGAGCCTCCAAGGTCTTGCGCGGGTAGCATCGACCGAGTGGATTGTGTGGATTACAGATTAGAAGAGCCCGGATCGGGACACCATTCTGGTCTCGAGCTTCCAAGAAAGTTTTCTCGTACCGAGAAACAGCCTGTTCACTGAATGGGTCGTCTTCGTGGAATGGAGTATAGATTAGTTGGCAGCCGGAAGGCACTTGTAAATCTCCGTTGAAGGCGCCGTAGATCGGTTGACCCAGCAAGATCCCGTCACCGGGATCAGTCAGAGTCAAGGCAACGATCGAATTTAAGCTTGTTACGCCACTTGTAAAAAGAATATGGTCCGCTGAGACCGGCCTAACAGGGTGGAAGTACGTGTTGAGTAGCTTCGCCATGGCTGCGCGAAGACGTTCGGGGCCAAAGGGGCCTTCGTCATAAGTGAGACTAGCATTGTCAAGAGCCGGTGCTGCCTGTGTATCCATATTAGCCGATTCATTGTGTTTCTATGTAGTAGAAGGGTAGATAGTCTTACCTTTGTGCGGACATATTCAAGCAATACATCTTGCATCAGGAACTGCAGCTCATCAATTAATCAAGCATACTTTATGTGAATGCAGATACTGGCCGTAGAATGCTTACATTCTCTGCATTCCCAAAAGATACAAGGCCCGACTTATTTTCCTTGCTGAAAAGTGTCCTTGAACGAAGGTATCCATTGGCTAAACCAGCCTTCGCGTACCTTTCCCCGCGGTTGGATATCATGTCGCAATAGTCGGGGAGATGTTCGCTAATATGGATGTAGAACTGTTGTACTTTTTTCCACATTCACCATGTACTATAATATATCAGAAGTTATACTCGACCGTCAGTACCTCTGGCAGTAGATGAATTTGCGCTGTCCATTGCTGAATAATGTCAATGCATTGAGGGAACAAAAAAAGTCATCACACTAAATGCAATTAGAGCGGGTGAAAACATGAACTTGATTGGCTGCATCTGATACCTATTTAATTGGGTTTCTCGAATAGAGAATGAGTGAATGTGCGTACAGCTACTCTATGGCTGAGTGCTGCATAACAGGGCGAAATTAGGGCTAACCGACGTGGTGATCCAACTCGACCGGATGAGTACCAATGGCTGGTTAATGCGATTCTATACAGAGAGACACGAGCAGTTGATGAGAAATAACGTATCGTTGAAAAGCGTTGCTAGGCTCAATTGAGGAAAAAAAGTCAAGGCGAAAATGCATATTACCTGGTATATCAATCAGGCAGACATACATTCAATTCACATTCAATAGCATGTAAAGACACTACACCCTGGATGACATACAGAGCTGGAGTATAATAACCCTAGTCGAGCCGTTTTAAGCAGCCCAGGTGGAAATAAAATTTACCTACCTCCCAACTTCTGAATATTTAGAAAGTTCACGTTCGCTTCTCCCCATACTTGTGTCGAATGTTTCCTGGGCCCGTATGAGAAATGGATTGGTCATTCGCGAAGTAAGTCATCAACAAATCTGAGAAAGCAGGTACTAAATCTTGAACAGGCACATTTGGTCGCCGTGTTGCAAATTTAAACTTGGTAACCAAAAGGAAATCGTCACCGTGCATTCGGCGCCTATAGCAGATCTGTCGCCTGCGTTGGCTGATGTTCTGAATAATAAGCCTGGATATATCGACTGGCCGGAGGTGACCAAGGAAACTTTCACTCGGCTTTGCGAATTTGCCTATTTGAATGACTATACACCACCGGCAAGTCGAGAAATCGAATCTCGTCGATCTGAAGCAGTACATGAATCTGAGGCTGAGGCTAAGAATGATGTACCTGCACCCGAACCTGAACCCGAACCTGAACTCGAACCTGAACTCAAATCTAAATCCGAACCTGATCCTGAACCTGAAGATGCACCCGAGATTTGGCCAGAGCCTGAGACATTAGAGAGCGATCGATGGGGGACGCCTAGCATGAGCTTTAGCAGCTACAAGAAAAACAAGAAAAACAGGAAAAAGAAAGGTACTCTGGATCCAATGCAGGACATAGTTCCGGATCCGCCTAAACCTACAGCTACATGGTGGCAGCAGATTTCACCGCATCAAAAGGAAAACGTGCGAGACGACTACACTAATGGCGTTTGGCCCTCTGAACCAGATAATCACGAGCCAGTATTACCTGTTACAGAACGGACCATTCGATACAGCGAACTTCGGAACATGTTCTCACAGTTGACGTACACTCCAAAAAGACAGATCCATCAATTCCAACCAAAACCGAATGCAAAGCCAACAGAGGACTTCACACCCGTGTTTCTAGGACACGCCGAGCTCTATATTCTAGCTCATGGATATGATATCAAGGATCTTCGAGAACTAATCCTTCTCAAACTCCAGCAAACGCTGCAAGACTTCATCGTCTATGAAACAAGCGTGGCGAGTATTCTAGATTTCGTTCGATTTGCATATAAAAGAAAATCAAAGACCGGAGAAATGAAGGGATTGAGACGTCTGGTGACCGTCTATGTGGTGTCGATTCTAGGTCAGATTGGTGACCGAGAGGAATTTCAGAGTTTGTTAGCTGAAGGAGGAGATTTTGTAGTAGACTTTTGGCGCACTATATGGACTGGATTTTGATTTTATGTTTTCTGATTGAGGTTGAATTGCTGTACGAATCGTCAAGGTAGAAATGTTCATGAAGTTGGGAGTATCCATCACATTTCCCACATTTGTAAAAATTGATCCTGGTAGAGACACTCCAAAAGTTTACTGCATGAATCATCCAACGGTCCGCACATAAATTAATTTTTTGACAAGGAAGAACAAAATCCAGATGTCTCTTCCTTTCATTATAAATCACCTCATTCATAACATGTCAGAAAAAATCGCGAGCGCGCAGCAATCTAGCTCGATAGATTCCTATACCAGGATAAAACAAAGTGGTGACCCTGATACAAAATCTCAAACAACACATCTTTCAAGGTATATAAGAATGGATTTCGTGGACTCAAATTAATCTATTGGTACCGATCTCATCAGCAAGGGACCACCAACAAAGCTCTACATCCAATCTTTCATCCCAAGCAGCCACGGTTATTTCAATACCAGCATTTCGTAAACTGCCTCAACGAAAGATGGACCTCGATCCAAATGAAGCCGGTTACCGACTATATTTAGCTGCTTGCGAAGATATGCACAACGTGACTAGAGAACCTGATCCCAATGATCTTCTTCATGTGTGGTTCGAAAAGCACCAAGATTTCCGCCGCCAATGGCGCCTAACTCGACTGAATCCATTGCCTGGCCGTACTGAAATTGAACGCATCAATAACTGGTTCAAGACGCGACCGGAAATTTTCTTGGAATTTCGTAAAGAAGTTTTGCTACACCCCGGAGCGAATATTCCAATACCGTACGATTTCGGCGAATTAGTCGCGATCGAAGCTATTTACGGAGGTCGAATTGAGATTGATGTGAAAGTATTGATGGAAATGTCCGATGCAGCTTTATTATGTCGAATGGAGATTGGCTTTGAGGCTCTGTACGAAATCACGCCAGCTAATTATCTGGCGATATTCAAGGATGCTCCTGCAGATGTTATTGATACGTTGAATAAGCGGGCAAACTTGAAATTTCTGCCACATTGGACTAGTGAGTCTCACTGGTATATGATATTGACGAATCATGATGGCTCGGACGCTGATAACGAAGACTCGGATTGTGATTAAGACTTGTGAAGTTGGAAGTAGCTGTTATTAATACTACTGCAAGGAATACGAGGGCTTTCCGGCTCTTATGCCATGAGCATACAGCTATAGTGCCAGGGCCCGTTCTCGCTCCACCAATACCATTTCCAGCGTCGGCATTCAATCCAGCTGCTTTGTGATCGCCTCACATGTCACAGGCGCTTGATTGATACATACACCCTTCGTTTCAACAGTTACCTGTTTGTATCAACAAGAAATTTGTCTTTCCCTATGTTTTGGAGACGTTCCAATCTGATTTGGAAGCTCGGCAATATGCCGAAGCAAACTTATCAGGAGCTGAGCTGGCTCATCTAGTTGATTATGCCAAGCTAGAGCTCAGCAGTCCTCTTGTTTCTGGCCTAGCTTCAAGTTTTCTAGTCAAGATTGCCAATATTTCTACTCCGTCATGTCAGCCCCTTTCTTCCGGCAAATTAAATGCCCGAATCTTAATCTTTGTACTGAATAGTGATATGTATCACTTCCAGATTGCCGGAATCTTGGGGCTTAGGGCTTGATTCAATGGCAAACTGTAAACGGGAGTAGAAACACTAGGTCGCTGGGACTGTATCATATTTTTCTACCATAGACCTATTTTTCGCCTTAAAGCGTCTGGAGTATTGTCCGTAGTCCAGTTCTTTTGATGGTATCACTTAGGTCACTGTAGAGCATGTGACTTGACGACCTTGCATATTTCGAATCGGGCCATCCGACAGTGTCTCGAAAACGTCGAGAAGAGAAGAACTCGTCGGCAACATAAGCCAATAAGACGACATAAAATGAGATGTACTCTTTCGCCGAATTGGACGTGCGCTGAGAAGATAACAATGTAAGCAGCGGCGCCCTGTTCTCCGCAACGAGCTGGGCAGCTACTAGCTAGTAGGTAGTGATAATGCATCCAAAACACCATCCCTCGATATCAAGAAACTTGATACCAGCATCCGAAATACTCCATCAGGAAAGTACTTCCGATATCTTCAAGTCGAACTTTCAAAGATAGATCCTCGCTTTGAGCTTCCAGTGACGCAGATGGCAGGCTTATCTTAAGTCACTTGATATAGTTAGATTAACGTTAAGCCTTATCGCATTGATAGACGACGGGGCTCAAGATTGATTAAGGTACCGCTTGTTGATTCCGGTCCAATTAGAGGAGGTACTGCCTGTTGGACGTACACATAGGCTTTTTTTAGCTAGCTTGACTTTTGCGCGTTCACTTGCCCTTGTTGCTATCGTTGATTGTCAAAATGCGGGGTACCGAAGATAACGGATATCTGACTTCTGTATCTAGATGGTTGTTGTTATTATATGCTTGTTTACTATTTAAACACCGGTACGACTCTTGACAATGGCATCGAGTAGTATAGGTCGCGTGGTGTGCACCTGGATACGATCTAAGAATCACAATGGACCCTGATACAATTGATACATACCAGAAGGACGTTCCTGGGACGGTCTACTTTGTCGATGGTAGGTGCAACATATACATTTTCAATTGGAAATGCCATGCTGATATATCGCTTATAGTCTATAAGAATAAAGTCGACGAGCCCGAGACTCCTGTTCAGCAAGATATCGTTCTCCTTCCTCGTCCTCTAGACACACCGAGGGACCCATTGGTATGTCCTCTCTTTTCCATGTACCGTTAGAGTAGAGAAGGTACTAACCATAGCACCAGAATTGGCCCAAATACAAGAAAATATGGAGCCTCGTCCTCGCCACCCTGTTCGCCTGCGTCATGTCCTACGGTGAAAACAACCTAGGCGCAGCATGGACCACAATCTCTGAAGAAGCGGACGTGTCATTGACGAACATGAACGGCGGTTCCGCCCTCAATTATCTCTTGCTTGGGTTTGTGAATATTCTCTGGATTCCCACTGCAATGAAATGGGGTCGCAAGATTGTGTTTATTGCTAGTATGACTATCAATATGGGTACCGCGTTGTGGAATGCTTATTTCCAGGGGACTGTGCAATGGTATCTCAATTGTATGATTGGGGGCTTCGGGACAAGTGCTTATCAGGCTATTATTCAGCTTACTGTATTATCCCTTTCTCTTTGCGGTGAAGTTTACGCATGATCTAACGGAGATTTAGATATTTGACATGTTCTTCGCGCACCAGCGAGGTACGAGCTTAGCTTTTTACGTCTGGGGCCAACAGCTGGGGAGTATCTTGGGCTTGATTACCGGCGGTTATATTGCTGAAGGACCGGGCTGGAGATGGAGTTGCAAGATAGCTGCAATTTTGAGTGTAGGTACTCCCCCCGAACTCTACACTCTCAGTTGACTAACAAGCAGTAACTGAAGGGAGCCGTCGTTTTTCTGTTCATCTTCACTTTCGACGATTCTCTTTTCCCTCGTCATGTTTTGGGAGATGCCAGAATCAATCCCTCATTGCCAACTACGCAGCCCGAGAACATTGAGCAGAATGTACCCCTGCGTGAAGTGAATAAGAAAGAACAGCCCGAAACTATGACTCGACAGGTTACTACAGGTGAAGGAGTTATGGACCTTCTGCCACGTAACTACTGGCAGGTCCTTGTGCCTATCCACAGATTTGAGCAGGACAAAACAAGTTGGTTTCAGTACTTTCGTCGGCCATTCTATCTGTTTCTTTTCCCAAATATCATTGTGGTAAGTACCTCTCCTCTGAGAAAGAATCCAACAATACGTTTAACGCTACATCAGGCCAGCGTAATATTCGCGTTCGCATGCACCGCAGGTATGTTAAAAGCAAAACATCTAAGCAGCGTTTCCCGCAAGCTAACCGGTGTCTGTAGGGATTGTCTCTTTCAACACAATCTCCGAGATCATGACAGAAGACCCCTACAACTGGGGAACTGGATCCACTGGCCTCATGTTCCTTGCTGCGCTCGTAGGCTCTTTCATCGGGTATATTCATCTCCCTTTCCAGTACAGCATTTATACTAACAATTCTGCAGCATGGGAACCGGCTCGCTCGGTGACCGCATCGTAATTCGCCTCGCTCGTCGCAATAATGGTTACAAAGAACCCGAAATGCGCTTATGGACTTTAGTGTTTAGCTTCATCTACGGTGCTGTTGGTTACATGATGTATGGCTGGGGCGCCAATGCCGGCGATTCATGGGTTCTTATCGCCATCGGACTGGGTAGTATGATTTCGCAACAGATCTCTGCAGCAAGTATTGCAACAACATACGCGATGGAGTGTTTTGAAGGCGTAACTCTCCCTCCCATTTGGCATGTTCCTCCAGGTCATCGGCTAATAGCAGATATAGATCTCAGGGGAACTCGTGGTGGTGTTGGCTATATGCTCCTCGTGCATCAACTTTGCCTTGTCATACTCTGTTCAGCCTTTCATAGATGCGACCAACTATGGTTATACATTTACGTTCTTTGGTTGTCTCGTTATGGCATCCATGGGGTTGGCGGTACCTACGGCTATATGGGGGAAGTCATGGCGTGGACGATGCGCAGAGCGGTATCGCAAGTTTATTGCAGAGGCTGTTATTGTGTGATTCCTCTTGTTCCAAGGTTGGTCCAGCCTAGCTATATGGAGCTTTGATCTCCTATATGTACGTGCATGTTGGGCTGGGTTCAATGCAACCAGCATGGCTGCCTGCCTGGTGACGGGGTATACATAGTTCTCAGTGTAAATGTGTTGAATATGAAGAAATTGGTCTCCAAGACTGTGGATTCTATCTCTACTTCAATACATTACGTAGCTAGCTGTATACCATCACGTATCCATTTCTGGGTCTTAAAGACTTTTGAACGAAGCCCTACATATTAGCCCTAGCCCTCAGTGACGCTCCATTTTTAGAAGATGCCCGTTCCTACTCTATAATACCTAGGTAAGATTCGATAGACTTGATTCTAAGCTCAACAGAACATTAAATCATGTGAATATATGAATTAAGTCTCAATAACTTGCTTATATACTCAAACAATAGATATCTGCCATGTTTGACTTCATGAACATCTGATGCCTGAAAGAACAGGCTGCCGAGAAAATCCCGAAGACCGACAAATACTCACCGCCTTCAAATTTCGAGATAAAATTTGTTCAGATCAAAAATATCTCCCAGAGAAGCAAATCCCATTAAATCAAGCCATTGCAATTTGAAACAGTCATGAAGCGCAAAACAGAAGAGACACATCAGTCCAATGGCCACCACGAGGCCAAAAAACGAGTCGTATCCGGCGACGCAGTGATTTCGCGCTTTCGCGATGGTCTGTTTGACCCGGCAGAACTTGAGAAGTATACCAAGAGCTATGCTGCTTCAGGACCGTGAGTTATGCCTTTGGGATTGGGGTCTCATAATCTGACATGGTTTAATTAGATACAAACACGGCGTGATATCACCCTTAATCGCTCCGGACCTTCTTCGCTCTGTGCGCAACGAGATCGAACAGAACCTCTCCTTCACCGAGAAGGAAACCGACATTTATAAAATTTTTCAGTCGGGCGACTTGGCGAATTTAGATGGATTGGATGATGCATCACTGTCACGATTACCGTCATTGCTGCAATTGCGCGATGCTCTGTACTCTGCAAAATTCCGCGCATACCTATCTTCGTTGACGGGATCCGGCGAACTGAGCGGGAAGAAAACTGATATGGCTATCAATGTTTATACTGAAGGCTGTCATTTGCTTTGCCATGACGATGTTATCGGCAGTCGTCGCGTGAGCTATATCCTTTACTTGACGGACCCCGACACGCCGTGGCAGGCTGAATGGGGTGGTGCATTGCGTCTGTACCCTACGACGACGGTCAAGGATGATAATGGTCAAGATATAAAGATTCCCAGTCCGGATTTTACGTTATCGATTCCACCGGCTTTCAATCAACTTAGTTTCTTCACTGTTCAGCCTGGCGAGAGTTTTCATGATGTCGAAGAAGTTTATCATCCATCGGAACAAGATAAAGGGAAACAGAAACGAGTGCGTATGGCGATCAGTGGGTGGTTTCATATCCCCCAAGAAGGTGAGGAAGGTTATGAGCCAGGATTAGAAGAGAGACTGGCTGAACGGAGCAGTCTATCTCAATTACAGGGTAGAAATGGTGATGCATATGATCGACCGCAGCCGCAACCTATTAATTGGGATGCGGAACCAGCACAACCAGACAGTGGCAAGGGTAAAGGGAAAGGCAAACAAGCTGTACAGACTGAAGATGCCGAAGAGCTTACAGAAGCGGATCTCGACTTTTTGTTGCAGTTCCTTGCCCCGTCGTACTTAACGCCAGATATTGCCGAGGAACTTTCGGAAGCATTTTCGAATGATTCTTCACTAAGCCTCGAGAAGGTTCTCTCTGAGAAGTTCGCTGCACGAGTACGAGAATATATTGAGAGGCAGGAGAAGAAGGAACTGCCAAGCTCTTCTGATGAGATCGAATCGAGCACAAACTGGAAAGTGGCTCGTCCGCCTCATAAACATCGTTATCTTTTCCAGCAACCACAAAACATTACCAGCAGCGATTCCGAGGCCAATCCAATCGAGGAACTACTGACCAAATACCTGCCATCACAAGCCTTTAGAAAATGGCTTACTTTGATTACTGGCGCAGACCGCCTAACGGATCATAACCTGTTGGTTCGCAGATTCCGTCGTGGTCAAGATTATACTCTAGCCAATAGCTACGAGGGTGAGGAGCCGCGATTGGAGTTTACGATCGGTCTTACTGCAACCCCAGGATGGGAGAAGGCAGATGTCAATAATGAAGAGGACGAGGACCTGGAAGAGAAAGAAGTCACAAAGAATGGGAAGGACGGCAGTACCGAAGCAGACGAATCGGATGGGAAGGAGAAAGAAGAACCTTCTGTGGGCGGCTACGAGATATACATGTCCGGTGATGACGACGAGGACGCAGGAGATGCGGCCATTTATAAAGCGGCTCATGGCGATGATGATGGAATCTTGTTCAGTATGGCCGCGGGCTGGAACCGTATGAGTATTGTTCTGAGGGATAGTGGCACGCTCAAGTTTGTCAAGTATGTCAGTGCTGCTGCACGGGGAGATCGATGGGATATAACGGGTGAAGTTGGTGTTGTTTTTGCCGATGACCAGGAGGAAGAGGAGGGTGAATAATCGATCTTGAATTTCGGATTTTGAAACTCGTATAAAAATTTCCACAAACAAGAAAAGCTGGTTTTTTACGATCTATACTATCTGATAGATAACATTTACGATTTACATGGTCCCAAACGAAATTTATACATCTCCAACATATCATGATCTAAAACGTACGAATCACGGAAGCTTGGACTAGATGTATTGGCGAGTCCGGAGCATACCGGCTGTGCCACATGAACCCAGCAGTTTATCTGCTCTCATTCTGGTTAATTCTTCCACTCAAATTACCGGCTCAAACTTGAGATCAAGACTTCCCTTAGTCTACTTCAGAAATCGCATCTGCACAGTCTCCCCTACAGTCGTTCTTAATCTCACTACGGGACTAGGGCTTCTAAACCCCCTAAATTGCTGACATTGCATCAAACCTGGAGACAAAGAAAAAGAAAATATTTCCACAGCCCAGAAGTCATAATTAATCTATTTCATGCAGCACCATTCTTATGTATGCACACTATTTATAGTCCTAAAATGCTTGCGGCAGTTTTTATGGACATTTACATGTTCATTCATGCGACATATAGCCTCCCGACATCCAGAGGGGGCATGTCGTATACATCCTGGAATTTAGGGCCATTTTCATGTTGCTTTATCTGCACTTTGAATTGTAACAAACGAGGGATAGATGCAAGCCCGGACAAACTAGTGTTTAGTGGTGTTACTAGCACCAATATACCCTGGAAGATAGGTTCCACCCACTCAAGGCTGAGTTGGGAGGTACATATACCCTTGTCTGTGGAAGTAGACTATCTTGTTAGCTACAGTAAGTGAGCCGGGTGATTTTGTTGGTGCATTCTTGTAAGTCTCACAAAGTGCTCTGCACATTCACGACTTGACCCCGTTCATCTGAGGCTGATTTGGATAGTAGGACTAACTGCATACATAGAAAAGTGTGCTGTTTAAGTGGATGACTCTCACCATTCCTAGAAACCTAAGCTGCGTATCTATTCCTTACAAAAATTTAGCAAATTATCATCATGATGACCACTTTTTTGAGGAGCTTACTGGTATGGCTTGCTACATTGATTGTTGTCATTGCAGCTCATATGCCCGGAAATAATGTCGCACTGCGAACTCGGAATGGCCCTGGAATGAGCGACGCAGATACTCTATATACAGTGCGAAGAGCCTTGGACCATGTCAGACTTCAATCTCGCAATAGCAAGTACTCTATGAACAGGACTTCTATCTCAAAAAGCTGGGTAGGCGCTACTCTGTTTCAATATAGTGAAGAGTAAGTACGATTACCCTTCTTTATCGATCCGCACTGACAAATTTGATCTTCAATAGAAGCAGCAGCAACACTACCGCCGGATCAGACCGTCTATCATCGGAATACAGCGCTGGGATCGAAATAATCTGTACTATGTGTTATATCAACGGTTCCGTGACAGGCGACTTGACACTTGCCGGCGATTTCAACTTCACAGCCGCAGTAAATACCGTGAAGAGCGAATTGAGAAATGTCACCGACACAGCATTCCATCAATTCGAGCAGTACGTCGAGGAAGTGGCCAAGGATATAAGCAAAGAAATCATCACTTTGAACGCTACTACTCTCCCAGATTGGCCGACACTGGATGTCAATTTGGATTTGAATAATGCGACGGGTCTACCAGGTGCTCATATACACTTTGAGTTCGACAATCTAGAGCTCTATCTCGACCTTGGTATCAAACTCTCAGCAGGTGCTACGTATACGCTTAACTTGTATACATCTGAGACGCCAGCGGGCATTTCTGTACCGGGGCTTAAGATGGGAGCAGTATTTAGTGTGGATTTGATCTTGATTTCTGATACGGAGATTGATATTGGGAGTGGTATTCATATCAAACTCGACGATGGAGTTGCTTTTGATTTGGAGATGTTTAATAGGAATGTGTCGAGAGTCACAATGTAAGTATCTATCCCCTTCTGTGCCGCATGGTGCCCAGCCTTTCTGAAACATCGGTATAGTCCTGGCGGAGCTTATGAATTCCTACCCATCACAATCGGTGGCGAAGGATCCATACAAGCCCTTTTGAGCCTCAAAGCTAGTCTTGGGGTAGAAGTTGATACACCAAAACCGACTTCCGACTTCGACTTTGAGTTCAACGCCGGTATCGAGACGGATGTATTTGCCTACGTCGCTGATTTCCTGATGCAAGTCAACGGCTCCTCTACCACTGACAGTGGTGATTGTGAGCTGGTTGCTGTCGCAGAATATACGTATGCTGTAGGTGCAGCAGCTGGAGCGACAGTTGCAGTTGATAAGTCATTTTCATGGGGTCCATCACCTAATACCACTGTACCAATATGGTATACGACGCTGGCTAGCATTTGTGCCGCAACAAAGACGTCTACGTCGGCGCCCGCGTCGTTGATTACTCCTCGGGCAGAATTAAATCAACCAGGGGATTCCTCCTTAACAACAACTACATCGACAACAACATATCAGATCGTCAATTGCATGTCTTCAGGAATGATTAATTGTCCCATTAACCTCCAGAATACAACAACCTACCAAGCCGTCGTTACATCGGCTCTCTCTATAGAATCAGGGTCAGTGGTGACACTGCCAACGACCGGAGTTTCAGCACTTGCGACCGGAATTCCATTTGGTTCAAAATCATATAAACTTCAGGCTGTCTCTGGGACGCCTATATCGTACGTCCCTCCGCCGCCATCTAGTACCTCAGCTACGACATCTTCGACGTCAATATCGAGTCCGGGAGGAGTTGGAAGTGGCTTACTTGGTGTAGACAAGAATAACAAGCTCATAATCGGCCTGAGTGTTGGTTTGGGTGTTCCATTTCTGGCAGCTCTATTGATAGGCTTTGGGTGAGATCATTCCATCATCTAAACACTCCTGTTGTGTTGAACTGACAGTTACTGCTGCAGGTATTACATCCGCCATCGTAGAAAGTACTCGGAGGTTTCTCAAAGGGAGAACATAGCACCGAGTCCGGAAATCACAGAAAGCAACTCTCCAGCCTCGTCTCGCATGAAGAAAGGTCCATTCATATCGGTGACACAGGCAGATTGATACGTAGTAGATTTATGAGGACATTTGCATGATAATCTGTGTTAGAATAACTATACTAGTTATGTTTACTTGGTCGGATCATCTTGCAGACTATACTCTGGCGTAAATTCGTACACCCTGAACATCAGCTTCTCGGCAAGCCCTGTTGGAAGGGCTGTACGTACTCTCAACTCGCCTGGCATTTCTTGTAGTCGGTAGGAAGCAATGTGCGACGATTGAAATCAAATAATATAGTAGTACATTCAATCAGTATAAAATTCCATAATGTACATTAATTATCCTCTGGTCCCATCGGTTTCTTTCCCGCATTTTCCCCATTCTGCCTTTTCTTCTCCGTCGATTCATTCGGATCATTCTTAATCATCGAATCCGCCAGAGTCTGTTCCTCCCCCTGATGAGCTTCACTCGTCGGCCCCCTTTGTGACGAGATCGGGGATGCCACAGATCTTCCGTCCGGTGAATCGGAGTGACAAGCTTCTTTACCGCGAGAGATGTTGATGGACTGGGATTCGGGATTGCTTGATTGAGTGTTGACGATGTTTGAGGATACGCCGGAGATGCTTGCTTGGTTGCTACGCTGCGGAATTGGTTTTGATATCTAGGAGCTGGAACAGGTCAGCGAAAGCAGTGATGTTGATGCTGAATGATGTGATCTACCGGACAGCCTGCTGGTTTGGCTCAAGCGCCATGCACTTCTTAATCGGAATACTCTCATGTTTGTGCTGGTAGACATTCTTCGGTGATAAAACAGATATCTACAAGTAGATGGCGCACTTGTATAAATATTGAGAACATGCTGAAAAGTGTACTTATACTCGGTTTATATAACAAGTTCTTAGGGCTATGACTTCATATTGCCGTCAATCTAAGACGATTCTTGTATGGAATTTCTCCGCAGTCTACCTACATTCTACACACAAGCTCTTCACGTAGATAGAAGAACATTAATCGGTATGATGATTCTTTTGTTCAATGGATTCAAGGAAAAACCAGAAGCGGTCCAAGCCATTTTCTTTCCCACAAGGTATATCTAATAGGGTTAGGGTTATTAACGGAAAAGCCCTAACTCCGCGACATTCCAAACATCCAAGTCACGAATTGACTAGTCTAGTATCTGATATGCCATGAATAGCTTCAACACAGAAAAACACGCAATAATATTGGCTACGAATTAATCCTTGTACAGGTTCTGAAGACTAGTATCCTCAGAATGTGAGATGTGGAGTTCTCATAAGCAAGCAAGCATCGATTTCCTTGATAGTCAATTCATATTCTCCTTTCTCAATTTGCTTCTTCAAGTATCACTGCAGGAAATCCCCTTAAAATTGAGCAGATGCAGTTTGTGCAGCATTCAAATACTGTGAGATACCAACAGCCAAGCATAGCATAGTCACTAGGAACGTCACTGGAGTAAAAGCATTCTGTAGGTCCTTTAGATCAATAAGGACCAACCACGTCCAGAACACCACAAATAGCAGTCCGATTGCACTCATTGCGCCCATCCACGTAGACCAACCCTGACCTGCTTGCAAGCCCCAACCTTCGGCTCCTTTGTGTGACTGTAGCAAAGCGTCGACTTTTTGGTATCATTTCAATGGTACCACAGCCATGGACCTTCGAAGGGTCATGTATACCGGCCAATATCTGCTTGGAGGCAATAGCCATATGAACCAGTTCGGGTTGGTACAACACATATTCATACTCAGACGGCTTGGGCAGTCCAACAGACAGACAAACTACTTTGACTTTTCCGCCATACAATCGATTGAACTTCAGACACAATATATCAGCTTTCCAACCATGGATCATTTCGGAGGGAGTACAGCACGTAAGCTGGTAAATTTGATCCCAAGACATATTTTCCATGAGAAGTATTGTCCGCAGAGTCCTCTCACGCGGTTATACAGATCTTTTAACCGCAAGCAAAGTATGCGATCATCTGCAAGTTTATGTGGGTCTTCAATCGCCAGCCAAGTCTCGGACAGTTCTTTCCAGGCCTTGTCAACACGCCAGTAAATTTGGCTGACGTCGCTCTGGTCGCTACTTTGTGAAGTTGATGCGGTATTGCTTGTCTCACTTATCGTGATTATCTGTTGGCCTCCATTGTCTGCCGTGCTCGTCATTATACTCAAAGTGGTCGGTTGGCTTGATCCCGAGTCAAATGAACTTATAGTCGGGTTGAACTGAGGTAGTATGGGTAGTGGGAATGGAGAGATCACGATTCAGCATTCTTCCTTGTATCTTCTTATCACATCGGCTGGTTAGTCAACTTACAGGTCATTTGTGGACCACTATTGGCAGACAGGCATATCAGTCACATGAGCTGCTCAGCGCATGTCAACAATGTTATCATCTTCCTTCCACTCAATCCTCCTAGAACCAGGGGGCAATGAGTATCGGACAGATCGAAACGGCCACCATAAAATTGGAGCACCAACACTATTCTCCATTACTGCCCTTGCTTTGCCTAACCTTACTTTGACCAACGATGATAGATCAGGAGTTGTGTCGGGGTCGCTGAACTGAACAGTGCGCCTACCGTCAAAGAATAAAGCACTACTTGAAGCGTTAGTTTCCGGGGCAGTTGGAGATACATACTTCGGGACATAGGCCGCAGATGACCTGCCTTCGGGACCCAGCATCCGCATTGTGATTTCGGCTACTCTTCTGCCCTTATATGAGGGTTTGGCCGCTGCCTCAGCCCATTCCATGGCTTCAGATTTTAACATATGCTTGTACGCTTCATGCACTATCGAGTCGAACCTGACGTTGTCATAAGTAACCGATGAAAGTGCATGAAACTGCTTGATACCCTCGGTACCAGCTAGAAGGAATGTCAGAAGCTCCGCAAAGATAGAACCTAGTTTCCAAACATCTTTGTCGAGGGGTCTCCACTTGTCAAATGTACCTTATACATTGTTGCTAACCTGAGGTCGGCAAGCTGAGCAACCGATCTCAAATCGTCAGTTTGATGAAGGGTGTTAGATGGTCTGATATTTCCGTGCACGATACAAAGCTGGTCGTGTAACAATGAAGCGCACTTGCGAGCCCTTTAAACTAGGCCCATAATGAGTCCATGGATCGCAAAACAGACCTCTGGGTGATCAATCCACGAAAAAGATTCGTCAAGTCCCTAATTGCCAAGGGGAAAATAATATCATCAGCCAATGTGGTGTTTTCAACCTATGAATTCAAAGGCGCAAAGGATAGTGACAATGTTCGGATGATGCCCTGAGTAGAACTCGTCGCGAAACCGTGAGGTCGAATTCCTCTTCAGCCGTTTCACCGCAAGCTAGAAAAGGGCCCTATTATTGAGCATTCTCAATAATGTTTGGAGCCGCTTATCTTGATTATCATCATACCTTTCCCGTCTTACTTGTCTCAAAAGCTGGCCCCTTCACTACAGCATTAACCGTGAACACTGTACAAGTTTCCCTTCGGGCTATAATCGCATAACCTCGCCCCAATCCCACGCTATCACCCTCGTTGTACCCTCTCCATCCGTTTATTTCTAGAATACACGGCGCTTGAGTGAAGGTAAGTTGTCCATTCATAACAGTGAGTGAAATATTACCCTGCGGTTTAGCTTTTTGATATTCGAGGGAATCGATCGAAATTTTGAATTTCCGTATTCCGAGTGTTAATATTCAAGACAGATGGGTATGCTACATCTCTGCTAAGCATTCTACGGTTTCTCGGAACGTCAGGTTTGGCGTTGCCATGCCATCTCTCTTGTGGTCGAAGATGTAAGCTTGTACGTACGGAGAGATGACCTTTTCAACATATGGGATTGTGCAGTTATCAATCTTATTCTAATGTAGTTCCTCAATATCAATAATCACAGCAGAATCAATCCTTGCAGACATGATCTACTTTTGTGAGTGGCCTCGGAATTCTGAGATACCAAGAATAATGCATTGATCATCTAATCATCGATTTATTAGCGTAGATTACAACATCTGGTGAAAAATATTACCAACCCTAACTGTCCACTTCTCCTGGTGAAAGAGGCTATCCAACAGCGCAAAAAGCCTCTGTGGGAGTATGATTTCAGTTACAATAGCTTGAGTTGCGCCCTCCATTTAGGAGGACTATGGAACGATAGAACCCCCCAAAATTCATTCAATTAGAAAAGAAGAACGATTTCTTTATACAACTCTCAGAGAAATTGAAAACTGTCGAAAGTTCTTCAGGATTTTTCGGAACAAGAAAGCCGTAGTAAGCATGAGGCTGAATGCGCAAGTGAACTCGGACTCGGTGCTCGATGACGTGACATACACCACAGTTGCCTGTGAATCGCTTAAAAAGGCCCCATATAAAATAGATAAATAGAAATTTGACTCTTTTTCTCGATTCGGCTCACTTAAAAAGCCTTATAGGTCGCAAGAAGGGGTGAAGAAATCGGAAAAAACCGTAATTTCTTGGACAAGGGTGGTTAAGTATAATATGTAACAAGAGCTAGAGAAAGCAATAATTCCATTTATTCTCTTCCAATCACGATCTGGGCCCGGGACCTTGAAAGAATAACCCAGAAACCGGATTCAGTTGCCGTCACACTATAATCCTAATCTATCTCATGCTTGTTGATAGGCATGTGGACACGGAGCAAGTATTAGTATGCATAGTAGAGGCGGGGTACTCTGTAGAAAGCCTTCTGAGCTGATCACAGGCGATTATAGAAGATTAGGAATTAATCCTGCACCGTCGGAGACAAGGAGTAGTTAGTTGGAACCGGAGGATGATTGCTTAACCGAGCGTAGATAGTCCAGGTTTTGTGAAAGAAATTAATTGAGTATGTGGTTCAAAAACCCGAAATACAAATATCTCTCAATAGACCAGTTGACAGGGATATCTGCAAGGATCCATGCTATCTTAGTAAAGCCTTTCGTGGTAACTAGTGTGTTGTTATTTTCCAAAACGCTGCTGGCGTCTAAGTGAATGAAATGCATGGTTCGCTTTAACTCCAATATTCTTCTCCGATCTACGATAACACAGGCCTCAAGATCAAACGGTCGAACCTGGCCAGTTATTGCCCTCAGTGATGGCTGAGTTATGCCGCGATGACGCCTTAGTACCTACAGTCTATAGTCATACTTGCAAGCGCTTCGACTTCTCCCTATACTTTGAGGATGCAGTCTTTGCCATTTTTCCTATTCCTGATGGCATCATGTGCTCGGCTGGTCAACCTATATCGCGAATCGCCAAAAGCACGATGGACGCGATTTCATTCTGTCAATTCGGTATGCTTACATATTGATTGTTAACCGAAGATTCTCACTAATTTCCATATCTCAGATCTTTGTAATTGCATGCTGCTTACTGAAATTGTCCTTCCTTGTTGTTGAGACAATGGACAATAACACGCCTCGATCAAGTCTTTCCATTATAGCGGCTTCGTTGGATTTTGCTTCGGCAGTCGCAATTGGTCTACTATCCTACAGCGAACATGTAAAAAGTGCGCGACCTGCCCCTTTGATTAACACATATATTCTAGCTACAATGCTTCTGGATGGTGCACGAGCTCGGACGATATGGCTCCTTAGAGTCTCATCAGTCCTTCCATCCGTATTCATCGCCTCGGTTGCCCTAAAGTTTGTGCTTCTGATATTGCAATCGTTTCCTAAGATGCAATTCCTTTTGCCATCTGAACGAGAGTACACAGCAGAGGAATCTGCCGGAATATTGAGTCTTAGCTCATTTGCCTGGCTTCATCCTCTCATCATCAGAGGATATCGACATCGTCTGTCAATTGATGATCTATATCCAGTTGGTCACAGCATGTCGTCGAAATCAGTTCACTCAGGCCTTCAAAAAATTTGGAAATTAAGTAAGTCCTTGCGAACCATATCTCAAAGCTTCAAACTCTAAATGATACATGAGCAGGTAAGAAAGATAAATCTTACTCGCTGTTTCTTGCAACTGCAAAAGCCTTGTGGCTACCGCTATCTGTTCCCATGGTCCCTCAACTGTTCCTAGTTGCCCTGAATCTGGCTCAGCCACTCTTACTGGCCACTGCGGTCAGTTTTGTCGAGTCTGGAAATGATAAACCGGCCGGATTTGGATATAGCCTCATTGGTGCGTTTGGATTAACATACTTTGGAATTGCCGTAAGAATGAACCTAAGTCGAACCTTGGACACGGAGCTTTCAGAATAACGTTCGTATTAGATAGCAACCGCATGGTATCAATACCTCTCAGCAAGAGCCCTGACTATGATCCGCGGCGCACTCATTGGTCTCACGTATAGCAGTATGCTCGACATGCATGACGGAGACGAAGCGGCATCATCATCCCTGAGTCTGATCAACGTCGACATTGAGCGTATCGTCACATCCCTGCAATGGGTAGTAGGCATTGCACCGGACGTCATTCAAGTAGGAATCGCTATATGGCTTTTAGAAGCACGGATTGGTGCAATTTTCATAGCACCAGTTTTGGTCGTCATAGGTGAGTCGGCTTGAACAAGTTTTCATACGAATAACTAATTATTCGCCGCAATAGCATCTGCTCTTGCATCGAGCCAGATAGGGAGGTACACAAGATCGAGGCAAAGATTATGGATGCAGGCAATTTAGACCAGAAATGGGACTATGTCGGAAACATTAACATCAATAAAAGGCGTGAAAATGCTCGGACTAACGTCTCTGATATCGAAGTGCGTTCAATCGTTACGGGAGAAAGAGCTAGAAATATCGAAGAAGTTCAGAAAGCTACAGATCAGCAATATTGTCATCGGTAAGCACAACCTTCCAATGTTGTCAAGGTTTCCTGACAGTTTGACTAGGGAATTCACCTCGCTTGTTATCACCAATTATCACATTTATCGGCTTTGGAATTGTTGTCAAGCTATCCGGGGACAAGGCACCAAGTACAGCCATTATTTTCTCCTCCTTATCGCTTCTATCTATTCTTATAGATCCAGTGAATGAGCTGGTTGCCGTTGGGCCAAATCTCGCCGTTGCGTTGGACTGTTTCAATCGAGTCCAGCAATACGTTACAAACAAAAAGCGTGTCGATTATAGAATCTTTTCACATCGGAAGCCACTTGACGAAGACACATCGACCGCTAGATCTGAGACAGGGAGAAACAACGCAATGGAAACGACTACTCTCGAGAACACAGAATTAGCCCTATCGACCACTGCTACTAAGTCTGCTATCCAGCTTCGCAATGTAGATGCCGGCTGGTCTACGCAAACTCTCACCTTGCGTGACGTTTCACTGGACCTAAACCCATCGACGCTCAGTCTAATTATCGGAGATATAGGAACGGGAAAATCAACACTGCTGAAACTCCTACTCGGTGAGGTTCCCGTGCTTGCGAAGGGATCGGTGTCTCTAGCAACAGATGAGGTTGCCTTTTGTGGCCAGACCCCTTTCTTGAGGAATCAAAGTATACGTGACAACATAATCGGGCCGTTTGCGCACGACGCCGAATGGTATGGCGCCTGTATTGATGCTTGTGCGCTTGATGTGGATTTTGAGCAGATGGTGGAGAAAGATGGCACCGTTGTAGGGAGTAGGGGGATGTCCTTGAGTGGTGGCCAGAAACAACGCATCGTAAGGCCTTTACCCTCTCATTTTATCCAATGCATTCACTGATTCCCCCACCTTACAGGCTTTGGCAAGGACAGTCTATTCTCGGCGACGGATAATATTACTAGATGATGTTCTCTCGAGTTTGGATACTATCAGTGAGCGTCACTGCTTCGATCGACTATTCGGTCCAAGTGGTCTCTTTAAATACTTGCAGTCGACAGTAATCTTTGTGACGCACTCCGGTATGTATTTCCTTACTTTTAACACAGGTCGAGGCGATGTTGACAAGAATACTCGTTCGCAGCCAAGTGGCTTCCGTACGCAGACAAAATCGTTGCACTTGGTCCAAATAGAACTATACAACAGGCTGGGTCGTATGAAGATCTAATCTCAAGCCCCGGATATGTCCAAGATGTAATGAGTACAACGAAAGAGAAAGAGCCAGAGATTGAGAGCAGCTCCTCGCGAGAAATATCTCAGTACAAACATGAAGGAAACAAGGAGACGACCGTCGAAACTGTCGAAACAGAGTCATCTCCTGATAACGCTCGTAAGAGTTCCTCTTCCGCGTTATTCTACATCTCTTCAATGAGATGGTCAAATTTCCTGGCTTTTACTGTTCTCGTCGGCGTAGAGGTCGGCACGAACGGAATACAGCGTAGGTTCCAGTTCTCTATCCCTTCTAATTCCGACCTACTTTAATGTGGGACTAATGGTTCCAACTGATTGATAGCTTTATGGCTTAGCTGGTGGAGTGATGCAAGTCAGAGAAGTCCAAATGTAGATCTTGGAAAATGGATGGGAGGATACGCTGCGTTTGGTCTTCTCTCATTATGCTTCCTAGGGTTATGTGGCGGGTAAGTCGCTCCATTTTCCATTTATCATGAGCGTATGCTGACCGTAATAGTTATCTACTGATTGAAATCAATCCCAAGTCTTCAAGTTCATTGCACCTCAAAACATTGAGAAGTACGATGGGGTAGGACAACCAACACTTACCTAAAGTCTATTATTGAGCCGTTGCCAACCACACTCACCAGTGCTCCAATTGCCCATCTTACAGATAAGACTGTAGCAAAAATACTGAATTTGTAAGTCCATCCTAAGCATCGAAAAGGGTGCTTGTTGACCGTCATCAGATTTAGTCAAGATATGACCCTAATCTCCATGTCGTTACCCATAGCTCTCATTCTAGCCACTGGAAGTACGACTCTCTGCCTATCCCTCCCCCCCCTTTTTTTTTTTTAGCACATATGGCTAACAAGGCCATCGCCAGGCTTCGGTAATTCAGTAATTGGCGCTGTCCTCACCTCCGTCTCATCAGGCTACATGGCAATATCCACACCCATCCTCTTCGTCACCCTCTACTTCCTTCAAAAGCTCTATCTGAGAACCTCCCAACAACTCCGCGCTCTCGATCTCGAATCTAAATGTCCAATTCTCGAACATTTCATGGAAACCCTTCAAGGTCTCGCAACAATCCGTTCCCTTTCATGGACAAGTCACCTCATATCCGACACCTTTCATCACCTAGATCAATCCCAAAAGCCGTTTTACTTGTTACTCTGTATCCAGAGCTGGCTAAATCTCGTGCTTAATGTCATTGTTGCGGCTCTTGCCGTTGTTCTGATGATGTTGACGGTTACCTTGCGAGATAGGATTAGTCCTGGTTTGCTGGGTGTTGCGTTGATAAGTGTTGTGAATTTTGGACAGACACTTTCACTGTTTGTTTCGTATTGGACGGTGTTGGAGACTTCTCTTACTGCCATTGAAAGGATTAAGGATTATATTGCTGATGCGCCGAAGGAGGATTCTCTTGCTCAGCAGGAAGCAGATGTACCGTGGGACTGGCCTGTGGAGTCGCGTGTTGAATTTCGACATGTATCTGCGTCTTACCGGTACGTTTGCCCATTGAGAGAGTGATGTTTATAATTCTCACAGATGGCTAGAAGCAACGGACCGGACGTCCTCAAAGATCTCAGCATCTCAATCCCCCCCCGGCAAACACGTCGCAATCTGCGGACGCTCTGGGTCCGGAAAATCCACATTGATTTGATATCGGTTCTCCTCCGTCTTCTCAAACCAAGTAAAGGGTCAGTAATAATCGGCTCACAGGACATTTCTATATTCGCCCAACAGACCGTTTGCAAACGAGTAACTTCCATGCCACAAGATGCTTGGTTCATACCTCGTGGCTGTGGTGAATCAGTCCGCGAAAATATGGATCCGTTGAGAGAGGTAGATGACGATATAAAGATTTACGATGTTCTCGACAAGACTGATTTGAGGGAACATATCGACAACCTTGGAGGGCTAGATGCGCAATTGGGACAGCAAGGGAATGGAGTATTATCGTCGGGTCAAAAGCAGTTATTCTGCCTTGCTCGGGCGATGCTTACTAGACGAGGAGGAATATTAATCATGGATGAGGCCATGAGCAAGTTCGTATACCACAGTCCTCGACCTCTGTTTATATACTGATGAGAGTGTGGTGTAGCGTCGATTATAAAACCGAATTGAAAATACTCTCCCTTTTACGCTCAGATTTTCAGGGATGGACCATTATCGCATTTACGCATCATCTGAGGTTTATTCCGCAATTTTTTGATCGGGTGGTCGTCATGGATGAGGGAAGGGTTGTTGAATATGATGATGATCCAGGCAGACTTTTGGCGGATCCTTCTTCGTTGTTTAGACGGCTTTCTGGGGCAGAAAATGATAGGGATAATTCTTCCAGAGTTGGGGAGTGAATGTCACCGAGCTTGCCAATCAATCCAATAAATTGCCTGTCGTTCAAGAGTGCTATGACTAGGACAATCTAGTAATTTGGAAATTATATAATCTCTTTTTAAGGGTTTTGTTTTGTTAAGATTCTAGAGGAAGATCTGGTTGCCGAGGATTATGAGCAGTAGTAGAAATATCAGTTGTACGCTCCCCTTTGGGGATTGATGGATTCTTGATGGAGCGTTCTCAACGTTCTTGTCTCTCTTCTTTTTCTTTCTAGGAAACTATCAAAGGAGTGAGGTGTTCTATCCCGTACGGATAAATATCAGCCCGAAGGCTATATAATCTTTACAGTTTGGCGCTACTAATAGCAAGATAGAGACTTCAAGGCCTTGTACGTTCTTAACGTAACTACATAAATTTCCACATACAATGAAGACGCCACGGGATTCAACCAATACCAGCTTTACTGTTATAAAATACCTATCAAATGTCTCAAACGGTCAATCCCGAGCGCTACATTGGGGCCACTCCTACAACTTATGACTCGGTGTAGTAAGAGAGGACCGGGTAGTTGCGTAGTTACATCTACCAATTCCATACCGAAACCCATCTACTCAAAGTAAGTAGTGCCATCGTAGGTTGCCATGTGACATAAATTCAAAGATAATATGCTACTTTTCTTGAAAAAAAGAAGGAAGGATCGCGTTAGTGTAGGTACAGGGTGCGATGCCGGAGTCTCCGGAGACGTACGTCTACGTCTCACATTCTACAAAATACCAACTTAGTTACTTCATAGTTGTGCCGAGCCAGTAGAGTGCAACAATTATACATTCAGTCGTATGAAAGCCAAACAAAGGAGACATATGAACCATGGAGAATGCAGAACCCGGACCGGAGACGGAGGCGATCATGGGGATTTATCCACTGGCTAATAATCAGATCGAATCAAGATTATCCGATAGGTTAATCTATTTAACCTGGTTCTCAGTAAGAAAGGAGATGTGACATGACCGGAATACAATGAAAACCCTCTAAGCCAAGCCACGCTATCGTTCGTTACAGCTTACGTACGAATCGCTATACTGTACCAGCGACTCATCAATAGAGCAAGGGAAATCCCAGATATAGCCAGTTATCAGTATTTAATAAGTTAAAAGTTTAACGAGTCAAGACATTTATTGTTTTGTTTGGTGTTGTTTGTGCCATGTGGCTTGATACGGACAATTAGCCTTATATACTCCGTGCAGTAGGGGTGGACGTATCAGAAAATGAAAAAGTGGACGATACGAGTCATGTAGCAAAATATTGGATTCGATGGCTCGATTTGGGTGCGAGATAGAGTTATCTCAAGGGATTAGAGTCAGTGGCGTTATACCTAGGTATAAGTGTAAGTCTGATATCCCATCTGAAGTCCTACGAGCACAAATTGGTACATAATTAAGTCTTCGACACAACGTCAAACCTGCCCAAAAAGTTTGTATTTAGAGTCTGACGTGGACTCGGAAGGTGTTCGAATGATTTTCCCATGCACATCCAATAGCTGGATTCAAGTGGAAACGGTTTGCGCGTTGTAGTCATGTTTGAAATGATCTGCATAGTCCCCTTTTTTTGGGAGACTGGATGGGGTGTAGCCCTAATACATGCTTTTTATGCTATTTGTTGTATCTAGGTAAGACACTTGAAGTCAAGAGTCCTTCAGTAATTTGATCAATGCTCATTGAAACTTTCTTGGATAGACATACGCAGGTTCATGTACATGGCACAGGTACCTGGTCCAGGGCTGGATACACCAAGTAGTCAGGTCGATCTAGACCTCATCTATCTCCTCGCTTATCCAGTATGTAAATCAGAACTCTCGTTCCACAGACTGTCTGAGTAACTCTATAAAGTGCGTCATACGTGCTCTGAGTAACGTTGCACATATCCACATCCATCCATCATCCGTCTAGACGTAGTACGATAGCCATGAGTATAAGCCTGGACGAGGCTAGAACTGGCCTGGTTGGTATATGTATGACAGCGCTGGAGCAGATAATAAAACTGAATGATGGTATTAACAGAGTCGGCACATATTGCAGGAAGAGCAAGTTTCACTCTAACATGGATAGACCTAGGTATGCAGGTGGTATTCCAGGATTTGATACATGCGTCGGTCTACGTGGATATGCTGATCTTTCTTCATATCTAGATACTATTTGCTGAATAGATATGCGTATCGCTAGGAAAAATCGCATTATCTTGGCGACCTTGGCCTCAAGGATGTAGCAACGCAATGCTCCAATGTACATACACAAACCTGTACAAACCTTCAGTACGGCGTATACGCGACCTTCCTCCAGTCCGATTTATGGTCGCCAGGTTTCGCACGATTATCCATAGTGCCAGGCAACTGCATGGAGGTTAGTCCGGAGGATATGAATGGTGCAGTGACTGAAACGAGACACTTGCCTAATTCAGATTGTTCTCATATAAATTTAGGGGAGATCGAAAAGTCATTATCAATGACGATAAAGAAGAAATCATTGTTATATACCTTCTCTAGTATTAAATGTATCAACCACATATAATTCGAGAGCCGTGCATCCATAACCCTAGCAAACTATCCGATTCATGGACAAATTCACCACACATCCCCCAGGCAGAAACCATTTTCCTTTAATTACTGAAAATTACACTCCAGTGTATCGCGAATACGACCCTCTCTGCATTACAGCAGCAGGGATTACACGGACTGTTGTACAGCGCTGCATATGCGCATGCAGAGTAGTGTAGGCGCGTATGTGTGTCTTACGGTCACCGAAAGTCTTTTTCTCTTCCTATCGGGATAGTGATAATAATAATAAATTAATCGCATAAAAGGCGGAGTATTTCGCTCTCTCTCATATGCATACTAGACTGAAAAAAAAAACAAAAAGGGATGAATGCCGGAGTATATACTCCATGTTTCAACGTTGGATTTACATATCAACCCGCATTGGCTGTGGGCGTGCTTCCAAGGTGTTGTCAGGTGTTTCTAAGTATGATTGCCACGATAAGAATTTCAGTGATTGATCAGCATTCAAATAGCTTGCAAAGTAACACGGACAACGGTCGTAGGTACGTGATTAGTTCTGACAGGGGGGGGAAATGATCCAGTCCAGTCACATTCCGGCGTTGGACTGAAGTCACATTCCTCTTCCGGATGTTTGCTCTGAGTGCATGGCAGTGTACCATTATTGACTGCGATGAAATATAATTCATTTGGGTATGGAGGAGAACAATTGCATTGTCGGCCCTCGGATAAGGATGACGGACAAGCAATTTTTATAGGTAAATCATCAGCAAATAGGCGACTAAGTACGTAGGAGGACAATCGACTTGGGACGATAATCAGCACACCCGACTGGGAATTCATCAAGGTAACCTCACCTCTGGTCCACATTTAGTAAGATAGTAATCGCACATCCACCAGTTAAACGTAACCAGATTCATATCACTGCCTCTTAAGACAATCATCGTCTAAAGAGTTACTCAAAGAAGAAGGAAACCAAGCTCTTTTGGCGACATTGGCAAGGAGGGGCAAGACGATCTGCGGGCTGGATGGGTCAGACTAATGTAGGGCTTAAGTGTGCCATGTGTTGGTGAGAAACACGTAAGTTCAGTGCTCAATAATATCCAATGGTCAGGATATTTCAGTAAGCAGTATTGTAATACTCGACACGCGACCAGCAAGGCACATGGATCGGCTGTATGTAGTCACAGTGTCACAGACAATAGGAATGCAGAATGTGAGGATAAAAGCCAGATGGTTTGATCATTGGCCGACTGAATAGTTCGACAGGCTAAGCCACAAGAGAAAAAGCAGAGCTTGGCAGAGAGGATCTCCGAGGAAGACTGACTGAATGCCACGTGAAGTACTCCGAGAGACAAAATTTTAACAGTCTATTGAATCTTTGATCCCATCCATCACTCCGAGTAGCATGGATTGGGGACCCCTTTGCGTAGAAACAGAAATATATATGTAGGTGGAGTAACCCTCCGTCATACAGTCAACTCTGTGGTGACTGTATTATTCAGTGTATTTGTGTATCGATTAATACACCCCGGAAAAACCTCGTGGTTCCTAATCCGAATCTAGCTAGTTTGGTAGAGTCTCATTGGTGGATACAATACGCTAGTGCACATCATTCGTAAATTACGCGTATTCAGGCCGCAAATATTGGACATTGACCCGAACGGGTTAGCGTATATGGCCATGTGTTTTTTTTTGAGTTTTGGACTGTTACATGAACAGACGATAAATAATATCGACACAATCAATATTTGAAGCTACGTATAAAAGATTAATTACTTAGAAGCAGAGAAATATATGAATAATGCGAATACGTTAATATAAATAATAAATGATACTAAGAGTACAGTCAAAGTAGGGGAATCTTCAGCTTAAGTAAGAGACCCACCGCGACAAAAACGTGGGCAGGCCAGATCCATAAATTGAGAGTAATAGCCCAAATCGGCCAGCCGTGACTTCTCCTCCACCAGACCTGTCACTTTACTTTACTTTTGTCCTTCTTTCTCTCGACTGACTCCGACTCGCTGCATTCTTCGATCTCTCGATCTATCGACTCGAGAGGCCATCGCACAGTCAATAGCTCCGTTAGGACCGTCCGAACTGCCGACTAATAATTATAACCGATCTGAGTACGGAGACAAGCCACCGCAACAACTACCTCTCTCAAATCCTTCTTTCGTCTCTTTTTTCTTTTTTCGCTCTCATTTCTTTTTCGCGACAAGCCTCGTTTTACTACGTCACGTTGCAACCTGATTTTATGCATCTTATTTCTCAATCATACATTCGACTTGTCTGCCGGTACTCGATTACTCCCGCGCGTGGTCAGATTCAGGTACACTATCGCAGACTTTCTCAAGATCAAATATTCCTCTCGACTCTATTACTGAACAGTGCTAATATCCTCCAGAGTATAATTGTATAACACCAGCAAGGGGCATTTCCTCCTTGATCTGCATTGGCGCCTGTCTTTTCCGCCCACGTACCGCCACTGACATTCATCCCTTCTTTCTTCCTCACGTCCGCCTGTGGTCCTGGCCCACGACGCCTCCTGACGCATACCAGGAAAAAGCGCTCGCGTGGTTTTATTTAGAATCTCTGGCTTCACGTGTGTACGCAATTGATGGCATTCTTTGGACTGGAATAGACTGCAAGAACTACATCCCCGACAAGGATATGAGATAGGCCGATACAGTCATACACAGCGAAGAAAATGAACACGATGGAATCGTCGATTGCGCATCGTCCCTGGGAGGATGTCAATCCCGGTCTGCATACACCCCCGGTCGTGACTACATCACAGACTCTGCCTTCAATCTCGACATTGACGGCCAGCATGAATGGAAGTATTCCGCCAGGCGAAAAATCACCAGCAAGTTCTCTGAACACGCTCGAGCGGGACTCGGGCAATTGGTCCATGCCTCAAAGCACCAGTATGTTTTCTTTGGGACTGATGTTTCAATTCAATGTGCTGACCAACAGGATCATCTACGTACTCGCAAACAACCAACGGAACCGGCACCTACCAGTCGATGTCCTTTCTAAACTCATCTCAACCCTCCCCTAACCGTCATTCGGGTATATCCGACCGGTCACCTCTCGCCCAAGACCAATCCAGCACCCCCTCTCCAGCCGGCGCCAATCCTCCATTCACACAAGCACCGCCGTCTACTCTCCCGTCCATCAACCAGAACTTTGACGCGCCGTCTCATCGCAACAGCATTATTGAATTACCAGAGTCTAGACGAAGCAGTGTCGATAGCCGCATGAATCAAGGGATCAGTGCATTGGCCATCAACCCGACTTCGCCGTACCACAGCACCAACGCATCACAGTCGTCGATAGTATCTGGGCTGCAGAGAGAGCGCGGCATCTCGAATGATTACACGAATACGAACGGTATGCGCGGGCCGCGATATGGTGCGCAACCACTCTCACCACTAGGACCCCGGGCAGGGGATCAGCGATTTCCACCTGGTCGTACTGCGCCTGCTATTTCATCCAATCCGCGATCCGAAATCTACAATGCCGAAGCTCCGACAGCGGGCATGGCGTACGCCTTTCCGGATCCTGATGTTGCACGGTCCAGTTCCAGCATGACGTCGCAAGACCACTCGTTGACACCGCAGGGTTCCTTCTCACGCAAGGGGAGTGTGGCGGAATCACTTAATAGCAGTGTGTTTTCTGTGGATGGACGGCTACCCCGCGGGCAGCAAGGTATTTCTTCTTGCCGTTACTATTGGTTCCTTTATGCTAATAATCTGCAGAATTGCCCCAGAACGTGCATCACCACTCGTTGCAGCACAAGCAGGTTCGCGGTCTGATGGGAGAGTCGGAATCGCCTAATAATGCTACTCCGTATAGCCGTACTCCCGAGCTGCGGGTCACGCATAAACTCGCAGAACGCAAGCGACGGAGTGAAATGAAGGATTGCTTTGAGATGTTGCGAATGCGACTACCACAGAGCCAGAATAACAAATCTAGTAAATGGGAGACCTTGACAAGAGGTATGTCTGCCGATTGTTGACTTGGTCTTGTTTCTGACTTGTCTAGCTATTGAATATATAACGACACTTGAAAAACAAGTCTCAACTTCACGACGAGAGAATAGCGATCTTCAACGCGAAGTGCAAGATCTACGGGCACAACTCAATTCGCAACAAAACGGCCAGTCCCGACCGCAGAATATGTTTGACCCTCACTCAATGGCATCATCGTCGAATGGGTCGCCTACCACATCGTATCCCACGTATGCACCGGGGATGGCGGTCGAGCAGCCGCGGACTCTTCCTCCACTCATGAATGGATCTGTCGCAGCTATGCAAGGGGTACAATATACCGAAGAACGGCGATGACTTTTTTTTTCTTACTAATGCCTTTCTCGCAAGGGTTATTCTCTTCTTTTTTTCCACTTTTTCCTCTGGTCATCGGCATGCTGGCAGGTATATTTGTATTCAATCGGATCTGGAGTTGTGAGGATATTCTGGTTTTTGCATTATTGGATTGTGTACAAAAAGAACAAAATTCTGGGCGGGGTGTGTCGCGTATCATGGAGTCTTTTCTTTTTTTCTTTTCTTTTGCTCGATATCCTTGAGGTTATACTTTTCTCTGAAAAAGTAGTGAATGCGATTCTTCTGTTTCATACCAGAAATCTCCTCCTGATTGACATTTTAAATAGGAACAAATAACCGCCTTAATCTTAAGGCTTAAATCGAGGATATCGCGCCCTATACCAAAAACGGCTAGCTCCTCTCCGGATCATGTGCCATTCCTCCATACTATTGGTCAGCCCCTGTGGATCCTGAATAATGTGGTCCAAGCTGGGCGGCTAATCGATATCAAGTTCTTCCTTCATACCCAATCGATTCAGTACTGAGATGGACGATGAAACTATTGTTTTATTTTGAACACGAAGTACGGAGTACTTTGCCGGGGTGGATGGGTGAGTCTTTGGATTGGATGGAGGAGTGTCTGATGTTGAGGAGCCAATGGGTCAGTGGATATGGATGATGGATGCTACGTCTTGGGTTTTGCGGGAATGAGAGGGCTGGACTCTGTTTGCTCTCTTCTGAGAAGCTGATATTACTATAATTGTGCATGGGGATATATTGGAGCTATTGGTTGATTTGGGTTTGGATCTGTGACAATGATTATTGTTTGGGCTGGGATCTGGACTAGTCTTTTTCTTCTCTTCTCTTCTATTTCTCTTCTTCTTCTGCATTTGATTCTGTTGATTTTCCATTGCATTGCATCTTTCCATCTGCATATTCATAGATATAGATTGTTTGTAAAGCCTGGTGCTTTGCTTTGTTCTATTGTCTGCACTACTGTTTGACTATTCATCTCTTGTTTGTCTGCACTATTGTTCCTCTTTGTGCTTGTGACTGCCATTGTCATCATCTCATCTTTCTTATTGACTCTTATCTATTGACATCATATATATCAAGTGTGACTCTTACCTGCTGATTTGCTCAACACCCCGCCCCTGAGGGTTCACGAGAGAGAGAGAGGAGGATAGGAAAGAGGGTATACTCATGGTATCTATCCACTCTCCTTGTCTTTCACATCCGTTCCTTTTTTTCCGCCCTCATTCATTCTTTTACTTGTCGAATCAATATGGAATCTAACAAAACGGCACAAGGCAATGCAAAAGAAAATCGACCTCGAAAGCGGAATCCAATGAACCTCACCGTCGACACTTCTAGAGCCACACTAGAAGCAGTACACAGTAACCTCGCTATCGGCAATCCCAGATCCTTACCAGCAGGAGGACAAGATATCGACCCTTCCCGATCTACACTGGAAGCGGTACAGACGCGATTCCCGTTATCATCGCCTATTACGCACGAAACCCCTAGTCCACAGGATAGTGGCAAGACTGGAAACGTTGAGGCTAAAATTCTGAATGTGAATGTTTTTGATGGTGGTGCTGGTGCTGGTGCTGTTACCGATCAGAAGAAAAAACCTTTGAATTTGTCTTCGCATTCGGCATTGTCTAAAAGTGAGCTTGAGAGTGCTATATATGCGAGATTATTGGAGCAGGCGAGAGAATCTAGACACGAGAAGAGGCGGGATATGGCTACTACCAGTGCTGACAGAAATGGGGCGAAGAATGTGTTGAGGCCGCAGAGTAAGAGGAAGAGTGGTGGGATTGTGAAGAGGTCTTATCAACAGCAGCACCGACCGCCGGGGTTGCAGGTGTTGACTGATTTTTCGAGGGATGATGATGACGAGAAGGGCCATTCATTTCTGGATTTGAGTGATTTAAAATCTATCGCCAGGGCACGTGAAAAGGAACGCTCGGGAGAGGATTACAGCTCCTCGCAATCATTACAAGAACCTCAAGCCAGGATATCTGAGTTATCGCCATCAGATAGACCCATCATGATTGGTTTGACAGTTCCATACGAATCGACACCCCGTGCAACCGCAGCAGCAACAACAGATACGATCGACAGCGCCTCATCACGTACACCCGCCACCCCTTCAATCATGATTACGCCCGCCCAAGAGAATCCTCCCTGGAACATGGATGTGCATATGGATATGAGCACCAGTGCCGAAATGCTACACAGACCACGCGTTGCATCAAGCGTATATTCGCAACCGTCGCCGAGAATGATGTACGATGAAAATGCGCCGCCGGTACCTGCTATCCCTGTTCTGCATTCTGTGACTTCATTACATGATAATCTGCATTCGCTTGGTACAGACTCCGATGTTGATGAGACCGCCTCAAAAGAGAAAGGATCTTCTCGAATGGAAGACACAAACACGAAGAAGAATATGAAGAAACTTCTCCATAAATTAAGTGTGAACACATCGGATGCAAACAGACCTGATTCTCAGGGATGGTGGACATATCTCCTCTCTCCATTACTGAGTCGCTCGAATACGGTTAGTAGTCGTCGGACAGGATTCAGTCCAAAACAAGGGAAGTCCGCTCGTTCACCATTATCAGGCGTATCGTCTCCTCCTCAACTGACCACTGCAACTGAAGGAAGGGAAGAAGAGAGTGAGCACTGGTGGGATGATACGAAAGAGGTCGTTGGACCATCCGAGAAATCTCATTTTTCGCCTGATACACCTGAAGATTTAACCAGACACGCTCCCGTTGTCGGTGGTGGTGCATGGGATATGCCGTTTTCAGATACCCACACAACCATAACCCCTCGAGCAATACCAGACGACAAAACTGAAAAAACGCGAAGCGTCTTCCAAACCGGCAATACAATCGTGCCAAACTACGAGCTCCAAGGCGCCGCAGCAGAGTACTACCAAGCTAGTGCGCATGATTTGTACCACAGAGACGAGCCGTATTTCGAATGTATCAATCACACCTGCTCAATGACATCGGCGAAAAGAAGAGCTAAGATTGAGGAGGAACAGAGACGATTAGAGGAAGAAGCCGCTGCTGCTGCTGCTGAAAGCGAGAAGAGAGGAGGGTTGGCGGTGTTTGTGTTTGATCCCTCCAGGGATCCGGATAATCCGTTTATTGCGTTTTTGGAGAAACGGGTTAGTGGTGCTGATGTGAAGGAGGTTGAGGTTCGTGATGCAGGCTCGGAGAAAGAAGGTGAAGAAGATGGAGAGGGGAGAGAGGTCGGTGAGGAGATGGAAAAGTCCGGATTGAGTAATGCGAGGCAGTTGCTATCTTTTGATAGTAGTGATGAGGAGGAGGGAGATAAGGATCTTGCCGGGAAAGATCATACAGCGTCACGAAGTCTACATGGATCGCCTGAGATGGTGCCCACGTCAAGAGCTGCGCCGTTGGTTTCATCGCCTGTGCCCACTCCGTATGATCCGAGTGTATCTGTGTCGCCGCCAGCTAGTTATTCGAAGGAGATGAATTCGCCAGCCCCTGTGGCTGCACCTGCACCAGTCATTTCAATTCAAGCTCCGGTGAACCATCTAGAACCAACTCCACCAGCTCCTGCACCAGTGCAAATGCCAATGATGCCACCACCTCAACCTCGCAACTTTTCTCCAGAACCAGTACCAATGCCGCCCATGCCGCAACCCCAACCACGGGCAATCTCACTCGAACCTTTTCCAATGCCAATGTCTCCCGCACCAGCTTCTCACCGACCTGTTCCTATGCCAATGCCAGCGTCGCGATCACCGCCAGTAAATGAGCGTGCACCTGTTGCAACGCACTCGCCGCCAGTACGTCCTCCTTCCAATGATACAGCTCGCGGTCGCGCAATACCGAGTGGTTATCAATGGGAGCCTGTCCCGATCCCTCGTGCAATATCTCCACCAAGATCGACAAGAGCTGCTTCGTTTATGCAACCACCAGCAGTCTTAGTGTCCCAGTCGAGAGAAGTTGAAGAGTCCACTCTCCGTCAACAGCAAGGCGTAAGGGGAGATACCGAACCAGCGCAAACCCTTCGACCAGTACCATCCTTCCATCGACCAGGCCCGTTCTCTGCATCCAGATCGGCTACTCCAACACCTGCCTCTGGTCAACCGCAGCCCGGTTTACTTCATACCGCCGATGGATCAGAATCAGAGACTGAATTACCACCTTATTCTGCTGCAGATCGTGCCAGCAGAAATGCCCCTCGGCCTCAAACTCTTCTACCTACATACAGTGCAAGAAGTCAATCTGAACGAGGTGACCAACAATCAGTTGGACCGGCGCCGGTCTCACCTGGTCTGCAACAGGCAATGACTAGCCGTGGCGGTATACCCATGTCTGATGTCGATCAACGCGGCATTCGGGACATGAATCGCAATGGCACAAGCTCCATATCTCGAACAGATGATTCCAGAACTGTCATCAACGTTAACCACTACTACAACAGTGAACACCCCCACAACGCACCCGAACCGCCACGTCCAGGAAAACAATTCATAGAAGCTGATCTACAAGCTCGCGACAATAAAAAAGACGAGGAACAAGAAGGATTAGTCAAAAAATTCGGTGATTTCTGGCGCAAACATTTCCCTGTATTTGCCTGCCTCGGTCGAAGTGGTTTTGAACGGAAAATGCACCGTCGATGGTACGCCGCTATCATTGCATTTTGCATGCTTGTCATTATCCTCTCTATCTCACTTGCTACCACTCTCACACACAAAGGTGATACTACACCTGTTGAATCAGGGTGGTTGAATATAACTGGCTTCCCACCTATCCCTACGGGCATCATGACAGTTGCCGGACCAGCACCAGCCGTTGAACGGAGTAGTTGTATTGCGCCGACGCAAGCTTGGAGTTGTGCTTTACCACCGGAACAACAAGCCACTCAGGCGGGTGGGTATGCGCCTGATTCTCCAAATTTTAGGATTGAAATTCGGTTTCGGAATGATTCTTCTTTCTTTGCCAACAGTACTAGTAATTCAACCTCGTCAAGGAGATCGTTGGTCATGTTTGATCGGAAAGGTACATGGGATGCGTCACCAGCTGTGCCGAGATTGGAAGATCAAATATTCCTGGGAAATACGACTGATAATATCACGATGCCGTTCCAGGGTGAAGACACGCCGTTTTATATTACATTTCAGTCACCGTTTGATGTCACCAATACTACTGCCAAAGGGTTTAAGCGTGATGTTGCTTCTTCTGCCACTGAAATTGGGACTGCAGCTCCGACAACTGCTACTACTGCCACGCATGTCAGTGCTACAGGTACGGGTACTGCTAGCAGCACTGGAACAAGTACCGGCACCAAGACACAAGCCACAAGTACAGCTACCAGTGGGCCCTCCGATTTCAACGTGAACAGTATCATTCCAGCGCCTGATCTAGCATCAGACGGTACCGCGGCAGCAGCAACATTGTATCCACTACCAGTCCAACAGCCGATCAAACTGTACAATCGTGGTCTCCCGACCGAGCATTACGGGTTCTTCACCTATTTTGACAAGAGTATATTCCTGGCCTCGGACGCGACAATTACAGGCGGCACGACCGACACAGACTCAAGGGATACAAACGGCGGAAGTGCAGAGACAGAAGCAAGTGCGCGATGTACATGGTCACAGACACGATTTCTAGTACAGATATGGACCCAACCCCAAAACTTGACACATATGAGTCTCACAGCTTCGTCTTCCAATACTACATCAGCCCCATCACCAACCTCTTCCCCCAAAAGTCCATCTTCTACTGCCGGCTCCTCCTCCGCAAACAACTTCACATCCCCCGGCTCATTCCCCTACCCCATAACAATCACAATAGACCGACACGGCGGCCTCGCTACCCAAAAACTAGCATACTGCTACGGTATCGAACAACACACCTCCTCACCGACCTCCAACACAGTCACGGGGACATACTACAACCTGACAAACCCGAAACTCCAAGCCGAGCAGAGAGAATCAGGAGGCACCATAGTTCAACCTTCACCGGATTATTTCGTTTTGGCAGAGGCGATTGCGCAGGGTGTTACGGCGGATCAAGTTGCACCTGTTGATGGTGGGAATGGGGGTTGTATGTGCCAGTGGAGGAATTGGATTGAGATTCATTGATTCATGGGCATTTTTCATGGATGATTGGCTCTTTCATTTGTAATTTGCGTCTATTTCCTTTGTTTCGCAGTGAGGATGCATCATATTGGCGTGGTGCTGATTTTGCTTTCAGAATTGCATTAATATGTTTGTTTTTGTGGTTTAGTGGTTTAGTGGGAATCCGCATTTGCATAGCACATGGGGCATCTAATTGCTATTACTTAGGTCCGCAAGCACCGTTTCATTAAAATTTTCAATGCATGTATGTACATCAAAAGTTACAAAAGCATTTCTTCGAATTGATGATGCGTAATCAGTTTCAATAAATTAAAAGGCAGAGAAGCACCCAGGAACTCCTCCAGGAACTGGATGGTTGATTGTTGTCTGAAATTACCGGAATAGATAATTTGATGTTGTTGGATTGTACGTAACTAGTTGACCTAACTCTTAGTTACTTAACTAAGTTAGTTAACATAGTTAGATCGTAAAGTTAACTACGGATCTGTTCGATGGTACGTAACAACCTTTAGCGGTATATCTCAACGTATCAAATTATGCAAAGATGCATGGAATTCTTGATCCTTGTTGTCTTTCTTGTTGTTCTCTAAGTACAGTAAAGGTGGGAGATGTCTTTCACCCCCTATTCGGTGGATCCTTCTCTTAAGTGTATGGCTCGCTCTGATTGACTGATAGATCTTATCTGTCTGATTGGTTAGTAATGGAGCAAGCTTCTATCACCACAGCCTCATCGAGCAAGCTGGCGGCTATCGAACACTCCATCACCAAATAGCAGTTGCGACACGGCGGGATCTGGCACACAACAAGTGCAAGGTGGTGGCTCAAATATGGGCATGTATCAGATAGCACCGAAAATGCTGGCGAAGCACGGCCGCCGGTAGAAACAAAGCAGTCAACCAAATAGCAGCACCCAACCTTCACCTAGAACAGGCGGGAAGGCTCAAGATTTTGGGACAGCTTTACATGACGAGATGTCAAGCCGTGGGTCGAGCTCATGTTGAAGGCAGCCATAGCGTACATGTCATCGGCGCCGGAAGTAGTACCCCTGATGACTTCGAATTTGACCTTGGCGAAGAGGGTTTCTTTGACAATGTCGACGATTTGCCTGATATTTCAATTCCTGAAACAGAATCTGAATGGGGTTCTTGTCTGTTGATGTGAGATCCTCCGATATAGGAGTTACCTAGCTGATGTGGGCATTGCACTAAGAAATCCAATTCGACTCGTTGATCTCCTGATGTCGATTCCCCTTGTGATTTTTTTATATATCTGCCCATTTTCGTTGTTTTAATCTTTGAAGCTTCCATTAATAGTTTTCGTATATTCCATAATGCATCACCTTTATTGTCTCATACGTATATCATTTCTCAATGTTATCTGGTTACGAGCTTTGGAATCAGAGTAGTCCCCACCACAATCTACGACCCCTCATGAGTTATCGTAGACCAAGCCCAGGTGATAAGAATAACATGATATAGAACAAGACGAATTTGCTTATATATACTAGGTGGATAGGTTATGCCATGCGTAACGGTTGCTTCCTGACCCGACCATGCACAACTTTGAGAATAATCAAGTCTAAATCTTTTGTATAGAGTCCGTTATGTTCATCTTAAAGATTAAACCAATAAATTGGAACATGTTAAGTGAGTCTAAGCTCTATGTGGTTGTTTTATTTCCCCTTTTCCCTGATAGAGTTTCCATAAAGAATGTTTCCAGTTCTGGAAATAGGAAGCCTAATTCAGTAACATCATTGCATTCTCAGACGCCGGGCACACACCTACAGCATGAAAGCATGATCAAAGCATGAAGGGGGGTTTTACTTCCCCGAGCAAAAAAAGCAGTGTTAAGAAGGTAGATCTGTAAGCTTATGCTGACATTTCCCACTCCAGACGCTTACTGTTATCTAGCAGTTACTAATAATTCCTAAGTTGTCCATGATTAAACAGATAATGACACGTATTAGGCTAACCCAACTGTTAACTGTAATTAATACAATAAAGTACTGGCTAACAGTAGCTGAGACATTAAAAGGAACGAATAAAAATACCATTTGTCTGATAGCGTATGCCCCATATAACCACACTAATGACAACGCCTAAGCATCCAAACCGACTTTTTCCTGTGTTACCATCCTCAATATTCAATATTCCTCCACTAGTAACTCTGAAAGCCCAAATATAATTCTAACTTTAATAGAAGTCAACACATGGCCTTCTAGACCAATGCCACAAATGCTCCTAAGGCACCGAGGGCAGCGCCCAGGAATGTCGCTTCCTGAGCATCGATTCTCGCGGCGGGATTTCCAGGGACGTAGGTAGGTGCAGTTTCTGAGCCGCCTTCTTCACCTCCAGAACCGGACTCAGATCCTGAATCAGAGCCAGAGCCGCTGCCACTACCGCCGTGTCCGCTATTGCTGCCGCCTCCGGCACTCTTGCTGGGGTTCACAGCGAAAGAGCTCTTTGACGGAACAGCAGAAGTCTTGCTTGGTGTGACAGCTTTGCTGCTGTGGGTTGGAATGGGTGTTGTGACGGTTTCGTGGCTCAAAGTTGTTGAATGGGCCATGGAGCTGACGTGCTTGGAGTATTGTTGGTGATTGTTGCCTTCTCCTGAGCCGGCCAAGGCGCCGGTGACGATAGTAAGAAAAGCGATTGTTGGAAGTGTGAAGCGCATTTTGAGGACTTGGAAAAGGAGAGTGAGCGGTTGAGCTTTTCCGTTAGGGTTCGGTCATGTAGATGGAGAGTGAAGAGTAAGGAATGTATGCTTTGACACACCGATTGACGGGGAAGAATTATGAACGCGAACATTAGAAGAAAACCAAAGTCCAGGGGTCCATCTGAACATTATATACATCGCATGTGATTGATTTTCTGGGGAATAGAAACTCACAATACTTGATCCGTCATCGTGGTTCACCAATCAGTATCTTCGGTCTTTCATCGATCTGAATGCGGACTGTACGGGGTAGCAATCTGTGGAGGTAGGATATTGCCCACAAATTCATTAGCTAATAATTACTGCCTATTTACTCTATTTTTCAAGCAGTTAGTCCAAATAATACCGTAAGCATAGGAAACTGGAAGAGGGAAAGTCCCTCTCATTCTCATCCAGTATCACGTGACCCATGTGCCCTCATTCCGGATTTGGACACAATTGCTTTCTCTTCTTGCAAGAAAAAAAACCCTCCATTTTCGAGTTGATAGGCGACTTCCTTATAATTATTCATATCAAACAGTCGGAGGCTCAAATTCCTCACCTTTCTCTACCACCTAGCTCCCAGGAGTGCAGCCTTTGACGCGTCTCAACGCGCCCGGCAACACCATGGCGCGTAAAGGCCCTGGTACAGACGGCCCTCTACAGACAGCCCTTCTGGAATCCACGTCTGCAGCCACAACAAGAGCTTCTAAAGGACAGAAGATCTTCAGCCCCATAGCTGCATTCCTTGATAAACACCGCAGCCAAACCACTGGCCTTGCTCCTCACCTACTGAGAGCCCTCACCGCTCTAAGCGATGACCTTGCCTTGGTAGCTCAACAACATTTCAACGCCTATATCAGCGGTATCTTGATGATCTCCATTCTACCTGCCCTATCTCCTTCCCCCTCCTCTTCCCCCACCCTAAATCCCTTACCCCCTTTACCCTCTCCCTTACGTTCCCCCTCAGGTCTTAAACAGTCAACTTATGCAACTATTATCTAATATGCCCCAGTCAAATCAACTTCCACCACTCACCCTAAAGCCTCCGTCAAAAAGCCTATGCCTCTGGTGAAACAACCTCATCCTAATAATTGGCTCTTCGTACGCCTCCTAGCTAACTATGCAGCCAGAAAAATGGAAGCCTACACTATCTACTCTAGCCTACAGTCTCAACTAAACTTAAATAGTGCAGCACTAAAAGAAGTTCAAGCTACAAAGACTGGCTTTGCACTATGCCCCTCATCTCCAGAAGCCCTTCTAGCCCTTAAGGCCCAAAAAGAGACTATCTCTGCATTCTTTGTTAACTGCCAGATAGAACGCAGCTCCCGATGGATCTCATACCGAGTCACCAACGTGCCAAGAAAAATTGGCCAAATCTTGGATAGTCAATACTCTCTAATCCCTGTCAATCCTACACTACTATCCTTAGAAATTAGCGAAACTACAGGGCTTAAGCCTATATCTATTAGCGAGACCACTACGAGCGCTGCCAACCCTGATACTCTCTCCTTAAGCTGGTTTGTCAACTTCCTAGAAGGCGCAAAATTACCACTGCCTATCTAGCTACGTCTTTTTGGCATTATCACCAATGCTTGTCATCTCTTTAAGAAAACAACAGTTATTTAATGCACACAATGCTAGAAATGGCATAATGCACAATCCTGTGCATGCCCCTCTTAATACCAACTATACAGCTCCTCAGAGTATACTGAAGAGGGCCATGTTAACTGCTGCATAGGCCCAGAGCCTCATCAATGCCCTCCTAAATGCATACACTGCTATAGACTACATCTAGCTAATTTTGCAGAATGCCTTCTGCGCCCCAAAGGCAATACTAAATATACTAAAGCTCAACAAACAGAGATCCGTAAATCCTATGCTATAAATCTCGCAAAAGCTCGAACTGAAGGAGGATGTAGCTCTCAGCTCTCTATAGGCACACAAGAAACACCTATGGCATTAGATGAGATGCCATCATAGCCTTCAATCTATGAGATTATCTCTCCTTTCCATTTAGTAACCCCTCCACCTTGCGCCCTAACTGAAGATCCTCCTATTACAGCTCGTGCAGTCCATTTTATAACCCCTTAACTATAAAACTAGTTCACCTCTCTTCTTAAATAGGAGCTATGATCTATCACTATCCAACTCAAAAGGCGCCTCTCAAAATCCTATAGTTAAATGTAGAGCACGCACCAGATGCACATAAAATAGCCCTCACATTGGTATATACTAGCGACATCAATATTATCCTAATCCAAGAACTATATATATTCAAAGACCTTAGTCGACAGATCACTAAAAAACATCCATTATATAAATACTTCTCCCTAACTGATAGCTGGGCAATAAATGGCCAACCACAAGTCCTCACCTATATCCAAAAGAAGAAAGGCATCCGGACCTCCCAGCTACGCCCCTTTACAACTGATACTAAAGAAGCCTCAGATCTCCTGTTCCTTCAGATTTTTTTGCCTACAGGAAAGTCCACTCTGATAGTTAACATCTATAATGCCCTAGCAGGCTGCAGTAAAGCAGGTGAAGCTGCGAAAGCTCTCACAATCCTGCCAGAGGTGTATTTTCCTCAAACAATGATACTTGCAGGCGATCTCAACCTACTACATAACAGATGGCAACCCTTGCTATAACGCAGCCCTACAACTTTTGCAGAGCCGTTTATCAACTGGCTGGATCTCCAGGGTCTAGTACTCATTTCCAACATAGACTGTCCCACACATGAAAGGGGTAATGTGTTAGACCTTAGTTTCGCCTTAAGCCCTATAGCACTCGCAGGAGCCAAAGCTAGCATAGCGAGCCACTTAGATGCAACCTCTGATCATCAATTACTAATTACCACTGTTCCATGAGATCAGAGATACAAGGAAACAGCTCAGAAACTGAGATTTAACACACTAGACTACACCTCCTTCCTCTTGCTCCTCGCCTCTAATCTCGCTGGCACCAAGAGCTCAGCCGCAACAGAAGAAGATCTTGATACCCTTGCTGAAAAACTGACATCTACAATTCAAGGAGCATATAGAGGCTCTACTAAGAGAACCATGAAATAAGGCATAGGACAACCATGGTAGAATAAAGACTATAAGAAAGCTTTACATAATTATCACTTAGGCCTCTGCTCAAAGACAGACTTCTGCAGGATAACTAGATGGTCTTAACAACAATTTTAGCGAGATAAGCTCTCTACAGCAACACAAATAAAGGATATCTTCGATATGAGTAAATAGCATAAGTCCACAGGCACCTTCTGAAGCCCTCCACTAAAGAATCCACTAAGACCCAATAGCTTCCCAGCAGTTACTATACATGAGAAACAAGACGTACTAATCTGTAATCTTCTCCAAAACTTAGCTGAGGCAGGAGATATATCTCTGGATTTCCCAGCAGTCCCTACCACTAGTCTCTACTTCCTAGATATAACAATGGCACAGGTGGAGGAGTCAGTACTTTAGATAGGAAACACAGCCCCTGGCTCAGACGAAATCCCAACCTGCATACTCAAAGTGGTATGGCCTCTGATCAAGGACAAGGTACTAATGTTATACTAAGGGTGCCTAAAGATTGGTTATTACCTAAAATGCTTTCGACATGCAATCTTAGCAATTATCTAGAAATTAAAAAAGACTGATTGGTCCTCATCTAGATTATACAGACTGATCGCTCTCCTATCAGTTCTTGGCAAAGGACTTGAGCGCTTGGTGGCATGGAATATGGCATGGATCTCTATATACTACAAAGTATTAGCAAGGCAACAGTTTGGGGCTCTCCCACTAAGATCTGTAAATGATCTAACCACATGCCTAACACATGATATTGAATAGGCACTAAATTAAGGCATGACTGCCTCACTTCTTACCCTAGATGTCAAGGGCGCTTTTGATGCTGTGCTTCCCAGCAGACTCATCCGCAGATTATGTGAGCAGGGCTGGCCCACCAATCTTGTTCTCTGAATTGCCTCCTTTGCTACTGGGCGATCAGTCCAGATCTGACTTAATGGAGAGATTGGCCCCTCAACAGACATTGCCTGCAGTCTTCCACAAGAATCCCTAGTATCTGGCATTCTTTTCATGCTTTACATAGTGCCCCTATTCCGTCTAGGAAACGCAAGGAATAGATTTGGTTACGCAGACGACGCAGCTAACCTAGCAATCTTAACATCTCTTGCTACTAACTGCAAAGTATTATCAGACTTATTATAAGAAGCTCTAAACTGGAGCGCTGCAGAGGGCATTGCATTTGCACTAGATAAATATGAGCTTCTTCACTTCTCCCAATATAAAGCAGACTAGGACCCAACCTGCACACCTTTAGTAAAAGCTAGATCTATCATAATCTCAGAAAATACTAAATAGCTATATCTACGTTGGCTAGGAATCCTCTTTGATAAAAAGTTAACGTTTAAATGATATATTAGTAAAACAGCATCTAAAGCCCTTACTGTGGCTAATACCCTTTGCTCTCTAGAGAATACTATCTATGGAGTCAAACCTCATTTACTATAGCAGGCTGTATCAGCCTGTGTACTCTATAAAGTATACTATAGCGCAGAAACTTAGTAGCTAGGATGTACTCGCCCTGGGCCTTCCCAAATTTCAAATCGAGTTAGAGAACATTTTGAGAAACTAACCAAAGTAATACTAGCAGGTATAAGAGCAGTCCTTCCAGTTTTCCACACAACCCTAATATCTGTTCTATACCAAGAGTCTAGATTCTCTCCGCTAGAAATTGAACTAGATCAAATAGCCCTCCAAATATCAGTCCATCTATGGCATCTTAATCCATACCACCCACTCTGAAGACGCGCAGAACAGATAGCCAGAGATGGCCAACAAACTAGTCGATTTGCCCACCAAGTGCTGGCGCTCCCTAACTCTGAATAAATAAACCCTCTACAACATGCTCCCTGATACCCTTGTGAGTCACGCAAGAGTGCTTTAGCCTGAATAGGAGCTCCTATGGGACGCACTAAGGAATAGGCAGCAGCTGATTTTACGGCTTTTCAACGCACCATCTGTAGCTTGAATATTGTAATCTTTTTAGATGGATCTAGGCTAATAGACGGATATGCAGGGGGTGGCTATATTAGATTTCAAGCACACCATTAGTTTCTCCGCTCCTCACTCTTATATGGACATAGGAAAGAGGTCTTTAATACAGAAGCAGAAGCTGCCCTAGCTGGTGCTCAAGCAGCAATAACATACCCAACAGCTCAATTTGCTACTAACCTATGGATCTGTCTCAATAACCTGGAAGTTGTCACGCGCCTCCTATCTCCCTCTACAGGATCCTCTCAAGAGGTCTTTGAATCCTTTCGCACCCTTGCAGCCGCCTGGCCACTATGCGAAAGGCTTCCATACACTAAAAGTAGATTAATCTAAATCCAATGGGTCCCTGGACACACTAAAATCCCTGAGAATGAAGCAGCTGATCTCGCTATCAAGGAAGGAGCTATCTCTATTCTCCCCTCTTCATACAAGTCCTTATATGCCTTGCTAAAGAGATACACCAAGACTCAATCTCTTTCCGCTGCTTAGACACAGTGGCAGACTGTAGCACCACAGATATACTAAGATCTAGAAATAACTATATCTCCTAAATGCCCTGGAGAGCTTCAACTCAACCGACTTGACCTTGGCCGTATCATAGCGGCCCATACTGGTCATGGAGACTTTACGGATTACCATAAGCACTTTAATTATGATGATGCTTATCTTCTCTGTTAGTGTGGAGCACAAAAAGCACCTCTACATTTCTTTTTCTACTATATAGCTAAGAGACGAGCTCCTCGTCCACCTGGACCCTCTTCTGAAGTTATCTCTTTTCTTTTAGGTACTGCGAAAGGAACACAAAAACTAGCCTCATGGCTAGCAGAGACCTATTTCTTTGAGGATATCTGTCCTCGCTAACCTCTCCTTAGCACCTAGCTAAGTCAGCCCTACTTTTCCCTTATATCTCTCTTTTCCTTTGTTCTTTCTTTCTTTCTTTCTTTCCTTCTTTCCTTCTTCCCTTTTTCTTTTCAAACTCACTGCTTAAGTATGATGGTGGTAGAATGATAGGTTATAGAGCGTAAGTGGACCATTGCAGCTGGCAAATACCCAAAACCCACTAGGAAGTGGATCTCCCTTTAAGATCATGGCAGCTATGGAAATGCGCCAAAGAGTCTCTTATTTGTATATAAATCTGATAGGACCTGAAGCCCGAGGCTTAACCCTCGGCGGCCTATGTCCCAGTAGGGATCGGTGGGAAGCGTGCAAGTCACGAACCACGGCCGTTAAATATATACACACACACACACACACACTTTCTCTTCTTGGACGTCCTAACGGGCAGTTGGGGGAACAATTGTAATGCTGTACCTAGGTACCTTGTGAAATTCTCGGACAGTTACATTATCACCATTTTAAATGTACCGTGGGTGGCTTAGAACGTGGGCGAAATCTGTTCCAAGAACCGTGTGTAACTAGATACGGATTCCTATGTTTAGAAACTGTTCCTGATTCTGATTGCGATGATGTTAAAATTTTTGATTTTGTAACAGGGTTGAATCGAGATATAATCATCCTTTACAGATCTGACTTGGAGTTGCTATTTTGATGATGACATATATACCCAAACCGGATCGGTAATTGGAACTTCAAAAGTAACATTCCCCCATGCATCATAAAAGTATCTCGTCAATACTCTATCATTATCTGCCATAAATGTTACTTCCGTGGAGAAATCTATGCAAATTAGAAATAGTTGTGTATGTCATGCGTCTCCAAGTCTCAGCCTTGTACAGAAAATAGACTGGTCAGAAAGCTTCCGAAAACGGCAATCGGGCCCTGAGTGATTGTCGGGAGACCTGCTGGGATTTCAGTCACGTGCACAGTACATTTTTCATTGGCAGGCTTTAGTGGAAAATCAGTTTATATGTACAATATAAGGTGTTTGCAGGTTTGATGGTCTGATCATGATGGTTATACCATTCTCGCTTGACACTGGGACCTTCCGTAGATAACCGCCCACTTAAATCAAATGTGAGCTATTCAACCGGCAACTGTACAGAGTAGATTGAATTGGACTATAGCCTAGTCCAAGCTCTTACCAAGCATTGGAGATTTCCTGGCGGAGCCTCGTTTCTTTTTTCATCCTTTCCTGTGAAGGAGAAATCTGGTCACAGCTGGCCACGGAAAGTGGCGATAATATTGCGGAAATTGCCCTGCATAAAAAACGGTGCTGGACAAGGGAACATTGCCAGCGATATGTTAATACGTACTTCTAAATGAACAAAGGTTGAACTGTCGATCGGATGGTTTGAGAGTAAACCATTCTTCCTTTCTTTATCTCGGCAGAACATAGCAATCTCCTGTCGAAATGTTCACAATTCAGGTACTGTTTTGTCTCATTCAGGTACAAGAGTATAATATTTCCCGCCACTAAAACTTTCGCCTTCCCTCCGATGATTCTGATACGAGCGTTCGACATGTGATGGATGTCCAGGTACGTGATGCTCTCATAATCAAATTCGACATTTCTATATCCTCGGAGATCAGAAAAAAGTGGCATCAACTAGTTAACGGGGGTAGATTGCATGGGTCAGAAAACTTACCAATTGTTAATACTAGGATGCATTGCTTAATACTGGTGTTATATCCCCAATATCTAGGGCCAATCAAGTACATAGAAGCGTGAAATGACTCGCGGCATACTACAATTTAATTTCGCAGAATAAGAATGATTTGATCCCGCAAGCGAGCTCCGATTCCTTATTACACCCGCGCTTAGTCTGTTTCTCCATAGCCCACTTATTTGAGGATCTAATTAAATTAATTGCTTGATTGTGGCTCGTGGGAACTTCTGCTGTTGTGATTTTGGGACCTGACTAGATCAAGCGTTGATTAGCGCCGATTCATTCATTCTATTCCGCGGAGATCACCATTCACTATTTATTAGGGCTAGGGGCATTGTCGCAGTGGTTAGAGATAAGGACACAAGACCATCGTCAAACCTCCTATGAGGCCGCGTCTGCCAACTGATAACAGAAAAACAAAGTATACTTACTACACAGAACTAAGTTCATGATGCAACAATGCCCCTTTCCATCTTGTTACATATACGTGATGTAGGAAGATGTTCTTGATGAATCGGAACACTCTAGATCAGAAATGGATTATCGATATTATTTTGAAGATTTCTTTTACAATTCTTAGGTGATTGAGGGCGTGCTCAGGTAGGGATTTACTTGCAGCAACCATGACAGCCCTATCAGCGCCAGGTTCAGAGGAGGGGGAGGAAGTCGTCTCGATTGTCATACTGGTTGTCTCCATTCTATCTGCCCTCGGAGCAATGTGGATGGTTCTGAGCTTTACTGTTGGGGATTCTTTCTTGTGCGAATGTATCTTGGACATCAATTTTGCTGATATCTCTCTGTTTCTAGCTTATACCGTCATTGCGGACATTTCGACACCAGCTGACGTTAGGTCCGTAACTTCTTGTTATGTGTTGAGGAACATCAATTCTAAACGATCAATAGGGCTTGGTATAAGCGATTTTGCTATGGCGTTGAACTTTATGTTGTCGACATGTATGAATATCTCCGGGAGAAAGATTTGGTTGGAGCCACAGAATGGCTTCTGTTCCTTTAATGGTTTCATGACTCAAGTTTTTGTGATTCAAAGTACAGTATTCCACCTCGATCAATTCGATCAATTTTTTGGATATCCGTTGGATGTAACTCTACTAACTTGAGAATGTTTATTGTCCAGCCGACTATTGGGTCCTGAACATTGCAATATGCACCTATAGTATTCTGGCGAACCATAAACGTCTTTACGATTGGTTACAAGACCACACTCTTGTTGTATGTTTGTGGCCTTGGGTTCTCTCAGTTTTATGGGCCATACTAGGCCTGGTACTGGCTGGTTTCCAGAACATTGGATCATGTCAGTATCATTTCCCTTGCCTTTCTGCCTGACAGTTCTCTAACATGGACAAATCAATGTAGTTTGCTGGTTCGCTAGCGACCGGACGCGGTTACTCGTCAACTTCATCCCCAGATGGATCATAATATTCGTAATCATTGCGCTCTACCTCCACCTTACCTGCATCCTCCTCCGAATTCACAAAAGATTGGAAAGCTCAGAGGAAGATACCACAATTATACTTTCTGGCCATTATGGGGTAGGCCGTCCCATCGATTCGCAGCAGAAGAATCCGCAGTCGAGTTTATATCCAAATACTCCAGGCTCGCCGTTAGCCACGGCGAATATCCAGCGTAGTGGAGCGTCATCGAAACTGAAGAGGGTATGTACAAGTGTGCGAGACTGTATCACGGCCGCAGGGCTCATATCTTGAACTCTTTCTAGGTCGCCATACGGATGATGATGTATCCGGTACTCTACATGCTGATCTGGACGATCCCGACTGTCATTCGGATCTATCAAGGATCTACAGGCAGATCAACTTTACTTGTTGTTAATTGTCTGGATAAGGTATGATTGCCATTCCTGTCATCAACAGTAGCTCAGTCAGTGAGATTAATGGTGGATATCGGAAGGCTTGTATTGCGATCCAAGGACTTGCAGATTCCATCATCTACGGTATTAGTTTCTCGCCTTTGATACCACAAAATCAGCTAACATCCCGTAGGTCTCAATGAACGAACGTGGAATGAATGGAGGAAGTGGATTTTCCCCCGCGCGCGGAGGTTGCGTTGATAGATCCATATCGTTTTCCGTACGTTCCTGTTCATGTATTGAAATCAGAGCTCATCCTGGGCCATTAGGGTTAGGATTATCATAGATAATTGTATAAATTGATGAGGACCTACGGAGTAGAAAGGCCATATAGACACTTGATTCTGTGTCTCAGCTAGGAGGTGAGGTCGAGGGCTGATATCAACATCTTGCCTAAAAGGGGCTAGTCCTGGCACCGAGGCAGGCGTCTCCATAATACCCGTCGCGTCGCCACCCCCCACCCTGCGGTTGGGAGTCGGCCCAGGCTCAAGGGCCAAAAATATATATTCTCATGTAAAATGTTTATTTGTCCACCAACGCCACATAAATTTCATATAAAGACTCGACAGATAGTAAATACAGGCACTGTTTACCTATTTCCCTGAGTATCAATAAAATACCCCAAGTTTTCAGGCTCTGTTGGAGCCTCCTGTTGCTCCGGTTCTTCCACGCCGAGGATATGGCTCTTATGAATCCTCAACAAATCACCCTCATGACGGCGTTTTATGAGACAATTCGCATCTTTCACATAAAGCGCACCCATCACCTTGACTTGTCGTTTTGTATTTTTTTGCTGCTTACGTTTTGCTGTATCCCGAACCTTTATAAAGCTCTCACGGTGTAGTTCGCCTAATTCGGCTAAAGTGAGGCTGCCTTGGTTAATCACTTTTATACGACGTGAGAGGCCTGGGCTTGCGCTGTCAAGGATATCCTTTATACCGTCAACTAATTTCTCAATCTTATTGATATAGCGACGTAGTTTTGCAACGCTTGAAGGCGGAGAGATTGATTTTGTAGTTGGTGAGCTGGGAATAGTGTCATCCGGCTCGCCGTAAATTTTTAATGTATCCCCATATGAGGCATCTTATCGAGTGTAAGCTTAGGATCATATGGCCAAATCCCTCTCTCCTTCCAGCCATGGCGGATAGTTCGTGTTGTAAATGTCTTAATCCGGATATCACGTAGCTGTTCAAGAAGTCATTTTTATTGAAATCGAAGCCACCCAGACGTGCAACCTTATTCACAACTCTTCCATGAACATGTTTATATTGCTGAAAAGGCACTCCATCGAGCGATTGCAAAAAGTGCGTAGAATGAGGAGGAAAACGGAACGGTCGAATGTGGTAAATTTCACAGTATTGGACGAACTGAATAGTAAGATGAGTTGTATGACTATCCATAAGAAGTAATCGCCATTCCGATGACCAATCCGGCTTGGAATAGTGTTGAAAATGTTGAAGCCATTCAAATGCGATCTCATCTGTGATAAATCCATTTTTAGCAGGTGCAATTAGCCACTCATCATCTTGTATATGCCGATACCATTCCTCCATGTGATTTTCACCCTTTGGAATCAATAAAGGTGGTATAATCTTTCCTTCGGCGTTTATAGCTTCAACGACGGTAATTGATTCTCGTGATGACAGGCTAGAGACTCCTTTTGAATCTTTTGGATATGCTGTTACTACAGCTTCGTCTTTTCCTTTTCCAACAATGAATCCGGTCTCGTCAAAGTTCCAAAGATTTTGAGGGACAATTTTGAGCTCTTGTATGGCGATTTTAAGGTCAATAAACCAGCGCTCAATCTCATTGTAATGCTCTGCAGTAGTCCAATCCCTCTCTTGAGGTTTCTGAACTATTCTCACGTACTTTTCTGGCAAGCGGTTGAGAAAATTGTATATCCACATCTTTCCGGCGCGGGGAGGCTCTCCCGGATCAGTGAAATCTTTAGCGAGCAAATAATTCGCACTTTCCTCAATTTGCTCGTTCGTAGGGGGTGCCCCTATATTATCTAGATACTCAATCCATAGAATAAGCGCTTTTTCTTGATCTAAAGATAATAGGCGGTTCGTGGGTGAGCGTGTTGAGCGAGAGGGTAGGCCGTTCCACCGACGGGATAGTTTTTTGCGAGACACTCCATATTCACGCGATAATTTGCTAAAATTCGGTTTTTTTTTGTGTTGGCACGCGTTGAGGTATTTGCAATTAATGCCTCTTCGTCTTTATATAATTTAGGGGTCATTTTGGCTGTGGTTTTGAAATTTGTAAATGACGGGTTGAGATTTTAAACATTTTGGCCCTTGAGCCTGGGCTGACTCCCAACCGCAGGATGGGGGAGGCGACGCGACGGGTACGTTAGGATAATTGAACCTCGCACAGGTTCCGACCAATGATCAATGGAGCGAGACGAGTGGTAAGTAACGAAGTATGGACGATAACTGGGACGGTAACGAAGTAACAGAGCTAAGATAGAAGAGATCCCCCGTACAGCCTGGTGCCCGTACGAGTTAGGATGCCTTGCTGACTCTCCCTGTTGTATTCAAGTGACTTATGTCAAAGAGCTATGAAGAACTAAATGCATGATGGTAAACGAATGTTATAGATTCCCAGCCACGAACCGACATGTCCGCCAATGTTGACAGTCACGGAAGACTAGCAAGACAATCGTGTATCCAGTGCTATACACAAAAGCGGAAATGTAGCCGTCAGATACCTCAATGTGAGCTCTGCTTGAAAAAGAGCAAGCAGTGCCAGTATTTCTCGGAGAGGCTTGAGGGTAGATTTGATATCACAGCGCGTGACTCGTTGTCGTCTAATGTGCGTTTGTTACGACGACCTTCTTACAGTAGCTTGCATTGTGCCACAGAACAAGCAGCTACCTGGATATCCCGATTTCTTTCACGATTATACTGATTAGCTGCAGACCTTACAGGGCGTCTCCCATAATTCATTATCAACACTCTTCTTCCTTGAGACATGGCTGTTCCGCAATCGTGGTCTCTCAATGGCAACTCCTCAAGCCCGGATACCCATGGAATTCTGGCATGCTATCCATTCGGGGTCTGACACCTTCAGCCAGCATTTAGATCGATATTTTGCGCTGGTGAATCCATCTTTCCCAATCCATATGTGTGCCACCACTCTTTCTATTATTGCATATGGATAAAACTCTTGCTTAAAGGTTCTATGGACTAGTATCCAGAATGAGGACTTCCCGGGTATGTCTGCACGAGTCTTTAGAAGGAGCTACTGTGGACCCTAGTCTCGTCTTACTTATGTTGGTAATTCGCCTCCTATCTACTACAGCTTCCCAAAGTCCTCCAGGAACGGGTGAATTGTACGCTCAGGTGAAACGTTGCTATTCGTTGATCGAATCTCGGGGTATCAGCACTCCCCGGGTTTTACAGGCGGCCCTGCTCATGGCTTACTGGGAGATTGGAAGCGGCGTATATCCTGCTGCGTTTTTATCTGTCGGTCTCTGTGCCAGATTAGGACACGCCCTAGGGATTCATCGGCAGCGAGAAGCACCACAAATGTTTCCAAATTCAGGTTAGCGGATGGTCTCAGACAACTCTGAGATTTTCTTGTCCTTTTTCAGAACAACTTACAAGCGACATCTTTTTCTCTCGGAATTGTTCTAATGCACGAATATAGGATCCTGGGTGGAAATGGAGGAACTTCGTCGTGTGTGGTGGGGAGTCATGATTCTTGACAGGCGAGTGGCCATCTCAAAGGCTCGAGCATTTCTTTTTCCACCACATCTTGAATGTTTATAAGATGAAGGACTTTTCTAACTAGCAGCCTGTAGATACCTTACGATTGGCTTGATTGACCGACCCTTCTCGTGTGATGACGCGCGTCCTGAAGACCTATTACCCATTACGGAGAGCTCATGAGACCAGGGGGTACGAACATTCATCAGCTACTTGGCAAATCTTAAGTCTGACTGTTCTAGGAGCCAAGCGTGAGCCCATCACTTGCTGTTTCAGGAGATGTCTCATACGCAATATCGTCGTTCGCACGACTTTGCCAAGCTTCTGACCTACTTTCTCGTGTTCTCCGCCATGTTAATGAAAAACCATCCGATATACAGTATTGGTACAAGGAAGGTATCCGCCTTCACCATCTTCTGGACGCTTTTGCGACCGGATTGACTCTAGAAAGCTCGCAAATTGAGACCAATAGCATTCTTATTGGCGACACATCTATATACCTAGCTGTTGGTGTCGTGTATAGTGCCCAAATGCTGCTTTATGACATGCACACGTGTGCAGACTTTGACCACCTAAGTGGTGTCGGCATTCCGGAGCAGCTCGAAATGCAGGCAATTGCATTAGCTGGCGTTAAAGTAGTGTGTACCGCTGTTTCTAACTTTGCCCGTGGAATGAGGGCAGGGGGAGCCAGTGGAGCTGCGGGAATGAGCCCACTTGTCATTAATTGTCTATACGAGGCTGCAAAGTACTACTTCTGGTACTACCGCGAGGCGAATAAGCCTGAACTGCTGCATGAGATGACTGGAATTACCCTCGCTCTGCAAGCCATTGCTGGTACTTGGGCTGTTGCTGGTATGATAGCCCTCTCCTATTAACGATTCTAAGACTTGTTATCTTTACGAATGTTATTTCAACATGTCATCGCATGGGGCTAAACTAACAGCAGATCAATACCTCTCTATTCTGAACGGTGATAAGTTCCGACCCTATCTCAAGGAATCAGTTCCTTGAGGTCTCTACGGCCCAATATCTCCCAATTAAAAAAGGTTACGTGCTCTACAAACACCTAAGTCAGTGGAATGGAGATATCGAGTGTAGAAACAGGGCCTAATACTTCCAGGAGGTGACGACCCTAATCAAAGGCAGGTTAACTAAAGTAACGATTTTAACTTCTATTTAAATATCACAAAACTGCGCTTTTTTCTCATCTCGACAGGTGTCTTTGATAAAGGTTGGGAGGCTGAATTAAATTCTATACCTCAGACTATAACAGAAATTGTCCAGACTCTACAGCCCCTCCAGGCATTAATTTCTCGAAAGTAAACCTGTATTCAAGGGAACTATAGATATCCCCTTTCCTGAAACTTCTTCAAAGTCCAGTCCCAGAGTCTCTCTGCTAGCTGGTCATTTTCAGCCATTTGGCTAGGCTTCCCGATTTTAGCATATGGAACAATGTAAGCACCTGATTCGGTGAAGTTCGGGTCTGCAATCGCAAACAATGATGACAATGCCCCTTTAGCCTTATGATCCAGAATTCTGGTGTATTTCATGATTGGGGTGATGATACGTAAAACAGCGGCTGGTGCCATGCCCGTCGCCTGCTTGTTGAGATTACTGACAAACCTATCAGTACCCAGTCTCACGTCGTGTATTCGATACCAACAGTGAATTAAAACAAAGGAAGGTCAGGCATTAGACAAATAATGTGGACGCTTACGTGTCCATGTGCCCTTGATGGACTGTAGCCACTATTAAGCCTGATGTTTTCTTTCCCTTTGGCCCATACATGGAGTTCAACTGCCTCGTATGGAGGATGCTGGCGAGCTTCGAATGTTCTTATCTGGCCATTGCTGACTCGGATTCCAAGTTTGGATCGTCGAGCCGGATTCCTTCCTTCAGAGTGAATCTCTCGTGGCCATCCGATGTGACGTTCACAATACGCGCTGCTCCTGGTTCCGGTAAGGCTGTCGTCTCTAAAAGAGGGAGTAGATGATAGGTGAAGAGCCAGTGGGAGAGGTAATTCGTCTGTGTTAATAAAGGATCGTTAGTTCAGCAACGAAGCAGGACATGCTATATGGAATAGTCGGACAATACCTGAACCTGAACTTCGTATCCATCTTTTGTCAGCGAGAATGGGACGCCCATGATACCGGCGTTATTGATAAGTCCATGTAGAGTTGTCTCTTTGCTAAAGGAAGTCAGTAACTATGTCGCTTGCCCAACGGTAATTTACGAGTATTTTCTCAACACCCGAGCTGCTTCTACGACGGACCGAAAATCAGTAAGGCCGAGTTTCAAGAAATTGATATCAACCCGTGGATTCCCAAGTTCTCGTTTAATATCGGCAATGGCATCCTCAGCTTTCTCTGCGCTCCTTGCACCCATGTAGACCCTTGCCCCACGACTAGCAAGACCGGCAACAGTCGTTTTCCCTCTGCGATTTGTCAATGAATTATTCGCAATAGTTGGCTAGGGCAACGGAATACAAACATGCCAGCATTTCTGCCTGTGACGATGTATATTTTGCCTGACAGGTCAGGCAATGAATCTACGGAAAAGGTATCCTTGGGCATGGAGTCGATCGTGACGGTTGTTGCCTGATAGAAGAACAATGATATAAAATCCAACTCCTACTTACAGAGTGAGAAGGTTGGTGGAATAGAGGAAGCGTTTGTCGCGTATATGCTCTAATGGAGCGAACTTGTAGATGATATCGATACATTGCGTCATATTTATATTCTCCAGACTGCAGGACATCCATAGGCTTTGGTATCTATGTGTATCACAACGGCAGCTCAGTTATTGATTGATACACATTATCAAAATTTTCGTGCCATACTGTCCGCAATTACACTGATCTAGTCCGTAGCATCGGCCCTAATCCACTATATCCGCTATTGTCCGATAGCGTCCGCAAATGTGCTGCTTATTGTCGGACGGTTTATTCCAGGCCAATCCTGAAGAGTGTTTTACTAGGATGAAAAGAAAAGAAGTGACTAGCAAGATTGTATGTATTCAGTATCTTCCCCGTCTCCCTGTCTTTCAAGTTTCAAGGCCGGGTCCTTTATAGACACCTTTGGCGGGGTGATTTGTGAGCTATCAGGAGGGGTAAATATTGGGCAAGCAGATATATCTATCAACCACTGCATGCGTCTGTAAGATTAATCACCTTGTTCATTTTCTCATTCTCTTCTTTGTCTTCAAATATTTTCAGAGCTGATGCTTTCAAGAATTGTACTAGAGACTCATACCCGCAAGTAATGAACTCACCTATTCATTCCGCTTAAAATTTATATGTACCTATCCAAGACTTTGTGAAATTGCCCAGCTGCCTGCCCAACTGAGCAGGTGAAGTCGATTCCCTAGAATTATCCCTAAGTCTTCCCGTGAAATAATGGCAATAAAGTTCATAGCAAAGATAATCTTTTTGGTATTATTACGCTCTTAGAGATGTGATAGGATTTCCTGGGTTTAGATGAAGGGTTAGGGTTAGAGTATACCCTAAACCTTTATGCTATATTTGCCCTCCACTCACGGCGCTCGGTCTGGTCAGTTGGATTCGAGGCTAGATTTTTAACCTCTTTATTTTGGTATTGAAGGTGAGACCTAGACCGGTCTCGCTGCTCGGCATTTTTTGCCAGTACTTGCTATGCGGGGGATGTGCTTCCTTCGGACGGAGTCGAGATGCCCCGCGCGCCGCCACCACGGCTTGCGAGCTTGGTGGTTCCGAGCCCCCGGTTTCCCCATAAGAAACGGAGGATGAAGCACCCGTGACCCAATTCGTGCGTATGAAACTAGGAGAGGGTCCATAGTGCCGGTTGCCGCCCAACTTCTGCATCTACCATTTATGGTGCAAGACGTCGGAGCAATACATCTCTTGTTCTGATTTAAATGAATAATCCGCCAGAAGGAAAAGAAATTCCGAGGATAGAAGCACAATAAGCTGACCATGGAGAATTCGGAAACCCGCATACGTACCCCGGAGGAACCCTCTCAAAGGACGACGCGTAGCGATACACAAGCATCCAGACCGACAGTCTCTAGAGTCTGTGATGGCTGTATCAGGTAAGTCCCACAATAAAGAATTCGAATGATTGATACTAATTAACGCATTAGGAGAAAGGTCAAGTGTAGGTCTATAGTGCTACATCCTCAACATGTGATTGCACCTAGTTAATTCGAGTTTCTACTCTTAGGTGATCAGAACCGTCCGACTTGCTCACGTTGCTTGGAGCGGCAAGTAATATGTACATATTCCTCAGTAAGAGGAAAACCGGGACCCTCGAGAGGCTCACGCCACGCTGGAAATTCAAAAAAAGGCCAAGGATCTCCATGTAATAACGAATCCATCCGCGAATGTTGCTTTCATTGCTGACACGTGTCTTTAAACATGGCAAGGCCGTCGGCAACGCCAGACTAGTGTAAGAATTCAGGATGACGATGCACATTATGATGATATGATTTTAACGCCCGGCCATTCCCCTGGATCTTCGACAGTCCGGCCACGAGATTCTTCGAAAGAACCGACCCTTACCCCCCAGTCTACGAACTCGTTCGAGTTTGAAATCTCACCACAGCAAGAAGAGTACCTGTATGTTTTGCAAATATCTCGATTGAATAGAGACTGGGGCTGACCGTGAGACGAAACCTTTTCCAGTCTTGATAGGTACTTCGATATTTTTCAAGATGCAAATCCTATATTCTCTCGGGAGAACTTTTTTCGCGGTTACCGAATCGGAATATGCAGCAAAGATCTTATCCCTACCATGGCCATAATTACCGCAAAGTTGATTGGTTTCTCTCCGGACGGCTCTGAATTAGACACCCGTATCGACCATTTGCTCAGCTCAAATCATCTAGAACTTGACATGATGGGTGACATGCCAACTCTCAACGAATTGCGCAAGGCATATCTTTTAGCATTCTACGAGTTTCATCAGTTTCCGGGAAATCAGTCATGGATGCGTATAGGCAAGCTGACACGAATTGCCTACCGAGTTGGGCTAGACAAGCTCGAACGCCTTCCAACACTTTATCCAGATTGGGCATCTATAAGTCAGGCTGACTTACAAGAGTGGAGGTCACTTTGGTGGTGCATCTATAAGATTGATTCATACATGAACTTCGCATCAGGAACGCCTTATTTGATTGACAGGGACTTTACCAATACTGGCCTAACGATGAGTCAACAATTTCTATTATCGGCAAATGAAGGAGTGAATGGCCCTCAACCAGTGTATTTACCACCTAGTTCCAGAGGTTTATGGGAGGTACTTCCTGCGTTGGGTTCTGATCCAGATACATTTTTAGCGAACATTCACATAATCACTGTCACTGTTGTGCGCGACATTGCCTCAGTGGGCCGGATTCTTGTCTTACATCTTGATGGAGACATATTGCCGCCATTTAGCGAAATCGAAAGACAACTTTCTGCCCTTCGTCTTGCACTTCCACCCGGGTGGCTGAACCCAGATCGCAATGCTTTCGCAGGTGAATCACAAGGAGATCATCACGCAAGGCTGGTGACCATTTTCCAACTATCGTTCGCACAACTATATCTGGCCATGTTGAGTTGCAGAGGGAAAGAAGACCACGACTGGGCACGAAGTTGGCAGAAAGTCCTTGAAAATTGTCAAGATATTGCAAGAGCTGCAGCTCAGTGGGATAGTTCGTTTTGTGTCAAGGTGGATCCAGCAATTACTTTCATTCTTCTCCCGACACTTATCTTCCTGGAACTTCATAAGGCAACGAATGTTAGTTCGTCGGCATTCAATTTCCAAGCAAGCATCGAGCATGATCAGACCATAGTCCGCCTACTACTGGACCAGTTTGCGAAGATTTGGACATTGCCGAGGCTTCTCGTGTGTAAGTTCAGCTTTACTCCGCAAAATAGTCTTCCAACAAACTTTATCCCCAGTCTGGGGTTTGGCTAATACCTGTGCGCAGTGTCATTTGAAAGTTTCTGTGAATCATTCTCCGGCGTATCTCGTCCACTATCTCACCGGCAAATCAACGCCATTCTCTTGAACTATAAAGGTCCAATGGACCCGAGATGGATGCAATTCCTCGCCTCTGTTCGTACAATCATGAGAAATAGTGGCTAGCAATAGAGCTTTGTACCAAAGATTCCAAACTACACCGATTCAATAGCCACCAGTATCTGTCAGCATTCGGCACAAGACAACTGCCATACCAGTACGCACTTCAATCCCGAGCCGGAATATACGGTAGACGGGGTAACTAATACATCCGCATACTATTTGCTCGTCATCTGACGTTGCCTAGGCCACAAGATTCGTGTCCTCCGAAAAGTGCAAGAAAGAGACATGAAGTATTAGTCGTTTCCGGTAAGCACGACGCCATTTCATGGGGGAATTGTTCCGCGGAATAATTTGCAGCACATCCCCCACATTTCCAAAACCCTAACTCGGCACGGATATCTGGTAGATCATCTGAACCCTAGAAATGAAGAAAAAAGGGAGACATCATCTGATGAGTTGGCACAATAATTGTTATAGCTGCAAATATAAACAGCTCAATCAAGTCGTGCTGAAGATTCTGTGAACTGTAACATCTTAGCGAGGCGACCGTTGTCTTACTAGAGTCTCAAAAGCTATTCCCATCATGTCTTCAATTGATACAGACGTTATTATAGTCGGTGGTGGCCCATCAGGTCTTGTCCTGGGCCTGTTTCTGGCAGAATATGAAATTAAGGTATGTTTTATTGTCCAATCGCTGATCCGAAGTAGAAACTGATCGTTTGTGATGAACAATTCTACCAGTCGATCATTCTCGAGAAAGATGAAGAGATCACACAGGATCCAAGAGGAGCTGTTCTTACCGGCCCTGCTGTACGCAGCCTGTGGAAATTAGGTCTAGGAGAGTATGTGCACTCGATCGGTCTAGGTACATCTGAAATGAAACTCACATGATTAATCACATCAGACTACTAACTGAGTCGAATGGGTAGAACTCAAGAGCATCAACTTCCACGATACTTCATTCCAAAACGATCCATTCCTATCCTTCAGCTTAGAGGAAGATTCTCTCCAACATGTTGTTCCTAGCGCTATTGTCATGAATCAGCCCAAACTTGGTGAGCTTAATGACCAGTTTCCTATCAAAATGATATCAGCGTAGCTAACGGCGACGAATCATTCAGAGTTCTACCTTCGGAAGTTGTTAGAGAACTCAAAACTATGCACTCTCCACAGAAGCTGTGACGTAGTAGCCCGAGAAGAAACCACAGACAACGTTAGCGTACAATATGTCGATCGCAACGGGGCCAAACAGGAGGTTCGCGGCTTATGGCTAGTGGGTGCTGATGGGAAGAGAGGAGTTGTGCGAAAGAAGTTCTTGGAACCATCTGCAGGAGTCCGACAAGAAGTAGGCATATTCGAGTATGATGGCATTTGGATCGCGGGAAACCTCAAGATCACACTTCCGACACCACAGAGTCACCCGGACTTGCCATTTTGGGAAAATGGACTCGACCCTGAAGCTGTTTTTGACCTGTTTTGGCCACCCGGTTGGCATTTCTGTCGCCCTCCAGGAAGACCAGTGGCGGCTGGACGGATTGGTTCGTCTTCCGAACATCTATTCAGACATGAATTGGCCGTGCCTGATTGGGACGACTCAATGGACGCGGATGCAATCTTCTGGGAAAATTTGACACCGATGATCACTCGAACCGTCATGACGAAATCAAATATTCCGATAAAAGTGGTATTCCCTCGAGAGTGTATAGAAGTGCTCCGATGTCGTCCATTCCGCTTTGATCATCGCGTCGTTAACAAGTGGTTCCATAATCGCACAATTCTGATTGGAGATGCTGCACATGTTTTTCCTCCCTTTGGTGGCCAGGGAGTAGTCAGTGGCGTTCAAGATGCGGAGAATCTGGCGTGGCGACTTGCAGCTCTGGTGAAAATGAATGGTTCACCAACATTTCAGAAAGAGCTTTTGCAGTCTTGGGCATCTGAACGTCGGCTTGGTATTGATAACTCGGCTAGGCTCACCTTTTTCAATGGCAAGCTATGCAACGATCAGCCTACGTTTGTTGGAAAGATATTCAATCAAATGATGGGCTTGGCCTTGAGTCTTTCTTCAATCTTGGGGCAACCGTCCCCTGAAGCAGGACCAATCGCTAAGGGTTATCAGGCCTGTCAAGACGGGACCTTCCTAGCCCAGTTTGATGGTGGCGCAAAACTAGCGCAGATCTATCTTCAAATTATTACTAGCAATTCTCAAACGGCCAAGATTGAGCTCTCGGATGCTTTCCTCAGATCCGTGCCTACCATCTTCACGTTGGTGGTGATTCAATCCCCGGCACCGCCGGGTGATGCGCTTGCGAAGGAGCTCGAAGACCTCGGAAACCTTTTCAACGAATCGGGTATTTCCAAGGATGTCCTATCAAAGAAGTCTATCGTCTACTTTGACCCATCGGCATCTTCAAACTTGAGCCATTATAAGGGCGAAGTTCCTTTATCGTTCCCAGCCTCACGTAAATTTCTGATCAGCTACCCCAGCCGCCTCTCATACGACCCGAACCAGTTCATGCGCCGCTTAGGCAATTCGCAAACAAAGTATGTCATTATCCGTCCAGACCAAATAATCTACGCAAAGGCAAAAACACTCCAGGACTTGACCAAGTGTTTGGAAAGTTTGAAGGGGCATATCTAATTTCAGATATCATAATATGTGGAGATTTGTGATTAAAAACCTGTACGTACAACATGTAAAGTTTCTTTGCATGAGGGGGTATTTGTTTCTATGTAGATAAATTAGAATGGATTTCATAAATACTATTATACACGAACAGACAGCCATGGATTTCCCTAAGACTCCCTTAAAATATCTTACAGCCCTATCGGTGTGTCCATTCCTACCTAGATACATAGAGGCTTGATTTTCACGGACTTTCCAAGATGATAACAACGCCGATGTCTTACTGAGAAATGGAATTAAGGGGAATTTTATCCCTACGTAGAATTTTTAAGTGTAAAAAGACTTTCAAGATCAGAAAAATTAAATAATGAATTTTGTGGTATAGCCACTGTCCATACCGAATAAATATATAGTAAGAAATACTACATGGTAAACCCTTAACCAGCCTTACTCTTTGCAAAGTCGTTAGGTATTTCTGGTCCCCAGATAGCCATAGGACCTGCTACACTCCTTTTATTCTTGTAATTGATATTGACCAAGTCTCCGTCAGCGTAGTGCTCAACCTTGAAGCCGCTTGAATCGAGCCAGTAGTCGAATATCTGGCTACCCAGCACATGTCTGCCCACGCCCCAGACAGGGCGCCATTTCTGGTTTTCGAGGTACCGATGTCCCATCAGTTGCGTGTCAAAGTCTGCGACTTCGTAGGAGGTATGATGCACATAAGTTTTTGCCGTGCCTGGCGGAGCACGGGCTAGGAAAAAACAATGGTGATCCGAGTATTCCTCACCAAGGTCAAGGTGCATGAAGGTCATGAAATCAACCCAGCCAAATTTCTCGTGGCTCAAGATGTCGGAAGGTACAATGTTGAAATTTTTGGTGTAGAATTCAAACTCTTGGTCGAATTCGCAACAAACGTATCCGAAATGACCGACTTTGTGGACAAGGGCTGGAGCCGGTTTGAAGCGTTGGAAGACGCCGAATCGACCTTTCTTAAAGGGTTCGTTGAATGGGCCGTGAGACTCAATAATTTGTGATGGTAACTCTGCGGTATTGACTTCGCGTTCTTCCTGTCCATAGATGACGTGCATGAATGTTCCGTTCGGACGGGGAATGGTGACAAGACGACCGCCTCCTGGTGCATGAGTGAGATCTTTCACAATTGCGCCTTCAAGCTTCGTAGCTTTCTGGAAATTCTCCTCATCTTTGGCGACAAAGGCGGCGCCCAGGAAATTTGAAGATCGTGTTTGGCTTTGTGAGGCTACATAGACGTAAGGATCCTTTCCGTATCCCCGGTAGTAGATGGTATTTCCAATGCGCCGCTCCTCATTAAATCCGAAGTCCTTGGCAAATCTCTCGAATTCCTTGAGGTTTCGATGCTCAAAGTATACATGTCCCAGTCGTATAAGTTGTATCTTGGAAGGATCATTGTGTACGTCAGGAATTGGCATTGGTGGTATCATCCATTCTTGCGTCGATTGAGGTAGACGGGAGATTATCGCTTCGAGAAGAGCCATTTTGTTCGTATGTTGTATGCTATTGTATATTGTCTCATACCCAATCCTGTCGCAGTCTTCTCTAGCTTTTATACTAGGTGTTACTGCTGAACAGCAAGCAGCCGGATCTCGGCCCAACTTCCATGAATCTTCCGCGGAGTAATTGGCCACCTACGAAGCTCTCTCCACACCATATCGCTTTCCCCAACTTTGATCTGCAATGGTATTGGGAAATAAATTGAGTTGATCATATGTCGCAGATCCATAGCTTCATGCTCAGACTCTACCTCGGAGGACCATATATCTCGGTATCGAGACGTTCTCGGGTCCTTTACCTGTACCCTGTGGATGTGTCCATAAGTTTCTGCCTATCTACACCCCCAACGTTGATATTGCCACTCGAGTGCTCCTCCAGGGCAAAGACCAAGCACATGTATTTCTCTAGGTTCATGTAAGAGAGCTTACGACATCTATATCTTTATAATTCAAGTGACATACTAGTTTTTAACCCCGAAAGAAATGATTAGTATAAACTGAATAACTTCGTACAATCAAGTTCTCTATATGAAAATAAAACAATAACCTCTATTATAATCCTAGCTTAAAATACCACTTAATCCTCCCTGACTTCCTATCAACCCAGCGTCATGTCCTTTCCATAGCTCCCATCAGTTAAATGGGAGCCGTAAGTCTCATCTGAAAAATAGACTTAGTCGATACACAATCATGCCATATGCAATACACAAATATGTCAAACTTTATTTCTCACATTGTCAGCTATCAACATAACTATTTTATTGACCGTGGTTCCAGGTTGCCGAGTAATGCTCACATGGGTGACTCCTGGCCATCGGGGAAGACAATCTTGTTGCGGAGGACGCCTATGCCGTCAACCTCTACCTCCACGACATCATTATGTTGCAAAAACCGCCTAGGTTTATGGAATACACCAACTCCAGATGGTGTACCAGTCATGATTGCTGTGTATGCCGGGATTGTTGTGCCTATGAAAAGCGTCAATTTTCCAAGTACTTAAACTTTCTTGCTTTCTCGTGCATTGGGATCCTAGTAGAAGGGAAGAAGGAACTTACTCTGACTCATAAAGCTTAGAATTTGAGAGGGTGAGAAAACAACATCATTTTTGATTTCCACATTTTGCATGACTTGACCATTGACTCGCGTGGTCAAATGCGTCCCATCGGTCTTATAGAGTTCAGGACTGATGAGTACAGGGCCAATCGGAGCGAACTTATCGAATGCCTTTGCGTAGTAGAACTGTCCGCCGTTTTGTTCAGGCATCTGAAACCTTCGACAACTGAGATCGTTGCCTACAGTATATCCAAGGATATAGGAGTTGGCTTGTTCAGGTGTGATGTCTCGGCATTCTTTCGAGGTAACGAAAACTAATTCACCCTAGTAAAGACTTCCGTTAACGAAGTTGTTCAACGAACCCTTGAAACGAACGGACACAATTCTGACCTCCCAATCCGGAAAGTTTGAAGCGCAATAGCGGCTCATGGCAATCTCCTCCTCGGGCGCGGCTAGAGAAGCGAAAGGCTTTGTCCATACGGGAGGATTCACCGGAATATTGAGCTGTTGTCAAGAAAATGTTTAGCAATGGTTCATATCATAATATAAGGGGGTATATACGTACGCTGGCCTCTTTTGCGTGGGACCTATAGTTGAGCCCAACGCAATAGATAGGTAGATCCGTCTTTGGCAGCGGGGCAAGAAGCTATCCAATTGATCAGTTATCTGTAATAATTTCATAAAGAAATGAGTAGTTAACCAGTATGTACCTTATCAACAACTGCCTCCTGTGGCTTCTCCTTCTTGACGAGATCCTCAAAACTAGCGTAGGCCGTGATCTGTGTCCCCGGAGAGGGTACCTTAGACGAAGCAGAAGCTAAATCTGCGAATAAAATCTTTCCTGCAGACTCAAAGCGGATGAGGCGTGTAAATTGTGACATCTTGTTCTCTCTTGCAGTGATGACCGTTGAATCAATTGGAAATTGGAAGCAGTAAGAGGGAAGAACAGAACTGGATTAGCGATGATAAATCCTAGGATATTTGTAGGGATGGCCAGAACCCCAGTGAGGTGGAGACTGCTCTTAAAGTGTTGCTCCAGGATGCCGATGTAGTAATGTACTTCATGTGGATGGCCAACCCTCATTAGGGCAGACCTCGGGATGTGGAAATCCATCCGCGGAGGAATTATCAGTGTCCCACTCACGGCCCTTTGCCGTTTGAAAGTTGCGGAGTAACGGTTTGAATCGTGGACAGAGGGGACATGGCCCAATTTTGGGTATACGAATTTATGTTTTATGAACAAGTTAGGGTTGTGACTGTGATGGAGGATGTAATTGCTGCCTCAGGCCGCAGCTTGTCAGGCCGGTAATGATTTGACCGACTCAGTGACGCTAATCCCAATATAGTTTAGTTTTCTATTAGTTCCACATCCCTTATCTCCGTCAACATCTCCACTCTCGAATATCAACGACCATCCTGGTTCACGTGGTCTCTCGATCGCTACGGGGTTGAAGAACCTGCTCCTATCACCATGCCTTCAAGGCAAGAGCTTCGCGAGCACGATCTGCTCTCACCATCTGCATACGACGAAGATGTCACGTCGCCCCGAACCCTATCGGAACAAGACTCCGATTCCGAAGACGATGAGTTCCTACGCGTGAACCGGTCATCAATGGAGCTTGCTAGGCATGACAAAACTGTATTAGAGGAGGAAGAAGAGATGGAAAAACTTCTTGTAAGAAGCGGCCCAGCCGATGGGTTACGTCGCATCTTTAGTCCAACGTCCGGGCCCGTACGAATTGGGAAGCGAGATCGAAGTCGGCGGCGAGAGAGGAAAAGGAGTATTCATGGAAAACCACACCAGGCCGGTGATCTTATGTTCGAGATGGAAGAAGGATTCCGGGAGTTCTCAGATGATGACAGTGTTGATTCTTTTGATTTGAACGAGAAGGAGATGGATGGCTGGCAGGACCAGCCGGTAAGTCACGTCAGCCGTGGCCTGTCTGACCCTGTCAAGCTAATGATAATATTTATTGCAGCCTAAGAGAGGAATGTGTGTTCGACTTCTACTCCCTTTTTCCGCCATTGTAGTTCTCTTTTTCATCCTTCTGCTCGGCGCATACAAGGCTTCTAAAGACACACAAATCACAAAGAAACCTAAGACCGATCTACTCTCCAATGGAACAGCGCTTTTCGCGCCAACAACAATCATCGTATCTCTGGACGGATTCCGTGCGGACTTTTTAAATCGCGGACTGACGCCGACACTAAGCAAATTCATTGCTGAGGGTGTTTCGCCGAGATATATGATTCCAAGTTTCCCTAGTGTCACGTTCCCGAATCACTTCACCCTAGTGACCGGACTATACCCTGAGAGCCATGGCATGATCGCCAATGATTTCTACGACCCCAATCTCGACGAGTATTTTCGTGTTCAGCCAGGGCTTAGCGATGAGGCGAAGTGGTGGACAGCTGAACCTATTTGGGCGACAGCTGAAAAGCAGGGCATTCGTACTGCCATCCACATGTGGCCCGGTTCGGAAGCACATATTGGCAATATGGATCCGACATTTTATGACAAATTCAACGATTCGGAAGTACTATCTCGCAAAGTTGATCGCGTTATGGAATTTCTGGACTTTCCGGGCGAAGAGAGTGATGATGGCGTGGAGAAACTTCGACCCCAATTTATTGCCACATACGTCCCGAATGTTGATACTGCAGGCCACCGGTACGGACCGAACAGTACTGAAATCCGATCTGTCATCACCTACGCCGATGAGATGCTTGCTGGTATCCTGGAAGGCCTTGAAGCTCGAAATCTGACAAAGATAATCAACATCGTAGTCGTTTCTGACCATGGAATGGCTACTACATCTACAACACGCACTATTCAGCTGGAAGATTTGATTGATATAAATTTGGTGGAATATATAGATGGCTGGCCCTTGAGAGGCCTACGACCGAAGAAACCTGAAGATCTGGAGATTTTGAAGGCCCAATTGGCAGAGAAGGCGGAGAATTTCTCGGACGCGATAGAAATCTACACCAAGGAGACGATGCCAGAAAGGTACCATTTCACGAAGAATGATCGAATCGCGCCGTTGTGGGTCATACCTAAGGCTGGTTGGGCAGTCGTGGAAAGGCCTGATTTTGACGTGCAAGAAGCACTTGATAAGGATATTGTATACACACCCAGGGGTATTCACGGATACGATAACTATCACCCTCTGATGCGAGCCATTTTTGTCGCTCGTGGACCTGCATTTCCTCACCCTCCCAATAGTCGGGTTGCTGAGTTTGGTGAGTCTATCGAACACCTTTCTATCTCTTCGAAACACTAACCTATAGCACAGAGAACGTCAATGTATATAACCTTATATGCGATTCAATTGGAATCGAACCGGTGGCGAACAATGGCACATTGCATCTCCCATTCACGCCTGTTGGTCTACACAGCGATGATGATGCACCAACTCTTGACACGCCAGCGGATCCGCCACAAGTGGTAACAACAAGCCGATCCACTTCCCCTTCAACTTCGACTACGAGTACCTCTTTGGCCACGCCCGCGGTATCTACCCCGTCTCAGGAACCTACTAGTCTGCCTCCAGCAGATGTTAATGACGAAGCGGACAACAGTGCTGACAATGCTGACGATACGAAGTCATCTCTTGAGACTTTTTATGATGGGGTCAAGGACACCCTGAACTCGATCAAAGACTGGTTTGGCCAGCTATTCTCCGCCGAAAAAGACAATCATCCACCTTCTCAAACTTAAGATTTTTTCCTCGCTACAAGGAGTATCGATGTTATTTGTTTTTGGTTATTTCAGCGTTGCATTCATTCATATATCTGAACACTCCGTGAAATTCTGTATTTGTGGACCTACATCTAGAGTTAATATATCAAGATACCCTCACTCGCGAACGAATTGCACCGATATTAGATTATGGTTATTTATTTCATGCTCACTAGTCTATCGACGTGAGACCCGAGACTATGCACATATAAGATAGGCATTTCCTTCTGAAGGAAGAGCCGCTCGCCTCTGTCTCAGCGCATGTTATCCTTCGAATCATCTTTCCGAAGACCGGACTTCAATTATTGATTCACGATCTTCATTATCCCAGATCTTCACAATCTCCAAACCCACCGAGCCAAGCAGTTCCTCTATCTCACCCTTCGTTCACTGCCGGCTATGCTGTAGCAGCCACATTTGAATGTCGAGCTCTGCGATGCGGCGATCTGCTCCAATCTCCGGTACGAGTATTCCCAAGATCAGCAGAAGCGAATAGCCCGGCTTCATGGCATCCGACAAATTCTTCAAGATTGTACGACATTTGGCGTCCTCCAAGTTATGGAACACTGCTAGTAACAGATAGATTCTTGCGCCTTTGGTGGGCTACAGTTGAAAGAAGTCGTGTGCCATGGCCGTGAAGACCATTCCTCTCCTATTATGGCCTCCACGGTTTCGGGCAGGTCCTGTAGAATGAGATTACCGTTAAACTCGGGATTGCTCTCAGCGAAACTTTCAAGTTCATGACCACGACTGCCCCGACGTCAACGATAATTGTGCTCGGGGATATCTCATCTCCAGTGCCAATCTGTGATAGCTCTGACATTACAGGATAAACGTGATGCCAACCTTGTTTCTTTTCTTGCTTGAGAGCTTTCATGTAAGCATCAAGATCTGCCTTTCTCTCCTTGTTTTCACGCAGGACATCATACATATCCTTCCCATAAGTATATGAGTAGGCTGATTGGAGATTAGATTCGGACATACTTCGCTTTGCATAATCGGTGAAGTATTCGGCAAGATTCGGTGTGATGGCGCAGGAAGGTAGGAGCTGGATTGTGGTAACATTTAGCTAACCAAGTCAAAATAGGGACATGTTTCGACTATCCTTCGCGGAACCAAGTAATATATACCAGACCCCCAAACCCCCAATCTGTCCTTTGTTCGACCGACAACACAGGCGTCTTATCGTTTGCCCGATATCTCTGGAGCCCAACTTTGACACATGCTCCAATTGCTGTGAGGAGACGCAGTACGCGGACTGAGAAGGATGAGCTAAATTCACCTGGTTTTACAATTGAGAGGAATGATTCTTACCAATATCGAGCTTTGGACGGCCTGTTATTTCAGCCAATTGGTCTGCAGTTATCTCGTCATAACGGTTTGATAATTCCTGGAGTATACCGCCTTCAACCGCAATCATAAGTGCGCATAGGCCCAGCGGCTATCAATCAGGTTAGCTTAGGTTGTCCCGACCTCTTGCTCAAAGAATGGCAAGCAGACTACGATGGTTAGACCACAAATGGGTCAGACAGTTCCCCGCAGGTCTGCGAACGAATAGCTGAAAACCATAATACAAACGTACCTAATATCTGAGACGCTCAGCAAAGACGTCTGGAGATTCTATACGATACTGAAGCTCCTGACATGGCCTTACAATATGGTTTGAGTTTCCAAAGTTGTTCTGTGCGTAGCTTTCAACAGAATCGTGAATTTTAGCAGCAAGTCTTCGTAGCTCCTCTATGTGAGCCAGGGAAACTGCCATGACCGCCATACTATTGTCCTAGAGACTGATGAAAAGAACTGGCAGGTTTCGTCCAACGACGCTTGGGAAATCGGTGAGAGATTGTCAATAATGATTATCGTCTCTCTCGTTACGAGGATCACGTACCCTAACTCACCATTGACATTATGTACCTTTTTACTACTTCACTGTGTACATTTTTCTCTCGAATCCCTAATCTCTGGCTGGAAGGGAATCGGGTCTGCAACGGCTTTGACCGGAAGTCGGGATGCCTTCAACTAAGCGAATCGGGGTTCAACAACTACTATAGGGATCAGTGAAATCCACTAGTTTTGCCTGCTTTGCAGAAATTGCCACCGGAACACTTCTGGCTGGGGAGAGGGTAGCCTCCGTTGACCAGGTAAGGCGTTCATCCCACGGGAAAGAGCAGCCGGAAGACCTAGCCCACAATGCCTGTCCTTCGTCCTGGGTTTCGAAGCGTAGCAACACAAGGAAGATCAACGTGAATGAGGATGGTTCCTGACAACATAGCTATTGCCCGCACCAATCGGCTTCCTCAGGTCTCTGTGATATAGATACCGAGTAGTGTCAATTTAGATTCTCAAATTCTCAACAAGTCCGGATACTGAACGAAACCCTGGGAGTAACTCTATTCTACTATGAGTTTTGGCTCGGGTTGTAAGAAGCTGTCTGTGGAATAAGTTTATCTGAATTAATAATAATATTAATTTTATCTGGGAAGGGCCATAAAATTCAAAGAATTATACAGTAGTAGCTCCACACAATCATTGTGTCAAAATATAGCGGTTTCGTGTAGTGAGAACCCCAAGTCAGGGTTCCTACAAGAGACCACACATTGTCTTGTACCTTTTTCCGATTAAACTCACAAGCGACAATATGACAGACCAACTACGCTTATTCTGCGTTGGAGACCAAACATTTGATGTTTTCCCACATCTTAGAATCTTAATAACGAAGCGAGACAATCCAGTTCCTCGGGGACTTTCTAGCAAAATCCTATGAGGCTATGTACCGAAATTTACAAACTCCCACAGAAGATCTGAGACGGCCTCGCTCGGTTTACTAGAATTGAATATTTATTATTATATGATCAGAATGAAAGGCGGTGTATTTCGCTGGACATGGCTGTTACTCGTATGTTTCAGTTGGGAACTTTTATCAGGTACGTGGTTCAGGGAGCATTTGGAAGGTCAATTCGTCTGACAAATGCTAATATCAAAAAGTCATGTGGAGACACAATCATACAGTGTATTAGAAGCTGGCGTACTTGGCCTCTGTACAGAAGCATTTTCAGCAGCTGCTGTCAGCTGCAGTTACAGCACAGTGGACCTCGTTCCGCTTGCTGTTGATGCAGTAACCGCGAAATTTAGAACAGGAATCGTTGTGACTGAGATCGCGCAGAGTCTTGCAACATGCGTCAACGACGAACAGAGTTAGTCAATCATGGTCCCGGGATCAGCATCGACGGAGGCTGTTAGAAAATTCGGCGAAAGCGTCGTAAGTGTTTAGCCTACGCCAACAAGTATGTATTGTCTAATCGGATTCAATTACAGAGTGTGCCATTCAGGCCCTATATCAGTGCAAATGCATCGAATGGCATCACTGTCAGCGGGCTGCCTCTGGCTCTTACTAAACTTATACAGTCCGAAATGTTCTGCGGTCTACGACACAAGAAGATCCCTATTTACGGACCGTATCACGCAATACATTTGTATTCCGAGTTTTATATTGATCGGATTGTTGATGATCTGGCCACCATTTCCACCGAACAAAGGGTTCTTGTGTTTTCGGAGACGTGGACAAAGGAAGTGCAGTGAAAATCCTAGAGGAGACATTGGCATGCAAGGACTTGCTTAGAGGTACTACAGAAACCACTACTCTCTCGAGAAACTAGCCTTTCTCCCGTTGATAAACGCAAGCATCAGCATATATTATTGAGAACGGTATCAATTTGTCAACATACCTTGCACTGCTTCAAGAGCAGGAACAAGATGCTGTAAAATTCCTAAGCGAAGGCTTCAGGGATTCAGGACGCTATAAGGATATCCAAAATCCGGCGATCACCATTTGGTTCATAATCATTCAAACAAATCCAGCATCAAGATCCAGCAGTTGCCAACTATCTATCTCTCATGGCTTGTATCAATCCACGAAATGACTCCGAAACCCTCCTTCCACAACCCATATCCAGAAAACAGAATATTGATGCTCTAGACCTTTTAAATGCATACTAATTTACAAACAGCCAAAGGACGTATTAAGATATGCACAAACTTGAGCCTATTACGACCCGAAACTGGCTTAGAAAGAATGCGCTATTCAGTAACTGGATACAACGGGTGGCTGATCATATGCAGAACGTGTTTCCAGATGATCACCACACCAATCGAGGACTTCGGTGGGAATCCCTTCCTCATGCATTAGCACTTGTGCGTGAAAATGAATTTGTAGAACAAGAGGACAAAGTATCTTGATTTAACCGAAAGGATTGCAGATTGCCTTGCTAGTGATGGAAGATATCAAGAAGCAGAGGTACTTTACAAGAAGCTGGTCGGGGTCAATCAGGAGAAAGGTGGCTCAGAACATGTCTTCACTCTGACCAGCATGGCAAACTTGGCAGAAACCTACCGAAATCAGGGTCGATGGAATGAAGCTGAGAGGCTAAATGTACAAGTAATGGAAACATGGAAGACAGTGCTGTGCGCTGACCGTCCTGACACTCTGAGCAGCATGAACAACTTTGCCTATACTTGGAAATCACAAGGAAAGCTACAGGATACCTTGACTCTAGTAAAAAAGTGCTCTGACATGCGCCGGAAAGTATTAGGGCCTAGTCACCCAGGTTCCAGATCATCCTCTTGCGCTCTCAACAATTGGATGGATGAGTATAATGCATTAACAGATCAAACACCGCTCACTAGAGAAAAAAGTTCGCAGCCTCAACGGGAAGTTTCAGCAGGATCTTCAGCAGCTGTAGTAACTACCTTGTCGACCTATGAAGAGCACATCAATCTACCTTATACCCTAAGACGATCAGCTGCTCAACTATTCCTTGGAAGTCATCCTCTCATCATTGCTGCTAGGACACCCTCACCCGCGCCAGAAGGCCAGAACTTACATGATGTGGATTACTTTCGCACCGCCTTATTCTTGCACCATTCCGCTAGACAAGAGGTGAGTTAAGTTATAAGAGCAGTTTAATCTTAAAATTTTCAACACGTATCTAGTATGTGCATGTTACATAGAGGGGAATTTAACGTAGTATAATCATCTAGACGCAAGAATGAAATATGTAGTGGTAATATCCTGGTCCACATCATTTAAATAAGTTCGTCCAATGAGGGTTAATTCTTTCAGGTCATATAGCGTACGAAGCAACAACTTCTTTGGTTATACATTCAGTGACAACTAAATTTCTGTATGTATAAGACCATGACTAGCTTACCAAAATGATGGCACTCTTAAGTCCTATACGCATCGTAAATTACTCCAATGCCAATCTAGCCAAGGATAGATTAGGCTCCGGGAGTGGCGTGAGAAACAGTCGAAGAGTTGCGAACCATGTAAAGCCGAACTCGCAAGGCACTGTATCTAGAAAGGTTGTTGTGGCAGAAAAATCTCTATGACTCGAAATATATTTACAATATCCCCAGAAACTACGCTAACCATATGTAGAAAGGTCCCCTTAAGTTGAGGTTTTAGTTGTGGGGCTGAGATGGAACATCCATAGATGAGTCCGACCAATCACATCTTGAGTTTGTAACTTTCTTTTAACCTCATTTTTGTGATTTATGTCCATATTCCTAACTACATTCTATTTATCTTCAATACCACCAGTCATATAGAGGCCAATATTGACTATCTATCTATTTGAATACTGCCTGTATCAATTGTTTCCAAGGTCACAGTGAAGGGCATAAAATTATTCACTTTCTAGAATAAACGAAATGGCCATTCTCGCCTGAAACGTTTACAGTCAACATGTCAACAAACACGTCAGAAGCAGCACTCATCTATGAAGAGCCACCTATTGGTACAATTCTCAATCAGGCAGGCCTCCTCCTAGCGCTGAACGTTGTCAACGTCTGTCTCGACAAACTTTTATACTGTGGGCTTATCGGTCAGCTGTTCATTGGGATCCTTTGGGGATCCCCAGGAGCAAAATGGATTAGTAGCGATTTAGAAAGAATTATTCAGCAGCTGGGATATCTTGGTCTAATCATGCTTGTTTACGAAGGTAGGCCCATCTCCTACGTTTGTCACTTTTCTCGTCCTCTTCGAGTTTCTGACGTAATATAGGCGGCTTGTCAATGTCGATCAAAGCCCTGAAAGCTAACATCCTTGTGTCCATTGCTGTTGCATTAACTGGTATATTGACTCCAATTGCTCTCTCGTTTGTATTGAAAGAGCTCGTGTCGGCAAGTTCCCTGCAGGCCTTTGCTGCCGGTGCAGCCCTCAGCGCTACTAGTCTCGGAACCACATTCACTATTTTGTCCAGCACCAATCTGATCTCTACCAGACTTGGCACGGTGACCAGTTGTGCTGCAATGCTTGACGATGTCGTGGGCTTAGTAATGGTTCAAGTCATCGCGAACCTGGGTGGAAGTGACACTTCGTTTGATCCTATCACAATCATTCGGCCTGTTTTTGTCTCTATCGGTTTTGCTATTGGCATATTTATTCTCTGCACCTTCTGCTTCAGGCCTATTCTAAAAATTCTTCTGCAGAATGGAAACAGAATGCCTAAATCCATGCTGATTGCTCAGTTTGCTTTCTTGGCTCATACAGCTATACTCGTGGGAATGGTGGCGGGGGCCACCTATGCCGGCACATCAAGCCTGTTTGCTGCTTACCTCAGCGGAGTCATTGTAAAATGGTTTGACGAGCTTTCTTCTGAGCTGAGAGCACAACGCATGAGTGCAAGATCTGCACCGCATTCTACCACTAATAAAGGAGGTCGTGCTGCTCCCCAAGAACAGAACTTTGAAGGCAGCGCTCGAGCTACTGACGATACTCGAACAAGCACATCCTCAACATTTCAAGAAAATGTGGACCATTGTGAGGAGAATCAAATTCCAACCGGCGACATGATTTATGAAAAGTACTACAAAAACCCAGTGGACTGTATCCTAATTCCATTTTTCTTTGTAAGCATATACTACCATTTTTCTTTTGTCGGCCGGAAGCTGACTCAGACAAGGCATCTATTGGATTCGCAATTCCAATAACGGAAATGTTTAGAGGCAATATAGCCTGGCGTGGCATAGTTTATGCTATACTAATGGCTTTCGGAAAGATGGTTACCGGCCTTTGGCTCATACGCTTTTCGTATAGTCCCGTGTCTTGTGTGATCCACATATCCAAGAATCTTATCTCTTATATCGGTTTGAAATGCAGTGTTCAGCATTCAGACCCAAAGAACGAAATAAAAACTTCCACTACTGAAAGAAAGACTGATAGGCGGAAGAGCAGGGAGGCTTCAAGGTTGGACCGGGCCAACACTGCAAGATTGTTGAATCAATCTGCTCAAAATATGGGATCACCGACTGACAAAGCAACATCTTCATTACCACACAGCGACCCTGCATCTGGCAGTGATACTCGTCTTTCGCTCCCTCCAAAACCGAAATCCCTCTATCCACCGTCTATCCTCGGCCTAGCAATGATAGCGCGTGGAGAAATTGGATACCTGATTGCGTCGCTTGCTCAAAGCCAGGGTATATTCTCTAATGGTACACTGAAAGGATCTTCAGATATTTACTTGGTCGTAATATGGGCTATATCACTCTGTACGTTGGTTGGCCCAGTTGCGGTTGGTACTCTCACCAAAAGAGTGAAGAAGCTACAACGCCTTAGAGTCGACTCTGGTGGCGAAGATCCCTTAGGCGTTTGGGGTATTTGAAATGGTGATCATTGTCAAATAGTTTGTTAGTATATTTATTCCATACTAGCACCAGATGTCTATGACCATGCAGTTACAACAAATATATCTCTAGCTATGTTTATATACATAGAATCGACATAGGTGGTGAGAGCCACCTCCTCAAATTCCGAGGAATATCCACAATGTCCTTCGAAATCTTCAAAGCTATTCGACGAAAACACTTGCTCCGCTAACGTCGACATGTGCAGCGTACATACACCTAGCGCTGTTTCCATTGCACCAGCCATGAAAGAGCATATTCCCATGATTCGAAATAGTACCACCACCAGGTCCGTATAGCTCGTCACTGGAAGCCAACAACGAAACGGCATCCTTTTTATACGGCCCCGTGATAGAGGAAGCAGTCGCAACACGCACATCATACTTGACATCAGTAAAACAATGGGTCGAATAAAATAGCAAATACGTCCCGTCACCTGCTTTTAACAAGGAGGGCGCTTCGACTAACGGGCCATCTGATGCGTCTCGATCGATAAGCTGCACTGGATTTCCAATAGGCGTAATCCCATCTTCCGACACCCGCTGGAGCATAATTGGCGTCGCAGCAAGTGGTTCAACACTGTTATTGCAGTCCCCGCCGTGGCCAATGCTGTTTCCGTCAATTTTGTACAATATGTAGCGCGTGCCGTCCGAGTCTTGGAAACTGCTGGCGTCGATTGCGCCACCCTGGTCAAGTGGGCATGCGAGTGGGTTGGTGGAGGTTGGAATGTAGGGACCCGCAGGGTTGTTACTGTCGGCTATTGCGACGCCGATGCAGTGGCGGTTAGGGTTCGATTGGACGACGGCCGAGTAGTACATGACGTATTTTCCGTCAGACTGTTTATATATCAGCTATGCGTTTCGACTTGTTTGTACGAGGGGTATGTAACGTACTCTTCGAAACACATCAGGTGCCCAGTGATCTGGTTCACTCTCCCATCCCGATAATGTGGGAAGTGCTTCCACATTCAGTAAACTCCAAGACTCGAAATCAGTCGAATGAGCGACTTGTATTCTTTTGCCATTACCGTTCGTTGCGTAGGCATACCATGATCCATCCGTGTGTTGAACGAAAGCCGGGTCCGGGAAATCCGTGTTTAGGGCAAGTGTGATACTAGTAGAGCCATCGTATGATATTCTCTTAGTGAGGGATTGGCCCGAGGGTAGAAGAGGGGAAGAGTATGCATTAGATATAAGGCTGAATCCTCCCAGGATTGCTACCGAGAGCGAAGGGCTGAAGAGCATGATATTTCCGTGCTTCAAACGAAGACTACTAGAGAATATATAGAAATAATAAATTTAAACAAAATAGAGTCCAAAGCAAACTCTAATGAAAAAAGTCTGAAAATAAAAGAGAGTACGTCACGCTCAACATGAACTCGACGACTGGAATGAATGGCTTCGGAATTGAGCGACGTTTGTGCGTCGTTGAACAGATATATAAGTTCAGGAAAACCCTTGCAACCCGTCTGCATACGGGTGATATTTCAGCATATTCTTAGCTTCTCGCATTTAGTTTACCTGGTAACTACCACTGCAGCCTAGCTCGGATGTACCTGGCATAAACCGATAAGGGATCAACCTTGCGTCCACGAGCTCGTGGCGGACGCGGCATAAGCGGACTGACATGAGGGAAGCGTAAATCTAGTTACCGGAAGGGGGAAAGATAAGAAGAAGGGTTCAAGGATGCTCGTACCGAAAACATCTGGTTCATCGAGTTATCAAGGACCCAGGTTTGAAGGGTCGTGCCCGGGTGATACAACGCTAGGTTAGATGCATTATATTCACAGTATCAGTTACCTGGGTATTCACAATAACTAGGATTTAAGCGGAATACTAGTCATAATATGGGCACTTAGTGAGTTGTTCTAGACGTACGCTTGGTGCTAGACGAAACTGGCCATCGTGACTTTAAGCTGTTCTCAGGTATCAGTGGGAATATCTGAAATAAAAATCTTGGTAAATAGTGGTACTATTCCCGATCTGCGCGTGGAAACCTGATGATAAATTCTTAGATCTGATTCAAAGGGTGGAACTTCATTAATGAAACCACAAAAAATCGGCCGCAAACGCCTGTATAATCTGGTTTGTAACCGATTTAATCGTAGTGCCGGAACTGATGCGATGTAGCATTGCGGTTCCGTGGCCAAAAACACAACATGAAAACATGGAAAGGTCAGGTACCATACCTCGCTTTGCTGTAAGGAAGATCGAAATATTTGGCTAATTATTGATTTTCCCCAATCCTTAAGATCGTGCCACTAAATAGACGTTTGATATGATGATAACAAACGCGGCAACAGTCTTCTACGTGGATGAAACAAGACAGGAAGTCGGATTACATTCCTCTAGACATAAATCACCTTGTGATAAAATTCAAAAAAAGACCACACATTTTGAATATGACTAAGATCTTCTCTACACTCCCCTCTTCAAATGCCCTATTTGCCTTTCCAGTGCTTAACCCATAACCCATATCCCCATATATCGACGCAAGGGAGAATCGAAGGGTACGCGTTTAAGGGCTGATCTCAGCATCCCGTTCGGAAATCACAATTTGTATCAAAGATGCAGCATCACTAATATAATTCACATTCAACCCGTTTAGAATGCAAATCACCAAGTTCAAAGAACAGCTGAGATTTAGATGAACCATATAGTTCCCCATACTTGATCGGTCAGGATAAGCCACCCGCTTCCGGCCGCGTCGTCAACGGCGACTTGCAGATCCCGACCCACTTTTCCCGATGGAAATCTCGATCTTTCCGCCATCTATAGAGACGAGCGAGATCAGGTAACATCGGGTGATACTTTATTTCGAAGAGAAAATCTCTTATGAAATGCTATATTGGCTGATTATTTGGTCCTAATAAAGACTGCAAGCAGCTGAACTTTGTGCTTATGCTCGCAGATTGGAGCGGATTCAAGAATAATTGGATAGATTTGTCAAGAGGTAGCTCTAGCCCTAGCCCTAATTTCAAGCATGTAGTTATGGCTTCTGGAAAACACCATTCGTAGATTGATCTAACGATCTGCGCTACCAAATTAAGTATTAATTTCATTTCATAACTTCGTAACTAATGCAAGTAATGTCATGCGTATAATACAATTTTAATGCCATCTCAGAGAAAAGACAAACGATTAAGAGGAAGCTTTACTTCTCCTTCCGGTCCTTCTTTCTTTCTCTAAGTCCCTGCGCCCAAATCTCAGCTTCCTCAATAGCATCCAATGGATTCTTTTTATGGAGAAGTAAATGACCCTGTATCTCAGCTGGAGTGAATTCACCGGCGGGAACTGCATCGGCAAATTTCTCCGCCAGATCGGCGATTTCGTCTTTGGTGAATGTTTCAAAGAATAATGATGCTGGTTTTGTTGTAGATGATGTTGACGGCGCTGGCGAATGCCGTGGTGATGGCGAGGGTGTGTTCTTCTGCCCATATACCGCTGCAGAAGACGATGATTTAGGCATTTCGCAATCCAATGGGGCATATATAGCCAGGAACAGATTCTTGATAGCGTCACGATCTGAGTATCCAAACGCAATGCTCAAATCAACTCTTCCAGGACGCAAAAGCGCGGGGTCCAATTTCTCAATGTGGTTTGTGGTCATTACCAAGATCCGACCTTCGCTGGAGGCTACCCCGTCAATGATGTTGAGTAATGCTGAAAGTGAGATGCCTTTGTTCGAATCATCGTCTTTTTTGTTGGTGTCCGTTGAGTCTCCTGGCGGGGGTCTGGGACCGTCGCCAGTGCTGGGACCGTCATTGTCGTCTTCGGGTTTTATTGGTCTGATAGGAGGGATGGGATCATTGTTGGGTTTATCAGAACGCTTGTTCGCGAGACCCGCTGCATCAACGTCTTCCAATAAGACAATGCACCTGCGTGGTAGAGTCTGGAACAGGCTTGCGAGCGACTCTTCATTCAGCGTTCTTGAGTTCAAGCTGATCAGATAAATCTTCAGATGCATCGCACCCGCAGCCGCGAAACACAAGCTCGATTTCCCCGTTCCCGGTGGGCCATAAAACATATACCCTCTTCGATAAGGAATACCCCGGTTGGAATACCATCTCCTCGTTCTCGGGTGCAAATATTCCTTGATATCAGAGATGAAAGCGTGTTTCTGCGCATCATCCAATACAACCGTCGACAACGGCCTAGGAGGTCGCGCCATACACCTCGTCCAGTCGTAATCCGTAGTCCCATCTCGCTGCGCACGATAAATAATCGTCTTGTCCCCATCACGGTCAACATACATACGCTGCGCTTCCAGGAGCAATTGTCGTAGGACGTCCGGATTACGCCCAAAACAACTAACGTAAAGCTTCTCAGCGGGCATTCCCCATCCATAAGTTCTCTTCTCGACTTGCTCACGACGAAGCTTGATGCGATACCCTTTAAACCAGAACCAGTGAATACCCTCCGCGGGAGTGATGCGTAGTGGTTTAATTTTATCCTTATTCACGCGTCGCGACCAATACGAATCAAAATCGTTAGAAGCATCTGCAAACTCCTTTTCGTCCTTGTCAGATTCATCGTCGCTGTCATCGTCGTCATCCTCGCCGTCGGAGTAATATGAATTTGCGCGTGTCTTGGTACTGGCCACTGCTCTCGTGGATTTGCGGGAAAATCCCTGGCGAGAGACCCAATACATTAGATAGTTGAACACTTCATCGTCCATGCGAACTTCGATCGTCGATGTGAAATAGCTCTGGATATTTTCAATGATGTTCTCGACTCGTAGACGGATGGTTGCTGCTACCGTCGCGAGGAGGAATACGAGAGACAGATATGCGCTGATATCGAGATGGAGGTATTTGGAAAAGAAGATGGAGATGATTGAGAAACCGGGGAAGAAGTTTTCCAGCACGGGAAGGGTTGATAGTGGTGTAGGTGAGGTTTGTGTTATAGTTGCATTTTGGCATGTTTGGAGAGGAGACGCCATTTTCAGGCTGTCCGGAGAACGATGGTAGAATGAGAGTATGGTGTTGGGACGTAGCAACCGGTTGAAATGAAGCAGTCACACCTATGGATGAGAAATAGAGATGAAGATGAAGCGATATCTCCAACACCACGTCTGACCAGCCCTATTTATACCCCCTCTCTCATGCATGTTGTACAACTGAAAAATCTCTTTCAGCCTCACACTAGCTGCATTGTTGCCTGAGCTAAAGCCCTAAAGGCCATTCGGGGTCTGCATTTAGCTATCTAAACCGCTTAGGAACGGGGCATCAAACACACAGATGCAAACAATATGACGTAGTGACATATTTATACTTTTCCTTAGATGCTTTACTACACCTTTATCTTGATCTAGACTGTAACAATTGTCGCAGTCTAGCTGAGTTGCTGCTAACCAGCCAGTCAACCTACACAATTGTGGATAAAGGATCGCACCACAACAGTCGGGGAACAATTTCGAAAAATATTGTTGAGAAGGATTTGCACCAATTCCACTATTTTCAAATTGCTGATCTAAGAAGTCCTGTCAACAGCCTCCTTATGTATGATGCGAACTTAATTAGGGCTAGTCCAGCCTATGATAAGGCCCAAGTCAGCCCTACATGTACCCTAAGTTGCGGGATTGACAACATCAGCCTCACGCGGGGCGTGCGGCGATGAGTCATGTTATTGTGATTGCGACTGCCCAGACAGATACTACTTAACGGGATTGTTGCATGTGATCAGTTCGAATATGCTATCGTACAATAAGGGATTGAGTCATCGGATTCTGGGCTGCTGAATGGGGTGTGTGTATGACTGTTTGTCAAGATAAATTCTTAGTAAGAGCACTGTACGACATACGATGCAGTATTGTCCGGTGCTTGGTAGAGTAAAACTCCATGTCATAATCATTATCAAGTCTATGATTGATGTCTCGCATGTCTATATCCGGTTCCTTTCAGTAACGCCGCGTCCAGAACGCCGCGCCAACTATAACATATCAACATGTAAAGTAACGCCGTTCACCATGATATAGCCCTGTGCAGATGTAAATGCTGCTACAATCCTAGAACCCATTGTTCATAAGGTTGTCCTCTCATCTTCCCCGTTCGATCGTCATAAAGCTTAGGCTCAAAATCCGAGACTTCGCCGTATTTTTGTATCAGATACCGCCAGTAACACGCTTCAGCTGCCGGGGTGAGGTATCTATCACGGAAAGTTGTGACGGAGTTATTGGCGATACGTTCCGCGATCTGTGGGTTGTCGAGCAGATATTCCACTTTTGATTCTAAATTTGAAAAGTCTCTTGCAACTTCAATGTAGTTTGCCTCGGGGCCGGATGAAACGAAAGCTGCGTGGTGGGCTTCACGCCAGATGAGGGGGTGGGTAATAAAGACGGAATGGCAATTGAGGAGGTATTTCCCTCTCCCGGAAAATGAGCGTCCCTCGGTATGAGCCAAAAACATGTAGCGACAGTGATCCTCGATCGGAAGTAGATTCTCCTCCACACTCTTCTTATTTCCCCAATCCACTACTCGTACAGAAGCCCAGTATTTGTTCTTTGTAGCGTCAATCAATCCGTTTCGTAGCTCGGCTGCTGTGTTCAGACTTCCTCTCCAGAGCAATTGTTTCTTTTTCGATTGGAAAGTCTTGAACTCGGCATCGACAGCTGCAATGCGACGGCGCGTTTCGCGGTACGGCGCAATATCGACTTCGGGCCAGGCCCAGTATCCGAAATCGGGCATCAGCCATATGTTACTATCATCGACAGCATCTTCGTCAATATCGCTGGTGTCGCGCTTGGAGTACGCCCACACCGGCCCGCCTGCCAGTTTGAGGTCGTCCCAGACAAAGTCGTCGGCGGAGAAGTGGAATTCGATGGACGGAAGAGATTCACGGTCGGGCGTGGCAACTAAGGCGCGGTGAAGGGAATGTAGCGTTGATTTTGCCCGTGAAGCAGTGTACATCATGTCGCCGTACTCGATAATGAATAGCTGCACACACCTGGTTAGTCTATGACCCATACTACCAACACTCAAGACTACCCCACCTCTCCCTTGTAAATCATCGCCCGCGCCATACCCTGACCCAGTGTCTTCCTTGAATCGATCTCCTTGAATGTGATGGGGTTATTTGTCTCTTTCCGCTGCTCAACGCTCTTATCAATCTCCGTAAACAGCTTGGGAAACGCCGCCAGACATTGTTCCGAATTCAAGGCATAATTATTCGCATCGCGACTAGCAACGAACTCCCATTCTCCGTTGCTCATCTCAGTCGACCCATGTTGTAAGCGATCGGTGGCTGATTCACCGGCCGCATAGCACTCTTTCTCAAAGTATCGACTCGGTCGGAAAAGCTGTAGTTGAAGAGCGTAGCTCTGATTCTGGAATCGAAGCACTAGTAAACATGCAGACAATAATAATGTTAATGCGCAACCAAGCGCAATGAGTATTCGTGGTCGTAGCAAACCGAGAACTCGTGGTGAGGTGGTGGCCCAGGTTGGTTTGGATTGTTGTTGTTTTGCCATTTTTTGTCTGGTGTTTACTTTGCCTGGCCCCCACATGTGGCTTTGGGACAAAAACAACGGTTGACAGTCTGTTCAGGAATGTGTCATTTCGATATGATCTGTACTGCTTGCAAACACATCGAACATGTACAGATATTATGAAAAGACTTGCAAACTTGCACGATATCAACAAGAGAGATGTTGTTACGTCGAGATAAAAGAAAGGAGAGAAAGTGAATAAGGAGGGCCCACCGACTGCGTCATCTTCTAGGCTCTACCAGCGCTCACCTAGTTTATTAGTGTGCCGGTAGACCCTGGAAGTTGGCCAAGTGATAGGATATAACTGACTGATATTCATCGAACTGCAAATCAAATCCACTTTTCATCTTGTGCTGACTCCACTGCGGCAGACATCTTTGCGTCCAACTTGACAGTCGATGTATTCGCCCAGACGCACAGCCCGTGATTGCGTACTCTTTGACACCGGAGTACCTCCACTGATTTCTTGTAAAGATGCTCATCACTTGCGTTGGACCTATCACCTCGTTGCTGCGTCCGCCACGACTCTTGAGGGTTGATCCCGTTCTAGATGCCGAGTACGCCACTGGAATTCCTCCACCGAGTCGGAAACGGTGGCTCTCTATTCGGGCCGATTGGATATTCCACTGCCAGGAGAAATTAGTCGAGTTTGATACTTGGCGATCCTAAGTGCATCATCTATGGGTCTTTTTCTGTGCAACAAGCCTATCGTGAAAGCGGTTAACTGACGGTGCTTACGAGGAAGGACTTGGCTGTATGTTGAGCTTAGAATCTGATGAATATTCGGTTTCAAATGTGCAACAATTTACCAGTGCGCGAGACATTCTTGGTCAGGACCTGCGAATCATACAGGGTTAGGGTTAGATTGTGCTCACGGAACTGCCAAATTCGGAAATAAGACGTCTGATCCCTCACATCTCTGCCAATCTGGGTGATCCTGGGCACCGATAGCCGTTTCCAGATTGAGATTCATTCTGTTACAAATCTAGAATCGTGAATAGCAGTAAGCTTTACCCGTATCAGGCGGTCACTTCACCATTGCTCAAATTGCGAAACACTTGTCACACAGTCGTATCTCCACGTCGATTTGATCATTCACGCGACTAACGCCGCGGCGAAGAGCACTACAGACCAGGGAATCAATATCGGAATACGGCTTGCACTTGCGGCACTCCCAGCTACAGTCTCCGTGGGAGTAGTCGTCCTTGTAGATGTCGTCGTCGAACTGGAACGTGTCGCAGTCACGGTTTGATGTCGGCTTAGAAGCGGATTTCGTTACACCTTGTGGAGAAGCTTGTCCAGTAGCTCATGGAAAACAGCGAAGGTATCAACCCAGGCAAACATCATGACATTGCCAACACCATCGGGGCCGACTTCAACCGTAGCGCTGGTGGTTTGACCAGAGTCTGAGATGGGAACTCTGTTTATTATTCGTTAGCCACTGCCCATACGGTTATCAAAAAGAAATCACGTACGGCCCAAGGCCATTCCCCCAGTCATCGACAAGAGAACCGGACTTGAGAGGTCCCGATGCAATGGTATAATCCACGGTGAATATCCCAACAATGTCGTCCGGAACATCAAATGGAATGATCATAGCAACGCTGCCATTAGTTTTGTTTCCATAAACATCAGAATCGACAAAAGTCACTTTAGAATCATTACCCAGCACCGCTCCACTTCGAGCACGCCCAAGGAGTGTATGAGGTGTGAACGCTTCATCTTCTATTGACCTCTTATTATCATTGGTAATCTTGGAGCAGTCGATTCCTTTGATTTTAACACGAATCTGAGCCCCGTTTGGCTTCCTGTCCACTGCCCAACGCCATCAGCTGCCAATAGCACTGTTGATACTCTGGGGAACGCATATAACAAATGCAAGCGTACCACCCTCCGCAGATACCGCCGGAGGCTACTCTTCGCATGACCAGCGTATGCGATTACCATTAGGTAATCTCCCTCCAAAGACCCTCACACAGGGACTTGCTGCGCAACCCGCCACTCGACTATTCGCAGCCGCAAGCGCATTCTGGTTTTTCCCGTTGTAAGTTAAAACTACAGTGGGATGACATATGTGTTGACACCCCCCTTATCCGAGATTCCCACACCGCCATTCATTCTGCCGGAAGAAACGCGTACACATCGCGTCACATACAAATTTTTATGTAATACCTATAGATCTATATTTCTAAATAAAAATGGCTCCAAGACCTCCAAGACGGCGCACGTGCGGTTATAGAGGCGGATGGCTGGTATACAAAGTATTAGGGCTTTTCGGAGGTTCTGGACAGGTAGATAATTACTATATTAGGAAGGCGGTGAAAGTGCGGAAAGCGGTCTGCAGGTGTTCGGATATGGGGGGTGCCAACACATAATCCTGCCAACACAAACGTTGCCGGCACACCACTGTTTCGCATATATTCCTCAATTTCAGCTTTACTATCGAAATATGCTACATTCCGTAGTCGACCGGCTGTCAGTTCAGTAACTCCTCGGAGAGAGGAGAAGATGAGATGTTGGACGCGGATCTCCTTGCAGATGTCTGTCACGGTTTTTCCTTGACTAATTTCAATATCCTTGTCTGTGGTAGCCCAGAAATCAGTTACTAGGAAAACTGTGTGGGAGCCTTCAATGGCGCTGTGGAGTTGAGTTGGAGATGAAAGGTCCGCCTAGGTTTCATTCAGCATGTGACGCAAACTAACAAGTATGGGAGAAACATACAGCAACCATCTCGACACCTTGTGAGGCAAGTTTCTTTGCGGGTTCTTTTGATGCATCGCGCGTTATTCCGCGAACTTTGTATTCCTTACTCAGGACAGGGTCAGCTAGAATGGCCTGGATGACAGAGCCACCTTGATTGCCTGTGGCACCAAATACTGTGATAAGTTTGAACATGTTTTCTTGCTCTGGAATTTGAATATGATCTACCGGATAGATGTGGTGAAGGTATCGAAGAGGAGTATGATTTCAAATCACGAGGTGAGGTTGCCCTCACGAGCGGCTGAAATCAGAATACTTATAGTTTTTCGCCTTTTTACCTGAATTTCTGGCCCATATGAGTGTTGGGTATTATAAAGCTAGTGTATTAATAATTATTCTGGGCCATGCTTACACGAATGCTTACTTCTTCGCAATTCCGTGGGATTGGTAAAGTAATTAATGAATCATTGACTCGGTTACAGGATGGTCCATGTAAAAGCAAGTTATGGAAATAAGTCATCTTCATCCTAGAGGCAAACTACTCACACCACAAAAGGATTGCATTCAAAACCATATCTTAAGACTTGATATAAGCATTGCGCTTGTCTTGGCACTGTCAGATGCTTGTTCCATTTGACGGTCTATCTGATGGTCTAGGTGCGCCACGGTCTGGACTCACATATTGTAGATTTGATTTGGCCAATACTAGGTAGGAGTAATCCTAAAAGTTTCTTCATAGAATCAGTCTATTTCAAGCTAAGAATGGTGATCTTGATTCTTGAATTCGAAGTTATACGATTCCAGGTAGTCTCCAGCAGCAAATCTCAACCGACGGTAAGGAATAGCGATATCCCTATCTCAATTGCCAGAACTCAATTGCCAGAACTCAATAGAGTGAGAGCCCCCTTCGCATCGGTATCCTCTCTGTTCTTTTCTCCATCGATATCCCATCTCACAGACACCCATCTGTTGCAATTTTCGTGTGTCTTTTGTTCCTCGGTCTGAGCATCTTCAGTGGCCTTGTCCTCTTCTTGGTCCTTTGTTACAGATATGTAAATTTTCTGTTTTTGCTCTCGGGAAGTTTAGATTCAGCCGGCTATCGTTCTGAATGAAGAGCTTGTGGCGCATCAGCGTGGCATTGGTGTGTCTCAGCAAGGAAGTTCACATATTTGACAATGGACTGGTGTTGACGTTTCTCAGCCAGCTCATGGATGCAAGCACATATGGTCATATAAGAGATAAGAACAATTTGCAACATTGGTTCTATTGGTATCGTTTGAGATGATCTTCTTGAGCTGCTCATGCTCTTTTGAATAACTGTCCGAGTCAGTTCCTTAAAGTCGGTGGTATTAGCCCAACCGAGGAGCTTCTGTAACATGCTCACACTTTCCTTCACAAGCGTACTGCTCATCACTCGCCGAGTCTCGCAGAAAATCCCCGTCAACATTACCATCACAAGAATCCAACTCGCGCACGAGGAGTGCCATGTAGCTTTCCGGCAACAAATTGTCGAACTGAATCTCCTCACGGGAATTCTACCTTAACGAAAGCTGAGATTGCACCAGATCATCGATTTCTGAGGGCGTGGCCGCGATGACGGTAACGATCTTGCCGGCATGGTTGGATTGAGAAATAAATTGTAGCAACTCATCGAGCGCCTTTTCCCCGAAGTTGTTTTCCGTAGGAATGACGCTCTGTTGATAACCAACAGTTTGCCGAGGGCTCTTTGCAATAGTTCCCCGGGTTTCGTGACAGTCTGTTGGACATATTTACCGATAAGTTCCGTTGACATGTATTCAATAACCGTTGGTGATGAAGGAATTTCATGTTGTAGTATACCTGTGCCAGAGATCCTGCTGCGGTACTCATTCCCGTACCTACCGCATATTAGCCACTAAAAAACAATCAAATATTCTGACAATTGAAAATTTTGTTTTACACTTACCCGGGGCTTCCTTCAAGTAGGTATTAGATCCTAGGGATTGAGACCGATTACAACCGCTTTAAGTTAGGAAACATGGAAACTGGAAATTGGCTCAATGATTTGATCGTCCAGCTTTTCTGCCAGTAGCTCATGACAATTGATGTGTCTGTGTTTATGTTCTAGATCGAAGTCCTCAGGCAAGAATTCTTCATCTTGTGATGCATCCTCGCAACCAACAGCTTTATATTGCCGTTTCTCGTAGTTCAACTTCGCTATGGACAAACACCTTTCAACCTCACTAGCATTCCCAAAGTTAGGACGTGTCAAAGCTCGCTCCAGCATATCTTTGGCAACTTGTATTGCATCTGAAGAACAGGCAGTTTCTTGCTGGCTAATCTTCCAAAGTAAGATTTGCTCCAGTCGCGCAAAACTGAAATCTTCAAAACGGACTGGTTTTCCGCCTGAAATCGACGTGAAAGGCCTGGGTTCATGTTTTATAGCATACCCTGAATTCTGTCTTCGTAACCGATAAGAATAGCGCATCGACCCCGTCCTGGGTTACCATTTACATTACCGACAATAGTATCGGCGACTGCATCCCTATATGAGCCTTGACCGCATCTTGGTCTCCCCCATCGAGCATATACGCTTGATCAATTACTAGAACTTTGCCTTCAATCGCATCAATTATCTTCTATATTTTCTCCTCCGACTATCCAAGAGAAGAGCCGATGAAATCGGCTGGTGATTTGATAACAACTATGAATACTCATCAGTGACATTCACAGCACCGCAGGCTCCACAATCTAGCCCTAAATAATAGAAAAGCTTGCCATCTCCTTTGCTCAAAAGCCCCAGATCCACCAGTATCCTTCCATATAACGCAGGAGCAGTAGTTTTGCCTTTTCCCGGATTTCCAACAAACAGCTGGTTCAGTGGCAGATTTCGGGGTTTCGTCTCATTAAGTTCACGTAGATAGTCTTGCTTGAATAATGATACCATGCTTGATTGAAGTTTTCAGAGAATCAAGTCCTATCATCTGTTGAAGCTCGATCCATGCTTGACTATTCTCAGATTTTGTTGTGGGATCTGGACCAATAATATCCTTTGTGGTCAGGATCTTGCACCCTTTTTCGACCTGGACTTACTCGCCGGATCCCTCAGGAATTCGATTTCCCCAATTTTACGGAGTTTGAACTTTGGACTATTCTTCCGTAAAACATAAAAAAACAGCTAAAAAATGTTGTAGTCGAGGAGGGAATTGATGGAAAGTGCATGCGCATAGCCATTCATCGTCTTGCTTCCAATTGCTCAAGCAGAGCTTGAGGAAACGCGCGGGCAGTTAAGAGTCCTCCCAGAATTTTACTCGCCACGCGCAATGGCTGCAAAAGTTACCAAGCGAAGATGTCGAACACGGCTTCCATCTCTTTCTTGTAGCCGGCGAAAATGACGACCAATTCGCTCATATTATCCTCCATTTTCTTATGTATCAGATCTATAATCTGCTTCCCAGTAGGATTGTTAAGTAATTGATATGCCTCATTCACAAAAAGCACTCCCTTCTTCAAGTCGGTCCAGCGCTACCTTGGGCTCCTCGCACCGAACGTTTCTGCGAAATCTGAATACTCTCAATTTCGTGGAGGAATTCAGCGTAGATGCCGGCCACTGTCGAATTTCCTTTAAAATTATAAAAGTAATTAGTTATGTTGTGGCAGCAAGCACGAAGAGTAACTTACCAATACCAGGGATTCTGGCGATTAATGTCTGCTTTGAATTTCATATCCAGAAATTGTTGCTTTATCTCTTCCAACCCCTGATATTTCCATTAGCTCGTCGATTCAAGTGCTTTTCTCTTCCAAAGCTTTTTGACAATTCCATTCTGCTTCCGCGTTCGATGGATGACTACCAAAGGGATTTGGGACGTCCATGTTTGATTCTTATTCATTCACAGCATCCCGCCCGTTTTCCATTGATTTGGTGTCAAGTATCTCTTGAAATGATGTAAGTTCCTTGAACGCATCTCCTGAGTCAATGTGCTCCGTTTTCTGTTCTGGAACTGGTTTTAGGAACGCTTTCCCATCCTGAACCTTTGCAGCCGGAAGCTGTATATACGCGGGCATATTGTCAATTGGACTGGTGTTTTGATTGTATGAATTTTTTTGGTCTATGGTTCCTTCAGACTTCGTCCGAAGACGGGTTTCGACACCGAGATTGTTGAATTGTTGACCCGGGAAATCTCGTTTTACGTCTTTTCTTCGACATTGCCGTCTCTTAGATGCCATGATATAGCAAAAAGAGACACATTATGTCAGATTATCTCTTTGATGCCTTAACAGGTTGGGAGAGCGACCTGACTGTCATCATTCATTATCAGTAAAGTATCATAAAGTAGAAAGGTTGAATGAAGAATACCTAGATAAAGATGGAAATTGCACAATGAGAAATAGAAAACAAAGTGGGTGCTAGATTATGAAGAGTAAAGGGGTTAATACGCAGTTATAGACACCTAGGGGAAGTCTAAATAATGCGACCAAGTAGCAGTAATGGGCGTAAAGATTTTATAAATAAAGAACGGATACCATAGTGTATGGGAATGAACAATACCTAGTTGCTACGGAGTCAATAGGGCAACAACAGGGCGCTGAACACAGCACTTTTGCCCAGTTGAACAAAGCAGCCACCAGTGGAGGAATTTTTTTTTGAAGAAACATAGCGAATAATTCTTACCTACAAGGAAGTAACAATACTAATTGGTAAGCTAAATTGGGAAAGTTAGGATGTCGCCCAGCAAGCGCATTTTTTTTAAGCTAATACTGTGCTGCTATTCTTTTCTAACCTTAACTTGGGTTGAGGGTTGTCGCTGATGCCATAAGTCCGTAATCATATAATAATCCATTGATAATAATAATAGTCGCCATACAGAGACTTTGACGCTCCGCAGTTGTACATGCTCTGTTTCAGCTATCTGCTATAAGCAGGGACGGCTCAGATGTGGAATGCTTCCATAAGCAAAACCACATGCAGGTGACTTACAGGATTAGAAATCTCTAAAGACTATTCTTCTGTAGAACCAGAAATTGGAGAAAGGAATGCCCGCGTCAACCCAAAGAGGAAACCATGAGTTCTTTCCAAAAGAGGTTAGTATCTCAGCCCTAAGCCCTATGATAAGCCCTAAATCGATCTTCTTCACTTTGTCATCTCTATTCAACCTCAAACATTTCAACCTCTCAATCACATATGCAACCAGAATCACTCCACACATTAGGACCGGTCCGATTCAGCGAGGCTAACAAGGATGCACAACTAAATGTCTTCATCACTGATAAACATTTTCAGGTTGAATTAAAGGTGTCCAACTTTGAGAAGTCATCGACTTTGTTAACCGAGTATCCGCCACCTTGCACGCCTAGAACCTAATTACCTACCGGAATCGGGCAAAGATGTCGAGATCCCCTAGAAGAACTGGCCAACTGGGCACTGAATTGTTTTCTACCAATATCCCAAAGGATTCCGCTGTGAGATCCTGAACGAATATACACTCTCCAGGATTGCTTATTTCCAGAAGTTCTGCATTACACTCTGTGTACCCAGGATGGTCGACTATTCCCTCTCCTCCTAGACAGGACCGGCGTAGAAAGATTTACAGGGGCCCTACTTCCACAGTCCGAGCAATATTCGGCATCCCCAATTTATCAGCCTGATGAATCCAAATTTCAGTATCGGATGGGTCTCGAGCATTACCAGCTATACCCCCCACAAAGGTCAGTAACTTGCTTTTTTTCAAATCATTAGGCGTCGGTAACGTGAACAGTACTTGCAGGGAGCTCAAAGCATATTCTAGAATACAGTCGATTTCATGTCCGGAACCCGTCAACTTCGGTGGCGGATACACCAGGGGCTGGGCGGATAAGGATTGGCAAACACGATCGGGGGAGATCTACAGGGTTTGCGGAGGATTACAAATTTCCTCTTCGATGATACCTAGTCTCTCTTAGCTGGGTAAGATAATTCTTATGAATATTAGCTTAGAGTGCCGTTCAAAACAATAGTCCAAATGAGAAAAATCCATATTATGAAGAACAACCACTTGTACATATCTATATTTATCTCGAAAGGGGGGTATCTTGATACAAAGTCAAAGAAGGCAGAAGGCAGAAAGCAGAGGAAATGTACATGAGCGCACACAAGAAGGGAAACACTTAAAACATGGACAGGGAAAATAAGCGCGGGAAAAGAAGGTAGAAAAGGTATATATCAAGTCAACCAACACAGGCAATGATTGTTTCGAAATGACAGTGATCTGAATTCAAAAATTCGGAGGAAATCAGACGGCAATGTAGCGGTTTTAAGCAAGAGTATCGACAGATCGAGGTCAAAACTAAGATCAGGGAGAAAGGAAGGTCATTCATGGAAAGTCGTTACTATAAAGCCGCAAGTCGGATGGTATACGCAGTAAACAGACTGAAAATCAGCGCCCATTCGTTGGAGCATTATTGCTGAAATAACTCTGATCAATCTTCAGAATCCATTCCACTTTCTGAGCTTCTGTCCGTGCCGCGAATAGGAATGTGTTCTGTGGTCCGTACACGGCAAAGATATTCGGTCGTCCGACACCGCTGCCCCGAGATGAAAATCCATCCGGTCCCTCGAAAAGACGCGCAAAGTCCGGGTCGTGGTCGACACGTGCATGGCGGAGATTGATTGTGTTTATTTCATCACCGTCGGGGACAGAGTAGACGTGTAAATAGGACCCGCGGAGTTCGATGAAACGTCGTATCCAGCGCGTGCTATTGTCATCCGGCATCATGAGATAGCTTGCTTTTGCGACTGTGGCGTTTTTGCTAAGAGTTTGGACATTGGCAACGTATCGGGGTGTTGCACCGTGTTCAGAAGCAGAAGCGCTATCAGAGGAGAATATAGATGGAACATTCGAAGAGACATTCCCGTTACTTGGTTGTTCGGTGTTGGAGTTTACCAGAATAATCTCTGTGGGATCTTTTCCTGTAGACCATAGATTGAGGTATCTTTTCATGAGGTTCATCTGCCGCTCTGAAAGCTCTTGGTTACGCAACGGGGTAGAACGGCCACTTCCTTTCGCAGGTGAGGCTACGAGACTGACAGTTCCCAAGGCTCCTCTAGCAGCCTCCAATTCAGCAGCTCGCTGCCTTCGCTTTCGGGAAGCAATGAAGTCACGGACCAAGGAAACTTTGCGTGGTGACCAGTTTGTTAGGAGTTCTTCGCCTTTGACATAATCATTCTGCGTGTTCATGCGCCAGAGGTCTGCAGCGCGTTTTGCGGAGACAGGGCGAATGACGACTGAGAACATGCCGACGGTAGAGTGCACTATTCTCGTTGAACTCCAGATTTGTCTGAGAATCGATTGCGGGCGAACATAGTTGCGTCCAAGAATCACAAGCGTTTGGTCCAGTGCAAAAACGATAGGTTCGTGAACACGAGACGAAACTAAGTCCCAGCGTAAAGTAACCTGGACGCGGTACTTCTCGGCCGTGGTGCGATCCATTAAAAGTGAGCCGTGAAGACTAGAGTCCCATTGGCCGATAATCGTCAGATTTGAAGTTCCATCGGCATTATCCTTGATCATCGGCTCCTGCACTAATCGGAGCGGTACATCAGGAGTTTGGAAATCTTGGTCAGGTATCTTACCCCATGGATCAAGTAAACGGACCGAGCCGACCCGTAGATTAGTAACATCTTCCCAGGGAAAATTCTCGGTGGAACTGTGCGTCAGATGAATTGCAACTCGTCTTTGCAGACCCTGGTGTAGTTGATATGTTCCAGCATCCATGCTGTTGCTCTGCACCACTTCTACAGGTAAGTACTCGCCGCTTTCCGCGAGTTCGAGGATCTGAATGCGGGAGAAGACATCGTGGCGTTCTTCGGTGAAGAATTCTGTCTCCGCGATTCTCGGCGTTTTGCGTTTTGAAGGTGCCGGAGTCTCGGAAGAATCGCGCATATCATCCCAGCTAAGGAGTTTATCCAGGTGCATTGATGTCACCTTGGCATATATGCAGACTTTTAATGAAGCAGTTCGCGGACTCGATAGTGGCAAGCTCATACTGTGTACGCTTTCAAATCGCACCGGATTCTCGTCGAAACCGCTAATCATCTGCGTCGTCGTAGCTCCCCCTTCTTCCGATACACCCGGTACAAACAGCTGAGCATGGACCTCTGTTCCTTCACGTTCCGCAAATCCGGCCATATCCCGCATGACCACGTTGAATTTGAGTGTAGAAGATGGGCCTTGTGCTGATGATGGCTCAAGAGACAGTCGAATAATACCAATGACGCTTTGCGTGTATGGAGAAACAACCTCCACCGAGAAATCCTGGACCCGCATCTCAAAGACAGCAGTCAGCGGTATATCTGCATCGCCAACTAGAGAATACTGAGCCGGACATGTGTCGGAGAAGGGATTTTCCAATTTGAAATGCTGGATATAATCCGGGCGATCAATATATTGATGCATCTGGCGCATTGCTTGCACTCGTTTTTGAAGTTTCTCGATTGACCAGAGATGGACGACGCAATGTTTGAAGTCGATAACTCGGGCACAAACGCATGGTTTCTTGATGGTATCTAATGCGTCATCATCTTCACCAGAAATACCATTGAGAACAAGATCGTAGGAAGATACCATATTGTGCCCTTCATCGATAATAGCAAATTGAAATACGACATTCTTATCCATAATCTGGCTCATCACTTGGGCCTCCTTTAACAAAGAAGCATGTTGCAATATAGATTCCGCCATGCGAACATAATTCCTTTTTGACCAGAGGCGAACAACAAACTTAGCGATCTCGATTTCCTTGTCATCGAGTTTGGCAAATCCATTCTCATAGATTTTCGGAACCGGATGGCCCATTTCTTTAATATGGGTTTCGTATTGCTCTTTCTGCTGTTTGAGCTGTTTTTCAAATTCGGCCTTGGCTGATTGCAGGGCTTCCTCCATACGAGTCTTTTCTTGTCGCAATTCTTCAACGTCGACATGAGACGCATCTGCTTTTAGCTTTTCTTGAAATTCGCCCTTTTGTTTATCAAGCTGACGTTGCATGTCGTCTCGAGCTGCTTGCAACGAAGAATCCCCTTCCTCGTCATCAACCTGCCGAGGAGTTCCAGGCATCGTGATTGCAGTGTCGAGAGAGAAGTTATCAATGGTTCCGTTCGACATATACTTATCGCGGACGGGGAATGAACTCAGGGAGTCGGTATCTTCTTCATTGTCTAGCAACCCACGACGGACTGCACGAGCCTTCTGCACGTCATCAAAGAGAGCATCGAGCTCGTCGTCATTGAGATCAGAAATTTTCTGGTCGGGGCCAAGAATTGCACTAGCCGCCTCTCTACGGGCATAAAACCAATCTGCATCTCTGCCGCTGCGGTTTGGTATTGGAGAGTCGATCCGACTTATTTCGCCATCAATATCTGATCCAGTCTTGCTGACCGTACGGTCATGGCTCCTACTGGGAGCTGGCGACCCTAATTGGCTAGTAGTCACCGAATGACGCAGTAAGCTCTGTTCTACCCTTTCAGCACGGGCTTCCTCTGGATGGTTGAATCGGAAAATATGGAAGTCACCAAGGATGATACGACATCCACTTCGCAGGCGTGTTGGCTTCTCGATACGTAGACCATTGACCATGATTGCCGCTCCTTCGCTTGGGACTAGGGTCACCACATTGTCCACATTCTGAAAGATACAATGCTGTTGCTGGATTTTCGACCCGTTCAACCGAATTTCTGCCCCATTCTCTTGATCAATATTGCCGACCCTGGTTTCGCCCGGTTTGATATTGTAAACAAGACATTCCGTCAAAAGTGGATCGTCGCTCAGGTTGACCAAGTGAGGCATTTTCTTCGGTGTACTGAGCCCGACGAAGCCCTTTTCAATACTGATGCCTAGCTCCTCCAAAGCAGCTTCACGCTCCTTTTGAATTTCCTCCGTCTTTGCCAACTTCTCCTCCCATGTTTGATTCAAATCTTTGTACAGCTTCTCACTCTGATTCAGTTGTTCGACAATTTCGGCTTTGCTAACCTTCTTGACAGTACCATCAGGCTGAGCAATGGAGACTATTTGCTGATCCAGAGGTGTATCAGCGGGATATGATTCCTCCATTGGAGCACCTGATGCTATTGCGCCACCTGCACCACCACCAAGTTTACTCCGCAACTGAGCCAGTTCTTCTTTCAATTCACGAATCATTCGAGCATTCGGGTCTTCGTTGACCACAGCGTGATTCTTGATACGTTTCGCTGAATCCGCGTATCGCAGGGTACTAAGCGTCTCTTCGAAGTTGATATCTGCAGGAGAAATGGCAGCAATCATAGCAGTCATAGAATTTCCCCCCAAAGAATCCTTCAACAACCACGTCAATACAGAATCACGATAGGGTACCAGTGTTCCTTTCTTGCCTTTGCCGGACGACAAATCGGCCAGCGCAGCAATAACACGACCTAGAGTAGAAAGAGAACGGTTAATTTCTGCTCCTTCTTTCAGTCGAGCACCGGTTGCACCCGTAGATGTCGCTCGCTCGGAACCTGCTAAATCGACCAGACTAATCTTGGCAACCTTTTCAGTGTCCATGGTAGTTTCCGCATCGTGTCGCTTTTGCGTCAAAGTAAGGGTAAATACGGCGTGCGACCGACTAGATGTTTCGTTCATATTTGTCGCGGCAACCGTTCTAGCTTTGTTACCTTCGTCCATCAAATTCTCGATCTCTTGAAATGATCGCACGACGAGTTTCGCCAAATCCTCAACGTATGGACCGGTCGACGGGTGCTCTCGAACTTTCAGATTTCCCTTCGTAGCGGGGTTGAGCAAATCGCGGACGCGTTCGTTGTAAATTTCCAAATACGAGACTTCCACCGTACAGGTCAAGTTTTTATCCTCCTGTAACACAGCAATCCGCTTAAACATGTCCTGGCAAATCTTCGGAATGACACCGTGCTCCTTCCCATAACCCATCATCGAATACGATTTTCCGGAACCCGTTTGACCGTAGGCGAAAATACAATTGTTGTAGCCCTGGAAGGCATTGTCGAGAAGCGGTACACCCAAATCTCCAAATAAATTCTCTTGCCCAGCGTAGTTTGGCGATGATTTATCGAAGGACCAGTACGATCTGTCGAAGGCGAATGTTTTGGGACCGTCCGCCGTACCCTTCATGCCACCTTTGGATGCTTTTTCGGCGGCACCAGGAGGGGGTATGAGGACGGTCTGGTTTCCTTTCATTTGGACGATACATTTTGCGTTGCGTTCGATTTCTAAAATCCGGTATTGTTAGTCTGTTACTGGGCCAAACCCGTCAAATCAATGATCGGATACTATCAACTTGCCTCGACTATTGAACGGCCGCACTCGCACCACCACCTTAATATTTCCACCACCGGCGGGAGCCATTTTGACTACTTAAGTGTCTTCCATACACTTGGACCACTGGACACAGATATTCTCGAGACTCGGCGTCTCTCCCGGAAGCCGGGCGTCACGTAGGATATGCCAATACAACACGGCCGACGAGTCGCCGCTGCGACTGCAGTTGGTTGCGGGAAACACGAGCGCACGCGGTTTGATGTTCGATCTCGTCTTGCGTACGTATATCCGTCGTTCTCTGTGTGCCGAAGTCGATCTGTCCCTTACTCCGCGAATGTCAACAAAGCAGCGTCATTCGGAATAGACAAATTTCCCGTCGCGTCGTGTGACGTAGGTCGTCTGGGCGATGGGCGGCAGACTGTTCACGTTTCTTGCAGCCAGATATGCGAGTTCCGCCTCGTGGCAGCAGCAGGGTAGTTGTCGTATACTCGTTTCTTTCTCTGGGGTAAATAATGGTCATTGTTTTTCCCTGGTTGCCTTCGCTCAGGAACGGTGGACAGACCACGGCCAGAAACGGTTTAGCGGCACCCGCTCCCCATGAATTTGATGTGGGTCTTCTACTTTTTTTTTTGATTCATCCACATCCCTGACGGGGTTCACGACTTTGTTAAGAAGGATATGAGACAATTCATCGTAGAGAGCGAGTTTCTGGAGGATACTGTCCTCTGAGGCAGCCACTTCCATGTTTTCCCGGTGGATACAAGATGAGAAACCGCGCTTATCACAGATGCCCGATGGATGTATATATCTTCGGCAAATACAAAGGCCTCAGGTAGGTCATTGGGTGTAGCTATGTGCTCATAACGATGACGAATGAATTGTGATATTAATACTATTCATACAGATACATATACTAAAACAGGTCATCATCCTCAAGAAGAGGGAATATTACAAGAATCCAAAGATGCCATGGTTTTATCATCATACACCGAATATTTCCACTCAGACAGTGGATAGATTCCGGAAGGTCAATAGAGAATAGACCGTCAAGTTCCAAGTCTCAGTCATGACCACGAAGACCTAAACGTCCTCGACTCGTCGCTAAAATACCTCTATTAGCGTCAACAAGCGGATTCACCCACTGCCGTTCAACTTTGTCATTCGATTTGACCGGGAATGCAGTGCCACCTATCCAACGCAGTCCGTTAGCAAATACATCCGGAGGACAAGACGAAATAAGAGAGCCTTACCAATCAGCGTAGGTTGTGCGTTGAAATATATATTATCATGGCTCTTTCCCTCCGCCTTATAAATCTCATGAAAGATGAATAGGTGTGGATGTTCCTTGACCGTTCGATTCCACCAGTCCCAGCCCTGACGATGAATCGGACTTTCGGCAAAGGCATGAAGGCCTTCAATGCCTCTCCAGTAACTGATGGTTACTATCTCATTCGACGCTTGGCCTGAGCTCCCAAGGTACGAGCTTCCACCTAGAAAGCCGAACTCTTCGCGGCCTTCCGGGCTGTCGAAAGATTGGAGCATGGCCATGAAGTGGTCGCTTGTTTCTTTGAAGCCGGAACTTAGCATTCGCAAGGGGCTTTACTCGCTGTTAGTCGCTTCTCACTTTTTTGTCAATCTATCATCCGGACTTACCGGTTCGACTTGAATCCCAGAAGTAAAACCACAATGCTCTCTTTACTTGGTTCCGCGGGCATAGTCCCATTCATATCAGGTATCTGTGCAGTCGTTCTACCGGGTATAACCTTTGCCATTTCAGGATTAGGAATGAGGCCGTATATTTGCATGGCTGTGCTGCCGAGGCTGTATACTAGAAATGCGAACAGACATCCGGCCAGATAGTTTGCACTCTTGGGTAAGAGAATTGATATGAGTGCATATGCAGAGGCACCAATGACCAACCAAGTTGAAAGTGAGAGTTGGTCTCGGATTATCTGGGGAGTGTTAGTACCTCCCGTACATTGGTTGGATAGTCAAAATATACAACACTGGAACCGCCGGTACCAGATGCTAACACCGATTTTGGCACTGTTTTAGATGGCTCAAAAATGGGTTTTGAAGGCATATTGACACTATTTTCCTTCTGATTTGGGATTGATCCTGAGGGTTTGCTAATATTGGGCAGTGATTTTATTATCTCGTTGGTTGATTGAAGTTGAGTTTCAAGTCATGCTCCTGAACAATAGCGACCACTTGAGGCTTATATACCCATGACACTCACGTCTCGATCTCTGATAAGTTGTCGGAAACAATATTGGATCGGGATGTACGCCATGCAGAAACGAATGATGTTGTTGCGCACGTAACAATGCGCCATGATCCCATTTATCCGACTCGGCCGTCTTCCGGACCAATTGTATGCCGCCATACTTAAATCCGGGGTTCTCGTTTAGCAAGTCGAGCGCTTATTTTTACAAGATCGATCGCAACCCTGCCAATCGTGATATTCTGTAGCCTGAGATGATTAATGTTGGTTGGTGAAACGAGTAAAAGTTGTGATGTGGCCTCGGATCATTGTTCTTCCGTGACTCGAGACGGGGTGTTAGGCTGTTCAAGCACCGAGGCATCCAGGCATCAATGTCAGTTCGGCCCAACATTCATCCTCCACGACGTCATGTTTCTTTACCTATAGTTTATTGAAGATGGAATGCCAATATTTGTTTTTATCAGATTTTCTGATAGGGGTTGAATGTATCCTGATTCATGGAGTATGGATCCTCTTTTCTCCATACATAATTTATCGTTGCCTGGCTTGAAGGAGGATACCTTCTACTAGGGTTAGGCTACTATCAAGCGCCATAACCCCCATCCATGTACATCGATATACCAGAAAAAATCGGAAGCACTGCGATTGAACTGAGTATAACCGTCTCTACCTGTTATGACTACACAAGTGTGACTCAGACAGTTCTCGTAGTTATGATGAAATTCAGCCTGGAAGATTGATAGAATCCTGTCATCGGCCTGAGTGCTTAGTTAGCTGCATGAATGAGCTGGCACGGCTTAGATATTAACGTGGATATTTTCCCATCTACCAAAGTCGATGACCTTAAGACATAAAATTTATGTAAGTGACTCTGAATTAGAGTTAGTATTTATGGCGCTGGATAACAGTTTTCATGATGAGTTGTCCGACCCGCCGCACACAACACTCGGGGTGAGTATAAACTGAGGCACTGCCATCCTCTCACTGGGAAAGTTTTGAGATCTTTATTTCCTCGACATTTTCTGTCTATATAGGCCTATCACGTTCAAAAATTCTGGGGCTCATTGTGCCTCGAGTCGAGTTACACAGAATGCGATGTATGTATAACCAATTTGCGTGCTGGTGGTTTGGATAGGATCACAATGATTACGAATTAAGCATAGTATTGCAGCTATAATGTGTGCATTGCCAGCGGCTGTGTGCATTGCAACACGGTCATCTGACCTGACTTGGGATAAGAATCTCCAAGGCAAATGCTTGATCAGTTAGGTACGGTGACCAGCAAAGCACAATGATGGAAAACCACTAGCAACAGGAATAAGATACCACGAAAGTACAGGTCCCTAGATAATCCAAGGTAGTATCGGGGATGCACCCCTGGAACCATCAGGAAGAAGAGAGTAGTGTTGTGATTGCCGAGTCATCACGACTCCTGAGTGTGGATCAGTCTCTACTGGTCAGGCAACCAGTAAAGACGAAAGAAAGCTATTATTGACCACTAAAGTTGGGCCTTATTATTAGAAATCTGATAGTCGTGAAGGTAACCCGTGTTTGCCCTCCTATCAAAACTCAGAAACGGTGTATGACCCTCCGATTGGACTTCAGATATGGAGCAGGCTCTGCTTCCCAGTTTCAAGAAAACACGTAACCGTCTCTGTACGTATTCGTTTTTCAAGCTGAATCGTTGTTAAGTAAGAACAAACAAAAGATATTACCATACCATGAAAAACAATGGTGTATCAGCCGAAAACCGTCATCGTTGTATGTCCCAAAACGTGACTAGGCTGTGACAACTGAGTCAATACAGCCAGGGTGGTGGTAATATAGACGTGGGCAATGGCGGAAATGTGGATTGCAGCCATTTGGCTGTTAGATATGTGCCTTCAGATGTATTTGATATGCCAATTCACTGGCCCCTTTACCCCCTCGAACCGCTGCCAGGCAGAAGGATACCTCCCCTGGGCATTGTTTATCCTAAGACGTCCCACCGAATCTTTAATATACTGCTTTGCAGAGACTACATATCATTCATATTAGATCAGTGCTATATCCTTTCCTCGATTAAAAGATAATCTAATCCTTTTAGCTGATAAATATATTAAACATAAGCTCTATTAGACCTTAGACCTGATATACATAAGATGTTTAATAATATAGAACACTATTTCACATCTAGAATCATGCCTACCCCGGATAAGAATAAGAAGTAAGGGATTTATAAAGGAATAAAGGTTCTTGTTCACCTAGGTAAGGGCAGCTCCAAATTGATTAAGTCTCCGAACTATTAGAGGGACTTGCGCGGGGAGCATGGTTGATGCTGCCGCCAACTCGTTTCCAAGGCATCAGATCAGTTCCTGAGGAAAGCCAAAAATGGCCTTTTCACCTTCCTGCCTCTCCCCAGTCAAGCTAGGCAAAATCGTGGTTTCCACCATGTCTCTCTCCCGTATAAGACAGCATCCCTTCGATGGCCCCCTCAGAGAACCACCTGCGTTTTCCCCCCCTGATATCGACACTGTATATAGTTGTTGTTTACTCAGAATCATTCGGCTTTCACTAGACATTCGCATATGTAAGGATGATTCGAAGACGATGATGTCTTTAGTAATGTCGATGCTGCCCACGAGACTGATCTCACCAGCGATGACGATGATGATAATGAGAACGAGAACAAGAACGACAACGACAACGATAACGATGTAAACCACGCCCAAGATCATAGTGATCTCGCAGACCTCTTCGCCGACAACGAACATCCTCCCGAATACTACATCGACCAACTCGAAAACTTTGACGAAACGATCTACAATCAGGAGGACTACAGCACTGGGACTCAACGCATGCGCGATCGAGTGGAAGGATGCTGGAATGGGTAGGTGCTGCTAAGCTACCCTACCACCTGTTTCTACGTATCTGACCCGCTCTAGATTTTGTCTACATACACAGCGAGACCCTGTGGAGTCATACTTGACCTTGTCTGCGAAAGTGCTAGGTACCTTCCTTGAATGGGTGCTGAACCTACGTCGTGGGAAAGGAGGACGCTGGCTGCGCGGCATTAAATCTAAGAGCTCATTGTAGATGTTCTGGAAGGTATTTCGTCTTGTGCGCGAGCGAGCCACTGGCGACAAGATCGATCCTATTACTACGCGTCAAATGAAACGGGTATGAACTTTCTTCCCATGCAGACCGGTCTGAGGCCGGGATTGTGTAAATTGGAGTCCTAGCTGATCAGATCACAGGTGATTCGGCATCTTTCTAAGAAGTACCAATTGGAGAAGAGCTGTGAGAAGTTGGTCATTTATGTGGAGGACCCTGCAAAAGTTGTAGAGACTACGGTTGTGACGACCCGGAAGAAGTTTGGCCACGGCCACCATTGGATTGAACTGTACTTGTTCCTACAGCTGGCTGGCCTTGCTATAAACTAGCCGCAGGCGATCTTAGATCTCTACTATTGACATATTTGAGTGACTTTGCTTCAGGAGCCTTGTGGTGGTCCGCACCAGACCTTGATTAAGTTTACCTTTGAATTTACTAAGGAGTTGCTTGGTGTAAAAGATGAGTATGGGGTGTTCCCATTTAATCATTATTACTCTAGTGTGCGCTCTTATCTGACAACGATTAGAAATACATTTCCTTTCACAGAAATCATCTTTGATCCTTCACTGGTTCCCAGCCTTTATATCTTTCTTCTGACAAAGCTAGAGGTGGAATTCACTAAAAAGAGCTACTTACTACAAGAACGGGGTCTCGGGGCATGAATGCACATCAGAACATACAAGCTGTATGTCATCTGCTCTACAGCAAGGCCCTGAAATTAAATTCCTAGCTGACAACTATCATAACCATGGAAGCGCTCGATTGTTGATTATCATTATTAGCTGCCTTATGAAGACACAAACTTGCTAGCAAGCTCTTCATTTGAATTGTTGTTCATTTACTACGGTCTTACAAACCACGCTTGACATTTGCGACATGCCTCTACAGATTGAAGCGAGACATCAATCAAGATGTACAACTGTAAATCTCGTATAGTTTCTCACACACCTTGATTTTTATCACCGTTTACCTCCTCGTCGTCGGCCTGGCATATTTGTTTCCCCGTTCCTCGTCCCTCTTGCGCTATGATTCTCTGGTCTCTTCAAGAAGCTGATATGGTGTCTTGCCCTCTGCATTCGGCTGATCCATTCTGCATCCTGCTTCTTGCAAGATTTCAAGTACCTCGTCATGCGCTTTCGCTCTCCTTTCAGGTGTAAATGCATCCAGTGTTCCGTCTTCGTTCTGCCGAGCCGTAGGAAGTGCTGCCATTGCTCTGTGGAGTGGTGTTTCTCCCTTGGTACTAGTAGCATCAACATTCGCACCGTGATGAATTAGACGTCTCATTAAATTCATTTGTCGCAAACTCCTAGCCATATGGTGTAGAGGAGTATTACCTTCCGAATCAGCATCATTAATCTTGGCTTCATATGCCATCAATAAATCCAGTATAAGTGGATTGACAGGTTGGCATCCTGTAGTCCTGACAGCTAGGACATGTAGTACATTCTGTCCACTGATATCTCGTATACTAGCATCCGCTTCTTTGTCGCATAAAAGTCGGATCATTCTCTCCAAATGTTTGGTTCCGCCACAATCCGCATGACCTCTTATAGTAGAGAATAGGGGAGTTGCACCATCTTCGTCTTGGACGTTGATCGTTTTCGGATTCTTTGTATAAGCAACTCGAGAGTATCACATATCTGGGAGGCAATCTCATCATCAGTGAGATAATAATCGTCAAAGCAAATGTTCTCGGCTGCCCAGTGCAGCGGAATACGTCCAGCAGTATCACGCATGGATACCATATCTGCAGGCTTTACCTCGCCGCAGTTGTCCAGTAGCGCCTTGATTCCCTGTACATTCCAATAGCCGCTAGCGACATGCAATGCAGTCACTTCTCTGACAGCGGTTACAGGATGACCACCCCAGCCATACTGTCGGGCGTGAACATCTGCCCCCTCAGCAATAAGACGCGATGCCAACTTATAACTGGCACGTGAGACTGCTCGTCCGAGAGCAGTAGCTGTAAGAGACATAGGTTTCTCATCTTGCTCAACATCAGGAAACTTGTATGAACGAACGGCATCTCGTACACTAGCACCCCTGTCAAGAAGCATGCATAATATTTCTTCGCTACGTGCAATTTCGTCTTGGAGCCAGATCTTTCGACCACCAGTGCTCGGGTCTGGGCTATAGCAAAGATCGGAGCGTAGTGAGTATGCCACAGAGAGGAGTGCACTGCCACCGTGAGAATCAGAGGCATATCTTGCGCCCCAACGGGGGGCTTCTGTCTAACAAAAACTTCACTGTATGAAGTTGGGCGCCTTCACAGGCAACATCCAGTAACGAGGTATCCCAGGGGCCGTCAAGTTGAAGTTGCACCCCATTTGAATCAGCTAGATCAAGAAGTACGCGAAGCACATCTAATCTATCATCCGCTGTAGCTACGAAGAGAGGATTGTAATAGGCCATCGCTTCCCGAATAAAGACTCGTTCTGGATATTTCTTTATGTAGGAGTGTAGAGTTGCCACATCATTGCTTTCAATGATTAGGCGTAAGGGTGAAGAACCCTCCATTGGGTTCTCATCAAAAAGCTGCTCATATTTTTCAAGATCTGTCATGTTGGGGTGAGCCTTGTGGTTTTCTTTGTTGTGTGGAAAGGAAAATGAGTTCGTGCCTGAGCAGAGTGAAATGCCCGCGGGCTGGCCAGAATTCATTTTCCTGATTCTTATCGGCTCTTGTTCTACTCAGCTGACTTCCAACTCCTATTAATGATATGACGGTTAGCAAGCTTCCGAAAACAGTGTTTCTTCCCACTGCCTTACCTATGCACGTTGCTAACCGCCATGTTAATGTGCTAGCACGCTGACATGCTGAAATCTCAAATAGAATTATGTCGGCGTAACGGATGACACTTTGAGGGGGGACATTTGCCGGTTTACCGTACTTAGGTATGCGCACGCACCAATTGCGGTTGTGACTTCCGCTATAATCTTCAAATTTCCTGCCGCTGCTGGACCACAACGACACGCCAACATTGGTACCTATCAAATGCGTATCGAGCGAATCAACCGATCGCAAGACTTAGATCAGATCACATCGACCCGACAACAGTGATCATTCACTACATGAAATCCAACGCAACATGAAATGCATAATCGACGCGTCATACGCCCAGATAGATGGCATCCAACACCGAAGTCCTCGTGCACGTTGAAGCTCCCAGCGCGGTGAGTGACGATGCTCGATATCGCGCTCTTGTCGCGTCTTGCCTAGCGTTCGAACCCGTGTCGAGTCACTATGTCTTCCGGCTACATGATAATAGTGGTGGAATCGACGTGGAGGTCAGTGTGGACAAGACGCGTTCGTTCGTGTCAGTGTCCTCGTCATCGAGTGGTCAGCCATCATTTTTTGCTCAACACCATGAGACAGGAAAGGTCAACTCTGGCGACGAGTTAATCAGTATATTGACGTCGGATGAGTTTGAGAATCAGGGATCTCCTCGGCATATTGAGGTTCGACCTCGCTCGCCAGGGGTAACAGTGCAAGACGTCGGCCTGCCTCTTCCTCCCGAGTCGAGTGAAGAAAGTGAACTGTCCTTCCAACCTCTGATTCCACTCACGTCCCCAACCGGCACCGGAGACACGCCTCAGTCGGAAAACCCAAAATCTATCCATGTCAGCAATGAAGACCTTGGAGCGGAGCCATGGGAACCCCCATTAGAAGTGATTCCAGATTCACAAAACGAACAAGCATATCAAACAGCTCTAGATGATTCTGTCCAGGTTGATCGCTCGTTTGTTCCTGATTCAGCACGGCAATCTAGGAGGTTCACGCTCGACAAGACAGAAGATCCAGAGAACGATATAACGCGAATACCTTCATCAGTGCCCAGTCCAAGTCCTAGAGAGTCATCTGCTGCTCAGAGGAACCATTCAGTGGTGGATGGTCGATCTGATTCTCACCTCAAAGAAAAGTCATTAAATCTACAACCGGTACCGAATCCAATCGTTTCTACAAGCGTTCTCGGAAAAAGAAAAGCACCCACCTACAACGACAACCCTCGAACCTCTAACTCGACAGACCCCAAAGCGCAATCATCGTCAAACCTACCCTCCCAAAAGCGTCCAACACTACCCCAGACCACCGAAACAATATCCCTATCCAACCTCCCCATCGAAATCCGCACTCCAGATCCACCAGTCTCCAACGAGAAATTCCGCACCCATATCACTCCCACACTCAAATCCCTAGCAGAGCGCATGAAACAGTCATCTCGATTTACCCCCAAATCACAAATCAGGGACTTACGTCCTTTGGAAAGAGGGTATTGGTTCATTCCGCAAATAACCATAATACCAGACAACCTTCACTCAGGAAAAACGAACGCAGAGACGTGGACGCAAACATTCTTCTCCCAATTCTGGTGTTTTCTTCGCGATTTATTTACCGAGGGTCGCGCCGGGTGGGGTATATGGTGTCTTCTCGAGGAGTCCTCCCCAGCTTCTACCACTACCTCTACTACGAAAGAAGGCAAAACCGTGAATCTGAAATTATATACATGGGGCGAAGTAGCGCCTCATTTATATTTGTTACTTTTCCTCGCGACAGAGAGACGAATCAAGAAGATGAGTGATGTTGAGTGGAGGGATGCGAGGGATGAGGGTGTTATTGTTATGTGATTTCATGATATACACGACATAAGTTGTGATGATGTACGAGGATGCGTTATGATATAATACTAGCTTAATACACCAATATCATTCAACTATTCATAGGAACGCTTATTATTTGTGGTTCTGCAGACAATACAGCATTTCGCCAAAATAAAATCCCATTCCAAACTATGATTTTGATATAGTACATCAACTGAATCTCCTCTCCCATAACAATCGAGAAAATAAGGGGGTAAAGGCTATTCGATGAATACAGAAGTGAAACCCAATCTAATAATTCAACTCCCCACTACCCGAACCACCGACCGCATCCAAATCCTCATAACTCTTCAAACTACGGCCCTGAACCGCCTCTCGCGGTCCCATAGCTTGATGTCCATCTAGTGTACCTCCGGCGCCAGTAGCACCAGCACCAGCGGGGATACCGCCCGCTGGCAACATGGCAGCTGCAGGGTGACCTGGTGGGACATACGGTATACCACTGATACTGCCGCCACCGCCTGGAAGACGGCCAAACATACCCGGCATACCGCGGACGGGACTGAGGCGGCCGTGGTTATTATTGCGGTTTCCGCCACGACGATCGTATGGGCCGGAGCGGTTACTGTATCGCCCTCCTCCACGACGCATGACGCCTGGTTGGCCGTGGTGGGACATCATTGTGCCGTCGCCGGTCATCATGCCGTTGAAACCGGGTGCGTTGACACCCATAAAGCCAGGGACTGCATGCATGCCTTGAAATGTATTGGGGACGTTGCTGCCGTTAAAGTACGGCATGTTAGCGGCCAGGTTGAAGCCGCGAGGTGTGCCTGGTTGAATGTGGTTGCTGCTGAATGGAAAGTGGCCATTGCTGTTGGCATCCGTGCGCGAAGGAGCAATATGAGCCGGGTCAAGGACGTATTCATTGACCAGCAACAGCTATATACGTTAGTAAAATCCTCAGACCCGAACCGAATGGGGACGTACATCATTTTTGATATTCTGATACCATTCCTCGTGACGTTTTTCCACATGTTTGCGCCAAAAATGATCCGCCTTAAATAACTTCGAACATTCTGGGACCTTGCATCGAAACTTGGACTCATCTTCTTGCTTTACGTATTTGGACAACTCTTCTTCCAACGCTTGTTCAACGTCCTTCCCACCAAGTTTCGTAAGATCCACATTCTCCGGCTCGAGAATCTGAAGAAGCTTATCTTCGAACGTCTTGACCCAGTTGAATGCACGTTGTAGCTGTTGTTCACCTTTAGACAATTTCTGAGGTCGCTTCTCCTCCGCTGCTGGGGTTTCTTCACCTTCCTCACTGGCATCCTTCTTCTTGGTAGGGAATGGTTGGCCCATAGCACTGGCTCTAGCAACCTGTTTCGCCTGATTGCTGAGGCCAGACCTAGGACGACGAAGATGACCACCAGGACATTTTCGAACCAATTCGTGTACCGAATCACTTTCGAAAACACAGAAGAAACAGAAGTTGTGCACTCGTCGAAGATATTCCACCATCAAATCGATTTTCTTCTTTTTCACCAGTAGATCTTCATCGTCAATATCTTCCTCATCCAAACCCTCCATTTCTTCACCTTCTTCAGCTTCTCCGTCATCCATTTCCGTGTCAAGTCCATTCTTCTTCTTGGATGCGCCGGACGATACAGTCGGTTGCAAGAAGCCTCTTTGATGAAGATCCTCCACTTTACCCTCAATCTTGGTACATGCATCCACATCTCCCATCTCCGTGTCCAATTTACCAATAAGACGACGCGCAAGTTCAAGATCACGCTCGATCCTTTCAGGAGCGGAGAATAGATCCCACAAAGCCTTTTTGCGAGGCTGCGACGGAGGAACATGCACGCCAACATGGCAAACGAAATCTCCATTGACAGGATCATAAATGGTTTTGTCATTAACAGCTTCCAATGCTTTCTCTGCCGCGGATGCCGTCTTCGATCCGTTAGTGGTAGCCTCTGGTTCCTTCTCTTCCCCTTCTTCATCCCGACCATCGCCTCTTTCCACAAGAGCAGGTTCATGTGCAGCAGGGTGCAGTATGATCCACCCCATTCGATGGAACTTTTTGGAAGGATTAGGATCGCTCAAACTGAGCCATCTGAACCCACCATCTTGTTCACCCAAGTGCTCTTTGCAAAACTCCTCAATCTTGATTCGATTCACATTCGGTGCCAGAGTCTTGATCAATAAAACAGGCTGCGACAAAGCCTCATCGCGCAATTCTGCGCCTCGTGCTGGTAGTAGGTCAAGAACGCCGAGTGTCTCCCCGACCGCAGTGGCTTCTCCTTCCTCCTTTTCAATCACACCACCTGCACCATCACTCTCGCTTTTATAGATCCCTTCGAGTGTAAACTCATCAAAATAGCCAGAATCAATATCGCGTTCCCACTGATCATAGACACCGCGTCGAAACTCCATCATCTGTCTTCTCAAAGGGTCGCGAACCTCTGCAACATATTTCTCCTTAAACCACTCCTCATTCCGATGCTGCTTAACAAACGTGCGCGACATTTTGATCTGCAAATCCGCCTTATAACTGTCGTAAGCGGCCTGAATCAAGCTCTTCTCTTTATCCCGATCTTCACGAGCTTCCTTCTCGCCTTTGAGGCGATTCAAAGGGTGACGTCCACCATGCTTAGCGCGTTCCTTTTCCTCTTTGATATTTTGTTCTGCCCTCCACCATTCTGCGAACCAGGTAAAACCGACCTGTATATCAAGTGACATGGGGTTTGGAAGAGGGTTTGTCGGCACGATTCGTTTGCCTGCATCTTGGCCTGGAATGTAGCGATCAATGGCAGCCGGTGAAGCAGCTCGTCGGCGATCGTCGCGATCGCGAGGTGCATAGTCTCGATTATCTCGAGTAGGAGTGTAATACTCGTCGGCACGATTACCCCGACTGCGATCTTGGGGTTCGTATCGGTCGATACCTGGGGGTGAGCGCGATCGTCCGCGACCTGCACCACTTCGTCGGCGGTCTTGCGAGATACCTATTATATTGTCAATCTACCAACCTATCTCAACCCACATCCCTTTCCATCGGCAATTCCTACCTGGCGAACGACGACGGTATCCATCTCCCCCACGACCCCTGCCAGGTGACGTGGGCCCATCGTACGGATCCATCGCAAAAGCCCTCTATCGTCTCTCCTTCACTTCTCTGGTATCCCAATCGCACTTATTTGTAGCCCCTTCCCGTTCCTTCGCACGCGATATCCTCGGTATCGATTGATGCCTGTATCTAGTCAGGACTTGACGTATCGGTGTGGTTATCGTCGGAGGACAAGTAGGGAGGGGGGTATAGGAAGGTCAAAAGTAAAGAATAAGAAGCTAAGAAGTTTGACAATTGTGAGCCTTGGAATGGTATATTAGATGGTAAGAATTTCGTGTAAGTTGCAATGAGGAAAATAAAGAGATGGCAAAGAAGAAACGAGAGACAAAGAAGTTGAGGGTAGTTGATCGATGAATAAGTGCGAGGTAATGTTGTTGTCACATCGAATTGAGGAAAAGAGGGCGTTGCGCCGGGCGGTCGTTGAATTGGAGGATGATGGATTTCATGTTGCTGACACGCGGTCAAGACTCCGGCAAGTTCCATAATAAAGGTGCCGCCGCGACAGTGACAGACACGAGTGAGGCATATCTGAGAATGAGAGAAGAATAATAATAAAGACAGTGTCGATTGGTTGCATCGAATATAAAAAGAGGAAATGTGAGAGAAAAAGGAACAGGGAACAAAAATAATGGGTGCAGTTGGAGGTCAATCAAGCAAGACATGAAATGACGAAGAAGGGATGCGGAATGGGAAGGGTAGGGTAGGCTAACCTACAAACAAGCCTAGAACAAGAAGAAGAGGTTATCACATTTAAGAGTATGAAATTTCCCTTGGCTATCACAGAGACTCGATGAGCTTTTTCTTCCGGGAACTTAGTGTTGGTGAGGTTTGGAGAGGATGAGGAGGAAGGAGTGAGGAGACGGAGGCTGATGTTGAAGCTGGCTCGATCGGATCAACGGTTACTAATCAGGCTTAGCGGCAGCTGATAATCGCGATAGGGCATAGTATCAATGTCAACTTCACTAACGCGCTCTACTCTGGATGGTCTTATTCTATCACGCTTCCAATTTCCTTAACCGAATCAATAATACTCTCATTGATAGCGTATATAACAGCCATTCATGCAGTCAATCAATTCTCCCTCTCAATGCTACTTACACACAATATAGCTGAAGATGAAAGATAATAAACCGAACAAGATACCAACTCTCACAGATAAATAAAATAGGTAAAAAAAAGAAGATAAAAACAATTCTTGATTCCAACAACTCGAGCGGGAATGGGGAATAAGAAAAATGAAATGGGTAACTGACACATACACGAAAACAAAGAAGAATCGTAAAAATGGGAGAATGGACAGAAGAGAAAGGGGATGAGATGATGGGACTCAACAAATCATTCTCAACCGCTAGACATGTCTAAAAGACTTGTCTTATGTCTGTCTTTCTGATGTTCCCCTATATCAATTGTAGAACAGAACGGGACGAAAATCATAATCCAGCAATAATCATCTCACTGTTCGAGTTTCTGGAATTATTGTAATTTCTGTTGTGTGATATCGTTTGCGTAGGTATGTGGGTATGTTTTTTTTGTTTCTTGTTTTTCGTATGCGTTTCGTATTTTGTTGTTGTTGTTGTTTTTTACCAGTGATGGAAACCGTCTCTAAAATTTGTTCAACACCCTCAAGCCCCAGAAACCCCGGATATAATAAGCTCCACATGAGTGGAGAAGTCGACATGAGCTGATCATCGCAAGTTTGACCGTCGCAAGGATGGCCATGACTGCGAATGTTCTGGACAACCGATGACGAAGGTCTGTTTCTCTCGAAAACACAAGTCACAAACTGGAGTAAAGGGGGATAAAAAAAATCAAACATTCAATCGGAAAAAAGCCAATCAATAAAAGCGCAGCGAGCCCCCAGTATATCACTATAAACAGACACGTCATCAGACCGTAGAGATAATTGCAAAAGAAGAGGGACATAACACATGATCGAGAAGAAATGAAAACAAAACCGCCTGCTAGAAGACAGAAAACGATCTGGAGGAATTCAAACGAGCCTGTAAAATTCTAATAGCAAGGGAGCCATGCATAACAACATGACTATGCTTGTGCAACGCGAGAAGCCAGAGACTTGGAGCTTAGGCTTCATATACCGTCGCGTCAGGTATCGTTGAGGACAAAGGCGAAATCGATCAACCATCCTCATCCGTAGGCTCGCCAGATTCGACATCTTCGCTTTCTTCGGCGCTCGTGTTTTGTTTATTCTTCTTTGAGGGATGGGCGTTATTATCGTCAGCTACGCCAGATTTCCGTTTCTGTGCCGTCGAATTGCTCTCACCGGCTGGTTTGGGTGCTTGATCTCCGCCCTCCTGGCCACCTTTCTCCTTATCCATGGCCGCCACCTCGTCGGCCGTCAAGAACCTTCCTCCCGGACCACGAGGCCGTCGCATAGCATGGTTATGTCGTGATTCGTGTAGGTACGGCTTGCGGCCTTTTGATGTGAGTCGCAGCTGTTCCTCGAGTTTCTGTCGCGCAACACGTCGTTTCAAGATTCGATGGAACTGTTTTGCGTTCACATACAACGGCGACTCCTCTTGCGTGCCACCTGCAACTGCTTCACCACCGGCCGGGGCCTGTTGAACTTGAGTCTGAGGTGGAGGCATCGTTGGAGGAACACCGGGACGGCCGACATGGTTGAGAACAGGTTGGGTGTTGGGCAGGTGTGGGCTACCGACATGGCTCATCCGTCGATTCTGTTGCATCTGGGCATTCTGCGACATCTGTACTTGGGGCATGGGAGGAATCTGTCCGGAAACTTGGGTAGGAGATCGGGGACCTCGCTCATTCTTTACTTGTACGCCAGCCATTCGGGGTGAGCCACGGGGTCCTTGTGCAATTTGTCCAGCCATCTGATCTTGCGACAGGGGATAAAACTGGCCAGACGCAGCAGCCGTTGCCATGGCGGCAGCTTGAGTAGGTGAAATGCCGTACGCTGGTTGCATCGACGTAGTCACGCCGTATGGTTGCGCAAAGTTCATCTGTTGATGGACAGCACCCGGTGCATTCTGCGACTGTTGGTAGTGGCCTTGGCCAGGTAGTATCGGAGATGCTTGATGGTTCTGAGGAATGTGAGCTTGTGCGTTCGTAGGTGAGGTCAGGTTGCCCACGTTTGAGCCGGCATTTTGGGCGGTTTGATATGCGCCAGCCATATGCGATTGAGCATGTGGGTGCTGGCCATGTGGTTGCTGATATTGCGGAGAATACTCCATGATTGCCAATGTATGTGGATGGGATTTGGTGTATATGGCGACGATGGCGCTATTGGCGCTCTCTGTCACGCACGAAGCGCTTTACACCGCGATAAGATTCGAAGCACGTCGTGTACGCGACCTGTATACGACAATCCAATCACTGAGGGAACAGGGATAGCAGGACAAGCCGCGACGAAATCGGGCGATTTAAGGCTGGCCGGAGGTAACCGCGAGACTATTTGACAGTAGGCAGCGAATCTGTGTAAAAGGACTGGATGTTAGATTGCGCGACGTGAAACAAGACTCAAAAGCCGTTAAGACGACTTGATTCGACCAACTACCCGACGATGTCTGCAGCCGCTAACAATCGCGTCAGCACTGGCTGCAGCACCGAATGGTCACTGGACCTCGGTGTGGGACGGAGGCGGCACGCGGGGCAGTAGAAAACCATAAAATGACACCAGCGCAAGTTGAGTGGAACAACGTACGTACCTGAAATCTGATATTCTTTCGCTTTAATGTTTACGTCCTCAACGTGAACAAATTAATATTATTTGGAAAGAAACTTGCTCGCGGAGCGGGGAGGCAAAATAGAATCCTTATTTTCCCACGACAACGGAATGAGACGTGGTTGGGCTCTGATGCAGGCGGTCCGAATTCAATGACACCAGGCAAATAATGACTGATGCGTTGTCACTGAATGTGGTATCTGAGAAGATCCCCTCGTGGCGCAGGCGACTGCTTAAGTGCGTCTAAAGTGCCTGGGCAAGGCGACAAGTCTCACGGTGGCTGGATAGGGTCGACAACCAGGCCCTCGAAATGATGACCCAATAAGACAGGATGAGGCGGTGTCAAAAGCGGCTGAGACTGCTGACGGAGTTGTTGATGCGAGGAATGCCTTAGGTTTCTAAGCTCAGGAGGTGTATGTCAGACAATGCTATATGCGACACTAAGAACGTGTTAGTCCAGCAGCGTCTCGGCGCGTAGACACAATTAATCTGACAGGAGAACATGATGAGATGCATTTGCCTGTGAACAGCTGAAGCAGGGATTGGCTGAATAGAGCAAAGCGAGATTAGGTAGGGCAAAAGGGTGTGTGTGTGTGTGAACGTGTTGTGGGCTAGTCGAAGGATGTATGCGTTGGCAGACGCGGGAGCTTGCTGCAGGCAAAGTACATACCTTGTCGATCTAGCGTGAGCAAGAGCAATTCGCAAGGCGGATCGCTTTGTCCTGAATTCGCGGCGCGTTAACAACGCCTGAAATGTAAAAATCGATGAAATGTTTAACAAAGGGTTGCGACAACGGCGCAAAGTGAACAAAAAAGAAGCCGTCGAGATGGGATCGAAGAAGCAGCAACAAGCAAGACGCGCCAATGTCTGCGCGGGTGGCAGAATCGGGACTAGGGCAATGCTTACCAGAAAAGCTTGGCAGGAAACAACCCACTCCAAGTCACGGGATTTATCCCTGGTGTTTCTATCGTCTGTCAAAAGCCTGCGCACAGATGAATTTGTCAGATATGATGCGTTATTTTGTCTCAGTGTGCTGTGTCTGTTTCGGGTTGGCGGGCAGCAAAGTAAGGATTGTGAGGGAAAGACTCGTAATAGTACAGGGAATGGACGAGCGGTAATATAAGAGAGGACAAATCAGAGGCAGCAGAGCCAGGGTAACGGGTAACAGCGACTCAGCGAGAATACCGGCAAAGAAACGCGTATTGTAATGACAAGACGTGACAAGATCGCGTTACAAAGACAATCATTTTGGGTGGTTACCTGAAGCAGTCTAGCGGTAATCCTTAGTCATTGCAGTCTGCCTGAGGCTTAGCGCGGACGGCGGTGGCTTCCGGCGACGAGAGACTTGCACGAGACGCTGCGAGTGCCAGGAGGGAAATAAGGAAATGAGACGAAGAGCAAATGATGATATGATTGATCGATGAATCGATGATGGAGGAGAATGCGATTGGGGATTGGGGAGGGGGGGATGTATGGTATGTATGGGGATTGAGCATGAGGTGATTCGTCCGAGGGAAGAACAGAAAGTCCATGAGGCGCTGATGTCAGTCCATCCCGGTGGGTTCCGCTCGGGCTGTCCACAGCCACCACTCGTGCAGCTGCTGCCTGATTTGCGCCTGAATGCGGTTGCTTCACTCGTTTATTCACTTGAATAACAAGGGCATGCCCGATCAAGGAACAATAGAGGAAACGTCACGGAAAAAAAGGAACGAGAGGGTATAGGGCATGAATACATAATGCATGCTTGTAGCAGGGTAAAAAAAGAAAAATGTCATACAATTCAAACATCATCATGATCATGACCATCAAAAATAAAGTATAAAATAACGCGAGCATAAAACAGCAGAATAGCAAATAGAATCGCAGGCGGCGGGTTGGCATCGATTGGGAGAGGGATACAAAATTAAATCGACATACCTTTGACGCTGATTTGCTCGACGGCCACCGAATGGTATTGTTGGCCAGCCAGGCGGAAGCAAATCAGAGGGACGTTGACGATAAAAACGAAAAATAGAGGAACCAATCAAGCTTGGATCGCAAAGCAAGCAAAGCAAGCAAGCAACTGATTTGATTCACAGCCGCAGTTAGCGCGCACGCGCCGTTTTCTGGTGGTTGACTTTCGTTTTACTCACTGAATGGGCGAGTGGTTGGTGGATAGACCAAGAGCTCGAGCAGTGAAGTTGATTGATTGAATGAGAAACCAATGGAGGGGAAGGGATAAGAAAAGGGAGAGGGTAATAAATAAGCAGAGGTGATAGGCGAAACAGTATAAAATCAAGGCAACAACCAACGAGAAAGAAGAAACAGAGGAAAAGGAGCGAAAGTGCGGGCGATGGCGCCTTTGTATTGGGTCGCTGCCAGCCCGTCCTGACTGGGCAGAATTTTTCATTTCGGTTGGTACCGTAAGATACGGTACGCTTTTCCGACCGACGCTCGAAACATTGTTACATTACTACTGTGTTTATTATGTATACTCGGTACGGATACGGAGAACTCCGTAGTCCGTACATAGCCACCGAGACACGTATGCGTAATTTGTCTAGCCAGATTCAGCTTAGTACATTGTGATTCGGTGTGATCGGACCCCAATCACGTTCTCCCTCATGATTTCGATTCATGGGCGATCTTCAGGGCTTTGCTCTGTGCTACCGTCATGCAGCATAGATGGGATACATAAATGGATATCAATGCTCGACTTGAGTTATTCAACACTCAGTGCAAATTTCATAATTGTACCAGGACGCGGCATACTCGTGCGCCCGGACTCGACGCCCCTCGTAAGGCTAGGCGAGGAATGTGACGTGTGAGTGGTTGATGGTAGTATGTATGTCGTACCGATACGGTATCGGTACGTTACCTGTAATCTACTCTTGCATACATAAAGAAAGCCGACAGCATACAGGACGGCGCGGTCTCGTGATTCCTCGGCTCACCAGCCCATTTGGGTATCGACTCCTCCATTAATCACATTCGAACGGTCGAACCGCTGTCTCTATTGTCGCATACGACTTAATATTTATTCACATTCGAATATTTGAGTGGAGTTAATGTAAGATTGTTTCTATTTTGCAAGAGCCTCGAAGATTCTCTCCCGCTTGTGATATCATACCAGGTTCGCTTATTGACCGCTCATTTGACCGCTACATCAGATCTAGACATTGAATTAAGTTGGAACAGATCCGAAAACCAGCCCACTCTTGCTTAGATCAGGCTTATCTATCGATAATCAGGGCGCTAGCCTAGAGAGTTCTCTTAGAGCTTCGCGTTAGGGCTTCGTATGACATCAACTACCGGATCTGGAAGGCGCGTCGGATTGATCAGAACTGTCCTTGTGCTCGAAAGGCTTTACTTTATGGTCTCTTCCCTTGTGCAAAAGAATCTCCTTTTGTAATCATCACAGCAACCTTATGAAACATGAAACTTGCAATAATATACTGTTCAAAGGATAGACAAAGCTAAGTAGATAATGAATTGTATCCTTCTTGGAGACCATCATTGACAAGTCTCGTTTCTCGGCCTTGATTCAGCCGTCCTGAGACTCGAGAACTCTTCTGAAAGAGCCTCTTGAAAGCGAGGAACAAGGATGAAGTGTCATGGTCGAGATATCATTGAGTTTCAACAGTCAAGGTGTTGTTGTGAATGAAGATGAGTCCATTATTCCTTTTTTCTGTCGGGATGTCTCCAACGAACTAGACACTCTTCACCTAGACATAACCCCATTGTTCCCTCGCCATCAATTTCTGTCGAACTCCACAAACCATGGCCAGCTCCTGATTCTTATTAAGATAACCCTCCTAGCAGATCAACCAATAATGGAACCAAAATCACAACAACCCAAAGAACCTTCAATAGCCGACATCATCCCCGAACTAGAGCAGCAACGACGGATTCTCGAAGACCATGCGAAAAAGATTGCGGGGCGCGGAGAAAATACAAGGAGCGAGAGAAAATACTCGACGAAGTCGAGATTGAGTTTCTCAAGGCTCGTGCAGATGAGCTAGCAAGGAAAGGTCAGTTAGACGATCCAGAACTTAATCATATAAGAGACCTGTTCGTCTATCCTGGAAATGTCCAATCCGATATCAAAGCAGTTGAATACTTTGCAAAGCACAATAAGGCTCATCAAACTCAAAACGCAACTAATGGATTTAAGATGGTATACGGTCAGCTATTAGGCGTGGTCAGAGATGTGATTGCACAAGCTCCCAGAGAAATAAGGGGGATCTTAGATATGAGAGGAACACTAGCAATGATGCTTATGTGGCAACGAGAATACCCTTACGAGAGCGAGGAATGGACTCAAGTCTGTGACAAGATTGTCAATGAATGGTTGAACGGTATTAAGTATTCGGCTTCGGATAAAGCCAAGGAGGAATACGTGAGACTGAGGCAATTGATGGATCATGTTAATTATTTGAGAAGGCAAGGTGAAGAAGGTAAGAATTCCTAAGTATTTTGGTTAAGCAAGATAGTCTATCGACCTCAACCTTAGAGGGTGGATAGGTAGTTTTCCCATCGCCGTAACAACAATTTCCTAGGACGGTTCCAGGGATGTGCCCAGGTGGTTTTAACTCATTCCTACCCAGGTTTGTGAACGATATATATCGCTGGCTTCCGGAGCGGTCGGCACTACGATTTCGGAAACGCGTTCGGATAAAAAAGGTTGAAAGATGCGTTGGAGAATACCTGCTAAAATATTCAAGCCATTTGATATAGTGAAATTGCGGAAAATCACAGTTAGCTGAAATTTGATTCTAGCTCAGCTTTGCGGGATTGACATTATAGGGCTAGACCTAGATGAGCCCTAAACACGGCCAAATGAGGCAACGATTACCCTTTGCGGCAATGGACAAGAAGTCGTGATGGGTGAGTTCAATAACAGGTTATGAGTAAAAGTTGATATTGATGTCACATATTCCGAAACGAGGATGTAACTGATTACACTGGATAATACGTCTCTTTACTTAAGGGCTATTACAACGCTGCAGAAATTACCTCGAAGATTTTTCCAAATAGTCATCGTGACGATTATCTTCTCGCGGATTAATCAATTGATACTGTCGGCTTGATGCAACCACTAGCACCTCACTGTGCACCTCCAAAGTATTGTGCTTCAGAATTGAGAGTAGCCTGTATGCCTGAGCTATTTCACATATCAAATTCATGAAATGAGACTGTGAGACTTCTCTACGAGCTTTCAAAATTCTATTATGTCAAACTACGTTCTCAGACAAAGCCAGCTCACATACTCTTAAGACTAAACCATATAGCCCATATCCAGCACATAACATATGCTTATTACATCATGTATGAATGATAAATTATCTGCTTGACAGATCCCATGACTAGTCAGTGGTAGATGTAGATCTGTCTCCAAGTATTATTCAGTAGGCTTATCCAGCACTTGTAGCAATTTCCAGTACGGATCGCGTCCTCAGAGACAGCAAATGTACAAGGGTGAGCTTTTTGGTTTGCTGGAAGTGAACACTTGTCCATCTAAAGTGAGCAGCAAAAGTTCTAGGTCTGCAGTCTGCATCTTCATTTCCCGGTTGATCCCATATCCTCGCCAACTACTCTCTCTGCACTGTGACCAGGCCATGGGAGAGTTTTATAGTTGACGATGTCGACAAGATCCCTTGTCTGACTTTCTCAGCCTCTGCGAAACCGGACTCTGGTTTCTCCCGCCCCAGTCTGTCAGATGCTCGGCCAAGTATACTTCGCTGACACACTCAAAGAGCAATATGTGAGACTCAAAGAATCCCGGCCCATCCCAGCATAGAGCTGGATCTCGAAAATGCCGCAGTCGCTCAAGACAGAACATCTGTGCCAAGTAGTCTACAAGCTTTTCGTACGAGAATGCCGGAGCTTGGCCCGTGGATGAAGGTATCTCATACCGTAGGAGATGGTGAAGTAATGCGCCCGCGAATGCGTACCCTCGTAGCTGGTGCGGTTATCCCATAACTTCTAGAAGACATCGTGCTAGTCCTTAATTGCCAGCGAACTCTTGCGTGCCGCAATAAACCCGTTCCGAAACATGGCTAGGGATGAATTTACGGTTAGTCTAAAATCGGCTATCTGAATCGGGTTGGAGGAATTTTCGAGAGTATTCCAACAGAGATCGTCAAGATCACAGAATAAAAGGAACCCTACATCAAGCCATACGCCGCCGTATAGGGGCAACAGCGGTGAACGTATGAGATCTGCGGCGTGCGGCCCGACATGGTTTCCCGTCATGATTCCCTCAAGAAATCCCGCTGGAAGAAGGATTCTGGGTCCGAGAAGTATTGGGAATAATGGTTCGGTGAGCCTTCTACCATGTCGACCACTCGAATAGTTTATCGTGGACTATGCCTGCGAATCTATCCAACGATATTTTTCTGACACCGGAGTTCACAGGCTATGATCCACTTATCCCAAAAGGCACATATGCTCTTTTCAGAGCAGGCAATGATCGGTTTGTAGGATTGGAGATCAGCGAGTATCTCAGTGTCCGAACGTTGATCTAAGGGATGCGGAGAGGTTGAAATACTCCTTGCAAGGGAAATAATATCAAGTAAAATATCACTAATGCAAGTCAATTACTAATATCGTGGGATAAGCTCGATTCCATAGTATATCATTGCAATGCGGAGTTACATTCAGAATGGTAATATCAATTGCTATAAAAGCCTTGACGCTTTCTGTGTAATTTAAGTCTGGAATCATTACATTTTGGCCTGGAATTACCTTCATAGCAATGAGGAAAGTCTTGCACTCTAGTAACCTTGGAATCCGAAGTCCAGCTCGTTGTGCCTCACACCCTTTCTCGTCATGAAGTATGCGTCTCGATAATGGTATGACAGGCAGACTAGTAAGGGCCTGTCGCCTTTGGGGGAACAAGAGAATAAAAGCATCAAAATCCATTCTATACCCTGAATATTAGACAGTGACAAACTTCAAGGTTCAAGGACCCTAATCACAGAGACGCACTAAGAGTAGACTTAGGGCAAGGGATTCCCATTCAGGTTAGTTCGTTCTCCGTAATATTCCAATTTTAGAATAGAATCATGAACGCTAAGCAGTTTGCGGCACTTGAAGCCAGTTGGCTACACTTAAAAGAAATGTTGGTTGGAAGATCGCTTTTAGTTCACTATCTCCGACTGATGGTAAGATGGTGATCGGATTTATCATTATGCCGAAATAACCTAAGATACAGCTCGGTGGGTGAAAATTGTATAAAATGGCCCCTATGGACATCGATTGAGGAAACAGAATAAATTATAATAACTGGAATAAGGCCAAAAAGACAAAGATGATCACGAAAGTAGTACTCGCAGGGGTATAATGTTTGAGAGTATTATCATTGTGCCAGTTGCTAACAGGTTGGTAGGCCACTGGGAGCCTAGGTTCCCAGACTCTTGTGGCGCTCCTCAATCAGGGATTCAAGGTTACTGTGTTGACTCGTACGCCTAAAGAATTTCCAGCCGGAGTTGCCGTCAAAGTTGTCGACTTTGGTTCCACAGAATCGTTAGCTGCAGCTGTAACAGGCCAAGATGCAGTCATTGACAACACTTTCACGGAGGACATTGAGACGCCGTTGCGTCTCATAGATGCAGCAGCAGCCAGTGGTGTCTATCGCTTGTGGGTCTTACCTCCTTCGACAATTTATTCTAGGGTGCACTGACAGGTTGTCTTAGTGTTACAAGTGATTATGGGCTTGATCCGGAAATCCCTGGAGTTCGCGACATGCCAGTCTTTGCGCGCAAACGAGAGTCTTACCGTGCCGTCAAAGAGCAAGTTGGGAAATCAGGCATGACATACACTCTAATTGTCGTCGGATGCTTTCTTGACTGGTGTCTTTCGAACACATTCGCTGGAATTGACCTAAAAGCAAAATCAGCAACCCTGTTCGATAGCGGAGATAATGTGGTTCCCTGGACAACTCTGGAAGACGCCGGTAAAGCAACTGCCGGTGCTCTTCTGAGACCCGAAGAAACTCTGAATAGACCAGTGTACGTGCACAGCGCCTTCTTGTCCCAAATTGAACTTTTGCGAATCTCGCAAGATGTCCTGGGGAAGGGCGGTTGGAACACAACGTGCCAGGAGATGCAGCCCCTGTTGGATCAAGCTTTGGCAGATCTGCGTTCCGGGAACATTACCCCGATGACTTTTGGTGTACAAATACAATATTGTATTGCCAAAAGATCACTTGCACACCCATGGGAAAGGGATGATAACTCTCTTGTCGGTGTCGAAGAGAAGACGAACGAGGAGCTAAAAGCTTTGGTCCGCCAGCTTATTGCTGTATGAGGTAAGAATCCTTATGTATCGCGCATTTTTGTGCGACTTCGCCAATTAAATGAGGAAAACCTCATCCATTAGATATCTATACTGAATACATTGTTAATGTTGCGTGGAACTTGCCCTTATCGTGATATAATTGGCGATACACGCTTAGTCATGCATAGTGCTATCCAGGATAGTTCGTACAACAGAGTGAATACGAGCTCTTACTTGTGAAGGGAAAAATGATTGTGGCACATAGTGTGATGGGCATTTCTATATTTTGATTTCTCAATAGAGACACTGACTTAGATCTCATGTGCTACTGTCCGACCATCCACAGACATTTGCGGCCTTTAATAAAGGTAATTTTGTACTCTGAATAAAGCTATGCGAGATAAAACATTCTTTTCACCGACTTAGCTATCTACGAGCCATGTAATGATTTCTGGGCCCAGATAACAGGTGTCAGTCCGAGGAGGGAGACTGTACCCCAGGCCATGGCATTCTCCCGAGGCTGTCCTAAAACTATTGAGTAGAATAATAACGTCGCACCAACTCTCAAAACAGCTCCGAAAAGTAAAAAGTAATTTACACCAAGGTCCCACACGCTGTTGATAGATATTCCCCCAGTAATAGCAGCGTCTAGAAGACATCCCAATACCCCCATGAGCCAAAGAGTTTTCTTCTTCCCAATTCTTATGGGAAGCGTCCTCATTTCAGCTTGTGTATCATCGGCGATATCCCTCGTGTCACAGACAGTTTCACGGAAGAACTGATAAAGGATTGCAAGACCCAGACTTCGATTGTGCAGTGACTGGTCTGGGAATTGCGTAGGAGCGGTGGTACCTTTGCCACCAGTGGAAAAGTATACCATGCTGGTTTCTGCTGTCACGTAGGCCATGCAGATAGCCACAACTAACGACTTTGCTTCACGGAACTTTGAGAGGGTTTTTGTAAGTCTGGCAAGCTTGATTTTGTGGTCATTCAATGGAAGGACATACAATATCTTTGGGTTTGTAAAGACGAATGCCGAACTTCGGCATCAAGTACGGAACACAAGGTGTTCCCCATCCCAGTCCGAGCAAAGAGAACCTGTACATTACAATCGCAGGTTTGAAACCGCTGTATATAGTGCAAATAATGACAATCGTCCACAGAGAATACATCCAGCTGTTCCATATCCATCTTGGGGGCCTATTTGGTATTGGAATATCCTTGTATGTGTCATATGCTATATCGGACGCATAAAATAGTTAGAATCAACTTGGAAACACTAACAGCAAGTAGATTTAACTTACAATCAACGAGCGTTGCACCGACTGCAATCATTCCAAGAAGAGCTCTTGGAAATTGATATATGCCTGTCACGGTATGGATAGCTCCTATCGTAGGGGCAAGGTGCCCGAGGCCCATCAGCACGGGCATAACGACTAGGCGTTGGAGATTAGTGAGTGAGAGGCTGTTGAGCATTCTTTTTTCGATATCGTGATCCGTTAAATTAGCCACTTGAGTGTTTGAGCTATCATGAAGGAACTCGTAAAGATGGTAGACCAGAGAGAAGGCAACATAAGACGGATATCTGTACAATTTCAATAGAGACAAAGTCAAAATGTAAAGTACACGGATCCTCTATTTATGCTTAGAATCGGGGCTCGCTCAGGAGTAGTGATCAAAAACAAAGATTGTGCAAATGATTGTCAGTGCTGGAGTCTTTATCAGCATGTAACTTATGCCAGAAGATTACCAGCAGATCCCAACATCCTTCGGCAACTGTAAGAGGTACTAAAAGCGCGATGGTGGAAGCCCAGGATTTGTAATGAAAGGGCTTTGGAATACTTGCCACGGAGAATTTGGAAAGTCCACCGCCGTTCGGTCCATTGCACGCACGCCCAATAAGAGTGTAATTTTATACCACCAGGATCAGCTATTGATACCCGAATATAATCTATGAGCCTGCATTGCTCTACATCATCAGCCAAGTAGGATGGCTTCAGTGCCCTAAGTTGTGGGTATATGCAGGAGGCAACCAGATTGGCCAACTTGATAGGCCTATTACATGGTGACAGAACATATCCAAAAGATCAGTTGGGTAACCTTGGAATCAAAAATGGGGGTGAAGAGAGAAATGGAGAAGTATGTTCCACAGGTATGTGTTGTATCTCTTCGCCTTGATTTGGTCTTATGAATCTAAGTAACAAGGTGATGATGGCATGATTATTTGTTTTCTTGATATGCATGATTGACTCAAAACAGTTCATTCGGATTTCGTAATCTTCTTTACTCTCTACACGTAACGATGGAAGAGAAACACATCCAAATATTCCAGTCGGCGCCCCTATTGATAGGCTTAGCTGCTCTGACAACCGTTCTAGCGTGGTTTTTCCATCTTATCAAGCCGGCACTTCTGGCAACATTCTCACGAAAGTATAGCTCATTTAAATGGGTAGAAGAAAGAAGAGGGTTTTTTGGATTCATCAGACTTTCCTATAAGTGTGTTTTTCATGCGAAAGAGCTGTTCACAGTGGCATATGAAAAGGTGATTACCCTCCCGGAAACAAAGAATATTGGGCTCGTGGACTGACGGTGTGGTATAGCTGCGTAATACTGCTAGTGAAGTGTTCCTCGTTCCTTTCCCTCATTCAAGTACTGGTTTCCTACTGTTACTTCCCAAGGAACTCATCGCCGAGTTTGCGCGGCAACCTGAATCGATCATCTCATTCCACACTTACGTCCGAAATGCAATGCATGCACAGTACAGTCTCTTTGGAGATAATGTTCTCGACAATAACATCCAAAAGCCTATTGTGTACCGCGAACTTTACCAGAAACTCCCTGATAAGATGCAAATGATGAATGAAGAACTTGTCCTAGCCATCAAGGATGTTTTGGACGCTAAATTGAATGAAAAGGGGGAGATTAGTATTAACATGTGGGATACAGCTACGGCAATATTATCGCGCGCTAGCAATAGGATTATCGCTGGTGACCCCCTTTGTCGGAATCAGGAGTATTTGGATGCTGCTGTGCATTATGCTATTAGCATGTTCTCACTCGCTGTATATTTGCGTTTTATACCTCCATTCCTACGGCCGTGAGTGCTCATTAAGTTTTGATGAAAAAGGAATTGACAGGGTATGCACAGGTTACTTGCGCCTCTCGTACGGCGGCCTCTCTCTAGAGACCGAGATATTGTAGCCAAGCACGCAATTCCGGTCATTGAAGAGCGGATGAAGATGATTGAGGATGCTGAAATCAAGGGTAATAAACCTAAGGTTCCAGTGAGTGCCGTCAATTCTTTCTAAAAGTTTCACAACGGTTAACTCTAGAAGCACGTGCTGATCTGATATAGAACGATCTTTTAAGCGCAGCCCTAAAAGTTGCCCGAAAAGACCCAAACTCCAAGCTAGAGTATACACCAATGATGATGGTCAACCGACTCCTGGCATTCAACTTCCTCCAGTCGTACTCCAATACATTGACCATGACCAATGCAGTCTACGACCTCATTTCGCTCCCTCCGGAAGAATTCGAGCGTACCGTCACAGACATACGTGAAGAGCTCACTAGGGAACTGAAGAGACCGGATGCCTGGAGCCATGACTTTGTCAATAGGCTCGTGGTGATGGACTCGTTTATACGCGAGAGTCTACGAGCCAATCCAATCGGCGAGGTTGGCCTAGAACGTATCGTAACAAGGGAAAATGGCTTTACTTTCTCTAATGGACTGCACGTACCGCGCGGCGCCATCATAGCAGCACCCCTTAAAGCAATACAACAAGATTCCGCCAATTATCCAGGCGGCTTTAACCCTAGACGCGCATTAGAAGACCCGACTCATCCTACTGTCACCACTATATCGCCGGTATTTCTCAACTTTGGGTTGGGAAGACCCGCCTGTCCTGGTAGGTGGTTTGCGGTGAATATGCAGAAACTAGCGCTGGGGCATTTGTTGTTGGAGTATGATTTTCAGAGGGTTGAGGTGCGACCTCTGGGGGTTCGGAAGGTGACTCTTGTAGAGCCATGTGAACGGTCGAAAATCGTTCTGAGACGTCGGAGTGTTGGTTGATTCATATATTATAGATATGACGAGTGTTATATATCCATCGTATTAATAGCAGAATCTATAATTCATGTGAGATGATTTTTGTGCCATTAGGGTTGTGATTTGTTAGGGTTAAGTACTATGCTCCACGGGACAATGTCTTTCTGTACTGAGGCAAACATCTTGTGCAATCAAGTTGTGGCTGAAGCGGTCTGCATATCCTTGCCGATGACAAAGACCTATGGGATGACTGACTAATTGTGTTGGTGGCTGCTTTTGTTACAGAACCCTGCCGGAAAGCTTCCAAGGTTAATCTTAACCCTCTTTAAGTATGGTAGACAACTCACAAGGGCTTTCAGCTCATGGCTACTGGTCTGCATAGCGGTGTCATTTCCATGGCCGAAGTCGGATGTACTTTTGAAAACCATGATGCGCTGGTGCCCTCGAATCCAGATTTAGTAAAGTTACATATAGGATAATTGTGGGTGCACTAAGGTGCATATACGTACGTACGAAGCACTTGAGTCAATCTCAATAGGTGATTCTTCGGTTCTGTGTTCTGTTGTGTCTATCTGTCTTAGTGAGGCCCCGACGCGGTCTATATAGTCCTTGCTTGACGAGGTCACGTGTAAGCCATACGTGACCTCTCCTTGCTGCATACCAGTGCCAGGCATCTCGATTGCACGAAGCAACCAACAATAATTGAATATACGGAAGATGTTAACTAGATGATGCTAACCATGACACGGAGATATCATGTTCCTGAAACAGGGCTATAGTCGGCGTGTTACGGTCCAGTCCCGTCGTATGAAACACTATGAGTTCATTCCTAAGATGATAACGTACATGAGAAGGAAAAAAAGAGAAAAACATGCGAATTCTTGTTGGACATACCACTTAATATAGAGATATAGAGTCGTGCTGTTTCTCTAGGGTTTCCCTTGTAAGTCTGGATATGCAAAACAGATACTCCGAATAATAAGTCCAGGAGGGTGAGTATTGGCGAACTAGGTTCACTCGCTAGATCAGAAGATAGCTTCATGAGCGGTGTTAGTGAGGGCCCTGTCCCGAACTACCTATACGGTGTCAGTCCATAACAGGCGTATGCGCCAGGGATGTTGATGAGAGCAGAATAATAAATAAGTAAGGCTGAGAGAGTAAATCTGATATGAGAATGGACAAGGCATGTTATGATTAGTATAAAAATCAGGTACTAATTTATACTTTAAAAGGGTTTTTTTATTCTAGTTTCATTTGTAAAACTATGAAGGATTTTAGCACCACAAACAAATAGTAATGAATACCTAGGTGGAAGTAAAGATTTCGCATGTTATGGTATTTTACAAGTGCTTGGAATACTTCAAAGGAGTCTTGGAGTATTGCGTATGCCTGGAATTGTGGATTGGGATGAGTAGCGAAACACAGTCAAACAGCCTTCTCTTAGAATAGAACTGTTGGAACGTAAATATCAACCCTACGCGTTTCGGCACTGGATATTTGTTAGTCCGACGCGGCATGTGCGTGCCGCGTATATATCTAGCTAGCTATCCCCCGTCCCCCTCGCTCTTCACACCCATCTTACCATCAGGCAACTTCCTTACAATTATCTATATCAAACAGCCAGAGGTTCAACTTCCTCGCCCTCTCCACTACCCAGCTTTCAGGAGTGCGGCCTTTGACGCGTCCCGACGCGTCCGGCAACACCATGGCGCGTAAAGGCCCTGGTACAGATGGCCCTCTACAGACAGCCCTACTAGAATCTACATCTGCAGCCACTATAAGAGCTGCTGACAGCTAGAAGATCTTCAGCCCTATAGCTGCATTCCTTGATAAATACTATAGTCAAACCACTGACCTCGCTCCTCACCTACTAAGAGCCCTCATCACTCTAAGCGATGACCTTGCCTTGGTAGCCTAATGATACTTTAATGCCTATATCAGCGGCATTCCAATGTCCTCTGTCCTACCTGCCCTTCTTTCTTCCTCCTCCTCTACCTTAAATCCCTTACTCCCCTTACCTCCTCCCTCACATCCCCCTTCAGGTCTTGAACAGTCAACTTATGCAACTATCACCTAATATGCCCCAGCCAAAGCAACCTCCTCTACTCACTCTAAAGCTCCTGTAAAAAAGCTTATACCTCTAGTGAAATAACCTCTTTCTAATAATTAGCTCTTTGTACGCCTTCTAACTAACTATGCAGCCAGAAAAATAGAAGCCTACACCATCTACTCTTGTTACGGGCTAGTCCCGTCTAATGCTCACTGTAAGGGCATATTCGAATAGAAAACATAACATGAGAAGAGGAAAGAGAAAGGAAACAACAGGTTCTTCACACGCATACAACTTTATATGGGCAAGGGGAATTAGTGGCTTCCAACATGCTTCTTCCGGGAACCCGGGGTTGCCTGATATCGTATGACTCCGGACATCGTACGACTCCGGATAGGCGATGTTGCGCAAGCATGCGGGATCTGGGAATAGCTTCATATTCGGGTTTGCCGGGATCCGGCAGATAGCGCTGTTGTCAATATCCGTGAGGGCTTCGCCCGAACATACTCATGAGGTCAGCTCATAACACTCTAGCCTACAGTCACAACTGAACTCAAGCAGTACAGCACTAAAAGAAGTTCAAGCTATAAAGACTAACTTTATACTATGCCCCTCATCTCCAGAGGCCCTCCTGGCCCTTGAGGCTTAAAAAGAGATCATCTCTGTATTCTTTGTTAACTGCTAGATAGAACGCAGCTCCTAATGGGTCTCGTACTAAGTCACTAATGTGCCAAGGAAAATTGGCTAAATCTTGGATAGCTGATACTCTCTTATCCCTGTCAATCCCACAATACTATTCTCAGAGATTAGCAAAATTACAGGCCTCAAGCCTATATCTATTAGTAAGACAACTATAAATGCTGCTAATCCTGATACTCTTTCCTCAAGTTAGTTCATCAACTTCCCAGAAGGCATGAAAACACCGCTGCCTACCCAGCTACATCTTTTTAGTATTATCACTAATGCTTATTATCTCTTAAAGAAAACAATAATCATTCAATGCATATGATACTGGAAATGGCATAACGCACGATCCTGTGCCCACCTCTCTCAATACTGGCTCTATAGCTCATTAGAGCATACTAAAGAGGGCTATGCTAATCACTATATAGCCTTAGACCCTCATTAATGCCCTCCAAGATGCCTACACTGCTATGGACCATATCCAGCTGATTTCCCTGAATGCCTTCTACGCCCTAAAGGCAACACTAAATATACTAAAACTCAATAAGCAGAGATCTGCAAGTCCTATACTACAAACCTCGAAGCCCATACTGAAGGAGGATGTAGCTCCTAGCTCTCTACAAGTATATAAGAAATACTCATATAGATTTTCAATTTGTACCTGGGCAGCGGCGCTAGGCTCAAATGGTCTCTATTTCTGGCTTGCGTGGTACATTGGCCTCCCGCCACGCACTTCCAGATCTATCACCACGCACTCTGTAGTCAAGCCATCGGACCCACCGCTCCCGCCCAAGTCACCACCCAGGCCCTAATTGTTTCATTCAGCGAGCACCGTTCCGTGATCATTAATCACTATTACTGAATGATATCAATCCTCTGAGTCTATACGATCCATTCACCGAATTCTTTACAGGAACCTTTAGCAAGGATTTGTATCCTAGCTCTTTGGATACACTGAAGTCCCCAACAAAGGCAGAAATGGAATGAGGTCTGCAAGATTATCAATCTCTCAAGCAAATACATTGAAAATGATGTTGATACACGATTGAACTCCACTTCCCGAATGTTAGACGATGCCTTGAAGGCAAGACACCATTTTCGAAATTCAACGAGTTAACTCTTTTCGAGTCGGAAAAGAAACTTCAAATTAGCCTCGCCGTCCCAATCTACTATGAGCTTCATTCGATGAGGAATCCGAGCGTAAGGAGAGGTTCCTAGATCTTGACAAAGATATATCATTGGCCGTGAAGGAAGGTACTATGGAAAAACAGAGAAATCCTGACTGCATTCCTTTCTTAAATGTGATGAATTGATGTAAGCGTCAAGCGCAGAATTTTTAAATTGATAGAAAAGCCATCATAAATCGTAAATTTACCAATCATAGGTGCCAGTGTTATGCAATAATTTAGGAGCTTCATTGTCACGCTTTCCCTCGATGACATCAATTAAGGGTATCACAGATTCAACCGGTGCCCTAGCACCAAATTCGGCCTTATTGTAAGGTCCAAGGTTTGAGACGGTATGACCTGGGTCGTAGAGCAGGACCTTGATTCCATCAGACTCATACTCCACATATTGACAAGCTGTAATCATGTTAAGAGCAGATTTGCTGGCTCGGTACTGGTGACCCTGGAGTCGATAGGTAGGAGAGTCTTTATTGAGACGAGAACTGATAGAGCCTGCTCCACTAGTAATGTTGACAATTCTAGGGGAGTCCTTAGACTCCTTTAATAGAGGTGCAAAAGCATTACCAACGATAAGAGGTCCAGTGGCATTAGTGTCGAATGCTATACGCATGTACTCGCGCAATGTGCCACCTTCCATTGGTGCCACAGCAGCGTTGTTGATAAGGATGTCCAATTTACCAAATTCTTTGCGGACCTTTACAGCGGCTTCTTCAATAGTATTGTCCTTAGTGACATCAAGCAAGAGTAACTCTACGCTGTCTGGCAAGTTGTGAGAGCGCAGTTGTTCTAACGCAGCATTTCCCTTTTCGACTGATCGAGCTCCTAGAAGAACGTAGTACGTTCCCTTTGCCAGGAGCTGGGCTGCAAGCTCGAATCCAATACCACCACTGGCTTCATAGTTGCATGATATTAGTCAAGTATGCATAATGACCCAATGGATAAATAAACATACCTCCTGTTATTAAAACAAGCCGCTTTGATGCTGTAGCCATTTCCGATATGTATAGGATTAAATATAACTTGAGATTAGATGATGAATTTGGTCGCAAGTAATCAGAAGTTACTTGATTGAACAATCTTATTGCCATGCAGAACAAGATGGAGGGGTAGACATTGCAATTGAAGCTAAGCCTATTTAGTATTTAGTGTTGGAGATATCGGAGTTAGTGATTCCTCTGGTAAGAATGTGTCGGATTGGTGGGTTAACTCCAGGCCAATCCTGAATAATTGTTACAAGGATGGTAAAAATAAAGAAGTGAGTAGCAAGATTGTATCTCTTCTCTTCTCTCTCTCCTTTCTGAGTACATCAGGTTCCAAAGCCGGGTTTATATAGATAATTTGCCGAGATGTGTAACAACTAGCAGACTTGGGGTTCTCACTGTTCCAAACAATACGGTCATGACGTCTCAAGTCGAGTTTCAGGTGCACCAGGTGAAGGTTTATATGTTTGAGGATGCCTTTTTGATTCTATACCTCGTTGCAAATCCGGATTATCTGACAGAATGGGAAAGCAATTTATTTGCAATACATATAGAACATTGGTCATTATCATCAATCACCATGCAGAATAAACATCGGTCTCTGTAGAATGAGTATTTTTAATGAATCGGCACAGGTCGAAGATAGGTGAACTCTGCTCGGTGGGTGGTAACATCGATAGCCTTGAAGTCAGCAATTGCTGGGGGTAGGGGCGCGAACTCGAAGCTCCAGACGATGATTGTGATAATCGACTTCAACATCAGTTGCGCCCATTTCATACCTTTGAGGAGATTTGTCATTAGGTGTGCCGAAATTTACAAAAATAGGAGTGGTCAAGGGAGAACATACCAAAGCAAGCGCGGGGTCCAGCGCCGTATGGGTGCGTATATCCAGCGACGGGGTTGAAGACGACGCGGCCTTCCTCGTTCTTTATAAGCCATCGCTCTGGAATGAACCTTTTAATGCTCCAATTGTCCCAAACACCGAATTTGTCTTTGGTCTCGCGGCTAGTCTTGCTACGGATGGATTCTTCAATTTTCAGGGGTGGAGTCTTATAGTTGGGTCCATTGGTGAGCATGAAGACATCCGTTCCCTCTGGAATATTGTGTCCAAGAACAACAGCATCCTTGGTGGTAACGCGAACAATGGAACTGACCGAGTTTCCGACACGGTGGACTTCTTGGATAAATGCCTCGAGGTAAGGAACATCTGTTTGTGCTATTTCTTGAGCTGAAGGAAGATCTCCATTCCGGTGGGCTCTCACATGAGCTTCTCTCAAAGCGGTACGAAGTTTGGTTTGAACATTCAGGTTGGCAGTTAAGTATCTCATAGCCCAGCACAGTGTTGTAGAGGTTGTCTCCTGGCCAGCCATGTAGAAACCGAAGAGTTCGTCTCTGATAACTTGGGTGTCGATCTTTATATCACGGCCATCTCTTCTTGCCATTTGTGCTTCGCTTTCAAGTTTGCCGATGTCTCTGAGCCTAAACGCTGCAAAAGCTCACGTAGGCCCTGTTGGTTGAGGGGATCATACTCTGTTCCTGGGTATTGTCCAATTGGCTCTGTGACATAACGGATATCTGGTTCGGCGATTGTGGTGTTCCATTTCCATGAGTACTCAATTGATGTACTATCGAGAGAGAGCAACGACTTCCACTTCGTGGGTAGGCCATCTGATCCAGGAGCAGGACCCATGTCGGGGACCTTGGAAAAGCACTATCTTAGTATTTTCCATTCTACTTCATAATTTGGATAGTTTAATCTTACCGTCCAGCGGTAGTGGAAGAAAAGGCATTCATATTGCTTCTCAAGAGGATACTCAGCGGCCTCCAACAGCGAAGCAACATGACGACCAGTCAGCTTCCACCAATACTCCTGGTCTTCGTTGCTGCCATGAAGATATTTAGACAAGGTCTTCCAGGCTTTCAACTGAAGCTTGCTATCACAACCCATTTTTGGCAAGTGCTTTAATCCTCTCTTAGTATATTTTAAGTATATCTGAATCTATATATTCTTGTTAAAACCTCTGCTCTATGTTTTACGCAAATCTAATTTTTTACTCCATGTTCCGGACAAAGTCACCTGCACACATTACGGCCAGCGACACAATTGCACTGCTTCATGTAGCAGCAAAATTAACAACCGAATCAATGTGCTCTATCGACTTGTTCGGTGGTCAACAAGCCCGCATGAGCATCTGAGCCCCGATTCCCGAAGTATCGGCTACCTAAGAGATAGATTACTGAATCTGGACTTGTAATAGCACTACTGTGTACTAAACAGACGCAATCAGCTCGGGGAAACCAGTCTTCGCCCTGTCTATCCATACCCCTATCAATACGAGCTCCTCTTTATAGATTCTTTTCTCGTGCATTTCGTACTATGAAACTATCATATTACTTACAAGATCTAGCTGTATATAGATTCGACCTTTTACGGCAAACAGAATGGGTCAATTATTCTTCCAAGTCCACTTGCTCGCTGTCGCAGCTATCGCTGTTGGTGTTGCTGCTCGCGGTGGTCAAGGCCATGGTCGTCACGGCACTCAACCTGCCGATTATGTTATCGTCGGTGCTGGTCCTGCAGGTCTTGTTCTGGGTGAGCAGCTTTTCGTAATGGAAAAAAGAGCGTTGTCCTCATTGAAGCTGGTCCGGACAGCATCAACAATGCTACCATTGATAGTCAGTGAAACCGCAATTCATGAGATTGAACGAAAATTGCTAACAGCTTTTAGCTCCTGCGATGCACCCTTTTATTAGATCCTTTTTTCGATGCTGTGCAGAATGAGCTGGGTCTCGATGAGGTTGACATGACTGATGGCCGTGGTATCGGCCTTGACCGAGGACTGTCTTCTATTACTGCTATCAATCGCACCCGTTCCTACGGTCGTAGCGCTTTTGGAACTCTCATCGAGGACCGCTCCAACGTCGAGATCCTTACTTAGACATGGGCCTCTAAGATCAACTTTGAAGGTACCACTGCCGTCAGTGTCACTTACCGTGTTGATGGTAAGGCCACTACCATCAAGGGTAAAGAGATCATTGTTAGCGGCGGTGCTATCAACACCCCCAGGCTTCTTTTACTTTCTGGTGTCGGTCCCAAAGAAACCTTGAAACCTCCCGGAATCGAAGTCGTTGCTGGCATCCCTGATGTTGGTTCCAAACTTCGTGACCACGCTTTGTCAATCATTGAACTCGAAGTTGTCCCTGAAATTATACTGCATACCAATGGTTAGAGAATGCCACTGTTGCTGCCAAGGCTCAAGCAGAGTATGCAGTCAATCGAACTGGAATCCTTGGTTCCAATAACGGTTTTGTCTACGCCGCTTTCCGTCTACCTGACTCCACCTGGGATGGAATTGACAGTAGCCACCACACCTCTTTGCCCGAGGACTGTCCTCACATTCTCCTGGAGTTCTCAGCCTTGCCTTTCCTTGCAACCCCTGACAGCGCTCTCACCGCCTGGGCCAGTCTCTTCCAGCCAGAAGGTTCTGGTTCTGTCACTATCAACACGGCCGACTACACCGTAGATCCATTAATCTACACCAACTACTACTCCACCGAAGCCGAAAGGGCTGCTATCATCGTCGGTTTCAAGATCCTGATGAACGTTATCCAGAATGAGGAAATCAAGAAGCTCACCATCAACCAGATTTACCCTACGACTCCACTGACAACTGATGATGAAATCTGGGCTGTTATTCAAGCTCAGACTGACACTTTCCACCACCCCATGGGAACAGTAGCTATTTGTAAGGCACTTAACAGCAATTGACGATTGAATGGTTTGAAAGGCATCCGTGTTGTTGACTCGAGCACTTTCCCTTTGCCTGTCACTTGTCACCCTCAGGCCACAGTTTATGCTTTAGCCAACCGAGCTGCTAAGGATATCATTGCAGCTGATGCTGATGATGAGAATTAAGAATTGCTTGGTTAATTAGAACACATGCTTCAATGTACCCTTTTTTATTTCTGGTTTTCCGTACAATAAATATGCTTACATCTGTTTTCTTGCAATTTTAATTCTCGATTCGACTTTACAGCCTGTAGTTAATTTATATCCGCTAGCATTACATGACAAAGGGAATATCTACTTTAAACGATTTCATCTTTTGATGGCTTTTCGTGCGTCCTAGGTTGATTTTATGTAATAAAGCCATCTGCTAAAAGTGTGTGATGTATATGAGATTGACTTCAGACTGCCAGGAACAACCATTATGCCGTATTTTTTAAAGACTACGTGATTTAATAACTACAATATTACACTTCAGTATATTTCTCTTTCATAAATAATTTTGTTCATGTTCCACTATAGTCCTGGCTCGGAGATCTCTGCATCTGACAGCCCACTCATAATTCATCCAACAGGAAAGTTGTAACAGTACTTGTGTGTACGGGAATCCCCAGGTGTTGAGTATCAACACCGGAATATTAGCTATTCCGGTTCCCTGGGGATATCCCCTTTACCTGCATGTAATTATCCTTCTCCTCCCTTTTTGGGGATCAGTCATAATATTCGAATAACATCAATATTATCAGGTTCATGGGCTCTTTGGAATAGCCTTACTGCGTAATCCTGTGCTTCGTGTTATCAGGACGTAGCTAAACCAACAGTACTGAAACAGTACAACATGATATCTGTGACAAGCCACATCAACTAGGTGGATAATGTGAGGTTTCCTGTCAACTACTCACACACTCATAAGAAAAAGGCTTCTTGTTACTAGGATTCTTTCTTCTCAAGCTTCAGTCTCTGTACGTTAGCAACAGTACCTTTGTTAATGAAGATTGAAGGCACCGAATGACCGTCTGCCATATTGATAATTCCTCCTGTCCAGCTCTTTGATTAACCTCCTATTACAAAAGTAGGTAATAATTTTATTTCTCACTTTTCTGACATGTACTTTCAGCTACCTTCATGTTTTCATACTAATACATTTCATAACAAATGAATACGTCCAATAGTCAAAGATTACCTGGGTGTCCGCCAAAACATGATATATATATAGAAAAAAAAAAGAACCTCGCATACCTATGAAAACGCACCTACGCAGGCTGTGACGGCTGCAAGAATCGCTGTCGTGTAATCTCGGTCCTTTGTAGTGCCGCTCCGTGGTCTCGTTGAGCCCTAAGCCCTAGCTGGCCGTACAACGGGATATCCCTTTGTTGTTATGACTTCCTATTTAGGCACCGACGAGGCCATACGCGCTTACAAAGGGCTGTAGCGAGCTCACACACAGATTCTTCCTTTCTCCTTCTTTTTCTGTATGCTTAGTTTCTTGAAGATGAGCTACCCTAGAGTTTAGGTCTGAGCAAATGTCACACAGGCAAAAAGTACTGCGGGAAAGAAATCCAGTCATAAAAGTCTCCTTCGAGAGCCCAATTACTCACTTTCGGCAGCTCAACCGACGTGGTTGAAGCATGCCACCAAAACGAGCAGGAAAGGGAGCGCTGTGGCCGTACAGATCCGGGATACATGGAATACTTACAGGCCAATCCCCAACGTATCAAGTCATGGAATGCGGGTATGAGATTGGGTCGTATTGGCCATCGCACCAGCGCATTCCCATTCCAGAAAGCTTTGGAGCTTGACCCTCCGGTTGCTGAGGGTGCAATTGCCGTTGTGGATGTTCGTGGTGGTCGTGGCCAGGCTTTGGAGGGTATTCGTCAGGATTATCCTGATATGAAGGGCCGCATGATCTTGCTTGATTTGCCGGATGTCGTTACCGACGCTACGAATAATGGATCGCCTCAATATATTGAGACGGCTCCAGCGTCCTTCTTTAATCCTTTGCCTCGGGGTAGGTCTTACTCTCCTCCAACAAATATGCTGTCATTACTAACCTGGAGTATGTATATATGCGCACGATTATACCATTTCCGCCGTGTGTTTCACATCTGGGGCCAAAAAAAAGGACAAGAATTGCTTGAAAACACCAAGAAGTACATGGACGACTACTCACGCATTGCCATTGCCGACATGGTCCTCGCTGACGTCGGATGCCTACGCGATCTTGCCATGCAGGACATCAACATGATGAGTCTGGGTGGTATGGAGCGATCCGAGTCCGAGTGGAAGGAGTTGATTGCATCGGCTGGACTGGTGCTTAACAAGATCTGGTACAACCAGGATGGACCCAAGCATGCGGTTGTTGAAGCCGTGTTGCCTGCGTTCAAGGGGCACAAGCTTGAATAGATTCTTACCCAATTTTTTCTTGTGCTATCATGTGACTATGTGACTGGGTCTTTCCTGATTCTTTATGATTCTCGATATTTCCAATACTTTGCACGACCAAAAGTTTGCATAATCTCGATAGTGTACGCATAGTCGAATGATGTCGGTGGAGTTGGATAGAGCGCTTGTACAAGCGAAGTGACAGACCCACAGTAGAAAAATACACGAGCTAGTCCTTTTCGGGATTATGGTCTCCTATTGGTGAAATTATTAAAGTTGCGGCGCTTGCATTATTTTGAGTGGAGATCCACCATCATCGTAGTGGGTCCTCGTTCGATCAGATTTAGCGCTTGATCGGACTACGTACTCGCAAATCGCTAGTGATGGCGTTGTCTGTCTTGGTTAGCCCTTCTCAAAAAAGCAACTTGACATTCCGACTATCCACACAGATGCAAAATAATATTGCTGGAGTACATTATTATTGATCGAGTCTTCATGTTCACGATCAAGTTGCTGCGAACTTGTGATAGGAATTCAATGTATCACGCTGTCACTGCCCACAAAATGCCTCAAATGTAGCGTTGGGTTCCGTCTTGCTTAGCCTAGCCTTAGTACACCCAGACTAGTCTAGCCTCACCAGGGTCCATGCTGTGCCCCACCTGGCCAGGGACATTCTACGGAGTACTTTACTATGTAGACGGAAATGCGACAACTTGTCATCTGCTGGCCTTTCCCTTTTCCGCTTTAAAAACATTTATTATCCCAATCATTGTTATAAGAGTCTACATTTGCCGCTGTATTACTCTAGCCCAAAAGTCGGACAGCTATTCCCTCGATACCTGCTTAGAAATCCGAAAGCTCTCTTTAATGCTGTCGACCTCCACTAGTAGCTGGCCATGGCCCCACAGGAAACTCTTTTAAAGCTCGGTTCTTCCCAACTTCCTCTCGTAGGATCGTTACTTTCTTTCTGCATCACTCTCTATTCTTCCAAATCTCGAATGCCTTCTTAATCATCCATAACAACATGTCTTCTCCCACGCGCACCGTTCTCACCACTGGCTGCTCTGATGGCGGCATGGGTGCTGCCCTAGCTCTTGCCTTCCATAAAGCTGGCTTCAATGTCATTGCCACTGCTCGTAACCCCAACAAAATGTCCAAGTTGAGGTCTGCGGGTGTTGAGACCATGGCTCTCGATGTTTTGTCCGATGCTTCCATTGCTGAAGCTGCCTCCAGGGTTTCGACCTTAGACATTCTCGTCAACAACGCCGGTACTTCGTACAGCATGCCTATCGCTGATATGGACATTGAAGATGCTAAGCGCGGTTTTGAGACCAATGTCTGGGCTCAAATCAAAGTCATCCAGGCATTCTTGCCTCTGCTCCTCAAATCAAAAGGAATGATCGTCAACCACACCTCGGTAGTGTCCACCATGGGCGTCCCTTTCCAATCCGCTTACAGCGCTTCCAAGGCCGCTATGGCTACCTTCTCCGATTCCATGCGACTCGAGCTCGAGCCCTTCGGTATTACTGTCGTTGAGCTCAAGACCGGTGCCGTCGCGACCAACATTATCAAGAACCAGAAGGAAAACACCCCGATCTCGTTACCACCCAACTCCATCTATGCTCCTGCTAGAGAAGCCGTTGAGAGTGCCATGCGCAACGACAAGATGAGCGACGTCGGTACTCCACCCGACCGCTGGGCTGCTGAGGTTGTCGGTGACTTGACCAAGAAGAAGCCTCCTGCTATAATCTGGCGCGGTTACAATGCTAAGACTGCTCGTCTTGGAACGATTTTGCCTCACGGAATGATGGATTCGACTATTAAGAAGTTGACTGGATTGGATGTTGTTGAGCAGAAAGTGAAGAAATAAGCTGTATGCCTTGGCACTTTGGTCAGTTCTGAAGTACTTTTGTCTAGTATCTAGGATCAGGTCTTCACTTTAATACCATTTAATGAGCAAGTTAGATTCAATCTAAATCGTAGCATTTTTACAAGGTGCTACTGAATTCAAATTTCAAGTCATCGCAATCAGCCAATGCATTGGAATACTCTGATCGCAGAACGTCTCAACTTGAGCTCCAACCTTTTTTTTCCCCTTTAGTTCCCAAAATAGAAAATAAAAATTCAACAACGCCAAGTAAATCAACCTGCGCCATGCATAAACCTGTTTGTAAATTACGTATTCTAATCTTCCTGAACCAGCTACCTAATCACACACTGCCTAACAAGATGGTAGCAAAGGAATCGGACTCCGCGCATCGGTCATGTCTCAGGAGCTTCTCTTGTGTCTAACCTAGATGCGCGTGGCATGAGCCCCAACTGCGACATCTTGGTCCGACCGCTACCCTAGTAAGTAGCATTTACACGAAGAACTCAACCACTCGGAATTGGCGTAAGGAGATAGCGTGATTAAGGAAGCCAGGGAGAACCTCAGTGTTATCGGTTATGAGTTTAACAAAGGGTTATTGTGGAACTCAATCCAGCGTGGAGCTTTCTCCAGGGAAGCTTGTGCATAACTATAAATACAGAGATAATAAAAGGTCTTCACCAGGAGAAATTTATCATCTCCTTTCTTGAGTTATACAATCAGCTTTTAAAACTACTATTCCCTCAAGTCTCACATCACTCAAAATGGCTATGATCCCACCTTCCCCTCCCAAGTCTGCACTCGGCAGACACCGTCTTCTCTCTCCCAATGCCTCTGTGCGCGTCAGCCCTCTATGTTTGGGGGGCATGAGTAAGCCATTCGTAATTCGCTTAATCTTGAAACTTTTGCTCAAACTAATGTTGTACATCACAGGGCTTTGGCACAAACTGGGGCATGGGTCTCGGCGAATGCACCAAAGAAATGGCCTACGAACTTTTAGATACTTTCTACTATCTCGACGGAAATTTTGTTGACACTGCCAATACCTACCAGGGTAGCCAGAGCGAGGAATGGATTGGTGATTGGATGAAGGATCGCGGTCGTCATAATGAAATGATTATTGCGACAAAGTACGCCATGACTCCTATGGCGGGAAAGTCTGTGAATCAGAGCAATTACGGAGGCACTGGAAATAAGTGTATGCACATTTCGATTGAAGCCAGTCTCAAAGCAATGAATACGGATTATATCGATATTGTAAGTTTCATCCGCTCCCATATTTTAGAAATCAAATTTTAGAGGCTGACTGAGAGAAAGTACTACGTCCATGCATGGGACTACGCAAGTTCTATCCTAGAATTGATGCAATCTCTCAATGCGCTTGTCATTCATGGCAAAGTCCTTTACCTTGGTATCTCCGACGCACCAGCCTGGTTCGTCACCAAAGCCAACGCCTACGCTCGTCACCACGGCCTGCGTACCTTTAGCGTATACCAGGGCCGCTACTCCGCTCAACAGCGTGACATGGAACGGGAAATTATTCCCATGGCTCGCGAAGAAGGAATGGCCATTCTGGCCTTTGGTGTTTTAGTTAATGGGTACTTCAAGACACTAGGTAGCGAGGGTGCTGGTGCCCGTCGGATACCACCTACCATATTGATTGGACGCGAGCAACAAGTTTCTCAGGTCCTTGATAACGTTGCGAAGAGGCACAATGTGCCCCTTACCAGCGTTACGCTGGCGTACGCTATGCAAAAGACACCTTACTTCTACCCGATCATTGGAGGACGCAAAGTTGAGCATCTGAAGGCTAATATCGAGGCGTTAAAACTCCGTCTTACGCCCGAAGACGTTGCTGAGATTGAGACAGGCTATAATTTTGATATTGGCTTTACACACAATTTCATCAATACGGCACACCATATGATCGAGGGACCGCAGCATGTTACTATCTTGCATGATTTGGGGTACTTTGATTATGTTGCCCCCCCCTGCTGCGATTAAACCGCATGACGGTAAGCTTACTGCGCCCTGGCAGGCTCCTCGGTAGGAGAAGTATTGTAAGAACCAAGATCTGTTTACGAGTTATGAGGTGGATCTCGTCTAGATGAGAATTTGAGTGAACGAGTTTTCACTTGTCTACATGCTCTCGACTTCATCAATACCAAATTGATGATGAAGTCCAAAATGACATGTTGTGGATAGTATCATAATATGGAAATTCCAATATTTCCTGTGCTTTGACCCACTAATACTGTGATGCTATTATCGAAATTGAGTAGGAAATATCCGGATGTTTGGGTGCAGGGAATTGCCCTGGGATTTCGGGCTTTTAGGGCTGCCAAGTTATGATACCTACCTCATGCCCCGAAGCCCTACCTGTATCCTTCCCGGCTCCGAGTCTATAAAGTTGCAATTATTCTACGTTGTTATTCAACTCTCAGAGTTCATTTTCAATTCTCAAAACTCATAAACATCATGGTCGACTCTCTCATTATTCCGCCCCGCCCTGCTGGCGACCCTCACAAGCAGTTTTTATGCCTTACCATTTGCGGCTATAAGAAGGAAGGTATGAGTGAGGAGGACTATAGACATCATATGACACAGGTCTCGGCACCGATGACCAAACATCTCATGGTAAAATATGGCGTCAAGCGATGGACGATGGTAATTCAATGTCCTACTGTTATCTTTTCCATGAGTACTGAACCAAAATCCAAGATCCACAATCAGGAAGAAACTCGGGCCCTCATGAAGCGGCTATTCGACCACCAAATGGCCAATTTGGCCGACTTTGACTGTTTCAGTCAGGTTATCTTCAAAGATGTAGATGATTACAAGCGTATGAAGGATGACCCGTGGTACAAGCAACATCTGGTTGGGGACCATGAGAATTTTGCCGACACAAGGCGAAGCGCGATGACTATTGGCTGGATTACTGAGTTCATTCGGGATGGTGAGGCTGTTGATGGAATGAAAGACTACCAGGCGCCAACCCCCCTCGGCACATTGATTCGCACTACGCAGAACGTGCTCCCGGTAATTGTGGTTTTGTACGGAATTTATCGATTCACGACCAAGTAATGGCAATAACTTGTAGCTAGAATGTGCCGTAAAATTAAGATTATGGGAAAATTGAAGCTCGCTGTATTATAATTAGTCATCCACAGGATTGTAAGATTCATCTTCACACACTGGGGAGAACTTGTTAAAGTTCTTTATTGGTCATTTTTACGCTTAAGGGATTGGCTATTCTTTCAAGAATATAATAAAAATAAAAGTTCCAAGGAAATTTACCCAAAACATGACAGCTTAAGAAACGTCTGTGAGTGCATCGGGTGAATTTGTCTTTCCGTGCGCCATCCCTCTGATGTCGGGATTCGGGACATTTGTTTTCACTCGCTATATTTGCTTGCTACATAGAATTAAACATTGCACTTTAAAACCAACTCGAACCCAATAGCTTAATGGGACATTGTAGAAAATTATGAAGCTACGAAACGGGGAATTATATTTATATTCCACTATTAGCAGGAGGCACCCCTAGTCATGTCTACAATAAGCATACAAGCTACTGCGGTAGTAACTGGATCCTTTCTCTCGGGTAGGTCATATTTAAAGCAGCAATAATGCGAGAATTAGGAAATCTGACATGTCTGTAGGTGCGATGATGTCTCTATCCCTTTTCGCTGTTCCTGTCCTTCTCGATACTACGACTGAGGCTCCCCAGCTGTTTTTTCAGTGGGTCCGTATGTACCACTACGGACACATGGCCCTACCTACCATGGCAGTTGGAACGTTTTTGTTATACTCCTACGCAGCTGTTAAAAAGAGGAGTTCCAAACAACCATGGCGCCGTTTCTTGATCGCAGGCATTACTACCTTGACCATGGTGCCTTTTACCTGGTTCGTTATGGTGCCGACAAACAATGAGCTCTTCCGCCTGCAGAGGATTTCCCTTGCAGATCCAACGGTCATGCCTATCTCTGAGGCTACGGAGCTAGTTACCAAGTGGAGTTGGATGCACTTGACTAGGTCATTTATACCCCTCGCTGGGGCTGTTATGGGAGCCATGTGGACGTTTGCTGAATAGCGAGGATAGATCGACATGTGCGAAACTGGTAAACTTCCATGACATTGGCCCTGACGGTACCAAATTGTATATAAAGTTGACAGCAATTATATATATTTACATATATAGAATAGGCCGAACTCACAGTTAGCTTGTTGGATGTCAATGTAAGTTTAGTTTGGGGCTTTAGGGTTAATTAGTGATTTTAGCGTCGATTTCAATCCCGAGCTCCGATCCCCGATCTGCGATTTTCAATTGTCGACTTTCCAAATCCAATGAATTGGCTCTTGAATGCTACGAAATACCCTTGTGCAGATTACTTGGGTTTTCGAGAAGTATAATATTACAGTAGTGATTACTCTGTACTGCAGAATAGGTATCAAGACATGGTTCAGGGCCGAGTTAGGGACAAGCCGGGATGGAGATGGCCCTGAGTCTATTCTATATGTTCGATAGCTCTTGAATGAAAGCATTACTAAAAAATGAAAGACGATTGACGATCGATGTTTAGCACATGGTCTATCAGTATCCCTCTTTTTTGAACCCATCATGATGTGGCTAAACTCTATTATACTGCTGGCGATGTTCACATCACCTCTCCGCAACCTACTTCTCGATTTATTGTCTTGGCGAAGGGAGCAAAATGTTGATAAAACTGGATCTGAGGATTATCTATCAGAGGTTAGTGGTGGAGTCTGGGAGCATTCCTTGGTGTTTGTCCACATCGAGCAGGGATTAAAAAAGAATCCAGACGGATCAGCAGTTATATCCACGTTTCAGTCAGTGGATGCACTCCCGTATTTGCTGTCTGGAGAAAGTCGTGTACTAGACCTAGATACTACCACTATCACTCAAAAAGTATCTTTTACGAAGATCAGTGCAGTCTCTCCCTTCCAACATGGCACGTTCTCTCCTCTCCAATATGGAGCATTCACACAGCCCACAAGATTTGAGAAGAAGATAGATAAGCCGAAGCCTGTCATCCAGGAAAAGCAGAAACCGCATATTTCATCACAATACTTGACAATCTTATACAGTCAACTGCATCGCACTTCCTTGAAACTTGCGGCCGGGATGATAGCCAATGGAGTCAAACCAGATTCCAAACTACTTATGATCATTCCCAATGGCGGAGAGTATACACTCCTTCTTCGGGCTTGCATTCTGCTTCGTGTTACATATGTTAGTCTCGACCCAGAAGTGCTTGATATTTCCGGTTTCACTACCCTCAAGGCTACGATTCAAGCCCTCAAGCCACAGGTTGTTGTTACACCTGACGCAATTACTGGAAAGTCCATCGACGTTGCAATTTCGGAACTGCGACTACCAAAACCAATTAAAATCTGTCTCTCCTCCTCGAGATTCGGTCACTGGAGGCCTCTCGCAGAATTGGTTCATGAAACGTTGAAATGCCCCATTGATGAAGAAGCACTTGTCGCGGCCGCCCGCAATGACAACCCCAACCGTATCCATTCCATCATATTTACGTCTGGCACATCCGGCATGCCGAAAGGATGCCCAGTACGCATTTCGAACATGTCGCATATGCTTCACTCACAGTCATGGCTCGTCGACGAAGTCAATGGTACGCTCGCTTTACAACAGGCTCATAACTCACGTGGAATCGCACCAGCACAAACAATGCAGACTTGGAAAGCGGGAGGTGCGGTGGTTATGACAGGACAGGAATTCAATGTCAGGAAAGCTCTCGACGCCATAATTAATCTACATATTACTTTTATAGTGTTGACCCCACCAATGATTCATGAAATAATAGCCAAACTTACCGCAAATCCCGTTGATATCAGCTCTGTAAAGCGGGTTCAGGTCGGCGGGGATGCTATTACCAAGGGACTATTGCTCAAGACTGCCTCTCTTTCCCCTAAGGCTCAAGTATGCGTCAACCATGGAATGACTGAGGGTGGTGGTTCATTCATGTAGCCATTTTTCAAAACTCCAATTTCAAGCATACCATTCTTCGGTGAAATCTGCCCCATTGGCGTCGTCGCACCAGGAGCGACTATTCGTGTTTGTGATACCGAAAAGAACTGCATTGTCAAGAAATGTCAATTCGGTGAGCTTCATATTACAAGCGGAAGTCTTATCAAGCACTACTTTGGCGGCAGATCTGAGGCATCATTTTATTGTGATCACGGTGTGCGCTGGTTCAATACCGGAGATGTCGCCATGGTTAATGAGGATGGACTGGTGTCAATTCTTGGCCGGCAGAAGGACATGATCAAGCGCGCTGGTGTTGCAATTATGCCCGCGGCACTGGAAAGCTCTATCGCGGCATTCATCGGGTCACAGGTAGGTACTGTGCGGTCCCTAATAGTTCTCATAATTAGTTTGGAATCTTACTCACAATATAGACAATCGTCGTTCCCATCAGACACCCTATCGTCGGATACGAGCCTTTTGCAGCTCTGAATTCGAACAACGGCAAAACTCAAGACCAAATTAAGGAGCATGTTCGCATTGCCTTTGGTAAAGACTATGCCCTTGGGGGGATTGTATCGTTGAAAGAGCTCGGACTTCTCTAGTTTCCAGTCAATCAAACACATAAGATCGTGAAATCAAAATTGCAGGAAGACGTGGAAAGGCACCTCGGCAGGTTATCAGCAATCAAGACCTGAGTATGAGTCAGCATTTAACAGATGGTTTTCTTCGGTATGAAGTGGTGTCTGTTCCATCATCATCTTTTTCATTCCATCATCCTTTATCCTTATTTTTACTTCTCGTAGTGTCTCTAGCATGTATGCGTTCCTTCTTTCGCGAGTTGGGCAGATAGATGTATGAGCGTACCTGCGCAAATTACGGATAGCTAGTTGTTAGATATTATTGGTGAAGTGCACAGTGCAGTGAGGCCCAACTGGTCTACCAATTAGGAAGAAACACGTATAAAGCGAGGCGTTTTGATTCTTCATTATGGAGGACAATTCTCTGTGAGAAACAGCACAACATGGTCAGAGAAATCTAAGTCTTCATTTTTGAGAAATTACAGTAAAATCTGGTTCCTATCAATTTCACGAGATTAAGGGCAAAATAAGCCTGATAATTTCAACACTAGTTTTCCGAATGGGTTTATACAGTAACTTTCATTAACACCACATTTAAATGACAGAAAGGCAGAGAAGTTTCTTGCACCACTTTAATTGCATGTTAATTTTTCTTAATTCATATCCTATATGGTAAGGAAAAATAGTATATACTTCTACCGCTTCTCATATTTACGTTGATTGGACCATGAACAATTCATTCTCCTACTTATTTGGCTCCTGAGACAGACCTATTTAGTAATTCTTTCTCTCTGTTAATAACGTCTTTGAGACTATTGAATGGAATATCATATTTTTCGTTTAAGGCCTTCCCATCAATGCTGAGATCTTTCTCGTTGGCAAGTTGTTGGAAAATCAAGGTGCCCACCGTGAAGAATAAACTAGCAGCCTCCTCCTTACTTAGAACCCGCGTCTTAATGTCAACTCCAGAAGCTTTGCTCAGCAATTGCCTCGTATCTTCCAGTATCAGATTCTCGTTTCCAAGCTCAATCTCATGGCTTTTGGACTTCTCAGGTTCTATTAGCGCAGCTGCTACAATCTGCCCCACGTTTTGGACGCCGAAATGTGGCATTCTGGTATTTGGCTAGTCCAATCAGCTGTAGTACAACCGAACCCCGGATTCCGATATTGATCTTGATCATTTATGCATAGAGTACTCGATTAGCTAGTCCGAGGTAAGTTAGAGGAATGGACTATCTAACGGACATTCGATGCAGATCGTCGGATAGTATCATCTCGCCCAACGGAAAAGCCCGATTAGCTAGCCCCGAACCAGGGGGCTAGCTTCACTCTGTTCCGTATTAACCCTAGTACGAGCACAATCATTTTGTCGAGGGGCTGCTATGCATGGAAAGGTTGGAATATCGCGGGTTAAATGGAGAAAGAATTTACGCAGATAACTTCATCCTAGTCACACATATAAATCTCGAGGGATACCTAACTGCCCTGCATCGAATCACGGATAATCTGATATTGAGGGTTGAAGTGGGCAATAACTATTAAGCCCAGTCTTGGACTATGCAAGTATTTCAGTTATGACCGGTGAGTATAAGTCAACTTTGGGAACGAGTAGCTAAGAAATTTTGTGCGCCACGTTCGTCAGGTGCTTGATGAGCTTTATTCGATCCACAGATCGAGTACCCCCCACTTATGGTTGATAGGTACAAGACTTTGGAATATATTCCGCAACTTGACAGGCAGGTCTGGGAAGACGGTCAATTTCCGAGCCGATTACTGCTCTAAGATTTGTATCACAATCGTATTCGAGATTCTTGTGATTATAGCCGTACCGGTATTCCACTACATTCCGGACAGTATTTTGACTTGATGAACCAATTCCGTCTGTCTGACTGACTATAGCCTACCGTGGGACATTTTAGCAAATTTCTTGAAGATAGATCATTGCACAACACAATATGTGATTTTCTTTTTTGCGTGAAATCTCGTCCTTTCCATTCCAAACACGGTTCTCAGTTTGAACATATGCTCAACGGAAACCCAGGTAGAACCTTGTAAATCAAAGTGTCCATAAATACAATAGACGATTAAAGCAAACATATTTTGAAGTTGTAGCTGCGTTATAGTATCTCATCTTTGCAAGATTACGGTGAGTGCTTCACACTTATATACAGCACATTGCCTAGCTTTCACTCATTGTTCCCTGCAATTGTTTATCTACATAGCCAAATGTGAAGTAATCCATCTCAGATTACAAGAAAGAACTTCACTCAATGTACACCGCTTCCAGAAATACTGTTACTAGCTATACGGACCAGGAATCTCGTGGTAACATCATATAAATTCGTGTCTCTGTTCATGGTCTCGAGCGGCTGATGGATGGAAGATATCAGAAGTGGTGGTCGCAGGGCCCGTGGCTCGAATTGCCGGGAATTATGGACAACATGGTTATTTACTTGGAACAATCAACTGCGATAAATGGGAATTTGTAATGAGTTTGAAGCCAGGCGAGGTTAGCACTATTTAGTAGGGAGAGTGAGAAGCACTTTGGATTCTCCTGGAGGAAGAGGTGGGCTGCGCAACTACCAGGCATGCAGGAGGCCTAGTTAAAATACGCGATGGGTCTTTGAATCAACTAGATGTTTTCAATGAGCTGATAAAGTATTTAGAGACATATTGTACGGCAAACAGGGCCTTATAAGACCATGTACCGAAAATATTCCTCATCGATCACGGTGATTTGATATAGGAATACAGATTAAAATTACTCGGCGGAATTGCGAAGTAAATACTACGCTCCAACCCATCCAAGGGTTATTACTGGTCATGGAGATAAAGCTTGTGCAGCCATGCCACGGACGAGGTCTGATGTGTTTCAATGAAATCCAAGGACCGCGAGCATCCCTCCATTCGTTGAACCGTCACAGCGGCCGCACTTTAGACTAATCACGATTCACAGCTTGATATGCTCTTGCAATAGATTAGACTGAACTCGTTCATTTCATGGGCCGTTTGGTCATGAGGTTTCCACTGGGTGGTCATTTAAAATGCAGAAATTGGGAATGCAAGGATGGCCATTCTGATATTGGGGCTGATCGTCCGTAAATGTACATAATAGTACGTGAGAACAATTCGTAGATGCATGGGCATGCACCATGCAGCATGTGGTATGTAAAATTCACTGCCTGAATTGACATGACACAGAGGCTCAATGACAGGGATGAGCAGCAAAACAAAGCTGGTGACATAACTTCCCGGATCGTAGTATCTTGACAGATTGGAAACTGTCAAAAGTTCTCATATACATTAAGGAAATGGTCACTTTTTAAGGACTAGGCATGGAGGTTACTGAAGCGTATATTGGGCTAATGTATGAGGCAAATTAGACTTAGCACTGAGGCTTAGCAAGGCTTGAAGAGCCCTAAATTGTCTAGAAAGGCGTTGCTATTGAAATATGAGATCTGAAACCGTATTGACCGTATCGATCGTATCGCATTGACTTCGTAAAGGACGAAAGGTAGGATTCCCTCTAGTAAGCGTGTATATACCTATGACAAACCTCCTGTCGCCGATGTAGGAAAGCGACGAACTAAGTCAACTGCACCAACTGGCCGGGGAGAGTAGGTAATGACGAGGGATTTAATATGTCATATGAACTGCAATGAGGGACTCTTTTTTTGCATTGACAGTATACATACACAGTCTGTTGTGTAACTTAGGTATGTAGCAAGTAGAGACGAGATGATGAGCCGCCGGCTTATAAAACAGGCTGTCATAATTGATGAGTTCAGGAGGAAAACTATACTCAGCCACTGTCTTCTTTTGATTCATTATTGTGTGTGTGTGATTCGATTGCGCGACAGATATAAAATTGGAAGGATTACTGGCCGGTTTTAGTCAAATCGGACCCATTCGCGAAGACAGGCTCCCCCGCTCACCGTTGAGCTAGATCTTTGGAATTGTGGCACATTTACTTCTTTAACTCTTTCTTTTCTTCAGAGATTGGCCAGTTGTCCTCCCTACTCTTACTCTGTGTACAATATCATACTATTCATCACTTCTCTTTGACTTCTATTTCCGGAACATCTTTATCACTCGATTGCGCGGTCCGAACCTACTTTGTTTACTAGTATCGGTATACGATCAGCAATATCCGGCCTCCGGATCCAATCCAGAACGGCACTCACATGGGTATAAGTCCACAGAATCCTCACACCGACAAGTCACTGTCATGTCAAGCTATCCCAGCGGCAATCAAGCCGCCGGTATGGGCATAGGCTATAATGATCAATTCGCTCGTCAATATGGTGTGACCTCTCTCTGCGATGCGCAGGTGTATATCCCTTGCTAATTGACATTTACTTGGTGGAACAGAAGCCCCCGCTCCGGAACAGACCAAATTTAATGGATTCCTGAAAGCGCTTGGAGCGGGAACAAAGAAGACAAAAGGTTCGTTCTTTGGATTGAGACCGATAGGTAATTGTGGCTTGCTAACCCAGTGTCGACGCGTAGGAGATGGACAACCTCCAAAACGTCGTGGACCCAAACCAGACTCCAAGCCGGCCCTGACCCGGAGACAAGAACTCAATCGACAAGCACAGAGGTAATACGCGCCGTTCATACCTGAAACTATGTTGAGGGACGTATTCTCACGCAAAGATCTTTGACAGAACCCATCGTGAACGAAAAGAACAATACATACGATCTCTCGAGTCCGAGCTCTCCAGGCTACGGGAGGTATATAGCGTGGACATCAACGCTGCCAATCAAAAAATCAAGCAACAGCAGGAAATGGTACAGAGTTTAAGAACAGAAAATAATCGATTGATGGGGATATTGAAAGAATGCGGAATCCCTGTTCAGCCTCAGGTGGAGATCGAAACACAGGAAACAATGAATGCACAACTCGGGGCAACCTCATATACAGTCGGAACGAGTTCGGTGGCCTCTCAATCAGCCGGGTTTCAGTCACAGCCGGGATTTTTGACAACGCCGCCGTCCACGTTCAGTTCGCCGCATAGTGCAGGAGGAGACGGTGATGATAGAGCAGGTTCAAGATCCGGAACAGGAGGAGGGGCGATGCCAATGATCGGTACTAGTTTTCAGACCGGTATGAATCTAGGCGACCTGGACTATTCAGCTAGTTCAGAAAAAGACCAAGCGATACCAGCGGTACCGGGCATATTCGACGAGGACCCTCAATTAGGCATCGATTTCATTTTGCAGCTGGAGTCGCCCTGTCGTGACCATACGGAATATCTCTGTCGCGAAGCCTCCAAGGACGTTGAACGGGACAGATTCTTTTCCGGGCATGCTCTCATGGCTTCGTGTCCACCACCGAATCACATCGAAAACGTCCCTGAAGGAAATCTGTACCCCCATCAGACCTATGAACTGCCTCTGCCCAACCTTGAAAAACTACTTAATTTAAGCAAACAACTCATCACAGACGGCCAAGTGACGCCTATAATGATTCTGCAATCCCTGAAAAACCATGATCAATATCGACATCTAACGAAAGATGATGTCAAGGCAATTGTTGATACGTTGACGGCCAAGATACGATGTTATGGGTTTGGTGCTGTTATCGAGGATTTCGAATTGAGAGATTGTTTGCAGAATGTTTTGGGCACGAAGTTATATCATGGGAGAAGTCCACCATCAAAGGTCGGGGATGATGCACTGTATCGATAGTTCCATTAATTCTCTTTCTCTCTTCTCGGTCCTTGCTTGCTTCCAAGATTCTTTCCATCTGCCATTTCATGAAACGATTATTTCGAGCTCCACAGAATCGAAATCTGCGAACAACAAACCATATACCCAAATGAGTCTAATTTCTGTTACATTACGCCCATCAAGTTTTGTTTTGTGAACAACGAACGCTCTTGTACAGGTGCAATGTGTCCTGGGCCTCCTTATTCTTGAGGGCTCTTATTTCATTCTGTATCTGACGCGAAAACTAAAGAAGATATGTAGCCTATGTGATTATCTTTCGGGTTTCAAGTTGCCCGATGCTTTCACTTAAATATGTACATTACAATGATCTAGATAGAAGACGGGATCAATTGTCTAATGAGAAATACTTTTATATTCGTGAATCAACCGGGTAATCATTATCTTCAATATGTAGGAGGCAAAGAAAATCAAGAGGGAAATCAAATGATGAATTACTCCTCTTCAACCTTCTCCTCCGGCTCCTCAACGAGAGCTTCTTCCTCTTCAAATGTGTTATAGGGCACATTGTACAAGCGAACAACTGGTTTGTTAGGGTCCTTGACGAGGACGTATTTCTTAAGCTTCTCCTCACTTTCCTCATCTTCATCGTCGTCCAGGCTGTTGATCAAGTCGACAATAGTGCGCACGATACCCCATCCGTTACCCAAGTTCAAGTTCATCTGAGTGGCGAAATCACGGGGTTTATAACCAACAACACCCAAAATAACGTGCGAGCTGGCAGAGCGCGGATTGCTACGAGACACGAAACCGAGTTTCATGTGGTCTGCCTGGGCCAAAATGGCTTGAGTGGTCCAGCGCGCGAGTTTGCAGCTGTTATTCTTCATTTCAGTGGCAACGACAGCACCACGTTGGGAAGCAAGCTTGGTGCGCCAGTCGAGGGCACCACCGGCACCCTGGGCTTTGTGGTCGAATTCGTTTAGGGCCTTGATCACGATGTGTTGGTCGGCTCCGGTGGTGGCCTTCAATACGGCATCGACTTCTGTGCGGACGATCAAGTTAAGAGGCTCTTCGTCCTTTTCGAGGGACAGGTCGAAGCGTCTGTATTTGTAGGCCTTTGATGCAAGAGGCTCCGTTTCTTCACTTGCGTTGTAGAATGGATTAGGGTGAGGGAACTCGACCTTGTCCTTGTCGGATTCGATCACGGTCTGTAGAGCAAAGTTGTGATTGATCACAGTAGCTTCCAAAGCAAGAGCACCAGGGGTGTTGATTGAATCTTGCTTGCCGCCGGCCTCTGAAGCTTCGAGAGGTGCGTCTGCGGCGTTCTCATTTACGGTAACCAAGTCGATGGAAGCTCCGTCACGCTTATCGAAGTAGATCCTGTTTCCCTGCTTGACAATCACAATATCCCATGAGTAGACACTGCGAGGAGCGCACATGAGCATAGATAGAATATCGGACGTTGCAAAGACGGTAGCCTCGTTCTTCTCAGCGAGCTCTTGGATGATGGGGTCTGACGATGTGGTCACGTTGTAAGCGGCACGGTCGAGAGATTGTAGTTTGCGTTCACTGCCCTTGACAGGCGGCTTATCGTATGATCGATCGTAGGCGTAAAGGAAGCCATAGTTGTCAAGGTCTTCTCCATCGGGTGACTCGAGGTGAAGTTTGGACAAGCGGTTGAAATCAACTTCTTCAAGGAGAGCCCAATCGGGACGAATGTTGACGGAGCTGTCACGATTACGCTGGGGCTTGTCATAGTCTTTCCATCCGAAACGACGTCCACGACCACCCCGGCCACTGCGCTGATCATAGCCACGGTCTTGACCACGGCCAGCACCAACTCGCTGGAAACCTGCACGTCCACCGCGCTGGAGTGTGCCACGTTGGCCACGGCCACGGAAGATGGTACCACCGCCTCGTCCGAAACCCCTGGTTTTGGTGGATGTACGAGTGTTATCAACGACGGAGAATGAAGATTCGTCTTCAGCAACTTGAACGGCGAACAGGCTTGATGCTCCAGCACCATAAACTTGTTGATCTGTTGCAATGCATGAGATTAGCCACATGCCACAATTTTTCTAACGCGGCGGGGTCAGCACGTACCACGGAAGTTACGGTTGTAGTTTTGACGTCCACCACGCTCACGGTCTTTGCCTTCAGCGGTCCAGTCTGCCATGCGACCGAGCTTATCGCCCTTGGAGAAAGGAGCATAGGGGACACCGTCGAGGGTTGTCTCAGACGGTGTTGGAGGACCCCATTCGTCCTCCGAGGGGAGGGCGGAGACAATATCGGCAATAGAAATAGGAGCCATCTTGATACACAATACTGAAATTGCCAAGATACTAAGGATCCCGGTTGAAGAGACCTTTTCAGCTCGCACAGAACAGAAAAGGATGGGGAGTGGTCTCACGAAGCGGAGGAATATCGTCAATTCGATTTTGAAGTTTTTGTGCCTCGCCGCCCACAACGAATTTCTTGGCGGGTTAGACAGCCTCACCGCCTAGTTCTGCCGCCGTTCTTACGGAGCGTATTCACGCTACCATTAATACCAGTGTGTATTTCAGTCCGGACAAAGTGTGTAATGTAATCCTATTACATACAGGATACGTACATCATAATATAGCTGAGACCTTGACTGATCATCTAACAACACATTCCTCAACAACATACTCTCACATCAAGAGATCTGTCTGTACCGATGATACACTCCATCAACGCTCGTTAATTATTCCTCCCTTCTTTCAACAGACGCTTTGCCTATCCTTTCACAATCCCACTCACTCGCTCCTTCTCCAGACCTTCCAGCTTCAATGACGCCCGGTTAAACACTTCCAATCGACCAGCTTCAACATGTCTGTCGACTCAAGCTACGGCATTTCCCACGGTAGTCCTGGCTTGCGATATTCACAACCCAATCAATATGTTGAACCGCGTGGTCTAGTTGCTCGCGCGCGCAACGCTGCCTATACTTACGTTCAAGACTCGAAGAACCAGGCCGGAACTGGCTTCAGATACGGACGCAATCCCGGTTTGTCCTGGCAAAAGGCAAAATCACTCCTGCGAGGATCTTTTTGTGTCGCAAACTTCCTAGCTGCGCTATGGATGTTCACATTGTGGTGGGGCGAAAGGACAGTTTTCCGGGAACAAGTTTCACAATGTTATTGGGATTCATGGGAGAAATGGGTGAGAGTCAATTGCTCAAAAACGTAATACGACAAGCTAATATATGTTCAGCCCGCAAATGCAACCCCCCATCATGTCGTCTTTATAGCCGATCCACAACTTGTTGACCCTCACACATACCCAGGGCGTCCTTGGCCCTTGTCAACCCTTACCGTCCAATTCACGGACCAATACCTCCGTCGATCGTTCTCTCTAATTGAAGACTACCTTCATCCGGACTCGGTCTTATTCCTAGGGGATTTATTTGACGGTGGTCGCGAATGGTCCACCTCTACGAGTCAGTCTCCCGAGGAACGATACAGGAAATATGGAGAGGGTTTCTGGTTAAAAGAGTATAACCGGTTCACTCGTATATTTTTCAACCAATGGAACAAAAATGGCCTTCCGGCCACTGGAGAGCGTCGAGGTCGCAAGCTAATTGCGAGTTTGCCTGGAAACCATGATTTGGGATTCGGAAGCGGTGTGCAACTTGCGGTTCGACGACGTTTTCAAGGATACTTTGGTCGCGGTAACCGGGTTGACGTTATTGGGAATCATACATTTGTTTCCGTTGACAGTGTTTCTCTGTCTGCAATGGAGCAGCCTGATGAAACAGGCAGCAGCGGAATTGGAGCTGGAGATGGCCATCAGCCAAACCAAGCAATTTGGGGTCCTACTGAGCAATGGCTCAAGGGAGTCAAAGATATGAAAGCTCGCCTCGAAACAGAAGAGCTTCGGTCAATACGGAATCAGACAGAAGGCTTCAAACTCGTCCAGGGGCTTCAAGAAGCTTCGGCAGACACAGTTGCTCACAGGACTCCTATTGAGTCACAGGGACTCCCAACCATCTTACTCACGCACGTGCCATTGTTTCGAGAGCCTGCAACACCCTGCGGCCCTTTACGTGAGCATTATCCACCTTCTACTACAGATCCTATGCCTGAAGAGGATGAGGCAAACGCTTTGAAGATAGCTGGTGGTTACCAGTATCAAAACGTTCTAACTCCGGCGATCTCTAACGAGATCATGTCGAGAATTGGTCCTGGGGTCTCTCATATTTATTCCGGGGATGATCACGACTACTGTGAAGTGACGCATCGCGAATACACTGGATCGCCCAAGGAAATCACTGTTAAAAGTCTGTCGTGGGCGATGGGAGTCCGGCATCCGGGCTTTTTGATGACCACGCTGTGGAATCCCATCGATCCGAGCAACGGAAAACCTCTCGCAGAAACATCGCAGCCAACCATTCGAAACCATCTGTGCCTTCTTCCAGATCAGTTGTCAATCTTTGTTCATTACGGGATCATTTTCTTCGTTACGATTGTCATCTTGACCATCCGAGCCATGGCCATCACGTTCCTTTCCTTTGGCAAGCCCACAAATTACGAGCCCGACCTACCAATTAGTGAGCTTCAAGCTCATTCTCGCACATCCAGTCGTACATCCAGTCCTCCATATACCAGCGTCACCAGCGCAACATCAGGCGGAGAACCTCGACTCGCAAATCGCAACAACTCGACACTCACCGATCCAACCTACCGTATAGATGAAGAGGTGCAGAAAAGCACTCAACGTTACGAAGACTGGAAGAAGCCACACGGTGGAAGCGACTGGGACGACGACGATAGGGGAACCGCCAAACTTCTATCGTACAGTCGTCAATCAGGTCGTGAATGTGTCGGTCCGGCATCCAGCATAGGTCGATTTGCAATCGAATTGAAAAATAGCGTTAAGCAAGTTGCTATTATAGTCCTTCCTTTTTATTTTTGGTTATTGTGGAACTGGTGAAGTGATTCTGTTTACTGGTTAGATGGTATAGTGTAACATTAGCGAGCATAGAATGGACGGCGTTTTGGTTTCTATCGGATTCATTGTTGACATTACGCCACTTTATACCTTTTTTCTCTATTGATCGGATCTATCATTCAAATTTCACACAATTTGAACTCGTACCTAAGAATTTATGCCATCAAATACCTCGGGATCGGAGGCCCCAGGCAGTGCACTTCCAGAATGTTGACAACCCTCCATCTTAGAAGAATTTCTCTGCATTCATCCTCTCGTACTTGTGTAGTCTCTCACTGGGTATCTTGCTTTTACTCCCCCTTGCATACTCAGATACTCTGTACCGTTCCAAACTGACCAGTTATGTACGGCTCCTGATTAATATGTTGGCGAAGAATGAGACAGGCTCCTTTATGTAAAATCCGAAGATATTCAACGGGTTGGTAACTTAGCTATACTTTTCAGCTAGGTCGACAATTCTTCTCGTTTATCCGAATAATATATCCTTAAGAAGAACACGTTGAGGTGCAGCGCCATCCGACATGGTCAATAATCCCTTTTATTTAGTGAATTGTAACGCCGGAAGAGTTTCAGGCATCTAGGTATTTTGTCTGTAACATTGTAGCTAGACCCATCTTGGTGATCCCGACTCTCAACTGAATTACCACCCTTGGTTAACTAGGGTTATGTGCGAGCTCACATCCACGTAGAGACGTGGCTTATGAATCGATGCATAAAAGAACTCTATTTATTATATAACAATTATCAATGAGACATAAGTCACCTATTCAATTTATCCCTTTCTCGATCTTGATTCTTGTTCTCGCGTCAGTATTCCGACGCGTTTTTCTTTACTCTCTTCCACCCTAATCCCCAGGTTCATTTATCTAATATATATGGATCCCAGGTTAAATAAGGTTGTGAAGCTCCTAAAAAGACATCTTACAATGATGGCATCAGCATTGTACCATCTGGCGGCCCTGCTCACGCTCTCGACGGAGATCTATGCATACGGTATTACTGGTATATCTGGTGGAGTCAACTACGACACTGGCGAACGACCGGCGCGTCGTGACTTGAGAGATCTACAGTCCTCTGGAGCTGCCTTTGATCTTTACATTCAGGCCCTTGCTCAGTTTCAGAGCGATGATCAGAGCGATTTCGTCTCTTATTACGAGATTGCAGGTAAGCTGCGCCAAATCCGACAACTAATGAACTGAATTGTTTGAGCTAATGAGTATCTGCCAGGAATCCACGGCTACCCCTATCAATCCTGGGACGGTGTAGAAGGCCAATTTATCACAGGCTACTGCTCCCACGGATCCCCCATCTTTCCAACCTGGCATCGACCATATTTAGCTCTATTCGAGCAGCGAATCTGGCAATTTGCGCAATCCATTGCCAACGCATACCCGGAGGATCAGCGGCAAACGTATATTGATGCAGCCGACACATTGCGAATCCCTTATTGGGATTGGGCTGTCAATCCTAACATGCCGGAGAGTTTGGTGTATCAGTCTATTGTGATTAATACGCCGAATGGACAGCGGACGATGGATAATCCGTTGTATTCGTACAAGTTTCACCCGTTGCCGTTGGGGAGTGATATTCCGAATGATGATCCTGTATGTAGTTTCGTTATTGATTAAGGAGTTGAGTCTTGCTGATGACTGGATTCTAGCTTGCGAAGTATTCGGAAACTGTCAGGTCGCCGGATCCAAATACAGGTCAGAGTCGGATGGATAAAGTCAATTCCGGCATGTCCTCCAACTCTGCATGGTGAGTTTACCCTCTTATTATACCTAACTCTATCTCATTAATGGTTTCAAGGTTGACATCAAGCACATATCAACTCCTATCGTCCGAGACAAACTACACCGTCTTCTCCAACTCCGTCCTTCAAGACAGGGGCGACAACTACAACAACCTCGAAAGTATCCACGATGGTGTGCATGCCTTGGTCGGTGATGGCGGACATATGACATACTTTAGCATGGCAGCATTCGATCCTATATTCTGGATCCACCACTGGTATGTCTTAGCCTAATAAATCAACCTAAGTTATACACCGGCTTCTAACTCAAATAGTTCAATTGACCGTATTTTCGCACTCTGGGAAGTCCTCAATCCGAACTCCTACATTGAGCCCATGGCCGACACATACGGCACCTTTGTCATCGAAACAGGCAGCATCGAAGACATAAATACCCCCCTATACCCCTTCCACCGATCCGACGAGCCCAACGACTGGTGGACATCAGGTAACAGTCGCTCAACAAGGGAGTTTGGCTATACATACCCCGAAATCCAGGACTGGGGCGTGGATCAAAGCACACTTCAGAACAACGTACGTACCGCAATTAACAATCTCTACAATGCGCCGGCACGTATGAGTCCTGCTGCTCATAACAAGAGAGACATTCTACATGATTTGGAGAATGTGCCGCACGACTTGACGAGCATGGCAGCGAATAAGGTAACCGGTCAAATGACGAAATCACAATTCGATCGTCTGGGAGTGAATAATATGGTCAAGAATTGGGCTATTAATGTTGCTGTGGATAAGTAAGTTGTCTTTCCTGGAAGCCTCAGGCTGCCCATCCCAATCCCCAGCCCGTTTGGGAAACTACTTGCCGTTTTCGGCCAGAAAAGAAAAATTACTCATTCTGGAAATTTTCTAGACATGCTCTCAATGGAAATCCATTTCAGATCCATTTCTTTTACGGCGAGCCTGATACTGAGCTCAAGCCAACAGAATATTTCAAAGCACAGAATCTGATCGGCACATATCGCACATTCACCAGTCCAATGTCTTCCTCGTCGTCATCACACAGGCGGTCAAGTGATGAAGTCTCAAAGCTATCAACGGGACAAATCTCGCTCTCCCCTTTGCTGGCTAATGCAGCGGCCGCTGGAATTCTTCCAGACAACACTCTTGCGCCGGTGGATGTTGTACCGGCGCTATCAGACAATCTCCAATGGCGCATAACCGATTCGACAGGAGAAAACGAAATTCCCGTTCAGGAATTAGCGGATAATGGTAAACTTAGAGTAAGTGTTGTGTCAAGAGATGTTGAGCCTATTTTGGCTGGGGAAGAGCATTTGTTTCCTAGATATGGGGAGTGGGTTGAATGGGAGGATGTGACCCGGGGGAAAGTAGGAGGTGTATGATTGATTGCTTCACATTTCTATCAGAGAGATCACTATGCTTACAATTCATACAATAGTTAACAGACCATTCTGTTCTTTAGGCTCAATATAAAAACTATCTAGTGTATCGATCTGTGATACAAAAATATCGAATCACCAAATCTAGAACACCTTCAAATCATCGTCTCTGAAATTTCGGTTGGGTATTGCTGATTCGCGGGAAATACAAACACCTCCCTGCGATCTGTATGACTGGTAGATTAATCAATCTAGTTCATGGAGTAAGCTGTTTCAGCAGGCCGCATCTATCACTAGACTATGCAAAACATCTGAAACAAAGAGATCCATTCCTAGCTTCTTCGAATTTCCTTTTCGGTGAATTTCTGTCAAATACACGTAGCTGTCTTTGAAAAGTTGAGATTGATCCTTTTCCGCGGATATTTTAGGGCAACCTAGGTAGGCATTGTATGTACATGATGTACAACTATAGTAATTCAGTCTACTTCAAGATATCCCAAGCACAACTTTTCTTCTATATTTCTAATCAACTCTTCGCTCAATACCTACCCAAGCAAACGAAAGCAATTTTTATATGAATAGAATCATACTTTTTGCCATGGAACCTAGGTCCACGGGTACGTCCCTATCAAAAATATCAATTATATTCCCATTTGCACGTATTCAAGGAGAAGCAAGATCAAGTGCCATTAAAGTCCCTCGCCACTTTTCTCAAAAGACATTGAATATTAAGAACTCCGCGCCGATGGCATATCAAATCTATGAATGTCGAATACACCATCCAAGTAGCAAATATTACATCTCCATTGTTCCTGAGATCCATTAGATAGCGGATGTTGCCACCCCCCACAAAACAACCACTTTTTTGATGCGCCTACGGGGCTAGGTACTCTACTCCGTGACAAACATATTCCGTCTTTTAAGCGAGGGGATTAGATGCATTAGTTCGACACTACTGCCCTATGTATGTAAGTCGGTCTAGTTTACCTAGGTACAAATGCGACTACCATAGAATTTTTATTCGACATGATGGATAATAGAGAGACCGATCGTTCTCCGAGTATTATTCATTTCTGGATTCAGGTTTGATCTGGTTGAATTTCGGCGTGTTTGAAAATGATATATATATGTAACTGTCGATATATACCCGGAACAACCTGGACTTAAAAGAAGTGATGCTAACTGCATGAGTGGTATGATTGATCAGCTGAGTCTATAACTACTCCTTGGCATTAGAAATATCAAGAAGAATAGGTAGAGAGAGCATGCTGATTAGGTCCGCCAGTCAGAGTAACATTACCGTGTATATCGACATCGGTAAAAAAGAAAGATCATTCATCAATCCGGAACAAAGCGAAGAACCCTCGTTCTAGATCCGATTTCTAGGGCTCTGATTGGCTGGAATTGTGTACCTTTAATCGGGGCGATTTTCTTAAAATTTCCATGTCTTTGGCTGCAAGTGTGGGGATGAACCCTGGACATGCAGCGAGTTTGAGTGTAGAAAAGCCAGACATTTGATCCTATATGTGTTATCTCGGGTGCAGAAACTTGTTTGCTTGAATATTCAGTATTCAGTATTCGGTGTGCGTTCTTATGATGATCGTCCGAGTACCGATGTATTGCCGAATAACTACCTCCTAAGATAGATTCGTTAACTAGTTATGCATAGTCGGGTCGGTGATTAGGTCTGTGCTAATTCAACACAGCATTCCAAATGCAATACGACCTATAAAGACGCTAGACCGCGTGATAGACCATCGCTAAAATTTCACCGAGATTTATTTAGCCCGTTCCGTCCGGGGTCGAATAGACATATCGTTGGGTCATAGAAACGTGGTCAGCCGTTCGCAGCTATATCGCACTTTCAGCCCATCTAGAGCGGTCCAAATCATTCCAATGCGTTGTCTGCAGGGAATTTTGACTATTATTAATATATTCGCCGGTTCGCTTGCATAGTTAACTAAATTCTGTTTGTTCTGAATAATAGTTTAGCGATCGAGATGGTGCGGACAGCGGAGAGAACGGAGAAGCATTCTGGATATATCCTCCGGGCCTATAGCAATCTGCATATCCAACAATCGGCAAACATTCGGTAACTAATAAGCGGAAAGAATCTTGAGATCGTCTGTGGAACAAACTAATTTATGGATCAGCGAATTTTTATACAACAGCCGATTCGTGGAGAGTTTATTCTTAGCTGTCAACACCGAGGAAAATGCGAACCATCTGAAGCTAATTCTATAGCTTATTTCGCCCTTCCCCATAGGACCTGCGTGGATGTATGGTTCCTTTATGAGGTCGAATCAATGGCTTGATAGTGCTCATGTCTCAGATGCCGTGACTTCCTATTCAATTAGTGCGGAAAATTTTAACGTCTGCTGAATTTGTTGAGTCCTTTGAATGCCCAGGTGTGCGCGTGGTCATACCAAAACCGGTAGGAGGCGATATGGTATAAAATGTCCACTAACCCTCCACCGGTGGCAGACTGGGACTTCCCTTATCAGTAAAATAAAATTACTTCACTTTTTTCACTGACCAAATCTAGATCCGAAGTTGCAACATCACTTGCAGTCATGACGGAGCCAAATATCGCCAGATCATTGGCACCTGCTCCTCCTGGCTTCCAACGCAGGCCGAGTGCAGAGCCCCAGAGGCAACGGAAGAACATTTCTACCGCTTGTACTGCCTGTAAAGCTAGAAAATGGAAGGTCGTATCTTGTTTCAAACTTCGTTGGTTGACATGGCTAATATGACTCCTAGGAAGCAGTGTACTGGATCAGCCCCATGCAACAACTGTGTTCGCAGTAATACTGAGTGTATCATAGACGAGTTGAGCGACAATCGTCGTCGACTTGGCTTGAAACGCAAGTTGGAGGAGCTCACCGAAGATAAGAAGCTGCTTGTTCAGTTGGTTGAGACTCTTCGATACAGTTCCAATGAACATGTCATGAGACTTCTAGACCTCATCCGGAACAAGAGCGCCTCCTTGGATGAGATCAAGGACTATTTTGATGGGAAAGTAACCGACAGTGAATTTGATACGACTCCTGAGCTGCAGGAAGTTCATGACCGCCTTGAAGCGAGAGCATCTAGGCGGTCCAGTCGTCGGTTGTTGGATGTCACTTGGCTCTCCAACATCCCGGTCGTTGAAGTTCCGGCACATCCATGGACGACGGTCACAGATGATGACGGCCTTGTTTCGTTTCTCATTTCCCTATGGCTGACATGGAACCACCCTTTTTGTAACTGGATCGATCGTGATTTGTTCATCAGAGATATGAGATCAAAGAACACAAACTGCACTTTTTGCTCACCGTTCTTGGTGAATAGCATCCTGACCAAAGCTTCGGTGAGTAAACAGAACTTGGCATGATAAAATAGGAAAACTGATTTCATAGTTCTACTGCGATTATCCTGAGGTGCTTGACGATGTCAATGACCCGGAATCAAAGGGTATGCACTTCTATAGAGAAGCAAAAGAGTTGTTCGAACGGCAAGACGGGCGAATCACTATTCCCACAATTCAAGGATATGCCACTTTACTGACAAGGTACCTATATCTCCCTCTGCACTTGTCCATTGACTTACGTCGACACTGTAGCACCGCTCTTATTGGCAAAGATCGTCTTGTCTGGCTGTCCCTTGGCCAGCTCGGACGAATGGTAGCTGATATCTCATCATCACACCTGCCGATGCAGCTAAACAGTGATGAGAACAAACGTGTTGAAGGAAGAGCAATTGATAACACAATTTGGGGAGTGTACAATCTTACTGCGTCTGACCACCTCTCAACATCAAATTTCATCAATGCCCTGACGAAAAAAAAAGAATCGTTTGCTGAGACTTTTGCAGAATGTTTTCGACCATTTTCATGAAACCCCTTGACCTAAAGAAACCCCTCAGACCCCGTTTACCCTCCGACCACGATGATGAAGATGTTTCCGTGGTGGCGTGGAATCCGTATCCTCGCCATGGCGATGATCAGCCATCTCATCTTGCATGTGTCTTTAATAGCCTTAGTAAACTCAATGAGTTGAACGTTGAAGCTACCCGACGGCTTCTTAAAGACGAGTCACGGAAGGCAATGTCTCGTCCGGATATTGAGATTGTCGTTAGCTCTATTTTTCCACGATTGCAAGCATGGTATATCGACTTGCCTAAATGCATACAGGAAGGACAATCAGCAGTCCCGCATATTCTAGTTTTGCAGTGAGTTTTGATAACCCCTTCCCCCCCCCCCCCCGGCATATATCGGAAATGTGACTTACGTCTCGTAGCATGTATTATCATGCCACGATCATGCTGCTGTTCGGTCTGCTGAAGACTTCATCTCGGTTTCCAACGCGGCCCATGATTATTACATTCTCATGAAGCGCAGGAAACCTGCGTTGAGTCCGCACTGCAGATTGCGCAAATGATTCGACTCTACCGCTCCAAATGGAGCATCGAATTTATATCCGGGACAGCGGTGTACTGGGTATCGATCGCGCTATTCGTTCTGCTCGACGATCTTGAAAATCCATCCAATCGTCGAGCGTTCATCGATCTCTGCTCTGTGGCAATGGCTCTCTCAAAACAATGGTTTCTCGCCAAGGGGATTCTTCGAATGCTTCAAATCACCGCAAAGCAGATGCGTGTCTCTCTCCCACCAGAGACGGAGCCCTTTTTGCAGGACTTTGACAGCGATATGTGGCGCCAGGAAAGAGGTCGGAGACGGCTCAGCAGTGCCTTTCCTAATTTCTCGTTATTGTTCCAGCGTGTAACAGGAGCGGGAGGAGGGTTAAATGATCCGATTGATTTGGATAAGTACTTAGAGAAGTTGGATAATTTTTCAAAGTTGGAGGATTTGTCCCGGTTGGAAATCGCGCATAGCCCGCCGGTCACCCCTTCCTGAAAAGGCAGTCAGGGTGCACTTTCCCAGATTGATTTGTACACGATTCCATGATCACCTGACCTTACGGCTTTTTGTTGTTTGCTTTTCTATACTTAACACACGCTTAATTGAAGAATGGACGACACAATCTGCTTCCCTTCTTCACAATCTATATTATTTACGACTCCGGTTATGATCAAGGTGAGGACCCGATGTAGGAGGCTGATGTCGCGTATTTGCTAATTGAGCTGTTCATTTCCCTTATACAAAATCAATCCCGATGAACGTTGGTGAGAACTAGTTCTCAAGCCACGGACTTCTACCTGGCAGAGCTCGGTATTTCCTCCAAGGTTCTTGAGCAGACAGCCAAACCAAAAGATGCCGACTGGGTATTCTCATCCTTTGGACCTGATGCATACCGCCGATAGATGGACATCAGTCTCTCAAAGCTAACCCTCTGTCTGAGTTTATGAGGTACTGACATATGATAGGTCGCCTCTCGTTTCCATCTCATCTCCACCGCAATATATTTAAATATATTGAAACAGTCTTGTTTCCACGGGTTAGCAACCGAAATTCCAGATTGCGAAAACTTTTGCAGAACGACAACAATCACATTCAAGGAACGAGAATAGCGACAGGCGGTTTGATGGAAAAGCATTCTTCTAGAAGATTGGCAGTTGCGGATCATTCCGTCAAGATTACCCAAAAAGCGTTTAACTATCCTGTACCAGAAGTTCAAAGCGTGAGTTTGCATGCCTCTTTTATTAAGTTTGTATGCCACTTACTGCATAGGTCTTGGCTGCTGCATATTGTTGAGTGAGTGCGATTCGGAGTAAGCTCCAGCCTGACTCCGAGTAACAAATCAGTGGATGTAAACACTCAGTGGTACCTAGTTGTCTGGTATGTACGTACGTACATACAGCAACTGTACTACTGCAGTAATAATAAAACCATGCCTGCAAATACAGACGGAGTAAACATCAGTAGAATTGATTGATTGATTGATTGATTCATACACGCATCTAAGCCTAGTGGCCGGCGGCGCCTTCTAATTGGGCAGCGGGCGTACTACCGTATAAAAGCATAAATCAACGTCAACGTGCCAAGACGCTTCCGGCTTGACGCTGACTTAGTCAACTCCACGCGAAAGTCTCGACACGTATCCGTATCCAGATCCGAAGACCACCAACAACAGATAACGAGCGAACAGAACGCCGAACCAACAAAGGAAATGTGTATATATACAAAATGAGTGAAGGATCTCGGTGCGGGGTGACGTGATATTTATGTTTTGGTGCCCGGTTCTATTTCCAAACGTGTCAAGTGGCTGATCCGTCCAAGCCGAATCAACATGGTTACTCTTCATCAGGGTAGTGTCGCACTCACTGTGAGCGCGTGGTTGTTAAGGGGGTTACGTGATGGAACTGCGTCAATAGACCAGTCCGCATCATAAATTCAATACTCTGCCGAACCCACTGAGGTTCGCTAAGGAGCTTCCGATAATCTGTTTCGCGTGCTTCTTTCCAGAGAGTCTCCATACGCAGGTTTATATGGGTAGGACACCGTATGAGGACGTGGGCCGTATCCTGATCCCCAAGGCCACATTCGCATTGAGGTGAGTCTTCAATCCGTACACTCGCTATTCAGTGGATGTAAACACTCAGTGGTACCTAGTTGTCTGGTATGTACGTACGTACATACAGCAACTGTACTACTGCAGTAATAATAAAACCATGCCTGCAAATACAGACGGAGTAAACATCAGTAGAATAGAATCCATTGAATGAGAGGACACTAGACCATATCGATCGTAGCCTGATAAATAAGGCTCCACATCGGTCGTGATGGCGCATTTAAAGTAGGCCTCAGGCAGCCAATCACCACCAAACAAACGGCCACGCCGCGATATACCTGTCTGTCTCTTCAAGAGGCTGCTGCTTGGCAATGCTTGCAAATAAATTGTGTTGCTTGATCAGAAACAATTGTCCAATCGCAGATGCGACATTGTAAGCTCCCGCTATCACCGACAGCGCACGTGCACGATTCGTGATGGATGAGATGCACGATTCTGCTCCGGAAGACGCGGCATACAGTGCGAAGAAAAAATCACCGTCTAATCTCCCTGCTGCGGAGACAATAAGCGCAGCAATTTAGTCGACCAGGAAATGGAGATACATGCTGCAATCCCACGTGGGCGTTCATGTTTACCCAGTTCAGGAAGGTGACCAGCCGCCGCGACGTGCAGCTGGCCGACTATAAGACGGATGGATCGACCCCTTGCATTCAATCTTTTCTTCTCCGTCGTTGTCGAGAAAACCAGTAACTACCTAGGTATCTACTAGCATCATCATGAAGACCGGTATTGCTGCTGCCGCCGTTGCTGGCCTTTTGGCCACCTCGGCTTTGGCCTCTCCTACCTCTACCCACTCCGACTGGAACGGTAACGAGTCCAGCAACAAGCATACCTCTGCTCCTTGGGGCTACAAAGCCGGCTCCCCTCAGTCCGTTGCCAACATGAAGAAGCAGATCAAGAACGTTGTCTGGATCTTGCTCGAGAACCGTTCCTTCGACAACATCCTTGGTGGTGTCCGTGGTCGCGGTTTGGACAACCCTACCAACAACGGCGACTACTGTATCCCTCAGAACGTTAGCCAGCCTCAGGGTAAGCAGTGGTGCACGGGCAACAAGGACTTTGACTCTGTGTTGCACGATCCCGACCACTCTGTCACTGGCAACAACTTTGAGTTCTTTGGGCAATTTGCTCCCAACAATGCTGATGTTGCGAGCGGAAAGGTTACTGCTACTCAGAAGGGTTTCGTTGACAAGCAGTTGAGATCGTATCCTTCTATCACCCCCGACCTTGCTGCCAAGGAGGTTATGGGTTATTATACCGAGGACGAGATTCCTGTTCTTGTCAACTTGATTGACAACTTTGTCACTTTTAACTACTGGTTCTCTTGTGTCCCTGGAGTAAGTTATCCTCATCTACCGACCGGTAATCAATACTGACAAAGTAGCCCACCAACCCCAATCGTCTCTGCGCCGTTTCCGGTACCGCTGACGGCCACGGAAAGAACGACAATGACTTCGACGTCTCCGCCATCAACATCAACAGCATCTTCCAACAAGCCAGCAGCAAGAACATCTCCTGGCTCAACTACGACGGCACCAACGGTGCTTTCCTTCCCGACAGTCTCTTCTTCAACTGGACCGCCGCCAACGCCAAGTCCAATGTCGTCCCCGTCGAGAACTTCTTCCAAGATGCTTACTTGGGTCAACTCCCTCAGCTTTCTTACATCAACCCTTCCTGCTGTGGTCTCAATACCAACTCCATGCACCCCAACGGTAACGTCTCCTATGGCGAGATCTTCGTCAAGCAAATCTACGAGGCTCTCCGCAACGGTCCTCAATGGGAAGAATCTCTCCTCCTTTTGACCTACGACGAGACCGGTGGTTTCTTCGATCACGTTCCTTCCCCCGCTGCTGTTCGTCCCGATAATAAGACCTACACCGAGAAGGCTAAGGACGGTGAATCTTACACCCTTACCTACGACCGCTACGGTGGCCGTATGCCCACTTTCTTGATCTCTCCTTATGTTTTGCCTGGATTCGTTGAGAACTATGGCGTTAACCCTGCAACTGGTAAGCCTGAGCCTTATAGTGCTACCTCTGTTCTCAAGACTTTGGGACTTCTCTGGGACTTTGAGGACTTTACTCCTCGTGTTTCGAACTCGCCTTCTTTTGATCACTTGCTTGGACCTTTCCCTGAGTGGAAGGCTCCTCAGTTGGCTGTTCCCAAGACTTTTTAAATATCATTGATGTGGGGAAAAGGGTATGGGTGACATTTGTCAATAGAGTAGTAATGTTTATGTGATATTTTATATCTACTCTATGAATCCAGATAGTTCTTCTATTAAAATTAATGTCTAGGAAAATCCAGTAAATCGACCTTCCTACTCAGGCTAGTGTGCGCATAGAGAGCGATCATTGGACCACCGACGTCATTCAAGGGGTCCGTGTCAAGGGAAAGGAACATGACGTTTTATTTCCAGACGATAAATAAGAGGCCTCCCCTCTGTGTCTCATTCAGGCATGAATCGCGTCGATAGTAAACCAACTCTATGCAAATCGCCCGAATAATGGGCTCCACGCGGTAAACAACCATGTCCTTCACATCGATTCCCTCTACGTCTACGACCACAACGACTGAAAGCAAGCATTCAAAAGTGCACAAATTCGCCAAACAAGCACAAAAACTGTCCCGAGGTGGAGCAAGGGATGAGGAACAGCGCGAGGAAAATGTTGCTATTGCGGCGCGATTCGTGACGCCGCGGGATGCGATTATTGAGACGGTGGATGGGGAGAGGCTACCCGCTGTACCGGTTGAGGAGGCCAAGAAATTGAATCGGTTGAGGGACGAGGCTGTTGATGGTGAAGAAGAAGAACTGGCGCCTAATGCTGGAAATGAGGAAGAGGTCGAGACAAAAGATGCAGTCATCGAATCGAGACGAGAGTCCGACGAAAGAGAACAGTCTCCAGAATCACACGGTGGACCGTTAGAATGCGTAAAACCTCCCGCGCATACGCATCCATTATTCCCACCCGTGCCGCTTTATGGCCCTTCCTCGCTTTTGCGGACATTGCAGTGTCAGACCTTTCGGGCTGTGTCGTTTTGTCTTTCGCTTTCTTTTTTGGGCATGATATTAATGGGCGCTTGTATGAACGGGTTTGTGGGTGGAGTTAAAAGTGCCATTTTGAAGGCTCGAGGGAGGTATTTGGATGCTGAGAGGCCGTTTTATAAAGAAGAGTTGGAGAGGGAGTCTGTTAGACGAGAAGCTGCGAAGAGATGGGAACGCAGACAAAAGACCAACACGGAGCAAATGGAAAGATCCAAGGAGCAAGAAAGGATTAGGAATGCTGAGGATCCGGAATCGGACGATGAGTATCCTCCCCTGGAAGGCGGGCGGGATCCTATTGTTTGCGATATTGGCTACTACGCCAGGAGAGTTGGTTTGGATGTTGAGGCCTTCAAGGTCCAAACAGAAGACGGATTCATATTGACGTTATGGCATGTCTATAATCCAAATGAATATACCCCGTTACCCGAAACTGAGCGAGACTTCAGACAACCAGACGTATTCCGCGATCGAAAAGCGAGAGATTTCCCAGCGAAAAATGGTCGGTACCCAGTCTTGTTGATACACGGGTTACTTCAAAGTTCAGGCGCATACTGTGTCAATGACGAAGACAGTCTTGCCTTTTTCCTCTGCAAGGCCGGATACGACGTTTGGCTGGGTGATAATAGATGCGGGTTCGAACCTCGACACAAAACCCTCAAATACTCCGATCCGAGGATGTGGTGTTGGAATATCCGACATATGGGCGTCCTCGATCTGCCAGCATTCATCTCGAGGGTCCTTTACGAAACCGGATTCGAAAAATTAGGTCTCATTTGCCATAGTCAGGGCACCACCGAGGCCATGGTCGCTCTAGCAGAGGACCAACGACCTGACCTCGGTGAGCGGATTTCAATATTCTGTGGCCTTGCACCAGCTGCCTACGCCGGACCATTAATCAAAAAGGCGTATTTCCGCTTCATGCGAATAATATCTCCCAGCGCATTTCGAGTATTCTTTGGGATTCACGCTTTTATCCCTCTTATGATGACGATGCATAGTCTCCTCCCCTCACGTCTCTATGGCGCATTAGGATACATGATATTCTCGTATCTATTCGACTGGAGCGATAAACGCTGGGATCGAGGATTGCGCGATCGCATGTTCCAGTTTTCTCCTGTTTATGTTAGTGCCGAGAGTATGCGCTGGTGGCTTGGACGCGATGGCTTCGCGGTTCAGAAATGCATTCTTGCCACTGATGAGCAGGTTCTTCGCGAAGATGAAGAAGATCTCCAGATTGACGAGAATCATATCGTTGATTCCGACGATATTGCTGAAATTTCTAGCGCGCCTGCCTCTACTTCATCAGACAAACAAAAAACAGCATGGTACGGTCCGCAAACGCCACCTTTTGCATTCTGGGTCGCGGGTTCGGATGGATTGGTCGATGGCCGAAGACTCCTGCGTCGAATGCATAATGGTAGAGAACCGCATGTGAATCTTGTGCATGAAAAGATTATCGAGGGGTATGAGCATTTGGATGTTCTGTGGGCTATAGATGCGATTGAGCAAGTGAGTAAGGAGGTTGCGGAGGTTGTGTGGAGGACGGTGCCGGAGAATGAGAAGGGGAAGTGCCGAGTTCCAAGGTTATGATTTTTTTGCTATTCGAGCAGGGCTTTTTGGGTTGGATTCTGCATCATGGCATGATATACAAAGATTACGATGTTATGAGTTTCCTTACGATGGTCGTATACGTGCATAGCGATAGATATCTTTCTGCCTGTATACTTATATGTATTTAAGTAATATTAATCTCCTCCACCTATACATGTATCAATTGATTAAAGCTTAACATGAATCGTCTTGGCCTGCATAAAGTCATGTAATCCATACTTCCCAGACTCCCTCGTACCATTCCCACTCTGCTTATACCCTCCGAACGCCGTGGACTTTTCCGGTCTGAAGGCGCAGTTAATAGCCACACTGCCACTTTCAATCTTACTTGCAACTCTTAATGCACGTGAGATATTCTCAGTGTATATAGATGCTACACAATAAATCAGCACTGAACCCGAGTATAAAATAGAAAAAGGGGAAGCTTACCAGACAACCCATACTCCGTGTCATTCGCCATCGCAATAACCTCCTCCTCCGTCTTGAACGTCTGAACAACCAACACAGGTCCAAAAATCTCTTCCTTGATAATCTTCGCATTGGGATTTGGCTCGTAGAAGATAGTAGGTTCAATGAAAAAACCCTTATCGCCCTTTTGATTCCCTCCCGTGATTAGTTGGGCGGTCTTTTTACCCTCGGCGATGTAGCGCATTACATTTTCGAATTGGGCTGAGTCTGCGACGGGGCCGATGAAGGTGTTTGGATCGAGGGGGGAGGAGCCGAGACCTTGGGAGATGGATTCGAAGGTTGATTTTAGGATGGGGATTAATTTGTCGGAGATTGATTCGTGGATGTAGAGGCGGGTTGCGGCTGTAGAGGTTAGTATTGCTAATCGGGACTTGAGTGCGAGGAGTAGAAACTTACCGGCGCAGACTTGTCCTGAATTGAACAGGAAGCCATGAGCAAGACTACATTTCACAGTCAGTAACTCATATACACAAGTAATGACCTCAGGATAGACATACTTAGGCACAGCATTCGCCAAATCCGCATCCTCAAAGACAATTGCAGGACTCTTACCGCCCAGCTCCAAAGAAACTTTCTTTAGATTACTTTTTGCCGCGGCTTCTTGGACCTTACGACCGGTGTTGATGGAACCCGTGAATGAGATCATACGAATCTTGGGATGGGCAGCGAGTAAATGACCCGTTTGACCGGCGCCGGTGACAAGGTTGACGACGCCAGGAGGGAAGCCTGCTTCGACAAAAAGTTTACCAATAAACAAACCTCCCAGGGGTGATTTTTCGGATGTTTTGAAGATGACCTGCAAACAATCAGTAACGGAATGCTGAGAATAGGGGTTGATGGACGAACTGTGTTTCCTGCTGCTAGAGCTGGAGCGATTTTCCATGCATAGTAGCTGATGAACAGGTCAGTTGAGACTTCAACACATCAGATAGATGTAGACATACAGATATGTAGTGTTCCATGCAGCGATACAAGCCACAACCCCCAGGGGCTCATACTGGACAAAGTTGTAACTCCCTTCCTCGGGTGGAAACACATCACCTTCTAGTTTATCGGCATATCCAGCATAGTCTAATCAAATCAGCGAGCATATCAATCTCAGAGCTTAGAAGAATGGGGACATACATCTAAAATAAGCCGGAATCTTCTGCGCAATCATCTTCGCTCCACCCACAGGAATCCCCATCGCCAACGACTCCAAACGCACAACCTCATCGAGATTCTGCTCCAATAGATCTGCAAATCGATATAGTAATTTTCCTCTCTGTGTGCCTGTGAATTGACTCCAGGGTCCTTCCTTGAACGCCTTTGTGGCTGCGGCTACCGCGTCGTCGACGTCTGATTCGCCGGCGACATGGATGTTGCTGGCGATGAGGCTGCCGTCGACCGGGTTGTGGACTTGGATGGTTTGGCCTGATTTGGCTTCTACATACTGTCGAGTTGGAAGATGGGTTAGTATGGATGTTTGATTGGGATTAAGGATGTTGTATGCTTACTTCGTTGTTGATGAATAGGCGGGTCTCGATTGGAGTGGCCATTTTGTCTTTCTTGTCGTTCGTTATACGGGAATCAACGAGCAAGTAGGTGAGGAAATGTAGTAAAAAAATTGAGGACAGCTCCTCATATATAGTTCACATATAAAGCTAGTAGTCATTATCGTGGGCAATGCTTATCAATCTACATCCTCGTTCCGAGCATTAGCCATACAAAGTACAACATTTCCATCCAATCCGAACCAACACTTTGGTAGAATTTCTACGCTTGTATACATCCTGACAAGGGTTTCCCCGCCATAATCACCGTTAAATGAATAATCTTGCACAGCATCTGACAAATATTGACTATGTAAGCATCGTGTTTCTATACCCTATTTGCCCGCTTCGATCCTGGCTGCATACATGTGGGACGTGGGACCTCTGGAACCGAGACAAGCGTGATTGTATTGGATGATCCAGCGAGAAATAGAATTAATAATAGTAATCATAGTAAAATAAACTCAAAGCTGAGATCTAAAACTGAGAAAAGGCTTTGTAATCCGTTGTCCTGTTTGGGAGCGTCGGTAAAAGGAACTGGTTCCGCCTAGTCCTCGGAATCTCGGAATGGGGGTTACTATCTGCATGGCGTTGAAGACTCGCTAATGCGATTGCTTTCTCGGTCTTAAAGGGCTTATCAGATCATATACCTCTTCTCGGTGAGGAAATATCGTGGCCCCTGACAGATAACACCGTATACGCGGTTGACCCAGCCATAGAATCGTACTTTGTAAGCACGAAACGCTGAATCTCAGAGTGAAGAGGCCAGAATGGCGATAGACGTAAGAACACCTATGTAGGTGTAAAAGATACACCATCCCATTGCAAAACAAATTGTTCCACGACAGTCTATGTCATCAGGACTCCATGTCTTCACCAAGGTTGTACCTATGGTCAAATACTCCTCGGTATCCGCTTCCGAAGTGAAGCCCTAATCGCCCGCCAGGTTGCTTTTGATGTTAGACCTAAATTACCAATGCAATGTTAATTTTCATGACATTTTTATGACATCTTACTGGCTCAAAGGATGATGGAAATCCTTGTACTTGTTTAAATTTGCATACTAATACAACTATCTAAGTACAACAGCTGACCGTCTTCGAATAGCGTTCCATCACCGACAGAGAGAAATTATTGCGATCCCCATAACCAAGTATCCATTTGTATCAGTTTTGGTCGCAGCTCTAGCTTGAGAGCTGCTACGACACTTTGAGGTGCTTGGTGACCCTGTTCAATTGCTCCATCAACGAACCCTCTCCACCCAACTTCCCAATCGGCACTTAGCAAGAATAACTCTCCCATCGGACTTCTGGAGTTCTTGAAGATAGACTGACGCACACCCAGACCCCCAACAAGCCCACCCCCCTTTTGTGTAAGGATCATTTGTCCAGTCGTGAGTCACGTATGCTTCAACGGCAGCGGATGGGTGTATATCCTTTCGGAAGTGATCGATTATCTGCCGGTGGTTTTCCTTGTCGCCCAAGTGCCCACTGTATCCGAATCCAATGCATCAAGTACCTGATGGTTCCGCCCGAGTGCCGTTGTGGTCCGAGAATGCAAGAACATACTCAAAGTCGCTTGAATCTACCGTAGCAAACTAACCCGGCTCCGTTGCTTTGAGCCTGAAATGGATCTTTGCGCCTTTATTGATATGTCCTTTCCTAATCGCCGATTGACGAATGGGAGATACTGGATTGTCGAATTTGACATCACCTAAACAATTAATGCTAAAAATTAGCATCAAATCAGTCTAGTCGAGAAACTGGTCGTACAAGGGTATAGTAGAAACCACATATCTTGCCTTGATGTCTTGTCCAGACTTTGTGGTGACCCTCACTCCCAACTTGTTCTGCGTAACGTCCTTGATAGGAGCCCCAAAGAGCATATCCCCCTTGTAGTCACCTAAAATTGCTCGGGCAAACGAAGTCATGCATCCATTTTCAATCTTGTAGAATACAGCCATCTCGAACAATCCCGCCATGCTGTTCCCACCCAGGGCGTACCATCGAAGTGCTCCGGTAAATGCGGTATCTTTCCCAAGTGCACTCCCAAAAGTGTTTGTATTTGACTCGAAGAAATTTTTCTCCCAATCTGAAAACTCATGAAGATTGTCCAACCGGTCCTTTACTGACAAATGACTATATTTCATACACAAAGCTGGGCGTTTGAAGGGATCATGAGGGTATGGCATAAGTTTACGACTGCTATGCCCGTCGACAGTGAAGAATGATTGAGCGACGCGCTCCAAAAAATCACCCGCCTTGTCGATGGATATTTCGCGCGGGGGTGCTTTGCCTTGTTTGAACATCTATTTGGTAGGTGCAGCAGGACCTGCAGAGGTCTTCAAATTGACATGTAGTCCGTACCGGCGAAGCTCACTATAAAGATGAGGTTAAGCCTAATGAACTCAAGTTCCTCCCATCTCTAGCTCTTCACCTAACACTTTTGCTGTCCATGTTCGACCACCGATGTGATCTCTTGCCTCCGATAGTAAAACTCTCAAATTGTGTCTTTGATTCAATTCGCGTGCTGCAATGACACCAGTGAATCCTGCTCCTATAACAACCACGCCATAGCTGTCATGGAGAACTGGTGAGCTTTTCTGCACAGTCTTAGTTTCGAGGCCGGTCTAGGGCACGTCAATGATTATGATTATGATTATTATTATGATTATTTTACCTATTCCCATAATCATAATCATTAGTTTTACCCCTAAATCATAATCCTTGGCGTGTCCTAGGCCGGTCATACTCTCAGTCGGAGTCCAAAAAGAGCCTTCACTCAAAGGTGCCATTTTGACAGAAAATTAATCAGGATCCACTTTGATATGAATTGAGGAGTGCACCAACTGTTGGTAGGGTAATACTCGGGCAATATTCTCCTTTACATTTCGGAAAACTCCAGTGAAGGCAAGTCTATGTTGTTTGATCTGCATTCAAAGACTACGACATTCTCTCATTCATCTGCCCAGGCGGAGAGCACACCAAATAGGAAATTTAATACGTCTGATGCCACTTCCAATGTTCTCATCTAAATTTGAACCGGAAGCCTTCATCCAAAGTGGCCCTTCACGTTCACCCACTCACTCTACCGATGCGATGGGTATTCCATTGCTCTTCTGACTCTACTTGCTCTGACACAGCACTTATATTACTCAGCTATCTTTTCTTGCCTGGTATTGAAATTCTTAGTAATCTGTGATGGACTTAATCTTCATGGGAACCGCAGAAGAAAATACTCTCAGGAAGAACTTTCACGGTGCCCTTGCCTCCAAAACGCGGCCCAAATCACGGTGTAAGTTGATTCTCTTGGGGATCTCAGTTCGAAGCTGACGCCATGAAGCAGGATGTCAGCGCTGCAAGCAACGGGTATGGTTTTGTCCTTGCGAACAATTCACTGTTAACCAGGCGTAGCACATCTAATGCGCCAAGGGGTTACCTTTCTGTGGTCCGTGTTTGAAAGAGGGGTTCAGCTGCCCGGTTTACCAGCGGCCGATGAAATGGCTTTACTTGGATGTATCAGGGCAAGCTTCGCAAAAGCCTAACGCCGAAGCAGAAGACAGTCATTTCTTACAGGAAGATATCGACGGGTCTAGCCGATCTGAAATAGAGACGACTATTCAAAATCGCGAATCGGCACCGACTGACAGTCGGGCCATTCCGGAGACCACAAAAAAGGCGAATGAAGATCAAAGATATAACTGCCGTGATCTCACCACAGAGCTACACGAGCTAGATAGCATGACTTAGTATGGAGGCAGCAGATTCAGCAGTCTTTTCCCCCAAGACGTCTGGAGTGATCTGGCTATAGAAGACATCTGGACCGGGGACAACGACATTATGGATTCATTGCTGGATAACTCTGCAACTGGTCCAGAATTTACATATCCCTTGTTCAAACAAATCGATGGCAAGTCTAATGTCCTTTGACTCATTACTTTTCCAACATTTGTGTAATAAAGTCTTGCTTTGATTCACAGTTGAACCCCTTTCGCTATGTCATCGTGGGCTTGATGAACTCTTCCCAGCTAATATTCCATCTTGCCATGATGACATCGACTTCTCATTTCTGTCACAAGCAGACGGAGAAGTTATCGGTGGCTAGGCAGCCCCGACGAGATGCCATCTCATATCTGATACAGGACAGAAGCGTACCTGGAAAGGGAAAATTTGAAGCTGTACTGGGCAGTGTTTTACTCGACATGACATCTGCTTGGCAGGATTCAAGCGCCTTGGATTGTCACATATTTATACTGCTCGTGCGCTTTTTCAGGAGTCTATAGCCGGACCCGAGGGGTTGAACGATCCTCAGTCCACACCGTTCTTGATTGGGATCATGGCTTATTGGGAAACTATGGTATCAATTATTGCCACACAGAGCCCGCACTCTCTTGATTACCTTGTTCCGTTCTGGAGCGAGAAAACCATGGCGCGGTTGTTTATCCGGGTCCGTGGACTGGGGCCTTCACTTCTATATTTATTTACGCAGCCCAAGTTGGCACCCTTTGTCATCAAAATCGTGTTACAATATCCATCTCTTTGTGTTGGTTTAGCTACGTCCCGTATCACGAAGCGTAGGATATCGTAAGCTAGGGCGATCCAACTGCCCTACGTGGTGAGCCTTGCTATATAGCACGAAATGTAATATTATAAAAGACTGACCCCCGAAACTAGGGGGGGGCGGGGTGCCTAGATACATTATATGGTGTTGGTCGCTCTAGCGCACGGAGAATAGTAATCCCGACCAGTTCGCGTACGAATCGACGGCGTGCTACAGCGCCGTATAGTGAGTGATTCGTAAGATCGCTATTCAAACACTTTGTCAATACCTTCTGCGGATGTTCGCGTAAGTATTTTCAACGAGTAAGGCACGAAGGCTGGTGAGCTGGAGGCAAAGATGTTGCAATATTCCTTTCCCATACCCGAGCGCATTGTAGACTCAGACTATCGATCTACGCCCGTAACTCACTTTCACTGCCTGGCATAAATATAACGTACTACACGGGTCATTCGGTCACCCGCAAGTCCCATACAAAATGACCTTCTTTAACATCTTGATTTCTCAACGGATTCATATATAAACCATATCTTAGACTTTACGCATGATTCGCTATATGAATCCTTATCAGAAATATCAATTTGGAAGTGCGCCTCTTCTATAAGTCTTGAGATACTAGAAACTAGCCAAGTTATTAATGTAAATTCAGTGACAGAGGGTTCTTAATATTTTTAGAGGTTTTAAATCAGATATATATTATGATACCTATATTATAAGACATATTCAACTTTTAGATACGGTTTATATATAAATCTGTTGAGAAATCAAGATGTTAAAGAAGGTCATTTTGTATGGGACTTGCGGGTGACCGAATGACCCGTGTAGTACGTTAACTAACCTTCGCTGTTTTGCTTAGTAATATCTCAATTTCCGAATCTATTGGAAATGTCAACCACAGCTTTCGATACGGATCGGTGGCACGATCCCACGATTCTCCCATAAGACCATGGTAGGGTTGGCAGCCAATATTCTAAATCTTATCTCATCAGTTCCAGAACCGTCCGGCTTCAAAGTTCTCTTAACGGTGCCACTTATAGTCGCCGGGAGTGCTCTACAGCAAATCGAATTCCGTAATCAAGGTGCCGGTGTTCTACAGAATACACAAGCACTCAGTATCTCGAAAGAGATTTTTTCCTCGCAATGCTCGGAGTTTGTGATCCTTCATTGGCGTTCTTTTGTGTGCCACAAATTCAAAGTCCTCCACTAATACGTGGGCCTCGACCCAATCCTCCGAGCTTTGCAGATCCTCGAAGCAGTGTGGCTTAGGTCAGACTTATCCGTTGCAAGCAGAACCAATACTTCTATCCAAACATTGATCTATTGGATTGATGTCATGATTAAGGAGCGTCTGGAGTTGATCTTTGGCTAGTTTGCACATTCTTAACTATGTAATGATACTAATAGAAAATGTCACGTCAGTTGCCTTTTTAGAAGGACGGACTCAATCATTCTCACTAAACTTTCGTGTGTCCAGGAAAGCATGGGGAACGCCCGGAAGAGAGACAGTCAAGCCAGTTCAGCGTACTCCAAAGAGGGTGTTTTGGTGTTTTAGTCTTTTGTAGGAAATGAATATTCTTCACCGACATCAACATTTCCCGCTGAACGAGTATAGGTATTTCACCATTGAGGTAGACACCTGAACTCTGGACTTTCTGTAGCCAGTCACAAAGATTGCGAATATTGTTGTCCATTATTATTAAGTTGTTTGAGGAAGTCATCGAGCCCCTTGAAAATTTTGTCTAATGTATCTCATGCCGAAAGCCACGTATTCCGTCAATGTCATTGTCGTGACAGGCATCGAGGTTACCCTAGTAACCATATTTTGGAGAATATTACTCTTCGCCCGAGTTCATATAGTGCGTTCGAATGATACCAGGATATTATAGAATGTTTCTCTTAGAATCATGTCATTTGTCAAAGATAAGAAAGAATTCGGAACGTGATGAGAACTCGGAACACTGATGAGAATTCGGAAATTGATAAGACTTCCGAGCATGATAAGTACTTAGGTACCATTAGGAGATATGAAGATCACATAAAAGCCCTAAAGTAGATAGATAGCTGTTTTGGTTCCGATTGGTGCGTGTTATATCATCATTTTGACTGTGGACAAGCTTCCTATGTATACAATAGATATTAGTGAATAGCCATTATATATAAAATGCCGTGTATTTCTAAGATTTCCTCACATTGAGAGCACGACATTCAGAGAATCATCAACCTTGGAGCCCGAAATGTCAATAGAGGCTAAGACAGAGTACACCGTTGGCGATGCTGAAGCAGACCAAGGGGTCGGTCAAAGCAACCATGTTAAAGTTAGTCTGTCAAAATCCCTTTTATTTTACGAACAATCGTCAGAGCTAAACAAACGTAGCCTAAATTCGGGAAGTTGTCTATGCTGTCTCTTAGTGTCTCTCTGATGGCCACTTGGGAGGCGCTATGCAGGTAATGTTGAGACCGGAAGGACAGCCAAGTAACAAGTTTGCTGACAATAATTGTAGCACAATGGTATCCGGTCTGGTCAGTGGAGGGCCCCCTGCCCTAATATATGGCTTTATAAGTTAGTAAATAGTCCCTTGTTGAAACGTATCTGAACTAATAACGCATCAGTTGCATTCGTCGGGTCCCTAGCTACTGCAGCGTCTCTTGCGGAACTGGTATCTATGTGAGAAATCCCTGGGAATCTATTTTTCTTTTTCTGATATCCGGTTTGGAATTTTTTCTCATGCTTTCAAACAGGTTCCCAACTGCAGGAGGCCAGTACCACTTCATCAGCAAGCTGGCACCGCTGCACATGAGGAAAGGCCTCAGCTGGCTTGTTGGGTGGATTAGTGAGATACAAACCCCAGTCTTTCTTTTGTCATGGAGCTGATATAATACCCAGGCACTTTTGGATGGATAGCTATTGCAGCAAGTGCACCCTTCTCATCCGGCACCCTGATCCAGGGCTTGCTAGTCTTGAATTACGAGGATTATGTGTTCCATAGGTGGCACGGCACAATGATATACTGGGCGATATTGGTAATTTCTGCAATTGCTAACATTCAAGGAAGTCGTCTGCTTCCCTTATTTGAGTATCTCACTCTGGGGTTCCATGTGGTGGCATTCATTATTGTTCTGGTTGTGATATGTGTGGTATCACCCACAAAACATGCACCCGAGTTTGTATTCGTCGATGTTATTAATAATTCCGGCTGGGGAAGTACTGGTATTGCTTGGTGTGTCGGTATGCTGTCTAGCTGTTATATCCTTGTCGGTATGTGCTCATCAAGCCAGCCTTAATATCCTTATCCAAATCATCTAACTGTCTCAAATACTAGGATACGATGGAGCCATTCACCTATGTGAAGAGATGACAAAGCCCCGGACAGATATACCCAAGGTGATGATTAGCACTATACTAATCAACGGTACGATGGGTTTTGGGTTTCTGGTTGCCATTCTCTTCTGTATGGGGGATCTCAATTCCGCCCTTCAGACGACAACCGGTTATCCCATAATTCAGATATTCTATAATATTACTGGAAATGTTCACTCTGCAACTGCATTGTCCAGCACTATAGTCATAATGGCCGGGATATCGTCAATCCCCCTATTGACCTCAACCAGCCGCATGATTTGGGTTCTTGCAAGAGACAAAGGTAAGAATGACACATCCCCCAAAATAAAATTCATCTCTAACAATTTATGCAATCAGCATTCCCTGCCTCCAGTTTGTTATCAAAAACGAACGAGAGACGACAAGTTCCCGCCAATGCCGTTGTACTTACGTCTGTACTTTTAGGGCTATTGGGCCTTATCAATATCGGTTCCACCTCGGCCTTCAATGCCATAATATCATTGACAGTGTTCGGGCTTGAGATATCATATCTCATACCAATATGTTTCCTGCTCTATCAGCGAGTGATATCTCCTCAAAGTCTCACTCCTGGTCCATGGTCAATGGGAGGCTATGGGATATGGATCAATGCTCTGTCAATTTGCTTTCTGGTATTTACCTGCGTATTTTTACTGTTCCCGTCGTATCAGCCTGTCACTGCGGCAAACATGAACTATGCATCTTTGGTTTTTGGCGCTGTCTGCATTTGCAGTGGTGCATATTGGCTATTCAAAGGTCGCAAGGTGTACGAAGGCCCTATCTTCTCGGAGTTGGTAGATTGATTTTGGATTACCTTACCTTCTGTATCCATCATTTCCACTTACTATTAGTTACTGAATCTTTGAGCGTTCATGGATGAATATTTAGATAGACATACTGTAGAAGTACTCAACATGCATGTATCATCATTATGATACTCAAGAATAGAAGCTCAGCTTCACTATAGGCTTGAATATGGACAAAACTCCACCCCCCAAATTTACTCCTCACTATATAGGTTAATATATTGTATCTCATATAACGGATTCAGTGTTTTCTAGTTTCTCTAACTACTGCCAGCCGACAATGAGGTGGAAACAATTCGAGCCCTAACCCTACCCTGACATATCACAAACCTCCAACTATTGCCTCCGAAGTTGTTCTTCTTTAATTGATGCTCGTTACTAAGAGATAACAAACATATAAATGAATGACGCTTATGGATACGGACTGATATCCCTAACCTCTGCAAATTGAATTGTGAATAGCCTCAATATTCGGCCGAAGATATTCAGTTTTAATGGAGATCACGCTCGGTGTTGGATTCATTTCGAGTAACGTATTTCTACCTAAGGAGCCAGATTTCAAGGATTCTGCGTGCAATTCAATTGTCACGATGAAAAGCCTCTTTTTCTTCTTGGGCCCTGCCCGGATGATTACTAGACTTTTGTTGTTGCCTAGCCAAGTGGAAGAATACTAAGTAGAAAACCATCAGATTTGCTAGAGTCAAACAGCCAATGCACCCAGTCTCCACAATGAGATCAAACTAGAGTCTGGGCGCTGCAGATTCTTGCAAAACTTATTTGTACACCTTCTCGTGATGATTAGGTTACCATGATTCATCAATAGTTATTTTTGTTGGATTGCCATTATATAATCTGAAATAACGACTTTTATTTAGCGATACTCTGTGCAAAAGAGAGAACAGCCTCGTTCATCAGTATCAACTCATCAGTATCCTTCTGTGTCGGAACCATGGTTCTGTCAGAAGTGCAGCCATCCAGAACAATAAGACCGCACACCAAGTCCCGGCAAGGGTGTCTAAATTGCAAAGCGCGAAGAGTCAAGGTCGAGCTAATATCTTTAGTGATACGTGTGGAGTCATATACTGATGACTTCTTTAGTGTCAGGAGACACGACCTCAGCCATATTACAACTGTGCCAGTAGGAGTGTGGAGTGCGTATACCCACCGGAGAATCAGTTAGGACGTCGTCGGAATGGTAGTCGTCGGAATTCTGATCGAAAAGGACCATCGAGGCTTGACTCCCTGAGTAGCACCTCTACAATTCGACAGGACTCAGCTCCATCAGAAGTTGAATTGAGATCACATTCATTTACGTCGCCGAACACGTTTATTGGGGAGGACTTTAGGTTTTTCCATCACTTCCTGATTACCGCATACCCCCATCTTCCCTTTCAGAGTGAAGAACTGTGGAAAACATCTCTACCAGCATATGCACACGAGGTACGCTCTGTGCTTCATTGCCAAAGATCAGCGTTGGATTAGAAACGGTGTACTAATTATTAGCGCAGTGTCCACACTTAATGCATGCAATTCTATGTCTCGGGGCTTCCCATCTATCTTTAATTTCACCCAAAGGTGATACTTATACAACACTAGCCGTCGAACATCTGGGCAGCGCATTGACAACAGGTGATCGGTGCACAAGGACTGAATTGGACTTAATTCTAGCAACCACCTACGCGCTCACGTTCCAGGCAAGTTACATGATAGGCGGGTTAACTGATTTTGCTTTCATGGTCCGGGGCTGTGCAATCATAACTCGGCATATTCTGAATCAGTATCAACGAAGCGAGATGTTCGATCTGTTAATGCCGGAGGATGTCTACGCTCATGTATGGCCTCGCCTGTCTGCAGAGCCGTGCTATAATCCCGAAATTCTGGATACATGTATTCAGACTCTAGAAAGTCTACAGCCGCTTCTGCAGCAAGACAGCCATCAACTTACCTATCAAGCTATCTCGAGTACATATCGCACTATGAAAATCTCCGCGCGGGAGGGCTTTATCGCGTTCACATTCGTGTACAGCAGCTGGGAACATATGAGTAATCAGGAGTTTATGGATTTTTTGGACACTAGCAACCATGTCTCGAGTCTCCTGCTTCTCCACTTTGTCACAGTAACAATTATGATGCGACCAGTTTTTGGGATGCTAAGACCGTCCATACTGGAAACTTCCAAGGATGCACTTGCTAATCATCAATGGGGTGCAAATATCTACGAGAGTCTTCCTGAAGAGTTTCGTGGTTTTGTTGAATGGCAGTATCGATTCATTGCAGCGGATAAGGCCTGCATTGAGAGCGAAGGTACAATACATGCTATCCATCACAACAATGACCATTTGATGTTATAAAGCTACCTATAAGATACAACAAATTTCCGTGGAAACCATTCTCAACAATGAAAATGCAGTGGAAACGAGTAGAAAAAATTAAGTACAGCGTTCAAAGATATAACCACACCGAATTCGCGAACACACCGTGAAAGAGGGAGAGTTTACAGAGTTAAGAGATATAGAAGGAGGATCATGCTTAACATCTCTGCATACTTCCACCCTTAGCATCTGTCGGGATGAGATTAATCGTGATCTCTTCCACGAGACTTCAACCCAGTCGACATTATCATAAGATCCGACTTTAGGCACCGTGCAGGATGATACCAACCTAGTGCTATCATCGCAATAAGCATCGGGACTGCCTCAAGAACATAGAGGGGCCATTCATGAGTCCACGTATAGGTTTCTATGCCCATGGAAAATTCTACAACTCGATATATTAGACGAACCTGTTTGTCGGTTAGTAATCTTCAGTTGATTCAAGAGCATTGATATGACTTGCCGTGATGAAGAAACCCGCAACGTATATCCCGTTCAGCATCAACCTTACACCGGAACCCTTCTCTCCTCTCGAAGAGGAGCCAGACGAGCATTATACCAAATCACGAGAACCAAGAAGAGCACGAAAGTAACAAGTTGCAACACCAGCCCGCCAATAAGCACGCCTATACCAGCATCTTTCGAGGATCCCGTCCAGTTATTCGAAGAAGCAATTCCACTTCCTGACGCTTGCGTGAGGAAGCTAAGAATATCCGAAGTGACGAATATCTGAGGTATCCAGGCTGGCGAGATCTTCCCTAATAGCAATGGTGTTTTTCCATGCCATCCGAAGTTGGTTCGGCGGTACTCGATCGAATCAACCTTCCTATTAAGATGTACAGGCATGCGCAGACGAGGACGGGGGCAATGACGATTAACGTCGCCGAAGTTGCGTAAAGACCGACGTCGTCTGGCTTCTTGACGCTCGCAGCCCTGATAGCATAGGCCGCAACTTCGGTTGCTGCGCCGATCAAGATTGGGATGAAGTACCCTGCTTGATTGTATTTTCCCGTGCAGGAAGCAATAACTGCCACATAGGCCTGGTAGAAAAGGGAAAGCATATAGAGGATAGTGAAGATGATGGCCGCTGCCAGGGATGGTTCATAGAAATATATGGATCTGCCCATCTTGTGAGAGGTTTGCTATTTTCAATCAGGCAAAATGCTATATAATCGATATCTGGCGAATATGGTAAACGGTTCTTCGAGATCTATCTTGAAATTCATCCCGACTTTATATCTGTCGTCCAGGAGTTATAGATGTCTAAGAAGCACATTAAAATTCACGATGCATTCGTTATCTAGGTAAAACATAGATACTATAGACCAATAGGTTACGTCGTGAAGCTCGTATTCGCACTCGCTTTTCTGCGACAGTGCGATCATCAACATATTTGAAGGCTAAATACTCTGTTGCCTACGGAACTATCAATTGATACTACGATCTATTCAGACCGAAGAAGTGTTAACACTCAATCCCATTTTCTAATGATCGATGTACGTTAGGCAACCGGGATACCGTAGTTAACTCTTTATACTTAGGTATACAGTGCGAAAAGCGAAAAGCGAAAAGCGAAATTCGAAGACAGACTGCCCGTCTGGACCCTCTACCAGATCCTGAACATTGTCAAATTGCCTTTGCCAAGCCCAAATATTGTGACATGTATTGTCCCATACTTAGAACACCCGAGTTGACTTTCGTCCTCAATCTACCTTGAGATCAGTAACTTCGGGTGGACGCGATCGTCTGCTAGCGAGCTGGGCTTCCTCTTTTTCCTGATCATCCCTTTCTCATATTTCTCCAAAGTGCCCACTGATGACAGGCTGTGGCGGAGACTTTGATAAGACTGTTCGGAAAGGTGTGCTAGGTTGTTCGACGGTCATTCGATATATTGTTTGAGATCAGTATCTCCGGAGAGTGATATTGGTCAAGTATCAATTTTTCTTCATTCAGTTCTAGCTTCCCTCACCTAGCAACAAAGTGCTCATTTAACTATAAGAGGTAGGACGAGTCACCGAACTCCCTCGCATAACTGGACCGCTAGAATTATCGCTACGGAAGCATTTGTGGACAAACCAATGACATACAAAACCGACTTGAAGGAATCGCTATTTCCCTCCCGCTTAAGCGGTCTGATCTGTTGCCAGTTCACCTGAACTTTCCGATGCATCCGATTAAGTTTGGGTGTTAAGTAACGATTGGATGAATTGAAAAGATATGACAAAGAGTAGTATGAAAACTCAAGAGCACATCGGATCTGTTCAAGACAAAACAGACTTATCATCCATATCTCACTATTTCAACATGGTGAACAAGATGATTATTGATCTAGATGTACCTATCCAGGTGGACGATGGGATTGTTCTTCGAGCTGATGTCTACCGGCCAGAAGGTGACGGACAACATCCTGTCCTAATGACCTACGGTCCTTACGGAAAAGGAGTCCCTTGGAGAGACGCTTATCGAATCTCATGGCAATACATGACGACTAAATAAGTATCCGGGCATGCTGCCGGGCTCTTCGAGGGACTACATGGTTTGGGAAACACCAGATCCAGACATGGGTTCCCTGGGGATAAATTTGCGTGCGTGTCAACTCTCGGGGATGTGGCCACTCGCCAGGCAAACTCGACACTTTTTGAACCCGTGAAACCAGAGACTTTTACAAATGTATTGAGTGGACAGCGAAACAATCTTGGTGCAATGGCAAAGTTGGCTTGAGCGGAATTTCGTACTTTGCCTCGAACCAATGGATGGTTGGAAGCCTACAGCCTCCTCATCTCACCTGTATAATTCTCTGGGAGGGGTTTGCGGACAGCTATAGAGACATGCCCAGCCACAGTGGAATCATTTCTAATGAGTTCCTCGACCTATGGTTCGCAAAGCAAGTAGTCTCTGTTCAACACGGTAATCCTAAACTATCATAGACCCCTGGTTCAAAGAAAGAGCGAGTGGGCCGGAGATGCTAAGTGACGATGAATTGAAGCAAAAACGCAGCGAATCGGTGCAGAACTATTTAGAACATCCACTGGATAGGGGTGCACACGAATAAGGATTTTGCTTATTCGTATTCATAAGCTTTTTGCAACTCGTTATTCGTATTCGATTCGTAATTATTCGTAGTCTTTGCCAAGATTCTCTTAAGGCATATTGAAACTGTCGTGATCCAATAGAAATTAAGTGTGCGTCGCGTTCCTATTCACTTTGGATGTGGTGTCAATCTAGACATCATACAATCCATTGCTATGCATAACCTAGGTGTTATTCAGCAAGAATATGGAAACATGAAGGAGGGAAAATAGGGATAAATATGAGATTGCCTAGCAGTGTTGACGATTCCTATATAAAACCAATTTAACACATGACTTTGAGGAATAGTTTGCGAATAATGCGAATTTTATTCGTACGAATATTGCTAAGCAACTGAAGTCAATTTATTCGTATTCGACTTACGAATATTCGTAAAGTGGATTATTCGTGTGCACCCCTATTTCACATATAAAAGGGATCAACATTCCCGACAAGCTGTGTATGGGGAGACGTGCATCAATACATAAAATTTCTAGCCCCGAAGTCTTGTTATTTGCGTATATTCCGTATTCATCCTAGCGTAACCGAGCTCCAACATACGTAGTATAGCTTGTATAGAGATGGGAAATTTTCAAGATCAGGGTGAAAGTGAGATTTTCATTAAATTTTCAACGCATCGAGAAGAATGCTTAGTAATTAGATGTGACCAATCATATTTCTGTGTTCCTTCCCAAAGCGGCCACAGATTTGCACAGTACTCCGTAAATTTTGGAATTTCCATATATATGCCAAGGCACACTAGATTTATATGGCAATTTTTATTTTCAAAAAACCAAAAACATTTTCCAAATTGAAACATTTTTTACTCAACATTACCTGTTGGAGCCAAAGTCACGTGACTATCAGAATACAGAGGTCGAACTACGGAACGGTTCGCAAATACTACAAAAATACCAGAATTCCTTGAAGGGCGTCTTTTTTTGGTGAAATGGTATTATGTTTAAGTTCCGACAATTTCCCACCATGATGATGTGTTCTATTTGCACGGCTGATCTTTTGCCCAACAACCTGGTGATAGAGGCTCGGGGTTAAATCACTGGCGATAAACACCCCGGAGATAGAACAGTTATTATTTCCGTCGCTGTTTAACAGCTGCATAGCTATGTTCGACATTAGGGCTTTGTGCCCTAACCTTACTCTCTCCTTTTTTGAGAACATGCAAAGCATGAGCAGCAAAATGGAAAAATCTCCTGATAGATTATCAAACTGCATGATGGTGCAGTAAGAGAGTCTGACAACTCGTGTAATGATGTACATGTCATTTTTTCTTGCACGGGACTTCGGATTTGAGCTTTGCTTTTGCAGTGCTGCATGTGCCGATTCGGTTTGAATGCCATACAGGTCCGGACAGGCCCATAGTACTACCAACTCGTACTATGACGTTGTGGATGAATTTTTACTCTCCACCAACCAACATTTCTCTCAGTCACTTAGGAGATAAACCACTGGACATAAAGTTCCGGAGATAAAATACTGGAGATAAATGGGCTCGCAGATGTTGCTCCGATTGGCGTACGAACTATAAGTATACCATACCTTACATAGTTCCTCCAAGCACAGCTATTACTAAGACGCATAAACAAAAAGACTCCTTTCGGGTGCATAGCTGCTCACCTATTCTAAAATGTCCATGTCACTTCCTGCCGCTCTCACGCCCGTCCTTAGTGGCAGAGAAGCTATCATCGATGCCCTCTATCGCTGCGTAGTGGGCCTTGACACAAACGACTTAGCTCTGTTTAAGTCTGCATTTGCCGATGATGCAGTCTTTGATCTCAATGGTACCATCATGGATGGTATTGACGCCATAAATGCCCAGTGTTTTGCTTCTATCTCCAAAATGGACACGACTCACTACCTCACTAACATACGTATCAACATCCTGGATGGCTCCAAAGCGGAAGTGACCTGCACGGCTCTCGCTCAACACTATCATGGTGGAGAGGGCATGAAAGCCGGCGCTATTCCTCTACTTGCTGGTAGCTTCTACTGGGTGGACCTTGTCCGAGATGCGGGAGACGGGCTCTGGAAGGTTAAGAAGTGGAAGCTCAAAACGAGCTGGGGACAAGGGGACTGGGGAGTTTTCAAGAATTAAGAAGACTATTCTCGTGCAGAGGTTGAGATTGTCGAAGCAAAATTCGAATGGTCACACATTTCTGCAGTCCAGCTTGCGCCTTACTGCATATTTGTGGGAGTGCTATTGACTCTTGGCGTGGGACCACCATGTATGGGAAGGAATTTGGCGTGCATAAGTATTGGGCATAATCAAGTATAAAGGTGAAATGTAATTGTTTGTCACTTCAGTGCGAGTATTCAAAAATTAGTTATGTCACCAAGAATCAATCCCATATGATATGTCCGACATCGATTAAACTCGTGTGGAAATAAGAGAACAGAGGGGTTAAAGGCACTTCAGATGACATATTGGCCAAGCCAGTTGACTTATACGACACCCCAGTGATCAGTCGACTGCTCACTCGCCAGTGGGAGGTTTCTACGTACGCTTGAAATCTCCAGTCCAATATCTCAGGAGTAGATTTGTATGGTAAATATAGACTGAAGCTAATTGGTAAACGTGAACTATCTGATACGCCTACACGAACTCTGACTCGCGTGGCCAATATGTGAGGACCACTCATGTGGCTGATACGGAAGGATGAAGACTATAAGTACAAAGAGTGCGGGTTCTCTAAAGGCGGCTTTCTGCTTGAAGAGGAGCATTTGTTAGGAAAGGGAACGTCTCTATGTAATATTAAAAGAAGGTTGCAACTTACAATACCTAGGTACTAACAGAATAATATTATTGGAAAGGCTGGAACTTTGAGACTAATCTGTGGCCTTCTTTCTGAGACAAACAAGGTAAACTCATTGAACTTTGAGAGAACAAAGTAAACTTGGGAGAGTCGAGTCCAATCTTTCGTTGAGAAGAGAGGAAAGTCTATCTCCGGGTGAATGAGCTTCTCAAGCTGGGTCCTTGACTTTGAAGTATTAGCGCCATATTAAATGATCGTGTGAAGCTAGTAGCTTACCTTCAAAGCATCACTTAGCATTCTGAAAGTAGAATTCCATAGTGTATCAATGTCACACTCAATGAATATATTAGACATATCCATGCGCTTGCAACTACTGTTCAATGTCGGCCTGCGTTAAGAACTTCTATAGATCCAAAGAGCGAGGATATGAAGTCTTGCAAGTGGTTCAAGGGTATGGTATAGGTGGTGTTTTCCTTCACACTTCATCAAGAATATTACAGATGGAAATAGCTTCTTCTGTATTGCCTGACTTAAGAGTATAAAGAATATCTTTTACAATAAGGTTAATGAGTATGCTAAACACTGATATAACTTCCTCGACCATAGAATAGAGGACTAGCTCCCAGTGTAACACCCAGCAGGCTTTGGGGTCTCACTATTCTAAGAAATGCGCCCATGGCGTCTCAAGTTGGGTTTCAGCTACACCAGGTGAAGATTTACATGTTCGAGAATGGTTTCAGCTCCCTCAGACTGCACCTTGACTGTTGGAGCTATTCGGAGAAGGGAGATCTGGTATAATTTATATGTCTATAAAGATAGCAGGTGCTCCAGGATAGCGGAAGATAGGTTTCAGTACATTGACATTCCATACTTTACCTTGTGGACTTAGTCTTAGTGATCCCTCTCGAACGTATCTATACACATCCTTCGTAACGTCGTTACACCCAGCTTCTTCTGCAGGTTTTAGAACAATTGTAAGACCATTCACTCATTGTTACTATTGTTATCACCAGTGATTAAAAGTAATTTGTGTTCAAGATTCAGCTCAACCAGTAGAGCTTTAACGGCTCAGCTAAGTTCTCGCCACTATGTAGTTCGTAGAGCTCCCTAAACTCTAGAACTTTCTCTCGGTATTTAAATTGCTTCTATAAGCTAATGGGCAATAATACCAAGAATGGGAAGATGATTCTTGCTGGTCCAGATGTCAAGGGATAGAGCAATTGTTTTGCACGTTGCTGCAAGCTCTTCTTTCAATTTTACACTTTGTAAGCCAAAGTCTTTCATAAGACGCTGTCGAAGTGTGTGACAAGAGGTAAATGGAAGTAAGACTCCTAGTATATCCTTGAACATCTGCTGGAAGGCTGGTGATTCAATGACTGCAAAGGGTTGCTTGCTACTAACAACCCAGCGAAGAAGATTCTTTTCAAGAAGTTCTTAAATTGTGAGTGTTCCCCTATTATCACAAGCTACTTCAACCGGGGGCCGCTGACAACCACCTTTACCCCGCCAACAACATGCCTCCAGACCTTGTCCGTGGCCTCCTTTTATCTAGATACCACACCTGTGTCCACCACATTCTATGGGCACTTTTTTGACGACACAGGTTACACATGCTTACCCACAGGCACCGTGCCTGGCACTCTACTTGCCTCCCCGACATACTGGGGGACATATTGGTGTAAGAAAGATACTAAAAGGTGCTGGTATAAGCTTACTTATCTTATACCTCGCAGATTCCCCAGGCCTCTACTGTCCGACTGGATGGACTACTGCAGCCCCTTTAGCCGGATTATGGAATGGGTTAGAAGTGACTGGCAGTACGAGTGGTGCTATTTGCTGTCCTTCGTAGGTTTTTCGTTTTTCGTTTTTCGTTTTTCGTTTTTCCGTTTTTTTTTTTTCTTTCCATCTCCATAGAGGCCAGCAATGCTGACACACTGCAGGAGCATGAGCTTCTACTCAAATTACCATGAGTGCAGCCAAGTAATATCAGCAAGAGACACCATTACGATTGCAACGTCCGGTGTAGTGGTCACTTCCACCCTGGCGACACCAATCACCGTTTATGCGGACGGAGTCCCGCTGATCTGGGAGAAGTCCGATATCCCAGAAACGACCAGCGCGTCAATAACGCCCTTGTCAACACAAACATCGGCCGTAACCAGCGCGACAGCAACAAACTCGCCCAACGATAATAGAAGTGGTGGCTTGTCACAGCGAGCTAAGATCGGCATTGGTATCGGGATCCCGTTTGCGGCCATTGCGATAGGAGTAGCGATCTTTTTCTGCTTCCTCAAACGACACAAAAAGGCCAAAGACGAGCGGAGCGCAGAGATACATATTTCTCCACGAGGTCACGGGCCTTTCCTAGAGCTGGCTAACGGAAAGAGTTCTGGGCCTTTCGAGCTCGCTAGTAGGTCAGATCGCTCGGAGCTCCTGTTGAATACTCCAACTCATGTGCATGAATTGGCGTAAGTTATGTACGGTTTCCTCTAGTTGAATCTGCTCAGAAACATCTAATAGGGATTTCTGAGTATCATCAAGACATCGCTTTAAGCGCTATAGAATATCATAAGTAATAGTAAAAAGCATACCCTACAACTTAGCTTGAACTGGCACCTATAATATGACAGTCTATTCCGTAGATGCTTCTTCATTTCTGCTATCTCTGACCACTGATTCCAGTCCATGAAGCCTGCTCCAGTGACTTATCAAATGTTCATTATTTTGGTGAGGCCCGATTTCAGTGGCGGGTATCTGTTTGCCCAGCAATGGGTAGACATGTGCACTTCACATGCTTGGAATAAGTATTCCAGCTGTGCTATCATCACTAACATATATTATGGATGTGCTTAAATTTATAAACCGACGGGAATCCCCGGTCTCTCTGTAGCCATCGCTTCACTTACTTTATTAGGCTTAGCAGTACAACCGAGAGTGGGAATAAGCTCACCAGCGTAAACCTGGCGAGATGAGGCGATGTGAGATGAGGTGAGAAGAGAGTATAACAAGAGAGATTTATTATAGGGAGGAAATGAGATTAGCTGGGAAAATATCTTCAAGATGAGGTCAAACAAATCAAACTAAGAAATATAAACAAACACTAATAGTAGTCTTCTCACATAAATTCTCATTTCAAACTTACCTCACTTATTCAATCTTTATTCAAACCTACTTCCAGATTTATGTCAGAAAGGGCTTATCTTCTCTCTCACTTTAATATAATCCACCTCCACTTCCTAATTTATCCCTCACTTCCTCATCTATCTCTCCTATCACCTAAGCAGCTCACCTCCTCATACAATACCTATTCCGCCTTGAATCAAATCCTTCTTCCAGGCAATCCTTCACCAACAATGAATCTTGCTTCAAATTGTAAGTACTTAGAATCACTCCTTTATCTTTACATAGAATCACAGATACTAATGAGGTAATACTTTGAAGCAACTCCCCGCAAATGTGGCCCAGTGCCAGGAACAACCATCGGTCAAAAGAGAAAGGCATCTGAGGAACTATCCAACAATCCATATACCGTAAAATGGCAACAGCGCAAAGAGAACAGAATGGACAGGTTTGGGTTGGGCTTGAGTGTATCAAACGCAATGAAAACCAAGCATGGAATAGAGCCAAGAAGAAAGACCTTCTCACCAAGGCAAAATATCAACATGCCGGCACTCTTGGTGAAACAAGACTTGAATAATGCGTTCAAAATGAATTCCAGTGCGATCGGTATGATCTTCCCATATCATTTAATGAGGCAATATATTGAAGCAATATCACTAACATTCACTAAGATATCTCAATAGAGAAGGAGCCCAATGATTTATGGAGTACCACATATTGGAGTTGGATCCTCGGAATGACTGGGAAATCGTCCATGAGGAAAATAATGACCGAATAGATATAGACGATGATCTTCAAAATTAATCTAAGATGATCCAAAAAGCTGAGGCTCTTATTCGAATTGCTCAAGCAAATTCCATTAATCCTAATCATGTACTCTCAACAAATTTGGTCCTTGAATTTTGTGTATCAGATGATTAGGAAGAATCAACGGATTACTTCAAATGATCGCTTCATTAACTAAGTTAATTGATCATTATTTAACTCTATCCACCATAAAAATCCAAGCAATTCCTTTGGGTGATTGAGAACATAGATTTTATGTCTTAGAAGTTGTGAAGGCTTAGCCCGCAGGCTGTCCCGATTAGAACCCCCTTTGTTAATAGGAAATCTTTTGTGTCCTTTATTGTCAATTGATGGGAAATCCTTTGTTGATCGGTGAATCAAAACATGAGGATATCAATCAGCTTATTCTTTGTTGTTGAGATTGTGTATACATCATGTAACGTAATCGGACACTGAGTGGGCCAGCTCACCACCATATTTCTACTATACGGACTTGACACCTCAACGCCTGCAATGACTAAAGCTATCTGTGCATAATTTCTAATTTCTAATAGGACATTTAAGTCTGTTGTGTCCAGGTTGGTTGCAATCACTGCAACGAGGTGCTCATCGTGGTCTAGGTTGCAGTAATTGCCTTTGTTCCTGCTCTCGTTCCTCTGTAAGCTGTTGTCCTTGTTCCCCTGTTAAACTGCCATCTGCTGCAATGAAATATCGACTTGTGTCTTTCTTCTTCCTTTTTATTCACTTGCAGCACGAAGTTGAGATAGCTCATGGTGTAAAAGTATATTTTGTTGCATTGAGATCTCAGCACATTTGATCAAGCGATCAATAGCCTGTTCCGTGGTCTTAGGAGATACTGATATGCGATTGCGAAAGGCTTGGATTTATTTTTTATGCTTTTATAATTGACGAGCATTAGCTGGTGTCTTGCCTAAATTCGAAGACTGATCGCTATGAGATGTCGATGATGGTATTGGTGTGTTAAGCCGTATCTTGAGCTTAACAAGCACTCTTTCTGATGCTAATGGTATCAAGCCAGCAGCAGCAAATCCACTTTGTATATTAGCTGTAGATAAAGCTAACTGTGGAACTCCAGGATAAAGACATAAAAATTCTTCTTTATCAATCATATAGATATTGTTATGTATTGATTCTTGAACCTTTTGACCATAGAAGCGCTTTAATGGTGAAAAGCAACTGATATCAAGCGGCTGGCATAGATGAGATGAATGAGGAGGCATGTACAAAGGAATGATATACCTTTCTGTGCAGAATTTATCAAATTCTGTAGTTGCATGACTGCTATGGCCGTCAAGAATCAATAATCTATATCGGCCAATAGTGCGAGAAGCTGTATATTTATTAAAATGTTGTAGCCAATCAAAGCCTAATTTGTCATTCGTCCATCCATTCTCACTAACACTGAGTAGGTAGTCTTTGGGAATTGTTGAATACCATCTAGATTGATGATATTTTCCGGAAAGAATAATCTGTGGCGGTATAGTCCATCAGCCTGTGTTGATAGCCTCAATTGCAGTCACCCATTCGCGATTTCCAGGCTGTAAAGCCTTTGCATGAGACTCTCTTATATCAGAGCCACAGATAACTTTAGCTGTTGATATAATACCCATCTGAAATCCAGTCTCATCCATATTATAGATATCTTGCTCAATGATCCCATACTTCTGGATTGTATCACGAACCCGCTCAAACCAGTCTTTAATAAGCTCTGGGTCTTCACACTTAGCACGCTGATAGTCATATTTCCGAGTATATTTGGCGGATAATTCATCGTGACGTTTAACGAATCGATTCACCCATTTCTCTCCAATAGAAGCTGTACTGAGAGATACTCTTGCAGAGAATAGTAGCTGGGCCAGATATCGTACAATTGATATTTGTGGTGGTAAGCCACGTCTTCCCATATCCAATATCCATGTAATAAGAGTAGATTCTTCAGTATCTGTAAGTTTTCAAGAATTTGCAGCAGTGTTACTGCGCCTTTTGGTCCCTTTGACGTATCTTTGAAGGCTCGATCGAGGAACATCATATGCCAAAGCCGCCTTATTGATTGACTTGATGCGGCCATTTTTATAATCATTCGAAGCTAACTGTATGCGCTTCTCTGTAGAGATGGTGCTATTCATGCCTTTGTGTTGCGTAAGGAAGAATATTGTTGACTAGAAAGGGGGAGACTAGGGGTGGCAGAAAAAACTGGCCCACTCGGTGTCCGATTACGTTAGTAATTATCGATGACCTATCCCCTAGAGTCAAAAAACCAGCAGAATATCTCAGGCACAGGAGCCCCTTTTAGAGTCAAATATATTCACTTTGAGGCCATATAAAGACGTTTAAAAGGCATGGAATCAGCACCTTTAAATACCGGTATGGAGATGCATCTAACTGGCTCTAATCCCCAGCTAAATCCAACGAGAAAAAGAGCTGAGGCTATTTCAATCTTAGCACAGATTCCGGAGGCGCACGATGTCCAATTTGAACCTTTACTGTTGGTTTTACTACGGTCCGTATCACGAAGCATAGACGGTAGTAAGGCGCGAACACGAAGCGGCCTAACGAGCCTCACAATATGAAGCTATCTTGATTCCTAATATTGTGACTGGTCCCCAAGAGCGAGGGGGACGGGGGATAGCTAGCTACAGTACAGTACACCGCAAAAATTCTTGGCCAAACCGGCCGAAAACCCCGCACACACAAAATCATATATAACTTGTTTTTTGAATATCTCAATCAACACAAGGCCTAATCTAATGAAATTGAGGATATTAAACATTAACTAATACGCTATATACAGGAAAAACTCACTGGGCTTACAAAAATATGCCAAATGATATATGAGCTTATACAAACCCTACCAAAGGACGAACGCAGTTACAATGTGTACCTCGACAACTATTTTATAGCGTTGATCTATTCAAAAAGCTTCGCGATATACAAATTAGAGCTTGTGGCACCACTTGGCATACTTCCGCCGGCAAGGATTTCCCCGATTTGCTCAAAAAACTGAAGGATTTAAGCAATTACGTCCCATACCATAAAGTTTGCGCTATCCCCGTCCAGATGTCCTTTGCGTTGCATGGCAGGATAATAATATCATCGTTTGCCTCACTATAATTCATACTGTTAACAAGACAGATGACTATGTTAAGCGTGAGTGCCAAAGACCTTAAAAGACTTCAATAAACGGGCTCTTAGTACATCAGGAATTTGGGGATCAAGAAGTCAAAAACATGCTGATTCCACGTTTTATTGACGATTACAATTATTATATGGGAGGGGTGGATATAGCTAATCAGCACCGAGCTGAGTATGAGACTCAAAGACCTTTTGCTCATGGTGGCCTTTATGGAGCTGGTGTCTAGATGTTGGTGTTATCAACGCCTGGAAACTGCATTATTTGTATTGGAAAGAGCTGAGAATAGCTTCATATTCTCAAGTGGAATTCCGAAGGCGGCTTTGCAAACAGCTGTTATCCTTCAGACCCCTAAGGACGGTGTATCAAATGAAGCCGATGAAGCGCAAGACGGAGGACCTACAACTGCCGGAACTACGATTGAATGATTCTGTCGGAACTACGATTGAATGATTCTGTCGGAACGTGGATATCAAACCCTACGCTTTTCGGCACCTGATTACTTAATCTCACGTGGCACGTGCGTGCCGCGTGTATATCTAGCTAGCTATCCCCCGTCCCCCTCGTTCTTGGGGATAAGTCACAATATTAGGAATCAAGATATCTTCATATTGTCAGGCTCATTAGGCCGCTTCGTGTTCGCGCCTTACTACCGTCTATGCTTCGTGATACGGACCGTAGTTAAACCAACAGATTCCTTAACACATATCTGCGTACGGAGTTATTTGAACGTTTAAAAACGCTGCATTTGGTGTCAATATAAGATTCCCAAACGCCAAAAAGGCGGTGGGATAGGGCTCACGAAGTTTATATGTAAGGCCTGCGACCTGCTACTTTGTCGACTGGAATCCAAAAAATCGTGCTTCCAGGACTTCCATACACGTTAACTCTATATTAATTACTATTTTAGGATATGTGAATAGCTTCAAATCTGTATTTTATATTCATTTGGTGCTTGGCCCTTTCTTCTCGTAATTTGTATGAGACCACGATCACCGAAGATAATTGGCTGCAAGGGCGGTGATGCCAGTTTAGCCAATTGGATATCTTGGATCCCTTAGCGTACACTAGCGCTACACTAGCTCCCAGACCAGGGGAGCCATGTATTAACGCAGATTTACCTCACCTCGATTTGCGCTTCCCACATTTGAAGCAAATGTATAGGTCCTCCAGTCTTCGCGGCACGGAGAATTCCTTACCCTGCTGCGAGGTGATTGAGACAGCTGACATGGACACTGGTCCCGAGTACTACTTCGAATCAAGGACAAATCGAATAGTTAAAATGTCGGAGAACACGTTAATCACGGAAACGGTCTACCTCTAATAAACTTACAGTCTCGGCAGTTAGAATGACTAGCATGCCGTGCCAACACGTTCCTAGTCCTTCCCGCGAGTTGATGGTGGATATTATTGTCTTGCCGCCGAATAAATGGCCATGGTTACGCCCAACATTATAGAGCCAGCCCTGCAAGGCACCGGGAACAAAAACCCCTAACATCGGGGCCAGTGGGCCCGAGTAATGTCTGGAAGTGGAAAGATGCTCCAAATTAGAATGAAACATGACATAGCGTTGTCTCAGTTGGCGTTCTTTTGATGTTACTCTTTTATTTTTGCTCTTAACGGTGTTCTTCAAAGGTACCACATGTTACGCCGAAAGTTATCTATCTGATAGTAATATAAATTGAACGAATCTCGATGTTTCTTAAACTACGTTGATAAAGCAACTACCATTGCCATCAGCATTTAGAGTGCACGAAAATGACGCTTTCGTCTTTGCTGCTAGCATCTGTCTTCAGCTCCGCATGCCTTGCGAGTGTCTGGGATTTTGATATCAGTGTTCGAAATACCTACGTTCGTACTCAATTCAATTTTCTTTAACATACACCACTAACATGTGATAATAGAGGACTATTCAATGGGATCTAGGAGCTCCAGGGACACCGTATAACCTTCTCTTCGACACTGGTTCTGCAACCCTATGGGTTCTCGATGGAAACTGTACCGATAAGTGCCCGAACATCAGCGGGTAAGTGAGCGCATTAATGACTAAGAATTAACAGGAACTCTAATTACATGAACTAGACTTCCACGGACTACATATAACCTTACATCCACCGGTGAGGCGTTTTACAACACCACTGACACCATTGATTACGATGGGGGTGAAGTTTCTGGATACCTTGTGTCGGATATCGCCGGAATCCCAGGTACCGATGTTTCCTTCCGCCAGAAATTCGCCTCGATTACATCTAGTACTTGGGCTGGACTCGGAGCGGATGGATTTTTAGGTCTAGCATCAAGCTCAATCGCATTCACTAATACGACTGCACCGTTTGAGAATGCAATGCAACTCGGTCTCCTGGATCAACCTCGGTTTGCTATATACCAGGGCACCGCGCTTCCTACGGTAGCGAACCAAAGTCCTGAGAACGACGGTGTTTTGACAATGGGTGGTAGTCACGAAGACCTCTATGCAGATGGCGAGGTTCAATTTTTTCCCGTCGAGACACCTTTCGAAGTCTATAAAGCAAAATTCTTGGGGTTGAGTGGAAGTAATCACTTTCCAGGTCAGAATGAGCAACATAACTCACTGAACTGGGCCGGCGATATGGTTTTTGATACAGGTAAGATCACATCCCAGCTTTGTTTGCGGCTGCAGGCTAACATATGTGCACGATAGGCTCTGATCTCATTGAAATGCCTGAAAGTCAAATTGAGGCAGTATACAACATGACTCCATGGACTTATAATCAACTCATGTCGGGATATCGACCACTGTGCTCGGATTTCAACAGCACATGGTCTCTCTCCTTTACCTTTGGCTCGGACGACGATCATAAAACTTTCACGGTTACCGGTGATCAATTGGCGACCCCTGGATATGTGGATGATGACCACTGTTTTCCACCATTCAACCCGTGGGGCAGCAATAATATCATTCTTGGAGCGCGATGGATGAGCAATTTCTATTCCGTGTTTGATTTTGGGTCGTTTGATCCGTCTAATTATGATCTTCGCATTGGCTTTGCACCATTGAAGAAGGAGTACCAACCCAAAATATAAACTATCGTCACTCGACGAGAGGGATGGGGTGGTGTTAAGTGACTTGCATATTCGAGTCTCGCTACACTGTGGCTCCATTTTATCATTTTGTACGTTTCTGATCTAGGGCTCGATCTAAATCCAAGGAAGAAGTATTGTATATAGCTACACCAGCAAACCAAATTGTTGTACATGGATAATGAATGGATACAACCACTGTTTGCATCTAGCTTAACGGTGCTTGCACTCTTAAAGTACATCCGTAGAACCAATAGGGAATTACTCTTATAGAAGGCTTGATAACATCTTGCTGAGTTTGGCACTTCGGCGTGGGGTACCAATTGCGTCTGGAATAAACTCTTTGCTTTCATTCTAGAAACAAGAAGCTCGCAATATGTTCCGCTCCATGCCTGTTACATGGGAATGACCTCACGTCGGCCCTTTGATTGAGTTGGTTTTTGACAAGTTATATCAATGGTCTTCGAAGTTTGGTGGGGACGAGTATTCAACCTGACAACTACCATAATAAGGGTTAGTACTCCCTCTGATAAGCAGTGTCTCTTCTAAGACCTAGCCCTATGGCAATGCCATGGAAACATCTAAAAGTTTCGGGAAGTTAGGTGTTCTCAGCCCAGTGACTGGATCCCAGCCTTCAACTGCGCTGAAGTCCTGAGTACCGCATCCAGGATTATTTCCTGTTAGTATTTATCACATCGATCAGTCATCTGCTAAAGCTATTGCCCTTAAGTGATAAATACTTACATCCGTAAAGGCTTCAGGATTCTGGTACAAAACTGGTTTTAAGAATCCAACTGGGCCGCCAGCCGATGCTCGTTGACCACGTTGACCACGTTGATGATGCTGGAAAAGATAGGGCCGAAGCGCTGGTACCGTATTCCAAGACAGGTTGGCCGTCCTCGTAGATTGGTATATTGACGCCACCGGCAGAGGCATTTATATATCCTCTACCAGTTCTGTTATAGTATGGTGTACCGTAAATGGTCAAGTTGTTATCGGGAAGGGAAGTATTGGTGAAGTATGAATCTAAGGTTTCTTGCTGATACTCTGGAGCAGGTCAGAGGTTACTGAACCTTCCACCAGAATAAAGGTCACCGCCAGGTATTGGGGCAGCGCTCTCGGAGAAACTCTCTCCTGGGTTAATCTGTAGTCTTTAGTCCATGAGCAGTGTGAAATATGGGGGTCCCTGATTACCTTAGTAGCACCAACAGACGTTACACAGGAGCAAGCAGCAGGCCATCCAGGCGAGAAAGCACCTGGATTGGCCGCAAGTGTTGTCTTATTAACATTGTCTGGATGTATACGACCTCCAGACTCCACACCGCTGTCTTGGGAAGAATAGATGATTGAGAAGCCTTGGAGACCGAACTTCATATACTCTTGACATTGCCTATTGATGTAAAAGTAGGAGTATGCACCTTCCGCAATGCAGTACGATACGGAGATGACATTGATTATAGTTTGGGCTCCACATCTCTCTCTGGCTTACCCCAGGTGCCTGGGACAATCCATGTCTCATTAGGAGGGTTTGGTTCAGTATCAAGATAGCTAAACCATATAATCAGAACTAATTAGACAATTTGTGCACCGTGAAGACGGATGCATTTAATTGACAGAGTATTGGAACTGACGTACTGAGGATCGAAAAGAGGATCATCTCCACCTTCGAATGTGCAATATGACTGCAAGTGAATAATCAGTGGAAAGGGAGTTTCATAGGGTGACTTGAAAATTTACCATGTCAATAGCGTCAAGGAAGGTATTTGCAAAGCCTTGATAGGTCTCAGTCGCTTTGAGATCGTCAACTTGAAACAAGATAACATCTTAAGGGTGAATTAATGGATAGATACCTATTTGGTAAAGCTCTTCCCTAGTCTCATGATGTTGGTAGACATGGTACTCCGTAAGAAGTAGAGACTCCAGCTCCTGGACATTAGCATTAAACTTGAGCCAGCCGCGACCCGCAGAGACAGGATGTCTATCCAGGCCAATGCCAGAGTTACGAAGCCATTTGCGAAAATAGGAAATATATTCACTAGAGGGCCTGAACATGTCGCCCACCTCTTTTGCGCTCAAATAATGTCTATACTTCTCAGACTTGGGGTCAAATATTTCCATCAGAAGGTCGTGACCGATATGGACGCCTTTCTGAGCTATGGCAATCCGTACAGGTAACTCCATATCTGGCGAAGCTCTGGACCGTTTTAGCCATTGCAGCGAATCTATTCGCTTGTCATGGCAAACATGATTATTCGAAGTTGGGCTTGTAATTGAAACTCCAACTGCAAGAGCAAAGGTTGCAAAAAGTAAGAACTTCATTATCAGAACCTTTGCTGGAAATGGGAATCCGGGCTGTCTCCTACAATGAAGACTAGGATCGACGATAGTAGCCCGTTTATCTTAATTCCACTATCATTTACAGCGGTGTGTCATGCCAACATCTACCATCTACCTATAGTATGATATCCATGGATTTTGTACCGTCCCTCTCGGCAGAGATACGTCGGAAAATGCCGCTTTCTGGAGGCTTCAATAGAAGCCGGTGCAATTTATAGTCGACTGTTGTGGTGTTGGTTTTTGAACAAAGGTATCTATTGGTTTAGCCGGGTCCCGGATCACGAAGCACAGGATTGCGGCAAGGGCAGCTCAACTGCTCTACGTGGTGAGCCTGGTAATATTGAAGTTATTCCTAATATTACGACTGCCCCCCAAGAGTAAGGGGATAGCTAGCTAGATATATACGTGTTGGATATCTGATACGCTAATCCCATTCTGGACGACCTTACTAACCGGTGAATCTCCGGAAAAACACAATTGCCGATCCCAGGTTTGGCACAATATCGACAGCCCTACTTTTGGATTCAGGATTGCTATTTTGCCACTATATTGTGTATATAAAGAGGATCAAGATGCGTAGCTAGCTGTGTTTTTAGAGAGTGTGCAAATCAGAGTCAATTTATTCCTCACCCAGATTGTACGCTCCTATCAGAGCCTAACCCCGTTCGGACTAGTACCAAAAGATTCCAATAATACGCGGCACGCACGTGCCGCGTCGGACTAACTAATATCCAGTGCCGAAACGCGTAGGGTTGATATTCACATTCCGACAGTATCCTTTTAAAAGAGTGGGATAATTGGACTGAAGCTTGAAACACAACAACCGTACGGGGCAATCTGTTCATCAATGGATCCGACTGGACCGGTTTCAAACCTATTCTAGCACTAGATGCTTTCTGGACTGGTGAACCGCGTTGCTATATTATTCTTCTAGCAAGCAATGCTCGTGAGATGGAAAGACTACCGCCAAATCTACCCTTCCTTGCAATATCAGTTATCTGATGACACCCTGCATTGACACCTGAAGCCCCGCCAGCTACTTAGGTAGGTCTGAATTCGGTCGTAGTCTTATCAGCTTATGTAGGATACTTATTCCGCGACCAGTTGAACATTATTGCAGCTGTTTAGCCACTTCCAATGCATTCGTTGTTCTGTGTATCAAGAAATTTTGAACTCGACGGAGCGCTAGATTGCATACTTAGTAGAGATCAATATTGGAGAATAGCCACATAATGAAAATGGAGAAAGTAGATTTATGGCAAGAAATAAACAACGGATTCAATATTGTGATTGGAAAGAAAGACATATCCCGGTATTCAGAACTCGGATAAGGGCCAATGATACCACGAAACTATAGCTACATAGCGGGCCCTACTGGTTTCCCACTCAAAGGGACAAAGACTGCCCAGTACCCTTAGGATCATACGTTTACATAGATTCCGTGATGAGAGAGATTATCCGCGTTGGATGCAAGTATTGCTGCTTGGTCCAGCCTGCTCCATCACCAGAAGAAACTGTAAACCTTGGCGAGAAGAACGATGGGGAAGCGAAGAGAATATCAAGCTGCCATCAGTTGCTTACTTTGGATGCGATGGGGGCCCTTCAAAAGGAGATACCCGTCCTTGGAGAGGGCGTTTTCTGAAACCAAGCCGGTGGTATAATAACGCTTCTAGAGAATAAAAAGGGAAGCATAGCTTGAGAAATATGCAGGAAGTTGTGTAGCTAGTCTTTTGCTCCAAATAGGCAAAAGAAGTAGGAATTTCCTTACTTAAGTTGCCCTTGTGATAACAGGCTATTTCACCACACCGGAACGAGGGGCAGCAATTGCTTCTAGAATAGAGCGCATGAGCTTGAGCTGGGATAGGTGACTTGGAAGGCCTTTCGCGCTGTCACCCGCTAGTTCTACATGAGTATATCCCGAACCAAGCGGTTCGTGATTGAGACGCTTCTAGTTTGCAAGTGTCCTGCAAGATGTATAGTCGGCAACAGGCATACGAAAGTCCGTCAACAATATGTTGATAGCACTTTGGTTCCCTTCCCTTATCGAAGCATACCAAGATCGGATATATCCATGGATGTTGCGCGGTTAGGTGCGCCCTGGGCGCTTATAATCCGACATGGAGGATTTCTGCCTTGGCCTCCAAGACACTCTTTTTCGGATCCTAGAGGTAATGTAATAACAATATTTGAAACTTTGCTTGAGATTTAACTCTACCTCACGCATATCTGTACATTTCGTGGCTTATATCCTTCTGGTAAGGCTATATAACCCTAGCTCCGGAATGGACTAAAGTGTAGAACTTCAAAAGTGAATAAGTGCGTGTTCATTGGCAGAATACTATGGACAGAAGTAGTCAAAATCATTCAAGTAGCATTGTATGCGAGCGTATATTCAATACTATTCACTAGGTAGTTGCTGTACAACATACCTATTCTGGCCATCGATTTGCATCCATATCCCGAAGTTGGCGAGACAAGAACAACCAGTGTGACAATTTCTAATAATAACGCATCTATAGTCCTAAAAACGGCATCCAAGATCCGGATAAACCCGGGTAAGTAAATAGGCGCATGCTACCATGTCGAAAGTACTATCGCCTACATACTACCTAGCCCTTGTTTTTGCATGAGCTTCGCAAATCTTGTTTGTGCGTTTACCGACATGTATGAACTAGTGATTGACCTCATGGGCCACTTTTATATACTCATATTCAGGATGAGACTTTCAACGTTTCTTTTTCACTGACATGCTTGTTTTTGGTCTGCCTTAATCGGTTATTGGTCAAAGAGTTGAGATCATTGTTTCCTCCACTCCGGAAGTCCTGATTACCGCTGTGAAGACGTCGATCAATCTATAAATAAACGTCGACAAGTTGAGATCCGTATACCATCAACATTTCATGGATGCCCATGAATGGCTTCCAGGTTGATCCCGGCGAGATTTGGAAGATTTGGGAATACTGTAATCCCGGTTACTGGCGGTTATCCTTATTTATCTGTTGATGTTATGCATGAGGCATCGTAAGCGGGTAACAGGTCGATAAGGGGAGGCCTTAAACGTAACACGATACCGAAAGTCGGTATACATGGATGGCCTGCTTAACATGTGAGGGGAAGCGAATTGACTTCGGTTTCTCTGGAAATTTCTCATGAGGGCACCAATAAAATATTAGTCTTTTCCTTTTCTTTCTGTTGGAGATGATATTGCCAACGACCAGCTATGTCTCACCTAGCTAACTGATATATACGTACCCATAATTTCATCGGAGAATATCAGTACTCCAAGTGATGCGTTAGTCACGGATGTGCAAATAGTAAAATGAAGCTAAAATGCTTGTTTCGCTCATCTGTTTTGGGATAACCGAGATGTGATAGCGCCTAACCATGCGTACATTAGTGATGAAAGTCGGCGGTTAGCGTCACGACATTCCTCTGCTCTAGTATACAAAAAGAGGAATACGTATATTGCGTAATACATACATTGTACACTCGCGTGCTCAACCATGATGTTCCGTGATGATCGACATCAAGATTTCCAACCTTTTTTACTTGATAGACCTCACGCCATACAGGTATACATCTACAGGTCAATCGAAAGTATTGATATACTATATATAGAGTCTGAAATGTGATAGATCTCTCCAAAGCACATATTCAGCATTGCAGACTGGTCACCTCAGGCCATCAGTCCAAGTATAGCAAGTGTGTGGATGCTTCCTCATGCAATCTCGTTTCGTACCTGACCAATTGAATGAGAGAGCATGCCGCAAATGGAAGTGGTAACCTCCTTTATACTCTACTACATCTCGGAATTGAAGGCAACTTATTTGCCACCGGGGGATATTTATGAGGGGTAGTTTGATATGAGTGTTCAAGATTGTGGTATAGCTGACGTCGAGGTGCGGAGAGAGGAGAAGTTGCTAGCACTGGGTGGGAGTAGGGTGTCTAGAGGAATGGTCGTTTTGAAAACAATCCGGAGTCTCTTGGAGTTATCAATAATGGTGTGAAGATGAATCTTGGAAGGATATCTAGGTATATAGAAGTATAAAAAGGGAAGAAATCCCTCCTAAGCACGCTCTCTGATGGACGAGCCATCTCATCCTTCACTCTCCAAACCTTCATATGTCCAGCAGAACCATTTGTAATACTCTCCAAAATGATCTGGACTCAGTGCATCACCACCACCCTCCTACTTTCAAGCATAAAAGCCGCCCTTGCTGCACCAGCAGCTCCATCCGCAGCTACAAACCCCCTACGAGGAGACGAAAACCTAATCGGCTATTCATCCACAAATACAATCTCAAACGAAAACACAGAGACGATCTCCTACCAACTTGCCCCGGGACAGACCGAGGCCGCAATTGTGGGATTATATCTTGATTTCGATGACGTTGAGGATCCGCAGCCTCTAAGGGGGGATAAAGGGGGGACGAATCCTGGACCACGTAAGTTCTTTATCTCCCTGTGATAATTGAAGAATGATAAAGAGAGAACTGATTGTTGGTGAAGGCAACACCGAGATGAATAAGATGTATTCCGATAAATATGCTCCGCCGGGGACTGATAGTGGCGCTACTGTCAATGCTCAGTGGCCATTAGGTATGCTCATTTTACTACCCTTCACCTTCTAAAGTCTTCAAAAAGAGCACGAAGTAATTGGGGCATGCTAACGATCAACAGCACTCAGCGGCATGATGTACGTTAACCCTTTCTCTCACCTAGATCTACATCTGAACTCTTTCTGATAACTGTGACAGTCTAGGAAAAGAGAAATCCGGCTGGTCTCGTCAACAAAACCAAGACGTCCTACCAGCAGCCACCGAAATGGCAGGTGTAAATATGAGACTTGAGGCAGCCGGATATCGAGAATTGCATTGGCATGTTGCGGCCGAATGGGCTATTGTGTTGAATGGATCTTGTAGGATTCAGGTACCTCCCTCTCACACACAATTCCTATCAATCGAGACCGGTGCTTATAATATCTGTAAACAGGCTGTGAACGATAATGGACAGACGTTTATCGATGATGTGGGTAAAGGGGATGTATGGTTCTTTCCACCGTAGGTTTTTCGACCATTTAACCACTGAATGGACGGAATATAGTTGACTGATATATGACTGGCAGAGGAATACCGCATAGCATCCAAGCCCTCGAAAACGGCGTCGAATTCATGCTCGTCTTTGACGACGGCTCATTCTCCGAAACAAACACCTTTCTCGCAACGGAGATCTTTGCACACAACCCCGTACGAACCCCCCTCTATCCAATCTACTAGTGAGAAAAACTGACCAAGAACAGAGAGATGTCCTATCCAAAGACCTCTCTGTCCCCGTCTCCGCCTTCCAAAATATCCCCCAAGACCAACTTTTCATCTTCCCCGGCACACCTGCACCAACAAACATCTCCATCCAAAACATCACCGGCCCCGCAGGCTCAATCCCCCAACCCCAAAGTTACTCCTACCACTTTTCCTCCCAACCAGCTCAACAACTTGAGGGTGGAAGTGTCAAAATCGTCGACCCATTAAGTTTTCCCATCGCATCCGGATTTTCCGCCGCTTTGGTGACTATAAACCCCGGTGGAATGAGGGAGATTCATTGGCATCCGAGTAGTGATGAATGGACATTTTTCATTCAGGGGCGCGGTAGAGCGACCTTGTTCACGCCGCCGAGTAAAGCTACAACGTTTGATTATTTGGCGGGGGATGTGGCTTATTTCCCGAAATCGAATAGTCATTATATTGAGAATACGGGGGTGGAGGAGTTGATTGTTTTGGAGGTTTTGAAGGCGGATCATTATTCTGGTGAGTTTTCTTTCTTAGCTGTGGATATGAAGGTTTTGTTGTTGCTGCTGACCTGGGGTTCTGGGGTAGATGTGTCTCTTGCGCAGTGGATTGGATTGACGTCTAAGCAGATTGTGCAGGATACGTTGAATCTTTCGAATGAGACGTTGAGTCAGATGACAACCGAGAAGAAGATTGTGGTATCATGAACAAAGTTCCGCTTGTGAATGAGTTGTCAGCTTGGTAACCCTAGAAGTGATTAAACATGATTGGACCATGAACTACTGCTTACGTGCCCGAACTCGATAGAAAAGTAAATTGATATGCATAGGCAAAGAATATAATGACATGAACACGGTCATATCTATCAACAAAACGCCGTATTCAACAAGTCCAAATTCCAGTAACACTTGCCCTTCCCGCCCAGACCCAAGGAAAAGCAATGAATAGAGGACACCAAAGTCAGGCACTTTTGACAAATAGCCGAGGGTTGCGCTTTATGATGAGAAGCCGGAAAAAAAGGCATATGGACGAAGAATGAGAGGATTGATAGATTGCGTCTTCGGGTTATTACAAATAGGTTATATTTTATGAATAAGATATGAATAAGGGTGGGTAATTATAGTTATCGGTCGAAGAGATTACTTCTTAGGACAACATTGTCCACGAGGACACTCATCACCACAGTCTAACAGACAGGCATCCCCGAAACTGCTAGCACTGCTAGGAATACGACTCATGCGAGGATTATCGCCACTATGAGATGGCGAAGCACCATTTTGACTCTCAGTATCTGTGTCCGGAGTGAATTCCGGTTGAATAGTGGACGAATGGATTCCATAGGCGTGTAGACAGCGCCGAATCTCCTTCGCGATGTCCATGTAGCTATCGGAGCCTTCGTCCTTGATTTCGCTTCCGACTTGGATATGTATCGATGCAACAAGTTTGGTGTCGCTCAATTGCCATACGTGCAGATGGTGAGAGCTGACAACGCCACGAATGCTGTTGATATCTTCTTGGATATGGTCTATGCTCATTCCTGCCGGGACGGCTTGTAGAAGAATTCTAGAGGCGGCTTTGCAGAGCGGAATTGCGGAACAGAGGATGATCACTGTAATGACGAGTGAAATGCCCGGGTCGACATAAAATCTCCAGGAGTAATCGGTCAACCAAATAATTAATGCAGAGGCAATAACACCAATATTACCCAACGCGTCACCCATGACATGCAGAAACACTCCTCGCATGTTGAGATCCCCGTGCGAGTGCCCTCCATGCCCTTTTTTAGCTGTCTTCGGCTTGGCGTGATTATGGGTTCGATGAGTATCGACCTTGGCCGCCTTTGATGCCGCAACGCTGTCACCGTCGATATATCGTGGCGTGCGGGCTTGACTTCCAAGTAACTGTGTACGCTCGTTCGCAGAAGAATCGTTGTTGCCGCTATCTTCAGACTCCGTTCCCGATGTACTCTCATCATCGATATGGCTGGCATTGATAATATTTTGATACCGATCACCCGGGTGGACGTAAATATCGTCCAGATTGGCAAAGCCTCGCGACCCGCGCGAAGTACGTCGATGAGAAGCCTGTCCACGGCTTCTGGCTGTATTCGATGGTGAAGCCGGAGGATTCTCATTACCAATAATCTGCGGCCGTTCGCCAACATCCTCCGTATCAGTCCGCTGGACGCCCACCACATTCTGGGGCATAATGCTGGCCACAGTTTCACGTTCGTCGGCCATCTTGTGTGTGGTGTGTTCATGGATATGACCTTCCTCTGCGGCATGCAAATCCCCTTCCTCGCTGTGCGCATGTTCATGTCCCTGTTCTTCCGGTCCGTGGCCGTGCGAGTGATCGTGAAAGAGTACAAGGCCGAGTATATTGGAAAGTAGGCCAAAGCAGCCAACAATCATAACCAACTTGGGATTTTTTACTTCTTGCGGTTCAACGAGTCGTTGGATCGCTTCCAGGAAAATCGACATACACAGCGCCACCAAGAACACGCCGTTGACTAGGGCTCCTAGAGTTTCCGCACGTTGCCACTATAAATGTTAGTTGATAATGAGCTGACATTAGAGACCTATCAGTCGTTTGGCTTACGCCGTAGGTATATGTCTTGGAGTTAGACTCCTGGTTCGCGACCTTGACGGCCCATAATCCGACAATCAAGGACAGAACATCGTTGAGCTGTGGCGAGTTAGCATATTCTTTAACATATATTTCAAAAGCGACCACTGAAGCAGGGCCATCCAACGAGAAGCTCTATTGATAAAACCATACCATATGAAATGAATCAGCAACAAGGGCAAGCGAGTGCACGGCATATCCTATCAACCATTAATTTAGCTGTCTCCAATAACTGAAGCTCGGGATAAAACATACCAACAATCAGCTCAAGTAGGAAAAAAGCCGTATCAATAACCAACAGGATAATAATCCTATTCGACTTTGAGAGAGCCATTGTTTTTGTTTTTGTTTTTTGCCGAAAAGTAATGTAGCGCCGCCGTCAAGGCGCGGGTTTACATCAAATGAAGCAAAAGTCTGGCCAGGCCGTCGCGCATCGGATCAGAATTTCCGAATGGTCCGAGGTGTTGGTATCAATATTCACACAGCGGTGATCAAGAGCTGAGTTCACGTCGAGAAAGAGCAATAAGAAAAGCCAACATCGAGGAATGGCGAGAAGGAGTGAGGGAATTAATATATGAGCTGCAAGGATGTGTTCTTCCTTGTTCTTTTTAATCGCCGAGAATTCTTCGTTCGGCCGCCCCTCGCTCGCTGAACATTGACGCAATGCGGGAGGTTGATCCGTTCCGGCTTAGTCAGTTATATTATAACCCTAACCCTATTGTATATATATATATATATATATCAACAATCATCAATACACCTATTCATCAATGAAGTCCATCAAACAGAGCTAACTATACATCAACTAGAAGAACTTGCTAGCCAAGCCCAACAACCCCGAAGGTCCCCCAGTCCCACCAAGACCAGTTCCCTGACCCTTCAAGTACATCTTCAACGCCATCTCAGCAGCCGAGTTGATAGCAGACTGCTTATCTCCGCTCTATTTAACACATCAGTATCCCATCCCATCTCAACCAGATAGATGGAAAAGGAGAAACAAACCGCATTTCCATTCGCACTCTGCTGATCAAATAACTTCTCAGCCTCCGCCATCGCCAACCCAATTAACTGATTTTGTCCCCCACCACCCGCACCACCACCAGTAAACGCCTTGAGAGCCTGCATCGCCGCCCCAGCACCAAGTTCATTCGAACTCGCTGGTCCAGCATTATCTGCTGCTGCTCCGCCATAAAACCTCCGATGCGAATTCACCACATGGTCTTCATCAATAGGCGAATCATTAACAATGTCACCGTGTCGTTGTTGCAGAAAGGAAGCTGCTTGGCTGAAAAGCGACGATGAGCTGCCGCCATGGTTTTCGGCGTGGTTGACTACGTCTGAGAAGTCCGGGGCGCTGGCGCCGTAGTTGCCGCGGTATTGTTGGTCGCCGTATTGGTCACGGCCTTGGTTTTGGTAGTCTCCGTAGGACATTTTGATGAATGTAGTTTGTAGATTGTGTCTTGAAGTGGGATGTTGGGAGTTTATGATGAATGAAGAGATAAACGAACCAAAAGAGGGGGAGAGGGGTCAGGGTAAGGGTCAGGCAGATACACTACGTAATTTGTAGGAGAATAGAGGGGCATTGATCGTATTTTGTCCAATGATATTTCCTACACGAGTAAGCATGCATGTATCTACCCTAACCCTTAGAAAACACTGGAATAGTAAACACTCTCTTTTGTATTACTCACATCAGAAGAAACATACACTCTCAACGCACAGAACAAGCAACAACAAAAAGATAAAGGTATATGCATGCCCACCGAAATGATGGATCCGTCTTACAAAAAGCCATTCATGCATATGCTCTAAATAAGAAAGAAACAAGATAAGAACTGACATGCGAATACACACCACTCGCATAATATCCAGGAGGAAGAAAATTTATACTCAACAACGACAGTCGAAAGGTCAATCACCAATCATCCTCATCCTCATTCGATCCACGCATAGCACTCTGTCTCTGTCTCAAAATCTCTGCCAAACCACCCGCCAAACTAGCATTTGAGCTACTATTAGGCGTCGCACGACCACTAGCACCACCACCGGACGAATCCTGGGAGTTAATACTAACAGCACTATCACGAGTAGGCGGTGCAAGAGGTTTACGACCAGCTGCGCTGGGTCTTTTAGCTGGTGGTGCCGGAGGGGCGGGTTTGGCTTTTGCTGCTGCTGCAACGGAGTGGCCATTAGTGGTAGCAGCAGCTTTTGGTGCGACTGGGGGTGGTGCGGGTTTGGCGACTGTTACGGGAATTTCCTCGAGGTAGGCTTCGGGTGTCCAGCCTTGGGCGGAGGTTGTTGTGTTCATGCATAGCCACCAGCCTATTCATATTAGTATTAATAAGATTGGGGGAGAGAGTAGGAGATACCGTTTCCTTCTTTGGAGACAATCTGGATGATCTCTCCCGCGTGGATTGTGAGTTCGTTGGGTCGGTCACTGGAGAAGTCGTACAGCACCTTGGCAGACGGTTTCTTAGGAGCTGCGGCAGCCGCGGGTGGAGCTGGAGGAGGTGGTGGTGGTGGAGCACGGACAGACGCCTGGGATGATGTTCGATTATGTGAAGCTGCAACGGCTGCAACCGGTTGAGGCACGACGCGAGGATGCGCTGTGACTGGTTGGGTCGCTCCAGGAAGAGCTTGAGGTGTCGGCACAGGTCGCGGAGTAGTGCCGTTCGGCCGATTTCCGCTGAGTTTAGAAGGACCGCCATTTGGACCGCCAGGTCGCAGAAGTTTACCCTTCGTAACTGGTCTGGCAGCAACTTGCTTGGGTCGTGGAGTGGGTTTCGAAACTGAGTTGGGAGGTTCACCAGATCCGGTGTGAATGCTACCACTCTTGTAAACATCGTCGCGAGGAACGGCGGGGTCTTTGACAGCTTTGACGGTGGTCAACTTTCCAGGCTTCTTATTATATTCAATACTACATCAATTAGCATATGAACATCTGCGGAATGAAAAGTAACTCACGTTTCTCCAATCTTCAATGTCAACTGTCCCCTAAGAGCAGCAGACACATGAGTGAAAAACTCGGTCTTGAAGACGCAGTTCAGAAGTGGATCCGGCTCTTGAGAGCCAACGACTATCGAGAACCAGTCGTCCTTCAAGTTTGTCGTGCTAATGTACTTGATAGCTCCGAGGGAAATGGTTCGCTCTGCCGAGATGGAAAGCTGGTTATTGACAATCGCTTGAACGATGATGTAGACATTGCGAGGCGTCTAGAGAATTAGTATCTTCATCAGACTCGGAAGTGATAGAAATACTCACCAAAACAAGGATACGAGGCATCGGTTTACTGGAACGACCAAACTTGGCCACCAAAAGCTCGCAACGTGAAGAAAAGAGAATTTTCTCAGACCCTACACCAGTTGTTAGATAAAAACCGGACCACAAGAGAGAAGGCCTTACCACTAATGCCAGCGCTAGTACGGATAATCTCTCCAGGACCACCATCATTTCCAACCCCAATATAATCTCCCAGGAACCGCCGAGAACCAAGCAAACTCATACGGCGACGCTCTTTCCTACCCTGCAATAACTTGTGGCCTTGGTCCCGGAACTTGATGAGATCCAAACCACCTGTGACCCTACGCCAGAAACGTTGAATCCTTATCGCGCATTCGATACGATAACGTAGGTAGTTGCGCCATGCTCGCTGGATACGAATTGCCATGTTATGCCAGTAGCGATCTCTCATGTGTTCAAGTGCAAACAGTGTTTCCGGGGTCTTGATAAACGCCTTTGTCACACCCATTTGATATTCTTCAGCTGGAATGCCTGTGTCTTTCAGAATTTGTCTGGCACCAGATTCTGCATCCCCCGTCCACGTATAATCACCTGCGTAGGAAGTGTGCTTGGATAACAGATAGAACCGCTCGACGAACTTATCAAAGGTCTGACGATAAGCGAAACCCGCTCGTCGAATACGAACGTTCTCTTGCAAACCTAGATATTTGATCTGGTGAAGCACATTCGCGGTATTATACTCCGTAGGCGACTTGTTCTCGTTGGGCTTGATGGTTCGGATGTATGAGGGTTGGCATCGCATCAATGTAGTAACCAGGTCGTTCGCAGAAGCTTTGATCTTATCACCAGCGGTAGGTGGGCGTCGCTTGTCGTCTTGGTTCACTTGGTTGGGAAACAAAACATGCACAAAGTCGTTACTTGATGATCCGACCAGATTGAGCAGATCCTTGAGCAGTTGATCTTTGTTCTTATCGGTCATTCCTTCCACGGAATAGCTGACATCACCAGCATAATGCTTGATGATGAACTGTCCTTGTCGGTTTTCAAAGTTGGGGTTCTGACCCAGGAAATTCAGACGTCCGACAAAAGTCTGGTCAGCTGCCGATGAATCTGCGTGCGCGGTTGCACAGGCGTCGTTGAGTGCTGCAAAGACACCAGGGGGTCGCTTATCCTCGATCAATGAGCAGACAACCTTGTTATCAAAGTACTTGATCGGAGTCCACTGAATCTGTTCGCGAGCATACTCCTCCTGTTCAGCTTTCAGTGTCAATTGAATAAAGATCTGTTGTAGCTTTTCGTTCACGTAGTTGATGCACAATTGTTCGAAAGAGTTCTTCTCGAAGATCTCAAATCCATAAATATCGAGAATACCAATCGAATTTGTCACAGCTTGTTTTGCCTTTAATGACTGATTCAATCGATCAACGATCCAGTCGAACAGGTTGAAGTAGATAGCCATTGCCAACGCATCCCGCACAGCGTTAGCTTGCACTGTATTCAGGGGAACCTCATACACAGAGCCTCGCCGACCACCTCGTGCTGTCTCGACGACGCGAATCGTAAGAGCTTTATTAACTTGCGCAGAATCGACTTCGAGGAGATATGCCACAAAATCAACAACAGATTGATCCGTTATTGATGCATGAGTTTGGTCGTCTTCCGTGAATTGAATATTACCCAGCCATAAGATCGCTGCGAGCATACGGAAAATGTTATCCTTTTCGCCCTGAGTCAAACCGATGATCCGCATTGCTTCAAGAGTCTCTGCGAAATCGGACGCATCGTCAATGCCTTGCACGTCAAAACATTTCGATCGACTTGTGTAAAGATACGACTGAGGTTGCTGAATTCCAAAGTTATCTGCACGATGTAATTGATTAGCAATACTTAAGATATGACCACTACCAGACTGCCAACGCACCTCTGTACTCTTGAGGCGCGGCCTTTGTGAGCTGATAGAAAATATGAAAGTTTCGTTCGTTTGTGATCTGGCCGACAACTCTCGTCTTTTCGAGAAGATAATTCGTGATACTAGCACCAATCGGTTCACCCTGTGCATTAAACTCCAACTCCAGATATTTACCGAACCGCGACGAGTTATTGTTTCGCAATGTCTTCGCATTACCAAATGATTCTAAAAGCGGATTTGTCGCCAATACCATTTCCTTGGTTTGCTGAATAGATGAATCAGAACCGCCCGACACACTCGCAATATACTGCATTAGCCGTTTGGCGGCTTCCGTCTTTCCGGCTCCGGACTCTCCTGAGATAATGACACATTGGTTATCTTTGTATGCTTTCATGTTATAGTATGCAGATTCGGCGACAGCGAAGACGTGCGGGGGAACTTCGAGTCTGTTCTTGCCGCGATAGGAGTCGAGGACTTGGTCGGTATATATTCCCACTGTAATAAGATAGGTTAGTCGGATCCGTAAGTGGAAGCGCGATGGACGTACAGTCTCGAAACGGGTTGACAGAGACCAGCACGTGGCCAATATATGTCTATCCAGTCGCAGTTGTCATTAGCATATAATTTTAAAATCCAGGCGCAAGGAAGATGCGTACATAAATCTCCCTGTTCTCAAACCGCAATTTGAGATTATCGTTGATAGCCTCATTGGACACTTTGCTTAACAAAGTGAGATCTGAGACACCAATCTCCTTCTTTTTCGTACTCTCGAATGCAGCCTTCTTGACCTGCGGTTTTGACCTGGCTTTCCGACCATCGCCCACATCGGCCTCGCCTTTGGACCGGCCAAAGCCGCGACTGCGCTTCTCACCACCGGCAGGACGTCGCGATTGACCCTAGGTTAGAAAGAGGCAGTCAGTAATTATTACGTTACCTTCCATTGCAGCAGGACTAACCATTTTCTATAATGACGGAGTTGTGCCAACCGCAACCAGTTCTGTGTATCTGTAGGTTATCTGGAGTGAGGGGGTCGTAAGACACGCAGAGGTTAATTGTTGTCCCCTAGGCGGCACAAATGGATGTGACCCGCTGTGATCAATGGAATATGTAATCTGTAATTAAACAAGAACGAGCATAACCTAGCTCGAAAGCAAAAAGAAACAAATAGAAAAATTGACGATAGATGAAAATAGCAGTAGTGTGCAGTGACGAGTGACGAGTAAATATCGGGGCTGCCTTGTGTCTCTTTCTATCTAGCCAGTGTCCACACTCAGAATGAAACAGCCAATCACAGCAGATAGCGGGGATCAGTCTTGGCAGGCGACACGCATGCTGCGCCACATTTGGTTTAGCGCCACATCTGCCGACTTACCGACTGCAGCTCGTCTTTCTTTTGTTTGATGTCTGAAGAATGATGTGTATCATATATGATAGTACATCTACTATTTTATGTGCCAGAGTCTATGCGATTCGTGTATTTCTCTCTTCTCCAGGTATTCATGCAAATATCGCAGAATGTTATGTAAGAATCAGGCAGATTATCTACATGTATGATGCCAAGACCTTCGACGTCATAGCCCTGACAGTCAGTTTTTTACCCGATTGGGCACTGTTCTAGAATGCAGCCCATGTTGAGTCTTTTTCTCTATTTTTAAGGTCTATTAGTAGAATTTCTCCTCAAAGTCACTGACGGCGCCCTGCTGAGAAATTCCGTTTAAGCTTTGACACCACACCATTTCCAATGAGCTCAAACGGTATTCCGTAAGGGCCCGTTAGTCCCGACATGCAAGTTTTATAAGAGTCCTTCGCATTGACCAAAGCTGCACTACGCGGATTGGTGCCTGCCAATGGAGAGCTCCCAATGCCGGTTCAGTCTCTATTGGAGATGATGGACAAATTGCGAACGGCCCGGGCCACATGGTGGTGAGTCTGATGACACTGCTAAGCTGTCTTATGAGCCTTTATGTGTTGCAATAGTGCAACTCAAAAGAGTTAATCATGGCTGTGTTATGGCAAAGCCCATTGGCATACTTGCTGACATCGGTGCCGGCTTTCCTGATGACAACAGGAGGAGGAGTTCGCCCGCTTTAACTCATGTGATAACCTTGAACCGACATATCCAGGTGTGCCGCCCTTCAAATATTGCCTGTATATATCTAGAGACTGATGGCCTTTGGTATGTTCTGGTGAGTGTAAGGCATTTTACCAGTACGCCAAAACAGGAAGGTCCCCTTTGGGTGGGTCAAGTAGCGTTTTGTCAAGCCTACTTTGATTGGCTCATGCTAATATTGGCTTTTCCCATAGTCTCCATAACAGGGTTGGGGCGCGGGGTGTGGACAACCCTAGGGCTGGCCATTGACAACCATTGGGGCTGTCATTATCAGGTGTAGTTCACACAAGAAGCAGCAGAACCCGTTCGAACAGACTTGTCTATTCGAAAGCCATGAAGAATGATCATCCCAACCCATTAGCGTAATCTCGATTTCTCATTCCTTCGAAGCGCCTCGCAATGGACAGTCGTACACCAAAGCCAAGGGTAGAAATAACCAAATACTAAATCACAGATGTTGCTAGGCTATGGCTCACATGAACCTAATGCCCAACTAGACTACATCTAGTGAAAGTTTAGGATATCTCCATGCCATCCATCGTAGTATCCAACGTCTTTCCACGACCACATTGCTAACGTTTGTCAAATCCTGGGAGATCATGGTGTTTGTAATGCCGGACCTCATCGGTATGATGTTTACCAATGAGGCAACAGCTATACCGAAAACCATCGATTGCATCAATTCATTGCACTCTTTTAGGTAAGAGACCCAGATATAGATGTAATAGTCATAGTGGAAGATATCGTGATCGCCGGCACGATGTTGTCTTCAGAATTCGAGTATTAACCGATACATTTGTCTTGATTGAGGGAATCTCGCCGTCCTCATATAGATTTTTGACAGGCATTGGTATGTGGTCACTTGAAGTAAGTAGTGTGTTGCATCTTTAGAGTCTCCTCTCTCTAATGTTTCAAGTTGAAATGCGTAGAGCCTTTCTGCATTGTCCATATTATGCCTGTCAAATTCATATCCTCCGTAATTGTCAAAATAAGAGGCTATCAAAGGCGAAAAACCATCACTTGCTTGATAGTAAACTTTTGCAAGGCCAGCAATCAGGCCTAAGTCCACGTATTTTGCGGTCGAGCAGAGGCTCACGGCATCTATCGGCGTGAGGAAGCAGGCGTGGAATTGTCTTTCGGCTATTTTTCTCATTGTCCTAGTAAATTTGTAAGGCATGGAAGAAAATGCAACCCATCGCTACTACTGCATGATCAATTTCTGCAGAATCAATGTCGGCGTCGAAGTAGAAACCCATCTACGTATGCACGCGTTTATGCGTTGTATAACCCCTTGGTTCTTCCATATTCTCTCTATGAGGTCCGATTTCAGCCAGACCGTAAGCGCAAATCACGCTCATTGCTTCATAAAACCGTAGGCAATTTATCGCATCAGCGCTTATTTCTAAGAGATGAAAGTGTTGAGCACCTGAATCTACTAGCTCAAACCAGAAATCCCGATGATCCAGTGCGCTCTAGTACCTTAGTGGGGGGCTTCGAATCTTTGTTCATCTGGCATATTTGACGTAGAGATATTTCCTAGGTAGAATAAAGCATTCTATCCCTGTAAGAAGACAGCTTGGGTAGTCATTTGTGTAGAGACTCCCATAAATCTTGATATATTTGAGGGTAATCCTTGACGCTCATCGTGGTATGTTGCAGGTACATTCCTGCACTTGTAAGAGCAAGTGGAACTCCATCCATTTCTCTGAAGGAGTTGTCTTGCATACTTGTCTATTAGAAATCAAATCAGCTAATAATAAGCAATGTGTTATAACTAGAAAACGTACCGTCATGAAGGCCTTCTCGACCCGATATATGGGATAGAATTTCAAGACCAACTGCACTATCAAGTCTGTCGTTTGAATAGTGTGCCCAAGATTTACTTGGGAGGTTGTTGGCGTCATAATAATATATCCTTGCTTGACCTTAGGTAGTAAAGGGACGATATCAAAAGTTAACCCATCACATCCTGGGACGACGGGCCCATCATACCCATCAAATATAAGCAACCAGCGATTGTTCCTAGGCCTTTTTACTATTTGTTCAAAGATTGAACGGTGCTTGATGTATAGCGCCCATCAGAAGCTTTCTTGAAATCTGTCAAGCCAGGATGATCTAGCAGTATGCGCACTAAACCTTCCAGGAAGCTAGATTCCAATGTATTGATATTCGTAGCATTTAGCCACCTTATCGCCAAATACTGGTTGCAATGACGAATAGCATCAGCCACTGCGATTTGAGTCTTGCCTATTCCACCCGAGCCCTGCAAGGTTACTGTTCTTTGGGCGCTGGTGCTGTCGGCTGGAAGCTTCTCGTGGGTTTCGTTGAACTCTTGCTCTCTCCCTGTGAAATACGTGGGTTATGGGATTGTTATGGTATTAAAGCAAATTTTGAATTCTTCTAAATAGAAGACATATTCGTCAGCTTGTATGTTCATAAATTTGAAAGATATCAAGTAAATTGTCGCTTAGACTGTGCCTCAGGTGCCTCTCCCAGTAACTTTTTTGCGTATGCAGCTGCGGTCAGTGCTGCATACCCTGCCAACTTTATTCTTGTGAGGGTTTGAATAATCACTGATGCCTCGGATCACCAAGCATGGGAAGTGATCCATAAGACCCGCTGCTTCCACTTCGGAACAGATTACTCCAAGTTCTTGCGCTAGATTATCTCGGGTTTTACCGTGCTTCATGACTTGGTTGCCCGACGCGATAGTTCCATAGTGTGCCTCTGGCGCAGTAGATGATCGTGGATCTCGTGATACCAGTTCCCTTCGAGTCGCAGTTTCTGCAATCGTCACGACTTTCCGTGACTATACGCTGATCGCTTTCTTGTCCAGGGCAGTGAAAAAGAGTATCCCCCACGTTTTCGAGAACCTCACATAAATACTCATGGAACCGCGCCTTACCCCTCCTGTGATTGGATTGTAGATTGGAAAGTGTTGTGAACACTATCTGAGGTGGTCGGTTCCGAGTCCCGGTACATTCAAACCGTCCCAATGTGATCGTCTTGCCAGAATCATATTGTACAATGTTCGGTAGAAGACCCGATGGCTTGCTAACCACCACATCACCTAGTCGTATATCCACCTTAAAGATGGGACACCGCCTCCAATGCCTACCAAGATGCTGAATCACATGGAAGGGAAGATTGATAACATTTGCTCTGCAACGACAGCGGCCGAAGTGGCGTCGTAAATGCCAGACGGTAGACAAGCGACTAAGACATTGTGACTGCCGACTATCCCTAGGACATATCTATTATGGCCGTGTTGCGGTTGCGACAGTCTGGGGTGGATTTCTTCCGGCATTGCTTTGGCGGCGGCCATCTCCAGTTGGAGGCTAGAGATCCATCCAACAGCGTAGTCTCCGTGCTGAAAAGATGATATCGATGACGATTCCATTGGCGGTAATTTTTCTTCTCGGTCTCAAATAATATTTGGAAGCATCCTAGAAGTAGTCGAACACGAAGTGGAAGAGTCGAAGTTGCGAATTTGTCAGCCTCAGCCTTGGGGGGCAGCCATGCGGCGTGGTTGTGTTGCATGTAGCCAATGGTATCGGTGTATATGACCCTGGTTCTGTACTAATGAATAATTGGTTAGCTAGGCACGAACTAGCTATGCAATATCTATGAAATATAGGTTGTCAAATAACCAATTTTTTATTGGGAACTTGATCGGAGCAACTGATAGAGAGACTCGAGCTGAGAAACCTTGGAATGCACTCCATGAACACGTGCAAATATAACAAGATGCCAGGTGCATACTCACTCTGGGATCATGCCAGATAAGCATTACCTCAACCACATATTCCCTCCTCATTCCAGAACTCTACTACAGATTTCGCAAGTTGATCGCCGAGACAGTCTGTAATGAGCCGACGCTCCTCTACAGTCCTGACTGTAGTACTTAGCGCACGTAGTGAGGAGAATAGGTTACTTAGAATATTGAAATTCTGTTGACAGGTGGGTTGGTCAGACCCCTGGGCTACGATTTGCTCAAGGAGGTACAAAGTAGAAACTGGTGATGTTGGATTGGATGTGAGGGGGAATGTCGGGTCGTTGATTGATATGACGATGGACGGCATAGTAGTGCTTGTTGAGCGCGGGTATTAAGCCGTCGGGTTGTCCCAGCATTATGACTGGTATGTCCATGACTGAAAGGGAGCCGAAAAGGCTTATTGAACAGTTAATGATCTCCTATTGGCAAGTAGAGGGATATGTATAGCACATACATCGCCTGTAAATACATGTATGCATCGATGGTGCAGCATCTGCTCGCCTTTTGAAATGCTGTCTCTATGTTTAAGAAGACAATGGCCACATGACGATTATCTGAATCATTTCTATGCACTGAGACGACCTTTTCCACACAAACTAGGGTAGCTTGTCGATTGCCTTCCTCGATGCCAGATGGAGTAACGACTAGTGCGTATAGCACAGCGTCAAATGTAGGTACATAAATTGCCAAATCATAGGTATCATCAACTGATCCTGCGATCGTTAGACTGGCGATTAATCATTTTCAGTAACGACGGGAAAGGCACCTCCAAACATGATGGCTACGTCTCCGGATTCCAAGACAGGGGTTAGCACGTTCCAGATGGAGCGGCTTCGGAGGGAGGCAGATATGACGATTTGCAAGTCGCTAGACATTGATGAAGTTCTCAGTTGAATTCTCATTCATGGATATGTCCGCGTTCGTAGTATGAGGTATAGTTGTACATAGAAGAGAGGATGGAGATGGAGAGGGGATGGAGAGAGTGTCCGAGAGGAGAATTATCCACATGTCAAGAAAGGCAAGAACGCCTGAGGCCCGAAATGCTGTATATACACGTGCCTTCCGCCAGGCCACACCAAATAAACAGCACTCAACAAGTCTATAGACAAGAACGACGTATACAATAATGATAGAATAGATGTTCATGTATACACGGGTATCATAAAGTAGATGTCTCGACAATGCATGTTAGAAAGAGTAAAGGAGAATCACGAATCTTTCGGTGAAGGGCTTGTATGACCGGGTTTCAGCAAACTAGGTATTATAGAATGTGGCGAGTCACTAGCTGTAGCAGTTGTTTCTTCTTCCGTGGGTGTGGGTATCGCTGGCGAAGTCTGAGTCGTGTTGGTTGAAGAAGGGAAATAAGATCGTATTTTAGACAGCCAGGTTTGGTCCTCCTGTATAGGAGCAACTTCCTGGACCTCATCCTCCCAGACTTCTTGAGGAAGAATCCGCTTCATCTGCTTCACAGGAATCTTCGCCTGTTGAGCTTTGATTTCTAGAAGCTCTTTCTCAAGTATTCCCAGCGCCCTTCGAGCCGCTTTCTCCGATTCTTCCAACTCGACCAACCGATCTTGGACATCTGATCGACGACTTGTCTCCTTGCGTCTGGACCGCCACGACTCAAAAACAATCAAGCCGCCAGCAACCAGGAAAAGGAATGTTTCGCTGATGAAGTTCGCACCGGAATCGATAGCCTTGGACTCGGACAACGGTCGTATCCGCGGTAAAGGCTTTGCTTTTACTTCCTCAATTGCCTTTTTCTTGGCCTCCTCCGTCGCCTCTTTCTCTGCTTGTACTTCGACCTCAGTTTTGGCAGTGGGAACTTTTGACCTATGCTTCCGCGCTGCTGCTTCAGCCGCCTCTTTCGCAGCTTTTTCCTCGATTGCTGCTGTATCTCGTAGGACGCCTAGCTTTAATCGCATGTCAATGCGATGAATTGCCTGTGCCATGGAGACGCATAGTCGTCGGAACCTTTCATGTTCGCGGGCTTGAGCTTTGATCTTATTCTAGGAGATAATTAGAACATAGTCAAAAGTGGTCCTGTAGACTGGCATACCGCAATTGGTTTTGAGAGCGTACGGATAACAAGAGACGAGAGTTTCAGAGTAAGCGACATGGCAGTATAGTATCAGGAATAATGCAATCTGCACTATTTAAATGTAGTCGTCCAGACTATGACGGAGCAGAGCGGGATGGTTCAGATGCCAAGACTGTTGTTGTTGCCTTAGGGATGGCCTTGCGGATAAATAATCTTCCGCTTCCGCGATGTGTTTATGGATTTCCTAAAGCGGGCGGTACCAGCCACCGCGCTTAATGCGAGACATTTCTTCTATCTTTCTACAAAAGAGCTACCCTTGACCTCAACAATAGATGCGCATTATTTATGGAGTATTCCTTCACAGTGATCCCAACAATTAACTACCGGACCATTGTTCTTTTGCCTACCTACCCATCAGCTCTCTCCTGAACCGCTGATCCTACCTTGGGTCCGTCTGCTTACCCGCGGGCCATCTGAAACGTTGTATCGGCAATATCCATTCTCATCAGGAGGCAATTGCAACACAACACCACAGCATTGTTAGAGAACCAGCGTTCTTGAACCTATATCCATTACCGCGATTTACGAAGACGATTTTATTTACTATTCGCAGTCCGCCGCACGGTACATTTCATGCCCTGTCGACCCATGGACTGCCACCTTCTAATCGACACACCCACCATATCCTTTTATTAAAACGGACATGGAACCGCTGTCCCCTCGCTCAACGAATATTCCACTGCAAAACAAACCGTCTGCAGCATATAAAAAGGTGGATCGTCACGCCCCTCCGGCTCCTGTGGCCGCAAAGGCCGCGCCTTCCAAAATCCATGCGCCGCCGCCACCTTCTATCGTGAGGGAGCCTGGGGAAGACGGTGAGGAATATTCCACAGGACTGTTCCTCGGAAAAGGAGGGTTTGCTGTCTGCTACGAAGGAAAGCTTGTGCGCAATGGCCGAGTCTTTGCGCTGAAAGTTGTTCGATCTGAAATGACCCAGAAAAAGATGGCTGAGAAGGTGCGATATGTCCGTAATGGAGGAAAAGGTACAAAACTGACATAGCATCAAAAGTTCCGAACTGAGCTCGAGATTCATTCTAAATTACGACATCCAAATATTGTCCGCTTTCACCGCGCTTTCGCATATTTCGATTGTACATACGTGGTCCTTGATTTATGTCCTAATGGTTCGGTGATGGATATGGTTCGAAAACGAAAATCGCTGACCTTACCTGAAGTCCGACGATTCATGATTCAGCTTTGCGGCGCAGTAAAATATCTACATAAGCGAAACGTCGCCCATCGAGATCTCAAAATGGGCAACCTGTTTTTGGACCGGAATATGGACATCAAAGTTGGTGATTTCGGACTGGCGGCTATGATCTTGTCAGAAAAAGAGGCAAAGCGACGACAAACACTATGCGGTACTCCGAACTATATTGCACCGGAGGTCATTGATAGAAGCAAAGGCGGTCACAATCAAAAAGTGGACATATGGTCATTAGGCGTTATTTGGTAATATGTCCGAACACAAATATACTATGGAATGCTAACGCAATATAGTTTTGCCATGCTGGCAGGTTTTCCACCCTTTCAATCCAAAACACAAGAAGAGATATACAAGAAGGTCAAGAACCTAAATTATGTCTGGCCAAAAGACAACGAATGTGCCAACGACATCCCAGTCGAAGCAAAGACCCTTGTCAGCTCTTGCCTGAACCTGGATGAAGAGAAGCGGCCTTCTGCAGATGAGATTGTCGACCATGAGTTTTTCAACATGTACCCCGGGTGTATTCCCCGATCGCTAGACCCTGCGTGCAAACAGATGAAACCAGTCTGGTTAAAGATGGAAGAACCACACGGAGATCGAATGATACAAGGTTATAGTCTGGAATATGAAAGTAAATATCGAAGCAGAGCTGCACAAATCAAAGATCCCCGAGAAAGATATGCATTTTGCAGAGAGGCGTTTTACGCCGAGTGTGGAGTCGGTTTCAAACGGGATGGAAATCCTCGCAAATGTGCCGGCACACATTCTTCCAAGAGTGTCTTCTCAGAAACATCAGCAGAAACGGACAAGGGGCTTTCGCCTGTCATCCCACTACCAGCAGACTTTGTTTATAAGTATCCCGTCTGGGCCGATGGTGATTGGAGCGTTCCTGATAATGCTGTTCCATCAGCAACCGATTTCAGCGATTCGAATAGCTCCGATGATAGCAATGATCAATTGTCTCAGTCAGATACCACGGAAAAGATGAATGCAGCTTCCGTGGCGAGAACGCAGGCTGCTCTGGCCGCAGCACAATCGCGACGGCTTGAAGCAAAACCGAAAAGCCATGCAGCCACACTTCGCCAGCAAGCATTACCTCTTCGTACATCAAGTCGACAGGCTTCCACAATGCGGGCTCCACCAGCTACAACTACGCAGTCAAGGAGAACTCCTTCTGGCTCTCGTGATATGACCCCCGACTCTCCTCCAAAGGGCTTGGCTCAAAGGCCTGTTCGAATTCCTAGAGGAGTTGCCGCATCGTACTCAGCTACCATTCGAGATTTGGATAGGCTTGTTGCACCTCCTATGCCCAAATCTGACAGTGTACCTAATGGTCTTGGGATGGGTAAGACTCGGTCTCAATCACGTCGCCAGTATGAGACCGCTATGGACAGGCCATTACCTCCTAGTCAAGACGAAGTACGTTCAGCTACGCCGTTAAACGATAATATTGTCGCCAGATCGTCTCGTACAAGGAATATGCGAGCACCAGCCTCTGGATATGAAACCCGACCCGAAAGATCGGAAACCCCAGTGGAACCACAGCAAATATACAAATCGTCGCAGCCACCTGCAGATGCGGTCCAAAATCATGCACGAACTTCCAGCAAATCCAGTACATCCTCCAATAAACCACGATCAACACTGGGGGCGAGCCCGCTTATACATCCTAATGAGAAGTTCGATTTGATTCCCCGCTCTTCTCCTGAAGACGTTGTTGTCGACATCAAACTTATGCTTCGAAATATGACTCCTTCAGCATCGCGAACATACCGTTCTCACTTCAAACGTCGTCCTCATCCATACGTCATCAAATGGGTTGATTACACAAATCGCTATGGCATTGGCTATATACTAGACGACGGCACAGTTGGATGCGTGTTCAAAGGCGAGCACGGCCAAGCGGCAAGCGGTGTCATCTTACGAGACGGAGAGAAACACATCCGACGCAAGTCTCGATGTTTAGAGAATCGAGACTCAGCTCAGTATGCATACTCGGAAGTTGATCAACTCGTGCCACGAAACGGAAAACCTATAGAGTTTTATGAAAATACAGAACACGGGTCTACCGAAGTTCGTGGGATGAAGCGTGTTCTTGTGCGGCCAGAGGTGTTCGAGGTCAAGGTCTCTACTAGTGGAAACGGAGCTATGGGGATCAAAGTGAGGACTGACATTCCCCCAGAGCAAGCAAAATCTGAGGCAGAAAAGGTGAAGAGAGTGAAACTAGTCGATCAATTCGGGAAATATATGATTGGCTCGTTGGGTAGGCACGGCGCAGATGATGCTACGAGCGACGAGCCAAGTATGACGAAAGAATCAGATGTTTGCATCAAATTCTATCAACGGTTGGGCAATGTTGGTGTTTGGGGATTTGGAGACGGTGCTTTTCAGGTGAGTTCGATACCGTCATGTCTATGGTCGTGTATACTAAGTTGAATAGTTCAATTTTCCCGACCATACCAAGCTCGTTATTTCACATAGCAAAAGCAGAGGATCCTCGCCATGGATCGACTTTTACCATCTATCGCCATCTGCGGCACGATATTTAGCTGCTAAAGGCAAAATGCATCCGTCTGGATTTGATACTCGCGCTGTTGCTTCAGATGAAGCAGCTACATTCCTGGCTGTAGCCAATGAATCGACTGATACTGGTGGAGATGGCCGATTACGCGACGTCCTTCACGCCAATTGCTTTATGCGGAAGATGAAATTCGTCAAAGAAGTTCTCAGCACTTGGGTATATTACGGCCGTCTAGGTGGTCGACCTACCACCTCCACGACCACTGGAAATACGCAACCGACAGAGATCTTCTGGGATGGTCCACAGGAACGTCCATCCAGTGGAGTAGGAAAATATGTCTGGGTGACAGTAGGAGCTCAAGGTGGTGATGGAGAATATATCTGCATGGCGCCTAATGCTCCTGCCACTACCGCAAGTGAACAGGGTACTGCTGGTCTGGCGTCTTCCACATCATCGCCCCAGAAACAACGCTATCAACTACAAAACGGCGCAGGCCAGCGAACCGACAGGGCGATGGCGGGGACTATGCGAGGGGGCATGGATCGGAATTGATTGATTAAATTAATGAATGGGATTTTGAAGATATCGCGGTGTTTTTTCTTCCTTTCTCTTGTTTTTGTTGTCGTTTTGTCTGTAATCTTTGCTTCATGACTAATGACTGAACTTGGCTGGGTTTGAACGTTTGGATTCTGGATACCAACACCAAGTGTATTGTACCTATAACTAACTAAATAGCGAGAAAGCAAGAAATGCAATTCACAGGAGTTATCTCACGTCAATAAATCCTCTCCTCTAAGCTGTTGAGCAGACAAAATAAGCAAATACCCGTAGCAAGAGTACAATTGGTCCGCGATGTCGCCATAGCGGATCAACCCCTTCCTCTCTCTCTTATTGGTCAATTGCTACACATTTAACGAAATAAACAATTTAAGCTTGTATTACTTGGATCCATAGGGCTGAGGTTGTGCATTGCATATTGTATATGGTGTTTAAATAGCCCCATTGTTAATTCTCGATGTTCCTATACCTGGCTTGCTTTTATCTGCAAACTGCAGTGATATAGGAGTTAATGAGACGATATGATTGGCTTAGGACAGGCAACTATGGATCCTCTCCGGAAGCAGACGAAAACAAGGTTCTGTCGGCAATCAGAGCGAAGGAGAAGATGGGGAAGTGATTGGGTGATGGTTTCGCCGGACGACTAAAGTCTTCTAGGTGGTGACTTCACCGATGATGATTTATTCTTACAACTGAATTGTGTTCGACACGCAACAACAAATCTGGGTTGGGATTCAGATTGTTGAACAGATCAATTGTCGAGGAGGATACGACTTCCGAGTCCAGATATAATTATTGTGCCATGCAACACGACAACATCTGCCCGGAGCGCAAATCATCAGCCAGACGAGTATCGCATAATAACAGTCAGGATAAATCGGAATGGCAGAGGTAATTGCTGACTATGAAGATGATACAATCTCACCTCGAGCGACGAGACGCAACGACGGCGAGCAATGGAATAATTCACCTGACGAGGAGGAACACCCACAGACCCAAGTCAATGAAGAGGAGCAGCCATGCACAAGGGAACGCGAATCCCAAACAGAAAGAACAAATCTCCCCCGCAGAGAAAGCATAGAAAGCTTCGAAAGTATTAGCAGTCGTGCCCGGGAAGCCACCGAATTAGACGAAATACGCCGAATGTCTAGCGAAAGTACATCTGAAGGCTCATTATCGTCCGGCGAATATCGGGTTACCCCTAGACATAGCGGCGCAACTACCACCGTCACCAGTACAAGCAATAATACTACAAGGGGGAGTAGAAATAAGAACAAGAGATTTCAGGCAATTCGACGGTTTTGGGCACGGAATATCACGTTGGAAGTTCCACAGAAGGGGAATAGGGACTATTTCGGTATTTCTTTCATCCTTGAAATTCACGGTGTGTAGTTTACTAACTAAAGGGAAAGCGTTGGAAAGAACATTCCTAGCTTACTTACGCACATCAACCACTTTCTCGATCCAAGGGGTTCTCGTGGCACAACTCTTCCGCCTGCAAACATCCAATTCCCAAGCATCGGGACGTCCTCCGTCACGCGTAAATTTCCATTCTGTCGGTGTCCCATTAAGCGTTGCGTATCAAGTCTGTGCGATTCTCGTTGCGTTGTTGGGCGCTTATCGGTTTTGGAGACAACAGAATGCGATTGCGAGAGGAAAAGTGTTGGCGGGAGGGTGGGAGTTGCATGGGATTGGAATTATGACTTTTCTTGTATGCAATTTTACCTCTCTCTTTTTCTTTCCGCGGCCAAACATTTAACGTGCAGAGCTAATTCATGCCATAGGCAGGAGTGGTGTTGCTGGTATTGGCGATTGTGATCATTGCTGAATCTAGTTGACTTCATCATATGTCCTTGGGGTTTTATGATTGACGGCTTCTTTCGATGTATATATTAGACTATGATCTCGGTTCAGCGTTGCTAATCTATATATTTCATATATTCTTTTATTTCAGCATTCTCACAGGCTCCTATAGCGGCATATAAATCTTGACACATTTACGTGAAAGAAGGAAATCATCTGGATAGATTCGATTGGATAGCAGTATAGATATCAATCCCCTCAGTAAACGCCTCGTCCGATCCACCAGCAGCATCATAAAGATCAACTTCTTTTAAACGATATTTTTCTTTTATGAGTTTGGCGATTGTGACTTCCCAAATCTTACATATTTCAGGAAGATTGGGTTCGTCGGGACCAAATGGGCTATACTCACCTTTGTGAGATACAAAACAGTCGACCCCTGCCATAAAGCTACATTGTTTTGTCAGCAGGGGCAAAGATATGTTGAGCCTCATGCCGAGGTTATGCATATCAAATCCTTTTGGGATATTTTCCAGCGGGAAGCGGCTGGTAGGTATCGGCTTCTGCTTCTTAGTGGCATCATTCGCTCGAGAACTTCTCAGCTCGGACTGATGCTGCATTAGGTATTTTCGCGGATCATTCTCCTTCATGAAACCGTCACTCGAAGTTGATTGTACTTTTTGAAGCTGACTTGATTGACTTTCCTGGCTATATTGCAAATGAGTTACCCTAGCTGCCAAGTATCGATTGGTATGTGGCGAGTTTGCTGCAGGCTGACTGCTTGCTGGACTGGCCAGATATGTTTGTCGAGATTTCAACAGCTGCTGTCGACGGGCGAGATTGGCTGCTTTCTTCCTACGTTCAAAGTCGAGCGCCCTCTCCGTATCTTGGCTACTGAATACGCTTTGATCGTCCGGGAAATTCTGGTGAAGGCGTGCTGACCATTCTTCCATGACTGGAAACTCTTGCCTTCTCTCGGATTCAGCACTGATGGGCTCAGCGCCTGGAGAAAGTAAGGGTTGTCGCGACTGGCTTTTGTTTGAGTGATTTGGAAGAGGGACTTTGAACGGTTTATTGGTAATTCGTGGCGACTTCTCGGTAGTCTGATTGTGGAGATTATCAAGCATGACGCTTTCAGTTTCAAGATCATCATCCAATGTCTCTCCTGGAGACCGATTTGGGAGTCTTGGTCCAGTATTTTTGATGAACCACGTATCGAGGGACCCATTTCCATATCGTTCCCTATCCCGCTCCCTTGATGGTCTGGTATAACTGTTAGATCTTCCAGCCTCTCTTGAAGATGATGAAATGGATCTACGGGATGTACAAGGGCCATCGTCTGGCGAAGATTGCTGAGAATAAGGGCTTGAAATTTCAGAGGGGCTCGATTGCGTAGCTCCTGCATTTCGTCCACCTGTAGGCCTAAAACTTGGTCGTGTTGGCGTAACAAATTGACTTTCTTGCCTTGACTTGGAGGAATGGTGGAAAAAGTGCGTTTTTGCAATCGACCATGGATTGATACCGTTATCCTTCGATGCAACCTCAGGCTGTTCTGCCTCTGACAAGCTATCGTCCGTGGAGTGCGCTGCTAGCGTCGCAGCTAGATCTTCAACATTTCTCGACTCCCTTGTAAGAGTAGGAAGTTGGTTGGTTGTTGGTGGAGAAACCGGCTTTTGTATAGCAGGTTGTCGTAACAGAACGCTAAACCCATTGACAGAGCTGGGCTGCTTTTTTGTACTGTCCGCAGCTGTCTGCGGCTCTCCATAAGTTGCTTTAAACATGTCTTCGACTGTTTGAAACAACTCTTCCCGTTCTGCGAACAAAACGTCGTCTTTTGCAGGCTCAACGTTTGCATCGTATGCGCCAGGCGGACATGAAATATGTAAACTCAGAAACGGATCCCCGAGCGTTGAATTTCCAGTTGCCTTTGCTGCTGAGCGGACATAAGACTTGTATAGTTCGATAATTTCCTTTGCCGTACCTCTGTCAGAGGATAATGGGCGACCATCGACCGAAATGTATTGACTGGAATTATTAACTTTTGAAAAGTCTGCATTCTTAGCATATACCACAAAGTTGAAAATTATGTAAAGGGCTTACCAGAGTCTGCTTTCGGAAGATAGGCAAGCAAGTTGACCGAAGGAATGGAATCCTCGACATTCTCTGGCCAAGCTTTGCTTTCACATTGGCCAGCAGTCTCCACACCAACTACTTTCCGAGATGCATCGACAATGCTCGCAGTTGAGGATGGCGCATAAGTCCAGTTATCCTTCTCATTCCTACCATTTAAGACTTTCAACGACAGACGTATTCCAAGCCTCGCCATTGCATAAGCCTGAAGCAACTTCTTTATCTTGGAAATCGTTTTGGACGCGGATTTTACAGCAGCCTGTCGCCTGACAGGTATCTTCTTTAGAAATCCATTCAGACATACGCTAGTGCCAACAGTATGAGATGCTTTCTCCGTGCTACACGATTAGCACAGACCATACGAAGTCACTATACGAACGTTCATCGCATACCTGACAAGCCGACCTTGGGCATCGTACTCTAACACTGACGCCACAACATCATTCTTTGTTCTTGTCGTGACAGTCAACGAGTCAACCATGTCAGTCGCACTCGCCAGTGCAAATCCCCGAAAACCCAAAGACTGACCACCAATATTCCTCAGGTCATCTAGCGTTCGAATTTTGCTAGTATATGCTCGTTTGCAGAGATTCTCAAAATCTTCTGAAGCAACACCGTGGCCATTATCTTTGACTTGGATTATATCCACCGAATTTGGGGATATTTCTACTGAGATGGAGGTTGCGCCTGCATCTAAGCCGTTGTCTATCAATTCCTTGACGACGGCGCAGGGATTCGGGAGGACGGAAGTTGAGCCGATTGCCTGGGCCGTAGAAGGAGGCAGAGCGGCGATTGGCATTTTGATTAGGACATTGTTGACTTCTCTGTTGCGATCGATGACAGTTGAGCATGGGATGGATCCAGGATGAGTTCTGAAGTTGTGGAAACACCCGCGTCACGAACGACACGCGAAGTCATGTGACATTGAGCAATTCATTACTAACGTCCGATTCATCTATTTAGCAATATTATTTGAAATTTCGATATACTTCAACGAGAAATGAAATTTTGTCGTCAAAATAAGCATCCCATAGATCTGTCTGATTGCGTCCTTCCGATTATGTAAGAAATTTATGCCTAACAAACCAGACATCCAAAATGGATTTATCCTCCGCCAAGCTGACCTCCTTCAAAAAGACAGAACACATCCCCTGAACAACTGTCCAACAACAATGCATCCATCATGGCCGGCGAATCACTCGATGTAGGCTATCTGGCAATACCCGCCGTGTCCGCGCTTATAATCTTCCTTTCCTATACATCTCAGTTCCTGTTCCTATTTCTCGAACCGAGCCCACTTTCTCCAGCCGAAATATTCAAGTTCAATGCTCTAGTAGCTTGTATATGGATTTGTTATTATCGTGCTTGTACTGTTGATCCTGGTCGTGTGCCAAATGAATGGACTCCGAAGGGTCAGAATATTTCTTTAGATGATAATGGAGATTATAGAAATGATGGGTATGTTTTGACGCGACAGAGGTGGTGTAGGAAGTGTGCCGCTTTTAAGCCGCCGAGAGCGCATCATTGCAAGATATGTCAACGGTAACCCATCCCTATCCTCTCTACGCATAGAAATAATTTTTTTTCAATGGTAGTTTGCTAATTTGACTATAGATGCATACCAAAAATGGACCATCACTGTCCCTGGACACGCAACTGCGTCTCTCACTTCACACTCCCGCATTTTGTACGCTTCTTAGTCTATGCTGTTGCATCAATGGCTTATCTTGAATCATTCATCTTCACTCGAGTCGGCATAATCTGGGCGAATAGAGATATGCCTAGTGTGAGTTTCTCCCCTCCTATAACTCCGCCTGATTTTCCATTAACATAAGACCGGGTGCAGTATCTCGGCCCCAGCATCCCAGCGCTCTGCCACTTATTCATCTTACTAGTCGTAAACAGTCTGACCTTATTCGCTCTTTTCGTGCTGCTAGTCCGCACACTTTGGTCAATAGGCGGCAACGTCACCACCATCGAATCCTGGGAAATCGAGCGTCACAAGACTCTACTTCGGCGCGCGAGGTATTTTGGCGGGTATTTGGATGGACCTGATGGGATCAAAGTCCGGATTCGGAAGCAGGAGTTTCCGTATGATGTGGGTATTTGGACTAATTTTCGAGCTGGGATGGGTGGGAGTTGGAATGTATTATCCCCTTTTACCTGTAGTTGTTCTTGGTGGAAAAGGGTACTGACAGATTGATAAGGTTTTAAGCTGGTTCTGGCCATTTGCAAGGACACCGGATCGAGCATCTGGTCTTGAATTTGAAGTCAATGAATTTGAGGGTATTTCTCTATTCCACGTATCATCAACAGGATTATCTCAATACTAATTCTACGAACAGATCTAAATCTATCCTGGCCACCACCAGACCCGGATCGCATACCGCGGAAATCACGGCCAATATTAACATCAGCAGATCCATTCACCATCCCACATTATGATTCCGCCGCTGATGAAATGGCCGCGTTCAGACGCCGGCAAGAAGAAGATATTGCTCGACGAGCGGGGATCAACGATGGTATCGTCAGACGGAGGAGAAAGTTCCATGAACGATACAATAAGACCAACAAATCAGCACAAGAAAATGAGTCGGATGAAGAGATTGTGCAGGATTCGGAAGGGGATGAAGTTGAGGAAGAAGGACAGCAATCTAGTTCTGAGGTCAATGATCGTGTCGATTTTGATGAGGGGGAGGAAGCGTGGCGGAATGCGGAAGGGGAGAGATTGGATGATTTTGGGGTTGATGAGGACGTGGAGTTTTACGATGAGGAAGATGTGCCGTTGTCTATTCTTAAGGAGAGGATAAAAGCTGGATTATAGATTAGTGGTCTATAAAAATAGGTCTAAGGATAAGATCTCAAGAATAGATAAATGAGCAGAGCAAACAACGGATAAGCGGATAAACAAATAGTCATCCTTTCGCCAGATCATCGTATATCCCACGGCACATACTTGGCCACCTGCTCATCACTGGTACATTCGCGCGCAGGAAGGCCCTCCATAACGTTGACAGTACTTTCTATTGCTGGGGGTCCTAAAGAGTTCTCACTCACATCATCGGTGCTACCGTTCGGTGAAACTGTTGCAAAGCCGGGGTATATCTGTTTTACATGTTCCCAGAGAAATAGCAATCGACTCTTCCATACAAGCCAGCACGGAGAATCTCCGCACAGCTGAATTCCATGATCAATTTCAAACCTTCCGTCATATGTGAGCAATTCACAGTTGACTCGGATACAAAAGGTTGTACTTACTTGGCAGCACTTGGCCCACCCCCTGGTTGGGTATCCCGTACATCAATGATAGCTAATTTGTACTGTGTACTGATTGCGTACTCGAGTCCTGTTTTGTTGTGGTGCATACAAGTACCTTCATCTCGCCATGCATGCTTGCAAGTCATGAAGTGTTTTCTCGCTTCTGAAAGTTTTCCTTCTGCTAAGCGGAGGTTTCCGAGTGCATGCTCAACAGCTGTACGACGTATAGGATTCAAGGTGGTAGGACCTGCCCACGTCAGCGGGCTTTGCGCCTGGTCTAGGTTTCCCTTAATCGTGTGTAGTATGCCAATCATGGTGGCTATCTGTATAGCCGAATTTTTTGCGTAGTCGTCCATGAGGTCAGAGTCGTCAAACTTCTTGAATATGGATTTGTACTCGTCGAGAGCTTCTGAATATTTTCCCTCTGCAGCCAATAGATATGCAAGATGCCCTCTTGCAAGTAGCAAGTCTACTTTTGCAACAAGACCGACGAAGTTGCGACGAATTTCAATGCACCCTTCAAGTGACTCTCTCGCCATATTATATTGACAGGCTCGAATGGCAGCATAACCCCTAATACTCAGAAAATGGGCTTTCAGCTGGTCAAGCTGCTCTTCAGAAGCTTCGGTCGACATCTTGGTTGAATCGCACTCATAGTCCCTTATAATCTTCAAACCGATCGCTGCAAGATAGACTGCATTCTCATTATGACCTACTTCTCGCAGAAATCTACTCATTTGTAAGCCATAATCACAACCAACAACTACAACACATACCCTGCAAAGTTCCGTAACATCATACCAAATTCAACCGGCATCCGTATCTGCAATAACTCGTCTCTCTCAAAAGTCCGATAGTTTGTCGCCAGACCAAGAACGTAATCATAATGCCTGATGTAGATTTCAAAATAGTCGTACGTGGTATCCTCGCCGTTCTGATCTGGGATTATTTGATGAAGAGCTTTCGCTGTCGCTGTCAAAACCTTGATCTTTTGGTCGTAGGCCAGTGCCTGCAGGACGCTTGCCCGGTTAAACATTGGGCGATAGACTTTGGATCGTTGTTCGTCGAGTAGTAATTGCAATGCATAGTCGTTCAGGAGGTCAGGGTAGAACATTTCGATTCTTGGCATGTTAACCAATATAGAGAATTAGAAGAGGTAATGACTCACTCTGTTCCGTTAGGGCACAGTTTCATGTCATTTCGATTCTGTTTCGAAAGGACTTTTATGAAAGAGGGATATATAACATTGTGAGTTCCAGGACCCAGAAGACTGATGGCTCCTAGCAAGAATGTACGTTCTGGGCCAATGGCTTGAAGATCCAGCGGATGAACGAAATGCACATGTTCAACGTTCATAGTCGTATACGGTCTTGGTGGCCTGAAGTGTAGAGGTAAGATTATAACAGACTAAGATGTCGAGATTAAACAGATGCTATATAACGAGTGCTGATAAAGAGGAGCATGAAAGAAATGAAGTTCAAAAACCCGAAGACTTCTTGAGCAGCTCAATTGACGCCAAGGACGCAACCACTTGATTGCCTAATCGGGAAGGTGCGCAAAAATCACATGATCTTGGTCGATATCCTATCTTCCATTTTAACTAAAGACATCTTTCCAGACTAGATGGATGCAAATCATGCAATGGATCTACTAAAATATCGCGCTATGTCACGCCGAACTGACAGCTTCAGCAGCCAATCGTATTGATCGTGGGGTCATATATAGCTGCAGTAGCTCGAACAATCAATCAGTCTTATCAATCCACCCCTCCCGCCTGTTTCTTTTTTCAACTCTTCTTCGATTCTCACTCAATTGCAAAGAAATCATACAGTAGTCACTTGCTATATCGAGATTCATAATGGGCGAAGCAGGCATCTTCCAAAACGAACATCTCCTCATCCTACGCAGAATGAACTGGCCCGATTCATGGCTAGACCATATTCGACGCCGGTTTCCACGCTTAGAAATCACTAGTTTGGATATTGATACTAGTAAACCGCTGGAAGAGAATGTTCCAAAGGGTATTTCCAAGACCATTGAATAAATGAGAATGCAGATAACTGACATGAAATATACAGATATCCTCGAAAGAGCAACAGTAATCGCTCTAATGACCCAACGCCATCTCCCACTTCCAGAAAGTGTACCAAAGTACACCCCCCTCTCCTTCCTGTAAAATTCCCCGACTAATATGAGACCCAAGCATAAAACTAGTCCACACCTTCTCCGCTGGCGCTGACGGCCTCATAAATGAACCCTACATCAAAAACACAGATTTACCTCTGACAACCAGTTCCGGAATCCACGGGCCCCCCATATCTGAATGGGTCTTGTTGAATTGGCTGGTTAGTTCTAAACATTACAATAGCCTCTACGAAGGTCAGAAGAGACATGAATGGATAAGTAGGCAGTATGTGCAGGTGACACAGAGTGATCATGTGGGTAAACGGGTTGCGATATTGGGGTATGGCAGTATTGGGCGGCAGAGTTGGTTTTTTTCTTATTCGAGATGTTGAAATGATGGATAGGTGTGCTGACGGTGAGTGATAGTTGGGAGAATAGCGGTCTCACTAGGTGCCAAAGTCTACGCTTATACTGCCTCGGCACACGAGACACCCGAATCTCGTGAAGATAGGGGGTACATCGTCCCTGGAACGGGGGATTCAGACGGCATTTTCCCTGTGGAATGGCACCACGGCACCAGCAAAGATGATCTTCGCAGGTTTCTACGCGAAACCAAACCAGATCATGTGGTGATTTCATTACCGTTGACGACAGCTACGTACCATTTGTTCGATAGTGAGGAGTTTGAGGTTTGGTCTGACGCTCTCTCCCCGTCAACAATATCATCCGCAAATGAAGGAGAGAAATTCCCACCAAGAAAAGGCTTCCTAACAAACATATCTCGCGGCAAAATCGTCAATACAGACGCATTACTCACAGCGCTCGAAAAGGAACAAATCCGTGGCGCTGCGCTGGATGTCACTGACCCCGAACCGTTACCTGCTGATCATCCTCTGTGGGATGCGAAGAATGTGCAGATAAGTCCGCATATAAGTTGGTCCGGACAAGAATATTTTGTGCGTGCTTTGGATGTGTTGAAGATCAATCTTGAGAAGTTGGAAAGGGGAGAGGAGTTGGTTAATTTGTTTCATAGGAGGAGGGGATATTAGATACATCACAGACCCAGCTTCGTGATGATACTTTGGTATTAGAGAGATGATGAAATGGATGCATTTGTATGTATGTACTATCGTACCCAGGTAATCAATTACCTACTATGTATTATCAAAGAAAAATTTTCCAAGATGAGACGAAGCAAACAAGAGATGCTCATGAGACAAGTATTAGGCAAAGATTGACAAAAAATAACAAAACACAAACCCTCCAAACCATGATTTTGTGCAAATCGAACGCCCGGAAATCGAAGGGGGAAAAAAAAGATGAATGATTAAGTTGCTGTGCGTTATAGATTGAATGGACTTGAAATGCAGTCGAATGAATGAAAGAAGAAGCAGAGAAAGAAAACTCCCATATGCTTTGTAATCGAATCTTGAAAATTCTTGGCTCATCGGGTTGATAGATAGAAAAAGCCGATAGCAGATAAGTTGTGGTCGTATGGTAATTTCGTATTCACAACACGCTTGTATAAAAAGCATGAAATGAGACATTATCCCGGCTCGAGGCTAAGGGGTATATGGCATTTATGTATTCGAAATAACACGAACTAGATCATGTAATATTCGAGACATTGTCGTAACTGACAGAGATCAACTCCGTGAAATTGCTGTTGCTATTGCAGTAGCTCAGAATATACCGAGAAACTTTTTGTCTTCTAAACCGAGGTCAGCAAGGACAGGAAATACTGCAAAGAAGGCTTACTTTTTCCATCTGAAGGTCGTCTATCACCCTTCTTCTTTGACTTGGCAGCCAACATAGGATTGGCTCCCTCTGAAGCCGCCTGGATAGCTGCTAATCTATGTTTCGCCCTTTCCTCTCCCTGATCCGCTGCCTTGACGTACCAGACATTGGCTTCAAGCGGGTCACGGCGGCATCCTATCCCACTCTCCGTAAAGAATCCTACGGTATATTGAGCTTTTGCGAGTCCTGATAACTCGTTAGCATGGCCCTATAGCTTCAGTAATGTTTCTTACCTTGTTCTGCAGCACGCCGAGCCCACTCGTACGCTTCCATCTCATCTCTTTCAAGTATTGGCTCCGCGCCAAGCAAATACCACGCACACAACGCCATCTGAGCCTGGGGGTGATCAAGTTGAGCAGCCGCCGTGTAAAAATGAATACTCAATGCGGGATCGTGAGGACAGCCTAATTGCCCGTGCTCGTATGCTTCTCCCATTCGAAAATTAGCATCTCTATTGCCGAGGTCGGCTGATTTGGTAAACAACTGAGCGGCATATGACTCGTCTTTGAAAATATCTTGCCCATATCCGGTTTCATGTAATAATCCCAGTTCGTACGGAGCAGCGTTGTACTGCATATCGGCGGCATCGGCAGCTCGCTTCAACCATTTCAGTCCTTCTCGTTCCCGTTTCCCCAAGCCCAGGTCCCCGGCCAGGCAAGCTCGGGCAAGCCGAAGCATGGCACCAGGGTGATTTTTTGTAGCAGCTGTTCGGTAGAAGTTAGCTGCTTTGGGGCCGTCCGTTCTACAACCCCAGCCAAATTCGTTACACAGCCCGGCCCTGTACGACGCTTCAGCGTGACCATGCTTGCTGGCGGCCACAAAAAGGGGCAGCGCCCGGTCGTAGTCTTGCTTTCCTTTGCTGAAAAGACCAGACGAAAAACCATCCCCAAGATAATACTGCGCGAAGGGATAACTGCGATCGGCAAGCCTCTGTAAGATTGCCTTTGCCTCGAGTAGTAAGCGGGACTTGGTAACGTCCGGCGCACCATCTTTCTGCTTGTCCAACGGAACTTGTGTCACACTATCTTCATCTGGATACATTTCTTGGATGGCACTGATCATGAACACTGCAAACTCGTATTGAACCGCCGGATCGTTTGTTTTTTTGACATTCGCAAGGTACATCTCAAACGTTTGCTTGTGACTCAGCAGGGAGACGTTATTCCCTAGCAGCATTCTCAGGTGTTCATTATCCTTCGCCGATGGTGATGGCACCTGTTGCGGATATGGTGTGTTCAGCATTTCCACATATGTTGATTTTGGTCGCGAATCTGGCGAGTGACCTGAGACATTGCGGCCGTGCGGCGAGCGAGCGCGAAGATCGGATGTGGAGGAGTAAACGGACAACGGGCGCGGAGTTCCAAAGGCTCCCTGCCTTGGAGATAACAACTGGTTCTGGGGAAGATACTCTGTAGAGGATGAGCCAGATTGCCGTCCCGGCGGAGAGTCACGGAGTGGTCGGTGATGATACTGGAGAGGCTGATAGTCCATTTGCTGTGAACTGGATAAACTAGCTTCTGACGAGTTTGAGTTATTGTAGGGCTTCGACATCTCTCCTTGCCTATCCGTCGAAGGTTGCTTCGAACCTTCGTCTTTTTCGTTGCTACCTACTAGCGACCAAGACCCGGTGCTGGCGGAAGTGTGGCGATCGGCTACCACCTGTCTGGGCATGGAATCGACACGGGGTGGAAGAGCAGCTCTTGATGCGGAGGATGTGGCGGGGTCGACAGTTCCTGAAATGTTCATATGTGACAATTGCAAGTCTAGGGTATCGTTGGAGCCTTCAACCACTGCGCTGTAGGCCTGGTGCTCAAACACCGAGTTATCAATACGCACGGGAGACTGAGGAGAACGCTGAATCTGTGCTTCATGGTTGAATGTAAGGGCAGATACTGGGACCGCCTTTTTACGTGTTTCGGGAGCGGCCGATTGTTCTGACTTATTAATATTCGGGACAGCTGGAGGATCGTAAGCTGGCGGCTCCGGCGGAGGAGATGCGCGTAGGTATACCGGCGGCGGAGGGGAAATTGAAGAAGGGCGAACCAGGGTGTCAGCGATCGGACTGGCCATGACGTCCCAATTCTTTCCCTGGCGGAGTTGACTGGGATGGCAGGTCAGATCAAGCGGATCGTGACCGGTAGCTCGCGGAGTTTTACGTGTGTATATCGTCCGCGACTAGATCATGAATGTATAGTAGTTGATGCAGAAGGGTAAGTGGATGAGACGTTCGGAGTGACAACGATCAAACAGCGCCAAAGAATGACAACAATCGTAGTTGATGCTAACTATTAGTTGTTTGATTGGCGAGTTGAAAGCACGAGACAAGCGATCGATTGAACGAAACGTTGACTGAATAATGTACAATTGAATTATTTGATCTGGTAAAAGGCAGAAAAGGCGCTCGGGTTCCTTGGAATGTCACGGTGGACCCCTGTGACAGGCGTAGTGAAGTCAGTGCATTGATCAGTGTTGGGACCCAGTCAAATTCTCTTTAAAATAAGCGGATAATACAAACGAGAAACGAAGCAGGAAGAAAAACCGAGTCGCCTGCAAGCAGAACTGTAGATTTCTCGACCGACCCTGGAGTCCGGCGCAGGTACTTGCTGAGGGGAGCGTGGAAAACGGCAAGTCTCACTTTTGTACAGTACAGATCTCTGTTCCAAGTAGACCAACAAACGAACAGAGCCTTGCAGAAGCGAGTGGAAGTACGTGCTCTGATATTGATGACAATCAACCACTAAACGAGGGAAGGGTGACTTGTCGCAGTGGTTGAGGGGAGAGAGACTGAGTGGTGAGAGTAATGGACGAGAGAGATCATAAGAAGTTGCTGTTGGCGCCTGCGGGCTAGCTGACGGAAGCGGAAACACCTAACCACGACAGTCTTACAGCGTCCCGGCAGCTCTTAGAGACAATAAATAATGATAAACGCGTAGTTATGTTAAAGACTGGGCTGTGTTGGCGGCAGTGTTTGCCTTGCCTTGAGCTATAATATCAAATCCCTAAAGTCAGATTTTATTTTCCTGCTACAGCCACTGAAGGCGCATTGTTTGCTGCCTGGATTGGCGGTCACAGATTACTCGAATTAATCGGAGGTATAAAGAAATATAAGACCCAATGCAATCCTCTGTACGTGCATGTGCATGTCGAAACTGTCAGAGTCGCAATTCAAAGTGAAAATGGTGCTGACTCTATCAAAACTTGCAATTGGCGGGGCTTACGGTATGCCTAAGTTCTCTAACTTCTAAAACAGCCGTGTTCCGAGCCACCTCTGCCTACTGAAAGTTGGATCCGAGTCAATGCTGAATCGTGGTTCCGTGGGACATCAAAGGTGACTAGAAATAACTATCGCTGGGGACTACGTCGATGACTTCAAGCAAAATCATTGAGCATCATGCAATTCCTTAAAGCCTCAAACGGGATCAGCCAGCTTTGAAACTTGACAAGTCGACACAGAAAGGCAATGGTTCAGGAGCTCGTCTTGCGGCGCTAAACTTTTCAAGAGCCGGAAATATGGATCTTCGGTGGTTGATCAGGGCTCCAGCTTCTCCAAGATCAAACAAGATCTATGGCAAATTATTGTTTCTAGCTCATCAACAATATAAATAACAAACTACGTAACCGGCATTCGACAGGAGCACGCATTGTCACACAGCTGGACGTACAAAATCAGAATTTCAATGATGGCTGCTTCTCAGGATGCATAGAAGGGTGAAGGTGTAACCTTTTAAGGGCTGATATGTTGTTGTACATAAGACTAAGCTGGCCGTGTCGAGGTGGGGGCTCAACTTTTGCACTGTCGACTTGAAGTTTTTGATACGTCCTTGAACCTCGTGTCTGCGTGCGCACTGATCTTGCGATTCGGGTGATGGTGGATACTTGAGTATCCCATCGTAAAGGCCATCATCTGTGTAAGGCAGAACTTGCTCGCCGTCTGCGTCGCGCCTCAAATGTACTCTGGAGTTGAGCACGCTGCCTAAGACCAAACCTTAAAGTATAAGAATTTTTGATTCCATCTTCCCCTCGTTAACCTTGGCTATCTATTGGTCGATTATTGTTGATGTTTACCCCCTGAGCACAGAAAAATGTATCAAGCCACCGGACTCATAGTACATCTGGTACGGCCTAGTTAAGGCGGTATCTTAGGCACGCTCCTTCATAGGTCCTTCTGTCTCCGGATTTTGGTCAGTCTTCACATCCAGCGGCTCTACTTTGTAACATAGTATGTACGACTGCTCAGTCTGTAACTTGGTTAACTATCATGTAATCGCTTAGTCATGGTTGCATGCATCTGCCATCAAGACATGTCTCGAAGTTTTCGATTAGCTGGAATAAGCGCATAAGACAACTCACTCAGCTCCTCACCAGGAATTCAGCTTAGCTTTTTGTGATACTTGTCTTGGCAATTATGAGGTGACTTTTTGCGCGACATGTTCAAAGCGAACAAATTTGAGTCCCAAGTGTCGAGAGTGGCTTGACTGTCTTGGCATCGGACATTTAAGCCCCGGGTCCCCTTGGCCCTAGCAGGATTTCATTCCAGGGGTCTCCCAAGTCTCCAAGCCTTGGGGGCTTGGTCGTCAAGTCAGAGAAAGTTGAAAGTTCTCGGCCTCATCCTCAACCGCTTCATTAGTGACCAGTTATGTCAGTCCCTCAGGCCATGTTTACCGGTAATGATGCTGCCCTCACGCCAGGAGGATTTACGTATTTCCAATTTTCCACAAGCCGGTTCTGCCACCATTGACTGATCTGCGGTGGGCATAGCGGCTTAAGCCCCATTATTGCCATCGATCCTGATCCTAATATGTGTGCGTATTTGTCGTATTGTAAAAATCGGAAAACTGCAAAAATTTATGGATAGTGAATGGGATAATGTGAGACTTTCAATGCCGCTAAACCATATTGGTCAATATCTATTTTGGGCTTGAATAACGTGATCGAGATCGAACGACATGATTGGCTTCGAAAAATTACTGACCCATTCAGAGTAAGTGGTTCCACTAACTCAATAGAACCAGCCAATGAAAGAAACGTACCATTGATGAGTTCGGCTAGTGCCGAGGTACCCCATTTTAGCAAATGCTGATTGGCTGATGAATTGGAAAAACTTGGACAAGGTCAGACAATAAATAAACATGTCTCTGTTCAAGTGAATCCTTGATTAACAGTAAGAGATCTATCCACCAAAGAAAAAATCTTTCTCTTGAGTGGACACTGGACTGTGGACACAAGTCAGATCAGATTGACATCTGTAGTTAGCCATCATCAACTGAGTCAGTTGTGTAGCTAAGAAGAAAAGCGGGGAGAACGGTGCCTTGCTTTGACGCTGCCAAATGCCGTGGTCTATACGGTAGCCCGTCCACACCAAAACCGCTGCCCCCTGATGTTTGTCTGATTGTCTGGAAGCCTCAGGCCGCCATGTCCGCATATGCAAAATCAGGCCTCGTTCACTACCGTAGCAACTCGATCACGTCTTCCACCTCCTCTCGCTCACCCCTCCAACTGGCAGCTCAAGTCTGCAATCATCGCTCGCTTTCTTTCTCCGTCGTATCAATTTATCTCATTCAAAAATAAGGATCAAGTGAGCAGCGCTCATCGGTTTGTCGCCGCTCGTTGGCCTTTTGCCTGTTGTACATAGCCTACAACTATATAACATAGATACAACAGTGCAGCGCCCGTTACTGTGTTACGATCTCCGTCGTCGTTTGTCCCTTTGCCCGTTCGTCCGTTCGCTCGTTTTTGTATTATTCTCGGATCGACTGCATTTTCGATTGTTTTGCGACCTTTCTCTCGCTAATACTTCTAATCACGTTGTCGGTCGGCCGATTGTCGTTTCAGACGCTACCATTACGATTTCTTCTGAACCACGTTTGTTTTGGACTGTATTCATCAGCGTATACCATCATATCGAATCGCTTTATCTTTCGATTTTTCCGCGCCATTATACCTGGGACGGCTGTTGAGGGTCCTGTTATTCTACCGGCCAACATCGGGTACTTGAACTAATGTCTAAAGCGTGAAGATCGTGAATCTCGTTATCTAGGAGGAGAAGTAGGGTATTGTCTGCTTCTGGATAATTGCTGTTCCAACGGAGTCGGTCGGAACGTGGTAAGAGATCGATCGCAGTTCCGTGGAATGTGGAACGCAAATTGACATTGCTTTCGATTAGACTCTACCCATCATGTCACTCCCGCAAAGACCAAACAACGCTCCATCTTCGCGTCGCGAAGATAGTCAGCCCGGGTTCAGAGAATCATCCCGACGCCGCCGTCGTGATATCGAATCTGGTACTTTCACTGAGGTGCCGCAATCGCCGTACACACCTACATCACCCCGACGCTCTCATGGACATGGAAGGCACGTTTCTCATTCATCCTCCCGCGGAGGAGGAGCATCCGCGCAACAAGGATCTGTCGATCTGGGAAGAAAGAAGTCGCTTGTTCGCCCCGAAAGAAATCAAATTGGCCCCGAACATCCCAACTATCATTACCAGCAATACGCACAGAACCCTAACATAGCCACATACCCATCTGCTACCGGCCATGAGCCCGTTTTGGATGGCTCTGGCGACGCCGAAACTACAGGAAGCACAGAAAGTTCTCTGAAGACAGGCACCAAGGCCCAAGCATATGCCCTGGAAGGAAATCTCAACAAACCTATGGAACGAATTGAGCGTGCCCCCAGCTCGCGTCACAAGAAAAAGAAGCTCTATCGAAAAGGCTCTAAAAAACACATCGAGTCAGAGGAGAAACGCCAACAAAAGGCCCGCGAACATGTCCCCGCTCCTAGTCCGTGGTACGCATACTGTGTTTTGGTCACTTTCTGGGCTCCAGACGTTGTCATGGCCTGCCTAGGTATGAAAACACCGGATCAACGTCGGGCATGGCGTGAGAAGATGGGTTTGATTAGTCTGATTTTGTTGGTCTGTGCCTTTGTCGGTTTCTTGACTTTTGGATTCACAGCAGTCGTCTGCGGTACAACCACTGTCCGTATAGCTGCTGGTCACGTTGATTCTGGCTATATGATCTTCCATGGTCAGGCATTTGACCTTTCCGAATCCCACCACCCGGCTGCATACGGAATTCCCGTAGGCTCCAATGTCTTATATGACCTGCCAGTAAAATACCATGGCCAGGATGGCAGTTTTCTGTTCCAGAAAGTCAACGGTGCGTGCAAGGATATTATTACGCTCGCTGAAGGCTCCGACATCCCTACCAACAGCAAAGGCGAGCTCGCCTGGTATTTCCCTTGTCAGACCTTCAATCAGGACGGCTCAGATTACAAGACTAACAAAACTGCTGATCCTTACCTGGGTTATATGTGCCATCTTTCCGCCGATGCGCGTGATAAGTTCTACAGTCTGCGCAGCTCCGGTGACGTTTACTTTACATGGGACGACTTGAAGAACAAGTCTCGCAATCTCATTGTGTATTCGGGCGACGTTCTTGATCTTAACTTGCTCACCTATCTGAACTCTAGCCAAGTGTCTTACCCATCTTTGTTCACGGAGATGCAAAGCAACCCCGATATACGAGGAACCGATGTCACGTATGCGTTTCAAACATCAGAGGACAGGCAAATCGCAAAATGCCTGTCTCAGATTATTAGAGTTGGGTCGATTGATACCAAAACGATCGGTTGCATTGCTTCTCAGGTCGTTCTTTATGTCTCGTTGGTGTTTATTCTTTCCATTGTCGCTGCGAGATTCTTCATGGCTCTGTTCTTCCATTGGTTCTTGTCAAAGAAGTATGCTGCCAATCGTTCAACAATGACACTGGATCGTCGAGCTCGTGCCCAACAGATTGAGGACTGGTCTGAAGATATCTATCGCCCTGCTCCGCGTCTTGCTGACCCCCCTGTTCCTGAGAAGATGGCTAGGAAGCGAGCAAGCTTTCTTCCCACAACTTCACGTTTCTCTAGTCCATATGCTGTGGGTGGTGGTAGAACCAAAGCACAGCCTACGACTATGGCAAGTCAGAACTCTTCGTCTCGTCTTGTGCCGACGACCAACGCTTCGACTTCTATGTACAAACTGAGTGGAAACAGTAGCAATGGATCGTTGAGCGTGGATGCAATTTCCCGTCACAATGCTGCTGCCGCTGATAGCCGAACAAGCTTGATGATTTCGCAATACGACCAGAGGCATTCTACTGTTATGGGCTCTACCGAAGGCCCCGCTGGGTTCATTCATGAGAACGTTGTTCCACAGCCACCACCGGAATGGCAGCCGTTTGGATTCCCTCTGGCGCATACTCTATGCTTGGTTACTTGTTACTCTGAAGGTGAAGAAGGTATTCGTTCTACCCTGGACTCGATTGCATTGACGGATTACCCCAACAGTCACAAAACTATCTTGGTTATTTGTGACGGTATTATCAAGGGTAAGGGTGAGGAGCAGTCCACCCCCGATTACGTACTAGGTATGATGCGCGACTTTGTTATTCCACCCGATGAGGTTCAACCGTATTCCTATGTTGCAGTTGCTTCCGGCTCCAAGAGACACAACATGGCCAAGATTTACGCTGGTTTCTACGATTACGGTCAGACGTCCATTATTCCACCTGAGAAACAGCAACGTGTTCCAATGCTTGTCGTGGTCAAATGCGGCACACCGGCTGAGGCAAAGGTATCCAAACCCGGAAACCGTGGTAAGCGTGATAGTCAGATTATTCTCATGTCCTTTTTGCAAAAGGTTATGTTTGACGAGCGCATGACGGAACTCGAATTCGAAATGTTCAACGGATTTTGGAATATCACCGGCATATCGCCTGATTACTACGAAATCATCCTCATGGTTGACGCCGATACGAAAGTGTTCCCGGACAGTCTTACGCACATGGTGTCTGCGATGGTGAAAGATCCAGAGATTATGGGCCTATGTGGTGAGACCAAGATTGCCAACAAGACCCAGAGCTGGGTAACCATGATCCAAGTGTTTGAATATTACATTTCCCACCACCAAGCCAAGGCCTTTGAGTCTGTCTTTGGTGGTGTCACTTGTCTCCCTGGTTGTTTCTCCATGTACCGTATCAAATCGCCCAAGGGTGGCCAGAACTATTGGGTTCCTATTTTGGCTAACCCGGATATCGTGGAGCATTATTCGGAGAATGTGGTCGACACCCTTCACAAGAAGAACTTGCTCCTGCTTGGTGAAGATCGTTACTTGACAACACTGATGCTGAAGACATTCCCCAAACGAAAGCAAATCTTTGTGCCTCAGGCAGTATGCAAGACGACAGTACCGGACAGTTTCATGGTTCTTTTATCTCAACGTCGTCGCTGGATCAACAGTACCGTCCACAACCTCTTCGAACTCTGCTTCGTGCGCGATCTCTGCGGCACATTCTGTTTCAGCATGCAATTCGTCGTCTTCATCGACATGATCGGTTCCCTCGTCCTCCCCGCCGCCATCTCATTCACATTCTACGTCGTCATCAAATCCATCGTTTCCAAACCCGTGCAAGTCATCCCCTTGGTTCTTCTGGCGTTGATCCTGGGTCTACCCGGTGTTTTGATCATTGTCACTGCAAACAGATGGGTATATGTCCTCTGGATGCTGATTTATTTGGTCTCCCTCCCCATATGGAACTTTGTCTTGCCGGCATACGCATTCTGGAAATTCGATGACTTTAGTTGGGGAGATACACGAAAGACGGCTGGAGATACGGGTAAGGGCGGTCATGGAGATGCAGAAGGTGAATTTGATAGCAGTAAGATTACGATGAAGCGCTGGCGGGATTTTGAAAAAGGTACCACCTCTATCCTCTTCTTTCCTTCCCCTCTACTTGACCGAGGATGAGTACTAATTGAATTTTATTAGAACGGCGCCTCAACATGAGTGCCGCGCAAAACCTGCCGCCACCAAACTCCATGCCAAATGCGGCATATACATATCCCGGTGGTTATGATACCTATTCCGACTATTGAGTCGGAAGGATCTATATTGTACCTTTGCGCTTTCATTTTCCTCTTTTTTTCCGATTGTTATTTGTTGAAAAACGATTTATATATATAGTCTATTTCAATATCTTTGTTGAATATGTTGAGTATTTAAAATAAGTGTGTACCATGGGATTGGCGTTGGTTTGATGACTTGATGGATGGTACCTAGTTTATATTTAATTTCTGTTTGTTTTTTGTGTCCACGTGTAATTATGTGTCTACCTTGATTGTTAACTCTGGTCGAGGAACTCTGTGCTCTTTCCTGTATAGTTTCATCCATGATAGGTTTTTTGTATCTGCTGCTGTATATTTGTTGATTCGTTAAATGGATAAGATCTTGGAAGAGATACCAATCCATGTTTCCTGAGTCTACCTAGGTAGTAATTGTGTTCACCTAGTTACTTGAGTTAGGGTTACTTGTAATATACCCATGAACCAACGATACTTCACTTCGGGGTCCTATCTTTGATGATACACAATCTACTACTACTTTCTACCTCTTAAGCGTGGATCATGGTTTCTATGCTGTCTAGTCGTTACTGTTGAGAGGCCTAGCAACTAGCAAGTCATCAACAAATGCATGTAAGAGAACTACCACGGCCAGGGTCCATCGGCATCCTCGTCGAGTCTTTCTAATCATTGTTGGAGGAAATATTGCTTGTGCGAAAGAACATTGCAGTTGTATGCGCTATAGACGAACCCCTGCAAATACTAGGTACTATGCAGAATGAAAACTACATAGTTAGAGCGTCCGGAATTCCCGGATCAGAGCCCTGGATGCTGTTCAGACATACCAGATTGAGAATCCGGGTGCCCATTGCAGCTAACTGAATACATCTGTCCAATTGAGTCCATCTTTTCATCTTAGAACTGCGCTACACCATGATACACTACACATATAAGAAAGACAATTAATTGGGCCACGTAATCCACATACTTCTACTGCTCAAACACGGAAGCGAAAGGTTAAAGAGGATTTAAGTAACTTGAATCCATGACTCAAATGCAAGTGCCTTTAGATGCGCACAGCTTGCGAAGCAGCAAGGTCTCATGATTATATATACCTAATGGAAATCCGACGCTACCTCTCCCCACTGAACCAAGTTCTCGTCACGTACCTAGGTACCTGACTCTATCTCTATGGCCGTGTCGAGCACATTCCAGCTTGCCAATATAACTAGCCAAATCAATCTGCAATGGCCCTCATGCGGAATAGTGGTTATAATTTCTAGGAAATTATAGTTGGTGGACGCGCTAAAGCCCATATTGGACATAGCTTAGTAACCAACAATTGTCAGTAAAACAGATCATTCGTTCAAAGTAACCACTTTCAAAAGCTTACCATTTAACCCTTTATATAAAATAAATCAGAAATCAGTGTCACTTGAGCAGCGTTGCCTGGAGACCTTAGATTGGTAGATCCTCGAGCTGGGAAGAGTCGAATCGATCAGACCAAGGGGGGTCTACTGGAGGGCTCCTTTCGCTCTGAAATAATTCCGACTTTCAAGCATGGCGCAATGAGGAGTAGAGTCGCCTGCTGTGGATCAGAGGGGATGTCTGTAAAGGGAAAACAATGCTTATGATTGGAATCATTGATGAAATATCCAAGGAGTTGGAACGGCGGCAACCACGCAGAGAGATTTTGTCGTACTTCTTATGTCAAGGCACCGATTCCTATCTCAACAACAAAACTGAGATTGTAAGAGTTCTGATCTTCCTGTTATTTCCCAACACCCACCCTTGATCTCTCACTTACAGAAGGAATACGATCAGGTGGGTCCGAAACTTTTTGAAGATGGTGGAGCGTTCTATATCTTGTCTGGGATCTTTTAAAAAATGCTCCAGGACCCAAGTTTGATGGTAGTGTGCTTGGCTCTCGACGCTTTGGATGAGTGTCAGAAAGGTCTACGGGAGGTTGTAGATCTCATTACCAAGTCAATGACCACGCAATCAACCCGTGTCAAATGGATTATATCAAGTCGCAATAGATCCGACATAGCGCAGAGGCTCGGTTTCAGGATCCCAATGCAAGTCTCAGCTTTGAAGAGAATACCGCTAACATTTCTCATGCTATCAACTTGTACACCTCATACAAGGTCGCAGATCTTGTTATCATTCATGGTGATCAAGCGCTTCAACAACAGGTCTACGACTTATTGCCCCAAAAGTCGTAGCACATTTCTATGGGTTGCGCTGGTTGTCGAAGAGCTGTAAGATGTCCTTAAAGCCGATATTCTAGACGTGCTGCAGACGATTCCAAGCGGTTTAACACAATTTTATGAGCGAATGATGAGTAAGTCCGGAGCCGGCGGCAGGAGAATTACAGACGGTGTCTCCTTCGTCCAGGAGGTGTCCTCGCATACTGTCCTCTTCACAGAGGCGAGATACCTATTGCTGTCGGTCTTCAAGACGAAATATTATACCCGACAGACTTGGAGAGCATTATTCGATTGTGCGGATACTTTCTGACAGTCCGAGAGAATCATATTTACTTCATCAATCCGCAAAGGATTACCTTGCAACTGAAGCAAAAAACACAATTTTTGCTGTTGGACCTGAGCCTATGCATGCAGCCATCTGCCGACGATCATTAAACGTTCTCACAGATACACACAAACGGATATATATAATTTGAATGAGTACGGAACGCTGGTCGAGGATCCTGTGCCAGATCCAGATCCGTTGGCCTCTGTTCGGTACTCATGCTTATTCTGGGCCGACCATCTGTGTGAAGTGGAAGATTATTCACAGAATGATGCGGTGTTCGATTTCTTGGAAGCTCATTTACTACACTGGTTAGAGAGTCTTTGCCTCTTACGGAGGATATTGGATGGTGCTAGGACAATGAAGAGGCTTCGAAATAAATTCCAGGTATGTGGAATCAAATAACGACCGGATGACCTTGTAGGCTTACTCGAAAACAGTCCTGGTCGACCAATAGCTCTCGCCTTACCCGACTTCTAGGGGAGAGCATTACATTTACACTTCGTTTCGCGTCCATTATAGAGCAGGCTCCTTTACAGATATACGGCAGTGCACTTGTATGATGTCTGACTAGCAGTCAGATCAAAAAGAACTTTGGGACGAAAGATTATCCTTTATCAAGTGCGCCGAATGCATCAACCATACAAGGGATCCTTGTGTTCGAGTAATGAAGGATACAGAAGCAAGAGTCATGCCATTTGATTTCTCACCTGATGGGTTTGAATTTGAATTTGCGACGAGCTCCGAGCGTGGCATCAAGATCTAGAATACCTCTTCTGGAATTTGCAAGCAGACGATCGAATCCGACGACGGACCTGAATGTGCAGTACACTACTTTCCGGATGGTAAGATTTTTGCATTGATATACTATAACTCAGTGCAAGTCTGGGATATATCCACTGGCGCCATGCAGCAGGAATTGGAGGCATTCAAAGGCTCGTTAGTATTTCCATCTGATAGCAATACCCTAGCTACAGTTTCAGCCTCCAGGAAAGTGTGTTTGCGGGACACCACAACTTAGTGATGCCTACGCGAACTTGAAAGCCTCAAAGGGGTCGCCTTCCCCGCTGTCTTTTTGCCAAATAGACCAATTCTGGTTACCCTTACAACGGGAGACCCGGAATTATGGGATATAAAGCGAGGAAGATGCATAGGCACCCTCGAGGGTCATTAAGAGCCTTGCATGGCCGTGAATTTCTCGGTCTATGGCAAACTCCTTGCTTCTGGTTCAATGGATGCAACAGTGCGACTCTGAAATGCAGCAAGAGGTGAATGTCAGCATATTTTGCGGCATGAGGCTCCAATTACAGCTACCAATTTCTCGCCAAATGGATGTATTGTTGCTACCGATTCCGAAGATAGAACAGTCCGATTGCGGGATACATCGAATGGGATATGCCAACATGTTCTCAATGGCCACGATAGATGTGTCGACTCCCGTAGTCTTCTCTCAAGATGTCATTTTCATAAAAGGAACACAGCAATTTTATGATCCCTGGGTATTAAGTACTGTGGTGTAAGGCGGAAGATCCCCCCTCGAGGTCGTTGTAGGGTCAGTTTAGGGCTTGCCATTTCCAAACTCGAGAAGGAGCAAGTTCAGCCTTTTCTCACTCCTTTCAGGCAGAATGTGAAATTATTCGCCTCGGAAATGATACTTTAATGTGGTCAGAAACTTTATTCGCAACACAATTTTGCTTTTCTCCGTGACCACAAACAACTCTACTGTCTTGAGACCGGGAAATATTAAGCGAGGTTCTCGAAGACCTCGCCAATGGGATCTCGCCGATACCACGTTCATATCAGTTTATTAGATCTGGATAACTTCTGCCGCATTTTTAATATCTGGAGATAGGATGTTTCCGAGAAGAATAGACATTGTACAAAGAGAGTATACAAGCGTGGGGGTACATAGGACTGATACTTCCCACCACGTGCCTATGACCAAAATAAGCTTAGATGGCGTTCTCGCAACCTTCGGTTGGTGTCCGAGAAAGCTTGTCTGTGCCTTTTATCCGCGCTTCATTGTTAGTACGTGGGAACTTTGTGCTGTTGGCTTTAGCCACCTAGCTTGGGAATAGGGGAGATCAGCCGTTAGACAGAACAAAGAAATCCGAGCTATTGCCAGATCAATTGCCGTTCTCAAACGCCGTTCAATTGCCGTAATCAGATGCAATATATAATCTGAGCTTTAGGCTATATTCGTGGTGAAAGAACAAACAGTCATTGGAGCTGGTAATTATCCAGGAAAGCCACCGGGCTCCTTCGCTTCCCCGCATTCCCCGGATTCGAGATAGACTCTCCACAGGAGAATGGAGATTGAATGGGACAAGAATTGTGGTTCATTTCCTATCTCGATCAATTCAGCCGAGATTGATGTCCAATCAACACTTGGCTACGCTGTTGGACGTTTGACTTATATCTGGCCATGATCCAGAAACCCAATTCTAAACCATGTCCCCTTCCATTCACGCAAAGCTATTAGCGGTATGATAATAACGATTGCAGCATGGATACCGAGAAGACCAACTCAGCAGCGATCGATCATGTCGAAGTCTCGAAAGCCGCAGCCACTGGATGGGAGAATGCTCGTCTAACCACGGAAGAGGAGCATCGCTTGACAGCCCTCGACGCTATCCGCAAGCACTACAAGGCCTGTCTTTGGTCGATGGTAATCTCATTGACTATTGTCATGGATGGCTATGATGGAGCATTGTTGGGCTCCCTCGTGGCGTTCCCATCCTTCAAGAGTCATTTTGGCCACTTCGTGAACGCAAAATCCGGGTATCAGATTGCTGCTCACTGGCAACTCGCACTGGGCTGTTCTAGTTCTGTCGGAAATATTGTCGGCATCTATCTCGGGGCTATTACGACCGATCGCTTGGGATATAAGCGATCGTTGTTGGTGTGGTTGACTTGGCTAACGGGTTGCATCTTTATCTCTTTCTTCGCTACACATATCTCTGTCGTCTTTACTGGTGAACTGCTCTGTGGTATGTCTTGGGGTGCATTTGCTACCATGGCCCCTCCGTATGCCGCCGAGGTCTGTCCCGTCGTATTGCGCGGTTTGCTTGAAATCTGGATCGTCATCTGCTGGGGTATCGGACAACTGCTCTCCTATTCCGTCCTCCTCACGCTCAACACGGACACCTCGAACTGGGCATGGCGCATCCCTTTCGCTGTACAATGGGTTTGGCCTGTGATTATCTTCCCTCTCGTTATATTTGCACCTGAATCGCCTTGGTGGCTTGTTCGTAAGGGCAAAATTGAAGCCGCCGAGAAGGTGGTCAAACGTCTGGGAAGTGCAGATATCACTGATGAAATGGTCCATCGTACCGTGGCAACGATGGTTGAGACAAATAACCTTGAAAAGAGTGTGCACGAAGGTGCAGGCTATCTGGATTGTTTCCAAGGTCGTAATCTATGGAGAACCGAGATTTCTTGCGTCGCTTGGGCAGCTCAATTGTGGTGTGGATTCGTCATTTCTGCCTATTCTACCTACTTCTTCGAGTTGGCTGGCCTCGCAGCTACGAACGCATACAAGATGAGTGTGGGCCAAGGCGGTCTTCATATCCTCTTCAACATCATCGCGATTCCTATCGTGGCGAAAGTAGGCCGCCGCCGACTTTATCTCGCGGGATTCTTATGGATGGGCCTCATATTATTATTGATTGGCTTTGTTGCACTGAGTCCACCACATACCGCCGTGGGCTACGCGCAATCCACACTATATCTGCTCTGGTTCTGCGGTTATCAGTTGACCGTCGGACCAGTGGCGTACATTCTTGTCAGTGAAGTCTCCTCTACACGTCTGCGGAGCAAGACCGTCGCGCTGTCTCGGAACGCATACAATCTATCTCTTTTGGTCAACTATTTTGCTGGTCCGTATATACTCAACCCAACAGAGGGTAACTGGAAGGGCAAGACGGGCTTCCTCACCGGTGGTATCAATATCATCCTCTTCATTTGGACGTACTTCCGGCTCCCGGAAACTCAGGGTCGCACTTTTGTAGAGCTGGATATTCTCTTTGAGAAGAAGGAACTGGGAACTAAGGATTTCAAGTCCTATGTAGTGGACTTTACGGAGCTCAGTGAGAGGAAAATACCTGCTACTGAACACGAAGCTTGATTGAACAGGGAGCAGAGAAAGGGGCTCGTTTCTGAACTACGTATTCTTCATTCTCAAGAGAAACATGCGTTGAGAATTTCGATTTGTGACTTAATCTACTTTAACTCAATAGTGTCAAACAGAGATTATGCTTATGCAAAAGTTGAAATATAGAAGAGCGGTGAAAATTAGCTGTAGCAAGTAGCATAAGTAATGCCTCAATTGAGAGACGAATGCCTGCTCGAAACCCCCACGCCCTCTAGTACGCGGGATACGCTAATGAATCGTTTTACAAACAGCTATGCCAAATAATTTTGGAACCCTCGCATGTGAATTGCGGGGGAATGGAGTGTACCAACTGACCTTCTCCAAGTTGTATTTAGGCTAATAGCAATTATTTTGCTGAGTCAATGGAAACAGAAACTAATTGATATCAGAAACATAATGCAACAATGCTATCGTCTATAAATAGCTACTATATGCGGAATCTTGGCCGTCAACAACCCGACATAGACATTAGGAGAAATTATTTTTCCAAGTTCAACTTCCGCTCGTTTCGCCAACATGTTTCCTGACGAGAACGGCATCGACGGCTGGCTACGGTATGCCCCGTTGTCGTCTGAATTGGCGTCGCAGTTTAAGCGGTACGGGAATATCATTGCATTGAGAAATGATGAATCGAGCCCTGTTCGCACTGCGGCGAAGGAAATCCAACATGGATTGAAAAGAATCCTCAACCAAGAGGCAAACATCGGCCACGACCTCATCACTGGGAGTCAGGTAGAAGGTCCTGCTACGATCGTTATTGGGACAGTCAATAGTTTCTCCCACGCCGGCGGAGATGTTTCCCACATTGCACAATTAAAAGAAGATGGCTTCTGGCTCCATGGAGACGATTACGATAACGTACAGATTCTGGGTCAAAACGAGCGTGGTGCGCTCTATGGTGCTTTCGCATTCCTGATGCTGCTTGCTCAGGGTAAGCAGTGCCCCTCTGCTCACGTCTCGAACCCTAGCGCGCCAATCCGATGGGTGAATCAGTGGGACAACTTAGATGGAAGTATCGAACGTGGATACGCAGGCCCGTCAATCTTCTTCAGGGACATGGTTGTGCAAGATGATTTGACTCGCGTGTCTCAGTATGCTCGGCTCATGGCATCCGTTGGGTTAAACGGGATCATTGTCAATAATGTCAACTCACATCACGACCTTCTCAGTCCCAGAAACCTCGCCGGCCTCGGTCGAATCGCAAACGCAATGCGTCCATGGGGCGTGCGTATTGGAGTTGCCCTCTTTTTTGATACTCCTAAAATTCTAGGTGGCCTGTCTACATCTGATCCTCTAGACCCTGGTGTGATTGCATTTTGGGATAAGATCACTGCTCAGCTATACCAGCACGTACCCGACTTGATTGGATACCTTATTAAAGCTAACTCAGAAGGCCAGCCCGGTCCGCTGACCTACGGCCGTACATTAGCTGATGGAGCAAATATGTTCGCAGACGCTCTTAAACGTCACGGAGCTGGCGTCGTTGTCTATCGAGCTTTTGTGTATAATCACCATCTGGACGAATCAAACTGGAAAAATGACCGGGCAAATGCAGCAGTTGAATATTTTAAAGATATGGATTCCCTATTTGAGGATAATGTTTTGGTTCAGATCAAATACGGGCCTATTGATTTCCAAGTGCGAGAACCAACTTCCCCATTGTTTGCTCACCTTCGAAAAACACCGACAATCATAGAATTTCAGGTAGCCCAGGAATATCTCGGCCAGCAAAGTCATGTCTGCTACCTTCCTCCTCTCTGGAAAACAATACTGGATTTTGACCTCCGGGTTGATGGGAAGCCCTCCCTGGTCCGAGATATTGTCTCTGGCGAACGGTTCGGTTGGAATCAAAGTGGTTATGCTGCCGTTGTCAATGTGGGTAGCGATTCAACGTGGTTAGGAAGTCATCTGGCCATGTCTAATCTCTACGCGTATGGTCGTTATACATGGGATCCAACGAGTAATGAAGTGGACGTTATTCAAGACTGGACACGATTAACCTTCAGCTCCCACTCAACTGTAGTCGACACTGTGACTAGCATTTCTATGGAGTCCTGGCCGACTTATGAGAATTATACCGGCAACCTTGGAATTCAGACTCTGTGCGAGATAACTAAAACTTGTCATTATGGTCCTAGGCCAGACGCAGCAGATGGGTAAGTGATCAATATCATACTCTTCTTCCATGGTGTGTAGGTAACTGACAGATCGCGTAACAGGAATGGTTGGGGTCAATGGACACGAGCTGACGCACATGCAATTGGTATGGATCGCACAGTGGCCACGGGAACCGGATACGCAGGGCAATATCCAGTAGAGGTAGCCGAAAAGTTTGAGAAAGTCAAAACTACCCCTGACGACCTACTTCTCTGGTTCCACCATGTTCCATACACCCATAAGCTGAAATCAGGAAAGACTGTCATCCAACACTTTTACGATGCGCACTACGAAGGAGCCGCAAATGCACAGACGTTCGCACCAAGATGGAAGGCCATCCAAGGGCTGATTGATGACTCTCGCTTTCAGCATGTCTTATTTCGCCTCGTATATCAGGCTGGTCATGCAATTGTGTGGCGTGACTCAATCAATGAATTCTACAAAGCAAAGTGCAGCATCCCCGATGAACAAGGCCGAGTTGGAAACTACCCATGGCGTATTGAAGCTGAATCAATGGATTTGACCGGCTACGCCGTTGTCCCAATCACGCCCTTCGAAGCAGCATCGGGCGGCAAGGCCATTATTACAACATCCAACGATAAACCAGGAACGGCTAAATATACCGTACCATTTGAATCAGGGGTCTACAATATCGCCGTGAACTACTATGACCATCTCGGTGGTACATCTCAATATAAGTTGTTTGTGGGAGGTCAGTTGATTGGAGAATGGGCAGGCGATTTGAGTAAGGTGCTGCTACATGATTTTTCGGATCTACGCGATGGGCATTCTGCAACTCGGATTACATTTGATACAGTTCATGTGAACAAAGGTGATGTGATTGAACTTATAGGAACGCCGGATGGAACTGAGCTCGCGCCCATAGATTATGTTTCTTTCTTGCCACCGGGCCTAGTGGATTAGACATGGGTATTTTTTCATGTCCTTGTTATAGAAGTGATATAATGCCAGATCTCCGATTCTCATGTCTTGACTTACTACCTAGTTCTATACTAGTTTTGTAGGATAACACATACATAGTATAGTCGCTTTTATACTCATGATCTTCATGGATTCGAGATATCCAGGGACAGGAATCCGTGACTTCTAATTCTCAAATGTCGAATATGTCTAGAGGGAACGAGTTCGCTAGCGCTTGAAAAGCTGCCTCATTCGGATGCAGATGATCTCCAGAATCGTACTGCTTTGCTAACGCTGAGTACTCCTTCTCGTCCCGCACAACAGCATCGAAATCGATAACGGAATCAAACACTGCTGGGCAGCTATTGCGGATCCATGCATTGACCCGCTGTCTCGTCTCCTCGCGCAGGGGATGTGAATACGGCGTCGTGTCCTGATTGTCCTCTTCGCCATTTCGTGGTCCAAAAGGTGTCAGTGTAGCGATGAATACGACAATGCCGGCGGATGCTAGCCGTGTAGCAACTTGCACATAGCCTGCTATGAGTTGTTTCTCCAGAATTGCCAGGCTGTCTGGGTCCGGTAGAGTAATACCAATGTCGTTTATTCCTTCGAATATCATTGCATATCGTACTCCCGATAGAGAGAGGATATCCCGGTCTAGGCGAGCAAGGACGCTGGGACCGCCTGAACCGTCAACGAGAACGCAGTTCGCACCAGCCGCTTGGTTCACGATGGCCAGTGGTGCCTTTGAAGAGCTGTTCCGTAGGCGGCTGAGGAGAAAATCTGGCCATCGTGTATCACCATTTGTCGTACTGCACCGTCCATCGGTAATACTGTCTCCAATCAACGCAAAGGCACCTGACTCGCGAGGTAGAAAAGCTTCAATTCCACTGATATAGTACCTGCGGACTGTCAGCACCTCTTCCATTTCTTACCAACGCTGACCTGATTACGCATGGCCTGACTACGTCAACGCAGCCTTTTAGAGTACGTACCAGTGATCTACCTGTCCTACATCGCGTCCTGAAAAACTAAGTTCAGAAATTTTATTTCCAGCAGTGAACCATGATGTAGTCCTGCTACCAGGATGCGTAGTAACTGCCTCTAGTGACGGTTCGTTCGGTAGAAACAAGCTGATACTCAAAGCGGTAGACGGGGGAAGAGGTCCAATGTCGACGGGATCAGAGACAATCTGTGCCCCAGCAGGAATCTGAGCCCCGCGATCTCCACAAAAAGTAACGTGGCACATCGTCCCCGGTTGAATCTCGTTGGTCCCCGAAACATTCCCCGCAGATTGTGCAATTGTCACCTCCGCGATGGTCAGGGGTTCATGGCCGAATGCATTGGATAATCGCAGGCGAATGTGCGATGCTGTGCCGAGAGTAACGCGCACTGTTTGTCGGAGCGTCTTCCGTAAACAAGAGAATATTAGCTATATCAATCTACATGACGAATTGTTGCCATATTGAAATTCAGGAGGCGTTTGTACAAACGGATATTGAGGTAGCTCACTCGGGTCTGCTTGCTGCGGCATTGCAGCCCATGTGTGAACCCAGTGCTGGTGAGGTGATTTGATAATGGCTTCCATCTTCTCCTTTCTGGTCTTCGTAAAGTTGCTGGGCTAGCCTAACCGGAAAACCAGTATATTAAGTAGAGAGCCTAAAGCTGCAGTACCAAGAAAATAGTCCTCCTAACGTCCTTCATGCCGGCTAAATCGGCTGAATGAAGTGAGGAGAAGAGAGCTCAATCTATCTACACAATTTATCCGGACAATTTCTGGTTTACGAAGCTTTATCCGGATTAAATTTAAATTAAATGCAAGCTAGCTCTAGTGATTTCAGTTCTATTACAATTTTTCCGTCTTTCAAGGCTCTAAGCTGTCCAACACACCTAAGCACAATGCCGCAAGTACGCAATCCCATCCTGCCCGGCTTCAACCCCGACCCCTCCATCCTCCGGGTCGGGGAGGATTACTATATCGCCACATCAACTTTCGAATGGTATCCTGGAGTACAGATACACCACTCCAAAGACCTAGCAAACTGGGAACTAGTCGTGCGACCATTGACGCGAAAGAGTCAGTTGGATATGCGAGGAGATCCAGATAGTTGCGGTATCTGGGCACCGTGTCTTTCTCATGACGGCGATAAATTCTGGCTCGTTTACACAGATGTCAAACGCAAAGACGGCTCGTTTAAAGATGCGCATAATTATATCGTGAACGCCCCGAAAATTGAAGGACCATGGTCGGATCCTGTTTACATCAATTCGTCCGGATTCGATCCATCGCTGTTTCATGATGAAGATGGCAAGAAATGGTTTGTCAATATGATGTGGGATCATCGACGTCGGCCTCGGTTGTTTGCTGGAATCGCACTTCAGGAATTCGACCCAGTGGAGGGTAAGCTGGTTGGGAAACGGGCCAATATCTTCCAAGGCACTGAATTGGACCTTGTGGAAGGCCCGCATTTGTATAAACGCAATGGGTGGTACTACCTACTCACTGCGGAGGGAGGGACTGCTTACGAACACGCTTGTACTTTCGCCCGGTCACGAAGTATTTGGGGTCCATATGAAGTACATCCTCAAAAACATGTTGTGACGTCCAAGAATGCTCCATTTGCAGCCTTGCAGCGATCTGGGCATGGAAGTATAGTTGAGACTTCGGATGGTAAATCATATATCGTTCATTTGACAGGGCGTCCTGTAGGTCAGGACCGACGCTGTGTGCTTGGACGAGAGACTGCTATCCAAGAAGGATACTGGAAGGACGATTGGTTCTATGTAAAGAACGGACCAGTTCCCTCATTGTACACGGAAGTCCCAGGTGTACGTGATGATAAGGTTTACTGGGAAGAGAAAAATTACAAGTTTGACAACAAGGAGCTTCATAAGGATTTTCAATGGCTGAGAACCCCGGAACCAGATCGAATCTTCTCTACCGAAAATAGGAAGCTCACTCTTATTGGGAGAGAGTCTATAGGATCCTGGTTCGAACAATCCTTAGTAGCACGGCGACAGACCCATTTCTCTTACGACGCAGAGACCGTGATTGATTTCTTACCAGAAGATGAGCGACAATTCGCAGGTCTAGTAGCCTACTACTCCAGATACAATTTCTTCTACTTGGCTGTCACGGCACACTCGGACGGGGAACGTGAGATATACGTTATGAGTTCGGAGGCTTCTTGGCCTGATGGTGATCTGGCATTCCCAGTACAACCGATTAAAATTCCCAGAACTGGCAAGGTTAAACTTGCCTTGGCTATTCGCGGTGGTCAAACCCTACAGTTTTCGTACGCTGTGGAAGGGGGGGAATTGCAGAAAATTGGCAAGGTATTTGATGCTTCCATGTTGTCCGATGAGTGTGGAGGACACCAGGCACATGGAAGTTTTACGGGTGCATTTGTTGGCGTGGCATGTTCCGATCTCAATGGTACAGCAAAACGGGCAGATTTCGACTATTTTACATATAGGCCGGTGCAAGACGTCGCTGATCGCTATGAAATTTAGTGATTCAACCAACGAGCAGGCGATTTTGTTAGCAAACAGTACCTAGGTATTCATACAAGTTTCTTTTCTATCAAGGCAGTCCTGGAGGGAGACAAATCATGTTACGATTTACATTAGGCAGCTACCTATAGGATTAGCCAGACGTTGGTGCGTCATATCATTAAAGAGCCGTTCATAGTTATATGGGACTGTCGACCTTCTCATCTTTCCTCTTTTCTCTTTCTTATGCTTTTCAGTCAAGTTGCTCTATATGTAGTTTGTCTGCAGTCGTACAGCTTCAATTGCTTGTGAAGGTACCGGCTTCAATGTCATCAAATAGCGTTGGATGGTTCGGCGTCCACCCAAGCGTGGCTCTCGTCTTCTCACTGGATGTCGGGTTGTCCTCATGGAGCGCAAAGGCCATGAACCCGAAGTACTCCTGAGCTTCTTCTAGCGGCTTGCTGATCACAGGGATATTCAGTTGCTTGCCGATTGCAGCGGCAATATCCTTCAACCGAACGCCTTCCTCCGCAACGGCATGAAAAACTGACCCGGCTTTTCCTTTCTCTAATGCCAGCCGGAACAGAGAAGCAATGTCGAGCAGATGGATAGCCGGCCACCTATTGTCGCCTTTACCAACATACGTCGAGACACCAGATTCTTGCGCTTTCGCAAACAGCATACCAATGGAATATTTATCGTCTTTTCCGTGGTTGATGGGTGGCACCCGCATTATCGAAACGCGCACCCCTTTCTCCGCAAAGGCTAGCACGACGGCTTCGTTTGCACCACGAATGCGACTCACTTGATGTGTCATATCAGGTGCATCGTCTTCATGTGCAAGCTTACCACGCTCCATCATGAGTGTGCCCGAAGTAAACACAAAGGGTTTGTTCGATCCTTCCAGCGCCTTCAACATTGCAGTGACAGCAACACGATCATCGGCACAAATACCGGCATAATCAGCCACATTGTCATGCTTGAAGGCAAGATGGATAACGCCATCAGAGGCCGCAGCAGCCTGTGCTAGAGAGTTATGATCGTCTAGAGTCCCGCGATGAACCTGTACGCCAACTGCTTCCAGGAGCTTTGCGCTCTTCTCATTCCTTGCGAGAGCGAGTACCTCGTGGCGGTGCTCGAGTAGTTCTCGGACCACTGGTAAGCCGATATAGCCCGATGCGCCGGTGACAAAGACTTTCATATTGAGAAGGATTGTATAGGAACGAGAAATGTGAGACGTATTGATGCTAAAACCTGACCAGAAGTTGTAGACGGGCGAGATTGCTCTGGAAAAGATTCGATGGCGGAGATGCCACGGCACTTATCGAAGATCTTTCTCAGTTGACCATCGATGAAAAGTGTCTTTTTAGCCGCAGCAAGCGGACGAATTGGTTTGTCGTCCTCGCCAGTAGCTCGAGTAGCCTATCAACCTGAATAATACGCGAATGAGGGAAGGATGGTCCAGTATTGGTATGGTACATTTCTTAAATTAGATGATCATTCCAGCTCCGTTCTTGCTCACCCGTGAGCGGAGTATGAAGTATCGCTATGAATTAGGGTTAGGAGAGTAACGTGAGGGTTAGGTTCGGCGCCCCATAAATTCTCCAGTACTGCCAATCAGGAACGCCGTTATGCGAAAACAAGGTTAGCCTGGGACGGGATGGATCCACCCGACGGATCGGATCATTATCCGGATGTCATACCGATTTCTTCACACTAACCTCCGCTCGCCAGTTTCAAGATGAAGAACAACTAAGCGAGATATTCCTTCATATTGTACCGGTGACGCTCTAATCCCAGCATTGCTACGAAGTAGCACTTGGCAGGTAGTTAGAATAGTCAAGCTTGGGCTCCGTCTGAAAGAATTAGCTTCTTGTGTGGTCCATAACATATCTTTTACTCTTAGGTGATACTGAGGACTGTGAAATGGCAATTGTGGCATCCCACACAAGAACGCAAAACACCAAGCATCGTAGATCGAGGCGGGGCTGTCGGAACTGTAAGCTTCGGAAAGTAAAAGTGAGTTTCCTTCCCCTTGTCGCCTTTTCGTTGCTTTGGTCGATATTTATTGAACCTTGTCCAGTGTGACGAGACGAGACCACACTGTCAAAGCTGCCGCAATTATGGAGTGTTATGCAACTTCAATATAAATATACCCGACCTGCAGCTGTCAGCTGAAGCACAGCCTCAAAAAGTGCCAGCTAGCAGTATCTTGGGTACGCGAATGGCATTAAGAACGCCGTGCCCGACTCCAAGGGTGACTATCGTTAGCGCCATTGCCACTCAAACGTCTACCGCCTCTTTTGAACTAGATTCGAAACGTATCAAGCTTCTTCACGAATTTCGCCACTGTATGGCCCCCGGTTGGGGAGGCGCTATGGATGGATCATTGCAACTGGCTCATCAAGTATGTGTTCACTATCGCTAGGCCATACAGCTCGGGACTATTCCAAATCAACTTAGAACTCGCGCTAATTATACGCTGCAAGTATCCCTTCCTCATGCACGCCGTGCTGGCAGTTGCCAGTGCTCACGAGCGCTATCTTATGTCACCGCGCAAGATGCTCCCACATCGGACACTGTCCGAGCTATCCCACTTCTCTCAATCCACCACTCTTATGCGAAGACAGCTGTGCAAGTTGATCCAACCACATGACAAGGATGCGCTCTGGGCCACCGCAGCACTCTATAATGTCCTTCTGTTCCTCGCGGTGGATGCACCGAGCCTCGAAGAAACCTGGCCGCTCAAGGATACCAGTACCTGTGACCTGGACTGGCTCTGGATGATGGATGCGAAATGGACATTATGGAATCTTACCGACCCGCTGCGGCCGGATAGCATATTTCGATGTCTGGCCGACGTATACGCTGACTTGCGTATCCATGTCCCACCGAACGGTGTTTATGACATCTCTCCCTCCCTAGTCAAACTGTGTAGTCTTCATGAGCAGTCTAGCGCCAAGTCCAATCCATACTTTGACGCCGTACACGCAATTTCCCAGCTGGACGGTCCAGGGGAGAGCCGCACGAATCTCACGAAAGTCCTTGCTTTTATAAGCTGCATGTCGCAGCCCTTTAAGTCTCTGATCTTGAGTAAGGATGCACGGGCACTGCTGCTGCTAGTACTATGGTATAGCAAAGCTGGTCGATCTGTATGGTGGATTGAGATGAGAGCAAGAGTAGAACGCCAGGCGATATGCGTCTACCTCCGACGATATCATGGAGATGATGCTATGATTCAAGAGCTTCTTCCTTGCGAATAATCGACAAACGATTTTAGCTCATAGAATATAATTTGATAGTACGCTAACATTACCTGGCTGCGTTCTGTTCTCGGTATAGGACAGGAGACTTGATGTCTGTCCCTCATATCGTCATAAGATTACAGTCTGTTCCCCGTATTGAAATTCGTATATTATCATGTTGCCGGTCAGAAAAGTTTGGACTTTAGACTGAGACCGGGGGTCACGGAAATAATGCCACCATGCCGCCCATGCCTTGATTAAAATAGCAAATCAGTCTATGTTTTTGACAAATCACGGCAGGTACTTCCGTATGAAGACATGGATGCATGCCGCCACAATAAGTTGGTCGTAAATGATACCTGGAAAAGTTACAGTTACCTCCAACATCTCTGTCGACGGATTGTACTCACTTCAGCCAGCTAGCTACACCAATCAATACACCGAAAAAATATTTTAATGACAATGAAGAACATTTTATCACTAACCTACTGGAGTATAAGCATAAATAGTCAATTTATGGATTCTTTGCAGTGCTAAACATATCTTAATTCCAGACATGATTGGCTTCGATAGAGGAGCCTTGTGTCTGTTATTGTAAAGCTCCTGTACCTCGCCGTATTCGTACATCAACGCTTATAGTCGGGTCGTAGATATGCCCCATTCAGCCGCCTGCGTGAAGCCTAATATCTGGGCAAAGCAATAGATATCTGCGGGTCAACTTATTCCCTAACAAAAAAAAATCGTACATATCGACTGATTTAGCGAGACGCATCTCAATAGTAGGTGGACCACGTCAGAAACTAGTTAGCTAGTATTCATTCTAGTGAGAGTTTAGCTGTCATATGTGCCAAATTCAACTCAAAACTGACCTCGTGGTGCCAATCACCCCCACTTCTGTTGTAGTGGCACTTTTTCGTACCTATCAACTTTTTCGCCTTCATGTTCTGGAAAATGGAGCAATTCTTTTGGGTAAGTGTATTTACGCTAATGTCATGTTCTGTAATGTCAGGATACTGTAATGTACTGCTTCAGAGTTTTGGTATTTTGTGCTTGCATATACTATATGTGAGTATGCACCTTGTGTGCATGAACTGTAGATCAGCTTGTCGGCTTATCCCATTGTACAGAAATAATTTCCTTTTCGGTATAACATTTGCAATGGACTCATATGCATACATGAAGATGTGTCTATGGCATGTCAAGTCAAGCTTGTCATTATATATACTGTTTGTTGACCATTTTTAGCAGAAGATATAGGTAGTGGGTGATCCATGGGTCTCGGTAACCTATCCCTAGATCTAAACAGGCAAAAAGGTAGTCAGCCTTGTCGGGCCCGCGGTTTCAGGTTTCCATTGATAACCTACCTAGGTGAGAATCGGATCTGTCAGAAATTGGGCCGTTGCAAAAGCTAGAGAGGAATCAACAGCCGGGATCTTATACATCAAAGCCGGATCCTACGCCGACGGTAAAATCAATAACTTCAGTTCAACACGAGACGCATATCTACAGTAGATACTCAAATGATTATAAAGTAAATAATTACATCGAGTTTCTTTAACCTCAAGCTGCTCGCCGTTGTATTTCAACAAGATCAACGAGATACTGGTGGCTAGAATGTGATTTTCGCGAATTTCTGGCCATAATTCAGCCATACCAGCCATACCAATTTACCCACGCTTGCGCTATTGGTAGAGACTTTCACACCCGGAATTAACTCGGAATGATTATTCTACTTTTCAGCCTCTTCTTGGAGAAAAAATTAACGTAATCGGTAAGCGAGTTGGCCATGTGCTTGCGAGCCACCCGTGTATTCCATACAAATGATCATTGTTCATCACCTCTACATCTCGACAAAGTTATATAATTAGTATGTACCAAATTAACTCATAGAGATGAGAATACAAAGTATATTGAGTATTATAAGTTTGAACTCATTCTGATAGATATTCGTAAAAATTACCAAATTTCGATTGTAACTTATTGTAATATATATATATTCTTTTGGAATTACTCGGTTTATACTGACTTCTATATATTTTCAAACTTACTGATTAATTACTGAACACGAATATTCAGCTCTCTGAATGCTTAAAGTAGTGTATGTATATGACTTTGTCGAGATATAGAGGTGATGAACAATGATTATTTGTATGGAATACACGGGTGGCCAGCTCGCAAGCACATGGCCAACTCGCTTACTGATTACGTTATTTAGAAATAGGGACATAATTATGAAAGTAGTAGTGGGGATCAAGCTTCTATTATGCTAATAACTCCGGTTACTCCTTCAGGAGATGAGCTAACCCTAGTTTGCGGAGTTAAATTAGCCAATGACGGCAGAGATATATAAGTATTTCTCCACCACTTTTTGAACCCTAATTTCCGTGATAGGAAACTATGCTTCAAAACTCCGAATTTCCCCTTTGAGAAGAAAAGAAATGAAATGAAGAAATATAAAAGATTTGTACGGCGTCGGTTGATGATTGATCTCTACAGTTCTGCCAGCACTTCAATTTCAGGCGGCAACCACACTCAGGAAAGCGCAATGGAACTCGATCACCATGCTATCGACACTCCCTCGGAGAATAGTACTTCTGCAAGCAAGACTCCTGAAGAGGTAAAGCGGTCAGTGACAGGATTCCGCTGGCTACTCGTCTGCATTGCCATCTTCTCGGCAAATCTGCTTTATGGTCTGGACAATACGGTCGTTGGCGATATTCAGGGTGCAATAGCAGACACCTTCGACGACTATACTCAGCTCGGTTGGCTGGGAGTTGGTTTCACTTTGGGGTCTGTTGTTTTCATTCTACCACTCGGAAAGGCGTATGCAATTTTTGATACGAAATGGACGTTCATCGGCTGTTTGACAATGTTTGCGGCGGGCAGTACATTGTGTGGTGCCTCTCCAAATATGATAGCCATGATATTTGGTCGAGTTTGGGCAGGTGCGGGTGGTGCTGGAATGTATCTTGGGTGAGATCTTTGTTGTTCATGATTTTCTGGTCTGTTATGTCAGAAGGCTGATAATCGAACTTTTATTTCAGAAATCTTAACCTCATTACGACCCTAACGACACCCCAAGAGCAACCCAGATACAACAGTTTGGTCGGTGTGATCTACGGGATGTATTCTCGGACCCATGATTGGGGGAGCTTTTGCCGATAGTGGTGCAACATGGAGATGGGTAAGAAAGCTACAATGTTGGTCTTGATCATCAAATGGACACTAATCATCTTCTTTATCAGAGCTTCTATCTGAATTTGGTAATTTTCGGCGTGATGAGTCCAATCTACCTGTTCCTCTTGCCGTCGGTACCACGCCAGTCAGAGAGGAAACCGCTGACGAAACTGCTCGAATTAGACTGGGTTGGTATATTCTTCTCAGCCGGGATGCAAGTCTCGTTTATCCTATTCCTGACCTTTGGAGGTACGCAATGGTCTTGGGGAGATGGCGGCAATGTTGCGCTATACGTCGTCTTTGGGTTCATGTTAGTCGCGTTCATACTTTCGCAGTACTACCATCCTTTCACACCTCGGAACAATCGTCTCTTCCCAGCAGAATTTCTTCATGACCATACCATGATAATTCTCTACGTACTCATAGCCTGCGGTGGCGCGTCACTGTTTGTGGCCGTCTATTATATCCCGCTGTATTTCCAATTTGTGCATGGTGAGAACGGAGTTATGTCTGCGGTTCGTCTCTTATCATTTATATGTTTCTACGTTGCAACCATTCTGTCCTGCGGGTTCTTCATGCCTAAGACTGGATACTGGATGGTATGGTACCTGGTCAGTGGTATATTTATCCTAGTGGGAGCCGTGCTCATGTACACTGTCCATTTTGAGACAGAGACAGCAAATATATATGGCTTCTCCATTGTTTTGGGACTCGGGATGGCCACGACGCAAGCCGGATATGCTGTTGGCCCTACACTTGTCTCCCCTGACCGTGTCGCTGAGTGTATACAATTCCTCAACTATGGCCAGGGCCAGAGCCAATTGCTAGGACTGGCAATTGCAAGCGCTATCTTTCAGAGTCTCACATCTAATGGACTCCTGAGTCTATTAGAACCACACGGTTATGCTGAATCTGATATTCTTAGTGCGATTGCCGGAGCTCAGAGCGGTTTCCTTCAAACGCTTCCTTCGGATCTTCGTACACGAGCCCTTGAGGTGATCGTGCATAGCATTGATTCAATCTACATAATGGTAATTGCAGCTGGTGCACTCTATATTGTTGCATCATGCTGCCTGATTCCGCAGAAGAGCTTCAGGAGCAGACCGGGGAAGGAGAAGTTAACCGTGGTGGTTGCTTAAGGTCTTTGGGGAAGCGAACAACATCAGATTCTATTTGGGGGGTAACCCCTGTAGAACATATACATTAGATCAATGCTCATTCTATATGTTAATTTTATGGTATTAATTTTTGATCACAGTTGTTTCGTTTTCAGTAGACATGAGCGCTTTATGTTTGGTAATGATATGTACGGGTATTGGGTATTGGTACAATGTTGACTTACCGTGACAGTACACATTACACGTTATCATGACTAAGCCGTAATTTATGACTCGAATTCAACTTTCTTTCAACTTCAAACACTTTACTTTCTCCAACTTGGAATCTGGAATTCTATCGGCTCTATTTATCACAAAGAGACAGTACAGGAATACAGTTTGTTAGCACGATCATACCAAGGATACTGAGTACATCCCCTGCTCACCGGGTCTCGTGTTACTGATTCTGTCTCTCACATGCTGCCTGACGTCGCATAGTACCCGGTCGGCTTGCTAACCGTGCGTCTGTCTGGAAGGCTGCATATGCGTATCCCAGTAGCTTGAGCGTATTTAACCAAAGAGGGAGGGCCTCGACAATTCTAGGAATCAGGAATTGCGAAATATTCAAATATTCAGCTGGTATGTATTCTTTTTTTTCATATGTTCGCATTTTATGCATCCTTGGTTGTACAAGATCTTTGAATATGCTCCGTTGCTATCTACGCAGTCATTCAGCTCCATTTCGAATACTCTGCAAGCTTTACACGCTTACAGAATGAACTCTTCTTGTTTCTTTGACAACAATATTACATTGTTTACCATGCATCTTTGCTCAAGCTGAGATGTTTCTCCATAACTGTTCAATGTACATCGACCTTGCTACTCGCCATCATTATTCACCATTATTCACCCCACCTACACCGTCATTACATAGTACCATTGCCTGCTTGACCGATTTTCTGATTGCAACCATCTGACCTTACACGCCATTCTGTTCTTTGTTGGGCCGTACTGAGAAGAGCTGACTTTCTGTTGATTTAGCTGACTCATCATCATTCGGCCTCTTCCTAAATTGCATGAACAAGTAGCCTATCGGTGGCCGGATTCAATACCCGTCTGTCTGTTCGTTGACAGGCATTCCAAGAGAAGCGTCCTGAATCACTTATCGGGAGGCTATCTGTTTTTATATTTCTGTTCTTATCTTCTTTATTTTCGTTGTTCCAGTATTTTTCCTTGAGCATCTATCTCTCAATCAAGGATAATTTAAGGGTTCGCATTGTTAATGTGAAAGGGCCGAACTTGATTTGCGACTTCATCACCGGGATTCGAGTCAGTACTGCAACGTACGATTCCGATACAGGAGGAATCACTTGTCGAGATTATATCTACAGAGTCACAAAGTCCGGAATTAGTCGTCCACATATTACCCTTTGACATTATCATTGCAACAGCGCGATGGATAGCTCTTCAAACAGTCAACACGGATATCTGAAGACAAAGGGGAAGCGATAACATCACTCTCAGACTAAGGCTTGCCTATAAGGAATCATGGAGGAAACTCTGGGTTCCGGGTTCGACAATATTCGCGTCGCTGCCATGTCACCGACAAGTTTGTCGCCCCGAATGACCATCTCGCCGGTATCAATTCATGCCGTCACAGACGTGGCGAGACCATCTTTTATACAGATGGCGGAAACCGAGGCTACGATGGATTCGGGAGAGTTAGCGTCCATCTACAATACGTCCAATGTGCGCTCTCGGCCTAGTAATCTTGCTCCTGCGAATCCCAGTGAAAGCAGCTATTTCAATCATAGTACATCCTTTAGCCAAGAGACATACGTCAACTCGCATGAGGCACTTTTTTCGCAGTCTCTGGCCGGTTCCGACGTGTCTTCCGCATCCGTAACTGATTCTACTCAACATCTGGCTGGGCAAATAGAAACCAACAAGGACTTCGAACACGGGCTACATGCTACTGTATGGCATGACGTGCTATATCCAGAGATTCCGTCGCCCCATAGTGACTCCGATGGTTACGAAAGCGATCCAGATGACACCCGGAAATTCTATACGGAAGTAGAGTCGTATTTTGCAATTGGAGATGACGAATATGATACCGACGACTCGGAATACTACGATACAGATGATGAATATGAATCTTCCAGTACGGGACAGATGTTGACATCTATCAGCCGCTATGATCATCGCTTTCATCGCTACTGGACTGCGGAACAGTCCGAGTTCGCTGACGATCATTTTGATGCACATATGCAAACTAGTAAGTCAGATAGCTTGCACATGAAGTTTTACGCCTTGCTAAACCATCATTTGAAGCACAAGAACGGAATTTCACAGTCGACGAGTTCATTCAACGCTGGCTACATGCGTCACTCTCAAATAGCCCTCATATTCCACCTCACTTTCCTGGCCCGTCACTGGAGGCTGCGAATGTCTCGGAGTGGATAAGACCCGAGAAAATAGCTCGGCCTTCAACCCTAGGTTGTGATGACTTCTATGACATCCAACAGATTCCGTGGCGATCAAAGCTTGGTGTACGCCGGGAAGATGCTCGTATACTGCGTGATGCGTGGTATCATCCATATACCAATCTCGACTTCTCTAAATATGATGTGCGTTACTTTACGTGGATCTACCCTTGAAACGGACTACCCTGATTAACAAAAGTCAAAACTCTAGCACGCTTATACACTACCAAAGTTGGAACGGTATTTTAGCGCAAGGGCCTTATACACGGACTTCAAGGCTACAATCGAGCACTTTCAGTTACGGAATCTCATGGCTGTCACCTCGTTCAATACCGTACAATTTGCACATGAATCACAATTGCTGACATGGACACCTGATTACAAGGACGTGAGATGTATCATGGATCTTTCGCGACCCCCAGTTGAAAGCGGATTCCAAGGCTCAGTCAAGATCTCAACGATGCAAGCAAAACATGGAATTTCTGTTGCGGGCGGCTTCTCTGGAGAATATTGCATGCATGTTAGTGGAGGCCAGGGTGAGAATACGTGTGGATTTGTTACTCATGATGCCAACGGAATCACCAACCACATCGATATAATCCGAAACCGTACCGGCACCTCGCCCATGATTGTTTTTGCTTCTAATGACCAGCACATTCGAATTCTGAACTGTTTCAGAAACCAATTCATTTCAGATCATGAGTTGCCCATACCCGTTAACTGTTCGGAAACGTCAGCCGATGGCCGCCTGCGCATTGTTGTTGGCGACTCAACGGAATCTCTTGTTCTTGAAGCCGACAGTGGTCGTACACTTCGGCAACTCCCCGGCCATCATGACTTTGGCTTTGCGTGCGCCTGGTCTCCAGATATGCTTCATATAGCCACTAGCAATCAAGACAGAACAGTGAACATCTGGGATGTACGTATGTGGCGGCTCCTTCAGAGCATGAACTCCGACCGTGCTTGTTACCGCTCGCTACGATTTTCTCCCGTTGGCGGTGGACCACGCACACTTTTGATGTGCGAACCAGCAGACCGTATCTCTATTGTAAATGCTACAACGTACGAGACGCGACAAGTGCACGACTTTTTTGGCGAAATTGGAGGTGCGGATTATACATCAGACGGCGAATCGGTCTGGGTTGCTAACACAGATGAGAGTTTTGGTGGCTTTATGAGATTTGACCGTATGCAGCACGCTCAAAAGTACTCGTCGTCTGGTGCGTCTTCAAAAAACCGTGACATCGGTAGATACGAACAAGATGAAACGACGAGATTCGCGCCTGGCTGGTACTCTAATCTGCCACATGAATGGATCAGCGAGGCTAACATAGAGACTGATTTGCGGTCGGTTCTCAGCCAACGTGAAAGGGATTTTCGATTTTTGAACGGGTTGAGTGATGACACGAGAGATCATCTATTATTATAATACCATACACCAGAATCTCTTGAACCTTAGGTGCCCAACAACTTTTCAACGAGGGCAACTTCAATGGTCTTGAAGAGGACTTGGGAGCAAAGACACAGATGATTTTGGAAATGGAATCGCACGTCTTCTAAGTACAAAGAGCAGGGTACGATAGACAACATTCTATAGGTCCTTGGAACGAGAGATCCATTTAGATGCTAAATTAATCTAAAAATGATCAATCCTGATCAGTACCTTGGCAAAGTGCTTCTTCTCCTTAAGTCTCCTGTATGCATCCTTGGCCTCCGCCAACTCAAACACCACATCGTCCATAGCAGGAGTTATATTTTTCTCGTCAATGAACTGTATCACCTCTTTCAGTTGCCTCCTGCTCCCGCAAAGGAAGCCCCTGACAATACAAGTACTCAACAAAACTGCAAACAGGGGTACATTCTCAGCAGTCCCTCCGACGGCACCTAACACCAAGACCTGGCCGTCCACGCGAATTGCTGCTAGGGATTGACGCAAAGTCTCATTTCCTCCAACATCGACGACGATGTCAAATCCACGTCCTCCAGGGGTGAGACGCTTGGCTTGCAAGGCCCAGTCGTCGGGGTTGGAGCGGTAATTGATAGTATGGGCAGCACCGAGTTTCCGGAGACGAGCAGCTTTCTCTTCCGTGGATGTAGTAGCAACAACAGTAGCGCCAGCTGCGACTGCGACCTGCAACGTTGCGATACTCACACCACCTGTACCCTGTACAAGCACCCATGTTCCCGGTCCTGCTTCTCTACCTTTTAAGCCAAACAACGCATTCCATGCAGTTGTCCAGTTGCACGTCAATGTCGCTGCAGGTAACCAATCCAGCGATTTAGGGGCATGCACCAGCCCCTTTTCAGGGAAGACGCCCATAGATCTTAGGGTTCCATCAATACCTTGGCCCATCATGTAGGGAACATCAGTAACGGAGGAAAAAGCGTCGTCACCGTCGGATTCGGCGAGTTTTGGGACGGCATAAGTGACAACGCGATCTCCAGGGCGAAATTCATGGACAGAGGAACCGACTGCTTCGACGATGCCGGCGCCATCGCATCCTGGTACAATCGGTGCAGTTATGGGTCCGTTGACACCCTATTTCGGGTAAAGAATAAGTACGGATCTGTGGATTCAGAAGAGCAAGGGAGATGAGTCATACGATTGGTCCAGCAATCACGAGTTCACGATAGTTGAGGCTGGCAGCGTGAAGCTTGACTAGGACTTCAGTTGGGCCTAATTTGGCCGCCGATGGCACAATGACATTTTGTTGATATTCAAGAGAAGCTTCAAAGCCATCTTGGCTGTTTAAAATCCATTGTCTTGCCATATTGCCTTTGTTGTGGTAGTCGATTCTTCCTGAAGCAAAGGAGAAAATGGAGTAGATGTTGAGAAATCGAGAATTGCCTCGAGTATAGCGTATTCAGAGGATTATGCTCACGTATTTATACCTACCTAGGTACTCGTAGAGGCAGCATCTTTCCGAAATAGGAAAATCAGTTTAAGATTGGTTAGTGGCCAATCAACGACTCGGATTTGACCCACTTCTCCCAGCTGATCCATTAGTTGCATCCTTTGATCTCGCTACTTATTTCAACTCCCAATATCTCAATTATGCATATCTGATTTTTTCAACCAGAATAGTTAAAATGGATCAACACAAATTCGTTTTCCTGAACACGACCAATGCACCTGTTTTGTCACCAGAGGCAACGAGGCTGATGAGGGGCCATATCACGCAATCAAATTTCGACAAAAGGAGACAACAGATAGCCAATACTACAGAGAAAGCAAAAATTCGTAAAAAAAAGAGGATCAGTTGCAAAAAGAAACTAGAACACAGCGCAGAACTAGTGTCTGCCAATCAGGATCTTCAAGTCCTTATCCACTTGACCTGTCTAAATCCACCAGGTAGCAACCCCAGCGAGGCTGCATGGGTTGAGCTCTTCGGCTCTAATCCAGCACTAGTCGAAGCAACCATGGCGATAGGTACGCGACACTGGTCTCCGCAGCCGTCGTGGCAGTGGCAGGCAGATATGTGCTCATCCAACGCTCTCCAATCTATCATACAACAAATCAGTTGGAGACAAACGCATACGGACGGATTTCTTGCAGCTGTTCTTACGATGGCATTTGGGGCGCGGTTGATGCATTCAGACTCTGCTTGGGAAGTTCATGCAGATGGCTTGGTGCAAATCATCAGAGAGAGGCGATCACAGGGTGTAAAGGAGCCAGCGTGGTTTTATGATCTTCTCATTATGTAAGTTGGGTGCGGTGTGCTTGAACTTTTCCTGGGAGTTTGAGGCTCATTGTTGTGACAGGGATTCAATTAATTATATTTTCAACTTTCCGAGATTTTACCACAGGAAGATTATTGATGCGATCGGGGATTCTGGAGGCTTGAGAATTCGCCAGATTGCAGAAATCTGCGAGGGTGTCATCGCAATGCGGAAGTCAATCAATATGTATCATATGGGCCACTCAGATAATGAATCTGTCCTCGAAGATATCGAAGAAGGACTGACACGGTTGAGAGAAAAGTCTCAAAAACTTGGAAGAAGGAAGAACAACGAATACGTTCAAGCCACAGTGCTTACACTCGAGTTAATCCTAGACATTCTCTGGCCTCAGGGACTGCAATCTGATTACACAAAAAGCCTGGTTGAAGAACTGCAAGAAACATCGTCTCGGCTGCCAAAAATTCCTTGTCCATACATGGATCTCACATCTTGTCAGCTGATTATCGGGGCGGTAGCCGCAGAGAGTGGCTCGAGTACGAGAATATGGTTTGTGAGCAAGTTGACAAGTGCGGCTCGAGCGATGCAGGAGCGTGGTTGGGCTGAGCCATTTCAAATTTTGGAAAGAGTACTTAGATCTGATACGAGCCTGATGGAATGGTTCAACATGCTATGAGAATGAGACCAATCTGGGAATGAGGAATATAACGCTGTCTCGAGAGACTGGGTGTAGCCTCACGGTAGCCTTGGGTGGCAGTGTAGAAGCAATGGGCTACGCTAGTCTGTTCAGGTTAATATTCAGCCTTATAACGAAGCCTTTGGATTACCTCGTACAGAGAGTATGTATGTACATGTGTAACTCCGCTACGTTGCGGATGTGGTTCGTCCGGAATTCAAATAAATAAAATAAGGTTTTGCAGAATTAAGGTTAGATCCGGTGCGAAAAATGCGGTTGGAGCGACACGATTGGCCAAGCTAGACGTCTGGAAACTTCGCCCGGCTTGATATTGTTCCGAAAGCACCTAAAAAGCCAACCTATCCAGCCGAGTCGGCCAATCATAATGCTTGCTGTCTCTACTCATCGGTATTTCACTAGACGCCGATGTCTCCTTCGGATGAACAGATAAGTCCTGAGAAGCAAGATATTTGCGTAGTACTAAGCCTGATTTCGCCTAGCTCCCCAATGTTTAAATAAGGGTCCAAAGGCTGTAATTACCGGTTTAGACTGGAATGTGAGAGTGAGCTTGCTGGAAATCGCACATACAGCTCCAACACTATCAAATATCAATCAGGAGTATGTACGGTAGTGTTATTTCTAATATTTTGACCTTACAGTATCTAATTATACTCTAGATTCTGTATGGCCACAGTCATCGCATATAATTACATATGCATAACCATGTACGTACAAGAAGTCCCGCTCTGATATGATACGAAAATATCGACACCCGAGACCCGAGAATTTGATCTTGAATATACGAGCAAATGATCGATCGAGCCAATCAATGTCATTATTCTCCGTGGCTGTTAAATTTGGGTGCCTAGCACTTCCTTTTAGTGACCGGACTCCGGTGCAATTGGATCATTCGTGATGACAGAAGTTGGTAACTGAGACGTATGTGTCATGAATCATGATCAGCTACTATCAATCATGAGAGACCTGATTCTTGTTATATAGAAGTTCAGATCATCCTGATGGCTTTCAAGTATGTCCATACTTTTAAAACTGCAGCAGCTACAATTTAGAAACATATGACATTTTGAGGCGTTCTGTCTAGACCTAGTGGACCTCGTTGACGAATACCATCTTTCGCTATCTTACAGATCGGTTACGCTTCACCTCCTTACTCACCGGCTGCAAATTTTTCGAGATCAGCAATAGGCTGTAACATGACTACACAAGCCGGTCAGTTGGGCAACGGTCCATTAAAACATGATATCAGTGCAGGTGCTTCAACTTCAACTCTCACCTCGCCCGAGCCCCCTTCAGAAATAGTGTCCAACAAGGAGCCTGAATTGAAGTTTGATGGCAACTCGGCTCCATTGAACGATCCGACTATTGAAACATCGAATGCCGATTATTCGGGTTCCAGAGATGAAAATGCTTCCGAAAAGTCAACGGAGGAGTGGAGATTTACAAGACGCGCACAACTCGTCTTTGCTACACTATCGACGTTATCGTTGATGGTCGCTTTGGATGGTACTTCCATATCCGTTGCTCTTCCTGTATGTCCCTTTGTATCTCGCAATCAGATTCCTCGCAAACACTCGCTAATACTTAGTCACCGGAAACAATTAGATCATATCCAATGCTCTTCATGGAACTGCCATCGAAGCTTTTTGGTCTGGTACAAGTTTTCTACTTACCTCTACCGTGCTACAGCCTCTGTTTGCCTCCTTATCAAACATCTTTGGCCGAAGACCAATTATGATTATCAGTATTCTGCTCTTCTTTGTTGGCTGTCTTGTCTCTGGTCTTTCGAAGGACTTCACCGCTATGCTGGTGGGCCGCTCAATTCAGGGGGTAGGCGGCGGTGGTATTCTGGCCCTCACTGAGATCATTGTTACTGATATTGTGCCTCTCAGATTGAGAGGTAAATACCTTGGTATCTTGAACGGGATGTGGACAATAGGATCAGTGACAGGGCCCGTTCTAGGTGGTGGATTTTCTGAAAGTGTTTCCTGGGTATGTACTAGCCCTTCCACACATTTGATAAGATCTTCTTCTTCTGTACGCTTACTAATATTGTTCCAGAGGTGGATTTTTTATATCAACTTTCCCTTTGCTGGAGTTGGTTTAGTTATGACAGCGCTTTTCCTCAGACTCAACTTCGTCCCAACCTCACTACTCTCCAAACTGCGACGAATTGATTACATTGGTGCCACCATCTTCATGGGTAGCACAGCATCATTCATGATTCCTTTATCCTGGGGGGGTGTAATGTATGCATGGTCCTCTTGGCGCACTCTTGTACCACTCATTATTGGTGTCGTTGGGCTATTGGTATTCTGTTATTATGAATATCGCTTCGCGGAACATCCCATCATTCCCCTAGAAATCTTCACATCCAAGACAGCCACAGTTTCATTCATCGGTACCGTCCTCCAAGGCCTTGTGCTATGGTGTGCTCTTTACTTTATGCCACTCTATTTCGAAGCAGTCAAGGGCTATTCCCCTATCATTAGCGGCGTGGCTATCTTCCCTGATTCATTCACCGTCGCTCCTAGTGCTATGATAGCCGGACTTACAATCACTAAAACTGGCAAATACCGTTGGGCAGTGTGGGTTGGCTGGCTTCTCACCACTTTGGGCTTTGGTTTGTTGTGCATTCTGAAAGTTGGTACCAGCATCCCCGGTTGGATCTTCCTCGAGTTCGCCGTTGGATTTGGTCTAGGTGTGATCTTCCCAGCGGTGACCTTCGCCGTTCAGGCATCCGCCAAACATGAAACTCTTGCCATGGCAGTAGCAATGACAAGTTTTTTCCGAGCTTTCGGTCAAGCAATTGGCGTTGCTATTGGTGGTGTGGTCTTTCAAAATAGAATGTATACCAATCTGCTTCAGTATTCTGAGCTTGCACCATTTGCACGGGAGTACAGTCAAGATGCTGCGGGCCTCGTGCAGGTTATAAATGCCATGGCCGATGGGGTCACAAAACAGGATTTGAGAACAGCTTATGCTGACTCGCTCAGGATTATCTGGGCTGTATGCTGTGCTATCTCTGCTGTCGGGTTCCTGTTCTCCTTATGGACGAAGGAATATGATATTGATCAAGCTTTGACTACAGACCAAGGGTTGCGGGATAAGAGGAAGCCTACCTCGAGCGATGTGTGATATAAATATCATTAAAGTAGGAAACAGGAGGATACTTTGTGTGATATTAACAAATGGACATTTCTCTTTTGGGTGTTTTGGGGTTCTGCACCATCCAGTATAGACGAGCGTTTCTCGTTTTATACCAGTTTACAGTATTTACATACTTCCATACAATAATCATTTACTTAGCCTTTTCTATATTCATAATCGTTCACATTCATTGTCAAATATCTTGCATCCCGTCTTGAATTAAAGCGTGATTACTAGGCTAGATTTCAACGTCCCTTTAAACATATCCATGTAAACCAAGAGAGAGTACACTTGGCGCAGGCCAACATTAAAATGGGTATGACGATATTGAACTATGATCCAAGGTGTGAATCTACCTAGATACTACGATAATCTATCTTCCTAAATAGGAAAGTAGGGCTATCATTTTATCTATATCCTCCAGGGCTGTTGTCCAACCGACGTATATATTTGGCTGGCGGAGACCCCTCCTTTGTCTATTTAAATTAGCCCCACTGCGAGGAGACTTTCAGGTTATACGTATAAGTGCAGTTAAGGCAAATGGGAGGCTCATGCTAGGATAGACAGTTTGGCACCTTTTCATCTCCAAGTATTCCCTGATTTGCTTTCCAAAGTTATAAAACAGAAATTTTCATTTGAAGATTCTGTCATGTCGACAGAAACTTCGCAAACCAGCGTGAATGTCATCTCCTCCACTTTTAGCCTAATTATCCTGCTAGATACTTTGGTGAACCTTCCAGTCGATCCTCCTTCACTATACTTTGACCTTGAGGGTCCAAGACTTAGTCGGTTTAGTTCTTTATCTCTATTACTCCTCTACGTGGTACCTCAATTGACGACCTACATAGTCGCAGCATGGCTGCCGACACTATTTCCACCGAAAATAGCAACAGTAATTCACTCATGGCTGTCCTCGAAATCCCTACTATCCCAAAAGTGTTTTTGACGTATCCAATGACTCGGATGCCTTCTACAATAACTACAACATTTCTGTTAACGCAATCATCAATATTCAATCATTGGAATTCGTCGCAGGGCTCGCTAGACGTATCCAGAAGGACGTTACCGCATCTGCTGCCTTGAAAGCATCATGGCAAAGCACAAAGAGAATGTCAGTCGGCTTTACAATACGCACGAAGGAGGTAGCTCTGATGTTTCCAATGAACGCCCTCTCAGGCCAGAAGTCCTGCAATATTGTAAACAAGGTGTGGAGCTTTTGCTGTTTTTATGGGAAGTCTAAAGCTCTAAGCTTCACCTTCCTGACAAGGGCTGCTGGAGACAGATGGTGAGACAAGCAACACAGGAACTGATTAAATTCTCACAATGCAAGAATTATGACGGGAAAGCAAAGAGCAAGATCTGCGGTCCTTGGGGCTCCATCTGCATTGAACAGTCTATAGAGGATTGGAACAACGAGGTAATAATGGAAGCAGGCATAGTTTTTGATGAGGATGATCACTGGGTTAGTCTTCCCCAGGAGGGAGCACGACAGAGCTCCATTTTCACATTTGTAGCAGTGATTTTGTCATGTAATGTTTATGAAAGGACTAAATTGTATAGTTTTGACAGAGGAGCGAAATCAAATTACGTGTAAAGAGATTAGGGAGGTCTCTAATCTGCATATATGGACGCGCAAGCTACGTCAGCTAATTATTAGTATTTTGAGGATTACTATTCCCTTATGAGACTTAAGAACAAATTAATTCTCCACTTTAGTCGATTCCTATAAAGCAAGTATAGGCACACATTGCAGAGGATTTCACCAGTCATTCTTATGGAACTCTGCGCGAGCAAGAGCATCAAATACCGAGAGTGGTTTCTTGCTCATCCTACTTCTGAAGATACTCGAAACTTTAACACTTTCATGTACTGTGCTTGCAATCGGAACGAAAAAGTAGTAAATCCCATTTAAGACCCCTATAACTAAAGGCCTAAGGCCTTCAGCATTGCGATAAGTTCGGGGGAGGCTTCATCCTCCGGCATAGCAGGTAGAAGGGAAGGAAGCCGTCGCGCTGGACTGCAGTTAGGAGGCTCTAATTTTCTGTGTCTCACAGCATGTTTTTGCACTCAGACCTCCACCAAAGAAAGAGTGAGCTCCTACCTCTTTCAATATCATGGATCGTATAGCTACTCGTAATAGCGATGATGGGAATGCAATAGACAACAAGGTACTCACCGGAGATGCTAGCCTGGGCTCTTTCTGGAGCTGATAAGGCTAAAGGATTAACAAGTTTCTCGACACGAAAAATGCAGTGCTGTTGAACCGCCATCGTATTTATCTCAAGAAGGGTACAGTTTCTGCTACCGAAGCGCGAGTACCTTTCAAGCATCCAGTTTTCGGCCTGTCTTCAGTTGGAAAAGAGTGAAATGAAAATACTCTCATATCGGCCATCCCAGTTGATGTGTTGTTGTATTGCATCTGAAGCCCTGAAGATAGTCTTCTTCATGATAAAATGTATCGATACCTTGCGCTTCAAGGCCCCTATGGACGTCATAAGTAGTCACCGATTCGGAATACTGAACTCTGTAAAGGATAGGTGGGATTCCGTCCGGTAAAAGGTCGAATACGTCCATTCCCGTTAAGGTTTATAGAAAGTGGAGGTTATTTTTCACACAGTGTGGCACGTTTTCCTAAGTATTTGAGATTGACCTTCAGCATATAGGAGAAATATCTTCTTAAAATCTGGATCGAAGCAGCTCTCACTATGAATATGTTCTTAAGGGGTCTTGTAATTGATAGTGGAATTACAAGGTGACTATGGACACAACACCAACTGGACTAGCCCAAAGCAGAAACGCAGCAGGGGGGTAAGTTAGGCTTAAACAGAGAGTGTCTAAAAGAATAAGGGCAATTTCGAATCGCCTAGGCGTACGGTCAGTATTTTGAAAAACTTTCAGTCGCTAGTTGTTTTCTTTGCCTTCATAAAGACACATACATCTGTAGGTTGCAGAAAGAGGGAAAATGCAAGTATGAGTTGCTCTACAAGCTATTTGACATGTTAGACGCACATAAACAATGAAATTAATTCAGCTGCTTAAATGATTAGAACCTACGACATTATTAGGGTGCTAGAGTGAGCAAAACAAGGATTAGCAGCATACACATATGACCAACCTATTCCTTTCTAGAAGTGTATTGCCTGTGCATGCTTGGTCCTGTATAGTCATATTCAGTAAAATAATTAACTCCACTACATTCCTATTTACTATGTAAATTGACCTGTTCATGATATTCGTACAGATCACCGTTCAATCCCAGATCCCAACGGGTCAGTAGTTGTAAAGCGAGCGGCTGAGCAACCTTGTTTCCTTTATTCAGCAGGTATGCTGCCAGTTAATATATCTTTAATTTAAATATGCGGCTTTACAATACCATCCTAGATTTCCTCTTCGTCCTCCGAGTGATCATACTCATCTTCAAGTATGATAACGTTTCATTTTTACCATACGAGAAGACTGACTCAATTATCCATGATGAGTTCTAACCAGTTGACGGAAATCTTACGCCGGGATCCTGAGACTGGAGCAACGGCTGTAACATGAGTCACTGACGCCCACCATCTATCTTCATACAACTGGATAGAGGCTCCTGAGCCCACAATTGCCGTTCCAGGCCGTCCTCCACTTTGGTCTGGTCTTCCCCAAAATCTCCACTGAAAGTGGATAAGGACTCCGGCCTAATCTGCATAGCGCAGAACGCCACTCTGCATCCCGAATATCCCCTTGAACCACTTTTCCGATCCTTATACATCAAGCACCCTTCATTTGAACTCCAATCTATTGATCTTTTGACTGACCAAAACGATATCCGCAAACTGCTGTCGCTCATCAATTCTAAACTCAGCAAGGATGATGTGAACCTTTCACTATCAGTGTTGAAGCCTTCAAAAAGATCGTGATATTCTCTCGTACAGACACTGAGACTATGAGGTCCATGCACCCAAAGGATTTCATGGGTTTCGGTCAACAGTTCGAGAAAGCGTTTTCTACTGACCAGATCGATGACACTACCGGACATCAAAGGATTATTTCCTTTCAATTCAGTGGCCTGGAAATAATTGTGCGGTACGAAACAGATGGATACGTTGATACACATACAAAAAACACGGAATTGGGGAATGATGACTTAGCCGGGTATGATATAATCTTTGTCCTTCATGGCCTCAGCTCCGCCTTTCCTGATCCTACTGGCTCAAAGTTGAAGATAAAGAATATAGGAAAAACCGCAGGGATTGAATCGACGTTAGAGATCAAAACCCGTGTCCCTCACAAACCTATCCACGCGGAAGTCCTGATACAGTTGTGGGTAGGCATCTCAGAGCTCTAATCTCCTCCGCGCCTACCACAGACACGGTCTATTTGATCCACCCAAAGTTGAAGTCGTAGATCTGATATGATCCAAGGAACTCCATAAATGGTACGTATTGAATCATAATACTCTTCCAAGGAATCTTTCACACAGGTAATCACTTTCCCGATGCTATCACGCCATATCCAGCGCCATCTCCCTACTAACCTCTTATATTGATTAAATTCACCGAAAGCTTGTACGAGGTGTGATTCCTGTGCAGGCCACAGAATACCTGGAAGAATGCCGGTGGAAGATGAGGCTCCCATTCCTGGAACATTCCCGGCACAGGCAGCCGGACTTAAGGGAAAGTGAAAGGCGAACGGCCACTAAAATGCTACCAACGGAAGAAAATCTAACAGTAGATCACAGACAGGTAGTATCAAGCGTTGGCAGAGGTAAATCAGACCGTTCCAAGCCATCTATGCCTAGGTAGAGAGCATTTCGGAGTAGGTGCGAGGATTTAAGAAGATATGTGAGTACACGCTTGCCACATCAGGCCTTGTTATAATAAATGCACTACTATTTTTCGTCTGGTAGAAAAGAATATTTCATATAAAAATCCTGTTGTGAATATACCTAAGTAGTAAGTAGGTACATACATTGATGATGGTAACAATAGGCAATAACAAAAATTCTATAAAGTCTAATCTAGAAGAAAATTATGGACATCCTTGGTGTGAGTGCATGATGCTTAAGCAGTCGTGCTCTGGTCTGATCGAGGAGGCCACTTAACTCGTCTCTCTGCACGAACATACAAGTTGTTGGGCCTGATCAATTGGAACATAGGGTCGTATTCGATGGGACCATCTCCTTCACGAGTGAACTTGTAACGGTAGACAAGCTTAGGCAAGAAGACCTTAATTTCCTGAAGAGCAAAGTTGAATCCAATGCACATTCGCTGCCCTGTTGCGAATGGGATATAAGCGGCCTTGTGTCTATTCTTGACCTCCTCGGTATCCCATCTATCTGGGTTGAAGCGGAATGGGTTGTCCCAGATTTCTGGGTTGTTGTGAATATGGTGAAGGGCAGGAATGATAACTGCATCTTTGGGCAATTTGTAACCTCCTGGGAGGATAAGGTCACACTTGGCAGTACGTCCTGGTTGGAAGGAAGGATTGTGGCGGCGCTGGGTCTCTTTAATGTACTTGTCGAGGAAGTCCAGCTTGTCTGTGAGCTCGGCAGTTATCTGTGTGTTCTCATCAAACCCATGGTCGATCAACTCTTGGAGGAGTCTGTCCTGCATTCCTTCGTAAGTGCAAAGACCGTAGATGAGCCACGAGAGGAGGGAACTTGTTGTAGTGAACCCGGCTCCAGTGGCAACAACAAGTGCCCAGACCAAGCTTGATTGGGGCAGCTTCTGGCCTTTGTTATCGGTTGCACGAATTGCATAGTCTATTCGTAAGAGTTAGCCTAGATTACGCGCGACTTTTTGCTTGACGGAATATTGTTACTTACCAACCATGTTATCTGCTTTGAGAGCGGCGTCTTGAAGAGGAAGATCCTCAACGCCACCTCGACTTGCCACTTCGATAGATTCACCAACCATCTCTTCAATACGAGCTTTTAAGTCCCTCAGGCGCTTGGGGTCTCCGAATGGCAGCTTGTTGTACCAGTCACCCTTGGACGTGACTTTCTTATTCAAAGAGAGCATTTCAGCAATGCTGTGAACCATTTCGTGGACAGGAGCGCTAGGGGAAGTGAAATGCTGGAAGTCCAAACCAAGAGTAAGCTTGCCGACGGCCTGAGAACCCAGTTTCAACATATAATAATAGACATTCCAAGCTTCACCCTGCTCATCCAGGTGGTCAAGCACCTTGAACGCATCCTCGACAGTCTTCTGCATGGTTGGAGCATAGTGACGCACCGCCTTGGGTCCTAGGGCAGGCGGGAGGAACTTATGGGCTACCCTCCACTCTTCGGTATCTGTGTCACCCAAGAAGACTCCAGCAGAAGCGTTCTTGAGAGCATAGAGGGGATGAGCTTCGTTAATCTTCTTTGTGAAGAAGTCGGATTCGGCGAGGGCAATGGCCGCAATAGCAGGGTCATTGGTTTGGTAGGTGATGCGGCCCATGTTGTCTGTCTTGATTACAGGACCATACTGGTCAAAGAGACGCTGGTGATTTCCCAAGTGGTCGGGATAGACTTCGAAGAAGTTACCAACGAATGGTAATTTCCTGGGGCTTGGAGGGTCACGAACAGCGTGACCATCAATCGTGATGGGGACGGGACCAGGTGCAGTGGTGACTTCGGAAGTTTCTGTGAGAACAGCATCCTTACCCAAGAAACCAATACCTGGTATGATGGTTAGTATGCCGACCATAAGAACTCATTCACAATCTGAATGAGAATAAAGATGTAGAACGAACGGCCACTCACCATTTGGGTCGGTAATAGCAAAGTGAGCAGCGATCAAGAGCTTCAAGTCCTCCAAACTCTGCGAAGGGTTAACTTCGATTGTTTTGGCGGTGGAGACATCCTCTCCTAAGAGATAGAATGTTTGTGACGGCATCTTGTATTGCTTGATGACTTGTAACTTTCTTTCGCCTTTTTTTTTTTTTACGGAAGATTCAGACTGAGTGGGAAGACTTCCAGGCTTGAAGAGTGTGTCTTATATTGCTGTCACTTTGTTCCTTAATAATAGAGTGCATTTATTATTTTTATCACTCGCCTTCCAAATCGGGGATGTACGCAATTCCTCCCGATCATCCTCGGAATTAGTATATCTCCAATTTCCGGCTTTCCGATTGGTCCAAAGAGCCTACCTCGGAAACTCGGCCAGCATCGACCACTTTGATCTCTCTCTCCTCTCGGAGATTGGATATAGGACAGCTTTAAGATATGTAAATATGAGTCTTTTAACGCCTTCGATAAGGGTATATCAATGCGGGTTTTTGTTATCCTTTTTTTCTTCTCAAGTCTTGGCCACTTAACTTGACCCTTATTAATAACGTTCTCACCATCGTTGCAGGAAGTCATATCTTTTCATTCTCATTCTTTTTTGTACTCTCTCCTTACTTTGTATCCTTCTTTATCTTGCTTTTGACAACCGCAGCAATCATGTCTACCTTTACTTTGGAGGATGTGGCAGCCCATAACAATAGAGCTGATCTGTGGGTTGCCATCCACGGGAAAGGTTAGAATGTTGTTTTCCTATCTTGTTGTTCAGAATTGCGATCTAACACAAAGTCTTTTAGTATACGATGTGACGAAATACGTGAAAGATCACCCCGGTGGCGTAGATCTCTTGGTTGATGTTGCAGGCCAGGACGCGACGGCTGCATATGAAGACGTTGGACACTCCGAAGATGCGGCCGAGATCTTAGAGACGTACCTTATTGGCGACCTTAAGGATGCCGTTGAATTCAAGCGTCCTAATGAAGTCCGTGTTGTCAAGCAGATTGAAACACCACCGGCCAAGAAAGAGAAGAAAGGAGGTTATGGCAAGCTTGTCTTGGCTACCGGCTCTCTGGCTGGATTGCTGGCACTCTACTTTAACTCTTCTTCGCTACGGAACCATACCCACCTGCTGAAGGCGATACCATCACGGTTACCCACCAACCTTTTTCCGTACGAATTGCCTAAGGGTGGTTTCGTCAACGGATTCGCCGCCGCAACCTTGATTTCTGTCGTAGCTGGCAGTTTCATCGGTTCCCGCCTCTCCAAGCTCACCCAGCTTGAGTCCGGTTTCACAAAATACCCTCCTCACATCAAAAGCGTCAAAATTGTGAAGCTGAATCCCCACCTTACCCCGGGATTTCTACACCCCAAGGAATACAAGGCTCTCCCCTTGGTCCAAAAGGAGCTATTGGCTCCTAACGTCTTTCGGTTCGTGTTCCAACTCCCTAATCCCAAGGGTGTAATTGGTCTCCCGATCGGTCAGCATGTTGCCATTAAAGCTACTATCAATGATCAATTGGTTTCACGATCCTACACGCCAACTTCAAACAACCTTGATTTGGGCGTATTGGAACTGGTGATCAAATGCTATCCCGATGGATTGCTCACTGGTCAGTACCTAGCCAATCTCAAGGTCGGTGATAAGGTACTATTCCGAGGACCCAAGGGTGCTATGCGCTACAAGAAGGGACTATGCAAGAAGATTGGAATGATTGCGGGTGGCACAGGCATCACACCTATGTACCAATTGATTCGAGCCATCTGTGAGGATGACACCGACACTACCGAGATCAGCCTTATATACGCCAACCGCACCGAAGAGGACATTCTTCTTAGAAAAGAACTGGAGCGTTTCGCATCTGCTTACCCTAAGAACTTGAAGATCTGGTACATGTTGGACAACCCTCCCCCCAAATGGGCCTATGGAAAGGGTTACGTGACCCCTGCGGTTATGCAGAAACGGCTGCCTGAACCCTCTCCCGACACCAAGATTATGCTTTGCGGTCCTCCGGGAATGATTAACGCATCTAAGAAGGCGTTGGTGTCTTTGGGCTTCCAGGCCCCAGGTGCCATCTCCAAAATGACGGATCAAATTTTCTGCTTTTAGACATTTCTTTTATCAAATCCTTTGTTCCCTCACACTGTGACTAATATGCTTCTGTTTCTTTCGCTCTTTTACTTTTCCTTTCTTATTTTACTATTATTCTCCTTGTTTTTCGTTTATGTATACTGTTTATAGACCGCTTGAGCATAGACTAGTTGGAGTCTGGAACAAAATAGATGTCATTTTATGCCGGGATCAATCAAATCAGATACTTATCGCGGTCTAGATGCTCAATTTAGCATGATAGAATCTGTAGACCCAGGCAACTTGACGCGTCGTTTATGTGTAGACTCAAAGCTATAAAGTAAAGTCTTAAAGTTTTACCTAAACTGACTACCAACTTCCCCAGACGCAATCTCACTTAAATGATTCATTCATTAGCTCTAAGTCGGGTAGCCTCGAAAGCTTGAAACTTCTAATCTTACCTACAACCAAGCGTCTCGATCCTTGAAATCTCAAAGTCCGACGGGGTCTGATGTCAGTGGCCAAATCAGTGGCTAAACCGTGACAGGCAATTCATCCCGGATTACCCAAAGGAGATCCCAGTCAGATATCTCCTTCCGTTTTCTCCCATTACTCTGTAATAGAATGCTTGTATATGCATCACTTAGTTAGTGCTATTATGTAGATCTTGAGGCCGAATGCCGAGTTAGCGCAGCCGAAAAATGCACGGTCTACCGACTTTAGCCCTCCCGAATATGAGAAGAAAGATACCTCGGGATGCTGCCGAGGTTCACTCAGAACATTGTTTCCGATTGGCTTTCCGGCCCTAACTACCACCGTTGAGATCCTGAAAAGCCACAAAATAACCTCATTTGAGACACGTCTGTCGATCATACTCAGGTACGTATGTTCGCTTCGAGCAATATAAAATAATCCCTCCGAGGTGTGGAACCAGATCCCGAGAATGCTTATCTCTACCGTCGACGCTGTCACAGCTGTGGGATCTTTAATCTCTCACTCGGCCACTCGCTGTATATCGGCTCGGTCGGGTTCGGAAGTTCCTAAGTATCCAGAAGTTTCATAGATATGGCTGGATTATCAATCCTGTGTTGGTTCCATATGCCAATGCGGGTCAGATTCTATGAGTATACCTGTATATAATAACTGTGGCAGTACGGATCTGCTGCATTCCACACTCGTTATACTCTCCATTTCCCTCCACAACTGTTTTCCGGTACTTGCTATTATCAAATTTGGTTGAACTAAGAACTTCTTCATCGCTACCTGATACCTTCTACCAACATGACGAGTCTTTGGCAACCACCCAAAGATTATCGAAACCGCCCTGTTGTTGTTCTGGGAGCAGGTGTTCTCGGACGTCGTATTGGTAAGCAATCCCTCCCTAACCAGAACTCCTTCGTGGTATGCATTGCTAAAACATTGCTATCCAGCCTGCATCTGGGCATCAGCAGGATATAACGTCCGAGTCCGAGATCCTAGCGCCGAACAACGTGAAGCATGCGCTGCCTACGTGCACGAAAACGTAGCCTTGTACGGAGACAACATTGCCAATAAGGTCAATAGCACTTATGGAGGAATTGAAACCTTTGAAGATTTGAAGGAGGCCGTTATTAATGCGTGGCTCGTCATCGAGGCCGTTCCCGAAAGAATCCAGATCAAAATCGACACCTTTGAATCATTAGAGAGCCTCGCACCCGCCGACTGCATCCTCGCTTCTAATTCTTCATCGTACAAATCATCTGAAATGTTGACCAAGGTGTCTGACGCAACAAAAGCCCGTGTTTTGAACATGCATTACTACATGCCCCCTCAAATCATGGTTGTTGAATTGATGACCAGTGGGTTCACTGAGAAGCCCATCTTCCAATTCATGGTTGATCGTTCTAAGGAAGCCGGCACCAACCCCTACGTTGCCCGAAAGGAGTCTACCGGATTTATCTTCAACCGGCTCTGGGCAGCAGTGAAGCGAGAAGTTTTAACCATTCTCTCTGAAGAGGTTTCAGTTCCCGAAGAAATTGACTCGATATGGTATGAGATGTTCATTAAGGGAAAGTTTCAACCTTGCAAGGGCATGGATAGTACGTGGCCACATTCTTCTCGACAATTCGGCTGGATAGGAATTGCTAACTGTTACCGTGTTCTAGGTGTCGGTCTTGACACTGTTGCTTTCATCGAAAATCACTACATCGCTGAGCGCGGTCTGTCTTCCGAGAAAACAGTCGACTATCTGCAAAAGAATTACCTTGATCAAGGCAAATTGGGCAATAAGTCTGCCAAGGGTGGTCTTTATCCCCCCGCTCAAACAAATGGCAATAGCACTGCCGCTGCAGAGTCAAAGATATATGTCCTAGATATTGGCTTGTCTGCGAGGAACCCCAGTGCCACAGCAGGTGAAATTCTCCGAGTCTCGCCTAGTGGGCAATTGGAGAAAGTTGTTCTCGCTGGTCAGGCTTACCCTGATGGAATCACCGTGGATCCCGTCAGCAAGCGCATGTTCTGGACAACCATGGGTGTTCCCGGAAAACCAGACGGAGCTGTGTACTCTGCCAATCTAGATGGCACCGACATCCAGACTGTTATCTCTCCGGGTGCCGTCAATACTCCTAAGCAAATCGCTCTTGACCAGGAAGCCAAAAAAATCTACGTCTCTGACCGCGAAGGTCTCCGTGTTGTTCGGTGCAGTCTCGATGGCTCTGACTTCGAAGTATTGATTCAAAACGGTGATTCTACCAAGGCGGAAGACCGCCAAGATCTCATGAAATGGTGTGTCGGTATGGCTGTCGTCCCCAGTCTTGGAAAGTTCTTCTGGACACAGAAAGGCATATCCAAGGGCAACAAAGGTGTCATCTACTCCGCAAATATTACCACCCCCGCAAACAAATCAGCCTCTGACCGAGACGATATTCAACGTGTCCGAGACAACCTCCCCGAGCCTATTGACTTGGAGTTTGACGAGAAGACTAGCACTCTGTACTGGACTGACCGTGGTGAGCTCCCATGGGGAAATTCATTGAACAGCGTCAAACTTGACGCAGCTGGTCTCGCTGTCCCAAGCTCGTCCCGGGGATATGAAATTCTCTCTCGCAATCTAAACGAGGCTATTGGCCTGACGCTAGATACCAAAAACAACACCATCTACATCACAGATTTGGGTGGCAACATCTATAAATCCGATCTCGACGGAAAGAATAGGGTGAAAATCTATAGTAACGAGGAAAGGGCATTCACTGGAATCACTGTTGCTTAACTGGGATGCATAGGCGGTACTGCTAGCAGGTCATTTTTTAGATATAGAAACTCAACGTATAGATTATTATAGAATGTTTTCCTTTTTCTCTTTTCCAACTATTATTACTAAGCGAATAGACCCAAATGCTATATAACCACTAGTTATTACGGCGGTTAAAGGTCAAGAATCATTATTACATTATTAAGTTACAAGGATGGCGAAGGAGGCAATTTAGGGCTCATAAAGGCATGTGATTAGCGCACTAGTGCCGGTTATGGTTAGTAGCTCCGAGGACCGAGTATCATAAATATCATCCACGTCCCTCAACCATTCAAGCGTCAGATATTATTCACACCATTAGAACAAATGCATTTTACAGACTACAGAAATTCGCAACTCTTCTTCTTGCCCGTTTGAATGCCGTCATGCTCAGCTCAGCAACATACTACCCATGATCGGCATATATAGATTTCTTATATCGTTGGCGTTCCGACCTCGGGATTCCCGGAATTATAAGAAGAGATCCTAAGAAGAATGTCAACCAACTCCGGTTCAACGCCACGACGTCGACATCGCTCAGCTTTTGCGTGTCAGTTATGTCGCCAACGGAAAGTACGATGTAGTCTTTCAGTTACTGGTGTTCCTTGCGCTGGATGTGCGCAGGACCGGCAGCAATGTATCGTCGACCCAAAGAGACGCGACATGTTAGTCAATTCTCAAATCATTACTCACAATCGCGACTCAGTATCTGACTATCTACAGTATTCCTTTAAATCGCGCGCAAGTGGCTCAAAATTCTCGTCAGAGCCCCTCTGCTCAGCGCGAATCTGCTCCCAACGGCAACGACATTGTCAAGACATCTTCGCCCGCGGCTTTTGGTCGCACAGAAGACACAATTATTTCTCAGCAAACCCAAATCCCATCTCCATGGAACTCTCAAACTAGCGAGAAAGGGTCACTCTCAAGGGATGATGTTTTGGAAGAAGAGCGTCATGGGCTTGAGATAGCCGATGCGGCTCTAGGACAACCACAGCGGGTTGGCCAGAGGCCCTTTTACACCGGTAACACGAAATTAATATCCCGAAATCACAAATTTACAAAAACTAATTGAATAAAGGACACGGCCTCGGTCCAACATCTGCATTGGATATCTGCCGACCCGAAAAGTCACTATCAAGACACCTCCTCCTCCCATCTGGCGTCTCGACTACAGTGTCAGATGAGGATCGGCAGTATCTCCGACAGAAAAAAGTGTACAACTTACCAGGGCAGGAAACCTGTAACAGTCTTGTGCGTGCCTACTTCCACCATGTGCATCCTATCATACCGGTTATTGAGGCGGATGTTCTATTGAATTATCACACCGCGGGCCGATTGCACGAGTATAACCTATTGCTTCTGTGGTGTGTATTTTTTGTTGCGACGAATGTAAGCTTACCTTTCATATGCGAAATTCTCAGCGATGATGCTAAAGTTAACCAAAAACTTCAGTTTGTCTCACCAGAAATCTACGAATTGGAAGGGTATGCATCTCGAAAAGAGATGAAAGCTGCTATGTACTCCCGCGCAAACGTGAGTATCTGTATATTCAAGTATTATTACACTACTAATTGAAACCAGTGCATGTACAACAACGGAGGTGAAAGAGACCAAATCGTTCTTCTCCAAGCCTCCTTGTTAATGGGATTCTGGCATTCAGAAGTCGACGAACATACACAACCATGGTACTGGACAGGCATTGCAGTCAGCCTCTGCCAGATGCTGGGCTTACATCGAGACCCGGACTCGTCCAAGTACAATTCTTTCATTTCAGATCGACAGCGCCATCTGTGGCGTCGTCTTTGGTGGACCTGCTTCTCCCGAGATCGCTGGTTGAGCCTGACGTTGGGTAGACCCTTGCGGATTGATCTTAAGGACTGTGATGTGCCGATGCCAACCCCGGATGATCTGCTTAGTGACGTTGAGCACATTCCTCAGTTTACGTCCTCGTCTTACCTGCCCAGTAATCTACCACGGTTGGCCAATTATTGGATTACATATGTCGAGTTGAGTAGGCTGCTAGGCGCAGTCCTAATCATGAACTATCAGACTCAAAGACCAACGCCGACATTGTCGCAGGTGGAAGACCTCGAAGCGGAGATCATGAGCTGCAAGCTGCCAAATCAATACGAACCCGGTCTGACTCGGACAGCACTTTTCTATTGCTATCATCTAGATCTACACTATCAGTAAGACCCTATCTATATACACATTCATAATCAACCATACTGACTCGTCGTCTAGGGCGCTTCTAATCACATTCTACCGCCCCTTCGGAACCGCAATCCCAGAAGGTCTCGACCCTTTATTCCAAGAAAACTGGAATTACCGCATGTCCCTCCGAGCTGATGCAGCCGCCTCTCGAACAAACTTCATCATTGAATCCATCGCACAGGACGGTCTGCTCGAATTCGCAGGACCAATGACGTGAGCACACCCTACCCCCCTCCCCCCCTTTCCTCTAAACAAAATAAATATATCACAACAAGAACATTCTTAACTAAAAAAAAGCAACCTCATACCAGACCCCCTCTGCTAGTCCCAGCAATGCAAATGCATCTCCTCCGCTGCAAGAATGCTGGTCCCCTCCCACGACGTCTCCGACTCAACAAATTATATACCTGCATGATCGTTCTAGGCGAACTCCAAAGGACATATACAGTAGCCTCAATATACCGCGCAATCTTCGCAAAAGCGATACATCAGATATTCCCAAATTTCACTACGAGTACGCTTTTGGCTAGGTCTATTGGTGATTTTACTGCCGATTTTGATGATGGTGGTGGTGGCGGTACCGCCGGTGGCGATGGGGGTACAGAAATGACAGATGCGCCTAATCCTACTGCTACTGCTACTGCCAATGCGGCTGGCGCTGGCGCTACGACCACGATTCCCATGGGCGAAGAATTAGAATTCAATACCGAGACGGCCGATGAGTTTATAAATATGCTCATGGATGATGAGGCTTCTATTTTCCATTTTTGGGATATGAATCAGACGATTGAGAATTTTCCTTATACTGGTGGCGTTGTTTAATATTTTACATTGTCCATCTTTTTTGTCCCGATTTATTCTGTTGATTTATTGGTGTTTCTATTTGATAGAGGGATGATGGGTTTGATAGATGGATGGATCGGATAGATGGGATGGAGCTGCTATTATTAGGTATTGGTCTATTTTCCCTTTATTTTATTTTCATCTTAGACAAGAGACAATACTTCCAAGGTTGATGAACAAAATCAGACGACCATTCTTTAGCTTTAGTTGAGCTCTCGCGATTCCCTACCCTGGATACCCTGGTACGACTGCTAAGTTTATTATTATCATGAAAACAAAACCTACCTAGCAAATCCTCTTGGAACTTGGGTATTTAGATATCTAGGTAACTTCCAGCTTCGATTATATCCACAGATATAACCTCAGAAGAGAATTCCCAGGACCGTTACGAAACAACTCAATTACATCGACTTCTCATAATTTCTGTAAACATCATTGCATGCTAGACTCAATAACTCTTCCTACGGATCAACACAATATATAAACGTACACAAGAAACTTCACGTCGAGAAGCAGATGAGAAAAAAAAAAAACAATCACACAAAGTATATTACCAGGAACGAATCGAAAAGAGCTTAATCCAAGGAGAGAGTTATTTTAAATGACAATAAAGAAAAAATATTTCAAGTGCAAAAGAAAACGCCATCCTGCTGAATCGAGCAAAAGTAAATCCCATCCAGCCTTGACATTTTCATTTCAACTGTTATATATATGAATGGGATGACTTGGAACTGATGTTTTCAGCATCTACTCAGCGTTGGAGAGAATGTCGCTGATACCCCAGAACTGCTCAACGCCGAAAGAACCAGGGTTCTTCCAGTGGTCGTTCTTGTAAGAGAACTGAGCGGCAATGGATCCAATGGACTTGCGGATTCCATCCATGGCAGCCTTTTGTTCAGCAGCACCAGGGATGGCCTTGCCGTTGCTGTCACCAGCATTGGGCCAGCCAGACTCGCTAACAAAGACTTGGTCGTTATTGCAAATACCCTTGAGGATCTCAACCTCGCTAGCGACGAAGTCACCAGCGGTTTCAGCAGCAACATCACTGTTGAAGAAAGCCTGGAGGTTGGCAGAGGCGAAGTCGACAACACTGCAGAGAGTGGAGCCAGAGCTCTGCCAGACGTTGAGGGGCTCGGCGACGGTGAATTGACCAGAGTAGCCGGCGGCCTTGATAGTCTCTTTGGCGGAAGAAACGAAACCAGCGAGATCAGAGGCAGAGCAGAATCCGTCACTTAGAGCTTCGTTGTCGAGAGAGATGAACTCGACACCATCCCAGCCGTTGGACTTACCCCAGTTAACAATGTCGCTAACCTGGCTGTGGCCGGAGCTGACGCCGCTGCCGTCAATGTAGACACCGAGGATGACCTTTAGACCCAATCCAATGGCCTGGGAGGCGACAGTCTCCAATTGGTTGCAGTCAGTGGAGTACATGCGGATGGCATAGAAACCGTTTGCCTGGATGTTCTTCAGTTCGGGCAGGACCTGATCGGCGCTCATGCAAGCACCAGTGTCGTGGGTGTAACCAGTGTATGTGACAGCATACTGATCATGCTGACCCAAGCCGCAGCCACTTGAGGGGGTTGAGGTGTGGGAAGGAGCAGGAGCAGAGGTAGAAGTAGAGGAGGGAGAAACAGGTGCGGGAGCGACAGAAGTGGAGGTAGATGCGACAGGAGCAGGAGCAGGAGCGACAGAAGTGGAGGTAGATGCGACAGGAGCAGGAGCAGGAGCAGCAGTGGTGGTGGGAGCGGCTGGGGCAGGAGCAGGAGTGGAAGTGGATGAAGTAGCGAATGGGCAGACGTAAGTGTAGGAAGTGGAGACAACGGTCACGGTCTGCTCAGGCTGAGTGTAGGTGCCCGGGGTGACAGTGGCAGGAGTTGGGTAGACAATCACAGTGCTGGCTGGAACGGTGGTGGTGATGGGAGCAATGGTGTAAGTACCAGCGCTGGGGCAGACATAGGTGGTGGTCTGGATAACGCTGGTGAAGGTGCTGCCAACGGGGCTGACAGTAGCGTAGGGGCAGACGACGGTGGTCGAGGTCTCGACAACAGTGGTAACACCACCAACGGTGTGGGTACCGCTGGGGACGACAGTGGTGGTTGCCTCAGGAACAACAGTCGAGGAGGTAACAGTGACGGTGGTTCCTGGGATAGTATAAGTACCAGGAGTAGGGAAAACAGTCACTGAGGCTGTTGGGAGAGGAACGACAGGGGTTGAGGTCGATGCCTGGACAGTCACAGTGCTGTAGCTGGTCGACTGCAGAGTGGTGGTGCTGGTTGAGGTGGTAGTTGGTTCAGGAGCCGCTGGGGTAGAGCTCTCGGTGACTTGGACGACTGTTTCTGTCAGTTCTCCGATCTTGAGTGGTACGAGATATTTCTCCACAAATCTCTCGTCATCTTTTACAAGGCTGATGGAACTCACGAGTAGGAGCACCCCAGTAGGTGACAACGCTGGTGTAGCAGCCGCAAGTCTCGTCACCAGCACCACCAGCAGCAGCACCTCCACGGCGGTGAAGAGCAGCATGCTCATGGCGGTGGTGGTGATCATGGGCCATGGCCGATCCCATAAGGGCTGCCGCGGCGGTCCAGAAAGCGGCCTTCATCTTCGATACCGGATATGTGTACGCTCAACAGCTTGCAAATTGACAGAACAGATCGATATTCTCGTGCTTTGAAATAATCTTCCCTTGTCGTAAGGAGTGCCCGCTGAACGAGTGAAGCGGTGGTCAAACGATGAGTCGTGATGCTCGTCAAGAGTCAAGGTGTGGGTAGGAAAGAGAAGAAAAGAGAGAGAAGAGAAGGAGGAACAACAGCGAGTAAAGAGGGAAAAGGAAAGGAGCGGCCTGAGGCATTGAGTGGGAACAGCCAAAGGCGCCGAGTCTGGCTTTCAGGGGCTGGCGGCCACTCGTTTTGCCCCGTTTGGGGAACCCCAATTTCGCGGCGGACGGAGATTCGCCCATTGTCCCTGCGTGGCTGATTTAGGCTCGTATTGTTTACTAGCAGATACTATGCAAACACCGCCAACCATTGATGGTTCTCCTTTGTTCGTACGGGATATTACGCCCAAGTTACCGCTTAATCAGACTGGCGCTTTGCTCAGGCACCGGACAGTCCTAATTGGCTGTGACTTGGCTTTTGTCTTAAATGTAAGTAGTTCCCCTGTCTGGAGTAGCGCTACCAGATAATGGCAGATATCAAGGCATGCCAATAACCAAGTTACCCCAAGCATATCCTCTGTATTCAGTATTCAGCAGAATATACTGATACAGCATTTCGGTCGGGCTGGATGTTGTGTGCTGGCTCAGTTAGTAATCAGCCTGCACGAATCAGCGTCTGCGGAGAAGCGAGCAGCCGCTGTGCTGATTGGCTGATTGGCTGAGTTGACTGCCAATAAAGGAAGGAGTTGGCCAAGAAAAGCAAAAGGAGACTGCCGAGGCTGTCTATTATTGGGTGGAGTTGTCTAAAGAACTCCACCCTGCGTGCTGTTCCTGACGCTAAACCATATTAGGACACAGCTAATTTCCTCACCTCATTTCCGCCTCTTCCCTTCTCCCTGACAGCACGCCACGTACAACACTGTCGACTCCGATCGAGACCTTGCTATGATCGGACAACTCACGATAACTGTCATACATCAATCGATCCTTTGATATCTCCCTCGCAATTGTACAACTCTCAGTTACAGGGGTCAATAGAACACATGCGCCACCGCCGATCCCCCCGCGCAACCAATCCTGTCCTTTACAGAGTCCGACTCGGCTAGTTCAAGGCTGTACGTACATTCAACTACAATGAGTTCAATCTCCTTGATCGATTGGAAATGGACCCTCGCTTCTCTAGATTTCTATCCACCCCGTTAGTACCGAATAGTATGGTGTACGTACATGGGAAAATACAGTGCCAAGAACATAGAATCTCAGTCAGCCGCCATCACCGCCGAACTGAAACATGAAACGAGTGGAGGTCAGCCGCAAAGTTAGAGGTTTCTCAGCGGGTGTAAAGACACGGTGTGACGCATATGGGGTACCAAAAAGACATCAGGTTTCGAAGACTGAACGTGCTGGTATTGTGTTTGGAACTCAAGATCTTGACATGAGAGGATTGACAGTCTCGGCAGATTAACAGTTCTCGACCGGTCGTACGCAATGGTCAACGATGATCCTAATTTAATGATCAAGGCCAGACTCGTCCGTTGAGTCCAGAAGTTGGAGATCTCTGAAAATCGTCTGTGCTGGTCTAGTGCATGCCAGTTTGCTGCTAAAGAGCTTGTTTGCTGGTGTCTTTGCCTTGATGAACCAGACAATCGATCATGTCAGTGCAACAGATGACTATTTTTATCGGTTGATCTCTTTTCAATCATTGAATGACTCGTACATGGTGCCGATAGCATCCTAGGGAGTTTCTAGATATCCTGATTAGGCCAGAATTGATGCTATTTTGCAACGATACCGTGACGGATATGCACCCGCTGCATCTTTGGGTTGGCAGAGAGTTATTCGTTCGGTCATCATTGATGCCTTGTCTGACACGAGGCACTGTTTCAAAGGATGCTCGTGTCTTGTTGACATCCAAGATGAATGTCAATCAACTGATATGAATTCGTAGGCATGGACATATCACAAACAACAACTTCAGTATCCAGGTTGGGTTCATATCACTCCCCGTTGTTACACTACTTGCGAGAGTCGACAACAGAACATGTACGACACGGTTCCAACATTGGATATACGGAATAATAACCATTGAAGAAAAGTGAAATGACATTGTGCAATAGCTATGCACGCCTGAACACCAACGATAACGCCCAGCAGAATACAAACATGGCAAACAGCCTATATACAGTTCAATAGCCCGTCACTCGAGCTCTTCCGTCTTTCATCTTCTGATATCCCAATCCAACTTTCCGGGATCATATCCACCTCGATCGATTTCACTTCGAAAAGAATCTATGCCAATCAGTCTTTATTCGACCCCAGGGGGGAAAAGAAAAGGAGAGAAACATACCCACTAAACCACCCAAACAACGAACCATTATTCCCATGCACATCCTCATCAACAACATGTCTATTGGCCCAACCACCATCAACATTATAATGTTTCATATCCTGTAGACCCGAAAACAGTCCACGACCAGCGGCATTGCGGCGTGTGCTTTGTGTTGGTGGTGTTGAGCGAACCCAGTAGTTCATGCCGGGGTTGGCCATTGATTGGGTTGGATCGTAGTTTTTGTGGTCGTTTGATGGCATTGTGTTGGTAGGTCTTTGAGCGCAGTTGAGGTTGAGGTATGAGAGGAGATGAGACTTGGTATGTACTCGCAGTGTTTAATGCTTGTTTGATTGTGTGTTGTGTCTAGATAAATACCGAATGGCCTCGTCCTCAGGCACCTTTTATATCTATCTACTCAAGCCCCAGCCCTATGCCTCGAACCATCTTGAAATGAATACATCACACCACCCCGGGGTTATACAACAGTCTTCCCGTCTCTCGAGTCCGACAAACACATCTTCGGGCCATGATCATTCGATATCAACCACTAACAAGAAAAGAAAACAAAAGGAAAGACAACGGAAAACTTCGGAGCGCCCCGATAGAGTGGAAGTCATATGAATACCTTCAAAATTTGATCTTTCGGGTATAATATGACGTTGTTAGGCACGTAGAGTCGAAAATATACGATAATTCTCTGGTGGTGTTATATGTGATTGTTTCGGCGCCGAGGGTGTGCCAGTGGTAAGTTTTCTTTTCTCGCGGGGAGATCCGATGAACCTCTTCTACACACCATGTACATTTTTCGCATTGGATGAGGCTAAAACATTCCCGGCCGTTCGGGTTTCATTGTCTGACAAACTTATCATGCTCTGCTATACATGTGTATCGATGTGGGTGGAATTAATGTGCTCCTTGGGGCATGCCAGAGCAGCTGAAAAGGTCGATGAGCTAATCGCACACGGAAGTCATGTGATTTATCGAATATCAACATCAACTGAGTTTTCTTCTAATCGCGGAATTCTTCTTTGTCTCGTTTGTTCGAATTGACTGCAGTATTTGGTGTATATCGCTGAAGTCGTCGGTTCGCAATACGTCCACGATCGAAGTGTGCACTATTGATGAGATGGTACCGAATGTGCCATTCAACGATGAGATTACATTGACTTTATTGATGGATTCTTGGGTGAACTGCTGACTGGAACAGTTGCTGGATATGCATTTCTATTCTAACATACTGCTATGGAAGAAGTACGCTGTAGATACACGAGACATTGGTATATCCAACATTACTAGCTGGGAAGAATAGCCAGCCTCATGCTCATATGTCTCGCATTTCTTACCTAGGTCGATACTGTACGTGAACAACGTGCTCGACACACGAACATACGCCCGAGACATCTTTCGAGATTGAATCATCGATGGCATTACATAGATGCCGAAAGACAGCATATACATATACGACATTCCTATACACAAAATAGCACCCAAAACTGGGATCCTCCCCGAACCAAATCAAGAATATCTCACCATCCCAACCGTTCCCCCTTTCAAATCAACCTCATCCACTCCCCTTTCCTCAGGCACAACACTATAAAACTCCCTCCCTCTCCCATCCCCTCCTCCTTGCGAACCAGAAACATCTTCCAACCCATATCCCTGCGCTTCTCTCGTTGGCAGACGACCACCCCTCCTCCTGCAGAAGAACGACCCAACCCCCGACGACCCCGGATCTTCGCCTCGTCCTTGCGCGCGGCGACGCGAGAGGTAACATTGACCTATACATGCTGCGCCTGTTATTATGAGGATACCGAGGATGATTATGGCGATGATAATGCCGATGGGAGCGCTGCGGGGAGACGGAGTCGTCGGCTGAGGGTGATTTGTGACTTCGGTTGTGACAGTGGTTGTGACAGTGGTCGTAGTTGTGGCCATTTTGCGTCGTTGCTGCTGAGTTTTGTTCGTATCTGGGTTGTTCGAAGGGTTCAATCGCTTTCAAAGAACGGATATGCGGCCATCAATATTCATCTCTTCACACCATAAACACAGAAATATAAATCCACTCACTGCATCCTTTCAAAATCGTATACTCATAACACATCACTTATCCCTAAAATTCATATGTAGGAAACTTTCATATCCATCACGCGGGGAAATAAACCATGGCGTGGCTCTGACCTCCTCTACCACATAGGGGTCTCCCCTAAATAGTAGTGCATAAATAAAGCTTAGCGACCTACTCCAATCAGGTTAAAGAATGCACATTGAAACTTGAAAGCAAGCATTGCGACCCAATCCAAAGGACTAGAAGCAGCCTCATAGCGCTACACAGACAGCTGATACTTTTAATTGGTTGGTTAGAAGATTGTTACCGTTGCAGGCTAGGGTTGATGTGGATTAGGGCTGGGGTTGGGGTTTTATTGGTGGGTATTTCATATATTTTTGAATCAGAGAATGGCCAGTGTGATAACGAAGGAAGGCCGCTCCATACTTCCACTAATATCAGTTTGAATGATTTTAATATGGAATTGAACAGTATCCAATTTGTTAATCCTAAATTGCATTAATGTATAGGACGGGAGGTGCCTTCATCTCTAGATCGAACTCACTCCTGATATATTCGCCTGGGCCCTGAGAGACTTCCTGCTCGTTCTAGCCAGTTTCTTTACTGTAGAATCATTTAGATGCTTGTGGTCAATTGACACTTGGAAACACAGGCCGGACGAAATGACAGCAGGTTCACTGGATTTGGTATACAATTCTCCATGGCTACATAGTTATACATCCCAGCCTCCATGGATCTCATTCCCATTCTCATAGTACACAGCGTCCCTCATTTGGACGTCGGGAGTGCCCTAATTGTTTCAACAAAAAGTCATATTACACCTCCTCATAATGCTGATTAGTCGAACCCTTCCTATCCTCCACAACCTCCGTCAACCCCTTAGCTTGTGCCAATGTCCCACGTCCTTGTTCATGCAAATAACCACTAGAAACATAATTAGTCACTTCCCAACTCATAACCACACGAAATAAAGGGAAGGGAAGGGAAAAAAAAAAAAAAGAAAACTCACAAAATCTCATCCATCTGCTCAGTCGTAAGACCCTTCGTTTCCGGAAGACAGAAAAACGACCAAATAGTAGCAAGAAGCATCCAAGAAGCAAAGAAGAACCATGTTCCATAACCAAATGAGGTGAAAATGTAGGGGAGGGATTTTGTGATTGTGAATTGAGTTGCCCTACACATATATTAGTATACAGCCGTGTCTAGAAGCGAGGAAGGAGGACGAACCATTGAACAAGAGAGGCCCATGTTCCGGACACATTTCGCAAAGCACCAGGGAAGATTTCGGCCGATACGATCCAGGGGATACCGTTGAGACCGAAAGACCAGCTGTAGTAATAGTGAGTATGCAATCAATCAGTTTAGGGCCTGGAGCCGTACAATATAGCGTAAATCATGATGAATCCAATAGCAGCTCTGCCGCCGGCAGCAGTAGATGAAGATAGTTGTTCACCGGCCGCGAGAGTAGCGGCGGGATCCCCAATCTTGACGTATGCGCCGACAACCCAGAGGCAAAGCGAGCATGCAATGGAAGACACGATGACGGGGTTTCGGCGTCCGAGAGTATCGATGAAGAAGATGTAGAAGATGATTGACGCGACGGCTATCAGCAGTTAGCCTATACCCCATCTTCAGATATTTCGTGTCGCAAGAAGAAGGAACAAACCTTTAACCAAACCATAAATACCAGTATACAAAGACACCTCCGTAATCCCCAACGAGGTAAACAATGTAGGCGAATAATAATTAATAGCAGCCGCACCAGACATATTCTGCAACGCAAAAGCGCAAAAAACAAGCAACACACGATTCCGCATACCCTTGCGCATCATCTCGTTTATGGCACCGCGGAAAAACGCCCATTGACCTGATCCGTACCTCGCAGAGATTGCCTCCTCTTCTTCAAGTCTGGTACGAATCATGGCAACTTCTTCCTGAATGTATTGATGATCAACGGGTAATCGTCTCAGCTCTTCCAAAACTCTAAACGCTTCCTCCGTTCTGCCTTTACGCATCAACCACAACGGCGTTTCGTGGAGGAAACACCCTCCAACAAGTAGGATACCAGCAGGGATCAATTGGCATGCCATGGGAATCCGCCAAGTAATAGATTTAGTTTGATCCATGTTCTGATTAATGCCGTAATTGATCCAGAATCCCACGACGGATCCAACTTGGTATGCAATCTCAAAGAATCCGGTTAGAATACCACGGATAGAAGGGATGGATAATTCGGCGATGTAGCTGGGGACACCGGAGGTGATGCCGCCGCATCCTAGGCCGGTTAGGACTCGTCCTGCATCTGTAAATAATAAGTACTCCGATTTTGATAAGAGGAGAGGGTGTCTTACAGATCATCCCAAGTTGACCAGTTGTAGCAGTCATGAGTATAGCTCCAATCGTAAAGACAAGAACACTGATCTGAAGGGCCCATTTACGACCAACTCGTTCAGTGACTATATCTGTCAGTTACTATCCAAATAATCCTCAAGGATCTGAGACGTACTAAGAAACGAAAACAACGACCCAAAAAACGCCCCCGCCTGAAACGCAGAGGTGATGTTGCTAGAAGTACTATTGGCCGTTTTGGGATTGATTCCAAAATCATGCTTGAAGCTTTTCCGTGCAATTGTTGTGCCAACGAAGGCTGAGTCGTATCCAAATCTGCACACATCCATAAATTAGCATTAATTCCTTCTCAAAAATTTTTGGGGGAAGGTGTTCATGTACAGCAATGATCCGGTAGCTATAACAATCGCCTCAGAGTAGAGGCGAAAGTTATACACCTCCTTTGGCGTAGGCCGGTCTTCTACCGCGCGGAATCCACCCATTTCGAGAGATCTAGTATGCAATGGGAACTGAGAGTATAAAGTGGGCTATCGGAAATGACACACATTGAGACCTGAGAAGGATGAGTCCTTTTTATATATATATTAGTTCATTTAAGAGACTCTTCTTCCCCGTGGAGAGGCCGGTATGGGGTACACATAAAAACGCGGGGAAAAGACCGAAAGGAAGAGAAAACTTCCGAATCCGGTAAATAGCCGACCTACGGCCCAAACGGGGTTATACGCGAGGGAAAAACGAAAACACCAGGTTATTCCGACCTTTTAAGTTCTTGAGGGTAGATTTACTTGATTATAATTTTCGGTTCAGACTTATTGGCCATGCAATTTATGGACGTTGATTGCCTCACGACTGTGCCTTGGTCTTTCAATCAGGTGTATACGTCGGCTAGTATCTCAGTAGGGTAAGGACTTGTTCATATCAGATTCTAGGTAGAGTTCGTCTAGAACCAATTCATACAAGCAACTTGGAAGATCTCTATGCTGGACCTTGGGTCATTCCAAGGCTGTAGTCGTTTCTTGTCTGATTCATGCCCTGATCGTGTCGTGTCATTTGTAGTAGGTACTCTTTCTGGGTGCATCGCTCAAGGTCGCTATGTATTTCCTCCTAACCAGACAACAATACTGCGCGCGTCCCGAGTCCTGCTCTCGACCACCCTGGCTGCCCGTGATGATAACGCTCTTGAGCCGAAAAGCTCTATAATTGTCACCGTCCAACAGGATTCAAGAGCTTGAATGCCCCAAATACAGTTCGATGTGGTAGCGAATATGTCAAATACGTCTAGACCTCGTCTGCACAGCTGACGGTACGCTTATCGAGACTACTGTCACGTGCTAAAAGGGTACTACATCAATCAAATGTATTACTCTTCTATCCAAATTTGATCATACAATACAAAATTGCCTCTAACCTAATAATCACCAGACAGGCAGGTCAATCAGACAAATCTAGTCCCAAGACTTGATCTTCATAGTCCCATTCTCCGCCAAATTCTTGTGCATATTAAATGCCTTGAACAGCATATGCGGCTCATGACCCATACCCTTCTTCAAGCACTCAAACTCCGCACGATCAAAGTAATCCTGCAAGATGGGCTTGTAGTCTGGATGAGAGCACTTGTCGATAATAACGCGGGCGCGCTCACGAGGCGAGAGACCGCGGACGTCGGCGAGACCTTGTTCAGTGACTACGACGTCGAGGTCGTGTTCTGTCTGATCGACGTGGGTGCACATGGGCACAATGCAGCTGACACCGGTGGGATCGGTTTTGGTGGGTCGTGTACTGGGGGTGTGCATAATGCTGTATTTGGCGCTGCGGAGGAAATCGGCGGAGCCGCCGAGGCCGTTTAACATGCGTGATCCCATGACGCAGGTACTGTTGGCGTGGGCGTAGATGTCCACTTCGACAGGAGTGTTCATACCGATGACGCCGAGACGGCGGATGATTTCGGGAGAGTTGGAGACTTGTTGTGAACGGAGGAGGAGTTTTGGTGAGTAGCGTTCCCATCCATCGTAGAATCGCTTGAATCCGTCTGGCGAGAAGCGAATGGAAGTTGCAGTCGCAAAGTCGAGATGGCCACTGTCAAACAGATCTAAGAACGAGTCCTGAAGCACTTCAGTCCAGACTTTCAGGTTTTTGAAGTTGGCGCCGTGGCTGAGACCGCCGATGACGGCGTTGGCGATGTTACCAATACCAGACTGGATGGGCAAAAGGTTTTCGGGAAGACGGCCGTGCTTGACTTCGTGCTGCAGGAACTCGATCAAGTTGCGCGCAATGGCACGGGAGCTTTCGTCTTCAGGGGCATTGGGCATGGTGGCATCAGGGTAATCCGATTCGACAATGGCCACGACCTTTTCCGGATCAACCGGGATATGTGGTGTGCCGATACGATCCTCGGGAGAAAGGATGAGGTATGGTTTGCGACGTGGGGGAAGGTCAGAAAGACTGATGTCGTGAAGACCTTCAAAAGAAGGAGTAGCAGTGTTGACTTCGATGATAATCTTGTCGGCCATTTGCACCAACTCAGGTGATGCGCCAACGGATGCGCCGGGAATGATTCCACCGTCCTCAGTGATAGCGGTAGCTTCGACGACAGTCACATCAAGCTTGTTATGAGGACGATCTTTCGTATACCAGCCCTATTCAGTCAGCATCTTCCGCTCGCATCCCGTATCGGAGAGACAACTAACATAGACAAGATCAGAAGGAAACATGCTAAGATGTTTATCAAAAAACTGAATATTTCCAGTATTGATTCCCTTGGCAATCTCCTTTCCGACTTGATGAGGGCTACGACGCTCGATCATGTTAAGTCTAGCCCACCGATTCTCTGTTTCGGCGCCAGATGAAGCTCCGACGAAGAGGCTGTATTTGAGTTTTCCTTGCAGGTTGTTCTTCTCGACATGGTCTGCGAGAGCAGTTGGCACTTTCCTATTAAACAAAAATTAGCTTCGCTCGTAGCAGGTACATGACAAGGGGAGAGCTCACTTTGGATATCCAACACCAGTAAATCCAGACCAGCCAATGTACGATCCATGAGGAAAGAGGTCAATCAGATCCTCTGCCTTGGCGAGTTTGTTGAGGTACGAGGGCCGGCGGACCCGGCTCTTGAGCAGAGCTGAGGCAGCCATTGCGCGAATACAGAATTCAAGGAAGAAAAAAAGAAATAGAAACAAGGAAGAAATGCGAAGAAAAGAAGCTGTCGCAATCTATCCGCACGTCTCCGGCACAAAATAGAGAGCGAGAAAGAGGGATAGACAGAAAAGAGGTGGAGGAAGAGTGGAGTGGAGATGGTAGTGGTCCGGATCGATAGGCTCTCGTCTATCTACGACGCAGTAGGTATCGAGAGGAATCTGTACGAAGGACAAGATCAATCAAGACTAACGACTGGAGTCAAGAGAGGATGTAGTGAAAAAGAAGAAGAAGAAGAAGAAAGAGAAAGAAGAGGAAGAAGATTATTATAACTTATAAGAAACACGCCTCGTATGACGGTACCGGGCAGATCCATTGGCCAATTAGAAGCTTACCTGGTGGGGTAGCTGTATTTTTTGCAGCTTCACAACATATCGCATCGTATCACATCGTTGATGATTCCATCTGATAGTTTCCGGAATGAACTGAATGTGCTCAGATAGATGATATTTATATAGCATAGTTATACCTAATGAATATACAGTTTGTCTGTCTTGGCCTCAGGCCTCCCTGACATAACCATGAAGACTTATCAGTGACGTAACCCATTCAGCAATTTTAATCCTCTACGCTTACTATAGTACAGAGCACATGTTTCATGTGGCAATCTACATATATCAGACTGAGACAGTTAAACACAAAGAAAGATCCATAAGTAGAACAAAGAAGAGAAATCTTACCCCTCACATAGCTAAGAATAGCAGCCCTCACTACTCAGTTCAATATGTAGACAAGAATACATCCCCATACCCCATCTGTATTACATACATTGTATGCACTCCGTATTCCCCAACACACCAGTTCATTACAAGTCCCACAATACCCCATAAAGCAAGAAATTCCCCAAACACACACGAAGAAGCAAAAGACCAAAAAAAGGAGTGCCCGAGAAGGCAAAAACGGGCCGAAATGTGCAGGATTCGGTTATGTCGCCGGGTAATTCGATCGGTTAGACGGAGAGCTTTATCTATTACCTTATCGATAAGATCGTACTTATCAGGCTTGGAGGGTCAAGTATGAACACTTCTATAGAACTACATACTAAGTTATATAAGGAGAAAGAAATGATTTATTGTAATGCATACACTCTCTTAATATCACAAACAAAACAGGACTAGAACAGAAAGCAAATAAACCAGATCAAATACCTATTCATTCCATTCCCTCGCCAATAAGCCAAGCCCCCTAATAAAAGAAAAAAAGAAGAGAAAAGAAAAGCACTTTCTTACTGAATTTTCGAATTGTTCCGTCCTTCCCATATGTAAGAGTTTCTCGTTTACGAATGCTGTATGTTCGTGTTGAAGTAGCACCACCCAGCGAAATGGAAAAAAAGATGAGAACGCCAGAAAAACGCCAGATCACCGCACCAAACCAGCTAAAGAAAATCAGAGAATCATAGTAATTCGATAGCACAGATGTCATATGTATCCCCAAAATAGAGAAGAATAACTAGTAACTACTCCTCCTCAGTCTTGGTTTCCGGTTCAGCGGCGTCTGGCATATCAGCATCTTCTTCATTCTCTTTTGTGTCCGTAGTAGTAGTAGTTGCCACTTCATCGGATGCAGGAGGGTTAGTAGCCTCATCCTTGGCATCTACAGCAGCCTTGCCAGTCTCCATATCAATATCCTCAGACACATTCGGATCCTTGACCCAAGCACGGAATTTCTGATTCGACGCATCGACTTCATCTTTACTCAATCCATGAGCCCAGGCAGGATTATTAATAAATTTCTCGCGGAAACGATCGCGTCGTCGCTCTTTAACGACTGCTAGTTCCTTGACGTTCTCTTCGGATTCTTCTTGACTAGAAGCTGTGGGGCGCCACCACCAGTCGTAGCTACCAGGTTCGTAGAGGATGTGGTAACTATTCGCGCAGATGCGGATGATGAGGCCGTCATGATGGACTAGGCGACGGTAGTAGCGGTTATATTCCTCGTCTTGCTCGAGTTTGGCGGGAAGGTTACGCTTAAGGAAAGGCATGCGCATTTGGGAGAATGAGACTCCTTCGGTTGGGTCGCGCATGGTGTATGCCGAGACATAGTATGACCAGCGAGCTTCTTGGCTTAGTTCTTCGTTCTCGAATGTGCTATCTTCTGCCGTGAGGAGTTGTACGAGCGCCTTTTGCGTGGTTGGATTCTGCATTCGTCAGTACCAAAGTCATCACGCATTCGATTGTAGACTTACATAAGTAACACGATAAATATCGCCATCCTTGACCATTCGCTCAACCTGTTTGCGATACTGAATCTCTTGGTTATGAGTAGTCTCATCTCTCTCCCTCTCCTTGAAGAAAAGATTCACAATATCGGCGCTGCGATCTTTCACGTCAGCATTGAAGATGGTAGCGACAAACCGAGCAATGCCACTCAGAATCTTCTCGAGATTATACAGCTGGTAGCCACTCTTGAGGTAAAACCGACGCAGCGTCTCTTCAAGATGCGATGCCTCGAGATCATTCTTAATAACCTCCTCACACATACGAACGATCTGTTGATACAGATTAGCCGTAGGGCTGGCATCGTAGAATAACTGATCAGGAGTCTTTTCCAATATTCCAAGCTCCCGAGCAGCCTTGGGCAGAAGCTGGCGACGGACATCCTCATGTGCTTGCTTTTCATTGAGTTTTATCCGAAGCAATCGGCTGTAAAGAAGCTCAAAGGAACGGAAGAAGCAGTAAACGTTCAAGTTGCTGTACAAATGATGCACCTTCTTCTCATATGACTGGTTCAGGTTGTACTCGCGCTGAAGATTAAAATTGCCCTGATTAGGATGTTCCATCCATTTCAGCTCAGTCACATCAAAGGGCTCTGTGGGGTCTGGAATCGGAGTCGATGGGACAAGGATCGCGTCAGGGGTCACATCTCGACTAGCATCTGCGACGAGAGCCCCCTTATCACTGCGACGCTCAAGAACATCACGAAGAAGGTCCAATTTCTTTGATGAAGCAGCACGGCGGCTCTGAGGAGTAGACGCGCCATCGACAGCCATACCGTCATCATCCGTCTCATCATTACTGCTCGCGACCTCATTCATGTACATATGAAATGTGTCCCGATCCATACCAAAGAAAATCGGCACAAAGTCTTTGATGAACGCCGCAACTCGCTGTGGATCATGGCCAAAACCCGTATTGCGCTCGATGTACGTGAGCAACAGCTGGGTGGCATCAATAATAACAGCAGGGTCCGAAAACTCAAACTCAAACTGATGAGCAGGAATGTGATAGCCGCTCTTGCGAAGATTTCTGCCTTCTTCATACTTCGCTTGAATTTCGTTGTGGATGTTCTTGGACGAGAACAATTTTTTATCCAAGCCCTTGTTGGTGATGGCCTGATGATCCAAACTGCGCCAGAAGCATTTCTGCATCTGTTCGCGCCAGACCTTGTCCCATTCGCGCTGACTAGCTTTCCACTCCTCACATTTTTGCTTTAGACGGTACAGCAGAACCGGCAGAACATGACATGGGCGTTCAAACATTTGTTGGATGATGACCTCGCCGCGTTGGCGGTCATACACCTTTTTGATGACTCGCTTGTAGATCGACTCGCTTTGACCACCGAGACCAGGAGGGAGTGTAAAGGCAGCACGCTCCGCTTCAGACATGACAGTAAATTGCTGAACGATAGGCTCGATGAGTTGGATAGTCCGCACGCAGGCCTCAATATGATGATCATAGTCATGACGGTCTTCTTCGATACGATGAAGCGCGTCCTCGAACTGGTTCTTGCGATGGGCCACGAAGCCAGAGTCTTCAGACTCCCATGTTGGATGAGAAGCCCACTCATCATTGAGAACACTGTAACACAACTCATCTCGACCACTACATGGCTTTTGTCGTTCGCGCTTAGGAAGCAGACGATAGCTGGGTCCAAGTGACCGACAGTGAGCAAGATTGACTAGACCAGTTTCCTGCTTTGGTTTCAAGTCGATAACGCGATCTTCTGGTTCGTCCATATGGACAAACCGTTTGAACCAAGACATCAGTTCGGGATTGGATCCGATGAAACCTGCTGCCCTCTTCACCAAAATATTGCGATCAATAAGGTCGGTGGAGTAGAGGTTGCAAAGTTTCAGAAACTCGCCAAAGGTCTGCTTGTTGCCAATGAATTTCTTGACGCGATCAAAGAAAGCGAATTCGTCACTGTTGGGCATAATGGAAAACGTTGGCGGGATTGGCTCAGGGAGAGCAGGCACCAGAGTTGGTGACACTGCAGGGCCATCAGCTGGCATCGGCTTGTTGTGGTGGGTTTTGGCCCTCTGAATAGAAGTTAGCAAAGTTTTATTTGTGGCGGATTTCTTGACTCACCTTGACCATTCCAGCAGCTTGAACACTACCTGCACGATTGGCTTGCAAATCACCCATTCTAGCAGCATCAGCAGAAGGACCTGCAACAGAAGCACCCATCGTAGCCACATTGATTGGAGCACCGCGACGCTTTTTGGTCTCTTTATTGGAGTCCTTTACATTGAATTGTCCCATGGGCGGCATCTTCACATCACGGCCAGGAAGCTGTGAGTGTGGTCCGGTAGCTGGATATGGAACGTCGCCTCGCAGATTGCTAGTAGGAGCAGCTTCATCAATGGGCGGTCGACCAACTTGTGCTTGCTGTTTGTTCTGAGACGCAGAATCAGGGAGGAATTGCTTGAAATCTTCAAGGAGATCAGGAGCAGTGTGGAAAAGCTGGGTGACTTGGGCGTAAACATCCTGGATAGGTTTTGATTCTCGCTGGTATGTTTGCAGGATCTCAAGAAATTGCTTGTAAATCTCTGGCGCGCTTGCGAACCGATTCTGCGATTCGTCAATAAATAGAAATCTTCATGAGAAGCATGTTGCTTACCTTTATTTTGTTTACATAGCTGATAGCGTGGTTGAACTCGACTGGCCCACGCTTGTTCAAATCCGCCTGAGCACCTTGAAGGACATTTGAGCCGATACCAGCCAGGTTGTTCATAGGACCAGGGCCAGTTGCGGTGCCTGTAGATCCCTGCAATAGCGATCCTCTACCGGCAGCAGCTGTGACAGCCGCGGCATTCTGCAGCTGCGCAACGCCTCGCTGTTCCTGCTGATGAAGTGCAGCCGCGGAGGCTGCAGATGCTTGCTGCTCCTGCTGGCTCTGATACTCATAGTGGTGTTCTTGAGATGGGGCCGGGCCTCCTTGCTGACCGTAAAGACCACCAATCACACGACTATTTGGAGAATATGAGCCGGCGATTCCCGGCTGAGGTGCATGCTGTGGTTGTTGCCAACTCGGCCTGGAATGGTCATAATAATCGGATCGGCCTGGTGGTGCTAGTGTTGCCGCAGATTGACCCAGTTCCTCAGAGTCGAGAGATGCTCTAGGAGGTCTGGTGGCCATAGATAGAGTATTTGTACCTGAAGGGGTCGTCACGCGAATGGCATTTGGATTATCGTCTGTTCCACATTCAATGCGATAACCAGGAGGTAGGAAAGTGTTGAACCCCTGAATCAAGGCAGGGTGTCCAGTGAATAGATTCGATACTCGCTGAATGACACCGGGTGTGTCGATTCTATATTTGTCAGTATATAATGTACAATTGTTCAAACGGAGTTCCTTACGCTTGGCTCTTGAAATCCTTCATTATATCCAAAAATCGATTATACACGTCTGGCTGCTCCACAAAGCGGACCTTGACCTGATCGAGATAGCTCAGAGCGTCCTATACATACATCATTAGTCATAAGCTCCAATAGTTAAATCACATCCATCATCACTTCTTGAAGTATGTTTCATAACGCTAGCGTGCACTCACATTTAAAATAGGCTGCTGCCCCTGTGCCAAAGCCGCGACATTCCCCGGAATCTGACCAGGCGCAGCACCATTAAACCCCAACAACTGTTGCGCCGGGGGTCCCTGAGGATGCTGCATATACGGTCTCGGACCATTATCCTGGTGCGTTGGAATCTGAGCCCCAAACAAACTCGCTGGACCACCACCACCAGATTGTAATGAACCTTGCGGCGGCGGCGGATTCCCTGCAGTAGCGGCAACAGCAGCAGCTCCACCAATACTCGAAAGTAAACCATTTGGTCCGTGAATAGAGTTCTGCACTTTCGAAGCAACCGGTTGGTGGATCGGGATTGAGCCTGTGTGGCTCTGGACGGTATGTTGCTGTTGTTGCTGTTGTTGTTCGCGCTGACGTTCCATGTGTTCCCGTTCTCGTTCGCGTTGTTCGCGCTCGCGGTGTACCATGTCTTCGTGTCGCTGTCTTTCTAGCATTTCGCGCTCGCGGGAGTCACGCTCGCGATCGCGGTTGAGTTGTGGGGAAGGGTGTTGCATGGCCTGGCCGATGCCGGGCAGGGAGTGGCCGCCGCCATGTGAAGGTTGCGGATGTTGGCCGTATGGAGATGGTTGATGTGATCCGCCTGGGCCTTGTGCTAGGTCTGCTAGGCCAGGGAGAGAGTGTCCTGATGATTGACCAGGGTGGTATGATCCTAACCAGTTATCGATCAGCCACCTCTGACAATTTTCTGCCATTGTATACAATATCTCGGAAGAAGAAGGGACTTACCACCTGGTGGTGGAAGAACAGGACCGGCTTGCTGCGAAGACGAATTCTGCTGGGACGGGTTTTGCCTGTTGAGAAGCTGAACGTTAGAACATGAACCAAGTATTAGGAAAAAAAAAAAAACAAAACAAAAACAGAGGAGGGGAGGAGAATAAACATACCCATAAGATCCCAAAGGACGAGATGGATCCATATTCGAATGTGAGGGCGGTCCTCCTGCCGAAGAGTGCCAACCGTCGTTCCCAGAGGGATTCATACTATCATGAGAGAAGAAAATTCAACAAACAACCGGAAGACCCAGCAGGTCACAGAAAACTCGAGAGTGCCTTGTATGCCCTCTGACAAATAAAGCTCACCTTCTAGCTCTCACAAAAATCGAAAAGGTAAGAAAAGAACTTGAAGCAAGAAGAAAACAAGTCCGGGGGGCTAAGGGAGATCTGCCACGAACATGACTGACTACTTTTCTTTGCAACAATAGATTTGTGAAACGGCGAGAAGAGAGGAGGAAAAAAAAACGCGTTCGAGGCAAGTAAAGAACAATAAGCTTTCTTCAAAGGTCTCAGTCTTGTGTATGTGTGTTTGTATTCAAGACAGACAGTTGCGACAAGCTATGATGGAGAGGAGATTGCTTGTCTAATCGCACGGCGAGTTAGTTCGTATGGAGGCTTCTGCGCGACGCCGGCGGGCGGTATACTTTGGCAGTAAAGGGGGTGACGGGCATTCGGAGAAAAGAGGGATAACCGGGGCGGAAGTATATTCTTCCGAGGGGAGCTTAATCATGAGGTCGTTGATTGGTGAGTTTTGGCAGGGTTTTTCCTGTCGTCTTAAACGGGTTAGTGGCTTGCTTTGATGACGTCTTCTGTGCTAGTGGAGAGTCATACGGAGTACGATGAGGACAATAAAACCAAGTCATCTAGCATTGAACAAGACTATTCTACTAGTCGCTTAGGTATAGAGTTCTGTCTGGATGCAATACTGTAACTTTCACCTTTGTCAGTATGCACTGAGTCGCAAAGGATATGTTAGAAACAAGAGAGTAGCTGGGTAAGTACGCCGAGATGTCCACGCCAGCATCAGAAACCCTGTCGTCGTCCATTACAATGCTGAGAAAACAAAAAGCTGTCCAATACATCAGTATCGATACGGCAAAATAAGGTAATCAAGAAACTCACGTTGTTCGTAGCCGCAATAGCAATGCTATCCTCGAAAGGATGCCAGCTCATATGGAGAATCTTCTTATTGAAATCAATCTGATCTGCGTCGGTTTCCTTTCTCATTCGGGACCCTGCACCAGCAGGACTGTTGGCTCTGGATCCATTCTTCTTTCCATTCTTATTAATTGGCGTAGGTACCCCGACCTTCTTGGCCTTGAAAGCCGATTTGTCCGCCTGCAATACAACTTCTGTCTCCTTGTCTGGGTCGGTTGGATAGATCATGAAATTGTTGTTGTAACTACCCGTCATCACATTCTCCGCATCGCCTGAAAACACAACTTCGAATTTATCAAAAATACTGTCGTTCTCGTAGGTATCACACAGACGCGGTCGGAGATGTTCGTGAATGGGGATTGTCTTGATGGGTTGGCGCTCCATGTTGACGTCCCAAATCTTCACAGTCAAGTAGTCACGCGAGAGGATGTAACGTCCGTCATGAGAAAAGCGCACGTCGGAAATGGAGGAGATGATTTCGGAGAAAAACGATCGCGACGACGCATCTTCTTCCTGCTCGAATTCTGTAGAGTGTCAGCATGGCCCTAACAAACAAGGATGTAGGGTTGGGCGTAGGGTTACGTTTTGAATGTTCGTCACAAAGAGCTCGCTGCCTCATATCCGCCATCTTGATTGTTCCCTTTGAACTGGCATACATAAAGTAATTGCAGCTAGTAGGGTGGAATTCTGATGCCGTAATAACTTCCGTCAACTCTTCCATATTCGCAGGTTTGATGTCCACAATATTGAAACTCTGATCCTGGATATTGAGATTCCACAGGTTGATTCGGAGATCGTCACTGCTGATAAAAGTCTCGCCGTCACTATTCACCGAAATGCTGTTGATATGATAGGCGTGCGCGTTGGCATACGTCCTTCTAGGAACGGCTGCCACGACCGTATCATGGTGTGTCATTCGAGGGAGTTTCAGCGCTGATGCATCCTTGAAGTGGATGTGCGGAGGACGAGCGGTACCACCACCCAACACGCCAGCTGGCGTGAGATCATGCGACAGGTTATTTTCCGCAACGACCTTCAACGACTTGTCAAACACTTTCCATAACTTTATCGTCTTATCGTTGGTGGATAACAGGAAATGGGACGCATTTTGTCGTTTGCACCACTTGATCTTGTTGATTTTCTCTTCGATTTCTAGGGATTTGAGGTAATCGAATTCGGGCTCGTGGGATTGAAATTCGGTGTGAAATTTGTATTCGCATGTTTTTTTCTGTATACATTAGTAGGGCCATAGGACGTTAGGAGTCTCTGGGCATACCGTTTCATTTCTTTCAAACAATACCACGCGGCCTCCTTTGTCTCCGGTAGCGAGGTAGTTTCCTGTGTGATCGAACTCGACTGTCGAAATGATATCCGCTAGATAACATGAGCATGTTTTTTTTTTTTTTTTTTTTTTTATTAACAGGTTGCATCAGTCATTCCTACCTTCTGTGATATCCTCTACATCACCTTTATCTCCAAAACATCTACCCCATGTCAGATTCTGTATAGATCCATCAGTCAGACGACTCACTGTGTGAACTTCCAGGTGGGTGACCCTGGATCTCCGTCTACCATCTTTCAAAGCCGCCAGTTATGTCTGTAGCAAAGTAGGTTGAAATGAAAAGCAAAGATGCGGCGGGGAGGATTATTCCAAGCGTATGTGGGAGTCTGCAAGAGGAACAAAATTATTAGCGTTTGATGACTAGGAAGAATTGTGTTTGGCGGGAAGGAAGGGCGCTGATTGATAGCAAGTGTGGGTGAATATCAATAGTGGGATAGCAGCCCATACAAACAAAACAGTGCGATAGCCAAAAGCATAAAACGACCAGCTTTGTATATAAAAACAATAGGATGAGCAAATGATTGTGTTTGCCCATTAAGCAGTCATATGCGAAGAGTGGTGGTGGTATCATAAACGCACGAGGGCATGGAAAAATCACCACCGGAATAACCAAGTCGGAACCAAGACAACGCGGCAAAAGAAATTAGATCAAATACGAAGAATAGACTGACCTGGAACAGAATAATTGTTTCTTTTTCCCCTTTTTGAGAAGAATGGGTGCGTGTTTTGATATTGGATTAAAGTCAAGGATGTTGCGACATTAAGGAACAGGCGGGGAAGTGCACAGTAGGAAAGACGAGCAAGCCAAAGCAAGCAAGCAGCGATGTGAGAGTGGTTAGGTTAAAGCTTGCGTTGTGGTGACCAGAACCCCGCGTCCCGGTAATTGATCGAAGCGGGAGAGGAGACGGAAAAAGAGGAAGAAGGGTAGATTATTGAGTGAGAAAAAAAACAACAAGAACACAAGAAACGCGGACAGTGTGGGCAGTCAGGTTTGAAAGAGTCAGTTGACGATGATGATGATGATGATGATGGAGGAGTGGAAGTTGGCGAGGGTGATTGATTGCTTTCTTTAGCGGCGGCTAGAGTTAGTCTTGCAGCCTGATCGCTAAGGCTACCAGTAACTTAAGGCTGGGCTGATGTGGGCCATCACTTTTACTTGTTTAGTTGACTTTGCTCTATGATCTGTCTAACTCTATGGCATGACTATCTTGTTTCTGGCAGATGGAACAGACTGGATGCTACCTAGCCAGGATAGGATAATATAGCTGCATTCGGACATCGACATACCTGTCTTAGGAGTACGAGTACTGAGGGGTGACATTCAATGGACTATTCTCGCCTTGGTCTGTTCAATCACTGCAGTTCATCATCTTCTTAATATTACTATTCCTTATATTTATGACTCGGGTTACCTAGGTACCTCCTGAGCATCTGGTCGGCAATGAGCCCCATGCCAGAGTCCAGACTCTAGGATACAGTATAGGAATATTAAACTGCAGTATCAAAAATGAAATCTGTACAGTAGGGAATTATTTACAGAAAAGTTAATATTAAAAAGAATAAAGAGCAAGCTATCATATGATAGGTAACCAAACAGGTCTCTACCGTAGCCGAGGAACTACATCCATCAAATATATCCGACCAGACCATGAACAACAACACTTTTTCACCTGGGGCATACCAGACATTCTACAAAAGAAGAATGAACATAACAACCCCCCAGAAGATTATAAAATAATCAGCCATGTCATCCAACCCAGATAAAACTAATCCACCAGCAAGATCAGACCCAACAAAAGACGACCACCCACCATCATCCTCAGAAACCACAACCAAGAATCCCTCAGAACCTTCAATACTAAATCGAGTCAAAAACTCAGCTACCTCCTTGATTCAAGACGCGCTCACAAAACCAAGCGCAGGAACACTACCATCAGATCTTGCGCATGCACTGAATAGTGGCAATAATAATAAAGGCTATGCATCAGCATCAGCCTCGGCTTCGTCATCCACATATCTGGAGAATGCGAGGAGGAGGGACGGCGCCAGCTCATCGCCCTCAGACGGGATCTATGACCATGATGCTGAAGCCTTCCGATCTGGATCTACTCATCCCAGTACATCATCAGGAGTTGTCCTTGACCCATTGGAAATCAACTCATTCCAAAACACCGGCCGTTTCCACTCACTACCTGACGAGTTCTCAGAAACCAAAGGAAAAGGAAAAGCCAAACAAACCTTCGAAAACCATGACTATGCAGATATAAATGAATTCGAATACGACTCAACGCATTTCAACGAATACGAAATAGCATGGATAAACGCTTCTCGGCAGGGGAGTTACCACTCATCATCAACGACAACAAACTCAACGCCGACGAAGAGATTATCTTCATCAGGGTCAACATCCTCGGTACACAATTCTTCGGTCATCAATGGGGTAGAAAGGAATGAAAAAGATGGAGCGGAAGTAGTTTCTCTTCTCTCTGATCCAAGCTTTCAGCCTGGATTGAGTACATGGGACGATCAGGATAGTCAGAACATGGACGGCTACGATTTCACTTTCGGGGCTGATGACCCTTTGGACATGGACGGATTCCCTATAGATCCGGGCTTATCACCCGCTGAACTAAAAATTCTCGAATCTTTTCGCCTACAACACCAAACCCAAAATCAAGAAGAAAATAAAACGAAGAGAATAACGCCCTACAGTTTAATTCCAGATATCGACTCATTCCTATCCCAGCACATGGACACCAATCACGGAATCAGCAGCGACGAAAATTTGAGAGACGAGGTACTCACAAACCTTGTCGGCGCAGAGGAATGGGTACATGTCGATGAGCAGTATTCCGATGATGTTTGGGGGTATCTCAGACCTGCATTGGAGGCTGCGGCTGCTGAAATCAAAGAGAAGGAGGCTGCCGGAAAGGAAGATGAGGATGGACCGGCTGTGAAGAGGTTGAAGATGATTTTGAGGCATATGGCTCGTTTATAACCATACTTAAAATAGCTAGGTACGATTAGGTATAATGATACTTAAGCAAGAGACTGAAATGATCCATTCATAAATATACAGACATGATAGCTAGACTCCTTTAAATGAATAAATATCCATCATTACATAGAATAAAAGTCTTGCCCATCTATTGTTTTGGTGGGATTTTTATAAAGTTTAATTTTTTCTTTTTTTAGAATTCGAGACGAGGTTTTTGGCCCTTGACGCGTCCAATGACAATTTCTGAGGCGTATTTGGGGATGACTTCGTCGTCGTGAAGCATCTCGAATTCTGTATACGAATTAGTTATGATCATGTAGAATGAAACAAAAGAGAAAATAAAATACCTTCAGAGGCATCACGACCCATGTGGCTGAACAAAGCTTGTGCGCCGCCAGGATGCTCATCCAACCAGTTGGTCACGTCCATGACAACACCCTTGACAACAATCCAGAGGTCATCCTTCTTATTATGCTTGGCGACTTCTTCCATGGTGAATTCCTTCTCGGGGACTTTGAATTCAGAGACATCCTTCGCTGCGGGGGTGGCAGACTTGGAGGGGGCGGAGGGCGCAGGAGCTGCGGCAGCGGTAGAAGCTTCAACACGAGCAGAGGCTGGATCTTTGCCTTCAGAAGAGCCGTTCCACTCCACGGAAATCTTTCCAGGGGTGGAAGGATCAATGTGCAAGGAAATTTGGCCCAGACGCTGCTGGGCAGTGGAAGCACCACCTGACAAAACCTTCTGGAAGAGGTATTGGCTGGCGCTGTCACCGGCAACACGACCGTAGACAACGCAACCAAGCAAAGACGAACCACCGAGACGATTGGCACCGTGGACACCACCGGCCAACTCACCACAGGCATAGAGGCCGTCAAAGGGCTTCTTCTCAGAGTTCAAGACTTGAGCCTTGTCGTTAATCTCAATACCACCCATGGTAAAGTGGAGGACGGGCTCCATCAAGGCAACGTGGAAAGTGTCATCGATGCTGAAAGGAAGGTTGTGGAAGAACTTCTTGTTCCAGGGATCCTTCTTCTTGCCCTCTGCAATAAGGTTGTAGTCATCAAAGGTCTTCTTAAGAGCGGCTTCACCACAGCCAATCTCCTTGGCCAATTCCTTTCCGGTCATCTTCTTCATCAATCCACGACCAGAGTAGTGGCGAGTGTGGAAGTCAAGGACGTTGGAAGCCTTGCTGTTGAGGACCAAGCGGATGGGCCATTTGCCCTTCTCCTTCTCCTTCCACATCTGACCAGACACGTAGTCACGGTGGCCCAACTCGTCAGAGAATCGCTCACCGTCCGAGTTCAATAAGAGACCACCTTCACCACGAAGAGCTTCGGCAGCCAAGAACTTCCACTTGGAGGTAGGATCTTTGGGGTCAATGAGACCAGTAGGGTGGACCTGGACCTTGTCCATGTCGATACCATTGGCACCAATAGCCATCAACATCTTCTGACCGTCACCAGTGGCATGGGTACCGTTGGTACTGGACAGACCGTAGGTATCGGGACGGTGTTTCTTCAACAAGGAGTCTTCGGTGAAATCGGCAGCGTAACCACCAGTAGCCAAGATGACAACACCATCGGCAGTGTGAGTCTCGCCGTTGAGTTCGTATGTAACACCGGTAACGTGGTTACCTTCCTTGTTGACGGCGGTGACGCGCGCCTTCTTGATGACTTGAACACGCTCGGGCTCAGACTCGGTCAATTCTTCTAATCGTTGCATGAGGGCGTATGTGATGGCCATGCCGGGGAATTTGGCATCGTGACCACGGTGGGTACGAGGGAAGGAGTGACCACTACATAATTAGCTTCTCAAAATAACCAGTCAGAAGAGCACAGAGCAGACATACCCAAGTCGAGAAACCAAAGTAAGATCAAGGTTAAAAACATCCTGCAACCACTCAACAGCCGCAGCAGACTTGTAGGTCAGAACCTTGATCAAATCAGGACGAGCCTTGTCCCGAGCGGATTTGAGGGTATCTTCGTAGAATTGTTTGACGCTGTCTTGAATACCGAGATCGGTCTGTGTTCGGGTGAGAGCACCGTTGATACCGGATGTAGCTTTTGTAGAGTTACCACCGAAGAAGCCTATGCAACGTTAGATTGACCATAAACTGAAGGTGGATAGACAACTCACTCTGCTTGTCCAAAACGAGGACATTTCCACCATTCAAATAAACGGTGTGGGCGGCACTGAGACCGGACACTGCGCGTAGTCTGTTAGCCAGGCATTGGAAACTTTTGCGGGGACGCAAATCTGGGGGAACAGGTGATGACAACTTACATCCACCACCGACGACAATGACCCTGGGAGCCATGGTTGATATTCAGAAAAAGTATTGGGTATCACAGAAGGAATAAAAGGAAGAGATGTAGATAGTGAGAAGACAGGAGGAGAGAAAGGAGAGAGGATGTTGTTCTTAAGAAAGGAAAGAATGAGAACCGAACGGCTGTGGTCGGTCACTCGGCCGAGGTAAAATCGAGATCCACGGCGACAGCCCGGGGGCCAATCCGAGCTCCCATGTTGCCAATTCTCTCACGTGGGGATTTTAGTTATTTCACTGTTTACTGCTTAGTTGAATAATGTTCTATTATTTTGGCTTTAAGCAGTGTCCGGTGCTATTTCCGGTTACTTGACTAGTTGTTGTCTGTTGAATCCGCACAGTATACCTACAGTAGGACCCGTAACAAGCAAGAACTTGGAACGAATGAAAGCATCACATGCAAACATCTACCTTCCGACTAACTAGCTATACTCATGTAGGATCAGCCTTGAATATTATCAACTAAACAGATATCTATAAAGTATTTTTCCAGATCATACATAGTACTATAGAGTATCTCCTCAAACCCTCACTTTCACATGTGAAAGTCCTCGACGTCATCGTCATGTGCTCTTAGTCAGACAGCACCCTACATTCTGAAACAACCAATCACTTCCATGCATTTATTCCAGCTTGACCTCAACAAGTCAGTACAATAGTTCATTTTTATTTACTTGTTGTATCGAATTTGTTTGTATGATACAAGATCGGTTAACATGAAGCTAAACTGGAACGCGCTCGGGTTCCACTTAGGAGGATATCCAGCCTATACCCGTTTCGGTCAAGATGCCTCGGCTTAAATTATAGCGAGGTGTTGAGCAGTGCAAGCCGTGGCTGTTATTGTCAGTTGTTTGATTTCTGTTCCTTCTATATATGCATATATCGATCGCGCAGAATTGTATTTAGTCGTGACGACTATAGAAATTATTGACTCTATGAGCAGGATTGATGGTCGGCTATTGATGTATTGCACATTCTACTGTATTGACTACGTTCGGCGACTTCTGAGCATTCTGATTGATGGATATTGACCGACTGGCAGAACTATCATCCCAAGCTTCTAGAGCTATATTGCCCTAAAGAGGAGAGAAAAGATCATTTGTTGTCGGATTCCATGAATGGATTCCAGCTTCCGGAATCACATCTCCAGGTTTCGGCTATTGAAGATCGATCAACTACATCCACACGCCAGTACTAATTCGTCGAGATCAGTCTTAGAAAGCTTGACGGTCGATAACCTTATTCGGATAACGATTGTAGATTCATTAGTGGTGGAATAATCAGAAGCTGCTTGGTATCATACAAGCGACCTGTCTATCTAGTAACCGTCGGTTAAGTTCCAGGCTTCTTGTTCCCATCAATTCCCATCAATTCCCATCAATGGACCATCTGAGAAATAGCAAGCTCCTGGCATCGTTCACGAATTAGCTTAGACAACTCCAGATACGAACTGCACAGACTCACCGGAAATGCATCCGCCACATTGGCAGCTACCCTCTCAACATCCTCCGTGACACTCTCAATCCCAGCATCCCAAAGCCGTATATTCCTTCCCATGGTCCCCGTATTCTCAACGCCCGAGATATCCGAATCAAAGTAAATAATACCATCAATCTGATCAATACTACCTTTCAAGCGACCTTGTTCCACCATCCGAGCAGCGTATGCCTCTGCCTTTTCGCCTGCTGTTTCATCGCTGGAATCTTTGAGTGCGAGGATGGCTCCCAAGGCATCGGTTTTGATATTCTCGTAGAGTCTGCTAGCGGCTACGAGATTGTGTTCAATTACAGCTTTGTCCAGTACGGTCGAGCCATCGGCAGTTTTGGCAAGTTGATGCGGTTGTAGTTTCTGGGAAAAGGCGGTGACTTCATCTGGTGTTAGTAATCGGTCTAGATGCATTTTTTCTAGGATAGCAAAGACGTCGACGGAGGTTGCACGGTCATCCTTGTAGAGGCGTGCCAGTGTGCGTGATCGTTGTGGTCCTGCAGGCGCAAGGACGGCGCAGATGATTGCCGCCGAGAGAGCATGAAGTCGATCACTCTCATCGACACCAGACGCCAGACTGACATTAAAATATTCCTGGCTAGCGTCCAGAAAACGACGGCGGGCATCCAGAATACGCGCCTGCGAAAGTTGAAAATGCAACTTCAACTCCGGATCCTCAATCTTACTCGGCAGATTTTTGATTCTGTTCAAGAACGATTCCGCATTCGTCGTATCGTCTTCTTCCAAGTATAGTCTAAGTATACGAATCCACATTCGCGTCTTTGCCGCATCTGTAATGAGTCGCTGAGAACTGTCCAGATGAATACCCTGTAGTACTCGCGCAGCCGCACTATATTCCTCCTCTACCTCGTATGCATCGGCCAGTATTTCGCGAATATTCGAGTCCTGCTCCTCGACAGATGCGGATCGAGACTGTAAGAGCGTCACGGCATGTTGACCGACTTTGATTTTGATGGCGGGGGAAAGGTCGCGGAGGACATTGATGAAGGAGTCGAGGAGGGGTCGTGCGGCAACGACGCTGACGTTTTCGCTGAGGATGGAGTCGAGGTAGTATATCAGGTCTTGCGAGAGTTCGTGGCCTGTGGAGGTGCTGACGATTTTGCCTAATAGGTCGTTGTACAGTTGTGATTTGGTTGCTTGGCTGGGTGAGGATTCGATCTCCGCGAGAGCGGAGGCTACTTTTTGCGAGGCCATAAGCTGGTGATGGTGACAAAATCTTGTGCTCAATATTAGTTGACGTAGGCGTCTCACGTGGGATGGACAGGGTCAAGGTCGTGAGGGGAACTGTGTAGGACTGGTTGGTGGGCGGAGCTGACAATGTTAAGCACTTATCGATAAGGCATCCAATTTTCTCCGCACATCTTCATATCCAGCAAACTAAACTTATGAGTCCTCACTATTATGCTTCTACATTAAGTTATTTGTTAAGATTCTAGCTGGTTTTCAAATACTGTTCTCGATGCGGAATCTCCATAATTCATAAAACAGTGTAACTCTCTCATAGTTCGGGTTTGGACGCTACAGCTAGGTGATCTCATACCCAGCTTGAGAATAGAATATATTTAATTTTGGCAATATAATTCTCCTAAGGACTTGAACAATATATGAGACAGTAAGAAGTTAACAATGATCTCATGGTTGATAGTAAAACGACTTTCACCGCCCGCGCCGTCTTCGCCCCACCGACAATGGAGCTCAAACCCGCTCATTGCTGAAGAACCTCACTGTCAAGTCATACACAGCTACCCTTTGCTATCATCGACTGCGCATAGCAATACCGTACAGATTTACTCGTTTCTGTACAGTCCAACTAGCGATTCATTCTGCGTGCGCTCGACTATACACTACGCGGCGGCGAACCATGGCCGCGCCCGTTAAGCAAGAACCCGGAACTACATCGTTCATCAAACCAGACCCAGATAGCAAGGAAGGCCTCCCAGGCGCATTATCCGATGATGATCTCTATGAAGATGCAGGAGACTTGGACTTTACGCAGGCAGGACAGAATGTGTGGTTGACGAGGATACCGACGGATTTGTGGAAATACTGGTCGCAATTGGATGATGATGAGGAGATTCAGATTGGTACCGTCCGAGTAGAAGGCGAGCCTCATGATATAAAAAGGGTGCGTCGTATCCTTTCAGCAGGTCACTAATTGGTTCTAATTGGATTTGGATTACAGATCAGTCTACGATTAAATGATGATCCGAACAGCAAAGATATCCCGAAAGACTACATTCTACAGCGACAGAATGTGGATCCCAAAAGCGGTTCATTCGCCGTCCAGAATAGCTATATTTTCAGCGAGAAAGATTTACCTGGCCATAAGAATAAAGTTGATGAGATGTTTGGCGAGACGCGCTCTATGCTCTACGAGTCGATGAAACGGGAGGCGCGAAAGAAGGCGACCAAGAGGAAATGGGAGCCTTATGTGCGAAAGACAATACCTAGTGAGTCGTTGTTTGATATTGCGCAGTGTAGATTGCTATTCTGACTTCTTACAGAGCAAACCGCACTTGTCGGAAAGGTCGCAGATGAGTTTAACTGCATGCCAGTCGAGAACGCAGAGTATCAGCGCATATCTGAAGCCAAAGCCTTGAAAGCGCTTGAGCCAAGAGAAAAGGTTCGCCTTATTGATCTCAGACAACACAAGGGACCAAATGTCAGAGAAGTTGCTGCTGGAACTGTTGGTGGATTTGTGGTAAGTTAACTCTGCTAAATCACCCTTAAGAACTCCTTCACTAACAATTAATAGCAACAAGCCAAACCCGCCAAAGCTCGCACACAAGAGAATAAAGCCACCCGTCGCGAGCGAAACGTACTTTTGGACGAGATCTTTGGCCTATTTCGCGAGTACTCTCACTGGAAATTCGCAGATATCAAAGCCAGGACGAATCAGCCTGAACAATATCTCAAAGAGACTTTGGAGATGGTCGCTCATCTCGTCAGGACTGGTGACTTTGCAATGACGTGGGAACTCAAACCGGAAGCCAGAGAAGCGAATTATGCAAATATCATTCTCGGGCAGGCCGGCGAGGAGAACGGTGCTATCAAAAATGATCCGGATGAGGAAATGGGAGGTGACGAAGATGAGGATGTGCAGTTTGAGAATGTCTGATCATTATTTCTTGAAGTTTTCTTGATGCATGGAGGCGCTTTTGACTTTTGCGATGGTGTTATTTGCTATTTAACTCTTGAGCCTGGCGAAGAAAGGCTCCTGTACAATATCCGAAACGGTCACTATGAGCACCGTTCTATCTTAATCATATAGACCTTTCAAGTACAATATCATAGTAGTCTTGATCAAGTCAGCTTCGAGAGGCCCTTACAATCACCACCGGTAATTAATTACAGAGAACAGTTCGCTAATATGTAAAAATAATGGATTCCTTGAAAATAAATTCTAAGCCATCACCTCCTTTTATTGACTTTTTGCTGGTCTTGTGAATACCAGCATCTGGCACGTGACCCAGGGTGAACACCAAATGAGAAAGTGGCGGCAGTTTCCAAGACCACATCATCAATCTTCCAACTTCACCTCATCAACAGCCAAATCGTCAGCTACAGCATGACAGAAGAACAAGAGCTTCTAGCAAAGATTGGCCAGCTAGCTGGTGAGTTTATCGATCATGAAAAGCGAAGTTGAGACCATATGGCTAAGTTGTTTAATGTGCCCAGGTCAAATCAACCAACACAAGAATCAACGTCAATCAGGACCTCCCTCAAATTATCATTCGCGCCATCCTCGCGCAGGATGGGCTCCTTACCGCGGACGAGGAGCTACGCGCCGTCCAGTGACTCATAGGAACCGCACCTTGATCCTCAACAATACAACCGATGCATCGAAAACACCAACATCTGAGACAGTCGACAACGCAACACCGCCATCAGGGAGTGCAAATGGATGGGTTGCCAAACGAGACCGTCACATGCAACTAATCAACTCATCCATCTATGACAAGGAAGCCCAAGCACGAACGAAAGCTATTGCAGAAACCGAGAAGACGAAGCGTGAAAGGAGGGCGAAAGCTGAAGAGGCCAAGGTCATGCGATACGCGCAAGGAGTTCGCAATGCACACGTTGCTTCTGTTCCAGGGCCGAATGGCGTTGCAACTCAACCTTCGTTTTATCAAATTTACATACATGATGCGCCTTTTCAAGTTGTACGGGGTGGAAGCAAATTGATCAGACAAAACAGTGCGTCGGCAAAAAGTTCGGTGGCTGTTTGCTCATTTATTGACGATGTATTAGATGACCCTAAAAACGCCAATGCTACACCGAAAAAAGTGGTCGTTGGGGGGGTGACCTTTGTTCGCAGCAAGAAAGGTAACCTCCATCGTTTGGGCGCCGTGGTGGCTAAGAGGTGCGTATCCGATCCTTTCTTGCAGAGATCATGCTACAACTCAAATACACACAGGAAACCGAGCAAAATCAAGAAGAAAAATGAACTGTGCAAGCGATTCTCTCGAACGGGTACCCGATTCTCTCCTATTACACAACTCAACTTGGTGTCGACAAGATATAGTATGTAGATGTCTTTCTGATACTGACCTGATTTTCATCTTTTAGGATCATGCTACAAAGGACCCGATTGCCCATATATTCACGACGCGAACAAAGTGTCAATCTGCAAAGACTTTCTACAGACTGGTAAATGCCCCTCAGGAGATAGTTGTGATCTCTCGCATGAGCCGTCACCTCATAGGTCCCCTGTTTGTGTCCATTTCCTTCGAGGCCGCTGCTCAAATCCTGAATGTCGCTATACGCATGTTCGCGTCACGCCTGGCGCGCCAGTCTGCCGCGCGTTCGCAATACTGGGTTACTGCGAAAAGGGCGCAGAATGCACTGATCGTCATGTTTATGAGTGCCCGGATTATGCCAACACAGGAAGTTGCAAGAAGAAGAAATGCACCTTACCTCATGTTGACCGTGCAGGTCAACTTAGAAAAACTATTGCCAACAAGTCTGAAACAACACCTGGCGAAGACGAGGAGGATGTCTCCAGCGAAGAAGAAGAGTACGATGAAATCGACTCGGATGACGTTGATTCTGATGAGCTTAACTCGGATGAGGATGAGCCCATGGTGGAGTTCGTCGAGGGTGGTACTGACGATAAAGAACTTTCGGGGCAACAGGATTTTGTCCATTTTTGATTCTGTCCTTTCTCACCCCCTCTGAAACTAACATGTACAGTATCAGGACTACAGAGGCGTAGAACATTCACGTATCATGGGTCGGTACTCGGAAGTCCTCTTTGCAATTACGCCTGGACTTCCAGTGGTTTATACATACAGTCAATATGATATGATTGCATTGCCTATAAACTCGGCGTTACAAGCATTCTTCCTTCGGTTATTATGTTATCAGCATCGCTAGGATTTTTGAATAATCAGATACCTCTTGACTTGCATCTGGATAGTGAAGGAATTGTCTTTTATTTAGTTCTTGAGGTGCCGTTCGAGCGTGGCGCGGGTTTTGTTTTTGTGTATAAGTAGTTAGCTTTGAGGTCGATGAATTGAATGGAGATATTCTTATTGAGTTTGGTATTCATGATGTGACTGCAGCCCAGGTAGATATGTAGGTTCGTAGTTGTCAAGACTGCCCGCCGCTGGATCAGTGATGGGTTCATGATGCCACTATGCTTCTCTATTCCAATATCTGCTGCTACCAAATGGAGTTGTTTCGTAACGGATGGCGTGAGGTCAAATGATTAATACCTCAAGATAGGTCTAGTCCAGCTTATGAGATCGCAAGTGTTGAAAAGGTATCTATATAGATCGTGCGGTATCCTCTGATCTTGAATTTCAAAAAGCTGTTGTACCTTTCTCGTCCGGTAGGTATTTCGACGAGCACGTTCGGCAGGTAGGTAATCTAATATGTGACCTGATAATAACAGGCGTCGCCTCCCTATTCTTCAAGCATTTCAGAGGTTTCAACAGCTATATATGCTTCTCAAACCTACTGCAGTGGTGACCATCTCAATGGACATGAGCTAGTCATTGCCTCCTCAAGTGCTCATGTATATGACTCCCTGTACCAAAATCATGACTAGTTATCGTCAATCGTTTCCATACAGTAACCCTTCTCATTCGAACATTGATGAGACATTTGGTGCCCAGACTTAGCCATGCAATAAACAAAACATGCCTAAGGCCTCAACACCTTCCCAAGACCACCTCTCTCACCTCTCAACAAGTTCCTCAACTTTTCTTTTCTTTACGAGCGAAACCCCTCCGACACCGAAACCACCTCTCCCCCGAGAAAAAAAGTATGACTCACACTTTCCAAAGTTCCCAAAGAGATGGGGCCCTCACACAAATCACATATGCCACGTACCTGACTAGATAAGCACATGTAAAATGTATGTCAATCCATCAATGGATTTATTCGGCCGACTACATGCATACATACATATGTTGCGTACACACATGAATGACTGCATACATAACTTAGTTACTTAGGTAGTTAACTATGTACATGAAACAAATTCACCATGTGGGTCGAGGTGATTGCCGGTCTGTTACAGATTTATGTGTTGGACAAATGTATCTAGCTGTACATAGGTTTGACTTGGTTCGTATGTACTGATTGCATGGTAAATCCTATAGTTAGCAGAAAGGTGTGAGTCACTTGTTGATAGACTGATTGAGTGTACATGCTTGGGGAAATGGTGGTGGTGTTGGGCAACAATTTTGGAATCTGATTATCAATGTCATCAATTGACCAAAGACTGCTTATGCACAGGTGGTATGGCTTGATGTAGTTTCTTGATGTCATGACGCCTGGAGCATGTGATAATGCAATGAATTGATCTCAGAGATTCCTGGACGTTGAAATGATTTCCTTTTTGGGAAAAAATTATCCTGTCTGCTATATCTAAAGATACCCAGGATAGTTGCTACTTTTTCCTAGCCAAGACTGACTCCATTCATTATCTTGCTGCAATTTCAACGTGATAGCCATTGTTCTCTTAGTACCTTAAGAGAGGTCTCAGCGGTCTTGGCGTAGTAAAATTTTGAAGAGGGTACCGACTTTGACTAAATAGGAAATTAGGGCTTTTTCTATCCCATTCAAACATCCAACAGCAGCATTTTATACAATCAAGACAGCAATTCTAAGTTTTAAAAAAGAATGATAAAGCAATTATAACAAAATTCTCCTCTTGATCAGAAAGTCAGCAAAATCCACTTCATCAAAAGTCTTAACAAAATGATGCCATCTGAGCTGAATAGAGTCAATGAGTCATTATAGCGGTCAGCCTTAATCGGGCAGTAAAACACAAAACCTTCAAATTCCAAGTTATCAATTTGAAACATACCGCCTAGATTGATGAAATAATGCTATAATTATCTACTTCAAACGCATGTACTTGATTCGAATATTAAGCACAGAAAATTACGTTTTGCTTCCGAGGTTCGTACGGACGTATTGTATCGGAAGCAAGTTAGGGCAAGGAATATGATAGAATGGGGCATACTGCAGTTCCAACTTTCAAGGCTCGGGAGTGCAACTTGGTTATTTGTCTTGCCAAGGAAGATTATTTCTTTTTCCTCTGAGAGTGGTGCTTTTGAGTAGGTCAGCGAACAATTGACTTGGTACAATTGGCCCCTCTATCGTTGACAATGCAGCATCATCATCATCTATCCGAAGATATCAATTCAAGCACGAACAACGAAAGCTATGAACCAAATGGGGAAGCTATAACTTCAATCCAATTGAAGGGTTAGATGGATCCTTATGCTTTAGTATCAACCATTCAAGAGATACAACTACTCTTTAGAGGGTCCACGAAACGGTTCGAATTCAAAGGCCGGATGTACATCTCTTCATTCCGCGCCCTGAGAATTAGTCTAAGCTAATCGATAGACTGATCAGATCAATGGATTGTCATCAAGGTCGAATGGCGATTATATTCGGCGTGTTGATGTCGATTGGAGATGGTATGTTTGGTGATGGGAAGATGAGCCGTACTCCTAGGAATTCAAGGACTACAATGGGCTGATATCAAGATCTCGATCGTTGACTAATTGACTCTTTTTCTCAGCTTTCTACGGACAGTCAATCGAGTATATCGGAGAATATGACTCGTCTTCTCAAAACCGTCATCATGATCGTATATCACATAATCCGAGAAAAAACCTAGGACAGGGGGTTCCGTTCCACGAGGCCGGTTCCCAAGGTACCAACATAAACGCCCAAGTGTCAGGTTTGCCTCACTACAGCAATGGAATTATCTTTATTACTGCTGCCTTATGAGACGAGACAATCGGATCGGATTGGTTGGAGATTTAACGTCGAACTACTACTAGCCCAGTCTAGTCACGCCCCTAGTCACATATTCCATAGTCCAGTCAATGGACAGGACCTACGGAAAAAGGTAAAATTTGGCTCTTCTCGTCAAAAACTCAACCAGAGGAATTCGACTAGTGAGGGAAAAGGGATTAGCTCGGGTTTGGGATGCAGTCTCTAATCTTTTGATTCTGACGGATTAGTGGACAATCAATGCGAGATATGGGTACTGGTATCGTGAACTGAGCTGCCAGGTTAAGATCCGAATCTATTGGATGGGGGATTTGAAGTTCGTTTAATTCTGAGAGGAACCATTCTTCCATCTAACAGAACAGTCGACCGTACAGTCTAACTATTCGTGATAGTCCTCCGTGCGTGCACATACCTATCTATTGTAGTACATGGACAATATCCTCCTATTGGGTAGATACTTGGAGGGGTAACATCATTCTTATAGAGGGGGAGATTTGCATAAAATGGTCCGTGGCTTTAGTCATGCATTGGGAGATCGAGATGATGTGTTTCTATTGGCTCAACCGGAGAGAATGCCCCGCTCGGCCCTCAACGGATGGCGGGCCGGCCCTTTGCTTGATCCATACTTGTCTCTTTACATCTCTCTCCATGGTTCTTCAATATAATTATAGTCCATCAGAGTGTGTATCTTCCGCGTAGAATATTCTCATGTTAGGCCAAAAATTTCCACGGTAATCGAAGTGACCAAATTCCACGCCAAATCAAACAGTGTCGAATGTTGATCAAAACGCCCTCGTGCAAAACGGCAACGAGGTCTCGTGTCCAATCATGCCATACACCATGACCTTTTTCTCTAGTGGATCTTTGCCAGGCGGACCAATCAGGAAAATTCCATAATATATAGACGATTGGCTACGAATGAATTTTTCAATAAGTTAGCGTCAAAGTTACGGGTCACCCGTTCCATTGGTGAGACTGTTAAGAGCAATCTCGTGGCTGGTGAGAAATGTCACTATCAGCAGACTTGCTCATTAAGACAAGGTCAAGTCACCTTACACGATAGATACGATACGTACCGAGAATGGGATAGTATAGAATGTTAGGGAGAAGTGATATAGTGTACATCGTACTGCGCTTGATGCTCATAATCTAACTATAGGGAGTCCCTTCTTGCCTACCTAGTAGGCGTATAGAGTTCACAGCTGAAGGAAATAATGATCACAGGAAGATCTTGTCAAACATACACATAAATCATTACTTATGCATATCCATCCGTCGGTCATACCTTCAAGTTGAACTCTGTCGGTTAGTTGATCGGCAAGTGCGCTTCTTCAAGTCCACATACATGACTCTTTTTTTCTTTTTTTTCACGTACAAAGTTAGAACAATGAACTTTAAGCTTATTTTGGATATTTGTTGAGATTCTGCACTTATTACAGAATCGGATTAGTAAGTGTCTAGGTACGGAATATGACCTCGATATAATGATGGCGATGTTCCTTGTGACCATGACGGCAACTCGACAACTCGACAGTGATGGCGATAGCATTCACAAGGCAGCTCATAATAATATCGATGCTAACATTACTATAACTTGAGCGTTGTGATTAGTACATAGTGTACGTCATGGGTGTTCGCAGAGATTAGCCAGGAGTGCAATATCTGACTGCTTATCGATTCACTAATTAGACCAGATTCGTCTTCCTATTTAAGCATTCTTTCATAAGTTACACACAAACTGACAAGACGATCAAACACCGAAAGGGGGAAAAATAGGAATATGCTCAGATATGCTCAGGTCGGACACGGAGGATTACGAGGGTTACCGGCGCCATTCATCATCAAGACTCTGAGCAGTCTAGAACCATGACTGCCAGTTGAGACCGCCTGTTTTGGTTATAGTAATGATTGAGTCTGGTGCTTGTGATGATTCAGATAATTGGTTTGTATGGCTTATTGCCTGAGAGCCTAACTTGGAGCCATGACATCCATTATGATGGAAGCGCCGGTCCGGATGCCGCGACGGTTTTTGTAAGAATCATTTGTGGACTGTGAATATCAAACAATAAAGGTAGTATTCAGACTTAGGCACCACGACTCGGTGTAGACTGTATAGAGCATAATAATGTTGAAAGATTAGATCAATTTACATGAGGGTAAGAACAGGAGCGGTTACCTGAAAAAAATAAGCCAATGGAAAATAGGTATTTTATGTATTGATACACCGATTTTTGGCTCAACAGCCAATGACAGATGCAACACGGCGTATATCAAGACCACTCTAACACGGTTCCAGACTAGACCCGTACGGTATGGGCAATACGGTACAACGGCTTTTTTATGCTCTGATTTTCGGTAAGAAATGGTACGGTCTTACTGCTGCACGTCTGCCCAAAACGAAGCATCCAATGACCGTCCCGCCGCCAAACTCGGAATACTCCAACAACTCCTCGCCTTGCTTCTGGCTCCCACAGACCGCCGACTGTCAGTTGTGCAGTGTAGTGTGATGTTCTCTCACCTTCTCCTGTCTCTATCCACTCGATTCTTCTCACTGGTGCTCGGCTTCCACGAAAATAGTGTCCATCCCGTCTTACCGTTCGCTATCAGAGAAGAGAAATCATGACCCATAATTTCCATCTTCCTTTCTACCTAACTGGATCTAGGCTCACGACTTTTTCTGTTTCAGTCAGTGACTCTCGCTGAATGACTCTTTTGGGCTCAAAACCTACTTGACTCAAAACGGTCAAGTCGAGTTTTGCTACTATCCATGGTTTGGTCGCTTGGAGGTCATAACTATATATCAGATCCATTCTGTTCCCGTCGACTATCGATCGATCATTTAACAATTCACATACATACAACTTCAAAGGGTCTGTTAGAATACAGAGACCTTTGACTCCTTTTTCTCTTCTATCCTACATACTGTTGTAGAAAGACTCTCTTGTCTTTCTTCTTTTGCCCCACCAATCAACCACCCACACCGCCTCTTCTATCGCATCTTTTGTCTTCTTCTCGACACACATTCTCACCTTGACATTATCCATTTACATATCGTTATTCTGTTCCTAATATCTAGCATATACATATTTTTTTGCGCCATCACTTTTTATACTCATTTTCGCTTCGATTCGTGATCTTACACAACACCCCCGCACACAGATATCATGGCCCGATTTACACAACAACCCTTTGAATTCTACCAAGAGTCCTCCTCAACATTAGACCCAAAACCCACTTTCTGCGAGGAAGATGAGATGAGCGTGTTGGACGATAAGATCCTCGACTCCACACCAGATGTCTCCGGCATATCCGATCCTCGACGGTCGTCGTATGATCAACATGCAGATGCTCTGTCCTACCGAGAATCAGTCTGGGGTGACTTTACACAGCAACAACAGCCACATCAATCACATGTAGCCCCGTCGCTGCACCCTGATGCCTCTCGGCAAGATTCGCATGTGCCTTCGTCCATACCCATGTACGACTCGGGCAATCAATTCATGCGATTAGATACTGCACAGAGCAATGCTGCCTATACACACCAGGCCGCTTGGCCTATGTCCCGAGGTTCTGGTTCGTGTACGCCAACTCCTGTATATGATCAGTTCGCACAGGATTACGATGCAAGCTCTGCTGGCGCATTCTCGGGTGGTGCCGTTGGTCCCGTCTCAGCCATCAACTTTGGTCAAATGTCCTCGTATAGGGGGAATATGTTCGGTGCTCCCGGTAGTGTAGCCATGTCTCCGCAGTCAAGTCAGGGTTGGATGCAGACGGGAGAGATGGTGGATGGACGACCGGCTCGAAGTCCAACGTATCGAACGGACTCGAATCTGCATCTTCGTCGTGACGGTATTCGCAAGAAGAATGCCCGGTTTGAGATTCCTGCCGAGCGTACCTTGAGCAATATCGACCAATTGATTGCGCAGTCGACCAATGAGGAAGAGATCAAGGAACTTAAGCAGCAGAAGCGTCTTCTTCGGAATAGACAAGCAGCGTACGCCTTTCCCTTACAATCACTGCTTTTATGCCAAAGGAAACTAACATTTAGCAGACTTGACTCCCGCCAACGAAAAAAGCTTCACACTGAGAAGCTGGAGGAAGAGAAGAAACAATTCACCACAGTCATCACCGATCTCGAGGAAGCCCTGCACAACATGAAGATTCGTGAAAGCGAGCTGCTCCGAGAAAAGACTGAATGGATGAATGCTCAGCAACAGTTCCAGCAGTGGATAGAAGGTCTACAAATGGAAAAGGACGAACTCATCCGTGTCCACACGTTGGAGACTGCAGAGTTGCGCAAGAAGAACAACATTCTTCGCGAGACCATGGAGAAGATGGAGCAGCAATTTAAGTCGATGGGAAAGCAGCACTCGAATGCGTTTGCTACAAACGGGTTCGGCGAGTTTGACAGTCTCCATATGGAGAGCGGTCCATGGGATGAAATGTCTCTGGTGAACAATATCTCTCTTGAAGCTGAGGGTTTGAGTGCGCCAGTCGACGCCAACAATGACAACATGACAGCCATGGTTCCCGTCAAGAATGAGAAAGCAGAGAAGATCTTCAACAACCAGAACAGTGATTATCCTTTCAGCTGGAATGCATTCTACATGTGTTTGCTGTTTGGAGCCTTCATTGCATCGAATAGTACTTCTCTATCTTCACCAGCCGCGCTTCCTCAACTCTCAGACGAATACCGCGCCGAGTCAGCCAATGTCCTCAAAGCCGTTCTCGCATCTGCCCCGGCTGATGTATCTTCTTCTACTATCCAGCATCTCCCTACAACCATCTCAGGTGCTGAAATGGCCCATATGACTTCAGGAAGTACTATTCAGGCCTCGACTCTCGACGAACTCCACAAGAATCTCGCACTACCCTCGAAACAGCAAGAAAACGAACAAGTCTTTGCTCTCAACCCGGAACAATACAATGCTCTAACCACTTTCCAAGACGACAGCCACAACACTAACATGGACTTTGGCGATAAACCTCAACAACAGCCATCAAACCTTCAGCAAGCTCTAGCGGCTATGCGCGGGAATAACGATGGCGGTAGAACGTCAGAAGTCTATTCAAGGTCTTTGATGTGGGATCGTGTTCCGGAGAAGGTTGTCCGTGATTTTCAACGAATGGTTCGCGAATGTGGTGCCACGAAGTGATCTTTACTTCCTCTCTCGAACTTCCCCCCTCTTCTATTACCAAGTTGAATGATGTGAACAAAGCTAGGCTGGCCTAGCACCTCATTCCATCGACTTGCAGCTCAATTGAACCGACAGAACCCTAAAAAGCGGACGGCACGCTTCTACAAAAGAATAGCCGGTGGCTCGACGCCTCCCCTTCCCTCCATATACATATACATATATATATATCCCCTCCATCTCCTTTGTTCATGTCAGATGATACGAATCTTGCATGATGATATGACTATTGTGTTTTGTCTTTTCTGTTTTGTATCAGCACTTTAGCGAGGCGATTTTTAGCAAGCGTTGTTTTTCTGCAATTCTTTCGGCGTTTTTCCTTTTCTGTCTCCAAATTTGATAACATAACGGCTGGATGGATTGATGATTTTAATGATTTGTTTTGTTTGCTTTATTTTGTTTACTGACCTCGAGTCAAACGATGAAGAAAGAGAAAAAGAGACCCTTCCAATCAATCCTGATTGAGTTATAGGGGATTTATGTGTGCGAACACAAAGATGTCTTCATGATTCTTGTTTTTTTTTATTCTTGTACATTTTTTCTTTCTCTTCCGTCTCTTGTTGCTTCTTCTCAGAATGATCCTGTTCTTGTTTCTTTATACCGATTGAAATGTATCTAACTATCTATCCTCTTCTTCTATATCATACTATCTACTTTACTGGCCCTTGGCCAGCGATCTTGGTACCGAAATCTCTTCTCATCGAGTAATCGATCACTCCTTTTTTGGCTTGTATGTATTACGGAGATAGCTCCGAACTCAGATATCACGACAGAAATGCAGCACGCAGCACGCAGATTTTATGATGCTCCAGGATAAAGATCGTTTTGATTATAACTAGTGATACAAGTACCTATTTGCTCTTGCATTGGATGAACATGGGAAATGACAGCCTGCTTGAGCCATCAGCGGTCTGCCTGCCTCTATCATGTCGTCCCAACATAGATGAAAGCCGCTTCCAATCGCAATATCGGTTTGCCCTGGGCATATCTCAGAGACAGAGCTTTGTTCTGGGGCAATTACGAGGTACCTCATAGTCGGGCGCACTTCAAACAAAGAAGAGATTTTTCTTCTCTCCAAGGGGCGTCTACATAAGCGCCCTTTCTGTCCCTTTCCACTCAACCTTTTTTTAACTCATCATTCTCCCACCTCCTCCTGAAGCTTTCTTCAGGGTTCTGCAGGGCTCCTCTCTGAGTGATTTTTTTTTTTTTTTTTTTTTTTTTTTTTTTTTTGCTTATTCCCAGACCTCTGTCTTCATTCTCCCAGCTATCTACGAAACCCTTTGTCGGCTTTCTTTTCTAGAGCTTCATAACATGGGTCTGGAAAGACCTTAATCGGCATACATACCAATGGCTCATTTTCAGTTCTAGTCTTTCCCTCGTTTTGCAAACTACAGTGGCTGCATGAAATTCAAGCAGCATATAAACTTGTAAGTTTGACCTCATCGGTGATGCCTAGGTATATCTGGATAATATGAGAAAGCTAATGTGTGACATCTTCACAATAGGAGCTTCAAGCCAAAGTATTAGGTCTAGAAGACTACAATAATTACCCTAAGTCTGATAACTAGTAATTGGGATATTATCATCGGTTTATACCACCTCTTGAGCTCACAATACCGCGCCGTCAAGGAGCTTAGCTAGCTCTTTCTATGGCCTTCATCGTACCAGGTTCTATCTGGAGCTCTTCCTTGCTTGTCCTCAGACCTCTGACTTATTTTCTGCCGTTCTGTCAGCCATGTAGCTCCTTTCTCGCTTCTATCTCGCTCCATCAAGAGAGGAAGAAAGAAAGAAGATTCCACCAAGAGAGGAGACGAGCGTCGATGGATTTGAGATTCGAAAAACCATGTTCAGTCTCAACTATCCTCCTCTGAGGGAATCAATATCCACAGTTTAACAAATCGCTACCTCACTTCTGGGTAGCTGCATCACGCAGAACCGAATCATCGGCCGGCGGATCCCATGCCCAAGACCCCTTCAAACAATTTCGAGACATACTTGGGCGCATTTGGCCTGAGTAATGTTCGGCGCAATGCCAAACAGCTCGTAAACGAGTCAAAAGAGCTTGCTCATTTTCTTCAGCTGATCGAGAATGATATGGACCACCCGAACTTCTCACAATGGTGGACACTGACAAGTGTTTTCGAATCAGAAGATCTGTATGGGAAGGCTACGATCTATGCAATCAATACAGCTACGACAAGGCATGGTTTACGGTTAGGTCGTCTGGCTAAAGATATTTTGGCGTGCTGAACGCTAGAAACACAGCCGAGGAACCATTCGAAAGACGGAAAGAAACAGAAAGCCTACAGAGGGTCCTCCAGATGCAAATATCAGGAAAACAGAACTCGTCCTCTTACTGGCAAGAATTGAAACGAAACGAAGTGACGCTTTAGTCGCTGTCATCTATGAAGACAGCGACAACCATCCCAACACTGAGTATACAGACCTGCATCGCTTGTCTCTCTCTTACAAAAATTACAAGGCCAGTTAGGTCACGAAGAAATCCCTTTCAATACCTGGGCTATTCTCTGGTGCGATATCGATAAACTTGAACCTTGATCTCTGCGCTTGAAAACCCTTTTCGAACAAACTTGATTTATTTGAGAGCACCGCCATGTGGAAAATGCAGAGAGGCGGCAGAAAGGCATAAACATGAATTACATAAACTACATCTCAGGGATATGAGTAGTAATTACCGTCAAGCCCTTTCCTGGCCAATTCGGAAATGACAAAGCCCATCACAAGGAGGGCTGACAACTGCAGACACATACATGAAAATGTACTTTGAGCAGCGCGTTCGTCACTGATTTCGTCAGGCGCAGTCGTAATATCAGGAAGCAAATAATATTATTAGCCTCACCTAGGCTAGTTTGGAATAGACTTACCACGATCGCTGTGCTTCGTGATCCAGGATGTAGTTAGACCAGCACCTGTGATGTGAAAGAATCTGGATATGGACTTGATTAGAGAATAGCTGATAACTGCTCGAGGCATGTTGATAGCCACATAGAGGGAGAACAGGAACTTGATTAATCAATAGGAGGCGCTACTAGATTAGGCCATACAAGTTAAATAAGGAGTAGTTATACAAAAAGGGCCGCTTTCATAACGTGCTCGGAGAGGTCTGTCTGTATGTGATTACTTTTCATTCCTATCGATTTCTTTATAGCACGCAAATCATCTGTCTCTATGACATAGGTATGAGTTCGAGTATCATCTCACTTTGTATCATATGAAAATAGGAACAGGAACAAAACTGAAAATGCTTTTATTGAACAGGTGAAACCCATGAAGGGTGATAACTAAGGTAACAATCTAATATCCACCCACTGATGAAAAAAAACCAAGCATGAGGAAAAGTAATGTCGAACTCGAAAGGTCGACCAAGAAGAGAAACACAACTATGTACATATGTGAAGAATTTGAAAAATGCATCAAACCTGTAGAAGGAAGGATATAACATGGTACAAAACTGGAGTCATGTAATAAAGATGCTCACGTAAGAAAGAAGATCAAGCATCGGTCATCTTATCTTCCTCCCTAATAGTCGCAATCATACCATACTGTCCACCAGCACCAGCCCAGACAAACTTCTTATCCTGCACAGCCTTGGAGTTAATCAAAGTCGCAGCCTTGATATCGTCATCACCGGGTTGACCGGTTTGGTTGGAAGAGTTGAAGCCCCATGAATACGCTTTGCCGTCTGTGGTGATTGCAATAGCATGCTCAGTACCGTAGGTAGCGTAGGAGACTTCCAAGTCGGGGATGCGGGTTGCATTGGTCAAGATACGAGGACGGTCGCGGTCGTCGAAGATGACGTCCTCTTTGGGAAGAGTGGAGGGATCAATGCCAATGGCGTGGTTGTCGATACGACCCCAAACGAGACATTCATTCTTATCGGTGAGGGCGAGGGTGTTGAAGTTTCCGGCAGCGATTTGAGTGATCTTGTTCTGACCCTTCAAGCTAGGGACAACAGTGGGCTTGAGAACACCAGCTCCGCTCTCGCCGGCCTTGCTGGCAATACCAGTCTGGGCGTAGTTGTTCAATCCCCAACCGTAAACAGATCCGTCCTTGTGCAAGGCGAAGGAGTGGTAGGCGCCGGAAGCAATGTCGATGAAGCCGCGCTTCGAACCAACCTTCTGAGGGACAAGACCCTGTTCCTTTGCACGACGTTCCATGAGGCGACGAGCCAGTTGGTCTTGTTCACCGGATCCCCAGGAGTGCACGGTACCGTCGGTCAAGAGAGCGAGGACGTGGTTGCTACCGGCAGCGAGCTTGGCGACATTCTTCAGACCAGGGATGCGGGTGGGAGTACGCTGGACCACAACCTCGGGAGAGAAAGCCCAGACACCGTTGCTGTTCTATACCGTTGTTAGTAAGACGAAAAGCGCGTCGAATGTAAAACTTACGCGGAATGTGCCCCAACCATAAACATATCCATCATCAGTGAGAGCAAAAGAAGCACTGTCAGCAGCGACAACCTGAGTGAAAACAGTTCCCTCCTCAACACCAGACAAATCAATCACTGATGGAGTAGCTTCCTTGGGATTAACCTCAATCTCCTCATCTTCATCGGAGTCAGATTCTTCAGCCTTGTCCATATCCACCAATCCACCTTCCCAGTCTGTGTCGCGACCCAATGCGCCCTGGTCATTCACACCCCAAGTCAAAACCTTGTTGTCATGCGTAAGCGCGATACCGTGCATTCCACCAGTCGAAATCTGCACGACGCCAGCCTCAGAAAGGACACTGTTGAATTTCGGTCGTGGACAATCTGCCTTCTTGAAGGTATCACCCATACCGAGTTCGGCATTGCTGTTAGAGCCAAAGGCGAACACGTCGAGACGCGTGGTTGGCGCAGTGTTGATGACAACTCTCTCCTTGGGAGGTTTGGGCGCGGGCGCAGCTTTGGGGGCAGCTTTAGCTTTAGGAGCAGCTTTGGCCTTGGGAGCAGTGGGCTTCTTGACAGCAGCTGTCTCGACTTGCTTCTTCTGACGCTTGCCATGCGGTTTTTCTTCGATGTCAGCTTCAGCCTTGCGCTTTGCGCTGGTGTTGGCTTTTGCTTCTTGGAGGGGTTTCTTGGATTGAGTAGTAGCTTTCTTTGTAGTCGCGACGCTCTTCTTTGTGATGGTAGTTGTGGTAGTCTCTTTGTCAGCTGCTGCTGCTCGACCGCTAGTTCTGGTCGGTCTCGCGGTGGCGGCCGTTGGCTCAGCCGATTTTGCAGTGCGTTTTGGAGGCATTGCGTGGTACGTGATGTGTAAATTTGATGAATTAGAAGATAAAATTGAGAATATTCAAAGATAAAGCTGAGATAAAATGAGATCAAGAGGCAATGGATGGGAGAATGAGGAGGAGAAAAATATTTTGTGGAAGTTGGGAGGAAGTAAACAGGAAAATAAGCAGGCGCGCGGGATTTTTTAGTCTCCGAGGAACATCAACGCCAGCCTCCATTTTCATCCCACAATAGCTTGGTTGTCGCCTATGTTGTCTGTTTGTCAGTCTAAGACATTATTCTTTGATAATATATTTGATTGATTAATTCTTTTGATATTACTATATACCTCGTTCTCGTCTGTCGCGTCTACCAATTAGAATCGAGTATTCTGTCGAGTATTCTGTACAGCATACAATGGGCAATGCGATTGTATTCCTCGAGGCTCACCACCATCGGACTGTAAGTAATTGAGCTTCAGATGCTGTGAAGAATGTGCTCTATGATTGTAGGAATGCACACACTGAGATCTCCACATTCTTCGAGCGATTGATCCTCAAAATTAGTCTATTGTTTGAGAATCACTCCATTCAGACTTTCAGATAGAATAAACACCTGAGCTTGAAGCTCTGGTGGATTCATAACCCTAGGATAGAATGAATATTAAATTACCAACCCTAACCCTGAGATAAGCTACTTCGACTTCATTTGTCAACCACCAAGTGATTGCACAGCATCAAGCCAGTAGCATTTCAGAACGCATGTATGTTCCACTTCAAATGGCCTGAACGGGGTTAGCTGGTTTATCAGTTTATCAAGCTTAATCATAACTTATCTTGTAATATGTGACTAATGTAGTCTATCTATGAACTGCGGGGTGATGATAAATAAGAGGGGATAGATAGATGTATCTTGACTTCTTTCTACTCTATACACGAGCAAGACAATCAGAAGCAGCTCCAAAATAAATTGCAAGACAACGACATCATGGGTACTCAAATCCGCACCGCTCTCAAGGTCGACACAAACACCCCTGCTGAAAAACAGCCGTATCTACACGTAAGACCAGCTTCAATCATTTGACACTTGCGCAGACTGACAAAGTACAGAATCGCTGGCATCCTGATGGTAATTCCCATCCTTCGTATCCTAACAAATCCCTCTAACGGGCTAATCCAGTCCCCTTCGTCGGTACAATCCGCAACAACGAAACCGTCAAGATCGAATGTCTCGACTGGACAGGCGGGCAAATCCAGAACAACGACTCAGCCGACGACGTACTGAACGTCGATCTCAGCAAAGTGCACTATCTCTCTGGCCCCTTTGAAATTGAAGGTGCGGAACCGGGTGATGTTGTCTGCGTCGAGATTCAGGATGTTCAACCCTTTGAAGACCAGCCGTGGGGGTTTTCGGGGGTGTTCCACAAGGAGAATGGTGGTGGATTCTTAGATGAGATTTATCCTCATGCGTGAGGCTACTTTTATTTTTTCAGCGTTTTTGGGGCTGTTGTCTGATGATTGAATAGAGCAAAAGCGATCTGGGACTTTGAAGGCATCTACTGCACCTCCCGACACATCCCCGGTGTCAAATTCGCCGGTCTAATCCATCCCGGTATCCTGGGTTGTGCTCCCTCAGCCGAAATTCTGGCAGAATGGAACCGTCGCGAGGCAGAACTAATCTCCGAAAAGGCTGCAGGTGGTTCAACGCGAACAGTCGCAAATCCTCCCTTGACAACCAATGCACACGCGGGTTCCGCTGACGCAGCCACTGCTGCTAAGATTGCAGCTGAAGGTGCGCGAACCGTTCCAGGGAGACCGGAACATGGTGGGAATTGCGATATTAAGAATCTGTCGAGGGGGAGTAAAGTGTATCTGCCGGTGCATGTTCCGGGGGCAAAGTTTAGTGTTGGTGATTTGCATTTTTCGCGTATGTCTCCTCCCCCTTTCCCATCTGTAGAGTTGGTTGATAACTAACAAAAAGTAAAAATAAAAACAGAAGGCGATGGCGAAATCTCATTCTGCGGTGCAATCGAAATGGCCGGCGTAATCACAGTAAAATGCACAGTCATGAAAAACGGCCAAAAACAACTCGGTATGGTTAATGGGAAATCCCCTATATTCATTCCTGGTCCTGTGCAGCCTCAATTCGGGCCTGGTAGGATGCTATACTTTGAGGTAGACAAATGAACCCTTCCTTTTTTCGATAAGCTTCTGACGAGAATGATGCAGGGCTTCTCCGTCGACGAAAATGGGAAACAGCATTTCCTCGACGCAACTGTAGCCTATCGTCAAAGTTGTCTTCGCATTATCGAGTATTTGCGTCGATATGGATATGACGATTATCAGATATATTTGCTTCTGAGCGCGGCTCCTATTGAGGGACATATTGCCGGTATCGTAGACGTGAGTTGTCCTTCGGTTCTCTTGGAAGTGGAATTTGCTAATTGTGATTGTTAGATTCCGAATGCTTGCACAACCATTGGTTTGCCCATGGATATCTTCGAGATGGATATCAGACCCGAGACGCCAGCTAAAAAGGTTGATATGCGTCTGGCTCCTGTGTCAAAGAAGTAGATGCTAAAACTCTGTAGAGTGGTTATGAGAATAAGACAAGATTGCTATTAGTATGTATATGCTGAAAATCAATGAGACAAGGAATTAAATAGTACATCATCAAAGTATGGGTATCAAAAGCCATGGTCGTAAAGCATGTTCCTTCACTTGGGATTATATTTGTCTTTCCAAATCCTACCAAAACCGTTAGCCCAAAAGGTCAGTATAAGGAAAAGACAGACATACCAGGAATTCCCCAAAATCTTATTCCCATTCTGCTCAGCAAGCCGATAATACTTCGCCGCCATATACTAAAACCAGTCAGCCACCGCACCTATCTCCTACTATCCGAGGGTAAATACCTTATCCTTCTTTCCCCCAAAACCCTCAAAATAACACCAAGCACATTCATTCATAGCATCCGTATCCCCCAGATTTGCAGCAGTCTCATAATACAACCTCGCCGCAACAGGATCCTTTTCTATCCCCCAACCGTTCCGAAAACAATTCGCAAGTTCATAGATGGCTAGTACGAGTTCACCTTTGGCGGCGCCGCCCTTTTTCAGCCCGGCTTCGAGGGCCTGGGTTTCGATGTTTGCGGAGTTGCTGGCTGCGGCGGAAAGGTAAATTACTGCTTTGGGGAGGTCGGGAGTGCAGCCCCATCCGTGGCTGTATAAACAGTTAGTTTTGGTGAAAAGTTGTTGGTTATGTAGGGGACGGATTACCGGAGTGCGAGGCCGTACAGGACCTGGGCTATGGCGTTATTGGAGCCGTTGAGATCTGCGAGGATGCCGAATAGTTCTGTGGATTTTTCGAGTTCTATAACTGTTATTATCAAATTCCTGCATGTCGTCGGCGACACATACCTCCACTCTCATGAAGACGAATTGCTTCTTGTATACTAATCTGCAAACAATCAGCATGACGCCGATACATATCTCCAACGAAAAATAGCTCACATCAGCCTGTGGCTCAGAAACACCAGAATTACTCCGACTCCTCCCCTGATTAGGCTGCAAATACGAGAAATTCGTCATACTCGTACTCGCTCCGCCAGCAACTCCATCAGGAGAGGCACCACCACCAATCCTCGGATTCCCCTGCACAAGCCTCGTGGCACGCTTCTCCCATTGCGCTTCTCGCTCATGCTCATCCGTCACAGCATCCGGATCGATTTGCGGAAGATCAGCCGGTATATTCACCGAACTTGTACTTCCGCTTCTCGAAAAGGAACTTCTACTATGATGATCTATATGAAGTAAGTTTGAAATCCTGTTTTCGCCCTTTTCGGAGGAACTTCCGCGGCGTGGTGAGGATATATCTGAGGAAGAAGAGACGTGTGAACGTCTACGGAAGAATGACTTGCGGCGGGATGTTGTTGGGGAGATTGTTGACTCTTCTGGTTTTGTAGCTGATATGGACGTGTTGATGGTAGGTGGGGTGAGGTTTTCTTGAGTGTGGGTGTCTGTTCGAATGAATGTGAATTCTTGGGGGTCGTTAATGTTGTTGGTGATGTTGGAGTCTGGTCCCTGATCCTTGCCATGTCTGTGTAGAATGTCTTTGAACGGCATGACGATGACTACGCTGTAATTCTGTACGAAGGATGAATATGTTGCAATATATTTCTGATTCCAAAAGCATAAACGACGACGACTCAATATATACAGAAGAAAGAAAGCATTGAGTCAAAAGGTTCCATCACCTTGTCTCTTGGTGAAATTCGTGGGGCGCAGCGCGCTTCGAGTCTTGGAAGTCAAGGGCCAATCACTCTCTTGCTTATGTCTTAGCTGAACTTCATTCTATTATGATAGATTTATTTGACTGTTGTTGTACTCTTTTTATACTGCGCTAATTGTAGGCGATAGACATGCATGAGAAGCGGAGTAGGCCCACGATAATTAATATCAAACATGACCATTTGAGCCTCAAGATTCTGACAACCCGGATGGACTACGAAGTGGTGACAAGATTACAGCTATGACTGCAACAATGCTGTCGCAGCAGCGGTAAGGTCCGAGCGTTTGGACAGGTTCGATCAATATCATCTCTCAATGTGATATACTACATACGAAACAAAAGAAAAGAACAGATCATTGTAATTGTAGAATTTTAAAAAGTCTAGTGTATCATATAACACTGACAGCTTGGATTTTGTACATGATAAAGGATATAATAACCATCCGTCTATTGACGTTTATTTGGTGGCAACAATACCTATAAACCGTTAGCTTTTGTATCTAAAATTTTAGATCTAGGGAACGCACGCTCCACATCAGCAATGCTCTGCTGAAGGATCTGCTGAAGAACCTTGGGGTTCTTGAGTTCTTCGTGGATCTTGCGGATAACGGTCTCGGCAAGCTCACGCTGCTCGCGCTGCTTGACCTGACCCTCGTAGCGCACCCAGGAGTCGAGGACCTGCTTGGCCTCGGCAGCGAGAGCAGTGCGCTGTTCGAGCTCGTAAGCCTGAGCCTCAAGCTTGGCAGTTTCCTACTCTTGTCAGTCTCTGATATCTAATCTTCAGATCATGAATCTAACCTTGGAAACTTCAAAAAGCTGCTTGGTGACCTCAACAACACCACCGAGCTGCTGGACATTCTCAATGCGGGCCTTAACGGCATTGGTATGGTCGGCACGAGCAGAGTTCAAAATATCCTTGTACTTCTGCGACTGACCCTCTGCCCACTCTCTGTACATGGGACCACCATATTTACCGAGAGCAGTGAAGACGCTGAGCAAACAGAATGCGATGACGGTTTCCTCGTTCAACACGTACAACTCGTTGCTGATGGCGGCAATGGAGAGACCGGCTCCGGCAGACAGGATAGCGGTCTTAGAAACGAGTGAGTTTCCAGGAAGCGAATCAATGATCGATTGGGCCTTCTTCTGGGGCTCCTCGGCGGGCACGTTGGAGGCGTAACGAGGTGCCGTGATGTTGGCTGTGATGGAAGGGAGATTGCGGGTGACGAGGGCCGGTCGGACGCGGGTAGCGCCTAGTTTGTCTGGAGTCAATATATGCAATACATGCAATCAATCGGTTGAAATTCAGTCGATAGAACATACCGATGGCGCTCTTTGCCAAACGCGAAGCCATTGTTGTGCAATGTGAAGCTGCTGGGTTTGCGGTGTTAGGGAAACCGGAAGTGACGAGAAGTTGTCGGGAAGGAGTTTGGAGGAAAATACTAGCCGTAATAGGCATGGTGTTCCGCTCGGAAAAACAGCCTCCGGATAAAATAATTTTAGGACAACGACTGAATGTGAATATCACTTGGTACATAAACAGCACAGCATGGCGAAAGAAATTACTAAAAAACGAAAAACTCCTTCAAAAGGAGCCGGCAACGTCAATTCATCCTCGAAACGTCGAGCCGTGGCAAGCGATCAGTCAAAGAATGAACAGGCCAAGATCGAAGAGCTCGAAGCTCAAATATCCGAGTCGAGAAAATACTACAACAATATCGCGACGTTGATTTCTATGCTTAATGTCACCGGTAATAAGGATGCTATCGAACAACCCAATCTTGCAGTGGCAGTTCCCCTGTGTCGAGTTTTCTGTCGACTTATTGCCGGCGGAAACTTGCAAATGCCTTCCAAGGCTAGCGAGCAGGAACAGATTGTTGTGCGGTGGTTGAAGGAGAGATTGCAGGAATATCAGAGTGCTCTGTTGGATATTATTCGATACGCGGACTCGTCTTCTCAGGTTGGTTCCATTTCCGTACTGCTGTCACGTCGCGCAGGACACCCATCTAATTTCGTTAGATCACTGCGTTGACATTGTCTCTGCGACTCGTAAACGTGCGCGCAACCCATATCCCCGAAGCAGAAGTTCAGGTGTGGACTTCAGGTTTATTCCAGAATATCTTTGGAGCTTTGATCGAGGCGGAAGATGGCCAGGCTGTTCGCTCAGAATTTGTTGAAAATTTTGTAAAGGAGTACGACGACGTGAGGTTTTATACCTTTCAAAAGATAGCGTACGTCCCTCTTGATTAGGGGAAGAGACACTCGCTAACTATGATTAAGATCCTATAGCCCCGAAGTACAATCATCCGAAACACTCGAACGACTAATCTGGATCCTATCCCAATGCGACTCCATCCCACAAGACTACAAATTCACAAAATTCTACGGACAACAACCCACGGAAAAAGGAAAATCAAAATCCCCTTTATTATCTGTCAACTCGCACCGAAGGCACGCCCAAGACGCATGGCTCTCAATCCTACGAAGCAGCGATCTCTCTGAATTTCAACGCAAATCCCTGCTCAAAAGAATGTCCCACACAATCGCACCCTGGTTTCTTCGTCCAGAACTCCTCATGGATTTCCTGACAGATTCCTATAACGCCGGCGGCTCAATCGCTCTCCTCGCACTATCGGGACTTTTCTATCTTATCCAAGAACGGAACCTCGACTACCCACACTTTTACACAAAACTCTACTCTCTCCTAGACTCGGAATTACTCCACTCAAAACATCGATCTCGATTTTTTCGTCTACTCGATACATTCCTAGCGTCGACGCATTTACCCGCCACACTAGTGGCAAGTTTCATAAAACGACTGGCACGATTAGCGCTCAACGCTCCCCCAAGCGCAATTGTAGCCATCGTCCCGTTCGCCTACAATCTGCTCAAATCCCATCCAACATGCACGTTCATGATCCATCGCGAAATACTCGACAAGAAACAAAAATCCATGATCGAGGCACAGGGCATGACAGACCCATTCCTACCAGACGAAACAGATCCTACACTCACAAACGCAATCGAAAGTAGTCTCTGGGAAATCGAGTCCTTACAATCACACTACCACCCCAACGTGGCTGCGATTGCGCGGATAATATCGGAACAATTCACAAAGCAATCGTATAATATGGAAGACTTTTTGGATTATAGTTATCAGGGTATGTTGATGGCTGAATTGGGGGTGGAAGAGAAACCCTTCCGTAAGGCGCCGGTGGTTGAGTTTCAGATTCCCAAGAGGATTTTTACGGATAGATTGTTGATGGAGGAGGATCGGGGGGAGGATCGGGGGACGGGGAGTTTGTTGAGGAAGTTGTGGGAGTTTCCTGCTGCATAGATTGCAAGGATGTTTATGAGACTTATGATTTTCTGAGGTATTTATTCTATTTCTTTTGATTTCACTGCGTGACTGTAAATGTATAAATCGTAGGATGCTCGCCAAGTAAAGAATGTATCTAGTCCCAATTCCCGGGTCGCCAGGGGCAAGGTACCTAGGTTCAGTTGGTACATGGAATGTTTGTCCATCTTGGTTAAAGCATTATAGCCATGGCGATCCAGCCCTGATTAAGCTCGATCTGTTCATCCTTCTCCAGAAGAGTGCACGTTTTGCGCTTGTTAAAGTATAGAGTATGTTGAAGACATCGGTTATTATTGGTTTAGAAATATCATTATCTAGTTATTGGATAGGATGGCGCCCATTCTTGAATCGAACATTCTTCTGAAGTGTCCCTGCTCGTACACGAGAGTTGATCTAGGGGTGTTGACGTTTTTGTTTATCGTGCTCGCATGCTTGTCTGACTTTTAAAAATACCGCATGGAGCACATTTGGTCAAGTTTGGCCCTTCATTTACACCTTTCCTTTCGAGCTTCGAATTCAAGACACTGAAAAGTGACAAAGTAAACATACACATTAAGATGGCTCCAGTCAAGTACTTCTTCATCGGCGCAGGTCTGTTGATGTCGGCCATGGCCGATTATGTCGCCTTCACAGAGTGGCCAGCCAGTTTGACTGCTGGTCAACCCGTGACTCTGAAATGGGTCGGAGGCGGTGATGCTGTAAGTGCGATCCTCCCACAAGCAGAAAGAACTCAACTAACTTATAAAGCCCTTCACAATCACCCTCCGAAAAGGCGCATCAACCGACCTCCACGACGTCCAAGTCCTGACCACCGCCGCTACCAACGGCGAATATACCTGGACTCCCCCCCGCGATCTCCAGAATGCCAACGACTACGCTTTCCAAATCTCTCAAGGAGATCAAATCAATTATACCGGTCTTTTGCCGCTATCCGGTGGCTCAGACACGCCTAATGCCAATTCCCTGGACGGGACTCAAACGGATGCCGCGAACTTGAGCAATTCTGCTTCTGCGACTGAGACCGCTGCTGCTGCGTCGTCTTTGACTGAATCCGCTGCAACTGCAGCGGCATCCGCGACAGGTACCATTGCCGGGGCGACTACAACAGCCACTGATAGCGCTGCCTCGGCGACATCTGCTGCTACAGGTAGCGCAACAACAACCGGTGGTACAAGCGCCAGCGAAGAAGGAGCCAGTGCAACGGCATCATCTGTATCAACCGAGACCGCGTTGGCGTCGAAAATGAATACCCCTTTCGTCGGATCGCACATGGCAACGCCGACTACGGCAGCTTCGTCGAGCGTGCAGACCGGTTCTGCGGGTCGGGTTGTTGTTGTTGTTCCCCTTGCTTTGCTTGCTAGTTCCGCTGCTTTTCTCTTTGTGTTTGTTTAGAGTGTGCTATGTCATAGTCTATCTCAGTTCCTTCTGTTTGATTAGCAATCTGTCCGGCTAGTTGTTCAGTCGTACCCTGCCGCTGTGTTTTCATTGATTCGAGGCCTCGATGCACTGATCATGTCATGCCCGCCGCGATGATACCCCGTACATATTCATGAGTCCGGTTGGATTTGCAATTAGGTAGTTCAAATGGAAATCAAAAGCTCTAATAAAGTCCTGTCCTTTCAATGAGTCCGAGTTCTGAGCTGGCTGTGGTGCATGTGTGTTGATTTGTTGTGGATGAATCTTCTATCGGAAGTTCGTGGGAGCTGCCACTAGTGCCCGCGGCTAGTGAACTCTCAGCCAATCAGCATCCACTACCCCTGATTTTCATGTTGCTGATTGGCCAGAAATGCAATTTTCCCCACAGTTGTAGCTGCTCTGATTTGTCGGTGGCTGACATCATGTCTGCCTCTCCTTGTCTACCTTTTTTGAGATCATTCTGATATGGCTTTGTCGATGCTCTCCGGACTCAAAGACCGCTCGCTTTTGTGCCCTTCCTATATATCCAGAAGAGCCTGATAGATTGAGGCAGGGCTGTGGATGTTGTTCAGACTGCTTGTATCTCAATTCGCTCATTGTGACTGCTTTCCGGCGGTCATCTGCCATCTCCGGAGCTTCCTCAACGTCACCCCATCCTGAAACTCGATACTGAAGGGTATTGATATAAATGAAGAGAAACGCTCTACGGAAGAAATCTCCTGCAGATGCTCTCGGCATAAGACCTTGGGCTCTGGACAATAATAATAGCAGTGGTAAGCCAATTTCTCGTCATTAGTCCAATACACTATACCTCTCACAATCCCCTGCATGCTGCGTGAAGCTGAAGGGCCCGCTTATCCATGGTTGAGCACTTGCACGATTCCAACACTCAATTTGATTTCTTTCTCTCTTTTGTCAGACCAGAGCACAATGCCTCCAACACTCATCACATTCTTTATGCCCACTTCTTTCATCCTCAACCCACATATACATGGATGGAATCAACACACCTCCACGCTTGAGTCCACTCAAGCGAATGAAGAAAGCCTTGATGAAACAGCGAAAAGAGCAACAGTCCACTGATGACGATTCTTCTTCCTCGAATACAGATGCGCCGCAGTTGAATTTACCTCGTGTCGAGACTCGGTTGGAAATGCATCAGACGAATGGGTTATTTGACTCGTTGACGACCGACCGGCGTGTTGTTTCGAATCCGTCGTCTTCGCCTGGAGGTTAGTCTTGCTACCGACATGGAATATAGTGGGAGGGATGTGCTGACGATGTCTTAGAGGGTGCCAACGGCGTCAAGTCGAAAAGTTCGAATAATGATCTCTCCTCGGAATGGACGTCGGCTGTCGGCCATGCGAGTACGGGAAAATCAGGACGGGTGATTCATAATTTACAAGAAGAGATTGCTCGCTTAACGAGGGAACTCAGCCTCTACCGGTCACGAGCAGAGGAAGCGCAGCATATCAACGAAACCCTAAAAGAGCAAATAATCAACATCACCGAGCGATTACGAAATTCAGAGCAATCCAACGAAACAAACCTTGCATCCATCTCACGGAAAGATCGCAAGATTGAAGATTTGCGAACAGAAGTGCAGAATGAAAAGGCCAGAAGGCTGAGGGCAGAGGCAGAAACAGCCAAGGTCAACCAACTCATGTCAGAAGAACAAGACGGATTCCATCGCAGATGTGCTGAGCTCCAAGAAGCGTCGAATTATAGTACGTCTCAGTATGAGGCTTTGTCCAAGGCGTCGCAGAGGGAAAAGTCGGATCTGCAGAGGAAATTCAAGGGGATAAAAGACGAACTCGCGTCGCTGCGTGAGCAGGCAGAGCTCAAGGATAGGGAACAGGAGCGTCTGGATGCGTTGATTGATCGACAGAATCAGGAACTGGAGACGGAAAGACGTCGTATACAGGAGATTTTCACGGCATATGATAATTATAAGACTTCGCGGGATCGCGAGTTTGAGGATTTGGTGGCCAAGGGACGCCGAAATCAAGCCAATGTCGACGCAGCTGTTGCGTCGCTCAAGGAGACCGAGGATAAAATGAAGTGGGTGATGCATGTCAAGAAGGACATCCCATGGGCCGAATAGCCTGTCTCCTTTCTGTCATGGCCTTGAGGTGTCTGTCAGTTTCAACATATCTCTCCCCTCGACTCATACACATACCCATTACACATACCCATACCCAAACATCATCTCGGATGCTCAATTGCTCCATATACTACAAGCACTTCACCACTTATTCAACACTAATCACATTATTCACCTCGATACCCTTTATCTTTCATGGTCATGGCGTTGGTTGTTTATTCTGTTGCATGTCCCTGGGACTTCGAGGCTTATTTTACATATTATGATTGTTGCAGCCTACCTGTACGATGTTTGTTGATTACTGATTCACACTGAATATAATAGAGAGATTCCTTGTGAGCTTTGCCATCTCATTCCATCTCAATCCAGATACGTCATCTCAGCCTCTCACGGCTCCATCCATATTTGTTCTGTGATCAGACAAACGAAGGTAATATCATCTCAGTATACTAACTCTACACCTGAGACTGCGCCCTGTGCACGTGCCCATGTTCAGATTTTTCATCAAAGAAATTGACAGCCACTTTCATTCTTTTCTCTTTATTTGTCGATGTGGTTTCATTGAGGCTGTTCGATGGCCCACACGTGATCCTGCTCTTCCCATATCTACCTCCCTCCTTCCCCTTCTTTCATCTTCTTCTCTTTCTTCCTTCACCTCTTCTTCTTGTCTATTTGTACGCCATTGTTCAGTTCGATCAGGTTATTCTTGAATTCGCCTCATTTCTTCATACTCTGCTCTCATCTCTCTGTTCACATATATCTCCTCTAATAACTCTGATACTCGCTCTTGTCTCGAATACCAGTAGCAGCTCTTCCGGTCGAGCTTTCGAGGATCAAAGTCGACATAATGGAGTCCAACGTCCTTGTATTGTTTACTCCCTTACCGTTCGATGTGTGGACTGTATGTACCGTTCTCAGTAATCTTCTAATTCAGTCCTAACTAACTTGGCCAGGGCATGAATTTCTGTGACTGGCTCAAGTAATTACGTCTATATCATCACCTCGAGTGCTCCGCCTGCTAATATCAAGATAGGGAGCGTTACCCTCATGTTTCAGAAATAACCTACGACTCCGGTAAAGACGTTAGTAGCACCATGTGTCTTCGTACCTCAGGTCCAGCTGATTAACTTGCGCGTTAGGAATTTACTATCAAGGGGCCCAATATGATCAATTACCAAGCCCAGTTCCTGTCTGATCTAAGTGATTTCGTCCAAGGAAAACCGAGGGTATTATATATACATATATAGCTCTTCTTGTTTGTGACTATGGGTTAACCTCTACAATATAGAAACCTGTTGCACAAGCTTCAAGCTTATTGCTTGATGACTTAGAGGATGAGCCGTCTATAAGCAAGAACTGGGAATGCCCTCCCGATTTCCGGAAGGAACGCTATGCTCCATTTCTACAACTCTTAGCATGGAAGACGGGAACGAAGATCGCCCATGACGAATTCATTGAAGCGGTGGTCGTGGCGGGTGAGGACGAAGCTGTAATTGATGATGCGATTGAACAGCTTACAAATATCTACTCTGCACTGGTATGAGAGTCTTAGTCTGCAGTTATTGATGATGCTCTAACTTAGTACAGTCACTCTTATCTCCCAATCCTGCACGGCAACATCATCACATCTTCCTCCCATCAACCGGTTACGACAAGCTCCAGGTCATGCCATTCAAACTGCACTCTGCAGCGGCCGGTATTCAAGCAATATCGACCACAGAAGAGTGGGAGACGGTTGCGAAAAACGGCGTAATTGTGCCTTTTCGACCTGAGCTTCGTCACAAGGCAGCCCCTGCACCGCTACATACTCCTGTTGTGTCTCGCTTCCTTGTGTCTCCGACCTTCAAGGAATTCGGCAATCGCCGTATGTATACTGAGGCACCACCTAGCAACCAATCTACCCAAGCAAGTACTGATGGAGGTGTGGTCATTACACCCACTGCACCCGCTACACCGGAACCGGCTCTCCCAGTGAGGCCAAAGGGATTCTATACTTCTACCTTATCATCTGAGAAAGCTGATCAGGTCACCAAGTGGGTAGACCAGAACACGGCGACCAAATCTGACGCACCCCTCGACCCTCAACAGCCGGTACCTCCGGAGGAATATCCTCCAGAGCAGAAACCAATTCGGGGTGTGTTGAAGAGACGCCCCAAAGCAGCCACAATGCCTCCAAAATGTGTGGAAAGTGAAGCTGCTGAGGAGCAAAATTCTGGGGAACTTTCATCTGTAAGCTCATTGCTTGCTGAGAGACCCAAACCTCGGCAAGTTCTTCATCGAACCATGGGCCAAAAGACGTCGCCGGGACCTAAACCGGTGACGAAGCAGACCACTCTGGACAAGTATTGGTTGACTCCGACTGAGAAGCAAGCCACATTGGATAAGTACTGGTCACCTGTGTCTAAGCACCAGACCAAGCCAGACAACATGAAATCTGAGCAGCGGGTGCCTACCCCTGCTGATCTCTCTCCGACTTCTGTCAAACCCGGTGTGCAATCTGAACTCAGGGAGTCGACCAATGCTATCACTGCCAAGCCAGAGAGTGTGCAAACTCAACTGCAGGAGCTTGCTCGTACCATGAAACCAGCCGTTCACCCAGATTCTTGTCACGTTCTGGAGATCTTCAATGCCCTACAACCGACACTTGAAGCGGCTCGGTCATTCCCCGGCAAATTACAATTGGAGGCACACATCGAACTGGTCACAATTACACCTCTTTCCGATGATCAAAACTTCGATATGGGTTACGTGACACTCGATGAATGGAGAAGTCACTTCCAACCCAAGAGGAACCGTGCATCCGCCCCATACTTCGCGTGCAACAAAGTCACGAGCTCGGGGGGGGATGTTGATGGAATGGTGGATTTGATCTGGAGTAAGAAGAATCCGGAAAGAATCTTCTTCGAAAAGCCCATCGATTACGAAACTGTACTCGAATATCATTGTCGGATGAGCAATGGTGCAAACTTTGTCATCACTCTGGATGAATCGGGCAATCCAACCTTCCATCATGCGCAAGCTGTTTTGGGATGCTCGACGGTGCACTTTCCTCACCGTCTGTGGGATATCAATATCGTTATCAAAGGGGGGATGAACTTACAAATCCACCAAGACCCGACCCTCAAGAAAGGACTTGACGAATTCGCCAAGTCAATCTGGTTTGAGCCAGGAGAGTCACTTGTCATTTTCTGTTGTGAGCCTACAAACCGAGCCTTTACCGTTTCCAAGATACTGATGAAGCAAACAATGAGACACCGGCATCAAACTATGAACGAAGAGACTGAGTCAAAGCTGATGCTTAAGACTGTCGAAGTTCGGGAATTCATAATTGGTCGAAAGCCTCAGTATCCCGGTCTCATCCGTGGCCGTATTCCGATCAACGACATGCAACAATGTGTCTCATTGAAGAAACTCTGGTATGAAATCTCTATTGTCAGTGATGAAATTCAGAAGCTGTTGGATGGCAATCGTGGGTTGGAACTTGGGCAAGAGACGAAGGGCTGGTCTGCAACTGATATCCTCGGTGAAGAGATAGAAATGAAGGATATCCCTTACGATTCCAGTGAAGTTGCCAAGTCTGTTGGTTCTTCGGGCCTTGGTGGAATGTACCGATTGGCAAAAGTCGTTTTGGACCGTATGAGGGTTGGTGAGTAGACAGTCGACGTTGATTCGGTTGCTACGAGATATCTGGATTTTGGGAGATTGGAATCCCTGAATTGGTGTTTGATGGGGAAGCTAATTTGCTTCATGAAATTGTGATGACATATTAAGCTTGATCCGCATGCCTAGGTAGACAGTGACGAGATTGACAATAGATCACAATGCAATGCAATTCAATTAGGTAAAAAGCTTCAATCTATCCACTCTAGTATCCATAAAACCCAAACTCTTCCATCCATCTATATACTGTGCGAGTCAAACTACTCATCATCATCATCCTTCGCATCTCCAACCCCCCTCAACCAAGCCGCCCTAGCATCAACAGCAGCTTTCCTAACATCTCTCTTGGGATCATCCAAAACATTTAACAATTCCCTCAACACCAAATTCTTAACTGGTAGTAACGGCGATATCCCAGCCGTCGTTGTGGTCGTAGTTGACCCCGTCGGCCTAGAGATCGCATCTTGAAGCGCAACATCAACATCTTCCCCACCACCACTTAAACCAGCAGTAGATGATGAAGATGTAGAAGCGAGAAGAAACAAACACCTCAACGCCTCCTCTCTAACAGCCGCCGAAGAAGTCGGAATCCCTTCTTTTTTGGATGTAGCCAACGAAGCAGTACGGAGTAATCGTTTAACGAGCTCGGAGATATGGCCCGTTTTGTGGATTAGGGATGCACCGCCGTTGTCGCGGATGAGAATTGAGAGGGTTTGGAGGGTTGCTTGTTTTACGGCGAGGGAGGAGGAGAGGGTTGTGTTTGTTAGATCGAGGGATTGGAGGAGTAGTGGTAGTAAGGAAGGAAGTTCGGGGAGGACGAGGGATGGGGGGATGGAGGTTAGGAGGGAGGAGAGAGCTGTTAGGTATGATGGTTTTATGTGAGACTCATCTGGCGATGGAGATGAGGTTGCAGAGGGGGAAGAGGAGAGGTCGCGGAATTTAGAGCTGATCATTGGAACAATGATGCTGAATACGCGCTGTTTTGAGAGGAGACGAATATTTGCCCCGTTTGTGGCCGACAACACGTCATCTGTGCTCAAGATCAGAGAAAAGCCGCGAGCGGCAGTTTCGCTGGTTACGCGGTCGGTGGAGGAGAGTAGTTCTAAAAGCTGAGAAAGAACGGATGATGTAGCTGGTGCTAAACGCAAGATCAACGCTTTTGAGAGCCAGAATAATGTCTTGATTCGATCCGGGGATAGGCCTTTATTGATTGTTTCGGTGTCTGGCGGGAAGAAGGTTTTGGTGAGAAAGTCGGTTAGTTGCGGTAGGGCGGAGTTGGGTAGGAATTTATTCACGAGGAGAGCGATTTGGCGATGGATGGCTAGTTGGATGAATGGATGGGAGGGGATGGATTCGGCGAGGTGGATAAGATCGTCTAGTAAGGAGATCATGCTCTCTGGGTTGGTGATGTTGTAGGGTAGTTTGGTGGTGTCCTTTGGTAATCCGGCTAGTAAATGTGTTGATAGGATCATTGTCCTTTTTTGGTCCTGGTCGCTCGTTTGAGAGAATGGGACGGGTTTGAAGTTTGAGTCGGTGAAGAGTGTGTAGGTATTTTCTGCGACTTCGTCTTGCTTTCCGCGAGAGATTGAGCGGATGATCAAAGTGCACAATCTGCCCAATGTATCCAAAACAGAGACGTCGCGTAGAATCTTTGAGGAGTCGTTTGTTGAAGCCAATGCTGCTCTTTTCGATAGTCCGACGACGATACGGTCGTAGTAACTATCCAGATTCAGGTTCTCTGCTGGATCGTCCCATTTTTTATCCATGGCATGGATGATCGTAAGTAAAATAATCCTGGCATATCGAGGATGAGAAGTGTCTCCTTGCAACAATAGATCCAACTTATTTAACAGACGTCTAACCAACGTCTCGAAAATGTTTTTTTGCCCGCTTATCTGTGCCAAAGTGTCCAATGTTGTTATGTATTTCAGGTCTGTACCATCATCTTGATCGGGGAGAGTAGCCATAAAAGCAGGCAAGGTGATTTCCATGATGAGATTTGACTTGTATCGTGACAGTTCCGCAAGTGCGGACACGGCATCCTTTTTCAGTGCTCCGGACCCGACGACTCCCTCTTTAAGGAGGATTTCATCAAGGTATTGCACGAATAATCCAATCTCGTTATCCTGGAAGAAGTTCCGCAGCGTCGACAGGCGTAAAAGACCCTGCAATGCGGTCTGTCTAAAGGATATTTCTTCCTTAGCCGAACCCATTAATGCTTGACTAAACACCTCGGTAAATCTATCTTGGAACGCTATCAAAGGATTTTCGAACGGTTGCGTGAAACCTTTATCTGCCCATGTTCCGTATAGATCAATGGCAGAGTCTAGCAATGTGACATAGGTTTCCAAAAAGGCTCTTTGCTTCGCAATTGAGTCGGCTTCTTGGTAGATAGTGAATAGCGGCGCAACGACGGATTGTATGATGAGGATAAATGCGGGCATAGACGCAAAGGAGACATTGCGAATGATTTCCCGTGCAGGTCTTGCCTGTTTGTTCTGAGGTTCACGAAGTTGTTCATTGCATTCTGTAATAATCGGCTTGAGGAAATGAGCAAGTGGCATGTCTTGTGAAACTTGAGTTGTATGTTCAGATAGCCGTTTGACGATGGCTTTCAACACATTCAAGGACATCTCGGAGAGGAAGTCCTCTTGGACGTTGAGAATCTCGAATTTCACTGCGTCCCAGACTTGGATGGAATACCTCGACACTGTATTGGGGTCATACGATTCTATACATGCGATCAGAGCATTCAACGAGTCCCGCTGGTACCAATTAGCGAATGCTACCCAATGGAGGTGATTAAAACTTACCTTGACATTATTCGACGTCGAATCAAGCTTATCAATCAACGACGGAAAAGCATGAGGCGCAAACAATGAATTCGAAGATATACAAGCTTGCAGCCGGTCTTTCAAATCTTGAGCCGTGATTCCATACGGATCGTTGGGAGGAGGCTTGAAGGTAATCGGAAAGTAATTATACACAGAGTCAAAAAGTGTCTGTCGATGTTAGTAGGATCACCGAGAAGATATTCAGACAACTTACTTCAACGTGATTGCTTATGTCCCATTCAACCATAACCACTTTGAGTATGGAGAATACAAGCATGAGATTGCGTGGATCTTTCTCGCCGGTCATGAGATCTACGATGCCGACAAGGGATTCGTCACCCATTTCATGAAGAGCTGCTCCTGTCAGACCATAGTTTCTTGAATGTAATAAGACCACATACCCGCTCTATGATTCTCCATCAACCCATTCACTAACTGATATATCTGATATCTCTGCAACTGCGCACGGGCTTGCAACTCTCTAAAATGCTCGAATACCCTATCGACGTCAGCATGCCTCCAATTCTCAAGGAAGAAATAGACTCACGCCCGCGCAGTCTCCTGCGCAAAATCCTTCGTAAACCTTTCCAACTTCTGCAACGTATCCAACCCCGTAACAGCCCCTCCATCCTCAATCCGATCACAAAAGAAAGTCGTCAAAACCTGAATTTGCTGTCTAGTCAAGAATTTTGGCGAAAATGCTTTTACAACAGCAGCTAGATACGAAACGGCTTTTCCGCGAATAATGGCGTCGTCGTAATTTATGTATTCGCCGAGTGATTGAACGACGTCGAGTAGGGTGGTTTGCTTGTTTTCGACATCTTTTTTTATTAGCCGGCGTCTTTCGCTTTGCAATGGGAGGCATACCTTGGGCGGTTTGTTCTGCGATCGCAATGGCAGCTTGCTTATCGCGGTCCACCGTCAGCATAAAGGTATGCAAGGCCGACATCTTGCTGCTATTCTCGATGCTTGAAATATTTGAGGGTGGTCGTCGAAGATGTCCCTCTTTTGTGGCCGATATCCGGTGCCGCATTTGTTATCGATAAGGTCACGTGGGTCATCATACAATCAGCATCACCTAAATATCATAGAGATAGATATTTTATTATTGAACGAGTGTTTTGGCGATTTTGTTAATGTCTACTCCGTATCGTGATCAAGTATATGTATACGATAGTCGTTGTTGAACGTCACGTGATATAACGACAAAGTGAGTTGCGTCATCGGCCAGTCGAACAACCCTGTTCAATTACCCTCAAACAACTCAACACAATGAAGAAGACATCTCAGAATATCCAGCTAGCTATATACGCTACAATACTGAGCCTGACAATCGCCTGGCTCGTCATATCCATCGCCGACACTGCTGTATTAGCCCTACGAGAGTGGGACTTTCTCCCCTCCTGCGTCACCAGGCATCAACGGCCACAACCATTCAAGATCGAATATCTAGAATACATAGACGACGAATACGAGGATAATCTCGACATCCCTTCTGCACAAAACGTCCTCATGCCTCCAATTACCGGCGGCGGCGGTAGTGATGGCGACGACAAGAACACAAATCTAATCGTCTCCGACCTCCTCGTCAAAACACCCAAAATCAACGTCTTTGCATCCCTAACGCGGGATTTCCAACCCATCGCAAGCCGACTGAACGACAAATCCCAAAACACTACTGTCCTTGCACCATTAAATTCAGCTATAAACTCCCTGCCGCGGAAACCATGGGAAGATCCGGCTGATTACGACCGGTTCGGGGAAGCGAAAGCTTATAACGGCGAAGAAGGGCAGGATAGGGCGAAGAGAAATTTGCAGAGGTTTGTGGAGGCGCATTTGGTGCCTGTTAGTCCGTGGAGGGAAGGGGAGGAGGTTGAGACTGTTGGAGGGGCGAAGGTTAAGTGGGTTAAAGAGGGGGAGACTGTTTTTGTAAGTTCTTTCCTTCCTCCTATTTGGATAAGTTACTGACTGGTGATAGATTGAACCTGGACATGTTGAAGTTGAGAGTTTGGCTTCGGAAGTGTCTAATGGGAATGTCTGGGTTCTTAAGGGGGTCGTTAATTATCAATGAGTTTTATCTGGTATGGGAACTTTTCGGTTCCTGTTTTGCGTCATAAGATGGAATTGGTATGCGGAATGGGCTTTATGCTTCAAGCTGGTCTTGATTTGACATTGTACATATGTTTTACACTCTGAACGCTGCGTACAGTGGCTATTAATGATTATGATACTGTCTTATTATGTCCCCTTAAAGGAGAGTAGTAGCATAAGCTAGTCCTCAGGCCACTAATATAAGAGGACAATGAACATATACAACCATGCCATTATCAATCAATCTACATAAGGTAGAAACCAAACAAAGTCTTCCTCTGAAAGACACCCCTACACGACATAAAAATACACCCAAAACAGTGCCATACCACTAAGCCTTCCAATTGTGCAAAACCCTTTCTTCAATACCATCCAACAAACTGAAATACTCCATAACCTCCAAATTCTCCGCCTCACTGCGATACAACTTATCCGGATCAGCACCCGGTTGGAACGGGTTTGCGCCTGCTGCTGGGTTTGCCATTGCCATTTGTTGGGCCATTTGGTTTGCAGCTACATCATTAGTCATCGTTAAATATTGGAAAGGCAGAGAAGGGATGATGTGAGAGTGGAAGCATACCATTATCAGCACCAAGAATAAATCCGAAAATAGACTGAAGACCCATCAAATTAAGAAAATACCACGACAAACTCGATACCCATCGCACATCAAGATCACGAGTCGCAACGCCAGATTGAAGCATCGACTTGAATCGAATCGTAAGAGGGAATGGTAATTTCACTACCCTTTCATTAGCTCAGGCCAAAAAACAAAGGATGAATTTGAGGAGGGGGGACACACAAATAACAAACCCCGAAAAAAAAGCATTAATCCAACTCATGATCAACGTCTGCGGAATCATCATCATCATATTCCCCTTCATCATACCCATCATCCCTTCCATAGCAGCTGGATCAGACATTGGGTTTGCAGGTGGCTGACCACGGTTTTCCGGGTCTTTCAAAAATGCGCCATTTTGATAGGCATTTATCAGATACTCTTTTCTGGATGTGAATCCCTCGGAAGTTAGGACGGCGCAGGCGTTGTTGCGGAGGTTTACGCCGTGGATTAGAGAGAGACGTTCGCGGGATTCGAGGAGGGTGCTTGCTGGTTTGGGGGGACTGTTCATTAGGACTGTTGCGTAGTGCCGAAGGATTCCTGTTAAGATCTAGATAGTAGATTAGTTGTTTGGATATAATATGAAGGAGAGAGGGGAGTATACCATGACGACTGTGATGGGGATCAGGATCCAGTAACTTCGTTCCGGTAGTGTTAGTTGAGTCCCGTAAATGAGTTAGTCGGGAGTACTTACAAAAGAGCTGGATCGCGAACGATCGTCTGCTCTAAGCCTTGGACAGCCATGTTGCACTACTCCTCGTATAATGTATGCAATGCGGCGTCTCCTCTGTGGTTGTTGGAGTCCTGGATAGATGAGGTTCACACGGAGATCAGATCGATGCTCCACTTAAGCGGGAACAAGCTCAGCGGATTTATGGACAGCTCGCCGTAACCTTCTCTAACTGCATCACATCTTGAATTTACTGCTACAACAATCCTCAATTCTCGGGACTGATTTCAATATACTCATTTATTCAGTCATACACTAATATAATCATACCAAAATGACATCCACAGCAGCGCCCAAAGTACCAGTCTACTCTCTCAATGGTTCGTGCCACCTTTCCTCACCACCACTACCACCACCACAACAAACACCTCTAGCCGCCCACTTCCATATGGCATACAGTATTAACTCCTAAATGAACAGATCTAAAATCCACAACCGATGACGCTTTAACACCCTACCTCTCCACACTCCCTCAACCCTACACCTTTCGTCGCGACAACACCAAACTCACCATCCGCTTTATCCTGGGCTATACCGCCGTCGCCATCGCCGGCGTCACATTCTATCTTGATCGACAATTGGGTTGGGAAGCTACGCAAGCGACGTGGGTGAAGATTGCAGTCGTTGCATATTTCGTGTTGAATTCGATATTGACGTATTGGATTTGGGCTGTTGAGGCTGGGGAGGTGTTTAGGGGTGTTCGGAGGGATGGCTCTTCGGTATTCGCCCTCTTTCTTGACACATGTAAGGATGGAAGGCTAATGGTGTTCTTCGATAGATAACGATTCAGTCATCGACAAAAAAGCATACTCCGATTTACAAGGTCAAGATTACATATACCTCTTCCAAGGGCAAAATCATTCAACAAAAGGAGATTGAGTCTCCCTTCACGGCATGGTTTTCGTCTACGGGAATATTCCATCCGGAACCGTTTAGGGCTTGGCTTGCGAGGGAGGTTGATGTGCTAAGGGAAGCGGAGAGGGAGACGTTGAAGAAGACGGGGGATGTTTCGGGGCTTGTTGGTGTTGATGAGTCTGGGAGTAAGAGGAAGGGGAAGAAGTGATATCAAGGATTCGGGGGAAATTGTTTAGTTTTCTGTTAGTTTAGGAGCTTCATATCAGCATAAGTCGAATTGAAATCTATACCATGACGCATTTTCTTATTAATATACAACATCATAAACCAATCTTCCACATAACAAAAATCTATACTTTTCCAGCTGCCTGTCCAGCAGCACGGTTCTGAACAATCCTCTACACATCATTAGCACACGTCCCTTACTCCCTGGGGAGGAAAGACTCACCAATAAATTCCTCAACAATACCACAATAGTAACTTTGCCAATCGACGGCACATAAATAGACGCTTTCTCCTTAACTTCCGGCCCAAAATTCTTCTCACTTGAAAAATTGATGCAAACCGCTCCGTATCTCAATAGCGAGGTATCGAATTTGTATGAATCTCCTGGAACACCAGTAATAACCACATCACATAACGGCGCGGCATCTTTGATTGTCCATCCTTCTAGATCCTCGACTTCATGGCGTCGTTTCTTCAGACCCTCGCCACGAGTAAATTTTTGGACGCCTGTGATATCGACGCTGTAGACACATGCGCCGTCGTTGGCAAGTAGGGCCGCAAGTGGTCTTCCGACAACCTCGGATCTATTCACAACACAGATCGTGTGTCCGTGCAACCGATTCCCATAGGGTAGAATAGTATTATAAACCCGTAAATATTCCAAAATCTTGACAATCGCAAGTGGCGTACATGGCAGAATCGATTTCTGCGTACCCCCCACGGAACTACTACCATCGGCAGGAACGTTCTCATCCAAAAACCGAATGTTTTGATACATATTAAACACGTAGCGATGACTCAACCCTTCGACGTCCTTGGATACATCCACGATTTGTTGCAGGTATTGGTCTTGACGGTTATTGAAGATGGGATAATACACAATAATACCGTCAATGCCGTCGTCGGCGTTGGCGGATAGGATGGCCTCTTCGATTTCTTCTTTGTCGACGTCGCGGCGGGTGTAGCGGAAGCCACTGTATAACCATCAACACGTATCCTTGTAACTCCAGAGAAGGGGAGGGAGAGGATACTTTTCATGACACGTCTTCTCAGTCCAATCAGCATACATGCGCGCAGCAGGATCAGAATTGGCCAGAAATCCGACGAGATGCGGTTTTTTGGTTAGGGTTTTGAGTCCTTCGTGGACTTCTTGGAGGAGGCCATTGGCTATGTTTTTGGCGAGGACGACTTTGCAGCTTGGTGTTTCTGAGGACATTTTGAATATATTTATATCAAAGGAATGGAAATAAAGGTGAAAAGAAGGAGATGTGGTGACGCGGGGTTGGAGTAGGGTAGAATAAAATTTTTGGCGCGGGCCAATCTTATCAGGATGAAAGCATCCCGATTCCGGCGTTCCCCAGAAATTGATATTATCTGGTTATAACCTAGAATTGGGTGGATTTGATAGTACGACCACGAATAGATTGTGCATAGAAATACAGTTAAACAAATCATGCTAAACAACAAAAGAAAACCATTGACTTCGCTTTTACCAAGTCTTCCAATCCATCAGCATCAGACCCATTATTAAGGAAAAGTCAGACACCGCAACGCATCCTTACGACCATCGTGGTAATTGTTCTGGAACAAAAGAAATTACTGGTCTCAAATTGTACAAGCTATCTTGTCTAGACAGATAGTGTTAGGAATATGACAATACATGAGGGCATAACCCGGAATCATTTTTCGGCTGCTCACCTATGAGAAGCTCTTGTTGAACTCAGTGATGATATCACGGAGCTTGGCCTCAAGGTCCTTGCTGAGTTGACCTTCCTTGTCAATGGTCTGGAGAACCTCGGACTGGTTGGACTTGAGGTAGGCCGTGAAGTCTTCCTCCCATTTCTCAATCTTGGCGACGGGGATGCTGTCAAGGAAACCGTTGACACCGGCGAAGATAAGAGGAACCATCTCGCTGACAGCCATGGGGGAGTACTGCTTCTGTTTGAGAAGCTCAGTAAGACGCTCACCACGGTTCAAGGTCTGCTTGGTGGAGGCATCGAGATCGGAACCGAATTGAGCGAAAGCAGCGACTTCACGGTACTGAGCCAAGAAGAGCTTGAGGGAACCAGCAACCTGCTTCATAGCCTTGACCTGAGCAGCGGAACCGACACGGGAGACAGAAAGACCGACGTTAATGGCGGGACGGATACCCTTGTAGAACAATTCGGTTTCCAAGAAGATCTGACCATCGGTAATAGAAATGACGTTGGTAGGAATGTAAGCAGACACATCACCACCCTGTGTCTCAATAACGGGGAGAGCAGTCAAGGAACCGCTGCCATGCTTGTCGTTGAGCTTGGCGGCACGCTCGAGAAGACGGGAGTGGAGGTAGAAAACGTCACCGGGGTAAGCCTCACGACCGGGGGGACGGCGAAGCAAGAGGGACATCTGACGGTAAGCAACGGCCTGCTTGGACAAGTCGTCGTAGATGATAACGGCGTGGCGACCGTTGTCACGGAACCATTCGCCCATGGCACAGCCAGTGAAAGGAGCAAGGTACTGCAGAGGAGCGGCCTCAGAAGCAGTAGCAGCAACAATGATGGAGTACTTCAAGGCGTCGTTCTCCTCAAGGGTCTTGACGAGCTGAGCGACAGTGGAACGCTTCTGACCGACGGCAACGTAGACACAGTAGAGCTTCTTGGACTCATCACTGGTGGCGTTGATGCGCTTCTGGTTAAGGATGGCATCAAGAGCGACGGCAGTCTTACCAGTCTGACGATCACCAATAATCAACTCACGCTGACCACGACCGATGGGAACCATGGAGTCGACGGACTTGAGACCGGTCTGGACAGGCTCGTGGACGGACCGACGAGGCAAGATACCAGGGGCCTTGAGCTGAGCACGAGCCTTGGCCTTGGTGTTGATGGGACCCTTTCCATCAATGGGGTTACCAAGAGCGTCAACGACACGGCCAAGAAGTTCAGGACCGACGGGAACGTCAACAATCTCTCCGGTACGGCGGACAGTCTCGCCCTCCTTGACGAGACGATCAGAACCGAAAAGCACAACACCGACCTGGCCGGCTTCCAAGTTCATGGTCATGCCCTTCACGCCAGAGGCGAACCTATACCGTCAGTTTGGATTCTATCACATATATCGTGGAAACTTACTCGACAAGCTCCTCAGCCTGGACATTGTTCAATCCATGAACACGAGCAATACCGTCACTATACAGGTTAGCTAGTTTCTTATATCGGGATAAGGTATGATGAGCATACCCGACGGAAAGGACGCGTCCAGTCTCGGCAAGACCAGCTTCCTCCTGAACACCACGAATTCTCTGCTCAAGAATCGAGGAGACCTCAGTGGGCGAGGCCTTGGCCTCAGCGGCATATGAGCGGACCTGTTTGGCACCAGCAGCGAAGGGACTGGGAGCAGCAACGCGAGCCTAGACAACGGACAGAAAAATTTGTTAGCGACCGAGTCCGACCATAAAAACGCGCCAAAACAATCGCAATCATCAATTGAGATGGTATATAATGCATGACCGATATTATTGAGATCGAATTAGCCGATGGGGTGGTGGGTTTGGTTGATGAAAATATATACGTTATGTACATATACGGTCGGCATCGGCAGGAAAAGGTTCTGCTGGGAAGGGGATTCACTCACCGAAGCGAGTCTGCCAGAGACGGAGACAGCGGCCACGGAGCGGCTGGATTGCCGCAAAGCGTTCCTGAACATTGTGTGTATAGAAAAGAGATAAGGGGGAAGGTCTTTTCTCTGAAGAGAGATGTGATAATCGGAGGAGAGGAGAGAGGTTGAGAAGGGAGAAAGAGGTTTGTGGTGGACGGGAGAGCTTTGGGAGGTTGCCAGGACGAGGCTAAACCCGGTTGGCTCAAGGGCTCCAGCAGCTCCGACTCCGCCCTAGTCCGATGCCTTTCTTTTTATTGTGATCGTTGGATGAATTTTATATAATTATACGCCTAAATTCTAGATAATACTACTCAATTGCTATGATTGCTATGCAAATACTCTGTTCAGACGTCAATTGAAGGAGTGTGCAGCATCCGGTCCCCCGTGTTGCGGCCACTTGTCACACCGGGTCATTTCGGCTGCTCAAAATTTACGCTGACTAAGCTCAGGCACCAAGGCATCACTACGTCAGACAAGTCATATTGAATCAATTCCCAATAGCGCCAACATCGCCAAAACGCACATTCAGTAAACAGTCACACCAGCAAATGCTAATACTTCAAGTCGCATCAGTAATCAGGTAATCAGGCCGGACTATGCCAATTGACCGAGCTTGTGTCATCTCACGCTTCATCTTCTCGTGTCTCTTCTATCTCCACCTCTCATAATATCAAATCCCCAGCATCAACTCAACCATACTGCACCCAGACCCAGACCGCAGACGTCCAGTCTGCTAACCTACTTATTCTTCCCCTTAAACTGCACAATCTTCTTCTGCACCTCCACCTCCACCCTCCGCTGCAACTCCGGCCGATACCCAACCATAAACAAGTACTCCAAAAACACAAACAACGGCGCCAAAAACAGTGCCTGAAACAAATTATCCAACAATGCCGGTGACCTGCCTTCGTAAGCTCCATGGCCAATAAACTGCGCGATCCACGACACAATAAAGATGCCCAACGACCAAGATGTGGCCGCCGCGCCGTAGGTCATTGTTAGGTAATTCATGTAGGCGGCGGCACCTAGCAGGAGGGGAATGGAAACAAGACCGACGACCGGTTCGAGGAGGATGTAGCCTAGAGCGTAGATTATGGAGGCGATTGTGCCGGCGTTGAGGGGGAGGTATTTGTATTCGAGGAAGTCGGGGAGGGGGATGAGTGTGGGTGTGTTTGTAGCCTTATCCATTCGGTCAGTGTGGATTTCTATCGGTCCTGAGGAGAAGAAGCTTACCAGTTGGAAACTGGTTATGAGAATGACTGGGACGAAAATCATGTGTATCCGGACATTGACCTATAGCCACCCCTGTTAGATATTGATCAATAGCAAGCATGATGAGGACGTATACCGGATTATGGTGGTAAGCGCCATACTGTCTGGAATTAGCACCGCTCTCTAGTTCAACAATTGGCAGGTAGGGGACGAAGCCTACAAAGACGAGCTGTCTCTCAAGATCCAAAGCCATCATTATTTATCTGACAATTTCCACGTAGCCGCAATCCCCGAGCACGTCGACGATAGCGTATCGAAACAATCGATGAACAAGGATATCTCCTCTTTCGTAGATGACAAGAAACAATAAACTCAAGATTTATTGATCAAAGAATTCGTTCTGTGGATATCAGCTGCAAAATCGTTCGTGGTTGTGGATGTAGTTAGGTGTCGTTGCATGATCTAACTTAACCTAACGTACGGAGTATGAGAAACTTAGCTAATGGATGCCGAGGCGTTTCCACCAAAGAAATGACTCGGTGATGGCCTGTCCCCGCATTCATTCTTGAAATATTCTGCGGTTAATTTGTATTTAGCATGGTTTGGATGATTGCTTGATTTGATTTGTTTCACGAATCTCTGGTTATGCGATTCTATAGTTAGCTATCACGTCTGTCGTTTTGTAGTCCACCAAAGTCCTAAATCCATACCGCCCTAGTAATGAAATCCTGACTATAATTGAAGATATAAAGTACATACATACTGGCAAGCAAATAGAGTAGAGAAAACGTTAGTTGTGTGGCTTGACCAGCCTAATCAGTCATTATCAGTGGGCCGCAGATCATGTGATCGCATAATGGAGAGCAGCGCGGAAGTCACAACGTGCAAGCTCACTCAACAACAACCTCAAGGCAGACACCGACAGCAATCCATCGCGGGCGCATCACAAAGGACTCCAGAGACTCGCCCCCATTTAGACAAACTGAAAAAGTCCTGCGACAAGATATCTGCGTCTGTCTGTCTGTCGGCCGGTCTTTGTCTCCATGTCTTTCGTCTGAAGAGCTCTTTTTCGCATTCGTTTCGCATTACCTTCGGACATGCTGTTGGCTGTTCTTTTTTCTTGTTTCTGATTTAGAGCTATTACAATAGCGCTATTCAATACGCACTCACTACTACGTTTAATACATCCACGAAAGAAAAGTCAAGAGATGTTCTTCCTCAAAGAAGAAACCAAAGTCGTCACCCTGCACCCATCCTTCTTCGGTCCCAACGTCAAGGAATACCTCGTCAACCGCTTGAATGAAGAAGAAGAAGGAAGATGTACAGGCGACCATTTCGTCATCTGTGTCATGGACATGGTGGATATCGGTGAAGGACGAGTGATCCCCGGTAGTGGACATGCGGAATATACCATCAAATACCGCGCCATCATATGGAAGCCTTTCCGGGGGGAGACAGTATGCTCATCTTTTCTTTCTGTTCTTTTATTATGGTCTAACTGTGTAGGTCGATGCTATCGTGACCTCGGTGAAACCAACCGGTATCTTCACACTCGCCGGCCCTCTGTCGGTATTCATTGCACGGAAAAATATACCATCAGATATCAAATGGGAGCCTGGTACTGTGCCGCCACAGTATACGGATCATGCAGATCAGGTCATTGAGCGGGGGACGAGTTTGCGGTTGAAGATATTGGGTGTGAAGCCGGATGTGTCTGCGATTAATGCGATTGGGACTATTAAGGAGGATTATCTTGGGTGGGTTTGTCGTATTCTTTTAAAGAGATTTTGGTACTGACGGTTACATAGAACTCTCTAAGAACTTTTATATTTGAGACCGGCGCATCTCATTACTCGGCAAGCTGTTTATTGCCGGATACCTGCACCTATCGTCCTAAAGATGGGCAACATGACTGCTCGCGACACATGGAATGATTCTGGGACTGGTGATCGGACACTGCAAGCAGATCAAGAGCACACCGATGATTAAACGCACGAGGATGGACATCAAAGCACTCTGTATAGTTACAGGGCAAGACAGTTTGAAACGAACTGGCGCAGGCTTAGCTGAGAACACCACAGAATGGGCATAGTCACGTACATAAATAAATACATTAACATTAACTTACAGTATGAATACATTGGAGGCTGAGAGTATCCGGGGACTGCCAGTGATACAGGAGCATAACGCAGGGCTAGAATCAACGGTGTGGGCCAGGCGCTCCTCTAATAAGACTTCCAGAATACCCTCGGACAATTTCTCTAGATGGAGAACCCCATGTCCATTTCTAGAGATGAATCGTCAGATTACTGAGTATGTATGTAAATTCATAGAATTCAGATCGTGCAACATAAAAAGAAATTCTATAGCAAAAAAGCACGAAACCGTCGCTACTAACATCGTAGGATTTAAGTACAAAATTACTAGACATGGCTACTAGCGCAGTAGACTAAAAGATGAAACACTGGTACCCATGCCTAGTCGCTCCCTGCGCATATTAAATCTGTTCAATTTACTACGTATCATCTTTGATCAGTTACATACGTGTAACAGAATAAATAAAGCACGCGTAGTTGAAGGCGGAGCGCGAACCAAACAACTCGAGCCAGTCGTGACTCCAGATTTAGTATAGAGAGAGAAACAAACAAATTGTCTCTTCTTCTGTCAACTCTCTCTCTCTCTCTTCCTTCTTCTTCTTTCCTTGTTATTGTTTACATCAGTCCGCCTCCTCCGCATTTTCCTCTGTCATCCCTAGCATCAACAGAGCACTCTCATCATTGTTTACTTTACCCCGCCCCTGATTTCTGGGTCGCGAGTGTCTGTCAACCATCAGCATTCCACCTTGATCGAAAACAAAGAAAAGAGAGACAGAAAATGGCAATCAAACAAGTCTACGAGCGCTTCCTCTCAACCCCAACCGCTGACGTCCTCACCCGGAATGTCTCACTCAACTACATCACAACCACAACCTCAGTCACAGGCTCCGAAGAAGTCATCAAACATCTAAACAGCCAGCAAAAAACAATCAAGAAAAAAGGGGACAAGATCCTGAGTATTGTGCAGACAGCGGATACCTTGGTGCTAGACGTGGAGACTACGTTGGAGTTTCTGACTGGGGGCGGGGCTTATCTGCCATCGTTGGATGATAATTTCCTGGCCGACCGGGTGGTTACTTTTCCTACTGTACGTCTTCAGCTTTGTGATATTTGTAAAGGGTGCTTGCTGATATCTGCAGATACACATTGTGCGCTTCAATTCGCAATCCCAAATCAGTCAAGTCAGAATCTACTGGGACCAGGGCTCGTTGTTGAAACAGGTTGAGGTCATTGGTGCTCGTGGAAAGAATTGGCCTATTCGCGATGCTCAGGATCAAGCCAAGTTGATTGTCAATGTTGCCACTGCGCAGGGTCTTACCACTCCACCATCGCAAGAGAGTGGCCAAGTGTCGAGCAGACCCCCTTCGCGAACTGCCACTGCAAGCGATATTTTTGCCAGCAGTGACGAAGTTGAGAATGATTCCACTCCCCGAGCTCGCGATAGCATCATTTCTCCCCGCGCAGGCGCAACAAAGCACTTCCGTCCCGTTCGCGTATTCGGCGAAGACGACACAGAAGATGCGACAACTTCAAGCCCCGTCAAACCCAAGCTAGGATCGAACAAGGGATTCCAACCCGTCCGCGTATTCGACGTTGAACAAACCGACGATGCGTCTCATCACGCCCGCGCCGGCTCAACCAAAAACTTCCAACCCATCCGCGTATTCGACGTAGAAGGAGGAGCAGGCGGCCCCGAAGAAAAAGAGCGCCAATACAAAACCCACCCCAACAAATTCAACCACTTCGAAATCGGCGCCGAAGCCAACGCCGAACGCGAAATCAAACCCAACCCTGCCGTGCGATCACGACCAATGTCTCAATGGGATTTTGCCGATTTCTATACACCCGAGAAACCGCGTCAAAAGATTCGAGCGCAGGACGTGCGTCATTTTGGATGGAGCGATAATGAAGATGAGAATGTTGAGACTCCGCCCGTTAGAACCAGACATATCCAACCCCGTCGTGATGCGGAGACGCATTTCCATCTCGATGAGACGGATGATGAGAATTATAAACCTGAGCCTGTGCACCCTGGGAAGAGGATGATTGGGTCTTATCATAATAAAGGGTTGGACTTGTATGATAACAACGTATACGACGAAGAAGGAAATCCTACCCCCAACGATCCTACAGCAGCAGGAGAAAAAGGAGGTAAACAACCCCTCGGCACAGTACCCAACAACATCAACCGTCGCAAGGACTTTGATTCTCATTGGGAAGTTCGTGATCCTACACCGGACGACACCACTGCTGGATCTGCAGCAGCGGCAGAAAATGACCACAGACCCGTGAGTGCTGATCGAGTCAAGGCAGTTAAAATGATGGAATCTTCATGGGATAAATTCGACGAAGCCGACCCACAGGAACAAGAGAAAGAGAAGAAGACTACGCCGTTGCCGAAGAGGGCTAGTAGAGCTGTTTTTCAGCCTAGTTGGTCGTTGGGTGATGAGTGAATTCGTCAATTGTCATGGCGAAGAATCTTAAGGGTTGTGGTGTTGATTGAGTGATGCGATTCAATTAGAGGTTTTCTGTATGTGTATACAATATTTTCTCTACATTTCTTGTTTCTCTTCTTCGACTATTGTGTTCATCTGACTATTCTGTTTCTGTTCCTGTATTCTCTTCTATGTCTTGTTTTTGTCTGTTCAAAAATCAACATGTTTTAACAAATACCCCTGTGGAGTAGTCAGATTGACTCCTGAATGAATTATACAGAAACGTCTTGCTTATGTAGGTACGTAGTATGTATGTAGAATACCTCCTAGGTAATATTGTCAATAAAAGTATCTGATTTGATATTCATAAGGTGTGTCCATATCTTCTGCGCTACTAGGGTCTCTCTTGAAACTGTCCTGATCACCAATACTTACCTCAGTCATATGAGCAGTGGGCATCTACCTGAGTAAGCAAATAATTTAGACAAACAACAATAAAGTCACATTTATTCTGGGTTTGTCATAACATAACCACAACATCAATATCGACACAAGGTATATTTGTCACAAAGTCTGAAAAATAAAAAATAAAAAATAAAAAAATCCCGAGATATCAGCTACACACAAGACAGAGATCAAATGTAGAACATACTATTCTTAATCTTGTCATGAACAGTCACCATGCGCTGCTGTCGCTGCTGTCGCTCCCCAGCCTCACTAGCAGCATCACTAGTACTACCCTCATCACCACTCGGATCAAACAAATCAGACAAATAGCAGCGAGCACGCTCACAGACCAAATCCGCATAATAGGCAGGTGGGCAAATACTAACCGCCTTGGTGGCACGGCCAAAAGTGTAACAAAGTCGGTGTGAGAGGTCGATAAGTACTTCGGCAGCGTTTTTGAATGGATGCGGGACTGGCGTGTTTCTGAAAATTTCGTCGTGGACGACAATGTAATGTGCTGGGCGGGCGGTGCCCTGCAGAGCTGCATGGGACTGAAGGAAGAAGTCAAAGGCACGGGCTTCGGTGACGCCGCGGTCGACGACGGTGCCGTTGGGAGGGTTTTTGGACTGGGATGCGTCTTCATCTCTGGTCACGTAGAATCGGGTGTGGTGGCGTTTGCCTACTACTATGATGGAGATGCGAGGTTGCTTTGACTTGGGATACAGGTCATTGCAGGCCTTTTTGAGCTGGGGTAGCTCCTCGTTTACGACCATCTCGTATTGACCCTCTGATACACCGTCACGATAAATGATGATGTTATCCGGGTATTCTTCGTGTATATCTTTCCAGATCTTCAGACGAGATTTCAAAAGGACATCCAGAGCGTCGACTTTCTCCTGTTTCTCTGTCTGGACGCGTAGTTGGGCTGGGAACTGGCTCAAATTGGTGCCTACAGAGGCCACAATAGCCGCAATACTCGGGGCGGACTTTGCAGATCCTGGCGATGGGTGAGTAACGTCAATACCCACCAGCATGGTCTTTCCCTCGCTAATGATTCCCAGTTGAGTCCCCCCAACTCGATGGTTTGTTCCGCCAAGTTTGAGGTTCACTTTTAAGGCGACATTGGCATCATACTGTGCTGACGGCTTAGCAAACTTATTCGCGGTGACGCAAGCATGGAGCAGTCCATGTTTCACATCGCATAGATACTTGACTGTGTTGTACAGTAAAGTATCACGGCTTGGCAGTATAACCAAAATGAAGTCCAATCCTTGCTTAGCCAAGCTTGCAAAGGCAGCATCCACCTTGTGTTGCAAGTTTCGGTCGTTCCTATCAAGTGAAACAGTAACCCCTTCGGCTGCGTTTAGAAGGGAAATTCCTGCGGCGCTGACGTTCTTGACCCATTCGTCGTTGATACGCTTAATTAGCGCTTCATGGCCTCCTGCAAACGCCTTCGAAGTAGAGAATGAATCTAATACTACCCAGGTCCATTTCACAGCGTGCCGCCGAGTCTCGTAGAATTTAAAATCCACCAAGTTCCAACTTGCCTTTGCTGGTCTAAGATGCTTCTCTTCCTTTCCCTGCTTATAGGTGACCGTAGGGGCAGCCAGAGTCCGCCCAGGCACTGTGATGAGCTTTCGAGTTGGGCTGAGGCCGAAAGTGTTCTACATATGACAAAATATTAGATCGAGGCTAGAGTAACGGGAAAGGAGGACTTACCAGGACACCGTTTGTTGGAGAAAACCCCAGAAGAGGTGCACCCTCATTGACAATTGAGTCCGCATTCTCGCCAGGAGATCTAACGGCAAATCTAATCATCTGTGATGTTTGGTATGGCGATAATTTCATCTTGGCAGGTTGTCCCGCTATCACTTCACATACTTCCACCGGGACATACGATGGCCTGTCACGAGATCCAACATTGATGACGGGGAAGTCTTCACTAACATTGATCTTGTACTCTGTTATTAGTAGGAGTTAGCAGCCGGCCAAAGCCATGGAATCATTATCTGTAGTTGGGCGTACTCTTCTTGAACCACTCGGAAACTGTAATGTAGCCAGGATTTATCTTGTCCTCCTTACTCCCGTCCTGGTAAAATTTAACTTTGTCTGGCCCATCTCCGAAACGGAATCCTGGACGATTTGGATCTTTACCATCACGAGGATGAGCCAACCCCCAGATAGTCTTCTCACGTCGTATCGATTTCTTGTCCTTTTTGAGATGCGTGACAACTACTCGTAAAGTTTTCAGAAATTTCTCTAGATTATGCAAGTTTCCAGTCAACCTAGAATTCCCAATTAATCCAGCTAGACTGCCAGACTCGTAAACGGCAATATTCTTGACCTGGACATTGACAAGGAGCCTTGCAGTTGCAGCGCGAACACTGACAAAGTAGCCTCTGATAACCTCGAGCCCATCTCCAAGCGAGAAACGATCGTCTGATCCAGGGTTGAGACTAAAGTGTTTGTTCGCACCGATACTGGCTATGTCAGACTGAGATTTGGGGTACTCGCCAACCACAATATTCAAAGCCTGGAGGACTTCCGACTTGCTTGCAAAGAAGTCGCTCGCGTTTGATGAAGTCAAGTAGTCGATGAGATCAGAAACCGCAACCATACCAGTAAACTTCACCGTGACAGTAAAGGTGTCCGGATTATTCTCATATTTCTCTTCATCTTGGGCTTTCCAGCGAACGCGAAAAGACTTGCCGTCCGTATCATCAGATATGTCTTTCAGTCTCGTAATTGATATTATATTCGAACGGGAATCTGTGGCGATATGGCGCCTCTCGGCTGCGAGATGCTCCTCAAGTAGCAACTGCACCAGACGTTTGCACTTTTTGATTGACGGCGCCTTTTTATCAGGCCCTGGCCCGATATCAATGCTGTACCGGAAAAATTGTGCACCCTGTTTGACAGCGAGATCCATATAGTTGGCAAAAAGGAGTACCTCATTGCCTTGGGTGTTGAACCCAGGACGAAGAGGGAGCATAGGGGCAGGTCCCCTTGCATTTTCCGCATTGAAAACTGTCTTTTCAATCTCAGTCTCTTTCTCGAGAACCGAGGCGTCATACTCAGGAATTGCCCCTGGACTATTATAGATATTAGCCGAAGCTGCAGAGCTAAGAACGCAAATGAACTTACGTGTAGATACGCCTAGCATCCACTCGTCCGTAGCCACCTCGACCACCTCCGCGACCACCATGGCCACCTCGACTAGCCGGGGAGAAGTCCCCTCGACCCCTCCCAGACGAAGGGCCACGAATCGGAACATCGTAAGTGCCGCCTCCTCTGCCGCCTCCACGACCTCCTCCACGGTTGTCACCTCTTCCACGGCCTCCTCCACGGCCGTCACCTCCTCCACGGGAACTTCCTCGACCGTCACCTCCTCCACGAGAACTTCCTCGGCCACGATTATCACCTCCTCCACGGCCTCCTCCACGAGAGCTTCCTCGACCACGGCCTCTATCAGACATGTTGGACCGTCTTTTAGGATAGGCGAGTCAATTATAAGATGTAGCGAACAAGATTCAAAAGTATTCGAAAATGTCTGAATTAAAATCGATCAGCTGAAAGCCAAGATGGACGATGCTGCAGAAATTAAAATATTATCCAAAAAACAAAATCGTGGAATAGGGCAACGGGAAATATCTGGGCTTAATATAACCGCCCAGGCTGCGAGCTATTCAGCCTCGTCAGATTTCAAGCGTCAAAAAGAGTCAATTATTTGGATTAATCTCAACAGAATTTGTTTCGTTGCTAGGCAAAAGAGAACTGCAGACGGAGACATCCGGTAATCTGACACGGATATTGAATGATATCACAGTGTTGGCTGAATCATACAAGATGATAAGTGGATTATGACATAGACGGACTGTTTAATTGTCAAGGAAATCGAACAATCAGCGAGAAATGAACAATAAAAATGAAATAGAAGTCATTTAGGAATGCAAGAGTTGTGACATGAAAGAGATGGAGATGAAGAAGACGAAGAACGAGGAGGTTGTTTATTGTTTGTCTCTTTCCGTCTGTGACAGCGGGGTTTTCCTAGAGTAGCGGTGTCACCTTGTCGCCTTGTTGCCTTATTTTCTGCCTTATTTTGTGGACTCGGATTCTTTGACTTCATGATACATATCAATGGCTTGTTAACCTCAACAAACAAATTCTCCGACAGATCAAGCATGTTAGTGTGGTCGATCTCTGCATGCTTTGTGAGACTGTAACGTCAGCATCTCTTATTCAGTTGCGATGGCAATTGTGTAATTGGCTCTATCTTTTGCCACATAAGTGTCTACAACAGAGCAGTTGGACATAATATATGGCACAGCAGCTTTCAATACTATTATATAGATAGATTAGTAAGAAGAATACTTCAGCTTCATAGAGACGACTGGCTAAATAATTCCCCTCGATACAACCAATTATACAGCCGGAATTAACTTCGGGTTTAAGGGCTTCTCTCCGTAAATGCCATATACTCACCTTCAAATCGGACAATGATAAGCTAACAGTATACATAGTAATGATCGAGGACTCTATGAGTCATCTAACCACGTATAAATTGAGGCCAACATCTGATCAACCAGGCTGGTGAGTGCAAAGCCACTGTCTTAGGGTTAGGCGCACAATACGCTGCCTCTCCACCATGACGATCTTGACGGCGCAACGGGCAGGCTGTCAGGCAAAGCGTCTTATTTCAGGTAATGAATACTTCTTCTTTAAAGAGTCTTGTAGTATTCAAGATGCGTGAGAGATAGATCATTGACGAAGGTAGAGGTAGAATCCAAGAAGCCGGGACGTGGTACATCCTGGTCTGTATATTCGCAGGGATCATAGAACCGACCTGCAGGAAAAATTCCAGTAGCGTATAATCGGACAGAGCTTCGCTAGCCATGAGTATAAATAAGAGGCCGCCCCCCCCCCCCCCCCTCAATCAACAGGAAACTCCTGTTGATCCTATCTGATAACTTTTCCGCGTGGTGGAGCAGATTCCCCTCCCCGAAACGGCATCAGTTGTCTACTACGGCAGCCCAGAGAGACCGACCTTGGCGATAAATGTGTTGGCTATCGCGAATCCCAACTTCGACTTCCCGTCCATCTCTACAACCACTCCGGACGATAATACGCCGTCAGCGAGAGTCGCCGTTTTGTGCTGTTTAATTTTGATTGTTTGATCCAGCCGACCGAGATACTTCGACGTCAGCTCATACAGCTGCTATTGCAGTACTCGATAAGCCAAGCTCGACATTCGACGGACGACCGCGAAGTTTTGGTCTGGGATCGCACACCCCGCCATTTTGAAGTTCATGAAAAGGATAATTCAACTGCACTCGTACAACTAGCTTCTGGTTTCAACTGTCGCCGAGAGAATCGATACTATTCCCAAAGTTCATTACATTAGACGTCCAACATGACACCAACACCGCCATCCACATCGTCAAGCGTGGGCGCACATTCTCCCGAGGGTCAATATAGGGTGGTTAGGAAGCGAAATAGAGTGCCACTTTCGTGCGCACCTTGTCGACAGAGAAAGTACGTGGTAGCAATGCCTGTCACTCTACACAGAAAACTGACGCAACCGTCATGTTAGATTAAAATGCAACCGCTCCCATCCTTGCGAGAACTGTGTCAAACGAGGAGACGCAGCCTCCTGCACCTACGCTCAACCAGGATCACGAAAGAAAAGCTCCGCGAATCAAAGCTCATCCACATCTCCAGATGATATGCAGAATAGGATAGATCGGTTGGAGAATTTGGTTCTGTCACTTATGACGAATGGATCACAAGCGGCCGGACCAGCGGCTGCAGCTGCAGCTCTATCTGGGCACGATAGCGTGGGATCCGGACAGAATTATCAGGATGTCGAAATAGACGAAGACGTTGATGGACAAAATGAAGAGAGTGATACCGAAGCTGTGACAAAGTCATTTGGCATCATGAAAGTCGACAATAATAAGTCGATGTATATCAGCGAGGCACATTGGGCGTCTGTTCTGAATGATGTAAGTCTGAATGTTTACAGAAAATCTCAGTCACGTTGGATATGTGTCTGACTTTTGCAGATTGCCGAGGTTCGCCAGTTCTTTCAAAATTCAAAAAAGCAATACGAAGAGCAAGCACAGAAAATACAGGCAACGAGGCCAGAAACAGATACAACTACAATGCTTCTTTTTGGTTCAGTAAAAGCGCCCAGCAAAGCCGAGATTCTGTCCTCCTTTCCTTCACGATACATTGCAGATATGCTCATAGCGCGATTTTTCAATAATCGCGATCATGGTCCTGGTAGTTGTATGTATATTTCTCGACCTGCTAAGTCTGGGTGTCTAACAAAAACAGATATTCTCCATGTTCCAACGTTTCAAAAAGATGTAAGTATCCCAGATGTCAGTTGATTGATCGTTTTACTGAACAATCTAAAGTACAATGAGCACTGGAAAAATCCCTCTGCTTCGTGCCCGGTCTGGATTGGTATGCTTTATGCCATGATGCGACTAGCTATGCTTTCATATTATCACGACGGGGAAGAGCCACCAGAATTCAAGGGTAAATCACTCGATATGTCAAAGTCTTTCCGTCACCTTATGTGTCAATGTTTGATTCTGGCGGACTACACGAAACCGTACCCCTACCTGATTGAGACGCTTGTGCTTCACATGCATGCCGATTTTAGCGAGACCAATGAAGCCAACATCGCCATATGGGTTCTTGTTGGAATCATTGCACGACTAGCCATGCGCATGGGCTACCATAGAGACTCGAAAATGTTTCCCAACATTACGCCTTATCAAGGTGAAATGCGGAGAAGGGTGTGGGCATATCTTCGACAAGCAGACCTTCTTTTCTCATTCCAGGTCGGTATGCCCAGTATGTTACGACCAGGTGACACCGATACCGAGTTGCCGCGAAATCTGTTCGACGAAGATTTTGGCCCAGATAGCAAAGAGATACCACCGTCCAGACCCAACGAACAAGCTACTCCGGTATCTTATATGATTGCCAAAAGTCGTTTGTCAGTGGTCTTTGGCCGCGTCATTGAACATACCTCGCTTGTCAAGAATGCACCCTATGAAGTCGTGATTGATATAGATGCTGAGCTTCGACGAGCTCGAGATATGATTCCTGAACATCTCAGAGTGCTACCGTTTGATGAGTGTACGATAGAGTCCACTGATTCGATACTGATGCGATACTATGTAAGATACACCATCGTCGTTATTCGAATTCGCTTTGCTAATAAAAGCAGGTTGAGAGTGTCTATCACAAGGCACAAGTCGTCCTACACCGAAGATATATTGGTCGTTCACGAGAAAATCCTCGATTCACCCATTCACGCCGAACATGCATTGACTCGTCCATGGAGCTCTTGCGCTACCAGGCTATTTTCTACAATCAAAAATTACCCGGCGGCCGTCTCTTGTCCAAAATTCGAGATAACTCCATCAATAACAGCAATTACCTACTTTCAGCGACAGTAATATGTCTCGACCTCTATCAGAGTATGCAGCTACAAGCAGCAGGGCGACCATCAGGCGACGTCTATATCTGGGGCCGAGAACGACGTGACGAGATGCTAGCCGCCATACGACAAGCAAGAGATATCTGGCAAGCTCAAAGTGACGAGTCGATGGAGTCATGGAAAGCAGCAGGCATGATGACCGTTATGCTTGAGAAGTTGAATGTGACACCCGCGCCACCTTCCGGTGACATGAACGGCACCCCATCCATGCTCGACGTTCCCGACGAGAAGCAGAGTGCGGCGATGACTCTGGGACTATTGAGCAGCGGCATGAGTCCCGGAGATACCGGAACCGGCTTCACGGATCCCTTCAAGAGTCCAGACTCAGTTCTGTCCCCTACAGCTCTCGGTGGGACATCGTCGGATACCATGGGGTTCTCATCACCGTTCAACATGCTCGGCCAAATGCCAGACATGCAACTTGACTGGGTTCGTCCCTCCCCCTTCCCCTTTCCCACCCCGCCATATACTAACTAAACGAAACAGAACGCCTGGGACAGTTACATAGGCAACACGTCCCTCGACAACAACAACAGCTCCAACAACCCCCTCTGGCCAATGTTCGACCTCTCCTCACAAATGATTTCCCCCATGCCACCACCATCATCATCATCCAGTCAACCAACTCCATCCACATCAGCAACTACACCCGGCACGGGAAATAGAAGTACATCATCAGCAGAGAATATCCGATCTCGTATACGACTCCCAGGTGTACTTCCATCTGATACGGGCATGGCTTATGATCCGACGAATCCATCGTTTTTTATGGCGGGGCCGAATGGGAATAAAATTGATTAACACTTCCTCCTCTTCCCTTGAGGCTTCCTTCGGAAGGAAAGAAAAACCGATAACAACTGATGATATGATATACGAGGAAGGAAACCCATGAAACACCATTGATCTTCTCTATAATTGTTTTTGATATTTGATACCCTATTTCATTCCCTCGTTACAGCTCTTGTTCGTTTAAGGAGTTTGGTGGAATTTGACAATTCGGAAATGTTTTGAGAAAACGATCTCCTTTGGTTACGAAAAAAATCTCCATTTTTGGGCTTTTTGGAGAATGCCTGTATACTAGTTGACGTACTACGTATTAGTTTGGTCTGATTTTTAACATATCCTTGCTTCTCTTAGCCAGGGTTCAAAGGTTGATTGTATTGGAATAGGTAGTTTGTCCAGCATGACTAGGGGTGGCCTCTCGGTACTTGTGAGGGTCTTCCGTGACTTAGTATTAGCGATTGATATCGACGTGAGATCCAGCTCTTCAGTTAACATCAATGAATGACCTTGATAACAGCACCTGCGATATACAACACGGCTATTCTTCCGATTTGACCATTTGAGGCTTTTTCAAAGGCTGTGTCCGAGAATGGACGTGTTGATAAGACAGTGCAAACGTGATTAATTCCAGCCTTTTGTATAATCAAAGTACTGTCTCTCTTCCTGAAAGACTGGGCAAGATGAAGTTTGCAATGTTCCGAACAGAAAGGAAAGAGCTCAGGGGTAAACATCAACCACATCACGTGATCAATACGAATCAGCCAGCTCAGCCGGCGCTAGCGGAGATTTCTCGCTGCGAAAATACTTTGACCTATCTTCTATTATCAATATTCTATCCTCATACAATTTCGCTAAAATTTCTGTTGTCTCGTTTTTCTTATTTTCAATTTCCGTGAAGATGTAAGTTACCACTGTTTCCTCCGCAACTGACTGATGAATCGCATACTAACCACTCCGTAGGTATTCTGCTCTTCGCCCTGCCGCTCGCCGGCTCTTTTCTGTCAGACCCAATGCCTCTTCGTTCATTGCGCGGTCACGATCAATCGCCACTCAATCAATTGCCTTCTCTCGCCCAGCTGCTACTTCCAGTGTCTCCTCGTTCCAGCAAATCCAGCGCCGATGGAACAGCGACGAAGCCACCAAGGTCGCTACTGAGAAGGCAGTGACCAGTACTCAAGAAGTCAAAGCCGAAGGCGAAGCAGCTCTCGAAGCCGCCGCCAGGAATGCAGCAAGTGAGCAAGTTTCTACCGTGGATGCGACTTCCGCCGAGACCGAGGCCCTGCTTACCGAACAAGTTTCCGCTGGATCTCAAGAAAGGGATGCAGCAGCTGGAGAGGATGAGCTTGGCTTCCGTGTCAAGAAACCTGTCAGACGAACAATTGATAATTTGACTCCTTCACCAACTGTTTACGTTGGGAATTTGTTTTTCGATGTCACCGCAGAGGATTTGAAAAACAGGATGCAGTCGTACGGTGTCATTGAGAAGGCTACTATCATTCACGATGCTCGTGGCTTGAGTAAGGGGTTAGTCGCCGTCTTCTAAATCTCGCTGCTTGTTGTACTTATTATACTTTTCAATCACCTAGATTCGGATACGTCACATTTGACTCGGTAGAAGCCGCGCAACGTGCCATTGACGAGATGAGCCAACAAATCTACGAAGGTCGTCGAGTACTCGTCCAGTTCTCGGCTTCCGGACCCAGCGAAAAACAGTCCCGACCCAAGTCAAAGCCCACCCGGAGTCTCTATATTGGTAACCTGGCCTATGACCTTTCCGACCGGGAACTCAACGATATCTTCAAGAGCGTCCGCAATGTCGTTGAAGTTCGTGTTGCTGTTGATCGCCAGAGTGGTAGCCCTAGAGGTTTCGCTCACGCTGACTTCCTCGATATCCCCAGTGCTCAGGCTGCTCTTGAGATTCTCAGCAGCAAGGCACCTCATGGTCGTCGACTAAGGGTTGACTTCAGCCAGGGTGTCAAGAAGGGTCGACGAGAGCCCAGGGACCAGGCTGCGGCTAATACAGAGACTGAAAACGCGACCAACGAAGCTGAAGGCAAGGCAGAGACCCAGAACTGAAACTTGACATCGATACTCTAAATATCCGCCATGTTGACCGTTTCTGGTCCTTCAATCTACAAGTACCACGCATGGGGGGCGTTCGAGGCTAGCCAATTGGATGATCACAGTCTTCCATATTCGTGATTCTCCAAATGTCGACTTTTATTATGTGCTTTTATTTGGCTGTATGGATTGGCCACATGTACCGATTAAAATTATTGTATATTATTTACTTTAGTGTCTTACCTGACTGAACGGACTTTAATCTCATGATGAAAGGATATCTCCTTTTTCTACACTGGCTTGCTCTCCGGTTATACGAAATCAATAGTTTTTATATCGAGGCTAAACACGTGATCACCCCGGAAAGAACCTCGGCCGGGCTCGGTGGCGGAGAACAGTGCCAGTTGCCGAACAAAAACGATCTTTTCATGAAAGTCCTCGTTTCAAACACGATTATATTTTGTCTTTCTTAGCAGGAATAGTTCATCGCAAACCTGCATTATATTCTCTGCTACCTTATGATATCTTTAACAGCAACGTCGTGAACATAGCTGCCGTGGCTCGGATTGTACCCCACACATTCTCGACCGGAGCGATTACTAACGCAACTGATAACCTCTCGAATTGACGTGGACTTCCTACGACTACATTTGATAGACCGGTCTACTCTGCTCACTGTTTCCAAATATATGGTCGCGAGATTAGGCCTTTGATTGCCAGTTGATTGAATATAATATACATATAAGCCTCCGCCATGTCCTTTCTTGGTGGTGCCGAGTGCTCGACTGCCGGCAACCCATTGACACAATTCACCAAACACGTTCAAGATGACAAGTCTTTACAGCGAGATAGACTGGTGGGAAGGGCACCGGGGATGCAGGAGAGCATGCGTTCTCGGGGGATGGCAGGACCGGGTGATCAGGTAGGATCATATCACCATGGAAGAGTATCCAGATTCTAACTCAAAGCCGAATTGCTAGATGATGGATGAATTCATGCAACAACCCGGCCATCTCCCCCATCAAGCCCCCGTTCAACCTTTTGCCATGGAACAAATGCGACGAGAAATCGAATCAATGCAACATGCGCCCGTGCGTACAGGATCACCTGGCTGGGCTACCGAATTTGATAGCGAACAAGCACGTATGGAAGCCGCTTTTCAAAGTCCTAATGCCGCTCCTGCTGTACTCGATAATAGGGGTCCTGGGTTCTCCGCTGCGGAATTCTCTCGATTCCAGCAACAACATCGTACAGCGAGCCCGATCACGCAGTCGGCACAGTCACCTATAATGAGTGGGTATCAGCGGCCTATGATGGGTGGATATATGGGTGGAATGGGCGCTATGGGAATGATGAGTCCGTCGTATATGCCTATGCAACAACAACAACAACAACAACAACAACAACAACCAGCCGCTCAACAACAAGACAGTAAAGGGAAAGGACGAATGGTCGAGTTAGACGACGAGAACTGGGAAGCTCAATTCGCCGAAATGGATGCAGCGGGTCAAGAGGCATTTGATGAGCAGGCAAATCATGCCATGGAAGCAGAACTCAATGATCTGGACAGGTCAGTGCTCAATGATACTACCCATTCTAGTCATGATGAAGAAGGATTTGAAATGTTTGAACGTATGTGGCAAAAGGCTCAGGCTGAAAATGATTTGTCTGCTGCTACTAGAAAACTGGCCGAAGAGAATCTTGATTTTGAAGAAGTTGCGAATTTACATCTGGGCGATACACATGGTTGGGAAGGGTTCGATAGTCTGAACACACGATTCCGCGACCCGCAATTGGGGGATTATGTTTTTGAAGAGGATAATGCGTTCCGGGCTGTGGGTAACCCGTTCGAGGAAGGAATGAAGATTATGAAGGAAGGTGGGAATTTGTCTCTAGCTGCACTTGCTTTTGAAGCGGCCGTCCAGAAGGATCCTCAACATGTACAGGCCTGGACGATGCTTGGATCTGCGCAGGCACAGAACGAGAAGGAGAATCCGGCATTACGTGCATTGGAGCAAGCGTTGAAATTGGATCCTAACAATCTCGATGCTCTTATGGGCTTGGCCGTCTCGTACACAAACGAAGGCTACGATTCCACGGCATATCGTACGCTGGAACGATGGCTCTCGGTGAAATATCCTCAAGTCATCGACCCCAGCGATCTTTCTGCCGATACCGACGTCGGCTTTACGGATCGACAACTATTGCACGATAAAGTAACAGACCTTTTTATCCAGGCAGCACAACTCTCGCCGTCGGGAGAACACATGGATCCCGACGTACAAGTCGGTCTAGGCGTACTATTCTACTGTGCCGAAGAATACGACAAAGCGGTAGACTGCTTCTCAGCAGCACTCGCATCCACGGAATCCGGAACATCAAACCAACAAGAACAAGTCCATCTCCTCTGGAACCGCCTCGGAGCCACACTAGCCAACTCAGGCCGCTCCGAAGAAGCAATCGAAGCATACGAAAAGGCGCTCACCATCAACCCAAACTTTGTCCGCGCACGATACAATCTCGGCGTATCCTGTATCAATATCGGGTGCTACCCAGAAGCCGCACAACACTTACTGGGTGCATTGGCAATGCATAAAGTAGTCGAACAACAAGGTCGCGAGAAAGCGCGCGAAATCGTGGAAGGTGTTGATGGGATTGACGATGCAGAGTTGGAGCGCATGATTCATATTAGTCAGAATCAGAGTACGAATTTGTATGATACCTTGCGGAGGGTGTTTACGTCGATGGGGAGACGTGATCTGGCGGATATGGTTGTGTCGGGGATGGATGTGGACGTGTTCCGGCGGGAATTTGAATTCTAGTCCTCTCTACTTATCTAGAATTTCTTCTAGATAAAGAATATATGATGATTGTGCTAGTTATTTCGTATGATACAACTGGTACATAGTTAGTTATCAGGGTAGTAACTACTACTTAACTAACAGCTGTGGTGATAAGGCTTGCCTGAGGCAGTCAACAACGTTACATTCCGACTCCACAACTTACAGCTCACGAGTCTCAATTCCATAACTAGATAAAAAGAAAACTAGCGACTTGTAATCTTGAATCTATCGCGCTCAAGCTCATGGGGCTGATGTAACGTCAGTCCTGGTATAATTCTATCCTTGCATGAATACGTAGATAAAATCCAAAGAATGATTGCGGAGAAAATGGTATGGTGACACTCGACCTATTTTCCATGTAGGTAACGGTTAACCGATTTCAAGATCAAGATTGTGAGGGGTAAATGAAACAAGAAAGATGAGATGAATGAGTCTAAGGAGTAAGTCATCATCTGTGTATTTCATGAGATAAGCCTGCTAGCCTAGGGAGTTGGTGCTATACGCAGGGAGTTAGGGCATGGCCCCCAGATTACTTCTTAGTTCTTACTGAGTAAGCTTATGGGCTGGTATTCAGGGCACCGATCCAGGTGCTTGGCAGCTATTTATAAGTATTCGGAGTGTTTACACGATTCAAAGCTACATTTTCCAATGATTGAATAAATGTATATGAAAAGTTACATCTCATTATTCAGTAGTTATCTCCTTGTTGCATCAAAATCAACACCAACAACGTGAGATACAGCAAGTTTAACCAAAGGAACGTTAATCAAATTTAATTCTATCAGGTGGAGCCACTAGTTTAGTGCTAAACATTCTAAAAAAGAAGAGACGAAAACATTGAGCAAATCAGCCACTGAATCAGCCCTTTTTCTAACTTTCTATCTCAAGTTATGCTTAGTCCAGTCCTTATTATGACTCTTTACTAATAGTAGTCCAGCAATTTCCTGGATGATCCCCTTTGCATTCAAGGTTTGACGGAGGGGCCCGGGAAAATATGCTAAGTTGATTAGATGTATCTTTTCTAGGCAAAAGGTATGCTCCGGCCACGATGTAGCATGCAATGTTTCCCTTTACTGCAAGCTGATCGACGTAGTATTTATTTCCCTTGTTTCCCCTGCTTCGGTGCTTTCTTTCTTTTCTTCCTTTCCTAAACACCGACGTTCATTCTTTTTTTTACTGTCCTTCCTTTCCCTCTTTTACTATATAGTAATTGACCATGCGTGTCAACAGCCTGGTCACAACAGTCGGCTGTCTGGCCTCTGCAGTGGCCGGAGTGGCCGTCAACCCTCTCCCCGCACCCCGGTCGATCGCTTGGGGAACTTCAGGTCCCATCTCGATTCCGCAAAACGTCGCTGTAAACCTACCCAGGAATGCCATCGTAACCGATGCCTGGGAACGCGCCTGGAACAGTATCAAGCAGTTGAAATGGGTTCCTCAAGCTACGGAAGCTCCGATCTCTTCATACCAACCATTTCCGACCGCAGCACCGACGTCTTCAGCTTCGTCTGTGCCTTCGTCCTCGGCAGCTGCAGGGCTCAGCGGTATGAAGCGTCACCATCATAGCCAAAAGCGTCATCAGCATGCAATCCTCAAATCGGTCTCGGTTACCGTTGCAGACCTCAGTGCGGATTTGCAGGCTGAAGTGGATGAGTCGTATACCTTGGTGCTCAACTCGAATTCGTCCACTCTCGAGATTACCGCCAACACAACCTGGGGTGCTCTCCATGCATTCACGACTCTGCAGCAGATTATTGTTTGGAATAATGGTCTGGTCATCGAACAGCCCGTTCAGATCGAGGATTCGCCCTTGTACCCATGGCGCGGTATTATGATTGACACCGGACGGAACTTTATCACTGTACCGAAGATCAAGGAGCAAATCGACGGCATGGCCCTGTCGAAACTGAATATCTTGCACTGGCATTTGGATGATTCGCAATCATGGCCCGTGGAAATGAGCTCGTACCCGCAAATGATCAAAGATGCTTATTCGCCTTCCCAGACTTTCTCGCATGGGGATCTCAAGGATGTTATTGAATATGCGCGTGCTCGCGGTGTGCGTGTTGTCCCCGAAGTCGATATGCCAGGTCACTCTGCCGCGGGCTGGCAGCAGGTCGATCCTAGCATTGTCTCGTGTGCTCATTCGTGGTGGTCAAATGATAACTGGCCCTATCATACTGCCGTGGAACCGACACCCGGTCAACTCGACCCTCTCAACAACAAGACCTATGGTGTTGTCTCGAAGGTGTATAATGAGCTTTCGGGCATCTTCACGGATCATTTCTTCCATGTTGGTGGTGATGAATTGCAGACCAACTGCTACAACTTTAGTTCTTATGTGCAGAACTACCTAGCCGCTGATCCCAGCCGTACCTACAACGATGTTACGCAGTACTGGGTTGATCACGCATTCCCCATTTTCAAGAAAATCGCCAATCGTAAACTGCTTATCTGGGAAGATCTCGTCCTCAACGATCCCCACGCACCCAACGTGCCAACAGAAGGGTTGTTGGTTCAATCCTGGAACAACGGACTCGGCAACATCAACAACCTGACCGATTTAGGGTATGATGTCCTCGTTTCCTCGTCCGATTTCATGTACCTCGACTGCGGCTACGGCGGCTTCGTCACCAACGATCCCCGATACAACGTGCAATCCAACCCCGACGCCGCCACAGGACTCGCAAACTTCAACTACGGTGGTAACGGCGGAAGTTGGTGCGCACCTTACAAGACATGGCAACGTATCTACGACTACGATTTCACCACCAACCTCACCGATGCTCAAGCGGCACATATCAAGGGCGCAGTTGCTCCCTTGTGGTCGGAACAGGTTGATGATACTGTGGTATCCGGTAAAATGTGGCCTCGCGCTGCTGCGCTTGCGGAGTTGGTGTGGTCCGGAAACAAGGATCCGAAGACCGGCAAGAAGAGGACTACGTTGATGACGCAGCGAATCTTAAATTTTAGAGAGTATTTGGTTGCGAATGGCGTGCAGGCTGCGCCTTTGGTGCCCAAGTATTGTTTGCAGCATCCTCATTCTTGCGATTTGTATTACGATCAGACTGCTGTGAATTGATCTACTAGAAGATCTGCGACTTGTTGATTCGTTTCATGTATATATCAGGCTGATCTTTACCTTTTTTTTTTACGATATAACAACTTTATTTGATTACTTTCTTATGCTATTGTATGGCAAAGCATGTATTAATAGAGATCATAGAAAGGGGCAAATCTCCCCCTCTGATTGGCCAAGCTTCCAAGACCGGCTAAAGCCAAATCTCAAGTCCGACGACATCAGGAACAATACTTCCACCATAAAAACCAATGATTCAGCTTTGATAGTAAACAAGCATGCGAATGCATGCATCCGCTCGTTTATACATTTGAATACTTTCGTTTTATTTCAATTGCTGAGGCATTTTAAAAATGCCCAGGTTAATCTCCTCCTTCACCCGCATCCTCAAATTCATCCTCTTCTCCTGGCTCACTCTCATCGGTCTCTGGATATTCCTCCCTTCTCCACCTATCACATCTGAAATTAATAGTGGAGTATATTATCAATATATTCAACGGACCTTGAGGGCTAGACGGATTTTACATACGATATATCCATGGGATGAATCCTTTGACGTCTCCTCTGTGACGATTCTGCCGGCTAATGACCTCTACCCTGGCTCACCGCCGCAACGCGCAAGAGTGAGCGGGTTGAGTAGTGATTGTACGCATTTAATAGTTGATTGGCAGCTCAGTCGTGATGGCGAAGATGCTGTTATTCTGGGGATGGGGCGCGATGTTAGACATCGGCTGTACCTGACAGATGCCGCGTTAAAGGTTTTATCGGCTGATGCCGACAAGCAAAATCCGGATTTGATTCTTCTTCGTGAAGAAGACGGGAAAGATGAGCTTGTCTACGTGAGCGATCAGGTCAGAGTACAAGTCGATGCTGGAGGCGCAGATCACATAATTAATCTCCCCTGGTTCTGGTTACCGGATGCGGCGATGTTTCATAATCAGATGCATGGTTTTACCTACGAGATTGATCTCAGAGTTGTTGCACGCAAGCTTCTAGCGGAGAGGAAGACGGTTGTTGAAGTTTGGAAGTCTGCACCTGTGACGGAGTGGTTGAGATTAAGGGAGAAGGAACGGCTGCAAAACATGGGATATTCGGCTATAGATGGACCAGATGACGATGGGGTTGATGGGAAATATGTGAAGAATATATTCCGGAGCGAATCTCATTATTCGTCGGGACTACTGGCGACGGTCTCGAATGTTGATAATCGGCATCATTCGACTTCGGGCGTCGAAGTGAGGATTCGAAACGCCCAGCTATCCTCTAGAACTTATTGGATACGTTCCATAATCCTGGTCCCGCTGGCTCCGTCGTTAATAGTTACATTCTTCCTATTGATCTATCTGATGGAATCGCTGTCTGTTCTAATTTGTTACGAGACCTTGGCTCTGGTGGTAACTTATTGTGTTGCTGTTCTCATCTGCTGGATGGTTTACAATCTTTGTCGCCGCAACTTCACGACCACCAATGCAGACGAAAAGTCAAAGGGAGGCCGTAAAGACAAAGAAATGACTTTCTTACAATGGTCCTCAAAGTTCTGGCTGACTCGATATATATATTCTTTTCTGGCGTGGCTCTGTTCATGTTGTTGTTGCTGCTATAAATCGAAAAGGAGAGGAAGGGGGGATTATAGAGGGAAGAGGATTGTCATTTGGGGACCGACGGGCCCTGTGTATGAGGATGTTATTGATAAATAATCGTATGAAATATTCTTAATCGTATTCAGTTATTGTGAATTCGCACTGCAGCCACGCACGAGTTTGAGCCATGCAAAGCAGACGTTGTACGACAAGGTCTCTTAGAATCTGGTATTTCGTTTTCACGAGTGTCTGAGCAGAAAGGATAAGAAAAGAATCAAGCGAGTTAAAGGGTGAGGAAATCACCCAAAGTACCTGCATAGTTTAATCCCTCCAAGTTGAACCTCGTTCCATTCAATTTCCCGACGACGATATCATTCTCACCAGTACACGTCGTGAAATGAAGATATAATGAATCACCACAACAGGCCAAATTGAAGTTTAGTGAACGAGACACCAAAAAAAAATAAGGGTCTCTGAGTTTGCCGATTTCCAACCTGCATTTGCGAGGTCGTAAAAAAGTTCAAGAATATGCCAACATAAACGCGAGCGTTCATTCATGTAAAAGAAGTGCACCTTTTGGAGGCGCAGGGGAAATTCATCCAGTTACTCAAGCTTCGGATTGTCTCAGAACCACATACCTTCTTGCCATCCTCTAAGGACGTATTGCTTGTAGCAACAGCTAAAGGTGTTCCCCTTCCTCGCATACGCAATAGTCTCTTTGAAAACAATCCTTCACTCCAAGCGGGACCTGTTTGGAGGTAGACCTTTGAAATCCGCCAAATCTGACAAAGCCGTTTGGATCCTGGAAGAAGAGTAATGTCAACACAAACCCGTCATGTCCGTCCAAGTCGATTATAAAGGAAGTGGAATTTGTATCCGGGGCCCACTGTTGGCCTGGTGTAGTTATTGGAGGTGATATAAGCGGCCTAGATTTGACTTGATTTGAGTTGATTTAAAAATCTCAGGCTCCCATCCCATGCCAGGGAATATTCCAATGAAATCATGTAAAGGGACTATGCTGGTGAGCTGATAGTCAAACGTCAGCGCTATGGACTGTCCCACGAGATAAAGTAGGATACATATGACTTACTTCTGTGATCTCCCACAGCTCATAAGAATCTAGTGACTTTTTCCACTCATGAAGACTATACACCGAACTTAATTGAGGGGCTTCCCATGGACCACTATGGAGGAGAAGTCATCATTCTCATATAGTCTGTGACCTGGTTGCTCGACATGGGTTGTGCTGTATCCGGTGAAGTATCCTCCGCAAAATGAGATTCGGGCAACCCAATTTTCACGAATTTGGCTTGGATTGAAGCTTCGAGTTGTGACTCTTTGCTTGGGTCAGAATCACCAGCAATTATACTCGTAGCTTGGCTCCAGCGCAATGCTCCGCCCAAATATATCTAGGATAAAAAGATATGACCTATTCGAAATCGTCATCCGAGTCCAGGAGGGTGAAGGGCTCTGTTGTCAATACCATATTTCTCGTAGAATAAATATCGATCCATTCGGCTTGATGCCATGCGTTCAACTGGCCGTCGTTACGTGGTAATTAGATTATTCTGTCAGAAACCAAGACACAAGGATCGAGTAAATATGCTTACTTTTCCCATGATTCCACCATCTTCGTTTCACATAGCAATAAGTCACAAACAGAGCATAGATTGATTGTGCGAGGCATGGCAGGATCACCACTTACGGAGGCGGGGTAGACGACCAGTTGCAGCCCAAGGCTTCCTAGGTACTTGTAATACGTATATACCTCAGCCTTGTGCTCCAATCTATCCGGGCATCCATTTTGAGTTCCCTATATACGGTACTTGGTGCGTCTTCGACGCATCCTGAAGTCAACGGCACGGGGATCATCTTCGTAGAAACTTGGCTGATTATTAGCGTAGTTTGCTGCGCATACTGCCTTTTTGATTCTTTTGCGCCTCTCCAATTCTCTCTCTGGTTGATGCTTAGCTTGACAGCTTATGGATATCACTGCATGATTACCTATTCCTTTGTCGAGTAGCTTCCCTCAAATATATATATACCTAAAAGATCTGAGTCCAACTCCTTGTAATAATTTCACGAAATGTCAACCAACGGAAGCTAATCCTACCATGGAAATGACGATATCCGCACCGGCCAATCATAGTCAAGCTTTGAATTTGTATTCATAAATACTACTCCAGCGTCTTATTGATGCTGTGCTTTCGCAAGAAGCAGTTATATCAAAGCTGCACAGCCTAGAAATCTGCCGATGAGATATAAACCAAGAATCTTGCCGTTACTGCCAGCAAGGTTTCGTAGTGTAGTGGTTATCACTTTTGGTTTTGATATGGCCTGACCGGCTCATGCAAAGCTCCAAATAACCGGGGTTCGAATCCCCGCGAGACCTGTTCTTTTTTTCCTCGTTATGCTTTATTTTTTTGTCTATTCCCACATAACAGGTATGCGTGCAAACCATGTAAATATTAAAAGATTAATTATTTTTTGTGCCGAATTCTGTAACCAAGACAACCCGGTGATTCGTGGTTTTTCTATTAATTACCCTTGGAATTAGGCTATCCGCACATAGATCCTATGACCCCTTGCCATGCGTCCTCGAAAGGGAGTGCACAGGACACTAGTATCATACCTGATCGCCGCAGATTCCAGTGAGACACGCACACGATAGACGCTGCTCTCTGTCCACCTAAACTGGTAGGTGATCATCCTGTCACCTGGGTAGTGTCGATGATCTGTGATCTTCCGGCAGGACACATCCCCGGAGTCGTGGTCAGGAGGAACCTAACAAAAGAAAAGAAAAGAAAAAGAGAAGCAAAACTTCATGTATCTAACCTACACTTCCATACTGTCGGGTCACTGAAAATAGTCATATCCTGCCCGATGCCACAAACAAACAATCAAAGCCCATTACGAAACAACCCTGTAGGACTAGGTAATGGGTATATTGCTTTTCTTGACTTTTCTTTTTCCATGCATGCCCGGCTTGCCGTGTCTTCGGCATTCAGATAGTTGATACGCATACGTACACCTGGTCCGTACTCCTACTCCTATATCTAAAGCACGGATAGTCCCACACGGTAGAATCAGAAACTTGGGTACCTAAAGTGGATACGTTATCCAGAAAGAATAAATATAGGAATCCAGTCTGAGAATAGCACGTGCTGTGTACGGAGTACAATCGCTGCGTTGGCCGGACAGTTGATCGACGGCATGCCGGAACAGGTCAGAGTCTCAGAGATCCCGAGGAATCTTTTCCCAAGACGGCCTGCCGAGTGTATTTTCCTTTCTTTTTTTCCCTTTTTCTTTCTGTTTACACGTGTGCCTAAAGTTATCAGTCAGCTGGCAAGGTACCGTATCCCTGAGTAATAGATAGATAGTATAAGGCCATAAGCCGAGCTATGTTGTGGGTATCGGCTGTGGATGGACTTCCGGAGTGGAGTATCAATATATATATGACACTCGCAAAAGACGATCTAGATCGGTTTCGAGTTCGAGACCGAGTCTGTCTCGCTCGGGCTGACATTGGTACCCAATCTCAGGGGCAGGATACGCTCTGTAGAGAAGAGGAGGAGAAGAAGAAGAGAAAAGAGAAAACGCCGAGTGAACCGTGGGTCTGGTGGACGGTAACATCGCCACGCGCCAGAAGGGTCTAGATTATTCGCAGAAAGTCTCTAATTCCATACAATTGTCTGGATATAATTAGATTTCTATACAACTTATCAGATAATTGATAATTGGTAATTGATAATGCTATTGTCAAAGAGTGGTGGCACAACAGTCAGCGATATACCCTAGACGGACGGCATGATTGGCCAATGTAGAGGAGAGTGAAAATTTTTCCCAGCGAAACCATCACCAATCCGTGGCTATACAGAACATATCGATCAGATGATAGTCACGATATTCAGGATCCTGACAGATCAGAATAATGTTTGTACTTAGTAGTAAACTTGTAGAGCATCGGTAGCGCCGGCTTATCGCAGGCCAATAAAGAGATGCCAATGGCTTGACTGACGCCATAGAGTCCACCGGGATGGCTGCTTTCAGTAATCCGCTGTACATCGAGAAGATCAACCGAATTAATATAATCTGCTGACTTGCCAATAATAATGTGTGTACTACGACGTAGTTAACTAAGAGTGTTAGCTGGTTAGTAACATGGGGTCTCCTTCCTTGATAAGCAGGCTAGCAGGCCAGCAGCTATATGACGGCGACCCCCACAGCCATCCATCCATTTCTCCTCTCTCATATCATCTCATATCATCTCACACCAATTCACTGTGTCTGATATCCTCAGACAGCTCAGACTAACAACCCGGCAGAACGCTGATTCTCATCTGATCATGGTGGGCTAAGTGGGGTGATTGTTCCGATTCATCGCGAACATTCGACTACCACATCCCAAGCCAAAAAAAAGAAGGAAAAAAAAGACCATGGACAACGAACTTCGCCCAGGGTTGAGCCTGAGCGGCACCTCCACACCTGAACGTATTGACCAAGGCGATATCACTCCTGACAGATCTAGTGTCGTCTTTCCTGACCCCGGCATCCCACCTGAAGAAATCGTGGAGCGACTGCGAGAAATTCGCGTCAAATTCCGCTCTCACGATGAACACATGCCAGCTCCAGAATATGGCGAAGACGCACACGGAGAGTCAACTCCTCGCGATGATATGGGCGCCGATTTGGAAAAGGGTGAGACGGCCAAATCAGATGCCAGCGGTGCAGACGGCAAGAACGGTCTGACTCGACATCCGAGTATGCGAGATCGGGCTCGACATTGGTTGACGAAAATGGGGAGACCAGAGGAGCCAGGAGATGCACTGACACCAGCTATAAACCCGCCTGAATTAATTGACGATATTCCTCCTCTTGGAAGTCCGCAGGCTGAGCACCAGCACGATGCCGCGGAGGAGGCACACCGTGCACTTCGTGGAGTTGGTCTGCACCATGGTGTGAGGAAACGACCCAAACACTTTCGGTTGAATTCATCAGAGTCGGTAACAAGCGTTGGTGGTTCAGAAACGGATTCTGAACCGCCTCCACAGGGAGAAGGTGTGTTGTCGTATCTCCTCAAATTGCATGCTCACCACTCTTTATCTGGACGAAGTACACCGCAGACGCCCGACAGTGGCGCTGCAACTCCCAAAAGTGGTGCGACTACACCTATCAGTGGCGCCGTGACTCCAAGGAAGAAGGTGAAATGGTACAGCAAGCATTCCCCGAATCAATCAACCATGTCTCTGGTTGGTGCTGGGTTGAATCTCGGCACACAAGGAGCACCCATGGCGATGGATGATTTGAAAAAGTCTGTTGCCAGTAAGCGAGAGATGATGATGATGTCGTCCGGCAAGAGTGGTAAAAAGGCCAAGAAACGGCTCAAAGATCATATTGCTGCGCGTATTGCATCGATCATTACTAGACAGCGGTACTTGATAACCCTGTGTCGGGCAATGATGCGGTTTGGAGCTCCGAGTCATCGGCTGGAAGAGTACATGTCGTTGACTGCGCAGGTGTTGGATCTACACGCTCAGTTCCTGTACCTGCCTGGGACAATGATCATCTCTTTTGACGACTTGGCCACACGTACCACAGAAGTCAAGCTAGTACGAGTTGCACAAGGAGTGGATTTGGCTCGTTTGGAGGACACTCAAGACATTTACAAGAACTTGGTGCACGATAAGATTACCGTCGACGAAGCCATCACCGAACTCGAAGCGGTGATCAACCGTCCGCCCAAATATCCCACCTGGCTGGTTGTACTCTGTTATGGATTTGCTTCTGTGGCTGTCGGCCCTTTTGCCTTTCAGGCACGGCCCATCGACATGCCGATTACTTTTTTCCTTGGCTGCTTGTTAGGTTTGCTTCAACTTGTCTTCTCTCCTCGATCTAGTCTCTATTCGAACGTTTTCGAAGTTGTCGCCACCATCCTTACATCCTTCCTCGCACGTGCTTTTGGCAGTATTCGTCATGGCGTGGTAGACGGCACACAACAATACTACTTTTGCTTCTCATCCATGGCACAATCCTCAATCGCCCTGATCCTACCGGGATTCCTCGTCCTAAGCAGCAGTCTCGAACTGCAGTCTCACCAAATCATCCCCGGATCAATCCGCATGGTCTACGCCATCATCTACTCTCTGTTTCTCGGATACGGCATCACGGTCGGAACAACAATATACGGGCTAATGGACCCCAAAGCAAACCCCAACACGACCTGTTCCGGCGAACTCATCGGCAACAATCCCTACGTCCAACGCTTCCCCTTCGTTGCCATCTACGTCGTTTTTCTCGTGATCATCAACCAAGGAAAATGGAAACAAGTCCCCGTCATGATCCTAATCGCCGAAGCAGGCTACATCGTGAATTACTTCAGTAACCTCAAACTCGAATCAAACCCAGAATTAGCAAACACCCTCGGCGCATTTGCGATCGGCGTTTTGGGAAATTTGTACAGTCGGATATGGCACGGTCACGCCGCAACGGCAATTTTACCAGCTATATTTGTACTGGTCCCCTCCGGTCTGGCATCGCAGGGCTCCTTGGTGTCCGGTGTACAATCCGCATCCGCGATTCGAGCGAATATTACAGGTGACCACTCGAATTATGCGCAGGCATCATCATCGGATAGTTCGATTTATTCAATGGGATATGGTATGATTCAAGTCGCTATTGGGATCACTGTGGGGTTGTTCCTGTCTGCTGTGGTCATTTATCCGTTGGGAAAACGGCGAACGGGATTGTTTTCTTTTTGATTTTGCATCCTGAGCATTCTTTGCATTCTTTTGGGTTTTCTTTTCCTTGCATGTATAGACGGTATATTGATTGCATTTTGCATAGCGTTGCATATTGGGTTCAAGGTTAGCGTATTGTTTGTTTTTTTTTTTTTCTCTTAGCGGTTTGTTGTTCGATTGATACCTACCTACCTACCTTGCTATTTGGTGCAATGCATTTCCGGTTGTTTTTTTCTTGTCAAATACGGTCATTAGGGTTGAATTTTATTCGTGGTTATTGTACACGAGTTGAGTATTGTCTATTTCAGTGAGAATGCATGGGATACTGAGAGGTTTAACCCTAATCTGAACAACCCTTAGTGATTGTGGAAGGCTCGCAGACACTAAAATTGCAGTGCAATTAAACCCCCGGGTTCACTGGCAACGCGGGCTTGACGGCATGGGTACTTGGGTGCATGTCATTGTGCATCAATACTAACTACGGAAGGCATAGCTTAGTGATAATATGCATGATCAAGTCTAAATCTCGATAAATAACCAACTTATACTCTAGTTAGTTTAAGACTTGGCTTTCTTACTTGTAGCATCATTCCCTCGCAGACACTAAAATTGTAGTGCAGCAACTGTGACAGGCTGCCAAGCACTTGAGAACGTGGTGTGACCGCTCCCCTTATTGATGGTAAAATTGTAGGAACTCGAAAGAGACATGAAAGAAAACGAAAATAAGAGAACAAGAAGGGAAACAAGAAAACTGTTGATCTCCAGGAAGAACTGGATGGGCTCCTTATGAACTTCATCCAATACATCGTAGGGCTTCCAAATCGGCATAGCAGATACCATCGAACAACAAATTTAATCCAGGGTAGAGCCTAGGTATGAGCTAATAATAAAGCCAGTATAAATGAGATCTTTGCCAATTTTGAGATTCTGGCCCTTTTCGGTTCTTTTCTGAATGCTGACTGTAAAATGGTGATATATGACTCCCTTACAGACGTTAAAATTGCAGTGCAAAGGCCACCACCAAAAAAAATTGTGTGTGTGTGTGTGTGTGTGTGTGTGTGTGTGTGTATAATTAGGTACATATTTTCAAATTCAGCCTTCTTGCTTATTGGGTGTATGCTGTGTATAATTTCCTTGGTGACACTGCTACGCATTGTAGATCTAGTCAAATGGACGTTCAGATTCAGTCTTCTTCTGTCGGAACGTTGGTTTACTAGAGCGATGACTAAGCGAAGGCGAGCACTAAACAATACGTATAAGGAACTAGGTCTATTTTCCGGCACTCCTCTAAAACCACTATCTAGGAGTATTGAACCTGTTTTTATATACAAGATTCCATAGAAGTGATATCACCAAAAGTCGACACTTGTGCAAATCGAACTTTCTAGAGATAGGCTGTAAAGTTGATTTGTAATGTTCAATATCGCGTCGGAATGTGATGCCAATTCTCGAAATTTCTTGATACGCAAATCTTGTCCTATTCCCAAATTGGTTTAGTTCATTCTGAGTTCCAACATCTTCGATGTGTCATGTGTGTAAATATTAATGCATTAGACACCAAGACTGCAGTGAAGTGCTAGTACATATAAGGCAATATTGAGCTCAGGATATATGCGGTGTACGTAGGGAGTAGTATAGACCTAGTCAAATGGTCTTTTGGAGTCAGCCTTCTCACGAGTGTCATATGTGTCGTAGGTGTAAATATCAATGCCTCATAGACACTAAAATTGCATGAATGATGTTCATTACGCCCGGAGGCACAAAACCTAGAGGGCATTAGTGCACTAATTACATACTCCATTTTTCACAGATCCGATATGAACTCATGATAGCCCATATTTTCCTTCTGGTAACGTGTCTGCTTGATGTTTGGCTTCTTCGGTCACTAAAATTGCAGTGTAATAAAGATCATCTGCGCCAGTCAGCAGCAGGCTTAAGCCATTTCTAGTAAAAGGTGGACCCACCAAAAACGGCTAGATCAAATCACGGGTCCAAAATCCAACGCGTCATCAATTGTTTTTTCTGCTCCATTAATCTTGCACGATAAGAATAATCAATGTACAATTGGCCAGTTGATCACTCAAGGACGAATCCATAATATGACGGAGTTGACTCCATGGCGATTTTATGGCAATGGCCCGCCACCCCAGCCTAAAGCTAAGCAGTCATGGAATAGGATGGGGCAGTCAAATATGGCGGTGCCGGGAAATATGCCAGCTGGAGCTATGGGTGCCACAGGGACAGGGGTTATGGGAGGAAATGTGGCGGCCTCTATGCCTGCTACACCTGTAGCTGCACCATCGACGCAGCTATTGTCGGCAGCTAATGGACCGGTGTCTAGTGGGGTTCAAAGACCTGCATTATCGGCAAATGGGAATGTTGCGAATACGCCTGCGGTGTCCAGGACGTCGGCAACAGCAGTCTCTGGACCAGCTGCACCTACAAACTCAGCACCGGCTCTAGCGCAAACAGCTGCATCAGCGCTAGCTGTGAGTACAAACGTACCGCCAACTACACCCACACCTGCAGCACTAGCTACAAATACACCTGTAGTACCAGTATCAACTCCATATACTCCAATTACAAACACAGACACAGTAATACCTGAACGCGCATCCCCAGCACCCATCCGCGGCGGGCGCGGCCAGACTCTCTCCGATGAAGACAAACTGATCCTCCTTCAAATCTGCCTCGAGTGCCAAAACACACTCAGATTCACCACCAAAACCGCCTTTTGGCGTCGAGTCTGCAACCGTTTCGAGAATGTCCGTCATCGACAGTACAGTGCGGGATCATGCGAAAAGACAATTGCAAAATTGACTAATGCGCGGCGCGCAGCTTTGAAAAGGGCTGGTCCGAATGGGAAGAAAGTCATGAGTGATGCAGAGAGGATGAGTTTGTTGGTTGATCGGATGATTGAGTTGCAGGATGAGATTGAGGAGCAGACGAGAGAAAAGGAGACGAGGCTGAAGGAGATATATACTAGGTTGGAGGGGGAGGTACCTGATATAAGTGAGTTAAAGGCAGCAGCCAGGACGACGAAGATGATGGAGGCGATGAATGATTATTATCAGTCGATGGTGCGGGGTGAGACGCAGGTATCCCCGTCAGGAGGATCTAATCATACCCCTCAGGGAAGCAATAGCAACGCTGCATCTCCTGTCGATCTCACCAACACTGATAACAACACTACTAACAACACTAGCAATAACAATGAAAACCACGATAACGATAATGATAACCGCTTTGACTTTGACACAGTGGTACTATCAGAAATATCCAAAATCCGCCAAATCCTCTCCAAAGAAGTATCCCTTTCCGTTGCAAGTAGCGGTTTCCAAAAGGAGAGTACGGCATCAATGTCAACGAGATTGGATCGTCTGGAAGAGCAATTTACGGAAATGAAGAAGACGTTGGATCAGCAGACGGGCATTTTAAGTGATCAGAATACGGTGTTGAGGCAGTTGCTGACGATGATGAATAATGGGAGAAGGGTTAGTCAGGGCTCTTGGCCGCAGGTTCGGGGTCCTACGCCTCAGGGATTTGTGCCTCAAGGATTCCCGGGATCATATCCACCGGGATATCCGCAGGGAGCTCCTCAAGGCCCTCTGCCTCAAGGAGTTTTACCTCAGGGTGTTCCTCAGGGTGTTCCTCAGGGAATTCCTCAGGGAATTCCTCAAGGAGTACCACCGCAGGGCTTTCCATCTCAAGGACATCCACCTCAGCGAGTCCCACCTCAAGCAAACTCCCAAGGTCCTCCACCCCAAGAAAATCCTCAGGGACCCTCACCTCATTCCAAAGCACATTCATCTCAACCCCCTCAGGTTCAAGGAGGCACCTTTGGAGTTTACAGACTTCAAGCTAGCGGTCCTCCAGCCGGCAGTTCTCAAGCCAGCAATTCCCAAGCCAGTGGGCCTAACAAAACCTGAGTCTCTACTCCTTATCACTGTAACATACGCATTCTATTCATTTACACTAAATTATTATTGTATATAAGCATTTATATATGAATATAGATATTGATACCTGATTTTCTTAGTTTCTATGCATGAACGATTTCTCAACACCGATAGACTAAACTGGAATCAGACTAGTCTGGTATGTGATTTATGGCTGGCGCTAAGTTTAATTTAAGCTTAGTTCGACACCGGAAACCAATGAAACCTTACAATAGAAATATGGATACCTACGTCAGATCCCCGCATGAGCCGAGGTTCCGAATTCATGTGAATATGTAGGTCTAAGGCCTGAGGCAACGGATATTGACTGGCATTTCTATGGTGAAGGTTGATATATACCAAAATTCAAGAATAGTGTGATCGAAACGATAGTGGATTGTATTGGCGATCAATGAACCACTATACTTCGACCAATCGGATCCATTCAATCGATTTGTACTGGTGTATGCGTACTCGACAATCGTACGACCTCTAACTACCAAATCAGATGTGTGATTAGACAAGAATATGTCCCTTGCTCAGTTACATACACTGAGCGAAGTTCACATTTTGAGAAAATGTTGAATGTTGAAGGACGATTAGTATCTGCCTAAAGGAACCGAGGCTTGTTGATCATTGAGTTTATCGTTATTAGTTACGTATGATCCCAACTCCTCCTCTTCACAATTCATAATATCTATAAACTTGAATGGGAAGAATGGTCTACGGCAATATTATTGAATAAACCAAAATGCTCCTCTTCAACGAAGAACTAGCGCTTAACCTCACCATCTCCCTGACCGAGACAGTGGCCTTACTCTGGACCACCAATTTCGTATCAGAATTGTCTTTCAAAAGCCTGTTTCTGGTCGTACTTGCAATCAATTTTGCCATCCAGTTGGTATGGGATTTATTGATTTATCCGTTTTATGTGGATCCATTACGACATGTTGCTACTGTTCCGGTACACCTCTCCCTCCTTACTCAGGAAAGCAAAGACTAAGTGATGTCTAGGGCAAAACAAACCAAATGGCTATATTACTGGACTCTCCCCGCGGGCGTCTCCCACTAGAATGGATGCGCACAATCCCTAATGAAGGTCTAATCCATTTCCGCGACACATTCCGACGCAGTTATCTCATCGCTACAAGCCATCAGGCCCTCTTGGATGTAATGAGTACGAATACATATGACTTTGAAAAACCGTGGAAAGTGCGTACGTTTTTGGCGCGGATTTTAGGGTTCGGGTTGATATTATCAGAAGGGAATGCACATCGAGTCCAGAGAAGGGCGTTGACGCCAGCGTTTAACATTAAGAATATTAGGTCGTTGTATGGCCTTATGTGGGAGAAGACGAATGTTTTGTTGGCGCAGTTGGAGGAGGAGATGAGACTTAATCCCGTGGAGGGGATGCATGGGGATGGGAGGATGGGGAAGGTTGAGATGTCTGTATGGGCGAGGTGAGTTCTCCCCCCTTTTTTGAAGGATTGATAGCTGACTTGGATAGTCGTCTTACACTCGATGTCATCGGTCCCGTAGCAATGGGTCGCGATTTTCAATCTCTAATCAACAAAAAGAATAAAGTCGCAGATAGCTTTTTAGCAATCCTCGAACCATCACGCGAAAAGTTAATTTTTTTGGGTGTCAATTTCCTTCTTCCGCAATGGTTCGCTCGACGTATACCCTGGACACTGAATAGGGTTGTTGATAAAGAAACTGACTTCCTACGTGCTGTATGCCACGATATTGTCCGCGAGAAGAGGGAAGCGCTCAAATCACACAAACTTGAAACATTGGAGGTGGATATCCTCGGGACGATTATGTTGCGAGGAGAGTTTTCTGATGATGAGTTGGTGGATCAGATGTTGACATTTCTCGCTGCAGGAGTATATCTTTCTATCTTTTTTCCTCCATGGTCTGTAAACTAACTAATGGGACAGCACGAAACAACTGCAAGCGCTCTGACATGGGCATGTTATCTCCTCTGTCTCCATCCAGAAGTCCAAACCCGACTAAGGGACGAAATACACTCTACGATTCCCTCTGCCGAACATGACATAACATGGCACCAACTTGAATCCATGCCCTTACTGAACGGGGTCTGTCAAGAAGTCCTTCGCCTCTACCCTACAGTCCCCGCCACAATCCGTGAAGCAGTCCGCGACACAACCATAGCCAACACACGCATTCCCCGTGGAATACGAATAATCCTATGCCCCTATGCGATAAACCGAAGTCCACAATTCTGGGGTGATACGGGCGACTCATTCATCCCCGAACGATGGATTGATATCGATGACCAAACGGGAAACTCAGTTGTGAATCATCACGGCGGCGCACCTACGAATTTTGCGCAGATTACCTTTTTGCATGGACAGAGGTCATGTATTGGGAAGGATTTTGCGAGAGCGGAGTTGCGTTGTGCTGTTGCTGGGGTTGTGGGGAGGTTTGTGTTGGAGATGCAGAGGCCGGAAGAGGAGATTCATATTGCGGGTGCGGTTACGACGAAGCCGAAGGAGGGGATGCATTTGAAAATGACGAGGGTGGAGGGCTGGTAATTTTTATGTCAATAATCAGTTTACGATCAATAATAATGGATATACGATTTAGTTATTTGTATGTATACTGCGGTAATGAAGCTATTCATAACCCTAAATTACCCTAATGTTTTACGGCCGAAGGAAGGTTTCCACATACGTAATAACCGAGGCTATATTTTAGGGCTGTAGGAACTTGGAAGAGAAGAACAGTGCTAAACAAATCCAGCAATCGGTCAAATACTTGGACAAATTACTTGCATGTCGAGTAGGATAGCGCATACTCTGGCAGCCGCATACCGCCTATTGCATGATGCAAGATGCTACTCGTAGTTGATATTTTGGCAGATGAGATGCTAACGTCGAGGGATATTGGTTGATCATCACTCGACATTGGACATTGTCAATGGACAACCGATAAAAAAGCTTTCCAAGACAAATAGTGTATTCTGTGTAGCCCCATGGCGAATCTTGAGAGGCAGTGAAAGAATATCGCTGATTGGTGCCTGAGGCATGTGCCGTGCCGCTGTTGTTTTCCAAGATTTATTTCCCCGCGAAGTTAATACGAAAAGAAAATCTTTTCATTTCTCTGTTTTCTCCCTCGTCTTTCTAGCAAGTTAATCAAACAATTTGAAAACGACTGTTAATTGCTTGGATATCGACGACTGCCTGGACAGTGTTGTAGCAGTACACCACCACGGAAGGAGTCAGATATAGTGAGAAATAGATAGAGAGACAAGGGATACACAGACATCCACATGATACCTTAATTCGTCATTGATTCGTCTTTTGGCTTTCTATCCTTTTGCACTGAACGCAATCGCATGAGAGTTGTATCTCGCAGTGTATCTCTATCTATCTCTTTATCAGCAATAGAGCTAGTTACCTACTAGGCTCTCACTAGCTCTGCATCCTGATAACAACGTTGACTGTGATTGACAATCTGCCGCACGCGCCACTTCATGCATCTGGGGAAACACTTAAACCTACGAGCAGAAATCCTACCCTGGTCAGTTAGATCAGATATCCCAACGCGGCACCTCTACTTCCCCACAAAGCTGCCTGGGTAAAAGCTGCATACTGTAAACAGCCTTCTTTGCTGCATCAGTCTGCCGTCAGACCTTATCAAAATGACCGGCCCAATCGACAGATCTGCCGACGACGCCGTCCTGGCTCGTCTAGGCAAAAAACAAGTCCTCAAACGTCGCTTCGACTTTTGGTCTCTATTCGGTTTCGCAGTCTGCGAATTGATTACATGGGAAACCGTACTGGCTCTTTTCAGCCAAGGGTTTGAGAATGGTGGACCTTCCGGTCTTTTGTACGGCTTCATTATTGCTTGGAGTTCGACATTGTCAGTGTATACTGTCATTTCGGAATTAGCGTCTATGGCGCCGATTGCTGCTGGGCAGTATTATTGGGTTTATATGCTTTCCTCGGAAAAGTATCGCGTCTTTGCTAGTTATATCATTGGGTGGTTGACTTCGCTTGCGTGGATTGCGACTGTTGCTACAGAGACGTTATTTGCTGGTACTATGCTTGAAGGGTTGGTGATCTTGGATTATTCGACGTACACGGCCACGAACTGGAAGGGCACTTTACTCACATGGGCTGTGGCTTTGGTATCGACCTTTATCAACGCGGTCATTCCAAGCATGCTTCCACGCATTGAGATTGGTACCGTGGTATTCCATGTTGCCGGATTCATTGTGATTATTGCTCTGCTTTGGCGCTACACTGGCTCGTACCATAACGCCGATTTTGTGTTTCGCACGAGCCTGAACGAGGGCAATTGGCCTACTCAGGGGTTGTCTTATTGTGTGGGCTTTTTGGGTAATGTCGCCACTTTCGTGGGCGCGGATGCAAGTGTTCATTTGGCTGAGGAAGTCTCACACGCGGCCACGACTATTCCTCGTGTTATCACGTCCAGCATGATTCTCAATGGCATCGTTGGGTTTGTTATGATGATTACTCTGTTGTTCTGTCTGGGTGATGTTGACTCGGTCTTGGAATCGCAGACTGGATTTCCTTTTATTCAGATCTTCTACAGTAAGTTTGTTTCCCCTGTAATGGTTGATGTGAACTAACCGAGTAATAGACAGCGTTCGATCAGTAGCCGGGGCTACTGTCATGGGTGCAATTGTCCTCATTCTGACCTGGGCATGTGCCACTGGTATCATTACCTCCGCATCACGTATGACCTGGGCTTTTGCGCGAGATCGTGGAACCCCGTTCTCTCGGATTATTAGCAAGGTTGACCCTCGCACACAAGTGCCCATTATTGCCATTGGAGTTGTGGTCGTCATTGCCTGTCTTCTCACACTCATCAACATCGGCTCTTCTACCGCATTCAACGACGTCATCTCGCTCACAATCACCGGATTCTATGGTAGCTACCTCGTACCTTCTGCTCTGCTACTCTATCATCGACTCAAACCTGGCAATATCTTACCATACGGATCCCTTGTAGACGGACAGGATCTTGGTACTAGTTATCCCGTCTCAGCTCCCGCGGCATCTCCCTCAGACAACGACACCCAACCAGACGAAACATACACTGAAAAAACAACTAAACCAACAGAATCCAAACCCGGCAACAACGCTCCCATCACAGTAACTTCAGCCGATGAACAAGGCAGAATCACATTCGCGCCTACGCAACTCGTCTGGGGGCCGTGGCATATCCCTGGCCTACTCGGAATCATTAATAACGCATACGCATGCGTCTACATGGTGTTTGTGATTTTCTGGTCTGTCTGGCCTCCTGCCACCCCCGTTGCGGCGGATACCATGAATTACTCTGTTGTTGTCACTGGTGGAGTCATTATTTTGAGTATTGTGTGGTATTGGATTAGAGGGCGGAAGGAGTACAAGGGGCCGTTGGTGGATAAGGAGGTCATTGAGCTTATTCAAAGGAATCAAATTGTTGGAGTATAAAAGTTTATGTGTGGATGTGAAGCATGGTCGTCAGAGCCGGCTGGGAAGATCTTTATATGCAACACGGCACGTTAGAGTTCCTTGTACTGATAGACCTGAGATACCATATGATAGATGAATTCTGAGATGAATCTTCGTATAGCGACAAAATATTTCTGCCTAAACCTCATTAGTTGTGGATAGTATTACACGGAAATCGGCGTGTCGCACATCCGCACGCCAAATACCGAATCTCGGCAATAAGAGCGATGACCGGTGGCCCCTATCATCCATCGAGATTCTTCATGAACAATTTTTCTTCAAGTATATTCATGTTTGAAGAAACATTGAAAGTGCCGTGACGAGAATGCCATCGTGGAAACGCAAAACGAAAGTCAACTCCAAAAAGGAGGGTGATGGCAAAGAAAATGCTTCAGTCAGGTCATCTTCCGGGTCATCGACCTCGTCTACAGCTCAAACTCTCCTTTCTGCTGTATACGACACATTAACCACTTCGACTCGTCCACCAAGCCCTATAGCCAGCGACACATCCTCCTCCGAGGATGCTGATACCGAATCAGAAAAATCAGCTGCTACACCACCCCCGGAAGACATACAACAACAAGCCCGGCGCAATGCCGAATTCGGCCCCTTGGGCCATCCATCGCATCTCTACAACTCCCAGCACACCAGCGGCGCAATCCTGGACCCCATAATAGATGAACCACCCTATTTCTACATGCTAACGACCTATATCAGTTTTCTAATCCTAATATTCGTGGGCCATGCACAAGACTACATCTCGAAATGGTTTACGCCCCACAAACACCGACATCTGATGGTTCAAGACGGATATGCTCCCATCTACAGTGATTTTGATAGCTTCTACGCTCGAAGGCTCAAGTTGCGTATCAATGACTGCTTTGAGCGTCCTACAACCGGTGTACCAGGAAGATATATCACGTTGTTGGATAGGGAGACGACGGATTACAATCGACATTTCAGGTTTACGGGCACAACGACAGAAACGCTTAACTTGAGCTCCTACAATTATTTGGGTTTTGCGCATAGTGAGGGTCCCTGTGCAGATTTTGCGGAAGATACGCTGAGAAAGTCTGGTATCACTATGACTGGCACAATCGGTGATGCTGCTACGTCTATTTTACACACCGAAGTAGAGCGCCAAATCGCCCAATTCGTGGGTAAAGAAGATGCACTCGTGTTTTCCATGGGGTTTGTGACTAATGCTACTATCTTCCCGGCTCTGGTGGATAAGGGATGTTTGATTCTATCAGACGAATTGAATCATGCTTCAATTCGGTTTGGAGCTAGGTTGTCCGGGGCAAGTATTCGCGTGTTTTCGCATAATAATATGGCGGACTTGGAATGCAAATTGAGAGATGCTATATCCCAGGGACAGCCCCGAACTCATCGACCTTGGAAGAAGATTCTGGTCACTGTTGAGGGACTTTATTCCATGGAAGGTACGATGGTGAATTTACCAGGGATTATGGAGTTGAAGGAACGATATCGATTTTATTTGTACATTGATGAGGCGCATTCGATTGGTGCCGTGGGCCCGAATGGTCGTGGTGTCTGCGATTATTTCGGGATTGATCCGTCCCGAATCGAAATACTAATGGGCACATTCACCAAATCCTTCGGCGCAAACGGCGGCTACGTCGCAGCAGTCAAATCGATTATCGAAAAACTGCGCGCTACATGTTCCGGCCAAATATTCGGCGAAGCTCCCACCCCTCCTGTCCTTGCTCAAATTCAGAGTGCACTACGTCAAATCGCTGGCGAAGAATTAGGTAAAGAGCGTCTACAACGTCTCGTGTTTAATTCTCGCTACCTTCGTCTGGGTCTCAAACGACTTGGCTTCATTGTATATGGCCAAGACGACTCCCCCATTATCCCGCTGATGCTTTACAACCCGGCGAAAATGCCCGCTTTTTCACACGAAATGCTCAAACGCAAAATCTCGGTTGTCGTCGTTACGTACCCCGCTACACCATTGGAGTTGTCCCGCGTGAGGTTTTGTGTTAGTGCGGCTCATACCAAGGATGATCTGGATCGGTTGTTGGTTGCCTGTGATGAAGTTGGGGATGCTTTACAGATCAAGTTTTCGTCCGGGATTGCAGGAGGATTGCATGAGAGGCCTAGCTTGGATGAGATTGGGAAGAAAGGGGTCAAGAGGGAGAAGCCGAGGTGGAAGGTTGAAGAGGTTATTGAGAGGGGAGTTAGGGATGTTAAGGGTCAGTTGTATTGACCATCCGGAATCTACTCGATGATGGATGGATATGTGTATAATAATTACGAGTAGGTCTATTGATCGGTATTGATAATGAGTAATGTAATATCTAATGTTTAAAATATTGGAAGTCGATTTCCGTACTGGTTGTCCTTAGGGTTAGTGCTTCTTAGCCCTAGTTCACCAATTCATGATGATCGCCCACATCAGGCTTGCGAAAGCTAGCGTGCTAGTTGAGACAGAACAACCATACTAACATATCATTTTATAACAGCCAAGTCTCTGATAATTTTCATGGTTGCTGGGCTTTCGTGGTTTGCTGGATACGAGTACTAGTCTAAGCGGTGCAGAATTGCCGCAACGGACGGTTGTATCAAATCGTTCATTCAGATATCGAGCTCACCTTTCATACGTATATACATATCTCTTACTACTTCTAAGAGATCGTCCAGTCTTTCTGTCTTATACCCAATCTTCTTGCTCAAGAAAGAGCGGCCTATACATCAGTCCTGTGCAACTGGCCACTGGTCGCCCAATCTATAACCCTCTTGAAACGGATCTGACGGATCGAGAACAACTTGCTTAAACGCCGTTATCCAAGCTCGACCCTTTACCGTAGGTAGAATGGCAGGGTATTTTCCAACAGCAGCGAGACCACGAATCCGGCTCACAAATTCCGTGCCAATAATGCTCCGATGCTTGAAAATTTCCCCTTCCTTCACCTCACCCCTGGCGTGCATGACAGCCAGTCGCGCACATGTCCCTGTACCACAAGGACTTCGATCGAATCGCCCAGGAGAGACGATCACAGCGTTACTAGCAGCCTTGCAACCGTCTTCCTCGATTGTGAGAGGCTCTGTGAATGCTAGCACACTGAACCCCGTGATACCTGGATTCTCCGGATGAACAGGGGTATATACAGCTCGAACAGATCTTTTGATACTCTCTCCGATATCAATCAACTTTTGTGCAAACTTATCATGTACCGCCAATCCAACCGAAGCCACGTCAACAAGGATATACATCATTCCGCCGTATGCAATATCGATGGATATCTCTCCAACCCCGGGAACAGTCACCTTCATGTCAAGCTCGAGAACAAATGAGGGAACATTGTTGAACTCCACACTTTTACATTTACCTCCTTCACATTCCGCAGTCACCGTAACCATTCCCGCGGCAGTATCGAGCGATACTTCTGTCACCGGCTCTTTCATGGGTATCATCCCCGTCTCCAGGAGGACTGTTGTCGTGCATATGGTATTCGATCCGGACATGGGAGCATATTCATTACTCTCCATGATCAGAAAACCAGCATCAGCGCGAGGATCACAGGGTGGGAGGACTAGATTGACGTTCATGGGGGCTCGGCCCCGGGGCTCATTGAGGAGGAATTGGCGCAAGTCATCCTTCTTAGTTTCGAAATGACGGAGCTTTTCGAACATGGTCTTGCCAGGTACATCCAAAACACCGCCTATAATTACATCGCCGACTTCTCCTTCGGCATGGCAGCCAACCACAGTGATTGAACGTTTGAAGTGCATATTCACTCGACTGGAACAGATGATACGAAAGTTGAATGAAACGCACCTCGGGAGCAGCTAAGATCCTAGCGATATGGAATATATATATGCACAATTAATTGGCCAAATATGGTAACATAGAAATATAACACACTTCAAAAAAGAAAAGAAAAGAAGCTGGTCACGCGGGCAATACGTGGTGCGGGGATTTGCTGTACGTATCGCGTGTTCTTCTAATATTGGAACTTTTTGTTTTAAGGAGGAGTCAGAATCCTTCGACTTTAAACTATTCAAGAAAGAGCTTTGACAACTGGCATTAAATTAAAACTCTTTAGGGCATTACTCACACGCTAGAGAAGATGTAGAAAGAATAGGAAGCAACTCGAAGCTCCTAACCCTAGATGGCCTCACGGATTTCATAGATCTGGTGCTTCGTCTTCACTAGTGGTCAACCCCTTAATCCTCGTTATATGATTTACGGCTGTTTCTCTCTCTGTGAAGGTAGTCTAGAATGGCTACCAGAAGTCAATTTTGGTATGGTGCTTTCTTTGCTTTAAAATGGCTTACACTAAGGCCAACATTAAACAAGTAGTTTTGGTGACGTTGCTCCTGACTCAAGTCTGTACATGTCACAAAGGTTACCCTGCCATGGCCAAGGGATTTGAATGCACTCTAAATGTTCCGATGCAACTGGATGTGAGAATGAGAATATCGTCCTGGCATTTGAGCACATGTACAAACACGAATACCACCGTATGGCGCCGTTAGTCGGTCTCTCAGCGCTCTTCAGGGCAGCTGTCTGCTTTGTCCGATCAGTAAAATCGATTCGAGGTGCTTTCTGTTCCTCTGCATTCGTCCGAATATCTCCACATGTCGCTGGACTTAGATAAACTTTACGGGGATGCTCTGTTCAGATGCGGGGCCCAGGATATACTCCCTTATCCCCCAACCATCTCGTTGTGTATTCCTTCCAGATTGTCAATTACTCTGCTTAACTGACGATGGAAAATATCACGATGCCTACTAGAACCTGTCCACACTGCGACAAAGTCTTCTCCAAAACAGAACATCTGAACCGTCATCTGCGGTCACGTAAGATCCCTTCACTGGGGCCCAAAGCCTGGGATGATTGAATTGACTATTTTTGATTAGATACTGGAGAACGACCTTTCCAATGTCCTGTTTGCAAGAAGTGGTTTTCTCGGCGGTAAGCAGCTCATTTCTCTCCAAAAAGACTACAACTTATACGTAACATCTATGTTTAGGGATGTTCTGCTGCGACATAGGCGAAATCATGGGCAGATATATCCAGATTCCCAGTTTCAACAGCGCGAAGTATTGAGATTCTCTGGTAATTCGAGCATCGAGCAAGCGTCACCAGTCTGCTGTTCGATTGAAAGAGACCAGTTGCTGTCTTCTCACTCCAATAAGATATCCCAGCTCCCAGTTCTCGGGGGTGGAAAATTAAATCAAGACAGAACTGAAGAGGTAGCATCAGCTCGTGCTTCTGAAGCTGCCGAAATAAGTTTGGAAAGACTTGGAGGTATTCCAACACTGTTAGACCCGCTCGCAATCTTGGACCCGATGGTCCTATGATCCAGCATCCTAGTAGAGAACGAGAAGCAATGGACCTAGGATATAGTTTTGGCGTCTACGATGCCAATACTGGTTTTCTATACGATGCAGATCTGGCCGGTCACGTTGTGCTTGATATCTCTGGACATTACTCACCAGAAAGAGGCTACCAGAGAAGTCACAGCATATCAACTAATGTTGGGCAAACCTCCTTCTCAAGGGACACTGGTAATTCGTGGAGAAAGACATTGGATTGGCTCCCTGATTACTCGGGTCTTGTCGAGCGTCGGAATGAGCAGATGTGTACAGGTACGGTTCGACCATCAGTTATAATCGGTCCTGATGAAAGCGCTACCGGGATGGTATCTACTAGTCCAAGAGTCAGAATTTTGTCAGATACGCTTTCCGAGGTTCAGAAGTACTGGTCAATCAAACCACGTCGCAAAACTTGCTTCATGCGTCATTTATGGCGGGACATGGCTCTTGACCCTGGCAATGATTGTTCAGACATGGTAACGACAACAGAGAATGAAATTGAAAACTACAATGACTGGAGGATTCCCGATAATTGCATGCTTCGAATGAAAGAAATGTGGCAAGACATCACAAGACATCGTCGGCATGCACTATCCTCTGCTAGTCAATGTCCAAACTTTGGAGATCGGTTTACTATTCTAGACTTCTCTCATACACCTCTGGAATACAGTAAACGGGTTGAATATCACAAAACCAGGAAGTTTCATGAGCTACTGAACTTAGGCCTTGACCTCTATCTACAAAAATTCTATCATTTGATGCCAATGATTCATCTATCTACTTTTAGATTAGCTGACGAGTCCACTCTGCTGGTATTTCTGATGTGTACACTTGGACTCACCTTTGCTAATACAGAGGAAGCCTCAACCTTCGTGCATGATACCTTTGAGGTAAGCTTGGTGGGACGTATAATTCTGATGTGAGTTATCACTGATATTCGGATATACATTTTCAGGGAATATTGGAGAGAGTTATCCTCGAGGTTAGCGATAATAGCTTCGATAATGCAACGTCAACTGGGAAAATGCAGTTATGGTTGATCTTGGTGCACGTTCTCGCGTTGATAATTGTTACAGGGGTAAGTGAACATCTTCTAACACCGTTTCCCACAGAGAGACTGGAGGCTTGCCAGCTAAATGTTTGTTCTTTAACTAACTAGGGAACAACATGCCAATCGCAATGTCGCAGTCTTTATATACATACGTTGATGGTATGTAATCTGCACCTGATAGAATGAGATTGTTGAATAAGGACCAATGGAAACATAGACAGCTCAGAAATACGGTCTCTTCTCTGTTGAATGTGCTGAAGACTATGATATGGCCCGCGTCTGGTCCATTTCTGACAAAAGCAAGCAATGGAGAACATGGGCCCGAGTAGAGTCAACAAAACGGTGCGCTGTTCTCTTCATGATTGCGTTCCTACTTATAATGAGTAACTAACTTGTTATTAGTATTGTCATTGGCCTCATTCTGGCTGATGCTTGGTTCTCGGAGTTTTTTTCTACTGACCCGATCATTCGAACCTATAACATACACTTGTTTGTTCTATCAGATCGCAAATCCTTCGAAGCGAGATCTGCAAAGGAGTGGGCGCAGCTAAGGAACGATTGTCGAGAGTCATCCTCCGGTCGTGCGGTTTTCTTGTCTTCAGACATACAGCTTCCGGTTCTGTGTAAAAAGGTTGACCCGTTCTTCATTCACGGTTTACTTAGTTTGACACTGTTACGGGTATACCACGACTATGAACGTTTACTCCTTGATGATATCCTCACACAACATTACTCCATCCCGTGGAAAGCAGTTGCGACTGATCAACAAGCGCAAAAGACCACGGGTCTAGTAACACAAATAATGCGGTTGTATGGTGACGTTCTTGAATATGGAGATCCAAATACCATGGTGTTTTGGCACTATATCTGCATTTTGGAGACATGTGATATCAGGCTACTGGAACTTGGTGCAGGGAGAAATGGAGATGCATATGCCAGACAGGCAGTACGAGAGCTTTCTCTTTGGTCTCGCACTCCAGCGGCGCGACGTGCTTGCTTGCATGCTGCTCAAATTTTCAGTATTATTTCTCAACAACGACGATTGGATAGTATCATGTTCCTGTCAGTGTATGCCCTATTCGTGGCTGCTTTAACTTTGGGATTCTTCTTTCTCAGCTTGCCACCCGATATTGATACTCTCGATGAGCCCCTTGACCTTCTTGATAACGTCGACTGGAAACGCATCGCCGAGGATGGCATTTCTGAGGCATGTTTGACGGAAAGAACCGACGACTCTGCCGTCAACTTTGTTCGATTTGGAAATATGATATTGATGGGGGGCGAACAGTATCATGGTGGCTTCCGCTATTCTCGACGTGCCCTACAGGACTTTGCTATTCTTTGGATGAAGCCACTAACTGCAATAATGGAAATTACTCACAGTTGTTGCGTGCCGTAATCGATGCCCTTCGAGATTTGGAGGACCATCGTGAAAACCTTGTTCAGATTTAGCCCTCTACGTGAGCGAATGCTATTGTTCACTTATGGCACAGGAGGTTACTGCCCCGGAGCCTGTTACGGTTCCATGTGGCTCTCTCCGCAGACATTGTTACCTGTGGGGTACCCTCAAGTACATTCAAATGGTATCTACAGATCTATTTGTCAATTGAGTCAAAATGATGCTCCAGTGTTCACGAAGAGTGCTTCCGCGGCAGCGTACATTTCCATATATGGACTGAGAGGATCCGACCGACACACACTACGCAAACTGGGCAGCTGGCGCGTTAGATTGAATTTTAGGAATCCTGTCGGCTGGGTCTACTGTCGTATTTTAAGCCACGGATCATCCGGAAGGGAGCTTGAGAGGGAGACTGTTGATAGCCCCATTCCCCGAGAAGAGCCACATTACAAGCCTTGCGGGGAAGAGAGCCACATGGAAAGTCTCCACCTCAATTTTAATGTATGCTAATAGTTCAGTAGCAATTTTCCTATACGGCGGGCAATAGTAGAGTATTCAGAAGGCATAGCGAATCTTTAAGTTCGGGAACATGGAAAATGTCAAGAGCCACAACGCCCCGCGATCAGTAGATGGTGAGAGAAGCCGTCTACTTAGGTAGCGAGTCAGATTATAAAAGACCGTTTCTCTTCTGCATATAGACAGAACCATGCTCCTTATAAACTTGTGTATAAGAGATACCTAGCACAGACACAGACCCAGGACAATACATCTTAATCACATCTAACCTCAATTCGCTACGATGGTTAAAGTCCATGCCCATTACGACGACTTCGCTGCGGTGTCACAGCCTTTCAGGGCAGATGCTGAGATTGAAGATGTGGAGATTGAAGGAGAAATTCCCAAGGAACTGGATGGGACCTTCTATCGGGTTTGTCAAATAAATCTATCGTATTTCTATATCAAAGGGAACTAACATGATTCGGAAAGGTTTTGATGGATCCTTATTATGATCGAGACTATTACCTTAGTGGTGAGAAGTCAACTCCGTTCGACGGCGACGGAAGCATCAGCGCATTTCGGGTAAAGGACGGCAAGGTGCCATTCCAGCAGCGATATGTGATGACAGAGCGTCTGGTCGCGGAAAGAAAGGCCGGTGCTTCTCTGTTTAGCATGCTCAGAAGCCCTTTCTCGCACCACCCCTGTGTCCGCGCAGTGGCTGATACACCAGCCAACACGAACGTAATTTTGCATGCCGGAAAACTTCTGGCACTATGTGAACATGGGCCAGGATATGAGTTGGATCCTCGTATGTTGTCTACATAATATGGACTACAACATGCATAACACTTCTCACAGACAGCCTCCGTACGATTGGCCACGACATTTTTCCTGGGCAGATCCATCCAAACCTACCTTTTACTGCCCATCCCCATGTATGTACTATCGGTGTGATTTTCGGGTCCTTTTAACCAAATGACTCGGTGCTGATCCCTTTGTAGGTTGATCCGGACACTGGTGATCTTATTGCCTTCGGCTATGGGATGAGAGGTTTAGGCACTCCGCAAGTAAGAGATGATGAGACACTACACTGTCAACTGGACGTTGGTTTCTGATTAACAATGGTTATAGATTACGGTTTATTCGATTGATCAGAATGGAAAATTGAACTTCCAACGCGACTTTAAATTTCACGAGGAGAATGGAGGCATTATTCATGATTGTGCTATTGTCAGAAGGGTCCTGTACAAACTGCTAGTTTTGAGATGCATACTGACTTGTTCACAGACAAAAAACTACATTATTCTCATGAGAATGCCTTATATTGTGGATCTAAAGGATATCGAGAAAAAAGGGAACCATCAATGGTGAGGACTCATTGTCCACTCTACATACGACATGAAGCTCTGACACTGGTCTGAAAGGTACTATAATGAAAACTGCCCGGCATGGTTTGGAGTAATCCCACGTAATGGACACGGAGAAGTACGCTGGTTCAAATATCGAAATTGCATGGCCATCCATACTGGTGCTTCTTGGGAGGAGAATGGAAAGATGTAAGTATCTCCCAAGTTTTGATTTACTCCAGACAGTCAAGGACGCAGCGCTAAAACATAGAAATTTAGTTATTTTGATGCATCTGTTGCATCTCACAATGCCTTTTCATTTCTCCGTCAGTTGTCATGTTGCCCCCGCTTATCGCATTTTCGATTGCTGAGAAATGTCGACAGCATGTAGGAATGGTCCCAATTCGCCCCCAGAGGAGGTCACAGTTACCTATGTGAAATGGTGTATTGACCCTAATAGTGCGTCAAATGTATTGTCTGATCCAGGTAAGCTTAAAGATAGGCCCTTTGGTTTGCAACATGATAATTCTGTTTCAGAGCAGCTTATGATAAATATAGAGGTTCTAGTAAACATTCCTTGTGAATTTCCCCGTGTCGATGAGAGATTCCTCACCAAAAAGTGTATGTTGCAACTTTCCTAAGATCGGTATCAAATGCTAATGAAAATCGATGACAGCTCGGATCACCTTCCTGGATTGTTTCAAACCCGACGCCGGGAAATCGGCTCAACTATATCAAGGCCTTAATGCATTAGCACGTGTTGACTATGAAACTCATGTGGTGGAGTTCTTCGTTCCCGGACCAGATTGTCTTGTCCAGGAACCAGCATTCAGCCCTCGCTCCCCAGACGCAGAAGAGGGAGACGGATTTCTTATTACCATGGTAGACAATATGGCGCTTCACCGGAATGAAGTGGTCAGTATACTGAAACAGGCACATGGGTTCTAGACCGGAAATGCTAACATTCAATTCTGATTATAGATTATTCAAGATACACGAGATTTCCAGAAAGTGGTGGCTAAGATCATCCTGCCGTTCCGTTTGTCTCTGCATAACATAAACTTCATTCCCATGGCATCCTAATGAAAAGATCATAGGTCTTCGTTCTGCTGTTCATGGCAACTGGGTTGATTCAGCCAGACTCGCAAAAGCAGCTACAAAATGTGTTGCTATCCAACCAGTCCCTGATATGTACCCTAATGTCCCAACGGTAGTTGACAGGAAGCTCACTGCTTAGACGTGCATGGCTATAACTCCGTCAAAGACGCTGGCTTCTATTCCTCGCAAGCGGTTCGACTAGGAAGCAAAAGTTGTGTTGACATGGAAATCTTAAAACATTCAGACCTCCTCTTTCATATTCAAATATCTTTGCGAGATCTTACCGAAAGTTCTTCATGTTAGTTTGTTACTGTGCTCTTTCGAAGAGCCGACATTGAAAGCTACTATGCCAACGCTCATTTTTTTGATCGAGTGGGGGAATATAATATCCAAGCTGTTAACATGTCTATCTCTCTATTGTGGTAACACCAGGGTACTTTGCTGTTTCTCCTTTCCTTTTCCATCAGTAGCAGGCCGAATCCAACATCATGCCACCGCATATGGCACAAAGAATACTAAACTGTATATGGGGGATAGGGTCTCATGATGGATTTAAAAGATTAGGTCACTGATATTAGCCTTAATCCACTCGTACTTGCCAAATCCACAGACTTCATATAGATGGAGCAGGGTTTAAGCAGGGGTTAAATGCTGGTAGGCCGATCTCGAACGGCGAAATAGACATTTGCTTTATTTATTCGGTATTTCAAAATCCTGGCTTGAAGGAAAAAGTATTGAGGATGGAAAGAATGAAAGACTTGAGAGGTTCAATGCGATACTTGGAGTAATCCGGGTAGTTATAACCCAGAGCCCAGATAACTTTGACAATCAGAACCATTGTCTTTCTTCCACTGAAGTAAAAACTGGGCGGCTTCAGTTGTGAGATCCCTGAGACTGGTATGAGACCCGGGAACGGGAACTAAGATGAGGTTTGGTGATTTATCGGTGCTGAGCCATTTTTCCAAAGCGTAGAATTCATCGATATGTTCTCCTGGGCCAAGGACGCCAACACCGTTGATTCCGAGCAACAGACGATCTAGAATCAAGGATAGCCCAGGACCCTCTTTGAGGTCTTGAAACACTAGTGTATCTGTAGTATTTGAATTGGCCCCATTGGTCTCCGCTGGTAATTGACGTATGAGCATCTTGTGGCTTTTCCAAGTTGAAAGAACGTCATCGGTGGTTGCTGCAGAACTTTCACAAAGGTCTGGATTTGTTCCTCAGTCGGGACTAAGTTCTGAATGTGGTGGAAGGGCGCATATCCAGACGATTCGATAGTCTTGGCGAGATGGCATTTCGATGATTCTTAAAGGGGTTGGGTCCTTTCGTCTCCTTTGTCTGCAGTTTCCGAAATCGACAGAGAAAGACTGAGAGGCTATGGACCGAAGTCCGTGAACCTGACAAGGCTGAGACGCATTTAGATACTGCGGGATATTGCATGAGCAAGCCGTATGATAGGCAGTCTATCTTCAGAAACAGACTAGCAGGTCAATCGGTTAATCAAAAAGAAGAGACAGTAAAACGACGCCGTTCTCCCACAGACCGTAGCTCGCCCTTCATTTCGAATGCCGATGGTTTGCCCTTTTCTTGTGGTCATGACAGGAGTATCTTACAAAAAAAAAAAAAAAAAAAAGAAACGGCCGCAAGGAATGCAATATTGAGCACTGTACTTGGGGATCCTGCTAGAAGAGGTACCGCTGACCGTGGCAATACTCCACGATGAGTGTTGGGTTCTGCGGGCACGTACTCGTCGATTAAAGTCCCCAGGTCCGAACTAGTACAATTGGGAATAGGCCAGTGACTTGTTACTGTTGTAGAGTAGATTGTACATCGGTCGATGAGCAGGATGAAAGCTGACCTTAGCGCGAAATATATCCACATACGCCATCGGTGATGAACGCCTCCGTTCCGTTGAGGCTCAGCGGTTCAGGAGAAGCCGATAATTCCCAGCTGTCACATCTAATAGTAGAGCCAGGTAGAAGCCGCTTCCTTTCACTGCACTTGGTTGGGGACCCAGAGAAAACCTGGTGTAGCCGTCTGTTGCCGACGGGGTAGAAGAAGAGGCAGAGCCGCGGTCACCCTACCCTTCAGTATGACAAGAGGCTGAAGTGTTTTTTATAACAGTAGCTACCCACGCAACTGCTTCTGGAAGCCGGCAATACATTGTAGATGAGCACCATCCCCGCGTTCTCGACTTGACTCTAGTGATGTGTTGTAAGCTTGAGGATCTGTGTACGACAGAAAGCTCAATGAGTTGAACGTTCCCGCGGGAGCTCGTGTTTAGAAGTAGGTAGTAGTTAACGGCATGGTATTCCCTTTTCACATGGAGTCTGATGAAAATGATGACCGCAGGGTTGTAAAGTGAGGCGATCAAGACCGAACACGTATTCTAATCGCATCGTTGCTGCCTCTGTCGCCGGTAAGGTCGCGAGTTCAGCAGATGATTATTCATGACTGAATGTTGTAGTTAGTTACTCGTCAGGAACGAGAACTAAATACTAAAACCAAAATTACAATACGCCAACGATACGCCATTTCGGCCACCAAAATGGATAATCTGTTAGCCGGCGTGTATTGTAATTACCATCCTAGAAGCTTCATTTTCCACATCCATCCCAAACATGCAGTAAGAATCAAACTAAATATGCGAATACGCAAAGCAATAATATCGATCTAAATAAGATCAATTCTCGTTAGCACACTCAATCTTGTTTACACTAGTATACTGTAGCAAAATAGAATTGGCGCGAGCAAAGCCATTCTTATTTTTATACGGACAAGTACCCGTTCCTTCTTTTCTGACGGGACTGAAGGAAAAATCCCATGAAAGGGATTGCCCTCAATGAAAACTTTTCTTACTTAATCACCGAGTCTGGCATCGCGTCCGCAATCAAGCCATTCTTTCAGCACTCAATTGATTTTATGAGATAGAGAATAAATCCTACACGATCGTTCATTACCCCCCAAATCAATGACGCGAACAGGTCAAGAACAACGCCAACGGCGACGATGGTAGGCACCTCGCAGTCATCAATCAAAGACTCGGTACCATCTCCTCAAGCACACGCGAAAACGCCTATTGCCTCGAAATTTCAACAGCCCCGCGACGAAGGTGATGGTGACGATGCTGACGACGGCACCAACACCAGCAACGATCGCGACCAGGACGAAGACGAAGACGAGCTTCAGATCACGCAGACTACAAGGCCAGAGAATATGAACAAAACACGAAAAATGTTAGCAACCAGCAAAAGCCTTCCCAATCTACTGGTCCATACGACGACATCTACTACTCCATCGACCAAACGACCGCGATCATCGCCCTCTACATCTCCCTCGCCGCCGCCTCATCCTCCCCCCTTGTCGCATGCTCCACGCCCCAGTCCGCGACGAACTCCCAAACGCGCCCCATTGACGAATCGTCACCCATCAACTTCGCAACAAACGACGCTGGACAAGTTTTTTGGGGGTAATACGATCAAGGATAATAATAATAATAATCCTATTCGTGCAGAGACCGAGACTCAAAGGCCGACGAAGAAGTCTCGTCTTGACCGCGATGCAGATGCCGCTATCGGAGCTCATATCTCCAACTCAGCTTCAGCAGCAACGACAACAAACCAACAATCTCTTGACAACCGCGAATCCCCCGATCCATTGAATGTGATCTCCCCTCCTCCAAATGGCGATCGAGTGCGTACGCGACAGAGATCGAATACCCTGACGACATCCGCAGCAACCGGGAACTCCACAATACCTGCAGAGGCCGCCGCTACAAGCCGGTCTTTGCGGAACAAGGCACATCCAGTTATTATCGCAGATGATTCTAATACAACGAAGACTAACAATGAAGAAGGGGTCAATGCTCAAAACAAGCCTACGAATAACGCAGCCCAAGCCCCAGAAAAGAGATCGTTGCGATCACATGATGGAGGCTCTCGGTCGAAGAGTGAACTCGCCTTATATTTTCCCAACTATGAGCAGATCATCAGTCTTGAGCCGGTGAAGAAGGAATTTCTGGCTCCGGAGACAACTGTGACTATACTCGACGATCTGACAGAGTCACCTCTTCCATTACCTGCTCTCGAGTCGGGATCCCCGTCCCGAACGAGAAAGCAACGCAAATCGATTGAGCAAATCTCACCGTTTGGGAATCCTCTTCTTGATTTAAATGGAGTTGAGAAGATTGAGCTCCCCAAGGTAGAGGAAAATGGTGGTGTGACTACCGACCCCTTAAATGATGATGTCTACTTCAAAGCTCACCGTCGACACGAAAGGCAAGAAAAACAACTACGAAATATCGAGAAAGAGCGAGCTCAACACGAAAAGATACAGCTCGATCGTCTGCTGGATGAACTCCAAGGGCATGATTGGCTTCGGGTAATGGGTATCAGCGGGATTACGGACACAGAAAAGAAGCTGTACGAACCAAAGCGAGATTACTTTATGAAAGAGGTCTCTGCGTTGATAGATAAGTTTCGTATCTGGAAAGAAGAGGAAAAACGACGGAAGCATGAACGCGAGCAGATGCTTCTCGAAGCCGCCAACGCTGCTGCCCAGAAAGAAGAGCGAGGCGCAGATGAGGAGGTCTCTGAAAGAGAAGAAGTGGAAGGAAAGCCATCTTCTTCAGATATTCAAAGCTATGACTCGAGTGAACTAGACGCCGCTGCTGCTCAACAACTTCTACAAGAAGCGCGCTCCGCGACTGCAACAGGTGCAATAACATCCTCTCCATCTACTACGCCATCCCATCCTCAACCCCGCCGAAGACTTGTAGACGAATTAACAAGCACACCACCAAAATCCCGATCCCATCACAACCACCACAGACCTACCAACTCCAAACACACCACCCAATCTACAACAACCACGCACAACCCCCCACTCCTCCCTCAAACCCATCAGCCCGAAATCGCCGAATACGACGAAAGCAAAGCCTTCACCTCCTTCTACCCAAAACGCCATCTCCGCGACGCTGCATTCTCAAGTAGTCGTCGAGGCGGCCGCAACAGATCTGCTTTCGGCCAACCCCTCCCCGAAATACTGGAAGAACGAGAATTTGAGCTTCCGCCTGATATTTTGACCCCAGAGATTGTGTCTTCTCTGGAACGGAAGAGGAGACGGTTGAAGAGAGAGAGTCGGGGTGATTAAATCCTAACCCTTATCAATCTATTGGGTTATTCTATTACTGCTCTATTTGTACACTGATTTTTCGGTTGGGCTTGGAAGGTATATATCTGTTATGTGTACTTTTTTTCGTATTGTGTATTATTTAGCGAGCATTTGGTCTTTTTCTTAACACAATGGATACGTATGCATACCTTGTGGATTCTTAAGACATGGTCGATAACAGTGCTTTTTCAACTCGTATATGAGTACATTCCTAAGCCACAACATCCCATTTACAACGAGCTGGGAAAGGAGATTGCGAAAGACATGATTGAACTTGATTGTTCCTTTCAAATTTCTACATAGGAAAGAATATTAGCACAGCGGAGCCTTGCAAGATTAATTTCTATACAAGGACAGTAAGACAAAGTAAATTCGGCTCAAAGATACCTAGGTAACTTGGATCCTGAACAAAACGAAGTAATCATACGGGCATCGTTAAGCATAACTATTAATGTCACATTGAATCCAGACCTTGCATAAGTATACTCCCCTGGTTCAGCAAGAAGTCAAGTCAAAGAGGTTCGTCACGCAGCTGTTTTTTCCATAAACAAGCATCAACTTCTTGAAAATCATCAACTAGAGGTGTCTTCTGCACAGAATACTCCGTCTGATGAAGTGGAATCTTCCACCGGCTTGCAAGGCTTGAGAGATGGAGGACTGCCAGCTTCGCTGGTGCTCCATGGCTCTCAGAAATAAGAGTATTGTCTACAATGACTCCTTGTTGCCAGGTTGATATGGTCTCTGTAAGGTCTCTGTTCACACAAGTGCGTTTGGGGTCTGGCCGACTCATTTCTGAGTTGTCGTCTTGAGAAGTCTTGTCGAATATTTTCCTGATTTGGTGAAAGGATAGTTTCGCCAAAAGCTTTCTTAGCATTCTCACTTACTATATCAACACTGGGCTTTCGAGAGTAAAGATATTGTAACTGGCGAAGATTATCAACCACGTCTGGTGGGATCTTATCAAATCGAAGACTCACCAGAACTAGAAAGACATGCCTGATCATAGCCATAGGATCTCCGTGCCAAGGCTTAGGATCAGTTGAAAATGGCAAGTAAGGAGAACAAGTATATTTCCCTCTGAATTTCTCCATCCAGTCACTGTTGTCGCAGGGGACTCTCAGGACTATCAGACGATACAGGCCATCATCACTTGGCGAAATCAGACCTTGACGAACCTGGTGGTCGCGGTACATTTCTTTCGTCGGACAGGTTCCCATGGGCAGACATCCAGTTTCTCGTAATCGTTGGCATCTTCTCTCAAAGTCCTCTTTCTCGAACGCAATGAAATACTCATGGTCTGTAAAAACGATGAGGATCCAAGGATTAAGTCCATTCTTAAAATACCCTTTGCAGTTCGGACATAGAGTGATGACATTGAGGACAGAGGAATGACAGAAGTTGATCATGCGCCGTCCCGTTAACAAGTCTATCTGAGATTGAGAAGGCGAAGACAACATCGTCTCTGCAACCGCAGTGAAATCTAGGAGGTGGGGGTATCTGGACATACAGTACGATTTCTATTTGACCCATTTGGTTTGTCGATGATGGGAACCAAGTCGCTTACGTTTCCGTCAACCCAGAAATACTGGTCCGCATGTCTCAAGTATATCTTACGGGCGCTGACTGTATGCGAGTAGGCTCTTGAGGGTGAGTAGTACAACATTGTGTACTGGAAATATTGAATGATTGCGGTGCTGAGAAGTGAGGTTTTGAAAATCTTCTCGAAGTGGAGGGGGTCAGGTTCAAGACGGTGCTGCCTTCATCCTCGTCATATCACGTGTATCACCTCGAATTTGAGGGTAATTGAAGCAAATGAGCTGAAAAATTAAGTGAGTCTGATTGCTATGATATGATGGCCAGCAATCTATGCTTCAAATTTTGCTTCATAATCCCTTATATTCGCCCATAAGAACAATCCTTTCCACTCCCTGATAATCACCCTCAACAGTCCCAGCTTTTGTCCTCATCAACCCAGCCATAAGTGAAACTACCACCAAAATAAATGAACCATACGTCGTTATTATCATCAACTAAAAATGTTATCAGGCTTTACATCACTGCAGAAAATATCCTCGGCGTGCAATTCGTCGATTGGCTGGCGATTTTGCGAAATCCATTTATCTCGATGCTCTTTTGTTATCTCGTCAACATCGACGAAAGCTAGACTTTCACAATGTGCGATGTAACGCGAATTCCACTTGGGTCATGTTGATTATAGTTTTCTATGTTTGCCATTTTTGGGAGGGGATTATTTTCTCGTGACGGCGTTATTGTTCTTTACATTTCAATTTTATTGCATTTCACTCTAATTGTTTTCTGCTATAATTTTCAGACCGTCTCGGCAGGATTATCCGTGTCCAAATCGCGATGAGGTGTTTATTCTAGTTCTTGATGTTTCTCTTTCTGTCTCGTGAAGTAAAACCGATGAGTAGTGTTGGTTTAGCTACGTCCTGATAACACGAAGCACAGGATTACGCAGTAAGGCTATTCCAAAGAGCCCATGAGCCTGATAATATTGATGTTATTCGAATATTATGACTGCTCCCCAAAAAGGGAGGAGAAGGATAATTACATGCAGGTAAAGGGGATATCCCCAGGGAACCGGAATAGCTAATATTCCGGTGTTGATACTCAACAGCTGGGGATTCCCGTACACACAAGTAGATATAGATCAAGGACAAGGTTCTGAATGTATAATCATAATGTAAAGTGAATAAAATTTATTGCCTCATCTCCATTCTGAATCTGTAGCCGTATGATAGATTCAGACACCATGGACTTATCTCTAACCTTTCTCCTTAACCCAGTCTGGAGTGAGAAACTGACCCAATCTTGGCATCATCATATTCAGACTCCAGAACAATAGGGCCCTTCTCAATGCTATCTGTCGGACTTGGCGGCTCCGAAACAGAACCTCCATTATACACCGTCATGCCAACGTCTTGCATCTCCGTCTCCGGCGATGCTTCAGGACCAATAAACAAAAACAAAAGCATATAAGCCCAAGACGCAGCCGTAACAATAGCAATTGCACGGCCATAGTCATATCTCTTCGTACCATCTGCGGCCGGCTGTAGAGGATATTTCTCGCCATAGAAGGATTCGGCAGTGGTAATGGGCGACGAAGCCAGATTACCCAGTTGATATGTAAGTCCCACCATAAGAGTACGCAAAGCGTAAGGTGCCAATGTAACGAGATGGATTGGAATAGGACCCCAAACACCGACGGTGGCGAAATGTTGGAAGAATACACAAGCGCCGATTTTCATGCCTCGTGTCAGGATATAAGCCGGAAGGAGGGCGGCTCCCAGAATGCATCCACAGATCATAGTCAATCGACGACCTAGGAAGCCGCTGATATAACCCAGAATAATGCCGCCGGTACCAGCTCCTAAATTTCCTAGTATGGATATTATAGCTGTATGGGCGGGATCCAGTCGGACCTGATTCTTTAAGAACGTTGGGTACAGATCCGCAGCGCCGTGGACACATGCATTGAACCCCGTCATGAGCAGGAACATATAAAGAAGCAGCAACCAATTCTCCTTTATAGATTTTTTAGAGTCATGAAGGAAAGTCTTGAATTCACTGGCATGTTTAGTTCTGCCAGCTTCCAGGTCCAAGGTAGCATTTGCCTTCTTCTGTCGTGTTCTAGCCTCTCGTTCAGTTTTGATCATTAGGAAATGGTTTGTTTCAGGTAGCCACCAGCGAAAAATAATTATTATTATGGGAGGTCCGGCGCCAAACCAATACAGACTTCGCCAGCCGTGTTTTGTTGTTGGCACGAGAGCACGGTACATTGTTGAAGCAAATAGGTTGCCCATTGAGGTTCCGCCTTCGAACACACCCGACAGTAGACCTCTAGCATCTGGTGGAAGATCTTCGAGCGCAATTGCTGCGGAGGGGCCAATTAAACCTGCATTTTGTTATTCGTTGTTCTTCTGACCAAAGCAGCACCTCAAGAAGTGATACTCACCTCCCATTGCGATACCATACAACGACCTCACGCCAATGAATTGAGGTAAATTATTGCAAAATCCTGAGACTAGCTCCAATATCATGAGAAGGACAAGATTGATAATCATTGGCCATTTCCTTCCATATCTATCACAACATACTCCAAAAATCAACGCTCCAAGTGGTCTAGTCATCAACGTAGCAGTTATAGCCTTTAGTGAAATGTTAAATCAGCTTCAGTTTGAATATACGCATATTAGAAAATAGAAAATGCTAACCCATGAAACAGCCGAAGCTGGTTTATTGAAGTGTTTCCCCAACTCCGTCACCGTCAACGGAACAGTCGTATAATCAAAAGCATCCCAAGCGCGTCCAAGCACGCCACAGAGAAACATCAGCCATTGGGCCCGGGTCACCCGCTTGAATATTTTTATGGGACTTGTTCGAGCTGAGAAGTTGCTCCGTTGTGGTACCAGGGTAGTGAGTCGTGTGGAAAGATAACTAAGGATTTGAGTACGAGAGTACAGCCATGGTTTTCGCTCAGAGTTTGGTTCGAGAGTAGACATTTTGTCTGATCATTATGTGAAATGGCCAGGGAGTACTATTCTCCTAGATTAGAACTTAAATATCACGACCTAATGCCAAGGACTAGTCTTTATACAAAAGTGAATCAGCGCATAATTGGCATTGAGAAACTTATACAGGAAATATCCGACTGAGTGTAAGTTCAGTGCAATGCAACCATAATCTAGACCTTATTACAATGCTTCCCATAAAAGGTTCATTCCTCGACCAGGAAAGAATGCTGGCACACATGGAAAACACCTCATATGATCTACACTTCAGCTCTATATCCTGCATCTGCCAACACAGATCTCCACTGGCGCTGAATGGCAAAGCACATTGAATTGGCTCTGGTACATCAACTGCACATGAATAAAGCGAATGCTGGTTTGAGCACCTCCAGAAGAAGTAATGAACGGAATGAGACTGACAACTATCAAGTCCTAGGCAGATACCTCCCATGAACCAGTTGGGTAGGAATGCATGACAAAAGGAGGCACAATACTCTCTGCAACTGCAATATAGTGTAAGAATTTGTAGATAGAGAAGTTGGACATTGTATTACCCACGATCCGTGGTCAAGGAGTCGAGATAGCAAACATGTTACCTATTTCGGCAAAAGTATAGTTAGGGTTCGGGACGCTACCTTAGGTAACGTTGAGGCTAATTTTGACCGGCTTGTTTGAGGTATGATGATTTAATTGGTTACAAATGGGCTTGATAAGCTGGAAATAGTCCTACTCGAATTGAAATCTAGATACGTACGTACCGGATTGTGCAACTTGGCATGCGGCCATGAGGAGATGCAATCGAGACATGCTACACAAGTCATGGGAAGGGGCATGAGCAGGTTGATTGAACATAAATCGGGAAGTATTCGAAGCTGCAGAGTCAGGAGAAGGACCATGTTCTTTTGGATGCAATCTTTTTGGTCAGAATTAAAATGAAAGCCTCGGACTCTTTACCTCTCCAATGACTACATATACAGCACGATGACAAACCCATCCGCATGGAGCATGATACCCTTCCGGCCTAGGCTTCAAGAAGAGAAGAGTAATATCTCTTTTGAGTTTACATAAAATAAAGGGCCAGTCCTGGCTATATCTCGATCGATGACTTTGGCCTCATTCCTGTCATTGGTTCACTTTGAATCAAGTTCAATCCAGATGAAAGAAGGAATGTAGCTTCCAAATTTGAGCAACAATAGTGGAGCACCATTTCTAATGATTAGTCAAACCACGTTTTCCTCTGAAGACTCCATTATCGGGGACAAGATGCCGAAGAATCTTGATTCTTCTACAGACAAGTGTCCCTGTCTAACTTATTGTTATGGATCGAAATCCCTCGGTTAACCATAACAAGGGATTAAACCAGGAATATCGCATTATGTAATTCGGTTTCTGGTGGCGACGATGAGCTTGTAGTACATTGAGGTGGATTGGAATCGTGAGCAGTCTATAGGAGCTAACTTTCAGTTCCATCATACCCACATTAATGTAACATCCTTTTGTGGTCATTTACACAACACCTAACGACTGGTGAGACTGGTCAATATCCTCAATACTTGGTCCAATTAAAATGGACATGTCAGATTAGACTCATCCATCCGTACAATGTCGGATCATCCCTACCGAGGACACTAGCAAACGTTGACTCCGATAGACGTTGATACTAGTACATTTAGTCAAACTCAATTATTGTTCTCTACTTCTCTATTGACTTCTAGTTTAGAGAATTATCAAAAAAAAAAAAAAGCTTTCAAGTATGGTGTTATCAACCCCTTCATTCCGCTCCCTTCTTACTCCCACCAAATGACCGACTTGCCCCTCCTTACTTTGTTTGACCGAGTATAGGTAATACTACAACAAGAGTTACGCTCATTCCAAAGCATGATAGCTTCATTCATGGTCTCATTCATGGTTTCATGGGATTTATTAAATTCACACGGCTTTATCACTGACCAAGTCGCGACTATTCGGATTCTAGACGTTACACTACCCTGGATAACTACATTACTAGAATTGCTGTTCTGATTGAATCCAAGTTAAGTAACTTTTATTTTTGTTCCTCGGTTCCTGAATTTTCATTTTGCTTTTTTTGTAGGTATGCACTCAAATCGAATGAAGTATACCAAGGGGAATCAAGTACCTACACTTAGCCCTAACCCTGCTTCCTGCTGTGTACATAACCAGAGCTCACTGAATGCAGCGCTTCCCAGATCGAGGAAAAAACAGCGAGCTTGTCTTATCCACGCCCTGTCATACGTATAATATGCATCATACGACAAATCTCAAGTCTCACGAGAAATCTGCGACAGTACCCAAGTAAGCAGCTTTCGGGGATGCACCATCCTTTAATCATCGGCCCACCTTTCGTTGCAAATATTAATTTTGGAATCCTTTAAGAAGATAAGAAGCCCTCGACATTACATACAGTCACAGGTGTTTTTCTTTCTAATCGAGTCCGTGGGCTGTGGCGTCCAGGTCCTCAGTCGACTTCGATTTAGACCTTGACCTTCCATTTCCAATTATAACTCAAACAAGTCCATCTGGTCAAAGCTAAAAGACCTGTTGTCCATAATAATAATGCCCCTGACCAAATGATCATTGCTTTTGGGCCGCCTTTTTGCATCAGTTCACCCGTAACGGGGATACTGACCAGTAGGCTGTTATAAAGTCAGTCATCTGAAATTGTTACTATCGAATATCACAAGAAATATGATAGGGTAACTCACGCAAAGCTAACCACAGAGTAACACGTCCCAAACCTCAATCCAATCTCCTTGGCATCGGAAATCTGTCGAATACACACTGGAGCAAGACTGATAAATGATCCTGAAGTCAAGCCGTACATACAGCTGAATATGTAGAGAATGGGAAGTGATGTTTGGAATGGATAGAGCAATGCAAAGAGCCAGATCACTGTCAACACAACGACGATATTAAGTGTGTTCAGGCGTCCGTAACCGTCTGCTATACGTCCGGCGACTAGACGGCCTATCATTCCGCAACTAGTTTATGTTAATTTTGCATGGACCATGAAGGCGCTAAAGGGAAACTTGCATGTTCATGATGACGATGAGGTAAATACTGGTATTGGTCGAGAAGCCTAAGGTTGTGATGAACGTCGGATACATTCCAAGCAATGAAAAGTATTGTAGCTCCAGACCTGTGAGTCGCTTATCAGTCGCTTGTCCCACAGGCTTGTCAAGAGAGTTGCTCGAATGAGACGTACAAAAAGTACTAAAAGTCATCCAACTAAATTTCAGATCCTTGAAACATCTCAAATCAATGACCACTTTGGACGTTTTCCTCCTCGGCAGTCTCGCACGAACCATAAACGAACCAAGAAGACACAAGAACCCAACCACAAACGCGAGTGTCCTCATAGTCCACTTGAACCCAATATTGGAGAACCCTGCTCGCAACACAAACGGGAACACAGCGCCACCTAATCCACCACCAGCCAAAGCTGTGCCTATGGCCATACCAGCACGCATCTCGAACCAATGCGGCACACAAGCCATGCCCACTGTGCTTACCAGGGCAGCACCGATACCGCCGAGAATACCAAAGGTCAAAAGGAATTGCCAATACCGTTTGCACTCAGCAAACAAAAATAGACTCAACATGAAAATCGCCGAGCCCACATAGACAAGCATCTTTGGACCGTGCGAATCAAATAATGGACCAATATAAACGCCTAGAAGCAGTGTAACGAAGACAAAGATGCTTGGTATCCAACCAACATCGGTGCTGCTGTACGAGGAGAGTTGATTGGCTTCAAGGTAAGACTGAAAGACGCCGACGGAGTTCAACATGCCATACGAAGCCATTAGAAGGAAAAACGATCCTAATACGACGAGCCATGATCGGGTTCCACCGTCTGGGAAGCTGTCTACTACTACTGTTTCTGGCGAAACAGGCGGGTGATCGGATGGAGGAAATGCATCACCGTGAGCGTCTTCTTGTGGTGGGATCAGATGTTTAGTTGTTCTGTCTGTGGCAGTTGCTATATTGCCGAAGGGTAGAAAGTTTGATATCTCGATTGACAATGTGTTGTAGTCATCTGATCTGGGCGTACTAAAAAGTCTGCCGTTATCTTGAGTAGGATGAATGCTAGAAGATGAACTTTCCAATGCCATTCTTTTTTTATATCAATTGGCACTTGAACTGGACAACATAGTGGTTAATACGAATAAAAGTGAAGTCAAAGGATTGACTGACTCATTCAGGCGGGGCAGATAAGCGTTAGGGCTATCGTCCTAATGACCCAATTATTATACAATAGAAATACAAGGCGATACCAAAAGTTACCACTACTACAGCGTCAATTCACCACCAGTTTGATTAGGGTGGTAACGGCCATTACGACAATTACAATCACGTAAAAAACCTTTCTGTTCTCGGGATTTGATTAGGGCTAACTTACTATTTATGCCGTGGTTGAGAGTGTATTTGTAGAAACAGCTCCCTATTTGCAGTTGCATTTTGGTAGTCATTTGAGAAGATCATTAAGATAAACACAGCCTGCTGCTGCCATATTATTGCCCAAACTCACCTCCTCTTCGTCACTCCTCGATGAGCCTTGTCAGGCTGGCGAGACAGAGCCCGCTTGCTACTAACAGTGGCTGCATCAGAAAGTCATCGTACGTAAGCTCTTCAGCAGTCGGTCGCTCTTCAGGCAACCAACGCAATATTCTCCGTAAGAAATTGAGAAATGGCTCTTTATCTTCACCATCATATTGCCCAAATCTCATTTCTAGTGATTGCTCTGGTATGGTTATATTGCCTTTCCAGTTGCCTGTAGAAGAATGTCAGCCATGAGTTAGTAGAGCCATGAGAGCGGTGTACCTTGCTTATCCCAGTATTTGAAACAATTGTCATTTCGTATGAGAAATTCCGGAGGAGGGGTTCCCAAAAGCGAGAAAATTTCCGTTAAGTGCTGTTCATCATCTAGAATGCGATCTTCCTCGCAAAAAAAGATGAATACCCTCCGCCAAATCCCAAACCTGGGTCAAGGATCAGCTACGATGAAGGAATACTTTGCAGAAATATGTGGCAAACTAAAGAGAAAATGAATAGCCAACCTACCATGATACCACCTGACCAGATATCAACCTCGCAATCCCAATCCATTCCTAATATAACTTCAGGTGCTCAGTAAATACCTGGCATAATATCACCGTTTTGGTTTTGGATTCCAAGTCGAGCTTCACCAAGGTCGAAAAGTACACATAAAGCTTCATTAACAAGCATTGGTCGGGAATAGTAAATGTTACAATCCGGCAAAACTTTCCTGGCAATTGGATGCTTCATCTCATCTTCCTATCTGGCAAAGAATAGAAGTATCCTCAATTCCTTGCAATATATTATTTGACGAGACATCTATCGTCAGGGTCAGCGCACCATCTATCCTTCAGAAACATGACTTAACAGTATGAACAACGTTGTTTTGATGCGTGAATGCCACTGATATCAAAACGAGTTGAATAGTTCTCTGGAAGAGTCCTTTTGGGAACTTATTATCAGGGAACCAATTTCGAAATTCCGCCAAATTCATTCCAAGAGGTTGATAAAGCAAGCATGTGTGTTTCCCCTGGGGTCCCACAACCTCAAAGGAATCCATGACGAGGCGAACTAGCTGCTTTCCAAAATGATGGTTTGAATTCTTCAAATGCTCGGAAATAGCCATTTCATGATCAGGCTGATGTTCCTGACACAAATCTTGAGCGTGTCAAAATAATGCCCTCTGATTCATTAGACGCCTGTACCTAGATATTGCTTGGATGCTTACTGGAGTTCTCGGCAAAGCCAGGTGGTTGAAGATGTACCATATCAAAGCTTGGAAACAACTTGATATCGAGATGCAAAAACTTCACCGATCTAAGTGGGGACTAATTTTCCGCAACATAGAATGGGAGTGTCTCTTCCTCGATCTTCTCTGAGTGGTTTAATTTGACAAACCCTGGCGTAGGGAATTCACGCGGCACAAGGTTAGGTTGAGAAGCCATATCACTCACGAACGTCCGGCGCGAAGGAGGAACAATGACGGGCTTAGGTATATGTCTAAAGAAGAGAAGCCTTCCTAAATTATGACGAATCACTGAGATGTTGAATCATCAAAATTGATTGTTGTTTCTTTACGAATCCAAGGGTAGCTCTCTGTTACGCGCTAGTCTTACCGCAACGAGCCTCAATATTTGTTTTCTCCACGCAACAATATTCAACATCAGACGTTCTTTCTAAAACATCGTCACCACCGCGTCATTTGCAAAAAGATTGACGATCGGGGTGAAAATGCCAAAAAAGATCGTCCACAGGGGATGATTCCACTGCGCATCCGCAAACCAAGAAGCAAACAAGCAGCCAATGTCACCGGCAACGATGCACCGCAAACGACGGAGGCTCCCTCAAACAAACGAGGCTGCCACGAAAGGAGTCTTCAGCAGCAAAGAATGATCAATTGACTTCGTCAAAGAAAAGAGGTCGTCTGGCCAAAGATTCTTCAGCTGTGGAGAGTGCTCCAGCGTCTTCGTCTAAAAAGAGAGGCCATCCAGCAAAGGATGCGTCGGTCTTGCCTAAGCAAGGCCCTAGCAAAGATACAACTCAAAACCTAGACACTCCTTCGAGAAAAAGAGGTCGCCGTTTCAGGGGGTTCTTCAATTTTGGAGAGCGCTAAACCATCTTCGGTCCAAAAACGTGGTCGTCCTGCAAAGGATGCCTCGGTCTTGCCTAAACAAAGCCCTAGCAAAGCTGCAACCAAGAATTTGGAGACTCCGTCGAAGAAGAGAGGTCGTCCGTCAAAGGGCCCCTCGGTTGTGGAGAGCTCGAAACCTTCTTCCGCCCAGAAATGAGGTCGTCTTGCAAAAAGGTGCATCAATTGCGGCAGCAAGCAAAACCTCGTCACCTACAAAGAGAGGAAAGCCTAGTAAAGCAGCTACAGCCAGCTCTATCAAAGCGCCGACAAAGGCCAAGGCAAAGTCAGTACCCACTGCAAATACTGAAGCTTAACCTGCCAAAAGAGGCCGTCCATCAAAGTCAAAGGCTGTTGTTGTCGCTTCAACCGCAGAAAGCGGCAGTCGCAGTGCCAAATCATCTCCTCAAAAGACATCTTCATCAACCAAGAAGGCCGCAATACCCAAGAAAGCAGCAGGAGCCTTTCCCTCGAGAATTGGAGACATTATCGAACTCAGCAGCCCAGAAATCGAAGAGCTGCGACCAGATCTAGCCAAGGATATGCGACTCGGCTTCTTGGAGATCCCGCATCCAAGACGATTTGGGGAAAATTTGATGTTGGTATCTACGAGGGCTATCTCCGCCGTAAAGAATTACAGATGAAGCAAAAGATGGAATTCGAACATCGTAGCCGCGAGAGTGGCACCAGTGATGGAGACTGTGGTGTATGTGAAAATTGAGTTTCAGGGCCAGAAATTCACAGCTACGTTCGAGTTTGTTGGAGGTGTTTCAGTAAAGGGGGTCATGCATACGACGTCTGCTCCGAGTATGCATAATTCTTCGCATTATTCAAACGGTTGGAAGAACTATGCATTTGACATATTGCGGGGGAGGGGGGGGAGGGAAAGATCCTGCTTTAGGATCGTGTGTTCTATATTATGTTACTTTTGTATCTTTTGGAGTGACGGATTTCCTTTGTGAGTAGTGCCTGATTGGTGACTCAGGCTCTCAGGCATCCATCAAGTAGTAATTATGCCGCTAGTCTTATTGAGCTGTCAATCTTTCTTACATCACAAAACTAACGCTGCTGTGTTATCGGACTCAACTATTCTCTCGCCTGGAGTATAATACATCAGAACATTAATCGAATCCACCTCATTGATACACGTGTCTGACCTCCCAAAATGAAAACTACAGAAATCACAGGCGATCTCTTTGATGCCCCTGATGGCGCTGTCCTCATTCGTACGATACTGGCCCTCTCATCACTGAATCTCCATTTACTGACTGATCTACAGATGCGTGTAACTGCCTAGGCTCCTGGGGCGGCGGAATAGCAAGAGTTTTCAAACACAAGGTCTCACCATTCCCTCCCCTCCATCAACTACGTCCTTACTCGAGCAACTTACGTAGTTGACTATAGTACCCCTCCGCCTACAAATTCTACTACAACCACTGCAGAGCCCTCCTCAGAGAGAAACGTCCACACACCCTGCTCAACTCTCAAACCAATGACCCAAAAATCGTCAATCTCCCTCTGGGCACAGCACTAATCATCCCACCCCAAGCTCAGGATTATTCTATTCGACAAAATAAGAAACACTGGATCGTTTGCCTGTTCACATCGCGCGCCTACGGTCGTGGGGTTAGTAAACCGGACGTCATTCTAGAGAATTCCGTGCATGCGATTCGAGATATGCGCAGACAGCTTGAGGAGTTGTTTGAGCATGAAGATGGGATGGAGCAGTGGGACGGCAAGGTTTACTCGTGTCGATTTAATTCGGGACTGTTCGGTGTGGAGTGGAAGGCTTCGAGGAAGATTCTCGAGACAGAGTTGGATGGGATGGTAGGTGTTGAGGAGGTGGTTGTTGTGCGGCCGAAGGAAGAGATAGAATGAGCTGAGCTGATAAGGTCACGTGGATTGTTTGTCAGATTGATGACATAATAATCATCTTATCTTATCGATAAGGTGGTATGACTGTATCCCACGCAGCAGGTACCAATACAGTACTCCGAATGAAGTATTTTCTTGAACTGATCGTCTCTTATTTCATTTTCCGGTAAACGAACTCAGTTCTGCTTTCGGCTGAAAAGTCACTAATGACTCGCTTCGCACAATATGCATTCCTACCCGGTCCCAAGTCTCGTGCTAGAGCAAGTCCTGTGATCCCGCACCGTGGGGGTTTCGTGACTAACCAGTCTCACTGATTTGCGGGGTTCATTGGGATATATGCATCTAGGGAGTATGTGGTGGCCAGCATGCATAGATGCCATTGACCTTGTATATAACTACGTGGAGGGTGCAGATGGTGTATATCTGGAGTGATGGGCAAGAAATTGGGAGTAAATCAGGCTAATAAGTGTCCATTCATGTGCAAGACTCTAAATGTATGTATTTTCCGTCGGACATCTCTGCGTGGGGGACTGTACACATGTACATCCACCGGGTCTTCCTGATAGAGAGACAAGTCAAAGTGGAGAAGAATCATTAGTCGTATTTCTTCTCCTCCTCTACCTCGTCCTTCCTTCAACCGTCTTCTTCATTCTTTCCTGTACTTGCAGTCATAATATACATATAAAATGTCTCCTCGACCTCTAGCGGGCGGCGTCTACGTGCCCACAGTAGCCTTTTTCGATTCTACCGAAGAAGTAGACACATCCACCACCGAAAAGCATGCTGTCAACCTCGCCAAAGCCGGTGTCGCGGGAATCGTCGTTCAAGGGAGCAACGGTGAAGCCGTGCACTTGGACCGCGCAGAACGCAAACTCATCGCCAGCGTAACCCGCAAGGCTCTCGATGCCTCCGGATTCGACAAATTGCCCGTCATCGTCGGCACAGGCGCACAATCTACCAGAGAAACAATCCTTCTTTCCAAGGATGCCGCTGAAGCTGGTGCGGATTATGTTATTGCTCTCCCACCTTCATATTACAAGGGTCAGGATACCTCTGCCTCTCGAATTAAGTATTTCAAGGATGTGGCCGATGCATCCCCAATTCCAGTTCTGATCTACAATTTCCCCGGAGCTGCTAATGGAGTTGACCTGAACTCCGATGAAATCATTGAACTGTCTCAACACCCGAATATCGTCGGCGTCAAACTCACATGCGCCAATACCGGAAAACTTGCCCGAGTCGCGGCCGGCGTCAAGCCTGAATTTTTCACTTTTGGCGGTTCATGCGATTTCACCCTCCAGACTCTGATTGCCGGTGGGCAGGGCGTTATTGCCGGTACTGCCAATATCATCCCTCGTACCTGCGTGCAAGTATACAAGCTGTACGTGGATGGTAAAGCGGCCGAAGCGCAGAAGTTGCAGGCTATTGTTGCCAGGGCTGATTGGGCGGGGATTCAGGGAGGATTTCCAGCTATGAAGGCTGGATTACAGGCCTTTTATGGATATGGAGGTGTGCCGAGGCGACCGACTCCTGCGGCTGACGTGCAGGCTACCAAGGCTAGGTTTGAGGAGAGTTGGGCCGTGGAGCAGTCTCTTGCTTGATTTGCCCTTTTCACTTTGTGCTGGTTTTTTAAGTAGGATAGACTTCATATAGTAATGTCACCATATTACTCTTAAGGCCATGACAATATATCCATCAAAGGATAGGAGAGGTCGGTCGCCTAGGTAGCAACCGGTAATGAGCAGTGAGAAATATTATATTTTAGTTATCATAATATTGAACACAAAACAGAAACTCCTTGTCTCCCAACTCATTCCACTAGTTAGGAACCCACATCGCACATGGTAATAGTGCATATATTGCGCGATTTGTCCTAGCGCTCGTCTGTATTGTATCGTGTATCCAATATATTCTCGAGGTCATGCATCCATGGGGTTTTGGCTTCTCCGACTATTAAGGGGATACCCTGCGTGGTCAGGAGAGCAATATCTGAAACACCTTCACCAGTTTGCGGTCGGGCTGCCTTGTGATCCCCGAAACGTACACCATGATCAAAATGAGAACGATAAACAGCCGTCATTGGATGACCTAAATGCTGTCCAAAGCGAGCAACTATAGAATGCTCGTCACCGCAAAGTAGTTGCTCCTATCGAAGGTGAAACTCGCTATATTCTCGAGCGTCAGGCACCTAGTCCAAGACTATGTCATGCCATTGACAAGATTCGAAGTATTGGGCGTTTGCATCTCAAATTTAGTCCAATTACCAGTTGTACAACCAACATAACGTTCTTGAGTACTATCATTTGCTGTTCCTCCCATTCCTGACCAGATCCGGCAGGCGTTGCTGTATAAGCTGATCCGCAGTCAATGTGATTGGAGCCATCGGGATAAATCAAGTAATTTTCAAATTGAATGTGTAAATATCAATGAACAGAGAATAGAAGTTTGCGATAAACTGAAATATTGCTTTTTTTGCGGTAATGCGTAGGTAATTGCCTGAAAGAGTGTTATCAAAACTCGAAGCTGAAGAGAGCATAAGGAGGATATAAATACTGCCAGGCACGATTTACATTCTTGCCAACCAGACCTAAGCGCCATCATATCAAGTCTCTCTCCACTTGCAATCTATCCCCGTATACGCGCCGAGCTCCCAAATCAAATGTCGGGTAGGGAATGCTATATAGCGCTTGACTTTCGAACGCTGGTGCAATGCAACCAACCGTCAAGAAGCAATGTATTGGACGGCGACTGCTAAGGCGACGATGGCCCTGTACCTCTGATTCAATTTTGGTTTGCCCAGGACTCATCAATTGATGAGACGCCGTGATAGGTCTGACCTCTCTTGACGAGACTATGGACATACGACCCTCGGGAGTCTTAGAGTTGAATCGGTGTTTGCTCCGATGCTTTTCCCCCGCGAAATAACCCCCACGCTAGTATGATTTCCCAATTGGGCTACCTCTGACAATGCGTGAGATTCATTCTTCTTTAGTAATTTGCGACGGTAATCAGTTATATACAGTGTGTTTGGCAGTGTAAACTGCAAGGTATTAGTTTATGTAACCGCGTGACAATCTGTGGGGGTATTCTGGTCCAGTCTCAAGTGCTGTCTGGCAGACCCCGCATGAGCTTCGCTGATGGCCACGACAATTCGGAGAACTGCCAACAAAAGGGCTCATCAGGACATTTATCCGTTGATTAAATGAACTGTACAATGGTGAACTGGCCTATGCATTGCATTGGTTAGATTCAGTGGACCAAAGGCCAGACCTTAAGCTCAAGCTTCCGTTATAAACTCCGGTTTCCCTTTTTTTATTTCTTCATCCTCAATCTTATTCACTTTCGGTTAGAGATCTATTTTTATAAAAATGGCCAAAATAAAATCCATCGAATACTTCCGCGTCAAGCCGCGTTGGATCTTTGTCAAAATCACCGATGAAAACGGCGGATATGGCTGGGGTGAGGGTACACTGGAAGGCCACGACCTCGCTGTAGAAGGTGCTCTAGACGAAATGATTACCCGATTGATTGGATATGAAGCTGAGTTAGTCTTCTCTTCTCTCTTTCTGTAACACGCAACTAACCGGCCCAGTGACATTGAACACATCTGGCAAACAATATGGCGTCTCGGTTTCTACCGAGGAGGTCCTGTCTTCATGTCCGCTCTTTCCGGTATCGATATTGCACTATGGGACTTGAAAGGACGCAATCTCGGCGTCCCGGTTCATCAGCTTCTAGGAGGGAAAGTGCGCAATAAAGTGCAGGTCTACGCTTGGATTGGCGGTGATCGACCCGCCGATGTTGAAGTTGCTGCGTGAGTTTCTCACCTCTATCATATAAAATGCCGGGTTTGGATCTAATATAAAGAATATAGCAAAGCCCGCATTGCCCAAGGCCTGAAATGTATTAAAATGAACGCCACCGAAGACGTAAACTGGCTCGACTCCCCCGCCGTCCTCGACAGCACTGTCGAACGTCTCAAAACTGTCAAAGCCCTGGGCCTCGACGCCGGTCTCGATTTCCACGGCCGTCTACACAAACCCATGGCCAAGCAACTCGCCAAAGCCCTTGAGCCATATCGCCCGCTATTCATTGAAGAGCCTCTACTTTGCGAACATCCTGAAGCTATCAAGCAGCTTTCGGAATTGACTACTATCCCCATCGCATTTGGCGAAAGGCTATATACCCGATGGGACGTGAAACGGTTCTTGGAAGATCATTCGGTTGACATTCTTCAGCCGGATATTGCGCATGCAGGCGGTATTAGCGAGACACGCCGCATTGCCGCTATTGCAGAGGCTTACGACGTCGCTATTGCGCCTCACTGTCCTCTAGGACCCATTGCCTTCGCTGCATCTATTCAGGTTGCGTTAAACACGCCCAATTTCGTGATTCAGGAAATGTCGTTGGGTATGCACTACAATACCGAGGCCGGGGATATTGATTTGTATACGTATTTGAAAGATCAGTCAACCTTCCAGATTGAGGAAGGATACGTCAAGGCGCCTACTGGGGCTGGATTGGGTATTGAGATTGATGAGGAGTTGGTGAGGAAGATTGCAAAGGAGACGGAGCCGTGGAAATGTAAGGAGTTTTATGGTCCTGATGGAGGTATTCGCGAATGGTAATCTATGTTATTGTCCCAAAAATTAATTACCTTCATACGCATAGAGATTTGATTGGAAATGACTAATCCCAAGTACTCTTCAATCACCTCCTAGATTCTTTCTAATAACTATATCAGAAAACAATAAGGTCTAACATACCCCCCGGAAAGAAATGCGATGCATTAAACTTATTTGCCGGCGACGTGGGGGATCAATTTATCCATGAATCACCGTCATCCCCACTGCAGAGAAGAACAGAAGACTAGGACAGCTACCCGGTGTCTGGATAAATGGTTTGAGCTGATCATATGGTTTTGTGGGGGGAAATAGCTTAGATAGCTTGCTATACAATTCAGTAAGCTCATCAATCCTGTCTCTTTTTCTACGTCAACCCTGGCCGAACATGAAAGAGCACTCGGCTCAGAAACAAGCAAAAGACAACCATGCCAATTCCACACCTCTTCTCCCTTGAAAATCGCACCGCTCTGGTGACGGGTGGTACTCGCGGTATCGGTGCCCAAATGGCCATTGCATTGGCCGAAGTAGGTGCCGATATCATTCTCGTTCAGGTAACATTCCCCCTTTCTCACTATTCCGTCATACTAATAGCTCAATTAGAGAGACACATCAAATCAACAGACAAAACAGATAATCGAATCACTAGGCCGCAAATCATTCATCTACACAGCCGACCTGGCCTCTCGCGAAGATGTATCTGGTCTGACCAAGAAAGTTCTTGCGGATGGTCACGATATTTCGATTCTTGTGACCTGTGCCGGTATTCAAAGAAGACATCCCGCTGAGAAATTTCCGGATAGTGATTGGGATGAGGTGGGCACTTAACACATTGACAAATTTTAAGCAATTCTCAAATCCCGTACTAATAGATAATGAAACAGGTCCTCCAAGTCAATCTAACAACAGTCTTCACCCTCTGCCGCGACATAGGCGCTTACATGCTTACTCGCCCACCCTTCCCAGGCACAGAATCCTCTTCCCCCGGCGGCGGATACAGAGGCAGTATCATCAACGTAGCCTCTCTCGTCTCCTTCCAGGGAGGCATCACCGTTCCAGCCTACGCCAGCGCCAAGGGCGGAATTGCGCAACTCACAAAGGCATTATCGAACGAATGGGCTAGTAAAGGGGTAAATGTAAACGCGATTGCGCCGGGATATGTTGCTACAGATATGAATGAGGCGCTTATCAATAATCCGCAGAGGGCGGAGCAGATTCTTGTGAGGATTCCGGCGGGGAGATGGGGGACTCCGGAGGATTTTAAGGGGCCAACGGTATTTTTGGCGGGGAAGGCGAGTTTGTATGTTTCGGGGGAGATATTGACTGTTGATGGGGGGTGGATGGGAAGGTGATTCTCTTTAGTACCTTGGGTGTCGAGTTGTTTACGATATGCTCGAGGAACGATGTGAGTAGCGACTCGATTGAATTAACCACCGTGAATAGACATCAATAACTCATCAACCGTCCATTCCTTATCAATCCCAGCAGCAGTCCCGCTGCTAATAGGGGACTCAATATGGCTGTACCTTCCCCCAAACATGTTTAGTAAACACCTTTCCACCCCGTTCCGGGCCTCTCGACTCAAAGAGGTTAATACTTCGGTCATATGAAGTACATATTCCGCTCTATTCACATTTCCCAGATGATTCATGAAATGGTTCAGCAAGAATCCCTCCAATTGCGGGATTGAGGCCATCCAGATCGATTTGTGATCACGCATCTCCTTATCGAGCGTTGCAAGGCGGTCGTATGATTTCTCATCTACTTCAACGTCAACAGTGCACATCGATAGATTAGATGGAGAAATCGATTTGACGTTGTCGTCTCTCTCTGGTGCAGCGGTGGCAATCGTATTATGGTACTTTGACGAAACGCATTCCTGGATCATAACGCCAATATAAAACAAACATGCGATACGATCATGTTCATGCACATTCGCTGTGGCATCCTCTGGATGTCGCATACTTTCCAGGAACGAACTGCGAAGAATCGTGACAGCCTCGTAGATGGAATGGTAATGCCATAATCCCACGGATTGGAGATTACTCGAATTAGCCATGAGACTTCGCATGTCCTGAATGAAAGAAATGAGCCATAAAGAGCGGAGTTTTGGTATTTCGGAGTTGTTGGAGTTGCTGCCGTATATTTTTAGGCCGGTTGGGGTACTGGGTTCGGAGAAAGGAGATGCTGATTCTTCTGTTATGCGGAGATAACTGAAGGAATCTGATATTTCGGATATATTGTTGGACGGATAGAACCATGATGGTTTCGACATCAATGATATTCTTTCTGGTTAGTATCTTCTACACAATCATGCATGGGTACTTACAATTGTAGCACCAGCCCTAATCGCCAATTTTTTTTCAGTGATGCGAGTCCTCCCCGTGCTTGGATCATTCTATCCAGTCCATCACGATGGATGCGCCAGACTGCCTCTGTTCCCCAGTATCTCTTGAGACACGTCAGTAAAAAGAAGTACAAGTAGAAAAAGGAAAAGAGAGAGGAACACACCTCAAAAGTAAGTAACCTCACAACCGCCGCAAAAGTCGCATCCTCTAATGCTGTTTTCTCGTCTTGCATCCACTGATTGATCAACGAGACAGCTTCGGATTTGTATTTGAGGACTTCAACGGCATGTTTCTGGCCATGAAGATAGGCTAAATGAGCCGCAGAATGCGCCATTATGCCATAGAAAGATGCCGCATTTGATAGATCAAGGGGAAACCAAACATCCCGCATGGGGTTAAAGCTGATATTAAGTGCTGAAGGAGTCTCGGTGTCAAACACCATTGCCGAGTGCGAAGTTAGCCCTATAATTCTGTTAGTCCTTCTATTATCCTGCTAGCTTAGGGGCTTAGCAGTGGCGTACAGTGATGGAGTAGTTCATGATGCCTGGTTGTCAGACTGATCGGGAAAGTATCAAAAGGATCCAAAGCCAATGGTGATAGGATCTGATCCATAGCAACAGTAGGAAAAGCTTCAGATAAGAGTTCGTCGTAATATATGTTCATCAAGTCGTCTTGCCCAAAGCTAGCAAGATATTGCAAATCTTGATCTGACATGTTAAGGAACTGTTCATAGTCATTCGGGACATATATCATTTCATCACCAAAGTTGAAATTATCAATGTCTCCATGGAAGGTATTGAGCTCGGAGTCGGTGTCCATACAATCAACATCTTTGGCCACCAACGCCTGGAATCCATCCTCCGGATGCAAACCCTCGGATTTTATAGCTTTTTTAGCAGCCAAAGGTCTACGCCTTTTTCTTTGCACGGGCTTCACTTTTGATCCATTACCGTTTTCTCCTGCCTTGCTGTCTTCTTGATGCTGAGAAAGGATCTTTTGTTTCCTCTTCCGCCATGACTGTCGCATAGCATAGCTTCGGGCACGATGCGCATCTTCAAAAGTGACGAATTCAAATATTTGTGCTGCGGATTGTCTCTGAGAGTCGGATTTTGCCATATTGCTTGCTTGATGTTGTGGCTTGGCGTGGAATGAGATGATGTTTGATATTATGCCTTGTCCTCATGAGATGGAGATGCAATGCATCGTAACTCAGCGCAATCACACCTTAACTAGATTTCCCAGGCCCTACCGAGTCCAGATGTTTCCATCTTCTTTTTTTATATCGATTCAAATTCTACTGTCAGCTCAGATCATTTATCAGATGTCGGTCAGGAAGTGGGAGAAAAACGACAGCGAATCTGTTCCGCTCGGACCCACTTGGATCCCCCATAATGCCGACCCTGATTACTGTAATCCGTCTATAAGCTTACACATTCATGTGTTGCCTGACCATGAGTTGAAATGACATGTAGGGAAAAAGAAACAACAGTTCGAATTATATCCTAACATGCTTTGACTATCAATATGTTCAATTGTTGTACATTAGTTCTAGGTTAAAAAGTCCCATATTATAACCCCCTCGCAGATTCCCAAAACAGTCAAAAGCAAGAAACACATCTCTCTCATGTATACATGCTGCTCATTGAATAGTTAATTTACAAGGCAAAGACAGCAAGCAGAGCGGCAGCGAGACCGACAGCTCCGCTGGCCTTGTTAGCGCTGGCAGCACCGGTGTATTTAGGAGTGACGCCAGTGGAGGTAGAGCTGTGGCCGGGAAGAACACCAGAGGAAGTAGCAGCTCCACTACCGGGGGCAGTGGTAGCGGTAGAGACGGCAGGGCTGGAACCGACGGTGGCAGTGGTAGCAGCAGTGGTAGCAGCGGTAGTAGCAGCGGTGGTACCGGCGGCAGTGGTGGTAGCAGCTCCAGTGGAGGTGGTACCGGCAGCAGAGCTGGTGGAAGAGCCGGAGGCGGAGGCAGTGGCGGTGCTGCCAGTGCCCTTGAAGGCGTCGATACCGCTCTGGATGGCATCGGTGATACCGGAAGAGAGGTCGCTAGCAACACCGGCGAGAGCAGGAGGAACCTTGCTGGAGATCAAATCGGCGAGGCTCTTGGCAGCAGTATATTGATCCTGAAGGCCAGACTCGATTTTACCACCAGCACCAGCGGAGACGAGAGCATCTTTCTTGGAGATGAGGTCCTTGATCGCGGCCTGGACATCGGAGCTGAGGCCCTGGACAGGGGTGGTGAGGGCGACAGCATCGGTATTGCTCAAGGTGCTTTGACTCTGGAGGGAGGAGACACCACTGTTGGTGATTGTGATGATGCTCTGAGAGTCACCGAGAAGGCTGGATGGGTCACCGCTGGAGTAAGACTTGACATCGGAGTCGAACTTCTTAACAGCAGTGTCGACATCAGAGATGACAGACTCAAAGGCTGCAACGTCGCGCTGGACCCTGGATGCCCGGCGGTCAACAACGGTAGGGTTGGCAAGAACCTGGGCGGAGAGGCCGAGGGCGATGATGGAGGTGGTGAACTTCATTTTGTTGATTAACGAGTGTTTTGATAAAAACAGCTACTTTGGTGACTGAACGAGTGTATCGTGAACGAGGACAGAAAAGCAGGAAGGATAATTGTTTTGAACTGCGATTGTTGGCTTTGACAAGGTGAGACAAACAGGACAGGAACGGGCAATTCTTATATACCTCGAGAAGGGGGGGCCACTGCGCGACGATCATATGCCAGCCCTCTTCATTACAATGTCCGTGATCCACCTTTAATCCTACCCTCCAGCCGAGGCTTCCAGACAATGCTAGCTCTGGAAGGACATGACTTAATCTCCACTGAGACCGGGGTAGTCAGGCACAAGAGCCACAAAGTAGAACCAAAGCCGATGGATCATGCTTATATTCCATAGGTCGAAGCTGGGGTATTGGCGCCATAGTGAGTTTTTAGTTCACAATTGACAAGGCAGGATTGAGGAGAAACCGAGGGTATCCATTTCTGACTCGGCCATGGTGTCATTGCCCCAGGTTCGAGTATTCATCAAAGGCCTTGATTGGTTATGAATGTTTAGCAGCAAATCATCATGGAGATTGACTAGACTGACTCCTGCACCAGATACACTACAGCATTTGACATCTCGTTACTTACTTGGACTCATTCTCCTGCGTCGAGACCGAGGCTTCATCAAGAGCCCATCTGAATGCGGACCAAAAGAAGAAGATCAAACGCTCCAAAACACCAGTAAGGAGTATGCTCTGTGCCAAGCGGATGATACCACTGAAGCAATGAGACGGGACCGAAATTAGACTGAGACACCTGATCTCGATTTCGTACCTTGGAGGCTTCTAGCTTGGTATTCCTTGTCCTTAAGCGTACGTACTGACATGTGGATGTTGGTACATGATCCACGAATCGTCCGGGTAAAGCCCTGGCTGAACGTCTAGCCATACGCCATTTGTGCATAACATGTCGCAGCTGTAGAAAGCTGAGTCGAGTCTATTTACGAAGCCATAATCGCATGAAGAAATACTCTAGACACAGACGGTAATAGCAATAACTAGACCGCATTAGGGCTGTGGCCGGCGCTATTCACGGTCAGATTACCTAGGAAGGGCATTGTTACCGCTGATTCTATGGAGTACCCCGGATTTCTGTTGTAATTTAAAGTAAAGAAATCATATGTCTGGGCTATGGAATTTATGGAATTATGGCTGATGCGCACGCAATGCGTAGGATCGGATGGCCCCGGATCCATATAATGAGTCTTTTAAAGTCGAGACTAGTACAAAGCTAGACCAATGTTATTTCGTTGCTTTTCGACTAGATTCTGCTCTAAAAATTTCTCCGCATATTTTAATCTAATCTCAGATTTGGCTTCGTTTCTAGGTCGGTCATATGACTGTAGGTATTTTATAAAAGGGTATATTTGGAAGAACGTTAGAAGGGGCTGGAAATAATAATCACGCAAGAAATCGGACTAGCAGGTGCTAATTTCTAAGTAGTACATAATACTACACGTGTTTCCCCGAGGACATCGTAGGTCTAGTGTATACTGTTCGCTTCTCCGATCTGTTAACGGCTTGCCCTAATGTCACAGCGAGCCCGAAATCGTCCAGGGATCTTCAGCAGGAGAATGCAGACTTTATACACGATTATAAAACAACAACTCAATTCTTAATAGTACTACAATACGAATAGTACTACACTATTCCAGCCAAGTCAACTTACTGTATTGAAGAAGGTAACGGTAACATTACTTCTGCATACAATAATAACGCTAGAATCGAATCTAGATGCATCAGGCAATTAGAAAATATATTGCACTTAACTATTGCACGATTATCCGATTGGACAACTCCATGTACCTCTACATATACTATGCGTCTACTCAAGTGGCAAGAATGTACTTCTACTTTGCGTTTAGCGAGACTACAGATAAAAAAAAGCCAGCGCTCAGACCTTAATCCTGGACGTTTCCAAGCCCCTCAAAGAGGACGAGTCAAAGCCCACCATAGAGAGTAGAAGTACAAGACCCTGGACTCGATTGTACACGTAATAAAAACTCGGAGAACCAGTCATGGAAAAAAAGTAGTCACTTGGCACATGTAACGCAAGGCGGTTCCCCGCGATGGATTTCAAGCCACCTTTCTGAGCTATTTGTTTAGTCTGTTGTTTGGCTGCTGTTTAGTTTATGCATTGGACTGTTGATTCGTGGTTTAAATTTGTACGAGTGTTTTGTGTATGTATACGATGAACAGGTCAGGTTAGGCAGCCAACCTTGGAAGTGCTTACAGAAGGATTGAGTCTTCGTCCTGATCAATATGTATCTTGATTACGGAATTGATTTTTTTTATTTGAGGGTGTCTGTTCATACGATGCAATCTAATCCTGCATTGACAAAATAGACCTGTTCCTGGAAGAACAGGCGTCGATATATCGTACACTGTACCTACCATTTACATAAATTCCGGCTACTCCAAAATGTACAGCAGAACGGATCTCGGAAACGAACACTGCCAGATCTATCTCTGACCATTGCTTCATAGTTGTCTATAGACCGCGTTTCTAACAGTATCAAGCACTTCGATCAATATCGGATCAAGCCTCTAAATTACTACTCCAAACTACCTAGGTACAAGCAACTACGCAGTATCCCTAGACTCCATATTAAATCAAATAGTTACCAATAGCTCAATATCACATTCAAATAAGCTATCTAAACTTGTGCATGTCAAGATTTAAACGCATGCATCAGGGGCTCATCCCGCCTTCCAGCTTGCGTACCTACATAACTACGTAGCCCCCAAGGAGGATGTATCGAACGTCGTCCCTGTGTCCATTCCCCTCCTATCCAGTCTATCACATGTCCTCCCGAACACTGAAATGAATTGAATTTGACCAAGCTAGTCAAGCCATCAGAAGTATTATCCAGAGTTAGTTATATTAATGTGGCGTCCTCACTTACTACCTAGGTATGCTGGGAATGGCTGCTTGTACATGTGACTGAGGCATGATTTTAATCATGACAAACAAAAAAAAAATAGATCAAGAAACTTATCTGACTCGGGTAGTTGGTTATTACATGGCTAGTTCTCAAGAGTCAAGATTTATGGGATGATTTACTCCGTTTCGTAGGTAAATTGTCTGGAGCAGACGGTCTTTGGCGGACGAAGTTAGGGCTAGACGCCTCCTTCGACGAAATATGGCACAGATCAAGCGAGTCGGGGATCCTTCCCCAGAAAATCTCTCATTTATCGATCTATTCATTAGTGGCTTTTTTTCTCCCCTCAACTATGATAGCTACCGGACCGAGTCAAGATTGAATGGGCTGTTTCTGCTCTAGCATGCGCGTTTGAACACCTCGGTGCGATTGGAAGTTCCCAATGCTATCTCCATCACAACTCACGTCCCAAAAGAAAAGGAGACACGAAATCTATCATGCAAATGCCTCCTTTCGCACGCAAATATGTATATAGTTCCCATCATTATATCCTTTAAATTCACCTCCCTCCAGGGTCCATCTCTCCATCCATCCCCTACCAATAACCCTGACTTCCCCCTTGATCCCTCCAAAATATGCAAATCCCCCCCCCCCCCCCCCCCCCCTTTCCCCATACCGCAAAATACAATCAAAAGACTGATCTCCTATGCCA